ATATTGATTTAAATTCATTCAATTATGAAAGACATTGTGACAAATTGGATCCAACTGTGTTAGAAAATGAGAATTGTGTATTTGACCAAAATTTAATAGGACAATATACAATAAATATTGATTCCAATGATTCTCCAAAGGTTAAAAAATTAGTTGATCAGTTTGAATCTGAAATATTAGGTAATGTTTTAGTTTTAAATGAAATTTTTGGATATACTTATAATAAACGAACAGATTGTCTTGGTTTTTGGAAAAGTATGTTACATACTATGGCTGAAAAACCTGATTATGATTTCGACCAAGGTGTTCATTTGGATAAGGAATACTTAATGACTCAACTAAACTATAGTAAAAAACCCATGAATACAGCATACAACTGCTTATCTAAAGCGTTGGAACTTGCGTATTCTCGTCCAGCAAGATTAACTGCAGAAGCTAGAGATGTGGAAAATGGAGCAATAGAAGCTAGATCAGCACTAACAGAAATCAGAATAGCAGAAGCCAGAACAGCAGAAGCTAGAGCAATAGAAGATCGAGCAATTGAATTAGAAGCTGAAACAGCAAGAGCAGCTGCAAATGCTGCCGATGCTGCAATTTTGGCTAGAAAGGCTAGAGAGTCAGCAATTATGGTAAGAGAAGCTAATGAAGCAAGCTTAGCTAGAGCAGAGGTACATGCAGAGCAAATGATACAAGCAGAACTAATAACAAATGAAGAAGAAATAACAGATGAAGAAGAAATAACAGATGAAGAAGAAATAACAGATGAAGAAGAAATAACAGATGAAGAAGAAATAACAGATGAAGAAGAAATAACAAATGAAGAAGAAATAACAGGTGAAGAAACAAATGGGTTACTTGGTGATTTCCAAAATTTAGCCGTACAGACAAGTGCAGCCGTTGTAACAAATATTAGCCTTGAAACGATTGATCCTGGTATATTAAGTGTTACTGTGGATCATTTTAACCAAGAATTGAAAACCACGATTGATATTTTAATTGAAAAATGTTTGAAAAATGAAGATGAAATAACTCAGGAAAGTTTAACATCGAATATTGATTCTATAATATCCACATTTTTCCAAGACATAAAAAGATTCATGTCAACTCAAAATTTAACATCGAATTAAAACTTTTGGTATGTCGGATTGTTTCTTCAAAATAAATTATGCTGGCATTTTTATTTAAAGTTTAGTTTTTTTTTACAATTTCATGGGTTGTTTCATCAACCCTCATTCTATTAATTATTTTTATTCATATTCATTTCTATTATTAATGTTGCTTAATGACTTCGACGTGGGTATTTATTTTGAAGTCGGAAAAACATCAATTCATAAAAATTAAAGTTAAAACCTAATAAACAGAGCAAAAAGATATCAAATATTGTAGAACTTGAATAATCATTAATACTGCCATCTTAGTATGTAAGTTTTTCTTCGCAATATCTCTCTTAGCGGTTCCTCAAATATAGTACCTTGATTGTATTTTATTTTTTTTACCTTATTTTTTGTAATATCACACTACTTCAACCACTAATAAACAACAACAAAATATACTATTACACATATATGATATCTATTAGCTTAATAACTTTTATATTGGCAATAGATTCAAACTCTTCATTCTAATCAAATTGAAATTATCATTCATTAACTGACGTAAGATATCACAATTCAATACACATTTGTTTCACAGGTCTCATCAAACAACAAGCATTATTTAATATGTCACGTCTTGAAGAAGATATTACTCCACCTTATATTCTGACACCAAATCTTCCATTCAATCAAAACTTAATTACTCATTATTTACTTTGCAATACTGATGATTGCACACCAAAGGTTAAAGCTGTAATTCAAAAATTTGAAAGGGAAGTCTTGAAAGATCCAAGAAATTTATCAATTTTATTTCAATTGAGCTTTTCAAAGAGACAACATATGACTAGAATAATCAGAGATATATTACAGTTCATGTCTAATAAATCAAACTTTGATATAAATCAACCATTCAAGTTGGATGAAGAAACTTTGCTATATGTTAAGTCAAAATATTCCAATAAAGATCGAGCAACTAAGCAGCTTTTCAATAATGCGTTGGATTATTTGAAGAAATTTTTTATCTACTGTTATGATGGACAAGATATTGATTTAAATTCATTCAATTATGAAAGACATTGTGACAAATTGGATCCAACTGCATTGGAAAATGAGAATTGTGTATTTGATAAAAATTTAATAGGGCAATATACTTTAAAAATGGATTCCGATGACTCTCCAAAGGTTAAAAAATTGGTTGATCAGTTTGAAACAGAAATATTGGGCAATGTTTTAGTTTTAAATGAAATTTTTGGTTACAATTATAGAAGACGAACAGATTGTATTTGGAGTTGGAAAAGTATGTTACGTACTATGGCTGAAAAACCTTATTACGATTTCAATAAAGGTGTTCATTTGGATAAGGATTACTTAATGACTCAATTAAATCGAAATAAAGGATCAATGATTAACGCATACAATGCTTTATCTACGGTGTTGGAAATTGCATATTCTAATCCAGCTAGATTAACTGCAGAAGCTAGAGCTGTAGAAACTAGAGCAGCAATAGCCAGATTGACATTAGCAGAAATTAGAGTAGCAGAATCCAGATTAGCTGCCGTTCAAGCAATTGAATTAGAAGCTGAAACAGCAAGAGCAGCTGCAAATGCTGCCGATGCTGCAATGTTGGCTAAAAAGGCTAGAGAGTCAGCTACTATGGTAAGGGAAGCTAGTGAAGCAAGCGAAGCCAGATTAAAAGCATTGGCTGAAACAGGAATTACAGTAAATGCGTTACAGAGTGATCACCAAAATTTAGCCGTGAGTACAAGTCAAGTAGATATGGAATCAAATATTAACGTTGAAGCGATTTACTCAAGTAACTTGAATGCTACTGTGGATCATTTTAACCAAGAATTGAAAACCACGATTGATATTTTAATTGAAAAATGTTTGAAAAATGAAGATGAAATAACTCAGGAAAGTTTAACATCGAATATTGATTCTATAATATCCACATTTTTCCAAGACATAAAAAGATTCATGTCAACTCAAAATTTAACATCGAATTAAAACTTTTGGTATGTCGGATTGTTTCTTCAAAATAAATTATGCTGGGCATTTTTATTCAAAGTTTAGTTTTTTTTTACAATTTAATGGGTTATTTCATCAACCCTCATTCTATTAATTATTTTTATTCATATTCATTTCTATTATTAATGTTGCTTAATGACTTCGACGTGGGTATTTATTTTGAAATTGGAGAAACAACATTCTATAGAAATTAAATAAATCTCAAGTAAACAAGGCAAAAATTACCAAATATTGTAGTCCCTTCGTGATCATGAACTCTTTCATACTAGATACGTATTAGGTTATTAAAATGACACTTTTGAGAATATGATATATTCACCCTTACGTGTTACTCAACATAATCAAGTAACGTTTCAATTTGTTTATACTATAATCTTAACCATAGGCAATAATTTCTTATCTAAGTGCTAGCAACATGCAGGTTTAAAATAACTGTTTTGTTCATTCTTCTTCAGATTATAAGTCTAGTTAACTACTTTTACATAAATGCTGATTCTTACAAGGTATCGTGCTACACTTATATCATTTTTTTTCCTACTATTATTCAAGTGTCTTGATCTTTTATGGATAATAATTAATATGAAATAATATTACATTACTTTTCCTAACATGGATCATCAAAATCAACACTGCTAATGTTACTGAGACTCAATCAGTTTCATCAACTCCTGCGAACAAAAGGAATTTTAATTTTAATGCTTCATCAATCATCGATCTAGAGGTTTAGAGATGCACATACTCGTCAATAATTTGAGCACGGGTTCACCTACTAGAGAACTCAGATGCAAAAATAACATTTATGAAGATATTAAAAAGCCATTCATTCATCAACTATTAAAAAAATACGATATAAAAAGATATATTATTTTGCATCAAAATCAATGCCAGCACTGAAAATAACTAAAATAAGAATTAAAACGGCTTGTCGAAATCACTGAAAATCCAAAGATTAAAAAAATAAATTTGACCGAAAAAGTTGACATTTTTTTGCATCACTAAAGTATTGAGATACCTTAGATTCATGAACCGATAATCAACTTATAAACACAACCACGATGAAGTTGGCCTTATGAAGAAAATTTCTTCTTTTAAAAAAATTAACTTTTGAACAAATCTCTAAAACTTTGCTCGTGCTTATCTAAGGCACCTTTTAAGGCTTCCATTAATTTTGATTTAGTATGCATTTCCATACTTGTTGCTCCTTCGATAGCATTGGAACATTTATTATACACATCCAAATAAGCACTAACGGCGAATTCATCCAAGGTGGGATAAGTATTTGTTTGAGCTGATCTGGTTGAATCGAGTAAAATTCTTCTTTCTTGAGTGGCATCACTTCTTTTTCTTTTTAAAGAAGTTGATGGAACATTAGTTGAAATAGGTTTCAAAGGGACTCTTGATTGTGGAATTGGTGAAGGATTGACTTGAATTTGAGCAGCTTGTAATTGAATATTTCTTGAATTTTCAGCTCCAGGTTGAGCTAATCCTGATTGAGTTGATTCCATATCACAATCTCTATGAAGCTCATATAGTTCAAATATTTGGTCCATGTATGGTATATATTTTAAATCTCTTGAACCCAAACTACCATTAACATGATCCATATATTTTGATAAATCATTTTCTTGAGAAAGATATTCCTGACATCCAACCATACAGTATAACATACGAATCAATCCCCATATATTTCTTTCTCGTTGTGTTCCCATTCTAAAAATCAACTTGACAACTTGTGATTTAGTTAAATATATGCTTTCAAATTTTTCAATGATTTCAAGTTGTTCTGGAGTAATAGATTCTTTTGAATCTTCATCTAAAAGTACACATTTTGATTTCAACGCGTGATCCAATGTGGCTTCGGAAGATTTTATCAAACATAACGGACCATCTTTGGGTAAAGTGGTGCATTTGTCATAAGCAATATCCAAACATTCAGTTAAAGCATCAAATGACTCTGTGATTGTTAATTTTTCTTCTTTATCTACTATATCTGCAAAATGATTTTTAACAGTTTCAACATCCACAAATAAATTACTATTTTCATCGTAAAGATGTTTCATGCTACTCAAAATTTCGAGCCAGTATTTCAATATAGTGACTCTTTTTTCAATGGGTAAATTTATTAATCTTTTAGCGACAACCTTGTTGTTTAATACTTCATTATTAAATTTGATAAATAAATCTTGATTTTGAACTCCTTCCCTATCAAATATGGAATAGTTTGTAGATGACTCGTAAATGAGATTTTCCGTCCCTATGTACACCTGGGACATTGTAACTTTGGATTTTGCTATAATGGTTGAAGGATTGAAGTGAAGATGGATTCAATATAATACGTAACTTATTTGAAGTTTTTTTTTAAAAAAATATTATTATACTTATATTATAAGACAGATAATTATATGCAGGAAAGAAGCACGATTTATTTGAAAAACTATTGATAAAATTCTGGACTTCCAATTGTGGCGTGGTCGTAGTATCTTCGTAAAATGCTTCTACACAGACCTTAGTTATAAAAAGACTGACTAATTGTCTGTTAAAACTGTTCTATATACATCTACCTTATTATTTCGGTGAACGTTTTTCTTTGGTTTCGCCAAATTACTCCACTTGGTAGCATTATCTAAGAGCTAAGTTCATCAACTATTATTGTGAAAAAGTAGATGGCGCTAAGATAAGCTGTTGATCGACAAACAGATAGGCAAAGTCAATTTATATGTAAATCATTACTACAAAATTGAATCATTATTACAAAACTGTATCATACAATAGTGTGATAAAAAAAACCAATAACAGTGTGTTTACAAGATGAGAATCAAACGCGTGTAATAATGTGTTAGCTCTGAAAAAAATGCGAATATAACTTTTATTCACTTGACATTTGCTATTTTTTTTTGACTTGTCTTTACATACGGTAGCGCGCAATATGTCATCAAAACTTTATTTTAAAGTTGAACTACAGTTGAATGTAAAAATTGAACTACAGCTGAATGTAAAAATTGAACTACAGTTGAATGTAAAAATTGAACTACTTATTTTGCTTGTTAACAAGATTATTCCTCTCATTAACAAGTATATCTTCACAAGTTTCCACTTCTGGCTTCCTTGTATCTGTCTTGAATAAATTATTATCATGATTTTCATTAAAGATTTCTTCGTTCTCACGTCTAGCACTAGTTAATACAATTTTATGAGCTTTCCTAACAGGTCTAATGCTGAACAACCGATCCATTTGTTCTAAAGAGACCCCTTTAGTCTCCGGTATTAAAAAGTAAACAAAGGGTACACTTATCAAAGCTATCATTGCAAAGAAGAAATAGATCCCATAATGCATGGACAGTATCATTGTCTGCGTCCATCTAGCCATCACGAAGATGGCTATCCAAGATGCAGATGCGTTGATGCTTTGCACAAAGGTCCTAACATTTTGATCAAACAGTTCAGCCCCTAGTAACCACGGTAAGCTGCTCCAAGCCATGAAAAAGGCAATCCAAACGTAGATTAAACCAATAGCTGCTTTACCCGCTGGTCCTGCGTTATTTCCTGGCTTTGTTGGATCATCAACTTTCAAAAAAGCACCAATATACCAAAAACAGATTGAACAAATTGTCGATGATACCATAAATGCTGGTCTTCTTCCCACTGAATCAACAATGAACAATATGAAGACAAATGTCATTACAAATTTAACAACTCCAAACAAACCAGAAGACAACAATGAAGCACTTACTCCCTTAACTCCCAAGCCTTGGAATATCTTTGGAGAATAATAGTTAACTGCTTGAATACCCATAAAATTACAAAATATGAAAAGCATCACAGTTATAAATAAACGATATAACAATTTTCTATTATGGAAAAAGACTTCATAAAATGGATCCATTATTCCCAATCCTACTTTTTGTCTTTGTTCTTCAACACTTTCCTTACATTGATTGACTTCATAAATAATATATTCATCCGATTCAGGTAAATTCCTAAGCCATGTAAGATTTTTAATTGCTTCTTCATATCTACCAACTTGTATTAACCATCTTGGACTTTCTTTCATGAATAAACCACCAAGTAAAAATAATCCAGATGGAATTAATTGAATTGCAAATGCTATGTACCATTGATTTCTCAGATCATTTGATATATGCTGTGAAAGTCCATAATTAATAAAAAATCCAACTAAATCACCTATTCTCCATCCTATTTCATAACTTGCAGTTAATTGACCTCTAATAGCTGGTGGTGATATTTCAGATATGTAAACAACAGTTAAATTACTTGAACATCCAATAGCTAATCCTGTTAATACTCTCCCTGCATACATAGGTCCTAATCCAACAGATCCATTTGCAGCAAGCATTATACCAGATCCAAGAGTAACCAACAAAGCAGCTGCTATCAACGGTATTCTTCTACCAAAGTAATGCGAAGCAGGATATGAAAAAATTGCACCAAAGAAACAACCAACATGAAACACGGAAATAACATTTGAAATAATATAAGCTGAATTCTCTGCTTTATCTAAACCAAATTCTCTTTGAAAAGAAGGTAATGAAACTGCTCCTCCAATAAATCCACTATCATATCCTATAATTATAGCTGCCGCCGAAGCCATTAATGCAGTCATATAAATTCTATAATTATAAACTTGAGGAGGTGTTGGTCTATCTTCTGTTTTTTCAAATATATTTTTAAATTTGATCTTACCTATGATCTTTTTAAACATTGAAGTTGATGTATTTGTAGTGTTGTGTTTTCCATTTGTAGTACTTGAAAATGTGCTTGATGTATCATCTTGTTTTTCATTAGAGTCTATTGATTCTGGTGATATGCTTAGTGTTGAGTTCATTTATGTATGTAATTGTTGATGACTTGGATAAATTTTAATGAGGTATTGTAATACTTGTGATAATATTTTCTTGCCAAATGGTAAAAGATATCAAGTTTTATTTATATTTAAACCACATAAAAACATTGTGGGGAAGAACAAACAGGTTCTAAATACTATGGTTTGTGTAAAATTGTTGGTATATTAGTTTCAAAATTCATTATTTTTTTTTTAATATTTTTATAAATTTAATTTAACTTTGACTTTTGTGTCATATTTTTTATTTTATTTTTGAATCCCGAATTAATAAACTTCGTAAACAATAAGATCCTTTTTAACGATTGTTTACCAATTAAACATCACAACGTACCTCTGTGAGTCTGAACTAGAACGAAACCCTGAGATTCAGATATTTGTAAAGCTGAAAGACCCTTCAAGACGTATGGTCAGAGAGAACAAAAAAACTCCTTGATTGAATTTCATGTTTTGTGCAATTGTCATCTAAAAATCTTTGCTACATTTGAAACTACAATTTCAAATTACAAAATCGGAAAGAAAAGAATTCTGTTGAATAAAGTCATATCACGTTATCCCCCAAACTTAAGCTATTGGCTATCTTCGTATTTAGTAACGACATATCGCATAACCTTTAATAAAAAATTTGGAGCCCCAAAAGAATGGGGGATATTTTGGGGGCAAAAATTTGGGGAACTGTGGGGGATAACTTTTTAAATATTTCTTGAAAGCAAAAAAACCTTCTATCTTTTATCTCTACAATCTGGGGTAGCTAAATAAACTTTGCAATTTCGTCATCAAAAGCTATCGAGCTATTCTGTATTCGTCGTTAGAACAGATTAGAGTGATAAGATATTTTGCGAATTAAGAACCCGATTTTGTGTCTTATAGATTTTCCGAAACTTTATTTAATTAATCCGAGATCTTTGGTATAAAAAAGAAAAAAAAAACGTTTTTAAAATATTATATATGTATTAAACAAGCCAAAGGTTTCGCTCAGCGTTGAAGGTACATATATAGTTTAGTTCGTATTTTCATAAGTTGCTATGTTTGAAGTAGAACACTCTATTTTGGGAATAAGGTGTGAACTACCTTCTCAATTAAATCACATGACTCCCCCATATTTTAAAAAAATTCTACGGTTATAATTTTAGAAGTTACTAACCAAGATTTTCGGGAAGTTTTAATTCATTCGCATTGGCTGTGTTATTTTTAGTTATGCTAAAAACCTGGAGTGATCTACTAGAGTTTATAGTTTTAAATAGTGGGGTAGATTTATTATATCTATAAAAAGTATATATTTAGATCAATTACTAATTTGGTTTGATATTAATTAAATTCAAAAGTAGCACTCAAACTTAATTCAAAATGAAAAATAGACAAACGATCACAACTCTACAAATCAATGATAAATATTCTTGACGTTTATTGCAATTATTTAAACAATATTTTATTTTTTAAATTAATCCACTTAAAGTGAATTGTTCTAAAAATGGAGCTAAATCATCTTTACGAACTTCAATAATTGAAGATTCAAAATTATCAACTCTAATTTTAGCACCAGTTGTATTTGCCATTTGTTGAAAAGCAGTACTAAAAATATTTAATCTTGAATTCATTGATTCACTAGTTATAAATTCATTTTGTTGCAGCTGTTGTTGAATTAATTTTGCTTTTTCTGAATTATTCATACTTCTTGGATAACGAGGAGGTAAACCAATAACTAAATAAGTATCACTTTTTGAATCTAAACTTGCAACAATTAAAGGTTTTAAACTATTATTTTCATTTATAAAATCTAATTCTGCTAAATTTTCAATTAACCATGAACCTAATTTTGTTAACATTAAAGGATTTAAAAAAATTTCTAAATCTGGTATTGAACCATCATTTAAAACACATAATCTATATAATTTTAAATTTTTTATCATTTTTCTTTCTAATAATGACATTCCTGTTTTAAATGTAATTTGTTGTAATTGTTTTGCATATTCTAAACCTTTAAATAATAATTCACTTCCTTTTAATTTTATAAATGGTGAGGAATTGTTTGTAAATTGGTTATCAATTTTTGAATTTAAAGATTTTGATAAATTTAATGCATCCCATGATGACCAAAAATTATTTAACCAAGAATTTTCTTTTCGTTCCATTCTTTTACGGATAATTTCATTTTCATTAGTATTATTAATTGATTCATTTAATTTATTTGATTCCATTATAAATTTTTCATCTAATTCCAACAATGCATTTAAAGCTTCAACACATTCCATTGCAGATAATGAACCAGTATAACCATAAGTTTTAACAAATCCTTCTCTTATTATACCTTCTAATCCATATATTGGTAAATATCTTCTAAATATAATTGGTAATTGTCTTTTAATTTTTGTATCCATATAAAGCCATTTTTGTTGAGCAACAGCTAATGATACTCCCATTTTTGCAAATAATTTATGTAATTTTTTTTTACCTTCATCAGTCCAAAGATTTAATTTTGAATTAACATGACTTGAATAAAAAAATGAATCATATAAAGTCCAATGTCGTAGTAAAAATAATTGATAATCTCTTTCAATTCTTAACATTGTATGATCAGCTTTTTTTTTAGTTGATTGATGTTGAGGATTTAATCTTGTTACTTCATCTTTTAAAAGTGGTTGTAATTTTTCATAAATATCTGGATATTGATTATCAAGTGATGATGTTCCTATAATAGTTATCCATAAATTTTCTAAATTTGTTTCACCAATTGATGTTAATATTGCATAGACTGTGGTTGAATTAGAAGTGGTTATTGATGAACCTTGATTATAATAATTTCTTAATATGGTTTCATTTTCTAATTTTTGTTTTTTTAATTTTTGTTTTGAATGACGTTCTTGTAATTTTCTTTTTCTAGTTATATTTTCAGATGAATCTTGAGAATTTATTTGAAACTCAGATTCAGATATATCCACTTCTGTAGAAGAGTCATCTGAATCACTGTCAGATTCAGATTCTGAATCCAGATTTTCTTGTAATATCAATATTTCATATGCTTTTTTCTCTTCCATTAAATTTGCATCAATAAATCCATCATCAAAACAAACAACAATTTCAGAACCAAATAAATTATCTAAATTCCAAGGTCTATGACCATCTATTATATAAATTTTTCTTTTAAATTTATTCCCACTAACTAAATTTAAATTTTCATTATTATTATCGTCATCAAAATTATCATTATCTAATAAAGAATTTGGATCTAATTCAAGAAAATTTTCAACATCTAACATTGCACCACATCCAATTAATATAATATTACTTATATCAGAATCTAATCTTAAATAATGATATTTTAAATTATTATAACCAGTAACAGGAATAATTTGAAATTGAATTAATTGTTTTTTAAATAATAAACTTAATAATTTTCCAGCACATAATGAATCAACATCTAATCCTGAAACAAATATAACTAATTTACAAGTTGAATGTGATGATGAAGTTCTTCTTATTTCTTTATATGTTGAGAAATATTGATTTGGATTTATATACATTTGACGATATCATTAATGGCTGATATAGATTCTATAAGTGTATTATGAATAATGAATGAATGAATGAACGAAGGGAAAGTGAAATTAACTTTTTGGGTAAAATGCAAATGCTATAAATGATTGTAAAGTAGTAGTGATGTATCTATTCTTGTCAAAGTGATATGATCTGTATTAATTGCTACTAAACTTCAAACTGTAAATGAAATTTGAATGTAAGAACTTTTTGTTTACTGTTTTTGATTTTGTATATAAATTTTTTTTTTATATCATTAAAATGACAGACGCGTTTTTGAAACTAGTTGAATAAAATTTAGTGAAAACATGAACTTGAAAGAATAGCTACAATTTGAACAATTAGTCTCCATAAGATAGCAATTGAGAATATTCCTTTTATCTTACTTTTTCACCAAATCATTTGAGAAGGTTTTTTGATTAAATTTAATAGCATGATAGTTTACTATGCTAGAGTTCAATTATATGTAAATTAAGTGGTATTTGGGGGTATTGGAGTAAACTCAAAACTATTGATTAAATCTTAGAGATGATAATTTACATTTAACAGAACAGATCAATATATTATCAATGTCCTGGACCTATCATCAAAAATCAATTCAAAAGTAATCCTAAAATTAATAATCTTCAACTTTATGAAGATTATATGGAATTAAAAAATTAAAAACAGCCAGCTGCATTTTTTAAAGTTCCTACTAAGGCATCAAAAAACACTCAAACATTACCATCAACTTTCGTCAACTTCACCTTCCTCCAATTTTTCTTCTTCTCCCTCCTCCTCTTCTTCATCACCTTCATTATTTTTTAAATTTGAAGTAACACTTAAATTATAAGTAGAATTTCTTAAATAAGATTCCCATAATCTTGCAACAACTTCAGTTGATAATGCATTTGAATTTATATCTTTTAATATTGAATTACAATCATTTATTGATACATTTAATCCTTCCTATAGGTGGAGTTAGTATATACTGCAAAAAAAAAATTTAATGATGGTGATGAGATTTAAAAACATACTATGTTTGATATTATCCTTGATAAAAGCATGTTATGTGTTTGTTCATGTGGGTTCTCCATTTTGATGATGATGAGATATGTGGCTGATGTGCTAGTATGCTTTTAGAGTTGATTAATTTAAAGGTGATGTTTGTTTTGATTTTTGAATTTGTTAGAATTGAAAAATCTGTGGTAACAAAATTTCGCGACAATAAAAATAATATGACACACTAAAAATCACAATATGATCTGAATGTTTTACGCATGAATTTATTTTTGGTCTACTTTCATCATCATCATCTAAATCTTGTACATATAAACTGATAAAATGGATAAAATACTATTGATTCTATCATCAATATTAATAGGTCTTACACTAATCTTAATTCAGTATTTAATCCAAACAAACAATCTAACAAATCCAATCAAATTTTTAAATCCTTCCTCCCTAGTACCAAATAAATCATCAAAAAATTTAAATAAACCAACTTTTTTAATATGTGGAATAAATAATAGTGGAAAAACGTCATTATTTTATAAATTAACTACTGGTGAATTTAAATTAACAATATCATCAATTGAAAAAAATATTGGGGAAATAAATTTACCTTTTGCAAAACCTTCAATAAGTAAAAAATTTCAAATTATTGATTATCCAGGACATTTAAAATATTGGAATTTATTTAAAAACTTAGTGGTTAGTGATATAAAATTAAATAATATAAAGGGAATAATTATAGTAATTGATTCAAGTTCTAAAAAATGGTCCAATGGTAGTATTGAGATGGAAAATTTAATTAAATTTTTATATAATCTTATATCAATAACAGAAAGAAAACAAAATGGAATAGATTATTTATTTGCCGTTAATAAAAATGATTTATTTGATTCATTACCAGTTTTAAAAATAAAATCAATCTTGGAGAGTGAAATTAATAAATTAATAAATAATGAAATTAATAATATAAATAAAACTTCAGGAATTGATAAAGAAACAACCGAAAAAAATGAAGAAGAATTAGAAAATAATGAAAATTTAAGAGAATTTTGGTTAAGTATTATTGGAACTTCACAAAATTTTAAATTTGAAAAATTAGAAGGTAATATGGATTTTATTGGTGGTAGTATATTAAAAAATAAAATTGAAAAATGGGAAGATTGGTTAGATGAAAAAGTAATGAATCCATAAACCTTTTACATAGTCATTTAATTATTATTTACTTATTTCATGAGTTGGAACTGTTGGAAAAAAACCATCTTTTTGAATTTTTTCAATTCTTTCTTTATTATATTTCTTTTTTTGATTTAACATTAATCTATTTTTGTAGATTGTTGAACTTAGATTGTAAGATTTAAATTTAAAATTTTTTAATTCTTCATTTTTTGTAGTTAGATTGTTTTCAATTTCTTTTAATTTCGATTTATATGATTCATGATTATTATTCTTACTCTTATCATCCTCTTTATCTTTATCTTTATCTTCTTCTTTCTTCTTTTTATCTTTTGACCAATTAATTCCCCATAAATAAGGTTTAGTCTCTTCAACTTTTTTCCCCACCTCTTTCAATTGTATTTCTAATTTAGTTATTTCGTTTTTCAATTCTTCATATTCCTTTGATTCAATTGGTTTTGCAAAACTTTCATCATATAAATGCAGTTTACAAATATAAAAAAAATCTAAATGATTATCAGTTATTAAAACTTCAGTTGTTGGTTTATAACATATTAAACATGATTTTGAATCTTGTGATGATACTGATCTTAAATTATATTTATTTTGAAATGGTGGTTGAATTTGTTGTGATTTATTCATTCAATTTGATGTAAATATATTGCGCTTAATCAAAGATTTGATCTTATCGTGATCTTATAAAACTAGTGGCACGTGACCTGTTTTTTTTTGCAACCAAAATATTGATAAATTTGGCAACCAAATTGTTAGTCTTCAAATTCAATTAGTGAACCATGCTTTACAAATTTATTCATTTTGATAGAACGTGTTCAACAAATCATCACAAATAAAATCAATCTGATTTATATTCTGAACAGATTTCGATGGTTTTTCATTCAAAACCAAATTTTGCAACTTTCAACTTTTTAATTCGAAACCAAGTCATACGCATCTGCTAAGTCAAAGAGAGAAATGTCATACCCTTAATAGCTTATTTAAAATCTAAGATATCATATGATAGACAATACACTATTTTGAAGAACTATATCAATTTAATTTACTGCTGAAAATCAAAAAAGAACAATCAAAAAAAGTAACGTGAATATATTAAATATATCCCAATGCAGTTAAATTATTATAGGGATCCTTAATTCTAGTTGTTCTCAGAGATATAGTTCAAATTTTAACAACCAGAAAGTGGTATAGTGCAATAGTTCACCCATTCGCCATCAATAAACTTCATGATATAGTCATGTTATGTAAGAGAGATGAGATATTGATCAAACTTTGCCTTCATCTTGAAAAATACCTGAAACCCGTTCGTTTTTATGGTCATGCTTTATATATTTCTAAATTTAGAGACAGATACACTTGATTTACAGATCCATTTATTCAAAACCAAAGTAGATATGTCTTATCTCATGGATATTAAGCTTACTGCACTAACAACTTATTCTATCTCTCTTTCTACATTTTTCCTTCTGCTTTAGACCATTAAATTACAACTTGAATAATTACTGGTAAGTAGATTTTATAAGAGAAAGACACGTAGCTGGTAATTTTAATTTATTATTATCTAATTACGTAATTAATTAGTCAATCTCTCTAATAATAAATTAACCAATAGAAAAAAATCAGTCATTATAAAAAAAGGGAAAAGAGATTAAATAACATCCATAACTACATACATTAAGATAATATAATGTATTGAGCAAGCATAAGATAATATAATTTAATTTTAGATTCGAATTAATATTCATTACTCATCATCATTAGTTTTCAATTCATCTATCTTTATCTTTTGGTTAACCAACCCATATACCATTTACAAATCATTGTTGTTATACAACTTTGCAACCAATTACACATAGAGTTAACTATTATTACAACAACAACATCCAACTTTATCAATTTAAATTTCAAGAAAAAAATTGAGCTTTTTTTTTTTGTCTTTTTTTTTCTATCCCATAACAAATAGACGATTATTTTATTATAACTAAAGTAATAAAATTTCAACAAATATATACACATACCACCAATACGTTTTCACCCCTATATTCATTTTCATAATTGAGTAATACCATCAAAAGCATTAACCGATACATACCCAACCATTTAAATTAGTCCAACAAGTACACACCACAATCTTACACAAATTTTACAACACATTATCTATCACAAATTTTAACCACATAATCACAACATCCATAATTATACCTACATAATTCACACACATAAATCACACACACACATAATATACACACAAACATGTCCGATCATCAAGAAGCAGATATTGATTCAATTGTTGATAGATTATTAGAAGTAAGAGGTTCAAGACCTGGTAAACAAGTATCATTAACAGAACAAGAAATTCGTTATCTTTGTACAAAAGCAAGAGAAATATTTATTCAACAACCAATATTATTAGAATTAGAAGCACCAATAAAAATATGTGGAGATATTCATGGACAATATTATGATTTATTAAGATTATTTGAATATGGTGGTTTCCCACCAGAAGCAAATTATTTATTTTTAGGAGATTATGTTGATAGAGGTAAACAAAGTTTAGAAACTATTTGCTTGTTATTAGCTTATAAAATAAAATATCCTGAAAATTTTTTTATATTAAGAGGTAATCATGAATGTGCTTCAATAAATAGAATTTATGGATTTTATGATGAATGTAAAAGAAGATATAATATAAAATTATGGAAAACTTTCACTGATTGTTTTAATTGTTTACCTATAGCTGCAATTATAGATGAAAAAATTTTTACGATGCATGGTGGTTTATCACCTGATTTAAATTCAATGGAACAAATAAGAAGAGTAATGAGACCAACAGATATTCCTGATGTTGGATTATTATGTGATTTATTATGGTCAGATCCTGATAAAGATATTACTGGATGGTCAGAAAATGATAGAGGTGTTTCTTTTACTTTTGGACCAGATGTTGTTTCTCGTTTTTTACAAAAACATGATATGGATTTAATTTGTAGAGCTCATCAAGTTGTTGAAGATGGTTATGAATTTTTTAGTAAAAGACAATTAGTAACATTATTTTCTGCACCAAATTATTGTGGAGAATTTGATAATGCAGGAGCAATGATGTCTGTTGATGAAAGTTTATTATGTTCTTTTCAAATTTTAAAACCTGCTGATAAAAAACCAAGATTTCAAAATTCAAATGTTAATAATAATAGACCAAATCAAGTTCAAAGAAAACCAAAGAAAGCAACTAAATAATTAACATCATTATATCAATCAATCATCTAAATGCTTTATATATAAATATATATTATTATTATAACCTTTTTTTGCAACTAAATCAAATAACTTAGCATATATATCAAATTACAATTATCAACAACCAACAAACATATAACTTTCATTTCATATAAATTATGTATTAATAACTTTTAATTTTCAAAAATGTAGTTAAATCAAAAGCAAAAAACAACATAGAATGATGTTTATTTTAAATAGGTTTTATTATTTTTTTGTTGCTAGTATATAAGAAGTAAACTTTAATACCATGATTATAACTTACGATTTTAGAATATTTAAATTTGAGAGAAGAAAATGAAATGAAAGAAAGAATGTTGAATGAAGAATGCTATATGCTTGATGAATATGATGAAAGTTGGTAATTGTTTATATTTATATTTATATATATTTTTAATTTGATTGTAAAATTCGATTGTAATTGAGTGACTCGGACGTGATTTTGATGGAGAGATTTTGGTTTACGACGTGAAAGAAGTTGAAAAGGGGTTTAATTTTTTATATATTTGTTTTATAGCTTATTAACTAAGTTTATACGTGAAATTATATTTGTTATATTACCGTGTGGTTTAATTCAAGATCAAGAGGTCAATCAAGATGGTTCAACATCCATTAAGCTAATCAATTTATATTTTTTATATTGTTTATATTGTTTATATTGTTTAATACATTATTTTTTGAAAATTTATCAAGAAAACATTTCTTGCATAATTGTAGAGACTCTCTTATTAGATGAGTATTTACGTTACGTTTTTGAAACATTTTTGATCTATGTTTTAAATGATTATTGTCTATAATGGTTGCAAAATAACTAGGTGTTGCAAAACTTAGGGCTAAAACCCTAAGCTACTATAACAGTTACAAATTCAAATATTATAACTACTATCGTAATTTTTAACATTCCATACATACATAAGTTAGTTATAGTGCGCGCTCATAGTTAACAATTTTTCAAAAATTTTTCAGAAATTTCTATAATTAAAGAAGCTTGATTGATTGATTCAGATACATTATAATAGAATAAGACAAAATGGTATGTTCGTTTGGAGATTAAACAGGGAATACCATTTGATTCAATGAGATAGTGAACTAAGGGGGATGTAAAGTGGAGATCGAGATTGGAGTTCAGAAGGGAAAGTTCTGAATTTGAAATTAATCAATATTACGAAATATGAACGAAATAAATAATGAATCAACCGGACAATAAACTTGATACAACGTATCAAAATAAACTATTGAATTACGAAAAATTTCCAATAATTTGGATGATTTTTAGGGAAGATTAGAAAGGATTACTTATAAAGCATAAAACATGGCGGAAACAGATTGGAGAGAGTTCTATATTTTAAGACAAATCATAAAGTCCACATTTAAAAAAAAGACTCGAAGTTTTCACCAGTGGGATCATTTTGTGCTTGAAAATTTCAAATCATCCAAAATGAAAGACTTATTAATGGGTTAATATCCAAAAAGGATCAATTCGTCTTATACCAAAAATGATCATTCGCCAATTTAATTAAACTAACTCCACATTTCTACATTTTCCAATTATCAATACGGTTTATTTCCCGAAATACCAATCAAAAATAATAGAATAACAATACTAACTCAAATGTCTCTAGGTATTAGTTCAAGATTTATTACATCCATCACAAAAATCAGAACAAGAAAAATATAAATTAAAATTATTAGTACAACAACCAAGATCATATTTTATGGATGTAAAATGTCAAGGATGTTTAAATATTACAACTGTATTTTCACATGCTCAAACTTCTGTTACTTGTGATTCTTGTTCAAATGTTTTATGTATTCCAACTGGTGGTAAAGCTAAATTAACTGAAGGTTGTTCATTTAGAAGAAAATAGAGAATTTGGTAGTGAGGAGATAGGTGAAACAGGAGTAGATGAAAGGCTAATGAAAAGTTTTGTATATTATTGGTTTAAACATTTAATACATAAATTTAAATTTGTAAATAATAGAGAGAGATTGTAAATGTTTGTTTTCTTAATCAAAGTGTGTAAGTCTAAAGGTTAATCGAATAATCGTAGATATACAATTTCTGTTTTTAGAGACATAAGATTATAGAACCTATGATTACTTCTGTTTTTAAAACATCTTAATTAAAGTCAAAGTCCATTATCCTAAAAACAATCAATATATGCATCCGTACTCGCAAACATCCATCCGTACGACAAACATCCGTATCTCTTTAAAGCTTAGATTTCACATTTCTAACAACTTCATCAATAGCTTTTGCAACTTTATCAACATTATGTTCATTTAATCCAGCAACTGAAGCTCTACCACTACTAACTAAATAAATTCCATGTTTTTTCTCTAATCTTTCAACTTGTTCAGGAGTTAAACCAGTAAAAGAAAACATACCAGTTTGATCAGTAATATGATTCCAAGTTCCAGGAGTTCCCAATTGTTCCAATTTTTTTCTTAATTCATGTCTCATTTTTATAATTCTACTTGACATTGTTATAAGATCTTTTTTCCATTGTTTATATAATTCAGAATCATTTAATATAGTACTTACAATTTTTGCACCATAAGAAGGAGGATTTGAAATTTCACATCTTATAATTAAATTTAATTGAGATTTTATTGCATTATTTAATTTTGAATCTGTTGTTGGTAATATAATATGAATTGCTCCTGCTCTTTCACCATACATTCCAACATTTTTTGCAAATGATTGACATATTATTATTGGTGATGATATAATTTTTTCATTTATTGCTTTTCTAATAGGGTAAGCATCTTTTTCTAAATCACCACTTGCAAAACCTTGATAAGCAGAATCAAATAATATAATATGTTTTTTTGATTCTAATGCTTTTAAAATTTCATTCCATTGAGTTTCTGTTGGATCTAATCCTGTTGGATTATGAGCACAAGCATGTAAAAGAAAAATTGAACCTGGATTAGCATTATTTATAGTATTTAAAAAACCTTTTAAATCTAATGATTTTGTTGAATTATTCCAATATGGATAAGTTTTAACATTTAATCCTAAAGTTTCAAAAACTTGTTTATGATTTGCCCAAGTTGGTGAAGATATATAAATATCTTTTGATTTATTATAAAATTTTTTTAAAAAAACACCAGCTAAATGTAATGCACCTGTTCCTGATAAACTTTGTTGACTAATAATTCGGTTCTCTTTTATAGCTGGTGAATTTTCTCCTAATAAAACTTTTGCAGCAGAATTTAAAAATGGTTCTAATCCTGTTATTGATAAATATTCATGATTATAATTTGGATCATTTTGTAATTTTTTTTCTGCTAATTTAACTGCTGGTAATACCCAAGGTTTACCATTATTATCTCTATAAGCTCCTATACCTAAATCAACTTTATCTGAACGTGAATCTTTTGTATACCTTGCTTTTAAACCAAATAATGGATCTGGTGGTAATTCAGTTAAATTTGTGAAAACTTCAGCCATTGTGGGTGTTATGTGATTGGTTGATGAATTGAGTTGGTGGTTAAAGAGTATTTTGGTTGTCAAAAAATGAAGATAATCTAATCTACTAATAATTGAATATAGTGTGGTGTATATATATAATGTTAATATTAAAAAAGGTAGTGTTTAATTTGACACTTCCATTCATCCAGTTAAAAAATAGCACAAGATAATAAAATATTTAATATTATTATTAAATTGAGGGGTAGAGAAATACGAATAGTTTCCACACGATTTGAGCCATTTTTATAACCGACTGTTTGTTTGATTTGATTTGGTACAAGTAGAGATGATTGAGCCCAATAAATCGAATGATACAGGGACCACACCGACTCCCTTAGTTTGAGCTTTTGGGCAAAAAATGATCTTTATCATCATCCCACAGATGAATTTGATTGAAATCTTAGCTCAAGTAACACAAAATAGTTTATAATCATCAACTAAATGTATTACGGTAATTTACGGTTGAAATCTAAATATAAAGTATTAGTCTAAAAGATTTCGAGAACTACCCCAGATTTCAAATTCGAGGAAACAATAAGTAGTGTAAAACGATAAGTATTGTGAGACTTATATGTAAAAAAGAAGAATGAAACCTCTAATTCAATAAAAATTTGGACTAAAAGCAGCAATGAAATACGTTGCTTGAAAAAAATCAAAAATTGGTTGCAAAATTAACATTAGCGGCAAATTTTTGAACGAATTGGTTGCCAAAACTGGCTTGCGGGAATATAAACATACGTCCATTCACTTAAATAGAAAGTCTAAGGGTTAGAATGCTGTTAGGGTCCACAGTTGTAATTTAGTTTGTTTATAATTCTTGCTCAATTTGATCATAAATGAGTTTAAAATTGATGCAAATTATAGCTAAAATTATACTTTGCAATGGAAAGCATCAACAGTACGCTTAGTACGCCTAAAAATATACTTTGTAATGGAAAGCATCAACAGTACGCCTAGTATACCTGTTAATGTGTTAACAACTTGATAAAGTGGAAGGTTGGATTGGTTTTCTTACAATTTTAATAGAAATATCCAAAAAAATTCACATAAAATCTCCCACGGCTATCACAGAATATAAATATATTCTTACTGTTCATACCATTCAGGATACGATCTTATTGTATTTTTAATCACAGGTCATACATATTTATCAACAACATTTAACTATAATCATATTCAAATTTGTATATCATCAAGAATTTTGACTTCTAAATTCCAGACTAATCCATTAAAAAAAAATAAAATCAAACAAATTGGAGAAGATTGATTTATATTCAAATTATCCATATAATCTGAAATCAAAATATCATTCACCTGAATCACTACATTCAAGGAACAATATTAGGATACGGAAATATCACTAGCTAACAAACTAATGGAAGAAATTGTGAAGTTGATTCTATTTCTTCCATTAGTTTGTTAGCTAGTTTTCTCTCCATTTCGCGATATTATTTCTTGAATGAACTCAAAGCTTGAATAAAACTATCATCCACCATTTGATAAGCCAATTTTAAATCATCCTGATTAAGGTTTGTATGCGATACTATTTGTTTTTCACTTCGAGTTGATTATCGGAGGGAAGATAATTTTGTTGTTTTGATTAATGATTGGCTTCGAAAAAATGAAGTTTAAAATTTGATGCACACAGTCTTATAACCAGCACAGCTTAACGTTGATTATTCGTCTTGAATTATTTAAAGTTCGTTTCAAAAATCGGGTGATTCATTGAATTGACTCGTTGACTCATCAATTTTAATTCTAATTCTTTTTTTTTTTTTCACTTGAAACACGAAAAATTGATCTGAAATATTTCACATCTTTAATAAAGACATTACAACTGAACATACAACAACATGTCATCTTTTGGTACATTATTCAGAGTTACAACATATGGAGAATCACATTGTAAATCAGTAGGATGTATAGTAGATGGTTGTCCACCAGGTTTAAAACTTGATGAATCAGATATTCAACCACAATTAACAAGAAGAAGACCAGGACAAAGTAAATTATCAACACCAAGAAATGAAGCAGATGCAGTAGAAATACAAAGTGGTACTGAAAATGGAATAACTTTAGGAAGTCCTATAGGAATGACTGTAAAAAATAAAGATCATAGACCTGGTGATTATAGTGAAACTGATCTATATCCAAGACCAAGTCATGCTGATTATACTTATATACAAAAATATGGTTTAAAATCTGGTAGTGGAGGTGGTAGATCTTCTGCAAGAGAAACTATTGGAAGAGTTGCTGCAGGAGCAATAGCTGAAAAGTTATTAACAAAAATAAATAATGTTGAAATTGTTGCATTTGTTTCATCAATTGGAGAAATTTCAATGAATAGAAATCCACAAGATCCAAAATTTCAAGAAGTATTAAATAATATAACTAGAGAAGAAGTTGATGGTGTTGGACCAATAAGATGTCCAGATGCATCAGTACGAGAAGAAATGGTTAAGGTTATTGAAAAATATAGAGATTCAAAAGATTCAATAGGAGGTGTTGTTACATGTGTTATAAGAAATTGTCCTATTGGATTAGGTGAACCATGTTTTGATAAATTAGAAGCAAAATTAGCTCATGCAATGATGAGTTTACCTGCAACAAAAGGTTTTGAATTTGGTTCAGGATTTATTGGAACTACAATACCTGGTTCAAAACATAATGATTTATTTATTTATGATGAAACTAATAAAAGATTAAAAACTAAAACAAATAATTCTGGTGGAATACAAGGTGGTATATCAAATGGTGAAAATATTTATTTTTCAGTTGCTTTTAAATCTGCAGCAACAATAAGTCAAGAACAAGAAACTGTTACATATGATGGTAAAAATGGAATATTAGCAGCAAGAGGTAGACATGATCCCAGTGTTACACCAAGAGCAGTACCAATAGTTGAAACTATGGCTGCATTAGTATTAATTGATCAATATTTAATTCAACAAGCTAGAAATTCAACAAGAAATATAATAGAAAATTCACAATATTAATAGTCATGTATATATACATTTACCTAAACAACTGATTTAACTTCAAAAAATCTCTTTAAATAATAAATTTGAAATAATGAATTTACAGCAACAACTAAAATTTGAAAAACTGACCACCATTTAACTCTTGAATTTGTAGATTCAGCAGTATTTCTATGAGTTCTTTCTCTAATAACTAAATAACCTTGTTCAGCTTTAACTTCATCAGTTAATTGACTTAATCTTTGAATAGCATAATCTAAAGTATTTGATTTTGGATCATTTGCATCAATATAAACGACACCATGAATATTAAAACTAACATCTAAATCAACTCTACTACTTTGTTCATTTGAAAAACAATATTGAAATTTTCCATTTTGTTGAGCTTTTATTTGTTCATCTCCATGATCTATTTTAGATCTTTTTAATAATATTTGACCTTGTGGTGATGTAATATAAAATTCAATATCATATTGTTCTGAATTATGAGGATCTCTTGATCCAACTTGAAAAGATATTGCTAATTCATCATTTTTTTTTAAAGTTTCAAAAAAGCATTGTTTTCCATATGGTTGTAAAAGGACATTATGTGATAAAATTGTGGTGAAGAAAATGAATAAGGAGAGAAATAACTTCATCGTTGGTGCAATTGATGAACACTTGAGTTAGATGGATTATTGGTTGAAAATTTCAATTTCGATCTAAAATAATTTTTCTTTAAGAGATTGACGTGTGTTGTTTTTATTAAGGCAGAATTTTATACGCGTAGATGGTTAAGCACTACCAAGTGGTTTAGGTATATCAATTGCAGCTTCAGGTGCTTCACAGATTTGAGTTTCAGAAGTCTCAGTAGAGTGGTACTTAAGTTTGATAAAATTTTATCATTATTTCTAAACAGTTTATATATAAATCATTAAATCTTAGATTTATGATCAATGCTATGTTCACCAAATGCATAATCAACAGCCAATTCACTTAAAAATGGATACATTTCAGCATATTGTTTAGCACTTGCACTTGATGCATTACCTTGTTTAACTCTCATAGCAATACCTTGACTTATAACACATAATCTTAAAAGACCAAAAGTATGACCAATTTTCCAAAGTTTAATTGGATCATTTGAAGGATCTTCGGGGTTCCATTTAATTAATTTACTATAATTTTTTAATTGTTCTAACAAGAATTGTTCAGATTCTGGATTTCCCAATCCCATTTCATTTTCTGGATCTTGAAACATCAATTGATTCATTTGTTGAGGAAATTGGAAAGGTTGAAAAAAATTAGATAAATCAAATAATGGATGTCCAATAGTACATAATTCCCAATCTAATACTCCACAAACTTTTTTTGTAGTTGGATTAAATAATAAATTATCAATTTTTAAATCTCCATGAATTAAAGTTAATTTTGATGGATCTTCTGGTGCATTTTCTATAAACCAATTAGTTAATTTTTCAAAATTTGGAATTGGATCAACATGTTTTGATTGTAAATTGTGGATGTTAGTTAATGTCTTGATTTGTCTTTTAAAATAACTTGTAGTTTTTAATTTTTCAATATTTTGAAATTGTGGGAAATATTCAATAGGTAATATTGATAGAAGTTTTTCAACATCTAATTTATGAATACCAACTATTGTATTAATTATAGATTTATAATAAATATTTTTATCATCATTTGAAAATCCAGGTAATGATGGATTTTTAATTTGTAAACCTTCAACATAATCCATTAAATAAAATACATATCCAATAATTGATTCATCTTCACATAATAAATGAACAGTTGGAACAGGTACTATAAAGTCTTTATCCTGAACATCATTATTTAACTGATTTATAGCATTTATAATGAAAAATTCTTTTTCTATAGCATGAGCAGTTTTAGAAATTATTTTTGCATTTGGACTTGGTTTTCTTCTTAATACAAACTTTGAACCATTTGAATCTTCTAAATAATAAGTTGGATTAGATTGTCCAAATGTAAATTGTTTAGCTATTGTAAATGATCTTGGAATATTAGAATTAAATCCAATTTGAGTTTTCGGACTTGATGAATTAACTTTTGATAAATATGATTTTAAATTATCTAAATCTAATGGTGATCTGATATCTTTTAATGATGGTGGTTCAGCCATTTTTAATTGTTTGTGCTTGGTTTTGAAAAAAAGAGATGGTAATTTCTTAACGATTGATCTTTATAAATAACTTCTTATATTGTGGGGAACGGGATTAATAATTTTTCAATTTGTACCGTTTTTTTCGTTGATAAAACCGATCTAGAATTACGGATAAATTTGTATAGATCTCGACGGATGTTCTCGTGTTAGAAAGGGAAAAACGGAAAATTACATCAGTTATTTTACACAATTCATTATCATTATTTCTATAATATACTATCCTCAACTCTTAGCCTGTTGTTGTAGTTCATTCAATGCTTCTTGATATACTTTTTCCTCAGAGTCATTAATATTTACAGCAACGTTGAATTCAAAATTTTCAACCTCTTTACCATGTCTACTGACATCTTTAGAAAATGTATTAAACCATTTTAACTCACCTTTACCAAATATAAAATTAAATGCTTTACCAGATTGATTGGCTCTTGCGGTACGACCTACTCTATGAATATATTCTCTTGAAGAATTAGGTAAATCATAATTAATAACATCTGTTATTGTTGTTAAATCAATACCTCTTGCTATTAAATCAGTAGCTATTAAAATATTGATTTTTTGATTTGTGAAATCTTTTAAAATTTTTGATCTTATTGATGTTCTATTATTTGTTGAATTAATGAATGCTATATTTATAGGTACATTTAATTTATCAAATATAAGTTGTAATAGTCTGGATAATCTTATTGATGACTCGTTTGATTTAGTGAAAATTAAAACATTTGATAGTTTGGATTGAGTAATTAAAAATTTAACTAATATTAATGGTTTTAAAGAATTTTTAGCTACTCCTAAATGTAAATTATATTCAATTAAAGTTGAAGGTACTGAAAATAATTCATTAACTAAATTTTCTGAATCATTAACTACAATCAATCTTGGTTTGTAAAGATTTAAATTTGCCAATTTACCTGCATCAGTGGTTAATGTTGCTGAAAATATTAATTTCTTAGCTTTTATACTCCAGTGATCTAATATATTATATGGTTGTTGTTCTTCAAGTTTTGAAGTTAAGACCAGTGACCAATTTTGAAATGTTTGATTTAATAATCTATCAGCTTCATCAATGACTAAAAAATTCAAACTTGATAAACTTATTGAATTTAAATTCAAATGTTCCACTAATCTACCTGGTGTACTAACAATTATATCAGGTACTGAATTTTTTAATTTATTACTTTCTTCTTTAATTGATATATCATTTTTTAAACTAACAATATTTAAAGTAGATCCTTGTGATAATTGCAATAAAGTTGTTCTAACTTGATTTATTAATGGTTTTGTAGGAACTAAAATAATAGCACGAACTCTTGGTACAACTCTATCATATAAAGCTTGTATAATAGGTATACAATATGCTAATGTTTTTCCTGACCCAGTTGATGCATTTACTAAAATATCTCCAAATGCATCAGGCATAATTTTATTTTTAATAATTTCTGGTAATAATTTATTTAATAAACTTACTTGAACTGCAAATGCATCTTTTATACCTAATGACTTTAAATTGTTTAGTATAAATGAAGTTAATTGATATTCTGAAAATGGTTTTGTTTGTGAAGGTAGTATATATTCCGGTTTAGCTAACCAGTCTAAATTTTTCAAATGTTGTGAAGTTGTTGTTAATTTTCTATCTCTTGGTAATTGAGGTTGAGGTAGAGGTACAAGATCTTGTGTATCTATTAATACATCCTCTTCTTCATGCTTTTCTAAATCATGACTAATTTGATTTGCAGATTGTTTAAATTTGTCAAAAACTGATTGATGCTTTTTGATATATTCTGTATCATTAGTTATTGGTTCATCTATTTCCATATCATCTTCATTATCCTCCAGTAAATGGTCTTCCTCTGAATCTTTGTCTTCTTCACTCTCTGATTCATCACTATCATCTGATATTCGGCTCGAATCCGAATCATTATCTGATTTTTCTGGTTTTTCATCTAGGCTTGACTCTTCTTCTTCTTCCTCTCCATCGTGCTCTTCAACTGGCCTCGCTCTTTTTCGTATATTCAACTTTATTGGAGTTGCATTTCTGATTTGATTTGTATCTTCATCTGAATTATATCTCACTCCAAACATATATATTCTTTTGAAAGAATTAGGATTAGCTTGTACACTTAGATATTTGTTGTCTCATCTATACAAATAATTTTATTACACAAAATTAAGGTTTTTCTATTCGTAAAAAAATTGATTTTTCAGTTACACTTTCAACCTTCATTATCACCGACTCAACAAGCCAACACTCACTCATAACTACCCCAAATCCACAACCATGCACCCTTCGATACAAATACTAGGTAGATCAGTATGGAAAGGTCCTCATATAGGACCATTACCAATAGCAAAAGCCATCCAAAACAAAACAAGTATAAGAACAAAAGCAAGAAATTGTACAATTATACCACAATTTATTGGATTAAAATTTGAAATTCATAATGGGAAAGATTATGTTGAAGTTGAAATTACTGATGATATGGTTGGTTCTAAATTAGGAGAATTTGCACCAACTAGGAAAAGATTTATGTATAAATATTCTAAGAATTAGAGGTACTTAAGAGTTATTTTATGATGTTTACGAAAGGTTACTTGTATATAATTTAATTGAACATTTTTGTTTTTATTGATCTATCAAGTTTCTAATATGTTATTTTAACCACTTCCACCACGTCTTGGATTAAAATCATCTAATCTACTTTGTCTTAATTCTCCAGTTCTATCTAAATTTGGCCAATTTCCCCAACCATTTAATCTTATAACTAAAATAGTTGCATTATCATCACCTCCAACAAATTCAACAAATTTAATAACTTCTTGAGCACAAATTTGTGGAGTTGCTTTATTACCTAATTTTTTATGTTGTGTCATTATTATATCTGCTATTTCTTGATCTGTTAATATATTTGTAACTCCATCAGTACATAGCACCAAAAAGCATTCATCACCTCCAAGACCTCCAATTGTATATTTTTGAATTTCATCTGGGGTCAACTGTTTTTTAATTTCAGTTGAATCACCAACTATTAATTGTATAATATCTGGTTCTGCAGTTACTCCAACTTCTTTATAATCTATATCTCCAAATGATCTTGTATTAGCTAATGATATAAATCTTTCTTCACCAAAAGAATCAGTCATAAAAAAATTTGCTGCATATCTCCTTAATCTTGTACTTTCAAGCGGGTTCAGTGGATGATGATCATCAGTCACTCCATTTGCTAATCCATTTTTATCAACTATTATTGCACGAGTATCACCTAAATGAGCTATTGTTAATTTTGAAATTGTATTTCTATTAAAATAATAATTTTCAAAAAATGGTTGAAATTTTTTAGTTGAATTACTATATATTGTTTGTAAAAATATTGAAGTACAAGTTGATCCCAGTTTAGTATTATTTTGAAAAAAATCATAATCAGTTTTTAAAAAAGTTAAAGGGATTCTAAAATTTAAATCATCTTGTTTTAATTCCTTTTTAAAATTTTTTAAATTTAGTCGATTATTTTGCCATGTTTCAAATGTCTTTTCTCTATGTTTTGACCATCGTCTCCAATAACCTCCAATATTTTTAACATATTTTTTTATTAAATCTTCTCTTGCCTTTTTGGTTTTAATTAGGTTATCACCGTTTTCAACATTTTCTGCTAAATTTTCAGTTAAATAAATACTACATTCATCACCTCCGTGTCCATCAAATATATTAAAATTTAAAATTTCTTTATCATTAATTGTTAAAACTTTAGCACTATATTTATCTTCATTATAAGCTCGATTCACTCGACTTGTAGAATGACCTAGATGTGATGGACTTTTGAGTAATTGAACTCTTAATTTCCCCTGTTTTAATGGATTTGTTTGACCAAGTGGGATGGATGGTGATCTATCGACTGCTGTGAAAACTACTGAATCTGAAATTAATCTATAAAAATTCCAGCTCTGTAGGGTTTTGATATTTTTAAATTTTGCGCATTTCGGTAGTATGTTAATGGACATCAATTGAGTTAAAAATGAAGGTTTTGGGGAAGTACAGACTTATGTATTGAAACAACTGCTTATTTTAAAGCCGTTTCAGATTTTAATTTTGATAGACCTAAATTAAACGGATAAACATTAATTTTGATTTGATTTTGTAATCTTTCTCGGTCTTTAACTTCCATAAAAAGGTGTTTCATATATCCGAAACTATCAAGTTCTTACAACAAGACAAACTTGATCTATTCCAAATACCATTAAACATTTGCTTTTAAGAGTTGGAAGTTAATATCAGTCGTAAAATATATTAGTATAAGATATTTATCTATAGTATCAAATTTTCATTAGCATCATTATCATAATTAAAATCATCTAAAGGTTCATCTCTATATGGTCTTTGTCGTGAATTAGCATTATTATTGTTGTTTCTATTATTACCTAAAATTCCATTAAATGTATTACTTACTTTACCCCAAAATCCATTTTGTGGGATATTTAACGTTCCATTATCATAAAGCGGATCTTCATCTACTGAATTATCAATTCTATTAGCTAAAGAAGTTGTAAATTCTCTTCTATTTCTTTCATAATTTACATCTGCTGGATTTTGTAAATTATCAGTACTATTATTAATTAAATTAAATGGTCTTAATTGCATATCTTTTTTGGACATTTCTCTAGTTATAATTCTTTTAGCTTCAACAATAATTAAATCTTTTCTCTTATTGCCTAAATCATCATTCAGATTATCATTATCTTCATCAAATAAAATCCAAGAATCATATAAATCTCCAAATCCTAATTTTTTCTTGAGCTTATCATAAACATGAAACATTGCTAACATAACGGGTATCAAAATTAATCTTGGTATCCAATTATTTAATAAATTAAATAAACCAGTTAAATGTATTGACTGACCAAACCATTCTTCAAAAATAGATTTTCTACTAACAAATAATGTTATAAAATTATAACTTAATGGAATTGTCATTCTTGCAATATACATTGCATACCAACATGCAGATACTGGATCTGAATTATGTGGAACTAAATGATACATATTAAAAATTTTTAATTGAGTTAATGAATTTAATGCTGAAAATAACATGTATGAAAAAAATAATGATAATATGAAAAATTGAATGATTGAATGATTATGGATGCCTGTGGAGTAGACTAGCACATTTAATAGAGACAATTTTGTTGAATGGAAAAATTCAGATTGTAAAATAATTAATGAAATTAATCCCAATATTACAGCAGTTATTTTATTTGAAATTGGTCGTATATAATACCAATATATGAAATTAAATTTAGGACTCCATAACACTTTATGATTATCCATTCTGAAAATCAATTCTTTAGTTGAAACAGCATTTAAAACATCTTCTAATCTAACAACTTTACGAATCAATCTATTTAATTCAGATTGATATCCAATTAATCTACTTAAATTCAGGTTAAAATCAGAATTTAATTTTGTCATATATTGATCATTTAATTGATCTCTATCAATATTAGTTGTATCATGTAAATATTGTTTTTCAACTTGTTCTTTAATTTCTCCAGGTATTGAATCATATAAATTTAAAATCCAATCTCTATAATTAAAATCTTCTTCTGATTCACTTGTATAATTTTGTTTTAATATTAACACTTTTAAAACATCTTCTCTAAAACTTATTTTAGTATCTTCTAATTCATCAACTAATTTTGGAATTTTTAAATATTGATGATTTAAATCTTTTAATACAGAACCTTGAATCCATTTATTTCTAGGAATACTAATTAATCCATGACCCATTAACCAAGTAGCTAAAATTAACGAATAAATATGAGCTAATGCAATAACCATTAATTTTATATGATTAAAATTTAATCCAACTTCAATCAATAAATAAATTAATCCAATTATTGAAACTCCTAACATTATAATTTGAAATTTTAAATTTTCCTTAATGGAATCTTTAATTTTATTCATTGGATCATTATGTCCTGATCTATAATATTCTAATAACATTGGTAAAATTAACCAAGTTAATAAAAATGTAATCCAATAATTTGATTTCCATATATATAATATAATATTATCAGATAATGTAAACCAATCAATATCATCTTCCAGTTTAGTATTATGAGATACATAATCCATTGGTAATGTGAATATAATAGATAATGGAATATATACACCTAATGTTAATGGTATACCTAAATAAAAAGGATATTTAAATAAATTTATATGAAATCTTATTGCAAATAACGATAGTAGTAGAATTAATACATAACATATCACCGGAACCACCCACATTTTTTTAAAATAAAATCGTTTATGATGATTGTGATTGACCTCCAATTGTTTAAGGACTTAGATTTGTTTTTATCTTGTTTGTGTGGTCGATTACTTGTTAGTTCTTGTCAAAATTTGTATTAAAACAAGATTTATTATGATAAAGTTGAAACTCAAATCAACAGGTCGTTCAAAATGTTCAAATCTTGATTTTCTATTCTAACATAGATAAAAGCATTACAGAAGTGATTACTATAAATCCACAATTATTTAGAAAATAGGCAATAGTCTTTGAAGATATTCACTCTTTCATCTCATCTTATTGTAGACTGATTGAAAGTCGAGGTTTATCAGAGTACGTTGTCATAATCTCAGCTGTTCGGTATTTATTTGAGTTTAACTGACAAATGTAAACTCACCTCAACTTGAAAGAACGCGTTTAGTCCAATACTAAATCCACTACATCTTTCTTTTATTCCCTTTAAGACGTCCCTTATCTCTAGTAGAAGTTATCACATAAGACAGTCCATACTTTAAATCTGAAAAATTTAATATTACCGCACTTATATTTTATCGGTTATAAACACAATTATTTATTACATCATAGATCTAATCTTTCAACCATAAAAAGCTCCTTCTTTTGATCAATTGAGAACTGTTGTGCAACACTAACAGTTTATAGAGGGAGACTTTAACGAAATGTCATTACAAGAGCAAGATTTGGGTTCAGAAGTAGATATAACTCAACCACCAAGTCAACCACCAAAGTATGAAATAGACTCCGAAACTCCCAATAAAGACAATCAACAAGATCAAGAACAAACAAAATCAAAACCAGCAAAGAAATCCGTTGGATTTGCTCCACCACCAGAAGATGATTTAAAAGAACATCATGAATACCTCAAACAAAAACAAGAAATAGAAATAAAATCATCACCATTTCATAAAATACCACCAGAATTATCATATTTAGATAAACAACATATGACCGCAACTCCAAAACCAAAACCAATAACAGATATAAATAAACCACAAATCCCCAATAGTAGATTAAAATTAACTGATTTACCAGATTTAAGTAAATTAAAATTTTTTGATATAAAAGATTTATCTGTACAAAATAAAGAAACTGAATTACAATTTCATTATACTACTTTAAATTTACCAACATCATCTGATAGTGTTATTGTAGATATAAAATATGGTTCATTAAATTCTTTTGATTTATGTAAAATTAATCAATATTTATTAAATTTAAGTAATATTAAAGTAGGATTAGGTTATGAATTTGCTGGGGTAATAACTAATGTTGGATCAAGTTTAAATTCAAAGTTTTCCGTGGGTGATATTGTATTTGGATTAATTGATCCAACTTCAAGACGTGGTGCTTTATCTACTAGTCAAATTATATATCCTGGTAGAGACGTATTGATTAAAATTGATGAAGATACTTTGAAAAAAATTGAAGAAACTGATATATGTTTAAATCCAGAAGATAAAAACATAGAAGGATTTGAAGTAGGAGAAGAAGAAGAAGAAAATAATGTTGGATCTAACGAGTCAGGTGAACAATCTAAACAAGTGACAGAAGTAGAAGATGACACTGGTTCAAAAACAAGTAAAACTTCAAGTGAATCCCAAAATTTGGAATTATCACCACTAGCTAAATTATCATCAATTTCATTATTATACAATCATTCAAAACAAATGATTCAACATTTAAATGATAAAACCAAGAAAGTTAATATATTAATAAATGGAGCAGATACAAATATTGGATTAACTATTATACAAATATTATTAACAGAACATAAGAACCTTGAATTTATAAGTTTCATATTAGTAATTCGTGAAAAATCTGAACAATATATGAATAAAATTATAAAAAATTTTGAAAAAAAATATTATGATCCTTCTAGAATTATTAGGTTTAAAATAGTTACTTTTGATATTTTTAACGATGGGTTATATTTTCCTGGTGAAAAAATACCAATAAGTTACAAGAAACCTGATTTTTTCGCAACTGAAATTATTGATTCATTGTTAGTACCACATGATAATGAATTAGTAAATGAAACAAATATAAATAACTACAAATTAGATTTATTTATTGATTTAATTGGATGTAAAAAATATTTTCAATCCTCATCAACAAAATTTCATGAAATAGATACATTAAATTTACCATTTAAACAAAATATATCAGTATCTATTGAAAAATTATTTAATTCATCAAAAAAAGAACCATTTTTGAACAAGATTTTAAAACCTAAAAAAATGGGTTCTACAGTTGTTAGTGGTTGTAAATTTACCCTAAGTGATCCAAGTTATAATATTAATAAATTAATTGATTTTAATGAACAAAATTATTTAAATCCATGGACAAATAAATTTACAAAAAATTTATTTAATAATTTTACAGAATATAATTATTTTGAAGAAATTTTTTTAAAAATTAAACAAGAATGGTGTAATAATGCCTTGCAGTTAGTTTTAGAAAATAAATTAAAATTTAAAATTGATGGTGTTTATGATTGGAGAAAAGATTATAAAAAATATATTAAAAATTTAACTGATAATGATGGTAAGATTGTTTTTAAAGTTGAAGATTTTTAGAATTATAAGTTGGTGTATATAAGTTGATGAAGAAATTTTATGAAGCTCAAGTAATGTTCGGTTAAAAAATTATGATCTTCCCAATCTCTCACTAATGCTACCAATTTCTGCATCAGGTTATTACACAATGCAGCGAGTAAATTCAACCAAAGTAAGTATACACTCATCGGGTTGAGTGTGATAAAATTCAAACATATTTCGAAGACTGATTCTTTTTGAGCGTTGTCTGGACTATTTTAGTAATTAGTCTTTCCTGAATTGTCTGTTCGATTCTAACACATGAGATCGGCTAACTCTAAATTCGGATCAATCTGGATCAATTTGCCAAGATACATATATCTTGTGCTAAGTTACACTACCTATTGCAATATCATCATTACTTTTTTGATTTATTATACGAGAAGGAGAAACAACTTAGCCACTACAAAAGATCTACTCACTTTGATAATTCGGTGTGTCATTGCGAGTGAAACACATTCTCAATCTAGCTCGGTATTTGGAGATCTCAGAGAAAACTTATGTAATATTCACTTGTCTCAGTAAAATTCCACTCCCCTCCTTGTTCGTGCTATAAAGTTAGTTTGACTACGTTCAAGAGCCAGCTCTGGTACCAATCAATTGATGACTTTGATAGATTTTCTTCGTATGGTTATGATTGTTACTGATTGAAGTAGCGTAAAGTGTTCCTTGTTCCCTGAGTTTAAAAAGGAGAGAGAGGCAATTTGTATTATATAGAAAAAAAGATCACTTATCTTATCATATTAAATTTATTATATTAACTAATACTATTCCACTTCACAACATCATCAATACTTTATACAAGCACATCATTCATCATAATCCATTCTTTTAGACATTTAATTCATTAAATTTACGTATATAATCTTAGACTGGATACTGAAATCATAGATACATCAAACAGTCTACTCATTTTAAAGTTTGCTTCCACATTAACCATCAAATCACAAACTCGTTTCAAACATCAAATAGTCACAATATAAACACAACACATACGAAAAATGAGTCATCATCCAACACCTGCTACATCAGTTAAATTAGTATTACTAGGAGAAGCAGCAGTTGGAAAATCATCATTAGTTTTAAGATTTGTATCAAATGATTTTCAAGAAAATAAAGAACCAACAATAGGAGCAGCATTTTTAACTCAAAAATGTACTATAGGAGATAAAACAATAAAATATGAAATATGGGATACTGCAGGACAAGAAAGATTTGCTTCATTAGCTCCAATGTATTATAGAAATGCTCAAGCTGCTGTTGTTGTTTATGATATTACAAAACCTGCTTCTTTTATAAAAGCAAGACATTGGGTTAAAGAATTACATGAACAAGCAAATAAAGATATAACGATTGCATTAGTTGGTAATAAATATGATTTAGTTGAAGATGAATCAACTGAAGAAAACACTAATGAAGAAGAATCAATTAGAAAAGTTAGTTTTGAAGAAGGACAATCTTTAGCAAATGAAGAAAATTTATTATTTTTTGAAACAAGTGCAAAAACTTCTTATAATGTAAATGAAGTATTTATTGGTATAGGTGAAAAAATACCTGATAATTCAAATAATTCAAATAATAATAAAAATTTAAATTCTGATATAAATGATAATAGAATTGATTTAAGTTCAGATGGTAATAATAGTAGGAAACAAGGTTGTTGTTAAATAAAGATATGTTAAGATAAAGTGGGTGTACAGATATAAATATATAAATATTTAAAACAAATTGAGTTAATTAAACTGTGTCTTCATACATACTTTCATGTACGGGTTTATATACAAGTTGAAATCGAAAGCAATTCACATACAAGGTTCTATGTAGCTCCCATTTGATATCTCTCTTTTTTGCAGGTCTAGCATTGTACCAATGCATCTGGTCTAGTCATAAGCTTTGGCTTGAATGAAACTCTGCAAAATAGATTTTTCAAAATAATATAATAAAGAGCGAAAATAAAATTAATTATCTCCGAATTCATACAAATCAATAAGCTTAAGTTCTACTTCATCTTCCCAGAATTCCCACCCAAAAATGTCATTGAAAGTAGCATATATCCCAGAACATTTCTCAACACCATTATTCTTAGCTGAAAAACATGAGTTTTATAAAGAAGCCAACCTATCAATTGAATTTATTCCAGTACCAGAAGGAAGTGGCAGGTTAATTAAATTACTTAATTCAAAAGAAGTAGATTTAGCAATTGGATTAACGGAAGCATTTATAGCAGATATATCAAAGGGAAATAATCAATTGAAAATCTTAGATACTTATGTTAATTCTCCATTATTATGGAGTATAAGTACAGGATTCAATAGAGATGAAATTTCAAATACTGAAGATTTAAAAAAATTTGGAAAAGTAGGGATTAGTAGAATTGGTAGTGGATCATATGTTATGAGTTTTGTATTAGCTCATCAATTAGGTTTTCAAAAATTCGAGGAATTTAAAATATGTTCAAATTTTAAAAATTTAAGAAATTCTGTAAACCACTCTGGTAGTGATGATATTGAAAATAGTGATTTTTTTATGTGGGAATATTTTACGAGTAAAAAATATTATGATAACAATGAGATTAAAAAAATTGGAGAAATTTATACTCCTTGGCCAAGTTGGGTTATTGTTGGATCATCAACAAGTATTGAAACAAAGTCAAAAGAAATTTCAAATTTTATTAAAGCTGTAAATAAGGGAATAAATTATTTTAATAATCATTTAGATGAAGCAATTGAATATATAGGTAACAATTTAGATTATTCAATTGAAGATGCTAAAAATTGGACCAAAACTGTTGAATTTAATAGTGAAATTGGTGAAAAACCATTAGATTGGGATAAAATAGTAACAAAAACAACTAATGTATTAAAAGATGCAGGAGTTTTAAAAGATGAAGATGATAAAATAATAAATGAAAGATTAGAATCAAATGTATATAAAACCAATATCTAATTTTAGGTTAAATCATTAATTTTTTCACAAGACCAAAATTCACAAATTTGTTTATTTTCAATTAATGAATTATCATTATTAAAATAACTATCTTCAAAATCATTTTTCTCCAAAAATTTAAAACCTAAATTAGTGATCAATTCACTTAAATCTTCTTTTGTTAAATCTATCCCATATTTATTATTTTCTTCTGTAATTGGACCATAATTTATCCATATACCACCTACAGCCAAAGTATTATTTATTGTTTTTATATATTCTATCATATTACCAGTATTTAAAAAAAATTCAGTTACAACAACATCAAATTTATTTTTATTTGACAGTTTTAGATCTTTAATTTCTTTTGGATCTGTAACGTTAAAAGTTCCATATAAATCAATAAATGAACCAGCAGTTATTGATATTAAATCATTATATGGGATTTTCCCCTTACGTTCTAAATTTAATTCATTTAATTTTTGTATGGGGGAAATATCAGGTAATATAATTGGTCTTATTTGAAATTGTCTTTTAGAAAAATTAGTTAATGAATTATCTAAAAATGGAAATATTGAAATTTCAAATGGTAAATCACAATTTTTTAATATATAACTAAAAGTAAATAACATATGATAATTATTATCATTTCCTTCTGTATTAAAACCTTGACAAATTAATTCAAATACTAATCTACCTAATCCACAACCAGGTACTAATATTTTTTTATTTTGTCGATCTATATAGTTGGGGAATTTTGAATTTAATTGATTCATTATAAGATTATGTGAATTTTTTCTTTCTTTTAAACCTTCTTCACTCCACTCTCTTGTCAATTGTAATAATATTAATTGAGTCATTTCAAATTGTTCAATTGTTGGTTCAGACCATGAATGTGGAGTTTTGGAATCAACACCCCATTCTGTTGATACTTCTACAGCTAATTTCTCTGTAAAATCTTTATTTATCATAATACATTGTTGAATATATTCTGTATGCTTTTGATACCATAATAATAATTGTTTATCTTGATTTGATAAAATTTCAAATTTTGAAATTCTTGGTTTAATTAATTTATTAATTTGATAATTATAAAAATTATAAAATGATGATAATGTAGATGTTATAGTTTTATACTCTTCTCCATCATCATTATGAGTATTCATTAGATCTTAGGCTACCTCTTGATTGTCTTAAATTTATGTTGCAACTGAAAAAAAAAATATGAAACGAATTTTCTATTCTCAAATTTATTCAGATCAAGATCAGATTAAATTCAATTAGCCACTCATTTTTAAGATACAACAAACAATTTGCTATTAAATCTAACAAAAAGTTATGCCACCAAAGAAAGATGCATTTGCTGACTTATTTCAATCGGCAAACTCTTCAAATAGTGTCAATAATAAACTAAATAAATTATCATTATCAGAACGACAAAAATTACAACAAAAACAACAGCAACAGCAAACTCAATCTCAACAATTACCAAAACAATTTGGTTCATTGAATTCAAGTTGGTCAAATTTAGATATTTTATCAACACAGAATAGTTCTAATTCTTCACAAATACCAAGTAGAGTATCAACTCCAAAGGCTCAAGCCCAAGGTCTTAATAGCATTAACATTAATAGTATTAATAATGATTATAATAATAACAATCATAGCATAAATTCAACTTCAACGAATATAGATGAAGATCCATTTGCAATTTTTAATAAACCTGAACCAAAAGTTGAATCCAATCAATCTCAATTGAAGACTTCAAATAAAAATGGCAACCAACAAAATCAATCTTCGAATCATATATCATTATTAGATGATGATGATTTTATAGATGTTTATCCTGAACAAAAACAACAACCGCAACAACAACAACCTAAACAGCAATTACAACCACCTTCAAAACCAACTAGACCAGATGTTATACGAAACAATTCCAATACATCAAATAACTCAATCAATTCAAATAGATCAAATAGGTCAAAATCCACTAACACTACTACAACAAAATCAGATCAAATAATAGCAGAATTAATAGATATTGGATTTACAATTGAAGAATCAAATGAAGCAGTTAATTCAGTAGGTTCAAATTTACAAGATTGTGTTAATTATATAATGAATAAAAATTCAAATTCATCATCATCTTCACCAACAAGGTCTTCATCAAGAACAACTACAAGAAATGGTAATAACAATGACACAACAACAACATATTATGAAGAAGATGATTCTATATTAGGTATAAAACCAGAAAAATTAAATTTTAATGAAATTAGTAATGACTTGTTAAAAAAAGCAAACTCGTTCTATAATTTTTCAAAAAAGAAAGTTATTGAAAATTTAGAAAATTTTAATACTGGAAGTAGTGGTTCAAATGATAATTTACCTCAATGGATGAAAAATCAAAATAAATATAAATCAAAAACTACTGAGAAAAATGGCGATGAAATTGATTATGGTGATGATGATGATGATAATATAAATCAAGAAGAAATTGCAAAGTATATGAGGTTACAAAAAGAAAAAGAAAGACAACGATTAAAAGAAAGGAATGAAGAAAAAGATTATTTACCTTCCAGACCTCAAAGACCTACGTCTAGAACCGAAGTCCTGGATTTTTTACCTTCAAGACCTCAAAAACCTAATTCAAGAACTTCATCACCAATAAATCCCCCACCTAAACCTCAAAGACCTTCAAGTTCATCAAGATCAAATTCAAATAATGGAGGTATACTGCATTCAACACAGCAAAATAATAATACCACTATTGCATCAAAACCTTCGTCAAAACCACCTGTAGAAGTCGAAGTAGACCTTTTAGGACTTTCTTCCCCTTCATCATCAAATCCGACAACTTCAAGTCACTCATCATTGCGAGATTCAACACCATTAAATCAAATTATTGAGTCAGAATATATAACAAATAAAACAAAAGCAACAGAACTATTTAAAAATGGAGATTATATTGAATCATTAGAATTATATAAAAAATGTTTACTCGCGTTACCTCCAAAACATGAATTTAAAGTTATAATATTATCTAACCTATCATTAATTAATAAAAATTTAGGTCATTTAAAAGAATCTTTAAATAATTGTGAAGAAGCATTGGAATTAATATCAATTGATGAATGTAACAACCACGAAATTAAAATTGATGGTAAATCTATAAATTATTGGTTTGTAAAAATATTATCAATAAAAGCTGAATCATTAGAATTAATTGAAAAATTTAAACAATCTTTGGATGTGTATAATTTATTAATTTCAAAATTTAATAAAAATGATAAAAAAATTATGGATGGTAGAAGAAGAGTTGATAAAATTATAAATCCTGAAAATTATAAACCAAAACCAGCACCAAAATCAACACCAAAACAACTAAATAAACCAGTGAAACCTACTATTTCATCTACTTCAAAGCCAAAACAACAAGAAGAAAAAGAATTAGATACACTAGTAAAAGATGAAATAATAAATAAGATAAAAAACTGGCAATCTTTGAAAAACAACGATATTAGAAAAATGTTAATCAACTTGGGAGAAATATTACCATCAAATTTACCAAATAAAAATTTATTAAATCTAAGTACAAATGATGTTATATTAACAAAACAAATTAAATTAAATTATTTAAAAATTATAAATATGATTCATCCTGATAAAACTTATGGACTTTTTAAAAATGATTCAAAACTGAAATTTTTATGTAATGAAATTTTTATAATTTTAAATGAAAGATGGGAATTATTTAAAAAAGAAGAGAATTTATAAATAAATTTTGGAGTTTTATTTGAAATGAATCAAACTTTGGTGATGATTCTTTCGCTTTATCTTTGATTTTATGGTAATGCATTATATATATAGTTTTAATAAATACCCAAAATTATTAGATTTTAAGAAATTATTTTATTCACATTGATTAAAAGAATAGAACATCTTCAATTAGAACTTTATTACTTTAAAATATTATTCTCTATACTAACTTCTTAGGATGTTTCTACAAAATAAGTGATAAAACTCTATCTCTGTTCCATGCTTGACTTTATATCTTTCCTTTAAATTTCAAAAACCAAAACGAACAACATTTTCAAAATATAAACAACTCGAAAAAATACAAGTTATTTGTTAAATTAAATAAAATAAAAATATTTTAAAGTCTAAATACAAACATCTCAGGACGTCTAATAAGTGGTGAGTGTAATATATCAAAAGGGAAATTAATAAATATAATTAATCATACGCTACTTTTAGAATTAGACTCAATAAATAAAGTTGCTAATGATGAAATTCATCCAATCCACAGTAATGTTGTTTCTGTTTAATCAAAGTCTTGAATCAAAAAAAAATTACAGTGTTTGATAAACATCAATAAAATTACTATGGAGTCGAAAAAGAATCCATTAGCAAATTCATTTATAAAGTATAACCCCTAAAGTAGAATATGATTATTTATATTTATATTTTCTTGTGTGTAGGATTTGGTAATGAATGTAATATAATCTTTCAATTTGACCATCTACAATAGTGAATTATGCCTAAAATTAAATACAACCAAAAAAATAAGTTAAGTATCAATAAATTATGAAATTTGAATTTTTGGTTCAAAGAAGCAAATAAAAGTTTGAACAAAGGTAGTAAAGTTGGTATGAAAATGAAAAGTCCATTTGATGAATATGTGAGTCAGTATTAACTGAAATCAGAAATCTTTAAATAGTCCACAAACATTTTAAGATTTTTATTAATAAGTGGTGAAAGTAATCCGATGTGAGTTGTTGACTTAACTTACTTAATGATTGAACTAGCAAATAACTTTATCCTAAACACTAAAATTCTTTTGATGTTTTCAATTCTTAAACGAAAATACGATGCTTGAAAAACATCAACAAAACTATAGTGTCAAGTATAACAAAAAAAAGCAAATTCTTTCATTAAGTATAACAACAACTCATGTCAGATTATTTATATTTTCTTGAATTTGTGAATATTATAATGGTTGTAAGAACCCATTTTATTCCATCTATTTGACCATCTAATATGTGAAAAATGCTGAAATTAATTAAAACCAAATAAATAAGTTGAGTATCAATGACTTATAAAATTTAATTCTTTGTCTAAAGAAACAAATAAAACTTTGAACAAAGGAAGCAAAATTGGTATGATAATGGAAAAATTATTTGATGAATAGGCTATGTGATAGACAAACTACTAAAGTAATTAGTTAGTAGTATTCAACATATAACTATTCATTTTCCTTACAAGCTCATCAAAATTGATGTTCGTTATTATAAGTTGATGTTAAATACCTGTTTTTGATACTTAGTTGTTGACAACACGAAGTTCTTCGTTAGTAGATCTAATTGTGTGAATCTAAAAACAATTGAATCTTTATGTTTTACTTGAGCCATATTAGTAGTAGTAGTAGTAGTAGTAGTAGTAATTGTTCAGTTCAGGGCACTTGATGGGGGGAAAGATCTTAATATAATTTTATTTGCCGCTTTGATGAATGGAAAAGTAAAGGAAAGAGTATTCCTTAAAAATATCAACAAAAATAAAACTCCCCACACTTTTTATAAATCACCACAATTTATATATACATCCATACATCCATACAACAATATATTATTTCTTAGTAGTCTATTGAAATGCGGAGTCTTACTCTTTTTGTGTATTTATTATATGTTTCATAATACGAGTAATAATATATTAAGAGAGGGGAGAAAAAAATAAAAGGAATGACAGGTCGAGCAGTTCGACTGGAGAGTTTAGGATTTGGTCGAATTGGTAGCCTATTCTTGGATCAAGTATTCCTCCTGTATTTGATGATCGGCATTTAATACATAACAATATTTCAGTTAGTATTAGAGTTATGAAACATACATAATACACACATGTTTTAAATTAATGAATGCCGTTCGAGCCAATGAACAGTCAATGAATTGTCTCTAAAAAATTCTAATTAGACGAGTTATTTAGATCGTTGGTACTATATCCTCAACAAATTGTTATAAGCTTATTATTGAATGACTACATAAACTCAATATTATAATCATAGGGTTAGTGTATAGTAGTAGAGCTAATAGTAATAAATCTATTAATACTTATATAATAAATTAAAGAAAGTCTAAAAATTTCTTTAAATGACATTAGTTAGCGAGAAGAACAAATACATACTAATTACATAGTACAAAATATATATACCAGACACACGTACTTAATTATTATTACTCCTTTTTAAATTTATTAGATCATAGAAACTTTTTACAACCAACTTTTTTTACCATTCATTCATTCATATATAATCATAATCATCATCATTTGAAGGTAAATTCAATTTGAATTCATAGTTTGTTTTCTATTGCCCTTCTCATTGATATCATTGTACTATTACTTAATTGATATTATAGTAGTAATAGTTATTACGCAAAATAACTTAACTAATAAATATTTGTTACAACCAAAAAAAAGTAAAATATGTTTAAGAAACATCAAGAATTACAAGATATTCAAGATAATCATCAATTAAATAGAACAAAGTATAAAAGAAGAGATATAATACAAGATATTGAGATTGATCCATTTTATCCTTCTTATTCATCAACTTTTTTATCATCTTATAAATTACAACAACAACCTCAAAAAGAAAATTTAAAACAAAGTAAATCATCAGATTCTTTATTATTCTTTAAAACAAGTTCAAATCATAATTATACTCATACCAACAACAATAAAAGAAGACAAGATAATAATATAGAAGGTCATTTAAGTATAAGACAGAGTATCTCAACTTTTTTACAAAGTATGGGACAACAAATTTCAAAAAATGATAAACAATTTAAAAATCAAAATCATCAAGAGTTAATAAACTCCGAAATCGCATCATCAACTAATTCTTCATTACAAAATAATTATCAAGCAAATAATAAATTAAATATTCATAATATATTATCGAAATCACAATCTAAGTGTGAAAATAATACATCTCCAAAACAACAACGAGAAGATTCGATAATACGGGATGATTTATCATTAGTTCCAATATCTTCACCTCCAGATGAACCTGTAACATCATCAAATCAACCACATTTTTCATCACAATTTTATTTAAGTCCAATAACTTCAAATGAATCATATAATTATTATTCAGATGATGCTTCAATGATTGATCCCTACCCTCAACATCATCATCCTTATTCTCATCATAATCTTCATACAGAAATACACACCCAAAATCATTCACTTCAAAAATTAGATCAACCACTTTTACCAGATATATCTCCTGCTTCATCATATAGTGATGATGATAACCAAAATAATAATAATAATGATAATATGGATATAGAAATGAAAGATCCTACAGATTCAAGAAAATCATCTACTCAATTACATCAATTTCAAATTCAACCTTCACCATTATTAAATTTACCAATAGAATTATTAATGAAAATTTTAGAATATGTTTATACAGATAATGATATATCATCAATAAATTCAAATTTAGAAAATTTTGCAAATACAATACCATTATTATCAAAAAAATTTCATCAATTATCATTATGTTTTATTTATAAATATACAATTTTCAATCGACCTCATTCATTTGATAAATTTTTATATAATTTGGAAATAAATCCTATAATTGGAAAATATGTTGAATTTATGGATTTTCAACAATTTACTTCTATTGGATTAGGTAGAACTGGTAGAATGAATCAAGAAATTCAAATGGTTACTTCAAAAACTATAACTCATGCATTAACAATGACTCCAAATCTTATAGAATTTTTAGCAAGTGAAAATATTCAAGATGATATTGATGTAAATGTATTAGATTTATTATTTAATAAAATGAAAAAATTAAAAGTTATTGATTTATGTGGAGCAAGTTCAACTGAATTATCAATAGCATTTAATGAATTAAATTTAAACAATGAAAATAAATCAATTACAAAATTATCATTACATGATTGTTCAAATTTATCATCAAATATTTTAGAAAAAATATTAATAAATTTACCAAATTTAAAAAGATTAGATTTAACTCATACACAAATAAATTCATCAACTTTATTAAAATTATCAACAAACATCAGATTAACTCATTTAAATTTATCAAAATGTTCAAAATTAACAACAAAAGATTTAATAAATTTTTTAACTAATCATCCAGCAATTAAACATGGAAGTCTTCAATGGTTAAATTTACAAATTGATTCAAATGTAATAAGTCCATTAAGTGATGTTTATTTATTATATACTTTAAAACATTTAAATGCTCCAAATTTAAAATATTTAAATATTGGAGGAATGCCAATAAATTCAAGAATATTATTTACAATAAAAGAAAAATTTCCACAACTTGTAAGTTTAAATATAAGTCATGCAAATATAACTTTGGACGAATTGAATGAATTTATGATTAATAATAAAAATATTGAATATTTAGATTTAACAAATATAAAATCATTAAATAAAAATTTAAAAACTTTTTTAAAATTAAATTTTAATTCAAATTTAAAATCAATTGAATTTGATTATAAATCTTTATATGATTATACATCAAATGGAGAATATTTTAAAATTTTAAATGATTATGGTGGTGGTGAATTAATAATTCAAGATTCTTCAAAATTAATACCTCAAATTTGGAAATTTTATGATAATGAAGGAAGAAGAAGTTGGATATATAAAATATCAGAATCCGAGCTCAAGAAAGCAAACAAGGGCAATCTAGTCTACTATGATTTAGAAACTGGTAACAAAATTATAACAAAAATCAAAAAACCAAATTTTTTAAAATTTGTTTCTAGAAAAATTAATTGTTCAATTGGTTATTATAATTTAAATTCATATAAGCAAAAAGAAAATGATGATGAAGATATTTGGCCTGTTGAATTTAGTCAGAGAGGGATTTATAATTATTATTCTTTGAATGTTAAGTGAAGGTACGGATGTTTGTACGGATGTTTGTGAATCTGTATGGTTGTTTGGTACGGATGTCTGTAAATCATGGAACAAGTTGTTGATATTCATGAGTAAATAGGTTCTAATTCTATACGATTAATGATTAATCTTGATTTCATTACCTCTTTATTTTTATCTTGGCTATGTTTCAAATTGGTCATCATACTAAATCTGAAGTATCACAAAAACGTATACTCAGAAAATTTAAAGTTTATCTCACATATCAAAAAAATATTAAGTTATCTGTAACAACCACATTTTTACAACCAAAAAGAAAGAAACCAAAAGACAACACTACAACAACCAACAAGTTACATGACAGATGTTCAAGTATTCGACCAAACCGATCTTGAATCCAGTATAACATCAAAAGCAAATAGAATTCTAATTATAAAAGATATAGAACAAGATGAAAAAAGATTAGATAAATTACAAAAAGAAGTTTCAAAATCAACAAAACATTTAAATTCATTAATTTCAAAATTATCTAACCCAAAAACCAAAATAAGTGAAAAGAAGCTTAAAAATGATATTTCATGGTTTGAAAACAATGATTTAAACCCTAAAAAGCAAGACTTAAAAGATATAAAATTAAGAATTTTAGAAAATCAAAATTTATTAATAAAAATTGATTCTGGTGAAACCACCAAAACTGATGATCAAAGTGGTGATAATGGTAGATTACCTGATGAAACTGAAAGAGAATATTTAATCCGAATTGGTAAGATTACTGCTTTTGGGAATGAAAATTCATTTAAACTGATAGATGGCAATACGTCTAAGCAAAGTCATATTTTCTTAAAAAAACCTGGATTTGATGATGTTGAAGAATTGACTTCCGATTATAAAAAAGATTCTGATTTTGAAAAGAAAACGTCTGATAATAATGAGATTGAAGAAATTCAAGATTTAGAGAAAAATGATGAAGAAGTGGAACAAGATTCAGATGATGATGAAGATTATAAATATAATGAAGAAGAAATTGAGAAAGAAGAAGAAGAATCAAAATTAGATGATCAAATAGAAGAAATAGAAGAAGAAAATAATGAAGATGAAGAAACTCGTAATATAGATGATGGAAATGAATTATATTATCAAAAACGACTAAAACAATGGATTAAAAAAAGATCATCATTACGTAAAAAATCTAGTACAAATTCAAAAGAATCAGAAGAAAAAGAAGAATGGTTTAAACCTCATCCTACAATACCTGATGCTGAATTGAATGATGTATTCAAATTACCAGGAGATATTTATCCATCATTATTTGATTATCAAAAAACTTGTGTACAATGGTTATGGGAATTATATTCACAAAAAACAGGTGGTATAATTGGTGATGAAATGGGATTAGGTAAAACAATACAAATTATTTCATTTTTAGCTGGTTTACATTATTCTGGATTATTAAAAAAACCCGTGTTGGTGGTTGTTCCAGCAACTGTATTGAATCAATGGGTAAATGAATTTCATAGATGGTGGCCACCATTAAGATGTATAATTTTACATAGTATAGGAACAGGTATGACAAATAACCAAACTGAAAAAATGAGTGAAATTGAAATTGAAAATTTTTTAGAAAATAGTGATCCAAAATCTTCAAAAAATTCTTTAAAGAATATAAAATCTCAAATTAATGCAAAAGAAATTATAAATAGAGTTATGAATGATGGTCATGTTTTAATTACAACTTATGTTGGGTTAAGAATTTATTCGAAATATATTTTACCACGTCAATGGGGGTATGTTGTATTAGATGAAGGTCATAAAATTAGAAATCCAGATTCTGATATTTCCCTTACATGTAAACAAATTAAAACAGTTAATAGAATTATATTATCAGGTACACCAATACAAAATAATTTAATTGAATTATGGTCATTATTTGATTTTATATTTCCTGGTAGATTAGGTACTTTACCAGTATTTCAAAATCAATTTTCAATCCCAATAAATATTGGAGGTTATGCAAATTCAAATAATTTACAAGTTAAAACTGCTTATAAATGTGCTTGTGTGTTACGAGATTTAATATCACCATATTTATTAAGAAGATTAAAAAAAGATGTTGCACAAGATTTACCAAAAAAGAATGAAATGGTATTATTTGTAAAATTGACTGAATTGCAACAGGATTTATATGAAAAATTTTTAAATAGTGAAGATTTTAATTCTATAATAAAAGGGAAAAGAAATGTTTTAATGGGAGTTGATATATTAAGAAAAATTTGTAATCATCCAGATTTAATTTATAGAGATTCAAACAAGTATAAAGAAAATTATGGAGACTTTCAGAAGTCAGGTAAAATGCAAGTTTTAAAAAATCTTTTGCAATTATGGCAAAATGAAAATCATAAAACTTTATTATTTTGTCAAACAAGACAAATGTTAGATATCTTGGAAAAATTTATTTCAAATTTGTCAACTCTCAAGAACTCGGATGAAAAATTTACATATTTAAGAATGGATGGAAGTACACCAATTGCAAAAAGACAATATTTAGTTGATAATTTTAATAATGATCCAAATTTAAATGTATTTTTATTAACTACAAAAGTTGGAGGATTAGGAGTTAATCTTACAGGTGCTGATAGAGTAATAATATATGATCCAGATTGGAATCCTTCAACAGATATTCAAGCAAGAGAAAGAGCTTGGAGATTAGGTCAAAAAAAAGATATAACAATATATAGATTAATGACAACTGGAACAATTGAAGAAAAAATTTATCATAGACAAATTTTCAAGACTTTTTTAACAAATAAAATCTTGAAAGATCCAAAACAAAAAAGATTTTTTAAAAATAATGATTTACAAGATCTTTTTACTTTGGGAGATCAAAATGAACAAGGTACAGAAACTGGTGATTTATTTAATAATGGTAAAGAAGATAAATATAGTGGAACAAAACAAAGAAAATCAAATTCTTTAATTAAAAAAAATTTTAAAAATGATGATGATTTTTATCAAGTTGCTAAAATTTCAGGAGTTTCAAAATTAGATAAATTTGAAGAAGGTGAAGATCAGAATGAAGAAGAAGAACAACAACAAAAAGAAGATCCAGAAGATAATAGAATTATGGCTGGAATATTTGCAAAAAGTGGAGTTCATTCAAGTTTAAAACATGATGAAGTTATAAATTCAAAAGATAATCAAGAAATAAGTTTATTAGAAAGAGAAGCAAATAAATATGCAAATGAAGCAATTGAAGCTTTAAAACAATCTAGATTACAAACAAAAAAAAATAAAATTGGTACTCCTACATGGACTGGTAGATTTGGATCAGCTGGAAAAAATTTAAAAGGAACATTTGGAGTAAAGAAGAGAAAAGTTGAAAATACTGAAAACGGAAATGGAAATGGAAATGAAGTGGTTCAAGAAGGAGAAGCATCATCAACAATATTAAATATATTAAAACAAAAAAATGATTTAAAAACAAATGAAAAAAAATCAAAAGAAGCTATATCAAGACAAGAAACAATTGAAAAAATTATAACCTTCTTAAAAAATCAACCTAATTTTTTTGCAACTTCTTCACTGATTATTCAAGGTTGTGATTTAAAATTGGTTTCTGATGAAAGTATGATTATGATTCGTTCAATGCTTAGAGAAGTTGCTACTTGGGATGGTGTTAAAAGAGGTTGGAAATTAAATGATTCTTTAATTGATTTATAAAAAGAGTTGATACGTAAGAAAGTTGAAAAAATGATGAGTTTATGAAGAAATAATGATGGTTTTAATGAATTAATGAAATATATAATATTAATTAGTTAATGATAGATCTGTGATTGATTATTACGTTTGTTAGTTTAGTCTAGGCTATTAGATTATCCTTTTTGTGCTCTGTTAATTCGATCCGAGTTGATTTACTCCGTAACCGAGTTTAATTTTTCAAGTATCATAATTCTACAGATTTTAGTAGAATTGATAGAAGATGTTATGATTACTTTCAATGATAAAACAGTTTCTTTATCATTATAACCTTTTTAATATTACTATAGAAAGTCCATGATTCGAATACCGAACTATCTCAATGTTTTCAGACTAACTTACAAAAGAACTACACAAACAATAATATTTAAAAACCAAAATTTTACCACAACTACTAAATCAAACCCTATTCAATGGAAATTAACAAATTCAACATCACCACCAAGATATGATACAGGATGTACATTCTGTCAACCAAATTTACCATCAGATAAACCAATAAATTTTAAACAACCATTATCTAAATCATCAGTTATTCCCGATAAACATATATTAAGTTTAACAACAACTCCTTCTAATGATATATCAAATTTTAATTCTAAAATTGAAGAAATTCCTGGGACATTGGCTCATAGAATTCATGGATTAAAACTGGAAAAACAAATTGGTTTAAAGTTTGGTATAACTTTATCAAGTATTGTTTTAGAAAATCATCAAAATATATTAGAAAAGTATGGAGTGAAAGAGTCGAATGACCAATTAGTATTTATTTATCCAGATATGAAAATTGTGAAATTCCCCACTAAAGACATAGATCAATTTTTAAAAAAATATGATTTAATTGAAGATCAATCAAAACAAGAAGTATATAATCCATTTAAAACAGTTAAAGATTTAACTATTCAACACAAGACAAATCCAATAGATGATATAAAAATTAAAGATTCAAATTTTAAAGAATTTCCCATAGAGAAAGATTTAATAGTAACTTGTGGTCATGCAAAAAGAGATATAAGATGTGGACAATTAGGTCCATTAATAACAAATGAATTCAATAAAGTGTTAAAAGAGAAAAATTTAAAAGATAATACTTACCTTGGTCAAATATCTCATATTGGAGGTCATGCATTTGCAGGAAATGTATTATACTACCCAAAAGAAACTCAATCTACTAATGATTTTATTTGGTATGGACGTGTTTTTCCACAAGATGTTCAATCATTAGTTGATGATACTGTTATAGATAAAAAAATTATAAAGAATTTATATAGAGGTGATTTAGAAAAAATTGAAAAATTAGCATGTAAATAGATATTTAATTTTATAGAAAACCAACTCTTTTTATTTATCTATATTTATAAACTATATCTATGCTAAATACAACCAACTTTTGTAGGTCTAATCACAATCTATGTCTTACAAATTATCCTTGCAAAATACATTCTTAAAACCAAAAATCAACAATATTTGAACCTCCATTATAATTAGCTTGAGCTAAACCAATTTTTCTAGTATCTAAATTATAAGCAACATAAGCATTTTGTAAAAAAGTATCACCAAAAAAGTTTCCTGAACCACCTTCCCATTCAGGTTTTATTAAACAAACACATTGATCATTACCTAAATCATTAAATAATGATGTATAAGGTAAATTAATACTAACTCCATTAAAATTAAAAGTTAAATGTTGAGAATAATCAATTGATGAACATGCAACAGTATCTGAACTTCCAATTCCCATTGCATCTAATATGGGATTTGCAATTTCTGCATTTAATATAATATATGTAGTACCTGAATCTAAAGCAGTATTAAATTTTAAATCATGAGTTTTACCATCTGGTGTTGTAAATGATTGAACTTCTACTCCAATCCATGTATAATTTGCAAAATCTAATATAGCTAAATCACCATCATATTTTGCAGTATCCACACCACCAAATAAAATATTACCAGAAGCTGAACCTGGTTCATTTAAAAATAATGAATAAGCAGTTTTATCAATTATACCTTGATTTTTTAAAGCTATAGGAAAATTTGGATATTCAGGTTCAGTTTGTTCTAAATTAGTTAAACCAACACCCATTAATCCAATATATCTATCATCTTGATTCATTAAACCAAATTGTACTTGATCTAATTTAGTACCATCATCAAACCAATAATCATCTTTAGCAAAATAACCTTTTGCATTTCTACCATCATTAAAAGTAGCAAATAAAACAGTTGATAAATTATGATAAGTAGTTGATTGACTTGGATCAAATGATCCATAATTTTTACATTGTAAATTTGAATAACATATAGCATCTGAACTGGGGAACCATAAATTTGATGAACCAGTATCTAATCCTACCCAAATTTCTTGTTGATTTGATCCCATTTTAATTTTAGTTAAATATTGTAATTCTTGATTATAAAGATTTAAACTTTCTGATCTTTTATTATCAGAATTGCTAGAAGAATGAACAGCTGGTACATCTGATTTATTTCCAGGTTTAACAACATCAAATGATAAATTTAAAGTTTTTGGAGATCTTTTTTCAATTGGTGAAGCAATTGAAATTGAAGCAAGAAGTGATTGAATTATCAAAGAAGAAGTTGAAAATTTCATGATAGTTTTGATTTATTGGTTGGGTGATTTGAAATATTTTGAACTTTGAATGAACATCTTTGGGGTGATAATCATGGGCTATTTATATAATAGATTCAAAGAACGGACTCAAGTTTTAGTTTTAAGATAAGAGCACATTGTGTCAAACCACCGACAAAGCATTCTCCTTCCATTTTCTAATAAAAATTCTCTAATGAAATTGGTTTGAAGTTTTCCATTCTCTTTCATTTTGTACCAAAATTCCAATTGGCTCAAACATTGTTTCAATTCTTAATTTTTCAAAATTTTTCATAATTCAAATTTGAAACAATAGAAATTCAAGTGTAATCATCGTTATGAATAAATGATTCGAACGCGTATTAAAAAAAGTTATTCCGAATTGTAAATATAAAAATTTTAGATAAATTAGATAACGTTTGATTTAAGCCAGTAAGACTATGTTCATAACCATTATAGAATTTCATCTTTTGACTCTGTAAGTTTTTCAGTTTGTAGAATGTAGAATTTGCGTTTTGAGAATTTAAGTCAAATTTGCTTTTTTTTTTAGTGCCTTTTCCTTTGGACTATATCGAGTTGTATATGAATTTGCAAGGCCATCATATTTAACTACTTTTTATGAAATATGGGGTAATAGGTGATGGTTATAGATTTAATGAATTTTTTATGGTTTAAAACTAATTTTGAAATGAAAAGTTATAAATCTGAAATCATAATTTATTTCCATCTATTACCGTTATAAAATGAAAAATTGAAAATTTATAATCATTATCGAAAATTACTAAAAAATAGATCATAACCATCTAATCTTCAAGAAGATAGAAAACGTTTCTTGAACTAAAATGTTTCTAACCACTCATATCATATCAGCAAGCAAAGATAGTAGAATTCATTCTAATCTTTGCAAAAAATATGACAAAAAACGGCAAAATGGTTCTATTGTACTGAAACACGAATAAAAAAATAAAATTTACTCGTGTTTATACGTTACATACATTATTGAAACTTTTATCATTCGCCATGATGCATACTTAATATTCTTTTGTTGCAACTTGGAATAGAACATTTTTGACTCTGTATCTCACTTTAGCGATCTGATCTCATCGATTTGCTTATCTGAAATACTTACTTCTCCGAAAGGAGATATCCAAATCAAAAAATGTAGAAATTTTACAAAATTGATAATATATCGTTTTTGTAAATTTACGTTAATTATGTAAGGTACACACAATATGAAACTTTGTAAGGTAATAAATTGATTGAGGTAAAAATTACAACTCTTGTGGGGGTTTTCATCTAAAAATGTAAAGTAGAAGAATGGAGTAAATTTCGTCAAAGACCCCAGAATTATCAACCCGATGCAGGGCAAATAATTTGCTCAATGTAGTTGGGCCACAGACAACTGTTTAGAATCTTCATGTAAAGAAAGAATATGACGATCTCGTTTCTTAGTAATACATGCATTGTATTCTTTTTCCATTCTCCTATATTCTCCAGAGATTTATTATTGAATTTGTATTAACAAAATATTTTAATAACAATTCTCTTGAGAACATAGGAAATAGGGAAAAGAAAACAACTATTATATCATCCAGTGAAGAATGTATTTTGAAACATTTTAAAGCACTATTTTCAAATATGATTGTTTCCAATAAACTAAACTAAAAAGCCTTGATCTCTTCGACAATCAAATAACACAAATGGATTACCACATTTATAAAATGAACTGATTACATCAAAAATAATCAAGATTGCATTGTAAATTTTCAATCCATGGTGAATCATGTAAGAACCCTTTAGCATTTTATTGCTTCCTTATTCGTAATTACCTTCAATTTTCTTGAGGTCACATTCCTAAAAAATTATAAATTAGTTGAAAACAAAATCATAAAAGTTCATACTTTGAAAAATTGAAAAAAATTCCTGATTGTAACTAGACTTGAAACTTGTAATATCATCATTTGTGAAAAAAAACTTTAATCATACTGTAAAAATCAATTGATTGATGTAATAACCTTTTCAACTCAAAAGATTCTAAAAATCAAAAAAAAAAATGAAACCATTCTATCAAATATACCTTATCCTATCAAGACATTCCATCTCATACCTATCAACACACCTTATCCTGTCAAGACATTTTTATTAACACTTTTGGAGAAAAATATTTCGGAAGTAGAAGCTTAATTTTTGCAATATCACTCAATAATTACTTCCGGAATATTTTTATACCAAAAGTTTTAATAAAGATGTACCTTAATAACTATAATGTCTGATAGCCTTAATCTTGCATCTGTTTTCACCAATCTCTTTTGAATTAGCAATTCAAAGACGACCAAAGCAGGTACAAACCTAACCAGCCAATCTTATAGCTATTGACACTTTCGAAACATCTGATTTCGAATTGTTGCTTGGTATTTAAAAATCATATTATCAATTATGATTCTTTTTCTTGTGATGGGGCGTCTCTTTCTTGTATAGATTGAATTAAATTAGATTGATTCTTTAACTTGTAACCAAATATTTAGTTCTTCTTGTACCTTGTCTTGTAAATTGAATATTCCATTCTTCTTGTTTTTTGAAGTGCTTAATTGAAATAAGTGGTTGAAATCAAGTTTTAAGGAAGTTGAACGTATACATCATGAATAAAAATCTTATCAATAATTTTGAGAATGAATGAAAATGAAAAAAAAAATCTTAATGATGATGATGATGATGATTTTTTGTCATGATTTAATAAGGAATTTACTAAATTTTCAGATATGATATATTAATGGTAGTTGTTCTCATTTCCACAAGTATATTTTGTTTGACCATTATTATGAACACTGATTAATTTTAAAGTCTACAAAATGGTCTTGTCGCTTTACCAATTTGGTTCTCGATATACCTATTTATTTCCCGCTCGAAAAACTGACATGCATGCAACACGATTAAGTTCTGAAAACTTAGTTTCTGTTGCATTAGTGTTAGTTCTTCGAGCAAAAAATCGATGAATACATCTTCAAATTGGTAAAGCAGGACGAGTTGATGTAGAATATGTTTAACTGCAAGTGATGACAACTCATTGGTTTCTGAAAATCTTCAGTTATATCATTGCTTCATGTTACTTAATACCAACTGTTACATATAAGTATGAATGTGAATTTGATTAATAAAAAACTTGAGGGCAAAAAAGAATTGGTAAAATTAAATATTTATAATTTTTTTTAATCTAATATTTCCTTTTCTTCCCTTTTCATTTTATCAAAATTAACCAATCCTTGAAAATCAATACAATAATTAGACTCAAATTTAATATAATTTTATATAAATTTCAATAAATCATTTGTTGAATAATAGTTCTAAGTTCTATAGTTTTGAAATTTATTTTTATTATTTTCTGAAGAATTAGGTTAGAATAATCTTCAGAAAGTTATAAAAATTAAATATCGAAAAAAATAATGGAACTTAGAAATAAATACAATCATTATCAATGGTTCAATCTTTGGAAAAAGCAGTAACTGATTAATGAAAATTAGGTACATAAAAATTGTAAATGAAATTATAACTTAGGTCCTTCTTCTTCCCAAGAGTGTTGAAATTAGTTGAATCAAAAATGAAAAAGAAACCGTATAGTTTCAAATTCCAACCAGATTTTGGTTAACAATTCATTCAAATCATCAAGTACTTACTTTTCGAAAATCTTTGATAAAATTTGAAACAATTTAAACTGATTTAGATGAGAAGAAATGAGAAGAAATGAGTGTTGTTGTTGTAATCTTCAGTGATTTCAATGACATCCTTGTCTTGATTAGTGATATTTTGTATAGCCTTTGTCCCAAAATATCACTACCCAATGGCAAGGAGGTTATTGAAATCACCGAAGATAGAAACAATATCTATTTCATTTGTTTAAATACGAAGTTCATGGTCTATTAAATACTGAGTAACGGATGTTGTTTCATGTTATTCTGAGTTGTATTTTTTTTTCACGAACTTTTTCAATTTCAAATGAAATTTCTTAAATTTTGATACAAAAATGATATAAATTTGCAATATGAAAATCAAAAAATTACATTACTTGTATAAAACTTTAAGAAAAGAAAGGGAGGCATTGCATTGTTCAAACTATTTATTCATTTATTCATTCATTCGTTCATTTATTCATTTATACTTTGTATTTTCACTTAGACTCAACTTGTGAAGTGTAAAAATTTCACATTTTTAATTTGAATTTGCTAGAACTGCAGCAAATTCATTATTGTATTGTTGTAGAGATGTAAAGTCATTAATTAAGCATTACATACTATATAATGTGGTACAAAACATTGCTGACAAATCAATAATTTATTAAAAGTAGTATCAATTGAATCTTAAATGCAGAAGGTCACTCATGATTAGATCGTTTCAAAATAATAAGTTCTTGTCTTGGTAAAATATGTAAATATAGATCTTGTGTACTTTTTTTGGTTGTATTATTAAAACAATAAACAATTGTAAAAGCCATTTCTTTTAATAAATTACAGGCTAATGTTTAAACTTTTTTCCGGATATTTACTAAGTAAAAATAGGAATGGAACGGATGAACATTTGGTAGTAGTCATTGGTTGTTTCAAAAATTTCACCTAATATCTATTTTATATCGGAATTATAACTCCGTGTACAAAATTCAAACTTTTTTAGTTAATTTTTCCACTACTACTACTACTGGATCCAATTCTGTAAATTACAACTGATGAAAGTCAAGTTATAATGGTTATTTTGTCAACTTTTACTTCTACTAGAAAGGATTATATCGTTTATTTTCTGACATATTGTATGATGAATTGTAAATTAATCAAACGTTTCAATTTATCAATGATAGATCGAATTTTATGATTTTTCATGTGAGATCAATGTTTCCAATTAAACTCTTGTTTCAATTAGTAAAGGAAGACGAAAGTTTGAGAACATGATGAAATTAGGTCACGAATGAAGAATCAATTTGAACAACAACCTTCTTGAAACAATTTGTAACCAGAGTATAGAAAAATAAACGAGTTAATTGTATACTAACTATCCACATACAGATCTCTCCCTTTTGTATCCATACATCCTTATTGCATATACTTATTAGTATTTGTGTTACTTTTTTAATGCACTCAAAAAGTCAAATAATAATATACTTCAGAACAAATTCACACCTACTATCTCCGATGTATTCCAATTTATTTCTATAGTGTGTAGTAGTTTTAAATGAATTTTGTTATTAGTTCCAAATGTATCTCAAAACTTTAATTTCAATTACCCTTATAGATGGAAATTGAATAATAGACTAAAAGGAAATTGAAAAAATGGTAAATCCCAAAAAAGAGTTTAGAATCATCAGATAATTTTTCAAGTATACAATTTCATAAAAAAAAAAAAAGAAAATATTAATTACTTAGTTGAAAGGGTTCCTTAATTCAATTGTATAACTCGACAGCTCATTTTACCAAGAAACTGTTCCTCTTTTCAGCCTCTCTAACCATCTAGAGATTCTAGTTAGGTTCATACTTTATTACGTATGTATTATTAATTATAATGATTTAATTGGTGATAATTTTTTATTTTATTTTATTTTTTAAACGGTTATATCGAAAATTAATTTTATTTCAAAATGTAAATCATCTTAAAAAATATCTTACATGTAGTATACTAAATTAATCATTTAATACGATCCAACAAATTATTATTATTAGTCTTCTTCTATGTTACAATACTAAAGCTAAGTACTTAATTAAAATAATACTTCAATCTTAATATGAAAATCGAAATAAAAAACATGCCACTTTTATTTTCGATTCCCGTGAGAATTTCTTATACCCATCCCTAATGAACAACCATTTCACTCACTCAATTAATTAAACGTTTCTTTGGCAGTAGAAGACAGTCATTTGAAATTGAATTTTTTTGAGAGTTCCTTGGATAATCAATTGAAACAAAACTTGAATTTGATTTAATTCCTAATTTTACCATAATACAAATTTAAAATTTTTCATTCTTTGTGTTTCATAATTTTTTTTATTTTAGAAATTTTGCATCTTTTTTTTCCCTTTGTTTCACAACCATCATCCACATCCCTCTAATTTAACAATACATAACTCACTATACATTAATGGAAAATTGAAATGGAAGTGCCAGTCACTCAGTTTAATTTGGAAGGAAAATGTCAAAACATGATTCAATTTTTATTATTAACACTCTGATTATTTTTTTTTTTCTTTTTCTGGGGTTAAACAATATTAACTCATTTTAATTAATTAATTTATTATTATATTTACAATTTTATATTCATCATCAATCGTTTTTAAACTTTTTAAAAATAACAACATCATTACAAATCATCTAGATTTTATATTCTCTTCAAAAAATTATAAATATCAATTGAAATTATCAATTTAATTTATAAATATTTCAATACCTCATTCACATCATCACTGATTATAATACAATCACTTAGATATCCATTCACTAAAGCCTATAAAAAATGACTCAACAATATCAACAACAAGAATTAACTGAAAAACAAAAAGAATTAATTTTAAGTACAGTACCAATATTAGAACAAGCAGGAGAAACATTAACTTCAAAATTTTATAATCGTATGTTAACAAATTATGATGAAGTTAAACCTTTCTTTAATGAAACTGATCAAAAATTATTAAGACAACCTAAAATTTTAGCTTTCGCTTTATTAAATTATGCAAAAAATATAAGAGATTTAACTCCATTAACTTCATTTGTAAAACAAATTGTTTCAAAACATGTTGGATTACAAGTTAAACCTCAACATTATCCAATTGTTGGTACATGTTTAATTGAAACAATGGTTGAAATTTTACCAAAAGATATTGCAACTCCAGAATTTATTGAAGCTTGGTCAATTGCATATGGAAATTTAGCTGCTTTATTAATTGATTTAGAAGCAAATGAATTTTCAAAACAACCATGGCAAGATTTTAAAAATTTTAAAATTACAAAAATTGAACAAGAAGCAAGTAATGTAAAATCAGTTTATTTTACTCCTGAAGATGGAACACCATTACCACCAACAAAACCAGGACAATATGTTTGTATACGTTGGAAATTACCAAATTCAAAATTTGAAAAATCAAGAGAATATTCAATAAGTCAAATTCCTAAAAATAATGAATATAGAATATCTGTTAAAAAATTACCAGGAGGATTAATTTCTACATATATTCATGAAGAATTAAAAGTAGGTGATACTATAAGAGTTGCTCCACCAGCTGGTAATTTCAATTATGTTGAAGAACCAAAAGAAAAAGAAATGATCTTGATAGCTGGTGGTATTGGTATTACTCCATTAATTTCAATAATTGAAATTGGTTTAAAAAATAATAGAAAAATAAAATTATTTAATTGTAATAAAACAGTTGATGAAAGACCATTTAAACAGTTCTTCAAAAGTTTACAAGCTCAACACCCAGAAAATTTAGAAATTATAGAATATTTATCACAAGATCCTGATGCTAAACAACCAGAATTTAATAAAGTATATAATAGAAAATTTGAATTATCTGATTTAGATTTCTTAAACAACAAGGAAAATGATAACAAAGATTATGAAATTTATTTATTAGGTCCAAAGGGATTCATGAAATTTATTAAAAATCATTTAGATAAAAAATTAATTCCTTTTAATTTTGAATATTTTGGACCTTTTGATGTTGAAAATTAGAAATAAAAAGAATTTTATGATGAATTTTTTTTTATCTTATTTATTAGTTTAGTTTTTTGATGATTTTTGTTCTTGTATATATTTTTTTTCCAATAAATAAAGTTATTTAATTACAAATTTTGAGTTAACAATTTTGAACCTACTATAAACCTCAATTGATTTTTAGACAAACCTCTTTTAGAAATATTCTATTCACTAGATACCATTAGGTTTTATTTATCAAAAATGGTTTCACTCACCTCATTACTGAATCAGTATTTACAAAATCGAAAGGTAATCAGTCATTAGCCAAATTTTATTTGAATTTGAACCAGTTTATAAGGTTATACTTGTCTCTCATGTTTTTAGTATGTTTAGTTCAAGACACATCAATCTATCTGTTTTTATCACAGACTCTTAAATAAATTTTTTCCCCCACAGCTTGATTTTTTATTATCAAGTCATTGAAGATCCAAGTGAAATCTCAATTTACTAGTTGATCCTAAATTCTATTCTTCAAATCTTCTTTAAATTTCAATTTCTTTTTGAACAATCCCATCATTCTTTAAATTTTCCAACTTCGAGTTCTCATCATTAATTAAATCAATGATAGTCTTAAATAATTCAAAACTTGAACCACCATTAAATAAATTATAAACATTAGATTCATCATCAACTATACCAAAATATAAAGGAACTTCCAATTTCTTACTTAATTTTAAAATAAAAAATTTAATTTCTAAATTTTCTAATCCAATTAATTGAGTAGTTGAATTTTGAATAACATATATATAATTTTGATAATTACTTGTAGATTTGGTTGATGATTGAATTAAATATATTGTTATTGGTGCTGTTTTTATATGTGAATGATCATATGATATAGTTAATGTATAATCTTGTCCATTAAGTGTTATTTCTTCTATTATTTGATTCATTGTTTGATGAAGGAGAACTTCTAATCTAGTTGTAAATGCAGCTGAGTGGTTGTCTTTTGAGGGTAAATTTGAACTGAAATTTTTATTGAACCTGAAGTTTGTTACACAAAACCAATGCAGAGAATCTCGACCTAATAGATCATCTTTGGGCGGAAATTATTGGCAGACCATCCGCACTAGACCTTGTACGTCGCAAAAGTTTATAAGTCGAACAATTAACCTCTTTCAGTCTGTGTGCTAAACAAATTTTTGAAGATCTTTGTGTAAGGCTGTTCGAAATTCACTTTTTAATATCAAAATCAAGCTTTTCAATCTAGTTATAAGAAAGGCTTTATAAAGAAACTTTAAATTGTAATAAATTACTTTCAAATACTCCTTGATTGCACGTTCTGCAGGAAAGTTGAAAGTAATCTATGGTAACTTGTTCAGAAAAATATTGATAATTTTGACGATTGTTTTATCTTGTTATACAAGCAAAGTTATGCTAATGGACCTTCCAATCTTCGACAAGTAATTCTATGCGAGGATAAAGAAGTCTAGAACGAAATATAGCACTTTGAACAATCGAAGCTAGATTCAAAACGTCAGTATTTCAATGAAATTTAAATTACAGTTTGAATTTATTCATTCGGTGTTGTTACTTAATGAAATTTGTTAAAATCAAAAAAAAACAAACTTCAAAAGCTAAGAATAGTGTTGTCTTTTGTTTGAAAAGCTTTAGATATCCATCAACGTATATGCAGTGATCATGGAAAATTAACACGTATCCAGTTTAGACATTTCCAGTGAATTGACGTCGCTATTAAGCATTATATTTTTACGATAACTTGTCAACAATAGAAAACATTCAATCAAAACTTCTGGTATAATTGATTGAATACAATTATTGGTCTAGTATTTTGTAGAAAACATTTTAAGTTCTAGAAATAATCTTTCATATCTTGATGAAGATTCTTAGAAATTGAACTCAAAATGTGGCCCACAAAAAAACTGGACCATTAACTTCATCATGAGCTTACTTAAAGACTTATTCCCTTCGTGTTTAACACTAATTGTTCTTTTTTTTTTTCATCAATTAATTTACTACATATACTTACCTTCTCAATTTGTGTAACTTTATTTTTTCAACTAACTTTGTATCACCAAGTTCTAACTTTAAAAATTAGCTAACAATTAAGGAAATAATAAACACCACAGATTAAAGTCTGTTTGTTTTTCTTTTATTTTTCTTCATTTGACTGTACGTAGTTTATAGCACGAAAAGTTTAAGGAAAGTATAACTAGTAGCAAATTAATGAAATTTCAATTATTCAAAAACTGATAAATTATTCTGAAACATTTAAAGATTTTTTATAGTTTTTTTTTCCCATGAATATATATGTTTACCAATCCCTTAATTTAATGATTTAAAACACATAAAGTTGAATCAAATTGAATTTTACAATTTTTCAAAGATTGCTTTGAAAGCAAACCAATGAACTACATTTAAAACATAAGTAAAATCTTTAGATTCAAATTTGATTTTAAAAGCTTTATTTGATCATACTCAACATTTTCTTAATACCCTTTTTTATACTTTTATTCCTGATATATCGAAAACTTTAAATATTATACCTCAAATCTTAATTTCGTGTTATTAATCAAAACTATTGAATTTTTTCAATTTCACACAAATCAGATACTGCCCAATATTTATAATAATTATCGATATTAAAAAAATTTAATTCAAGAACCAAAATTATCAAACTATCGCTTTAAAACCCACATTTTTTCAAAACTCTGAACCTGAGACCAAATATTGAATCATATTTAACTATTCCCAATTATTTCACAAATTAAATTAATTTTTATACCTTTATCAATAAAACTTTATTTCATATTTAAAATTTCAAACATAAATTGTGAATTATAAGAAAATTACAATTAAATTAATTTAATTAAATAAAATTACTTGATTATATTTTCCTAATTTGATCTATTATTATTATTATTATTAAAATTTTACAAATCTTAAGTTAGGGACCAAATTGATTTATAATATTGGACCAATTGGAAACACAAAAATACGGTCCCCATAATTTAAGCTTTAATCATATAGGTGAAGAAACAATTGCTGCTTTACCCCCCCTAGTAACAAAGCATACCACTCATTTAAATTTTTAAGTTTTCCAAAATTTCAAAACACTTTCAAATCTCATTGATTATTTCCCCAATAGATATACAAATAATTTCCATAATCAGTTTCAAGGATAAATAATAAATTATTATTATATACCAAAAAAAGTTTTTTTACTTTTTCGTAATAACTAAATTTGGATCTTTTATCATTAATTAATCAATTATTATTATTAAAAATTTTAATTATCCAACGATCATAAAGCAGATACTTGAAAACGATAAAAATAAAGTCTTTAGTCAAAAGTCTTATTTTTAAATAGCAAGGCTGATTGATATATATCTGTTTTATTTTCAATTTTTAACCAATTTTAATTCCTCCCTTATAAACTTTCAAAGTTTTGATCTTTCTCATATAACTTTGGGAAATAATTACCAACTTTTAATTTTATACCAAGACAATTTTTTTCATTGAAAAATTATATCGATTTTTTTTCTTTTTTTAAATTGATCCTTAGTTCATTTCCTAAAATCTTAATAAATTATTGATATTTTATTCACTTTAATCACTGAATAATAATTTTGAAAAATTTTAAAATTTTGAAATACATCATTATCAACAATCTCATTCAAATCGTTTATTAGTCCAAAGATCACCTCAGAAAATCAATAATCCAGACGACTCACATAGTATTTAATTCATCACATCATCAAATCAGGGTCCATTCTTTATTTGATTTGACTGTAATTCATTTTGAGTACAAACACCAAATTATTAACCAAAAACCATCTAAATTTATTCAATCTTGCATAAACATATACACAATAATCAAATCCACATACAAAATCCAACTGAAACATTTATTTCTTTTTTTTTTGTTTCAGCATATATAAAATTATTGTGAAACAACAAAGTCATATCTCGTAAATTAACACTTGTTACATTTGGAGGAAATTATATCATCAACTTTTTTTCAATTCATTATCATTGATCAAGAAATTTGAACATAAAATCAGTTAAGTATTGCTTCACGTCAAAGTCCACAGTCCTAGTCTCCAATTACTCAACGGATCCAAATTTAACTTTTTTAAATTTTGGTTTCATTGCATTTTTAGTAAAAAGCGAATTGTTGTACTTATTTTGTCAACTTTAAAAATTTAAAAGTCTTAGACTAAATTTAATCAAGATTCTAGAAAAAGGTTTGATTTCAACATGAAAGCTGTATCACCTTCATATTCAAATTCAAGTAAAATTTCAAAATCTTCAAGTGAAAGTCTTGAATCTCAACCCATTTCACTGGGAACTGAATATACAATTGAAGAAGATAAATATTCTTCATCTTCTTCATGTAATGATAATAATAATAAATTTGATAATTTTAAAAATTTAAAAACAAATAATCATAAATCAACTAAAAATTATTTTCATGATGAAGAATCTGTTAAAACCAATATGAACAATCAAGCAAATTCAACTAAAACATATGGAAAGACAAATCAACATATTAAAAGTTCATGTAAACAAAGTCATAAAACCCAATTTGATCAAAAAATTGAACATGATACAAATGATTTAATTAATTCATTGAATGAATTTGTATTCACAGAATCAAACTCAAATGATTTAAGTTATTGTAATTTCCCAGTAATTCTTAAAATTCAAGTTGATTCAAAAGCATTTGAAGAAGATATAAGGGATTTAATATCTCAATACCCAAAATTGACAATTTCAGAAGAAATTATAAATACGATCAAATATCTTATTGTAAAGTTCAAAACTAAATCAAATTTAGATGATTTAATTTATAGATTATATGATGAAAATATACCATGTGAATTAGATTATTCTAAATTTGTTTCACATCCTGGAATTTTATTTATCAAGAATTTATCAAGTGAAATAATGTTTGAAATGGAACCCAATAGTTTAAATAATTCAACTGAATTTTTAACAGTAACTCCTAAATCAATATATAAAAGTACCAATTGTCAACAACATAAATTATATGAATTTTTAATAGATAATTGTCATTTCAAATCATTACAAGAACTTAAAATTTTCAGTAATCAAGATTCTAACACCACGAAAACAAATACTGGAGTTAAATCACCAAATTCAACTAATTCAAATCCATTATCTTCAGCATTTGCAATTGTTAAATTTTCAAATTATTTAGATGTTGATATTTTAATTGAAAAATTCAATAGACATACTCCTAATATTTTTAATGAAAATCATTCAGTACCATTATTTTTAAATAAATATCTTAATAAGAGAGAAAGATCTTCACCATTTGGTAATAAAGGAATAATTCAAAGTTCAAATAATAATATTCAAACTAATTTATTATCAAGATCTTCTTTAAATTCAAATAATTTAGTTAAGAATTCATCAAATGAAAATTTTAATTTGATTATATTGGAAAATTTAAATAGTTTTTTGAAAATTGATGAAAATGTTAATGATAACGATCTGAATTTGGTAAAATTTAATGAATTTTTAAATGTTTTTCAAAAATTTGGTAATTCTATTGAAAGTATTTATTTTCCTATAGTTCAAAATAATCTTGATCATAATAACTCAAATAATGGTGAATCATCAATCCTTAAATCTTTTAAATTCTTTGATTTTGGTTATATTAAATTTAAACCTAACCAGAATCTTATGGAAAATACATTAAGAGTTTTATATTATTTGAATGATTTGAAATGGGATGACTTTATGTCTTTGGATGTGAATAATTTACCTTCATTGATGGATGAATGTGAGTTTGAGTCAACAAAATCTAATGAAAACAGTCAAAATGCAATTGAAAAACAAGTCTCAAGTAATAATGATAATAAGGAGAATTCACCTGAGTCAATAATCAATAATAAATTATCAATAACTATTGCTCAGCATAAACATAATCATTATTTATTCAATCAAGCTAACCAATTTTATTTATCATACAATAATGAATTTTCAAATCATTTTCCAATTTTAAAACCCAAACAAAATTCAACTTCAAATTCTCAACAGCAACATCATCAAAACGTTATAGTCAATTATCCTAATCCCATTTATACAATAAATACATTTGTTAAGAATTTAAATTATCAAGAAACCAATATTTATGTTAATAATTTTTCTATTGTATTTGCAAATGATGATTTAAATTGGGAAAAATTTTGGAAACAATTTGGTTCAATAAAATCTGCAAAAATTATAAAACCTCAATTTTACAACCAGCAACAACAACAACAGCAACAACAAGGACAAGATGAATTGAATAATAAAGAAGTAGGTGCTTCACATGACAAGAGCAACTATAATTTTACTCAATCAAGTCAAACCAATGATGAATACTTGACCAGTTCAAAAGAATTGAGTGAAGCACCTGAAAATGATACTTTTGAAGAAGAACAAGATCAAAAATCAGGTCGTATTGGGTTTATATTTTATGAAAATTTCAAACAGGCAATAAGAGCAATTTTAATGACAAATAATAAAATGATTCATATTGAAAATTTTAATCCAATGATTATTCAATCTTCATTTGCAATTCAAAAATCAAGTAATTCAAATAATAATGGGAATAATATTTATCCTATAGGTCAACATGGTTTAAATCAATTTGGTTTTCCTTTTAATAATGGTGCAACAGTTGTTCATCCAAATAATAAATTTAATACACCTATGGGTTATCATCAATTAAATCCTCATCCACAACCACCTTTACCACATCATTTAGCAAATCAAAATCATTATTTAAAGTATAATAATTACTACAATAACAACTCTCTTCATAAACAACCAATAAATACATCTCATCCATCACCATGTGAAACTCCCCCAACATCAACAAAAGTATCTACGACTGCTACAAATAATGGATATAATAATTCAGTTTATTATACATATCAACCGGTTTATCCATTTTATTATGGATATCATCCTAGCCCATATCAATATGGGACAACAAGTACAAATCCTGTTTTGAATAACTATATGGTTGCTAACAATAATGATCACAACATATCATCATCACTTAATTCAACTCCCAAAAAGATTAATACTAACTTGAAAGAGAATAAAGAAGTAAAAGGTAAATCATCTACTGCTCGTAATGGAGGTGAAAGAAACAAAAGTCATCATCCTGCATTTACAAATTATTTATTAAATGCTGGTCATAATCAAGCTGCTGCTAATGTTAATGGTTACGTCCCACTTTAACTTTGGTGTATCTCAGCAATTTAATATTAGTTAAATTCAAAATGATTTCGCAAATCTGATCTCTGTTCATTAAAATTCATCATATCGTACATTACTTACTACTAAAAAAGTGTCTATAAAGTTGGTGGAGCATCCGGTATAGTTTCATCAACTCTTTTTCTTGGTAACACCTTTGATTCAAAATTAGTAACTGGTTGTTCTTCTTCCATTTCATCAATTGGTTCAACTGCTTCAACTTCCTCTATATAATGTTTAAGCATACTTTCAATTCCATTCTTTAAAGTTACCGAACTTGAATCACAAGATCTACAAGCACCTTTTAATTTTAAATAAACAGTTCCAGTATTTTCATCAAATTTAATAAATTCAATATCTCCACCATCATCTTGAATAGCAGGTCTTATTCTTGTAAAAATTAATTCTTTAATCATTGAAATAACTTCATCATCATCATCATCAATTTTTAAATCATCAGTTAATTCATTTTCATTATTTTCATTATTTATTATTGGTTCACCATTATTTAAAAATTCAGTTAATATAGAAAAAATTTCAGGTTTTAATATTGACCAATCATAATCTGATGATTTTTCAATTGTTATAAAATTTGATCCAAACATTATTGTTTTTATACCATCTATACTAAATAATTTAATTGCTAATGGTGATGAATGAGCTTCTCTTCCACTTAAAAATTCAATTGTTTCATTTTCTCCTAATATAGGCATTGATGGTAAGAATTTTAAAGCTTGTTCATTTGGAGTTTCTGATGTTTGAATGAATAATGATCTTTTGGTGATGAATAGGGATGAAGATGATGAAGATAAGATATTGGATTTTATTTGATTATGTGATAGCACATTTTTTGTTAAGTTGTAATTATGATTTTGTTTGATTAGTTTGGGTACAGTTCGACTTAGTGATCTAAACATTGCTGTATTTAAAATATGTTTGGTAGAAAGAGTTTGAATTTGATGAAGTCCGCTTACTTACGCTTAATTTCTAGAATTTTTCAAAATCTTATTTTTAAGAGAGAATCTTGATTACATCATTTTGATCTACAACAAACGTGAAATACTTAATAAATATGATTATGACTTACCTTAAATAATCAATTATACATTGCAATGTACCTATTTATCGTCTTGATATAAAATCTTTTCAAAAATTGAAGCAGCACTTTCTTCAAATTTATTATTATTTGAATTATTATTACCACCATTACTTTCATCATTAGACATACTATAATCCAATTGTAATTTGTTTTCTGCAACCATTAACATATTTTGTTCAACAGTTTTATCAGTGATTAATTTATAAACTACAACTTCTTTAGTTTGTCCAACTCTATGAGCTCTATCTTCTGCTTGTTTATCATCATGTGGATTAAAAGATTGATCAAATATTATAACATTATTGGCAGCTATTAAATTAATACCAAATCCTCCAGCTTTTGTAGAAAGTAAAAAAATTGGAATATCAGGATCTTCATAAAATAAATCTATAGTTTCTTGTCTTTCTTCAACTTTTGTTGCACCATCTAATCTAACAAATTTATAATTAAAAATTGATAAAACTTTTTCCATAATATCCAACATTTGAGTAAATAATGAAAAAAATAATACTTTTTCTTTCTTCTTGTTGATGATTGTATCTAAAATTTTTTCTAATTGTTTTATTTTCCCACTATCTAAAAATAAATCTTCATTTAATTTCCATCTGGATAAAGTATGATGGAATCGATTACATAAATTATTTAATTCAAAATCTGACATTACTTGCATATCTTCAAATATAAAAGTTTCATTGGCTTCGACATATTCAGGTTCATTCATTATAGCCTTTGCCATTTTCTTTAATTTATCATCAGTATATTGTTGCCTAAATAATAATGGATGTAAAGCAGCTTTTCTTAATTGCATCAAAACATTTGATGATGTTGGAATTGGATTTGATTTATTTAATTTTACAACTTCTTGTTGTGTCATGGTTTTTCGTTTCTCTCTTTCTATTCTGATTGATCTACCTTTTTCAAGACAATCAAAGTACAATTTTGATTGATCAGGAGTTAATTGACAACGAATAATTTCATGACTTTTGGCAGGTAAGTGTTGTAATACTTGATCTTTCCTTCTTCGTAAAACAAACGGGGTCATCATGGTTTTAGCATTTTTGATAGCTTGCATTGATAGCAACGGATTATACTCCTTTGATGGTGTCTTTTTATTATCCGAAATAGCATTTGCTTTTTGTTTAAATATTCCAACTAAATCTTCCTTCTTTTCGTTAAACACATGTGGTAAAATAAAAGCTAATAATGAAATTAATTCCTTCAAATTATTTTGCAATGGGGTTCCTGTCAATAATAATCTAAAGTTCCCCTTTAATCTCATTAATTTATTATATCTTTCTGATTGAGAATTTTTCAACAAATGACCTTCATCATAAACTATAACATTAAAATTTTGATTTTTTAAAAATTTAGCATCTTGAGGTGATCCACAAGCCATAGAATAAGTTGTTACTAAAACCTCATAATTACGATCTTGTAACTCATATCTTAATTCTTCTCTTTCTTTTTGAGATCCATAATAAGCTTGAACTTTTATTTCTGGACAAAATTTATTAAATTCTCTTATCCAATTTTCAATAGTTGAAGCTGGTACAACAATTAAATGTGGGAATTTCTCATTTACTTCTTTAAGATGAGCTATGAATGCAATAACTTGACATGTTTTACCTAAACCCATTTCATCAGCCAAGATACATGATAATTTGTTTGAATACAATAAATTTATCCAATTAATACCAGCTTGTTGATAATTGTTTAAAGTGATGTCATCATCTAATAACGCAGGTTTGTGTTTGATGTATTTCAAACCTTTCTTTTTAACAATCATTACGTCGTCATCGTCATCTTCATTCTTCTCAAGTCTTTCTGTTTCATCATCACCATCTATCGGATCAAGATCAACGATATCCAATTCACCAGACTCACCAGTGGCAGTAACTCCCCACTCTTTCATCTGGTTCGAAATTATATCACCATATTCAGCACATTTTTTAATCAAAGAATCAATAGCCTTGTAACCTTTCAAACTTTGTTCAGTTTGTTCAATCATTCTTAAACCTAATTTTTTCTTCCTACTACTTTTATTAACTGGTTCTGAGGTAAAATCATTTTCAGATATCTCATAAATTGTATTAAACGGTCTTTGTTGTATAACTAATTCTGCAGTATCTGGATCAATAGCAGAAATTTCACATAAATCATCAATTGGCGCAGAATTAATAAATTCAAGAATTTTAGAATCAATTGAAGTAATACCGTCATAAGAATCAGCATCTAAATCAGCATCTGACATTGAATCACTTGCATTATCGTCTTCCAACATTCCTTCATCATCACTTATATTAATAACTTTATTAGATGATTTTTGAAAAGATTTAGGTTGAACATTGAAATGTAATTGCTGTTTTTGTAATCTAGCTTTTTTCAAATTTTCAGCTAGTCTTCTTTCCAGCGCTTCTAATTCATCTAATTGAGAAAATGAGCTATTATTTGATAAATTTCCACCAGGTCCTTCTTGATATGTGAATTTTGCACTCAATGAACTTGGTGCAGGTATTGGTGATACTGAACCTGAATTTGATCGATCTAATTCAGATCCTCTAACTAATTTTCTTCTTTTAGTATCTGACAAAGAATCCAATCTTCCAAAACTACTTAAACTTGGTTGAGGTTTTGGTAATGGGTTTCTATATTTATTTAAAATAGATTGTTTTGACTTGATTTCAACTTTAGTTGACAGATTGTTATTTTCTTTGACTGGTGATAAGTCTTCAATTTTAACTCTAGCTTTGCCCTTTGATCTTGTAGGTAAATCATCATCTTCGTCATCACCATTTTTTACATTAGTATTAGTTGGTTTATGAACATTAGGTTTATAATCTGCAAATGGATCAGTATCACTCAACAGGTCATCATCTGACTCATCTTTCTTTTTCAAACTTGCTTCATACTTTCTCTTAAATTGTTCGTCTAGTAATTTTTGCTTAGATTGTTCTTCCTGTTGACGTTTCTTTTCTTCCATTTCTTTTTGATTTTTGGTATATTCACTATAAGGAAAATTCTTTTCTAAATATGCTGTAATATCTCGTAGTGCTCCCCTATTAGTGTAAAATGCTTTAAAAATATCACTTTCACTTACATAAAAAAATCTCTTTCTAATTAATGGGAAATTTGGTTGATCTCTAACCTTTTGTCTTGCCTTTTCAATGCTTTGTAATTTATCTTTTTCCATTTTAGCTGATAGACTAGGTTGTTGGTTATTTTGATATGATGATGATTTTGTAGAGTTTGGAGATGAGTTTATTAGTATTGGTGAAGATGATGGAACTTGTACTTGATTCTCTTGTTTTGGTTTTGGAGTTTGAGGTGAATCAATTTTACTACCATTATTTGAATTTTGATTATACCAACTCATTTTACTTCTAATTGAATCTATCGCAGTCTTATAAAAGTTGTTGCCCCAAAGATTTAAACAATTTTGAGCTCTTGTGTTTTTATGAGTTTGATCTATGACGCTTCAAGCAATTTCGATCTACTTTTTTTTTTTCGTGATGTGGTTATAGCGAATTTAAGATTTCTTTATCTCGTTCTAGAAATTAGGCCCAATCTTGCGCGCGCATTTAAAATAGAACAATATTTTGACGCGTTTCAGAATTCACTACTTAAATTAACCAAATACATTATAAGACAGGAACTTATATTGTAAACAACTTAAATACACGATGTATCTATCAGTATTTTCCTAAAAAAAGGTACTAAAAAATCAAAATTAAAACTAAAAATGAAAACTTAAAAATTAAAAAAATATACAACTTTTTACTAAACCAAAAAAACCACCTAAAACCCCGTATCAACACTTTTTTCATAAACAATCCAAACCAATCAATCAACAAAATCTAAATTTCTCATAATTACTTTGCAATGCTTTCAATCACTCCATAAATTCAGATTAGATCCTTTCTTTCGATATTATTAAACACCATTATTAAATTTGATACCAAATTCTTCATATTTTTCTTTCAAGTAATTTTCATCATTCAAATACTTCAAATCGGATACAGGCCTAACCCCATGCACCAGTAATCGATAACAGTGTCTAATTTCCGGTTCTGAGAAGTCGCAGCAGGGACTGTGGACCACAGTGGAGTTTGACCACAATACTACCGTATCCGGTTCCCATCTTACTCTAAGTTGTAAATCATGAGCACCTTCAATATGATCATAAAGAAATTTTAGAAGGTAATCACTTTCTTCCTTTTTTAACTCAACAATTCTTCTACCAAACTCTTTATTAACATATAAATGTTTTCTTCCAGTTATTGGGTTAACTCTAATGATGGGATGAATATTTGTTTCAGGTTCTCTTCTTAAAATTCCTCCAGCCTTTTTATTTGCTTGAGCTTGTTCAACTGATGAATGTAATATATGTAATCCCTCTAATCTTTCTTTCATAGCAGGTGATAATCTTTCATAAGCTTCAACTGCATCTGCAAATAATGTATCACCACCTCCACCAGTTGGTAATTGTAAACATGAAAATAATGTTAATTCTAAAGAATTTAAAGAATATGAACAATCACTATGCCATGATATTGAATTTGTTGAACTTGCAAAAACTGAATCAATTTCTTGTTGTGAAGCACCTCTAAAAGTTATATGCATATTAGGAAAATTTTCTGGTGAACCAGATGTAGGATGAATATGTAACGGACCAAAAAATTTCATAAAATCAGTAGCAAATTGTGGACCTTTTGAATTAAAATCTTGATTTTTAAATACAACTACTCCTCTTTCTGCAACAAATCTTGAAAGATCTTGTTTTTGTAAATCAGTAAGTGAACTTAATTGAAGATTTGAAATTTCAGAACCTAATTTTGGAGTTATTCTAGTAACTTTAGCTTTTGAATTTGATGGAAATAAATTTTTAAAATTTACATCACCTTTTGTTCCAGGATCAATATATTTTTGAAATTTATATGGTGGATATTTTTGTAATGGATTCCAAGTTGGTAAATATTCAGGATATAATGCTAATGATTGATTTTCCTCACTTACTGTTATGGAACCATTTCTTGTTTTACCTTGATGAGCAGATTGAAATTGTGAAGCATCGTATTTCTCATCATCTAATTGAATTGGAACTGGAGCCATTTTGATGAATTTGTTTCAATGAAGTTTGTTTTATTAAGTCGGTCTTGCCTTTTGAAAGAAAATTGAAGAAATCACCGCTAGTTTTAAATAAACAGTTTGATATTCAACTGTGGATTCTCATGATTTTATATAACAACAAAATCGAAATCGGATGATATTTTTAGTTAGTTACATTTCGAATGCTGTGGAGTTGACTGTACAACATAAAGTAAGTATATTTTTTTTTTGTTGTTTTAAATTGTGGCTCGAATATTTGTCAGAAATGCAAGCAAACTAAAAACTGAAAAAATTTAAACGAGTAAAGAATAAGAATAACAATCGAAAGACGTGGAGAATTATAGTAAATAAACATACTTGCTATTTCATCAAGTCCGTTTGTCCAAGGTGTCATGACGATATATAGGGAACGATCTTTTCTATATATTATTTCGGCTCACGGCTCATTTTGGAAGACTGTAAATACTTTTCATGGAATGAAACTTTGAAAATGAGCCGAGAGAACTCGCATTAAGATGCGTCAAGTCAAACTTCTATAGAAAAAACAATACTCTTAAGAATTTGTTATCTTTTTAATCTAATCTTGGTTATATTTGAAATTCTTTATGCTCACTGGAACAAAACTCTGTTTTGGATAATTATCATTCAAACTCTATCCCGTCTTTGCGTAGGTTGGAATCATCAAAGAGTCACAAGTCGCCATAATGCAAGTTCAAATTACTCCATGTAGAGCTAACACTCAAGATCATATAAACGTTTTTTGTTAGTACTTCATTGTCGTGAAAAGTTAGAAAAATTCAATGTCTTTTTTTTTCTTATCGTAAGTGTCTATTGCAAATTTACATCTACTAGCTACTACTTAGTATTGTTGACAGTGAAAGCTCGAATGATTTAATGTACCAAGTATTATCATGTGGTTCTAATGGAGATTATCAATTAGGACAAGGGAACGATGAAGATCAATCGATTTTGAAACCCAGTATTTTTCGAACTATTGAAAATGGTAATGATCATTATAGTACAACTATAAATTCAAAACCAGTAGAGATTGCATGTGGTGGAAATCATACCATTATCCGAATGTTTGAGGGGACTATATATTCTGCTGGCTCAAATACTTTTGGTCAGATAGGTAAACCAATATCAATCAAGAATGATCAAACTTTTAGTCAAGTAAAATTTGAAAAAAAGATTAAGAAAATAGCTTGTTGTTGGGAGTCTTCATTTATAATCACTGAGGATGATGAAATTTATAGTATAGGGAAGGGATTAAAGGGTGAATTAGGTTTAGGAAAAGATGTTACAGAGACAAGCGAATTTAAGTTGATAAAAAAATTCGATATTCCAATTTTAGATATACAAGCTGCCATGAATCATGTTGTTGTTAGATTAGCTGATGGATCACTATCAGGTTGGGGTAATTGTAGAAAGGGACAATTGGGTGAAATAATAAATCCGTCTCTTATCAAGCAGGGTGCTATATGGGAGCCCTGGTTCTTGCAAATGGGAACGTTAAAAGGAAATGACCATTTTGGGGTTGGTAGAGAATTCACTATAATTACGGTAAACGGGAAACCTCATCTATATGGGAAGTTAAATAATCTGAACATTGAAGATATACAAAGTCTTCAAAAAATTCGAAATGTTAAAACAATGTGGTCATCAATTCATTTTCAAACTGATGACAGCTTTATCTCATTTGGAATAAATAGTCATGGTCAACTCTTTGATTATAAACCGAAGAAGCAATTTAACGCAGCTCATGTTGATTTCGAAACTGGGAGTGAGCATGGTTTACTACTTCTTGATTCTGAAGTATACGCATGGGGTTGGGGAGAACATGGAAATTGTGGAATTTCAAAGACAAACGATACCAACACATTTAATTACTTAAATCCAATTTTCACTAATGACGATTCCGAAGCTAGTAATATCATTTATTTCAAGGCTGGTTGTGCTACAAGTTGGGTAGTTATAGAAATTAAAAAGAAGTAGTAAATAGAAAAATGTCACGAAGTATCTTCTCCATATTCATCTATTGCTTAATTTAAAGACACGAAAGATGGAAAATATGTTCAACGTAGTTAATTTAGGATCAATCTTCACCTACTTTCAACTTTTTAAAGATTTTAATCAATCTTTGAAAAATTGAAAAAGGAATTGAAACTTACATATGATTGTTTAAGTACCAATATTTGATCATCCATTCCATTTCAAAATTTGCTCATCAAGTAGGTAAAAGCATTTCACTTACTCATTGACACAGTCGTTATCCTATGGTAATTTGCATAAATCGAACTGGTTTACTTGAGTATATCAACTGATGAACTCTACAAAATTTTTTTTTTTTTCAAACCTCATTACGTCAGATTTTACGATACTAAATATTACACAAAAACATACATCAGCTCTATTGAACCATCTAGATTATTCAAAGCAAACAATCAAAGTGTATCATACGAAAACTCCGAAAGAAGACATAACTTGATAGTACAACCGATTTTTTGGAACATTATAGCTGAAAACCATAAGTTTGTTTTGCACAATTTATCAATCATTAACAATTAACAATATAAAACATGTCCATATTCGGAGCAATATGTCTGGGTAGACCAATGATATTAGCGGAACAAGTTGATCAAACAAAATTTGTTATAAATGTTCCCAATGCTTCAAACATTAATTACATAACAATATTCATATTACCCAATTCTCCATTTGTTGATAATAATTTCACTGCATTAATATATTTTCAACTACCTCAACAGCAAAATCAAACATTACAATCAGCTCCAGAATTTAAATTATTAGGTGGAATAAATCCTTCAAAACCATCGGCTATCTATAAAGTTAGTAATTTAACCAATAGTCAGAATATAACAAATGCTCAAAATCAGGATGGGATAGATTTGGAAATGAATGATTCTGGTCCAATAGATTTAAATGATTCCGTTAGTATAAATATAGGAATATCAATTGAACCAACTCCACAAGCAGAACAATTGATACAACAATCTAAACAACAAAATTCAACGAGTTTAGTATCTACAAAACCTCAACCACAACCATCAAAACCTAGTGATACAGCTCAATTGGCTAATAAGATAGTAGGTAATGCTTATAATTACCTAGCTAGTTTTATTGATAATCAAGGGAAAGTACCAATAAAAGCATTTGATAATTGGTGGGATAAATTTAAGACAAAATTACAAAACAATCCTAATTTTTTAAATGAAATACTGGAATAGTGGGAAAGAAGGTCTACTAAAGCTTGACGAAATTTGAAATTAGTCTTGGATCCATAGTTACATTTAGAACGCGTTATGATAAATATTTAATTCAGTCAATTTTAGTTTATGGCAGTTCTTCATTTAATCTCGCTTACTCCGACCAATATTTAACACGATGCGGCTCTTCATCTCTGCTTAGTAAAAGCTTAAAAAGAAATAAAAGTGTGGCAGAAAATTTTTTTTGCAGTTTAAAAAGATCTTTGTTATAAATTTATAGTCAAATAACCACTTTCTTTCTCGAAAATTAAAACACCCTAAGCACATTTTCAATTCATCTAATAACTTACTAAAAGTCCAACCTTTTTTTGAGTAACACCATCAGAAACAGAAAAGTCCAACCTTTTTTAACTAAAATATCATTTGCTCATTAACCTATTTTAATTCCACTTTTTTTTCACTTTTTGCTGAATAATCAAAATGACTATTGAACAATCATCCAATTACTCATTCGGAACTAGAGCTATTCATGTTGGAGCTCCTATTGACCCAACTACAGGTGCAGTAATTGAACCAATTTCATTATCAACCACATTTGGTCAATCAGAACCTTCAAAACCTTTAGGAATATATGAATATTCAAGATCTGCTAATCCAAACAGAGATAATTTTGAACAAGCTGTTGCTTCATTAGAATCCGCCAAATATGCTATTGCTTTATCTTCTGGTTCTGCAACTACTGCTTTGATTATTCAATCATTACCAGTTGGATCACATATTATTTCAGGAGGAGATGTTTATGGAGGTACTCATAGATATTTTACAAAAGTTGCAAATACTCATGGTGTTAAAGCAACATTTGTTGGAAATTTAGTTGAAGATTTAGAATCAAATTTAACTAATGATACAAGATTAGTATGGTTAGAAACTCCATCGAATCCGACTTTACAAATTACAGATATTTCGAAAATTAAAGAAATTGTTGATAAACATGAAGCAAAAACTGGGAATAAAATTATAATTGTTGTTGATAATACCTTTTTATCACCATACATTTCAAACCCTTTAAAATTTGGAGCAGATGTAGTAGTTCATTCTGTCACAAAATATATTAATGGTCATTCAGATGTTGTAATGGGTGTATTAGCTACTAATAATGATGTTTTACATGACAAATTCCGTTTTTTACAAAACGCAATTGGTTCAATTCCATCACCTTTTGATTCATGGTTAGCTCATAGAGGTTTAAAAACTTTACACTTAAGATTAAGACAAGCATCATATTCTGCTCAAAAAATTGCTGAATATTTATCATCATCACCATATGTTATTCATGTGAATTATCCAGGTTTAAAAGGTCACAAAAACCATGATGTAGTATTAAAACAACATAGAGATGGATTAGGTGGTGGTATGATTTCATTTAGAATAAAAGGTGGTGCTAAAGGAGCTTCTGTATTTACATCATCTACCAAATTATTCACCTTAGCTGAATCATTAGGTGGTATTGAATCATTGATTGAAGTTCCAGCAATTATGACTCATGGAGGTATACCAAAAGAAGAAAGAGAATCAAATGGAGTTTATGATGATTTAGTTAGAGTTTCTGTTGGTATTGAAGATACTGATGATTTAATAGCTGATGTTGAACAAGCTTTACAAAAAGTTAAAGGATTGTAATAACATGACACAAGAATCATTTGTATATTTTTTTTAAACCTTAGTTTGTACTTTGGTAGTTTATAGATTTTAATGCAAGGTATTTGATTTCTGTGTAAACCTTCATCAATCTTTGACTCTTGAGATAGACAGGTTTATAAACAAATAGAGCTACCAGATTTTAAGAGGTAATTTGCTGTTATCTTGATTTTGATCCATCATTTGAAAAGCACAAGAAATTGCAAAATCAATACACATCTAATTGTTTCAATTCCATCTTTCGGCCAAGAAAGATAATGAAGAAAGCGTTTCTAATTTCAATAGCCTTTTATCTACTAAATTTAGTGAATGCAATTCAATCGAAAGAACAAGAAGAAATAATTTGTCCTAATCCCCAAGATCCCGCTGATTGTTATCCAAAAATATTTATAGCTACTAACAACTGGCAAACTATACGAGAAGGTCAAGAAATTCCTCCTGGTTTACACGTAAGATTGAATATGGATACATTACAAAAAGAAGCAAAGTTGATGTCGAACGAAGAAGAAGGATCAGAACCTCAAAATGAGCTTATAGTGGGTGAAAATAATGAAGAATCAGAGGAAACTGAGTCAAATCCAAATCAGCATATACTCGACGCCGCTAATGAGATATTAAAACATCAGCAGAATTCAAAACCACATAAGTCAAAAGTAAAAAAGGAAGATATGTCTGAACTTGATTCAGCAATATATGAAGTAGAAAATTATCAAACTTCCAACGCTGAGGACGATAAAGTATTATTAAATTTATTAGAAGCGATTGAAGATTTATCACATGATATCGAGCTTGGGGCCAAAATTACATCTAATTCAGAATTTATTAGTAAGTTGTTATCAATTGGATCGACCTCACCAAACCTGGAAATTTCTGAAAAGAGTTACAACATTATAGCGTCATCATTGAGAAATAATCCTGAAGCTATAGATAATATAATATCCTCACAGCCCGATTTAGTCAATCATTTGTTCGATGATATATCAAGATCGAAAAATGACAAAGTGCAAAAAAGAGAATTAGGTATAATTCAAGCTTTGATTCAAAACTCAAATTTTAAAGCCAAACTTGCAAATTTAAACAATGAACAATCTGGAATAAATAAACTAATCAAGCTTTACTCCAAACTAGGTCCAGAGTCTCAAAGAAGAAGTATAAATATAATAAATGACCTTGAACTCACAACGAAAACAAATGATAGAAGATCAATAGAAGAGACAGACCCAAATTCCAATTTTTCAAACTTCCTACAAGCATTATTAATTGAAAAGAAATTGAATAAAGATAATTTTCAAAATCATTTCAAGGATCTTGTTGACTTACACTCTGATAATTCAAAATTAAAACCAAATAATCAATTCTTGAAATGGTTGAGCGAAGAAGTTGAGACTAGGAAAGAAAGAAACTTAAAAATTAAAAGAGATGTTGAGAATGTTGATGATCAATTGCAAAAAGATTTGGATTTTGATGATTATATGTTAAGGGCTAGACATGAAATATTTGGAAATCCAATGGGGTTAAGAAAAGCTATAGCTGATGAATTGTAAAACATAGAGTAGAAATTTAGATTTACAGTTTTATTATCCTTTAAACAATGCTCGTGAAATGTACATTAATTCATATGATTCTATTTAAATCTAATCAAATAAACCGAATCCCATATCATCATCAGATTCTTCTTTTTCTTCTTCAGCTTCTTCAGCAGCAGCTTCTTCAGCGTCACCACCGGCAGCAGCACCTGAACTAGAAGCACCACCAGCAGCAGCACCACCAGTTGGAACACTTGATAATTTTTCATTACCTTCAGCAATTAATTCTTCAACGTTTTTACCATCTAATTCACTAATTAATTTTTCAACTTTATTATCTTCAATATCAACATTAGCTGCTGATAAAACTGATTTGATATCTTCTGCTGATGGAGAAGTTTTTCCTGCGTTAACTAATAATAAATATGCTGCTAAGTATTTCACTGCAAAATCGTTAGTAACTTCGATCTAAATTGCGTTTGATCTTGGTGTATTTGAATTAAATAGATGCTTTCTGTCTAACGATCGTTACGATCTTGAGATTTGATTGAGTTCGTGAGCTTAGAAACATAACATTGAATCTCGACGTTATATTACTCGCTTGTGCATTGTTGCTCTAGAAGGTTATGTAATACATGCAACTTCAATACGACGGTCCATTATTTGTTGTGAAAATTGAATAGTTATTCGTAAGAACTTCCGTGCACTTCTAGTTTTTAAACTTAACTCCAAGATACGTTGTTGACATCCATTTTTATCACTTTTAACCATTTATAAATTTGAAACTTGTACTATATCTATTTTCCACCAATTTCAAATATCCTTTTGATCTCAAATGACATACTTTTTCTCTTTGTTGTTCTTTATCTAGTTTAATCTAATTGTTGCAAACTATGGTAATTTTTCAGTGAAAAAATGATATTATCAAATTTAACAGTCACAAAAGTCACATGACTGAAAAGTTACTTTTTTGAGACACATACGCCGCGTCTTCTTCTAGAAGAAGCCGCACCCTTCCTGATCTATCCAATGCTCTTCTCGAAATCATACTCCATACTCCAAGGGATTATCTCATTACACGAAAACTAGTTAGTAGAAAACACTGCATTTAAAATTATGGCAAAAGGAGGGAATTCCCATAGGAATACTTTGAAAAATGACCATAAACCTTTCAAATCAAAACATGCAACAAAGGGCCAATTGAAAAACCAGTATAAAGGTAAAGTGGAGAAGACAACATCCAACAATAAGCAAAATAAAGCATTAAGCAAGTTGGAAAGAAAGAATTTATTGAAGCAAACAAGAGAACAAAAGATTTTAGAAACCAAACTTACCAAAAAGTTGTTTGAAGGAAATTCAGGAGCTTCGAAAATTATCACTATAATATGTTTAACTAAAGATATATCACCTGAAACTATAGCAAATCAATTATTCGATACAGAGGAAAGTCAAGAAAAAATCCAATTCAATCATCCATCAATCAACAACATTAAAATCAATAAATTTAAAACAAATTTGAAAGTAGTGATACCAGATCATAACAATTTCTTACAAGTATTGGATTGCGCAAGAGTGTCAGATTTTATAATATTTGGCTTATCAGCAAAAAGTGAAGTAGAACCAGATTTTGGAGAAACAATCTTACGTGCGTTATTAGCTCAAGGAATTGGTTCTGTATTGGGAGTTGTGCCAAATTTAGTGTCTTCATATCCAAAAAGAAATTTCCAATTAGATGTTAGACAATCATTACAATCATTTTTCAATCATTTCTTTCCCGTTGAAGACAATAAATTATTTGCATTGGAGAATGAAACTGAGAGTTCAAATTGTTTGAGATATTTGTGTCAAAAATTCCCACAACTGATAAATTGGAGAGATTCAAGGGGATGGGTTGTAGCAGACAAGGTATATGTTGATGATTCATATGATGGGATAGTGATTGAAGGCACATGTAGAGGAACTGGGTTGAATGTAAATAGATTGGTTCATATACCTAATTATGGAGATTTTCAAGTTGACAAAATCGAGAAAATCAAAAGAATTAATAATAACAAGAGAAATGAAATGTCAATAGATGAGGATGTGGAAGATAGTTATTTACCAGATAGTTCTCAAGATGATTTAGATGAATTGAATCCCATAGATCCTGGAGAAGGTAATGAAGATGAGGATATGTGGGATGGAGAGGAAAATAATAGTTTAGGTGTCAAATCAGAAGGAAAAATTTATTTCAACGATGCACAAAATGAACAAAATGGGGTGAAAAGAGTACCGAAGGGTACTTCAGAATATCAGAGTCGTTGGTTTGTGGATGATGTACTTGATGAAGATGCTTCAGATTTAGAAGAGGAACCCCAGATCGAAGAGAGAGATGAGAAAATAATAGACAATGACGGAGAGAACACAACTGACTACATGACAGATTATGCGGAATCTGAAATGCATATTGATTTATCACCAGAAGAAGAGCAACGACAATTAGAAGAATACAGAAGTAAACTAGCAAAAGAGGATTTAGAATTCCCAGATGAGATTGAGTTACATCCAAATGAATTAGCTAGAGAAAAATTGGGTCAATATAGAGGTGTAAAATCATTAGGTAATTGTGAATGGGATGTCAATGAGGAAAATCCAAATAAACCGGAGATATGGAATCAATTATTTAAAGTTTCAAATTTCAAAGCTACTAAGAATAGAGTCAACAAGGAATTTATCAAAAATATAGAGGTTCAATCTGGTTCATATATTCGAATATTTATTAGAGCCCCAAAAACAATATCTGAAAATCATAATCCATCAACACCATTTGTGGTATTTGAATTACTTCGTGATGAACATAAATTAGCAATAACAAATTTCTCATTTGAAAATTGGGAGGAATACGATACTTCAATACCAAATAAAGAATCAATGGTTGTTCAATATGGACCACGTAGACAAGTTATTAATCCGATTTTTAATCAAGCATCAAATAATTCAAATAATGTACATAAACAAGAAAACTTTCAACATCAAGGTATGACTACAATTGCAACTGCCATTACTCCAATTTGTTTCACAAATTCACCCGTAATTTATTTTAAAATAAATCCTGAAAATGAACAAAAAATAGAATTTATAGGTAAAGGAACTTATCTAGGCTCAGATTATTCAAGAATAATAGTTGAAAAGATCATTTTAACAGGTCATCCATTGAAGATCCATAAGAATTTGGTCACTATAAGATACATGTTTTTCAATCCTGAAGATGTCAATTTTTTTAAAGCTATTCAATTATTTACTAAAAGTGGTAGAACAGGGTATATTAAAGAAAGTTTAGGGACTCATGGTTATTTTAAGGCTACATTTGATGGTAAATTGACTTCTCAAGATGTTGTTGGAATGAGCATGTTTAAGCGAGTTTATCCTGAGATGTCTAGATCGTTTAGTGAATATGAATAGTTATTAATTATGTATATTCTCAATGAGCTTTAAATTTTTTTTAAGTCCTGAAAAGTTGCAAAAACACGTTAAATAAGCCAATATTATTATTTTGCAATAGACCTATCTCTAGTATTGGCTCTTTCCTATTTGGTAGATATTTTAACCAAATGCAATCATTAAAGAACGTTTGATATCTCTCAGGTTGTACAAAATTTATCTAAAAATTTCTGATAATACTGTGTTTTTAATATTTTATGCATAAATATAAACATTAAAAAGTTTATTTTTCAGAGGCAAATAAATTATTTGGACCACAATTGTACTTTGCCAAACTTTAGGGCTAGTTTGTTCGTGGTTTTACAGCTCTTTTCTGGCAAATTATAGAAATTTTTGAATCGTATGGAGCTGAACTTCAAAAATTGTTAGATTTATCACATTCTAAAGTCATCATTCTAATAATTGGAGCACAAAAATTATGTGGATCGCTTGCTTATCTTAAGCTTTTGCAGATCTACATTTATATAAACAAGGCGATTTTTAAGAGATAATATCAAGAATTATAATTGTCAATTGGTGAACTACAAATCACAAAATTGAATTTGTGATTGTTATACATCACTTTTTGTTTCATGTTATTACACAAAATTGAATTACTAGTATTATTTGGACCTAGAACATTGAAAATATATAACGATGAAAGGGATTAATCATTTTGATAAGAACAAATTATTAGACGCGTCTGATGATGAGTTACTTTAAATGTTTTTGAAAATTCTGAAAAATTTGAATATAAATATAACTTCAAAAGTCTTGATTTTTCAATTCAGTTTATATTTTTTTTCCTCAATTACTCATTCCCAATCATTTTATCATAGAGTTAATTCACAATCATAAATCAAACTTTCGTTTATCATATATAAATTTACTACCAACTTCTATTCCATCGCTATGCTTTTCATTTTCCTCTTATATTGGTCATTTTTGTCATTACCTGTGTCAGCTATAACATATTATAATACAACTACAATTCCAACTCAAGAATTAGTTACGGTTTATACTACAGTTTGTCCAGAAACAACTACATTAACCCTTACAGCCTGCTCAAATCATAAATGCAATCCAACAAAAATTACAGTCACTGAACCAACAACTTTAACATTAACTAGTATCTTATGTCCAACTACAATCACAAAAGGAGGAAATGATATTACAACTATTCCTGAGCCAACTACATCAACTGAAGAAATTGAAGTTACTAGATTTCAAGTTATTGATTATACAACTGTTTGTCCTGAATCAACTATTTTAACAATTACTAGATGTTCAAATGAAAGATGTCATCCTTCTGTTACAACAATTAAAGAATCAGGTACATATACATTCACAGGAAAAATCATTATTTCAACAACTGTTTTTACTACTGAAACACCTACCCCAACAGCGACTACAGTGACTACAATATGTACAAGTGAATATGTTATTGGAGGTAAACCAACTACTTATACTACTACTGAAAATGGTATCATCACATTAACTAATGGAGGTTTTACTACTTACACTACATATTTAACAACTGAAACAATTGAATACGGTAAGCCAACAACAAGTACTTATACTGTATATTACCCTACAACTACAATTGAAGTAACAACTTTCCATGATTATGTAACTACTTTTCCAAAACCTACTGAAGTTATTATTCAAACTTGTAATGAATGTCATCCAACAACAATTTATGCAACAAAAAGTCAAGTCCTATCTTTCGAAACTGCCATTATATCATTAGAAGGTATTAGTCAAGTTCCTGTTGTTCATACATCTACAATTGTTAATGAATATCCTTCGAACGAACCAATTGCTGAAAGTACCACTGAAACTCAAGCACCATCTGGTGTTATTTCAATTGCTGGTGGTAAGGCTTTGGGACTTGAATCATACTTGCTTGGGTTGGCTATATTCATTGTTAATCTTTTCGTTTAAAGTTATTAAGTTTTTTTACAATTTTTATATAATGAGATTTTTATTTTGCTTATCAATTTTTAATGATGCTGGTTATCATAATTTTCGGTCTATATTAATTTTTGCTTTACATGTTTCGGTTTATCATTTTCCTATTTAATAACAACTATTTTAAATTATCATATTCTTCAACAGAATATAATTCATTTTTATACAATACATTTTTGTTAAACATTTATTATTTATTTTCATCAATCTTTCGGTGGTTTGGAGATATATATAGTGTATAGTTTACCAAATACTTTTATTTTATTAAGAACTGAACTTCTACGTGCTCTGTTAGTTGATGTGTTATTAAAATCTTGATTTTGAGAGTTATGTTTGGTTGTAAAAAATCTAATTGATTTTACAATCATGCTGCAATTTTTTTGCAACACTTTTTTTTCATGAAATCAAAATTAAACAACAACGCATCTTCAACATGAGCAATCCATTGCTTAATAAGCTGATATATGATAGGGTTAATTTTTACCAATCATGTCTATACCCATTCAAAGTATGTCGATTCATCCATTAAAATTTCAAGTGAAAGTACTGACAAAAAATTAGGGATTGATATACTTCATGCAACTACCTAGTCTATGGTCATTATATCTAACTATTTTAATTCCACAACTAATCATTTTCTTAGCAATTTACTCACTTTTCTTCCTAACATTTTATCCAGTTCAATCAGTGTTGTACACATCATTTATGGGACCATTTGGAATTTTTATTGCTTGGTATTCATTATACCTGCAATCATCAAATATTTCACAATTTATAGTCACAATCGTTTTAATTCCTTATATTCAGAAAATTGTGTTTGACGCTATTTTGTCAAAGGAATGTAAAAACGAAAATTTCTTAAAATTTATTAGTATGAATAGAAGTGCCAAATCTTTAACTAGAGGTGAAAACATTTTGAGATTATATATGAGAAAAATACAAAGGTATGTCTATGAAGTTAAATATTTCTCAATCTTACCATTCTCAATCACAAAGATTTTGATTTTATTTTTTGTAAATTTTATACCTGTTGTTGGACCATTTTTTGTTTTGATTGTTAAAGTCAATTCAAAATCAATTCAAGTTCATAGAAGATATTTTATCTTAAAAGGATTTGATGTAATTGAAATTGAGAATTTTTACAGATTGAATAAGAATTCATATTTAACTTTTGCAATATTTGCATTATTATTAGAAATGATTCCATGTGTTAATGTTTTATTGTTGTTTACAAATACAATTGGTGCTGCTTTGTGGGCTGTTGATTTAGAAAATTTAGAAATCAAAAATGCTAAACCAATTGAAATTACAGCAGAAAATACTAATGCTGATGAAAATGTTGATCAAATGCAAGCTCATTCAAATGAGCTAAAGCAACGTCCTGGATCAATTTTTGAAGAATTTGACTAATTCTATTTATGCTATATATTTTATATAATATCTATAACTTTAATAAAGATAAATGTTATCAACACATCCAAATCCTGCAGCAACTCCACCTTCATCACTAGTTTCAAATTTAGATCTTAACAACCAACCTGCATTTTCATTTTTCAAAATCTCACCCGTAGTTTCATTAAATAAAATATTACCAAATATACCTAGTTCTGATATTATATTTTCATTGTATATATCTTTATTTCTCATTATTTTGTTTTTGAATGTTTTCGGTGTTATTAATTCCATCAAAATATAAGCACCCCATTCAGATTCAGGTATTGACTTTAAAAAATCTGGAATGTTTTTCTTATAAATATTATTACCACCACCTTCTCTTTGTGGTTTTAGAACAAATTTTTCTGGACTTTCGAATGCCAATTTTTTAGCTTTTTTACCTAATTCAGAATCATCAAATGGATATATGTTGACAAATGTAGATATCAACTCTTTAAAATCCGTGTTACTTAAGTCAGGTAATATTTTTTTCAATATTTCATGATCAGTTAATAATTGTTGTATCTTTTTTGAACCTGATAATTGAGTCAAAATTGATGGACATTTAATAGCTTTCGATTTCTCCAAAATCAATCTTGCATTCCATGATTTTGCTGGGTTTACTTCATAATCACCTGGACCATAACCTGATCTATAATAAACAACTGAAATTTCTTGCGTTGTTGATTTTATATAAGCTTTGTCACTATTTATTGTAACCACTTCTTCGATTTCTTCCAATGTAGCTCTAAACGCCTTTATTTTATGCTTATTGAATAGTTCATATTCAATTAATCTTTGGTCAAAGCAATTTCTTTCGTTTGGTTGCACAACAAATAAAACAATGGTATCCTCATTTTCTTGTTTATCATTATAGTAAAAATTACCTTGAGCTAAACCTTCGGCAATTTTTTCAATTGAATTTGAAATGGGTAAACTCTCATCTTCATAATATTTAAAATTGTATTTGTTATCATAAAATCCAGTCGAATTCAAAAAATTTTGTAATTGACCTATTTTTGTAGATAATCCACCAAATGAAACACTAACAGTATTAAATTCAATTTGTTTTATATCATTTAAATTGGAGTCAATCATATAATCAGACCTGAATATACCCAATGAAATTGGTTGTAGTACTTCATCTTTTATTGATTCTTTATATATTTCAAATAATTTTCCAGTAAAATTTGGATCAAACTTAGCTAATTCTTCCAATACTTCGATTAACCAGGATTTATGCTTAGTTATTAGATTTATATATAATTCATTATATATTTTTTGTACATTCAATGCCTGTTGAAAACTAGTTTTTGGAATTGGAGTAGGAAACAAAGTTATTGGAGCCACATTCGTTTGAAAAGTTTCGAAATTTGGTGGATACATTACTAACCCGTTAGATAATGACCATTGCTGAGCATTCAATTTTAATTCATTTTCTTGTTCATGACTCAATTGAGGAAACGGTATTGGATCCATTGAGAAAGTTCTAATAACAGTGGTAGATATTGACTCGATGATGTTTGAACCTTGATGGATTGTGCTAATAAATTAGCCGCTGTTGCTATTGATTACTAAGTTAAGAAGCTGGAAACGTGAAACTCGCTACCAATTCGTAAATAGAATAATTTAGCTGCAAAAAGGTCGAAAATGATTGAAAAATTCATGAACTTCATACATCTTTTGACTGACAAACAACTTGTTCAATGTCTTGTGTTTCTTTTCAAGTATTCAAGGAGATTAATTGCATAGGGTCTAAAAGGTCTACCAGATAAGGTTATCATTGAATATAATCTCGTACTCCCTCGTATCGTACAAGAGAGCATAAGCAACTCAGATCCCCTTATGCATTAAACTAATCAAAACCATATATGCCTTTAAAAAGTTCTATAGATCTATACTTATGAATCGGTAAGAATGTTAATTCTATATTGCGTCTAAAAGCGTTTTTAGAACTATCTCAAATCTAATTTACGCGCGCGAAAAAAAGAGCATACTTAGACAGATTTAGCAAAAGGGCTATTACCCTATCTCGTATTTTTCTGCTTAACATTGTGCTCAATAACTGGTAGCACATTTTTCATAGGCAAAAATTCAGTCTTACTATTGAAATTAATTTGAATAGAATTTTCAGCTTAACAGTTTGAAACAGTACAACAACAAACATAATAGTATGTGAGTAATACACACAACCACACCTCGTCAAGTTTTAGAAAGGGATATGAAATACTCGAATGAACAAATTAGGGGAAAGAGCGGATATTCAAGTATGGAGAATTTGAGCAAATAAGATGTTATCTACAAGAACTTGAATTTTGGAATAGTCTCTGAAGAGTCAAGTAAAGCACCTATCTTCTGCCGACAGGGAATATAAAATTCAGCAAACAGTAGTTTGGACTACTTATCCAATCAAGATATTGAAAGAATCAACAATCATTAGTTTTCAGAGAAGACGATTATGTCAAGTCATAATGTCACCAAGTTAGTGGCAAAAGTAATATGGATGATTCAAATACTTTTTAAAACCACTATGGAAGGCAGAAACCACATACAATTAGAAAACAAACATTCAAACGAACTGCAAGAAGTTTAGAATTTAGCATAAGTCTTGTGAGATATCATGCACATGTAAAATGGAAAACTCAAGTCGAAACGAGACCCTTCACTAATGTTAAATCATATTTACTAGACGAGGAAACGACCTTTGGAAAACTCAATACTAACATTTATTTTAGACACAGCATGGCACACGAAAACGTTTGGTTCTCACACCCAAGAAATTTTGGTAAAGGTTCAAGACAATGTAGACATTGTTCATCACATTCAGGTTTAATTAGAAAATACGGTTTAAATTTATGTCGTCAATGTTTTAGAGAAAAAGCTAATGATATTGGATTCCATAAATATAGATAAAGATATTGTAAATATAGGAGTATAGAAAAGAGGAAAAGAGAATTAATGATTTATTAAACAAAGTGACATCAAAGCTGGTATTTCATTTAAGATTTAATATTTTGTTGGTTATGATTGTTATTTTTCTCACCTTTTGGATGGTTTATTTGTTTAGTTTTAATTTTTGATTAATATAATGACTAGGATTAGAATAAAGTTCAAAGACATTTTTGTATAATGAATCGTTAGTCTCTTCTTGTTACGTTTACAGAATGAGTATATAACATTACCTCTTGCTCTGCAATTGAATCTTCGTCAAGCTCGAGGGATGGGAAACTTGTTTTAAAGTGCAGTTCAACATATCATTTCATCGGCTTTAATTTTAATTGAGTCTATAGAAATAATCATTGTTATATAAGACTTGATTCATCGTATTAATAGACTAAAAAATGTACCCTTCTACAAAAATCGACATTCAAAATTCTTTAAAAGACAAATTTCAAACTTCCTAAAAAGGGATACTAAAGTAATACTCTCGGGAAATACAAAAACATTTTAATTTTTAAAATGGCAACGAGTATAACTTGGAAGCATTTACATTAACTCGTCGTGGCAAATTCTTCCCTTAACTTTTTGATTGAAGAAAAGAAAAAGAGAAGGGTAAAACTAAATAAAAAATTATTGATGATGAATTGTTTTTTATAGAGCTGGAGTCAAACTACCAAGTGTTAATTTTTGCAACCATTAAATATTCTTGAAGCATGCTTACATGACTTTCTGAGTCTTTATCAGAAATAACCTTAATATTCATTTTAACAAATAAAGAAACGATAATACATTTAACAAAGAAGAGTTCAATGAATGAAAATACTCACTTTCCATTAAAACCTAACTTGGCCCAAGCATTTTCTCTGGGCGTACATATTTGTCAAACTCCTCCGAATTTAACAATCCCAACTCCAAAGCTGATTGTTTTAACGTTATTCCTTTTTGATGAGCATTTTTCGCAATCTTTGAAGCATTATCATATCCAATATATGGGTTTAAAGCTGTCACTAACATCAATGATTCATTTAATAACTTATTAATTTTACCTTTGTTTGCCTTTATACCATCTACACAATGAATTTGAAATGATTTTGAAGCATCACTTAATAATTGAATTGAATTTAATAAATTATATGCAATAACTGGTTTGAAAACATTTAACTCAAATTGTCCTGAAGCATTAGCAAAAGTTATCGTCGAATTATTCCCCATTACTTGAACACAAACCATAGTTAATGCTTCACATTGTGTTGGATTAACTTTTCCAGGCATTATGGATGACCCTGGTTCATTTTCAGGTAAACTTAATTCACCATATCCGCATCTTGGTCCTGAGCCCAAATATCTTATATCATTAGCTATTTTGAAAAGTGATGTAGCTAATGTATTTAGCTGTCCTGAACATTCAACAAAAGCATCATGAGCAGCTAATGCTTCAAATTTATTGGGAGCAGTTTCAAAATTTATACCAGTTAATTTTGAAATTTCTTGTGCTATTTTTACATCAAAACCTTTTGGAGAATTTAAACCTGTTCCAACAGCTGTACCACCTTGAGCTAAATAAGATAGTCTTTTGATACTTGATTCAATTCGTTCAATTCCAAACGTCAATTGTTGAACATAACCAGAAAATTCTTGACCTAATGTTAAAGGGGTTGCATCTTGTAAATGAGTCCTACCAATTTTTAGAATTGGTTCAAACTCTTTACTTTTTAGCTCAAAAGCTTGTTTCAAATTCTTTAAATTGGGTAATAAATGATGCTCAATTTCCATCACTGCTGCAACATGCATAACAGTAGGGAACGTATCATTTGAAGATTGTGACATATTAACATCATCATTAGGATGTACAGGTTTTTTACTTCCTTTTTCACCACCTAAAATTTCAATTGCTCTATTTGATATAACTTCATTAGCATTCATATTAGATTGAGTTCCTGATCCAGTCTGATATATGACTAAAGGAAAATTATCATTGAATTTACCATCTATAACTTCGTTTGCAGCTTCTTGAATTGCTTTTGATTTTTCAGGACTTAATTTACCTAATTCTTCATTAACAATTGCAGCAGATTTTTTTAATATTCCAAATGCTTTAATTATTGATAATGGCATTGTTACATTCCCAATTTTAAAATTTGTTAATGATCTTTGAGTTTGAGCTCCCCAATATTTATTTGAAGGTACTTCAATCTGCCCGAAAGCATCTGATTCAACTCGCTTGTTTGATGATTGTGACATTGTCGTGATACTCTTGATGGTGCAATTGAGAGGAAAGGACTCGTAGAAGAGGCCAATTTAAGGATAGAGAATAACGTGGGCTCAAATGTAATTTTATATTGTATTTTTATATGTACATAGGTATAATTTACGAAGATTTATTTCGGAGTTTTTTAAGTGTCAAATCGTTATTTTCTTGACCCGATTTGAATTTTCTCCGACAGGTCGTCTAGGATTATGTGTGGTCCTATACCAGGAACCCATCAATGTAAGAATTTTAGCTTAGAGGAAATAAACCAATATTGCAGGGAAGATTGAGTTAGAAGATGCATTGTAGGACTTATACCACGAAGAACCGAGTCAAAATCCACTATTGACCCTTGGCTAATTCAGTCCTCTTTAATTCACGATTCAATAAGTACTATTTTCCATACCATTATCATTCAATTCTATCTACTTACAAAAATCTAGCCCCATTTATTCTATTTAATTGCAGTTGTTGCAGTTGTTGCAGTTGTAATTGTTGGTTTTCTAATGCAATTTTTCTTTGTTGTAACCTTCTTACAGGTTCAACTTTAGCGCCAATCCAATTATATCTAAATCCAATTTCATGAGCTAAAATTTCTCCAAATCCTAACATCATTCCATTAATAAATGGTAAAATTATATTAATTGATGATTTTTTTAAAATATCTATTAAATTAGCCCACATTATTTGTCTTGTTTGTTCTTGATTTGATTTTTCTTCCAATTGTCGACTTTGTTCAATTATATTATCCGTGTTTGCTATATCTGAATTTGTTACGATTTCTTCTGGTGATATTTGTGAAGATAAAACGGTTGTTAAATCATTTGATTCAATAAGAGAATCAACTATTATTTCTTTTAATATTTCTTCATCTTTTGAATTCGTGGTTGTTGGATCAAATCTTATCTCATCTTTTGGCTTTTCTAGATCCGTCGGGTTCAGTATTGTATCTTGATTTTGGTTGTTGGTATGTTTTCGTTGTGATGTGTTTGATTCTTTAATGTATGAATTTGACATGATTAAAACCCCAAAAGTTTCTCAGTAGTATAAGTAGCTGTAATATGATGCAAAAAGGGCAACTAGCTTAATGATAAACTAATTGAAAGATAGTGTTCAGGAATTTGTTGTACAATTATTAATTGTTTCAAAAATAGAGTTTTCATGAGATTTTTTCTGGAGACAAATCTGGAGATAAGTTCACCAATAAACCCGTTAATAGAAAATATGCAATTTTTTCATAAAAATGTCATTAGTAACTAAAGTATTTAAGCCTATATAAAAAATCTATTTATATAAATCATCATACCCATTCATATTTTTAATTATTGAATCTGGATCAATGATATTACCAGGTATTGTTTTTTTACTACCTAATTTTTCAAAGGTATGAACTTTGTAACTTCGTTTAAGATGACTTGTTGAATTATAATTTCTAGTCTCATCTCTTAATTCATTTATATCAATCTTAAAATCGTTAACTAAACAATGAAAATTTTCATTTTTTGGAGATAATTCATTGTTAAATAATTGTGCTTCATTACTTTGAGTATCATTATCATTATCATATAAAATTGAATGACACGATGTATTTGATGTATTAATTGATTTTCTTTTTGGTTGTTTATGTGTGCTTGTTAATATTGATGACGATAATGAATTTGAAAAAGAATTTGATTTTCGATTATTTGAATATGTAATGGAAGATAGTGATAATGATGAATTTAGATTGTTACGACTATTATTGTACTTATCGTCTTTACTTAGATCTAATTGAGACGTTGATGATTGATTTGATTTTGGGTGCAGTAATCCAATTGATTGATCGTAGCTGTTTGCTCTAGGGTCTAAGCTGAATGGATTTCTTAATCGAGTTGGAGCTGAAGGAGCCTGGTTGTCCTCCAAATTATTTGAATGTGATTTTGGGGGCTTATGGTGATTCCCAGATTCAGTATAAGACGGATTAGAATTAGTGATCAACAAATCATTGAACATTGATTGATTCTGTAAAAGTATATCATCATTGTTGTAAAAATCTGACGAGTTATTTGATGACAAACTATCTTTTGGAGATTTTGATTTTTGAGGGTGATTTGATGGATTGGATGAAGAAGTTGAGGAAGCTGAAGATTCAATATCATGAGTTTCATAAGTTGAACTTGAACTTGAACTTGAGCTTGAATTCAAAGATGAGGATGCTGATGATGATGAAAATATTGAAGACGAACTTTGATCAACTTTATTAAAGTCAAGTCCATTATGTTTCAACCTATATTCCATTTTCGCAGCTACTGTTCTTCTCAACAATATTTCAACAGCTAAATTCAAATTTAATCGATTCAATTCCTTTTTTGACAAAAGTATTGAATCTTGTGGATATAATTTTTGAAATTTAGGTGGAATAATTTGATATTTTTGTAATTTCCCACTTGGATGACTTTTCAATTGTTGATTTAATTGAAAAACTTTTGATCTATAACATGAATATAACAGATCCATTAGATTTATTGAATTTGATCTTGAATGTCGATGATGATTATGTAATTTGGGCTCAATTTTATTGGTTTTAATGACTTTATAATTCAATAATGGATGTGGATGTAAAGGTTCCGTAAAATTCCACATTTTGATTCTATGTGGCAACATAGATAAAACTTTTTCGTTATAATTTGTAGAATTTATAAAATTTCGGAATTGATCTTCATTTTTAAAATTTGGTATAGATTTAGAAACTGATTGATATTTTAATGATTTTTTTCGTAACACTGGAAATATGAATTTTGGCCATATGGAATTGGAAGACTTTGGTGATCTTGGAGGGGATGAATTATTGGATGATAAACCACCTAATTTTTCATTGTTACTGATGTTGAAGTTTCTTTCGTCAAGAACGAACCCTTTATGTATTTCTTTTCTATTCACTGTCTTATTTCTCAGCTTAATTTTATTTCTATTTCTCATTGTAGCCAGCCTTGATAATTGAGAACCAGATCGTTTAATTGAATCTGGATCAATTAACGTAACTATAGGATGATGATTTTGGTTTACCTTACTTTCGACACTACTTTTTGAAGGGTCTTTCAAAAGATTAAAAGATCCACCACCGGTACTAATATTATGAGATATCAAATTATAATTTTCAGAATTATGCCATTGGTTTTGAGGTAATTGAATTGACAACTCTTGAGGAATAATAGCATCTGAACCCGACTGTATCACACTTGGGTTTGATGGCTTTTGCTGTCGCTGTTGTTGCTTGGTATGAGTTGTAGTAAAGTCTTCATCTGTATATATGATCTCAAAGGGGTTTGATGTTGATAATGGTCTTGAATAAACTTTATTTTGAGTTGACGATAGATTCGAACCAAAACTATCCGAATGTTTGTGAGCCTGATAACTTTGTCTAAATGGATCCGAAGTTGACCCCGTTATTATAGATGCATGAGATGATCTTGGTATTGCAGTAGTCATATGATTTTAGACTGTTTCATTAGCTTTAGTTTTAGTATACTTGTTGGTAATTAAATTTAAATTAATTTGAAAGAAAAGGGTTTTGTAATCTTTACTAAAATTTGAAATTCTAAATTTAAAGTTTCAGGTTAAGAAGATCATCAATTGAATTAAATGATATCATCGTATATGAATTTTAAGCGTTGTATTGTACTGCACCGTATCACATTGAATATAATAATATTAAGTTTCATAATTTCAAAATGGCTGGTCAAATATTAAATTTGGTTTTGCAACACAAAATAATTTATTATTAGTTTTACTAGTGTACCGAAGGGAACTACCAAATGCTCTCTATTTTATTATAGGGTTAAGGTCAGTAAAGGAAAGTTATATTTTCGTCTACTCACCTTATAAACTTGAAACTCTTCGTCAAGACGAATCTTACTACTTCAAGAGTAAAAACTATTGTGACGATTAACATTTCCTTCAATGACCTCGTGTGAAAGAGACAAAAACTTAATATATTGACACTTTGAATTATAATCTAAACGATAGATTCCTACCATAATTCTGTATAATCGGCATAAAATTACAATCTGTCCAATCAAAATCACAAACACTAGATCTTTCAACTCTAGTTATACAATAAGTCAATACCTTTTCAATTCAATGTTATAATAGTTTTTAGTGCTGAGTCTTTACTATGATAAACAAATACTAGACGATCCGACATTATACTATACTAGACGACACTTTGTATGCTAAAAAATGAACGTGACACGTCAAAAATTAAATTAACTAATACAAAATGTCTTTCTTACATACAAAGTGTCGTGTACTAATAATAAATTTATTTTTAAATCAAAATAATTAATATTTTTTTTGTTGTCTTTTTGATCTCAATTCTGATCTTTCTTTTGAATTTGAAGTTGAACATTGATACCCCATTTTCACTTTAACAACTCAATCATTTCAATCATAAAATGGATAAATTAAAGGAAGTATGTATTATTTTGAATATTGGTGGTGTCAATTCATTGGATGGTAGAGCTAAAAAAAATATTTGAAATGTTCAATTGAGGAGAAATCTGACCAATCCTAGGTTTGATATGATCTGAATAATGTATGAGCTAGACTTTTAAAATAAAAATGCTCGAGATCTAAAATCTGGGAAGATTGATGAGGTCTATAGACTGATTCATACCTAATTATGGTGAGTCCGAATCAATTGGTTTTATCATTCCTTCAGCCTCCTATTTGGCACTACTTTTACAAATTTGAATCGTAATTATCAAGTTACTAACTGCAATTTTTTTTTAGAAAATCAACAATTTAAAATTAGATGCTGAAAAATGGCAAGAAAAATCAGATGAATTAGCTGATAAAATTAAAGAATTAGAACAAGAAAATTTAGAAAAAGATAATCAAATTCAATCATTAACTAGAAAAAATCAAGTATTAGAAGAAGAAGTTGAAAAATTAGAAACTTCAATAAAAGATTTAAAATTAACAAGTGATGAATCTCATTCTTTAAAAACTTCAAATGATAATTATACTAAAAAAAATCAAATATTAGAAGAAGAATTAGAAGAAAGTGATAAAAATTTAAAATTAACAAATGAAAAATTAAGAGAAACTGATATAAAAGCTGAACAATTAGAAAGAAAAGTTACAAGTTTAGAAAGTGAAAAAGAAGAAATTGAAAAGAAATATGAAGAATTAACTGAAAATTATAATAATGTTAAAGCTGAATTAGATGAAATTAGTCAACAATTAGAAGCTATTTAAATTTGTCGATTAAGTTATGGGAAAAGAAGCTATGGATTTTATCATTTTTCATTATTCCTCGAGTGCTGATTGTTTTTGCAATCAATTTAACTATATATAGCATTACTACCAAGAACCATTTAATATTTGAGATTTAGATCGAATCTAAGTGTATTTCTTATCGTATTCTCTTTGATACATCAAGATTAGATTAATTGTATAATGTACATCGTATTGTGAGCTTCGCCTCCTTGTTGTAAAATATTCAAAACTAACTTTTTCTACTCTATGTATTTGAATAAATTGTGATATCAGAGATGGATAACCGCGTGGCCCATTGTGAACCATACATTAAACTAGCACCAGTCTAGTATCTGTGTTGAAACAGAGCGTCACATATATGATACGGCTAAAACTGCACTGTAGAACGCTTGGATTTAATTTAGACCAATTATCAATAAGATTTACAATAAATCAAGGAGGAGAATTTGAATTAATTATCTGATTGTTCCTTAATTTCTGAAACAATGAAATTCATTAGAACAATAGAGAGAAAAAAAAATATTTTTATATTAAACAAACAATCAATCAATCTTATCATTCAAATAAATCCGAGGAAGTCAACCAGATCAATACCAGACTTACTTACATCTGCTAAGATAATCAACTGCATTATAAACTCATTATATACTTTGTTGCACAGTGCTACTCATAGACTCATTTTATTATTGAAATTTGTACTTTTTTATCATTTTTCAATTATTATAAGGTAATATCACCATATAGAGTTGACAAAGACTTTCAAACCATCACCGTTCAGAATTAATCCTTAATTGCATTCATTATTAAGAAACACTCATATTCAAGATACTAATGACGATATCGTCTTCCATCAGATCTCGATTTAGAAGTGGATTAGAATCAAATCAAATAGATGATGATTATTTAACTCCTTCCACTCCTTCCCAAACAAATTTAAGAGAACGGCGAAATCATTCCGCACAGCAATATTTAAATCAAAATGACAATTCCAATCAATCTTTACCTGCTTTGAATCATCAAATCTCACAAACAAATCTTAGATCTTCACTATCACAAAACTCTAGATCTGTATCATTTCCTACTATACATTCGTCAAATTTATATCATCATCAACAAAGTTTACAGAATCTTCATGGAATAGATCCCCTCAATGATCCAGTTGAATACGATCCAAATCTTGTCGACTCAAGTATTTTACATGATCAACAATTTGATCCAGATGAAGCAGTACCTACATATGAAACATCTCAAATGCTACATCAAAATAGTTCAAATAATCTACATCATATAAATTACGAATCATCATATCCAACACAATCCCAGCCATTATTGCATAATCGACAAGATTCCTCGAATGATATTGCATCAACATTATTATCCCATTTATATACACCAATTCCATCATTACCAATCCCAAGAAACAATTCAACTTCAATGTTACATCTGGAATCTTCAGAATCATCATTACTGAATAATACAATATCATATAATCCAGATCATTCATCACAAATTCATCAATCTACATCGTCTATAACTTTACATAATCATCAACAACAAAATAAACAACAAAATAAAAATAAATTTAAACAAACATCAATAAAAAAATTAGGTTTAAAATTTTTAAATGCAAGACAACATTTTTTATTAGCAAGTTGTAGAGATGTTAGTTTATTACCTCCCTTATTTGGATTATTTCAATCATGGAAAAGAATATATATTGAAGAAGAAAGAATTATTGATTTACCAATAAATAGAAAATTAACTACAGCAAGAGGTTTAGAACATTTTTTAACTGGATTATGGTGTATTGTTGCAACTTATTTATCTTATTCAATTTTAGATTCTTTATTAGTAAGATGGATTATAACTTATTCTACTTCTGCTGCAATAGTTAGAGTATTATCAATGTCAACAATAATGATAACTATAGAATTATATTTAGTAAGTACTTTTAGTGCTACTGGATATCAATATGGTTTACATATTTGGATTTTAATAAGTTGTTTATTAACTTTAACTTTTATTGTTCAAAATTTTGTTACTTCAAATTTACAATTAGAAATAAATCAAACAGAATTACAACAAAAAAGAAATTCGAATCATATAATTAATGATGAGGAAGAACAGGGAATTGAATTAGTGGCTGGTCCACAACAATCACAATCACAATCATCACAATCGTCACAATCACAATCACAAAGAAAATTAAATAATATGAAACGACAACGACTGAAACCAAGAAGATTTTTTGATTTTTATAATATTGTTGTATTCGCTGTTGTACCAGTAGGTTTAGCAAGTTTTGTTACTATGATTGGTTTATTAAGATCTTTATTAATTTTAAGGATTGATGTTGATCAAGCTTTTCAGCAAGTAAGGTAGATAAATAATAATATAATTTTAATATTTAGGAATAGATGATTAATATAATAATAGGAGACTAAATTATAAACTTATTAAGATGTTGTTGATTTGTCCTCTTGAATAATATGGACATATTTTCTCATTCTTTGTTTCTCAGCTGACACCCTCGTCAAATTCTATATACTTGTAGCACTAAAGTGATAATAAAGCTTGCAGAACAGTCTTCCCCGAATAAAGCTCTAACCTTTTAACTGACTTGAACTTACATCAAGTTTCAATCGTTGTGACAGGTTAGCCTGGGTATTGCCCGCATGAATGCTAGTTATTAATGGTTGATTATAGTCTAAATTATAATTATTCACATTTTACGATGCCTCGTAAATAAATCAGATCTGACACAAAAATGAATTACAGGGTCTAAATATCAAAATATTGAAAGTACCTACAAGACAACAAACTGTCATGTTTTTGCTACTCCGTCGACTTGATTTGCGTAATGCTTTATAGAAGAATCTTTCAATGGTAATTGACCAAATACTTAAGTAATTGGTTAGATTGAAGCTGCTATTATATTAGTTCTGAAAAATTTATCCTTTAATGTGATTGCACTTTATGACGTCAGATGGGTTCTCAATATTCCGCGACAATAAAATATTGGTCAAAAATTAAACTAGACGTGACACTGATTGTTGTGACATAAAAACCAAAGCACAATATTAATTAACACAAAAGTACAAGTTATTCCATATAATCTTTTATTCTTCCGAACTGAGTACAAAGATTTAAAAAAGAAACTTCAAACCGTTGGGGTGCTAATATTGTATATACATTACATTAAACGTTTAATGGGTTAATTTAGTGTTTTTGAAACAGTCTTTATTCCGAATTCATAACTAAAGAAACACGATACGATGATGCCGAATTGAAAAATTTTAAAAATCATATAAATAGGTATAAAATTATCATATCTTAGCAATCTGTACTAATCAAACTCATTTACTATAAATAAAGCTATTCAAAATAATTTTAAAATGTCATTTAAATCATTAATTAAACCAGAATCAGATGGAAATTTAGAAGTACCAACCAAACCTTTCAACTTATCTAAGAATATACTTGAAAGATTCTCATTAAAGGGTAAAGTCACAGTAATAACAGGAGGTGCAGGTGCCATTGGTTCAGCAATAGCAGAAGGTTATGCTCAAGCAGGTGGGGATGTTATAATATTAGATCATTCACATACTGATAATGGATTATGTGAGAAATTAATTAAAGATTATGGAGTTAGATCTAAATTTTATCAAATTGATGTAACAAATGCTGAACAAGTTAAAGAAGTTGTCAATAAAATCGATGAAGAATTTGGAAGACTTGATGTATTTGTAGCTAATGCAGGAATTGCTTGGTATACTGGATCAATTTTAAATCCAGATTCAACTCCAGAAAATTGGAGAAAAGTAATTGATGTAAATGTTAATGGAGTATTTTATTGTGCAAAATATGTTGGAGAAATTTTTAAAAAACAAGGAAGTGGATCATTTATAATAACTGCATCAATTTCAGCTCATATAAATAATGTTCCAAATTATCAAACATGTTATAATACTTCTAAAGCAGCAGTAATGCATATGGCAAAAGGTTTAGCTGTTGAATTTGCAGGATTTGCTAGAGTTAATTCAGTAAGCCCTGGATATACAAACACATTATTAAGTGAACCTATACCAAAGGAACAAAGAGCTAAATGGTGGGGATTAACTCCAATGGGTCGAGAAGCAGAAACCGACGAGATGGTTGGTAGTTATCTTCTACTTGCATCAGATGCTTCTAGTTACATTACGGGATCAGATATAAAAGTAGATGGTGGATATACGTCGATTTAAAATTGCTCAATGTGTTTGACTGGCTCCTTTGTTGGTTGATCAACACTTTCTGGGGTGTTTGATTTGATAAAAAGTTGATAAAATCAAAAGTTTCTTCATTTTTACCATATTTTTTCCGCTTTTTCAAGTTGGTTCAATTTCCAGTTTTATAGATATGTACGTCTGACTGAATATAGGTAGTTGACTAAATTCATAGAATATGGAACTTGAAGTTGTTATTGTAAAGAATTTGTTTTAATACAGAATTTGACGTAATCTCTCTAATCTCGTTTGACGTATTTTTTTTTTGTTGATCTAAAAGATCATAGCTAGACTGAAAAATTATTAACACAGTAATAATACAAGCATCAATATCATTCATATGTTGATCACTTTACAATGAAATTCATTTTCTATTTGCTAGTAAACTTGGCGCTAGCCATTGCATATATACCGGATATAAATATAGATCAGCATCAACAACAACAGCAACAACAACAACAGCTAAATACAAAACCTACGTCTGAAATTATTGATGAATTATCATTAAATAACTTACTACAAATCAATTACAAGTCTGATATAAGTACATATCAATTATCAAATGGCATAAAATTTGATTCAGGAAGACTATTATTTTCGAAATTAGATTCAATGTGGTCAAACCTCAATTTACCAACTTCAAATGAATTTACAATTGAAATAGTATTCAGATCAACTGGAAAGTCTCAAGATATTCGATTCAGTGATAACAACTTAGCGATCTGGATTTATGATGATTCTATATCTACTATTGGATCTAAGAATTTCGATGGGTTTAAATTCTTAATCAATAATAATCAACAACAAGGTTTAAAAATTTTTAATAATGATGGAAGTGATGCGGAAAAATTCAATTTAGATGAGTCATTAGGAGATTGTCAATTCAGATATTTGGAAAGTGATGTACCTTTTACTTTAAGAATTTCATATAGTAATCTTAAAAATTGGTTTAAAATTCAAGTAGATAATAATCTATGTTTTAAAACTAATCATGTGAAAATACCAGTTGGAAATTATAAGTTAGGATTAACTAGTTTTATAAATTCTCAATCAAATGAAGAATTCGAAATCTTAGGACTTAAAGTATGGGATAAGGTAATTGAAGACGCAATAGATGATCACGGAATAATGATTGATGGAGAATTGAAAGTTGATACAATTACTAAAGTTGTTGATACACCAAAGGATGATCATGTTAGACCGAATGTCGTTAGGGAATCTTTAATGGAGAGGGCAAGAAAACATAGAGAGGAAATGCTTATGATGGAACAGCAGATGAACCAAAACAATGAAATCAAAAATCAACCTGATTTATCAATTGTACTTGATAGATTAAATGATTTAGAATTTTCAATAGCAGATTTATCAAAAATTGTTGGATCTAACGGAATTTCATCATCTAGTTCATCTTCAAACTCTCCATCATCACAAGAAATTTCTGAATTAAAAGAATTAATTCAACAATCTCAATCAGTTGTAAATAATTTACAAAATATAATAGCAAAACAATATATTGAATTATTAGATTCAGTATCACAATTAAATCAAAAATTAATAGGTGAAGTAAGAGAACAACATTTTGGTATGGAAGAAATTTCAAAAAAAGTAGATTTATTAATGAATGAACATAAAGAAGTTAAATATCAATATCAAAAACAAAAAATTGAAGAAGAATCATTGAATTCAAATGATAAACCAAGAATATCAAATAATGATGGAGTTATATTTGATAAAATTATTAAATGGATTTTAATTCCTTTAATTATTGTATTATTGGCTTTAGTAGTCTTTGTATATAGACTTAGACATGATATAAAACATTCTAAATTACTTTAGTTATTGAATTAATGAATGATCATGATAATTCAGTTGAAATTCTAAATCTTCTCTTATGTTCTCAATGAATCGATTGATTTTCTTTTTGGATCTAATTTTGAGGTATTTAATGAGTCTGATGAACCATTGGTGTTGACAACCTGATCATCTAATAACATTGAACTTAACCTTTTCTTTTTTGGTGACGTTGATCTTTTTAACGAGATCGGTGATTTTGTTGGGGTTGGAGGAGGAGGAGGAGTTGATGATGATGATTTAGGTTTGATGTTTTCTTTTTCATCGATTGGTTGTACAGGGATGGTTTCAACAACAGTTTGTGAAGCTTGTTTACGAGTCTTTGGCTGTTGAAGTTCTGGCTGATCATGAGCAGGCTGAGGTGGATGTTGTTCTTTATTATGTTTCACAGCACTTTTTAATCTGGATTCTAATCTAGACTTTGACCTAGCTGCTAGTGATTCCGTGGGACTTAATTCTTGATTTGTTGATTGTTTATTTGACGATGAGTTTGAATTAGATTTACTTGGTATACTACTATTACTACTAGTTGATCTAGTTGATGATATTCTTCTTAATTCGTTGAAAATTGTTTCTTTATTATCGATTAAATCTCGAACAAGGGCTGACGGATGTTTATCTTTCAAGTATTGTCTAGACGATATTAAAGTCGTATCGGCATTATTGTGCGATTCAAATTTTGGTCTTAAAATTAATTTTCCAAATTCAAAACAAATAAGTTGTTGTAAGTTAGCAGAAGCATCTTTATTCTTTGAACCAATTATTTGAATTAATCTTTTTAAATGAGTCAATAAAGAATCCAATGTAGCTAAATTACATTTCGGCAACTCTGATAATACATTTTGTAGACCATTTATACGTACTTCCTTTTGTTTGGTTTCATTGTAATTTAAATATAATAATTTAATAACATCATAAAAACTATTTGGAATTAATGAATCTGGTAATTCAAGTAAATATAATTTTAAAACGTTGGTAATGACGATAGGATTTGTTTTGACTAAGATTTCATTGATTTTGTTTGGATTGTCCAATCCGTTCAATTGTGATCTTAATTCGTGAGTGTTCGTTAAGTGTACAGGTTGAGTCCACAAATTAATCCTTTCCTGATCATCAGTCAATTCTGGATAAACGTGATCTAAATGACTAAGTATGCATTGAATTAAAATAGGAACTATTTTTTTGTCTAATCTAGACTTCACATTCAAATCAACACCAAAAGTTTGTTTAATATTCGATTCGTAATAGTTGTCATATAATGTAACCTTCGGTTTGAAATATCCAGTTGAATAATTTTCAATTAAAAACTTTAAATCATTTTTCGGGTTAATTGTTTCTTCAATTAATATTAATTCTTGAGAAATATCTTGAATTCGATTGGTATTAGTATAAAAACTAGCAATAAAATCATAAGTTACTTTCTTAATTGCCTTTAATCTATCAAGTTCACACTTTTGCATAAATGTTAAATGATCCATTGCTACTTCTTCAAATTCACATCTCAATTGATCCAATTCTTGACACACGTTAAAATACTGAAGGTCCAAATTCTCAACTTCTTTGACTAATCTGGGATATTGGGATATGTCGTTGTAATCTATACTATTTACACCAATTGCTTCTTTCATGTCGTCCAAGTTAAACTGTCCAAAACTCTTGGTGAATGATTGAGTCTCTTCTTGGTCTTGTGGTTTAATTTGTGCCAATGCAAATGCTTCTGGTTTCCATTGATAATAAAATTGAGATGAATTGATAAATGTTTTATTTATTGGGTTAATGTTTTTTATAAAATTGTTATTAATTAAATCTTGTCCAAATTTTTCAGCTTTCTCAAGGTTTTTCCCGATTTCAGATACATTATCTAACACCCACTGCGTTATTGAACTTCCAGTAGATACATTTTGATAAGTTCCTAAAATAGCAACTTTATGAGATGATTTTGGGATTCCATTCAACATTTCTGAAATTAGGTTTTGGACTTGAAGTGTGTTGAATTCTACTTGTGTGAACTCAAAATTATTAACTTCTTCTTCTTCTTCCTCTGTATTGCCGTTGATCTTTTTATGAAAATCTGCATCGTTGGTTTCTTCATTTAATTCTTCTTCAGTATAGTTATTCTTAAACTCTTCCAATAGCCTGCACTTATTAAAATATTTCTTTTGAATTTTATCAGCTTGTATTTGTAAGTTCTTCAATTTCTTATATTTTGAATTTAATATGGTATTAGAGTAATCAACTCTTTCCTCATGCTCGCTGGCCCATTTTTCAAAAGGTTTCAACACCATATTTTCAATGTTATCCGCTATATTTAAATGATATTCACCTTGTTTGGAAAAATTATCTTGTAATTTCGAAAAGGAGTTCTTAATGGTTGAGACATAATCGTCATTATATTGTCTTTTGCTTAAAGGTTTTAAGTCTGTCTGAATAGATTGCAAAGATGAACCATATAGAAATTCCAGTTCCATTCGCTTTTTAAATAGGTTTATGAAATCATTGTCTTCATTGATACCTTCTTTTAGTTGTTTAAATAAAATTTGAAATCCCAGGGTATAATCTTGAGACCAAAAGTTTTCAGCAAATGACATATCATGAAAGTATCAAAACTGAATGGAATTCAAAAAAACAATGAGGTAAACGAAAAATCAATGAAAATCTGAAATAAATGTAATGCACAAGTTGTCGAAAGAAATATGGTCAAAAAATTCTGATTTGAAACTTGAAACTTGAAACAAACAAAACACAGAAATATAAAAGTGTTGTTTATTACTGCACGGGAATTGGTAGCAAAGACGCGTTATAATCAATGTCTATGATAATTCAGATTCCAATCACAATTGATCGTTGTGTTATATTTCTTGATTTAACATATAAAACGACTCAAATAACTCCCTAATGAGAGGCCCTCAACTAGATTCTGTTCAAACAAAGCTTTACTTAGGCTAATGTTTACATCACAACATCAAATAAAGCGTTATAGGGTTTACAATGCTACCAAATTTTAAATGGTTATTTGATGTCACAAAATTCGAGAATATGATTTTCTAGATCTATTCAAGATTTAAGATGGTTCAGTTGCACCATATTTTCAAAGAAAAATAGGAACATGCTAAGTCAATTAACTAGGAGAACTTTGCCAGGCACACTAAGAACTTGCAAGAGGTTATTTGCCTCGAATTACCCCGAAGATACTGAAAAATCATCGCCGCGGAAGTCAGATCTACCCCCACATAAAGATGGATTGTATTTTGGTCGATTTACCAAAAAAGAATACGAAGAAGCAGCAAAAACAGTAAAAGAACAAATTCTAAAACTTGAAAATGATATTAAAGGAGACTTTAATGTTAGAGAAAATATTGGCAAGTATCCTCAATTCCCTGAGCAAGGTCCTTCTGCCAAAGAAATTAATAATTTGACTGACTTTTTCGAACAAACCATTAAATTAACTGGTGCTATATCATTAAGTGCATACATGAGACAATGTTTAACTCATCCTCACTTTGGTTATTATACTACAAGAGACCCATTAAATTTAAAAACAGGTGATTTCGTGACTAGTCCTGAAATTTCATCGATTTTTGGAGAGATGATTGGGATTTGGTATTTCACAATATGGCAATCTCAAAATCAACCATCTAATATAAGATTCATTGAATTTGGACCAGGTAAAGGGACTTTGATGTATGATATAATCAAAACATTTAACAGATTTATTGATAAAGTAAGTCCTATAAAGCCAAAAATAGAACTTGTGATGATTGAGGCATCAGGAGTGTTAAGACAGGAGCAATATAAATTACTATGTGATGGAAATGCTAGCATTCTTAAACCTACGGATCAAGGGTATCATGAATCTACAACAAAATGGGGAAATCCAATTACTTGGGTAGATACAGAAAAAAGTATAGATCACAATACAAATTTAACAAATTACGTGATAGCTCATGAGTTTTTCGACGCGTTACCTATAAAATCATTTATCAAACAAGAAGATGGTTGGAGAGAGTTAGTAGTGGAACATACTCCTAGTGTTAATAATGATCAATTAAAGCTTGAAACTACAACTAAGGCACATGATAATCCTACTCTAGAAACTGCATTCCATCTTAGTATATCACCAAAGGAAACACCATCATCGATGATACCCAAAATAAGTAATAGATACAAAGACTTGCCAATTGGTTCAAGGATTGAAATATGTACGGAGGCCGAATTGTATATAATGAAAATTGCTCAATTGGTTGGTGAAAAGTCAGGCGCAGCATTGATAATAGATTATGGGGTTGTAAATGAAATTCCAGAAAATTCACTAAGAGGGATCTATAAACATCAATTTGTATCACCATTTTATAAACCTGGAGAGGTTGATTTATCAATTGATGTAGACTTTTCCAATTTGAAATCACTTGCTGAAAATTTGGTTCAAATTGAAGGTCCCATAACCCAAGGTGAATGGTTGACTAATGTAGGTATTGGATATAGAGTTGATCAACTAATTAAACAAAATAGTTCAAATGAAGAACTACAGGATCAAATTTATGGTGCTTACAAAAGATTGGTTGATGATGATGAAATGGGGAAAATTTATAAGTTCATGGCGCTTTTACCCAAAGGTTCTGAGAAAAGTGTAGGATTCTAATATGTTATTGGTGATAAAGTAATCGAAGACTGCATCGATGAATGATAACCAGAATTATTTATTGGCATTCATCATTTGCAACCAACACATGAGTCGAACTCTGGCTCCTAGGCGTCTAAATAATTGTTTTACTAGTCTCAACGCAAAGAGAGTTTGTACAAAGGCATGAAGGAAATAGAAACTCGAAATAGAAGTTCATGGATCAACACAATTTTGCTTCTAAGCTTCACTCCGCTCACTTGGAATAAACTTTTACAACGACTTTGAATATTTATTAAATATTATATTTATGACAGTCTTAAAAATTAATTGGTTTATCAAATGTTGCTAAAGCAGCCTCTTTGAATGCTTCAGATAATGTTGGATGAGCGTGACAAGTTCTTGCAATATCTTCAGTTGATGCGCCATATTCTAAAGCTAAACCTGCTTCAGCAATCATTTCACCAGCATTTGGTCCAATGATATGAGCACCCAATACTCTTTCTGTTTCAGCATCGGCAATTATTTTAACAAATCCATCGGTGTCTAAATTAGTTTTAGCTCTTGAGTTTGCAATGAATGGAAATTTACCAACTTTATATTTAATTCCTTTTTCTTTTAATTGTTCTTCGTTAAGTCCTACCCACGCAACTTCTGGATGTGTATACATAACTGAGGGTATGTTTGCATAATTAACATGACCATGACCATTTTTGATATATTCTGCTGCTGCAATTCCTTCTTCTTCTGCCTTGTGTGCTAACATTGGACCAAATGTTACATCACCAATGATTCTTATATGGTCATGTTTTGATTTTAGCTGGTCATCAATTACAAGTCTTCCTTTGTTATCTTTTTCTAATCCTGCTGCTTCCAAGTTTAATCCTTCAGTGTAAGGTCTTCTTCCAACTGCTACTAATAAAACATCAGCTTCCAAATCTTCTTTTTTACCTGATTTAGCATCTTCAACTTCAATTTTAACTACATCTCCTTCTCTTTTACCAGAAAGAACTTTAGTTCCGGTTTTAATGTTGAGTCCTTGTTTACTCAATAATTTTTGGGTAGTCTTTGAAACTTCAGCATCCATACCTGCACCAATAGAATTTTGGAATTCTAATACAGTAACCTTTGAGCCTAATCTTGCATAAACTGAAGCCATTTCTAATCCAATGATACCTCCACCTATGATGGCTAATCTTTCTGGAATTTCTTTTAATGATAAAATACCAGTAGATGTAACTATTCTTTCTTCGTCTACTTCAATTCCAGGGAAGGGAGTTGGTTCTGATCCAGTAGCAACTATGAAATTTTCAGCTTCAACTTCAACAGGTTCACCACCTTCAATTGGGTCAACTTTAACTTTTTTTTCATCAACAAATGATCCAGTTCCTTTTAAATAATCAACTTTATTCTTTTTAAATAACATTTCAACACCTCCAGTCAATTGTTTTACTGATTTTTCTTTTGCTGCCATTAATTTACCAAAATCAACTCCAACAGTTCCATCAATGGCAATTCCTCTATCTCTTGCTTCATGTTGAACAGTATGTAACAAATGAGTATTATTTAATAATGATTTTGATGGAATACATCCAACATTTAGACATGTACCTCCTAAGGCTCCTCTTTTTTCAATACATGCTGTATTTAAACCTAATTGAGCAGCTTTAATGGCTGCTACATAACCACCTGGTCCTCCTCCTATTACTACTACATCATATTTTTTTGTTGATGCGTATCTGACAAATTGTGCTAATTTTGAACTTTGTGTTGACGTAAATGATCTCAACATAATTTCAATTTTGATTTGTGTTTATATGAGTTGATGAATGGTCGTTCTATAAGTCGAGATTGATAATGATAATGGTTTAGATTTGAGATACTTTCGGTCTTTAATATAAAAAAAGAAAAATTATTAAGTTGAATTTAATTAGTTAGATTTGTCTTGGTAGCATGTTTTAGTGCGCAAACAGAAGTCCAAACTTATCTCAATTTTTTACACGACCGGGTCAAATTTTAAGTATAATCTTATGCCCGGAGGATGCCTGAAACAAATTGAAAAATAAATCGGTGAATTTTCGATGACTGAATACTCAGATATCTTGAATTCAACATTGAGCTTGATCTTTATGTCCGAGAGCTGTCACTTAAATTTTTTTAACTCATCTGAATATGTGGTACAAACTTATACGATAAAAAAAGACCTGAGTACGAAATGACTGATTTGTCATCTAGCATTTACCATGTACTATAATCTGGCCTTTAACTCTGTTTTTGCATACATAAAGCGTCATCATTTACTGCCATGATACTTGAGTGAATTTGAAAAAAAGTCTATTAAATTTTGCAGTAAAATTTTCCAAAAAAGGCTTAAACTAAGTTTAAATTGATGACGAAGACAACTCGAATGGCTCTATCTTCGGCTACAGTGAAACATGAGTTGTCAAGAAAACGATTTATTAGCCCTATAATCGTATCCAGTGTAATACGTAGAATCACAAAAAATAAAAAAAAATATTTAGCCCGACGCGGGACTCGAACCCGCAGCCTTGAGATTAAAAGTCTCACGCTCTAGCCGATTGAGCTAGCCAGGCAACTAATTTCAGACGACTGCTCCAAACCGCTGAAATCGATGTTAAAAAACCCCTAAGCTCAAAATATAGTACTAAATCCACGTGACATGCACACCGTATACCACGTGTTTTTGACAGTTTTTACACAAAAGAAAATTAAAATCTGAAACATTCAAATTGGTTTAAAGTTATATGTGGTACAACTATTACTAATTGACTTCTAATGTCAAGCGTAATGAACCTCTTTTTTTATAAGTCTGAGCAATTAATCAGTCCTTGACATTTTATTTGATGGTACTGCTAGTTTTGGCAATGGTAAATGATTCTACAAATTATTTGCAGCAAAATTGCAACAATACTAAAAAGTCCAAGCAGGTGATACTTTTGTTTAGATTACTATAGTTAAATTGATTTGAGCCATGAGAACAAAAACTGAAATCATAAACCCGTTTTTGAAAATTATCTCAATTGATACAAACAATGGTTTCTCCAAAATTCATTACTACGCTTCCATTTGAATCATAAAAATTTTGGTAGATATTCAAGTGAGGAAAAAGTTTTTGAACTCTAGAGCTAATTTTAGCTGAGAATATGGTATGATTTACTAGTGATGAAAAATAGGTAGGATTGACTAGTCTTTAATATTTTTCAGGCACTGTTCTGCTAGATTAAAACCAACACGTTGGAAAGTCTCGCGTGTCATTAGCAACGTGTGTTTAAACCTTAGTCACAAATGACTCTAAATACGTTTGCAGTCAAATGTCCACCAATTTATTCAACATCACACCGTTGTTCATTGATATATTTAAAGTAGAGCCTTCAAATTGTGACTTATTATGTCAGGTAAGGTTATATATTTCTTACAACAAAAGAGAGCAAAAAAAGTATCTGAAATGTATAATTTTGCAATTTAAATTTCCGCAGATTGTCACAGAATTTCCAAAACTAAATCTTTATACAAACTAAAACTAAAAAAATTCGAACTCTATTCAAGATATTTTTATAATTCAAACTAAACAAAGTTTTCAATCATTATCAAATACTTATATTTAACTCATTTACATTCAATCTTTATTGCTCACTTGAAAGTGTTATTACCGCTTACATAAGGCTTTCCCACAAGTTAAATTAGGTAACAAAAACGATTTAGAAAAAAAGAAATATTCTATCAGATCAAGCAAAGAATCTCAAAGATGTATACTCTGTTACTTCTTCTATTTAATAGAATGAATATTTTCAAGAAACCACTAATACATACGAATGGTTCATCGTCAAGTCAGGGTGTCTCAGGTTCCAAGTCACCAACTTCACAATCATTGCCACTATTATTAACTATCTCGCCCCAAGAGATACGAAATAAATTTGATGAATTGAATGAGGTAGAATCAAATAGAATAATTGAAGGTTTAAATAATCCTACTACATCTCATTGGGCATTGACTGCTGCCATATCAAAACAAAATAAAAGCAGGAACAGATATACAAACGTCACACCTTGGAATGAAAGTAGAGTAAAACTACCGGTGAAGCAAGATTCTTATTCAAATTATATTAATGCTTCATATGTAAATTTATCAACAAATGACTTAAAGAATTCATATATTGCTTGTCAGGGACCATTAGATACAACGACAAATCACTTTTGGTCAATGAGTTTTGAAGAACTGGAGAAGCAAGGAAATGATATCATAATAATTGTAATGGTTACTCCATTGATTGAACAAGGGATGGTGAAATGCGATAAATATTGGCCAGATCTAGGTGAAAAATGGGATTTTGGGCGTAAGAATTTAGAGGATGGAATAGTATATGATGATTTAACAATCGAAAATATTAATGAAACATATGATCAAAATGAAGATTATTTAGTCACTGAATTTTTACTCAAATCTGGTTCGAAAGAGAAGAAAGTATATCACTTTTATTATTACAAGTGGGCTGATGCAAAAGTTCCACCATCTTCAATTCCGCTACAAAATTTATCCAATCATATAAAGGAAACGAAACAACTTTCACAAAACGCACCGGTTCCAATCGTTCATTGTTCAGCAGGTGTAGGCAGATCTGGTACATTCATGGTATACGATCATTTGTTTCAAGATAAAAATAAGTTCAAAGAAATTTTGAATGACCACAAGACTAAAGACTTTATATACAAAACGGTTTATCAGTTACGAACTCAACGTATGATGATGGTTCAAACCGTCCATCAATTTCAATTCTTATACGGACTAGGTAAAGATATTTATAACGAGGATGATTAAAATTTGTAGATCAAATGTAATTAAATAATAACTAATATATAATATAAGCTAGAAATGAGTTTTGTTATCTTTTTACTAAATACTTAAATGTAACGCACTTGGACGTTTTGCACCTTTATCAAATAAGATCGATGAACCAGGCCTTTAACTTCGTTAAGAAATTGTTTTGGTCTAAGTTACAACAATTTCATCTTTCAACCTATTCATGTGATTCGTAGTAACCCATTAATGCTTAGTATCATAAGGACACTACAAATGACTATGAAATTATAATCCTAAAAGCGTTAGATTATGAGAACACAACTAATCTGTTGGAGTCATTGGTGTGATAAGTTTGTTGCAACTAGGTTAAAAATAATTTTTGCAACACTTTTTTTGCAACACTTCTTTTTAACCACCCACGGATTAAAAATCATGCTTACAATCCTACTTGACATGGTAGGCAAAGAGTTGATTGAGAAAAACTGTAATTCAAAGATTGGATCTTTTGAAATTGAAAAAAATTCGAATTTACCCAGCATGTATTATGAGTTAATAATTGATGTTATTCAATTGCATGTTTTAAAAAGTATTATACAAATTCTTTTGGAATCACAGAAAATGATTTTGATTAAAGGGTCAATAGAAGATAGCTTCAACTTGAAAGGAATCTATATAGGTTTTGGATTAATCAAGGTGATGAATAGTGACCCTGAAGAGATCTGTAAAGCAATGAGCAAAACCTCAAGACATGAATCTTTGTTTGATACAACTCCACTTTATTCAGCACCAAGAGAATTGATAAAACCACTCGATACACACAAGAGTGAAACATTCCCGAAAAACGACTCGCAAAACAATTTTGTCGAAAGAAAGTTCAACCTAAATTCAACGCAAGTAACCAAAATATTAGGTAAAAATGGTCAAACTTTAAATTCAATTAGACTTCAGCTGAAATGTTGGATCAACGTTGAGAATCCACTAATATTGGAACATCAATATAGAAGAAAAGATGTGATGCAAACGATAACTATTGGGGGAACACCAAGTAATGTTCAAATTGTGCTTGATGAGCTCATGCAATTATTAAAGTCTTTTGCAAAGACTGGATAAATTTGGTTGCAAAATACTTGAGTATCATAAAATTGTTTTGTATGGAATTACATTAAGCGGTTAATGGGGGCTTCAGCTGATTTGCGACATGAGTTTTTGGATCTACGACAAAGCATCCCATTTAGAATAATCTTGCTACCAAAAATCAATACTTTTGTACCACAAATATTTTTTTGCAAAGCTTGAAAAATTTTTCATTCTTTTCACTAAAAAAAAATTATACACTTAGTTTAAAATTTGTATATTTCTCCCTTCTTTTCTTCAATTACTACCACTACTAAATTAATTATAATTTAATACATAATGGCTGACGGTGTTTTCCAAGGTGCTATTGGTATCGATTTAGGTACAACCTATTCATGTGTTGCTACATACGATTCAGCAGTTGAAATTATTGCAAATGAACAAGGTAACAGAGTTACTCCATCTTTTGTCGCTTTCACTAGTGAAGAAAGATTAATTGGGGATGCTGCTAAAAATCAAGCTGCTTTAAACCCAGCCAATACTGTTTTCGACGCAAAAAGATTAATTGGAAGAGCTTTCGATGATGAAGCAGTTCAAAAAGATATTAAATCATGGCCATTCAAAGTTGTTGAACAAAACGGTCAACCACAAATTGAAGTTGAATATTTAGAAGAAACCAAAACTTTCTCACCACAAGAAATTTCATCAATGGTTTTAACAAAAATGAAAGAAATTGCTGAAGCTAAAATTGGTAAAAAAGTTGAAAAAGCTGTTATCACTGTTCCAGCTTATTTCAATGATGCTCAAAGACAAGCCACTAAAGATGCAGGTGCCATTGCTGGTTTAAATGTTTTGAGAATTATTAATGAACCAACCGCCGCAGCTATTGCTTATGGTTTAGGTGCAGGTAAATCAGAAAAAGAAAGACATGTCCTTATTTTCGATTTAGGTGGTGGTACTTTCGATGTTTCATTATTAAACATTACTGGTGGTGTTTTCACCGTTAAAGCCACTGCTGGTGACACTCATTTAGGTGGTCAAGATTTCGATACCAACTTATTAGAACATTTCAAAAAAGAATTTAATAAAAAAACTGGATCAGATATTTCTGGTGATGCTAGAGCTTTAAGAAGATTGAGAACTGCTTGTGAAAGAGCTAAAAGATCATTATCATCAGGTACTCAAACCACTGTTGAAATTGATTCATTATTTGATGGTGAAGATTTCCAAGCTAATATTACCAGAGCTAGATTCGAAGATATCAATTCAGCTTTATTCAAATCAACTTTAGAACCAGTTGAACAAGTATTAAAAGATGCTAAAATTAATAAGTCACAAGTTGACGAAGTTGTCTTAGTTGGTGGTTCAACCAGAATTCCAAAAGTTCAAAAATTATTATCAGATTTCTTTGATGGTAAACAATTAGAAAAATCAATCAACCCTGATGAAGCTGTTGCTTACGGTGCCGCTGTTCAAGGTGCTATTTTAACTGGTCAATCAACTAACGATGAAACTAAAGATTTATTATTATTAGATGTTATTCCATTATCTTTGGGTGTTGCTATGCAAGGTAATGTCTTTGCTCCAGTCGTCCCAAGAAACACAACTGTCCCAACCATCAAAAGAAGAACTTTCACCACCGTTGCTGATCATCAAACCACTGTTCAATTCCCAGTTTATCAAGGTGAACGTGTTAACTGTACTGAAAACACTTTATTAGGTGAATTTGACTTGAAAAATATCCCACCAATGCAAGCTGGTGAACCAGTTTTAGAAGCTATTTTTGAAGTTGATGCTAATGGTATCTTAAAAGTTACTGCTGTTGAAAAATCAACTGGTAGATCAGCTAATATTACAATCTCAAACTCAATTGGTAGATTATCAACTGAAGAAATCGAAAAAATGATCAATGATGCTGAAAAATTCAAATCATCAGATGACGCTTTCGCTAAAAGACATGAACAAAAACAAAAATTAGAAGCTTATGTTGCCTCAGTTGAATCAACTGTCACAGACCCAGTCTTAAGTGCTAAATTGAAAAAATCAGCTAAAGATAAGATTGAAACTGCTTTATCTGATGCTTTACAAACTTTAGAAATTGAAGATTCAAGTGCTGACGATTATAGAAAAGCTGAATTAACTTTGAAGAGAGCTGTTACCAAAGGTATGGCTACTCGTTAAAAGGAGTCTACATAGTTATTGTATAAATTAATGAATTAAAATAAATCAAAAACATTGTATAAAAATTAATTTTATTTTGTAAGTTATTGGAGTTCTACAAATGTTATTTAGATTCAATGATATGTATTTGCAACCTAAATAGGGAGAATGAATAAATTTCTAATGACAGTCATATTATTCGTCAAGTATATAATTACCCAACTTGTCCATTTTTAAGCTCTTATCACCAGCTGATATAGCTGCAATAATTTTTTCATTTTCTTCCTCCAAATTGGGTCCTTCCTTTTTATTTAACTCTTCGGCTTGGTCATCTTCGTAGACATCCTCATCATCATCTTCATCTTCATCTTCCATTTCCTCATCATCTTCATCTTCTACTTCAGACAAATCATCATTGTCATCAGTCACTATTCTCATCCCCAATACAGCTTTCTCCAAGTCTTTCTCTTCTCGATTACCTGTATTTTTTTTAGCATACCCAGAAGCTTGCACCTCAACATCCAACAGCTTTTCTCTAATTATATCTCTTTTAAAGTTTGGGTAAGCATATCTATAACCATCTCCATAACCATCAGTATCATACATAGTCGGATCATGTTGAGGATCATATTTGAATTTCTTTTTGAAAAAGTCTCGAATTCCCGTAACATCTCTATCAAAATATTGTTTTGCATCTATGTGCTCAATTGAAACACATTGTGGGAAATCTATTACAACAAATTCACCTTTGTCTATCGGATATTTGATTAAAATATTAAACTCATTAAAATCACAATGTATTAAACCGTATCTAGCTAACTTTACAATAAAATTCATCAATTCCGAATATAATTTCTTATAATCCATATTTCCTAAGTTAGAAGAATTGAGGTGTTTCATCGGTATTCCTTTAATCCATTCCATCATTACGCAATGTCTTGAATAATCAAAAGGTCGCGGTACTTTGAATCCGTTATCATATAATATGGTCATAAATTGATATTCCTTTGCAGCTGCCAATCTTGATAAATACATCCAATTCGAAGTTGACTTATTTTTCAAATAATCTCTATTGTTTTTAACAGTTTTAAATGAAGTTCTACCTAATCTATGAATTTTCAATACTTTTTGCGTACCCTGAGGATCACTTATTGAAAAAATATCCGACTCTTTACCTACTCCAATTGTTGATCCTACAGAGTACAAAGTGTCTCTATTCAACATTGATTTCAAAGCTAAATAATCGTACCCATTATAAGTCAATCTGAATCCATCATATTTTGCATTTCGTAGTCTTGAAACTAATTTTAATTTAGCTAAATCTCCGATCGCTCTTTGAGTTCCAGATGATGATTTTAAGCCGGATAAAGAATGTATCATTGGTGTTGGAACTAACTCATGGTTTCTCGATCCTAATTCCACTCCCTGTAATACTTTGAAATCATCGGAGGTCAAATACCTCATGTGAGATGTATCTAATTTCATTTTGATTGTAAGAAAAAGTCATCTTGATATGTATTTTATTTATTCAAATTTTGTGTTTCAGATTTAAATTTCTATTTTACATTTTCCTTTATGTAAACAAATTCGAATGGTGAATCAACGAAGCAAAAGAGCAGTCTTTTTTCAAAGAAAAACTGAACCAGAGCCACAGGAATCAATTTTGAGCAAACATGGTCAACCAGATCTGAACTTTGTTGATACGACCATCGAAAATCTGTTTTATCCATGGACAACGTTGGAACCGAAAGAGCGAAAACTACCACCAATCAAAAAGTTAAGACCATTAAAAGACTTATGTGCATTTAAAATTTCTTTACAATACGCAAAGATTGATGAGGACCTACTAAAATCACTACCTTGGCATATATGGAAACTTGTATGGGGATATATATTATACAATGGTAAAGATTCAATTGATGTCTATTGTAAGTTTAATAACATATTTGGTTCCAATCCAGAATTCCGAAGTCACATAAAAACACCTGATAAACTTCAAACTGAAGCAATTGGATCCAACAAAATTGCGAGAAACAGGTTTCATAGACTTGACTCAATTTTCAAAAACGTACCGATGTCAGAACTCGTTTCAGTGTTGAACAAATCTAAATCAAAAATTATTTTGGACTTGTCACACCTTCAAAGTTTGAAAAGAGAAGATTATTTCATGCTTTTCAATATTACTAATTTAATGTGCTTGAATTTAAGTAATCATCCAATTGATGATTCATTTTGTACTCATTTAAGTTCGGCAATTAATAATGGTAAATTGAGTGGTCTTTATATGCTTAAATTGTGTAATACCAATATAACAAGAGCGGGACTTTTGAAAATTGCAACAGCACCAAACTCCAATATTCAGTATATTGAGATAAATAGTGATTTAAATCACCACGATTGGAATTGTTTAGTGGACGTAAGGGACTTACCTTTGGCGAAAAAATTTTACCATATGAGTAATCTTTATCACAGCAAGCAATTGTCGCATTTAAACATATGGGATCTACTTGTGGTTGACGAAACTTATCCGGCATCATTAGATATACTTTGGAGAGCGAGATTTGCGTTAAGGTCACAACACTCACTAGTTTACCTTAACAATGTATTTTTGGACGCTTATAGGCCGAAATATCGAGCAATACCAGAAGGAGAAGAATCAGAGTCAAGAAAGCGTAGAAAGTTGAAGACTAATGCAAATGATTTTTTTTCGCTATAGGTTAGATCAAATGTCTTACAATTATTTTTAAGTGGATGAATTTCCACGATTTAATAATGCCAATAATCCTTTACCTTGGTCATTACTTTGAGGAAATAAGCCGAATGATTTTTGCTCAGACTGATGTTGATGCGGTTGATTAAATATTCCTAAGGGTTTGCTTGCTTGTAGTTGTGGCAGTATTTGTGGTTGTGATGGTTGTGGTTGTGACGGTTGTGGTTGTGATTGTGATTGGATATGTGTCTGTGTCTGTGTTTGTTGTTGTAATGGTTGATGTGATTGTTGTTGCGAGTGTTGATCTAATGTAATTGGATCAACAAGATGATCAACATCTTCATCATCACTCTCTATATCAAAATTTTTATATGCTTTATTCAAAAATTCATCATTTTCATAATTATCATCAAAATCCTCAAAATCTTCAAAGTCTTCAAAATTTTCTAATTTTTCATTCTGTAATTGAGTTTTTTCGATTGATTGAACTGTATTATTTTTATTTTCTATCCATAGCTCAGGGAATGATGTTGTGACTGGTGGTTCTTCATTTCCACTGAATCTTTCAACACTTGCTAATATGTTTGGTGACGCTGTAAATCCAGGTGAAGGATCTTTTTTACCCCAAATTTCCTTGTTCGTAATCTCAGAGGGCTTTTTATTCAACATGCTTAATAGTTTATTGGCAGACACAGATGTAGATGATTGGGACCCAGAACTTTCATTGATTGGTTTTTTTAATAAACTTAAAAAGTCTTTTGTAGGTGATACTACTGGTTCCTCGTTCTTTTCTTCTTTATTCAACAAGCCCAAAAACCCATTCTTGGGGCTTTCTTGATTCAGGTCTGTCTTACGTAAAAATCCGATAAGCTGTTCCGATGCTGCTTCATTTTTTTTGGGTTCATCTTGTTTTGATTTAAGCAGTGGTGGGGAGTTCATTTCTTCGTTTGTAGTATTACTTTTGGAATTATTTAACTGTGAAACATCTTCTGCTTCTTTGTTATCTGTACGTTTGAGTAATTTGATTTTCTTACCAACGGCCGGTTGTCTTTGATATGATGATCTGATTGATTCTTCGATTTCATTGGAAGGAATTTGACGCAGCGACGTAGCTGGTCTTTCCACAGTAGTTTCAGGTACAGTTTTGATTTCAATTGCCTCCTCATCCACTTGTTTTTGCTTTTTCTTTGGGAATACACTCAACAATTGTTGAGCTCTTGATCTAATATTTTCAGATTCAATTGACTTCTTTTTTTGCTTGATATTGTTGTCATCTATTCTCTTCTCGGCTTTGGTAGTCGTTAATATTGACAATAACTCTTTTGAATTTGTTGATGGTTTTTTAAGTTGTTCTGGTTTGGGCGCAACAGGTTGTTGATAGAATTGTTGATTTTGTACAGGCGCTGCTGACGGTATAGTCAAACCAAAGAATGGATGATGTTGATGATAAATAGGCATTTGATTTTGAGGTATTGGAACATTGACTATATTGGAAGGTTTTTCTTCATCTTTATGAGCAACTTTTTGTAATATATTTAATAGTTCCCTACCTGCGTCAGCACTTTCAACAGGTTTGTTTAGACCCATCAACTCTTTTAATCCGAGTTCTGCTTGAAGCATTAATTCTTCTTCGTTTTGCACTCCTTGGTTTTTACTTATCCATTTCAAGACAGCTTTCATTATAGTTGCAACTATAAAATAATTATTTGGATTTGATTTGATTTTTTTTTGAAGTGATTTAATGTCAAACCATTTTATTTCAGATATTTCAAATCTTGCTAAGGGTTCAAATTTGGTATCTTCAGGTACATTCTTGACTAAAAAGATTTTGTAATTCTTACCCTTAATTGTTCTTTCAACATAATCATTTTCTACAATTAAATCTCGAGTATTAAATCCAATTTCTTCTTCCACTTCACGCACAGCACAAGCCACATCACTTTCATCTTTTGATATTTTGCCTCTTGGAAATGACCATGTATTAGATTCTGTGCCTTTCACCAATAATATTTTTGATAAATCTTTTGTGAACAATGCAACACCTCTTACTGGTATTGTACTTTTATATTTCCCAAATCTTGATAACGCATCGGTAGGATCTCCCCATTTCCATATTAGTGGACATTTTTCCAATATCTTGGTAGAAAAATTCCTCATTTTCAATGCTGGTAGATTAGGGTTTAATTGCCGTACAAAATCCAAATAAAACCAATGAGCTTCTTCCACTTGAAAGAATATTCTTTCAATTGATGATAAATCTTCTTCTGGTACATTGATTAAAAATCTCACTATTAAATCCTCTAGCACATGATCTAAGGTCTGGTTAGCTAGACCATTCCTCAATTGTATTGACATGATGATTTAGGTAGATGGTTTTATATAAGTTTATATGTATATCTTGTTTGTAAAGATCAACAAACATGCAAAAAAAAATTAAATATGAGACTCAAATTTATGAATCAAATAAACACTACCAGCACCATTCACTAGTATTTAAAAAATCTACATAAATGTTTGGTACAAGGCTGTTCAGTACCAGCTCGAGACATTTCAAGGTATTAAACACACTCAAAGAAGTATCGAAACCACCCCAATCATCATCAATTGAAATGACTAGACCAATAGGACTTCAGAAACCGATACTATTGAATCATAAATTATCAGATACTTACTCAATATCAAATATTGGAAGAGAATTATTTGGAGATCAAGCAAAAGAAAGAAGACAAAAGAACCTAGATTATGATTTAAAGCATTCCCCAATATACGAAGCCAAATCATTTGAAAATACAAAAGGTAAAATATTCAAACCTCCAATCTCATGGTTTAGACAAGACAAGTCCTTGTATTTTCCAGATTTTATTGCCAAAACTTTAACAGGAAAACAAGAAAGTTTGTATGACGTGCTAAGCAACAAATATAATATTGTTAGATTATTTTCATCAATTACTGGAGATCAATGTACAAAATCATACTTTAAGTATCAAAATAAAGACTATTACTCAAAAAATTATCAAGATTTTAGAACTCAATTTCCAAATTTTCAGATAATAGACATCAATATGCCGACAAGCTGGATAAAGGGATTTGTATTGAACCTATCTTTATCGAATTTGAGAAAAACAATATCCCCAGATAGATACAATAAATACTTTATACTACCTATCCATATTTTAACTCCAGATATACGAGAGAAATTACATTGCGATAATCAGTGTTCAGGATATATTTATATTCTAGATCCACGAGGGAAAATTAGATGGGCCACTAGTGGATACGCTACTCCAGAAGATTTAGATTTGATGTGGAAAGTTGTCAGAGGTTTGGAAAAAGAAGCTCTCAAAAAGGAAACATCAAGTGAATAGAAATGTTCTCAACATTTACATACCAAAAAAATTGCATACTAATAGAGTTTAATTTTTGCAACATCTTGAGAAATTTGATTTCAAATTCTAGTACATTGACTGCTAAATCATGTTTCAAACTTGAATAATACTAGATCGCATCTTACTCCTTTTTGTGTAACGATCTTGATCTATATTTCATGCGTCTTCTCGGAAAGTTAATTATTACATTCTCAAATTATGTTCTTTTTGAAAGAACTACTTACATTAAATATCTATCAACGATCAGACGAACTCGTCGTGTCATCGAATAGTATGTTTCAACTGTCCTATAATGTTCCAATCTCAACACAATGATGAATTTTACAATTGGGAATCTCTCTGACAATCCAAAAACTTCAAATCTGGAGAAAAATTATAATTGTTTACTGATTATTGTTGAGATTAATACCTATATAATCTTATACTAACTAGTTGGAAAGATCAATAAATTGAAAGTGATTTCATGAAATGAGATTCATTATAATCTTTGAATAGAGTACAAAGAGTGCTAGTTTCTGACAACTAGTTAGAATTCATTTGATTGTAGTGCCACCATAATGCAATACTTGAAAGGTTTACATACACAGTTTCATAATTATGTCATGTTGAGAGATCTTTCGTTGTTATAATGTTTCAAACTCTCTGCTTTTGGCTTCGAGCTTCAGCTTCGTTGTACTCTGTTATAACGAATGTACTTCAATCTAACATGATCGACCTTCTTTGAGCTTATAACCCTAAAATTATTTTTTCCCGTGTACAAAATCTAAGTGAGAGTCACGAGACTTACGAGACTTCATGTAGCTAGAGCCTGGTCGTAATTCATTTTTGTGACACAAAACTTTGTTTTCGCTTACTATCACCAACCGTCTCACAATCAAAAATTTTTCAAGTAACAAAAGGTTTTTCAGTTTGACTTAGCTTTTTCTTTCTTTTCTTCTTTTCTTCAACAACGTCAACTATCAATTAACGTATAAACAAAATGTCTGCTCCAATCAACAAGGAAAAATTAGAACAAGAACCAGAACAACAAATTCACAAAATCAGAATTACTTTGACTTCAACTAAAGTTAAAGAGTTAGAAGCTGTTTCAAACAATATTATCAGAAATGCTTCATCAAACAATATTGTTAAAAAAGGTCCAGTTCGTATGCCAACCAAGGTTTTAAAAATCACCACAAGAAAAACTCCAAATGGTGAAGGTTCTAAAACTTGGGATGCTTATGAATTAAGAATTCACAAAAGAGTTATTGATTTACAAGCACCAGCTGCTACAGTTAAAAAAATCACTCAAATTACCATCCAACCAGGTGTTGATGTCGAAGTCACCATTGCTGCTTAAGCTTGAGACCAACATTGTTTTTCAAAATTCATTTGAGTTACTTGGTTTTTTTAACTTTTGTATTGGGAGAAAGGATTAACATTGTGGAACTAACATCTGAAGTCTGGCCCTCTAGATGCGCCGTATATTAAAACTATACTGACGTTGCTGACGCATTATCAGCGTCTGATTCAAATGTCCATGTTTCAAATAATGTTGTTTTTATAATCTAAAGTACGAGTGTATAAATTTAATGAAAATATCAATCAAAGAATCTGACTGTAGTAGTACCTTTGAGTTTCTAAGTTGTGTTCAACCATGCAACTTTGTTTGAGCCACTAATACCTAGTCTGACCATTAACACCACTCTTGTGCTACACGGTTTGTTTTGTTTTGTTTTGTTTTGTTTTGATTTGTTTTGTCATTACAAGATGGGCATTTACTACCAAAATAGGACTAAAAGATCAATTTGTGAACACCAGGCCATCTGCGAGTGATCTTGATTATTACTCATAGGCTTTGTTTTCAATCATAAGATGGTTTTAGCGTTTGTGAACGGCTTTAAATTTATTAGACATCTTTTGAAAATCGTTAAATCCTGTTTTGTGTAAAGTAAACATTAAAAATGCAAAACAATTACGGCACAAAGAAATAATGAAAAACATGAACAAATGGTTAATATTAAATTTGATTTCAATTAAGAACGAATAATTCGATGTATCTAGATTAGATTTTTACAAGAATAAGCTTATTCATTAATTTGGGTGAAAAAGAATTATGAAAAATAACTATCCAGCCGTAACATGTGGGATTCGCTCATTACTTGAACCCATGGCTCCAAATAATGAGAATGCATTTAACCCATGCTTTTTAACACATTTGTTGTCAATCTTTGGATTGATCAGTATAGTTTGGGGTTTTTTCACTTATTGGATTTTATTCAACTCAAGAAAGTATGGTTATTTTAGCAATCAAGACTTAAAATCCAAACAAAATATCAAGGTATTACTCGTCCTTATTGAATTCATTTTATTTGCATATGTATCAAGTTTCATCACCATTCATGAAAGATTTGCGGATCAAAAATTAATTTCATTTGGAGTACTTAGCATCACCTTGATATTGATCATTTTACCCTTACATGTTTTGGAACCTTTTTATTCCCCAATTCAATTAGACGTCTTGTTGATTTTTTGGCCGTGTTTTACAATTTTTGTTAGTACATTATATTTTCAAGATAATTATACACAATGGGTGTTAGTGCAAAACACCAATACTTTCATTGAACTTTTGTTAATATTGAATTCAATAAACATTTTCATTTTGGAGTATTACTATTATAATCCATCATCTGAATTAATCAAAGATTATAAAAAAAGAGGAGAAGAAATCAAATTGGAAGAACCTAATATAATTCAGAGAGTTACCTTTACTTGGATGAATGATTTAATTGTGAATACATACAAAAATAAAACTGTCACGAATGCTGAGTTACCTAACAGTCCTGACAAAATTACAACTTTATATGCATCAAAAATCTTAAATTCAAACTGGCATGGAGGTAGTTTACTCAAAAGTTTACTCAAATCCTTTGGATATGGATTATCTGTATCATTTTGGTATGAAATAATTGCTAGAGCCTTAAATTTTGTTAAACCACAGCTATTGAGATTATTCATCTTGTATTTCACTGTTTCCAATCCACCAATATTGAAAGGATTATTAATTTGTATTAGCATTTTTGCAAATACAGTTTTTCAAAATACAATGAATAATAAATACATGTTGAGAAATTTGGAAAATAGTTTGAACATCAGAAGTTCCTTAACGTCATTAGTATACAAAAAGGCTCTACATTTATCAAGTGAAGGTAAATCAGCGTTCAATTCGGGAGATATAATGAATTTGATGTCAGTTGATGTTAATAGAATCTCATATGCAATGTTGAGTATCAGTGCTATATTTTATACACCATTCGATGTGATTGTGGGATTGATTTCATTATGGCCATTGCTTGGAACATCAACATTAGCAGCATTTCTCGCTATAGCGTTGATAGTCCCAATCAATATTGTTTTAGTGAAATACATAACTAAAATGAATAAAGAGCAGATGAAGTTAAAAGATCAAAGGACAAATATTATAAATGAAATTTTAATGACTATAAAAAGTATCAAATTATATGCTTGGGAAAAACCAATGCTTAAAAAATTATCAGAAGCTCGAAATGATAAAGAACTAAAAAATTTAAAAAGAGTAAGATTATTCAATCAAATTTCAAATTTCACTTGGTCATTAATTCCAATTATGATGAATCTTTTATGCTTTGGATGTTTTGTATTGACTCAAAAAAGACCGCTAACTTCAGATATTGTTTTCCCAGCAATAACTTTATTAAATTTAATATCGTCTCCAATTTTGGATTTACCAGATACTATTGATTCAATCATTGAGGGCAAAGTCGCACTAGATAGAGTGAAAAAGTTTTTGATATGCCTGGAACTTGATGAGGATTTAATCAGCTATGGGGGAAACAAGGCTATCGAAATAAAGGGAGCTTCATTTTACTGGAAATCAGAACCATATAAAGATAATCAACGAGAATTACCACATGCTTTGAAGGATATCAATTTTGAAGTCAACAAGGGAGATTTGGCATGTGTTGTTGGTAAAGTGGGTAGTGGGAAAACATCATTGTTATATGCAATACTTGGTCTGATGGTTACATTCGGGTCAGATCCATTGATTAAAGTAAATGGTAGTGTAGCCTACTGTGCTCAGAGTCCTTGGATCATGAATGCATCAGTGAAGGAGAATGTTTTATTTGGTCATAGGTATGATCAGGAATATTATGAATTAGTCATTAGAGCTTGTCAGTTAGAACAAGATCTTAGAATACTACCAGATGGAGATGAGACTCAAGTTGGTGAAAAAGGAGTCAGTTTATCTGGTGGTCAGAAAGCGAGACTATCATTAGCTAGGGCAGTGTATGCTCGTGCCGATATTTATTTACTTGACGATATTTTATCAGCTGTGGATTCACATGTTGGTAGAAACATAATTGAAGAGGTGATATCTAAGGATGGTCTATTAGGGGATAAAACAATTATTTTATGTACAAATTCAGTTCTGGTATTAAAATACTCAGATACGATCACGATGCTTGAAGACGGTCAGGTTAAAGAAACAACAAGATATCAAGAAATAAATGAAGAGCATCATCCACAATTGTTTAACTTGATAACAACCTTTAGCAAAAATGAGGAAACATCACCGATTAATTCAAATTCATCAAGCAGTGTTATCGAATCAAAACGTAGAAAAGCAAGTATTGAAACTTTCAATTGGGACCCTTTACAGAAATTATTACCAAATTTAAAATCTGGTCAAACTCAAGAAACTAGTCAAAAGGGTAAAGTGAAATGGAATGTATATGTTACGTATTTTAAAGCTTGTTCATTACCGGGCATTGGGTTGTGGATTATTGTGTTATTATTCTCCAATTGTTTATCTATCGGCAGTAATTATTGGTTGAAACATTGGACTGAAGAAAATTCAGAAACTGGATCTAATCAAAATATTTGGTCCTTTTTATTTGTCTATGCTGCATTGGGAATTGGTGCAACATTTATGACTATTTCGAGACAATTGATAATGAAATTATGGCTAGGAATTAATGCATCAAAAAAAATCCATGATGAAATGGCATTAAAAGTTTTGGGGTCTCCTATGGAATTTTTTGAAAGAACTCCAGTTGGTAGAATAATGAACCGTTTCACAAATGATATTAATAGAATAGATGACAACATTCCAAATACTTTTGCTGCTTTTGTCGCCCAGATTATGAGAACTTTTTTAACTTTGATTGTTGTGAGTATTGCTATACCGGCATATTCCATTGTTATATTGATATTGGGTGTAATTTATTACTATTATGAAACTTATTATGTAGCTATTTCAAGAGAATTGAAAAGATTAGTTTCTGTATCAAGGTCTCCAATCTATGGACATTTGGGTGAAAGTTTGAATGGTATTGATACCATTAGGGCTTACGGACAAGCTGATAGGTTTGAATTCATCATGAGTAAGATCATAGATTTTAATTTGAAATCTCAATACATGCTTACATCAATTAATCGTTGGTTATTTTTTAGATTGCAGGTTATTGGTGGATTGGCAGTTTTGTCTGCTTCAATCATGTTGATATCTACCACAAAGACTTCTCAACCGTTAACATCTTCAATGGCTGGGTTTTTAATGACTTACGCACTTCAAGTGACTGGATCTTTAAGGATCGTTGTTAGACAGTCTGCGGAAGTTGAAACTAGTGTTGTTGCGGTTGAAAGATGTTTAGAATATACTGAATTGAAATCTGAAGAAACTTCAGCAAATAAAGTTATACCTCCATTAAATTGGCCAACTAAAGGAGAAATTAAGTTCATAAATTATTCCACAAAATATAGGGAAAATTTGGATTTAATTTTGAAGAATATAAATTTATCAATTAAGCAAAATGAAAAAATTGGAGTAGTTGGAAGAACAGGAGCTGGGAAAAGTTCATTGGCCTTATCAATTTTTAGAATTATTGAACCAGTAGAAGGTAATGTTGAGATTGACAATTTAAACACTAGCAATATAACCTTATTTGATTTAAGACATAAGTTAGGTATTATTCCACAAGACTCTCAATTATTCAATGGTACAATCAGACAAAACTTGGATCCATTTAACTATTATAAAGATGAAGAAATTTGGAAAGCATTGGAGTTGGCCCATTTAAAAGATCATATTGCAAAATTAGGCGAGGAAGAAGATAAGTTGTTATGTAAGATAGATGAAGGGGGATCCAATTTTTCAGCAGGTCAGAGACAGTTGATGTCATTAGCTAGAGTATTATTGAAAATGAGTGATTCTAATATTTTGGTATTAGATGAAGCGCTGTCAAGTATTGATCTTGAAACAGATAAAATTCTTCAGCAAACCATAAGATCAGAATTCAAAAATAAAACAATTGTAACTATAGCTCATAGAATTGATACTATAATGGATAGTGATAAGATAATTGGATTAGATCAAGGGGAATTGATTGAATTTGATACTCCTGAAAATCTTTTTAAGTCTCAACTGGGGGTATTTTATGGATTATGTAAACAAGGCGGTTATTTATAGAGATTTAAACAAGATTATAAATTAAGTAAGCTCTTGCGACTAATTCTTCGCTTGTCTTTTGATTCTCTATTTCAATGGTTACTCATAATTCTAACAAATGGCCGTTGTATAAATTTACACTGATGGTATCAATCGGTTATAAAATACGCACTTTTTGATAACAATAATATTTGTAACCCCAAAAATTTATTCCGCATTAATTATATCAAAAACCAACTGGATCTATTAATAACTTCACATACCACAACATACGAATCAAACAATATCACTAATAGAAATGGCATCATCAGCTCAACATGCATCCAAATTCACAAGATACTTGAATTCGGAGACAGGACCGAAAACAGTTCATTTTTGGGCCCCAGTCTTTAAATGGGCTTTAGTAATAGCAGGAATAAATGATTTACAAAGACCAGTTGAAAAATTAAGTGGAACTCAACAAATTGCATTGTTTGCAACTGGAGCCATATGGACAAGATGGGCTGGGTTTGTTATAAAACCAAGAAACCCTTTATTGGCATCAGTTAATTTCTTTTTAGGTGCTGTGGCAGGATACCAATTGATTAGAATTGTCAATTATAGACGTGAAGTAGGTGATTCACCAATGCAGGTATTCAAGTATATTTTGGATGGTGATCCAACTAAAGCTACAAGTAAGGCACCAGCGATAGAAGCAAAAAAGTAAATTTGAAAATGTTTTTAATTTTTGACTTTACTTACTTATAATACATATTCAATTATCTAACATCATGACATCGTCATCGTCATCATCATTATCATCATCATCTTCTTCTTCTACTTCTTCATCCTTTTCTACTCCTTCTTCTACTTCTTCCCCTTCATAAGACTGTTCAGGTTGCAATTCCTTTTCTAGTAATTCGCTTTCATCTTGAATTTCTTCTTCTTCACTCACTATCTCCACTACCTCAGCATCATCTCCACTCAATCTGCTTTCATTTAAGTCATCTTCCACGGAAGCTTCTTCCTCACTAAGATATTCCGTTTCTTGATCTTCTCTCGTCCGCCTATTTTCATCTTCTCTTTCGTCTACTTCTTCTTCATCTTCCTCTTCTTCCTCTTTTTCTTTTTCGTCCGTAGACTTAAGCAATTCAACTTTTTCAATCACTTCTTTAACCTTAACATTCAAGAAATGCTTCAAAAGACTATCCTGCTGTATCCAAGATCTAGTTTCTTTCTCCAATTTGACTTTTATTAAACTCAAAATCTCTAGCATCACTCTTTTCTTAATTTTTTCTTGAAACTCTAGATTAATTAAATCATGAAGAAGTTGAATATCAGGAAATATTAAATCATTTTCGTCATTGTTGGAATTTAATGCAAATAGTTGATTAAGTTTTATATTTTTTACTGATTCATCAGCAGATATTATCTTCTCACTTATTTTAATTAAGTCTTCATTATGAAACTTACGTATAGTTTTAATATTGATAGTAAAATCTGGCATTTTCACAGTCGATGCTAATTTCTCATAAGATATAGTTGTTTCTGCCAAATTTTGATTTGCTTTTGCTACTTCTGATACCAATTTGTTATAGTTTGTTATATCCTTTTTAATGAAATTCTTTTTACTCTCATTTTCAATATCTTTAAGATTTTGAATTGACCGCTGTAACTTGACTGAACTTAATATAAATCGTTTCTTCACATTCAGTATATCTTTCTTATCCACAACCTCATTGCTTATTAGTTTTTGATTGATATCATTTAATTCTTTGGTAGTAGCGAAGCTTTGGTCTATAGTTTGCAGAAATAATTCCATGGTCGCTGGAATTGAAACAAGTTGAAATGAAGATATGAAACACGATATGAATTTTGTATGTAGTTTATTTTTTTTTCAGTTTCTAAACTATAAATTTCAAAAAAACAAAAACAACACAGATTAAAAATTAGATCAAAAGTGTTTTGCATATTTGAATGTCCGAGCAGATAAATGTGAATGAACTAAGATTGCAATTGTATAATGCTACGTTGAAGCTAAACAAATTGAACTTATTTGAAGCAGCAAAATGGTGTGCAGAAGCATTAAATGGTTTATCAAAACATTCGAATGATTTGCAACCACAACCTCAAACATCAATTGAAATAGATGAACTTCAAGATCAAGAGAAATTTATATTAGCTCAAACTTATTTTAATTGTAAAGAGTTTGAAAGATGTGCTTGTGTTTTAGAGAACAGCATCAGTGGGGATGCAAAATTCTTGAGGTTATATTCCTTAATGATCGCCCTTGATAAAAGAGCCACCGAAGAGTCAGACGGATTGATTATTGCAGCACCGATTAGTGAGTCAAACTTGTTAGACACAAACTATAATTCCAATGATTATGATCAGATGAAGACGGAAAATCAATCAAGTATTTCAAACTCAAAATATACCAAGATACTAATAGAATCGGAGGAATATCTATCACATAAGGAAAATGCCTTCTTATTTTATTTAAATGGATTAATATATCGAAAGAAAAAAAAAGTTAATGATGCAATAAACAACCTATATCAATCACTACTATTATTTCCGTACAACTGGTCTTGTTGGAGAGAGCTCATAGATTCATTTGTTAATTACGAAGAGGCGTACAATTTCATACAAAGAGTGAAGAAAAAAAATGAAAGATTTGCAGACAGTCCGATGTTTCACTTTTTCGAAATTGTTGTGCTTCAAGAATCACATCAAAGACTGAATAGATTATTGGATTTAATGGATAGAATGAGTTCATTATTTCCAAAATTTACTTTTCTACAAATTCAAAATTTTTTAATTGCCAACAATCATCTTGACTATTATACCGCAGAAAATATATTTGATCAAATTTTAATTGAAGATCCTTTGAGGTTAGAAGACTTAGATTTATTTTCAAATATGCTTTATGTGATGGAAAAAAAATCAAAATTAAGTTATATAGCTGCATTTGCATCAAATCTTGATCCTTTCAGATGTGAAACTTGTTTAGTTTTAGGAAATTACTATTCCCTAAAGTCGGAGCATGAAAAAGCAATAATGTATTACAAAAGAGCTTTAATTTTAAATAAAACTTGTCTAAGTGCTTGGACTTTGATGGGGCATGAGTTTGTGGAATTAAAAAATTCTCATGCTGCTATAGAATCATATAGAAGAGCCGTTGATATTAATCCAAAAGATTTTAGAGCATGGTATGGGTTAGGTCAAGCATATGAAGTGCTAGACATGCATTTATATGCTTTGTATTACTATCAAAGAGCAACAAATCTACAACCATTGGACAAAAGAATGTGGCAAGCTATAGGAAATTGTTATGACAAAATAGATCAATTAGAAGATGCAATAAAATCGTTTGAAAAGGCATTGGCTATTGGCAAGATATCAACTGATCTGAACGTCGACGTCGGTAGTATGGGAGAGCAAACCCACATGAAAAAAATAAGCATAAACGATGATGAGTCGGACTTTATGGTTGAGCCTCATATCTGCTATAGATTAGCCCTATTACTGGAAAAGTTACATAATGTTGAAGGAACTAGAAAATACATGCAATTATGTTTTAATCAAGAGTTGGACTGGGGTATTAGTGATGAAACATCGAAAGCAAGGTTATGGCTAGCTAAAGATGCTTTAGAACAAGGTAATTTTGATGAAGCATATGATTTAGCAAAAGATTTGAATCATAGTAATGCCCATGATGTTGAAGAAGCAAGAGCAATTGCCAGGGATGCTAGAAATCGAATCAAAAAATGATTTCATACAACTTTGACTTCAAACTATTACTTTTTCATATGTGATTGAACTATAGAAGCGAATGAATTTTGGATTAACTTATCAATCAATTTTCATTTAAATGAAAATTAAGCAATAATTTGAAATAATTGATGGAAGGGAAGAAATGCCTGTTGTTTTTGGTTGAGAACCTCGTTTCATACAGAACGTCATGAATTCATCTTAATACAAAGAATGTCTTAGTGTGGAATCATCATTATGTCGAATCCTGACTTCGTGGTGTTAGTTTTAAAGGTAATTTTATTTTGGCTTCAACTTTACGCCAAGCTAATGTTTGTATATATGCTTTTGAATAAGTCAATTGTCATGTATAATTATGAATAACCTACACTCTATTTAAGATTTAAAATATTCCGATGGTATAATTATATACATTTAGCCCAAAACCAATACATTTACCAATTTACGCGGTGCGCGTTTTATTGAATTTCACGTAATTTTATCGAAAGCGAAAGCTTATATTTATAAAAAAAATTGTTTTTTATTTAACCGAAGAATCTTTTACTAATTCAATTCATCGAGTCTTTGTCGAGAAAGGAAAGAACATAGAATTTCAATTTGCTGAGGCTAAACAGGACTTTCAATTGTGGAATATCATTATTCTTTGATCAAACATTTAAATATATTCATTCGTTTCATGTTCACTTTCTAGCAGAATATCAAAATTATCAACAACAATTTGTGAAAAATATATTATTCTAAAAATTCATGACATATTCATCTGTATTCACCACTACGACGACCACCGTTACGGCCACCACTACAACGGTTGTAGGGAACATATCATCTGTCGAAACTTGGGACATTTTAATTAACACCTTGAATTTAAATATACTAAAACTTATCAGTTTAATACAAAAAATACCAGGAGGTAACATTATCGTTAGATATATCAAATCTTCCTATCAGAATGATCCAGTAAGAAGTATATTTGAGTATGCATTATTTCTTTTTGCCCTAAGTTACTTTTTCAGTGCGAAGAGGAAAGAGAATAAATCAGAAATCGTGAGATTTTCAAAAAATGAAATAACGGAATTATGTGAAGAGTGGAACCCAGAACCATTAATTGCTGAGGTGGATGCATTGGAAGTGTGGCAGTTAAAATCAATTCCTGAGATTAAAGGTCAGAATGGAAGTCATATCAAATTGAATGGTTTTGGAGACGAAACAATAGTAAATTTGGCATCGCAAGATTTCCTTGATTTAAATGAAAATACAGATATTAAAGAAGCTGCCAAGACAGAAATCAAATTAGCAGGGGTAGGGGCTTGTGGTCCTCCAAACTTTTACGGTACTCAGGATGTTCATGTTAGATTAGAAGAAGATTTAGCTAAATACTTAGGAACTGAACAAGCTATAATATATGGCCAAGATTTTGTTACTGCTGGTTCTGTAATTCCAGCATTTTTGAAAAGAGGTGATTTATGTGTTGTTGATAGAAACATTAATCTTGCTTTGCAAAAGGCTTTGATAATTTCAAGAGCTGATATTGAGTGGTTTGATCATAATGATATGGACCACCTAGAACAAATTTTGACTCAATTAAAACCAGTTTTGGCTAAGCAGAAACCAATAAGAAGAAGATTCATTGTTACTGAAGGCTTATTTGCAAACACTGGTGATATTGCGAACCTACCAGATATAGTTGAATTGAAAAACAAATTCAAGTATAGGTTGTTTCTCGACGAATCATTGTCAATCGCAGTAGTTGGACCAAAAGGTAAGGGTTTGTGTGATCATTTCAATATTGACCCACTTGAAGTTTCTATAACTATAGGGTCTATGGCTAATTCACTTGCATCATCTGGTGGGTTCTGTGTTGGTGTCGAGCCAATGATTCATCATCAAAGAATTTCGTCAAATGCTTATGTTTTCAGTGCTTCATTACCTCCGTACTCAGCAAAAGTTGCATCACGGGCTATTCGTATAATTCAGAATACTGATTCTTCTGATGGAAAGTCTGTCATTGTTTCAAAATTGCATAAATTGACTGACTTTGCTTACAAATCAATTTCTTCAGCGTTAGTTGACTCGTCGATGAGTATAACATCATCTCCACATTCCCCAATAATACATTTAGCACTCAATGAAGCATATAGATCAAGACTCAACTTACCGCTTCTATATGGTAATTCAACATTTGTTACCACTGGAAAACCATCGAAACATTTGAACTCGTTTGATGACTTTTTGAATGTTGAAAGCTTTATGTTACAAAAAATTATTGATTATGTTTTGGTAAACTCTAAAATCTTGATTACCAGAAGCAAGTTGATATTAGAACATGAAAACTTACCATTGATTCCACCTCATTTATTGATCAACATAAATTGTGGAGTATCAGAGGAAGAGATTTCCAGGTTGGTCGAGGTTTTACCGAAAGCAATCGAAGAAGTTACCAGAAATATTAATAATGAAGATGAATTTTTCGCATTAACTGACGAAATAATTAATTATTAAAATTTATATAAAAATTAATAGAACTTTTAAACCTAATATACTCCAATCATAATAAACTGACTCTAGGGTATAAAAATTTTGGAAACTCCTTGAACATCTCTTCTGCAACAGACGCAACCTTCAATTCCTTTACTAACTAAGCTCAATCTACATGATTCGCATATGGCGAAACATTTACATGGCCAAGTTATAATTTCTCTCATGTTAGTTTGACAAATGACGCATTCCAAATGGTTTGATTCCAGGTGATCTTGTTTTACTTTATCATAATTATTTGATCTATTTGTAAGTATTAGTTCTATTAGTTTACTACTTTCATCTGAGTTCTTACTCGAGCATTTTAGTTCTTTGTATTTCGATCTTGTCAATCTACCTTCAAAGTTTGTATTACTCGATTCCTCATCATTCAAAATTTCATATAGTGGTGATCTAGTAATGTCAGTTGTTGGATGGCTTATGACGCTGATTTCTTCAACTTCATATTCAGAGTCAGATTCATATTCAGATTCTTGAAGGACAGTAAAATCATTTGAATCATCATTGTTATTCAAATCTTGGCCCATTAATATTGATGCATAATTCAACTCTACATCTTCGTCACTAAATGCATTTATGTCAATAGTTTTACGTCTTTCGTTATTCTTTTTCACGTATTTTCTCAAAAATTTGGGGGTTTTCAAAATTCTTTGTTCGTAACTTGCAGGTTGTGAGTCTTTCTTCTGAAAGAATGTGAAAGGGTATTTGATTATTTTGCCCACAATGCCATAAAGTAATTGAAGTAGATATGACACAATTTGATTCATGTACAAGTATCTTTTCCTGAATACACTGTTGATCGTATCTCGTTGATTAAAGTCCGTTTTGTCTTCCTCATTTGGAGCAGCAAATGTGATCAAATTAGGCCCTGGTTTATCTATTATATTTTGATATCCAAAAACAGATTTAACACGTTGTCTTGGGTTTCTTTCAATCCATGTATCAGAATCTAATGTTACAAGACTTAACTCCGTTATGTAGCTTGATTTTCCTGCCAGTGTTATAGCTAAAACCCCTAAATTTAATAATGCTGTATAAAAGTCATCTTTCAAACTGATATTGAAATTTGAAAAACTGTCCCCTTCTTCCTCATGATTAACTTCATTTTCAAGTTCATTAGAATTATGTTCATGTAAAAAGAAACTTGCATAATTTAAACCTTGTAGTTTAAAACCGTTTGCGATGATTGCACAAATAAAAATCGTCAAGCTTATCATTATAACGTACATTATCAACACTTGAGGGGTGAACGTCATTATTAAAATTGTTGGAAATTTGAAGAATTTATCATGAGCCATGGCATTTATAAAGTATGATAGGAACCCAACTCCAATGATTGTGGATGGAATTAATCTATACCTATTATTATTAACTATAGCTCCAATATGAATATTTAAATGATTTAATATCAGAAACAATGAAACAATTAAAACTTCCTCAGTGGGTCTTTTAAAATTATTTGAATTACTGAAGAAAAAAGCTGCGTTGCTACTAAACTCTTGAAATGCCAATGAATGTTCGAAAATGGTGATACCACTTTCCGTAAAAGGTTTTCTACCTTGAATTGACGCAACAAAAGTTTCCACAAATGATGATGCACAAAATGTCAAAAATATTGGCCAATACATATCACTGGTTGGTCCAATCATGACTTGCTTGGCCGGTGTTTTCATGTATTTTGAATCAGCAAATTTTTCTGCAGTATAATTAAACAAATTGCTAGGAATTAGATTATAGAACCACATAATATCGGAATTCGACGCAATACCCAATTGTTGATTCAATTTCAACGTCACTAGAACGTTATAAATTTGTAATACTAGCATCCCCACAATTCCAATTCTAAAACTTAATACGCTCAATTTTCTCAAAACCGTAGCCAGTTTATACGCATTCATCAATGTACTTCTACCGCCTAAATGTCTTTGTCTATTTATTGCCATTTGTTGATTATGAATATTATTGGTTGATGCCATAACTAAAGTTCGATTCAAAATTAAAGCCATTATTAAACATGACAACCCGTAAATTGAACAACAATATTTGCTTATAGCTCCAAACCTATTCCATGCTGTTGTGTTTAATTGCAGATGTTCACTTTGCTCCCATATTGCGTCTATTGTCGATGTTATAAGTTTAAAAAATGGAAAGTAATCGGAGTTCAAATCATTACTCTGAAGTTCTTGTTCGAATACCGAAGTGGCATTATTAATTATTGATGATGATGAATTTAGTGACATCGTTTGGTGATTCACATGAGCTTCAATATCGAAGATGTTAGATCTCACTTGAACGTATGTTAACTTTTTTTGAAATTCTATTATTATCCGATCTGATAATGCCATGATCTAATTTTTGAAGTACTAAAAAGTTGTGTCTCAAAACTTTAATTAGCAACACGACAATTCAAAATAATAAATAAAAAAAGATGAAACATCTTGAAACAAATATATCAAAAGTAAATACAACCATTGAAAATATTAAAATATGGGGAAACAGTTACCTCCTCCACCACCTCCTCCTGGTGTTTCAAATGGTAATGGAACAAAAAGGCGGCATTTGAATTCACTACCACCCCCACCTCCTCCACCTCAATCGACCACAACAACATCGACTAGATCAGAACCACCTAATGGTGTTAAGAAACAACCACCTCCCGACTTACCAATAACTCCACCTCCACCTCCCTTAATTGTAAACGACAACACACATCATTTGAAAACCAAATCAAAGAATCGAAGTAAAAAATCAGGTACTTTTGTTGCAACAAATGTGGAAATGCCACCACAACATCTACGGAAAATTATTATTGATCATGCAGATTTAGGACTGAAAAGAGTCTCAGCCGATAAAAGGTCACATCTTGGCTCACTAAAATACTTACCACATGCGATATTCAAGCTACTAGAAAATATTCCACAACCTTGGGAAGAATCAAAAGAGGTAAAAGTTTTATATCATAAAACTGGAGCTATAACGTTTGTCAATGAAATACCGAGAGTCATAGAGCCAGTTTATATTGCTCAATGGGCTTTGACTTGGAATTTGATGAGAAGAGAAAAAAGAGATAGAAAACATTTTCGGAGAATGAAATTTCCACCCTTAGATGATGAAGAACAATTTTTAGATTGGACTGAAAATTTTGAAGGTACAAGTTTACCAATCGCTATACGATCCAACGAAATTGATGAGATGGGTGATTTAAAAGAATGGATTTATGATGATAAACCGTTAGTAGATGATAATGACGTGGTTAATGGTGAATCTTATCGTACTTGGAATTTGGATGCTGATACTATGCATAAACTTTATGAAATTTCACAACCTTTATTAACAAACACTGATCATCCATATAAATCCGAGGAATTATTTACTGCGAAGAGCTTGAACGTAGCCCTTCCTGGTGGACCTAAATTCGAACCCTTGCATCAAGAGGGAGTGATAAATTCAGAAGCAGAAGATCTTACAGAATTCAACTCATATGATCGAATAATAATTAGGTCAGCAATCAAGACTGAATACAAGGTAGACTATCCATACTTATATAATTCATTTGTCAAAGGTGTTTCATTAGCTCCAATTACAAATGATCTTTTGTGTGATGAAAAATTAGACTCGAGTCTACCAACGTTCACATTTAATTCGAAATTCAACTCAATCACCTCGAGAAAACAGAATAAGCAGCCAGAAGAAAAAATGGTTTTAAATTTTGCTCCATTGTTCAAATCACCGAAAGAGAAAACATCTTTGACAGAACCTAAATCACTTAAATCTTCTGTAGATTTATTATCAGCTCCATTTCCATTTAACCTTAGATCAGGTAGAACCAAACGAGCAGAAGATGTGCCCATTACAAAATCCTGGTACAGAAATCAAGTGCCAAGGTCAAGTCCATTAAAAGTTAAAATTTCATATCAAAAGTTATTGAAGAACAGTGTCATTAATGATCTAAAAACCAAAAACAGAAGAACCAAAGCAAGTAAAAAAGCAAATTTATTGAAAAGTTTAGGAAGGACAAAGTATTTTCAGCAAACAAGGATTGATTGGGTAGAGGCTGGTATACAAGTATGTCGACAAGGGTTCAACATGTTGAACTTACTAATACACAAGAGAGGCTTGACATATTTGCATTTGGATTACAATTTTAACTTAAAACCAACTAAAACATTAACCACCAAGGAACGAAAAAAGTCAAGATTTGGTAATGCGTTTCATTTAATTAGAGAGATATTACGAGCTATAAAAATCATTGTTGATTCACACATACAATATCGTTTGGGCAACGTAGATGCGTATCAATTAGCAGACGGAATTTATTATGTTCTAAATCATTTGGGTCATTTAACGGGTATTTATCGATATAAATATAAAGTGATGCATCAAATCCGTCAGTGTAAGGATTACAAACATATAATTTACAATAGGTTCAACAAACTTATTGGCAAAGGACCTGGTTGTGGATTTTGGCAACCAGCTTGGAAAGTTTGGATTTTTTTTTTGAGAGGAATTATACCTTTGCTAGAAAGATGGTTGGGAAATTTAATTGCAAGACAATTTGAAGGAAGGAGAGCAAATGATGTTGCAAAGACTATAACAAAACAAAGAGTTGATTCTTATTATGACTTAGAATTGAGAGCTCAAGTCATGCATGATATTCTTGATATGATACCGGAAGGGTTGAAGCAAAGTAAATCAAAAATTATCTTGCAGCACCTAAGTGAAGCTTGGAGATGTTGGAAAGCAAATATACCATGGAAAGTATCAGGTTTACCAGAACCAATTGAAAAAATTATCGAGCGATATATTAAAGCCAAAGCTGACGGTTGGATTTCAGTTGCACAATATAATAGAGATAGGATCAAAAAAGGAACTCATGTTGAAAAAACTATAGCCAAAAAGAATTTGGGAAGAATGACTAGACTTTGGATCAAAAATGAACAAGATAGACAATCTGATTTTGGTAAAAATGGGCCTTTCGTACAACCGGATGAAGCCATTAAAGTTTTTCAAACAACAGTTGAATGGTTGGAAAGTAGAAAGTTTAGTCCAATTCCATTCCCACCAATTGCTTATAAACACGATACAAAATTATTAACATTGGCTTTGGAGAATCTAAAATCATCGTTCAATACCTCTGCTAAATTGAATGCAGCTCAAAGAGATGAACTCGCATTAATTGAACAAGCTTATGATAACCCACATGAATGTTTAGCAAGAATCAAAAAGCATTTATTGACTCAAAGAATTTTCAAAGAAGTTGGACTTGAAATGATGGATTTTTATAGTCATATACAACCAACATATTCTGTAGATCCATTAGAGAAAATTACAGATGCTTATTTGGATCAATATTTGTGGTACGAAGCAGACAAAAGAAAGTTATTTCCTAATTGGATTAAACCTGCTGATGATGAGATACCACCTTTAATGGTTTATAAATGGTGTCAAGGTATAAATAACCTAAAACATGTTTGGAATACTTCAAATGGTGAATGCAATGTGATGATGGAAAGTAAATTATCACAATTTTCAGAGAAAATAGATTTCACTTTGATCAATAGGTTATTAAGATTAATAATGGATACTAATATTGCTGATTACATAACGTCTAAAAATAATGTCAATCTTACATATAAGGATATGAATTACGTAAATCAATATGGTATCATTCGAGGGTTACAATGTTCATCTTTTGTTTATCAATACTATGGTTTGATTGTGGACTTGTTGATTTTAGGTTTAGACAGGGCTTCAGAATTGGCTGGTTCAGTCATGAGTCCAAATAACTTCCTTCAATTTAAAGATGTTGAAACACAATGTGCATCACCTATTAGGTTATATTCTAGATATATGGATAAAATACATATATTTTTCAGATTTAATGATGATGAAGCAAATGGTTTAGTTCATGATTTTTTAGAGAAGAATCCAGACCCAAATTTTACAAATGTTGTTGGATACTCTAATAAACGCTGTTGGCCAAAAGATTCTCGAATGAAATTGTTGAGACATGATGTAAATTTGGGTAAAGCCGTGTTTTGGGAAGTAAGTTCAAGAATTCCTGCTACTTTGGCTAGCATTAACTGGGAGGATACTTTTTGCTCAGTATATTCTCGTGATAACCCAAATTTATTGTTTGAAATGTGTGGATTTGAGGTTAGGATTTTACCAAAAATTAGAAGTGTTGCTAATAGTTCATCGCAGGAAAATGTATGGGATTTGATTGATCAAAACACAAAGGAAAGAACGGCGAAAGCTTATTTGAAAGTTTCAAAAGAGGCAATCAACAATTTTAGCAATAGAATAAGTCAAATATTGATGACGTCTGGTTCGACTACATTTACACAAGTTGCTGCGAAATGGAATACTGCATTGATTGCTTTAGTTACGTATTATAGAGAAGCAGCTATCGCAACTCCAGAATTGTTAGAAGTATTAGTTAAGTGTGAAACTAAAATACAAAATCGTGTTAAGATGGGACTTAATTCCAAAATGCCCACTCGTTTTCCACCAGCTGTATTTTACACACCAAAAGAATTAGGAGGTTTAGGTATGTTAAGTGCGTCCCATATTCTTATTCCTGCTTCAGATTTGAAATGGTCTAAACAAACAGATACTGGTATAACGCATTTCAAGACTGGTATGACACATGAAGAGAAAAAATTAATTCCAACAATTTTTAGATATGTTACTACTTGGGAAAATGAATTTTTAGATTCTCAAAGAGTTTGGGCTGAATACGCTATCAAAAGAGAGGAAGCATTAGCACAAAATCGTCGTTTAACTTTCGAAGATATGGAAGCGAACTGGGACAGGGGTATTCCTAGAATAAGCACGTTATTTCAAAAAGACAGACATACCTTAGCATATGATAAGGGTCATAGAGTTAGGAGAGAATTTAAACATTTTAGTACTGGTAGATTCAATCCATTTTGGTGGACTTCTGGTCATCATGATGGTAAGTTATGGAATTTGAATGCTTATAGAACAGACGTGATTCAAGCATTAGGAGGTATTGAAACTATTTTAGAACATACATTATTTAAAGGTACCGGTTTTGATTCTTGGGAAGGATTATTTTGGGAAAAAGCTTCTGGGTTCGAGGATTCCTTGAAATTCAAGAAATTAACTAATGCTCAAAGATCAGGTTTAAGTCAAATTCCAAATCGTCGTTTTACATTATGGTGGTCACCAACTATTAATAGAGCTAATGTTTATGTTGGGTTTTTGGTTCAATTAGATTTAACTGGTATTTTTTTACATGGTAAAATTCCAACATTAAAGATTTCATTGATTCAAATTTTTCGAGCTCATTTATGGCAAAAGATTCATGAAAGTGTGGTACAAGATTTATGTCAAGTTTTTGATAAAGAATTGGAGATTTTACAAATTGATAATGTCGAGAAACAAGCTATTCATCCACGTAAGTCTTATAGAATGAATTCTTCAAGTGCAGATATTGTTTTGACTAGTAGTTATAAATGGAATGTTTCAAAACCATCACTACTAAATGATAAAGACGAGAATTATGTCTTACCTGCTAAAACTTTTTGGATTGATGTACAATTGAGATATGGTGACTACGACTCCCATGATATTTCAAGATATGCGAGATCAAAATATCTTGATTATACAACTGATGGTACTAGCTCATATCCATCGCCAACTGGTATTATAATTGCAATTGATTTAGCTTACAATATGTACGACGTGTATGGTAATTGGTTTCCTGGCCTCAAACCTTTAGTAATGAGTGCAATGAGAGAAATTATGAAGGCAAATCCTGCTTTGTATGTGCTCAGAGAAAGAATTAGAAAAGGTTTACAATTGTATCATGCACAACCACAAGAAGCATTTTTGAATTCCAATAACTATGCTGAATTGTTTAATAACGATACTCAATTATTTGTTGATGATACGAACGTTTACCGAGTTACAGTTCATAAAACTTTTGAAGGAAATTTAGCAACTAAACCTATCAATGGTTGTGTATTCATTTTAAATCCTAGAACTGGTCAATTATTTTTGAGAGTTATTCATACTTCAGTTTGGGCAGGTCAAAAACGTTTAAGCCAATTAGCAAAATGGAAAGCGGCAGAAGAAGTGACAGCATTAATCAAATCATTACCCAAAGAGGAACAACCAAAACAATTAATTGTATCAAGAAAAGGGATGATGGATCCATTGGAAGTTCATATGTTAGATTTCCCTAATATCTCAATTCGTCCCTCGGAATTACATTTGCCTTTCGCTTCTGTTTTGAAAATTGAAAAATTATCAGATATAGTATTAAAAGCTAACGAGCCAAAAATGGTAATCTATAATTTTTATGATGATTGGTTAACGAGGATATCGCCTTATACAGCGTTTTCCAGAATTATTTTAATTTTGAGAGCTTTAGATTGTGATGCAAGTTTGGCCACCTCCATAATTTGGTCCATAGATGCTGAGACTGAAATACATCATATATGGCCATCTTTTACAGATGAACAGTGGATCGATGTTGAGTCAAAACTTAGAGATTTAATACTTGAAGATTATTCAAAGAAATACTCAATTGATATACAATCGTTAACTCAATCTGAAGTCAGGGATTTGATATTAGGTCAAGATATTAAAATGTCTGCCATAAGAAGACAAGAATTAGCAGAAATTGAAAACAATGGTAAAAATCAAACTGAAAATAAAGAAATATCAGCTCAAAAATCAATTACAACCAATATTCACGGAGAAAAGATTGTTACTGTAACTACCACAAATTACGAACAAGCAACATTTTCATCTAGAAATGAATGGAGAACTCGGGCATTAGCTGCAAATTATTTACATTTGAGAGCAAAAAATATTTATGTTGCATCAGAAGAGTTTGTGGATGATGATTCATTTACGTATATCATGCCGAAAAATATTTTACAAAAGTTTATTCAAATATCGGACTTGAGAATTCAAGTTGGTGCATTTTTATATGGTAAATCACCTGCTGATGATCAATTGCAAATCAAGGAAATTAAATCTTTAATTGTAGTTCCACAATTAGGTAGTACCAATTCTATACAATTTCCCAAAACTTTACCTGAATATGAAGGATATTTAAAAGAGCAAAATTTAGAGTTGTTAGGTTGGATCCATTCTCAATCTCAAGCATTTGATTATATGACTTCATACGATGTTACTGCACAATCAAAAATGTTAGATGAATACAATCCAAGATTCATAAATATGGTTGCAGCATATACTCCTGGTTCAGTTACGTTAACTGCATTTGAATTGTCAAAACAAGGATTTGAATGGGGTCGACAAAATAATGACATGATGTCTGATTCTCCTGAAGGATTTGATAAAGAATTTAGTAAAAAATCACAGCTTATAATGTCTGATAAAATTGTTGGTAATTTCATGGTACCAGAAGATGAGATTTGGAATTACTTTTTCATGGGAACAATTTTTAATGTCAATGATTTATACAATTTGAAAATTGATATTCCATTAACTTTTTATGATCCATTACATCGTCCAATACATTTTTCAAACTTTTCACAATTAGAGGCTGGTAATGAAGAAGAAGCAAATCAAGAAAGTGTTTTTAGTTAAATAAAAATTCATTAAATTTTATGTTTTAATTCTCCAGAACTTAATTTTTTAAATCTATCCATTGGTACACCTGAAGTCCAATGTTTTAAACCTTGAAAGACTTCTTGAGAATTGACTGCTGATATTTGAGGTTTATACATCTTTTGTAATAATTTTTTATTCTCAATTATTGAATCAGGATGTAAATTTTCAGTTGAATCTAATAACTCGTCTAATACTTGTTTATTGAATCTTTCCGTTGAACTATATTTTCCCTCGTAATCTTTGTTGATTAAACCTAGTCTGTATAAATCTTCGCCACTGATTCTTTTCGATAACAATAAAGCTTCATTAGCTTTTGACCAACCTAATCTAAATGGCAAAGTTACTGATGTACCACCTTCAGCAACAATTCCAATATTAGCAAATGGAGTTAATAAAAATGTCTTTTTCACATCATGAGTATATATTAGATCACCTAATGCAACAATAGCTGCACTCAAACCAATTGCAAATCCGTTCAAAGCAATTGCAAATATTTTTTTATGATTTAATATAGTTTGAACTAAGTAAGTTTGTTTAGCAACTGATAAATTCAACCATGTTTCCAATTCTGAGTCTTGTTGGCCTATGAATTGAGCATTTGCACCAGCTGAGAATGCTCTCCCTGATGATTGTAATAATGTTATTATTGTATCTGGTTCTTCATTAGCTTGTTCTAAATATTTTGCAATTTGATCATACTGTGATAAAGTTAATGCATTCAATATTTTCGGAGCATTCAAAGTAATTACTACCGCTCTATCTATCACTTCATAAGTTATTGCGTCGTCTGAAGCCATTATTATTTGTTTATATAAGATTGAATTAATTTCGTGAAATAGTTTTAGAAATTCTGGAGAAATTTAAAAGCTATCCTACCAAATGGTACTTACAAAATTATCCGATATGAAATTGCTGCATGGAATTACAGACACTATAATCACATATAAAGTCAGAGTTTTCCCGTATGTACTCAAAGCCATTATTTTGAAAGTCTTATTATACCTGATTGAGTGTACTGCAGTGGAGTTTGTTGAAACATAGTCCAATCGGATAATTATGCAGGGTCAATTATATCCGACTTTTGCAAAGTCGATAAGGTTAATTAAATTTTGTGACATAATCACAAAAATTCTGGGGTAGTCGGACGTATTAAAGCTCAATCAAAAAGCCATAAACTCTAATGTAAAACAAACTATATAATATTCACATATTCATCTTAAATCAGAATAATAACAATATAGACTTAAAAACTAAATTATATGATTTTATATTCTATAATATTCTACATTTTTCGAAATTTATTACCGATTTCTCCTTAATCTCAATCATTATTTTTAAGATGGCTGCAAATTTCACTGTTTCATGAGTTTCTTTCAATGAAATGACATTATACTCCTTCTGATAGTCCAACTAAAGTTAAAAATTAGTTTTAAAAAGCAGATAACATATCAAAGAGAACAATGTCAAATACTTCATCCAAAAAGTCAATCAATTCATCTTCTGAAGATGAAATGCCAATTCATAAAGTTCAAGTAAGTGGAGATAATAATGAATTTATAATAATCAATCACAAAAAATATTATAAACTGGATTTACAATCAATTTTTGGAGGTGATTTACAAAATACTCCAACTCCTTATCCAACTTTTAATTTAAATTCTGCACCAATGGGACTTTGTGCATTTGCACTTACAACATTTACTTTAAGTCTTTATAATTGTGGAGCAAGACTGATTAAAATTCCTAATTTAGTATTTAGTCTTGGAATATTTTATGGTGGAATGGTACAATTTTTTTCTGGATTATTGGAGTAATTAAATTCTAATGAATTTGCTTTGATGACTTTGACATCTTATGGACTGTTTTGGTTAAGTATGAGTATCATTTATATTGACTCATATGGAATTGAGAAAGCCTATGGAGACGATCTTGATCAATTTTCAAATGCGATTGGATTATTTATGGTAGGTTGGGTAATTTTTACTTTGATGGTTATATTAGTTACTATGAAAACAACAGTTGCATTTTGTGGATTATTTGTATTTCTCGAAATTACTTTCATCTTATTAGCAGCTGCTGATTTTACGGGAAAAGAAGGTGTAAGAAAAGCAGGTGGAGTTTTTGGGGTAATAACTAGTGGGTTTGCTTGGTATAATGGATTTGTGGGTACAGCAACCAAGTTCAATTCTTATATTACTGGTAAAGTTATTCCACTTCCTGGTAATATTATGAAAGATAAATCAAAATCAGAAACATGAGTATATTGAATGATTTCAATCTTTGAGCAAAACAATTGATGTTTTGATGCCACAACTGAATTCATAAACAAGTTGGAATCAAAGCACCTGACCTGAACTGAGGAAATTTTACAGGGCCAGAGTGAATTTGAAAAAATAAAGAAATTTTGAAAGGTTTCAAATTTTTGCTCTATATGCAGAGAAAGAAAATTTATAATTTTATCCAAAAAAAATGAAACTAAACATCATCTTTAAACACAACAACTCTATCACGTTCTGTCAAAATTATCTGATATACTCAAGTCAAGCCAATAAAACTCAGAGGCAAGATTATTATTATTTATTCAAATCTCAACTATTACCAATGTCTTACTGAAATTATATAATCTTCAATAGCAAACAACAATTTTTTTAATTCATTTCTTGAAACATTATCTTTTAGCAAAATTAATTCCAATGGTGATTTACCATTCATATATTTTAATAATTTATAAAAAATTTTAATTAATTCATTTGATAATTTACATTCATTAAAAATTATTTCATTTATCCATTTTCTTTCTAATGTTGATGCTCTTCCTGGATCTAATATAATTGTATCATCTTCTTCTAATAATGAAACTGAATTATTTTGATTTAATTGTTCTTTTAATTTCTCTATATTCAGTGATGTTGTTGATGTGTTTAAATCCTTTTTGGAAAATGTATTTGAACTTTCTTTTTGTTTTGATGAATTATCAGTTGTTTTTACAATAACTTCTTTCTTAGTGTTATTTGAATTTTTTCTCTTTTTTGCTAAATTTTCATTTTCAATATCTTCTTCAACTTTAATTTTTATTTTTCTTGAAATTTTTAACCATATAAAAGTTAATTGTTGAGTAACATAACCAAATCTATTTAACCATGCTAAAGCTTGTAAATAACTATCTCTATGATCTCTTGATGGAATTATTGCTGCAAATTGTTGAGGTTTTTTAGATTGTGGTGATAATAATTTTAAAAAATGAGGTAATGATGGTAATGTTGGGAATTTTATATTAAATTCAGTTATATCATCATATAATTTTATAGTTAATGGAGCCATTGGTGATATAATATATACTGATCTTGAACTTAATGGTTGAATTATTCTTGCTCTTCTCCAATAAATTAAATGAAATGCAAATGATTTTATTTGTCTTATATCTAATTGAGTATTTCTAAGTGATAATTTTAATAATGATTCTGTTGGTTGAATCATTCTTATAAATTTTGCTAATATTGAATCAGTTGATGTTTTTATATCTCTTATTATATTTTCTGGTTCATCTAATAAAAGTAAAGCAAAATATATTATAATTTCATCTGAATCTTCTTCTTCTTCTGATAATGATTTTAATTGTTGACCATATTTTGAAGCTTCTCCTACATTTACTATACCATTATTACTTAAAATTTTAACAGTTGATGATAAATATGAACCTGGAATATAAGGAACTGTGGGGTCAGGTAATGAATGAAATTCAGTTTTAATAGGTATTTGAAATGATTTAATTTTACCATCTATTAATAAATTTGCAACTTTTGAATTACTTATAGCTGTATAACAATCAAAAATCATTTTACATAATGATGATTTTTCAATTAATGTAATTTCATCATCTCCTTGTTCACGAATTGTTTGAATTAATTTACTTTGTTGACCAATATAATCATGTTTTGATTGTGCATGTCGTAACACTAAAGAAATTTTAGATACAACATGTTGAAACATTTCATCAATTCTATAATTATTTTCGATTATAGGAGGGTTCATTATAAATACTAAATGAAACATATTTAAATTATTTTTTATTGGTGAAATTGTTTTATTATTATTTTTCCAAGTTCCATCATCATTCTTGTGGATTGGTAATCCTAAAAAGATTTTCCCTTCAATTGTCATTTCAAATCTAGTATTACACATTGTTTTTGGAGGTGCTAACATTTCAATTAAATAACTTGGTCCAATTCCAAATATTTCATCATTTATTGATCTAAATTTATTTAGGGAAGTTAAACTGTTTTGACTATGACTTAAACTAGACTTGGATATGGTTTTAATTAATGGTTGATGTTGATGATGCAGTAGTTGTTGTTGTTGTTGCTTCTTATTCTTTCTTTGTTGTTCTCTTCTATCATCTTGTTGATCTAAAAATCGTCGCAAATCTAATCTTGTCCCCATATAATAATTTAAATGATGAATATCCCAATTTTCATTAGTAATTCCATATAAATCTTTATCATCAGTTATTTCATTCACTAAAGATTCTTGACCATTTTGATCATCTAATTCATCATCATTATTTTTATATTCATATAATTCATCATCTTCATCAGAATCAATTGTTTCTTCAGTTGTTTTTGGTTTTTCAGTATTTTGTTGTTGAGAATGTAAATTTGTTGGATATTTATAAACTAATTGAGGTCCACTATGAGTTGATATAGCTAATAATATACCTAGTAGACTTGGATTAGGTAAATTAAAACTCATATGTTAAAGTTTGTAGAAATTGAAATAAATATTTGGTGATGTTTTTCGCACTAGTTTATTTACAAATTATATCAAACAATATAAATAGATGAAAATTGACTAATAAAACTCTATCAAATTCAGAATTAAATTAAATTCTATGTACTAGTCTATTTTGTTTACAACTTATGTTTAACTTCCTTATTTGCCAATTGAGCAAATCTACCTTGTGGAACACCTTCTAACCATTTATAAAATCCCTTCATAACTTCTTGAGAATTAGCTTGATTAATAAATTGATCTCTTGTTAATTTTAATAATTCTTTATTTTTAAAAATAGAATCTTCATGTAAATTTTCAAATGATGAAACTAATTCTTTAAATACTTGTTTATTAAATTCTTCAGTTGTATATTTACCATCATAATGTTTATTTATTAATCCTGCATTAAAACAATCAACACCACTAATTGGTTTTGCTAACAACAAAGCTTCAGAAGCTTTTGACCAACCTAATCTTGCAAATAAAGTAGCTGATGAAGCACCTTCAGCAACTAAACCTAAATTAGCAAAAGGAGCTAGTAAATAAAATTTACTTAAATCATTAACATAAATTAAATCACATAATAATAATAAACCAGTACTTAATCCAATAACAGGACCATTTACTGCTGCTGCTAATATTTTTTTATGATCATTAAAAACATTAGTTAACCAAACATTTCTTGCAACAAATCTTGCTAACCAATATTCATGACTAAATAATTCAGCAGGATCAGTTTCCATTAATTTTTTATCTGCAAAATTTGCTCCAGCACTAAAATATTTCCCTGTAGCTTGAATTAATGTTAAAACAGTATCTTCTTCTTCATTTGCTTGTTCAACAAATTTACCTAATTTTAAATATTGTTCACCATTTAAAGCATTTAATTTATGTGGAATATTGAATGTAATTATTGTAACTCTATCTTTAACTTCATAAGTAATATCGTTTTCTTCGTCAGACATTGTGGTATGTGGTGTATGTATGTAGTAATTGGATTAGAAAAGAAAGATTTAAAGTTTATGGAATTTGAATTTCAAAATTGAATTGAAAAAGAAAGAATTGATCCTTTGAGATTATCTTTTTATCGCGGAGAGAAGATTTAACGTGGAGAAAGATTCCTCTAACCCCAGACTAAACGATACACAAATTTGCTTAACTCCAAGGCGAGATTAAAACGGTTCGTCAGTCTAATGTTTAGGTCGGAATTAATGCTAAATTTATTCAATCTAATTATCCTCCCCCCACTTAAAATTTTGAAATATTATAATTTTTTTTTACCGAGGTGAGTATGCCACAACAGACTTTAAAAATTGTCAAATGCTACTAACAGGCTCAACAAAATGTAATGAAGCATTGACTAAAGGAATGGATAGGAAGACAGCGTACTCAAGTAGATTAGAACTTTTTAATTTGATTCAATTTCAATTTTAAGTCGAATTCGATGGACAAAGCACAATTTGATGTCTTTTTTAATTAAAAACAAAATTTGAGGTAAGTTTGCAACAAAATCTAATCAAATATTCCATTAAAAATCATAGATTTGTCACCATTGTCCTATCCATGTTCTAAAGTAGTGAATATTTACTCGTATCATTGTTATGGGCGTATATGAGCCTGCAGTAAGCGAAGCAACCACAGAAAGATCGATTGTTGTATTCGATCGACCCTGGAGACAAATATGAAACGATAAAACACATCAATTAATGCAAACTTTCATCAATAATTTGGTCCAAAGAAGGGCAATTTATAACTTTACTTATACGGTCTAGACCTTCCACAAACCCAAGTTAGGGCGAATGGTCTAGTGGTATGATTCTTCGTTTGGGTTATTCTCAATATAAAACCTGAGCATAAATTTCGAAGAGGCCCTGGGTTCGATTCCCAGTTCGCCCCTCAATAAGGTCATTGTAACATTTTTTTAACACTTTCGTGAGTGATTGTTTAACACTTTCGTGAGCGGTTGTTACCAATGCCACTGCATTAGTACTTTTAGCTTCGGAGTGAAAGCTATACGTACTAACTTTCTGATAATTTTATTTTTTTCGTTTTAGATTGTTTAGAATAATAATTGTTTGAATCTTTTCGTGTTTTATTTCAAAACAATAACAACCAAATTTCAAGATCAAAAACTTGATAAAATGACAGTTATTTCAAATACACCACTATACCAAAATGAATTAAATAATCTACTAAATAAAAAAAATTATTCAATTTTTTCAATATCAGAAGAATTTTCAATTCAAAATATACGTGATCCAATAACAATTAAAGATCAAATAAATAATCAAAAAGAAAATTTTAAAAGATTAAAATTAAATTATATTGAACAACAAAGTCAAGAAAAATTCTTACATAGAATTGCTGAATTAGATTATGATGAGTTGGGGAAATTTAATGATGAATTTAATAAAGGTTTAATTAAAGAAACTAATGAATTGAAGTTACAGTTGAAAAATTTAAAACTAGAAATGAATGAGAAAGTCCAGGAGTTAAAAGATGAAGTAGATAAAATTAAAATTACATATGATTCAATTCAATTGAAACAAAATGATTTAAAATCAACAATTGAAGAATTCGAAGTGATTGAAAAAGAATTTGATGATTTAATAAAAGAAGAAAAAGATCAAGAATTTAAAGATATAATTGATCATACTTTAAATATTGATACTACTATACAACTTGATTCAAATATTGAAATTTCATCATCACAAATGAATAGTCAATTAAAAGAAAATATAGAAACTGAATCAAGAGATATTGTTCAACTTTATAATACTAGAGAAACTGAATTAAACAATTTACAGAGTAAAGTAGAAAGTTTACAGAATGAGATTAAAGAAAAGGAGAACCTATTAACTCAATTAAGAATTAATAGTGGTGAAATTTTAGATCCTCAGAATAAAAAGATTAATAATTATGTTTTATGGTGTGAGGATATGATAAAAATTTTAACTAAAATGAATCAATAATCCAGAAATGTGTAATGAATATGAAATTTAATGAATACATAAACAACTTAATGACCTATAAATTTTGTTCAACTGGAGTATTTGGATCTTTCCACTCTATATGATAAAACTATCTTCACGTGATTGTATATATCTACAAATTAAAACAAAATTTAAATTTTTGTGCGTAAAAAGAACACCACCCCACTTTATTCTTATTGATTTTAGAAAGAATCTAACCCTAAATGACAAGTACTACTACATTAATAAACCCGTCCATTGATAAAGATAACGAGAACCAAACTAATATTAATAATTATCAAAGAGTTCCATTAAAAACTTCAGTAATAGGTCAACAAACACAATCTAAACAAGAAATAATAAATAATCTACTAAATTTAGCTAAACAAGAACAAGCCAAGGGTAACTCATCTATAACTTCAGATAAAATTGATAAATTACAAACTATACTATCAAAAAAGCAAAAAGAAGAAGAAAACCTGCTGAATAAATTTAAAAAATTTCAAAATTTACCAACTATTAAAAAACAAGTTCCCAAATATCCTCCTTTATTTAATAAATTTGATATAGATAGTGCAATCAAAACAAATCATACATCTCCAAATCCAACTATAAAAGAAACTACCAGTAAGTCACCATCAAAATCACAATCAAAAAAATCTAATAAAAAGTTTTATAGTCCCAAAAAATTTACATTCAAACAACTTGAGTATATGTTTATTAATTTCCTTGAAAATATAGCAAATTTATTAGATAATTTACATTTATTATCAAATTTACCAATGTTTCCAAAATTTTTAAATAATTTATTAAAACAAACAAATAAATTATGGATATTAATATTAATTTTTTTAATTAGAAAAACTATATCACAATTATTAAATGTAATTAGAAAAATTAGAAAAATCAATGTGGAAAAAACCATATTGAATAATAATTCACCAATCAAAACAAATTTAAATGATGATATAAATAAAAAATACAACAAAATATTAAAAGATTTAAAATTTGATAAGATGATGTTGATTTTAGAATTAATTGGAAATTTATTAGATTTTATTTTCAATTTAATTGAATTAAATTCTATTGGTGTTCCAGATTGGGTTATGAGTGGATTAAATTTTGCAAGTATGGCTATGACTATTTATAGAATGAATAAAGATGATGAATATATTGATGATGATATTACTGAAGATTTGATATAGAGTCTTGGAGAAGAAATAGAGTAGGGAAAGATTATGTTAGATTTTTAATTATTTATTATATAGACCAAATATATATGTATGCTTCAGAGAGTGAGAAAGACTGAACTTTAATAAACATAGTAGGAGATTCTACATGCGTTAGCTGATTCATTAGCGATAAAAATATTAATATAGCTCGATCAATATTCGTTTGATATGATACTGAGACACTTAATTGATGTTGGATTTCTCTAGTTTACATGGGGCTTGATAATTACCTATCTTTCGGTCAAAGGAGTGATGATTCTAGAAAGACACCACACCAAAAGGAGTAGCGTTTAAAGAGGTCTATAAGCCAAGAAATATCATCGGTAGATAGTTAATTTTCGTTTTGATTGATATTGAAAATAATGTGTATTCTTTTTTCTTATTAAAAAAAAAAAGTGATGAAATGTGTATAGTAAAATTTGCAACCTTTTTCCACACTTTTTCTTTTTGCAGCCAAATTTTTAAAAAGAGTGACATACAAAAAACATATATACACATTTAAGATCCACAATAGGTATTAGAGTAAAATTTGATTGAGTGATTTTATATATAAAGATGTTGGATTCTTCTTTTTTTCTTTTTTTCAAAATGATTGATACTTTTTGTTTTAAACTTAATAACAACAATCAATTCAAAAATGTGAGTCACTTAAATTTTATTCAATGTCACGTTTGTTTCCAGATTGAGTTCAATCATATTTTTGTTAAGTTTCATATCAGTATATTGAGATGATTCAAATTAATCAGGAGATCACACTAAATCAAGTTTTGATTGGTGTCAAACTTTGACACGGCTTGATTGACACCTCATATTGACAATTGGGGGAATGAATACATTTGAATCACTATTAATCATTTGAGAGTTGTAAATCCATTAAATCAACCCATTGAATCAAGTTTCAGCTAATATTATCATTTCGGTTTCATCAATATTCAATATTATTTGATGTATATTTGTTTTTTTCGGTTTATATTCAGATCCTTTTCGATTTGTTTTACAATCTGTTTCGGTTTGGCAATTTGGTTTCCTATTGTCCATATAATTTTATAGTTTAATTGTATAATTAATACCAGTCTAAACCCTTTATCTAGCCTATAACTCTTACGCGTGTAAAAGCTTAGTAGACTAACTCCGAACACACAATCATTTTTGCTACCATTTTCTACCCCCAGATATTATAATTTTTATTTTTTATTTTTATTTTACTATTTTATTATTATCACAAGATTTTTTGACTTTTTAAGTTGAGCTCAACAAATCTTAACTTGTTTATAATATCATTAGTTAAGGTTCAATCTTTATACTTAGTGAAATAAGAGGGTTTTGCTTTGAAATAATTGAACTTCAGATTTTGAAACTTCACTACTTCATAGGTTAACAACATTATCATTTTTCATCACCTTTTCCGACTTTTTATTCAATTTTCCGTATATCAAACAAAATTATGTCAGATCCAAGTGCTAGAATAATTTCTCATATGAATAAAGATCATCAATTATCTTTAAATGATTATGTCATTATATATGGATCAGTTAATCCAAAATATTTAGTTGAAGATTCAGTACAAATAGTTAAAATTGATACAAATCAAATTATAATTGAATATGATGTTATAAAACCACCTGCTACAAGAACTTTAGCTTTATATTGGACAGATGCAAAAGAAAATGATAATTTAAAAGTTGAATCATGGTCAGATATTAAGGGGAAGCTAATTTCAATGGCTAATTATTGTGCTGAAAAACAAGGTTATGCTTCTAAAAAAATTACTAAAATATTGGGACCTAATTTTTTAGATTTTATTATTATGTATCCTACATGGATTATTTTAATATTAAATTCATATAATCCTTCAATTTTAAGAAATTTATTTGTAAATGATCAATGGTTTAATAAAATTATTAAATATTTACCTCAATTTGTGTTTAGTGGTTATAAATTTTCAGAAGTTCATGCTTTAAAATTAATTTATACTTTAACTTTTCTTCATTTAGGTGAAATTATTTTCATTACTATACCATTATTAAAAAAATATAGAGCTCCAAATAATGTTAAATTAGCTTATTATATTTTAAATTTTATTGAGGGTTTCCCAGTTTTATTAAGATTAAAAAAATTAGCTAAATAAATCAAATGTTTTTAAAATGTTAAATGTATTACGATCTATTATATGAGTTTATTATGATTTTTTTTGCTTTTTATTATCTTTTGTCTCTTCTACTTCTTGAAGTGTTCGTTTGTCATTGTTTTCAGTTGGTTCTAAATCACTTAAATCTAATTCTTCTCCCTCAGAGCTATCTTCTTCATCATCATCATCATCTTGATCATTACTGTTAGACAATGCAACAACGTAAAATTTCACAGCATTTACAAACAAATCAAATGCTATCAGCCATGCCATATCTTCACCATTTCTAAATTCTTTACCTGGTTTTAAACCAGTCCATGAAAAAAAGCTAAAAAATGATTTCATACCAATTCTATAATTCTTTTTCTGTTCTGATGTCATATTTTTACCCTTTGATTCTTCTTTAATTAATTGTGGATTAAATTTTTCTAATTCCTTCGGCCATTGAATTGAAACTGATTCTGATCTTATCAGTGGATTTCCATCATCTCCTATAACAAAATAAAATTTCTTTGTAATACTTTGTTTAGCGATATATGGATTTTCATTAAATCCAATAGTTAAATCAAAATCTTTTACATTCGATATACCTCCAGTTTTGGAAATATCTCTTGATTTTATAGAATCATTAGCTATTGGATAATTTATATATAAATCATCAATATATTCTAAATATTTTAAATCATCTGGACTTATATAATCAGTAAAATCATCATTTTCTGCTAATACAATATACCAAAATTTATCAATTTCCTTTAATATTTCTCTTCTTTTACTATATAATGGTTGAGTAGTTTTAATTCTATGAATATCTAAGTTTATTTCAAGTTGATTCATTTCTCCTTCCCATTGTGATAGTTTCTTTAAACCAGATTGTAGTTTTGATGAAGATTCTTCAACTGATTTCTCTGGTTGGTTCGACATCGTTGCATTGGTATGGGTCTAGTTTGTGATTGATGATGGTTTAATAAAATCAATTGTTTATTTCTTGTTGCAAAAAAAGTCAATTCCAAATTCTTAATATCGTGTTGTAAAAGAATCAATAAATCAAAATATTACTACATTACAGCATTCATTACAACATCTAAGGTTAAAAGAAGTTGATTGCTTTGCTTACTGGATTCTAATAACTCAAACCGAGCCATTAGCACTACAAAAGATTATGATCAATGAAGGCGAAATAATATCCAAAGTATTTTTAGCAATTGATAAAGCAAAAGGAAATATAACATCATTTAAGAAATCTATATCAGATGGTGAATATACCAAAATAAAACAACCTTCAACATTTTCAAGATTATTAATATGGAAATCAATATTAATATTAGACACTCTAAAGATATCAACATGGGAATCAAAATTAAATGATTCAAGAATTGTATTTCATCAATTAATAATGAGAGATGATATGAGAATTCCATGGTTTGAATTAGATGAAGATTGTCAATATTATCAAACACAAGATATAAAAAGGAAATCAAGTATAAATAGAAAACTGTCATTAAGAGGAACCAAGAGTTTGAAAAAAGCTTCATTTAGAGAACAAGTTTCTGAAGATCCATTAAATTTTAAGAAGTTGACTAAAGAAATGGAAAAACATAGCTTGGTTAATGAAAATTTAGAACTTTTACAAATTATAATTTTAGATATAGATAGATTATTTCCTGGGGATTTATTTTTCAGTGAATCTAATAATTCAAATTTATTATATATCAAGAAACAATTGATTGAAATATTGTATGTTTGGTGCAAATGTAATATAACAATTGGTTATAAACAAGGATTTCATGAAATCTTGGGGTTAATTTATAAAAATTTATATATGGAATCAATTAATTTTGATTTAAATGATCCTAAAAATATAAAATATTCAAATGAAGAGTTAGCAATTTTGAGTTTATATAATAAAAATTTCTTATGTCATGATTTATTTATAATTTTTAACAAATTTATGTTATCAAGTGGTATACTATCTAATTTTTATGAAACAGAAATAAAATTAACTAAACTGATTGAATTATTTAATATTAATTTAATGAAAATTGATCAATTTATTTATTATACATTAACAACAAAATTAAAATTAGATACTCAATTATGGATTATAAGATATTTAAGATTATTATTATCAAGAGAATTAGGTAATGATATGGAAATTACGAATTTATTATGGGATAAATTAATATCATCACAAGGATCAGAATCAAAAGAATCATCAAGTAGAATACCACAATTATTAATGTTTATAACAATTATTTTATTAATACAACAAAAAATGGATTTAGTAACAAGTGATTTTAGTGAGTGTTTATCATTATTATTACACTACCCAATAATTCAATTTAAATCACCATCAAAAAGAGATTCTTATATTAAAAATTTATTTAAAGATGCTGAAAAGCTTTATGAAAAAAGAAATGATGATTTAAAATTATATGAATTAGGTAATAAATTAAATTTAAAATATAATCCAAGTTTAAAAATTTCAATGAATTATCATAAAAATAATAATGATTTAAGTGATACAAATAGTAATAATAGTGCTCGATCAAGTATTGATTCAGCAAGTTCTGTTAAAAAACAACAACAACAACCACCACAAAATCAACCTAAAAATGACCGTCATGAACAAATGAAGTTTGAAAAAACAAGATTAGAAATGAAATTAAAGAAAAAAGCTCAAAGTTTAATGCAAAATGGTAAATCTATAGAAAATATAAATAGTAATGATAAAAGTTAATGATTGATTGAATGACGATATTTTATAATGACGCGATTAATTTTGCGACACGTACGCTCTTTATATTTTTTGAAATATCCAGATCAGGTAACTTCACATTATTAACCACCTCTATTCAGCTTTATACTAAACATCAGCAAGTTCCTAAAATCCACAACCACTCACCAAAAGGCATACACAGATACCGAGCAAACATTTATATATAAACAGGTAAAAAACATGGGTAAAAGAAAATCATCAACAAGAAAACCAGCTAAAAAAATAAAACAAACATTAGATGTACAATTTACATGTTTATTTTGTAATCATGAAAAATCAGTTATATGTCAATTAGATAAAAAAAATTTATTAGGTGAATTACATTGTAAAATTTGTGGACAAAATTTTCAAACTTCAATAAATAATTTAAGTCAACCTGTTGATGTTTATAGTGATTGGATTGATGCTTGTGAAGATTTAGCTGAAGAAGAAAATCAAAATGGTGGTGGTGGTGGTATTGATGATGATGGGGAGGGACAAGGTGAGGTTTATTCTGATGATGATGATGGAAATAATGGTGAAGGTGGGTTTAAAGGAAAGGATCCTATACTAGATTCTGATGAAGAAGATTACTAAAAAGATCAGAGGGGTATTTACATAAAAAAAACAAATATTATACATGTATTATTAGTCATTACTAAATTTTAATCGTTTTTCATTTAAATTGGTTATTGTTCTCTCTATGAAACTAAGTTGTTAGTTTATTGAGTACTTCATCATAAGTTTCGTTAATTGTTGAATCATGTTTTTTTAATGAATTTTCTTCTTCTTCTTCATCTTCTTCGTCGTTGAAGAAACAAACGGGTTTTTTCGAGTCGTCTTTTTTTGAGTCATTACCTGCTTGGTTATTCGAATCATTTTGTTTATTAGTAGATAATTGTTGTAATCTCAGTTTAATTTCTTCAATATTTAATAAGTCATGTTCTAGATTCTTTGAATTTTTATCATTACTTTCTGATTTGATGTTATCATCATCATTTTGATGAAAAACTTTCTCTAAAGATAATCCTTGATCTCTAAGATTCCCCAAGTAATCAATAATTTTATCTAAATCACTTAATTCAATACTCATTAATTTATTTCTAATTTCTTCTCCTGACATATTATTAATTTTAGAATTTGGTTCATGATAATCTTTTAATTTTGATAATTTTAATACTGAACCTTCTTGTCTATCTAAATTTGCTAAATTTGTTCTTGAATTTGATTTTGAAACTAATGGTGATCTACTTTGTGGTATTGAATTTGATGAATTTGAAGGTTGTAATAAATGTTTATCGTGTTCTTGTTCTTGATCATCTTCAAATCTTTCTTCAATTGCTTTATCTCTTGCATCTCCTTCACTTCCTTTCATAAGATACATGTTGGCCTTTGTGGTTGAATTTTCATTATTATAATTTGGATCAATTAATTGTAAACCTTTTTCAATACTTGAATCAATAAAAATAAATCTAATTAACATTTCTTTACCATCTAAATCTAATGAATTTTTTAATTGTAAATTATTTAATTCATCAATTGATTCTTTTAATTGTGATCTAATAGATTGAGCTCTTTTAAAAAAATTTATAACTTTAGGGGATGATAAATCTAATTTCATTTGAGTTTTTAATAAAAGAATTTCTTGAAATTGTTCAGTTAATGAATTTGAATTAGATTCAACATTTGATAAAATTGATAATGAAGCATTATTTGAATTTTTATTTTCATCTTTATTTGTATATAATAATCTTTCCATATTTCTCATTGTATATAATCCTAATCTTTCTTTAAAAAATTCAGGAAAATTATCTGAATTACAATCAAGATTAATTAAAGATTTTGAATTTTTTGTTGCATTAATTAATGCACTTGCAGCTGTTGGATCAATATGATTTCCTAATAATGAAAAATATCCTAAATGTTTACAAAATGGTATAACTTTTGCAATTTGTAAAATTGATAATGAATTAAAATTTTCATTTTCTAAATGTAATCTTACTAATTTTGGAAATAATGGGAATTTTGATGTAAAATATTGAACTCTAGAACATTCACTTGAATTTTTATAATCAGCTTCTGATATATTATTTGGTTGAGAAGTTGTCACGGTATCTGAATCATGATTAAAAGTTCCAAATAATCTTTGATTATTAGATAAATCAAGATATTTTAAATTTGGTAATTTTAATAAAATTTTTTCAAAAATTTCTTTAAACAAATCATTAAATACAATATTAGTTGAATTAAAACTTAAAAATGTAATTGTTGAATTTTGAATTTTTGTTTCAAAATCACTTCTTTTAATAAAATCAATAAATATTTTTAACATTTGAGAACTTGAAAAATCATTATATCCTAAATCTAAACCTCTTGCAAAATCTTCAAATAACCAATAATTCACCAATATATTTAAATGTTTTGGAGTTAAATTATTAAAAGCTAATCCTAATCTTGAAGTTCTTTTAGCTACTGCTAATTCAATTAAACTTTCAAATATTTCAACATTTGTTATACAACAACCAGTTAATATTAAATCTTCTATACCACCTCTTGCAACTAATGTTGCAACAAATAATGACCAATCCATATCTGATCTATTATCTTTATTACAAGTCATTCTAACCAAATTAGATTCAAATTTATTTGATGATTCCGTAGTTGAATTTTTCTTTTTCTTCTTTTTTAAAACATTAACTGTTAAACTTTGACATTGAGAAATATCTAATCTATTTAAAACAGTATTTCTTGATAAAAACCAACATAATAAAGACCAACCTTCTTGATTAATTGGTGTATTTCTTAAACTTAATTTTTCTAATTGAGTTTTTGCACTCATTGCAGATAATAAAATTTTAAATTGTTCAACTGATAAATTAACACCATCTAATGATACACAAATAACAGGAGCAATTCTTAAAAAATCAGCAAATGTTTGAATTTCAATCATTGTTGGTGTTGGATTTCTTAATTGTAATACAGGTAATGGAGCTAATGAACCAGGTGGAATTTGTTTTAAAATTGCTGGAATTGGTAATATTTCTCTTAAATGACAACAACGTGAATACATTGTATCTAATGCCATTTTTTTAACTGGTGTTGAATAATAATTTCCTGCTGATTGATGATGAACCATTGGTTTATCAATTGCTATACTTTTTGCATGTGCATTTACAGCAGGTTCATCAGGATCATCTGAAGAATTAATTTGATTTTGATCATCATCATCATTAGGTGGTTGTACTATTTCTTCTTCTTGTTCCTCGTCATTTTGATCTTCTTTCTTTATATAACCTAATGCACCTGTTCCTCCAACAACTATTCCTCCACCTTTACCCATTTGTGATAATTCAATTGATTTTTTATCTTCTTCAGTTAAAGGATTAATTCTAACTTGACCATTACTAAGTATTTCAACATTTCCTTTTCTCGGAGTTCGTGAAGGAATTTGTTGTGGTGGATCAATTAAAAAGGTAGATGAATGAAAAGCAACTCGTTTCAACGGTTTTAATCCTTTAAATGATGGATCTTGTTCTATGGTTGATGGTGGATTCGGCAGTGTTGATGAATTTATAGATGATGTTGATGTTGTGGTGGTGGTGGTTGGAATTTCTTGTTTCGAAGAAATTGAGGTTTTCCTTTTTATGAAATTTGTTAATCTTGTTGCATTTGAATCAGGAGCTTGTGTTGTAGGAGGTATATTTGATGACGAGGTTAATGAAGGATTTTGATAATTTGTATTATCATAACCATTCACTAGAGCACTAGGTAGTTGATTCTCACTTTGATTTGAACCAGTAGATGTTATTGATGATCTTCTAGATACTGCAGATGGTCTTCTAGAATCTCTTTGTTTATAAAATTTTATATATTCTTCTAATCTAGAATCAGGAACTGCTTTTGAATTTGATGGAGTAGATGCAGTTCTTTCTAAATGATGTTGATTATCAAAATATGATGATACTTCAGTTTGCTCATTAGTTTTTTTTTCCAATGGAGAATTTGAAGGATCTTTTACAGGTTTATGATAATGATTCATATCATAATTATTTTTAAATAAATTAATTTCATGTTTTGAAATTGGTACAGAATTAGTTGAAAAAGAAGGTTCTTTTGAAAATTTCCCTTTTAATTTTGAAAATAATCCTCCACTACTTTTTCTTCTTGGTTTTTGGAAAATATTGTTGCTGCTACTACTACTGGGTTCATTGGTTGAATGATGATTTAAATCGTGAGATTGATTTGACGCTATATTTTCTTCTTGTATTGGAGTAATTGAAGGTTTTGATTTTGATGATATTGTTTCGTTTGAATTTGAAATAGTTGTACTTAAATGGGTATTTACTGAATGAGAAGGTGATGATGGAGTATCCAATGATGAATTAGGTTTTGGAATCTGATTTGATTTATTATTGATTGTATCATCATTATTTTCAACAGGTTTATTTGCAGTTGATGCTTTAAAAGCTGGATCCATAGAAGAATCCCTCATAAACCAATCAACATCAGTATCTTTTACACCTTTAGTGTATACATCCGTTTCTTGTTCCAATTTATCTTTTATTTTATCAATTTCTATTAAATTATTTGTTAAAGTTTTACTTAAAGTATTTCTCCCACTGTTTTTTCTTTTTATTGAACTTGAATTTGAATTTTGTCTATCTAATTCATTTGAAGCTGTTTTATTTATCATATTCTGATCTGATGTTTCATTATCAAGATCATTAGTCATTTCTATTATTTTTTGCTAGTCAAATCATAAAATGTTTTTGAATTTTGTTGTCAATTCAATTTACTTGAAGTTTTGAAGTTGTGGGGTGAGGAAATCAGATGATTCTTTGAATGTTTGGACTGAAACAGTTATACTGAGCTGATGAGAAGTAGTTGTGTTCTATTTGATCAAAAATAAGTAGCTATTCAAGACTAATCAATTGTTAAGATCAATATCAATAGTCAATAATGGTTGTAAATATATGATTAAATCTGTTAATCTTATGTTTCTTTTTTTAGGTTTTCTAATTTAAATCAAATGTTAATTTTTTTGTTTATTTGTGTTAAAATCTTTAAGTGGCTTTTTATCCTCGATTTTGAGTTTTAGGGGGTTAAACACTTTCCTAAGTCTAATATTCGGATCGAGGATATTGATTCTTTATATGAATGAAGTTTATAATTAATTTTTAGTCCAGCCTTGTTGAGAAATAAGGATTAAGCTGCTGCAACTACCGCACCTACATTATTCAGTGACGCATGATGCACAAACTCATGTACATATTTTAAAATTTTGTTGATTATCTTTGTACAAATTGCTTCTTTCCTTTATGAATAGCCTTCCATATAATAAGCTACAAAGAAAAAGTTGATAGGTGAGTAGAGGCAAATAATGGGCGGTCAACATGTTGTTTTATCAACACACTGTTTATGTTTCTAATTTAATAAACAATTAGTTTTGAAAAAGAAAAAACATCGACAAACAGTGTTATTGAGTGGTACAATTATATGAATTAATTTCTAACTGCAACGTATGAAACTGTGAAACAAAAATTGAACAACAGATCTACTCATTGATAATAACAATACTTGATTGAAAGCAGAAGTAAGAATGTTTTAAAAGCAAAAAAAAAGTAATTTTATTGAAAAGATACAACGACAACTGCAGGACTCGAACCTGCGCGGGCAAAGCCCAAAAGATTTCTAATCTTTCTCCTTAACCACTCGGACAAGTTGCCCAGTCATTCGCTTATGAGTTGTGTAGAAACAAGTAGTACAACAAGACTACTTCCGTTTTAGAATAAAAAATAAACAAAAATGTCCATGTAATTACCCCCTAAAAAAAAAAAGAAAAAAAAAAAAAACTAATCAGTTGATTTTGGTTAAATTAAACTTAAGTACTTAAAAATTTGATTATTCAATCGATTATGGGCTCTATAGTTGTTGTGAATAGGACATTAATGACTGCAATACACAATGTAAAGGGCTTCAGAATGTAATTGGACTTTTTGTGTAGGAAAGACGCGTATCCCCTAACCCGTCTAAGGTCATTAACAGCAAAGTAAGTACACTAACAGCTTCCCCATGTCCTTTGGTCAGTTCTACTCGTGACAATTTGTTAAGTTTTATATTTTGTTAATCTAATGTGAATTTGACCAAGTATTAGATTTGCTATTATCATTACCGTAAACAGAAATATAGATAGATCTGAAATCAAACGGTTAAATAAAGATCCAAACAAAAAGGAAAAGAATCAATTTTTCATGAGGATGACTAATAACCAAGTCAATAGAAATTTCCAGGGGAAAGAGTTGGTGTTTTCAGCAATATATAAAGATCTCAAATATTGGTAGAGTAGCTTTTCTTTATTGTATCTCCTTGGATCCAATGAGAAACGAGGGTTGAATTTGATCGAGATACAAAATCAGAAACGCGTCCTCTTATTTACTACATTTCGATTCACAAAACAATTTAGACCAAATTTCTGTTCAAAAGATTGTCATATTTCCGTGGAGATATGAAATTAAAAGTAAAATGTGTAAATTAAAATTTAACTAAAGAAACTGAAACTGAATCGAACTAACTTTTGATTGGAGAATTGAGTTGAAAATCAATTGTATTCAGAGTCAGTCAATCGAGTCTATTCTAGATGAATGAATTGTTCTTTGATTCCTCATTTCGCAATTGTCTTTTCTTTATGGCCCCACTCTCCTACACTAAGTTGATGAAGTTCCAGTATTTAAATCACCAAATAAAGGCCACAAACTTTTGTTGATAACCCCTTGATTTCTCCAGGTTTTTCATTCTTAGCGGAATAATAGAGATCACCGAAAAAAATATAAATTGAGAGATAATTTTACCCCCTTGAATTTTTTTTTTTGGTTATCTTTTTCACCATTTTCTCAATTGTTAATCACGACAAGTGAGCTTTGAAAGCTATTGTGTTGAGCTATCAGTAAGATACTTTTTCAAGTGTTACATAAGAAATATTACTCAAATCAATTTTAAAAATTAAAATGCCTTATTACGCGGTTGCAAATGGTAGAAATAAAGGTGTTTATACCAATTGGAATGATTGTAAATCTCAAGTAAATGGATATAGTGGTAGTTCATTTAAAAAATTTAATACTGCTGCTGAAGCTCAAAGTTTTGCTTCTGGTGGTAGTAGTAGAAGTGGTAGTGGTGGAGGTGGAAGTTCATCATCACGTTCATATTCATCAAATAATAACGCGTCTTCTTATTCAAGTGGTGGATATTCAAGTGGTGGATACTCAAGTGGTGGATATTCTGGAGGATATTCAAGTGGAGGTGGAGTTTCGAAATCTAAATCAAGTTCATCCAGAAGTAAATCCACTTCATCTTCTTCATCATCATCAAAAACTGAACGTATTTATGTTGATGGAGCATCAAGAGGTAATGGTAGATCAAATAATGCAGCATCAGGTTATGGTGTATATTATGGTGAAAATGATTCAAGAAATGCAGCAGTAGCATTAAATGATGTTGATGATACTTCTAAATATATTCCAACTAATCAAAGAGCTGAATTACATGGTATGAAACATGCATTAACAAATATTAAAAATGATTTAATTAATGGATCAACAAAAAGATCAGAAATTTATAGTGATTCAAAATATGCTATGCAAAGTGTTAATGAATGGTCAACAAATTGGGAAAAAAATGGTTATAAAACTTCAACAGGAAATAAAGTTGCAAATTCAGATTTAATTAAAGAATCTGTTAATTTAAAAAATGATATAAATAAAATTTATGAATCAAAAAATATGAAACCTTTAGAATTTGTTCATGTAAAGGGACATTCTGGTAATGAAGGTAATGAAGCTGCTGATAGATTAGCTAATCAAGGAGCAGATAAAATGTCAAGAGGTAAGTAGAACAATGATTCAAAGAATCATGTGTAAAATAAGAAAGGAAACATGAAAAATAGTTGACATTGGAAAAATCAAATTTTTTAAATAATCTCATGCTTTCTTCTCATCAAAAAGACGTTATGAATAACGAGTAAAAAAAGAAAAAAAAACATAAAATATCGCTGAAATTTGGAGTTGTTTGAATTGAAGTTGTTGAAATATAAACATTACTATAATTATGCCTTTTACCAACCTTTACTTGTAGAATCATCAAATTCCTTTATTGAATCCCCCAAACCTTTTAAATCAATTTTAATTTCTTTTATATATTTTTTAATTTCATCAAATGTTTCTTTTGAATATAATGTTATATCATTTTCAAAATTAATTTCATCAGATTCAAAAAATTCTTTAATCATTTCTTCTTCTAATTTTGATCTTTTGTTGGGTTGATTGGGATTTGATTGCTCATTTGTGTCATTGTCGTTTTCGCTGCTTTTTTCCTTACTTTCATTCTCCTCTTCCTCCTCTTCTTTAACTTTTAATAAATTTTCGGAATGATGAGTTGTAGCTCTAGTTAAAGGACCAGAAGAATGAACTCTAGATTGATTTAATTGATATAATTTCTTTTCATCATTCTTATTATTATCTTCTTGATTAAATTTTGAATTATTATTAATAGTTTCTAATAATTTATTCTGCAGTTTTCTTAATTTGAGTAGCTCATTATTAAATTTATCATTAAAAAATGAACCTCTTTGTTTAATTTCTTGTGATAATTTTTTAACATCATCTAATACATCAATTTGAGTCCATAATTTATCCAGATATGTTACACTTGGTTTTATACTTGGAATTTTATCAATAGTAGTTAAGCTAAAATTATCTAAATTACCTAAGTAAGTTGCTGATACTTCATTTGTTGTGTTTGTGTTTGTTCTTGATAATCTATATTGACTTGTTGATGAATTTTGAGGTTTTAATAAATTTGATTTTGATATGTTCTGAGGATTGTTGTTGTTACCTAGGAAATATTGTGGGGTTACATTTGATGAAATTGATGTTGAATAAGAATGATTATGTCTTGGTACTGTTAGGTTATTACTATTTGTATTATCTGATTTAGTAGGAACAGCATAGCTGCTCATTATAGTTGTACTTGTTTAAGTCAATTTGAATAAAAGAAGTTGATCTTCAAAGTTGTAGATATTCTTTGTATATTTTTTGTGCTGCAAATAAATTATTTAGACTTCTAGGCTAGTTCTACAAGAACTTGGTTATTTCAAGCTATTGTGAATCATCCTACGTCCTACCACTGCCCAGTTACTAGAACGTGACATTGAGAAACTTTCACTATCAGATTTATGATACAGAGATTTTGGTTATAACTACAAGTTCAAATTCAAACATCGAACAAACATCAAGCAACTAGCATTAAACATTCAAAATGTATCGAATATGACAGATCAATTGCCAAAATCAGATAAAACATCTTTGACCATACCTCAACATTCATACCATACTACTCCCTCACCAAAAAGTTTAGAGAAACCACCTTGGAAAAAATTATTATATTTACAACAACCTTATCCAGATAATTATAATGATGAATCATTTTTATCACAATTAAAGAGAAACACAACAGTTGCAAAATATTCTTATTTAAAATTAATTGATGATTTTTTATTAATAATGTTTTATATTTCATGTATTTTATTAGTAAATTTATTATTTATTGGTATATATTTAAAGAATTGGAATCCCATCAAGCCAACAATAATAAGTTCAATATTATCAGTAATTATATATCAATTTATATTAAAATTTCATAATTTTCAGAGAGTATCATCATCTATAAAAAATTTATCAATAAATTTAAAATCTTTTATAATTATATCATTTATGATATTAATATCATCACCAATTTTAAAATCTTTAACCAAATCAACATCTTCAGATTCAATATGGGCAATATCATTTATATTAAATATTTTAAATTCAATATTTTTTGAATATTCTTCAAATGAATTTACCGTATATAAACCAATATTATCAACAAATTTATCATTAAGTAATTCTATTGTATTAGCTTCAAGATTAAATTCAACAATTGATGTATTTTTATTTATATTATTTGCTATTGAAATTAATATTTTATTACCTTTATTTGATTCAAGTTTTAGAAATTTAAAAACACCACCAAATTTAAAAATTTTACATTACTTGGTGGTATTTATTACATTTAATTTAGTTAATTATTGGATTTATGAATTATTAAATTATAAATTTTTAATTTATTGGTTAATTTCAGTTATTATAATTATTTTTATAATGCCTGGTTATTTTTTATTTTTACAAAGATATAAAAATGAATTACAAGGTCCATGGGATATAGCAAAACCAAAAATTAATAAAGAATAAATCATGACATTTATTATCTATGAAGTTGTTTTATTTAAATGTTCTTTTAAATATATATAAGCATCTTCTACTTCTGCTTGAACTTCTTGTAAAGCTCTCAGTTCTGATCTTACTCCAAAATACCAAATCATACCATTTAATAAACCTGTAATTACAACAAAAGTAGTTGCAAATAAAAACAAAACTGATATCCATGCAGCAACATCTGCTATAAATACTATTGCAATATGCATTCCAATAACTATAAAAATAGATATTAAAAAATAAAATTTTCTCCATATTGCTTGAAATGGTATTGTTATTCTTCTATAATGTTTAATTTCAGCTAATAATTCTTTATATACTTGTTCTCTTTCTTCAGGTGGACTTTCTTTTATTGAAGGTATATGATTTTGAGTCGAATTTATTTGTAGTTCAACACTATATGCAAAATGATCAGAATATGAACATGATAATGGAGGTGGTAATAATTCTGTAAATTTAACTTTAGCCAGTACGGGGAAAACATTATGAGAATCAATTAATGCATAATCTAATCTACATGCTTCCCATAAAGGTCTTGATTTTCTCCAAGTATTTAATCTTGAATTACAAGTAACACCAGCAATTTCAATTTGATCTTCTAAACTCATTTCACTTATTTCTTTTATAGTTGGATTTTTTTCAAAATGTAAAATATTCCAAGAATCCTTTAGGCCACCTTCAATTGTAAAAATCTTATAAGGTAATGAATCAGGTTTTGAATTTAAATCTCCAACTTGTATTACAGCATATCCAGATTTTTTTAACATTCTTATAAATTTTGTAAAATCCCATGCTTGACAAGCTCTATGAGTTGAATAACTTGAATCTCCTTTTCCATATGGAGCATGCATATGACTATTTAATAATGCTATTGGTAAAGTATTATTTTGATGAGATTTAAAAATTGTAACTGCAATACTTTTTCCAACATACCAATCACCTCTAAAAAATGCAGAAGATCTACCATTAATTGGGAATCTATATAAAAAAGTTTCTTCAATGGGTATTTTGGATAATATAGCTAAACCAGGTCCTGTTATAATACCAGATTTAAAATTTCTTCTATAAGGATATCTTAAAGAACAAACCTGATCAATATAATTCCAATCTTCTTCACACCAAATTTCTTGTAATGCTATTATATCATAATCATTTGATTCATTTGTTGGATTTGATAATTCATCTGCTATTGCTTTTAATCTTTGTTTTCTATGTTTTGAAACATATTTTAATCCCCATGTATTGAATGTTAGTAGTCTTATTGATTGATTTTTTTGGATTGAGTTTGTATCTTTTTGAAGTATGCTCATTCGGTGGGGTGAATAGTAGATATATAAGTCGATGAAGTGGTGATTACGTGGTAGATAAGTTGGTAATGATTGTGGAATTACGTTTTTAGAAATTGGACTTTCTCAAATCACAAAATCCAAACTGACAAACATAAAACCACATTCAATTTATACTACAGAGCATCGCCAAAACCTATCTTAACACCACCAAGTAACCTCCCATAAATAATGTCTCAAAGTAAAATAGATCAAGCATTCAATTCTTTCCAAAAACAAACAAATGAATTTGAAAACCTCAAACTAAATATGGAAGAATTTATAAATGATTTAGATTTAAAATTATCAAATAAACAAATTTCATATTTAAATCAACAACAACAATTTAAAACAAATTTACAAGAATTAAATAAAATAGTGAAAAGTTTACAAAATGAAATTAATCAATTGAATGAAAAAGAATTAAATACAACTAACAAATTAAATGATAGTTTAAAAAATTTACAATTATCAAATTCCAAAATTGAAGAATTACAATTACAAAAAACGAAATTGTTAGATCAAAAACAGAATTTAGAGAATCAGATTGATAATTTAAGATTTCAAATAAAACAAGGAGAAAATCAACTCGAAAAGACTCATAAAATATTTGAAAATCAATTTAAATTAAATTTAATAGAATTATCAAAATATGAATTATATACTGGTTTAAAAATAAAACCTCAACAAAATAATGAAATTACATTTAGTTTTTTTAATTTAAATTCTAAAAATATTGATGAAGAATATTCTATAAAATTAGATATAAATGATGATAATTATAAATATTTAGAAACATCACCAAATTTATCCAAAGAATTGGTTGATGAATTAATAGTTCAATTAAATCAACATCAAAAATTGATTAAACTCTTGAAAGAGATAAGAAATTTATTTAAAAATTACATTGATGAAGAGAATAAAATTCGTTGAGGACCATTGTCAGTACATCAATCTAATTTTCAATTTAATCTATGGAGTCATATATGATGTATAAGAAGTATTGACTTACAAATGGTTTGGGTAAAACTTAAATGCGTTGCGGTACGGATGTTTACTACTTTGCGGTACGGATGTTTACTGCAATAGCATACCAAAAATCCACAACTTGGCATATCAAAATAATTAACTTCAGTATACGAATCAATATCACCAGAGACAAGAGAAATCATGAAAAGTAATATAATACAAATGGTGTGTAAGGCATAACGGCTTTATAACTGGAATATGAGACGTAACTAGTTTCTAATTGTCATATGAGAAGTATCAATCTCAAACGGTGTATGAGAAGTACCTAGTTTACAAATGGCATATAAGAAATGAAAGCTTACGAATGGAGTGTGAGAAGTGACAAGTTTATGAATGGTATATGAAAAGTAAACTTACGAATGACGTATGCAAAGTTTAGATAACAAATAATGTCTGAGGAGTAGGGATTTCAAATGGTGAAAGAAAAGTAATAGATTACAAATGTTAACATAAATAAATCCAAATAATTAATTCATAAATTCTCATTAAACGTCATTTCAAGTTTCTTACTGAAAAAGAATGTCTATTTATTATTTAATTCACAACTTAATTTCCAACCACGATCATCATCATTTTTATATAAGATATTAATTTTCCATAATTCCAATAATATTAATTCTTGTAAACCATATAAATTTTCAATTTTATAATCTAACATATCCACATCACTAGAATTATAAGGAATTTGTAATTTTTGTAAATCACCAATAATTTTAATTATTTTGGAAAATTTTTGAAAATTTATAACTTTTCTATTTAAGAAATTTTTTGGGGATGGAATATATTTCGGTATACCTTCTGTTGTTGTTGTTATATCTGATATAAATAAATTTATATATGGTACTATGGGTATTTTTTCATTTGAATTTAGCAAGTTTCTTATTTTGGTTCTATAATTTAAATAATTTTTTTCAATACTTATTATTGATGATAAATAATTATATAATTCAATATATTTTGATGATAAATTTTGCCAAATTGCTGAAATTTTAGTAATTAAATGACTTTGTAATGATGTAATTATTGCTGCTAAACTATTAAAATTTCTTAAATATAATGAACTTATTGAAATTTTTAACCAAATTTTAACAATATTTATTCTTTCTTTTAATGTTAAATTAGGTTGTAATATAGATTCAATAACATAATTTGATAAACAATTTGTAAATAATAATGATAATCTTACATTTGGTGATAAATTTAAATGAGATCTTTTATTTGTAAAATTTTGATTTAATAATTCTTCAGGTTGAATTGAATTAAAAATTGTTGATTCAATTATCGTTAATTGTTTTGCAATTTCTAATCCATTAAAATCTAACAAGTTAGGTCTATAATTTGTTAATACCCAATTTTGTTCATTTATTATTGTAAAATGATTTAATAAATTATTTAAATCTAATGATTTATATGTATTTATATATTTCTGAGAACACCAACTTTCTCCTAATATTGATCTATAAGTTAATATAATTTTTTCAATTGTTTGAATTTGATTTTTTGATAATAATGATGTTGTTTTTGATGCATTTTCTATATTATTTATCGGTAATGATTTTATACTTGAAGAATTTGAATTAACTCTTGATAAATTAAATTCAGAAGCTGTTGAAGATGAAGATGAAGATGAACCAGTTAATGAATTTAAACTTGTAGTTGAAGGAGATCTTGAAATAATTATAGATTTTTCAACTAATTGCTTTATAGGTTTATTTTTTCTATTTCTATTTTCTATTAATGGATTTGATGATAATTTAGCTCCAATATCAATTAATTTTAAAGAATCAAATGGTAAGTATATTGATATTCCTTCATTAAAAAAATTAATTAAAGTAGTTAATAAATTATAATCCATTTCATGATTCCAATAACTTTCCATCCATAATTGAAACATTTTTATAATTAATTTTCTTCTTTTTTTCAATTTTAATTCATAATTTATATCTATTTTAGTTTGAGGTTGCTGATTAATTTCAAATCTTGTTATTAATTCTTCAATTAAATCTATCCCATTTGCAAAACTTCTAAAACATATAAAAAATGTAGATATAAAAAAATGTTCTGGTGGTGAATCTTCATTGGTTAATGTATATACTAATCCTTTAAAGGATCCACCAATTAAATAACCATTTTTATCAGTTACTAATTCATTTGATAAATCTAACGTTGAATTTATCCCATTATTATTACTTATATGTTGATTATTATTATTATTATTATTACCATTTTCTGATGTAAATGGTTGAAATTCTGCTGCTGATACAGTAAAAGGAGAATTTTCAAATTGTTGTAATAAATTTATTCCATTTTCTGTAAAACTTAAATCACCAGTTTTACCTGATCTTACCATTGAATATCTATTAGCTTTATAAGGTTGACTAACACTAGCATGATTATTGTTATTAATGACATTATTATTTGAAGTTAATGGAGGTACTCTCTTATTCGTCTTCATTTTAATACCTTTCATACATTTTTTTACAAATTCTTGAGGTTCAATTTTAATTTTTGAATAATCAGGATAAGAACGTTCAGAATTTAATTTAAAATCACCAGTTAATTCCAAAAGATTTCTTATTGAATAAATTGTTTGATTTATTGATTTTATCATTTTTGATGCAATTAATAATAAATTTCCACCTTCTTCTGTATAAAAATAATCTCTTTCACCTTTAAAATTAGGTCCACTACCGAAAGGTTGTTCATCATTAGTTGTTAAATTTTCATTTAATGTTTTTACAACTAAATTTTTAACTCCAGATACTAAATCACTAACTAATGATAATAAATTATCTAATGATTGATCTAAATCTTCTGGCTTTTTAGAACTAAAATCAGAACCTGTTTTGGATATAAATAATAATTCTCTTAATAGCAAAATAATTTGATGAGCTATAGTTTCTAAAATTTCACAACCATATTGATTATGTTCAATTAAATCTAATCTACCAATAATTAAACCTAAATAAGAATATAATATTCCATTAATTTCAGTAATTCTTTGTTTTGCTAATGGTGGTGTCTCTAATAATGGATAATTATTTAAATCATCATATAATTTTTTTTCATTACTTCTTTTTATAATTTCTTTACTTTCAATTGACCAAATTTGTAAAAAACTTATTGCTTTTCTTGTAACTTGATAAATCATTAATGTTAAAATTTCAATTTTATTAAAATTTGATGTACCTTTAAATTCATTTGCTTTAACCATTAAATTATACCAATCAGCTAATAAAGATTTTCTTGATTTTCTAACAATTGTTCTTTTTGTAACTAATTCATTTGATCTTGATAAACAATCAGTTTCTTGTAATAATAATCTTACTCCATCTCTTATTGAATTTATAATTCTTATTGAAAAAGTATATTTACCTTTTCTATTTTTATGACTTAAGGGGTTAATTAAAAATTTACCACAAGCATTTAAAAGTGGTTTTAAATAATGACTATTAGGAAATTCAATATTATCTTCTTCAGTATCTTCCTCTCCATCTTTTTCTAAAGATTTATCAGATATTGCAATATTAAAATAATTCATTGGTATCCAACCTCTTTGTAATGATTCAATTAATGTAACTTCTCCCCATCCTGATTCATCAATAGTATGAACAAATGCTAAATCATTTTTTTCAAATGATAAACAAATTGAAGCATCTGAATCTGATTTTAAAGTTGATGAATCAAATGGATGTAATGCTCTTATAAATAATGATGATAATTCTTCTTCTTCTATGGATTCCAGTGTATTACTTTTTTTACTTGGTTCTCTTGTTGGTGGGGTGATTGTTTTAGTGGTGATGGGAGTTGTGGTGTTAGTAGTAGTAGTAGTATTATTATTATCAATTGTATTATTATCATATATAATATTTAATCCACCAGATTGTGACATTGTTTCTTTTGAATTATTATAAATTTGAAATTTTTCATCAATTGGAGTTTGAATTAAATCTTTTCTTATTGGAATTTCATCAGAAACTTGTGTACCTCCAATATTATAACTTGATGGAAATTCATTTTTTAATTGATATTTAAAATTTGTATTTGTATTGATATTATTTGAATTTGAATTATTTAAGTTTTCATCATTAGCACTGTTATTAATACTTGTTAAACTTTGATTACTTGAAGCAGTTGTACTTATTGAACTTATTTCTGATATTTGATCATTATTTGAGATTATAATAGTTTTTTCAGCTTCTTCATTATCACCCGCAGATTTTGGTTGTTCAATATTATTTGAATCATTATAAGAATAAGAATCAGTTGGTGAATTTTTATCATTTATTTTTTTATAATAATTACTTGTTCTTGACGTAGATGTATTTGTGTCTATAGTTGATTTATTTGCTTTTTCAATATTTTGATGAAAATTATTCATAAATTGATAAGAATTTTCAGAAGCTATTGTATTTTGTAATTTTAATGATAATCTTTTGAATTTATTACTTAATTTTCTTTGTGGTAGGAATTTAGATGATGATACATTTGAAGGTTCTTCTAATGCATTGTTGTTGTTGTAAGTGTTATTATTGTTATTTGAATTTTCATTTATTAAAAATCCATTATGATCAACTAATGGAGTTTTATCATTATTTTTTGCAGATGATTGTAATATTGGAGTTTCATCATTATCTATTATTTCATTTATACTTGTATTTATTGAGGAATAATTTGACATCGAGTTTTGGTGGTATTGTTGTTGTTGTTGTTCATCAGGTAATCTTGTATTTGCAGTCATAAAAGTTTGAATAGTTTGTGAAGATAAATCAGGATTTAATCCATAATGATTATCATCAGAAGATGATCTATTTGAATTTGTTTGTTCTTGGTGGTAGTTCTCCTGTTGATTGTAGTAATTATTATTCTGGCTATTCTGAGTATTATCTATAATTTGTTCTTCTTCATCTTCTTCTTCATTTATTGTATTATAATTTGGTTTAAATTCAGTTTCAATAGGTGAATAAACACTTGATGACATACTAATATGTCTTAAATCATTACTTTGACTATTATTATGTGGTTGTTGATACATATTTTGTTTGGATGAAAACGAATGTGGATGTATGAAGGTTGGCTTGATCGATGATGGTAGATTAGAATGGTCTTATTCTTTTGTAATTAAATGGTTGTAAAAAATTGAATCAAAAAAAAAATGAGGTTTTTGTGAGACCAATTTCTTTCTTAATTAAGTTTGATAGATTAAGAAATGATAAGGATAAAATAATTGACTTTGATCTTAAAATACAATATGATAGATTAGACGGAGTAACCAAGTGTAGTTGAGGTTAATGAAATAAAGGAAAAAAGAGTTGTTGATAATTAAATTTATTATTTTGGTTGTAAATTTGAAAAGATAAAGTTTTATTAAGTAACTAAGAAAATTTAGATTATTAGAGATAAAAATTAACGTGATTTTGAAAAACAGCATAATAACAGTTCAAAGGTAGACAAGTTGTTTGAACTTTCTACTTCATGAGTCAATGTAGTGTTAGTACTGTGAGTAGTGTTTTATCTCATGCTCTACTGATAACTTTTCTCCAACTTTCTATGGTTAATATAATACCTCTTGTCTTGAAGATCGTCTAATTAATAAGAATTTGGGTCTAAGGTACACTACACGTACTTTTTATATGCAACACAAAAAAAAAAGATTAAATAAATTTAAGACGCGTCTGCTTCAGCCATACAAAGCATATCAGGTCATTATCATATCATTCTAGTTTTAAACACCAGTTTCCTTTAGTCAAAACTACTTCCGCAATCAAGCGATTTGTTGTAGCCGTTGTCCGGATCTGGTTCTATATGCGATTGATCTAGGATCTTAAATTTCTTTTTGTTTTCACATCACTTTACTACTAAAAATAAAACGACTCACTTTTTAAAATCTTACAATTAGATTAGATTAGATCTCTTATTAAGATCGTATTATATATGCACTTCGTATTTATATACATAATTTATAGAGTGTTTATTCTTCAAATGTTATTTTTATTTTAGCAAAGAAACTCAGGTTTGACAGAAATGCTAGACTCTATAAAACAGTAACTTAAATGTTGAGTTATTTATTCTTAAGCCTTGGTCCTGAATGTCTAGATTAGAAGAATAGATAGTGCATGGATTTTTCTATATTCCTATAAGATTTGATGACGTGAAAAATTCCAATTAATTTTTGACATGAAAAATTAATCTACGACACGTAATCTCGATTCAAATTAAAATATTAATTCTATAATTTTGCAATTCAATCTGAACAAGTGTAAATTAGTAAATACCAAATTCTAATACTTCCTTTTAGTAATTTATTCAATGGCAAAAGCTAAGAAGAAATCTAAATCAAAAAATGATGAGAAACTATCTATTAATTCAAAAGATTTAACTACTAAAAATTCAAATAAAAAGTCAAATAAACTGAATAGTTCAGCAACGAAATCGAAAACTAAAACAATCTCAACTACTTCCACAACACAATCTAATCCCAAAAATAATAGTATATTCCGTAACTCACCAATATATGATTTATTACATTATTTTGAAAAAGCACCAGATCAATGGGTAGCAAGATATATATTAATATTAACTTCAATTTTAATAAGATCATCAATTAGTTTGGGAAATTATTCAGGTTTTAATACTCCACCAATGTATGGAGATTTTGAAGCTCAAAGACATTGGATGGAATTGACAATAAATTTACCAACTAACAAATGGTATTTTTATGATTTAAATTATTGGGGATTAGATTATCCTCCTTTAACTGCTTATCATCTGTATATCTTGGGGAAAATTGGTTCATTTTTTGATTCCCAGTGGTTTGAACTTGATAATTCAAGAGGTTTTGAGTCTCTTGAATTAAAATTTTTTATGAGATTTTCTGTATTAATTAGTGAAATTATTATATTTATACCAAGTATAATGATTATAGCAAAAAAATTAAGTAAAAAATTTAATTGGATAAATAGAATTGATCAAATTATTTTATGTTTTTTAGTGCTAAATCAACCTCATTTAATTTTAATTGATCATGGACATTTTCAATATAATTGTGTCATGTTGGGATTTTTTATATTAACAATTATAAATTTAATTGATAATAATTTTATATGGGCAAGTTTTTGGTTTGTAAGTTGTATAAATTTTAAACAAATGGGATTATATTATTCAATTTTTATATTTTTTTATATTTTAAGTCAATTAAAAAATTTAAAACAATTAATTACTGTTGGATTAACTGTGATCATAACTCAATTGGTATTCATATTACCATTTTTATTACAAACTGATTTTAAAACACAAATTAATCAAATAATTATTAGAATTTTCCCTTTTAATAGAGGATTGTTTGAAGATAAAGTTTCAAATTTTTGGTGTATTTCAAATATAATTTTAAAATATAAACTGTTTTTAAATTTAAATCAATTATCAAAATTATCTTTAGCAGCTACTTTAGCTTCAATAATTCCAATTAATTTAATCTTGTTTTTTAAATTAAGAAAAGTAACTGATAAAAATGATAGTGAGAAAAGAAAAATTAAATTAATGATATTTGGATTTAGTTATAATTCATTAAGTTTTTATTTATTTTCTTATCAAGTTCATGAAAAATCTATATTGGTACCAATAATACCAATCATTTTAAATTATTTTTTTATAACTCCAACTTCAACATCAGTAGTAGAGTTAAATTTTATTCAATGGATTAATAATTTATCTACTTTTAGTTTATATCCATTATTAAAAAAAGATGAATTAATACTACAATATTTTGTTTTGATATTTTTAATAAATTGGTTGATTGGATTTAAAAATTTATTACCAAAAATCACCACTAAAAGAATTTCAATTCAAAATTTAAATGCAATAATAATATATTTAACTTATTTCCTAGTGGTAATTTATCATATTTTAGACTTTTTTGTTGCTACACCTCAAAATTTACCTGATTTATGGGTTATTTTAAATTGTTTTATTTCATTTTTAGGATTTATTTATTTTTGGATTTGGTTAATTTATTTAATTTTAATTACATAGAGAGAATACTTTCGAGTTTAGAGTTGAGTATACCTATAAAGCAACAGAATAGGAAGATTTAGATTGGAATTAGACTGGTGTTTACGAAGAGTTATAGATAACAAGTCGATAAATTAACTAATAGAATACAGTATAGATAAATAGAGGTATCACAAAAATAAAATGGATGCAAAAAGAAGTTTACACAAAATCTAAGAGGTTTCAGATTACAGAAACAAAAAAGAACAAAACAAAACAGAGACAAAATAACCGAAGTAGAATTTCTTAAAAGTTTTATAGATAGGCTATCATAAATATTTAACTAATTAATCAACACTATTAACTCTATTACTATTATTGTTATTATCGTTGTTGTTATTATTATTATTGTTATACTTGCGTCGTTTTGCGTCGTTTTATATCATGATTATCCATTTGTTCATTTTGATTTGTAGTTGTTTGATTAATTGTAGCATTAGTTGAAGATGATGATTCATTTAAAGAATTTAACACAATTGGATTCAGTTCAGATTCACCTTTACTTTGTAAATTTTGTTTTCCTATATCTGTTTCAAGTTCAGTTTCAATATCCATTTCATTTTCATTTATTATTTCTGAACCTCTAACTATTCCTCCCGCTGTTTCACCAAATTCAAAATTTATATCATTATCTAAATCCACCGATTCTAAATTTTTTTCAATAATTCTTTCAGTTGGACTTGGAATATAATTTAAATTAGTTGATAAATTATTTGGTAAAATATTATAAAGATTTAATAATTCATTCTGATTAAAATCTGATATTGAAGGTAATTTAATTTGAAATTTTATATATAGATTACCACGTTTTAAATTTGATATATTTAATTGGCTAGCATTATTAGTGGTATTGTTTAATTCTGAATCTTGATAAAGTTCTCCATTTTCATTAAATAGGTTTGTTATTGGCATACCTAAATTTTTTATCATTTTTAATTCATTATTTTGTATTGTTCCAATGATTTCACAATTATGATTATTATTGTTGTTGTTAGTTTGATTTTGATTTTGATTTTGTTCATTAACTGTTATTGAAGATTTTGAATTGTTTCTTGAATGATTGTGATTTTGATTTGAGTCATGATTATGAATCTGATTTTGATTTTGATTTGAATTTTGATTCTGATTCGAATTACTAAATTTATTTATAAAATTTTGACCTTTTGAATTAATATGAATTTTTAAAAATTGTCCCATTTTTAAAAAATTTGGTATTAAAATAATTCCACCAAATAAAGAAGTTTTTAAATCAATTTCATAATTCATAAATAAATCATTTTCCTTTCGCAACAAGTACTTATGATTTTTTAAATTTATTTTTATAATTAAATCTCCTGGTATTAAATTTCTACCTTCATCTGATTCATTTTTTAATATTATTTTATGGCCATTTTGAGTTCCGGGTGGTATTTGAATTTTTATAATTTTTGTGGATTCTATATATCCTTCTCCATTACAATTTATACATTTATCTATGAGCTTAAATTTTATACCATTTCCTTCACATAAATTACATATAGAAGTTTGCTTATATGAACTAAATTGATTATATTGTATTATTAAAATTTGTCCTGACCCAAGACATTGTTTACAAGTTTTTGGATTTAAATATCCATACCCTTTACAATTATTACATTTAACATTTTTAGGTAATGATAATTTTATTATTTTACCATAAAATAAATCTTCTAATGTAACATCACATATATGATTTATATCATCTCCTTTTATATATTGATTTTGTAATGATTCTCCATATGGTTTTATAATTTTTTTCATTTCTTGTGGTGATTGTGATTGTGTCGTAGATTGTGTTGTAGATTGCGTTTGAGACTGAGAAAATTGAGGAAATTGATTAAAAGGATCTCTTGGTGATTGAAAACCATTATCAAATACATCAAATGCATTTGATGTTGAAGAAAAAAATGAATTTGAATTTGTAAACATCAGATTTATATCTTGAAAAACTTGTGAAAAAATATCATTTGATGATCCGAAAGTATTTTGAAATTGAGGACGAGAAGATTGTGGTGGTGGTTGTTGAAAATTTTGATTTCTTCTATCTGATTTTGTTGATGATGTAAAAAATTGTTGAAATTGAGAATTTGGATTATTAAAATTAAATTGATTGAAAGATTGTTTATTTCTATCCTTATTATGGTTGTAGTTACTCTGACTATTCAGATTATTCAGATTATTATCACTTTCAATAATTAAACTTTCTAATCCTTCTTCTCCAAAATTATCATAAATATATCTTTGTTTTTCATCTTTTAAAATTTCATAAGCTCTTGAAATTTCTTTAAATTTTTCAGTTAATTGAGGATTATGATTTGTTTTATCTGGATGACATTTTAATGCTTTTTTTTTATAACTTCTTGAAATTTCTTCAATTGTTGAATTTGTTTGAATTGATAGTAGATCATATAAATAAGTTTCTTTTACCATGATTGATTTATTGATATAGTTTTAAAGGTAAGTTTAATTGGAATTTATCAAATTGAAATGGATATTTTTGGTGTTGATGTGTTTGTATTTTGATTTGTTGAATAGTTATACCTTTAACTAGGATTATATCGCCTGATTGATTATTATATATTTTGCTTTATGAATATGTATTTGGTTTTTATGAGAACGATGTGAATTGATGTTGAGCTGAAGTAGGTGAAAAGGTGTAATTAAAAAATTAAATTTTTAGTATTTGAATGAATGAAGTTTTTCTATAATGACATGTAAGTGAAATGTATGAATTATGGATGATTGTAAAGTTATCTTTTAAATGATAATCGTAGTAAAGTTGGTTGTCAAAGAAAGAAAGATTGTTGTAAAATTGATTCTAATTTTTTTGAATGATAAAAAATAAAAAAAAAACAAAAACAAAAACAAATTGCAAAAAAAAAAAAAGAATGAAGCAAAAGCAAAGAGTGTTAAGATAGGAATGATTGATAAGACAGTAGTGGAAATGGATAAGTGACAGTGGCAGGTAGTTTTGAGAAGTATTACTAATTTACTATTGTGAAGGAAGTGGCGCATTAACAATATGGGAGTGGTGAGAAGTTAGTTAATTCTTGCCACTTTATCAACTAAAATCTCTGATAATCTTAATATATTAATTTAATAGTACATTAATAATATGTAAGTAGAAGAATAATCAAACGAAATGCAATATTTATTAAATTAATTTAAAACATCAAAAAGAAAGAAAGAAAGAAAGAATAGGATATATGAATGACCACATATATGACATCTATCTATCGAATTCATGGTGTCGATAAAGAGCCCCAGGCAAATTTAGTTTGATAGCCATCTTTTCTATAAGATTTCTTGGATTTGAATGAATTAATGTTACTTTAAATTACATAGTAAAATTAAATAATAAACTATGTATAAATTTAAATTTGGTCTCAACTGCCTTGTTTCTGTTATAAGTTGAAAATTCTATTAGTTTCTAATTAATTCTATTATCTTATTACGTAGTCTATAAATATTATTTTAAGCTTGTAGTTGGTAGCGACTATTCTACTCATAATATGATTATAAGGTCGCGTAATTATTATTTTACAAATCTTCCGAAATATATACATGCTGTTTCATATTACAGTGTACATATATATCCCTCACAACTTATATCCTATTTTACTTACTTACTTATTAATATGAATTGATGCGTCTTACATATGTATTTAAAGTACATTCACTTTAAAAATTAGTGTTTCTAAAAGATAAAGGATTCAAATTGAAATAACAGGATTTAATATTAATTATATCCGATAAATGATGAATTATTAAACCAATTTATATCTAATAATCTAGAATTATATTCATACAAGTTCCAGATATAATTATTCCCTTGAAAAAATCATTAATCAATTAGGTCATTTACTTACATATAGTATTTCTTTTCCAACATACTCATTAATCGAAAATCTTATTAATCCTATTATTAAATAATCGGAATTCCTAATAATGGATTAAGAAATTTCTAATGTGTTGCCATTCTCAAACATTACTACTCTTCTTTTATATGACTAGTTTGATTCAACCAGAATCTTCTATAGGTTCTTAACTTTGATAATTCTAAATTTAATCTTGAAATTTCATATCGTCAACTACCTAGATTCTTTTTGTAACTAAGTAATTTGCATTTTCCAGTAATTCCCCGTACAATTAAACTTACAAAAAACTTGTTTTTGTACTATTGAGTCTATCAGATATCTAAAATATAATTTAACCAAATCGAGTTAAATTATTTAGATATGGTGGGTTTGATTTTGTAAAAAAGAAAAAAATTAGACTAGGATAAGGGTTCATAACTTTTTAATGATCCGGTTTAATAAAAAGTAAGAAATTTGAAAACATAATAAAGCAAATGGTATTTATATCCATGTATTGACTTGAAAGAGCTAATGCTATCATCATTTATAAGCAGTTAATGCTCCCAAAAGCTCAAATATCTACGCTGTTTCAGCTGTCGAAAGCTCAAATCCCTTAAGTATGTACAGATTTTGTTAAGCTCTGACAGTAAATTTTGAATTTTTTTAGGCGTTTTCAAAATTTTCAAAACCATTGTTGCAAATTTAAACATAGCTTCAGTAGAAAGAGCAATGAAAAGTGATTGTAAATTGTTTGAGACATACTTTAAAGTTTAAGCTTACTGTAGAGTTACATGCTTGAATAGTTAGTTGTACGTAGGTACGGATGTATAATGGAATTTTGTTATGCCTTAGGAATTTTTGTTATGTTAAATTGTATTTTTTTGTTATGCAAAGACGAATAGCATAACAAAATATCTGAAACATCCGTACCTCAGATACAAATAGCATAACAAACTCTCTAAAACATCCGTAACTCAGAAGCAAATAGCATATCAAAATAGTTGAAACATCCGTACCTATAAACCATTTTGAAAAAAAAAAAAAAAAACCATGAATATTTTAAATATATTTCTTTAGAAAAAAAAAAAAAGTTGTAAATAAATTTAACGATCTTTCTTTTTTCATATACGAATGATAAATTATGATGATAAAGAGATATATTTATGATACCTTTTCAATTACACTAAAGTGTATTACTTCAAATTTATAACTTTCTGGAATTTGATAATTTGTATGGTCTGAGTTTAGAATGATGATAATTAAAAATAAATCATTTGCAACTCACCAGATCTGACACAAAATCTAAGGTTTTTTTTTTTAAGCCTGTTTCAGATACATTTACGAGATTTTGAATTAAATTTCTAAAATTAGACTTGTTTTTTTTAATGAACTGAATAGACGATACCCAGACCAGGATTGAAATAAAAATGAAGCCTAAGGGAAAGTTTTGAATATGATATGACATTTTGAATTCCTAATCTCTTAAAATTTGATTTTACACAAGCAAAAGACGCGTTTGATATTAATTATAAATTTTGAATATTTACTGGTTATATATTTTCATTTTGTAACCAAAATCGAAAATTTTAATTTTTTAGATTAGAGAGTCGTGTAAATTATAACGAAATGTAACATTAAAATTCATTCCAGCCCTCTCCCTGTATCTCTCTCTCTAGCTTTGTCGCCCTGGCACCTCCTCTGTCCCCTCTTTTGTCGCCCCACTTCTTAGAATGGATGTTTTCTTCAAAACATTTTTTAACCCCTTAAATCTACCTGGTTAAGTAATTAAGAGAAAAACCTAACACTTTAATTTATTGAAACCTGATTTAGAGATTTACAATATCTATTAAATACATTTGGTCATTCAGTTTAGGTCCTTGACCTGATTTATTAATATCGTTAGTGTATTTTGCTCAAGTTTACAAGAGTTTCATTAAGTATTAATAATTTCAATTTGCGTTTTCTTATTGCGTAATTTAATAATTATCGATTTTATCGGGGTTTAAAATACTTAACTGACTTCATGTACTTCACTTTTTAGTGCACTTTTTCAGAAAGGAGCTACTATCATATTTCTTCGAGAATTCAATCGATGCTATGAAACTTTTACTCAAAGTTCAAAAGTTGTGATGATGGATAAGTTATAATTTTTTAGCCCCTTTTTAGTTTTTAAATCTGTACAATTAGGTACATATTATTACATGATAAATATTCCTTGATCATCGAAATATTTAATCAATAATTTTTAGACTGCTAAGGTAATCAAAAGTTTTGACAAAAAGAACACTAAATTTCTTTGAAACTAATTTTAAAATCGATGATCATAATCTATTTTTAATTCTATTTCTATTTCTAATTTTACATACATTATTTGTTTTTTATTTATTTCTGTTCCTTAAACTTAAAAAAAAAAAAAAAAAAATTTTTAAGGTACTAAAATTGCGTTTTCTAATTTTTATTTATTACTTTAATTAGTAATGTTTAATTATTAATGTCATCATCTTAATAGTATATCACCCACTTTAGTCACGTAAGGATAAGTTCATTGAATTCTACAGATGATGATTATTAATCAGCCAGGTCAGTTTCTATCTGTAAGAATTATGCATCTCCGGTCCCTTTTTTGAAAGGGGGGTGTCTGAAGAGTAATTTTTAGTAAATAGATTCGTATATCTATAAGAACTGCAATAGGAATAAAAAATATACTACTATTAAACATCAATCGATGAGTAGAAGAAAATGTGTGTTTTGATACTTAGTTTATATGTGTACCTTTATTTTTGCTGTAACCCTTCTTTTTTAAAGTCTCTTTAATGATAAACGTTTTATTTAACTCTTCTTAGTAATAAATATATTGGTTTATTGTTATTGTTCATCAGATTTTAAATTAAAAAGCCATGAAATTGACAATTATCTTAAGTACGTTATTGTGTTTAAATTCCCTCATTTGTTATTTATTAAATTTGGATGACTTGTATGTTGATTCTTTGTTACATCATAGTCTCTTCTTCCTTTTGATTGTTTTCTTTAACCAGCAATACAATAGAACATCTGATCACTACGACTGTCTCTATCTATAAGTAGTTAACATTGGTTAAGTTCTTGTTAATAATTATATCAATCAAATTTGTACATTAAAAACACAAAGAAAACTAAACAAAAAAAAAAGAAAAAGAATTTCATCAATTTTTTAATTTTACAAATACAACAACAACAACCTTTTTTCTTTCTACCAACATTTTCAAAGCCATACTCAAGCGTAAAGGATTCCACTTTACTTGCTTTTGAACCTAGTTAAGTAGATCAGTCCTTTTAAATCAGTCATCATTATTACGTATATTTTCAATTTTACTTAATTTACAATCAAATTATATTACGCACTGTTAATTTTACTATCATTTTTCCTTCCAAATTTGTATTATCAAGATAATTTTAATTCAAGTCTACTCTGAAAAAAGTCAATCAACCATATTATTCATCATATTATACGTTAAATGTTAAGATAATAGAATATCAAGATCCATTTCATACGTACATACAATCACAAATTATATCAAACATAGCATTCACTTTTCCAATATCTATCTAATTTGTTTTTTCTTTTGTTTGATATTTCAACAACAAAATATAAACCAGCAAAATTTAATAAATTTACAACAACAATAATTACCTTTACACATCCAGTAATTGAATTCTAATACCTTAGAAAAAGCTTCATAAAATACTAATGCATACAGTGGAGCAAAAACTGCAACTGCAGGGACCACAAACTCATCCTTTTTCAATACTAAACCCACAACAATCATCAGAACAATTACAACAACATTCACTACATACTTCACCTCAACATCAACAAATACAGAATCATAATCATCATCAACAACAACAATTACCATCGTTATCAAATATTACATCTATCATGAATCATAATACCCCTAATCAAATACCTTCGCATAATCATTTACAACATTATACTAATACACATTCCCAACCTAATCCTCCACCATCTGCTCCTCCTACTCAAACCTTTACACATAATAGTCATGGACCAGTTCCACCACCTATAAATACTCATCATTATTCATTACCTTCTTTGAGAGTTCCACCACCACCTCCTCCACCATTAACAAGTTCATCTACTTCCTCATTACCTCATTTAACTCCATCATTAACAAATCAATCTAATCATGCTTCATTACCACAATTAACTCCAACAATAACAAATGCAACTCATTCAACAATTTCAACTATATCATCTTCATCATCAACTGAATCAGCTGCTTCATCATCATCAAATAATACAAATGGTAGTAAACCTAAATCAACATCTTCAACAAAAAGATCAAATAAAGGTAGAGTATTTCAATGTACTGGATATCCAGGTTGTAATATGTCATTTACAAGATCAGAACATTTGGCAAGACATAAAAGAAAACATACAGGAGAAAGACCTTTTACATGTCCTTATTGTTCAAAAAATTTTAGTAGATTAGATAATTTAAGACAACATAAACAAACTGTTCATGCTTATGAAACTTATTTAACAAAAGATAATCATGATAGTAAATTATTAGTTGAAAGACTGAAACAAAAGAAAAAATTAAAACAACAACAAAAGAAAAGTAATTTAGCAATGGCTATGCATAATCAACAACAACAACAACAACAGCAGCAGCAACAACAGCATCAAGCTCAACAAGCTCAACAGCAACAACAAATCTCACAACAAGTTCAACATCATCATCAAAATCACCTACAACAATATCCTTCACAAATGAGTATACATGCACATAATGATTCAAGACATCAACCAAATATTTTCAAACAACAATCAAATTTACACAATCCTCATACTGTTTCAATTCCACAATATCAAAGTCAATATTATCAACAACATCAACCACCACATTCTGCTACTCAACAAGAATTTCAACATAATCAATTACATAATCACAGTCAATCGCAACGTCAACTTCAACAGCAACATAATCAACATCAAGCTCAACCTACTGGATATCATAAACCATTACCTCCCTTGCCTGATCAAATGGATCATAATCAACAAAATCATCAACAAGTTCTTCAGCAGAATCAAAATCAACAGCAACAAACTTCACCACAAAAACCAAACAATTCACCTAAACAACAACAAAATGAACTAAAAATCCCATCTCAACAATTTAAACCAAAAAGAAGACCAGAACCATTAAGTTTACAAAATTCAACATTTATAGAATCAGATTCATTAAATTCTGCAAATTCATCATCAACAGCAACAAAAGAATCATTTTCAAATTTTAGTCAACAATCTATACCAAATTCATCAAGTTTTAATACAAGCTTTAATTCAACATCTACTACCACAAATGCTAACGCACATACTAATTTATTTATAAATAATTCCAATTATTATCCACCACCTCCAAAATCAGCATCTTCATTAGCTTCAATGACTCCAAATTTAGCAAGTCCTTTATCACCAATGTTTCAATCATCAAGTTCAAATAGTTATTTGAATGGTTCTGGTGGCAATTCAGGTCAAAAATATTTTGGATCTACTAATAATAATGGAGCTGGTAATTTAAATCGTCATTCTTCAAGTTCTTCAACAATGACAATTTCTTCATCATTAAATAAAACTATTAATAATAACACCTTCAATAATAGTGGTGGTGAAAATAAACTGCAATTTTTTGATAATGTTGGAGATAGAGATAAAATTTTGACGAATAAAGAAGATGGAATAAATAATGGAATTAATAATTCTAATAGTACTGGATCAAGTAATGGTAATAATAATGGAATGAAACAAAAATTACCTTCTATTTCTCAATTATTAAAAACTAATTTTCAAGTTGGTAATTTAAATTCTTTTGATCAATCAAAAAAGGAATAGATTTGGTATGATCAAATTTATGATTTTCTTTTTTAAAAGTTACAAGGGAAATCTACTTTTACGAAAGACTAGCTTAAGATGAGAGAAATTAGTATTGAATATTTGAAACTTGACAAAAAATTGATGAACAGAATCAATACGACAAAGCTATTTTTTTACGTTGATTGCTAATGGTCAAAACTAAGGGGATAATTATCAATTAAACACATATTTGATGTTTGAGTAGTTGTTGAGTTTAAAATAGGGTTTAAATTGTATAAGTAATGAATGAATGGCATAATGTATTATTAAATTGAGTTTATTTGTCCCCTCTAATTTGTTTTACCTTATCAACTAGTCATCAGAAAATATGATGAAGTTTTACATTTCAAAGAGAAAATCTCCACAAACTGATTCTTTTTAAAGAGAATTCTCATGAAATTTAAAAAAAAATTTGTAGATCCGACGTCAAAAGTTACAACCGATCTATCGATCGATGTATCTAAATTTTTAATTCCGGAATTACTTTTTTCTTCTCCTTTGCTATCGCAAGGTCTGAAAGAAAATCTGGGGGAAGCTTAAACTAACCATGAGACCAATAAATTGCATACCATTAAATGCAAGACGTAAACTGGTAATTTCTTGGAATTTATACGGCTATCCTGATCTTGCGTTACATGCTTGGTTATAAAACAATCGGTTAGATCTGGAGGGGTCGATATACTTCTCTTTCACTAAACCATTTTCTAAAAATAAACTTTAAAGTTTAAAATGACACAAAATCTACAAGTTCTAGAAAGCAAGACATAAATATCAAGGTTGCACATTTTTAATACAATTTTTAAGCCGATATTCCAAGTTAAAATTCATGATAACTTTTGATTTAAAAACTCATTTGAGGAGAAACATTTGATCATCTAAAGAGACTGAGTCTTGAGACTACCACCATAAACAGTACAGTTTGATTTTACCTTGTTAAGTGATTTTTTTTTAGATTCAGATCTGTTTGTCATCGGAGTTAAATCATCTCAGATCTAGCATATTCCAATTAGAATTTCAACTAATCGATACATAAACTAAAAGATCTAAATTATTTGAATATAACAACAACCCATTTTATAATTCATGAACAAATGCAAAATACTCCTATCAGATCTCCATCACCTAAAACAATAGATGAAGAACATCATGCATTACTGCCTCAACATACTATCGATCCTCATATTGAAATTGGAGATAAATATACTTTCTTAGATGATGATGATTTTTCAAATGATGATGAGGAAGATTCAGAAGAAGAAGAAGAAGGGGATGATGAGAATGACAACATAGTGAAGGACACGATTGATGACGTAACGAATGATGATGATGACCAAGAAGATGATGAAGATGATGAGGATGAAGAAGAATTTGAACAAGTACAAAATTTTGAACCTGAAATAGATGAATCGGTAGAACAACCTATAAGTAGGAAACTCACCCGAGAAGATGCAGAACTGATTGTTGGAGGTGAATCAATTGAACAAGTTTATCAAGAAAATAAATTAGAAAATGAAAAACATATAAAACATCCAAAAGCTGATCCAAATAAACCAACAGAAGATCAAGATATAAAAGTTGGAGATAATTCATTTGATGCATATAAAATGAAAAATTATAATCCTTCACAAAAAGTGTTTTCATTTAGTTTACCATTTGGAGGTTTAGAAAGTATTCGAAATGATTTAAGTAAAAAATTACAAAATTTTAAAATTGATGTACCATTTGTAAATAATAATCATGAAGAAGAAAATAATAGAAAAAGTTTTCAAAGAGATATTGAATTACGATTAGAAAGACAACAAAGTATAAGTACTGTTGATGAAGCTAATTATTTTAAAAATTTTAAAGGTACAGATGCTGGTAGATTAAGAGCTGTAAAACATACTATTTCATCAAATTTAGGTGAAATTATACCTCATAAAAAAAAATCAGAAAATGATTACGAACTGATTTATGATAGAATTGATGGAAATATTGTTATAATGGGTGGTTATAGAGGTTCAATATTAAGAGATACAAAAACTAAAAAAAGGGTTTGGATTCCATTAAAAGCAGGATTTCATTTAAAAAAAATCGATCTTTTATTAGGTCCAAATAAAGAAGATGAATTAAATGCGGAAGAAAAATTATATCCTGATGGAGTTTTAAAAAATGTTGGACCAATAGATATATGTAAAAAATTAATTAAAAAATTGGATTCAAATCCAAAAGTTAATATAAAAGAATTTGGTTATGATTGGAGATTAGGTGGTGATTATGTGACAAATAAATTAGAAAAATTTTTAACCCAAATTTATGAAGAAACTGGTAAACCAACTTTAGTTATAGCTCATTCAATGGGTGGAATTATGGCTCATGGAACAATGCAAAAAAATCCAAAATTATTTAGATCAATTATTTATGTAGGTTCACCAAGTGAATGTTTAAATATTTTAGGTCCTATAAGATTTGGAGATTCTGTTATATTATCTGATAAAATTTTAACTTTTGAAACTAATTTTATGATGAGATCAAGTTTTTTATTTTTACCTTTAAGTGGTGAAACTTTTTATAATAAAACTACAAAAGAAAATTATAAAATTGATTTTTTTAATCCTGATAGTTGGGTTGAATATAATTTAAATCCATTGGTTTCTGAGAAGCGGAAACAAGCAGCTGAATTACAACAACAAAAGAAGAAGATATCTTCACAATCCACTTCCGGTTCAGTTTCCTCCCTAACGAATGGATCAATAGATCATAATATTTTTAAAAAATCAACATCACCATCTTCTTCAATTTCATTAAATTCATCTTCAACTTTCCCAAGTATAAATTCAATAAGTTCAACTTTTTCAAAACTTTATAGATCATCATCATTAAAAAAAAATTCTAAATCAAATGGTACCAATTTATCATCATCTTCTTCAACAACAATGAATAATCCATCATCTTCACCACCTACAACAAGTCCATTAACATCAACAAAACAAACTACAGAACCCGAAAATCAAGCAATACCAGAACAAGAACATTTTTCATTTTCATTTGCTGATTCATATCGTTATTTATCAGAAACTTTAGAATCAACAAAAAAATTTGTAAAATCATTAGAATTTGATCCAAATAAACAAACAGAATATCCACCAATGGCAATAGTATATGGTAATACAATCCCAAGTGTAAGAGGATCAGTAGTTACTTCAAGACAAGATATAAAAGATGGAAATTATTATGAATTTTTTTATGGTCATGGAGATGGTGTAATTCATCAAAAATGGTTAATGCCTGAAAAAAAAGGGTTTAGATATTATGATAAATCTACTGGACAAGGAGAAATTGTTGGTAAATTTTCAAGTTCTTGTGCTCATGTTAATTTATTAACTGATTTTGATGCAATTGGTAAAGGTTTAAATGCAGTTTTTGAAGCTGAAAAATTTTGGGAAAAGAAAAAAATGATTCAAAAATTAGCTATGAAAAAAGTGCAACAGGAAGGAGAAGAAGAAGAAAATATTGTAAAGAATAATAATGTTGAAGTTAGAAATGAAGGGTTAGGGGTTGGTGCATAGAATTGTTTTAGTTCATTTTATTTCTTAGACTTTTAAAAAATTTATTTAGACTATTTATTTTAATTTACTTCAATGTAGTTAGACTTGATTTTGGAGTTTTGAATTTTGCAGCCAAAATCTTGGTAGCGAGCAATCTTTGAAACCATCCAGTTATAATAATTTGAAACAAATTTGACCAAATAATTTATACAGCCAATCTTGGTTTAACAAATCTATCTGAATCATCTTTCTCTACATCCTTTTCCAAAAATTCATTATTACGTTGATCAATCATAAATACATCAAAATATTCATCAATTTCATTTAATCCAGATTCAGAAAATTCAACAACTTTAGCAACATGAGTATCTGGTCTTATGACTAATATAGCTCCCTTATCTTTATCAATACCATAAGTTTCATATATATCAATTTTTTGACCAAGATGATTTGAATCTACACCTGAATAAATTTTCCAATAATCAGTTCTTCTTTTGAAATCAATAGGTCTTAAAAATTCAGGAAATTCATTAAATTCAATTTCATTTCTTTTATTCGAATGAATTAACAATATTTCAATTACTGAATTTTCAAATGCAAATTTTGGTGTATATTTTTTCAAAAAATGATTTGTTGAATTAAAAAATGAATTAAAGTTATTTAATTTTTCAAAATTAATTGGATTGTGTTTTAAATTTCCTGAAAAAATTATAACTCTAAATCTACCATCTGAAGTTAATTTATCCTCAATCTGTTGAGTTTTTAAATCAACTTGACCTAAAATCAAATCACTATATAATCTTCTACCTATTGGTACTTTTGAAGCTAACGAATTAAAATCTCCATTTTCATTTGAAAAAACTTTAATTGATTTATTAATTAATATAGAATCTTCATAATCAACAATTGTACCACTTGCAAATTTACTACCTTTTAAATAAACTTGATGGAATTCATTCATATCAACTCTGTCATTTGATAATTCTTCATTTGTTTGTTCCATAATTTTTGAATTTGGTATCATTGGTTGACCACTAAATAATTTTGAAAATTTATGATCAAAATCAATTAAATCTTTTGCAATTTTAATTCTTTCCAGTTCATAAGTATTTAAAATTTTAGGATCAGCTAAACCTTTACAAACTAAAGCTAATTTAAAACCTAAATTATATGTATCTTGCATTGATACATTCATTCCTTGACCAGCTTTTGGTGAATGAGTATGACATGCATCACCACTAATAAATACACGATTATGTTTTTCAAATTTATTAGCTACTCTCTGACCTATTTGATAACCTGTATACCAATTCAAATTACAAATTTCTAATGTATAAGGTTTAATAATTTCTTGTGCTTGTTTTAATATAGATTCTGGAGTAATTTTAGATCTATCAATTCTACCTTTTGAACTTGCTAATTTATCATCACAATTACCCATAAATTCTCTTGTTTCATCTTTAGTAGAAACATCACGATCAACTTCTTTTAACTGAATATAAAATCTTACTAAATCATTTTCTCTTGGTATAATCATCATTGAACCACTATCTTTTGAATGAACTGCACATCTACTTCTAATGTCTGGAAAATTTGTAATTGGTACAATATCCATTACACCCCATACAAAATCTGTATGTTCCCCTTCCATATTAATATTTAATTGTTTTCTAACCCAACTATGTGCTCCATCTGATCCTAAAACATATTTAGCTTTGATTAATTCAAGATCATTACTATCTTGGATATTAGAATATGATTTTTCTTGATCTCCATCAAATTGTCGAAACAATCCATTTGAGGTTCCGCCAAATTGTTCTGGTTTTGCTTTCTCATTACTCAATCTTTTGACCAAAATCTCAACGGGATATTCACCTTCATTATCATCATTAATTTTTAAATTTAATGGTAACAAAGGTCTTTCAATTTCAACTTTATTTCCAGAGAATTGTTTTATTGATTCAACAAACCATTTTTCAATATTACCTTGATTAATAACACATTCAGTAAAATTTGATAATCCAGGTATATTATCACTTATTCTTGATTTTCTAATTAATTCTTCATTTTCATTTGGTGACCAAAAACACATTTCTTCAATATGATTTGCACATTTCCAAGCTTGATCCATTGTTATAAAATCAAATTGTGATTCACTAAATGATTTAAAAATTTCTAATGATCTACTTTGTAAACCATCGGCTTGACCTGCAAATATTTCATTTGATCTTTTATCTATAATTCTAAATGGGATTCCACATCTTGATAACCATAATGCACACATTAAACCAGATGGTCCTGCACCAATTATTAAAACATCTGTTTTTGATTCTTTGATATTAGTCTCAGTTTTCGAAGGCATATTCTTAATACTTTTGAAGTACTAATTTTTACATTTTTGTTGATTTAAAATTGTTGATATATTTATATAATTTGAAATACCAGAAAAAATAGGTTTTACTAATCATTGACTAACCATTGTTCGTGGGGCATGATTGATTTCTTAATTAAAAAAAGCTAGGTTAAACTCGAGAAGTTAATTTTGAATTTAAACAATTTCCGTAATATAAGTTAGTTTATTTTTTTTTTGATTTTTCCGGATTAAGAATAATTGTGGGGGCAATTAGGGGGTTCCGGATTTTTAAAAAATATAATATTTCAAATTTATTATAATTGATTTTTGACATATGAAATTTGATAGGGAATGATTGAATCATAGGTCTCAATTGGTTTTGGGCTCAATTCAGGTGTTCCAAATTTTGTCGAGTTGTAGTATCAAATACAGGCTAATTTTTTTAATGTTTGTGGTTGAAAGTACAATCAATTTGTTACCCAATGCAATTTTTGAAACTGATTTAGGACGTTTTCTGATATTACACGCTTGCTTATGTGAATCCGTAGTGCCTATACGTGATTGAATACATTCAAAATTAAAAACAACTAAAATGAAGGTTGTTCACGAAGAGAATAAATTTGTAAGACTTCACGAGATTACAAAAGTTTATTTCCGACGAAAATACCAACTTGAAAACATTATGCAAATCCAAATCCAAATACAAGGCATAATATATAATTGTAGTCATGTAGCTGACTAAACTTTTAATACATTTCGCTTGCAAACCAAAAAAAAAAATACACACTGGAAGATAGTATGCGCAAACCCGGAATCGAACCGGGGGCCCAACGATGGCAACGTTGGATTTTACCACTAAACCATTTGCGCGTTTGTTGGAAATTTTGAGCTAAATTTACAAACATTTCTCTCCAATTTGGACCGCAACCGGGCACTACTTTTGTCGTTTATTGAACGTAAATTTGGCCATACTTGTTGGTACTTCGTTGTTGAAAGTTTTAGAATCTACAGTCAAATTTCCATTTGATCTGTACTCTTTTAATAACAACAACAGTTGAATAAAGAAAACACGACTGCCATTTTCTGTTGATCTTTTGATTGTAGACAAATGTCAGTCAAAAGACAACATGTATTGGTGTAAGTTGACTTGCAAAGATCTTTTTTGAAGTCATAGTTGTTTCATAGCTAAAATTTGGAAGTGCCTAGCGCTTGCTAGAACAATGTTGTTTCAATTTTTTCCTATTCAATAAAAAGAATTTTTACTTTAAATATTAATCAGATTAATTATCAGATTTTGACAAATTTCGGTGACTATTTAGTCGAATTCGGTGAAATAAAATTTTTGAATTTCCTTTGTTATTCTTGTTTAATTCAAGGTTTTGTGTGATATGTCGGAAAAACTTTTTCAAATCTCGATCAATTATTCCGAAGATCTTTATATTACCATCACAAGGTATTCATTCGTTTCATTTACTTCTAACATTCCTGAGAAATCCAACAACCGATCTTGAAACTTCTGTTTGAGAAGAACTTAAATTCTTTTTGTAAAACACCCGAAGTCTAGCTTAATTCAAGTTTCCTATATTTATCATATGTATCGCTACATCCTATATAAATTATCTTAGAACGATTCAAAAAATTTGAGCAAATTGTAATTCACACTCACTACATTGTTTTATACATTTGTTGATATAAAATCTGGTGTTTCATTATCTCGTTCATCATATTTTAAGTAAGATCGTATAGTTCTTTGTTCAAAAGTCATGAAACTTTCGGACCTCAAAAAATATTAAATCTTGTTCGGTCTTTGTGTAATTCTTATTTTTTCTTTAAAATTTAATCTAAAAATATTGGGCCTCTAGAAATTTTTCAAAACAATTCAACATTTGAAATAACAACAACTTAAAACTATTTGAAACCAATTATCATAGCCACAGTAGATTATTGAAATTCCATACTTCTGTTGATTTAATCGTTTTTAAGACTTGAGTAGAATTAAAGGACATTCATTATCAAGGAAGAGCAAGTTCAATTGTAATTTAATCACTCATTCACAATTTCTATAATAAACACATAATGGTTCATTTAGGTCCAAAACCACCTCAACATAGAAAGGGTACATTTACAGACGTCTCACCAGAATTATTAAAAAAATTAGCTGTTTTAGAAAAAGAATTCACAGTTGATGGTGCAACATTAAGAAAAATTGTTGATCATTTCATTACAGAATTAGATAAGGGTTTAAGTAAAACTGGTGGAAATATTCCAATGATACCTGGTTGGGTAATGGAATATCCAACAGGTGAAGAAACAGGTGATTACTTAGCTATTGATTTAGGTGGAACTAATTTAAGAGTTGTATTAGTTAAATTATTAGGTGGAAGAAAATTCGATACAACTCAATCTAAATTTGCCTTACCTGAACATATGAGATTAGCTAAAAGCGAGGAATTATGGGCTTTTATTGCAGAGTGTTTGAAAAAATTTGTTGAAGAAGTATTTCCTGAAGGATGTAAAGAAGTATTACCTTTAGGTTTTACCTTTAGTTATCCAGCCAGTCAAGATAGAATAAATGAAGGTGTGTTACAAAGATGGACCAAAGGGTGGGCAATCGAAGGTGTTGAAGGTAAAGACGTTGTACCAATGTTACAAGAGGCAATCAAGAAGGTGGATGTACCAATTGAAGTTGTAGCTTTGATTAATGACACTACCGGTACATTAGTCGCATCTCGATATACAGATCCAGAAGCTAAATTAGGGTTAATTTTTGGAACAGGGGTCAACGGTGCTTATTATGATATTGTCAAAGATATTCCAAAATTAGAAGGTAAGTTAGAGGATGATATACCAATAGAATCACCAATGACTATAAATTGTGAATATGGAGCCTTTGACAATGAATTAGTCGTTTTACCAAGAACAAAATATGATATTCAAATAGACGAAGAATCCCCAAGACCAGGTCAGCAATCATTTGAAAAAATGAACTCCGGTTACTATTTAGGCGAAATCTTAAGAATTGTATTATTAGATTTAGCTGAAAATGAAAAAATCATATTTAAAGATCAAGATTTATCAAAATTAAAAAAGCCATATATTTTAGATACGTCTTTCCCAGCTAGGATTGAAGAAGATCCATTTGAAAATTTATCGGATGTTGCAGAACTATTTCAAGATGTTTTGGGAATTCAAACAACTATTCCAGAAAGAAAAGTTATCCGCCGTATAGCTGAATTAATCGGTGAAAGATCTGCAAGATTATCTGTTTGTGGAATCGCAGCAATTTGTAAAAAGAGAGGTTATAAAACCGCTCATTGTGCTGCCGATGGTTCAGTTTATGAAAAATATCCTGATTTTAAAATTAGAGCAGCTAAAAGTTTAAGAGATATTTTTGAATGGCCAGATGATTTAAAAGAAGATCCGATCGTTATTGTACCTGCCGAAGATGGTTCGGGGGTTGGAGCTGCTGTTATTGCTGCTTTGACTGAAAAGAGATTGAAAGAAGGTAAATCAGTTGGTTTAAAAGCATAAGATTGGAAGGATGTAAATAGAAACTTTCATAACAACCATTAATACACTTTCATAATAATCATTGATACGTGATCATAACGTCCATTAATAGAATTAATAATGTACACCAGAGATCAAGGAAAGGATTATCTTACAAAGAATTTCTTCGTAAGTTATTTAACTCATATTTACCTTGGTCTTCGTTGACTTTGTTCGTAATAATTCAGAACATTTACGAATTTTTCCAACATTTCATATGTCCTTTTCCTTCTCAAAGATAACTGATTGGTAACGCTTCCCTTGATTGTAGTAGCTCCACCACTGACTGAATTTTGATGTGTGGGGGTACCGGTAGAAGTATTCAAATTAAAGTTGGCCATTGATGGAATTAGGGACGACGTCGAAGGACCTGGAACTTGATAAAAACCTATCGTTGTTAATCTATTCCTTAAAGACATAAATGTACTTGATTGTGGCAAGATCATTAATATACCATATAACGTTTTGTAAAGGAATGGATAGTTCTCTGGTTCAAGTAGTTGTAATCTTAATTTAACAAATATAGGCAGCTCTAATAGTTGTATTAATACGTCCAATTGAGTCAATAATTGTGAAGTCACCTCCAATTCGGATAAATTCTTAATAATTAAATAGGATAATTCGTAATTTGAAGTTAATAAACACAAGGCTATTGCGCTAGGAGCATTGAAACACCAACTTTGAAATAATGTTGCAAAAAGTGACCAGTCATCCAGAGACATAATATCCAAGTTTTTTAATCTTTTTCGAAAAGGTAATAATTCATTTGATGTTAGTAATATATTATTTAATGTTAAAATCATCATATTTGAAAATTCTAGATCGTTTACGACGGTCTCTTCATCTAACAACTCTTGTTTCTGTTGTTGTGTAATTTTTTGATATTGTTGTTGTAGTACATCGGATAAAGTTGTAAATATGATTTCAGAATTCAATGTGAGACACAATTTCCTCACAATAAATTCCACCTTCATTGATTTGTCGTGACCTTCAACTTTGAATAATTTGATTAACTTGAGAATAAAATCTTTGAAAAATTCTTGATTTGATTCTGATATTTTACCTAGCAATTTCAAAACTTTCAAAATCACCTCATTACTAGTGTCATATTTCAACAAATCAGTCAATTCAAAATGATTCTCTTGAGATTTAGAGAATTCTAAAAAATTTGTAGGATTTTTTTCATAAATGAAGATTAACCATTCTAAGGATGTAACTTTAGACAATTCATTGTCGAGGGAGGGATTTAAATATTCATTTATTATGTTCAACAATGTGCTTGGTAGCTGGATTTCATTGAAATGAGTTACGCTTTCTGATGTTAATCCATGCAATTCAAAGAATGAAACATTTTTATAAACCTCACTCAAAAACGATTGTAGACTGTAGCTGAAGTTGGTCAATTGATCTCTTAATTCATAATCTTGTTGCTGATCTGTAATTGCTATATTTTTTATAATAATTGAAACACACTCTGGTATTGAGTTCAAAATTTCCTGGGGTGCAATTCCAATCAATTCTTGTAACCATTTTAAAACAATAAATTGAACATCACATATAGTCTCGTGGGAGTCAGTTAACAAATCGGTTTTAGCACCAAGCTCTTGTCCTTCGAAAGTGAATAGAAACGATAACAAGATCTTAATTATTTTCAGATAATCAATAAAAATATCTTGCCCAAAAGATACTTCTTCTGACTCATCAGCTATTTCTTCGCCGTCAATATGTTGCTCTGGTTGAGGATCTTGTATCTTTCTTATAATTGTTGTGTCATTCGATTTTATACTAACCTTGTCTCCAGTATCTTTGGTATTGACTACATCTACTGAGTGGGAATTGGATTTAGCATTGCCATTCTTTTCATTCCCATGCTCACTTTGGCCCTCCATGTTCTCAAATTTTGCAATTTTGTCATCAGTTTTATTTTCATTTTCTAATTTAGGTCTAGAATCTTTTTCAGTTTTACCTGCTTCATCATCTCTTGTTTGCTTTATCTTTGCAATTTCTGCTTTTTCCTTTTCTTGCTCCCTTCTCTTTCTTTTAATTTCTATTTTTACCTTTGAAATTCCTTTGATTTCTTTCAAAAAACAATTCAATAAATTCTGAGTTTCCAATTTGATATCATTCGGTGCTCCATTTAGTATAAAATTAATTAATGGCTTCAATAAACTAGGTAAGAAGCTTATCAATTCCAAATTGGGGATATCGTCAAATAACTCAAGCCAACTCAATAAAAATTTCTTCGTAAATGGATCGATCGTATACATCCTCTCCAATAAAGTTGGAATGAATTTTGGTAATTGAAAAGCTTTAGTAGGATCTTGAGGTAAATTAATTTGAATAGCATTTCCTTGTGCGTCCATAAGACTACTTTGAATTTCATTATTCTCTTGTTGCTGCTCTTGCTGTAGAATGCTAACATAATTAGTTGCTTTGGCACTTATTATATCTTTGATCAATCTATCTAAAATATCAGCAGCATTTTTAACACTACTTTCGGTATCACTAACTAATATGGCTATAATATCAAATATTTGAGGAAAAAATGGTAATATCTCTCCTCTCGAAATTTTTGCAACGTTATAAAGTGCTTCAGTAGCGTAATAACGTACTCTTGCATCACTATCTTTAAATGTTGCAAAGATAGGTCGAAGTATATCTTCTAAAAAATATGCAATTGCAAATGATCCAAGGGCAACAGACACGCTTCCTAATGCAGTAACAGCTCCCATTTTGGCACTATTTGAGCTGCTACTTATTGTTATTTGTGATAACTCATTAATTATACGGTATATTGTTTGACTATCATTTCTTGAGAGTGCTGTTTTAGTGATTGATTCTATTTGAAAAGCAGTAGCTTTACGTTTTTCATAAATATGATTTGATAAATCTTTTATTAGTGATGGTTCTAATATTGGCTGCTGTGAGATTTGTGCCATTTTTGATCTTGTTGAAATGACAATGGTTTGATAGTATCTATCAAAACTTGATAAATATTGAATTGATAAACTCAATTACTTTTCAAAATAATTGTTTATCATTCCGTTCTACGATATTAAACGCATATGTTGCTACCATACTAAAGATTATTAATATGATATTTAACATGCCGCGATCTCATGCAAAAACATTTTCTTTCGAAATCAAAAGAAGACGAGAGTAAATTTCAGGGCATATTGAACTTTGCTTATTGAAAATGGCATTTGAACTGGAATACAGAACTATAAATATGATAGCAGTTTGAGAAAAAAATGCAAAAAATGAAGCCCGACGCGGGACTCGAACCCGCAGCCTTGAGATTAAAAGTCTCACGCTCTAGCCGATTGAGCTAGCCAGGCATTAAGGAATTGCACTTAAGAAGCGAATTCGCCACTGCTCTCAATTGTTAAATTTTTGTGACATCAGTTACATGATACGCTTAACTTGTACGACAAAAAATCGTCTCAATTTTCTGCATCATTTGATACAAGTGAGGAGCAAACCTGCCTCAAGATTGAATCGTTGGTCCTTCCTAGTTAGTATAGATTAGCTTCCAGTATAGTCAAGCTACGTAATTAACTATTTTATCTCGACAGAACCCTTGATGAATGCCAGCAAATACAACCGAATCATGTAAGTTACCAAGAATTTACAAAAAAATTGATTCCAGCATATTGATCATTGGGTTTTAACCTTTAATCATGAGACAACATTCGAGAATATAATGCTTTTTGACTTCAGAGATAATTCTTATTAAGTATAATTATCGATTAAGGCTATCTAGATTTATAAAAAAATCAACTTTGTAGCTTTTGATTAGGAATATTTTGAATATCAATTCTTGTAATGGACGACGACCAATTGAACTAAACCTTTCTTCGTAGTAGTAAGAAAATTTCAATAATGGACAGAAGGTTAAGCATTGTTTACTTATCAAAATCTACCATTATTTATTCATATTTGTTCATTCAAAAGTTGCCTCATCTATTTTTATAATTCGGATCATCATTATTAACTCTTTTTCTTTTTCTTGATTTCAGATTTAAAAATGATCTTCCACCTCTGATGATAAACCCATTTCTAATTTCAAAAATAATTCTCGAGTTTCTGGTCGATAAGATTGCATAATTATGATTAGTGTCAACAACCAATTTAAGGAACAAATTTTTTATTTCATTAGCACCTTTAGGAGAATCCAATCCAGTTACTTTTTCCAATCTTAAACTATTTAAGTTAATACAGTTATCAAGATACAAACAGGTTAAGTCTTCAAAACTATTACTCGATAAATTCAATGATTCCATACTTGCTGGGAAAGTTTGATTTGCTAACATCGAATAGGAAAGACGATTACTTTGTAAATCTAAGACCTTTAAACCAATGAACCTGTTGAAAGTATCTTTGATCGAGTTTAGTGGTAAATTTTTGATAGTGAGTTTTATCAAATAATCTGGTAGTTTTTCAAGATCCAACAGTTGAATATTTAAATCCAACATGTTCAATTCAGTCAAATTGACGCAACCATTGAAAGAAATGTGAGGAGCAATTGGTGAAGAAATGGGAGTAGTAACAACAGTTGCATATACATGATCATCCCAAATTCGATTATTAGTGGCGGGTTGACATTGCAAAGTCAAAAAATGTAAATTAGGTAGGACCATTGGTACAGTTTCATGTTTTCGAGCTCCTTTTTTTGATGATTTATGATTAACAGATCTATTACTAGGAAATATTAATTGTGAAGGATCTACTTTGACGTAACACGCTGCTGCATTGACTACCATGTTGCTTTCAACACTCAATACTTCTAATCTTTCCAAAACACTTAAATTTGATTTAAATAATTTTGATAATTTGTTGTTTGAAAATATCACTTGCTTCAGATTTGGAAAGATTGCATAGTTTTTCAACTCTAATATCAGACATGTAGATATTTTGACATATTCCATAGACTTTGGTAAAGTTCCCAATAGGTTAGTCAAATTAACATTTTTCGTATTGCATAACAGCAACTTATAAAGGCTTTGTAGATTGATTCCTGTCCCTAATTCTAAGGTTTTGGTAATACTGTCAATTTCTAAAACTTTCAATCCAGGTGGAAAATTAGATTCTGAACCAAAAACTAATGCCTTTCCATCACTTGAGAAATGAGATGAATTAAATTCGATGTTACCTCCATCGTTTACAGCTCTATTTAATTCAGCAATTTTGGATCCACTGATAGCATGTGCATAGTTTATATTTTCTAAAGAATCTGGGAAGTTACACTTGATTAAATCAATCAAATTATGACATTGAAAAACTGTGATCCCTTTTAATTGACCGTAACTTTGTAAATCATTCAAGTTTTTCAAATCACATGTTCTAAGCTGTATATATTTAATGGATTTGGTAAGGTTAAAATTGCTTAAGTTGTCCGTGCCATTGAGATTCCAGCATACAAATGAATTTAAATTAGCTAATGAGCTTAAATCAATATTTATGTTTTGAGATTGATTGTATAGTGTCAATTTTTTTAACGATACCGGATATCTGACTTGAAAATTTGTTGAATTAATAGTAGTTAAAGCTTCCACTTTCATATTCATGAGTGCAGTCAGGTATAACTGATATTCATTATTTCTGATAGGAATAAATAAAGGTCCAACATTATCATTATATCTGGTCATATGAATCCCAACTATATTGAATTCAGCAACAACTACTTTGAAGTCAGCAAAATCTATAGTTGATGATAATATAATTTCATATTCTACACCTTTATAGTCGACATTTTTAACGTTTTGATTCAATTTCAGTGCTCTAGTTCTTCTATCTGATGTTGATTTTTTTTCACCTGGATTTGATAACTGTTTCAAATGATAGATATCACCAATAATTCTTCTAGGTTTGAAATTGTACTTCTTGTGTAGTTCTTTTAATTGCTCAATTGATCCATCTTTGACTGAAAATTGAAAGTCGGTGAGATAAAATTTGGAATATCTAGCTTTTAAGGCGAGCTGTTGTAACAATGGAATTGATATTAGCTCCTCAAGTTTTATCTTATTATCAATGAAATAAACGACTAATGCTAAAATCTCCTTTGGTAATTTTAGAAATAGTTCCATCATGAAAGTTTGATCAGGACTCTAAGGTTGTCGAGTTGAAGGATATGGATATAATATGTAACGTATAATTCTGGTTGCCATTTTTTCTGAAGAGATTAAAAATATTTAAAATTAGACGTGATTTTTTTGCCAGCTACCACCTGGTGTTTCAAACCTGCTTCGTCTAAGTCAAGTGTACTCAACCAAAAACATTCATGGCACTGTTGTCTTACTCAAATTAAAAAGGTCATAATCCTATAGCCACAAATTGCACTAAATGTTGATTTCAAAAAAGTGATTACAAAAATCTGGCTGTGTTGATCTGTATTAAATTTCACCAGATTGTGCCAAATCATTTGATCAATTTTCAGTTACAATTGACTACAATGTAGTAAATTGTTTGTGTCTACAGATTATAGGTGTAGTTAATTCAATGAATGTTATTTTCGTTATAGCTCCCAAAACTCGGCCTTCTGAACAAGTAGGAGATTATTTACGATTCAAAACGAGTTGTTTCAATTCAATTGCAACCACTCCGTATTCGTTTCTGTACCAATGAATTATAATGCTTCAAATAATTCAGTGTTTTGAGTCATTTTGATGAAAAGTGGTTTTAAAATTGTAGTATATTATAAATTTTTTGAGTATTTGAATTTAAAATTGAAACAACGCTACTTTGATTAGGTGAAGCAATCTGCTTCAAACTTTTCTTAAGATATACTCATGCCATCAATCGGTCATATTTCTCTTAATATCACTCGAATTTTTTTTGGAGTTAAGTAGCATGAAGTTTTGAAATATTTGTAATAAAACTCCAATTTTTTAAAATGAATTTTTAGAAATATCTCAGCAATATGTGAGCAAAAAGTCGAGTGCTTGAACAGTTGCAATATGAAGTAAATAAATCTTTGTCTTCTACAGATAGCAATCGCATATCGGTGTTCTTCTCTCCTATTGTTCAGTTCATATTATTCAGTTCACCCGTTCAGTTCATTTTACTCAAATTTGATTATGATTGTGGGAGTCAGACTCGTTCGATTTGAGCAGATAGGGTGTAAATTTTTCTATTTTGTTTTATCTCTTCAGGCTAATGGTTTGATGGTGAATGTTTCAGCTGTACCTTGGTTAGTTTGAGATGATTTTGGTTATTTGTTGATTTTGAATTAAAGTATAGAATCTTTCAACTTTATTTCTTAGTCACAAAAATGAAAGACGGAATATAAATTATCCGATGTACTCAGGTTCAACACTCTTCTTTTTAATGTTGAAGGTAATACTTTTGAAGTAAAGACATCTTTCAAGGGAGCATATACATCCTCGATAGTAACCAAATCAATTTTGGTTCCTTTATTTGAATCCACTTTTACGATAATTTTATTTCAAGATTATTCAGTACCAGCTTTACGAGGTATTGAACATTCATTCATTTCATTAATTGACACATGTTTTATTAAATCAGCAGGAATATATCCAAACCTTCCATGCATCCCACTTATATATAAAGGAGTATTTACCTCTCTTGTACTTTGATTTAATGCAAGTATTCGGGGTTACTTCAAATCTGTTCCAATTATTAAATCAAATTAAATTTTTAAATATGAATAATCTTTACTCAATTCTTTATTTAGTTGGCGTAAAAGATAGATAGATTCACTGCTGGGTTTAAATCTCTTACTTTATCAAACACTGGAGATAAGTTAGAATTTCAATTGAAACCTTATCAGCCCTAAAGACTTTGAGAGTATTCCTCGAGTAATAAAAGTCTAAGTATGTCTAGAAATGTTAGTATTTTGCTCGAGCATGACATTTTAGTAGACATTTGAACATCTGAGCATAAATCTTCTGTTTGGATGTTTTGCAAAAAATAGTTACGGATGTTTTAACTAATTTGATATGCTACATATCTCGTAGGTACGGATGTTTCAGGTATTTTGATATGCTTTTAATTAATTTGATATGCTATAATTTTCTGAGGTACGGATGTTTCAGATTTTTTGATATGCTAACATGTTTCGCATAACAAAAAAAATATGTTGCATAACAAAAAAATCCAATTTAGCATAACAAAAAAACCTTCAAGGCATAACAAAAAACCATTGGAGCATAACAAAATCCTTTGTACATCCGTACCTACATACAATAAACTGTTCAAGCATGTAACTCTGCAGTAAGCTTAAATCTTAAAGTATGTCTCATACAACTTACAATCATTTATCAATGCTCTTTTTACTGAAGCTATGGCATTTTTGCAACAAAAATTTTTGAAAATTTTAAAAACACCCAAAAAATTCAAAATTCAATTTTGGAGCATAACTAAATCTGTATTGTTAAGAGATTTGAGCTTTAAATCTGTATAGCTAAGAGATTTGAGCTTTCGACAGTATAACGAGCTCAAAAATTTAAAATTTCGAAAACATTGATAGTAAAAAATATATATGCTCCTGGGATACATCAAACTATTGTATCAGTTCTTACAAATCAGTACATAGTTACAAATACTTTTGGCGTTACTCAGATTTGATAACTAAATCAGGTAAAAGAGTAACTATTTGGCAATTCAAATTGTATAAATCTCTGTCGTGGCAAGGCACTCTTCAATATAGTTTCCAATTTCAAAATATCATGGAACAGCCACACTTTGTTGAATTTTTCATAATCTTATTTCAAATTTATGTTAGTTTGGCATTAGAGGAAAAGTAAATAAAGTAAAACTTGCTGGTCTTGACTTCTTCTTACACTATGTAAAATTGTCACAGACAGCCGGCATTGTAAACAAATAGTTCACATAAAGAGTTATCCTTCCATCAAAACTACCTACTCTTTAAAAATTAGCCAATGATCATAAATTAAGACCGTGTTTGTGCGCTCGACTCTTTGAGTAGTTGAAAGACTCACTTGTGTGTCTGTTATAAAAATACACTTACATTCTGCTATAAGTTCAAACACAAGTCATTTGAACAGCAATATAGAAAGTAAGGTGAAAATGACGTTACTTCAATCGTTCAGCAATTTTAACCAGGCGCATTTATTCAATATTAGATGAGCATCCGGTATGATTCAAAAACGATTGAAATTTTCATTATTATACAATTAATTAGCCTGGATTCATGATTTAATGTAATCTGGCTGCAAATTGAAAAAAATAAGTGCAAAAATTTCTTCTGATAATTCAATATCCTTCATGACATAACTATATGCTATATGATCATAACTTAACTCTGAATTTTTTGATGCCTAAGGCCAATGCAGGAATTTGAGCATAAATTCAACCAAAGGTTGATATTCACTGAGCCATAGGGAACAAAGCCCCATCTTTTAATTTTTTGAGGCAATAATTGGGTCATATATTTATGATACATTTTGAGTCTTACCAATTTTTTTGCAACAAATCACTCAAATTGGAGTATTGGTTTGGTACTGACTGCCTGGCTAGCTCAATCGGCTAGAGCGTGAGACTTTTAATCTCAAGGCTGCGGGTTCGAGTCCCGCGTCGGGCTTTATTTTTTCCATTTTTTTAAATTTTTTTTTTTTATCAAAAATAGGTGAACAAACTACACTTTAGCATTCAAAAGAGCGTCCTAAATCAAGTTGTTGTAGTGATCATGGTTAACGTTCTCGTAACTCAAATTCTTAGCTTGGTAAGTAATGTCAAGAAAATAATTTTCTTGTATAAAGAGTTGGTGAATAAGTCCTGAATAAAGAACGGTCAAATTGAGTTTACAGTTTTCTTTTCTGAACAGAGTAATATCGAAAGTAATAAAATATCACAACAATTTTAGGCTAATCCTAGTAGTTTAAAATTTTGTGTGTAATCAGAGCAGCCTATCACTTATGAAGAACAATTTGTTCAAGCCTCAAGTATCTTTTTACATGTTAGGCCTAAGGCAAAAACTCAACTGATAATAAACAAGATTATTTAAAAAAAGTTAAATAGCGAGATCGTTGTCTAATGTTCTGTAAATTTTTATCGCTTTAATTACGACTCAAGTTGCAGTTTAGTGATAATCAAATCGATGACTACTGGTGTATAATCTGCCTTTTCTTAATTGGGTTCGTTCAAACTTCGAATGTCTATTCTTTGTTTAGTCGGGGCCTAATTAACAAGAAGATGCCATTAGTTTCAGAATAACGTAAATTGTTTCAGAATTTAACCATATTAATCCCGAGGAATCTTTGAAAATTTAAGACAGTATAAATATTATAGATCAGTTTAAGTTACTTTGCTTTAACCAATTAAATACTCTCTATTTTAAAGAAAAAAATATTTAGGGGGTAAATGATGAATATTTTTTTAGGGGGTATTTTATTTTGAAATCTGGGGTTAAATAAAGTATCACATTTACAAGATGATAACTACATGCCCAACATACAGTGCAATCATGTTTTAGCAGTTTATCGTTTATATTAAAAGCCACCGTAGAGTAATGCAAATTTTTGAGTTGTTGTACTGGATTTTTCAATCATCCTCCATTCATGAAGTCCTCTAATCTTTTATTTATAATAGTTTTCATCATGTCTTGAAAGGGCCAGTTTATGTTCACTCGTTTTAGTTGAAACAGCTAGATCTAAAGTTTTTGAAAGCATCATATGTTGCTTCTCTTATTTAATTCATCATTACGAGAAAAAGATCATTCATTTTAATTTGGACAAGATATAGAGATCATTCTACCACTTATAATTCCGATCATTCAAATGAAAACCACGTAGCATTCTATTTGAAAATTATTATTATTATTTATAATACATCATACATAATTAATAATTAACGCATATAAAAATTTATAATTTATTTCTAGTAGATAGTAAATTTGTATACTTAATGTACTGTTAGATTAAAAGATATTATAAATTTCTTCGTTGTTATTGGCTAAATTTGTTTAACGGAACCGAAATATTCATACAAATTTTGTGTTCATAGAACATCTTACACAAAATTACTTCTTTCACCCACATAATAGAAACAAGACATACTACCTCGTTATAACTCGAGTGTAAATTCTCCCTAATTTCTCACTTGGTCTCGTTGTAATTCATTATTCTTTGACCTATGTAAAGAAAATAAAAATAAAAAAAATTCTTAATAGAAAATTTTCATAAATCAACAAACCAAATTAAATTTAAATAAATATAAAATTTTTCCCTATTCTTTTTTTTTAATATTCCCATTTTTCTTTTCAATTCAATTAATTCAATTCTTTTAATAAATCAATAGATAAAATTATTAATTCTAATATGTTGTCTGTATCAACTAGATCAGCTATTAGAAGAAGTCCATTGGCTCCAACCACATCAACTATTCGTGGTTTAGCTACTTCAATAAATAAAGATTCTCAAGTTAATCAGAATTTATTAGAAACTCATTCATTTATAAATTATAAACAACAATTGGAAAATTTAGAAATTGTTAAAGCTAGGTTAAATAGACCTTTAACTTATGCTGAAAAAATTTTATATGGTCATTTAGATGATCCTCATAATCAAGAAATTGAAAGAGGTGTATCTTATTTAAAATTAAGACCAGATAGAGTTGCTTGTCAAGATGCTACTGCTCAAATGGCCATTTTACAATTCATGTCTGCTAATTTACCACAAGTTGCTACTCCATCAACAGTTCATTGTGATCATTTAATTCAAGCTCAAGTTGGTGGTCCAAAAGATTTAGCTAGAGCTATTGATTTAAATAAAGAAGTTTATGATTTCTTAGCTACTGCTTGTGCTAAATATAATTTAGGATTTTGGAAACCAGGTTCAGGTATTATTCATCAAATTGTTTTAGAAAATTATGCTTTCCCAGGTGCTTTATTAATTGGTACTGATTCACACACTCCAAATGCTGGTGGTTTAGGTCAATTAGCTATTGGTGTAGGTGGTGCAGATGCAGTTGATGTCATGTCAGGTTTAGCTTGGGAATTAAAAGCTCCAAAAATTATTGGTGTTAAATTAACTGGTAAAATGTCTGGCTGGACTTCACCAAAAGATATTATCTTAAAATTAGCTGGTATTACAACTGTTAAAGGTGGTACTGGTTCTATTGTTGAATATTTCGGTTCAGGTGTTGAAACTTTCTCATGTACCGGTATGGGTACTATCTGTAATATGGGTGCTGAAATTGGTGCTACTACATCTGTATTCCCATTCAATGATTCTATGGTTGATTATTTAAATGCTACTGGAAGATCAGAAATTGCTCAATTAGCTAATGTTTACAAAAAAGATTATCTTTCAGCTGATAAAGGTTGTGAATATGATCAAGTTATTGAAATTGATTTAAATACTTTAGAACCACATATTAATGGTCCATTCACTCCAGATTTAGCTACTCCAGTTTCTAAAATGAAAGAAACTGCTATTGCTAATGATTGGCCATTAGATGTTAGAGTTGGTTTAATTGGTTCTTGTACCAACTCTTCTTATGAAGATATGACTAGAGCTGCTTCAATTATTAAAGATGCTGAAGCTCATGGTTTAAAAGCTAAAGCTTTATACACAGTTTCACCAGGTTCAGAACAAGTTAGAGCCACTATTGCAAGAGATGGTCAATTAAAAACTTTTGAAGATTTCGGTGGTGTTGTTATGGCAAATGCTTGTGGTCCATGTATTGGTCAATGGGATAGACAAGATGTTAAAAAAGGTGAAAAAAATACAATTGTTTCATCATTCAATAGAAATTTCACTTCAAGAAATGATGGTAACCCAGCTACTCATGCTTTCGTTGCTTCACCAGAAATGGCTACTGTTTATGCTATTTCAGGAGATTTAGGTTTCAACCCAATTACTGATACTTTAGTTGGTGCTGATGGTAAAGAATTCAAATTAAAAGAACCACAAGGAGTTGGTTTACCACCAGATGGATATGATCCAGGTGAAAACACTTATCAAGCCCCACCTCAAGATAGAGCTTCAGTTGAAGTTGTTATTTCACCAACCTCAGATAGATTACAAAAATTAACACCATTCAAACCATGGGATGGAAAAGATGCTGAAAGATTACCAATTTTAATTAAAGCTGTAGGTAAAACTACTACTGATCATATCTCAATGGCTGGTCCTTGGTTAAAATACCGTGGTCATTTAGAAAACATTTCAAACAATTATATGATTGGTGCTACTAATGCTGAAAATGGTAAAGCTAATGAAATTAAAAATCATTATACTGGTAAATGGGATGGTGTTCCACAAACAGCTGCTGCATTAAGAGATTCTGGTCACAAATGGGTTGTTATTGGTGATGAAAATTTTGGTGAAGGTTCATCAAGAGAACATGCTGCATTAGAACCAAGATTTTTAGGAGGTTTTGCTATTATTACTAAATCATTTGCTCGTATTCATGAAACTAATTTGAAAAAACAAGGTTTATTACCATTAAATTTCGTTAATGTTGCTGATTATGACAGAATTAACCCAGATGATGAAATTGATTTATTAGGATTAACTGAATTAGCTCCAGGTAAAAACATAATAATGAGAGTACATCCAAAAGATGGTGAACCTTGGGAAACTGAATTATCACATACTTATAACAAAGAACAAATTGAATGGTTCAAATATGGATCTGCTTTGAATAAAATGGCTGCAGTTGCTGCTGAAAAAGAAGGTAAATAAATTTGAAAAACTTAATACCATTCGTTTTTGATTTATTTTCAATATATTAGTATATATTAAATTTAGTTTAATTATTTATTCATAACTATTACGTGTATTTAAAAGAGTTGATGAAAATTCGTTAATCTTTTCAAGTCTTTCAAGATACTTAGTTAGTTGATACTTATATAAGACTCAAGCTTTTGATCCTACCCTCAGCCTAAGATTAAAACTCGTCAGTTTGAAGCATATACTAGGCTAGACAAGTTTGGTGGTCGTAATGGATGCTTGATCACTGTGAAAGTTTCTATCCTCATTTGTAAGCATTGATTTTCCTTTCAATTCATTACATAGTACAATTCTTTAAATAAAGTTTCATTAATCCTTAGGTTTATTTTGCTCTAATCTCTTTTTTATATGCTCTAAACTCAATTTATCTTCTTCTGAAAAGTTATGTTGAGGATCTTCAAAAGCTTTCCACTTTTGTTTCAAATCATCCCATGAATTTAATTCATCCTCTGGTCTAACATATTTGTAATCTTTTCTTAAATTTCCATCCTTGTCTAACTGTTCTCTGTCGATGTTGTCAGTAAGGGACTTCATTCTGAGTTAGGTAATTGATTTTTATGAGACATACAGTATTAATGGTTTCCAGAAATTTATACCAAACCACCATGATGCAGCTATTGCCACTCCCGCCACAATCACTTTACCACCCTTAGAAGACATAGAATTGGTATATTATGAATGAATATTTTGGAGTCCGAAGTTTTAGAGTATTGAAGTACAATTGAATTTTAGATTTCTCAAACTTTATGTCACGTGAAAGATATTTGTGTTTCAACAGCATAAAGAGATTATTAACATTTCTAAGAAGTTAGTATTTTAATCTATATCTTCGCTATCAACTTCGTTTTCGTTTTCGTTTTCGCCATCATCATTATCATCATCATAACCCTTTCCATCAACACAACCAACTACTCCCCATTTAATATTTGTGACTTCTTCTAATCTTGCTAATATTTCACACATTGGTGTAAATAACCCAAATTGTTTGTAATCACCATCATAAGAATGTAACATTCCTAGGACCCCTAAGCCCTGCGAATTACTATCAATATCTTGTAATTTTGTTAAGATCCAACTTCCCGAATCACCACCACTAGCAAATGAGGAATTAAATTCAATTGAATTCACAATAAATTCAGACGAATGCATTGAACCATCTAACCAGTAGACTAATTTTATACCGTTCAAATTTCCTCTTGTATACCTTGTTGTAGATCCGTACTTAAAAACTGATAATCCGTGATATGAAGTATCGTTCGATGGATCAGAGCCAGCTGATATTTGTGAGTCTACTTCTTGAATATTTTCATCAATTGGTTTGGGCTCAAATCTGTTCAAATTCAAGACTTTTCGAACATATAAATTTTCCATTATCAACGATGGATCATATTCATTAAATTGAACATCATCACCCAAATAGTTTGAATTACATTTCATTGCTTTATTAACCTTTATTATCGCTAAATCCGATAATTTTTTTTCTATTATTCCGCTAATTTCATTTGGTTTCGGACTTAAATTAATCAAGGTTCTTTCACCCCATATTATTTGTCCAAATCGTAATTTTGGTAAATTTTTTAATTCGTAATGCTCCTCTCCATTTTGAGTTGAGATTTTGACCTTTTTAAGAGGAAACATTTGCTCCATTTGGGTCAAAATAGCTTTATAAGCTACTGAACCTTCTGAATTTTGATTTGATCGCTGAAATTGAGTCAATAGTGCTTCTTTATATAATGAAATTAATGAAGGTGAAGGTGCTGCAATATTTGGATAATTTGTAGGATTTGTAGAATCTAGGCAGACATGACCACAAGATATGGCAAATTTTGAGTTGGCATAACTTTTCAAATGAGGTTGCTTTTTGAGATTAATTTTAGGATAAATATAGCCACCCATTGTTCCCGAAACTTTTGATGAGTTTTCAGTTGATATTGAAATAGACATTGGTGGTTCATATGGATCTGTTGGAATTCTGAATGGTAGTTTGAACTTCTGTATTGTTTGATGTGAAGATGAGTATGAAGGGGTTTTAGATGATGCAGACTTAGGAAAGTTTGATATATGAGGCTGTGATGAGACTGATGATGCTAACTCTATTCGATTTTTCATAACCAAAACATGAATATCTTCATACAAGTCATGAATAGTTTGAGTTAGCTTGTAGTGAATATCTTGAGGATCAGGATATCCAAAGTATAAACATAAAACGCTTAAATTATGAGAAACGCCCCTCATTATCGGTGCTATGAATGAACCATTTTGCTCATTGATCGATATATTGGTTTGTGACATTTTATCCATGATCCTTCTTAAAACATCTACATTGGGAAAGTTTTTAGTATCTCCAGATCCTATAGCAAAATTTTGAGGTTTCAAAACCAAGTTCTCCAATTCTTGTCTTTTATTATTGTTAAACTTATTGGCAAAATCATTGAAATGTTTCACTAATATCAACCTTAATTTTATATACACATCGTCTTTTAACAAGATATCATAAAAGTTCAAGTAAATTTTTATAATCTTTCTCAAATTTAAATTGGTAGAGGAAGTTATATCCAATTGTGTATTCTTACTCGTGATTGCATTGAAACTTTTGAAACATTCTATGGAGTTAACAACCGTTGTCGATAAATTAGTAGTTAAGTTGGTATATTGTGACATTATATATTCTAAGTTTTGACTTAATTTCCTCAATTCATCCAAAATTCTATCTCTAGAACTGGTGTCGTTCCCTTTAAGTTTATTCTGTTGTTGAGGTTCCTCATCTATCTTTAGAATTTGTAATGACTGACCACCAAAACCAAACTGATACTGATGTCTTTTCTGCTGTGAGTTACTCTGATATGATGATTGTTTAGTTGAGAATGATTGTTTACTTGAAAATAATGAACTTTTATCTTGTATACTTATTGGATGAGTATTCGTATTTGATATTGATGGATTCAAATTTAAAGAAGTATCAAAGAATCCCAACGACAGTGGCTGTTGCAATGGCTGATGCTGACTTGCATTAGTTTGAGAAGTACTTTGTTTCCCGAACATGGGACTTAAATCTTGTATTGAGTCGTAAGATTCATTTGAGTGATTAGTTCTTGAAGGTAATATCTTTGTTGGATCTTCTTCGTGTATCGTATCTTCATTTGTAAATTCAGCAGATGAAGACTTCCTAGACTTGGACAAAAACTTCTTCATTTTCTTTCCAAGCACTTCGGGTCCAAAATTAAACTCAATGTTCAAATGGAGGTGGTAAATCCTATTAACTCTAATAAGAATATACGAATTTATTGATTGAAAATTTTTGTGTCATCTTTAACACGTGACGTAACCCGTGATAAATTTAAAATTAGCTTTATGTATCTAATCTTTCCCCCACACGACATTTGAACGATTTATATCTAACAGATCTAGTTTATCAAGAGGAACAAACTTTATATTACAATAGACAAAGAAACATTTCGAAAAAGTGTATGAACAGTGACACAGAGGGATAAATATTTTGGAAAGCTGATCAATATAATACTGACTCATATTCGACCCAAAAAAGTTGATGAAAAATACATCCAATATCAACTAACAACTAGAACAATTCAATTTAACTGAGTCCTTGTTTTAATTTATCATGCCTGTATATTCTATATCACATGTTGAGAATGTCAGAGTATGCGTAGTCATGGTTGGATTACCTGCTCGTGGTAAATCATTAATTTCACAAAAAATTGTTCGATATTTATCATGGTTATCAATAAAGTCAAAATGTTTTAATGTAGGTAATTATAGAAGAGAAATAGCAAAAGATGCAACCATAAATGCTGATTTTTTTGATCCAAATAATAAAGAAGGACTAGCGTATAGGAGACAAGCTATTGATTCGGCTATTACGGATATGATGACTTGGTTTGTTGAAGAAAATGGTGTGGTTGGAATATTAGATGCTACTAATTCTACAAGAGAAAGAAGAGATATGATATTGAAAATTTGTCGAGAAAATCATATTGAACCAATGTTTATTGAAAGTTGGTGTGATGATAAAGATTTGATCTTACAAAATATTCTTGACGTCAAAACAACTTCTCCTGATTATATAAAACGACCAAATGAATTTGCAACTTCTGATTTTTTGAAAAGAATAGAGTTGTATGAATCAGTTTATGAAACATTAGATCTGACGATTGATTCAAATAAGACATTTGTAAAATTGGTGAATGTTAATTCTCAAATTATTTTAAATAGGATTGAAACCTACTTAGAGTCAAGAATAGTTTATTACGTTATGAATTTACATATAAAACCAAGAAGTATATGGTTGTCAAGACATGGAGAGTCAGAGTTTAATCTTACTGGACAAATAGGTGGAGATGCGAATTTATCAGATAGAGGTTGGAGATACGCAAAAAAATTACCAGAATTAGTTCTAAAGTCATTAGGTGAAGAGAATAAGCATACAAATTTAACAGTGTGGACGTCAACTTTAAAAAGAACTCAACAAACAGCTTCTTTCTTGCCTTACAAAAAATTACAATGGAAAGCCTTGGACGAATTAGATGCAGGAGAGTGTGATGGGATGACGTATGAAGAGATTGAAGTTGCATTTCCTGAAGATTTTAAAGCAAGAGATGATAACAAATATGAGTATAGATATCGGGGAGGTGAATCATACCGTGATATAGTTGTTAGGTTAGAGCCTATCATTATGGAGTTGGAAAGACAAGAAAACATATTGATTATCACTCATCAAGCTGTGTTGCGTTGTCTTTATGCATATTTCATGAATGTTCCACAAGAAGAAAGTCCTTGGATGTCTATACCTTTACACACTTTAATCAAATTGGAGCCAAGAGCTTATTCAACTTTAGTGAGTAGGATTAAAGCTGATATACCAGCTGTAAGTACTTATAAAGAAAAAGGTACGTCTCAATTAGGTGAAGCTAAAACAGGAGAACAGATATTTAAAAGTAGAGATCTAATTAATAGTAGTGATGTAGTGTAAAATTAGTCATTAGATGTCATTCATTCAAACGTGACGTTTATTTCAATAATTGATATATAATACAGCTGCTTCCATAGAAATTTATAACTTTGTAAATAGATCTATAGTAATTAATTTATGATTCCCCACTAGCATATTTTTTGGCTTGTTCTTTTACTTTTTTTTCGTAAGCCGACTTGTCTCTGCTAAAAGTTTTCCAGGCAGGTTCTTGAGCAGGAGAATCAGGGTTTGGTGTATCTAATAATTCTTGAACACCCAAAACTATTTGTTTTAAAGTAATAGCTGGTTTCCAATCTTGATCTTCATTTAATATACTTAAACAAATTGTTCCACTTGGATAAACATTTGGATGATAAAATCCAGGTGGAAATTTTATTTTTGGTGGTTTTGATGGATATTCTTCTGGAAATTCGATTTTGATAGGATATAATCCACCTTCCCATAAGGTATTTGATTTACCAGGTATTCCTGCAGTCCAAGATTTTAAATCTAATGATCCATCTGCTGCTTTCAAGGGTTTTGCAAAAAATCCAAATGGATGATCCTTTCTCCACTGTTTTCTTTCTTCTTGAAGTCTGATTTGGCAAAGCGACATGGGAATATAATGATGAGTGAAAACTGTTAACTTGTAGGGTGTCTAATAACTAAAATTATACGATAAACTAAGTTTAATGGCCTGAAGTTAGAATCAAATCTGTTATTGAAATTATATTGAAATAATTGTTGATGAAGTGGGTTGAAGTTTTCGATCTTCAGTACAAGTAAATGATTCATTTAATTCTTCTTACCAAAATAAAATTGTACTCAAATTGCGCGTTTTACTGGAGACTAATATTCCAATAGTCAATTTATTCTTGCAATACTTCATTAAATAAACATTATTGATCTTCATAATATTAGAAGTAATTTCATGTTGATTGAAGAAATTGAGCATGGGATTCAACCATCAACATTAGATCCATCCACTCAAATCATTGAAGATTTTCCCGAACCTACCATCCAAGAAAACAATGAACAGCTCAAAAATGATTTCTTAAAACCATCACCGGAATTAAATTGGGAACTACTAGATCTTTTGCAAAATAAAATTGAAGTTGATAAAGACAAGTTAATTGATAAGTTAATTATAAATCCTCCTACTTCAAATCGGACAAAATTTAGATTCAAAAGATCAGGAATTGAAGGTCGAATTTCAGGATATCAAGAAGAAATTGATTTGAATGAAGTAAACTCATCGGCCTCAAATTCATTAAGTATAAACAGAGATTATTCATCAAAGAGTGAAAGTCTAAGAGGAAGATCGGGTTTTTTACCTTTTCAGCCTGGTGGACTTATACACCAACAAGCTCAAGAAACTAAAGACAATACATCCAATTTGCATAGAAATGAATATGGACTATTTGACATTCCACCGGGATTTGAGAGAGGTTTAGAAGTTGGAGAGTCGTCTAGTGTATTAGACTTTGGGGAAGAAGATAACGACATTGAAGAAAATGAAATACATGTGAATCAACATGATGTGAGAGTGGAAAACCAGAACAAAACCACTGAACCTAAACAAATACCATTTGACGCTTCAGAGGTTGAAGGTCTTGTTCCTTTCGATTACTCGTCTTTTAAATATGACGATAAAAAGTCAAACGATAAGAGAACTTGGGCTCACGTTGTCGATTTAGATCATAAGATAGAGGATTTTAGTGAGTTGGTACCGAACATGGCGAGAACTTGGCCATTTGAATTGGATACATTTCAAAAAGAAGCAATATTTCATTTGGAACAAGGTGATTCGGTGTTCGTGGCAGCACATACATCAGCTGGTAAAACCGTTGTTGCGGAATACGCAATAGCGATGGCTAAAAGAAATATGACTAAATGTATATATACATCTCCAATTAAAGCTTTATCAAATCAAAAATTCAGAGATTTTAAAGAAACTTTCAAAGATGTTGATGTTGGACTAATCACTGGTGACGTTCAAATTAATCCTGAAGCTAATTGTTTGATTATGACTACAGAAATTTTAAGATCAATGTTGTATAGAGGAGCAGATCTAATACGAGATGTTGAATTTGTAATTTTTGATGAAGTTCATTATGTTAATGACATTGATCGTGGTGTTGTTTGGGAGGAAGTCATCATAATGTTGCCTGATCATGTTAAGTATATTTTATTATCTGCGACTGTTCCAAATACGTTTGAATTTGCCAATTGGGTTGGGAGAACTAAACAAAAGGATATGTATGTGATATCAACACCAAAAAGGCCAGTTCCTTTGGAAATTTTTATATCTGCTAAAAACAAATTATTTAAAGTGGTTGATTCAACTCGTAGATTCGTTGAAAGTGAATTCAAAGCTCATAAAGATTTGTTAGAAGCTGGAAAGGCGAAGAAAGAGCTACCGTCTACATCAATGGGATATGGAAGCAGAGGTGGACCTGGAGGCTCGGCAAGAGGGGGAAATCGAGGTGGTAGAGGTGACAGAGGAGGAAGAGGTGGTAGAGGTGGTTCAACATTAATGACCAATAGAGGAAATTTTACGAATCCAAAAAGAGGTAGTGATGGACCAAATAAAAACACTTGGCCAGAGCTAGTGCTGTATATGAAAACGAATAATTTGTTACCGGCAGTCATTTTCGTATTTCTGAAAAAACGATGTGAGGAATATGCTGATAGTTTAAGAGGTGTTGATTTCTGCAATGCAAAAGAAAAATCCGAAATTCATATGTTCATTGATAGAGCAGTTGGAAGATTAAAGAAAGAAGATAGAGAGTTACCACAAATAATGAAGATTAGAGAAATGTTAAGTAGGGGAATTGCCGTCCATCACGGTGGTTTGTTGCCAATAGTTAAAGAATGTATTGAAATCTTATTTGCTAGAACGTTGGTGAAAGTTTTGTTTGCAACTGAAACATTTGCTATGGGTTTAAATTTACCAACTAGAACTGTTGTGTTTAGCTCAACAAGAAAGCATGATGGTAGAGGATTCAGGAATTTGTTACCAGGAGAATTCACACAAATGTCCGGAAGAGCAGGTAGAAGAGGATTGGATCCTGTAGGTACAGTTATTGTGATGGCTTATAACGATCCCTTGTCACCAATCGATTTTAAAGAAGTTGCTTTGGGTACTCCTACAAAATTATCCTCGCAATTTAGATTAACCTACAATATGATCTTAAACTTGTTGAGAATTGAAGCTTTAAGAGTCGAGGAAATGATTAAACATTCGTTCAGTGAAAATTCGGCACAAGTATTACTACCTGAGAATCAAAAAAGACACGAACTACTTAGCACAGAATTACAAAACTTAGATTTAAGCTCTTGTTTAAAGTGTAAGATGAAAGATGTGGAAGAGACCTGTAAATTATTGTTTGAACATGAAAGAATTTGCGGAATGTGTGTACAGGACATACACAAGTCACCCATATTGAAGACTCAACTACTCAAAGCTGGAAGATTAGTATTCTTTAGAGATAAAAATCATGATTCAAGAATGGGTTTTGTTGTCAGATCAGATAGTACGAGTGAAAATATAATGTTGGTTACTTTTGATCATGGGAAGGAGTATGATGTTGCGCAAGAGACTTACAAGATGCCATACTTTCCTATTTATGAGTACAATATGAAAAATTTTCCAAAAATCAAATTTAATCCCAAATTCAAAGTCACTCAAATTCCATTTGATTGTGTCTATTTCATTGGAAGAATTTCACTCAAGATTAATATGACTGATTTCGTCAATGATGAGTCAAACGCTTTAAATGAAGCAATCGCACAAATTAAGCAACTACTAAACTACCAAAGCGATTTAACGGAACTAGACTTGTCCAACAGTAAACAATTATCACTACACGATTTGTCCAAAGAGAAAGAAAACATTCTTAAAAAGATAAAAGAACTTCGTGGTTACATTTGCGTTAATTTCAAACAGCACTACAAGGAGTATAGAAAGCGCCATATGATACAGGAAGAAATAGAAAGTCTACAGAGATTGATTTCAGATGAGAACTTAGATTTATTACCAGATTATGAGCAAAGATTGGAAGTTTTGGATACACTTGGATTCATCGATGATCAACAAAACGTTGTACTCAAAGGTAGAGTTGCTTGTGAAATCAATTCTGGTTGGGAATTAATTATAACTGAATTGGTATTAAACAATTTCCTCGGAGATTTTGAACCATCGGAGATAGTAGCATTATTATCTTGTTTCGTTTACGAAGGTAGAACTCAAGAAGAAGAACCGCCATTAATCACTCCAAGATTAGAAAAAGGTAAAGCTAAAATCAAGGAAATCGCTGAAAAATTACTTAAAATATATATTGATAAAAAGGTATCCTTAACTTCTGAGGAAGAAGATTTTGTGGAAAGTAAAAGATTTGCATTAGTTAATGTTGTTTATGAGTGGGCAAATGGATTAAGTTTCAATGAAATTATGCAAATGAGTGTTGAAGCTGAAGGAACAATTGTTAGAGTAATCACTAGATTGGATGAAATTTGTAGAGAAGTCAAAAATGCTGCATTAATTATTGGTGATTCTAAATTGCACCTCAAAATGGCTGAAGCACAAGAGAAAATTAAAAGAGATATAGTATTCTGTGCGTCATTATATTTATAAGCGTCTATAAGTACATATATATTACAAGTCATCTTTGAGAATGTCAAATATTCCTCTTTTACCATTCAAAATTTTATTTATCGTTTCATTACTCATATCGTGATTGCTTTTTAAAGCAAGTAAACCAATCATAGTGTAAAAGCTCCCTATTGTAGTTGCATCAATAACTTTCTGTTTTTTGATGTTATATACGTTTTGGTCAACATACTCGTTAATCAAAAATTCGGAATTTATGGTAATACAATTTGATAATCCATTAACTTTCATAAATTTCATAATGATTGAGTTCTCCCAAATCCATTTCAAGTCTGCTTCAATTTCTGTTTCTGAATTTGATAAATACTTCGAATTTTTGAATATCCTCAATTGATTGACTAGTAAATATTTATAGATATTTTTCCCCAATAGTCTAATCTTTTCAGACTCATAAATGCTACTGGTCTGATTGATTTCCAACTTTACTTCGAGGTTAGTCAAGCCATTTGATATAATAGCTAATTCGTAATTCAGTAGAACCAAGGGACTTAAGTATTTGATAATAGGTTGTAAATTTGTAGAATAGGTTGATTTATCGTTGAGGTTTGTAATTTTGTCTATTATTGATGGTTTATCTCTTTCTAAAACTATTGTATCGCTGTTTGACTTTATGGATTTAACAAATCTATCAATGATTTTGAAATGGTTCAAGAATGTCGGTTTGAGTCGTCGAATGAAAGGTAAAAATGAAATATTTGGAGTTGAAGATGATGATGAAGTTTGTCTTGAAAAATTTATGGAAAAGCGGTTTAGTCGTAGATTTTTGACATTGTGAAATGTAAAATGCCTTGATTTCATCGTAGATCAATCATTTGTCCTCCAAAATTGGTTTTTATTGAGTGTTGAAGATGATGACAATGTTTTTCCAATTATTTATTTTGCAACTCATTCGAATTTTCACTGTCTGAAATTTCGCAACTGATTTGTACAAAATTTTGAAACATCTTTAAACGAACTATGTCTTCAAAATCAACCACCACGAAAAAAAAGACTCAACCGTCTGAGACTAATGCTGTTACACCTGTGAAGAAAACGAAAATTCCAAAGTCATTCATAGTAAGACCTCAAGATGTAATTCCCAGTGCGAAAACAGTCGCCAATATATATTTAAACTCCGAAGTGTTCGAAGCTTTGGAATATAAACCTGGTCAACTAGTCTCCGTATCACCAATACAAGGACAACCGGGTATAATAGCAACAGCACTTATATCATCGACCCTAGATAAGAATGTTATAGGCATGTCAGAAGAATTTAGGCGGCTAAGTGGATTATTATTGGGAGACAGAGTGAGTATCATATCCTATGATCAACAACCGCCTTATGCTCAAGAAGTTGTTGTAAATGGGGGATCGACGGATACAGAAAAGGTTTTACAAAAAGTGGGCCTCATTTATGCAGGCTTGAAGATCAATGGTTTGACAATAATTGATATTCAAGATGCCATTGAAAATAAAATGGATTCATTATCAATTTCAAATTCAAATTCAAGTGGACCAACATATTCCAAATACGTATCACCGCCATACTTGTTTACATCATCGACCAAAGTTGAAATCACACTAGAAAAGGAACCGTCTTTAGTTAAATACCCTAACCTACCGAGATTGATGAATTTTTCGCAAGTAGGAGGATTATCCAAACAAATAGATACATTAAAATCGACTATAGAATTACCTTTGTATAACCCCAATTTATTTTCCGAATTTGGCATATCACCACCAAGAGGCATATTATTACACGGAGCTCCTGGAACTGGGAAAACGATGTTACTACGATGTATAGCGAATACAATAGGTGCTCATATATTGAGTATAAATGGTCCATCAATTGTTTCCAAATATTTAGGTGAAACGGAGAATGCAATCAGGGATATTTTTGAAGAAGCAACAAAATATCAACCATCAATTATATTTATGGATGAGGTCGATTCACTTGTACCGTCGAGAAATTCTCTGGATACAGGAGAAACTGAAAGTAGAGTGGTCGCAACACTATTAACAATGATGGATGGAATGAGCAATACTGGTCGAATAGTTGTGGTTGGTGCGACTAATAGACCAAATTCGATTGATATAGCATTGAGAAGACCGGGGAGATTTGATCAAGAAATTGAAATAGGAATACCAGATTTCGAAGCAAGAAAAGACATTTTACAGAAACAATTTGCTAAAATGAATAAAGAGAAGCATGAATTGTCTATTAATGATATAGACTCAATAGCAGCAAAGACACATGGGTATGTAGGAGCTGACTTAACTGCATTGTGTAGAGAAGCAGTTATGAAAGCCATCAGCAGAGGTTTGGCTGAAGGAATTCCACAACTAGAGATCAAAGTTAAACTAGAAGATCTTGATAATGCATTGCCTGAAATAAGACCTTCAGCTATGAGAGAGATTTTCTTGGAGATGCCTAAAGTTCATTGGTCTGATATTGGAGGTCAAGATGAATTGAAAAGAAAACTCATAGAAGTTGTTCAATTACCATTAGAAGCTTCTGAATCATTCAAAACTTTGGGAGTAAATGCTCCAAAAGGGGTTTTAATGTATGGACCTCCGGGTTGTTCTAAAACCTTGACGGCAAAAGCTTTAGCTACTGAATCTGGACTTAATTTCTTAGCTATTAAGGGTCCTGAAGTTTTAAATAAATATGTTGGTGAAAGTGAAAGAACTATTAGAGAAATTTTTAGAAAAGCAAGAGCTGCGTCACCTTCGATTATATTTTTAGATGAAATTGATGCAATTGCTGGTGATAGAGATGGAGAAGGTACGACTGCTTCAAAAAATGTTTTGACTTCTTTATTAAATGAAATTGACGGTGTTGAGGAATTAAATGGTGTTGTAATAATTGGGGCTACCAACAAACCATCTGAAATTGATGCTGCATTGTTAAGACCAGGCAGATTAGATAGACATATTTATGTTGCACCACCTGATCTTAATGCGAGATTACAAATTTTAAAAAATTGTTGTAAAAAGTTTAATTTAAAAGATGATGTTGATTTGAATCATTATGCATCATTGACTGATGGTTGTTCAGGGGCAGAAGTTACTTTACTATGTCAAGAAGCTGGTCTTAATGCCATAATGGAGAACAAAGATGCAAAAACTGTGGAAAATAAACATTTTGAGCATGCATTGAATGGTATTTCAAGAGGTATAACTCCTGAAATGTTACGTTATTATATAGACTTTTCTAATAGATCTGGTTTGAATATATAATTCCATCAATCAATTTCCGTCTATCATAATACCTTCATGACAATCAATGATGTTTAACCTAAGCATAAACCCTAAGCGTCTATTGTTGTTGGCATCCTTCTTGTAAATTTTTTTCCAAATCTGGTGGTAAATTCTTATCATTGAAATCAAATCCTCCAGCTCCTCCAGCTCCTCCTCCAAATCCAGGTAAGAAATCACCTGTTTCACCGACTAATTCAGTAGGAGGCTGACCTAATTCTTGTAAGCTTTCTAACATAGAATTTATTTGATCTCGTTGTTGTTTATTTGCATCATTATAATTTTCACTATCAAAAACTTTCAAAATATCATTTGTTATTTCATATTGATTATTATAATTTTCATATTGTTTTTTACCTAATTTATCTTTATTATCTTTTAAATATTGTGGGAATTTTTTATTAAGATCTTTTATTGGTTCATATAAAACTTCTTTCGAACTCAATTGTTCTAACATATCAACTAATAATTTACTCATATCCATATCACCACCTCCAAGTGCTGAATCACCACCCATACCAGCTAATAATTGAGTTAATAAATCTTCAGGATTAGAACCCATGGAATCATTTTTAATTTTGGAATCAATATCTTCACCTGATTTTTTTAATCTTTCCATAGTTTCTTTCATAACATATTCAAAATTTGCTGGTTTTGATTCTTCAGTTTCTATTTCTTGTCTATGATTTGTTTCAAATTGTTTAACTAATGTTTCAAATTGTTTTTGAGTTTCCGGATCTTCTATTTTCATATCTTTTATTAATTCAGATATGGAATTTTGAAAATCTTCATTTAATGGATCAGTTTGTGATTGGGGTTGTGTTTTGATATTTGAATTTGGTTGTGATGTTTGAGGTTGTTGAGATTCAGCTGTTGATCCTGGTGGTTTACTTAGTACTTCATCCGCAAAATCATCTAATAAGTCATCTAAATCATCGACATCTTCTGTATTTGCTTTCAGTTGGGATTTTTCAGTAGTAGGATTGGTGGTTGAATCATTCTTCAGATTTGATAAGTTATTAGTAGATTTCAAAGCGGCATTTTCATCCGTGATTGAGGCTAAATCTTGAGGTTTATTATCTTCAGACATATTAATTTAATATTCTATCGAGTATAGATATGATTTTCTCCACTAACTTGATCAATCTTTACGTTTTGAATATTCTGAATAATTCGGTTAAATTGATTCAAATTTTTTTTTCTCCCCACATTGAAAAATGTTGTTTTGCATATTTAATTCATGCTCGGTCAAAAACTGTACCTATACCAGAGACGATTGAACAAAAGAGACATTAGATGAAGACATTCTTATTGAGAAACAAACATTATAAGATTAACACCTGATTGGTAATCACTATATATTTATAAAACATATCTTGTTTATCAAAAATAAATTACAATTTTGCTCAAATTTATTTAAAATATCTCGTTCATTATAGTTTTGGTTTTGATGCATCTACTCCTCCAGCAGTAGCATTGGAGTTTATTTCTAGTTTGTCGTTCTTGTCACTCGAATGATCATTACCAAAGAAAACAACAGTAACAGTTAAATCATCTCTATATCTTCTTGATACTGGGTTTGGTATTGAAATAATCATAGAAGTTTGTTCTTTTGATCCACCATTTGATAAAGCATTTCTAATTAAATGAGTTGAAACATTTTTATCTTGTAATAAAAAACTTCCTCCGCCAGCAGATTTTCTAATTGGTTTTTTACTAGCTTTATCCATTGTTATATCTTCAACTTCTGGTAATTTATTTTCACCAACTTTTCCAAAAAAATTCCAAAATGATTTTTGAGGTTTTACCATTTTTTCTCTTTCCATCCATTTAACTACTAAACCAATTATTTCTTCATTTGTTAACATTTCATATAATCCGTCACTTGCCATGACTAAAAATTCATTATTATCAGGATTTATTTTTGTAGTTGTTATAACAGGTTCCGCAGTAACATACGGTGGTGATTGTAAATGATTTGGTAATCTTTTACCAAAAAATTGTTTGTAAATTCTTTCTTGAATTGATGCTGGTAATTTGTATCGACAATCTCCAAATGCTCTTGTAGGTTCTAAACTTCCTAATACTCTTCCATTTCTAATAACTTTCGGTTCATCCGGATGTTCACTTATAATTCTTGCAACTTCGGTTGGATTTGAACCAGTTTGATCAATACTTAATTGTTTTGCTGTCCATTGATTATTTTTAAAAGATCCCAATATAGCCCTTGAATCACCAGTTACTGCAACTTTTAAAATTTTAGAATTTGTATCATAAAATGATAATAATGCACATGAGCCAGATAATGCAGGCATTAATAATTCAGCTGCTTTAGCCTTGTTGTTGTCAGTTAATAATTTTTCTATATTCTTATTCACTATTTCATGATCTAATTTTAAAAATCCATTTTTAATTGCTTGATCTATTGTTGCACTATTTGGTACATATCTTAAATTTTCTTCACCTTGTACAGGTTTATAAATTGTACCCAATTCTGTTATTACGTAGTTTATTAACTGATCTCTTAATTTTGAACTAGTTGTCCAACCTCCATGACCATCAAATACTCCAAAAAACATCCAATCAGTAGTTGTTTTGATGTTATTATCTTGTAATATTGGTACTTGAATAATTTCTTCTGCTCTATCATCTTCTATTGGAGAATTCGAAGGTAATTGACATATATCATACCTAGTTACACCTTTACCTCTATTTACATTATAACTTTCTTCAAATTGACGTAACTTTGTATCTACTTGCTCATCATTTAATAAAAATATACCTTCTTTATGTTGTTGTTGACTTATACTATTTTTTTGATGCATTGAAGAAGTTGAAGTTGAAAAAAGACTCTTATTATCTAATAATTTAGGTGAAGATGATGTTGATGGGGATGATGAGGAGGATGAGGAAGATGAGGAGGAAAATGAAGATACTTGAGAACCAGATGTATTTGAAGCAGTTAATTGAGTTGTTGTTGACAGGGGTAAAGTATCTAAGTTATAATAATTTGATTGATTAAAATTAAATGCAATATATGATCCTATGATTATTATGCCAGATACCAATGCTACATTTTTACCTTGTTTTTGATATTGTTGTTGTTCATTTTTAGGTAATGTTTTGAATAAATGTTTAGATATATTCAATAATTTAGATGATGATATTGAGGATCTTGAAGTTGATGAAATTAACCTGCTACTTATTAATTGTAATTGTTTATTTGAAAGATATAATAACTTTGGTTTGGTTGATAATACGTATGACATTATTCCAGATTGTGAACTATTATAGTTTGTAGGAAGGATAAATTACTATAGTTGTGTATGTCTCTTTTAAGTTTCTATTATTGTATCCGATTATTGCTCTATCAATCGTATGCCACTTAATGTTGCTATGTAATGATTGGTTGTTTGGTTGTTTGGTTGTTTGATTAATTAATCTTGATTAATTAGTGTCGATGATGTAAAGTGTTATTAGTCGAACACAATCAAAAATATAAATTTTGTTTTGTACAATTTTTATTTGTCATTATTAAAATATTATGTAAGAAAAAGTACCCGAGTTTAACTCTATTAGTTATATCTTCACTAAACTGGATTTACCTAACGTTATCAATGATAAAACATTCATTATACCTCACAATACTAATAATATTTATGATTATGATATTACGTAGTAAGTATTGTTAACAAAACATTTACAATGTAAATTGTCTTTATAATAATATAAAACTTTTTATTTTTTACGTCGAAGATCGTATTAAATTTTTCGACTCAGCCAAAGTTTTTAACGCGAAAACTGAATACTTCATTCAAGTTGTAGTGCCGGACAACAATTACGGATGTTTGCGGTACTGTGAAAGATGAAAATGCTTTAGGTGAATATTTATTCATTATACTGCTTTAAAAGTTCTATTGGCATAGATGATAGAGTTGTTCTACGAATGCCAGCTTGTTAACATCTAATTTACTTGGTTTATCATGCGATACGGATGTAGAAATTTTTGAAAGCAAATCTATGATAACCTCACCCGTACATTTTCAAAATTAAGTAAATGTAAATGAAAAATGCAAAATAAGAAGTTGGTGAAAAAATTGCTGAAAGGGAAAAGGCGCCACGAAGAGGTTGATACCTCACTCATTCTAAACTTATTTATTTTTTAACATATTCGGAAGAGAATTTACATCAAATTTGTATCAAAATAAAATTGTATCTACTTGTTGCACATGATAAAAATATCTGGCTGCAAAACAATGAGGAATAGTATCAAACTGTAGAGGATTAAGACTTTTGAATATCAATCATTCAAAGAAAGTGTCAAAAATAGTTGAAACTATTGTCATCATAAACGTTTCGAATAGCAAGTGGTAATCTAGGTGAGTCGCTATTCGATGAATTAGACAAATGAGTTCAAACCTTATAGCAGGAATTGATTTAGCTGTACATGAAGAACAAATTTGCTATTGAGAAATAGTCTAAGCTTGGTCTGTTCAAATGAAGTTTTAGTACTTTCAACAAGTTTCAATGTTCTTTCACAATTTATTGAAGATATTATTATCTTTTTTTGCAGCAATTTTTTACATAAGTCCCAGTATTTAATCATATATTTAATTGATAAAAGCTCTTTTGGCTCTCTAAATTTCGATTGTATATTCTCAAATCATTTTGAAATATCAAGTTTAGAGTTTTCATCGGTTTTATCTAGTTCGTCAATGTTATACCTCGAGCTCAAGAGAATGACAAAAGTGAAATTGTCCCTGTAAGATACAAATTGTTACAGGAGAAACATTAATAGAAATATGATGAGCATTCTTGATTCATATATGCAAACGTAATCGATTCTCAACATAAGAAGTATCTCCACCAAGTTCGTAAACCATAAAGGTTGTTTTTTATGTACAAAAAATTAATTGAAAAGCTAAGTCATCCCTTACAATAAGATCAAAGTATTTTTTTTTTTTTCAAGTTTCAGATTTGATTTTCTTAAATCATGTTTTGATCACGATACAAATTTCAAGTATACTAAGGTCGATATGGGGAAATTGAAAAAAGGAAGAAGAAATGTTAAAAACAGATTAAATCCAATAGCGTCTAAGTCTCAACATGAAATAAAAAAGGACGAATCAACTAGACAATCCAAAATTTTACCATTAATCAATAAATTAAAATCAACTATTCCCAATGACAAATCAATGGCTCTTGGAGCTATCACTGTATTAGCAGAAGATGCAAGAATGAGGCAATTACTTTTAAAGGAAAAACTAGTTCAAGTGGTCACTGAATATTGTTTAAACGATTCGAATGATGAAATTGTTGTGGAGGCTTTTGGCTTATTAAGGAATTTGTGTATCGAATCAGGTTACGATGTTGTAATGTTTTTATGGAGACAAGGAATATGGACCAGTATTGAAAATGCATTAGATAAAATAAATAACTCATTTAAATATTTGACTGAAAAGGACATCATGGAGAAAGATAAGTCTAAAATACAATTATTATTTGATTTCACCGAAAACATATTGAGTTTGATAACTACCCTAGCGAGTGAGGATGAGTCCATATATGAATTTATACTTGCAAAAATTGATCCTATAATAGATTTCATCTTCAAGACGTTGAAATTTCATATTTCTGGAACATTTAAAATTTCCAACAAATTATTTACCGCATTGCTCGAATTTATTTATGAATTTTCATCTGAATCAACAGAATTTGTTGAAAAATGTGATAATTTTGAATGTTGGGACGAAGTTTCCTCCTATATCGAGGAATCCAATGTTAAATTGAGTAAAATTTATCTTGAAGGAATAAAATTCAATAAATATGAAGTACAGCAGACAACGTCTGATAAAACACAAGAAGTATGCAGCGAAGTATTACAACAAATATACGACACGGTCAAAGATTTTGATCTACAGCAGTTGAGATTACGTATTGAGACTATTCAAAATTTAAAAAATGGAAACGAGCCAATAAGAAAAGACTCAAATACAATTGAGAAAGATTTGTCTTCAAGTAATGAAAGTAAAATGGAAGTCAAAACCGACCTTTTAACAATTGAGACTGGGTTGACAATTATTACATCCATTTTAGAACATTTATCAATCAATGAGGAAGATGCAAGTGAGCCGGTGTTACTTTTACCAAATACACAGAATATTTTATTTGAAAAAATTGGACCAATGCTAATAGAATTGTTAAAGTTTGAATTGACGGAGAAATCATTAATGTTAGGAAAACCAATCTTAGGAGCAATTAACAACTTCGGTTGGTTAATACTAAGTAACGAGCATCTTCCAGTTCCTTGGTTTGAAATGTCTCTAAAACTTTGGGATATTCTTTTGACCATCAATGATGATGAATTACAGAAGTCAAGTTTGAGTATATTATGGGCAATTTTAAAAAGTTCGGGTCCAGAACTTGGAGACAAAATACCAAATCTGATGATTGAAAGACTATTGGCTATGCAATTGGATCATGACAATTTAAGTATGATTGGAGTTATTGGATCAATAGCTTCAACGATAAATAATTCAACTATTACCTATCAAATTTCACAATTTTTATTTCATACATTAAGTTTAGCTTGTGAAAACACGAAAAATATTATTAATTTGGAAATAATAATTGAAACTTTAAATATGATATTTGATATATTTGGTGATAAAGAATATCCTTATGATTATGAAGTATTTGTTAAAAATGATTACATATCTATATTGAGAAGATTAGAACCAAAATTGAAAGAAATCTATAAGAAAATAGATAAGAATAAAGAGCCACAGTTGAAATTGAAAATGGAAGAAACATGGATAAATTTGGAAAGATTTATTCAATACAAGATTAATGAAAGATTATAGTATAATGAATAGCTGTGATAAAAAGTTGGTTAGTATTTCGGTAATAACTGTATAGAAATACTAGTGCTTTTAATGATATTGCGAGTGAATAGAAAGATTGTAGTACGTCTATTACTTATTATGAGGTACTTCAGCCCATTCCCAGAATTGAAAAATGAATTGTATTGAAAGACATGAAACCGAAATTTGATTTTTAACAATATTTGGTTGCAATTTGAACTTTATTTTAGCACATATACAGGGCTAATTAACACGTCTATTTTCTGTCAATATCCATTAAAGACACTGAAAGTTGGATCAATTGATCCCTACCGTTCCATCGATATAATCAAGTAAAATTAGCGATGTGAACAAGAGGATGGTTTTCATTGATTTTTGAACAAAAATTAGACAAAACCGTGTGAGAATTTTGCCCAAATACTGCTGCATTTATTACGCCTACATTGTTAAAGTTTTGTATTGTGGTCCCTTGGCCCAGTTGGTTAAGGCGTGGTGCTAATAACGCCAAGATCAGCAGTTCGATCCTGCTAGGGACCATAATGAGTAATCTATTCTGTATTTTTTTTGCTTTTTTCATTTTTTTGCCGAAAAGGCTCAGTTGTTGGCACATTCTAGTATTGAGTATTTTCTTTTGATATTTGGTACTTCATGTTTAGTTTTAGTTTATCGAGCCTCCAATTTTATTATTTTATAAAAATAGTTGCTTGATGCATTAAAAGGTTTCGTCTCAAAACAATTTAGGTTCAGAGTAACTTTAGGAACTGTAATTCAGTATAAATGACCTATCACAATCCTAGAATTCATCAAATCAATATGCCACTTTGTCATGATTGTTTTTATTCATTAAATTAGTTTTACATACATATCTCATAAATCTTTTTTGAAACCTGTTAGTCATCCGTATGAAGAATTCCTAATATTAAAGCCTGAACCTTTCTAATTTATTCAATCTTCTAGCTGTATTAGCATTGGTTTTAGTCCTTTGACCGCGTACTGGGAACCCCCAAGCATGCCTGAACCCAGCAAATGAACCTATATCTCGTTTCATTTTAATATCATTATTTATTTTGTGTTTCAAATGCCCTTCTACCAATAACTGCGATATTTCTTTATTCAAATCCATTATTTGTGGTTCTGTCAATTGGTTCATTTTACAATTTGGATAAATTCCTATTTTCGCCATTAATCTTGAAGCTGTATCTGGACCTATCCCAAATATCGTTTTGGCAAGACCTATCCTTACCGGAAAATTGTGCTTTATTGATTTACCAAAGACAACGACCCCCATTAGTTTGTTTAGTGCGATTGATATTGAGTTTGATTTGTAATAGAATCTTAAATTCTGAAAATTTTCGAATTTGATTCACATTTCATCATTACTGTGCTACCACGTTTCAAAACCTAACACAATTATCAAAACTCATGAAATGCATCTTAAAAGATTCAACTCCCAATCCCAATTTGCTTAATGAAAGCCCTCAAAATTTACAAGTATATTGCCTTAAACAAGATATGTTTTTCTGCAAGTTAAGCGTGATAAAATATTTTCTTATAACCCGTATTTAAAAGCCAGCAATCAAAACTAGTTTTTATCAATACTACAGTGTATAGATTTTTTCCTTAAATCTTGAAATCATTCAACTTCTTTATCTTAATTTTTTTTATATTTTCTACAACACTCCGACAAACAACGATGAGTTATTTACCTAGTGGGTCTAATCCAGAAACCAGTTTGTTTACATGTAACACATGTAGCATCAAGTTTGTTAATGCTGACTTACAAAGACAACATATGAAAACTGAATGGCATAGATATAATTTGAAAAGAAGAGTTGCTCAATTACCTTCAATATCATCAGAGTTATTTGCGGAAAAAATTTTAAGCTCAAAATTCAAAAGTGATTTCAAAAGTGAAAATGAAGATGAGTATGGATTTTATATTGCAACTAGAAAGAAGAAGAATAATTCAAGAAAACAAAATTTGCAGATCTCACGAAATAAAACTAATTTTAGAGGTCGTCCAATAGAAAGGATCATGAATGAAGCAAAAGATACTATTGCACAAGAAAGAAGTTTGAGTCCTGCAGGTTCAGTTGCATCCGAGCTTTCACAATTTTCATTGAATGATTCTGAAGGTTATTGTGAGATTGAGCCTATACATACTGGTTCTGAATTAAATTACACAGAGTCATCGGACTTTACTGATTATGATGATTTACAAGATTTTGAGTTGGAGGAAGAGGATACAGTACACGTACCGAAGGAGGAAGACCAAAATGAAGAAACTCAATCATCTCAAATTCCAATAACGACTTGCTTCTTTTGTGAGACTAAGAATTTTGATTCTGAACGAAACATAAGGCATATGTTCAATTATCACGGTCTATACATTCCGGAAAGAACCTTTTTGAGTGACGTTGATGGATTATTGAACCATTTAAGTGCAACAATATCAAACTTCAATTGTTTAGTTTGTGGATTTCAAGGTAAAAATCTAGAGAGTATTAGACAGCATATAAAATCAAAAGGACACTGCAAAATACCATATGAAAGTAAAGATGAAAAGCTAGAGTTTGCTAAATTCTATGATTTTACAACCGAGAATGAAGGGAAAGATGCAAGTAGGAAACTGAAAAGATCAACAAAACAGTCAAAGCAGGTTGCCTTCATAGAGGACCCAAGTGAACCAGTTTCCTCTAGTGAACTGTTGGTGGACGAAGAAGAAAGATTTGAGGACGAGCTGAGTATAGATGAGCAGTCAACGTCAAATGACGAGAGAGAATTAAACACTAATTACTCTTTAGTATACATAGACTCGTCTGGGGTTGAGTTGACGACCCCGATTGGCTCAAGAATTGGACATAGGTCAATGCATAGGTATTATCGTCAAAACATAGCTTTACCTGGGGTTGATCAAGACGGTAAAAAAACTCAAGCTTTAGTTGATAGAAGGTTTTCACCTGGCTTGACGGTAAGAGAAATATCCAAACAACAAAAAGAATCTCAAAAGCTAGAAAATAAAATTAAAAGTGATCATGTCAGAAAAATGAAACCTAAAAAGATCAATTACCAAAGACATTTTAGAGATGAAATTTTGGGTACTTGAGAAATATGGTTGTGTGTTTTTTTTGTTGATCGTTCATATCTACATGCTTTTTTTCGTCATGTATAGCTCAAGAAGAATAAATATTCAATCAATTTAGTATCTCAATCTGACGATGTATTTTCTCTACATATTCTTTGCTTTGTTCTTCCATGTAATTATTCAAAATAAAACGGGACATCTTATCTAAAATTGGTAGCTACTTGTTGCGAAATTAAAGAGAGAAGAATCCAAAAAGCAAAGGTCGGAATGATAAGTTTATAGAAAATAATTAAATATTTCATCTAGCATTCAAGTTCAATTCAATCACTAACACAACTTCGCAGATTAATATCAAACAAAAATCTCAAATTTAGCTGACATACATTAATTCTATCGTTCAAATTATTTGATTTTGATTTTGATTGTGATTGATCCAAAGGCACATTAATCAACACATCTACTTTCAACAAATTCGGAACAATTTACTTGAAGTGTTCTTCCATCAAGTCCATATATCAAAGTTTATAACTTAGAAGAATACCATAATATAGATTTTATAGGATTGGTGTTGTACCGATAACTTCCAGATATTTTTACTGTAACATCGAGAACAATCAAACAATCATTATGGGTAATAATTCATCTAAACCCGGCACCAAAAATTACGGTGGAGCTCCATTGCAACGTACAGATACATCTACATCTGCGAAATCCTCAAGATCTTTAAGGAGTAAATTATCTTTAAATAGTATGAATAACAATAACATCACCAATAATGAATATAACTCGAACAACAATTCAAATGATCATAATCAAAATCACCAGAGTGAAGGCAAAAACTCAGCTACGTCTACTTCTAGACCCAACAATGAAGAAAATGCTTCAAAAGTTTCTGAGTTAAGCAACAATGAACCAATTTCAAATTCAATAGCTCAGAAAAACCTCTCGGCCGAAACTAACCCCGAGATACCGTCATTTTCGAGAAACAATAGCTCGTCTAATATATACTCAACTTCATTCAGCGACAATAGTAATTTACCACCTTCGATGATGCAAGTCCAACCAAAAGAGCCAATTCTTATCAGAAGAAATACAAATGAAACTCTTAATACATCCATAAGTGTCTCCGGATTAGAATCGCCAAGTATGAATTCACCATTATCAACCTCAGCAAATAACTCGAATGGAAACAGCATATCAAGAACTTCAACCAATCACTCCATACCGTCTATAAATCATCATTTATCTCCACAACCCACAAATTTGTCTTCAGACATAGACCCAACGGCTAATGATGATGAGACAAATAATTCAAAACAATATTTACTGGCCCCAAAGTCACCAAACATATCTATTAATAACAATGATGATACTAAAAGTATTCAAAGTAGTAGGCAGTCACTGGCTGCTGATTTGACAGAACTTTCAAAGACGACTTCAACTGTCAATAATCATCTTCACAAACAGTCAACAACTTCTTCCTCTTTAGGTGGAGGTAGTAATACCATAGATATAGAGGATTTAATTCAAAGGCTACTAGACGCGGGTTATAGCGGTAAAAGAACCAAAAATGTTTGTTTAAAGAACACTGAGATTCAATTAATATGCTCTACGGCTAGAGAAATTTTCTTATCACAACCATCCTTATTGGAATTATCACCCCCAGTTAAAGTTGTAGGAGATGTTCATGGACAATATGGTGACTTAATTCGAATTTTTACGAAATGTGGATTCCCACCGCAGACTAACTATTTATTTCTTGGAGATTATGTTGACAGGGGTAAGCAAAGTTTGGAAACTATATTATTATTACTATGTTATAAAATCAAATATCCAGAGAATTTTTTTCTTTTAAGAGGAAATCATGAATGTGCAAATGTAACGCGAGTATATGGATTTTATGATGAATGCAAAAGAAGATGTAATATCAAAACTTGGAAGTTATTTATAGATACATTTAATACCTTACCTATAGCAGCAATAGTGGCGGGTAAAATATTTTGTGTTCACGGCGGATTATCACCAGTTTTAAATTCCATGGACGAGATACGAAATATTGTAAGGCCGACTGATGTTCCGGATTTCGGACTACTTAATGATTTACTATGGTCAGATCCAGCTGATACTATAAATGAATGGGAAGATAATGAAAGGGGTGTATCTTATGTTTTTTCAAAAGTTGCCATAAACAAATTTTTAAGTAAATTTGGGTTTGATCTAGTTTGTAGAGCTCATATGGTTGTTGAAGATGGATATGAATTTTTCAATGATAGAACATTGGTAACTGTTTTTTCAGCGCCAAATTATTGTGGTGAATTCGATAATTGGGGAGCAGTGATGAGTGTTTCTGAAGAATTATTATGTTCTTTTGAATTATTAGACCCATTAGATAGTGTTGCATTAAAACAAGTCATGAAAAAGGGGAAACAAGAAAGAAAAACGGCTCAAACTTTACAAAGGATTCAATCAAGATGATGGGCAAAAACTCAAGATTTAGAACCAGCATAATACAACAACTGGACCAAAATATATTTTCCTTGAATTTAATTTCACTTTGTATATTAAATATAGTTTAGTGTATTCCAATACAATTCATAACGACTAAGCATGTAGATAGTCGATCTTGTAGTTATTTCCCATTCCAGAACTAGGGCCAAGGTATAACGACAATATTTCATTGAAAATGTACAATACTTTGCAAAATTTTAGACAACCTGAAAACTCAAATCATTTATTACTTTGAGTTCTCTATCGCAATTATCCATTATTAGCTGACTCGTCAGTCATAATCACCCTTTATCACATTCTATACGTTGTAACCTATTTACCAGAATAATTTTGGTCAAACAATTTTCAGTGCTGCATATAGTCAAGAACATTTGATTTAAATTTTACTTTATCAATTAGCTCAGTCAAATCTTTCCCCATTCTGACGTGAACTTTATATCAAGGAGATTGTTCTATATTAGAATGTATAAGGAGTAGATTCCATTGATTTGGTTGAACATATTGATGCAATCTAATAGGAATAATACCAATGGCCCTCTCGGTTTTAAGAATGGTACTCCTTTCAATCTCACCGGTGACAACAATCAATACTTATTAAGGACCGAGAATTTGGAGCCTCTAGTCAGCTTAACCAATCAATTAAGTGCTGAAATTAAAAAAAACCATGAGAAATTATCAGAAGTATGTCACGAACTGGACTTTGCTTTTCATCAATTTCCGAAGGATCTATTTTACCACAGAACAATTCAGGTAGAGGGTGCCAATGTTAAAAAAGAGGTGGCTGATCCTCTTATTTCCCAATTGTTGGATCAAAAATATAATCTCAATGGGTCTTCGGAGTCAGAAGAGCATCTGAATATTGAAGAAGAAGTAGAAGAGGAGGAAGACCTTGCAAAAAATGAAGATATTTTACTCAATCAGATCAAATCAATAGATTGCCTTTTAAACGCAAAAACTAAGAAGAATAAAGAGTTGTACAACATATTAAAGGATTATGAAACTGCTATATTTACGGAATTAATGCCAGCTTTGTTGAATCATTTTAAACAGGAGCTGAAGGATGACCACAAATCAGAATTAGGAATTGAAGGTACGGAAATTACGACAAACCATCTGGGTTCTTTTCTGTCCTTTGACAACGATTTGGAAGCGATTTTTGAAAATAAAGTCAAGTATCAGACTGACGTCTATAAATCATACTTGAAAAGGATCGAAAATTCCAGTGAAGTATATGAAAAATTGAAACGAATTATCGACCAAATGTGATCCACAGAACCTAAAATTTACTCATTTCAGAGATTCAGCTTCTATTTGAAATCAAACCATCTTAATCTTTTTGAACATGTTTTACAACTTCCGAAGGTTGTCGAAAACATGTAGAGAATTATATGAATTCCCTGTAAAGACACTATTTTTTTGACTTAATGGAACCTTCTATCACATTAAAAGAAGGAACTCTGTAGCACCATCAATTTGGTAATAAATAAATGCATGTAATGAATCTTCCTTCTGACTGCGTATTTCGTATTGAAATTGCGCAGAAATTGTACTAAATCATCTCGATGGCTTAATATATACCACCAAATTTTTTTAAATAAACGTAAAAGCTTTCGAAGTTTTCAACTTTAAAAAGTATCAATCTAGACGAAGTTGAGCCAGATACGAATTGGATCTTCATATGATTTAATCAACACCTCAGGGCCTTTACATGAACTCATTATCCGACAGTTATCAATACATCAGAAGAATCAAAAGAGAATAAATCGGTCAGTTTGAATGAGTGCATATGCTGCTCTTAAATCTGGTGAAGCTTTAACACATCTTACCTCATCATCAGAAGAGACAGCAGGCAGTAATGAAGATTTAGATGATGAGATTTTAAAATATACGAAGGGGTCAGATGATGAAAAGGAGGATAATGTTGAAGACAATGAGAATGGACTGGAAAATACAGATGATACTAATTCAAATGAAAATTGGAATTTTAAGATGAATGATACTAAGCAAAAATACTCAAACCCGGATCAGACTGGAGTGAAGTTATACCAACATCAGAATTTAGTTCTCAATTCAAATTTTTCACCCAGTATCGATAACCTTTCTTTCCATACCGACTATGTGTACGTAACATTATGTGAGGCGGAGCACATACTTATCAATGGCCAGTTTAAGATGGAAGTTCTCGAGGGTTCTGTTTTGCTCAATAATTGTTTTACTTTGAATTCGAAACTGAATAAAATTTATCAATTTCAATCATCCCAAACACAAGCTATTCCAATGATATCGTATCTAACAACGGAATTAGATGACAAGAAGAACATTTCAATAGTTAAAATAACGAATTTTGAAAATGGTCTTGAAAAACTAAATAGAATTTATCCCTTTGCATCGACAGCTCAAAATGAGCAGAAAAGTGTGTTCGAAAAGTATACATTTGAATTAGTTTTGCATGAAAATGACAATCAATTTAACGGTCTTTATATTCCCGAGCTGTGGTCTGACAATTTCAAATTTATTGCCTCCTCTGCACCAAGTAGTGTTATGGTAATTGGTAACAAAAATACGGGGAAATCTACTTATTCAAAGGTTTTGATGGACTATTTACTCGTTCACAAAAGAAAATCGGTGGTATTGATTGATATAGATCCTGGACAGTCTGAACAATCATCTCCTTATTGCATGTCATTAACAAATCATACGACCGCCAGCTTCATTGAGCAAGACATCGATCAAAATAAAGTTGAATATTACTATGGATTTTCTAGCCCTATGGATTCACCTTCTAGATTTTTGAATATTGTGCAGAGATTGTACAATCATTATCTAATGCATTTTCTGAAAACTGGCACGATGGTGATAGTAAATACACCTGGTTGGGTCAAGGGGTGTGGAAAAGAATTACTTTTGAAAGTTTCGAATATAATTTGCCCATCAAACCTAATTCTTTTGACAAATAATTTATCTACTGAGTACGAGGAAAATCAAAATATTTTGTGTGGATTAAGATTTGAAAGGTTGAATTTGGTAAACGGGATTTTTTCAAACCAAATAGTATCCGCAAGTGAAATACGGTGCATTCACAAATTGATGTATTTCCATAAAGTTTCTGGTCATGAGTACGACTTCACGTCGCGTATTTTAGATTTCTCCCCAACTAAATTGAGTTATTGTACAAAAGAAAATGAGGTTGGAATAAATGCATTGTCAATTTTGAATTATGAATTAAAATTTAATGGAGATCTAACGACTACAAGATTCCTTATTGAGTCAATGATTTGGAGTATACATATCATTGAGGCAAAAAAAATTAAAATACCCCATATTATCCAATCAGGTGGTTTACCAATGCTCTTGAGTGCGGAACACGCCAATTCGATAATCAATGAAGAAGAATCTAAGTTTTTAGGGCTACTGATAGTTCACAGTTTGAATAATAAAGACCAGTATCTAAATATTTATGCTCCGCCTAATGTCACAGCCAAACTTCAGAAGTATTTGAACTCGGATTTTAAAATATTATTCATTCGTGGAGAGGGAAATTTGCCTTCACCTGAGGTATTGCATCCGAATTTTTTACACGAGAACTCTTCAGCGACGAAAAAATATGTACCATATTTAAGCTTTAAGGTGAAACCCAAAGTTGGAGGTATTTGGAAAGTTAGGAGAAACATTATTAGAAAAAGTCAGAGATGAGAATTTGGTTCGATAATGCAACGTGTCCTCGCTAACACTTTCTTGCTGAATAATGCATGCTTGTCTCCAGTTGAGACCGTGAGTTAGCATCACGGACGGTTCACCATGGTCTTATTTGCTTTGAATTAGAGGATATTCTTGCCTATTTTAGATAATTTATGACTAATAAACGACGAGCAAACTTAAAATTTGTAGTTAACAGCTTGAGCTAGTTCATAAGACAAGGGTTATTAAAGTACGTTGATATGGGCATCATGTCTTGGAAACCAAAAAAAAGTGCACTTTAAATACCAAGATTTAAAGTGGTCCTTATCATTCGCATTAAGTGTTCAAAGATTTTGATTAAGTGATACGGAATACCTGACTGATCTTATCTATTTTTTTAGATCGATCTCAGTCACAATCATTTGAAAAGATAAAGTCGACTTTTGTGACTTCGGTGCAACTAATTCTAGCTCTACATTCACTGAACATGATGCTTATTAACATCATCTCAAAAGGAATCTTTCAATGCTAGGATGTTAAATTGTTGAAATTTAGTAGTAAACATTCGTTTGTTCTTCATGTGTGTTCCGATAATGAGTCTGGGGATGATATTATTAGTCAAGATACCTTGTTCTTGCTCTAGTTACGACATTCTTGCTCTGACTTGGATGAGTTAAGACGTTTACTTGTTGTCTATGAGAAAATAAGTGATAAATTTGTGAGCATTTGGATTTTGATCAATGTACATATTGAATTTTTTACCTCTTTATATGAAATTTTGCAGCCAAATTCTTCGAATCAGATTTTTTACCTCTTTATATGAAATTTTGCAGCCAAATTTTTCGAATTAAATTAAAATCATTTTTGAACTAATTAATATGGACTACTTCTATGCTAGTATTATCATATTTGATAGAACCTCTCATAGAGGTTAGTCAAAGTGGGCAAAACTAAATGTTTGCCTCAAGTAATTTTCTGTCGGAGGCTTTGTCTAAGAATTTTCTATTTCAGAGAATCTAGCGATGTTATACTCCCGAAACTGGAACTTCACATAACAATATCACGAAAGTGCGAGTCAAATCCGTCACGAGATGGATGAAAATATTATTCTTGTGTAGAGCTTGGAGGAAATATTTGGAGTTGAAGATGATGATGAAGTTTGTCTTGAAAAATTCATGAAAAAGTGGTTTAGCCGTAGATTATTTCTAAGCGCCTGCTAGCTAAAATTAAGTTGCACAAAATTATACATGAGCTCTTGGTAGCAAAAAATAAGTTGCACAAAACTATTTATGATCGTCTGCTCTAATTAATAATAGTGAAAAAACTACCTTTAATTTGTTCAATAAATCCACATTACTCATACCAATACCATATGAAAACGTTTGAGCAATAAGACACAGCTGTTTTTACTATGTTTTATGAGACAAAGAAAATCTTGTTTTGCTTAACTATGAGCGCCTGCTAGCTGAAATTAAGTTGCACAAAATTAATCATGAGCTCCTGCTAGCAGAAAACAAGTTGCACAAAAATATTTATGATCGTCTGTTTGAATTAATATTAGTAAAACTTCCTTAAATTTGTTCAATGAATCTCATTACTCATACCCATTTAGAAATTTCACCACAGCTTCAAATAAATTCAACTATATTGTCAATTATCAAAAAAGATATTGAGGAGACGAATGCCGTTTTTGAACAGGTTTTGAAGTAGTTGCTTTAGGCACTGCTGAAGCAGAACACCAAGACTTACAGCTACCAAAAAATTGCTATGGCTGACAGGTAACATTTAAAGAATACGAAATCAATGTCATCAAAAGGTTATGCATTATAACAATAGTCTGCTTTAAAGATGCGTAAATCGAACTATTCATGATTGGACAAAACACGTATCATTTTGCACGAAGGTCACTCTGATGTAATGTATGAACTAGAAATTTTCCAACTGAATCAATGAAATGGAAGCAAATTTAATAACGAAGTGCTCACTCTAGCAATTCATAATAACCTTTTTATATTGAGTTATAATATGTCATAATCATCGTTATATGGCTATACAGACCGATGAATACGGGAAGCTGCTCAACTGGCGATATACTGCCGTTAACATATGAATTGAAAAATATTTCTCCCTTCATATCGTGTTTAAGGGTAGCATTGGTCTTCTCAATACCTACTTTGAAATTTGGCTGTATCCTAACTGATTTCAAACAAAGCTTTGTAACTTAGAAGATTTATAGATTGGTTGATATACATAAGTATATGGAAATATGAACGATACAAAAAGTGTGAGATATTTTTCGAATTCACAGTTTGTAACACGAAAGCTAACTGGTTTAACATATCGTTCATACTTTTATACACTTTTATGGATTGGCCAGTCAATATAAATTATAGATCCTAAGTTTCCATAATTCCAACTAAATTCAATTATAATTATTAAAAAAGATACCGAATAGAATAATGCCTTCCTTGAACAGATGCTGCTGTTTCGTCCCAACCAAATGCAGTGGTGCGTGAAACTGCCGGAAGTATTATTCTCGAAATGCATTTATTATCATTTTATGTCACATTTTACAAGGGAGTTTTGAGCAAATGTGTTATAATCACGGTGTGTGTGAAAATTCCGTTTATCACCAAAATGATGATATAGAATTCAGTCTCTTATTCTCAAAATTCTCGGATAAACTTATTATAGTTTCACTCGTACGTAACTCTTCACATACAATTTCAAAAGTTAAGACCAATTGGGCTGGTAAAAACATTCTCATTCAAAAGTACTTCTTTCTGCTACATATAAATTTGACCTCACAGATCTGATACTAGACAGCTCGCGGCAAAAGCATTTTGATTAACAATGAGAGATAGAAGTCAAAAAATGGGAAAGTTGAGCATTAGCAAACTTGATTCATACCACTTCATCATTGAAGTCTAAGTCGAAGCGAAATAAACTATGATACAAATTTTTGCGGTACGGACGTTTAAGACGCAGCATAACAAAGTAATTCTTGCGGTACGGATGTTTACTACATAGCATAACAAAATTTGCATTTTGGCATATCAAAAAAAAACTTCAGCATATCAAAATTCAAAATACAGCATATCAAAATCAAGAAGAAGCATACCAAGATCTTAGCAATTTCAAAATCGAAATAAAGTATAAGAAAACACAAGAGGTATGTCAACAATACGGATGAAACCTTCCGCCACAATGCAAGTGCAACATAGAAATTGTTGTGTATCAAACGAGGTTATGTATCTCTTAAAAACAAAAGCACCACGCTATTAAATTGCTTTAAGAAACACGACTAAACTACTTATTATCAGCACAACATGATAGCCTAACGCGAAGATTACAAAAAGCCATAACTTTGACACCACAAATAATTCATAAGGAAGAAAGATAAGCCAACCTAATGCAAACTATCAAATGTGCGTATATAAACACAGCTTTTTGTAGAAAATCAAAGAAGCAACACCTTCTACACATCAATTGTAATCCTAGGTGCCTCTGAAAACTGACAAACCGTATTAAAAAATAAACAATATATTTATTGATACTTTAATACTGGACACATACAAAGAAGTAAAGAACAACCTACTGCTATGCGAGAAATGACCAGCCTAATCAATCCAATTATTATACTTATGAATTTCGACTCAAATTTCCCAATATCGTCTCATTCGTAAAGGTTTGTTCATACAATTATTTTTAGAAATTATTAGAAAAAAAAAACAAATTGAGAGACATCTAGATAAATTGAAAAAAATCATGAGCACACAAGTTCCTTATTAATGCCTGATTAACCAAACTACTTATCATTCTGTTCCTATTGCCTGAATGGTAAGTTTTGCATAGTAACTGATCTCTATAAGCAATATTCTGAAAATCAACCATATCAATTTTCAGATCAATTACTCAGAATGAGTAAATACAATGTCTGAAACTGAGTTATATTTTTTCATGATAATAGAAGTATTATTAGAATTTATAACCATGTTGACGTCTTCGTGGTGTTATAATCCTCTAGTGTTATAGTCCTCTGCAATAGATCTAAACGTTTGCAACAATCAAACATAAGCATAATAATGAGAACGTATATCATTTGTCATCATTTTTTTTTTGAATGTAGACAAAATGATTGATCTAGAATTCCAGTAAATAGCGTTACTTCTACTAAGATTGCATGTTTCGAATATAAACAAAATATGATTAATGTTGTTAATAGTTTGCAATTCTTCTACATTGCTTCAGAACGAAGAGTCTCATTTTTCGTAGCTATCATTCGATTATCCTAACCTGAATGAGTAACGTGAGGTTTATATTCGTTCGTATTTATTTCAAACAGGCATGAACAAATAATAAACTTTATTAGGCGGGCTTAAATGCGAGAAGTGTACTCTTGGGCTTAATTTCAAGCTTTTTTTCTGGTGATACTCGGCTTGTGGGCTTTATTCCTTATTTGACAAAGCTACTGGAGTATTTATTATCATTTTAGGCTATATAGTCGATACTTGTATTTAACTATATAAGTAACAACTTTAGTTCTATTTAGGCTAAGATTCGAATTTTCTAGGCTAGAATTTATGCGAACTAAAGCTTAATACTGCTTTTCTCATGTTGATGCTTGCTTAATCAGTTGGAATCAAAGTACGAAAAATTTGGCGAAATTATGGGCGGCAAGTTTATCGATGCAAGTTGAGAAAAAGGATTATGTATTTGGTTAAAACTATGGAAAAACACCAATCCTATATTGTTGTCTTTAATCCGCTTTCAGTATGTTATATACTATATTGAGTTTATTTAGTACCGCCAGTATTTTGTTGAACTTCCGCTTGAGGTATGCCAAGCATGTATTCTGCCGAAGCTATGTATTTGGAGTTTTTTATCTTGTGTTTATTTATGCTATATTAGGTTATGGTTTGGAATCTTTAGATCTTGGTATGCTTCTTCTAGATTTCGATATGCTGTACTTTTTATTTTGGTATGCTGAAGCTAATTTTTTTGATATGCCAAAATGAGAATTTTGTTATGCTATGTAATAAATATCCGTACCGCAAGAATTACTTTGTTATGCTGCGTCTTAAACATCCGTACCGCAAAAATTTGTATCATAGTTCATTTCGCTTCGACTTAGACTTCAATGATGAAGTGGTATGAATCAAGTTTGCTAATGCTCAACTTTCCCATTTTTTGACTTCTATCCCTCATTGTTAGTCAAAATGGCTTATTGCCGGAAGTATTAGATTTGTGAAGTCAATTTTATGTGTAGCAGAAGGAAGTACTTCTGCATGAGAATGTTCTGCCTTTGACAGTTCCATTACGTGTTTTTCTCATACTTGTTATCCGTTGGTTCCAGGCGTAGTATAGTGTCTCCGATAACTAGTGGAGTTTATGTTCACCAGTTCGTTGGAAATTAGAGTAATTGATTTGGATTTATCGCTTATATAGGTCTTGTTTGGTTTACATCATCTTGATCTTTTCTTTTTCATAGTATGAGTGCTTAACACCTCAATTTTGGTCTCCCACATATGTCTTAGAACGTTTTGCAGGTTTTGTTATGTTTATACTCGTTCTTACTACTGCTATTCGTTTGTTATTGGGTTAGTCCAGTTAGTTGTCTTATGGTGTGTTGGTCTTCAGCACTTCTCAAAAGCAAGTGTTCAAAAAATCATGTACTGCTCGTAGTATTGGCGAAAATGGGATCAGATCAACTTATATTTTGAGCTTCTAGCGCCGAGGAAATTAAGTTTTATGTATTTGGTCTAGCATTATAGCGGTTCTGAAGTATGGAAAACTTTGATAACATTTCATATCTAATTTTAATTATGAAGTTACAGAGCGGTATTCATTGGTCTTCTTATCCCCAATGAAGAACTGACCATCAAAGATGCTGCTGCACAAAGTATGAATAGAGTTATTTGGTATGCTGAATGTTCATACAATTTCACATCAATTGCCTAATTTATCTCATCCGTTTCCTCAGAATTTATCACCTCTATCTTTACAACATCTAGCTGGCACAAGATATTATTTCAATAGGAAAAGCGTGATAAAACTCATACTGTATTGCAAAAATGCTGGTCAATTTAGGAGACAACAACATAGTTGAAGGAAACAACCGTCAACCTAATTTGCTTCAAAGTTTTACCTTGCTGTAAGTAAGCCAAATCCTGAATTTGCCCCTATCTAAACTCAAATACAAGTATTAACTTCGCTTCTGATCCCAGTTGCTCTAATATTAAAACTTCATGGTTAAATTTTGCTGGTCTTGTTGAATCCGAACTCATTTTCGTTTTACTTGGATATTGTGGCTATTAGCCATATCAGTAGTAGCAATGGAAAAAGCTAGTACACTTAAAATGTATCTATTGGTCAGGAGTTAGTCGGCAAAATGATCACATTGGCATTACTACCGATAGTCCACCAATAATCTGACGTCAAAATTGGGTCAGTTTGGCAAAACCTGCAACTTTTGATCATAGAGCAATATAAATATCAGCTGTGGTATTGAAAGCAGACTCATTTTCAGTAAGATCTGGGCGTAACCTGAGAAGTGTATTTGATAGACCCGTTACAGCAAAATTCGAATTTGGACTTCAAGCAGTAAATAATTATTTGTGGTAATTGAAGCTGAAGTAGTTTATTTGATTTGCTTTGTTGTAAGGCCAATTACTTGGAGTGTCACTCTTTCTACGTTCGATGTAGAATTTATCTTCGATTACCAAGTGCGGACAAGGGATATGAAGATTTAGTTGCAATGGAAGAGTCCCTCACAAGCTCTGCTTAGCCTGTCTCATGTTTTCCATGGGAGTAACTTAGTAATATGCAATATAAAGTTTTTTGCTTTCCTTAAAACAAGACTCTAAAGTATTAGAAGTAGAAATACTTTAATATTATCACCTCACTACAAAAAAGTAACTCAGGATATTCAGACAACAGTAATATGGCTTGTCTTATTACATGTGAGTAGATGAATTTATAGACTATATACAGCAGGATATATTAATAAAATGAGTCGATGGTTTTCTTAATTTTTTCTAAACTAATATATTAATTGGTAGTCTAACTTTGCCATCATCAGGTAGAACCTAAGTTTAGCTCTCACAAACTCCAATTGTTTGAAGCAGCTTTTAAATTAATTCCCACTTTCTTGGTTGGAATGTGATTCAGGTGAAAACATCTATCGCACGTCGTTTTAAAAAATGATCACACCACTTGATAAATTCATAGTGTACAAGTCCGTGTATTCAGCCAAGCATAATAGCTGTTAAATTCTCAAAGCTGGCTTCGTGTGAAGGCCGACTTTTGCGTTTAAAATATCAGACTAAAAATGAGCGAAAGTTGATGATTGCAGCAAAGCAATAGTAACCATTTTTGGTGAAATACATGAGTAAAAAAATATTCCATTTGACCAACATTCCGAAAAAAATCGTTTTTTGACAACTCGAGATTGTGCGTTTGTCTGAAGTCCGCTACTTTTCGTGTCTAAAACTTCAAACTTCACATAAGTGCTCCTGATGATAGCATCATATCAACTTCATAATTTTATTTTAAGAACCCGCTACTTTCTGCCTCGTATAGTCTCCAAGCTTCTCTTACATGACTTGGTTGTAAAGGTTGCTTTCGATCTCCTGCGAAGTTTAAAGGCACTTGTTTGGTATCTGCCTTCCCGGTCTTTAAATAATTTGACTTTTGTAACTTCTTATTTTCTATATCCATCAAAAGTTTACCTTTATTATCCCTTTCTTGAATTTCAAAAGACTTTGTAATTAATTCTCCCATGAACAGTTTTGCTACACCTGCAACGACTGTTGTAATTACTTGAGGAGCTGAGTGACCAATAATCGCGTTACATAATTTTTTGACCCCTGGTTTGTTTATAGTCAGTCGTCTATAAGCTTCGAATCTCTCCATTTGGGTATTGGTGAAATTGGATATAAGAAGCCTTTTTTGGTCCTCCTCTGATAAAGTTTTGTCAAAATCAACGGTTTTCAATTCTCTATACCGTGAGATTAATGATGAATCAGTAATTAATTTCAATTCCTCAGGGCTCAATGATATGTCATCGTCCTTAATTTCGTTTTCATTATGTCGCTGTATTTCGTTTTCAAGTTCTAGACTTTCGTTGATAGTGTCATTTTGATGTTTAAAATCTTCCCGATGTTTTTCTAACTGACTGAAAAAAACCCTCCATATCAACTCTTCATCTTCTTCGTCCAAGCTCACGTCAGAATTCTCATCCAGGGACTCCTCGTCATGTTCGTTTAAGTATGTCGATGACGATGATGCAATATTTTCTGTGTTTGATTCTAAATTTGTAGAGTCACTTTCACTTACCATTCCTGTTTATTGAAATTTTGTATTGTGTTGAGAACTGTATATGAAGTGACTGTTTCACGGTTTTTTTTCTTCACCTATTTTTGGCAGTTGTACGGTATGGCTCTTACCTGTTATTGAAGGAAATATTTGTTGTACTAATTTTGAATATTCTCTATCAAAAATTCTGTTCTGATAGAACTCTTTTTTTACATCTAGGATGCAAATAGATCAACAACAAATTACAAAATCTGTACAATACAAGCACCAATCGAGGATCTACTGTGAAGGCACAAAGATAAAAAGAGCCATTTATTTTCAGAGTTGTCGTTTGGTTGGATGGTGTAAAAAGTTTTTAAGTAATGCTATATAACAAACTTTTACATCTTCTCAAATGCTCCTCTAACGCAAGAGTCCTACGATCTTGCTTGATCGAATCAAGGATCAGTTTCAAGTTCTTGGTAAGCTCTTCTTTTTGGGCAAGCTCAACATCCTGGTTCTCCATCTGGTTAATTTTCCTCTCAATTTGGTACACTGCATCTCTAATCTTCCATCTCAAACAAGCATAATATCTAATAACGAAATTGTTATTTGGTCTCGATGGAAGACCGACTTGTTTTTCGACTATGGAGAACAATTTATGAATTGTCATTTCGAAATCATTATTCTCGTTGATTTTGAGAACCTTGCTCATTTTATTTGGAAACGTTATTATAATCTTATCCTCGGTGGCAGCTTCATCAAAGTCATCATATTCCATACCCGCCAAACTCAGATTCGATCGATCAAGATCATATATCATATTGGTAATGGGGCCAATCAGCTTTGAAAACTCGTTAATGATGTTCATCACATTGTATATTATAGGTGGATCTTGCTCGTTATTATTTGATTCGAAAGATGGACCTATGAATTTAAGCTTAAAATATAGTTCATTTTTAACTTTGTCCTCACCCAATTTTCTACTCAATAATTCAATATCGCCGTGAACAAAATGATGTAAAACAGTTTGCGTAATCAAAAAGGGCAAGTCGTTTGAATGGATAGAATCTAATGAGTAAAAAACAACGGCTTTTAATGCGTCTGATGAAACACCGAGAGAATTATCACGACTTAATATTAAATCCAATTGATATTCAGTTTCATTTTCTTTGCAGTCTTTGTTGATACAATCAACTAGATAGATCTTTAAGCTCAGTCTGCTTTCATAGCTATTAATCATTTGATTCAATTCATTGTCGATCTGGATCTGAGTAGACTCAATCAAATCTGGTAATGTGAAATATTCATTATTATAGTGTACCGATATTGGTATTTCGAATTTCAAATCACTGTGAAAAAACACTGGCAACTTATCTTTCAGCGAGGTGTTCTCCGGGTATACACCTAATTGTTTACTTGTTGACGGCGGGTATAGATAAGGCAAAGTCATCCAAGGTAGTAACATAGCTATCATTCCTATGATATGAAAAAAGTGAATTGGTCCAACTTTACACTCCATCTCTTTCATTTTAAGGCATCTCTCTATTCCCTTGAACCTCTTCAAATCAATTGGGTTTTCTCCATCTGTGAAAGTAATATTTCGATTGTCTTAAATGTATCAGATAGTAGCGAGTGATCGATAATGATAATGAGTTCAATTCGAGAACAAAGAATTTTTAAGTTTTGAGCGCATCGGGTATTTCCTAGTTACTTAAAACGATGAGAAGACTACATTATTAAAACAAGATAGTGACTGATCAGAAATAATTCATTTTCATTTACATTATACGTATCAGTCTGTCAAAGCAAGAGCAGTTACTCACATTTGGAAGAATGTCTGCTTTACCTTCTTTGACTATAGAGAAAGATTTGCAGCCATCGCTTCAAGAAGAAGTCTATGTACATGATGTTTACAACGCAATAGCACCTCATTTTTCACAAACAAGATACAAACCATGGCCAATAGTGGAGTCGTTTTTGAAAAGTAGACCCAAGTACTCAATTGGTATAGATGTTGGTTGTGGGAATGGGAAATATTTGAATGTATCAGAAGATCTTTTTATAATAGGAACTGATAGGTCACTGGGTTTAATACATTGTGGGCAAGAAATATCCAAGAACAAATATAATTTGAGTATTGCGGATGGTCTATCGTTGCCTCATCCAAATAACACATTTGATTTTGCAATATCTATAGCAGTAATACATCATTTTGCGAATGAAAATCGAAGAATCGAAGCTATACAGCATATACTATCAAAATTGAGGCAAAATGGACAATGCCTAATTTACTGTTGGGCTTTAGAACAAGAGAGCTCCAGGCGTGGATATAAAGAAGGAGATGAACAAGATATATTAATACCATGGGTGTTGCAGAAAAAGCAGAAGAAGAAAGCAAGGAACTCTAAGAATAAAACTTCCAAAACTAACAATCATGAAAAAAACTCACCTGATACAATACTTGACGATATCGAACCACAACCGGAAGAAGAAGTTGAGACAAAATACAGATACTATCATTTGTATAAAAAGGGGGAACTTGCCCAAAACGCATTGGCAACAAAATCGTGTAAAATTATAGAAGAAGGTTATGAAAAGGACAATTGGTGGGTGATTCTAGAGAAAATATAATGATGTAAAGAGGTACTTATTATATACAAATCTTGATACTGATGAAAAATAAGTTCTGAGGATTGAAAATTCCTCTTCTTTCTCTCATTGTCTCTTGATGTTTAACCCTACGTGATATTATATTCCTTTAGGGCAAGGACGAAACCGAGATTCTCTGCAATTTTAACTTTACTTTGGCTGTAATGTTTTCTTTAACAATTGCTGCAAAAGAAAAATAAATACAATATTCGAACCGCTAAAAATCAAAATTCTGAAACTATCACTTAAATATCAAACCGTCAAAAAAAGTCAACGAAACAAGCGTATATGGTAAATAAATCCCATTATGAATTCACCTGAGGAGAGACATGATAAATTGATAAGAGCAACAGATTTGGATGCATTGAGTTGTAGAAACAGTATAAATGAAAAAAATTATTTACAACCAAAGGATGAATTTATAAATGACCTAATAAATTCTTATCAAACATACTTGCAATATTCCCAAGGTTATTCCTCGTTATCATCTTCGAGAACATTGAAGGCACAATTTTTGAGTAAAAAACTACCTATTATCAATAGAGGCACATACATGAGAACCAAAATTATAACTGATTTTATTCAAAAATACATAGATTATTTTGGTGGGGTTTGTCAAATTTTATCCTTAGGTAGTGGTTCAGATACAAGAGCGTTTCATCTTCTAAGTACAAATCCTATGACAAAATATCATGAAATAGATTTTCCTGAATCAACAAGGATTAAAAAATTAGGAATACTAAATAATCCGAGGTTAATGAAATTATTGAGTATTGACCCATTGGATATCCCTAGTGTCAAATCGAAGGAATCATTTAATGACTTGGATCCCAACTTACACACTAATAGATATCATCTTCATGGGTTGGATCTAAGGGGACTCAATTCAATAACCCAAATTAAAGGTTTAGATACAAACTTACCCACTTTGATCATTAGTGAATGTGTTTTATGCTATTTGTCACCTGAGGAATACCGTTCAACAATAGAAATTTGTACGAATTTTGGAAATGAAAATCTCACTAGTTTTTTGATTTACGAACCAATGTCACTAAAAGACTCATTTGGTTCAACGATGAATCAAAATTTGATGGGTAGAGGATTAAATCTACAAACATTTGATGAATATCCTGATCTTGAATCCCGATTGCGATTTTTTAAAGACATGTGTAAGTTATCAAATATTAGAATGACGGATATAAGTAATGTAGCTGGCTACAATAAAAACTCTCCGGCTTGGATAGATGATATCGAATTGAGAAGAATTAATTCTTTAGAAATGATAGATGAAATTGAAGAAATAAAACTTTTACTTGAGCATTATTGCCTAGTGTATGGTGAATTTAGAAATTCGCCTAATGCTCCTACGTTCAGCGGAGTTGATGATTTTAATTGGCTATTAAAGCATGACCATTAAAATATTATATATAGATATATGCTTCAATTCTCTTTGTATTTCTTAATGTTATCCCACCCAAATGAATTAGCATTGGGAATTTTAACAATCTCATATTTCGTCAAAAACTCTTCATTTCCAGAAGTTGGATTAGTACTCACACATTGAATTGGATTTTTTATGAAAGGAATTTCATCTTTGTTTGTGTCCCCAGTTGATCTCAAGTCAATTGGTAAGTGCCTTGCAATATCTGGATATGCAGCTGGTGAAGTAAATCTTGAAATGATATTTGATTGAGGGGTTTCGATTGGTGCGGGTGGTGCAATTTGAGTCATGAAGGATTTCTTTTTAACACCAAATTCCTTTTCTATATTTAATCTTTCTTTTTCAAAACTTATTCTTAGATTGTCAAAATCTTCATTTTTGTCATTTTCTTCATTATTTCCATCAAAGGAATCATCGAATGATAATTCAAGTTGTTGTCTTCTTTTTCTCTCTTCCAATTCCTTTTGTTTTGTCATGAACTTCTGTTGTAATTCCTCAAATGCCTTTCTTTCATCATCAAATACCATTCTTAATCTTTCCTCTCTAAGTTTTTCATTTTCAGTCCATTTTCTATGATCTTCGATTGCTTTTTTCTTTATCTCATTTTCATTTTTTTCGGTTTTTATAGCATTGTATTGCTCAAAATCGAAAGATTTAAACTTGAAGTAACAGTTCCAAGTATCTTCAGATATACTTCGATATGAGTTCAACAACAAATTATATTGCAAATTATTGTGTAACATTTCAAGATTGGAATAATCCTCGGTATATTTACGTTGTTCCGCTAATAATGACTCCACAAAGTTTTCATTAAAAGTATCATGTAAAAGACCTTTTAACGATTTGTTATATCTGTCTTTGTTCAGAATTTTCCTTTTGTGAAATTTTCTTTTATCTTGTGTAGTATGTATTTTGTTGATTTTATTCATTAATGCACCATCTTTATAATTACCTGACCCTGGTCCCCTATAACCTTTTGTATAGTAGTATTTTGAATGATGATAGTTATCACTATCATTACTAAACACTAATTGTTGAATATTTTTTGACATTTTTATTCCATCGTTAAACAAAAAGGATGAGTTTGAAGTTGTGTTAAGCCTCTTAGTATTAAACGACTGCTGCGTAGATTGATGATTTGAAGTGACATAATAATTTGGTACTTTACATAAATGATTAATATTAAATTCTGGAATATATCCTTGTCCTGGTATGACTGATTCAGATAAATCTATAGCATTTGGATCAATATGAATATTATTTTTTTTATTTTTACCTAATGGTCTTCTGAAATTTCGTTTTTTATCACTGTCAGTCAAGTCATCGTTCATTTGTATGTTGGAAATGTTGTTAGTGTTCATGATCAATTCTCTTTCATCAAAATTAAGTTTTGTATTGGGTAAAAATTTGAATCCAGCATGATTCGGAATTTGTTTGTAAAAATTCAATTTTGTAGATGGATTCAATGAACCAAACGATCCATGATTCAATTGAATTGTAGACTCCACGATGCCGTATTGGGGAAAAACTTGACTAATGGTTACTTTATCATCACCTAAATATTTCATATCAAATTTATGCTTGTGAATGTGATGCGTCTTACCTTTTTTTAAAGGATCTTGTCCCTTCTCTTCCTCATAGATATCATCATCAGACTCGGAATCACCATCATCGTCGTTGTCTTCACTCTCATCGACTTCATCTTCTTCTTCATCTTCTATAATGAGATCATTCTCCTTGTCTTCTTCTGTCACTTTTGGATTCCTCGTGTCATTATTTTCTTTTTCTTCATTCAAATGTTTGTTTGAATCGTTTTGAGAATTATTGGAGTATAAACAATTATTGTTTTCCAAGACTGACGCTAGTTTATTCAATGCAATATAGAACAATTTGGTAGATAATTCGGTCTCATCAATTACATCCAAGGCATATAATTCCTTGTTAATATCTTTATCAGTTTTTTCTATTTCATTAATTTTTACTCCATTTTTTGTCAAAGCTAAAATCAATTGATAAGAAGAAGTAAAATTCCATAATCTTGAAACATCCTTTATCAAAACAAATTGTTGATTGTCGTAATTGATGACAGGGACTGCAACTTGTGATACATCTAGTTCCTCCTTTGAAATTTCATCCCTTCCGTCTTTAAATTGAGGTTGAATCAGCGACTTCACTCTATACTTGTGTTGATGTGATTCTGGAAAAGTAACTGAAATATTCATGAGATTAAAACGTAAATTATGTTCGAACTAATTAGCCCTTCGATCTATAAACACAATTGCAGATATTATTATATGAAAGTCTTCACTGTATCAAATATTAGTCTTTCTTTAATTAATCTTTTATAAAATTTATTGATATAGTAGGGAAAGCTATGATTTGTAGTTGTTGAAACTAGTTGTTGAAACTTTTGATATTTATAGCTGGAATAAATAGTTTACCATAAAATTATGATTGATAAACAAAAATGATAGAAATTAGAGCTACCAAACTGGCTTTCAGAATAATGTGTATTTAAAGTCTCACAACCTAACTCTATGCTTTTGTTTAAATGGATTTATTCTCTTCATTGATTGTTGGTTTGCAATTGGATAATTTGTCAATTGAGAGAAAGTAGGACTAACAATTTTATTTGATATTCAAAATAGTTTTACAAATTATTTATTGAAATCTATTTGATATAATTTTTATGCAAATTTTGGTCAAATGTTTAAAAATTGAAGATAATCCTGTATCATTCAACTTTTTTATCTAAATATCTCTACCAGTAGTTGCTTATAATGTCTTTCACTCACCATTCAACCCTTACGAGGTACGAAATCTCAAAATCTCCAAAATATTAGAAATCTGTTGAAACATCGAGTTTTGTGTAAGAGCTCTTGATATGGGTTATGTTGTATAGTAGGCGCGAATTACTACACAAACAAGTGAATAGATATAAAATCCATTGATTCTCTATAAAACGATACAAATCTAATTAATTTACTTTATTTTTATATTTATGAATTCTGTGGTAGCTAATAATTACTGAAATATGGTAGCTATCCCACAGGTTCATAGTTTTAAAAGTGAATCAATGAATTGATTGTTGAAACACCACAATTACTAAATGCTATCAAAGGGACATATATGGGCCTGATAATAACCCTGGACTCTAATTATGACTAGAAAATTCATACTTTATTTTTTAATGAAATATTTCAGTACCTTTTGGTAAATTTAAATTGAATGTCCTTTATTCAAAATTCTAGACATTAAATAGAATTGAAATTGAGTTTTGATTCAAAATACGTTTCATCTTTATTGTACCAACGATTACAACTACTAGCCACCACATCTTCCTACACTTGCACTAAACTGAAAGTTGACTGGCTATGTCAACACTATCTACTGACGAAAGATTAAAAACTCAACATGAATACTTAGCGAATACTAATGAAGAAATTTCATCACTCATAAATTCATTAAAAGATGAAACAAGCTTAAAACAACTAATCATCGATTCAATCACTACAAAACAAAATAATAAAAACAGAACAAAAAATATAGATGAAGAAAATGAATCTTTAAGTTTGAAAAATTTATCATTAAGTCAATTGAATCAAAAATTGGAAATTACAGAACAACAAATCTATCAATTAAAAAATTTAAATGAAATATATATATCATTTAAAGAAATTGAAAATATACTAGTTAATTTAAAACTATCTCAAAGTTCATTATTAGATCTTCATTATTTAAATGATTTATTTAAATCAATTCAATCTAAAATTTCATCAGTTCAAAAATTAAAAAATTCCAATTTTATTATTTATAAACAATTAACAAAATCAATTATAAAATATTATCAACAATATATTGAAATTTTAAATAATCATCTTAAACTTATTTTACCAAATGAATTTTTAATTGAAAATGTTTCATTGTTAAATGATTATAATTCATTTTTAACTAAAAATGATTACGCTTTAGAACTGTATAATACTTACAAATCAAAATATGATATAATAACTGATGAATTATATAAGTCTTATGATAAAGATGTAAATTGTGGATATATTATTGAATTAATTGAAGACGAAGATGGAGATTCACTTAAAATGGAAATATCGAATGGCACTTCCAATAACAAAGACAAAAGCAATTTTATTTTATCGTATTACAATTTTATAATTTTCATTAATAAATTAAACTATAAGCCAATCAAAAACTACCTCAATTCAAAAATTTCAAAAAATTTGAACAATCTAATATTCAAAAATATCAATAACATAATTGAAAATAAATCCGCAATTCAACAATTGAATGATTTAATTAAAGAATGTGAATTATATAATTGGAAAGTATTATTTAAAATTGAACAAAATGAATCTATCGAAGCAAAATTAAAAGATTTACATTTAGATTGGATTATTGATAATTATATAAACAAACTTCGAGATTTGATTAAAAATACTGATTTCAGTAAGACTAATGAGGTGGAAAACATATCTGTATCAAATGAAGATCAAATCGAAGATCTACTGACGACTACTGACAAAAAAGCACAATCTATTGATGAAAATGATGATGGGTGGGATGAGAGTTGGGATGATGGATGGGATCAAGAAACACAAGATGATGATAAAAGCAAGACAAAAGAAAGTGAATTCAATTCCAGCACAACCAATGATACAATACAGATTTCAACCTTACCAGATTCTATAAAGGATCTTTATGAAGAATTTTCAGAATATTCTACAAATTATAAATATTTAAATACAAGTATAAAAGCAATATCATCAAATAAATATCCTTCGTTAAAAAATTCATTTTTAATTTATAATGATTTTTCAAAATTATCAAATGATTTAAATGATTCATCTTTTAGACAATTCGCTGATAAGATGTGGGATCAAGTTCAAATACAATTTTATCAAGAATTAAAAATTTTAATATCATCATTGAATTTTGAAGTTGAAGAAAGAGAAACTTTAGAAATTGAAGATGAAGATGAAGATCCAGATGATGTAAAACAATTAGATGATTTTAATTTAAATCAACTTTCTTATATTTATCAATGGTTTAAGATATTATTTGAGGAAAAGAGTTTGAAATCAACCAACTTTAATAAATTTAAGACCCTAATCATTGATTTAATTGAATTTTGTAATAATTTAGTAATCAATACCATTTTAGAGTTAAATGATATTAGTGAATTTCAATGCACTACAATAAGTTTAATAATAAACAATTTAAATAATATAACATTATCATATTTAAGTTCAATTGAAATAGGAAAAGATCAAATTAATTCTTTTAATAAATTAAATAATATCAATTTCTTGTTGAATAATCATTTAAAAGATATAATGAATAGATTTTATGATGGTGAATTATTTGATTTATCAACTAATGAATTAGTTAAATTAATGACCATTATATTCTTAAAAAGTGAAATTAGAGATAATTATATAAATGAAATAATAGAGTTTCGGAATATGACTGAAGATTGAGATACTAAATAAATCAAATAATTGAATACACGAGATAGATTGTTAAATTGAATGTAATGTAAGTAGGTACTATATAAGTAATCATTATATATTGACTTAACATTTAAATTATTGAACATAAGTTAACAATAAAGTAAGTAGCTCATTCTTCTTTCTAAAAAATTGATGAAAGTTGAGATGATAATTCTTAACTAATAATTTTACCATCATTTATTTTTTTACCAGTTTTTTGAATTGTATTATAAATAGTATCATAATCTTTATCAGTTAAAACATCAACAGTTTGTTTTTCTAATGAAATATTTGCTTTTGTATTATCTAATCTTCCTAATACTCTTTCAATAGCTCCTGAACATCCTGAACATGACATTGTTACATCAAAATGATAATTATGAGACATTTTCTATTCTTCTAGTTTGAAATGATACGTTTTAGATTATAATTGATCGGGAAAGTATCTGATATGTATTTGTAAGTAGTAGTTGATTGTTTGATAATTAATGTTGATAAATGTGTTTGAAGTTGAGTTGTGCTGGATAATACTTATATTGTCAACTATTTGGAATTATTGCTATACTTATAAACTATTCTACTTATTCTATTTCCTAATCCCTGCCTTTTGTAGTATGAATTATGATATTTAATAATGATATATAGTTTGGGTCTATTACTAACAGATTAAAAAGATAAAAAAATGTTAATTATTAATTGATTACGTAAGAAGCCTCTATATATATACGCTTCGGTACTGCATATAAATATGTGGTTAAATTATATGAGCAAAATTAACTCGATATAATCTAAAAATCAATATTAACAGGGATTGAGAAGATGATATGAGAGATTGGGCAAATATATCTCAACTGTAACTTCAAAGTTTGACAGTTATTGTATATTGATTCAATTTAAACGTGTGAACAGTTTCTCTGGTTTGTCGGATTTAATTTTTAAATACTATTATTTATATCGCCGATCACGTGAACTCGAAACAAAATAATAAAATTCGAATTTCGCAGCCAATACTTTAATAAAGAGCATGGATATTGATTTTAGTTAAAGAACAAAATTAAATTTCTATGATTGAAAAAAAAAGGTTGTTAAGCCTTATAAAAATACGTTAGAGTAGTTTATGTTTGGTGTATATGTATTTATAATTAGTTTGTCTAAAAAAATGTATGTATGTATATAGTAAGTAAAAATAATGTAAAATTATATGCGATTTATGCTAATCCAAAATATTTATCAATTAAAAATTCAATCCAAAATCAAAATTTTCTCAGATCAATTATATTTAATTTAATTTTCAAGATTTGATTTTCTTCTTGATAATATTCTTAAAAATTCCTTTTTAGTATAAACAGGAAATTGTTCACATTTTTTAATAAATTTATCTAAAGTTAATTTTTTTCTTTTTAAATATTCATCAAATATTGAAGCTAATTCATATATAATATTATTATCAATAATTTGTTCAATTTTAATATTTTTATATTTTTCATCCATATTTGATATAACTTCTTCAATTAATTCAATTATTAATTTATAATTATTATAAAATTGAAAATCAACAATTGTTTTAATCCATCCAATTCCATTATATTTATTATTTCTTTTTAAAATTAATGACCATTCTTCAACTAATTGAGTTATTGTTTCAATATTTCTATTCATTACAAATTTTGGAATTTTATCACTTGTTTCAGGTAAAATTTCTAATTTTTGACGTTTATTTAATTCTTTTGATCCAACTGATTTATGTGGTTGTAAATAAGTTTTACCCAATGATTTAATTTGTTCTTTTGATTTCAATTCATCTTTAGTTTTTAAACGATTTTCTTTACTTCCATCATCATCATCATCTTCATCTTCATCTACGTCTTCATCTACATCCTCAAACTCAAAGGCATCATCATCATCATCATCTTCATTGCCATCGTCATCATCATTGTCATCATCATCTTCAACTCTAGACTCTATTGCACGATGCACAGCATTTGAAGATCCTTCTTTTGGTTCATCAATAACATGTTGGGGCTGTTCTTCATATTGATGTTCAACAACTCTTTGTAATCTACTTTTACCTTTATCATCAGCTGATTTATCACCACTTGAACTACTACTTGTGGTTGAAGTAGTTGATTCAAAAACTTCAGGTCTAGAACTATATGAATGAAATACAGGTTTTGGTTTACTTAAAATTGGTATTGCAGCTGCTAAACCCAGTTTCCTTCTAGTTGATTTTGTAATTTCACCACTACTAGCTTGATCTGATGACAGTGATCCAACATTTATTTGATTTATTGGTTCATTTGGATAATTTAATTGAGGTAAACTTGTTTCAGCGGATGAGGTTGATGCACCACTTAAAGTATCAGCTCCATTTCTACTTGTACTACTTGAACTACTAGTTTCAACTCCATTTCCATTTCCACTTCCGCTTCCATGACCATTTCCATTTCCATTTCCATTACCATTACCTCCATGTCTTGTATGTCCTACATTACTTACCAGTCTATTAGCATTCTTCTCATTTTGAGCATTTTGGGTATTGGATTCTATTGGTTGATCTTCAGATTCAATTAAATTTTCAGCATTCATAATAACATCATTGGTATTTGTTCCTTTATTTGATGCTCCATATTCTTTCAAAAATTGTTTTACAACTTCAATATTTTCAATTGTTTTTGGTAATGAAGGATTTAATTCAACATTTAAATTGTGTAACCTATTGAATCTGCTCAAAATTTCTGTTAATTTCTTTGATGATATAGTTGGTGTTCTTTTAATAACATCTTCAATGAAAAATTTCTTAATTGTTTCACCTGTTAAATTGAAATTTTGTAAGTGTAATTTTTCGCTACAAAATAATGCATAACGATTAAACTCATTTGAATATATTTTTTTACTTGTTTCAGATAAACCATTTAAAATATTTGTAGTTTGATAATACCCCTTTAATTTAACAACTAACTCATTATCTTCATCATCTTCTTCATCAACAAAGTCAGCTTTTTCATCAACTAAATCAACAGTGTTGTCTTCATTTTCTGTATTTGCGTTTGTGATTGGATTTGAAACTGTACTTAAGTCACCATCTAATTGTGGTTGTTGTTGTTGATTATGAGTACCACTATTGTCTAAAAATTTATTCATTATAAATATAAGATCTCCTTCTGAAAAATCTAAATCATAAGCTAAACAATTTAATTGATGTAATTTTAATAAACTTGTTCTTAAATTCTTAATTTTATTTCTTTTACTTTTCTTTGTTTCAAAAACCAAAAATCTAGTCAAAATTTCTTCTTCAATTAAAAAATCATTCTTACCTTTTCTTGCGCAAAATCTGATGAATCTTTTGATATCTGTTGCATAAGATTTGAATGTGTTTCCAGTTAAGTTAGATAATATATCTCTTGTTTTGACATTTTCTAATACTTCGTCATTAAATTTTTGTAATAATTTGGATTCTTCTTCTGTAATTCTATGCTTGAAACTATCACCTGCTTTAAAGATTTTTGATGGTGAGCTCTCACTTGTTGAAGAAGATGATACAGTTGATGGTGGTCCTTTGATTGTTTCTTCAAATATTGAACGATTTTGATCAAGTGATTCTAATTTACTTTGAGGTGTATTTGATTCAGTTGATGAATTTAAAGACTTGTTTGCATTTGATGAAGAAATTGAAGTTGTTGAAGTTGAAGTATTAGATTTTGAATGATTTGAATCTATTAAATTGAATAAAGTAGAATTACCACTTGAATTTCCACTACCCCCACTGTTTGTGTTAGAATCACCATATTTTAACTTTTGTGGATGAATTAAAGGATTTACAACAGCTTGTTGTGGTTGAGGTTGCTGAGTATGTTGAGTGTGTCTAGATTGGTTTGTTTTATCTTCTAATTGTTTTGACATAATATTTTTGATGAAATTATCACCTAAATATTCTTCTGGTTGTTGCGATAAATAAACAATTTTATTCATATAAAATAATTTATTAAGGGGTGATCTAATACTTTTAACTGTATTTTCACTTAAATATCCTCTTTTATTAATTTCATTTTCAAGTAAAGAATTAACTCTATCTAACTTAATTATAAAATCTTTATAACCTTGTCTTGCACAGAATCTAATATATTTTCTTATCTGATATAAATATTTTTCTTTAGTTTCAAGTCTTAATTTAGTTAAAACAACAATTGCATCTGAATTTTGCATTATTTCAGTTTCAAATTTTTGAAGTAATTCTTTTTCCTCTTGACTATGATTTGAATTTCTAAAAGAAAAAATAGGTTTGGGTTCATTTATTGACATCGATTCTATATCCATAATTGGTTCTCCAGTATTGGGAATTTGATTAAGCTGTTGTTGATAGGAACTGGAAATGGGAGGTACTACTTCTTCATCTTCTTGAATCTCCCGCTTGATCTCAGTTGAGGTTAATGCATCTTCATTTACTTCATCATGGTTTAATAAGACAGAAATTAATGACTTTGAAGGATTGTTTGACGAATTTCTCACTTTATCTTCTTCATGGTTCATTTTATATGCAAAAGTTTTATTGTGACCTTGAACAATTATAAAATTTTAATAATGACTCTATCAATGCAAGTATATGTAAGGTTAATTGTGCTTATATGGCGAATGCAGTTGTTTATTTATAAAAGGCGAAATGTGAAACTAGGCAAAGTGCTCATTAAGTTACATGTGGAAAATTGTACTGAGTTATATATTTCAGCAATTTCCAAGTAGATACGAATAGCTCTTACGAAAATAAAACAATCCTTCTTTGTTTCCACCTATGTGTCATTCATTGAATTTAAACTTATGTTATTATTTTAATAAATTTCTACGTCGAAGAAATAAGGTATCAATTATTATATATCTCAAATTATTTTGTAAGAATAATATGAGAAATAGCTATGATTATTTAATAATTGGTAATTTTTAGTCAAATAATTTAGGTAAATATAAACACAATTCACAAAAGCGACTTAGCAGTAGGCTGATTGAACTTTAATTATCTTAATTTTCGTAATAAGAATCAGAAGTGACAGATTAATCATTATTAACAATTTTAGCAAATCGTAAGTAGCAAAGATGAAACTAAAAACACCCTTTCATATTGTGTCACCCTCTTTCATTTTGTAGATTTCAGATCTTTATTTTTCTATAAACCACATAGAGTAAGGGCTTTTGAATCAAAGTCTGACACTGGAATCGATTAAGAGAGTTGAGATGGTATAGTATGCAATATTTGATGCTTTTTTATATGAAAATATTCAGATATCCGTTTAGGGGTTTCTGAGGGTGGGGCCACAAGTCAAACTTGTTAAGATTTTTTAAAACTCTAACTTTCCTTTATTCTATGATTTTCTAAAGTAATCAGTTATTACGACAATGTAATATAAGCTTTTCATGATTGAATACTATCGTATCTATTTATAATCTTTGTTACACTACCAGTAATTTTTCAAATCATGAATGCTATAGTATATCCAAAATTCACTTCAGCGTAAAATAAAAATAGATCCCTACGATTGCTTCTTTAAAAAAAATAGCGTAACTAAATTTGATCAGCTGGAAATGTGATACGAGATTGATAAGCTTTATACTATGTTTGAAGAAATTACAGTGTTTAATTTTAGAAGTATGTGCTTACACCATATTATATTCAGAAAATTATAGTTTCAATCTAATAATTACACAGATTCCACTAACAAATTCATAGCTTTTTATATTCAGCACTAACTATTCTCTTTGGGTCTCAAACTTTTCAAATACTGTTCAAAGGGTCGGATTATGTGTTTTTGCAACCAAACAATTAGATCTGTAACAATCACGGCGGCTAAAAAATTGGACTTTGCATAATGCCGTGTTTTAAATTTCTTTTGAAATTGTTTTTGTTTCAAATTATTTATTTTTAAATCCAAATTTGAATTATTTTTTTACGCTTTTCTCATACAATCTTAATCTTTATTCAGCAAATTAAACTAATACTTGGTTTATCACTGGACAGTAGCGTTTACGTAGTAGTGGAATTGGTGGTAACACAGCTAGTATTAGCAACTAAATCAAGTAAAATTCTAAATACTAAAGGACAAGAAAAAGTTAGAGTAAAGTCTAATCCAATTTTTGTTTTACTATTATATAGAGTGCTTTGAGCTTATCGCACTTTTATTACTAAAAGTTTAATCTAAACAATGCAAAATTGACTTACTTTTTTTCTGATAGAACGTATAAATGACTATAAAGGAATTCTAATATTCAAATACCGATAGAACATGATGGCACATATTTCGAATTAAAAAATGAGAAACATCGAGGATGCGAACAACAAGAAATAAAGTGCCAAACTTTCAAAAACGTAAACGATTTTCATTTGATCCCTATAAATGCATGAGTAACTACCAATAACGTCATTCATTGGAGAGATATCCTTAGCCTTTTCGTGCAAACCACATTCTCCGCAGGGCTGTAGGTTGTATAGAACAATCATTCACATCACATATTCTCATTTATTAAAGCGACCTCAGAAAAACCAACGATCTTTACTTCCATTTCATACTACCTCCATTTCCTTGATACGATTAACCAAATCACCTCTTTCAGGATACTTTACATGGCTTCAGGTGAACATAAAACGTCGACAATTTTTGGTCAAAATTTCAATTGTTCTCCGTGAAATCAAGACAAACACTCGAGGTTCCTTTATTAAATGAACTTAACGAGACATGTTCAACGTTGATAAACTCAGGCTAACAAAGCGTTGTTGAGATCTTTGTTTGACTGTTTTTTGCCAATCAATCAAATTTCACAGGTTTTTATGTAAGCTCTTAAATTCAATGAAAATATATCAAGCGTTAACTTATTTGCAAATTTTCAATTTTCAGCAAAATCGTTGAGACTAATTCAAACTCCATAAGTATGATCATATTTAATGTGAATCTCTTTGCATCTGGCTAACAAACAAAATCGGACTTTGCCAATGCCTGTGTTCTTAGTATATTTACCCAAAGCCTTCATCCTGGTCAACGTCCCATTAAAAATAAATTCACTTTCTATCTTTACAGATCGGAGTTGATAAATACTAGATTCAACAAGCCATCTGTTATTTTTGCAAAGAAGTGCAAGTTCCTCAACCAAAAACGTAAAAGTTTGAACATGCACCTATTCCATACCACTATCAGATACTTGCATGGTTCTTGCTTTATTTTCTGTAACTCAGACAAAAGCTTATATCAAAATCTACCACATTTCATCCACATTTTCACTCAATTGCATATTCCCTCCAACTTTGTTGATTAATTCATCTAGATTTTCAATTTTCCAATGTTCTTTAGTAATCCCGACTATTATTCTGAGTTTCCTTTTAGACTTTGATAAATTCTTTTCAAATTTTTCAACTTCGCTATCACTGTTAATTAATGTAATGTTATTTACGAAATTAGTTAACTGAGTTAAATGATTTTGAATTTGTTGTTGTTGATTTGATTCGTACTTTTTCAAATTTGAATTCCAATCGTTGATCAATCCTTTAATGTATCCAACAATCAAGAATCGTTGAAAGCCCGTCTGATAACCAAATTGTTTACCTTCTAAATATTGTTCTCTAGTTGATTGTTGAATTCCTTCTTGATATCCCAAATTATAAAATTTCTTTTCCAAATTTAATGTGTCATCACTTTCGATATCAAGATCTAACCCTGGGCTGTTCATTGACGAAGGTATGTTTTAAATGACTTTTCAGATCTTGTTATCAATTATCAAGTATAATTTGGCTCACGATTTTTTTTGTTATTATTTTATTTTTAATCAATAGATGAACCACAAATCATTAGAACCATATGATGATTACCACGATGATGATATAGCATTCAAAAAGAAAAGCAGACAAAGATTGAAAGTGGATTTGGAGACATTGGACAGCTCGGAGAGCGAAGATGATTTAGAAGTTCAAGATCTGCATCTATACTTTGGATCACGTAAAGAAGATAACCACAAAGAAGATTTGTTTGTAAGTAAGGACGATAAAATACTGAAGGATAATAAAGTCAATGCGGAAATTGAGGATGAGGACATGTTTGCAAGTGATGAAGACGAGGTAGTGAAAAAGAAAGTTCAGTTCATTGATCGTGATCAACCGCAAGACATAAACCTGAGGGACGACTATAGTAATTATAACCATGAAAGATACAGAGAAGACACGCATCAGAAGGAAGAACAGGATTTTGATGAGAGTGAAGAAGAAGATGATATAACGAGTAGTCATAACACCATCTCAGAGGAGGACGGATCGGAAGTTGATGAAGCTAAAGAGCCAAGAATTGAAAGGTTCGATTTGAGTGAAGAAAAGGAATTAGGGATAATCGACAATGAAGGAAATTTGATTAAACACGGCCTGGAGGATGAAAAAGATGCAGAGGAAGAATACATTTCTGGTTTCAGCAAGCATGAAATTCTTAAAGCTAAAAGAGCTGAAGAAGAAAGAACGAGGATTGCAAAAGAACAACAAATGAATATTAATGCAAATAAAGAATCAATTAGAGATATTCTTAAGTCGCTAATAGAAATATTGGAGCCCGCCGAGACTCCAATGGAATCGTTAGCTAGATTAAACTCAATCTTGAAGAAAAAGAAAAAGCAAAAGCTCAATGGAATTCAGGCAAGCAGCGAAATAACCTGTATAACTGATTGTTGCTCGAAACTAACAAAGCTGTCACTCTTTGAAGAACCATATGATGTTACCAGGGAAGAGTTTATGAGAGAATATCAAAAGGTAACAGGCTTGCAATATATAAATTCATCGAAACGACATAGAGATGGAGATGAAGAAGCTGATGACAGAGCCAATCAGACAATAAATGATGACGAACAAGATCAAACTGAAAACGATTATGGAGAAAAAATATGGGAATTCAAGTGGATTGGTGAAACCAATTTAAATGGCCCTTATTCAGAGTATGAGATGTATCATTGGAAGGAGAATTACTTCCAAAGTAAAGTATTAGTTCGTAAATTAGGGGAAGCTTCTTTCAAACACATAGAAGAAGTAACATTCATTCCGTAAAATATAACAATTTTTTTAATCATCGATAAGATAATCTTGAATAGGAAAATCAACAGAATCAGCGATAGACTTAGCCATGAGCCAATCAATATTACATTTCCATCTAATTCTAGCAGCTAAAATATCCGAATTCGACGTCTTACTCAAGAAACCTAATGAATACAACGTACCAATTTGATTGTTTAAGTCAATGTTTTTAGTCAATGTAAATTTTGATTTCTCATTCTCCTTCTTCTGCTCGACTTCAAGTACCTCATCCCCAATGTATAATAAATCATGTTTGTCGGATTGATTAAAGGATGGAGCAAAGTTTCTATAAATGACTGACAAAATTGCTAAAATTCTTTCCAAATCAACATAATTCGCTGTTAGCATTCGCGAATCAATATCCTCTTTACTCAAATGACCGGACTTAATAGCTTTTGTACTTGCTCTTTTTTTGTATTTAAAAACTTTAACTTTTGAATACTTATGTAAGTCATTTCTTTGATTTCCAAAAGATGCTAAGTATGCTGCTAGTAGAAAAAACTTGGAATGTAATGGTAGATCTTGAAGATTACTGAAACTTACTTCTTCTTCTTCTTTAGACGTCTTGTAATCCGTAACTGTAATATTACTGATTATGTTCTCATCGGTGAATAGTTCGAGATTTTCCTTGTAAATTTTCAAAAATTCAGTTATACCGTAAATGCCAAACATTAATGGTTCAATAAAACTATCCCACAACCTAATCGTTAAATCTTTTAAGATGTTTAGATTTGAGCCAGTATACAGGAAGAACAGATCGATAATGGCTTTCACATATTGATTATAAAATTCAATTTTTTGGGCGTTCGAAGCGTTAACAACCTCAAATTCAAAAGTACATAATTTTAAATTCTGAAGTATTTCGATAACTTGATATTCTTTATACGTAGGTAAATATATTGTTGGAATACTTAAAGTGATTATATCGTTCGGTACTTCACCCCCAAATACTGCAACGACAGTTAAATTCTGAAGTTTAGAAAACTCCTTTAATGTGTTAAATGATTTGAGAAAGTCATCACAATTTTCAAAACTTTTATTTAAATTATCTAAAACCAAAACGTGGTGTTCCTTGTATCCATAATCTTCAATGAATGACTCCAATGATGAAATAAATAATGGAAAACTATCGGTCGATAGTATATCCTTATCTGAATCTTCTAATTTTACCCCGCTGTCGGACCTAATCTGATTGTAACATCTTTGTAGTAACATATGACGCGATATACATTCTTCACATTGTATGATGGAGTGATTTAGCTGGATGGTTTTGAGAAACTCTTGTATCAAAAATGACTTTCCAACTGGTTTAAATCCGTTTATAATTACTAAAGGTGAAGACAATTCTGGATTTCTATTAATATACGCGTTCAAAGCGTCGATTTCATGATCTCTAAATTTTATAGATGACTTGAGATGTTGTAATTCATCATTTGAAAGACTCATGTATGTGTATCAATTTCAAATGATTTTTGGAATTACATGTATCTTATCTTTTGTTCGTTTCTCGTGTTTTGAAAAAAGAGTTGACGTTACTTAGTTGACGAAAGTTCTTCAAAATATGCTAATACTCATTAATCTATATGCTATTTACTACTTCCTCTAACAACCCTTTTAACAATTGCAAATTATAAAAATCCGAAACACTGTTAAAAACTTGTATTCTTTTATCAATTGTTTCATTATCAAAAGTTTCAACCCAATTACCAGAACACTTGCAAAATAAATCTAAATTACATTGTCTAATAGATCCACATTTATCACATTTTAAATCTTGATTGAAAAATTCTGCAAAAAGTTTTGTAAGTTGTGAAATTATCTCTTCTTCTAATGAAATTTTATTATAAGGTTTATGACATGACGAACAATTCCATACATTTCTTTCCTGATCTTTGCAAATATCTATATCTCTTGTGTAGTTACAATAGTCACAAATAACATATGGAATTATCAATGAAGTACTTGGGTTGTAAAAGGTAGCTTGTGAGTTGAATTCCTTTATATCAAATATTTGTAATAATTCCTTTCTTAAAACTCTAACTTCGATAAATCTTTTTGAAGATAATGCAAAGACAGCGCAAAGGAATTTGACTAGTTCCAAAGTTGGATTTCTCATGACCAAATATGAACCAGGTAATTTGGGAAATTCATATTCTTTCTTAAATTCAGGGTTCAAAATTGCATCAATTTGTTTCTTGTACAATTTCTCAATTCGTTTAATGAATGGCTTTCTAAAAATTTCAATTACTCCAGCACTGAGATCCTCTTCTTCTATCTCTTTCGATTGTGATCCCTTTTTACCATTTAAAATGTGAGCAATTTGAGTTACTCTTGGAGTTGAGGATTGTGTACCAGTAATTGTATCAATTTTACGTTGACTCAAAGCATCTAAAAATATGAAGATCCAATCTTCAAACTCATTTTGAAAGACAATAGGTAAAAACTTTTTCATCTGCCATGAACTTTCAATAGCCAAATTTTGGGTTTCTGCACTGGTTATTTCAACACAACTTCTACCTCCGTAATTGAATTCATCCATCCACATTAAAATATCCCAATACTTAACAATTTTCAAATCCAAAAAGTTGAATAATGGTTTTGATCTAGCAGCTTTTAAAATATATTGACCATAAGCATAAGTATTCTCAACTGAGACTTTGGTAGTTTGAAGCATGATTTTTGTTCTACTAGCAAAAATGACTTGTGCACCCATCTTTTTAAACTCACTAACCAATTGTAATAAAGCTTTTGAACTAAGATTATGAACATGATAATGTAATGCTGGATCATATAAGTAGGAGTTTTTTCTTTGCACCCAAGGAATTAAAGCATTCATTACAGAATCTGCATTTATGTTATTTTTCATAGCATCATCCCACCACTCCTTGACCATTGTTCTCAAAATTAGCAAAGCAGGTGTAGAAAATGAATCTTCAGAAAAAGCAGAAGCTCCATTGTTATTATCATAAACCAATGATTCATCAGCAAGATCAGTTCCTTCGGCTTCATTAATTAATGAACTAGTTAAGATTGTGTTGATGGTTAAAGTTCCAATTTCGACTTCTAAACAAGTTGTTTCATAAATTTCTGGATTATTAATAACTGGAAATTCCAACTTTTCAATGTTATTTGATTGATCCATCTCAAATCCTCCTAAATCAGGCAATGGATTTTTAGACCACCAAAGCACAATATTATTAGCAGTTAATCTTCTTGCATATTCAACATCAATCAAATATCCAATATTTTCAATTTGTATATTACAAAGTGGAATGTGTCCATATTTTGACAAAGCAATTAAGTTTTCAATCCATGATGCCAATACAAAGTAGTGATTGATTACTCTTTTTGAAAGCAAAGCTTGCCAACCAACTGCTGGTAAAGTTAATTCATTAATCGTCATCTTGATAGTTGGAAAATTTGATAATGAAGTTAAAAGATTTAAAAGCTTAGATGTGTATGGTGATTGAATTGCAAGTAAGGCTTTACTGCTTCTACTTTCATGTATTTTATTCACAGTTTGATTTAATTTTTTCAATAACTTAGTTTTATCATGGTGATAAACCATTTCAAAGGACATTTCTGAAGGATAATTAATGACCGATCTTTTATTCAATTTTTCCTGTTTGCTTTCATAAACCTCTCTATAAATTCTTGAAATGTTATTAGGTAATTCTTGTGCATTAGTGGATGGTTTTAAAATAAACATATGACTTTGATTATCCCATGATTTAAAGATTGTATAGTATTCGTAGTTGTTTGCGACAATATGTAACAAGTATATTATATCCATGTCAAATTTTCTTAAGTAGGCATCATTCTCAATTTTCATCAATTCCTTAGTACTAAAACCATTTTTCAAACCTCTACCCAATGCACCAACTCTAGTATCATCGAATTTTACCGTATTTCCTAAGTCAATAATTGCTCGTTCGATTGGACTAATACTGCTTTCATAAATACCCAAAGTTTTAGAGCTTTGTAAAATACTTGGAACAACTGACATTTGCTCTTGATAAATAGATTGAGGCATTGTAAATTTGTATAAATTTGTAGCATCATGACCATTAGGTAGAATTGCATTTGACTTTTCAATTTCACATCCGACAATGGATTCACGTACTGATAATGGTGATTTAAATGAAGCATAAATCTTTTTAGGAATATGGAAGGTGAACGTATGGATTTTATCTTCAGCTGAAACATATACTTTCAAATCACCAGGTTTAGTTGGATCAGCTTGATATTCTAAAATTTCCCAATTACTTCCAGCAATATTTTCGGCCTGTTTTCTAAACAAACCACCAACGGTTGATCTTTGTGAACTTTGAGCTTGAGCACCAAACAACTTCTTTCTTCTTTCCCTACTTGTAGCTTGAAAGTTCCATTTAGCTTTTTGATAATTCAAAAAAGCTCTATAATCTTCTTTAGCAGAAGGACATTCACCATTTAATAAAGCTTGATTTTTTTCTTCCTCCTCAGAATCCGGAATCAAATTAACACGTCCAGCTTTTCTTTTTTTAAGTCGAACCATACTTACTTTCGACTTGGCAGCTTCCATACCAATTTCACCAAAATCTTCAATATCCTTAACTTTTGTTTCATCTTTTGAACTTTTGTTGAAAAAATTTGCAATTGAACTTTGTTGTTTAGAGCTTTCTTTATCTTCAACTTTCTTTTTCAACCATTCTGGATGAGCTACTCTTGGAACAGGATTTTTAACATTTTGCAAAGCAGCAGGTATGGTAATGATTTTTTGAACAACTGATGCTAACCTTTCGTAATAATATTCCCAATCAATGATATCTCTAGGACTAAATTTATTCAACGAAGGATCCTTCAACCATTTTTTAAGATATATTTGCTTCTTCTCCGATGAAAAAATTGAAACTGGTACCGCCCTTTCAGTGACTGGAGCTCCAATTGGTTTAGCACTAATAATATATTTTGTTGCCAACCCAGCATCTTTCACCATATCTTTACCTAAAAAATCACCTAATCTTTTAGCTGTTGTAATTGAAGTAGATTTTTGATCACCATATTCTGCCAAACTTTTGGACATACTTTTATTTTCACAAATTAATTCAATTAAATCTTCATCCTCAAGCATACCACCTTTTGTGTCTAAAACATCTAACCAATTATTTGCTACCGTTGCAACAGCTTCATAACATGAGTCTAATGAATCACCTTCCAAAAATAATTTGAATATATCGGATTGAAAATTTTTGATTAACTGTAACTCACCTCTTCTTTTTAATTCAAACCCTTTCAATTCTGCCAATGAACCATCATCATTGAAAACAGCATATCTCTTTTTCAAACCTTTTCCTTCTTCCTTTGATGTAGGTAAGATCATTGCTTTATATGGACCATCAACTTCAAAAAAAATAGAATTGTCTGACCTTGTCTTATATTTGAATTTATCGGGATCTATTAAATCTTGATATTGGTTGTTTGTAAATTTTTCATGAACTAAATAATTCAACATAGAACAAGGATATTCCAAAAAGATCTTTTTACCATCTTTGCATTTCAAATTAAAATTTTCAGGAAAACTTTTTGGCAAAATACACCATATACCATCTGTATCTAATTCCAAAGGTCTACCAATTCTTTCAACCAATCCTCTTGCCATCTGTATAATAGTTGCACCAGTCAAACAAGTTACACCGGCCATTTCCATTGAATACCATCTTGAACCTTTTCTCATTACATAACCATAAAAGGAATTCAAAATAACTTTATGAGCTAATTGTAAGGAATCATATAAAACAACCATTTTATTTGCCTCGTCTCTTGCAATTTTATCAGATGCATTTATCTTGTTAACTTTGCCTTTCCAAACTTTTGCTAACCCTTTGAACTCATATCTTCTATCTCTAAAACTTCTAACAGTATCAACATAAAATGGATTTTCTCTTTGACAAATAATAGCTTCTCTGGTAACAACTTGACTCTGTTTGACTCTATGATATACTTTTTTTGAATAATCACTCAACCTTTTTTTCACAGCTGAGGCCTGCTCAGCATAAGATAATTCATCAAATGTTCTAGGTGGTAACCACGGTTTTTGAGGTGGGAAAGATTCATTTTGTAATGTACGTTTTATCATATTATATTCATTCATTTCAGCTGGATAATATTCTCCTCTCCATGACCAAGGCAATCTTCTATCACAATTTTTACCAGGACGATTAAAATCACATGCTGCACAATCTTCTTCAGATTTCATAGAATCAGGTTGTAAACGATTTGAAGTCATAATGTTGGGATACATAGAAGCAACATCCACATGATATATTAATGGATTTTCTTTTCTTTTTGGGTTGTATTTAAGATCAAGTAATGCATTTTCAATTTCATCATAAATTTCATCAAAATTTTCTACATCTTCAATTTTCTTATTATTTTCCACCTCAATGCAAAATTTTATGGAATTATGTAGATCTCTCAATAACTCATCAATAGCACCAGGATCAATTTTAAAATCTGTAGCTATATCACTTCTAAAAACACCAGCTTCTAATGATTCGACATGTCCACCAACATAAGTTTCAGATTCTAGCAAATGACCATCATAAAATCTTTCAATTGGATCTGAATGTTTGTTAGGTAGTAATATGTTATTTTCGTAGGCTTGAACTGATAGCAACATTTCACATAAGGTACCTGTACCTTTTCGCAAAACTTCATCAGGATTTAACGGTATAATTGTACATAATGAAAAAATGAAAGGATGTACATATTTGTAATATAAATAATAAGTAGCAACAGCATCAGAAACAGAATATTCTGCCAAAACTTGAGGTTTTTCATATGCATAAGGAGTCATTAGTTCTGGATCTAATTCAGTAGGATTATAACCTAATTTGACAGTTGTAACAGCTTTCAAACCTTGTGAACCTTGTGGCAAATAAGAATCTCTCTTAACCCATCTGAAACAATCCATATGAACACAATATTTAGATTTGTATTCATCTTCATTATCTTTAGCGAATCCGATTTCTTCAAACAAATCTAAATCATGAAATCTAGCACGATTTTCAACAAATGGCCAATCAAAAAAATCTCCATTGAATGTAGCAATGACTGTAGGTCTCACTTCTCTAATATGTTCAAAAAATCTCATCAACACGTGTTTTTCATCAGGCTCATTGAAAATTGTAAATAATCCAGGATATTCAGCTTTAGGTGTGTATTCAAAGTCTTCAATATCTTCAGATATAATCTCTCTATTGGTGATCAAAAATCCTTCTCCATCAATCATATATGATATCATCATGACTTGATCTATTTTTGCATCTGGAAATTTTAATGGTGCTTTGGTAGTTTCAATATCAAAAGCTAATATAACTGGATCAGCAAAAGCAATTAATTCTTTATCTTCAATTAATTCAATTTTAGAATGTTTTGCATAAACATTATACCATTTTCCAACTCTTACTTGTTTGTCAATAGAAACTCTAACATGATATGGGACATCAAATTCTTTTATATCACTTATAAGTTTGGACGGATCACTTGCATCCAATTCTGTCGTGAAATTAAACATATTTCTAGATTCTTTTTGCATTTGATTTTCCTTGATTATTGGAGTAAGAAGTCTTCTTGCAGCTAATAAATCCTGAATGTTATGAAAGGTCAATTTTATCAAATTTTTTTTCAATCCAAGTAAATGATTAGGTAAAGATAAATCTTCTTTTATAACTCGATCAAAAGATTTTACATTAGTAGTTTCTAAAAATTTCCTCATCCATTCTTCAACTTCAGATTCAAATTCATTCGTCATAATATCAATAAAAAAATATGGATCGTATTGTAATGTAGCTTTAAAACTTCCACCTTCTTCATCCAAGAAGTAGTAGTCAACTCCGGAATATCCTGTTAGATACTTTTCACTAGGAATTGTTGTTGAATGCATATTAATTAACCAACCTTTTCTTGGTTTGTTCCCATCTTTTTCACCATGTTCTAATCTGTCAAACCCCATTATCGAATCAATTTGGTCTATTCGAGTTACCATTTCTTTCTTTTGAATAGAATCGTTGAGCATAGGATTGTTTGCTTTATATGGATCTACAGGTTTTGATGGTGGTCTATTTTTGAACTCCGATGATTTGTATTTTGATTTATTATCATTTTTAACATATCTAGCTGATGTTGAGCCTTTAAAATTGGGTAGTGAAGGCATTTGATTTGTGGATGGTGTACTTTCTCACAAGCTTTATGATCATGAAGTTTGTCTTTAAATTAATGAAGTTTTTGAAATGTACAAAGTGTAAGCTCTAATAGTTAATCGCTGATATTGATTTTCATATTTTGTAATGATTATGTTTGATACAGATCTGAAAAAATTGTTATTCACATAGACGCGTTTGTGTCAAAGTGGTAGCTCTCGATATTGAGTTTTTAATTACAAAGATTACTGAGGACCTAACAAGAGAACTCTAAAGAAATCACTATCTCCTCCTCCCACTTAAGATGTGTTTGTTCAGTTGGTATATACACTCAAGCTTCTATAAAATCAACGTGAGTTACCACGACAGAGAAATAGGAATTTTAAATTGCCAAATGGTTATATACTTTGTGCTATCAATGTTTCCGAAATCTTAAGATTTTGAGCTGTTTCAGCTGTTGAAAGCTTGAATCTCTAAACTATATACAGATCTTGTTATGCTTCGAAAGTAAATTTTGAAATTTTTGGGTGTTTTTAAAATTTTTAAAAACTTTGTTGCTAGTTTTAACATAGCTTCAGTAGAAAGAGTAATGCAAAATGATTGTAAATTGTATGAGACATTCTCTAAAGATTAAGCTAACTGTAGAGTTACATGCTTGAAAAGTTAATTGTATGTAGGTACGGATGTACAAAGGATTTTTGTTATGCTTCAAAGGATTTTTGTTATGCAAAGTTGGTTTGTTTGTTATGCTATATTACATTTTTTGTTATGCTAAATTGGATTTTTTTGTTATGCAAAATTGCATTTTTTTTGTTATGCGAAACATGTTAGCATATCAAAAAATCTGAAACATCCGTACCTCAGAAACATTTAGCATATCAAATTATTAGTTAAAAGCATAACAAATTAGTTGAAACATCCGTACCTACGAGAAATATAGCGTGACAAAAGATCTGAAACATCCGTACCTATCTTTTGCAAAACATCCAAACCGCAGATTTACGGTTTATTGTATATTCATTACATTTAAGTTACGGTGTCTTGATCCTAAAAAAACGGCAAGTTGATCATATGAAACATCTATTATTCACCGTAATGTAAACCAAATAAGAACATTCATGAGCATGAGACAATACTCTTACAATCTTCAAAATCAAAAAGTCAATGACTTATTAAAAAGTTTTTTTAAATAAATATATACAAACCTATAATTACATTTCGATAATTGAATCAAAACTTATTGATAAATTACCGAAATTCTATTAAAAACAATAAAAGTAAAAAATGTATTATTTACTCATATAAAGTATAATTAATCCTTGAATTAATACTGAATAAACAAATAAAAATTGAATCCTTATTTTTCTTTGTTTACTTGTAACATTATTATTTACTGTAGTATTAGTTCCATTTGTTGGTAAAATTATAAATCTTAACAGTCTCATTAAAAATACTGATAAACTTATAATAAAAATAAAAACAATTAAATAATAAAATATACCTAAATATGATCCAAAAGTATGTTTTAAAATTAAAAGCATTATAATTGAAACATATTTATATCCAGCAAAACTTATAATATCATAAATTTTAATTTGTGAACAATTTAATAAATATAATCCAATTTTGAAAATAACAACATCTAATATTGAAAAAGCTAAAGTTTGTGAAGCTAAATAACCAAATAATTGAGGATGAAATTCACCATTTAAACCTTGAAATGCTGCCCAAAGCAAAATATAAGTTATAAATGACATAATAGGAATATATAAATCAGGAGCATTAATATCATGTGAAGGAGGTAAATATTGATTTATACCAGTTTCTTTTGTACTAATTCTACTCCAATCTTTTTGTTTAAATGGAAATAAAATTAATAAAATTTTTTTAAATACATATGAATTACTTACTTGAAAATAATATTTAATATCACCAGAAATAGTTCCAAAATTATCTTGTATATATTGATTTGATTGTTGAAAACCTGATCTTGCAAATTGTGATGCTAATGCTGCAGCTGGATCATTTAAAAAATTAAATTGATTTGGTTGTTGTTGTTGGTGTGGTTGATGTTGTTGATGTTGACTAGATGAACCGGGTTGGTGTTGCTGATGTTGTGGATGAATATTTGCTGGAATTGGTTGTGAATAATGAGGTTGTGGATGTTGTAAATTAGATTGTTGTTGTTGATATACATCGTTAGAATACCCATATGGATTGGACATGACGGATTTGTTATTTTCTGATGTAATTGCCAAGGTATTAATTATTTACGCTCTCTATAGTTTATTCTTTTATGGTTTGGGTGTTTAGTGTGTTATTTTGATAGGATAGTCTTCACTTGGATCTGTTTATTATTATTGTATAGAAATTCAATATATTAATTTTTTGCTGTCAAAATTGTAGACTGCCTAATTAAGTAATCAGTGGTCAAGTAGTCCAACCAGCACGCACGTACACATAAAAAAAATACCTTTAAAATTGTTTTAGATAGGAAGGTAAGAGAAGAAAGTTAAATGAATAAGTGTTAACACTGTTATAATTTCAGTATTGAGCAAAGCATGTCATTCTTTGACTTTTTTAAAACTTGGTTCGATAACATTCGGTGTTTGAAAAATTCAGCCTCGTATAATTCCCTCATTAAATTTATAAGAAAATCGGAGTTTGAAGAATCTATTAGTATTTTCATATATGAGTAAGATAGACAAATTAAGTAAGCTAAGTAGACTACATAGTAATTAAAAAACTTTACTTTTGATAGAATAATTGGTCTGACTAAAATTGCAACTTCTACTTCTTAATTATTATCATTTACTAGTAACTCGAAGATCAATCTAATTTTTATTCATTGCCCCTTAATTTTTTTTTTTTTAATTCTTAGCTCAAGATTGGGTTTCAATTAATTTTAAACAATTGAAAAAGCAATTCAATATAGGGGAAAGTTAAATAAGAAATGAACTACCCAATTGAACGGTTATGTGAATTATTTTTATGACTTATGCATTGAGTTGAACCTATTATACAACTTAACATTCAACAGCAAACTTAAATAATAAAACGAAAATAAAAAAATTTCGATTTATTAACTTTTGTGTAATTAGATGAAATTCTAAATCAAATCTTTTTTAAACATTCTAATAAGATTCTATTCTTCTTCTATAATATTTTCAATCACCATCTACTGTGATTATACTCATTCATTGTAAAGAATACTCAAGTCAAACACATTCTCATACACTCAACAAATCATCAATTGACTTAAAAAAAATCTCACTATCTATACTTATCAATTCACTTTATTGCAAAAATTACAACCCACGCACACCTAAATAAATAAATAAATAAATAAACAAATCAATTCAAATTAAATAATGGTAGAAGGAAAAGTATTTGTAGTATCTAATAGATTACCAGTAACCATAAAAAGAAAAGATGATGGTACATATGATTATTCAATGTCATCAGGTGGATTAGTAACAGCATTACAAGGTTTAAAAAAATCAACAGAATTTCAATGGTTAGGTTGGCCAGGTTTAGAAATTCCAGAAAATGAACAATCAAAAGTAAATGAAGATTTAAATTCAAAATTTAATTGTACAGCAATATATTTAAGTGATACAATAGCAGATTTACATTATAATGGATTTTCAAATTCTATATTATGGCCATTATTTCATTATCATCCTGGTGAAATGAATTTTGATGAAAATGCTTGGGCAGCATATATTGAAGCAAATAAAAAATTTGCTATTGAAATTTCAAAACAAGTTGAAGATAATGATATGATTTGGGTTCATGATTATCATTTAATGTTATTACCAGAAATGTTAAGAAATGAAATTGGTACCACCAAAAAAAATATAAGAATTGGATTTTTTTTACATACTCCTTTTCCTTCATCTGAAATTTATAGAATTTTACCTGTTAGAAAAGAAATTTTAATTGGTGTTTTAAGTTGTGATTTAATTGGGTTTCATACTTATGATTATGCAAGACATTTTTTAAGTTCAGTTTCAAGAATTGTTCCAAATGTTAAAACTTTACCAAATGGTATTGAATATGAAAATAGAAATATTAAAATTGGTGCTTTTCCCATAGGAATTGATGTTGATAAATTTATTGATGGATTAACTAAATCCAATGTTAAAAAAAGAATTGAATCTTTAAAAAATAAATTTGAAGGTATAAAAATTATTGTTGGAGTTGATAGATTAGATTATATAAAAGGAGTTCCTCAAAAATTACATGCTTTTGAAATTTTCTTACAACAAAATCCAGAATGGATTGGGAAAGTTGTTTTAGTTCAAGTTGCTGTTCCTTCAAGAGGTGATGTTGAAGAATATCAAAGTTTAAGAGCAACTGTAAATGAATTAGTTGGTAGAATAAATGGTCAATTTGGTACTGTTGAATTTGTACCGATTCATTATATGCATAAATCAATACCATTTGATGAATTAATTTCTCTTTATAATATTAGTGATGTTTGTTTAGTAAGTTCAACAAGAGATGGTATGAATTTAGTAAGTTATGAATATATTGCATGTCAACAAGATAAAAAAGGTGCATTAATATTATCAGAATTTGCAGGTGCAGCTCAACTGTTAAAGGGATCAATAATTGTAAATCCTTGGAATACAGAAGATTTAAGTGATGCAATAAAAGAAAGTTTAACATTACCTCAAGAAAAAAAAGATTTTAATTTTCAAAGATTATTTGACTATATTTCAAAATATACTAGTGGATTTTGGGGTGAATCTTTTGTTAAAGAATTATATAATTGTCATTCAAATAAGGATTAATATATAGAAAATTTTGTTTGAGGAAAAGAATTATTAAATCATGGAATTAATATTACTATTAATCAAGAATATCATTATTTAAATGTAGTATATTTTCTTCAGTTAATAATAATCTGTTATCCTTAAAATGCAGTATTCGATTTTGTTGTAGATGTTGTTTTTGCTTTTGTTGTTCTTCTTTTTTCTTTAGTTCGTTGAATTGATCTTCAGGTATATTAATAACTTGAGGTCGAATTCCTAATTTTCTTAATAATTCATTATTATTATTTAATATTGATGATGTATAATTTAAATTCAGTTGTTTTAAAATTTTACTTTGACTATATAATGAAGATTCAGGTAAATTTGATTTTGGAAAATAAGGTTTTCTCTGTGATGTAGTATTTGTTTGTTTTTGATTTTCTTTGGTTGGAGAATTTGAATATTTCAGTTGTTTCTTGTTGTTGGTTGTTTGTGTTTGATTTTGATTATTTTCTTGTTCATAATGACTAATATCTTCTTTTATGTTCTTTGCAGAACTAAAAGCTGTCATTAAATAAGGTAATTCTTCTGAAATAGTTGATTTATACATGTTTGAACTTGAACTATAATCATAAATTGATGATGAATCATGTCGAAGATGATCATGTTTTTGATGAGTTATTGAATGAACCATTGGTAATTGAGTTGATGAAGTCATTGAATATTCTGAAAATGTTTCATCTGGACTTTGAGAATCTTTTCCATTTGAGGAGGTGTCATCATCGTCAAATAGTGATGTTTGAGGTCTAGATATTGGAAGATGTTGTTGTTGTACATCATGAGTATGTTGCTGTTGTTGCTGTTGTTGTGATCGCGTATTACTTTCTTCTAATTCTCTTAATTGATCATGTTCTTCAATACTTTTATCAATCATTTTTTCTAATTTATATTTTTCAAACATTTTCTCTAAATCATTAATAACTGCTAAACATTCATATTTTTGATCAAAATCATTTATTAATATAGCATCATTTAATTGTTTTAAAAGTGATATAATAAAAGTTTTATAATAATCAATTGTTTCATTATCATTATCATCTTTATTTAATAATTCTAAATCTCTACCAATTAAAATTAATTTTGATTTTGAATATGATATAGATAATTGTTCAATAACTTCATTTTTTAATTTTATAATTCTTAATATTAATGAAGTTAACATAGTTCCATCATCAGACATTAAATCTCGTATACTCAACATCTTGGAACTTTTACTTATAAAATCAATATCTGATGAAATTTTAATCATTTTATGATTTAATTCAATACATATATTCATAACTTTATCTGCAATTCCAGTATTAAAAATTTTAATATTATCATCTTTATTTGCAAAATGAGTATCTGAATTATAATCTAATGATAAAAATTCCCAACTTTTAAATTTTAATTGAATTTTTTCTAAAGTTTGTAAAATTATAAATGATGATGAACATAATTTATTTAATTTTCTTTCTGAAATTTCTTGAATTAAATGAATGATTTTTGAAGACTTTGTTTGATCTTTATTTAAATTTGGATCTTTTATTAAAGATATTATTGGATCTTTATAAGTTTCTATATCTGTCATGAGTAAACCTTTTGTTTATGCGTGGTTTTTAAAGATGTATGTGATTTATGCAAATGTTTATGAAGAATGTTTTTTTAAATGTTATGATAAAATGCTATGTGATGTTATAGTGAGGCTTGATTATAAAAACAAGGTCTTTAAATTGAGATAGTTCATTTGTTAGTTACTAGTGTTTAAAGATTTAAATGAAAATTAAATAATGTGCTTGCTATGAAATAGTATATGCGATTAAAATTATGCTCAAGACTTGAATTCCTACTTTTTGATAAATTTATAAATGCAATTGAAAGTAATTTGAAATATTATGCTAATGAAATGAAATATAAAAATGCCCTTAGTTTGAAGTTGAAGTTGGTTGCAAAGTAATATTATTTCAAATATTAGTAGATCAAAAGTTTAAAGGGTTTATTTTTTTAGCCTAAGAATTATTATTAGAACTTCTTTTTATCAGTCGATCTTTTAGATCACGTGACTAATAATATATAGTCGGATATATATTATTAGCATCAAAATAATAGGTATAGGTATACAGGTTAGCAAAACTAATTACAAATTTAAAACTACATTGTAAGATTGAGAGTTCAATCTCATTCTCCGTATCCTTAAATATTAAGATCATCTCTATTCACATGTATAAATACAAAACTATAATTTATATTATTTTAATGTAAACCTTTTTCTTTTTCAATTTTAAAAATCATTTCATTATACCAATCTTCTAAACTTGTTTTTGGATGTAATGCAATTATTAATAATGTCATATTATCAAATCCTATTCCTGTATAATTATTTGCCATTGTTAATGTATCATTTAAAATATATTCAATAATTTTATTTAATTTCCAACCTAATACTATTTTATCCCTTATAAGTTTTATTAATTGATCATTTTTAAAACAATCCCATATTCCATCACATGCTATTACTATAAATTCTGGTTCTGGTAATACTTTTAAATCATATATTAAAATATCAGGTTCAACCGTTACTTGAAATAATTCAGGAGGTATATGTATATAGTCTTGATCTGTTTGAGAATGTTTTGATAAAAGTCTTGGTTTTTCATCTGATTGAATATTATTATTTTGTTGTTTATAAAAATTTTCTTTATTCCGTATAACAAATTTATTTAATGTTGATGTGAGATATGGAGTCTTGAATTTAAAATCTCCTATAGCTCTACTTAATGCTAGTATTTCATTTATTCTATTATTAATGACGTACCCATTTGAATTTTCTATTCGTACTCTTTCACCAATTAAACTAGGTTTTTGATCAAATGATAAAGTTTTTGCACAGCCTTGATTTGTAGATAGGATACACCTTGAATCTCCTGTGTTTGCAACATAGATTTTATTGTCTATTATAGCACATAGTATACTTGTTGATCCACAATTAACCATACCTTGATGATGTGATAAATCATGATCAATTTTGAAAAATGCATTTTTTAATATCTTGAAAACTTTTTGATTCATCGTTGATACTTTGTTCAGTTTCAATTGTCCATTCTCCTTTGACCTCTCATTTCCTTCTCTTTCCTTATTCTCAGTTTCGTCTTTCAAATGTAGTAATTGTTTAAAAATTGCCTTTGGTAAATGTTCAGCTACATATTCAGAACATTGTTTACCACCATGACCATCAAACACCCCAAATACCGCTACGGTTTCATCCTCATTTATCCTTATACCGTGTGCATCTTCCATTGTCATTCTATAACCTTGCATTGATCCAACACAATATGATAATCTAGTATGAATTTTATAATCCAATTCTTTCTCCTCAATTGGATGTGATAATAATTGTCCCATTTTAATTTTTAAATTAACAGTTGATGTGATTTGTAAAAGTTATATAGCCTTGATTAGGTATGCTTTAAATAAAATAATTTAACGAATGATAGTTTGAATAATGACTTTAATTGATGGATTATATTGGCTTGAATATTCAAATCATGTATACGTAATGCGAAATACAGCAAATATATGATTATTTGAAGTAGTAACGGGTGCTAAAAGTTCTTAGATTGAATCAATTACACTCTATCAATTTGACTAAATGCGATTTCGATTTTATTGTATTGCGTGATAAGAATTATCGGTTAAAAGATAAATGATTTTGAAGTATACATGATCGGAAGACTAAAAAATTTAGTCTACTTATTAGACAATTTTATTTAAATTACCCCTTAAAGTTTTGACAGATAGCTACCACTTGCTCTACCGCTTAAAATATCAAATTTGTAGAAAATTAATTTCGTAATTTATTAAATAATTACCCCAACATTCACATTCGTTGTAACGAAACCTACTATTATTGTTACCATCAACATCCTTTCAAAAATTGATTGAATTTCTTTTCTAATCTAAAGGTGTATCACTTAACCATAGATTAAGTCTACCATGTTATTTCCGGTCATAAATAAAAACTCAAAAGATGGTGATAAGAACTATAAGGCACCAACTACTTTTCCAATAGGTCCATTTAAAAAATACAAACATAATCCTATAATGACACCGGATCCTAATATTGAATTTGAAAGTGCTTATTTATATAATGCAACAGCAATAGTAGTTGAAGATCATGTTATAATGCTATATAGAGCTCAAAATGCAGCAAAATTATCATCAGTTGGAATTGCATGGTCAAAAAATGGAACTGATTTTACTAAGTATAAAAAACCAATAATTACAGCTACGGAACCATATGAAGAAGGTGGCGGAATTGAGGATCCAAGAATTGTACGTGATCCCAAACTGAAATTATTTATAGTCACATACACTGCATATGACTTAAAAACAGCAAGATTGTGTGTAGCAACTAGTGAAGATTTATTTCATTGGAAAAAAATTGGTCCAGTTGTTCCTTCTAATTGGGTAGATCTAGCATGGATTTCCAATAAAAATTCTTTAATAAGGTACAATTGGCTGAAATCAGGAGCAATTTTCAATGAAAAGAATAAAGAAGATGGAAAATATTATATGATTTTTGGAGATTCTCAATTACATCTTGCTGAATCTGATGATTTGATACATTGGAAAGTTAGTGGTGATTTCAATAATAATATATGGGCAAAACACATTTTCAATAGAGAAAACAAATTAATTGAAAGCGGTCCAGCGCCAATCAAAATGGCCGGTAAGAATAACCAATGGATTTTCATATATAATGCTGCAACTACCGGTGGAGAAGATTTACCAAAAGACACTTACACTGTCAATGCAATGTTAATTGATTATGATAATATCAAACAGGGCCCAATTGCAAGATTAGAACACCCGATTTTGAAACCTGAACTGCTCAATGAAGTTGAAGGACAAGTAAACCGGGTTGTATTTTGTGAAGGTATTGTTCAATTTAAAGGAAATTGGTATTTATATTATGGTCAAGGTGATTCAGAATTAGGAGTTGCAATTGCTCCTGTAACATAGACTAAATTAGATAACTTAGCAAAAAATAAAAGTAAACAATCTAGAGAAAGAACTTTACACTGATTATTCTTTACTTTAACTTCTCTAAGTCGTGATGTCTTTTCAAGAGAAACGAGTAAGCATATGAAGTTCTTAATTAGATAACGATTATATATATACGGTCGTGTTCCAAGAAACAATTTTGATAAGCACAAATCCAAAATTTCTATCACAAAAACTGATATATCAATTCGCTAAAAAATAGTTAAATTTACACCAACTTCATTAACTAATTATTTCAACTATTATCAAATGTTTCTCACTTGGAATGCAAAACGGAAAACATGAGACTAATAATTCTAATGGTCTACTAACAAATTTGGATTCACTTGTGGATCAATATCAAGAACAAGCTAGATATGATGATGACTTATTGAAAAAATATGGGGAACAGGTGAACCAAGTGTTCAAGAATGTGAAGCATTTATTAATTTCAAATGATCAATCTCAAATTCAAATTGATTTGCCATACAAGTCTTCAGTATCTTCAATTTCTTTGAAGATTTTATCTACTCAGCTAAACAAGTTAAGACTTCTTGATACCAAACTAAAAAATGAATCAATTGACATTGCAAAGCAAAAAATGGAGAAAAAAATAAATAAGTTGGAGTTGGAAAAGTCCAAGACTGAGAATCAAATTAGTTCCATTCGATTGAAACTTTTAAAGAAGGAATCAGAATTATTTACTAATTATGAAAATGAACTCTTAAATCTAGATAAAGAAATTAAGGATTTTGAAAATGTGAAAATAGCACAGGTTATAAAGCAGTCATCAAAGTTGCAAATTGACAGGTTTCTTGTGCTAATTGACTCGATTATCCAAAAAAATGATAAAAAACTACTATTTTATTATCAGATTGTTTTGAAAACACAGGAATATCTAGGATATAACTTAGTATCAATTAATCAGTTTCTTGAAAGAATTATCGTATTTCAATGTCAACTAAATTCAATATTCAAAATGAAATTACCATACTTGAGCCAACTTTGCAAATATTTACCTGATTCTAAATTTTATGATTTATTGAAAAGGAAAGAAATGATGATGACTGGTGGGTATCAGCAACATCATGAAAACAATTCACTGACACTGCCTAATCATACACCAAACATAGACAACTTTTATGAAGAGGACGCAAAAGACACGAATGACACTCCACCAAAAGAAATTAATAATGCAACTGAAAAAATCATAAAATTGGGTGAAGAATATAAGCTACCGCTATCATCAAAAACTCTTAATTATCAAAGAAGAGCTGCGAGGTCATCTTCTGTCACATCAACAACCTCTACGTCCGCATCAATTGAGCCAGCGGAATTAAATAGTATTCCAATAATGAGGGAAAACACATCACCCTTTTCGAATAATTTTAAAAAAATAACTATTCCTCATAAGATTATAAATAAACCTTTCAATAAACTTTCAATAAAGGACTTTTTTGAATTCTTGGTAATAATTGTCAAAATTATTATAAATTTTCAACAAATACTAAAATATTTCAAGGTCAATACTGATGATTATAGTATGGAAGATTGGTGTGACATGGAAAAATTGCTTAGTGAAATATCTAATCAAGATCAATTAAATCTAAGATTAAATAACGACGCAACTTTATCTAATCCAAAACCAAGCACATCTCTTCCAAAAAAATTAAATGCAAAATCAAATTTCCAATTCCTACTAGAACATGTATATAAATCAATAATTATGTCTCCCTATGCACAAAAGCAACAACATCATATGAATAATAATAAGTTGATTGGATTACAAAATTTGAATTTCAAAAATTTATTCTTAAATCAAATACTGCCCAATTTTAACATGGGTGAGGATTATGATGGGTTAGATAATGAATTCAGAAATAAAGATGAATGGGATTTGATTAGTGAGATTTTATAGATGTATATAGGTAAAAGTAATTTATGTTTTTCATGAATTTCAAGTGACATTTCGAATCCTCTAGCTCTTACTTTGATGTAATTTCATATTTTTTCGTGTAAATTTTGTTCAAAGATTTGTAAATTGATCATTCAAAACTTAATTCATGTTTCAGCCTTGCAATTAATTTAGCCTAGCTAAAAAGGTAATAATATGTTACTGACCTCAGAAGCTGGCACAATTGGGCCATTATTCTACCGTAGTATGATCTGATTTATAACAGATACAACTTCATCAATACTTTAAGCCAAATAAACTATTGCTGCACGGATGTGTTAGCTATCAAATTTGTAGTGCGTTCAGCAACAACAAAATTAATTAATCTCAAAAGGATTGAAATACTTTGAATTTGTGAGATAATCAATTTTTGACTTCAATTCATTAACATCATTTCAAAATCCATCACATACAACCAAAATGTCACTTTCCAATAAAGAATTATATGAATTGAACAAGAAAGCAGTAACTCAAAATTTTAAAATCAAACCAAGACTCAATTATAATACAGTTGCAGGAGTAAATGGTCCTTTAGTCATATTAGATCATGTTAAATTTCCAAGATTCAACGAAATTGTAAACTTGACATTACCAGATGGTTCAATCAGACAAGGGCAAGTTTTAGAAATTAGAGGATCAAAGGCGATAGTTCAAGTGTTCGAAGGTACTTCAGGTATTGATGTTAAAAAGACAAAAGTTGAATTTACAGGTGAAAATTTGAAAATTCCCGTAAGTGAAGATATGTTAGGACGTATATTTGATGGTTCAGGTAGAGCTATAGACAAAGGTCCTAAAATTTTTGCCGAAGATTATTTAGATATCAATGGTTCACCAATAAATCCATATGCAAGAATTTATCCTGAGGAAATGATTAGTACTGGTATTTCAGCAATAGATACTATGAATTCAATTGCAAGAGGTCAAAAAATTCCAATTTTTTCAGCTTCTGGTTTACCACATAATGAAATTGCTGCACAAATTTGTAGACAAGCTGGTTTGGTTCGTCCAACTAAAGATGTTCATGATGGTCATGAAGAAAATTTCTCAATTGTGTTTGCAGCTATGGGTGTTAATTTAGAAACATCACGTTTTTTCAAACAAGATTTCGAAGAAAATGGTTCTTTAGAGAGAACCTCATTATTTTTGAATTTAGCAAATGATCCAACAATTGAAAGAATTATTACTCCAAGATTGGCTTTAACTACTGCAGAGTTTTTAGCTTATCAAACTGAAAGACACGTTTTGACAATCTTGACCGATATGTCATCATATGCTGATGCATTGAGAGAAGTTTCTGCTGCTAGAGAAGAAGTGCCAGGAAGAAGAGGTTACCCAGGTTATATGTATACTGATTTGTCAACGATTTATGAAAGAGCAGGGAGAGTTGAAGGTAGAAATGGTTCAATTACTCAAGTTCCAATTTTAACTATGCCTAACGATGATATTACCCATCCAATTCCAGATTTAACTGGTTATATTACTGAGGGTCAAATTTTCGTCGATAGACAATTAAATAATAGGGCGATTTATCCACCAATTAATGTCTTACCATCGTTATCTCGTTTGATGAAATCAGCTATCGGTGAAGGTATGACAAGAAAAGATCATGCAGATGTATCAAATCAATTGTATGCTAAATACGCTATTGGTAAGGATGCCGCAGCTATGAAAGCAGTTGTTGGTGAAGAAGCATTATCAACTGAAGATAAATTATCATTAGAATTTTTAGAAAAATTCGAAAAGAATTTTATAAACCAAGGTCCATATGAAAATAGATCCATTTTTGAGTCATTAGATTTAGCTTGGTCATTATTAAGAATATACCCAAGAGAAATGTTGAATAGAATTAGCCCTAAAATCTTGGATGAATTTTATGGTAGAGATAGAGATCAAGACGATGACGATGAAGAGGATGAAGAAGAAGATGATAATAAAAAAAAAGATTTAATTGATGCTTAGAGAAATTAATTATAGACTTTAAAACCATAAATTCAAAATAAATAAATTGTACGTTCATTTCATAAACCTCATTCAACTTCTTTTCTATCTGTATAGGTATACACGTCTACGCATCCAAAAACTATTTACATCTAACTTTAAGCAGTTCGTTGCTCCTCAAGTCTTTTTTGATTTCCAATATAGTTGATAGCAGAACCGGCTTTGAAGAATTCTATTTGATCTTTCGACATAGTATGCTTAGCTATAATTTCAAATTTCGATCCATCGCGTTTAGTAACTAATAATTTTAATGTTCCCCCATTATCTCCATTTTGTTCAATCATATTTTTCAAATCGACAGTTTCAATCAAATCTCCAGCTGATATTAAATCATAATCTGATTCATTAGCAAAAGTCAATGGTAACATACCTTGTTTTTTCAAGTTTGTCTCATGAATTCTAGCGAAAGATTTAACTAGTATTATTGAACCTCCTAAAAATCTTGGTGATAAAGCAGCATGTTCTCTAGCAGATCCTTCTCCGTAATTATGTTCAGCTACAACTATCCATGGTCTTCCATCTGCTTTCCATTTCATCATTAATTCTGGAATTCCATATTGATCACCATTCAAGTCATAAGCCTTATTTACTTCTTGAGTTTCCTTGTTTACAGCTCCAATTAAAGTATTATATGAGATGTTTTCTAAATGTCCTTTATATTTTAACCAGACACCAGCTGCTGAGATATGATCTGTAGTACATTTGCCTTCAACTTTAAGTAAAACATTAGTGGCTAATTCTTCACCTGACCAAGGTTCAAATGGTTCTAATAATTGTAATCTATCTGACTCAGGGCTAACGCTGACAGCTATTTCCGGTTTAGGTTGTGGGTTAGCTTCAGGATAAAATTCTTCTCTACCTTTAATGAAACCCTCTTGAGGTAAATCTTCACCTTGAGGTGGTTGAAACTTGAATTTTTCACCATTGGCCAATTCAATTGAGTCAGTAATTGGATTGAAATTTACATCTCCTGAATATATCATCGCCGTAACCATGTCTGGTGACGTCAAGAAATTCATTGTATTTCTGTTACCATCATTTCTTGCTCTGAAATTCCTATTGAAACTTGTAAAAATAGCATTATAATCGGTTGAAGTCTTTGAAACATCTTGTCTATCCCATTGACCAATACATGGACCACAAGCATTAGCCAACACTATTGCTCCATTCTTTTCAAATGTATTTATTAAACCATCTCTCTCTATTGTTGCTCTAATCTGTTCTGATCCTGGAGTTACAAAGAATGGAATTTTAGGTTTTAATCCTACATTCTCAGCTTGTTTTATGATTGAGACAGCCCTTGACATATCTTGGTATGATGAGTTTGTACATGATCCAATTAAACCAGCTGAAACAGTTTCTGGCCAACCTTCTTTTTCAGCAGTTTCACCAAATTTCGAAATTGGTGTTGATAAATCTGGTGTAAATGGTCCATTAACATGTGGTTCCAACTCCGACAAATTAATTTCTATAACTTTATCATATTCTGCACCTTGATCAGCTTGTAAAAATTTAAACTGTTTATTAACTTCATCTGCAGCATTTGCAATAGGTTCTCTATTAGTTTGGGCCAAGTATCTTTTGTGTGCTTCTTGATATGGGAATATAGAGGTTGTTGCACCAATTTCAGCTCCCATATTAGTGATAGTGGCCATTCCGGTACACGATAAATTCGATACACCTTCACCAAAATATTCAACAATGTATCCAGTACCTCCTCTTACAGTCAAAATTCCTGCTAATTTTGTAATTACATCTTTTGGTGAAGTCCATCCTGACAATTTACCAGTTAATTTAACACCCATTATTTTGGGGGCTTTTAATTCCCACGGAGTACCAGTTAAAGCGTCAACAGCATCAGCTCCACCTACACCAATAGCAATGGCACCTAAACCACCAGCATTTGGTGTATGTGAATCTGTACCCAACATCATTAAACCTGGAGCAGAAAAATTTTCCAATACAATTTGATGAATGATCCCTGAACCTGGTCCCCAAAACTGTATACCGTATTTCTCACCACAACTCTGTAAGAAGTCAAAGACTTCTTTATTTGTTGCAATTGATTTAGTTAAATCTTGAGATGCTCCATCTTTACCAACAATTAAATGATCACAATGTATGGAAGCTGGAACAGCTGTTGAGCTCATTCCACATGTCATGAATTGCAAAAGAGCCATCTGAGCGGAAGCATCTTGCATAGCTACTCTATCAGGACTTAATTTTAAATATTGTTGACCTCTTATATCCCCTACGTTTGATGACGTTAAACTTTCCTCGACATCATATAAATGAGAATATAGTATTTTTTCAGCCAAAGTTAATGGTTGTTTCACTATTTTTTTAACCGTTAACAATTTATCAATCAATTTTGAATATGGTGGAGTTCTTGATACATATTCTTGTGGTACTTGGTAGTTGAAAGATTGAGTCGCCAAAGATCTTGTACCAGCTCTTTGTATTGATGATGTAGCTCTTAACATGATAAAATTGAGCTGTTGGAACGGTCTAAATAGTAAATGATTGTTGAAAGTAAATTTCTAAATGGGTAAAGCGTATGATGAACCAATAAATTTATCAATAGATATGATTACAATACACAAATAAATTTTTACATTACACAAAATAAATTTTTCAGATTTTTCAGTATGAGTAATAGTCATAGAATTTACCGCGCCAGACTGTAAGTATAAATGTAGATTAATAGCTTAATACGTTCAACAATATTAGGGATTAAGTTAAACTCCATGAGAAAGATACAGCAAAAGACATACAAAATATTGTTGATCATTTAAACATTATATTTGCTTGTTACCAACGTTTCAGCACATCAGTAACAGTCTATAAAGTGTACTCCATCGCCAACTTCTTATTCAAATCCTCTCCAAGCTCTATTAACCCAACCACAATCACGTATATTATCATCTTTAGCATCAATTTTGAAGTTGGTATTTATATCATTATATCTATCACTAATTCCCTCTCCTGCTGGTTTTGAAATGCATATATATTTACCATCTGGTAAAAAACATCTTAATTGAGAAGAAGGATATGGACAAGGACAAAATTTAGGGGCTTGGACACATATTCCAGTATCTGGACATAAATAGTGATCACACTTTTGATTTAGCATCATACTTTCATATTCTTGTGGATTTTTAACACCTTGATTTTGTCTTTGATTATTTCCTCCGAATTGATTATTTATAAAATCAAATAGATTTGCGGACACTAGTGATATAGCTATTAGTTGAAAACATAGTATGTTTAAAAACATTGTGATGAAGTCGAAGGTTGATAATCTTGATGTGTTTTATTGATTGATTACAAAAAAAACACGTCAAAGTATTATTATCGATAGAGATGATCGCTACCATCTTACATAGTCTTGAGCATTTATTGTCTTTCGTGAATATGCCAACAACAAATTCTTATTCAAAAAGAAAATGAGCCATCTCGAGTAAGGTAAATATTGCTGGAACAAGGTAAGTAATAAAGCTCTAAAGTAAGTATGAGCAACAACATTCAATTTACTGTAAGCCGCCATTGATTAACCAAAAAAAAATAATATTGGGGCGAACTGGGAATCGAACCCAGGGCCTCTTCGAAATTTATGCTCAGGAGAATAACCCAAACGAAGAATCATACCACTAGACCATTCGCCCAAATTTTTAAAAATTTTTATTGCAGAAAGCGGAGATAGTACCAAAATACGACAAATTTTGAAGGCAAGACTTAACACTTTTGGTCGGTGCTTGCCTGTTGTTGCTTAGAATCGATTATCTTGTTACTCAATCAATAACAGTTGGCTATCAGCTTAAATTGACAAAACACAAGTATAGAGCTCTTACATGGCTCCGCAACCGAGAGCACATATTCTTTGAACTATGGAGTGGTTAATAAATTCAAAAATACAGTTTCATTTTTATTATTACTACTAGTTCTTTTAGATTTGGCACAAAATTTGTTACATTTCACCTTAAAAAGCTTGAATCCGCTAACACTTCCATAGACAGGTTAGTAACCTGCGTATCCTTGAGCTGTAGTCATTATGCTTATACCTCTTAACATTTAGAACTCATACAAAATTCCAAAACAAATGCATCTTCAAGTCGTGTGAAACATAGAAATAAGATAATTTTCAAAACAAAATTAAACTATCGTGTTTGAAGTTGTAAACCCATTTACGCTTGTAATATATTGAATATATCAAACTCAAAAAGATTCCTAGCTTCAAATATATGAAAAATGGCCGGAGAAAAGCCAACTGTAAATAATCAATCATCAAATAATCCGTCAAATGTAGCAAATTCTTTACCAATATCACAACCTACACAACAATCACCAATTCAACCTCAATCTCAACCACAACCACAAATTGCACACCAACAACCAATTCAGCGTACCCAACAACAACAACAGCAGGTAAGGGCGAACCAACCACAATATTCACAAGCAGACTTGAATCGAATAGTTTTAGAATACTTGAATAAGAAAGGTTACCATAGAACTGAGACAATGCTAAAATTAGAAAGTACAAATACACCTACTCCAGCAAGTCCAATTCCTGTCACACCAGCAACTACGACACTAGCGGGACCGAATGAGTTAGAATCAAAGAATCAAACTTTAAAAACTCAACTAGATGCGAATGAAAAAGAACTCAAGGATTTGAGAGATAAACAATTGAAGATTGAAAAAGAACTTCAAGAGACTAAAGATAGAGAAATCAAATTATCCAAAGAAGCAGATTTAAAAGAATTGAAAATCTTGGAAGCTAAAGTAAGGATTGAAAATGATCCAGAAACTTATTTTACCGCGTATTCGATGCTAAGAAAATGGGTTGAAAGCTCTTTGGATTTATATAAACCTGAATTGTCAAGAGTATTATATCCATTATTTATACATAGTCTATTAGATTTAATAACAAAAGGATACGATGTGAAAGCAAAACAATTTTTTGACAGATTTAAAATTGATCATGAGATTTTACATGGCGTTGAGTTGAAGGCATTTGCTGGATTATCATTACCAGAGCACTTAAAGGAGAGTGAAATTGCAGTTGCATATCGAAAACACAAATATAGAATTCTAGTTTCAAAAACATCATTAAATTTGTTGCTATATTTCTTACATGAAAATGAAGCTGTTGGAGGTGCAATTTTAATTAGAATGATTAATCAGTATTTGGATCCTGTGCTATCGAAAAATAGGCCCGATAAAATAGATCAAGAAGGCGAAGCAAATCCTGAAGAAGGTATTTCGGAATATATTGCAGATACCAATGAATTAGAGAAATTTAACGGGGAGAAAGAAGTGAAATTAGGTAAGTTACCATTAGATGCAGAAGATAGTAAAGAAATAGAGGCAGAGTTGAAGATTAAAGATGAAAAACTCGATCCTGTCAATGGAAAAACTTTAACTGAAGAGTTCATAGAGATGACGAAACCAGAGTCTGATTCACCTGCAAAAGAATCTTTACCTTTACCCCTAAGAGATTCAACAGATATTAAAAAGCTAATAATGCAGGTTGAAGATTCAAGATCAAAAATAAAGCTAGGTGCAATACAAGCAAGTTCACCTTCTGTTTGTATGTATACTTTTCACAATACAAACAACGACATGACATGTATTGCTTTTAATGACGACTCAACTTTGGTTGCAGCAGGTTTTCAAGGAAGTTACGTTAAGATATGGAGCCTCGATGGGAAGCCTCTTCAATCGGCTTTAAAAAGAGATAGAAAACAACATCAACTTCCTGAAAACTGTAAAAAATTGATTGGTCATAGTGGTCCAGTTTATGGGCTTTCATTCTCCCCGGATAATAAGTTTTTAATTACATGTTCAGAGGATAAAACAGTTAGACTTTGGTCATTGGACACATTCACTGCATTAGTTTCATATAAAGGTCATAATCAACCAGTATGGGATGTCAAATTTTCACCATTTGGTCACTACTTTGCAACTGCATCACATGATCAAACAGCAAGATTATGGGCTACAGATCATATTTATCCATTACGTATATTTGCTGGTCATATAAATGATGTTGATTGTGTTGAATTTCATCCAAATTCAAATTATGTATTTACTGGATCGAGTGATAAAACTTGCAGAATGTGGGATGTTCAAAATGGTCATTGTGTTAGAATATTTATGGGTCATACTAGTGCAGTCAATTGCTTGGCTGTTTCACCTGATGGAAGATGGTTAGCTAGTGCAGGAGAAGATAATGTCATAAATTTATGGGATATAGGAACTGGTAGAAGATTGAAAGCAATGAAAGGTCATGGTAGGTCATCAATATACTCATTAAGTTTTTCAAAAGATGGTACAATTTTGGTCAGTGGATCTGGTGACAATAGTGTTAGAGTTTGGGATGTAAAGAAGAACACAAATGATGCAGGACCAGAACCAGAAGCTTTTGTTAATGACAACAATAGTAATGGTCTTGGAGTAAAAGGAGAGAATCCCGAGGAATCCAAACAACAACAACAACAAATAAGTAGACGAGATGTTATTGCAAGTAGCGACCATATGACTGCTTTTTTCACTAAAAAGACCCCAATTTTCAATGTTCATTTCACAAGAAGAAATTTATGTTTCGCAGCAGGAGCATTTCAAGGTTAATAGACTTTTCAGGAATTATGACGTTTATTTTTGGAAAACTATACTCGAAGTTTTGAGACCTAAAATGAGTTAAAGTAGAATTGAGTTTCATATGATACGGATTTTCCATAATCTAATGATTGGTTTTTGAATGTGAGATGATTATGTTATAATATCAGAAAGATTCCTTTCGTGGATGACTACAACTTAATTTGATGATGATTAAGGTATTATACGGGCGTGCCTAAACTATGATGCGATGATGATGACATAACTGATACGAAGATGAGTAAAACTTGAGCACGAGGATTAGATACTTTTCAAATAATTAGCCAAAAATAAACACTTCTTAATTTTTTAAGATCCGCCTCACGAGAGCCACATAAATTTACATATTGAATAGTAGTTCGTACAATTTCCCCTTACAGATCTAAATTATATTACTAAATTCGCATTTCTCTTTTAACAATTCTTCATCACTATAAAGCAGGTTCGTATTTAATTTAAATACTGAGTGTGTTTCAGTCAAAGAAAACTGTGAGGGAAAATATTGCACAAAAATGTAAATTAACTTTAAATCAGCAATATCCCAGATATGAAGATGTTGAAAGTAGCATGGAACAGAGACGTTGGCTCCAGACCTGGGCATGTTAAATGAAGGATGGACGTGGTTTTAGTGGGACCTACTTTTGATGTAATTGCTGCGCAGCGATGTTTGTGAATTTCATTTGTTTAATTTACAATCTACATTTATTTGCTTTTTCCCCATATTTTTTATTAGAAATTCCATCGAATAATTCGAGACGTCATCTTCGTACAATAATTAAAATTATTTTTCTTGATTAACTAGCTATTAATTTACAGCTAAAATAGATAAAAATTTAATGCTTTCTAAACGTTCCTCAATCAATTAGACAAAACAAAAGCCGTTTTTCATTATGGAAACTCCTCTGGGATTTAATTCATAATCTCTTTATTCAGTGTGGGACTTTACTCTAGGTTAACAAAAAGACATTCAAACTTTCTCGAACTAATCCTAGGTAAGATTAAGAAGAAATGCATTAATTGTTCTGCAAATAAATATTATAAAATTGTAAAGTAATAAATCATAGTTCAATACATACTTTCATGTATTGCTATTCAGTCAATCGCAACTTATTTTGGAACACGAGACAATGAAACAATTATTTGGTCTGATAATTTTAATGCAAATTTCACAATAATTTGTAATTTTGTAATTTTGTATATTCTGAATTGTATATCAATTTAACTCGTTTTACATAAATTCTCGACCGGATGGGATGAGGATGGCCAGGATGGGGATGTCTGCTAGGTCGACAGTTTTACTTTTGTGTTACTTAAAAAAGCGAATTTTTGAGAGTACCCTGTAATTTTGATTCAGTTTCACTCCTATTTTAAATTAACTTCTCAAATTCTTGCTAAATTATTTATATTTACTTCAAATAATATTCATTGGCTCATGTCAATTACAATTGATTCTATAATTAGCATCATTTCTAGATTATCTCCCGGTAAGCCATCTTTATCCCAAGGACTGAATAAATTATAGGAGTAAATATTTTTTTAGCCTAAAATTTGGGAGAGTTAACCTTGAGCGATTAAAATTATTATGGCATGGCTTTTGCTATTAAAATTTCACATTTTTATTCTACACAATTAAATATGTATAACCTCTTAAACAATTGAATAATTTCCAAAATATATTATTATACTTTTGCACAATTTTTCATTACCAAATTGGAATATTTAGCAAAGTAAACATTGACCGATTTATTACTCTCTATTTTGAAATTCAGAATATAAATATTTAATAAAATTCCTCAGATTTTCTACAACGTAACCCACACTTTTTTTCAAAATCCATTTCAACTTTCAATTTATCAAGTTTGTATTAATATTCGAAACATGCAATTTTCAAAAACTTTAATCTTATCAGCCATCTTTGTTGCTGTTAATGCTGCTGATTCATCATCAGGTGGTATTGCTGCTGCAGCTACTTCAAAAGTTTCATCAGCTGTTGCAGGTGGTGCCTCATCAGTTTCATCTCAAGCTAGTTCAAAAGCATCTTCAGCTACTGGTGGTGCTGCCTCACAAGCTAGTTCAAAAGTTTCTTCAGCTACTGGTGGTTCATCAAGTTCAAAAGCAGGTGCTGCTGGTGTCGGTGCTGGTTCTTTAGCCGCTATTGCTGGTCTTTTATTATTATAATTTGTTTCTAGTCTATAATTGATCAATAAAATAACAAAGTAAACTAACTTTTATTATGAATTCATTTGACTGTAGATTGAATTATTATTTCACTATCTTATATGTCTCTCATACCAACATCGTTTCACTTACAATTTCTTTCCTGTAATTATTTCAAAAGAGGCATTTTTTTAAACGTTCAGACGTTAGTTGGAAAGTTGAAACTAAATAAATCAATGAGTGCATACAAATTTTATTGAAAATTCTTTGAATCCAGTTGATATAATTTGTTTAGGTACATTCATTTTGCAACTTTTTTTTAAAAAAATTAAATTTACGAGATCTTAAAAAAAAAAACGTTTCATTTATTTTTCTTGGCACAGGGGATTCAGAACCATCGAAATTGGCTGAACAAGAGCGCTAGGACTTATTAATGTTAGTTACCTACCAATTTTATCACTTTCACTCCACCTGAATACGCTATTATCAACTAATCATTAATAGCCAAATTTCCACTCGCCTTAGCAGAAACGTGGAAACTTTTCTATTTTTAGATTTTATTTAAAAAAATCGTGGAGGCTTTTTTCTTTGGTTAATTCTTATTTCATAAAGAAAATGTAGGCACGACGAACTATGTATACAAATAGGAGAAACTATTAGTCTAGCTTCATGACGGGCATGCAAAAAATTTATAGTCTGAAACATAATTCATTTAAAACTTCGTTTCTCTGTTCTAACCCCAAGGTTTATAACATATGAGATAGACGTATCAGACTTAAAAACAAAATTAGTCCTCATCATAAATCCCAAGCAATTGTTTAAAGTAGACAAATCTCTATTTAATTTCAAATTTTTAGGTTAGGCTCTTTCCATTTTTAAAATCTTACGGAAATGGATAGGGCCGAGCCTGTATCATTCTAGGTTAGAAGTATAACCAAACCAAAATTTGAAGTTTGCCTTTAAATAAGCTAGTCGAGCTTTGGCTGATAGAGCCAACCAATGTGCATAAAATCTACATTCACGATATGGATTTAAATTTTCCGAACGATGTGATCCTTTTCAGCAAATACAAAGAATCTCAATTAAAAAGCTAGAGGGTGTTCATTAAATTTGAGAAGGATCAAAACTTGAGTTGAATGAAATTAAAATTAGATTAACGTTACTATCAACAACCATCATCAACACTAATCGAAAAAAAATCTGATATTCCGTATAAAAAAGGAATTTTAAATAATGAAGCTATTAATGAACTTGGAATTTTAATTAAAGATTTAAAAATAACAACACAACTTTTACTTCCAGAACTGTAAAACAGACATTACCAATGAACAATCAATTTAGGCACACTGATATCTTGTTATCTGAAAGTTTCCAAGCTAACAACTATTTCATTCAAAAGATTAGACCTAACTTTACAGTTTCAACTTCAAAAACGAACTTTCTCGAAAAATCCAATTCCAGTATTAAGATCTTTAGTGTGACTAAATTCATGTGATTGATTTAGTTCTACTTGAACAATCCTCATTGACATCTCTTCTCTTGTAGTTCAATCTGTATATATATCTTAGTTCTTAGGTCTCATACGATAAGAAAGGAGGCTGAAGAAATCACAGGATATTATAATGAAAGAGTCTATTAAGAACCGATATAGATTATTTTCCAACTAAATTAAAACAGTGTTTTACTTTGAATTGTGAAGTGACTCACACATAAAGTTGAATTAGAATGAGGGACTTATCATGTAAAGACTAACTCAACTGATCATGTTAATTTTCAAATGAAGCTCAAACATAATATTCATAACTTTGCAACAGTACTGCATATAACAAAAACGTCAAAACTTCTGTAAATTAAACTTCCAAATCAGGAAATAACTTTGGCTTTCCAAAATTATTTTAAAACAATAAAAATAAGAACTTGAAACTAATTAGGTAAGAAAGTAATTTTGAAAATATTTATACTACCGTTATATCGTCGAATATATAGAGTAAGCATTACAGTTTAATTCAAAGAAAAAGTCATCGAAAAGAAAACAACTATAACATTACAAATTTTTCATCACATTTCTTCCTCACATCAAAATTGCACCACTTTTTAAATCCATACCCCAGATTATAAATATAAATATCACCCAAGCAGAAAAAAATAGCTAAAAATATTCTACAACACTCATATCATACACATATCGTTAAATCAAATAAAATATGAAATCAACATCTATAATTACTATAATAACCTTACTTTATGCAACACTAATTAAAGCAGCAGATCAATCAGAAGTTGCATTTTTCACAGCCTTAGTTGGTGATTTTCAATCTCATAAAACAGATTATATAAGATTTTTTGGTACAGCCACAGGTATACCTGGAGCTTTGTCTACTTTAGCTACTCAAGTTTTAACATATACAGATACTTCATATACTACATTATTAGATTCAAATCAAATTAATATTGGAGAAGTTGAAAGTTATGCAAGTAATATTCCTTGGTATACTAGAATTCAATCCGAAGCTGGTGAAGGTGGTTCTTCAGGATCAGGATCCGGCTCAGGCTCAGGTTCAGGCTCAGGTTCAGGTTCGTCATCAAGTCAATCTACAAATGGAAATACAGGATCAACATCCGCGGCTGCTGGTTCTTCATCAAATGCCCAACAAGCTACTACGTCGGCATCATCGTATGATCCGCAAAATACAGTAGATTCATCAAATGCAGCAGTAGCAGCCGCAAGGTCTGCAGATGCTGCTGATAGATCTTCTGCTTTCGGTACTACATTAAGTATATCATTAAGTTCAATAATTGGATCTTTAGCTATTGCTTTATTATAATTATAAAAAAGACGGTGATTGAGATACATATTACAACACAATGATAAATGTTTTCAATTCGTTCGTTTACACAATACTCTATTAGGTCAATAGATTATCTTTATATACCCACATACATAATACAAAAGTTTGTTTTTTCTTTACATACTAAGCAGTTATCAATAATTCCAAATACTTTAAATTCCATAGTAAATTATCTTGACAATCCACAGGCACGTTATTTAATTCTTGTGATGAAACATCATAAATATCTTCTCTAGTATGATTAATTAAATCTTTTAAATTTGTATTAAGTAACTTCAATCCATATTCAAATTCTTGATTCATTATTATATATTTCGAAGAATCTACTTGAATTTTCTCATTATTTTCATCTTTTTGACTATAGTATAGTGAAAATTTATGTATATTCGAGTCGCTTGTTTTACCTAAAATTGGGTATGAGGATGATTTATGATCTATAATATAGTATTTATAATTTGAATATTCCATTTTGTATGTTAATGGTGTTAAAGTGATTCGTGATATTACTTGAATTATATGAGTAATAAATGCAACACATGTATTTATCTGCAATATGTTAAACTGATGTAATTGCTGTATATCGTTGTTAAAATCGTGTTTATAATATATATTGCTTAAAGTCTTGGAATTATAATAACAAATATCTTTCAAATCTTTATAATTTGGAGGAAATTGGAACCCTAGTATGTCAAAATCTGAAGACACCGATGACTCAACAAATGAGGAGTCAGTTATTGGAAAAATTTCGTTGATAACCATGATGTCTTTCTTTAACAAAAGTCTAATTTCTTCTTTCATCAAATCTTTATTATTTTTCATAGTTTCCAACTCGTGATTAAATATCTCAATTTTATCATTTACCATATCCCTAACATTTTCAAAATCTAGTATGAGTTTTTTGTTATCGTTATATTCTTGTTTAACTTGATGTAATTTAACATTTAATGATTCAATTTTGAAGTTAATTAATTCCAAATCTTTATCTAATTTAGCGCATTTTATTTTCAATTGATTTATTAAGATAGGTAAGGTGTTGACATTACAATCGTCTACATCTCGAAGATACTTGCTTATTTGTTTCTTCAACTTGTATTTCGAGGAGTTCAATTCTTTAATTGATTTATATAGATTATTTATTGAACGCATTTGATCAAAAGTATATGACGGTACTGGTTTCAAGTAATGGGTATGCGGAATACTTTGAAGTATCGATGATCGCGAGTTCGGTATTACCATGTTTTCGAAAGTAAACCATTTATCATTTAATTCCAAACAGATTGAATTATCTTCAAAATGATCCATTGAATCATCATCCTTAAATTGATTGAATGGTTGAGCTACATTTAAATTGATTTTATATTGACATAGTATATTCCACGAAGATATATTGGAATAGAACCATAATTTCAAAACAAATTTATAAACATAAGGTGGAATGAATGGTAATTGGATTTGAAACTGAGGATTCATTTCATTTTCCACAATGTTGCTTGTATATAACAATATTTCACTTTTGGGTAATTGAATAGTTATTAATGTTTTAAATATTCTATTATTGGAATAATCAATCAATTGACGCTGATCTTGAAATTCATCCGTAAAGTTCGATGATGTTGTTATTGTTAAAACTGTGCTCCTTCTTCTCCCTAGCCTCTTGTACGGATATAACCCTTGCTGACTCATATGCGATTGATGTGTTTGATCTACTTTACATAGGTTGTAAAACTTAATTGATTGTAGGTCTTTTAATTTCCGTTTAGTAAAGCTGTTTGGCAGCAAAGATTTGATTTTATTTTCTTCACCGTCGCCATTCATTACAATTCATTTAGTCTGCAAAGTGTATTTGAAATGCTATTTCAGTGATTAGGTAATTGTTGTTAATGCTAAACGGAATTATCAATTCAAACACAACTTTGTTGCAAAATAAATGTAATGAAGTGTAAGAGTGTCGCAAGCCAAAAATTCAAAGTCACGACACAGCATAAATCCTTTTTCTTTTCTAAAAAATAATTTACTTAACTGAATCAAATTATATTAATTTGAAAGAAAATTATGATATAATATTATACTTATATTCAACTGAATATAATATCATCAAATTGTTTTCTCCGGAAAGGAAATAGTCATTCTCACATTCATTATCAAGCAACAAAAGTCTGGTGACTAGCTTTGGACCACTGGATCCTTCAATTTAAAATCATCTATCCATTACTTTCATACACGATCATATTTGTTAATTGAGAATTGATCTTTTAACTTCAAAGACATTTATAAAATTGATTATAATCTCTTTTCAAGAGATTTCAAGATCAAAATCAACCATTTAACATATTTGGACAATGTCTGAAAAGAAAAGGTTTGGTTCGAGGATATCGTCAATTTTTGGTCAGAATTCATCAAATGACAAAAAATCACAACCAAATACAATACCTTCCTCGGTAAATTCTTCATTGAATGTCCCATCCTCATCCTTAAATTCAAGATCCAAAGGATTATCGACATTATCTTCACCAAATCCAAAACCCTTGAATAAAACACCCTTGAGAAATCATGCTAGCTCAAGTACTATTAATTCATCACAGCACAATAGTGGGAAATCCATAAATTCAAAACCATCTGACGAGGCTTTGAGAGGAAGTACATCAAACAATCACAGCCTTAGTTTACCTGTTAATTCGCACCGAACGCAACATGATGACAACAAAAATTTTAGTTATACACTGCAAGAGAATTATCACAATCAGCCGCATCCTCGTGATCAACTGATCAACTCCTCCTCGACACAAATTAGTCAAACCTCAATTTATCCAAATATCTCAAATGTTAGTGTTCAACTTTCTCCTTCGAGCGAAAATTCAAAATTCGATCCGTCTCCAAGCCAGTCAAGAAACTTGACTCTGCCAAGCCCCGAGCCACCTACCACTCACAAATTACGAAGAAAACCACCAAGCGAGTTGGATTCATTTGACTTTGGGAACTTGAATTCTAATCCTAACTCACAATTGCAAAGTCCACAATTAAGTTCTAGATCCAAGCAAAGTCCACAAGATCGAGATCAAAGCTCAGATAGGGAAGTTCCTGGGAACATTATGGCGGATTTGGAATCTGAAATTGATCATTTCTTGCAAATGGAAGATTCTCATTCAAATTCAAATGATTTGTCAAGTACTTATTCATCAAGAAAAGCTATTTCTAATCGTAATAGTAATAACTATTTGGAAGAAACTGACGCAATACAAAATGAATTCATGAACGATTTAAATTCGAATACTAGAAACTTCACTCAACTTGAAGATCCAGTTACAGATTTTCATTTAACAAGATCAAGACAAGAAGCTCCGTATCCTATAAACTCAAATATAGCATCACCAGACGATTCCATAACTACTACACCTACAGAGTCCGTGGAAAACTCACCTCAAATTATACAGAACTATATGATGGATACGACAAACTTGGAGAATATAAATCCATTTGAAACAACTTTAGCGTCACATGCGAATTATCAACATTTTGATTCTTCTTCGTCAAATAGGTCATCAAATACTTCAATGACATCACCCATCACACAAACCAAACAATATTATGAAGCTTCCATTGCTCCTTCATCCTCTAATGTTGCAACTACTGGAGTGGCTAGTACAAGATCTTCATATTCCAGAGCGACTACAGGATCAAACTCAAGAACTCGGCCATTTGCTGAACAATCTCCATCAATCTGCCATAGCACACAAACTTCGCCTAGTTTACAACTACAAGAACAACAACGACAACAACAAGTACAACAACAGCAAGTACAACAACAACAACCACAACCCCACCAACTACAACAACCACAACATTTACCGCTACAGCAAGTAACCCAGACATTACCAACGCAACAAATTTCAACAAAAGCACCCCAGTTACAACACACGAAGACGGAAAACTCACTCTTTTCAGATGTGTCATCTATGAAAAATTTCAACACTGCTGGATCACTGCAACGAACATATCATCGTACATCAAGTTCAATTGGATCTATAAGAAGCTCAAACTCATATCGAAATGTCAACCTTGCCACACTTAAAAAGACATTAAGCTTGAAACCTGGTGAAGGTGAAAGATCAAATTATGTTTTAACTATAAGAAGAAACGCAGGTACCGCATTCAATGAATCTGGACCATCTAAATGGAAATTACCTGTGGGAATATTACCTATTGATAAGACTGCTATGAAAGACAATTCAAACGGTAAATATAAACGATTAGCCGGCAATTCAAATAATGCAAATTATCGTAAAAAAACAAGTGGTGTAGAATTGAAACATGGACATTTAAAACCGAGATTATTAGCAGCTGAAATTGATGAAGGTGATGACTATTCTACAAGTATTACATTGAATAAAACTAGTCCTCCAATAACAAACTCCTCATCCACGACTTTGAAAAATGCAACATCGGGTCCGCAATCATTCAGTACAAAAGCTTCAAGGGAAAACTCATTGAAAAGAACAACTACAGATGGATCTTTATTAACTGGGGATACACAAAGTCTAGATAGTACTAATACTGAAAGCACGAAAAATCATAATAATGGGCCCGGTCTTAATCGAAATGATTCAATTGTATCAAGTGATAGTTCAGGTAGTATATCAGAAAAATTAACAACAGGATACTATCAACATCGGGGATATAAATATGGAGAAATAGACGATTATGATTACAACGGCTCAAAAGATAATAGGGTTGATGAGGACGATGATGACGCAACTGAAATGAGTGATAATTGTGATAACGTTAATGAGGACATGAAAGATAATAACCTAAACAATAAGCATCATGGAAATATTGCACATCTTAATGGTTTTGGCAATAATGGATTTGTGAACAACGATACCGAGATTGAAGACAGACCGAAATTAGTTTTGGCTAATCCTGACTATAGTTCAGATAGTGATTGAAATTTAGCCTCTCTGAGCTTATTTTTACGTTTATGAGTCATGAATTAATATCCAAAAATGATAATAACTATACAAATTACTAATATATAATGTTTGAATTCCTCTGGGTAATACCGTTTGCAATTTTCTGTTTTCTGTCGTTCTTTAATACAATCATCAAGTGTGGTAGTGTAAAAATCACATTTTGTAATTTTTCAAGAATTCGAACCAACACGTAAATCAGAAAATACATTAATTTATTTTGACAACTGAAAGCATTAGCCAATTTTACAACAATTGTTTCCTCGTATATTTATCAACTTTACCAAAACTTATATAACTTTATGAAACTATGAGTGACAGTGGCTATACGTTAATTTATGAGCCAAATACGGCTAGTAAAATATCAACAAATGAATTCAAAAACTTATTGGAAAAAGGTAAAGATGATGTTAAAATAGATACAATGAAAAAAATATTAATCACGATATTGAACGGTGATCCATTACCTGATCTTTTAATGCACATAATCAGATTTGTCATGCCATCAAAAAATAAAGAATTGAAAAAATTATTATATCATTATTGGGAAGTGTGCCCTAAATTGGATGAAAAGGGTAAAATGAGACATGAAATGATTCTTGTTTGTAATGCAATTCAAAGGGATTTACAACATCCAAATGAATATATCAGAGGTAATACTTTAAGATATTTGAACAAATTGAAGGAACCTGAATTATTAGAAACTTTGGTCCCAAATGTGCGTCAATGCCTTGAACATAGACATGCTTATGTTCGTAAAAATGCGGTATTTGCGTTATGGTCGATACATAAAGTGAGTGAGCATTTATGTCCCGATGCTGATGAATGGATCAAAACATTTTTAGAAGTTGAAAATGATTCTGTATGTAAAAGAAATGCATTTGTTTGTCTTGGTGATTTATACAGAGATGCTGCTTTAGACTATATTCAGCATAATATAAGTGTGATTGATACCTTGGATCCTTTGTTACAATTAGCTTTTATTGAGTTCATTAAAAGAGACTCAATTCAAAATCCAAATTTAAAACAACAATATGCTCAATTAATTACTGAAATTGTGGAAAGCTCTTCAAACGTTGTGTTGTACGAGGCTGCTAACACTTTGGCTATTTTAACGTCTAATTCATCATCAATACTATTAGCAGGTAATAAATTTGTCGAGTTAGCTACGAAAGAATCCGATAACAATGTAAAAATTATAACATTAGAAAGAATTAATCAGTTAAACAAACAACATCCGGGTGTATTACAGGATTTGTCTTTGGAAATATTAAGAGTGTTGACTTCACAAGATTTGGACGTTAGAAAGAAAGCTTTAGATGTTACATTAGAATTTATTACTTCAAGAAATGTTGAAGATGTGGTAAAATTGTTGAAAAAAGAGTTACAGGCCACAAGTTTATCGAATGATGACAAAAATGCAGAATATAGACAGATATTAATTAATGCTATACACGTTCTTGCGATTAGATTTAGCGAAGTTGCAGCAAATGTAATTGACTTATTATTAGATTCAATCGCAGATTTGAATTCAACTGCTGCTTATGAAGTCATCACTTTTGTTAAAGAGGTTGTTGAAAAATTCACAGAATTAAGAGAATCAATCATAAAAAGATTAATATTAGCATTACCGAATGTGAAAAGTGGAAAAGTTTTTAGAGGCGCATTGTGGGTCATTGGAGAATATGCTACTGATGAACAATTAATTCAAGATGCATGGAAATATATAAGATCAAGTATTGGTGAAGTTCCTATTCTCACGAGTGAACTAAAATCGAAAGAACCAAATCCCTCAGAACCAATTAATGAAAATGGAGAGCTAGGACACAAAAGAAAAGGTCCAACTGTTTTACCGGATGGAACTTATGCAACAGAAGTTGCTTTGACAGCCGAAGTTAGTAATGGGTTTGATGATGATAGTAAAACTCCATTAAGAAAACAATTACTCGCTGGTGACTTTTACCTTGGTGCTGTTTTATCATCAACATTGGTCAAATTAATATTGCGATTACAAAAACTAAAAACCCAAAACAAGATATTAAATGCGCTAAAAGCAGAAGCTTTGTTGATAATGGTTTCCATAGTAAGGTTAGGTGAAAGTCCATTGGTGACTAAAAAAATTGATGAGGACTCAGCAGATAGAATTTTATCATACATAAAAATATTAAATGACGAAAAAGATGTGGAAGATATAACTACTTCGTTTCTTGATGACACGAAAGATGCTTTCAAAGCTCAAATCACAGATGCAGAACAAAAGAAAGCAGAAGCAAAGGCAAAAGATTTACACGATAATGCAGAACAAATTGATGATCCAATATTATTCAGACAACTTGACATCGATAATAAGACATCTAACAAAAATGTCGATGACATTGCTACTGCCTCAGGCAAAGACACAAACAAGGAGAACTTATCATCAAGATTAAATAAAATATTACAATTGACAGGTTTCTCAGATCCTATATATGCAGAAGCTTTTGTGAAAGTTCATCAATATGATGTTGTATTGGATGTGTTATTAGTGAACCAAACTACAACCACATTACGTAATTTGTCAGTTGAATTTGCAACTTTAGGTGATTTGAAGGTCGTTGATAAACCAACAACTGCAAATATTGGACCTCATGGTTTCTACAAGATCCAAACAACTATAAAGGTTACATCTGCTGACACTGGTGTTATATTTGGAAATATCGTGTACGATGGACAACATTCTGATGAATCAACAATCGTTATATTAAATGATGTTCATGTGGATATTATGGATTATATAAAACCAGCAACTTGTTCGGAATCCCAATTTAGAAAAATGTGGAATGAATTTGAGTGGGAGAATAAAATAACTATAAAATCACCTATAAGTTCTTTGAAAGCATATTTAGATGAATTAATGGAAGGTACAAACATGAATTGCTTGACACCAGGAGCTATCGTTGGTGAGGAATGTCAATTTCTTTCTGCAAATTTATATTCAAGATCAAGTTTTGGTGAAGATGCATTAGCTAATTTATGTATTGAGAAACAAAACGATGGACCAATTATTGGTCATGTAAGAATTAGATCCAAAGGTCAAGGATTAGCTTTAAGTTTGGGTGATAGAGTTGCCTCAATTTCAAGAAAAGGTAAAAATGCTGCATTGGCTCGTGTATAAGGTAGAGTTTTTAAAATATTAAAGTTTATCATTTCATTCATTATTTACCTCTTTAGGTTTCTGCTGATAACTGTTTTAATTTGGAGGATGGGTATAAATACTTTAATAATTTAGATTCACTTCTCAGTTTAATTTTTAAATTCTGTTCTGATATGTTCTTCAAAGCCGAATCCAAATGAATTCCAAAAGTGGCGTTTAAAGGAACATCTTCAAGTTTGACCTCGTTCCATTTCCGTTCAGTTAAATGCAACATGAAGTTGAAAATAGATGTGAGATCACCCTGTATGAAAATATTGTAAAGTCCTGACTCTCCATAGCTAATAGATAAATTATCTATGTACTTAATATTATACACCTGACTGGCATTCTCAACTAATAAATGAATTTTGTAATTCGATGATTTTAAAGTAAACGGTTCTTGGTTTAAATTGTTTATTTGACTATTTATTTTGTATATCAAAAATGTGGAAGCTTTCGACATGGCAAATGGAGTGCCATATATTGTTACGAGTGAATCAATACTTCCTTCATTCGTGCCTTCTGTAAATACCAAGTCCTTTATTTTGAAATGTTCCACCATCAGTTGTTTTAACGTTTGATCTTCTTGTAATAGTCGTGATTCCATTTTACTCAAAATTAGTGTAACGTGAGTCAATTCATTTGAATAGGATAGGGTTAGTTTAGATTGTAACTTTGATAAAAAAGATATTACTTTTGCGTCATCAACTGAAACTGGAGCAGCTTTTGACTTTGGTGAATCTCCATTTAGCTCTTCTGTCTTTAATTGGAGTTGTATAGGTGAAGTATTGAAGTTATTAGGCACATACGTTGATGATTTAGACGTCGAGACTGATGAGTGATGCGGTGTTCTATGATTGGAGAAACGTCCGTTGTGATGATGTGATTTTGTTCTTTTCCTATTCTGTCGATTATTATCCATCTCTTGATTTCACTATGACGAACTAACAAGCTTTTAGGATATTAAGTAGCTCGTATGTGTATTGATATACGATAATACTGTTACTGAAATACCCATGATAGATTCGCTACCATAAATAAAACGAAAAAAGGCATCTTAAATTCTTCAATCAATTTTAACTCGAGTAGATATTACAAAATCCAATCAACACAACGCGTATAACATAATGGGTAGCAAGAAAGACGGAAAGGTCAAGGAGCCAAAAACAAAAGAAGCATCAAAAGTAAAAGAACCAAAACAACCTAAGGAAGCCAAAACCAAATCTTCAGAGAATTCTACCACCAATGCAGTTGAAGATAATTATGAAAAAAGAATGTCAGCCATTTTACCATTTGCAAAACCTTTAGCATCTAAAAAATTAAATAAAAAGATTTTAAAAACTATAAAGAGAGCATCCAAAGCAAAACATGTCAAAAGAGGAGTGAAAGAAGTTGTGAAAGCTTTAAGAAAAGGAGAGAAAGGTTTAGTTATAATTGCAGGAGATATAAGCCCTGCTGATGTTATATCTCATATTCCAGTATTGTGTGAAGATAATGGAGTTTCGTATATTTTCATACCTTCAAAAGAGGATTTGGGAAGTGCAGGAGCTACTAAAAGACCAACTTCTTGTGTAATGATTGTACCAGGTGGTGGGAAAAACAAAAAGAATGCTGAGAAAGTTGATGAGTACAGGGAAGGATACGATGAAATTGTTACTGAAATAAGTATAAGTGATTAGACTTAATTTGAAGGGTTCATTGAGAGGAAATTGATTTAAAAAAGATAATTGTATAATATTTGTAAACTTCTAAATTAAAAGCTAAAATAAAGAATTAGCCAACACTCTTTGATTACATTGATGGGACAAAAGTCAGCACATCGTCCTTCTGTGTATAAAATTTCCCCATCTCTTAATACTTGTAATCTATGATATTTGAAACACGAACAAATATAATTATGTTAGAAATTTAACACAAAATTGAGTCCGCTATTTTGATTACCATCTTTGTATATAACAAGCAAACAAAGAACAATCAACATCAACCACAAGAGATAGCTCAATCAAGATCAACACATTTGCTAGTAATACCACCATCATCAATTGTTTGCCGTATATTGCTGGACATTAATTTAAAATTAACATGGAAAATGCTAATCAGTCTTTGCCCAACGGCGAAACTATGAAGAATGGATCTCATGATTCATTAACGGCAATAGATTACATTAATAATCAAGTGGAATTGGAAAAAGAGGCTAAAAGAATAATGCCATATAGTTTTGATGAGTGTACATATGAGAAGGGAGAATTGAGACAACCTGTATTTGCATGTTTGTCATGCTCAGAAGAAAATGATAATACCCCCATTGGTGTTTGCTATGCATGCTCAATACTGTGTCATTCACAACATGAATTAGTTGAGTTGTTTTCTAAAAGATCTTTTGTTTGTGACTGCGGTACGACTAGAATGGCTAAAACTGTTGATGGCGCATGCAAGTTGAGAAGACAGGATCATAAAACCAATTCTGCTGGTAATGCTCATAGAAGAAGATCATCAATGATATCTAATGGATCGACCGGAAGCAATTCGAATTCAAGAAATTCTAGTCAAGTGTCGTTACCAGCTGACGATATTCCTAGCTCCTCAAATGTATACAATCAAAATTTTTCAGGCAAGTTTTGTGGTTGTAAACAACCCTATAACCCATTGGAAGAAACCGGTAATATGATTCAATGCTTTTTTGGCTTTCAGTGTGGAGAAGATTGGTACCATGATAAATGTATAATGGGGTTTAAACCAGATGCATTCAAAAAAGAGACTCAGAGCGAAAATAAACAATATAATATTGGAGAAAATAGATTAGATCAGTTATCACCACCAGGATTTGCTGCAGAACAAGGAGACGACGCAGCAGAGACTGTAAGCGAGGAGAAACACTCTGCCGAATCAAAGGAGGAAGCAGGTAAGACTTATGACGACAATTGTCAACAAGAACAAAAAAAACGTACTGAACGAGAAGAAGGTATGAATGAACAAGAAATTTATCAGAATGAAGAAGATGAGTATGATATGATACAGAAATTAAAATATTTTCCAAATTTGGATTCTTTTGATAGTTTCATTTGTTGGAATTGCGTTTCTAAATTTAATACGATATTTGCAGAATTTGATAAATTTTTACCTGGTGTTATATTTGAAAAATTACCGAGATTTGAAAATATAAACACAGTGGAAGACTGGTACAATCTAAAGCAAAAAGAGGATCAACAAGACAAGAAAAGGATTAAAACAGAGAGCTCACTTCAAGACCAGTCCCCACCACTGGAATCATTTTCTATTTTCCTTCAAAACGGATTCAAAGACATAATCGAACGTACACTCCCGAAACTAGATCAAACGTCCAAACTTGCTCAATTTTTGAATAACAATTCATACTTATACAAAGATGACCCAATTTATGAACCACCAGAAGATTCAAGTGAGGAAGAATGGTCCACGACCGTCTCTTACTTAGATATGTGTGCGGCTGATGCGATACATCAATTACCTCGAGGAAAAGCTATTGAAAGTATACAAGCGTATGACAAAATAAGATTGAAATTGAGAGAATTTTTTAAACCATTTGCCGAACAAGGTAAAGTTGTGACTGAAGACGAAGTCAAATCATTTTTTGGAGAAATAAAAAAGGAGGAGAAGAAATAATTAGAGACAGAAAGGACATTTGAATTATCAAAATGTATTTATGATCATTAAGTGTAAATGCACATTTAAATTATTTACAAGACACAAGAACTCTATTATTTTATTATTTATTTGTTACTCTTTTTTGCTTTCTTTTTAGATTCTAGTTTTTCAAATTCCTCTTTCCACACATTATTTCCTTCAGATTGATCAATATCAAATAAGCGATCAAATACTTCATTATACCATTCAACAGGATAGTATGTAATACCTTCCTTAACTTCATCTGGAATTTCCTCTAATTGGTATTCACAATCCTTAGGGAAAATTATTTTATTATAACCTGCTCTTTTTGCACCCAAAGTTTTTTCTCTTAATCCCCCAATTGCCAAAACTCTACCTGTTAATGTAATCTCTCCAGTCATTGCTGTGTCATTTGGTAAACTTCTATTTAATGCTAAGGAAATCAATGATGATGTGAAAGCTATACCTGCTGATGGACCATCCTTCGGGATAGCACCACCTGGACAATGAACATGAATATGAGCATTTTCAAAGAATTTATTCTCAGGAAATTTGTTGATCATGTATTGTTTGGCAAATGAATAAGCGATCGATGCCGATTCTTTCATCACATCTTTTAAGGAACCTGTCACATGTAATCCAGCATTGTTCAAATCTGAACTGATAGAATCTGTTAAAATTGATTCTATATAGAGGGCATCCCCATCCCCTGAATTGTTATATGCCAAACCTGTTGCAACACCTGGTTTCAATGTTTCATAAATTCTATCTTTTGTGTAAATTTCTGGTCCAATAAAGTCTTTCAAGTTTTCAGGAGTGACATCAATTTTAATATCATCCGGCAATTCTAATTTTAATGGCTTTTCTTCTAGCTCTTCTTGAGGTTTTTCACTTGATTTCTCTTTTTCATTTGGTTTTTCACCTTCAACTGGTTTGCTCTTTTCCTCGGACTTTTGTTCTTCTTTTGTTGTAAGCTCAGCTTCAACATTAGCTACAGGTTTAACAATAGGCTCGACATTTTTAATCACATCCTTTTCTCCGTTTACTTCTTCCTTATCCACTTCTTCATTTTTAATTTCTTTCACTATTATTTCTTCCTGTTCAGGTTGTTGTTCTTCAACTTGTTCAACAATTTTCATGGAAGCTTTACTGAAAATTCTATTGATCAAAGTTTTGACATGACGAAGACCACTTTCACGACAATATTTATCAATCAATCTCGCTATTGTATCTCTTGAAATATCGACTAATCCAGGTTGCAACCCAACTTTTTTACAAGCCTCCGGAATTAAATGTCTAGTAGCAATTTCGATCTTTTCATGCTTTGTGTACCCATTAACTTCAATGATTTCCATACGATCTCTTAATGGAGCTGGAATTGAACCTAAATAGTTTGCAGTACAGACAAACAAAACCTTTGACAAATCAACTTTGACTTCTATAAAGTTATCAACGAAAGCATTGTTTTGTTCAGGATCTAAAATTTCTAAGAATGCTCTAGCAGCACCACCATGAGACGTTGTATCCAATTTATCAATTTCATCAATTAGCATTAAAGGATTTGATGTTTTGGCGTTTACCAATGCTGAGATAATTCTACCGGGTATTGATGCAACATAAGTTCTTCTATGACCTTTGACATCGTGAACATCTTGCACACCACCAACCGCTATTCTAGTATATTTTCTATCAAGAGCTTCAGCAATTGATTTAGCGATTGAAGTTTTACCAGTACCAGGTGGGCCAGCAAGACATAAAATTTTACCATTAACATTACCTGAAACTTTACCAACTGAAATAAACTCCAAAATTCTATCTTTAACGTCTTTCAATCCATAATGATCACGATCCAAAATTTCTCTAGCTTTTTTCACATTGAATGAATCTTTCGAATATATTCCAAACGGTATTTGAGTTAACCAATCAAGATATCTTTCAACAACATTCAGTTCCATGTCACTTTGAGTTCCTAATCTTGCTCTTTCGGTTTTATAAGCTTCCATAGCTTCCTCAGGCATTTTCAATTTCTTCAATCTTTCATCAAATTTTGTTGCTTTTGAATTTTCTCCAATTCCTGCTGCTTTTAATAATTCTTTGGTATATTCTTTAATCAACATTTGAGCATATTGCTTTTCAGTCCTTTCTCTCATATTAATATGAGCTTTTCTTTTAATTTCATCAGCGTCGACTTCAACTTTCAATAATTTCAAAGTCTTTTCTAATCTCTTTTGAACATCCAAACTATCCATAATTTCTTGTATTTGTTTAGCATCTCCACATACTGACCCACCAACGTAGTCCGCTAACATTGATGGATCATTCAAAACTTTTCTACCACCTTCTGCAGCCAAGGGATTGGGCGAAAAACTTGAACATAAACTTTTAATACTTTCAACGAGAGCCTGAACCTCAACATTATTTTTTTCAAACGGTTCATCTTCTATTGGTTGTACAGCAGCGTATGAAATGCCAAATTTTTTCAAGTATGCAGTAGGGAAATTTTCTTGTTGTTGTTCAATATTTTCATTTTTATGTTTTGGTGTGCTCAAATCAACTAACTTAACTCTTCTATGTGGATATGCTAATATGTGTACATGAGTTGAATCTAATGGGGTTACTTTTGCAATTTGACATAAAGTACCAATTTCATGAACAAATTCCTTATTTTTGATGATGTCAATATGCGCATCTTCGTTATCTGGATCTTTTACATGAAATAAAACAAAATATGGTTCTTTGGTTTCGACAACTTCTTGTAAACATCTTATTACTTCTGGATCAGTCACAGTTATTGTACAGTATCTTCCGGGTAAGCAAGGACGATCTTTCATAGGTATTGCTAAGAATGGCGTATACAATCCTGTTCTGGAGTTTACCAAGTGTTGATCATCTTTGCCATCGTTTCCATTATTATCATTATCATTGTTATTATTGTTGTTATTATTATTGTTATTGTTATTGTTGTTGTTGTTGATGTTATCGTTTTTGCCGTCATTACCACTGTTTGAAGAAACAGAATTCGAACCACTCGTTGAAGGGGTGTTGGGATCTATACTAATCTTCGATTCAGCTTGTTCCACTATATCTGTTTGTGTTTCATCCGTCTTATTCTTTTCCAAATCTTCCTCTTTCTTTTGTGGTGATTTTTCCAGATTTTCAGATTTATCTTTTGATGGTGATTTAATTTTATCTTTTGGTTGTTCTTTGGGTTGTGGTTGATCTGGTTTCGACTTATCAAAATAGATGGGATTATTTAGTATAAACTTTTCCTTATTGTGAATAAATGGATCTGGTCTGAGATCTGAAGGAAAGTGAGGTATCTGCAGGATCAAAGGCCTTATTGACGTAGGACTGATCTGAGTAGATGTTGTTGCATTTCGTACAAGTTTCACATATTTATAATTTGAACGTGTTGACTTCTTCAAAATTCGCCTCTTTATTGCGCGACAAGTGGTTGTTTTATTCAAAATAATCATGATCCTGGCTTACAACTTGATTGAAAACTAGCTTTAAGCGTAAATATGAAGTTAATTACTATAGTATGAATGATTCAAATTCGCCTTTGAATATTTTTAAACCCGAAATATGATGTGAAACAAAAATTATTTGTCAGAATTGAATGCTACCAAATTAAGATCAATGAGAGACCAAATTTCGCTGCGTCGTACGACCGCTATTTAAATCAAAGAGATTGAAAAATGTTAGAATAATAGTAATCCGTATAATTTCGGTCCATTTATTCCTCATTTATTCGATTGTAAAAACGTTTCTTTTCTTCTTCACTGGTTCGTCTTCATTGTCCTTTGCGGTTTCGTCATCAACATCCTCTAACTTTCGAATCTTTTTCGACACGGCAATTGATGTGTTAGCAGCATCGTTTGTGAAATTTGAATCTTCAAATTTATTCAAAATGTTAAAGCTAGTCTCAATTTCATCGTCAGAGACTTCATCGTCAAATATTGAGTTCTCTTTCTTGATTTGGCTTGAGGTATTGTCATTTGACCCAATAGATTTCGTTACCTGTTTGATCTTTTTAATTCTTCTAATTTTGTTTGTATTAGTTGGTGACTGGTGTGGATCGATACTATTCGATCTTTTATTCATCATTAACATTGTTGGTGAGGTCAATGTGGAGTTAGCACCAATCGAAGTATTTTGTCCACCTGAAGAGGTCACGCTTCTCGTCATTCTTGGCCTTCTTTGCGGAGTGAATTCCGGTGATGGACTTTCTGTATCAGGCTTTGATTTTTTCTCTTTTGGATCTTTACCCAGTTCACTTTCACTTCTGACACCATCATCTTCATTATCAAAGTTTTCAATATATTTGGAATTAGTGTTTAACTTAATTGCTGATGGCGACGAAGTAGCTCTAGGTCCATTGTTCACAGAAATAACTTCATCACCGTCTTCTTCTTTTCCACCCTCAATTTCATTGACGTCATTCAATTTAGTTACTAAGTCATTCGAGGCTGAAGAATTCAAAATGTTTTTGAATTTATTCTCCAATTTGTGTATCTTATTCTTCTCCTTTTTGATTGGTGTCATTAACTCATCATCAAAAATAGTTGAAAATGTCAGTCTTTTGTAAAAAGGTAAATTTGTTGAATTTGATGAATTGAATTTATCTGGGGTAAATATTGATTTTCCACTAGGTACTCTATTTCTTTGACTCTTGAAAAAGTTTGAACTTCTGTTAGAATTTGAGGATTTAGACCTATTGTCTTTAGTTGAATTCAATTTTTTAATTTGTGATTTTAATCTTTCGTTTTCCTTTTTGAATGAATCTAATTTGACATCTTTTAATTTTGACTCAGTTGAATATTGTTGTTTCAATTTGTTTAATTCTATTTCAAAATAATGACTGGACGTTTCCTCTCCTTTCTGCTTTTTCTTGGGACTTGATTTTACTACTTTTTTACTGGCTATCTGATTTTGTTTGATTAATCCTAGTTTGAGTATGGCTGTTGTAATTTGAAAAGCCCTAAGCTCATTCGATGTCACCAATTTTGATAGTTCGAGCCTTAATTCATTATGCGTCCTTATCAATTGCGGGTCAACCATATGTAATTAAATGTTGTTATATTTTGAGTCTTTTAGGTCCAGTTGATGGTATATAGATGAATCTTGTCATATATAATTATTTGTTTCTACTTCTCAACTGTTTACGTTTTGCTTTTTTTGGTGATTCGCTTATCGGTTTTGTGCCATCAAAAGCTACCTATTTCATCAAATTTACGAGGAAGACCTAAAACCCTTATCTTAATAACTAATGAACATATCTGGAAGAGAAAGAAAACTAATAAACAATTCCAACATCTACAACGCATGTAATGGAGACTATCACGTGAAAAGGAATATTAATAGAAAATATATAGTGGAGAACAGAGACTCTATAAATCATAAATTGGTAAAAACTCCTCAAGGTATAAAACTTATCATTGATAAATCATCATCTGATTTGGATCAAGTATTTCAAAAGTATGGAAGATCAATACCACCAGATGAAATATTGGAAATGATGAAACCGGGGAATTTAAAAATACCGATAGTTGAAGATCCTTTGTTACCAAATTCAGATTTATTAAATTCCATACATTATTACTTGTCTAAAAAATACAGTCATGAGGAATTAACACTGGCAAACAAAAGATTGAAAAGATCAAAAACGAAATCTGCTGATGGAGGTAGAAAAGCACTTAGATATGATAAGTATTTGGAATCAATGGATGAACTGAGTTTAATATTCATGGGAATGTTAATAGAATCCTGGTGTGATGAACTAATTACTGATGAAGTTTGTAAGATGTATTTGGAGAGAGACCCAGCTTTGAGTGATGATGACAAAGATGAAAAATTACAAGAGCATGGAACTGATAGCGAATGTGAAGTCGAAGATGATTATACTAATGAGATAGAGGATGACAAAATCTCGTCTTGACCAAAAGACGAGAAGTTAAAATAGTGGCTAGGTAATAATGAAGGTAAAGAGATAAGGGAAGACGAAGGCTGCGATGTGCTATAAAGAACAAGAAATTTGAATTAAGAATGATAATTCATAAGGTAACATTTGAATCTACAAATTCAATTTCACAATAAATTAAACCAATTGTCAAAGTATTTGTCCAAATATTCTGATATAAATGACAACAAGGATAATCATAAAATATTGTTTAAGTAGTAGATATCTTTACTGTCAACAATGATCTGATGACTAAAATCTTCTATTCATTTTTTGGTTCCTCCTCCTTTTCAAATTTGTCTGTAACTTTATCATCTTCTGAAGCTTCTTTATCTTCTCTATCTTTCTTAGCTGCTTCTACCTTCTCTTGATACAATTTTTCTTTACCAACATCATTAGCAGTAGTATCAATATCAAAGATTCTACTTAACAATTCGTGAGTGTCTTTTTTACTAACCATAAGATTTATGTTTGTTTTACCTTTCCATAATGGTAAGAACAAATCCTCTTTATCATCACGACTAATGGTCAAGAATAAACAACCTTCACTTAAAGTATCTAAAGTGTTTGAAAACTCTTCATCAATTTTTAATTTTCTCAATTCTTCAATTTTTGGGAACGCGTTTGTGAACAAATACTCCAATAATTTTAAATTACATTTTAAATGTCTTTTAGTACCAATAAAATGTTCAATAGTATGCAAAGCCTCAGTTTGAACTCTCCAAGGACAACCTTCACTATGTTCACTTCTTTGACTTACAAATAATTTTATTCCACCGTGTACTAATTTTAATTTTTGATCATTAATTGTAAGAATTTCTTTTACTATTGGTGACGCATAATAAATTGTTCTTAAAGGTTCACCAGTTGCATTTCTAACTAATGTGCAATCTTTTGGGAAGTTTTCATTAAAATCATAAAATGGCCAACATTTTTGTAATTCTTCGTTGGATGGGTCTAGGAAAATAAATGGTTCTTCATTAGCATCTCTTGGTAATTTTTGTTTCACAGATGTTGGTTTGAGTTCCGTTGAGTCTTCAGCTGTTGTGACAACAACTGATTCAGGTTTTTCATTGGTGGTATTGCTTGTCTTCTGTTTCTTATTGCCTTTCTCTATATTTTCATCTTCACGATCAGTTCGTTTATTTGAAACACTACTGGTATTACTTTGATCAACTTTTTCAAAAACAGTTATGAAAAATCCTCCTGTGTTTTGCAAATGAGGATAAACTCTAACACATTTACGCAACTCACTTTTAATCTCCTCTTCAGTTGGTGGATACATCGAATCTGAAAGTATTTCATCTTCCCCTTTTTGTTTTATTTTCATATCTTTTCCAAAAACAACCCAATCATTCATACCTTGTCTTCTTTTCAAACCTGACAATTCATTACTAACATCGACCAATTTAATTTTGGACCCCCACTGTCTTAATGCTTCTGCTACTATTGCCTCGTTTTCAATCGGTGATAATGAACAAGTAGAATAGACTAGTCTTCCACCAGATTTTAATAATTGTAATCCACGATTTAAGATATTATATTGTAATGGATGTAACCCTATAGCATTACCTGGCCTAAAATCTTTCCATATATTGATATTCTTTCTCATAGTACCATCTCCAGAACATGGTACGTCACATAATATTCTATCAAATTTTAAATGGGTTGAGGAGTTATTTAATCTTATTCTAGGAAATAATTGAGCATCATGATTAACAACCAAGAAATTTGGTGAGTTCAATCTCTTTATTTGATGCACCAACATATGACTTCTTTTGTAATCAGAATCATTAGCCAAGACGAATCCAGTTGGTTGTTCTTTTTCATCATTAGCATGTAATGCTTCAATCAATTGTGCAGTTTTAGATCCAGGAGCAGCACACATATCTAATACATAATGTTCTGGTTTGATATCCATTAATAAAGGTGGGATCATTGAGACAGCTTCTTGTCTACTAATATTTCCTACTTCAGTTTCAATAACCAAAAAACGTTGAGTTTTTGCAAAATCCTTCTGTTTCTTTATAGTCTGTTTACTAACATCAATCTGCCAGCCTAACTCATTGGGATAAAATTCAATGTTTTTTGGTGTTATGTCAACCCCTTCAAACTCTTTACCTTTTAAATTTTTGACATGCCTATCTAAAAACACATTTCTTATTTCTTCTGCATGTTTTCTATTTCCCGTTATTCTAAAAGTCATCGGCAAGTTCGCTTGACAGGACTTCTTGAATTCTTCCCACTCTGATTCAGGGAGTATTTTCATTGATTTGTAATACTTTTCCCAATCTGCATTATCTCTTTCAACCTCTTTCCATGTGTTGTTTGCTCCATTTTCGTTGTTTTGTCTTTTAAAAGTTGTGTCCTTTTTGTTGTTTCTCTTGAAATTACGTTTTGGCATGTTGAATTTGTAAATGTATGTTCTATTTTGTCGTAAAAGGTTTGCTCTATTGAGCATGCAAATTGATATCTTGTGTTTTAAAAAACTGTTTTAAATTTTTTTTTTCTTTTAGAGCGTTTGATATGAAAAATATTTGGAACCGCTCATCTCGTCTCGACCGAGCACATCACCAGACTTTTATAAAATCTCTAAACATGCTCAACAAACTGAACAACAATACTCAAAGACTTGATTGTACTTCTCAAAAGAGAAGTACTGACAACTATATTGAATTTGCAATATGCGATTCTCAATTGTAGCGTCATCTTTAGCGGAAAAATAAATATTTGATACTCAATGTTAAATCCATTTATGATTTATCGTTTAACATTCAGGTATCGAGCTCAAAATTCAAGTGCCACTTAATTTTTTATTCTGATAAAGTACACATGTAATTCAAATCGAGTGTCAAAGATGACTTTGCTTTTCTGACAATAAATGTTGCAGATCTACTATTTTTGCCAACTTTTATGCTTTCAGAAAATTGGTATCAGATCATATATCATTAAACTCCATATGCCGAGCTAAAAAGCTGTTCAATTTACGGATGATGAGACACTTGATATCTTGGCGATTTTCGAGCTATTCTAATTCAAGTCGTGACAAACACTGAACTAAAAAAATCAACCAAAGCAAGTACAAAAAATTCCATCAAAATTTTTAAACGGCTTGATAGAAATAAAAAATGCTTTCCTCCAAAAAAAAAAATACAAGGCTTCTTGGAAAGATTACTGAAAACACTTACATCACGCTTAATATATTCTGATTGTAAAAGCAATTATATGGTGAACGTAAACGAACAACAAAATATTGACTTTTAATTTTGTGATAGTAATGTATAAGTTTTCACTTCCCCACCTTTTAAAAAATTTCAACTCCATCAGTAATTTTTTTGAAGTCGCTAATCCAAATCAGAAATCAAGAGCAAATGAAGAGCTTAACAAGTCGAAGAGTATTACGAGAGTTAAATTCTTCAACAATTCTTCAACTAGTTCTTCTTTCTTCTTGTCTCAAGAAATAATATGAAAAAAAAAATTATAATATGTCAAAATTATGTCAAGATCTACGCGGAATAAAATATTAGGTTTCGAGATTTTGTGTCAATACAAAATTTTCCCCCCACATTTTTTGAAAAAAATTTGCCATAAACAATAGATGCATCTCGGATTAATTCGAGATTATACGGCACTAATCACGAAGATCAATGATTGAACGAAAGATGTCATCTGGTGTATATTAGTATAAATATGGACGGGTAACCAGTTCTTGTTTCTCAAAATTATGAGATATTCAAAGTTTTAATCAAAAACACGTTTTCAAATGGACTCAACAGAAGAATTCAAACCAAGAGTGACAGAAAGTGATCTGGATCATGAGGGTTCACTTGCAAATGAAAAAAACTTATCTTCACCATACGAAAGTAACGATGCATCGAAAGTCCATTCATTTGTAGGAATGACTGGTTCAAAGTTAAATTACGCGATTTCAATATTTGCAGGCGTTGGATTTCTTTTATTTGGTTATGATCAAGGAGTTTATGGAAGTTTATTAGCATTGGAATCGTTTGAAAAACAATTCCCAAGTATAAAAGCATCGAATAACAGTACTTTACAAGGAGCAGTTATCGGAGTCTATGAATTAGGTTGTTTAGTAAGTGCTGTTTCAACTGTTTATCTTGGTGACAAATTGGGTAGATTAAAATGTATGTTTTTGGGTTGTTTTATAGTTTTGATTGGAGCAGCCTTACAAGCTTCAGCGTTTACTGTTGTTCATTTAGCAATAGCTAGAGTTGTTACTGGATTTGGAACTGGTTATTTAACTTCTACTGTTCCAGTCTGGCAAGCAGAATTAAGTAAAGCAAAATCAAGAGGTAAATTAATAATGATGGAAGGTAGTTTGATTGCGTTGGGGATCGCAATTTCATATTGGATTGATTTTGGATTTTATTTTATTGATGCTAATACGAACGATACAAGAGGAATATCTTGGAGATTGCCAGTTGCTTTTCAAATGATTTTCCCTATCATGTTATTACCAGTTTTATTTAAACTTCCTGAATCACCACGTTGGTTAATGACTCAAGGTAGAGTTCAAGAGGCGAGGGGTGTATTCAGTGCTTTATTCAATTTGCCAGAAGGAGACGAAAAAATCACTGATCAATTAACTGAGATTCAAAGTGCATTAGATTTAGAGAAGACATCAAAAGAATCTTTTGGTTTTACCGATTTTTTCAAACAAGGGCCAGCTAGAACTTTCCATAGATTAAGTTTAGGTTGTTGGGCTCAAATCTTTCAACAAATCTCAGGTATTAATTTGATTACTTACTATGCGGGAACTATCTTTCAAAATTATATTGGAATGTCTCCATTCAATGCGAGAATTTTAGCTGCTTGCAATGGTACTGAATATTTTTTGGCTTCATTATTTGGAATTTATTTTATTGAGAGGCTTGGTAGACGTCCTCTCTTGTTCTGGGGAGCGATAGGTCAAGCATTGGTAATGATGGCTTTAACTATAGCAGGTTGGAAAGCTCAACAGGCTAAAGATCAAGGTAGATCAGGTACTTCTGCGGGAATTGCCGCAGCCTTTTTTCTATTTGCTTTCAACAGGTATGTGTCAACTTTTTTAATTGATCGAACTTTTTGTTCTTTTCACGGACGATTTTATCTGAAGTATAAAATCAACTAAATAAAACAAATGTTACTAACTCCACATAGTGTATTTCTGGTCCTGTATTTAGGTGGGACATGGCTCATACCAAGTGAAATAGGATCAATTCAATCAAGATCTGCAATTGCAGCCTTGTCAACAGCTTGTAATTGGGGTTTTAATTTTATGGTGGTAATGATAACACCTATTGCATTTGAGTCAATCAACTATTACACATACACTATCTTTGCAGTTATAAATGCCTTGATGGCACCAGCTGTATACATCTTTTTTGTCGAGACGAAAGGTAGAAGCTTGGAGGAACTCGATTTTATATTTAACCAATGTCCAGTTTTTGAACCTTGGAAAGTTGTGTCAATTGAAAAACACACACCTAAAAGAACTTATGCAGAAGACGATGTAAACGATATTGAAAAAGTTAAAGTTGAACACATAGACAACTTAAGTTCCGATAGCTTGATTGCTAGGTAATTTCATATTTTAATGATGTAATGATAATATCCTTTAATTTTGTGTAACGAAATTACGAAATTTTTTAAATTCTGAAACGTAGCTTCTTTTTCTTAGGAGTGTTCTGAAACTTCTAAAAATTGAACAATATTTCTCTCTATGATAATTAAAGCAGTAAAGGTTTGATAAAACTGCATTAATACTCAGATTAATTTCAGTGCTCTTTTCCCTTAAGTATCTACTCGTTTGCAAGACCTAGTGACATTCGTTTCAGATGTGCTTGTAAGATTTTTAAATAGCAAAATTTGAGAGAAGCCGAGACTTCGTGACCTTACAAAGCCAATATCCATACAAAGTAGGCATCGATACTTATTTTTTGATTAAACATTTGAAATTCATGGTAATTGGGCCGAATGCATTTCATAAAAAGACGTTCTTTGCCTTGGGTTTTTATGCTATTAATTTATTCGACATTGAGCAATTGATGAAATTACGAATAGTAATTTTTACTCGACTCAAAATGGCTAGATATGGTCTAAAATGTTACATCAATTTAGTATGTAAATATGTATCAAACAGAATATGTCTAATGAAACTTTCAAGTTTATTTTTGTGTTCCTGCATAACTCTTTATTTTGTTAATCAAATCGTTATCATACAATTTCTTTTTTTCTTTATCAAGCAGCAGCAGGACAAAAAAAGGGAAGATTCTGTTGGCACCATCATAGAATATCTCATAATTACTAGTTATCGACTGAAAAGCTACTTAATTGATTAAGTATACTTGACAAAAATAAAATTTAGCTCATCATTTCATTGCAACCTACTTATCAAATCATCCATAACATCTTGTTTATCAGAAAAGAAACAAACTAGAATCAACTGTACATAATTTCTAGATACTATGACAATTAGTACATTACCAAAGAAATCAGAAGAGAATGAAAATCTGCCATTAAATCCCAAGCAAAATCGTCAATATAATAGTCAAAATGATAACTTGTCAAATTCTCAACCAATATTACAAAAAAGTGATCAAAATCATTTGAGACATGCACAATATTCCTCAAGTTCATTAAATTCAGATGAGCAAATATACCCGTCGTCAAATCAGTTTCAAAATCAACTTAGTTTAAATAATGGCAAATTGAATTCATCACCGTTACGAAGACCAAAATCTGGGAATGCAATAGATAAGTTAAGTAACAATAATTTGGAGAGTTCACACTATACAGAATTTGAAGAGTTCTCATCACCTAAAAGAAGAGTTTCATTTTCAGCGAATGAATATCTCAAACTTAATCCAGAAAAACCATTATTCCAAAGGTTATTATCCAGTCATCATTCAGTCACCAACCCCAATTCACCACTGGCAACAACTTTGGATTTTGGATATCTGGCTAATCCAAATTTTAATAAAAGTTCATCAAATTTGTCATTACATCATCCCCATCAACCTTCACTTTTTTTAAATTCGAATAATTCAGGATTAAATCTAGATTTAGAACAACAAAGAAGATTGAGTATTGTTGATATCGTGAATAATTTAAGACCTTCTAAATTAATTGGTAATGTAAAACCTTTATGTAATTGGTATGCGTATTACAAAGATAATGTTAACAAGATCAGGAACAAACAAGTAAGAAAATATTACGAAGAACAAAACTATTTAATTGAGAAATTTCAAGAAATTGATAATTTTTTGGATGCCGGTAAGATTCATTACAATATGTTAAGTAATTACAATGATTCCAAAAAGTCAAATAAAGAAACTAATTCGAAAGCAATTGCATTGGATCATATTGAAGAAATGGACGAACCGTTAAGTGGTGCAACCACTCCAATTTCAAATAATGAAAGACAACATCTCCCAAATATAAGTAATTTTGACAACTTAATCAAAAAATCCGAATCCGAAAGAACTGATAACAGCAATGGAACTAGTAATGACACCAGTAATGGTAATGCTTCTTCAAAATACTCGCGATTCTACGATGTTCCTGGAAATGTTGCAAACGACGGATCAAAATTTTTAGGATATAACGAAGAAGAAGATAACTCGCAGATTTTGAACGCAATCTTGGTAAATTTTTTCATTAATGTAGTGTTACTAATTGGTAAAACGGTAGTATCAATATTAACAAATTCCTTGTCAGTAATTGCTTCATTATTAGATTCCATTTTAGATTTTTTGTCAACTTTTATCATATATATTGTAAATAGATTAGCGTCACAGAGCAATTGGAAAGTTAAACATTCTTATCCTATTGGGAGGTCAAGACTAGAACCTTTGGGAGTTTTGATCTTTTCAATAATCATCATCATTTCATTTTTTCAAGTTGGTCAAGAATCATTCAGAAGACTTTTTTTTAGTACACCGGAACAAAGGAAACCAGCAACTATTGGACCAGATGCAATAGCTATAATGACAATTACAATTGTTGCAAAATTTGGATGTTGGGTGTGGTGTTCTAAATCTAAATCTTCGTCAGTTCAAGCCTTAGCTCAAGATGCAATGACAGATGTTGTGTTCAACACAGTTTCTTTATTGATGCCATGGTTAGGTCACATTTTAAACATTTGGTGGTTTGATTCATTAGGTGCTTTGCTATTATCTGTATATATTATTTTAAATTGGGGAGGGACTGCATTTGAACATATTAATAATTTAACAGGTGCCGTGGCGAATCAATTAGATTACAAAATCATCTTGTACTTAGCGATGAGATTTGCTGAACCAATCAAACAAATTACAGCTCTCAAGGTATATCATGTTGGTGATAATTTACAAGTTGAAGTTGATCTAGTTTTTGCTACTACGGACTCAAAATTCAAAGATTTGAGTTTCAAAGATTGTCATGATATAGCAGAAGCATTACAGTATTCGATTGAAAGTTTACCAAATGTAGAAAGAGCATTTGTACATATCGATTACATGGAAGGGAACTACAAGGGACATCTTAAATAGAAGCAATGATAGTTAAATACTTTGATCTTTACTATAAAAGTTTTCCTCAAGACAATTCTCTAGACCAGCTATGTAAATTGAAATGATATCCTTTTTGGAATTGATCATACTGATGTTCTCAAACTTTGTGATTAATTTATAAATCGAACTTAAATGAAAATCCAAATTCTTTTGTGAAAACTCCTCGAGAATGTCAGTAATTATATCCTGACGATCCATAATTATTCGCAAGATTAAAATTAGTATAATACCAGTAAAATAAAAACAAAAATGAATTTGATCAGACAAATAAGCGAAGTAAGAATCATTATTAATATTTTCGACATGATCTAACACTTTTTTACCAAACTCAAACATTTTTATCAAATAATTTGGTTCTTGGCTCAATAGGGCCGTTCTCATCAATTCTGGACTTTGATTCAATCGCTCGAAAGAAAATTCGTCTTGTGATATATTCACTATTTCTTTGTGGAAACAGAAAATAAACAAAATCAACATTGAGCAAAAATTATAATTGAACTCGACAAATTGTAAGGCTGGTTGTTGAAATAAATAATCCCATGTGATTAGCCAATCTTCTATTTCTTGTTGTGTGGTTTTAAAGTTTTGCTTGATTTGATTAAGATCGGTACTATTTTGTTGTTGCAAATATTTGTAAGTGATATATAAGATGTTTATTTCTGAACACATTCTACCATCAAAATTAGTGGCATTAAACAATGACAATGCAGAATTACAATATTTGATCCTCGTATCGTCCAATATGCACATTCTTCCGGAGAATAAGCAGTTGACCACATGAACCAAACATAAATGATTGTATATCCTAATTTTGGTGAGCAGTTCAGAATCGGATGTTTCAGAAACTGAACGAAAAGTTTGAAATGTTGATTTGGTTAAAAACGAGGTAATTCCAATACTTGATAATTGATAAGGGTCTAAGTTGAACCCCATTAAATCGTTGGTAGAATCATTAATTGTTAGATTGGAAACTAACGTTGATATCGAAGACGAGTAAATACTCAAAACCACCAAACTTTGTAAAAACTCGATAAATCCATAGTCGTTCTTAGCAAATGAAGTGTACCTCAAAAAACTTTGATTCAAATCTTGTATTAAAACGTTAATGAGTTGTTTAAATTTATGGTGTTGTTTGCTGCTATCCATATTATCATCCAAAGAATATCGAAGACTTATACAACAACAAGTAGTTAACAATAATGGGGATTTGTATTTGATTTCTTCCACCAATATATCAGTTGGGATCTTACTAGGAAATGAAACCCATCTACCATAATTTCTTCGAAAGTCATTGACCAAATCAATTACTTCTGATTGAGTTAAAATGCCCAAGTCTAATAAAGTATTGTGTTTAACGTTGGACAACACATCAGGTGAAGCAATGAAAAGATTCAGTATAGTCGACGGACACAAATTCTTACCTTGCATATGGTTATTTATTAATGCAAATGGTGATGAAATAGAAGTTGAATTCAACGTTGGAAAATCTGGTATGATTGGTTCAATTTCCTCAACATTTGAGACCGAATTAGATCTTGAATTTAGACCTTGACCAGAATTATTTTGCATGGAGCTAGCAGCATCCAACAACAACCTTGCATCCTCATTATTATCATTTTTAACAATCCGAAAAATCTCACTAACCTTACTTAAGATTAAATTTAATTTATCATTCTGGTCTCCACTTATGATATCAGTGTTTATTATATTATTTCCATTATTATTTCCAGCTTCACCTTCAAATGAACAAACTTTGTTTATAAATCGACAACGTAAACATGAATTAGGATGATCTGGTGATCTGAAACATCTTGTCTTTTGTTTCCTACATAGCTCACACGCTTTCAATGTTCTGGAAGCTTGAGCTAATCTTCTTGTTTCACTTTCTGCTTTTGATTTCGCTTTTGATTTTGCATTTTTGCCTACTGAAGTTTTTCGCTTTTTAGTGCTAGACTGTTTGTCTATTTCCTCCTCTAATTCCTGCTGTTCTCCCTGTTGATGTTCCGTTGGAGTGTGTGTTTCAGAATTTGTTGTTTCAAGTTCACTCATATCTCAACTAAATTGTTGGTCATTTATCTTAATATCTATATATATTAAACAATTTAAATTATGGAGATAATTGGGTAGACTTAACTTGATATGGCTGATGCCTTCTGATCCCAAGTTATGTTATGTTTTTGATGTTGGTTTGAATTAAAGTGCTAAATTAAGCATACTTACAATATTAAGTTTTGTTCCGTTGGAAGTAAATTTTTCAAGTTCAAACTTTTGGTAGAAACGCACTACTTTCAATAAGCTCAAAACTCAAAACACTATCTTCACCAAACAAGCATCAGAATGTAACTGACCAAATATAAAGCTAATTGACTAATTTGAATTAATTAGCTCAAAAAACCCTTTTTGCAAACTTCTGCCGGAAAAGTCTCGTATAAAAGTGCTGGAGCGTTAGTGTCGACATATCTGTCTCATCTATACTCCAGAATTTGCTGCTTTTATTACGCTACTTGATTTATTACATTAATTTAATTTGTTCATCTCTCTATGTCAAATGTAATAAACAGTTGGTATTAAATAAAAGAAGAAAAAGAGGAACTGCACTAGAGTGCGAGCGATCACCAAATTTTATAAATAAATTTGTCTAAAGTTAGTTTATAGTTTGATCTCATCACGCCTTGAAATAGTACTTATGGAAGTTACTCTCAAGTCGTTTGTGATGAAAAAAACTCAACTTACTCCCTACTTTGTCCAGTTACCGTCTCAAATTATTGTACAATAATTTTGCAAACTCGTCGGGAAGATGAAACACAATCTGGTAGCCCATGGATAAATTTTGGCCAATTTATTTAGTTTTCGAAAATATTTGTTCAAGTCAGCATACAAATATTTAATATCAAGAAGAAACTGATTATTATCTAATTAAAACAATAAAGTTATAACTGGTAATATTCATTTCATTTATCAGAACAAATTCAAGAAAATCTGCGTCAAATTTTATTAATATTTTTCATTATAATAAAAAGGTAAATCCCGAAGCTTAAGATACGATTCACAAAGTGTGTGTGGTATTAAGTAATGAAACAATTTTGGCAGGTTCAATTGGACTTTCAACAGAGTTTAATTTGCAACTAATTTGGATCAAATATTTTCTGTACAGCCAATCGATTTGTTTTTTTCAAAATAAACCGTTTACTAAATTAGAGCTCTAACCCGCTAAACAATAGAGAGTTAAAATTATGTATAGAGGAAAAACTCTTAACTAATGATTTATATTATTTGCCATCTTTGATTCAGCCTCAGCAAATCAAAGTTTACCCCTCATTAGTTTGTAACGTGGTTAATTACACAAAAATACAAGCTGGATGTTTCAGATTTAATTTATTTCATAAGGTCATTTGAATCTTATTTACATCGAAGCATTTGGATAGAAACATTAGAAATATCAGGACGACAACATGGACTTTCATGAACCTATCCAATGTATCATTACCAAAATTTTTTGTATTCGACAAATAAAATCTTTAGAATATTAAATAACAAAATCATAATCTGACACAAAACTCGTCTATTTTTAAGATCTTGAAACAATCTTTAACATGCAACCAAAAAAATAATAATTACTCTTTTCGTCTAAATTAAAGATAAAAAATTCTTGATTTAATCAGCAACAGAACAACATGACAACTGGTTGTTGTTACAAAAGTTATTTAAGGTCATTCACTTTTTTTTCTTACAATCATAATCATTCAAATATGTCAAGGATAGTAACTACAAAAACAATCACTCCACCAGATTCAACTGATGATAAATATACTAAGATAATAACTTTTGAAAATGATAGACAGCAAAAAACAAGTATTGGGTTTGGAAACTCAACATGTACTAAACTAGACAATTTAATATTTCAAAATCCTCAATTTATGCAAGATGTAACTACTCAACCGTCAAATCAAAGTAAATCTAATGTGTTAAGCAGAAAAGTCACCCCAGTCAACGCACCACAACCACAACCACAAAGCAGGGTCGTATCATTAGCATCATCATCACCATCGAAAAGCTCATCCTCATTATCATTATGGAATATGAATAAACCAAAATCTCCTATATTCACTGCAACATCAACACCACTCACGTCAGTTTTTTCAACTCCAGATCCTACAGAAGAGCTTACTGATTTTCAACTTTTGGGGATAAAGATGAGCTCCATGTTAAATAAAATGGGTCTTATTGAACAATTACAATCAGGAGACGAAATCCAACAGCATCAATCAAATCTCATACAAAAACTGCAATTACAAACACAACAAGAACAACAAGATCCTAATCGAAACTTTTTTGTAGACATTAATTTTAAAATTTCCAAAAATTTGGTCAATTACAACATTAATTTGAAATTACATTATCAATACAAGTCAGAAATTGAAATAGATGAATTACCTACAAATTTATACATTACTAAAGCAGAGATTATCAAATACATAACGGAAAAAATCATATTTCAAACATCACCTACATTACAAGATATTTTTTCCATTGAATTGAAAATTAAAAGTTTGTTAGTGTTGAGAAAATTGAAATGCTATATTAACGAATTTGAATTGGAAATTTAATCTCTATAAACTTTTATTTATAAAATTTATTTATAAAAAAAATCAATTATGCTCTATTTATTTATAATGTGTAGTGACCAAAACTTGGAGGAACATCACCTGATTCCCATTCAGTTTGTGATGATCCCATTTCAAACTCTATTGATCCACCTTTAGAACCAAATATAGATTCATGATCAATCCAATTCTTATCCCATTTCTGACCATTTATTTTAAGTGATTGAATATATATATTTAGTGAAGATAAATTATTGGCTTTAATTTTAAAAGTTGATCCATTTTCTAATTGCAATTGCAAAGAAGTTAATGATGGTGATGTAATCAAATAGGTTGTTGTACCAGCAACAGGATAAAGACCAATTAAACTAAAAATCACCCATGCTTGCATTGCTCCACCATCTGAATTTCCCGGTAATCCATTAACTCCCAATTTAAAATCATTATTTAATATGTAATTCACTAATTCACTTGTTTTATATTGTTTGTTAACAAAATTAAATAAGAATGGAGTTAAGAAACTAGGTTCGTTTCCTACATCAGCAATTTTTTTACCATGTAATGGATATAAATCCGATATTCTTTGTACAAATGTATCATCAGAACCAATTAATGATTTTAAAGTTTGTATATCATGAGGTACAGCAAAACCATATTCAACTGGTTTACCCTCATATTCATCGTCTTTCCAATAACAACCTCCACAAGATAAAGGATCATAATTTTCGGAATTAAAACTACCATCAGCGTTTTTAGGTTGTATAAATCCTTTATAGCTATAACCTTTAGCTTCAGCGTCCTTGTTCCAAATATTTTGCCAATTAGCTGATCTTTTCAAATATTTGTTATAATCATCGTTTTTACCTAAACCTTTAGCAACTTGACTCAAAGCAAAATCATCATATGCGTATTCAATAGTTCTACTAACTGATCTCGAATAATTTCTAGTGATATATCCATATTTTAACCAATCCGGTAGCGCACCTCTACCTTGCTTAGTAGAAGCATCTGGTGCAAATGAATCATACCAATATGGTGGTTGAACTTCAGCATTATTTACCATTGCCTTATAAGCATTAGACCAATCTATGTTCTGAATGTTTTTAACATACGCATCTGCCATCACAATATCTGAATTTGAACCACCTTGAGTTCTACCATTTTGATTTGCAGATCTACCGTCTGGAGTCCATCCTTCATTCAAATATATATTTGTGAGTGATTGAACGATTTCTGAACCTCTTGTAGGATTCACAATATTAATTAATGGATTTAAACATCTGAAAGTATCCCAAATAGTGAAAAAATCATCATAATAAACTTCATTTGCTGACCAACCTTCATTAGGGTTTTCACCTGTTTTATTTGTGGGTATCAAATGAGTTCCGTATAGATTTGTATAAAATTTATCTACCACCGAATCATTAAAACTTTGAATCTGAAATTTGTCGAATACTTCATCTAACCAAATATTTTGAGTTTCATCAACTAATGAATTGAAATCTTGTTTTGAATTTATATTGTTACATGCTTGTGAGGTTGAAATGAATGAAATTCCAACATGAGCAATGATTTCTGATTCTTTATCAAAATTAAAAATTAAACCAAATGAATCATCTTGAGTTGTCGAACTGGTTGAATATTGATTATCACTTACTCCATTTTTATCAAATTTTGAGACTTTAGTAGCTGCGGTTGAGAAATTTGAACAATAATATATAGTCCAAGGTTCTTGATCTCCCCAACCACCCTTTATTGTGGTTGAGCCTGTATACCCTTGATTGGTTGCATCTATTGATCCTTTTACAAAATATTGTGTCCACCAAGGTCTATCAGGAGCAGTTAAATGATGAGATACATTTACCAATACTTTTGAATCTTGAGAATTGTCTTTAAAATTATATTTTAATATTCCATACCTCTCACCCGCAGCTAATTCAATATCTATATTTGAAGTAGTATTAACAGCATAATAACCTACTTTAGCAGAATCAGCTCTTGATCTACTCAAAGTAATTTCAGAACCTCCATTTAAATCTCCATAAAAAGGTAATTGAGAAACAACTCCATATTCAGGAGCCCCTCCCGTTCCACTTTCATGCATCATTGAAATCCCATTTATATTCCCTCCCGGCGCATATCCTGAATATGGATTTCCAAATTTTTTATCCAAAACATCTACTCCCACTTTAGCCATACCAAATGGTCTAGTAACACCTGGAAACATATTCCCACCACCTTCTGTTCCATAAAATAAATCCACATGATCTAGTGGGTTTATTTGATTTTTACTCGTTGATTTGTGAGTTGTTGCTTTTTTGTTATTCTTTACTGGAGTAGCAAGTATGAATGCTATTAAATAGAATATCAACAACATTGATAGTTTGAATTAACAACATCATCTTGGACTTGAATTGAAGCATCGTGAATTCAATGTGTTTATATGCACTAGTCAAGCTTAAAATTTTCAAATAATGCTTCCGACTTCATGTAACCAACGTGGGGTTTTGAGGAATTCAAAGGATATTTGCGCTATTGGCCAGACCTAAAATCTGTAGGAAAATCATAATGCAATCAGTAGTATAATAACAATAATAAGTAAAGTAAAGTAATTGGTTTGAGTTTTAATTTTATGAAGAACTAAATTGTTTTAGTTTTTCGAAAAATACGTAAATTACGCTTTAAAATTACGTTTTTCTATGTATAGTTACTTAAATTGATTTGAACCTTTACAAGGATTTTAAGTAGACAGTGTGTGGCATATGAATATCTGTGATTATTAACATCGTTCATAATAACGTTTCGAATGAGCTGTACTGCAAATAAGTTTTTGCTTGTTGACCATATCTTTAAAAACACTTGAGTACACACAATTTTTAGTTTTTGATTGACATGTCAAATCAAACTTGGCAAACTTCAAATTGGACTTTTAAGGTTAAGTCCATGTAACATCAACGAATAAAACAAATATAGTTCACAATAGAGAATAGTCTTTGCATGTTCTTATGGTTAGTTACAGTAATTGTAAATCACTAAGTTTTTTGATTTTGTGATTCAAAATACAGGAGAGGTTCCTAATTATAATTCATTCAACAAAGTTTAAGTTCAATTTTAGCTCTACTAAAGGCAAGTAATTATCAAATGAAACACATATCATTAATAAGTTTTGTATATAGTCCACATTAGCTAAGTTGCTGTTGGTAAACTTGAATGTTCAAGGTATAAGACACAATTTAATAAAATTAAATTTTGAAACGTGGTTCATTTATCAAACGAAAAAAAAGTTGCAAAAAAAAAGTGACACAAATAACTAAGGTGAATGAAAATAAAACCCATTATTAATATAAATTTTAGTGCCTAAATTTTATGCCTAAGATGGTTGTTTAATTAAGCACATGGTAATATTTAAACAATCTATTTTATCTCAATGATTTTCATTACGTTATTATGCGTTCAATGAACAGCATAAGTAATGCTGAAATCTTAAGTGACAAGTGAAATATTACAGTTTCAATTGACGACTATTGTCTTTACCAAATAAAAGTCAGCACGAGTCCTCAAGCTTGTATTTGACCACATGGTAATTTACAGATCAAATAATCATTTTCCTTTAAATAATTTCTTAAATATCTATAGAATTGATATTTGCAACCACAGTTATTTATCATGATAATCTAAGGTTGCGTGAGACTAAAATAATCATCCTAGTTAAGTCACAGGATCATAGCAAGAATAAGAACTTGAGCTTATGTTTACTTTAATACACCTGTGATTTCAACTTTACTTTGTTAGATTTTCAAATATTTTTGGAATCTTCAGCAGAAAACAGAATACAAATTAGGAATCTTGAATCCTTACCTGTGTACTTAGAAAAATAATTAAAGCACTCAATATCTTAACATCTTTTCGTAATTTAGTATCTTCAGTCATACATACATAAATTAGAAAATTTATTACTCACAAATAGTTCAAGCGCAATTGAATCGCGCTTTTTCTTGATATAGCTATTATAAGAGATCTTGTTTTCAAGTAATTATGGAAGTGATATACAAGTTGGATCATTTATTTTCCAAATTTAATATTTAGAATAGGTCCCTCTTTTTTACGCGAAAGAAACATTCGGTTAAACCAAAATATGATCGACTAGAATCAAAAAATTTATCAGTGTTTGAAAGACGAACGGCTAAAAGATTTATTTACATATCCGTAAAATTATTTGTCTCTACCTGCCTAAACCAAACTTATTGAAACAAACTCATCGAGTCATATCATGAAAAAGTCATCCGAAATTATAACAAACTCTAAACTACATTTTATACAGAGAGATTTCAAACCAATCATTACTTTCATTGATCATTTAAATCACTAATTTATCCCCTATTTAACAAAAATTTACGAAATCTAAGTTCAAATTTACCCGATGAAAATAATTTTAAGCCTACTTCTTAAGAGTTTGATCAGATAAAAAGGAGAATTAAATGGGAAAGAATCATCCAATAATTTCTACAATAATTTGAACTCAAGTCGAGAGGATTCAATGAATGAATGACTGAAGCTTTTTAACTTTTTTTTAAGAACTTAATGATCTTGTGCAACATATTAAAGAAAATTAAATTATTTGAAGGGTGGTTCACATATCAGTACCAAACTAAGAATAATCTAGGCTATTCTCTTTACTTATTTTTGAGTAGAAATAGCTTTAAATCGTTGAAACAATTTTAAGATTCATTTCAGCATATATCGTATTGAAGATATTATTATTTTATTAGGTATGAAACTTTAAATTCAGAAGTATTAATCAAGGCTATAATTTTTTTTTTTAGTTTCCTTGTGATGTTTAAATTATGTGTTTCATCTTCGTATTGAATTACTAAATCAAGTAAAATCTTATATTTTCCAAAGTCAAAGCTATGTTGAAACTTAAATTATGATAAAATGATGACTTATAATGATTTATAGTTTTACTTAGTACTATACAAACAACATTGACCTCTATTACAAATGAATTTAAATTAAGTATTTCATAATCTTAAATTTTTTTTACATCAACGAAATACTTAGCAATTTCGAATCGAAAAGTAATATATTTAAGAAAGCCAGAAATCCTCTTCTTCTTCTGGATTTCAAACTCTTCATTCTTAACAAATTTATAAACTTAACTAATATTACATACTCAGGTCATTAAAACTTATTGTTAATAGCATTCTCATTATAATATAAAATTAATACTAGTGAATTCTTTAAATCAACTTCAAAATCTTAGCACTACACCCAAGAAAATTGAGCCAAATTCACAAAGATTACTAATACAATTTCAAATCATATTGAAACGTAAAGACTCATCAGCTTGTTGTTTCATAATTACATCTGATTCATAAATATAATTTCATTTATTGAAGATCTTCTGAAAGTAAAGACTAATTAATTTTTCTTTTCCCTAAAACATACAAGAAACAAAAATTTAAAAAATACCTCATACAAAATTTGTTAATAAAATATCATAATCATCAGTACTTTACAACAACTGAATCAAGTTAAATCTTCATTTTTTATTCAAAGATTACTTTTCATATATATATTTACAATTATTATTACAAAAAGGTACATTTAAACTAGAACTAAACTTACAATTAGAAGCTTTTTTATACTACAAATACCCAAAAACATATAATAAAACTCACCTCACTTTATATTAAGTCTAATAAATCAAAATGGGTGATACAATAAATAAACCACCTAGCAAATTGTCAAGATTAGGTAGTAAATTGTTTGGTAAATCTACTACTAATGTACCGACTTTATCATCAAATGAAGAATCAACTCAGCAAGACCCAAAACAAGATTCATCATCTCCTCCTCCTCAACAAGCATCATCTCAAATTTCAACTTTACAACCAAATAATTCGAATACTTCACAAACTAAAAACTCATCATTAAATTCATCAACCACAAAAAATCCAACAACAAACACAATATCAAATGATGAAGATTTCATACTATCACAAGTAGAAAATGATGATGTATCCGAACTTCGAGATATAAAGCAACCACAACCTCAAAAGGCAACTACAGAAAATACAACAAATCCAACGGTAATGCGTAATTCAAACAATTCATCACCAAAATTAACGTCAACGAGATCTCACTCACCTGTAAATGGTATAGCATCAACAACAACTTCACCACTACTGATGGCTTCATTGGATCAAAAATTAAAAAGACAAAATTCAACATCTGTTTCACAACCTCCTCCTAATTTAAATGCAATTCAAAATTCATCATTTTCTTCAGGAGTAACAACTGATAAACCTCTTTCAGGTAGACCATCACCATCAGTTTCAAGATCATCATCTAAAAAAACTCAACAAACAAAAACACCATCAAATACTTCAGTTACCCCACTAACTAAATCCAAAAATGAATCAACCACATCATTGGTTTCTCAACCTCAAGTCCCATCATTACCACGTTTTCTAATGTTGGAAGATGGAAATCATGAACATCATTTGAAATCAGCAAAACGTCATGAAAAACTATCAAATATGTTAAAAGATTTACTAGGTGCTAAAAAATTAAGAGATGGTGCTAAAAGTGCTGTACCTGACATTTTACAAGGTGCTATGCAATCATCAACTGCCCAATTACAACAGCAACAACAACAACAGCAGCAACAACAACAACAACCTAATCAACAACCTGGTCAAGTTAATGCAAAACCACCTACATTATTTGCTGGATTAGTGAATCAAGTTAAAAATCATACAAGTCCATATCATCAACCAGGAACTACTGATGTTGTTGTTTCTGGGTCTCAACCAAATGCAAGTGCTACTGGACCAGATTGTAGATCATTTGTTGAAAAATATGGTAGATGTCAAGAAGTTATTGGTAGAGGTTCATTTGGAGTTGTTAGAGTTTCACATAAAAAAATTGAAACAAATGATCAATTACAACAATTACAACAACAAGCATTAAATGGTGTTTCATCTACCAATGGAACGTCTAATCCATCAGCATCACCACAAACTACATCAACAAGTGTCAACTCATCACAACCAATTTCATCATCTTCATCACAAGCTTTAATACCTCAACCACAAGAAAAATTATATGCAGTTAAAGAATTTAAAAAGAAACCATCAGAAAGTGAAAAAAAATATAATAGAAGATTAACTTCAGAATTTTGTATTTCATCATCATTAAAACATCCAAATATAATAGATACATTAGATTTATTAAAAGATGCAAAAGGTGATTATTGTGAAGTTATGGAATTTTGTTCAGGTGGTGATTTATATACTTTAATTATAGCATCTGGAAAATTAGAATATGCAGAAGCTGATTGTTTTTTTAAACAATTAATTAGAGGTGTAAATTATATGCATAATATGGGAGTTGCACATAGAGATTTAAAACCAGAAAATTTATTATTAACTCAATCTGGTGTTTTAAAAATTACAGATTTTGGAAATTCAGAATGTTTTAAAATGGCTTGGGAATCAGAAATTCAATTTTCAGAAGGAATATGTGGTTCTTCTCCTTATATTGCTCCAGAAGAATTTACTCAACAATCATTTGATCCAAGATGTGTTGATATTTGGTCATGTGGTGTTATTTATATGGCAATGAGAACTGGTCGTCAATTATGGAAATTAGCTGATCCAACAAAAGATGAATTTTTTGAAGAATATTTAGTTAAACGTAAAGATGCCACGGGGTATGAACCTATTGAATCTTTAAAAAGAGCAAGATGTAGAAATGTTATATATTCAATTTTAGATCCAAAACCTGAAAGAAGAATTACTGGAAAACAAATTTTGAATAGTGAATGGGGTAGAGAAATTAAAGTTTGTGATGCTGGTGAAGGTAAATAAATATTAACTACAATTATATAGTATATTCTTAATACAATTATTTGGGTTGGAATTGATTCAATTGCTTAAACCTTTGTCAATTTGAATACCACTAGTTTTGTAGTAACAAGTTGAATGCTACTTTGCAGTCACCTTGTAAATTTTCTACTTTTTTAAAACGATGCGCTAATTAAATGCATTCAATGTAAGTAAACTTATTGGCAGAGAAGTAAGACGACAACCTATCTGGTAGTGAATTTCATATTTTACTTTCAATAACGTTAGATCTGATCCAAAAGCAACTTGACGCGTGTTGAAATCTCAATTTCTTAAATCTTTTTTTTTTTGTTTACATTGTTACTGTACTAAGTTTCTTTTTTCTATTAGGTTTATAGATTAGACGAACTTAAACAAATTAAAACAAAGGGTGTTGACTTTAATTGATTAGTTTTTACCACTAAAACCACCAAACTTACATTACATTACATTCGTTTATTTATATTTCCAAGTTAGCTTTTTAGTATCTTGGTCAATTTTCATTTTAATCAAATTGAAAGAGAGAACTTCCCCTCAACATCATCCATCCACATAGATAAATCATGGTTGAATTATCCGATTATCAAAGACAAGAAAAAGTAGGAGAAGGAACATATGGAGTAGTATATAAAGCATTAGACACCAAAAATAATAATAGAATAGTTGCTTTAAAAAAAATAAGATTAGAATCTGAAGATGAAGGAGTACCATCAACTGCAATTAGAGAAATCTCATTATTAAAAGAAATGAAAAATGATAATATAGTTAGACTTTATGATATAATTCATAGTGATTCTCATAAATTATATTTAGTATTTGAATTTTTAGATCTTGATTTAAAAAAATATATGGAATCAATTCCTCAAGGTACAAATATTGGATTAGATCAACCAATGATTAAAAGATTTATGAATCAACTTATAAAAGGTATAAAACATTGTCATTCTCATAGGATTTTACATCGAGATTTAAAACCACAAAATTTATTAATTGATAAAGAAGGGAATTTAAAATTAGCTGATTTTGGATTAGCAAGAGCTTTTGGAGTTCCTTTAAGAGCTTATACTCATGAAGTTGTAACATTATGGTATCGAGCACCAGAAATCTTGTTGGGTGGTAAACAATATTCAACAGGAGTAGATATGTGGTCAGTAGGATGTATATTTGCAGAAATGTGTAATCGAAAACCTTTATTTCCAGGAGATTCAGAAATTGATGAAATTTTTAGAATTTTTAGAATCTTAGGTACACCAAATGAAATAATTTGGCCAGATGTAAATTATTTACCTGATTTTAAACAAGGTTTCCCACAATGGAAAAAAAAATCATTAGCTGAATTTGTTCCAAGTTTAGATAATAATGGAATAGATTTATTAGAAGAAATGTTAGTATATGATCCAAGTAAAAGAATTAGTGCAAAAAGAGCTTTAATTCATCCTTATTTTAAAGAAAATAATTTACTTGATAATAATCTTAATAATCAAGGAAATTTACAACAATTGCATAATGTTAATAATTTACATGGATCAAATGAAACTATGATTAATCAATCTATCATAATGGGTTAAAATGAAAATTTAGTCTAGAGTTTAGAATTAGATTTAAAATTTAGTGTAGAAAAATTAATCAAATCGTTGATTCTTAATAAAGCCAATGTAACTAGCGATTTACTATGAACTTTACATAAAATGCGAGTATAAATAATGCAATTGCAGCGATTAAATATCGTTTGCTCCAGATTTTAGCTTCAACTTTTGCAAACTCGGATTCTTGAATTGTGGCTATCAGTTGTTCTTTGACAAGGTCTTGATGTAGTTGTATGACTTCAACTGTGTCAGTATTTTCTATGCTATTAGTTTTGTTGTCGTTATCATTAATTTCATTATCAAATGCTTTCGGCAAGATATGTCTTTCACCTCCTAGCTTTGCGACCAGCGCAATTTCTGCATCGGTTATATCAGATTTTTCAAATTTCTCAGCAACTTTATTTTGTTTCATAATTGATTCTGTTTGCTCAGATTGGTATAAATCTACAATGTTGGGTTTAAATGAGTACTTAGTATTCCGAGTAGTACTTGAGGAGGCGGTCCTCGTTTTGCTTAGTGTAATTGTTTTGCATCTACGACAAGTTATATCGGAGACCGGCTCCAAATTTTGATTTTGTCTTAGTCTAAGCTTATACACCAATTTTTCATCTTCTATGCTCAATTTTGACTCAATTAAATGAACTTGCTTGATATTTTTTACTTTTCGAAAGCTGCTGTTATTGTCTTCATTTTCGATATGCGTTTGATTGTCGATAATTGGTTGTAGTTGCAGTAGTTCATTCCGTAAATTTTGTAACTTATTTAATAGTTGATCATGATTTTCATCAATTTGGTCGAGTTTTCGCCATATTTTCAGATTTCTATTATTCAACACTTTTACTTCATTCTCCAAAATGTTATATTTTTGATTCAATTCATAATGAATGTCTTCGACTTCATCAATTAATTCTTTTATGTATTTGTTTGAATTACTTCCCAATGATGATATCGATGACTTTTTTACCACATTTGGTGTTGATAAAAGTAAATCATCTTCCGGTGGTGAAGATGCTAAAATATTGTTTTCCATTAGTGTTGATGTCTCATCCTCAGAATCGTCTAGTGATGCCAAATCTTCCATGTTGCATATATTTTTTGCTGAATAGTTGCTTATATCATTATGATAATTTGACTCGACATTTGAGTTTGATTTGATAGAGCATAAAGCATTTACATCATTTTGGATATCAATTTCTATTGGAAACATAAATTGGTGTTGTGTTTCAGTTGAATTGTGAGATGGGTTGGAGTTCGGACTTTTAAAAACATTTGAGGCTAGTGAAGTCGGTAGTTTTCTCTGATTCGTTGGCAAAGGTTTAACTGATGGTATCATTTAATAATGCATTGAGTGTGTAACTATTGAAGTTTATGAAAAGTTGGTGTTTTGCGGGATATTATAAGGTGTGTCAAAAATTGTGTTAAAGTTTTGGGGTATGAGATTGGAATGAGAAAATACACTATCCACAACCAAAAAAATATGAATATAATCCGTTATGTTGAAATAAAACCAACGAAAGATCTACTTGAATATATTTGAATACTTTTGTAGGATGAAAAATACTTTGATTTGGCTATTAAGCTTTAATTAAACGTTGTTAATTGTGACCTTTAAAAAATGAATGATACATTTCATTTAAAGTTGTAAAAAAAAATAAAAAATTGTATTATAAGTTCTTTGATACACAAAATCAAAAAGTTAAATCTTCGTAAAACTGTTGTGTATACGTTTTGTTAGATCTACACTACTACTTACTTAATTAGGAATAGTAATTGAAAGGAGGATAAATTGAAAAAGAATTACAACCAAAACAAACTAGTTAATGATGAGTCTGAGTAATTATAATTGCTTTGCCAATTAGTAAACTATGGTAAATTTATCAAGTAAGCTAACCATTTAAGTTTTTTTTGGATCCCAATTTGCTTTCATATTTAATAGTGATAATTTTCAGAACGTCATCTTCTAACTTGAATTTTCCATACTTATGGCGAAGCAGTTAAACGATCGTGATTGCCAATGGGATATAATAGATACAACAACATCAACTGAGTATCATATTACTTTGAATAATTTGATTGACGTAATTACTTGATATAATCAATAAGAGTGTTTCATCTAGCTCCTATTGTGTGTTAATGTGATAAGCCAGGGCCTGTCCTGTCGTTACATTTGATGAGAATTTATGTACACAGACAATAAACTTATTGAGTTTGAGCATGCTTTTTTCAATGAGGTATCTGAAACATGACAGACCTAATGATATTCAACTTGCCATTAACGATATTGATTTATTTTATCAACGAAAGCACTAGAAACATAGTTCGATACGATGGAAGAAAGTTTCGCAAGACTATCGAACCATGAACAGTAATTGTGGTCAATAAGAATTGTAAACTGAATTACGTTCGAAATGAGTTCGAATTTGTGATGATCAGGTTTTGAGATTAAGAAGAATGGCTTAATACTTTGAATGAAAATAAAGAAGTCGAAAAAACTGATGTATTATTAAATCACATAGCTTCTTAAATCTATACGAAAGAACAGATACATTGTTGAAAAATTTTGGTCTTCCTCATGTCAAAATCATGCAAGTAATTTAGCCCTGCGATAAAGAGTGGCCAAGAATTACAAATTGGCAAATTGATAGATAAAACAGGTTACCGTGGATGAAAGAGATGAAAAATCACGTCCGCAATGACCAAAACTAGTTTGTTATCACATAAAAAGTTGAGTTTTGATGTATTTTTATGAGTCCCAAAATTCTTCCAAACGGCTAAATTTTTCATTTTTGCACGATTGGGACCTGCAAAAAATTGTAAAATTCGGACATTTCAACACAACTTTTTATTAAGTACATAAAATATGAGTTGTATGTTCATGATATGATAGCAAGAGGCTCCGGCCTTATTATAAAGCTGCTTAGGAATTATTTTACATGATTTTCAAGAGTACACAGAAATATTCCAATTTTCCTTAAATCGACATATAAGCCTTGCATGCAGCTCTGATTGTTTTCAAAAATAATTTTTATTTGAACTCTAGACTCAATCTACAACATAAGCTAACTCAATGATAAGAATATAGATTCAATTTAAAATTAATTGCAATAATTGAGTTTTTAATCAATATTTCACCGAAAAACACCAACTTGATTTTTCAATTAACTTTGGTAAAGACACTACCTTTGCTTTTAACTATTGCGTTACGGCGTTGAAATACTGCATATAAATGCCATAATTGGAACATTACCCATACCTTTTTTGCATGCAAGAGATCTTTCACGATCAACAAATAAGATAGTTTTGAAGGACTTTGTAGTCCCGTACATCTTTTATACTCATCAATTATGTATAAATGTTCAAATAATGCAGTTTATGGGATTTAGTATGTGTGATTTTGTCCATAGAAATATATGTCGTGAAAAGTTTTTTGTCCCAAAAGATTTTCAACGTCACTAAAATTTAGGTGATATCTTAAAGATAATACATTCTCTACAAAGTTAAAAACATTCCAAATTTTGTGACATTCTACATATTATTACAACCACACTAACCTGTCACCGCTCATTAAAACAAATCCTTGATATTTTAGAAATTCAAATGTCATACGAATCACATAGAAATGGAGGAAGAGGATCTGGGAGTGATAGAGGAGGAAGTTTTGAATCTCGTTCAGCTTCATCATCACATCATGATGAATATTATCAGAATGGTTCATCATCATCATCCTCATCATATAGAGGAGGTTATAGAGGAAGAGCAAGAGGGGCACCGTACCGAGGTGGATTTAGGGGATCGTATAATGATTCCTATCACAGTAGAGGAGGAAGTTATAGAGGAAGTTCACTGAGAAGTGGAAGTTATTATAGTCGTGGTGGTAGTTATAATAGTAATTATGGAGATCGAGATACAGATGATACTCATTTTGAATCTCGTCGTCGAGAAGAATCAGTTCATAGTGATAGGGAAAAAAGTGTTGAAGATAATGAATATAAGGAAAGAGCAGGTTCTACACCAACAAATCATGGACATGTTTCACCATCATCATCATCAAGCTTTAGAGGCAGTGGTAGTTCATATAGAGGAAATTTCAAGAGTCGAAATGGATCATATACTGGTTCATCATATCATTCACATCATCAAACATCTCCCACAACAATACTGAAATCAGATCAACATCCATCTGGAGGAGAATATTATAAACAAGGAGGAACAGTTGATAAAAATTCACGTCATTATAAAGAATTTTTACATGATACAAAATTAAAAGATTTTAAAAATCCATGGATTAATATATTAAATATAAAAGATGAAAAATTACAAAATAATTTAGAAAAAAATTATATTGAACAACAAAAATTAGATGAAACTATTTTAGATTTACAAAAGAATAAATTAAAATTGGAAATGAGTATGAATAGTTTGGATAATTATGCTTCAAAGGAAGCATTACATGTTCAATTAACTTCTGAAAAATTGGATGAATTTGTATATATCTAAATAGCTATAGCCTAGGTAATGAAACGTTAATGATATCAACAGTTTAGCCATGTAGAACTGAGCCTCTATTCTCCTAATCAAGAGGTACTGCCCAGAATAACCTAATCAGTTAAAGAACTCTAAACGCGTAATTTTTAATAAGGATACAAAAACTTATCCGGAGTTTTCTAAGAAAAAAGCTGGAAAAATTACAAGTAATTATATAGTCCATTTTTACCAACTTAACTACAAGAACAACAAATTAGCATTATCATGTCCTCAATTGATATTTTTAAAACAATTGATTCCTTAATCTCATCAGTATCCACAAACAAAGTAATTTATTATGTATTATTAGTAGCTTTATTAACTGGAGTTTTCAAATTAACTACATTTTTATTATCATTAGGAACTTTAATTTTAGAAGTATTTATTAAACCTGCTACAGATTTTAAAAAATATGGAGCTAATAGTGGGAAATTTGCTGTTGTTACTGGAGCATCAGATGGAATTGGTAAAGAATTTGCATTACAATTAGCTAAACGTGGGTTTGGATTAGTGTTAGTATCAAGAACTCAATCAAAATTAGAAGTATTAGCTACTGAAATTGAAAGTAAATATAAAGTTGATACTAGAATTGTTACATTTGATGCTTCAACTGATGATGAATCAAATTATGCCAATTTGGAAAAAGTTATTTATGATTTACCTATTACTATACTTATAAATAATGTTGGTCAATCTCATTCTATTCCTGTTCCATTTTTAGAAACTTCAACTAAAGAATTAAAAGATATCATTACAATTAATAATATTGCTACTTTAAGAATCACTCAAATTGTAACACCAAGAATTATAGAAACGGTAAATAAATTTGATTCTAAAATTAAAGGATTAATTTTAACAATGGGTTCATTTGGTGGATTATTACCGACACCATATTTAGCCACTTATTCCGGATCAAAAGCATTTTTACAATCTTGGTCTAATGCATTATCAGGAGAATTAGCATCAGATAATATTGATGTTGAATTAATTATTTCATATTTAGTTACTTCATCAATGTCTAAAATTAAAAGATCATCTGCAACTATTCCAAATCCTCGTGATTTTGTAAATTCAACTTTAAATAAAGTCGGTTCAAGATCAGGAGCTCAAGAAAGATACGGAACTTCAACTCCGTATTGGAGTCATGCATTAATGCATTTTGGTATTGCAAATACAGTAGGAGTATACTCTAAAGTTGCAAATAGTTTAAATTTAAAAATGCATGAAAGTATTAGAAAAAGAGCATTAAAGAAACAAGCTAGATTAGCTAATAAATCAAAAGAATCAGCTACTGATAAAGTTGAGTAACTTACTTAGGTTTATAGTTTAGCATCTAAAATTTGTAATTAATTTATGAATAGATATGATTTTTCGTATAAAACAACCAATTAAAAATTCTTACATTAATAAAACCTTAACTAAATCAATTAGAACTAAATACAAAACCAAAAAATCAAAAATACATTTAATCTCTCAAAGATTTTACACTAAGAATTAAAAGAAGCAAAAATAATAAAAAATAACCCTCTCATCAATGTTTCAAGTTTTCATTGTTTTGAAAATGAGTTAGCGGAAAATGTTGATCAGTGTATTGTTGATGAGCAAAAGGGATAGTAATTGGAGGTAATTGTTGTGAGTTAACACTATTAATTCTTTGTTGATATTGTGGTGAAGATTGTTGAAATTGTTGAGGTTGATGAGCATAATAATAATTCTGTTGTTGATGAGTATTTTGATATTGATTCTGATTTTGATTAAATGATGGAAGACTGAAAGATGATCTATGTTGAATTGGTGGTAATTGTACAAAATTATTTTGTTGGTGGTAGGTTGGTATATTAGGTTGCGAAACTCCACTGAATTGAACTATTGATGGTCTTTTTTGAAATTTTATTTCGTCTAATGATTGTGATCTAATTTGACCAAATGAATGTTGATGATGCTGTTGCTGTTGTTGTTGCTGTTGTTGTTGCTGTTGTTGTTGGTGTTGTTGATAATGATGTTGTGGTGGTGACTGCGAGTTTGATGAACTAGGTTGATAATTTGAAGATGGTGAATTTTGTACAGCTTCTAACTTTAATACATCTTGTTTAATGTCAGCTTTATTCAAGTCTTCAACTTCTTTATTTGATTTTTTTCCAACCAATATAACTCCATCTTTTCTTTCTTCCTCTTCTTTTATTTCATCATCACTATCAATTAAATTTAAACTTTCCAATATAGATTCTTTATAATTTTTCAAAACTTTTTCAATAGGAAATGTACAATAAATATTTCTATCATAACCAACAACTTTTTCAACTTTATCATCATTAAATTCTAATTGAATAATTCCATTAAATAAATCTCTTTCAAAAGATCTTGGATCAGTATATATAGAATAATCATAACAATCATTAGTTAAAAAATAAATTTTCATATTTGATTTATAACGAGGTCTTGCAATAATTTTTTTAAAAAATAAATTATTTGGAATTTCATCAGTACATCCAAGTGAATGTAACATTTCATCTGAATTTTCTTCATCATCAATTAAATTAAAATCTCCTGGTTTTGCGGTTTCTAATTTTAAAATTGTTGAACCATGTAAATCATCAGTTGTTGATCTTGTTATTCTAATCAAGGTTGAAGTTTTTGATGAAAATAATGTATTTATTGCAGTATCTAAAGAATTAAATGTAGGAGTTTGTTGATCAATTTCATTTGTAAATGATTTAAGGATTTTTTTAGAATATTCATTTAAATCAACAACATTATTATCAATCAATTGTAGTCCCTTTGAAACTAATGAATTGGAATTGTTGTTATTGTTACTATTATTTTGGGTATTTGGATGATTTAGTAATTCTTGAAATTGTTGATTAGATTTGTCATCTTGAAAAAGTGAATAAAGTTTTTTATCTTCAGTAAATGGTATAAGATTATGATATAAATTAAATAAATTTTGACACAGTGTTAATTTTATTTTAATACCAGCTTTTAATGATTTAATATGTAATTTCAGTTGTTTTGTATCTGTTTTTTGTCTTTTAGTTGAATATTTTCTTCGTATTGCTAATTTTACAAATTTTTTTGAATTAAGAATTTTTTTATTTATTTTGGATTTTGGAATATGATCTCTGAGTAAAAGTAATGGCTTATTTGAATTATTAATGGAAGGTGAAGAAGATGGTGATGACTTATTTGAAATTGATTTAGTTTTAGTTGCTGCCTTGGATTTAACAGTTGGTGGCGGAGTTGTTGGAGTTGATGAATTTGAATAAGTTTCACTTTGAGTTTGAGAATTTGATAATGAATTTATAGTTTGAATTGATGTACTTGATGTGGCTGGTGTTATTAAGCTTTTTCTCTTGGTACCAAAGTTATTAATTTTTGCAACTTGAGACTTACTTATAATAGGTGGTAATGTAATTGGATTTGAATCAATTGGTGAATTAGATAAGGAAGAAGATGGTGAAATAGTTGGTGCAACTGCAAAATTTGTTGTAAATTCTTTATTAACAGCATCGTGATTGTTTATGAATCCATTATGGGAATGATTATTCTTAATATCTTGTTGCGTAAATTGAGGAGGTAAAAAATTGGATCTTGGTTGCAAATAATTATTGTCAATCGATGGATTCTGGTGGCCATGATTTTGCCAATGTTGATCTGGGTACGCAACTTGTTGTTGAGTTTGAAATGTTTCATGAATTTGTTGATGTTGTTGATATTGACGTTGTTGTTCTTGTTGTTGTTGTTGTTCTCTATTATATTTGTTTATAGCTTCATCAGCATTCAATAAATCTATTAATCCAGTCATATTAATTGAATCTTAAGATCTAAAACAAAAATAAAAAATAATAAAAAAAATTAAAGGGTAAACAATGTTAGATCTTGAAATCTAAATCTAATCTTTTAATTTAACACAAAAAATATTCAAGATCTGATGATTTATACTATTAATGTGAAGTAATGACTGTAATGATATGATAAAATTATGAAGTGAAATTAGGAAATTCCAAAAGTACTTTCAAATTCCATTAAAATTCAAAATGAGGAAATGAAACGTTATTTAAATAAAAAATTAAATTATTTAAGGAAAGAGAAAATATGAGACATACATCTTAATAGAATAAAATATTAAAAAAGATACCATCATACAGATCTAAGATTAACAAAACGTGAATCAATATTTAATATTAGATTTTGTATCATGCTGTAGCTACATTATAAGTACGAGATAACTCTGTTATTAATTATTATTATTTTCTACATAGTGCAAAGATTAAATATAGAATTCCTAAACAACACTGATTAAATATTTATGCATTAGATTCTATGTCATAGAACCAAAAACAATAAGAAATTAGATTTAATATAATGCAAATGTTTTAGTTAGACAATGTCTTCTACAAACAAACAAACAAAATTCAAGGATAACACAGTACAGTAAAGTACTAGCCCTCTCTATAGATGCATTACCACCTAAACAAATTTTTTATCTTTTAACATGTTTTACATTATACATAAGTCTAAGACACAAAACAATTACAATGTTCATAATCAACAAATTCTATACTTTTTACATTTTATAAATTTCGAGATTTCGGTTTTAAAAAAGAAAAAACGAAATTGGAATTGATATATTCCGTAAATTGAAATTTAAGATGGAAATTTAGATGGTCCTTTGATAATTCAAAAATTCTTGTTTGAAATTATTAATAATTTGTTTCTGAAACATTTCTCTCTATCAATATAATTATAATAATCAAATATCAAATTATAATAATTTATTATATTTCAACATTTTTCAACCCAATAAAAGACTTTTAAGACATTAGTCCTTCAGCAAATTGATAAGGTTTAAATTTAGTTACAAGATAAGCTTTTTACTGCTTATTGAAATTGTTAAATAAGAAGTAGTTATTGAAAAAAATATTTAATAGTGGTTTAAAATCTTCTAAAAAACATTAATTTTTAAACAAATTAAAATTTTAAAGTGGCTAATTCAGGTTTAATTTTTTGATTTTAAAAGACAAGAAGTTCAAACTAAACCATAGTAAAGTCTAATTTCGTTCTAGTTGTGTTTAATGATTTAGCAATTTTATCTCAGTGCTCAAAGTAAGACTAATCAACTTTGATTAAAACTTAAGAGCCGAATAAAATTGATTCGGTACATTTTTTTCCTCTTCGAAAAGACCCAGACCTAATATCCGAATAACAAAGACTAAAGCCCTTTTCCCTTAAAAGTAAAAAATTTCTGTTATGTCTTAAATTCCGTACCACATTATAAATTAAAATAAAAATTTATTAAAAGAAATAATACCCGTATTTCAACTTACGTTCTTTGAATCTGGAATTTTCTTGATTAATATTTTATAATAAATATATGAATAAACAGAATTCAAGGTATTTTGATAAATTGATAAATTGCTTTTCCTTACTTGTTCATTTCCCTTTTTATTGATGTCTCAAATACTTTTTAAAAACTTTCAACCTGTGGTAAATGTATGGAGATTGAACAATCAAATCGTTTTGTCCTATAACCTTATATAGATCACTAATACTAATAATTTTGTAACTTTTATATAAAACGTATGATTATAATTTTTATAAGTAAACAAGACCGCAAGTACAAAATTGATTTTTTTATTCTATGCTTGTTGTTTTAGTTAACCTACATCCATTTGCAAACAAAAAATACATCGGATTCTCTGGGTTTAAACCTACTTAATTCGATTCCAATAAGTCTATGTTCGAATTATCCAGAACATTGAAGAATTATAAAGAACATTTCATTTATTACTCCGTAGAATCAATACAAGTACTTCAAACCTTGAGTTCAACTTGAGGAGTAAATAACCTAAATCTAAATGTGAATTTTAGCCTATTTTTTAAAATATTTTTAAGTTTTGTAAATTATAAGCGATAATTTTTATTTTAAAACAATTTACAAACCTTTTAAACTCTAAAACTAAGTTTTAATACCCTAAAAAAGCATATTACTAAATTTGAAATTTGATTTACTAAAAACGCGCTATATGTTAGGGGTTCTAAGAAAATTGTTTGAACTATTCATCGTTTAGAAAGAGATTTAATAGTCCTTAATTTGTACTGAGTTTAACTTTGCGAGTATATAGTTAATTGGATCAATTAGAACGCAATTTACCTTACCTTTCTCCACCCTATTCCAAATGAAAAGTACGAAATTCAAATTACCAATTGTTGTAATTGTCGGTTTTACACAATTTATTATTCCAAAAACGTTTTTTTTTTTTTAATTTAAATTAATTTTATGGAGTTATGTAAAAAAAATAAAAACACCCCTTTCACCCCTATAAACTAAAACATAAGCTAATAGATTGATTTATGAATTTAGATCGTATAAACTAAATGCTGAGCAAATTATGGAGTAAACGATTGCTTATAAATTTATCCTGTAAGACTATTGAATGAACAATAGAATGACATAACAAATATTCGTTATTCCAGTAAACACAAGTAGTGTAGAGGAATAAATGTATTAATGTAGTCAACAGCCAAATGCTTCAGCCCATTTAAAACATGATTTTTAAATTATAATAAATTATTATAAATTTATTAAATCTATCACAAACGCAAAAAGATTAAACACGACTTATAATGAAATAATTAATTCATGTTTGAAACATTTATGGAATATGCAATCATCTGAATAAGGTATGTCTATGTCCAAATAGAGAATCGGTAGTCAAGTAGTGAGTTGATAGAATTATCTTAACTAGACAAAGAACCAAGAAGAAGAAAGAAAAGGCTGAAGAAGTAAACAAATGGAACTTATGGAAAGTTTTCAAATAAATATTTCTCTTATCTATTGTAAGAAGATTTACAATAAACTTTATTCATTCACAAGTGCATAATATTTGAGACACAAATTATTTATCAGCTCTAGCGCTATTTTAAAAATGCAAAACGTTTAATAAAATTTTGTGTTATCTTTTAAACTTTATCTAATTTCGATTGTTTGTGTTAGTCATAATTTTATTATTCAAAAATATCCGTATCAAATTTGAATTTCCCTTTTTTCCCCTTAATATTGTTATTTTTTGATAAATTTGATAAGTGTGTTTTGTAAATTATTCATCTTTTGAAAATTCATGAACCTTCTCTTTCATGATAATAAAAATGTTTCGTTAAACTAACCTACCCTCATCAGTGTATTACAATTCATTTGTCACTAAAAATTTTGGAAATTCGGTCGAAAAATCGTTGTACAAACAAGTAAAAGTCATAATATACAGAATTTAGTTATAATTGCTATTTTACCAACAAAATAAATTTTATGAATGGAATACCGTTTGGTTCATCATTTTTAAAAATTTGTTGATAATTTTATAGACCAACTTGTGGCACAAATTTGTTTTTTGTTTATGTTTTGTGTAACTTAGTTTGATTGTTGGTCCGACTATTATATTAATTAGTATAACAACAATCTATTTCACAATACATCTTGAAAGAAAAATTTAGCTTTAATATTTGTTGTGATCGGATCGTGATCCTGAGATAAATTATCTACAAACTTCTGTGTTTTTGGTTGCGTTAACTGCTTTTAAAAATTTCGTAAAATCTTACAAACATTCTTCATTGCGCAATCAAAATTTTTAAAAATTTGGTCTTTAACATTTTTAATTTAGCTCTTCTAAGATTTTCAATAATTACAAGTACTTTGAGGTTGAGATCAAAAATAAAGAAAAATCACGACTGAAGTTGATTCACTTTATTAACACTTGGAATTGTCAACAAATTTGTGATTCACGATCCGAAAATATCTTTGTTATATATTGTTTTATCCATACATCTGATTTCAAGAATTTTTATTGGAAAAATGTATTATTGTTTGAGGTAGGTATGCTTAAAAATTAGTGAAGTATAATTTTATTAAAACTGATAAATGAAGTCACACGGGTTTAGCCCCATTTTTCAATTTAAATGTCAAACGGAAGTTTCAGAAAACAATTCTTTGAGAAATGCAATTTAAGTTATTTGTGTTCAAGATTTTCTTTTTATGATGAGCTATTGGCCAATTCTTCTTTTTAAAACTTTGAAAGATATTAAACGGGGATTTGATGACGTAGACATCAAGGAATTTGGTCCGTCAATTAAAAATTTCAGTTCGGTCTTCATGAGATCACTTAAATTTTTACTCTAGATACTTTTCTGCAATCTTGAAAATTTGAAAATGTCTTCAGACAAGTATCAAAATTGCAAATCGTAAATGAGTACATTTTGGAAATAAGATCGAAGAGAATTTACGAATTTTATAAAATTCAAATTTTATCAGTTCAAAGGAAGGTAGTTTAGCAAGTTCTAATGTAAGATTATTATGTAGATCAATATTTAATATAATCGAAAACTAGCAAATAAATTTGAGGAGTATTTGAACATAAATTTTCCTTAAGTCTTACGCCTCAAATTTTACCCATCAGTGATCTCTTTTGATTGTTTTCAAAGTAAGATAGATAGAAGCTGAAGCGATCGAGGAAAAAACTATTTCGCCAATAAGAGATAAGCATGGTTTAGTCACACGATAGCTGACAGTGTCAGGATCAAGCAGTTCTTCACAGAAACTTACTTAAGACAATTATGTTGAGAAATTGGGAGTATCTGAATTTGTTCCGTTCTAGTACCTATAAATCTTCTACGATGACTAATATCAAGACCATTTATAATATCTTTATATACATTTCAATCCATCAAATGAGATTCTTCATCCTAGTTCGATGAACTTTTTATTAATAAGAACCCGAATTGAATGAAACGTTCTTTAAGCCTTCCCATCCAAAAAATCCATGTCATGTGAACCAAGTCCACTCCTTAATTTTTTGAATACAATCACTTAATTTTGTTGATCAATAACAGAATCAATATCATCAATTTCTTTTAATTTAAAATCTTGAGCTAAAGAAATTTCAACTTTATTTTCATTATCATAAATTAATCTTGCTAATTTTGATTGAGGACCCCAACCATTTATTGGAGGATTTAATTTAAAAGGTAATAACCAATTTGTAATTTTTAAAAAATTATCACTTAATGTTGTAATTTCATGAATTAAATCTTCTATACATATTAATCCAATTTTTTCAAATTTATCTTCTACTAATTGATTATTATCTAATTTTATTATTTTTTCTTTTGGTTCTTCTTGTTGAGTTGTTGAATCTTCTTCTTCTTCTGGTTCTTCTATGGTTGTAATTCTTGCTCTTTTTTGAAATAATTTACGTATTGATGATAATGAAGGTTGACCAATTATAATATATGGAGCAATTAATCCTAATAATTGTATAGTTTGTTGATTTGCTTTTACAAAAACTCCAGTATTTGATTCAGTTAATTTTAAAACTTGTAAAATTTGATATGCCTTTTTGGGAATTTTTAAACCTTTTGTATGATTAGGAATTCGAATTACAAACAACAACTTGTATTCATCATCTGCTGAGGTATCTTTTAATGATGATGCTTCTTTTTTTAATTTTTGATTTATTTTATTTATTCTTTTCTTTTCTAATTCATTTGATTTTTGATTACTTAATAAAGTTTCTGCTCTTTTAAAATTTTTTTGTTTTTGCTTTAGTTTTAATTGTTTTGATTTTTTAATCTTATTAGCTATTTCTTCTTGTTTTTCTAATCTTTTCCTATCTGCATTTTTACGCTTTTTTAATAAGATTTCTGGATTTGAATTTAATACAGCCATATTATGTAAATTTATAAGATGTGAAAGCTATAGAAATCGATATGTAGCACCAAGTTGGTTCAATGATTTAATAATATTTGTGTGAATGTAAATTTATTGGTCTAATTTCGAGATGTATCACCTTATGATTGATTCAAGTTTTGGTTAGATAAGTTTCAGATGAGATGAAAGTTTCATATTTTTTTTTCGTATTTACAAAATCACAAAACTAAAAGTAGTAAAAATTTATGGGGGAAAAGAAACAGTGAGTTAAAACGAACGCGCGTGCGAAGCTCACACAGCTGTCGAACTAAACTGAGCTTTCTAACGAGAACTAAGACCTAACAATAGTTTGAGGTACTGCTACTTGATCAATATTAATCGGAACTTTTCATGGAACTCTTCATTTCTTTTCGGTCTTTTAATCAATTTTTTTGAGCTCGCAAATGAAGGTTGATTATCTCCGATTACATGTTCAAGTTCCTAATTCATTTACGACCTTACTTTCGATCAACCACCCGAATGTTTGGGATTCTCGATTTAAAATTGATCCTCGATTCGGGAAGCATGGAGATTGTTTATTAAAACTAATTTGGGATAGAATTGTCTCAAACAAGTAATCCATTGTATGAATATATGATACATATTCAATGTTTCAGAATAAGTCTCACATAGATCTAGAACTTTAATATATTGTTAACAAACTATTTGGGCAAAATATGCGTTTTATTTAGATCTTGATGAAGATTGTTTCCCCTGTAATACTTTCAATATTACATTTCGTACCTGATTAGACATAAGAGATTAGATGTTCTACTTATTCCGATTCTTCCATCAAATGTGAGAAAACAATCAAATGTTATCACATTGATGAATCAAATAGTTCAAAATTCATACTAATCTGTCTTCTTGCAAGTAACTTGTTTTGTAATGCATGAATTAAAGCTCGAGATAGTAAATTTAAGAAATGATGCATATAATCCAAAACACATACATAATTCATAATCTTTGCCTTAGAAATTTGAAGAATTATATCGAATAAGATTTCCCAAATGGCTAGATGATTTCCCAAATTAGTTTATCCAGAAACATTTATGAGTCTATCAATGGGACGATCATGATAATACTCATATAGCATAACCAATGTATGTAATCAAAGCGGATTACTAGGTCAAAAAGGATTCCGATTGATCCTTGTTCATTAGATAAGGGCTTGTTCAACAGATAAGGGAAGTTGACTGTTTTCAAGGCCATGAACAAATTCACTTTTCAAAAATTAAATAATGTAGCTAACGCTTGTTCAATATATTCCAATCAGAGACTAAATTTTATTCAATGAAATCAAAATTTTCGAATGGATTTTCTCTAACTGGCTGGTAGGAAATATATCAATATCTTATTAAGCGACTGGATCAACTGTAGGTTAAATGGCTCAACTGTTATATAAAGTGTACATTAAGCTCTTTAAAATAATAAGGATCAAGATTTTGATCGCCTAGCGGCACTTGGTACGAATTGCTGTTCGTTACTTTACAACCTTAAGACCTGAGTTTATTTTGTAGTGAATTAATTTAAAAATTAGCGATTAATTTGGTTCTGATAAAACATATACTTTAGTATACGAAGGGAAGTTATTCAATTCTAATTTACAGTGTTTGTCTATTTATTCCCTCCCCCGCTTTTGCAACTTAGATAATTATTTGAAGACACATCCAATGCTTCCAAGGATGAGAAAAATGAGAGATATTTATTGTCTTGAAGTTTTAGATTCGGTACTTTATCATTTTAAAAGAACTATTTGGGGAAATTGAAAGGGGAGACCGAATTGGATCAACGGGCAAAATTTTACGAAAATGTGTTAATTTATTGAGTTACAAATAATAACCATGCATTAAACAGTGTAATCTTGCTATAATTCGACAAATGAATCTCTTTCCATTCCGACTGTGAAATCACCTCTTAGTGATCTATCCTGATGTGTCAAAAATTGCATCATTTTTCGAATAATCGATTCTATATTTTAGGTTGATATTTGCATATTTTCAGATCTGTAGAGAAATTTACTTCTAAAACGGGGTTGAAACAAAATTATTTAATACTGGATGGCAAGTTAATACAATTCCGACCATACACGGATTAATTAATTGGCGAGAGTATAAATGGGATCTCATAAACGAATATAAATCTCATGCTAATTTTTAATTGTGAAATATAATAATTTATTATATTTTATTTGATGATCATCCTGAAACAAAAATAAGAAATTGATTGAAAAATCTAAACTAACAAATTTGCAGATAAAAGACATGAACAAATGACACAAGCCATGGCATAACATTTTGGGTTAATGAGCCTTAACAATATCATCTATATTTTGTCATGACGTATGTTTTGTAGTAATCTAGTTTGTTTACCTATTAGACTATATTTGTACCTTGTAAATCATTTTATACTGCATATAATCCCAAATCTTCTTAAAAAAAAATATTTAATCTTGATCTGCTAATAAAATTTATTATTAAGAGTTTAATACTATGAGATTAAGGTTAGACCAGATTTAAAATTTATATTAAATCGTTACTTTTCAACCATTCATTCTTTAAATATTTCATATAATAACAATATCAACCTTCAACAATTACTAATATCTTCAGATTAAGTTCAACCTAAGTAACATTGTCATATTTTTTTTCCTTCATTTCTTTCACATATTAAAAGAATTACAATACTCAATTTGTATATTCAAAATTATTTCATCAATCTTTTAGCATTTTTTAATATTATAGCATAATTTTTTTATATTTTCATTGCATTAAACAAATGACTTTATGAATTCCTATAATAATAGACAAGATCAAGGTTCTGATCAATCTACAAGTCAACAACAAGGTTTAACAAATTCAAATCAGCATCATCAACTACAACAGCAGCATAATTTAGGTGAATATTCTATGCAGGATTCAAATTTACCTTTACAACAAAGTAGTTTTCAATATCAAAATCAAATTCAACCTTATTCAGTTAATACAACTATAACAACTACTAATTCTACATCAAATTTCACTGAATACAATCAACAACAACAACATTCTCAATTTATAGTGAAGCATTATACTCAAGATCAGGGACAACAACAACTCACAAATTCAACACAATCTCAACAACAAACATATCCGATTCAATATTCTACTCCACAATCTACATCCAGTGGGTTGAATATACAACCACAAAGATCACATGTTTCTACTAGAGGTTATAACAATTTATCAAATCAACAAGGAAATAATTTATCGTTTTATAATAAATCAATTCAACCAATTCCACAACAAACAGAACTATCAATGAATTCTCAGCCGACTTATAACTTAGACTTTCTGCAACAACAACAGCAACAAGCACAACCACCACCACCACAACCACAGCCACAACAACAAACCTATCCACCTCAATATAATCAACCTATTCAGAACGTATATTCACAACCGAATTATCTACATCCAGTTCAAGAATTAACTCTTGATCAACTTCAAAATACTACAGAGGCGGAAGACAAATCAAAAAGAACTAAAAGTAAAAGAACAAGACGAAGTAATTCCATTTCAAGTTCACAAGTTCCAGCAGAGAATGAATTGAAACAATTAGCAAAATCAAAACTTCATATTCCATTATCAGAATTGGCATATAGGATTAAACAATTAGAAAATCAAGAAAATCCTCAATTAACGGTGGCAAGCTCAACTACAGCAACAGCAGCAACAACTGCATCAGTAGTCTCAGAAAATACTGAAAGTAACAGAGAAACTCAACGACTGATTTTTGGAATGGTTTGGTTATTAAATTCATGTGAAATATCCCCTACTGCAGTTATACCAAGAAATAGAATTTATGCAAGATATGTTCAAATTTGTGCTGATAATAGTTTATCCCCATTATCACCTGCAAGTTTTGGTAAACTTGTTAAAATATTATATCCTAATATTACCACCCGAAGATTAGGAATGAGAGGACAACTGAAATATCATTATTGTGGAGTTAAATTAAAGGGAGATCAAAATATGCAACTGCAATTACAACAACAACAACAACAACAACAACAACAAAGTCAACAAAATCAATCATCATTATTACAACAAAATCAATTAATGAGTGGATTTATGGGAGGTATAGATTCACCAATTTCTTCAGCTAATTCTTCAGTTTCATATGATGATTCACCAAGGTCTATGTCACAAATTAATACACCTTCATATACTCCAATTAATTCTCCATCTATTACATGTTCATCATCAACTTCTTCATTTACATTATCTGATCAATTACCACTGGTTTCTCATATGAAATATGTACCTGATTTATTAAAATCATTAAGTAATGAAAATATCGCACCAGAATCAAATCCTTATATTCCAATTGAATTACCTTCAATATATCCATATTTACCAAAACAATCTGATCGTGATTTAGCAGATACTTTATATTCATTATATAAAGTTCATGTAAATTCTATATTTGAATCTTTAAGATTTATGCAATTAAAAAGATTATTTCAAAGTTTTAATCAATTTCATAGTATTTTAACTATACCAGTTTACAAGCTATATACAAGTGATTCAATATTAGAATGGATTCAATCCTGTGATTTAATAATGTATAAAAAAATGATAAGAATGTTAATTAAATTAACTTTACAAATAATGATACCTCAAGAAAATTTGAATCAATTAAAAATTATTTCATTAAATTATTTAAAAACATTATCAAATACAATAATAAATCCAAAAAATTCAAAAAATTTCATAATGATGAAATTAAAAATGGGAAAACATTTTATAAATTTATTGAATAGATTAATTAAAGTTTTAGAAACTGGTATATCAGCATCAAAAATTTTAATTAGTGTAAATGAAAAACAAAATATGTTAAATGATTGGACAAAATTAGATTTAAATGAAATTATAAATAGAGAAATTCCATGTATTGATATAAATATAAATACATTAAATTATATAATGAAGATTGAAATTTTTCAAATTTTAAAAAATTCAATAACCATAAATAATAATTCACAAACTATAATTGAAAATTTTGCAAATTTTTTAAATAATTTACCTTCAAGATTTTCAAATATAAATTCAAGATTATTTTTATTATTAACTTCAAATTTTTTAACTACTTGTTTAAGAGAAATTAGTTTAGTTAGTGGAGAAAGTTTTGGATCTTGGTGGATTGTTAGATGTTGGGTTGATGAATATTTAGTTTGGATAATGGAATTAGGTGGATTTTTTTATGATGATTTGAAATTACAACTGAAACAACCTTTGCAATATTCAACTACGGAAACTCAACCACAACAACAACAGCAACAACAACAACAACAACAACAACAACCACCGTCTGTAGAATTTCAAACTGCTGCCGGAACAAGTGGTGAAGCAGATAATTCATTTGGTGCAATTGATTTATTAGAAACATCTTTTGAATTTGATAAATCATCTCAACAACAACAATCTTCACAACAACAACAACAATCACAACAACATTCACAACAACAACAACAACAAACATCAATAGAACGAGAATCTAAACGAATCATAGACTCGATAATTGCTGATCCAATCAGTTATCGATTATTTAGTTAGACCTACGTTTTATATAGCATATAATTTTTACACAAAATCTTTACAATTAGATATATTGTAATTAGATCTTTTGAAGTTGGATCTCTTCGTAGTGGCATACCTAGAAAGAATCTGTATGCGTTCTTGTGCCCCTCAGCACTTAGCATAACTGAATCGAATATCACCAAAATTTTGGTTGTAGTAATAATTTGACCTTTTTTTTTTTTTTGCCAACTGAATTTACAATATTTTGGTTGCAAAACTTCTTTTTTAAATTCCCCAACAACAAAAGAATGTCAGAACTTTCTAAATTTGATACATTTAATCTATCTAATGAATTTCAAGAATCAACTAAAATCAATAATGATAATGATCCATTATCTTCATCATCTCAATTACCACCAAAACAAAATAAAGATTATTGTAAATTTCGTTTATCAATAAAATTAATTCAAGACATATATGTATTTCCAGAAGATGAAAATTCCAAGAGAGAATTCTATGATACTATATCAACTGATTTAATTAAAGTAAATGGGAAAAATAAATCACCAGGTCAAAGAAATTTAAAATTAAATTCTTCTTCTTCTTCTTTAAATAAATTAAATATTGGTACAAATTTATTAGAATTAGGAAATCAAAGTTGTTTATTTAATGATGAATATAATGGGAATTTGTTATTTTATGTTTCAAAATATTTTGAAATTTTTAAAACTTATATTGGTCTATTGAATATTTCAAATTTAGAAACAATTAAAATGTTAAAATTAATCTTTTTAGTATTTTTTAATTATTTAGAAGATAGTGAATTTGCTTCTCAAATAAATAATTTAAGAACTCATCAACAACAAATTAAAACTAATTTTGAAAAAAAATGGATTAGAGATAATTTAAAAATTTATATTATTGAAATTTTTAATATTTTTTTTAAAAATTATTCATTAGCTTTTGAATTTTTTAAAAAGGGTCAAATTAAATGTTGTAAAAATAATTGGAAATTTATTGAAAATTTAATTAACTTGGTGATGATTAATTATTCAAGAATCAAAGATTATAAATTTAATGAAATTGGTTTGAATTTAGATCCAAAATTAGCAATTATAAATCATAGTTGTGTACCAAATGTTTTTCAAATAGAATATGAATTTAAAAAATTTAGAGTACTTAATACATTACCATTAAAACCAGGTGATGAATTATTTGTTAGTTATCTTCCTAATTGTGGTATTCCTCAAGAAATTAGAAATTATCAATTAAATTTAAATTATTATTTTAAATGTTCTTGTACATTATGTAAATCTAAAAATGATTTATTTTTCACCATGCAATGTAATGAATGTTTTAAAAATATAAAATCACCACGTTTAACATTAGTTTTATCTAGTGCAAATAATTTATTAATTGAATCTTCATGTTCAAAATGTTTTCATCCATTTGATATTGAAATTTATACAAGACAAATTTTAATTAGAAATTTTTTTATGGCTTTAATGTTAAGAAATTCAAAACTGAATTATAATTTTAATGATGATGGATATTTTACAATGTTACAAAAGGAATTTAGTACAATGGTTGAAAATAATTCTGTAAGTTATTTAATTAAACAATTATCTGAATCAATTGATAAATTTGAAATCCCTACGGAAAGAATTCCTTTTGTTAAAGGATTAATTGATGAAGTTATGGCTGGAAAAGTGTTTGCTTTATATACATTCCCATTCAATATAATTGTTGAAAAAATTAGTAAACAATGTTGTGAATTTAAAAATTTTGATTCAGGAATGGAATATTTAAAGTATTATTCAAGATTACTTTTTGCTGTAAAATTACCTTCAGATATTTCAAATCAACTATTTTTTAATCAATGTTTGTACCTTGATATGGCTGAAAATATTGAAAAATTAATGCAAAGATTATATGATGAAAAAATTGATACATTTTTTGGAACTTTTAAAGAATCAATGGAATTATTAGCTAGATGTCAATTTTTTTTCTTAAAACATGTCAAAAGTCCATTTGAATCAGTTAAAGTGGAAAACAAATTAATAAAATTATGTGAATTATACCAACCTATTAAATCAACAAAATCTATTCATTCATGTTTGGAACAATTGTTTATCTATGCTAATGCTAATATTTTCATCACCAAAACCAGATTTTTAATCTTTAATGCTAAACAAGAACAAGTTACATTATTCCATACTTTTGATACAGATGATCAATTATAAATCATCATACATCATTTAATGCAACACAAACAGCTCCTTTATGATGTCCATTATATTGTCTTACAGTTTCACTATTTGATAAATCCCATAATCTAACATAATGATCAGAACAAGCAGTAACTAAATATGCACTATCTGCACTAAATGCACAATCCCAAACCCATCTTTGATGTCCTTGTAATGTAGTTTCTAATGCAAAATTTTGTTCAGTTGACCAAATTCTAGCAGTATGATCTGCAGAACATGTAGCTAAATGTTTCATATCTGTACTTAACAAGACTCTTGTAATATATTTCAGATGTGATCTAAATTTAGTAACAGGTGTTAAAGATGTTAAATCTTTTTGATTTTGCATCTTCCATACATAACAATTCCCCTTATTATTTCCTGCAACTAACATTGATCCATCACTTGCTACACTTAAAGAATTTATAGGTACATCATCTTCAGGTATTAAATGATGAGTACATTGATTTTCTCCTAAATCCCAAACTCTTATATTTCCATCTTGATCACAACTTATTAATTCACCTTGATTTGGATGTATTACAACTTCATTTACTGGACAATTATGTTTATAATTTCTTTGTACAGATGGAGATCTAACATCCCAAACTTTAACAGTTCCATCCTCACTAGATGTAACCATCCATTTATTATCTGCTTGGAATGCCAATGATGTAACATTTGTAGTATGACCTTCAAATGTCATCACTGGATTATTATTAGAATTATTGTTGTTGTTATTAGATGATGCAGATCCTTGTTGATTACTTGTAGTACCTCCATTTGAAACGTTGTTAGAACCTCCATTGCCAGATGAACCATTCTGCCGTATATCATAAAGTTTGACGTATAAATTACCAGCAGCTGCAAGGTATCGCTTGTCTGATGTGATTTCCAATCTATTTACTTGTGAATCTGGATGTTGAATTGTTCTTGAGCAGACACCCGTTAATGCATCCCAAAACCTTATGGTATGATCATAACCTGCTGACGCTAGAATCACAGACATTGATGTTGGTTATGTTGACTTTTGATTTGATGGTGTACATAATGTATTTGATGATTTCGAATATCTCAGCACGTACTTTTGTGTAACCATCAGAAGTTTAAAAATTTTTAGTTCTACTTATGCATTACTACTATGATATATATTCATTACTCTATACGTTGACTATTTAAAAATTATCATTAATTGCTTGTTTTTGTGCTTGGGTTAATGATGATGGATAATCCACTTTAAATACAATTTCTAAATCTCCCTTTTGACCTGGAGATTTACTTATTGGCATACCTAAACCTGGATATGTTGTTGTAAAACCTGGTTGAACTGGATTTGACCTACTTAAAGGTATTCTTCTTCCATCTATAGTAGTAACGTCTTTTTCAAATCCTGTTAAAGATTCTTTGAAAGTTAAATGTACTGTCATTTTAATATTATTACCATCTCTTTTAAAGATTGGATTTGGTTTTTCTTCTATTACAAATTGTATAGTTTGTCTTGCTCCACATTCTGGTTGATAATCTCCTTCATTTGAAAAATTGATTTTCGTACCTGCTTTCCAACCTGGTTTTATATTTATTTCTAAAATTTTTTGTTCTCTAGTTCCATTTGCATCTTTTCTTGTTATTTTCATTTTCTTTGTGGCTCCTTTATATAAATCTTCTAATGATACAGGTAATGGTATTGATACTGTGTCTGGTTCAGGCCTTGGTTGTGAACGACCTCCAAATCCACCAGGCATTCCTCCTCCAGCACTTCTTGATCCAAATCCACCACTTCCAAATGGACTTCCACCTTGACCACCTTGCCCTCCAAATCCACTTGAACTAAATGTGAAACCATCATCTCCCATACCAAATCCACCCATTTGTGAGAAAATATTGAATGCATCTGCATTTGAAAAACCACCTCCACCTGAAGATCTAAAACTAGTTCCACCTGGTGCCCCACCAAAACCACTAAATCCACCTTGTCCACCTGCTCCTCCAAATGGATTGCCTTGATCAGCTGCTGGTGCATTACCTCTTGCGGCTTCTAAACCATATTGATCATATACTTCTCTTTTATCAGCATTCGATAATATATCAAAAGCCTCCGATATTTCTTTAAATTTTTCTGTGTCACCAGTTGGTTTATCTGGATGATATTTCAAAGCTTGTTTTCTATAACCTTTTTTAATTTCTGCTTCATTTGCAGTTGGTTCTACTCCTAGTAAATTATAAAGTTTCTTGTCTTTCACCATTTTTTATACTTCGTTATATATAGCAGAATTTTTTGATTTAGTTCTTAAATATTTGACTTGATCCGCCTTCTTCTTTCTTCCTTTGACTATTCAATTGATAAAAATTGATGAGTATAGGATGATATTAATGAAAATCAGCTTATAGCAAACAATAATTCAATGGACTTTCACATTATCATTTTTCACAAATTTGGTACGCGCTACCTGGAACTTGGGTCGACCTACATATTTCTAGAAACTTCTAGTTCCAAAGCGTTTAAACGCGGAATATTTAATCCGGAGAGATCCAAGAGATGAAACAACAAATTTAATACCATAATTACATAGATAACTTGAACTATAAATACAACGTCTTAAACTTTTAATGCCACATTTTCCTTCGTAATATATTTTTCATAAGGTTTCAAAGCATTTGCTACATCATTTTTCACAAATTTTTCAGTTTGCTCTGGTGCTCTACCAACAAATGTCTTTGGATCTAATAATTGATCCAATTCATTCCAAATTGGTTTGAAGTACTCCGTAGTTTTAATTCTTTCAATCAAATCATTATCGCCACCTTCTTGTTTAACAACTGCTGAAGCTTGATGTGATAAAACTCTAATTTCTTCATGACAATCTTGTCTTGAACCTCCTTTTTCAACCATAGCCATAATAATATTTTCGGTAGCCATAAATGGTAATTCAGAATTGATTCTTCTTTCAATAACTTTTGGATATACAACCAAACCTGAAGTAATATTTAACATTGTTGATAATAAAATATCAACAGTTAAAAATGCTGAAGGTAAATTAATTCTTCTAATGGCAGAATCATCTAAAGTTCTTTCAAACCATTGAACACTAGCAGTTTGTAAGGAATCAGAATATAATCCACCTAAATGTCTAGCTAATGAACAAACTCTTTCACATCTCATTGGGTTTCTTTTATAAGCCATAGCACTTGATCCAATTTGTGATTTTTCAAAAGGTTCCTCAACTTCTTTCAAATTAGCTAATAATCTTATATCAGTAGCAAATTTGTGAGCAGTAGCACCAAATGATGCTAAAGGTGCCAATACATCAATATCAATTTTTCTTGAATAAGTTTGGCCTGTGACTGGATAAACATGATCAAAACCCATTAATTCAACAACTTTTTGATCTAATTCTTCAACTTTATCATGATCACCATGAAATAATGATAAAAATGATGCTTGAGTACCAGTAGTTCCTTTAACACCTCTTAATCCAATATCATTTCTTGCTCTAACCATATTTCTTAAATCCCATAATAATTCTTGCAACCATAAACAAGCTCTTTTCCCAACAGTTGTCAATTGAGCAGGTTGGAAATGAGTCCAACCTAATACTGGTAAATCTTTATATTCCAAAGCAAATTGACTTAATCTATCAATCACATTAACTAATTTAGGAATTAGTATATCATAAGCATCTCTAAGAAATATTAAATCAGCATTATCAGTAACAAAACATGAAGTGGCACCTAAATGAATAATACCAGCTGCTGCAGGACAAGTTTCACCAAATGTATGAACATGAGCCATAACATCATGACGAACTTTACTTTCTTCAATAGCAGCATCTTGAATTTCTTTATCTGTAATCTCCAAATTCTTTGACATTTCATCAATTGCTTCTTGAGTAATTATATCTAATCCAACGGCTTTTTCAGCTTTTGCTAAATTTAACCATAATTTTCTCCAAGTTGAAAATCTATTTCTTAATGAAAAAATAGCTGACATTTCTTCAGATGCATATCTTGAAGATAACGGAGTTGAGTATTTATCATATTCTGAGACCATGTTGAAGTATTATGTAGATATGAATTGAGTCAATGATGTATTGGTATGGTTTTAATGAAACTAATATTAGAGGTTAATACTTCTATAATTTAGATTTTCAAAATAAGTTGATGGTCTGCCATTGAAATTACACAAAATGGGTTTCTGCCCCGTACTTTAATTGTAATTTAAACTTCTGACTCCGAAAGTCAGGAAGATGAGAAATTGATTTTGCTTTGAAAACTGAGCTCACCTAGGAGCAGTTGTTGAATGAGCCTAAGCGAGCGAGACAAAATTTCTGGATGCTTTTTGACTTTGGATATAAAGTGATTTCGTATAGAGATCAAGTTATGTAGTATTTTAGGTCGTGAAAGCGTCATCTCGATGCAACTTTGTGACTCGAAATTCTTTTTTCAAGATTCTACATGTTATTGATTTTTGCAAATTACCAACTAACAATATTGTACATCCAACTTTACAAAATATTTACTGAACAGACTATTCACGCAGTTACGTTTTCATTAATGTATCTTCACTAATATACTCGCTGCTCAAATACAGCGTGCAATCGTTCCAGCAACAAACTTTTTTGAAATCTCCTGTACCAACCTATGAATGAGACATCATGTAATGAATGAGAATTTTATCAAGAAGAAAAGTTAATACCCGAGTTAGATTCTACTCATACAAGTTTGAATCTAACTAATACAAGTTTTGATGGACTACATACATACCAATTAATTTTGAATTAGGCTAAACTAGGGATTTACACAAATTTAATAGTGTAATCGTAGTGTTTAAGGAGTTTGTGAATGAAATACAGGAGCACAATCACTACTTAAATACGCTTCATATTATTTACTTTGCTATTCCTAATCAAGTCATTTCAAATGATACAAATATTGAGTTCTTCAGGGTGGTAATTTCTTGACATCCTAATAATGAAAATCGGATCGTTTAGGGAGTTGAAAAGATGGATTTGATTTTCTGAAAAGGCAACTTATAATTCAATCAAAAACAAATTGAATTAAGTCTAACTGGTATAATCTTGTGATATCTCGTAACAAGTGTTGTCTCGTGAATTTGATTCTGAAACTCGATATGGTAGCCTCGTCAAAAATCACGTCTAAAATCAAAAACAAAATAACAAAAAATCTTTATAATTTCATTTTTATATGTAATCCAATCATCTAATTAACCATCAGACTTAATTAATCAATCAATCAATTAACATTACTAAAAGTTTGAGATGAAGATGTTTTTAAATTTACCCAAAGAAGTTCTAGCATTGATCGTTAAGTATATTGATGATAAGATAAAAATTTTAGAGTTAGTTGCAATCCCTCCTCTACGGGAAATAGCTTTGAAAGAAAGATTCTCAACATATCATATTGTTTCAAATTGTGATGGAGATGGAAGAGGAGATGGAGAAGGAGATGGAGAAGGAGATGGAGAAGGAGATGGAGAAGGAGATGGAGAAGGAGATGGAGAAGGAGATGGAGAAGGAGATGGAGAAGGAGATGGAGGTATTGAAGGTTTAGAATCACTTTATCGTTTATTTAAATTCAAACCTTCCAGAATCATTGGTGAAATTACTGATATTCATAAGATACTCAATATTGAAATGTCTGGAATAAAAATTGATGACCATAAATGTAAACATCTAGAAGTAACAGATGCTGTTGATTATACCACGAGTAAATTTGAAGTTTTGTTAACTCAATCAAGTACACAAAAATGACTTGAAAAAAATTATGGATCATGTAAATGTTGTTGGGATTCATATGAGACGTGACGGTAAAGGTGGTATATTTGTTCCCAATGATAAAGGCAAGGAAGCTATTTCATATATAATCGCATTTAATGGAGCTAATTTGGAATCATTAACTACCACATATGATAAATCATTCAAAGTTAAGTTTCCCACATCTTTAAAACATTTAACTTTGTATTGCAGATCAACTGATACACACAAGTTGAATTTGAGAACATTGCCATATCTTGAAAGCTTTGAGTGTAAGTCTCTTTTTGGTGTAAAATCAATAAAAGATCTTTGCATTCCTAATTCTGTTAGATCTTTAGACTTTGAAGCATGTGGTTTTGAAAAATTAGGAAATTTAAAAAGTTTGAATAAGTTAAAAGTTCTTATGGTTACTGGATGTAAAAAGTTGATTGATTTTGTCAAGTGTTCGTTTCCGGATTCATTAAGTTTAATTGGTTACAATAATTGTGTTCCCGCTTCAAAAGTTGCTGAATTATATGAAAAGACTAAGAATGGTACAAATAAACAATTTAATATATCCGATTTTTCAAAAAGTGGAGAGTCATTTTTAGTTGGATCAAATGTGAATTTTCCACCATACTTAACATCTTTACTAATTCTGGACGCTGAAGCTTCTTTGGAATTAGGATCTAATTTAAAACTTAAATATCTTGAAGTTTTAGATTTGAAACGAATTCCCAAGTTGAATTTGAAAGGGATCTTAGCTTCTTTACCAAATGTTATGTTTGATATATCAATTTGTGCATCCGGTATTTCATATGTCGATGGTGTAGCTTTGTTTCCAGAATTGACTCATCTTGAATTCGAATACAATAATTTTGAAAATATTTTTAGAACAAACATACATGAATTGAAAAGATTATCAGTTTTGAGTCTTGAAAATAATTTGTCAATACAACCCAAAACTTTAGTCAGAGTAGATCCTTTTCAATTATTACTGGTTGATAAGTCCAACTCAAATATCGTAAGAGTAACAAAAGAAAATGCAAATAATTTACATGGTTATGCTGGAAAAACTGTCAATGTTGAAATGCAAAATTTAGCGGAATTGACTTTAAAACAAATTTCTCAACAAAATTGGAAGCCTTCTTCTTTTATAAATTACGTATATCCATCCATACTTGAACCTATTATATCTCAGGTATCCCTTGTTGTTTGTGAAAATTTGAAAATTCTCAATTTGGGTGGGTTGGATATTCAAGAATTAAATATTAATAATTTTCCAATATCTTTAGAAAAATTGATAGTCACAAATTTTCAATTACAATCAATTAAAGGTAATTTTGAGAATTTAACCAAATTGAAAAATTTAGATTTATCCTTGAATCAAATCAATCATTCAATGTTAACAAATCAAAAATTCCCTGCAAGTTTGGAAAGTTTGGATTTATCAAAGAATAAGATTGATGATTTAACTTGCTTAAATTTAAGTAACTGTGTTAACCTAGTCTATCTATTTTTATTTCTAGTAACAACACAAGATAATCCAAAAGGAGCAATTGAATTGAAAAATTTCTTATTAAATTCTCAAAATGGTTCTAAAATTGAAACTGCAGTGTTAAGTACAACAAAATCCAAAGTTGTATTTGAAATAATGAATGGGGTTGATGGTACTGCTAAAAGACCACCAGACTCTAATGATGGTGAGAATTGAAAATTATATCAAGTCAAGTAGTTTAGTTGAGAAGAATTGATATTGGCTATAGTAATAAATATTAGCGTCAAACGAATAATTAATATGCTTATTCTGGTATTTGTAATCTTACTTCTGAAAAACTAACAAAACATATGACTTTGTTATCATGATTTAGAGCTGATTGAACTATTATCTCTTGAGCTTGTAAAGTAGTCTTCAAGGAAATAAATATTACACTTATGCATTTATCACCTTTGGGCTAAGCCTTATATTTTCTACTTAAATCAAAACAAAACAAATTTTGGAGCCTTTAAAATAAAGCCAATCTAAGGTTCAAGTATTACTCTAAAACTATAGTTTCATATATCCAAGATGATGTTACAAATAAAATCATTTGTTGGGATATCCTCAAGTCGTGTAAATCTTGCAACAATACATCTTTGTGATTTGGAATTCTTTTCATGATTCTACATGTTGATGAAATTGAAGTAAAGAATCAATCATCAACTACACTTAAATCACTCCACTTGTTGTTTAACATAGGTATCATTCATTTTCATCTGTGCTAATCCTAAAAAGATTTTTAATAATGCGTGCCAAAGTTCAAGCAAGAAATATCTTTCAAAATTTTCAGTCATTAATCTAAGGAAAACATCAAGTAATGAGTGGGATTCGTGACTCAACAAAGACGGTTCGCCAATTTGTTTCCTACTGATACAACCTTTGATATATTGGATACCAGTCAATTAACTATTCAATTTAACTCTAGGATGATGGGACTGGCGATGAAAACGTTTTTATATTTGGAGAGTTGTTTAGGTATATACATTCATAATGATTATCCGAACATACATACAAAATTGATTATTTTAAGTTTTAGAATAACATTTGTATTTGAATCTTGATAGATCAATTTCTTCTATTTATAGTCATAGTATTATATGTTGGGAAAAGGAAGTTGAAAGTATTTTTTTTAAATTTGCTTCATAGAGCATCGGGTTGTCTTCCAGTGGATTAACTTTTGTGAATATAGTTTGTTTAAAAGATCATGAGTAAACTCAAATCAGAGTTTTCGTTCACTAGGAACACACCAAGATTAGTAGCTGGATCACGACTTGGTGAAAAGATTTACAAAAGCTGTAAGAATAGATCACTCCTATGAAGAAATTGATGATAAAAAGGAGGGACTTGATAAAGAAGCAAAGTACTTATTTAATGTGAATAAATAAAATGCTGAAAATTTTTTATTAGCTAGATGATATCAAGATAGTCTTGTGATATCCTGGTAACATAGTGATGTATCGTAAATATTGATCCTGAAACGTCATATGGTAGCTTGACGAAAAAATCACGTCTTAATTTAAAAAATCAGAAAAAATTAAGGGTCGTCAAAATTTTTACCATTTATATGTTACTTGTCAATCTTACCAATATCTACAAGTGATCCATCAACCGATATTTACCACGGATCTATCAATCTATCAAATCAGTCAGTCAATTAATCTATCAATCGGTCCGTCAATTAATCTATCAATCAGTCCGTCAATCAATCTATCAATCAGTCAGTCAATTAATCTATCAATCGGTCCGTCAATTAATCTATCAATCAGTCCGTCAATCAATCTATCAATCAGTCAGTCAATTAATCTATCAATCGGTCCGTCAATTAATCTATCAATCAGTCCGTCAATCAATCTATCAATCAGTCAGTCAATTAATCTATCAATCGGTCCGTCAATTAATCTATCAATCAGTCCGTCAATCAATCTATCAATCAGTCAGTCAATTAATCTATCAATCGGTCCGTCAATTAATCTATCAATCAGTCCGTCAATCAATCATTTATACTCGATTCTAAGATGAAAATATTTCTCAAGTTACCTAAAGAAGTTCAAGCATTAATCATTAAATATATAGATGATAAATCAAAAATTCTGGAATTAATTGCAATCCCTCCCTTACGTGAATTAGCTTTAAAAGAAAGATTTTCAACATATCATGTTGATCCAGAATGTAATGGAGATGGAGATGGTTGTATTGAAGCTTTAAAATCACTTTATTATGAATTTAAATTTAAACCTTTTAAAATTATTGGTGAAAATCTTGTTATCAAGGAATTACTTAATCTCACAAAATCAGAATCCATAAATGAAAAATCTGAATGTCATAATCAAAAAATTTCAAATGATGTTATTGATTATTCAACAAGTAATTTTGAAATTTTATTAAATTCATTTGGTGGATTTATTGAATTGAAAAAGATTATGGATCATGTTAATGTTGTTGGAATTCATATGTTATATGATATGGATGGTGATATAATTCCTCCTTGTGATAAAAGAAAATCAGCTGCTTCTTATATAAAAGCATTTAAAAAAGCTAATTTAGAAGAATTAACTACAACTTATGACAAACAATTTAAAGTTGAATTTCCCACATCTTTAAAACGTTTGTCATTACATTGTAAACCAACTGATAAACTCAATTTAGATTTAAAAAAATTAGCAAAACTTGAACACTTGGAATGTAAATTGCTTTTTGGAGTTCAATCAGTAAATGATCTTAAACTTTCTAATTCCATTAAAAAATTAGAAATTATTGCATGTGGGTTTGAAAACTTGGGTGATTTAAGGAATCTCAATAAATTGAGAACTCTTCAGATTATAGATTGTTCAAAATTGATTGATTTTATTAAATGTTCATTTCCAGAATCATTAGAAATCTTAAATTACAATAATGGTGTTGATATATTAAAAGTGTCTACATTATATGAAAATACTAAGAATGGTACAAATGCACAATTTGATTTAAATGATTTTTCTAATGATGGGAAATCATTTATGATTGGTTCTAATGTAAATTTTCCTTCAAACTTGAAAGTCTTAGAAATTCATGATCCTACAAGAACATTAGAAATAGGTTCAAATCTAAAATTGAAAAATCTTTGCATTTTGGTATTATCAGAAATTTCAAAAATTAATTTAAATGGTCTTTTAGATTCTTTACCAAAAATTATGTTTGATTTTACAATTCGTGCATCAGTAATTTCTACAGTTGAAGGTAAAGCTATATTTCCAGATTTAATTCGTCTTCAACTTGATTTTAATAATTTTAAAAATATATTTAAAACAAATATTCATGAATTAAAAAAATTATCAATCTTAAAACTTGAACATAATATGTCACTTCAATCAAAAGGTTATGCTAGAGTTGATCCTTTTCAATTATTACTGGTTAATGACTCCAAATCAACTATAACCAAAAGATCAAAAAAAGTTGAAACTAATAATGCTAGTAATTCAAGAAATTTTGTGAATGTGAAATTACCAGAGATGATGCATTTAACTTTTACACAACTTACTGAAACAAAATGGGATGTACCATTCTTTGATGATAATGTACAACCATATATAATTAAACCAATCATTTCTCAAGTTTCTTTTGTTGATTGTGAAACATTAAAATTTCTTAGTATCATTGGATTAGATGTTAAAGTTTTAAACATTAATTATTTCCCTATATCATTAGAAAAATTAACAATTGAAAATTTTGAATTACAATCAATTGAAGGTAATTTTAAAAGTTTAATAAATTTAAAACATTTATATTTAATAATGAATCAAATAAATCACTCAATGTTAATTAATCAAAATTTTCCAAAAAGTTTAGAAAGATTAGATTTATCAAAAAATTTAATTAATGATTTAAATTGTTTAAATTTAAAAAATTGTATTAATTTAATTGATTTATTTTTATTTGAAGTTGCAACAAAAGATGAATTAAAAGGATCAAATGAATTGAAACAATCGTTTTTAAAATTAACTAAGAATTCTAAATCTAATCATGCAGTTTTAAATACTACTAATTTCGATGCTATATTTGATATTGCGGATGGAATTGATGGTGTTACTTCCAAAAAATTGAAAAAAGTAATTAGAAAATAAGATAAATTAAATGAGTAACTTTTATGATTGATGATAAATTCACCTGAGTTCATATTTATGACTTATTTGAATTCAATTTTTCACTGAATTCATAAATATCAATTCCGAATTAAAGTACCTAGCATTTGTAAATCGTTGTTATTTCTTTTTAATCTCTTCGATCAAATTTAAAGTCAAATCTCTTAGAACTAGTAATTTAACTCTGAAATTACGTTTAATCGTAATATCAGATATAATCGATATTCATTTACTGAAAGGTCGTGTAAATTTTGCATCAATACATCTTTGTGATTTGGAATTCTATTTCAAAAGATTCTACAGGTTGATGATGAACTTCCAACAATTACATTCAACTTAGCCAACTTGCTATTCGAAATAGGAATCATGCACTTACATTTTCATTAATATCATGGAGAATATGAATAATGCGATAGTTGTTCTAGCAAGAAGTATTTTCTAAAAATCTCATTTGATAATTTATAGATCTTACATCAGGTACTGAGTGAACCATCACTTCTCAATAAAATGGTGGTCTCGAACCTTGTTCCTACTCATTCAACGTCTGATGAATTGGACCCATGTCAAATACTTTTCCAGTTCTAGGGGCGATAGAATTATGTCAATTTAAATATTTCAATATTTGGAGAGTTTAATGTTAGTAAATACATACATAACGATTATCCAAACACTTAACAAAGATAGATTGTTTCCATTTCTAGAATATTAATTCAAATTTTACTTGAATTGTGAGAAATTTACTTCTTCAGTTTGCTTTCAATAATCATAGTGATGATGTTTTAAACCGAAAGAATTTGCGTCAGAGAGCAATGAATGTGCCAATAGGTTAAATTTTGCGAATGATGTACGAACTGGATCAAGCCTTGGAATGACTTGTTAGTTAGATGACATCACGCAAAACTTGTAATAGCTAGTAACCAAGTGATGTCCCATAAATTTGATTTTGAAACGCGATATGGTAGCTTGACCCAAAAAAACACGTCCAAAAATTAATTAATAAAGTTTGTTGATATTAAAAATAAAGAGTTCGTCAAATCTATTGCCATTTGACAGTCTTATCAATATCTACAACTTATCAATCAATTATTCAGTCAATCAATCATTCATATTGGATTAGATGAAGATATTTCTCAAATTACCTAAAGAAATTCTAGTATTAATTATCAGATTCATAAATGATAAGTCAAAAATTTTGGAATTAGCTACAATTCTTCCTTTAAGAAACTTAGCTTTGGAAGTAATATTTTCAACGTATCATGTTGTTCGAAATTGTAAAAATGGTGGTGATGGATGTATTGAAATTTTGAAATCACTTTATCATCAATATAAATTTAAACCTTTCAAAATCATTGGTGAGATTTGGATTATTAATGAATTACTTAATTTTGGAAAATCAGGATCAATAACCATGATTCCAGATTGTCATAGAGATTATTCAGATGCTGTTGATTATAGTATGAGTAAATTTGAGATTTTAATAGAACGATTTAATAATTCTTTTGAATTGGAAAAAATTATGAATCATGTGAATGTTGTTGGAATTGATATGTTGTATGGTGAATCGGGTTGTCCTGCTGATAAAGATATTGAAGCTCATTCTTATTTAAAAGCCTTCAAATCAACTAATTTGGAATCATTACGTACTACTTATGAAGCATCATTCAAGGTTGAATTTCCTACATCTTTGAAGCACTTGAATTTGCATTTTGAAGAAAATGAAGCAATAAAATTAGATTTAGGAACATTGGTAAGTCTTGAATATTTCGAATGTAAAAATCTTTTTGGTATGGTATCGTTAAAGGATCTCAACTTTTCCAATTCAATTAAAGGGTTAAAACTTTATTCATGTGGTTTTGAAAAATTAGGAAATATAAAAAGCTTGAATAGATTAAAAATGCTTCTGATTTTTGGATGTGAAAATTTGATTGATTTTATTAAGTGCCCCTTTCCGGATTCATTAAGTTATATTGATTATGATCATTGTGTTTCCGCTTCAAAAGTTACTGAGTTATATGAAAGTGCTAAGAATGGTTTGGTTCAACAATTCGATCTATTTGATTTTTCAGATGATGGGACTTCATTCTACCTTGGTCCTAATATAAATTTCCCAAAAAATCTACAAACTTTATATATTTCCGATCTGACAAAGACTTTAGAATTAGGTTCTGAGTTAAAACTTAAAAATGTTGATGTTTTGCAATTGAAACACATTCCTAAAATAGATTTAACTGGACTTTTAGCTTCTTTGCCAAAAGTAATGTCTGGATTATTAATTTGTGGATCATTGATTTCAACTTTTGAAGGTATAGCTTTATTTCCAGATTTGGCTACACTTCAACTTGAACAGAATGTATTTGAAAATATATTTAGAACAAATATAGATGAATTAAAAAACTTGTCAATTTTAAAACTTAAACATAATATTTCAATCCAATCAGAAGAAGATATCAGAATTGATCCTTTTCAATTGTTACTGATTGATGATTCCATTTCAACCATGATTCAAGCTTCAGAAACCTTTGAAACAAAATTTAATGAGAAATCAGATATCGTAAATTTGAGAATGCAAAAAATGATGAATTTAGCTTTAGTTCAAACTACTCACATAGAATTGGATCCCAACACTTTTAATATAATTGATCCGAATATATCTCAAGTGTCTTTTATTGGTTGTGAAAATTTAAAGTTCCTCACTCTTTTTGGATTAGATATTGAAGTTTTAAAAATTAATCATTTTCCACTATCTTTAGAATATTTAACAATTCAACAACTCGAATTACAATCAGTTGAAGGTAATTTTGGAAATTTAATCAAATTAAAAGAATTAATACTAAGAGAAAATGGAATAGATGATTCAATGTTATCAAGTCAAACATTTCCAATAAGTTTGAAAACATTAGATTTATCCAAAAATGAAATTAATGATTTAAATTGTTTGAAATTGAATATTTGTGTTAATTTGGAAAATTTATTTTTGTATGAAGTTGCAACACAAGTTGACCAAAAAGGAGCAAATGAATTGAAAGAATTATTTTTTAAGTTAACAGCTTCAAGAAAAACTTATCATATTGCTTTAAGTACTAGATATGAATATGTTATATATGAAATTATTGATGGGGCTAATCATACCCATAATCATCACTCCCTATATAATGATGAAGATTATAGTTATTATCGTTATAATTGGGACTGATTTTCTATAGTTAAATATATATAATGGAGTCAAAAATGATCTATTTATAGTATGTTGCAATCACGTATTTAAAGACTCTTCATTGATACTTTTGATGGAAGTATTCTATTGTGAAACAAATTTTAAATGTGAACAGTTAAAACCTGACTCGAAAATCAGAGTTTGTAATGCCATCCTTAAATTAGATATTCCGAGTGACCTTGATAGAGAAATTTTGATCTGCTTTTTAAAAATTATATTTTCTTAACCATTAAAGCTAAGTTTTAGAATTCTTAGAGGTTCGTCAGTAATTGTGATAAAATCACTCATAGTTACATGTATAATTAAATCATTCATGATCATGCTGACGATTATTTTGCTAACAATTCGGAGGTTGTATAACAAACTGAAATTTACATTAATATCCTAATCATTCAGCATTTAAATTATTATACTACTTTGAAAAAGAGTGAAATCCGCTTGACTAATATTACACGAAGGAGACTAAATCGAGTCGTATACCAACAAATCAAAACTTCCAGTAGAATTTTCAAATTCCACAACTTTCTTATAATCACCCAATTTGAATGTCATACGTTTAGTTATAAAATCTTTCAATCAAAAGCTTAGGTAACGTTTGATACGGTAAACTACTTACATTTACGTAAATACAAGTACTTTGTTCATAAAACAAGGCTTAAGAAGGTGATTAGATATTTGCAATCTGAAATCTTTGTTTAAGTATATTCTAAGCAAATATTAAGCAATAATATAAATTTGATGAGAGAACCACCATCTCATCTCGCAGCTTTGTGATCCGAAATTCTTTTCTCAAGATTCTACAAGTTGTTGAATTTTACTTAAATATCAATTAACAAGAATATACATCCGACATTAACAATTCATAACTGAACAGACTATTAATGCAATTATTCCTGTATTAATGTATATTCACTAATACGCTTTGGGTTCAATTAAAGCGAACTATCGATGTAGCAACCAACTTTTTCGAAAACTCCCATATTCACCCATAAATGAAACATCTTGTAATGAGTGAGATTTATTTCAAGAAGGAAAGCTATTTCCTGCATTGGATTCTCATACAAGTTTTGATGGACTAGATACATGCCAATTCATTTTCAATTAGTTCAAACTAGGGACTATAGAAATTTGATAATGTAATTATAAGTCTAAGGAATTTATCAATAAAATGCAGGAGCATAATCACTAATTAAACATTCATCATACGGTTCATTTTGTTCTCCTAATCAAACCATCTCAATTGATACAACTATTGAGTTCTTCATTGCCCTGCTTCTTCGACATCGCACTAGTGAAAATCGGATCGTTTAGGGAGTTGAAAAGGTTGATATGATTGTCTCAAAGACCAACTAATGGTTAAATTACAAGTTTTCAAGTATGGATTATGGATCAAATTGGATTAAGTATAACTAGTATAATCTTAAGATGTATCGTAACAAGGTGCTGTCCTGTAAATTTTGATTCTGAAACTCGATATGGTAGCCTCGTCAAAAATCACGTCCAAAATCAAAAACAGAATAAAAAACTCGTCATAATTTCATCTTCATACATAATCTAGTCATCAAATCAACCATTAAACTTAAACAACCAATCAATCAACATTACTAAAAGCCTGAGATGAAGATATTTTTAGACTTACCCAACGAAGTTATAGCATTGGTCATTAAGTACATTGATGATAAGTCAAAAATTTTAGAATTAGTTGCAATCCCTCCTTTACAAGAAATAGCTTTGAAAGAAAGATTTTCAACATATCATATTACTTCATATTGTGATGGAGATGGAGATGGATGTATTGAAGCATTAAAGTTACTTTATCATGAATTTAAATTCAAACCTTCCAAAATTATTGGGGAAATTTTTGTTATTAATAAATTACTTAATTTTGAAAATTCAGGGTCAGAAACTTTGATTCCAAATTGTCATAGAGATATTTCAGATGTTGTTGATTATACCATGAGTAAATTTGTAGTTTTATTCACTCCATTTAGTACATTCACTGACTTGAAAAAAATCATGGATTATGTAAGTGTTGTTGGAATTAGTATGTTTAGTGGTTCTTGGGATTATCCTTCTGATAAAGGTGAAGAAGCCCATTCATATTTAAAAGTCATTAAATCAACTAATTTGGAATTGTTAAGTACTACTTATGAAAAATCATTTAAGGTTGAATTTCCTACATCTTTGAAGCACTTGAATTTACATTTTAAACAAAGTGAAGCAATAAAATTAGATTTAAGAACATTGGTAAATCTTGAACAATTCCAATGTAAAAACCTTTTTGGTTTGAAATCATTAAAGGATCTCAACATTTCCAATTCAATTAAAGCATTAAAAATTAATTCATGTGGTTTTGAAAAATTAGAAGATTTGAGAAGTTTGAGTAAATTAAAAACTCTAATGATTTTTGGATGTAAAAAGTTGATTGATTTTACTAAGTGTCCGTTTCCAGATTCATTAAGTTTTATTAATTACCATCATTGTGTTTCCGCTTCAAAAATTGCTGAGTTATACGAAAGTGCTAATAATGGTATGGACCAACAATTTGATTTATTTGATTTTTCATTTGATAGAACTTCATTTTACATTGGTTCTAATATGAATTTTCCAACGAATCTAAAAACTTTATATATTTCCGATCTTACAAGGACTTTGAAATTAGGTTTTAATTTAAATCTTAAAAATGTTGGTATTTTGAAATTAAAAAACTTTTCTCAAATGAATTTATCTGGACTTTTAGCTTCTTTACCAAAGGTAATGTCAGGTTTATCAATTTGTGGATCAGTAATTTCATCTTCTGAAGGTATAGCTATGTTTCCAGAGTTGGATACACTACAATTTGAAAAGAATACATTTCAAAATGTATTTAGAACAAATATACATGAATTAAAAGACTTGTCAATTTTAAAACTTAAACATAATATTTCAGTTCGATCAGAAGAAGATATCAGGACTGATCCTTTTCAATTGTTACTGGTTGTTGGTGTCACTTCAAACATAATTGAAACTTCGGCAAACGTTGAACCTGAATTTAATAAAAAGTCAGGTATTGTAAACGTGAAAATGCAAAAAATAATGGATTTAACCTTAACTCAAGCTACTCAAATAGAGGGGGTTGATCCTGATACTATTAAGTTTCTTTTCATCATTTCACTTTTCATTAAAATGAAATTTACTTACTCCTTTGTTTCATTGAATTTACATCATTACATTTACGTCTACCTGAAACGATTGATTCATAAAATCTCGCTTCTAATATCCAAATTTACTAGTGGTGATACAAATTTTTTTCTCTATGTTTTAAAAAGTTAATTTTGAGAAGTAAAAAAAAGTAACGAATTATAGTTCGATAAATAATAATTTAGTACTTTGTAACATCATGATCATGTGAAAGAAATAAAAGAAAAAACAAATGACGAAAGAAGGTGGAAGGGGGCAGAAGTTTGGAGTAGATTACATTACAACTATTATATGAAGACCAATTGCTAATGGATATATTTGGTAGTTGATTGCAATGTAATATATTATAATATAATACACTCCTCCAAATTTACTGATACGATGATACGATGTGATTTCAAATGGATTTATGTTTATTGGGGGTGTTAATTTCTTTTTTTAATTTTCTGAGACAAAAGTTTAATTTTTGAAATTTTTGTGTGACAAGAGTTTATTAGGTAATAATATTTCAATTAAAGCCGAAAGGCGAGTTAATTTAGCACCAGAAATTAGTGCGGATAGTCGGTGGTAGTAGTACCGGGTGCGAACTAATTTATTATTTTTTACAACGGCAACATTGCCCAGGACATAATCAATTGGGGATATAAGAATAATATACGGAAAAATAGGTATTAAGAAAAATGGCAAATTAACAATAATACAGTCCAAGTACTTACATTGTTTGTTTACTAATACTTTAATTTAACTATTAATAGTAATATTGATAATTACTTTATACTACTTATTCATAACAATATATGGTTATGGACTAAGTAGGTCTCTTGTTCTCTGTATATCATTCTTATAAACAAAATACAAACTGATTACATCTCACTTCAAACGATGGAAGGAAAGTTTAGAAATCTATATAGTGAATGATAAAAATTTCCAAGTTGATCCACTAATTCCATATCCCATTTAAACCTGAAATTTGATCATTTATTGAAATGTTTCAAAAAAATTACTTTTAGTTAAATTAGTAATTAAGAGATGCGTAGTAATCTGATCATTCAAATTTTAGTGCTAGTTACAGTAACAATTTCAAGTTTCAGAAGTTTCAGAATTCCTTTTCAATCTACAACCAATGACTCTCCTTTGAAACTATGATGATTGTTACGGAACTAAATACTTAAATGTATAAATTAACTAATAATTAAACAAACGTAATTTACGTATATTCATCTATGTCTAATTATGTATTGATTGTATTACTTTAATTGAGTCAGTAATACAATTTCGCCATTTACGCTTTACTAGTTAAATTAAAATTTCATAATTTCTTTTTTTTCTCTCTTTTAATAAACTTTTTATTTTTTCTCTTGAGTCATTTTATATACAGTACAATTAATGCTACCAAACACTAATTTAAAAAAAAGGAAATTTAAATTACTTTTTTTTTTACAACCAATTTTTTATTTATCTCTCTTTAAGTACTTAATTTATTATCAACAAATTTTACAATTTTTTTTAATATCAATTACTAATTATTAATATACAACTTTTACAACCAATCTTTTTATTATTTTATAACAACAATCTATTCATTTAATCACTTTAATCATCATCATATACGCACACTAATTATCACAACTACTTCAACAACTAACAGAAACTACTAATTAAAGGCGTAAGGACAATTTTTTTATTTTTTTCATACAAATATAATTAAACGATAATCATGTTTACTGAAGATAATCAACAACAACATCAAAATTTACAACAATCAACCCATCAACAACCAACAGATACTCCATCATCTCAACATCAACAATTAACAACAAATTCATCAAATTCTACTACATTATCTTCTAATTCATCACAAAATACAATATCAACAGTAAATAGTGTAACACCCTCACATCATAATAATAGTAACCACCACCATCATCATCACCATCACCATCATCCACATCATAACACCCACACTACAACCACTGCTCATCAATTTAGACAAGTTTGTTTTAATCCAAGTACAACAAAAGTTTTAAATTCATCATTAACAAATACTTTGCCATCATCTTCATTAAATGCAACAACTAATCCAAATTCTTTAATTACACCTGTTTCTACCCCATCAAATATTCCTCAACAAGTAGAGACAGAACAACAAGGTATTAACAGTAGTAGACAAAATTCAACTAGTCATAAAAGATTATCATCATCATCATCATCTACTCAATCATCTGATTCATCAAAACGCATGAGATTAGATAATTCAACTATTACTAGTACTACTAATACTATTGCTAATACTACTAATTCAACAACAAATACTCCAATAAATAAGACACCTAAATTTATACGTAAGTTTAGATCTAGATCTTTACCTATTATAAATTTTAATTCAAATAATTCAGCTGTTTTTTCACATAATTTAAGAAGAAAACATAATTTTAATACTCAACAACAACAAACACAACCATCACAACCACCACAGCAACAACAACAATCCACAAACACAAATAATTCCTCATTTTCATCAATTCCTCCATTACCACCAATTAATTTACAATCTCTTAAAGAAATAGATTTACATGAAATATTAAAAAATCCTCAATTAAGACATGATATATTATTTGATCCTCAATTACAATTTAGACCAAATTTAGATGGTGAAAGAGGTAAAAGAAAAAAATCAATAATTGATAAATATTGGTTAGAAATTCAAAAAGAATGTCAACAATTTTTTACTCCCAACATAAATCCAAAATCAATAAAAATTAATAGATTACCTATATTATTTACAACTTTAAGAGATATATTATTAAGTTTATTACCAACAAAAGATCGTTCACAAGTTAATGAAATAATGGATATTGATTTATTAATTCAACAATTACGTCATGGATCATTTGATTTTGTTGAAATGAGTAAATGGTTAGCTGATGTTTTTAAATCTCATTGTGCACCAATGAGAGATCAATGGGTAATGGAAATGAATTCAAAATTTATTGATTCTTATAATTTAAATTCTGTTCTGCACCTAATTGGTGGATTAAGAATGATTTTTCAAATTTTAGAAGCAATGAAATTAGATGTTGCAAATCATCAAATTAGAATTTTAAGACCAGTTTTAATTGAAACTGCAATTGATTTTGAAAAAGATTATTTTCAAACTTTAATAAATCATAATAAAATTAATATAAATGATTCATTAAATTGGTTTTATAAAAAATTTTTAAAAAAATTAAATTTTAAAAACCCAAAATTTGAAATTAATGAGAAAAATTTAAAACCAATAATAATAAGTTCAATTATTGATTTATTAAGTTGTAGACAAATGGCTACTGAATTTCCTTCAACTTTAACTTTTGATCATACAAGATTAGTATTATTAAGAGCTGATGTAAGACAATTAGTTTGTGTTCAATTATGTATTGTATTATATAAGCAATTAATTGTAAATTCAAAATCAAATATAAAATTATTATCCCAAGATTCAATTTCAAAAGTTCAACAAGAAATTTTAGCTATTGTTACTGATGATAATGGAAATATAAAATGGACAAAAAATATAAATTCAATATCAATACAATTAGTTAAAAATTTGAATTTAGGTGGTGGTGATAACAATGATAACAAAGAAGTTTTACCTCAAAATTTAATTGATTTTAGTCATAATTGGTTAATGAAACATATTCAACCAAATTCAGAAGTTTATGGATTAATGGAAATCAAAATATTTAAAGAATTAATGTCTGAAATAATGAATTTAGTTTCGTCTGAAGATAAAAAAGAAAAAGTTACTGCAACCACTACAAATTCAACAACATCTACAAACACTACATCAACAACAAACAATTCAAATTCAGAAATGAAAAATATAGCAACAAGAATATCAACATTAGTAAATTTTCATTGGAATGTATTTGGATCTTATTATTTAGAATATATTCAAAAACAATATACAAAACAACAAATTGCAGAAGAAGAAGAAATTAAAAAACAACAGCAAAAGGAAAAAGAAAAACAACAACAACAGTTACAAAACACTACCAGTTCTTCTTCTTCGTCTAAAGAAAATGATTCTGTTATTTTAGATCATCAATCGAATAATAATTCCAATAATAATGCCAATAATAATAATAATCAACAGCAAGCACAACAACAACAATCACAACAGAATCAACAACAACAACAAAATGGAGAAATAGATACAACTAATTCAGCACCATTAAGTTTATTATCATAACTACCAAACAATGAATTAACGACGTTTTTAAAGCCAAGTTTTTTTTTTTATTATTCAAAATAGCATATTAATTGATGATTACGATGATTAAGATTGGTTTTATTATATTATGTTATTTGATCACTTATTAATTTATTAGAGAATATATCATGAAGTACCATTTTTTTTTTAGTTTTAGTTTTAAATCTTATATATTTTAATATAATATATTTTACATATTAATGATGAGATAGTATGTGTTTTTCGAGTTACTTACTCTTTTATCTTTTCTTTCTTTGACTCTAGTATTCTTCAAAACTATAATAATGAGGAATCAAACAATTATTAGATTTGATTTCGTCATGGATAAGAGTAAGAGTTCAGATTTTGTAATTGTAATTGTAATGTACTGTGAAATTTCGTAAAATCGTATATTTCTTCTTCATTTTTAGAAATTGATTTTGTGGTACAAAATTATTCTGTTTATTATTTACGATCATACTTAGAATATCATTCACATTGAATCTATCTTACATATCATATCCCATATCAAATTCATCTTCAACTACATCCATATATTCCTACTAGGCGATCAGAGAAGTGTGAGCACTTGTCAATTCACATTATCCTTTCCAGAATTCTGTACATAGAAGCTAATCAATTTATATAACGTATAACTCAATATCCTTAAAACATACAAAAACAAAACTCTGAATAAAATGATATCAACAACATTCAAAATAATAACAGCACCAATAACATTCACCTATTTCATAATTAAAACATTATTTATAAATATAATATACTTACCATTATTATATTTATTTTCAATATGTTTTTATATACCATTATTTAAATTACCCATATGGATCCCAATAAGATATATTTTAGAATTAAATCCAGACCCTCAACTGAAATTATCAAGTCAATTACTAATAGAAGATAACGGTGGTTCTCATTCATTAAATTGGTTAATGTCACAATTTAATTTATTTACTTTAGTTACTTTTCATTTTATTTTAACTTCTATATATATTGGAATTGGAATTGGTTTGATTATGGGTTTTCAATTAAGTTTTATTTCATGGTTTTTTACATTAGATTTAGGTGTTAGTGAAGGGAATAATATTACTATTGGTGATATTTCTTTAAAAAATGAAAAAATAAATAAAATTTGGGAAAAATCAAGACCTATAAAACAAGAATTAAATCAAACTGAATTGAACCAGAATAAAGAATCAAAAATCAAACAAGAATCATCAAAGCCACCAAAATCATCAACAACATCATCAAAATTACAAAATTTAAAAAATTTACAAAATAAAAGAATATTACAATCTATAAATCCTAAAAATAATCAAAATCATTTAATTCATAGAGATGATGATGAAGAAATTTATTTATATCCAACTCCAAAATCAGATTTTGAAATAGGTCCAAGTTTTGAAAATTTAAGAAAAAGAACTAAATTTATTGATAAATCTAATGAAAAATATAATCAAAATCAAAATCAAATATTTCAACAAATTCCAATTCAAAATAAACAATTTAAACAACCTTCATCAATTAATCAACCTTTTATTAAACAACTTCCTCCTTTTAATACTAGATTTGAAGATATTAATAGTAATAGTAATAGTTCAAGTAATGAAACAGATATTGTAGATATAGATGATATAGAATTTGAAATTGAAGAAGAACAAGAACTTGAGAAACAAGAAATTAAAAAAGATAGAGAAGAAGATCAAAAATTACAAGAAATTGAAGAAGAAGAACAAGAACAAGAGCAACAAACTGGAGAAGAAAGAGGATCAACAGAAGAAGATGCAGATGAAGAATTATCATCTGAACCAATTATAAGTAGTTCAGATAATGAAAATTATTATGATGATGATAATAATGATAGAACTTTTGATCCTATCTCTAATAATTCAACTAAATTAACAAGTTTTGGATTAAGTGAAATTAGTGAAGAAGGTGAATAAGTTAGAAAATAATAATATCTAGAGTTGAATGATACCCTTTTAATAATAGTAATAGTATAATATGACAAAAAATTGTTACAACTAATTAACTCAACTTTGTATTGCTCTATCGATTCTTTGCGCTATCAAAATACTTTTGATAGTTTGATTTGTGGATAAATTCAATTACATATTAATCGAATTTTTAATTTGTTAAATTTGAGACTTTGCAGGTGCTATCCTCAATGTTATCTGATATTAGTTTAATTTTATTTCTGTATTTTTTTTGCATCAAAAATAAAACTAATTCTACAAAATGAAGAAATAATTTTTGACTTATAAACTCTATAGATTTGCCTTTTTCACAAATTTAAAATTAAAGTCATCCAAAATTGTTTAAGAGTTAAAGTAATGAGGTAATTGAATGAAAAACTTCAAAAAACCTGAATTCTCTAGTGATTTTTAATTTACTTTTAAAGTTAGTGATTCAATCTGATTAAGGTTCTGTTACGATTAGAATTAACAGGTAACTGGGTCTTCGGCACCGATGATTACAGGGTATAGTCATAAAATTTAATGATTCATTAATTACAACTATTTTACAATATTCTTAGATAGATCAGAATAGACCGAAGAAAAATGCACTTGTAATTCATGTACAATCTATATAGCTTATGCTACCAGAATGTGTTTCAAAATTTTAGATCTGATTTCAATATATTGAATTTAATGAGCTTCAGCAAGACATCTTCTAACCAAATCCAAGGATAAAATATGGTACTAATGGCCCCCGTGTGTTTAACTTTATACTAGCTTGAGTATTTTAAATCCTTTCTTTAATGTTCGTAACAAACTCTTGCCTCTGAGATGGAATATTGCAAAATTACAATCAAGACTAAGATCAGTTTTAGACTAGACCACAACCTTAACTCAATACTTGCTGATGGTAAAAGAATGAATAATCGTTATCCATCGACAATGTTTAAAGTCAAATTTTTTTGAAAAGAACTTCGGTTTTAGAGCTTGTCGGAGAGAGAGTACATTTTAATTTTGATCTCGACTACATATAATCAAAGTAAATTAAGCCTTGTATTAAAGTGTTCAACGTAAATAATCCATTTTTCGATCCATGCAATTGTTTAAAAGCTCATTTATGAACTAAAAAATTATTCATTTTGCTAGGCTAATATTTTGGAAGCTCAAATAAATCGATTTCGTTTGGTAACCTTTCATTTTCTGCCGAGGACTAATAATTTTCATTCAAATCCAGAATCTAAAATCTTAGTTAACCGGGGAAAAACTTGATACACCCAGGTGAAATGTCACAAAATGTGAGATGGATGAAGTAATGTCTATTGAATTCATTTTAAACTTCTTTAAAATCAGGGTACTTAAGTTTAACGTACCTTGCTCTAAACTCAAAATAGAAAAAAAGAGTACAAGATTCAAATTTAAAGGAAGCTACATATCAATCTAAAATAATTTCTCAATAGTCTATATTATAATAATTTGGTTTCAACTATTAATTCTCGAATGGCAAATTGAAAATATTTTTTAGATCTACAATTTACTTGCAATCATTAAAAAGATGAATGATCTTTATCTTACTTGACAACAAAAAAGGATTTCCATTTTGCTTTGGATTTTGTGGGGTAAGAAGACTTCTGCTAATAATCTTACTCTTTAATTGATGAATTCATTTGTCATATAAACATGGTTATTAAAAGTACATTCCTTATTAAAGCCATTGATCAATCAACACTTGAAGCATTATAACCGTTTAAATCTAATTTCATGATGATCAAAAGATTAGGCATTATTGAATAATTAATTTGAAAAAGGATCTCGAATAAATAGTTAAGAAAATTTAAATTAACAATCCAAAACGTTTAAAAAACGTACGTAATACAATAAGAAACATTTGAAGTTATGATCTATAAGTAATAGTTATAAAATTTTAAAGGATCTTGCATTTTGAAGGGTGGGACATTAGACATAAAGAAAAAGGATCTTAGGTTATTTTTATACGATGATACTCCAAAATTTAGTCGATCAATAAGTGGGTCTACTTTAATAATCCAGATCTGTTTGTTTCATATGATTATCATTTTCTTGAGAAAATTGAAACTAATGATTCATTATTTTGACTTTTTGAATGTGTATGAAATACTTGAAGTATTTTATTATTCAGGGAGTTACAGTTATGACAAGTTTCAAAAGTATATTTTACGGTGTTTTTCATCTTTCCTTTTTGAGGAAGCAAAGGTAAAATTGAAAAAAATAATAATAATAACCTTTGAAATTTCATCTTTTGATTTGTGATTGTTTATGTTAGATAATATAAACCCTTTACGTAAATGTATAAAGTGCAATTTCTTAAATTGTAAATCGTAATTGAATCTTTAAAAAGAAAACAATATAGGGTGTTGGATACTTTTGTTTTGTATATCTCAAGTCCTATTGTTCATTAATACTTATAATAGCATCAAATTAACAGATACGATGCGAAACGTATCTAGTAAAGCTTTAAAGAGTATTATCCAACTCTTCAAACAAAGCATTAATCAATCATCGCGTATATTCTTTGTTACTTATAAAATGGAGAATTTACCGTTTTCGGCTTAATAATACTTTATTGTAAATTAGTGTGCAACATTTATTATTTGATGGATCTAAGATCTGTAAATCTAAGATAGATGCATGTTTTCTATTAATTTTGAAAATCATGGGGTAATATCACCATTTTTTGAGATACTCCCCGAGGATGCGTATTCAATCTCTAAAGTTTCATATCAACTTCAAAACTTACGGATTAAAATCTTAAGTTTCCGTTCATCAGAGAGACTCAGATTTCAGATCTGAACACTTTCACCCTAAATGCTATGGAATGAAATATGATACTAATTTACCACATCTCAGTTCTGGAAACTTCGTCTAATTAAAATTCAAACTAAAAATCTTCTAGAACTAGTACTAGCAGTCGAATACTTCTATTGAAATTTAAACGAGTACTTCTACCATACTCGCTATTTGTTTGTTACCATTATACTTCAACCAGATCTACTACAAAATCATAACAAGTCAGACCCTTATGTTTTGCTCTTCTCCATATTTCAGTTTCACCTAAAAAATAATTAAGATTAACTCATAAATTAAAAATAACATTAATAAAATTTAGCACTAGCCACATAATATAATAATTTATTTTTTTACCTTCAATGAACTACCCTAATTCATCATTTTCCCCGACTCTTGCAGATTATTATCCAGCTTAATTTGAAATTTGAATTATATACTCAAGTGTAGATCGTATTATTGATTGGTTTATGTAATTAAAGTAGGTCTATTTGATTCTCGTTGGGAAATGTTCACGTAAATTCATCAAATGCTAAAAATAAAAGATTAATGTTTCAAAATTGATTTTGACATAAATTTTGTGGAAAAGGATTAAACAAGAAACTTTAAAAACTGAATTTTAAAGATAAACTTTTAAATTAGATTTGGTCATTGATCTGACAGATACGAAATTAGATTATACTGATCAATAAAATAATATACTGAACATTGACGTTTAAAGTTTACAAATGATTCTGAAACAAAATAATACTGAAAAGATCTCCTGGAGCCAGATTTGCTCAAAAATCGATTAAGAGCGTTCAACATGATTCATGTAGCCGTGCCAGCTTTTGATTCTTTTGAATAAGAAGAATAACGTTAAATAATACCATGAGATTCTTTAGGGGGTGGAACCGTAATAACAATTTATTTTGCTTATTACCGTAAACCTTATCAACGCTGAAGATTTATAATTATGACGGGTGAATCTATCAAAACAAACCGAGTCTATATGAATCCATAAATGAATATATTGATATAAAATTGGTTATGAGATCTACAAGATCTTTCAATACTGGTGAATTAAGTTTTAATATTACACAAACTAAGTCTAAGGACCAAAGACTCAAACTAATTTCAAAACGTAAATGCATAAAGTTTAAATTTTACACCTCTCTTTGTATTTTGTGTAATACATTAGAAACATCTATGAGTCTTCTTTCTTCTTTCTTCTTCTCAATATCTAGTAAAAATCAAGAATGATTCAATCAAAGAATAGAACGTTTTATATATTCTAGAGTATATGTCAAGGGAAGGTTTAAAGTTAGACGATCTATATTAGTGGCACATTACATTTTGGAAGAAATCTAAGAGGATGGAAATCATATTTTTATAAATTAATCATAGGGTAGTCTTATTGATCAGAAATATCTGATAAAGATAAGAAAAAATTTAGATGGACCTTCAAAACAGGGGAGATAATATAAAAAGTTCTGTATGAAGCTTAATTTTTCTCTCAAAGTCTTGAAATAGTATCTGTAATATGGTAAATTATACTAATATATTTTGAAACGAGCCATCTTTATTTTCTTTATTCCAATGAAACAGAAAAATGGAGTGTATATGCCAGCGTAAATCTAGCCGTAAAGCAAGCAAGCTCTTGAACAAGCAAAACAAAAAATCAAAATTTCAGGTTTGGAGAACCGTAATGTCAAACCTTACAGATACTAATATTTTAATTGTTTGATTTTATAATAATGAATAAACACAAAGAAATTAAATCCTTCTCGATAAGATGAATTAAGAAATTAAGTTTTTGAAATATTCATTAATAAAATAAGGTTTTGTGTTAATTTTAAACCTTAGATTTGAGATTTGAGATTTGAGATTTTGTACCTGTGAAAAATATCTTCATATATTATTTGAGATATAACCTAAATAACCCAACCAACATGAATATAGTATTAGTATATTCAATTAAATCCATCACCCTTTATTTTGCATACTAAAAAAATATTATTTACGTTCTGAATCTTATGTGATACATACGTATATGAAAGAAAGAAAAATAAATAAGTGTAAAAGATCTGTAACTAAGTACTATCTATTGACAACCAATTTTATTGGAGAAATAAAGTTTTTCATTAATCCAAATTGGGTTATACTAACTAAAATAATTTCATTTTTGAGGGTGGTAGGACTTTTTAGTTGAAGATAAACGAAATATAAATACATGACGATATAAGTTTTTAAAATTCTATAAAAAAATCATATTCTCTTTTAAAATTTCAAAAAATTTGTTTCATAGAATCATTAGTTGTCACCTACTAATTCATAAATTAATTTCTAAATCAATCATTAAAACAATTTCACATATCAACATTTAACTGCATCATTTTTTTTACAATAAGTGGTTCATAAATTTTTCAAGTTTTACATAATCATCAAAATCATAAAATTATATTTACGGTGGTCATACATAAATTAATTTCAACTATTACGAAGGGCAATTTCATTTCACGTAATTTCAAGTCCTACTACTATCAAAATATATATTTCAAATTAAGAAATTTGTTAGTCAAACTTTAAATTATTTTAAAACCAATACGGAGACAGATACGATAGAACATTTAAATTACAAATTGCCATACCAATACTACATTTACTAAAAGTTTAAATTTATTCAGTTTGTTCCCCCCACCAGCTATTAATTTTCATACAAATCAACTTAAATTCTTCCGAAAGTTATTGAAGCTATCAACATATTAAAGACAATAGAGTCAAACTTCAAAAATTCAGGTGCATTATTATTATAATATTTTTAACTTCCATTTGAAGATATATTATAGTATCAATAAATTATCAAAAGCTAACATTGTTTAACGATAAATTTACAAATCATTCTTTCATACATTAAAACAATCATCATCGAAGAAAATTTACAAAATTTTTAAGTTTCATCGCATTATCGAAGAATCAAAAGAACAAATTAAAATTAATATCAATCAAAATCAACCATCAATTTTATATTAATCGAAATTTAAATAATAATTTAATTTCTTTTATAACTTCAAGAACAATAGAAAATCATAAATAGGAGGCAAGTCAATATTTCAAATTTACGGAAAAATAAGTCAAAATTTCATTAAATACGCATTCTACATATTAATTTTTTATTGTTAATTTTTCAACTTGCATACTTCCAAAAGGTTTTTCAAGAGCATTACATATCAATACTCGAAATTTCAAATCAATTCATTCATTAAATAATAAAAAATTTGAAATTATAAAAGACTATTCAAATCCAGATAAATTTGATTCATTTTTTTTAAAAGCATATCAATTAACCTAACCAAGTTCAAAACTATAATCATTATATCAAGTCTAAAGATCTTCGAAATCAAATTTAAGTTTTAGTTTAATTTATTTACTTCCAAAGAACAATTCCGGTTAATTTGCTATTTTCTAGAATCACTAAAATCTCACTTTATATACAGGTTTGAATCATTTTCAGATTTCCGTTAAGTTTTAAAAGCTACAATTATACAAGGGCTTTATTTTCATTATATCAAACACAACTAATTTTCATTCATTTGGATTCTTTGTTGCTGAAACTATTGAAAATCAAGTTATAATTTCATTCACATTTTAGACTTAGTATCAAAAGTTCAAACAAAATTTAAACTTTTTAACTAGCCACTTTCAGATTTTGTGTAATTTTAAGACCCTATTCAATATTTTTATAGTGTTTCAGATTTTGCATCACCAATTATCAAATTACAATTTTCAATCACAACTTATATTCAACTCAATAACAACTCAAATATCATCATCCTTATGTCAAATTTATCATTTCAATCCAATTCATTTAAATTAAACATACCAGATTTCAGAAATTCATCAGTTTCAAAAACAGTAAATTCATTTAATAGAAATTCATTAACTGATTTATCAACAATAGCAATAAGAGCATTAAATTCAGTTCAATTTTCAAATAATTTAGATCAAGAACAACCAAGAATTATAGCTAGATCAGATTCAATAGATTCAGATAATATGTCAACAAGTAGTAAAGAAAGATCAGTTTCACCAATTGGTAGACAAACACAAGTTATATTTGTACATAAATTATATAATATGTTAAATGATGAAAATTTACAAGATTATATATGTTGGTCTCCAGAACAAGATTCATTTTATGTATTTCATGGTGAAGAATTTAATAAAAATATATTGGCTTGTTTTTTCAAACATACAAATATGTCATCATTTATAAGACAATTAAATATGTATGGATTTCATAAAGTTAATGAAGCTGCAAAAGAAAAAACTGAATCTGATTTAGTTTCTTCATTATTTGAAAAACCAACAAATAGATGGGAATTTCGTCATTCACAAAATTTATTTAAAAAGGGAGATATTGAATCATTAAATAATATAAAAAGAAGATCATCAAAAAATAATATAAATAACCAAAATCAAAAAGATATTATAAATTTAAATTCTATAGCTCAACCAATTATTAAAAATGAAAGTCAAGATGAACAAGTATCACCAAAACAAAGACAAGGAGATTCATCACCAGATTCATCATATTTTCAACCACATCATCCATCTTTCAGTACTACTAATTATAATGTAAAACTTCAATCACCAATGACTCCAAGTTCATCATTATTATCAGCACCATTTCAACCGTATTCATTACAACAACAGCCAATACATGAAACAATTAATCCACAACAACAATTACCACAACCACCACAATCAAAATACAGTGATCAATTTTCTTCAAAACAACAACCATCATTAGAATATGTACATACAAATTCAGGTTTCAGTTATCTTCAACAACAAAGATCATCATCATCTTCATCATTTTCAGAAACTACTGGTAATAATAAAAGACAAATAGATTATTTATTTGAAGAAATATCAACTTTAAAAAAAGCAAATACAGAATTACATCAAATGTATCAAACTCAACAAAATTTATTAATTAATTTTTTAAATTTATATGAAGATAATAAATTAGATTCAACTACAATAACAAATTTAAAAAATTCTATAACTTCAATAAATTATCAACAACCACAACAACAACCACAACAGAATTTACCATCAGATTATTTATCAAGAAAAAATTCATCATATAGTCCATTAAGTACAAGTAGACAAAATTCAATAAATTTAAATTTATTATATAATAATAGAACTAATTCATTACCTTTATTATCACAAGAACAATCAAGAAAAATTTCTATAGCTTCAAATTTTGATAAATTACCAAGTGTTGATCAATTAAATATGAAAATTAAAAATTATCCTAATGTTGGAGGATCAGATCCAAAAAAGAGAAAACTTTAAAATAAATTCATTTACTTTAGTTACTTATTCAATACTTATTCGATTCTATTATTTAGTTTAATAAAATGTGTTCATTATGTATAAATTATTATTCCTCTATATAATCAACTCTATCCACATTTTTCTATAATCCTATTTAATGGATTAATATATTGATTTTCTAATTCATCTTTAACATAAACTATATAATAAGGAGTAGCAGTATTTGATTCTAAAAAATTAAAAATTTCAGAATCTTGAACTTCCGTTATAATTTCATCATTATATTTTCTAAAAATATTTTTTTGATGAGGATCCTTTATATATATCCAATAATGACCATAACTTGCTTCTCCTCTATGTATAAAAATTGCAAATATTGAATAACCTATCTTGTTGTATTCTATAAATTGATTATTAATTTTTTCTTGAAGATAATTTATTTTAGAATCAATTTTAACTAATTGATTTTGTAAATTTAAAATTTCATCTGATATTACTTGAATAGTTGTTAATTCTATAGATAATTTATCATCTTGAATAATTCTATTTTCTAAAAATTTTTTTGTTGTAATTAAATTATCAATTATAGTCATTGAAGTATTTTCATCTTTTTGTAAAATTTCATTTTTAGCATTATTTAATTCAATAATTTGATTTTTCCAATTAAATACTTCTGACCTTTTATTTAATATTATTTCATCTTTTGTATCTAAATATCTATCAAGATAAATTTTAGAACTAAAAGGTATTGGTTCAATACTTTTATAAGCCATTAATTTTTCTCTATCAAACATTACTCTTTGAACATGAAATTGCATTATTTCTGGTAATTCAGTTATTGTAACTGATTTTTTAACTAATCCTTCTTCTAATTTAACTAAATCTTCATTAAAATAATTATCTAATGAATCATATATAGACTTTGGATGATCACTAACATTTATAATCAAACTATTAAATCTTTCAGTTGATTCTCTTATTGAATCTGGTTTATCAATTGGTTGAATGGTTTGTTTAGTTTTTCCATAAAATAATTTTTTAATTAAATCAATTTGTTCACCATCTTCTTTATCTATATATTCAGGTGGTAAAGCTGATTCAATTTGAAAAATGACATTTTCAATACATTCAGTTACATCTTGTTGACGACCTATTTCAATTGTACTTTCAATTTGATCCGTTGATATGGATAATAATTTTGAATTTTCAGGCTGTTCTTCCAGGTTAGATTCTACTTTTTCAATAAATGTTTCTTCAACCAAATCTTGAGGTTCAACGGTATGAGTTTCAATATGAACTGGTGGATCAAGTGTACCATTCATATCATCATCTTCATTATCAATATCAATTAATGTTTTATCTTCCTCCACCACACCATTTTGATTAGGTTCATTTTCAATAACTTCACTATCACTATCCAATATTTCAATCACTTCAGGTTCTTTATGCTTTGTTGGTTCTTTAAAATTTACAGGTTGTGATAATGGTAAAAAAGATAAATAAGCTAATTCTTTACTTGGTGCAACACATCTTTTATCAGTATGAATCATTTGTTTAAATAAATTTTGTAATTGATAAATAAATTGATTTGATCTAAATTTTTCCAGTTCTTCAACTTTCCTTCCACCAATTTTTCTATTTGCATCAAATTCATTTAAATTATAATTATTAGAATCAAAATTTAAAATTAAATCTCTTAAAGGTTTAATACAAAAATAATATTGTAATAGTGAATTTAAATAACAAGTGTTTCCAATATTATCAAGACCAGCTGGCCAATTTTCAGGAGGTAATAATGAAGAATCAATTTTACCTGTTTTCAAATAACTCAATAAAATTTCTGATTTTTTATCTTCTCCAATTGATCTTAAACAATGTCTTAATATTCTTATATCTTTTTCATTTGATAAAAGTTTTATTTGAAATTGATTTATAATTTCAAATTCAGATGTCTTGCTGTCAGAATTTAATACTTCATATGACATTTGTAAAGTATATTTTTCTAATTCTGGTATTTTAACATATTCAGGATATTTAGTTTCCAAATAATTTAATAATAAATTACTTCTTCTATTTATTGCAATTGAAGTTAAAGCTTTATTTAACATTTTAATTTCATTTGAATTGGGGTTCATATTTTGTGTCATTATATCATCAACTTTAAATTCAAATGCAGTAATAACAACTTCGTCTTCTGTTATTTCTTCAATACCTAATTCATTAATTGCTAAATTCATTGGTATAATTTCATATGCTAAAAATTCTTTTAAACTTTCTGAATTATTTGCAATTGCAATTCTTTTTAAATGATCACGATAATATTGATAATTTCTAGGATCATTTTTATATAATTCTTTATACATCGCAATAATCACATCTTCTTTGACAACACTATCCAAAGGATATCCAATAATTTTCAATGAATCTTGTAAATCTTTGTATCCAAAGAAGCTTTCCAGTTGTTGTTGACATTTATTAATATATGAATTCAATTTAATATTTTGTGAATTATGTTGAAGAAAATTACTTACATCTTTTAAGTAGTCAATATAATATAATTGATTAATTGGATCAGATCTAACTGAATTTTCAAAACATTTAATTATAATTTCATCACTAAAATATGCTGAAGCACTTAATGCAATAAAATATTGAAATCTATTTGAATAATTACTATTGAAATTATGAATACTTGTATTTTTATCACATTCTGGAATTCTATTAAATACTTGAACCATATTATCTGAAAATGAATATTGATGGAAGCTATTGTTAGTGTCTTTTAAAACTTTTGTTGCAAAAAATATCAATTCTGCCAGTTTTCTTTTAAATGATTCTTTTAATTGTGGGAATTCATTTAGATTTGGAGGTATGACATGTTCTTCATCAGAACTTAATGTAAAAGAAAGTTTTTGTAATAATAAATTAACATCAATTGAAGTTTCCATAGCTGTTCCTTTCAAACTTATTGTCCTCTGTTCTGGGCCATTATATGTCAATGGACCTTTTAAAACTTTGATTAAAGTATTTATACAATTAACTGGAGTTGGAATTACATCTTTTGATAAATCAGGATGACGTTCGATAAGCGATAAAAATCTTTCTTTTATTAGTTTTTCATCAATTAAAGGTTCGAAATCTTCTTTTTGATTAAATTCAGGTTTGAAAATTGAAATTCTTAAAATTTGATTGTTCGGTGAAGTGGCACATTTATAATATGAATCATCTATAATCTGATTTCGTTCATCATAGTTTTCTAATAACAAATCCAAATCATGTCTTGTTATCAATGACTTAGGTATAAGATGATACAGATTTTTATCAAAATCAATAACAAATGGATTTGATGCATTTTCTAGTATGATTAACTTAAAATGATGTATTTGGTCTGGTCTTGACTTGCTTGCTATTACACCTCGAATTATAGTCACTACTTGATTGGTTTCTTGGAGCTGAATAATTTCCGTTGATGGACAAAAATCTATTTTTTCATTTAATATCCATATTTGTTCATTATGATGTGAATTATTAACAAAATTTTGTAATTTATTTGAATAATCAATAGGTTTATTATTTAAAAGACTATAATTTAGATTCTTCAATATCGGTACTGACCATTTTATATCATCTAATATTCTATTTAATGTTTTGAATGGGTATTTGATTATTTCATTATGCGGTATATTAGTTTTTAGTAGATTTAATTCATGAGTCTTTAATTGAGATTCATTATATTGAGGTGGTGAATTTGATGGAGGTTTTGATTCATTTTCTGATGTAGATTGTGATTGTAATTGAGATTGTGAAATTGAAAGGTCTGTTCCTGTTCTGAATGGATTTCTACTTTTGAATTGAGTTGGTGGTTCTTCTTGAGAAACTGCTATCTTGTTTGAATGATAAGTTAAAGGTGATTTATTGTCCGAATCCGATGTAGAATCAGCGCTTGTTTGTGGTTGTTGATAATTTACTTGTTCTTGTTGCAGATCAAGATCCTCTATAAACTCTTCCTGCAACATAGTTATGAACCTGTAATAATGTCAATTGGTAATGCTGTGGTACTATTTATTAATTGGTCTAAGATACAAAGTGGTTGCTTTTTAAAATTGGTTTGTCTCAAAATCTGGAGAGCGAGATTTGCAACACACAAATTTCATAATCAAATACTTACAGTACATTAGATCCTAACATCACCACACAAGTAACTCAATAACAAAAGCAGACAATAAGATCTCACCAATGTCATGTCATCACCTCAACCACCATCTATAGATTTTGAAAAAATTAAAGCAAAATCAGATGGATCATATTCAAGTTTAATTTCATCAAGTTTTCAAGAAATTATTATGAATAATCCATATTTTGCAGCAGGTGGAGGTTTAATGTTATTAGGTACTGGATTAGCATTAGCAAGATCAGGAATTGTTAAAAGTTCTGGATTTTTATATAAACAAATGTTAATTGATTTAGAAATCCCATCAAAAGATAAATCTTATTTATGGTTTTTAGAATGGATGTCAAAATATAAAAAAAGAAGTTCAAGACATTTATCTGTTGAAACTAATGTTATAACTCATGATAATGGAGCTATAACAACAAATTTTTCATTAGTTCCAGGTCCAGGAAAACATTTAATAAGATATAAAGGTGCATTTATGTTAGTAAATCGTGAAAGATCTGGGAAATTATTAGATATGACTAATGGTACACCATTTGAAACTGTTACATTAACTACTTTATATCGAGATAGATATTTATTTAATGATTTATTATATGAAGCTAAATCAATGGCATTAAAAGCAAGAGAAGGTAAAACAGTAATTTTTACATCTTGGGGTCCAGAATGGAGACCATTTGGTCAACCAAGATCAAAAAGATTAATAGGATCAGTTATATTAGATAAAGGAATTGCAGAAACTATATTGGATGATGTTAAAGATTTTTTGATTAGTGGAGAATGGTATCATAAAAGAGGTATACCTTATAGAAGAGGATATTTATTATATGGACCACCAGGATCTGGTAAAACATCTTTTATACAAGCATTAGCAGGTGAATTGGATTATAATATTTGTATATTAAATTTATCAGAGAATAATCTAACAGATGATAGATTAAATCATTTAATGAATCATATACCTAATAGATCAATATTACTACTAGAAGATGTTGACGCAGCATTTAATAAAAAAAGAGAACAATCAAATGATCAAGGTTTTAACAATGGAGTTACATTTTCAGGATTATTAAATGCATTAGATGGAGTAGCAAGTGCAGAAGAATGTATAACTTTTATGACAACAAATCATCCAGAAAGATTAGATCCAGCATTATTAAGACCTGGTAGAGTTGATTTTAAAATTTTAATAAATAATGCTACAGAATATCAAATTAAAAAAATGTTTTTAAGATTTTATGAAAATGAAAATGAATTATGTCAAGAATTTTTAAATAAATTTAGAAGATTAAATTTAAAAAATATAAGTACTGCTCAATTACAAGGATTATTTGTATATAATAAAAGAGATCCAAAAGCAGCTATTGAAATGATTGAAACTTTACAAGACCCAAATACTGTTTTTTGAAGAAAATACGCTAAAAAGACAATGATAGTGAGTTTTATTATGTAAATAGAATTAAAAATGTATTAATAGATTGTATATACAGTAAAATAATTAAAAAATAAATCCGTTACTCGTTAAAATTTGGAAAGCGTCGCCCAAGATCATAATTCACTCATCAGATCTGACATAAAATCTTCAATCATAATCCCTTATATTTTTCAGCTAAAGATTCATCAGCTAAATCTAATGTTGTTTCATTAATATCATCATAACTCTCATCATTCTCTTCCTCTTCTACTTCTTCCAATTCTTCTTCCTCTGCAATCAAAATCTTATCATTATCTTCCATTTTCTTTTTTAATTCAGCTGAATCATTAGTCGAAGTACTAAATCCACTACCACTACTACTAATATTTCTATTCGTGGATGATGAAGAAGAAGAAGAAGATCCAATTCTTTTTGAATCAATTATCAAATCATTTAAATATGATAAATATATTAAATAAATTAAAGTATCACTATTATCATTCTTTATAGTAAAATTTAAATTACCTAAATTTATACCTCCTTTTGATGGTTTAGTATTTAATTTTGAATTTAATAATTTTTTAAATGATTTGGGATTATATGTCTTTTCTATTACCATGATTGTGGTGAGTTTTCAAAAATAGTTAATTAACTTTCAAATTCGTATGTCAGTGCAGTTGAAAATTCCACAATCTTATTCATAAAAGTAGGGTATTCATCAATGAGGCTGATTATACTGCTTGTTTATATACATCGATTATGGTTTAATGATAAACATAAAGTGCGTAATTATTGAAGTCTTTGATAAATAACGCGCGCGTGTTTTGCATGCTATGTAATTTATTACGTAATCAGCTGATAAATATGTCAAATTACTTAATCTCGAACAACCTTAGCAAGTAAGAAATTGAAATACCGAATTCCATACTTTATCCTACAATCAAGGGCAAAATATAGAACGAAACTTCATTCATTTAGCTACTATACCAGACGACGCTATCCATAATTACTAAACTAGACTACATTATTCGTTTAATTGTAGAAATTTGCTAATTGAAAAAGCACGAGTCAAGTAAATTGAATTGATCATAAAATAATGAAGTGGTACCCAATTATAACATTATCAACATTTCTACTAAATTTTTCAAATGCAGTAACTGATCCAACACTTATACTAGACGATACAAAACAGTTAACAAAATATTTAATCAAAAAATCAGAAAAATCATCAATTATAAATCCAAAATTTGAATTAGATTATTCAATATTTGAAACTTATAACGCAGAAAAAGATAATGAAGATAAAGATTGTCCACCATGTTTTAATTGTAATTTACCAAATTTTGAATGTACTCAATTTTCAACATGTAATACATTTACAGGAATGTGTGAATGTCAACCTGGATATGGAGGTTTAGATTGTTCTGAACCATTATGTGGATCATTATCAAAAGGAAACAATAAAAGACCCATTCGAAAAAAAGATTCCAAATGTGATTGTGAATCAGGTTGGTCAGGGATAAATTGTAATTTATGTGAAAGAGATGATGTATGTGATTCATTTATGCCTGAAGGTATAAAAGGAACATGTTATAAACAAGGTATAATTGTAAATCAATTTCATCAAATGTGTAATGTTACCAATAGCAAAATTTTAAAAATTTTAGATGGTAAAATTCCTCAAGCTACTTTTTCATGTAATAAAACATCAGAAAATTGTAATTTTCAATTTTGGATTGATCAAAAAGAAAGTTTTTATTGTGATTTAAATAAATGTAAATTAAATTATGACTTGAGTTCAAATAAGACTAAATATAATTGTGAAACTATTGCATGTAAATGTTTACCAGATAGAATGTTATGTGGTGAAAAAGGAAGTATTGATATTTCAGATTTTTTAACTGAAACAATAAAAGGTCCAGGTGATTTTTCATGTGAATTAAATGATCAAAAATGTAGATTTTCAGAACCAAGTATGAATGATTTAATTCAATCTGTTTTCGGAGATCCTTATATTACATTAGAATGTAAATCTGGTGAATGTATTCATAAATCTGAAATTCCTGGTTGTGATTTCCCCAAAGATCCAAAATTAACTTTAGGTAATATATTTGTTATAATTGGAGTATTAGTTGTTTGTTTATTATTTGTTATTACAATTGTAAGAAATATAAATGATTCAGCATTATTTAAAAAATCTGATACCAACAATGATGGTGATTATGAAGAATTACCAACAGATTCAAATTCAAGTTTATTATTAAATTCAAATTTTGAACCAACTACTTTATCATTTGAAAATATTAATTATAAAGTAAATAATAAAGATAACAAAAATCAACAGCAACAAGTATTAAATAATATATTTGGATTAGTTAAACCAAGAGAATGTTTAGCAATAATGGGAGGATCAGGTGCTGGAAAAACTACATTATTAGATATATTAGCTGGCAAGAATAAAGATGGTGAAATTAGTGGATCAATTTATATAAATGGTAATAAATTAGATAAAAAACATTATAAAGAAATTGTTGGATTTGTTGATCAAGAAGATCATTTAATACCAACATTAACTGTTTATGAAACTGTTTTAAATAGTGCTTTATTAAGATTACCAAGATCAATGACTTTCCAACAAAAACAATCAAGAGTTATTGAAGTTTTAAATGAATTAAGAATTATTGGTATAAAAGATAGAGTAATTGGATCAAATTTTAAAAGAGGGATTTCTGGTGGAGAAAAAAGAAGAGTTTCAATAGCTTGTGAATTAGTTACTTCCCCCTCCATATTATTTTTAGATGAACCTACTTCTGGATTAGATTCTTATAATGCAAGGAATGTTATAGATTGTTTAGTTAAATTATCAAGAGATTATAATAGAACTATAATTTTTACAATTCATCAACCAAGAAGTAATATAGTTTCATTATTTGATAAATTAATTTTGTTAAGTGATGGAGATTTAATATTTTCAGGAGATATGATCAAGGCAAATGATTTTTTTACAAAAAATGGTTATAAATGTCCTTTAGGTTATAATATAGCTGATTATTTAATTGATATTACAGTTGATCATAACAAAATATTAAAAGTTTCAAATATTGATTCAAATGTTATAAGTGCAACATCAACTGATTTACATAGTGGTTCAGATCATCCAGATATTCATCAAGATTTTATAACAAATAGATCATCAAGTCAAGTAGATACAACACAAGAATGGGAACATTTCGCAGTTCATAGAGATGAATATAATACAGATATAATAGGAAGTAAAAAATTAGAAAATGGAGAAGAAGAAACTTTAATAAGATTAAGAAATAAATTACATAATTTATTTATTGAAAGTTCATTAGCTGGAGAATTAATTAATGAAATAAACGAAGGTAAGGAACATCCATTAAAATTTGATTTAAAAAAACATGACATATTCAAGAAAGCAAACATTGTTCAACAAATTTCAATATTAAGTTCAAGAATTTTTAAAAATTTATATAGAAATCCAAGATTATTATTTGCTCATTATTTATTAAGTTTAATAATGGGATTATTTTGTGGTTATTTATATTATAATGTTAAAAATGATATAAGTGGATTTCAAAATAGATTAGGTTTTTTCTTTTTTATATTAGCATTTTTTGGTTTTAGTTCATTAACTGGTTTACATTCATTTGCAACTGAAAGAATTATTTTTGTTAGAGAAAGAGCAAATAATTATTATAATCCATTAAGTTATTATTTAAGTAAAATTATATGTGATATTATACCATTAAGAGTATTACCTCCTATATTATTAATAAGTATAGCTTATCCATTAGTTGGATTAACAATGGAACATAATGCATTTTTAAAATCAATAATGGTCTTGGTGCTTTTTACAGTTGCTGTTTCAATTGAAATGTTAATTGTTGGAATATTAATAAAAGAACCAGGAACATCAACAATGATTGGAGTATTATTATTATTATTATCATTATTATTTGCAGGATTATTTATAAATAGTCAAGATTTAACTACACAAATTAAATGGTTAGAATGGATTTCTGTTTTCCATTATGCTTATGAAGCTTTATCAATAAATGAAGTTAAAGATTTAATGTTGAAAGAAAAAAAATTTGGATTATCTATTGAAGTTCCTGGTGCTGTTATTTTAAGTACTTTTGGGTTTAAAGTTGGTGCTTTTTGGCATGATGTTTGGTATTTAAGTGGATTATCTGTTGTATTTTTAATTTTAGGGTATATTTTCTTATATTATTATACATTTGAGAGAAGATAACTAATTTTATATAATTTATATAGACCAAAACCTTTTTTTAATGTAAAAACAATCAATCAATTATTTCTTATTCATCATAATTTCTTCAAATATTTGTAATTTTAATTCTTCAATATTTAAATTTTGTTTTTCAATATCAAATTCAAATTCTTTTAAAGGAATTAAATTAGTAGTAGGTTCATCTAAAGGATCATGATAATTAGATAAATAAGGATGTTTTAAAGCATCATCAACACTAATCCTCTTTTCAGGATTAAATAACATCATTTTTTCTAATAAATCAATACATAATGGATTTATCTCGTTGCTAATATTACGATGTTTAATTTTTCGAATTGGATGATTTAAACAAAATTCTGAAAAATTAACTTTGAATTTTTTTGGTAATGATTTTAAAAAATTTTTAGCTCTTTTTGATTTTATTATTTCTAAATCTTCTTCTGTGGGAGTACCAATTATTTCAAAAATTAATTTTAATTGATTTATATAATCTGATCCTGGGAAAATTGCTTTATAAGTTAATAATTCAAATAATATACAACCAACTGACCAAATATCTATTGATGTAGAATAATTTGATGCATTTAACATAATTTCTGGTGCTCTATACCATCTTGTAGCAACATATTCAGTTAATAATGAAATTTTATTTTGTTCAGGACTTGTACTACCAATGCTTGGATTAGCTGTTGTGTTTAAATTATTATATTTTATTGTATCAATTCTTGCTAAACCAAAATCACAAATTTTTAAATCACAATGTTCATTAATTAAAATATTTGAAGGTTTTAAATCTCTATGAATAATACCTGATGAATGAATATATTTTAAACCTTTTAAAATTTGATATATAAAAAATTGTAAATGTTGATCATTTAATATATGAGTTTGAATAATATTATGTAAATCACTTGGCATATATTCTTGAATTAAATAAACTTCATTAAATTGTTGATAATTTGTTGGTTTTTGAATATCATATAATTTAATTAAATTTTCATGATTTGAAAATTTTTTTAATAATTTAATTTCTCTAAGGGTACGTAAACAAAATAATGATCTTTCAAATGGTTCAATTTTTTTTATAGCTACTTTTGTATTTGTTGGTAAATGAATTGCTAATGCTACTATACCATAAGCTCCTTCACCTAAAACTTTTATAACTTTAAAATTTTGTGAAATATTGAAAACAATTTTTCTCAGTTGAGATTTATGTTGTTTTTGTTGATTTGGTGGTGGTTGATTTTGATTTTGATTCATTGGTTGTTGTGTTTGTTGTTGAGATGCATCCTTTTGTACTTTAGTTCTTGAGATAACAGCAGTAATAGTCATGTTTAATTGAATTGAATTGAATTGAATCTGATTGATGTAAATGCTTATAATATGGAACAGGAAATTGGTGAATAAAGATAATTGTTGATACTTATATAGTATCAGATGAGGAGATGACGGAAATATTTGAAACTCAAATTGGTGATAAAAAGTCGTAACTGTAAATTGTAACTAATTAGATCTATGAAATTAGATCAACTTGAATATAATAAGTTGAATCTAGATACTAAAACATTTTCATCGTATCTTAAAACATAATACACGGATACAGTAACATAAATATAATTATCTTTTAGTATATGCCCCCCTAAGTTTCATATTTTCTTATGATATTACCTATTTGGATAGCAAATCAAAAAATTATGAACCCTCCATTATTATTATTTTTAATTTAAATATGTTCGTTGTGTATTATTAGTGAGTGGAGATAGTAATAAAGTAGTAAATTGTTATTGTTTTTTTATTTGTTTCAGGTTTTATTAATTGGATCTTCAAATCTTAAGTTTTTTGTAACACAAAATCTCAAAAGTTTAAATTTAAATTAATTGCATGAACAAAGTAAAAAAGAAATAAATTTATTTTTTAACCTAATTAACCATATTCATTTCAATTTCATTATCACTTTGAATTTGAATATAGGGATGAAAAAGGAAATAAAGGAGGTCACTGTCAGTACTCTTACTTGGTTCATTAAGCTTAACGTGACTAACAAAATATACCTTTGAAGTACTATAAGAAACACTCTCCACAATGTTTTTACGAATTTTATATCTAAATTGCATTTACGACTAAATGAAATTTTAAAAGTTAAATATTAGTCGAATTAATGACTTCTTCTTCTTTCTGTGTTTATCAAGAACACTGTTTGAATCATCAATAAAAAAGTAAAATAACAATTGATGCATTACATAACTATTTTTTTTACACTTCATTCATATGAAATTTCTTGATTATTCAGTTGATTGTTTAATTGTTTAATTTTTTAAATTAATATTGTAGATCATTGCGCTGAATAATTTTTTAGTATCTTGAAACTATTGCATATATTTTGATTTAAACATATACAGTATACACACACATACTAGAGAAATATTTTTCGTCGTACGTAAAACTCTTTGTACTACCTATGCTTTGCCATATTAAAATTGCATTGGTGTTTCAATAGACGACGACTACGAATACGAAAGTTATAATAAATTTTATTTTGTAGGAGTATTAGCTTATTTCACCTTATTCGACCATATTCAATGTTTCATAACTCCTCGTGAAATCATATTTTCATGAAATGCTAAATGCATATTGAAACTATTCAGCTTTACTTTCAATATTACTTGTTTAAGAATAAATCATAAATTTTTAAATCTTACACGGGAAATTAAACGATTCGAACTTAAGAATAGAATATTTTTTATAACCTCAGATCTCGATTTGACGACTATGCCACGAAATTTTGCAAATTTTCATGGCCTAGTGGGTTATTAGTATAAAATCAGTCTATAGTTCGACTCATTAACCTTGCATCCGTAATAATTCCTGCTTGTTGAACGATTTGAACTTGAGATTAGTTCATTTTGCAAGATCGGATCTCAAAATGACCACTACGCCACGTCAAAACTCAGATCTGGCGTGGCGTACTTGTTATTGATTGGTAGCGAGGGGCAAAACTTTTCACTTGATCTTATGTTCGAATCCTAATATTTGAAGGCTCAATCTTTCAATTTCGAGCTCAAATTAGAATTTAGAATCAATTAAACTATACTAGTATATAGTTTGAGGTGAAAGGAATCTTTTGCTTGCAAATTTGGGACAATATCAACTTTTTTATGTCATGTATTTAAATTTTGATTTTTTAACCCCACGCTTTTACCTACTTGGATCTAAAATAATACACTCTGTAGTGAAAAAAATCTTTGTATTTGCCTGTCCAAACATGAAAAATTACTAATGTGTGTATTATTAAACTTTCATGTTTGTAAGACTGATAAATTCAGCTGAAAACGTCTACGCAACCAGTCTCTTTGACATGTAATACTAATTTGATAAAAGGTCCATTGAATACTGTCAACAATGATATTAAACTTCACAACTTGTCGGATTTGCTCAGCTGTGACATCGACTCGAGCATTATATATGATAAAAGTTATAATACCTTACTTTGAATGTTAATATGATGCAGTTTTTTCTATCATAGGCAAAGGTTGATGTTATTGATAAACAAATTCAACAGGTTATGGTGTATTTTATCCTTGATGATATCTATCAATCATATTACGTGCATTGAATTCTTTGTTTCCTCAAACATGAAACTATGTAAAAATATGAAACAGGCAAGGTACAAGATGGTGAAACAATTGAAGTTCATGCAGCAGAAAGACCCATCAATTAACTTCAAGATGGAAATGAAATTGATCAATCTGTGCTACACAACCTTTGTTCAGCTTTTTTCAAAGAATTTTCATACCGATTGAAAACTTGGATAGGTCTATCGTCTAAAGCATATGCTAATTTCCAATCATCATGATGACATGTTCCCCCTGATGCCTTTGTCCCATCGTTCAATTTATAACTACCTTTATTGCCAACTTCTATTACTTGAAATGGTCCCGCCAAATTTGGTTGAGCCCTCTTTCCCTTTTGTCTTCTCTTACATACCCACTGTCCTGTTGAAAATGTAGATGGTGTACCATTTAGTTCCTTTAGAGCATTTTTCATAACCATTACTTTGTTACGTGTAAAAATATGCCAACTTTAGCTGTCATAGTGATTTAAGACTTTAGCTGTTGAAATATAAAGATTAGGACCATAAACTAAGCCCTAATCATGTCTGAAGTCTCTGCCAACAGTTCCTACCATACTTCGAATCTCCTTGTAATAAATGTCACCTCTATGCAAAAACAATGTCTATCTAACCTGTATTGGTAAATTTGACAAATATAGTTTCCCAACCTAACAATGATCAAAAAAAATCAACCATAGACTGAAATGGTTTTTGCTTTTGACTTCCAATCGAGTTAGATATTAGTAATTCAGGGCTTTTTGCGTATAAGGAAAACTTGCATTATAAGTGTGCTATTGATAGACCATTTAATACAGGTTTTCCTTATACAAAAAGTCTTAAGTCACTAATATCTGACAATGCTTTGAGTAATCCTGTTCATCTTGAGCTTTACATACAGCTTTTAAAATTTCTAGACAAATGAGCCAAAGGATTTCCTGCTAAAATTATTGTTGATGAATGTTGTTGAGTTTAAGTAATTTGAGTTGATGTTGAGAATGATTTCATACTTGATGGAATGGTTCATCGTTTCTAAAATTCAGTGAAAAATTTGACTTCACATATTTAAAGGACACGACAGTTAAATTACCCGGTTTGAAAAATTCAAAACATTTTCACATTGGAAAAAAAAAATTTCAAATTTACACTCTTCTTTTTGCATTAAACAAAGTAGGATCAATTTCATTTAACATTCAAGTAAAATCTACTTCGGTAACGACAAGACTGTCACGGTTATCAAAACGTATTTTACTTGACTTTCGATTAGTTATTGAATTCAGTGATCAAAAAGGTATGTTTACAAACACCATCAAAATCATCAAATTGATATATATTTTTCAAATGATTAAACCAAATGATATATAACTTCATAACTGAGGATGTACATGCAGGACATATTGTTAAGGAATTCTTCGTTTATGATCTATACTATCAAAACATGATTTATTAATAATTTTGTAAAGCTCAAAATACTAACAATTACAAGTATGTTATTCATTTTTCCATAATACAAAAAACTTTCCAAGATTTGAGAATTAAATTATTTAATTTTTTATTTATTATGATGAATATGTTTCCTACATTTTCTGTCCGGTGAATATACATGATCCATGGATAATTTACATGCATCACCATCTGACTGTTTATAAAAAAGAAAAGAATTTTATTTTAAGTCTGGTTTAGAAAGTATTGACAAATTTAGACAAATATTAACAATAAATATAGGCTCATATATCTTCAAATTACAGTTAAATTTGATCATTTGGGTTAAATTCCTTATTGAAAGTAAATCATTTGGGTTAAATTCCTTATTGAAAGTAAATCATTTGGGTTAAATTCCTTATTGAAAGTAAATCATTTGGGTTAAATTCCTTATTGAAAGTAAATCATTTGGGTTAAATTCCTTATTGAAAGTAAATCATTTGGGTTAAATTCCTTATTGAAAGTAAAACTAGGGACATTTTATTGATACTTTTCATCATCAGGCGAATCAATATTGAAGAGAATATTAAGAAATAATAATATGATGAAAAACAATTTATTTCAGTTCTGCTTCTGAACCAAAAATATCTGAAGATAACAACTATACCAAAAGCTTAATATCTGATTATTATTAGTTTCTTTTTATTTTCTGAATTTATTTGATCTACTTGCTGATGAAACTATTACATAAAATGTGAATTTTTTTGATAAATATTGACTTTTACTTGGTGATTTCAATAAAGGAATAAGACTTAAATGATAGATTTAAGATAGAGCATAGTACATGTACCTCAACTAAAGGGTTATTCTTTCTTGTATTTGCAGGGATTATTAAGGATCTAGAATTAAATTTAAAAAATATAGGAGTTCAAGAAAAACTTTTACTTACTTATTTAATAAACATTAAGTCTATACATTAAAGATAACAACTTTCCCATCAATTCCAGAAGTTGAAACTTTATCATTTGAAAAATTTTTAATACTAGAAATAGTATTTTGATGAATTGTAGATAAAGCTTTTCCACCTCCCACTTTATTAGAAGAATTTTGAGATTTAGCTCTTCCTTTTAAATCCATTTGTTTAAACATATTTAAAGCTTGATGAGATGAAATTTCTTGATCTTCATCATCATCTACTGTTGTAGTTGTATCTTTTGTTAAATCTTTTTGTTCTTCAATTTGATAAGATTCTGACCAATTTGATTCATTTCCTTTATATACAACCAAATTACAATTAAACCCACCAACAACAATTGAATCATCTGAAATCCAAACTATAGATTTAAAAGGTAAATAATTTGTTTTTAAATTTAATATAGATTTTGGTTCTAAATTTTCACCTTGTGGATAAACTATACCAATTGAAGAATCATGACTTACCCAAGCTAATGCATCACCATTAGGATTAAATTTAACACCATGAATCCATGCTAAAGTTTCATTTGTAAAATCTCCACATAATGTTTGAAAAGGTAATTTAGTACCCCATACGGAAGGTTCAGGTTTTGAATCAATTCCTTTTATATAAGCAGAAAATACTCTAACATGACCATCAGTTGAACCTGAAGCTAATAATACTCCATTTGGATGCCAATCTAAACTTGTTATAGTTGATTTTATAGGTTTTTTTAAATGTTTTGAAATCCACCAATCATTTTCTGCTTCATAATAACAAATTGCAATAATTCTATCACTTGAACCGACTGCAAATTTATTACCATCTGGTGACCATTTACAAACAGTAGCAGCACGATTAATTCTTAATAAGACTAATGTAGGTTTATATTCATTTGATCCATGAGATTTTTCCCAAACTAATGCATTTCTATCTTGTGAACAAGTTAAAATTTTGGACCCATCAGGTGAAAAATCAACACTTGTTACTGTTTTATCATGACCTTTTAAAGTTGTAATTAAAGTTGGTTTTAATGATAAATTTGATTTATTAACTTTATATAATTCAATTTCATTTTCTTTTGTAATTGCTAAAAGGGAACGATCTGGTGAAAAAACATGATCTTTTATAGGTAAATGACCCAATTGATAAATTGCTGGAACTTTTGACATTTTGTAGTTTGTATGTTTATTTGTTAGTTCAGGAGTTGGCTCTCAACTAAACTGTGATTGAATGAAGTGGTTTATTCAGTATAAAGATATATCGTTGAAATTTCTCGGAATTATTTTTTGGTGCGACAAAAGGGTAAGGTAGCTCGAATCGGTTCAAGCTATGACGTAGAGAATATTAAGTTATCAGTTTAACAAATTTTACATTTGAATTATAGTATTACATAGTCTAGTCGAACGAATACTCAGTGATTAGTGTTACCCTTATTGAAGAACTAACTACACCAACATTCTAATCATCTTGTTTTTCTTGTAATCTTTTCTCTTTAACAAAATGACTAAATTTAACCCAATAATGTTTAACTTTAGGATTTTCTAATTTCATCATTTTACCATCTAATCTTTCAACAATAACTCCAAATAAATTTCCTGTTTCTTTATTATATAAAATTCTTAACCAATAAAATATTAAAAATAAAACTAATTGATAACCACTTGCATTTCTAAAAAATAAAGTTCTTAAAAGTAAATAAACAATTAATACTAATTCATCATATGCTATAACAGAAGCTAAAAATGAAGATTCTTTTTCAATTGCATTTATATTTTTTAATTTTCCCATATGTAAAAGACTAATTAACCAAAGAGGGATAATTTTAAAATTAGATTTAAAAGTAAAACACCAAATAAATGCTAAAATTAAATATTGAAAATTTTGATGACTTAATAAAGTTGCAATTGGTGGTAAAAAATGTAAACCAAATTTATGACTAAATGTAGCACTTAATGCTAACATTGATCCAATTAATGCTAATCTATAACATATTGAATTTATATAATAAAAATTAGGTAACCAAAATACTTGAAATACAAACGTAATTGAACCAAATATTAAAGTCATTAAATGACCAGATAACCAAATTTTATATTTTAAAGCATTAGAACTTGGTGGTTTCCTTACTAATTTTCTTTTCATTTTATGTGGATGTTCATTAGGTGTTTTATTTGTTGGTTTATTTGGTTCTGATTGCTTTGGTGAAGATTCATTGGTGGGATGATTATTACTTTGTTGATTTTGACGTGATGAAGTTGAAGTTAATGATTCTTCATGATTTAATCGGCCATTTCCATGAGTTTGTGTTGCAGTAGCCGACATTGCAAGTTTGAGATATTATCAATTGAGCTGATTGAGTTGGTTATAAATGGAAATAATACACTCAATTGAGTATTTCTTTTTGATAAGATATCTTGATAAGTTTCAAGTATTTCTTTAAAGACCAAATGAAATTTAGCAATATTAAGGGAATAATTTATATGCAGGTATTTGGTAGTAATAATAATCAAGGTACAATTTACGAGAATTGTAGGAAGAAATTAATACAACTACGGTCTCGAGGTTCTTGAATTCGTACTAACAGTAGGTTGAAGATAGTATCATGAAGACCTTAATATTGAAATCTTAAAAATACAAGAGTTTATATTTGCTAGTTACTTTTACACAACATATTTTCAATTCTTCATATAATCTCAAGATTACGCGACATGAAAAATGTAAAGTATTTTTTGTGTCTTAGAATGTGTAAACAAACATTCATTTCACAATCAGTATCAGATAATCAGATCTTATCAAGCACAAGCTCATGGAATGCCACCAGCTATAGACACAACAACACCAGCTGGTAACCTAAGGAAACAAAGTAATGACATAGATTATTCAAAGGTATCATCTTTGACTGAATTAGAAGCTTCGGTGCTAACAGAATATCAAAATTTGAATAACACATTAATTAAAATAAATCAACAATTAAAAAGTCTAACTACTACAAATCCAATATTAGATAATGAACAAGAATCTAAAGAACAACAACCAAGTGAAAGTGTAATTTTGATAGAAAATTTGAGGAAATTGGAAACTAAAATATCTTTCATTTATACTTTTTTCAAAGGTGCAGTTTATACATTATATGCAAATGAAGGAGAAGGAGAAGAAGAAGAAGAAATTATAGAATCCATTACTTATGATAATGATGGAGAAGAAGAGCATGAAGGAGAAGAAATAAAGGAACATCGAGCAAAAGAAAGACCTGAAATTTCTGAAAATGAATTGCTGAGTATTTCAAATTACAATGACTAATCTTTGCCAGGTTTTATACAATCTTATACCATGTATCATCATAATTTAATTCAACTTTAGTTATTTGGACACCATTGTTCAAAATTAAATAATCTGGGTCAATTGATCCAACATATTTCAATTTTCCCTTGACGTGATCATGATCATTCTTATAACTTATAGATTTATTACTTATATCACATTCACCACTGAATTTAATCTCATAGTCATCATTGTTTCTGGTTGGTTTGATTTTATTATCATGAATTTCATGAATACTATCAGCTATATCAACACTGTTACTTTCCAAATTTTCCAAATTCAAACTTTTATCCCAATAACTGAAAGCTTTATTCTTTATTGATAACAAATTGATTGTTTTAATCAGTTTTTGAAATTTTACTTTAGTCTTTGGGAAAAACCCATTTAGTTCATTTAAATCATCACTAAATTCAAATTCAATACCATTAACACTTGGATGATTTAATTCAATCCATATATTGAAATCTGAAGAAGTTGGAAAGTCTAAAGTTACTGGTAATCCAAAAAACTCTCTTATTTTACTATTTAATGAAACTTTAAGTAATAAAGAGTAATTAATATTCTTTAATTGTAAATCCTTCAAAAACTCCTGTAAATTTAATTCTTCTTTATTTGTAGGTAACATTTTCTGTTTCTGTTGTTGTTGTATTATATCATTCATAACAAAGTGATATAAATCTTCATCCAAATATTTCAATTCCTGAGGATATTTTAAAGTTTTATGACCAAATGTATTGAGATTGAACCAAAGCGGTACAAATAATGATCTTTTCTTTATCTTTTTCATTCCATCTCTATCATTTATTTCAATAATTTGATAATTACGGAGTTGAATTGCAGCATATATTAAAATTGAAATCACATAAATTGATATAAGAAATATCACAAAAGTTTTAAACGTAACTCGAGATTTCCTGGTTAAAGTTGAATTGTTTCCATTACTTAAATGAGTTGAGATTGCAGACTTGATCAAATCATCATATTTTGATTTTTCAATTTCTCGTTGTGATTGTGACTTATTGTTATTTGAAATTTGAATTGTTGGCTCACTAGTATTTTTGTTGATATTACTAAATTTTCTTGAAAGGTTTATTAACGGAGCAAACTTTACATTCGACAGTTTTACTTTGCTAATGCATTGAGTATGTAGTCCCTCTTTCAATTGAAATTTAGTCAAAATGGAATTTGGTATGATTATTTGATATGATCTTGATTTTGGTTGATGTAGTAGAATTCTCAGTCGTAGTCCTTGAAAATTTTGTGATATCATCTATGTATTTGATCAATTTAAGTTTGAACTTGAATCAATAGTGTTATTCAAAAATTTCAATCGTGTTGAGCTGATAAACAGTGATTCTAGAAAGTGAAACAGAAAATGATCTTATACGAACAATGATTTTGTGTTTCAATTTCAAAAACTCCGTAACTTTACCTGTGGAGATAAATTTTGAAACACGATCAATGTTAATATCAAATAATATATAAATCTATTATAATTATACAAAATTCAGAACGGAAGGTCTATTTTAAAGTCTAGTTCAAGCTCAATCTTCAAAACTTGCCCAATCCAATTTTTTACTTTCAAATTCTTCAATCATTTTTAACAAATCTTCTTTTTCTTTTTTTTCTTTTGCTTCATCAATTTCTTTCTCTTGTGTGTTGTCTGATTTTAAATGTTTAGTAAAATCAAATTGAGTTGGTTGTTTATCTCGATTACTTTTGGTGAATGATGAAAATGATATTGTTTTTTCTTTGGTTGGAGTGAAAGTAGGTTTTGATTTGGTAGTAGGATTTGAGGTTTTGAATTTGCTTTTACTGATAGGTTTGATTTTCAGAAGACCTTTCGAAAAATTTGAAATCGGTTTCGTGTTTCTATTATTGTCTTTGAATCCATCTAATCTTGCTGCTAATGGATTTTTACCAATGGGTGGTCTCTCTTCATCATCTTCATCTTCCTCACTGTCCTCATCTTCATCATCCCTATAATCTTCATTATCGTCATCTTCCCATTCTTCTTCTTCTTCTTCTCCTTCATCTTCCTCCCAAGCCGTCTTATCGCTGGTATGACTACTTTTGCTATTTGGCCTAGGGTCAACACTAGGAAGCGTTATCCTTGACATTAATGACTTTGCAGCATCTGTTATTGGTCCTTTTTCGTATAGGATTTCCTCTCTTTCATCATCCTCAACTACTGTTTCTTCATCATCCCCATCATCAAGATCTTCTTCGCGATTGTTTTGGCGGGACTTTCGATTTCCATAGTCTTTTCTATTTGAATTGTATGCATTTGATCGATTACCATTATATCGTCCATTTCGATAATGATTGTTGCGTTGATCATTGTCATTATATCGTCTATTGGGATCGTTTCTTTGATTGAAATTCAGATTATTGTTATATTGATTTTTTGGACCTTTTGGTCTTGAGATATCCAGATCTGTAGAATCTTCTGCATGAGCCCACTTACTATTACTTAAACCTATGTTCTTTTCTTCTCCTTTCTCGACTTTTTCCGCCGTTGAATTCTTGTCTTTTTCATCAGCGTTATCTGCCCATCTCGATACTAATCCCATCTTTTTAATAGATCTGATTATTCACGTTGGTATAGTTTGTTGAATATTCGTTTCATCATTACGATTTTGTGTTGCACAGAATCTTTTTACGTTAGATCTCTGCAAAATTTATTATATTTTTGTCCCGTTATTTTAGGGGGTAATTTGAATTCAAGTGTGAAGTTGAAGTCAAATTCAAAATCAGATCAAATGTATAAGAACATTACTGGTACAATCAGAAATACAATATGAAAGTAAGTATAAAGCCATGAGCATCCACAGCACGACTGTTTAAAACTTCTGCCGGTGTATTGAGCAAATTCTTTTGCAACCGAAAGGGACCAATTAAAAAGCCCCTTTTTGTTGTTTTGCTGATGATTTCTTCAATCTTGGTCCAACCCAGACTTAAGCTACAAAGACAATAAATAGAGTTTTAATTACAAAGAAGTTGCAATGGGATTGTAATTCCAAATGATCAAATTGAACCAACTCATTGAAGAACGTGTATCTTTAATGTTTTGGATCAAAATTTAATAGTAAATCCGAAATCACAAATTTCCGATTGATATTTAAATTACGCAAAATTTATTACATAATAATTTATTAATTGAAATTCAATTGCTTTCCCTTTTTTCCATTTCTCAATAACTTCAACCAATTCATTTTCAACTTTATCATATCAATTGTAACTCAGTCAGTTACATTTCATACTCAATTGACTAGATATCAACCAACAAACTATTCATAATGTCAGCATCATTCAAATTAGCAACTGATTTACCAGCATGGAAAGAATTAGAATCATTATATAAATCAGAAGGTGAAAAATTCAATGTTAAAGAAGCATTTGCTAAAAATCCAAAAAGATTTCAAGAATTTTCAAGAATTTTTACTAATTTTGATGATTCTAAAATTTTATTTGATTATTCAAAAAATTTAATTAATGAAGAAATTTTCAAGACTTTGATTAAATTAGCTAAAGAATCTAATTTGGAAAAATTAAGAGATGATATGTTTGCAGGTAAACATATCAATACTACTGAAGACAGAGCAGTTTATCATGTTGCTTTAAGAAATATCCATAAAAGAAAAATGGAAGTTGATGGTAAAGATACCACAAATGAAGTTTCATCAGTTTTAGAACATATGAAAGAATTTTCAAACCAAGTTAGATCAGGTGAATGGAAAGGTTATACTGGTAAAGCTATTACTGATGTTGTTAATATTGGTATTGGTGGGTCTGACTTAGGTCCAGTTATGGTTACTGAAGCTTTAAAAGCTTATTCCAAACCAGGTTTAAACGTTCATTTTGTTTCTAATGTTGATGGTACAAATATTGTTGAAGAATTGAAAGGTTTAAAACCAGAAACTACATTATTTTTAATTGCCTCAAAAACTTTTACAACCGCAGAAACCATTGCAAATGCCAATTCTGCTAAAAATTGGTTTTTAGAAGTTGCAAAAGATACTAAATATATTGCTAAACATTTTGCAGCTTTATCTACAAATGAAAAAGAAGTAGAAAAATTTGGAATTGACCCAAAAAATATGTTTGAATTCGAATCATGGGTTGGTGGACGTTACTCAGTTTGGTCAGCTATTGGATTATCTGTAGCCATTTATATTGGTTATGATAATTTTGAAAAATTCTTAGAAGGTGGTGAAACTGTTGATCAACATTTTTTGAATGAACCGTTAGAAAATAATATTCCAGTAATTGGTGGTTTAATTAATGTTTGGTATAATAACTTCTTTGGAGCTCAAACTCATTTAATTGCACCATTTGATCAATATTTACATAGATTCCCAGCTTATTTACAACAATTATTTATGGAATCAAATGGTAAATCTGTAACTAGAGCTAATGTTTTCACAAATTATCAAACTGGTGCTATAATATTTGGAGAACCAGCAACAAATGCTCAACATTCTTTCTTTCAATTATTACATCAAGGTACAAAATTAATTCCAGCAGATTTTATATTAGCTGCTCAATCTCAAAATCCAATTGAAAATAATAAACATCAAAAAATGTTAGCTTCAAACTTTTTTGCACAATCAGAAGCTCTTATGGTTGGTAAAGATGAAGAACAAGTTAAATCTGAAGGTGCTACTGGTGGTTTAGTGCCACATAAAGAATTCAGTGGTAATAGACCAACTACTTCAATATTAGCTCAAAAAATTACTCCTTCTACTTTAGGTGCTTTGATTGCTTATTATGAGCATGTTACTTTTACTGAAGGTGCTATTTGGAATATCAATTCATTCGATCAATGGGGTGTTGAATTAGGTAAAGTTTTAGCTAAAGTTATCGGTAAACAATTAGATGATAAGACTGATGTTGAAGATCATGATCCATCCACTAATGGTTTGATTAATACCTTTAAAAAATGGGAATAACTATCTGGTCATGTTGACCTGAGCAATTATTCCAAATTATGAGATTGAAGTAGCGTAATTAGTGGGATTCAAAATTAATTGAATTTATAGAGATTAAGAATGTATGTTTTTTAAAAAGTAATTGCGTTTTACAGATTATCAACTTGATGGTCCTAATTATTATTTATGGGATTTTTGTGTAAATTTTTCGATTTAATCTTATCTTCCTCTCAAAACAGTGATTGTAAGAACCAACAAGATAAATTAACAAACAATCCAACATGGGTATGTTGTATCAATTGAGCTTCTTAATCAATTAGCTACTAACTCAAATAAGGATTAGGCGTAGCTTTATGGCTTTGTCCCAAACCCAATTCTCAAATATATGATAAATTATCAACACTAATGAGTTCAATTAACACATTATTTCCAGGTCAATCACCAAAATTTGAACCACATATAACTATAACTACAAATATACTGATTGATTTAGATGATAAAACCAAAACAAGAGATGATGTAGATAAAGTTTTATCAGCTTCTGCAGTTGCTTTACAATCATTACCTCAAAATCATTCAAATTTAGTTACCTTGGGGAAAATCAATAGTCAAAGAAAATATTTTCAAAAACTATATTTTGAAGTATTAAAAGATCCAAATTTAATATCTTTTGCAAGAATAATTAGAGAATTATTTGTTATAGCACCTTATGATATTGAATCAGAGAATAAAAAACAAAATCCACATTTATATACAACTGATCATCATGGAAACACAGTGAGAAGAAAACCACTGAAGAAACATCGTCATGAAGAAGCACAAACAAAGCAATTTGATACATCAGAAATACAAAGAGCAGCATCATATAAAGCTGCAGAATGGGCTGAGAAAGAATATTTACCTCATTTATCATTAGTGTATAATAATATGTGGCCCATAGATAATGCGTTATGGTTAACTATAAAACAAAGAATCAATGATTATATGGGGATAGAAGATGTTGATGCTGAAGGTTTAGAAGATAATGGATATGGATGGGATGGTGGAGTTTTAAAATTAGTACTTTGTGAAGGTGATGTAAATCAATGGTTGATTTTAGGAAGTGTGGACATCCATTGAATCTCGGACACCATGTTTTAATATGAAAAGTAAGTAGTGATTTTGTATGTATGATTATGAACGTATCTTTAATAAGTTCATCTCTTTAAAAGTTGGTTGCAAAAAAGTAGAAAAAAAGATAACATGAAAAATAATTCAAAAGCATTTACATTTTACATTTAAGAATCAGAAGCTTTAATGCTGCAACCAAAAGATGAAAATTACTTATGTATAACATGTTCTGAGACGTTTGAAACACCATCAGATATTCAAAAACATTTATCAACCACAAGGCACAAGTCAGTAAAACTAATCAAAACAGATGAAACAATGGAGTGTGAAGAATGTTCAGATTCAAATATTCATCAACTAGCAATACTAAGATATGGTTATAATGATATGGCTTTATTATGTCAACTTTGTTTAAGTAATGTTACTAAGGAAACAGGTGAACAACCATCAGCAAATTATACATTATCTAATGGAGCATTTTTTGGAAAATTAAATCAATATTTAAAATTTAGAGATATTGAATGTATACTATGTGGCAGTGAAGATAATTTATTTGTTGGTAATACATCAAAAGGACAAGTCATAGCATGTAAGAATTGTACACCTCAATATGAATCTCAAAATATAAACTTTGTAGGAGAAAATGATGAGAAGTTTTTAACTGAATTATTAGGATTGAAAGAAGTTATTGTGAAAAAATCAATTAGAGGTGGTGGAAGAGGACGTCGTGGTGGAAGAAGAGGCGGTAAAAGAGGTGGCAAAAGTGATAGACCGTCAAGAAGACCCAAGAAGGAAGACCCTGAAGCTGAATCTAGAAGACAACATTATCAAGAATCAAAACAAAGTGCCAGTAATATCAAATCTGGCTCAACTGTAAAGGCTATAGGATCATCAAATGTTGGAAAAACTAATGAGAAAAATTCATTGAGCAAAGTGAAAAATGCTCCAAGTAATGGAAGATTCTCAAGATCAGATGCAAGCTCAACTTCAAAAAAGTTTAACAACGTGAATGGCTCAAAAAGTAATTCAAGATTACCTGCAACTAACAGCAATAAAATAAATACGAACTCAACATCTAAACAGTACCAATCATTGAATATTTCGGATGGTACAAATTCAAATGGACATTCGAAACTGAAAAATCCAAATGTTCACGATAATACATCAAAAGGCAAGAAAGACACTCTAAAAAGTAGCACGTCAAGTAGGAACTCACCAAAAGGTAACAACACACCCGAAACTAATAACACACCTAAAACTAATAACACACCTAAAACTAATAACACACCTAAAACTAATAACACACCAAAAACTAATAACACACCTAATAATTCAAAGAAAGCAACTCCTAGATCATCGAATCATCCAACACCAACTAATTCAAATAAACAAACTCCTATATCATCCAAAAAAACCACACCACTAAATTCAGGTAATCAAACACCAATTCGAAGTCAAAGTCCAAGTATAAACAAAACAACTAATCCTTCAACAACTTCATCATCTGATTTAATTTTACCACCATATATAACCAAATATCATCCATCATCAAAATTAAAACTATCATATGATTCAATAGAGGAATATTTTAGAGAAATGAGTTTTAATATATTTTTAGAAGATCAATTAACAAATGATTCAAATATAATTGAACCAAAAGATCTAATGATTGAATGGTATGAAGATCAAGATAAAAAAAATAATCAATTTAAAGTAAGTATACCAATGAAATCTGAAATTATTGATAGATTTTTATCAGATAGATTTAAAAAATTAAAAAAAGATCCTTTTCAAAAAGATCAAGCTATGTTTTTAATATTAGATGATGATATTCCATGGTATGGGAAAGTAGCTACTGTTGATGGAGTTAAATCGGGAGGAAAAGGGAAAAATAAGAGATCAAATAAAGTTGATTATATTGAATTAGTTATTGTATTATATAAATGGAATAATCAACCATTACCCAAAACTATCCATTCAAAACATTTAAAACTTTTACCTGCTTCCGTACCAGTATCAAGAATTTTAAATGCAATGGATAATTTAAATAATGAAAATTTTAAAAAAATGTTATTAGGTAAAGAGCCCATCAAGCAAATTTTCTTTAAAAATAAAGTAAATTTTTCAACAAATTTAAATGATTCTCAAAAGGCTGCTATTCAATCTGTTTTAAATAATAAAATAAGTGTTGTTCAGGGACCTCCTGGTACTGGTAAAACTTCTGCAATATATGAAACTATAATTCAATTATTAGAATCTTTAAATACTTATCCTATATTGGTTGTTGCAGCTTCAAATATTGCAATAGATAATATAGCAGAAAAATTATTACCAAAACATGAAAAATCAATCATTAGAATAACAGCATCTGAAAAGGAAAAGGAATATAATATACAACATCCATTAGCTTCAATTTGTTTACATCATAAAATTTATAATGCAATGTCACAAAAATTTCAACAAGTACAACAAGATTTAAGAAATAAAAATGCATCAGTTAGTAGCAATGCTTATAAAAAATATGCTCAAGATAAATTTCAAATTTCAAAAGAACAAATAGCACAAGCAAAAGTTATATTAACTACAACAGTTGTTGCAGGTAGTTCACAATTAAAAAATTTACAAAAATGTCCAGTTGTAATAATGGATGAATCAACTCAATCTTCTGAACCAAGTACATTAATCCCATTAGCAGTACCAGGAGTTGAAAAATTTGTATTTGTTGGAGATCAAAAACAATTAAGTTGTTTTTCATTAATCCCCAATTTATCAACATCATTATTTGAAAGAATTTTAATGAATGAAGCTTATAAAAAACCTCATATGTTGAATATTCAATATCGTATGCATCCTCAAATTAGTGAATTTCCAAGAATGAAATTTTATAATAATGAATTATTAGATGGTATAACTAATGAAAATAGAAACATGAAAAATATACCAAATGATAAACCTGTGTATTTTTGGGATACCAAAAATAATGCACCAGAGCAATCAGTTAGAAATTTTTTAAGAGAAGATCATGGATATACATATAATAATCCAGGAGAAATAAAATATATAAAAGAAGTAATTAAAAATCTTATAATTGAAAAAGGAATATCACGTGAAGAAATTGGAATAATAACTCCTTATTCAGGTCAAAGAGATTTAATATCATCAAATTTAATAAAAGATGAAATAATAAATCCAACAAATTTAGAATTAAAAATTGAAATTGATTTAGATGATATTTCAAATGATTCAAAACCTATAAATATTCATATTGTTTCAGGAATAATGATTGCATCAATTGATGCATTTCAAGGTAGAGAAAAAAATTTTATGATTATGTCATGTGTTAGATCAAACCCCCAGAATAATATTGGATTTTTAAAAAATGAAAGAAGATTAAATGTTGCTTTAACAAGAGCAAAATATGGATTAATTATAATTGGAAATTACAATTGTTTGAAACAAGGTGATGATTTATGGAATGAATATTTAAGTTATTTAAAAGAAAAGGATTTAGTTCATGATAATGATAGGTTTGAGTATGTATAGAGTGATAATCATTTAATTTTTTACATTTTTCATGAATAAAGGTTTGTGTTTCTTTTCATTACGAATATCTATAACATTTGCATTTCTAAATAAAAATATGACAACTCCTAAAATAAAGGTAAAATATTTTAAATTCAGTAATTACTCTATTATTGTTAAATTCGAAATCATCTCCCACTGTTTGAAAAAGCAAGTTTATAGAGAAAGTTGTTTGAAAAGTAGTTTAAAAAAAAAATAAATTGTGACAACTATTTACGACAACTGCAGGACTCGAACCTGCGCGGGCAAAGCCCAAAAGATTTCTAATCTTTCTCCTTAACCACTCGGACAAGTTGCCAAAACCGTTGATTTTGTTGTTCTGGTGCCTTTAAGAGCATATTTGTTGTGACCCATGGATTAAGTTTATAATTTTATAATTATGCTTATTTACACATTGATTTCAAGGAAAAAAAAAAAAACATATTTGGTAGCATTTAATTGAATTCGTTAAAACCATATTTGGTAGCATTTATTTAATTTGTTACTTTTGTATCATAATTAATTTTGGTATTTTCTTGACCCAATTCGTACGTACCACTCCCTAATCATTTTTTATCAAGAATATTTCATCATTTATCATAGTTTCCAGTACAGGTAATTCGATAAACTTGAGGAAGATATCTTTATTTATGACGATTTCTTTATTCGAAATTCGAAAAGTAAGGGGAATGCAAACTAATAATAATGTTATAAAAACAAAACATTTTCAAATATATAAATTATTGTATAAACATAAACATAAAAAACAAAAAAAAAAAAAACTAAACTAACGAACCAAGTATATTAAGATATTATTATTGAATTTTTTTAAAAACGAGTAATCAACTAACAAGCCATATAGAATCTATTATTATATGGAATTTGATTAAAATTAGAATATGGATAATGATGTTGTTGATAAGTAGATTGTGGTGGGTAATATTGAACATTATTATTGTATTGACCAGTTGTAGAATATGGATCTTGATAAATTGGTGATGATGATAAATATTGTTGTTGATTTTGGTGGTAATGATTTTGTATTTGTTGTTGTTGTTGTTGTTGATAATTATAACCATAATTTGAAGTATATGAATTTGGTGATGATGAAGATTGATAATCAAATGTCATTGAAGATGGAGAAATAGTTGGAGTGGAATAAACATTTTGAGGATTAATTTGATTTGAATTGTAGTTATTATATTTTGAATTATTTGTAATAATTGGTGATAATTTAGTAGATCCACTAGTGCTATATTTTTCACACCAAGTTTTCCAACATTCATTTAAAATTAAAATATTAGATTCAAAATTTATTATAGATAAACTCCATTTTATTTCTTCTAACCATTCATTTTCTAATTTATTTAATTTTAAAATTTGTAATCCTGTTGCTCCACACCATGATTTATTTGTAAATGTATTATCATCATTAAATTTATTTGCTAATACTAAACTCACCACTAAGAAATTAAAAATTTCAGTTTCTGCTAAATTTTTTTGAATAAATTTTGATGAAAATCTTTGATTCATATATTCTAATGCTATTATAATTGTTGATTTTGGTAATCTTGTTGCAAATAATACTGATGATATCAAATTATCAAAATCTTTTGATGGACTTGTTTGTTGTTTTAACATTCCAAATGTACACCAACCTAAAAATGATGACATTTGATTTAAATCATATTCTAATACCGAATTAATTCCACCATTTACTTCTGGTTGTTGTGCAACTTGTTGTGTCGGTATTATTTGTTCTTGATGTTGTGCAACTGGTGGTAATGTAGGTGGAGGTAATTGATTAACAGGTAAAATCAATGGTGGTGGTGCTTGATAATGAATAGGTTGTGGTGGAGGAGGTGGTAATTGTGTTTGTTGTTGTTGTGGTTGAGTATAAACTTGACTCAAGTTAGAAGTTTGTGGTTGATAATAAGACTGACTATGTCCATGTTGATAAACTGATTGTTGTTGTGGTGGTTGTTGTTGTGGTTGATAATTATTGGTTGTAGTTGGAGCATAATGAAAAGATGAAGTAGGTCTATGATGATTTACCACAGGTGGGTAATAAGTAGCATTCATCTTTGTTTGATTTTCAACAAGGTACGTTGAATAAAATTTCTATAATTATAAAAACTGAAAACAAATGATATTTGTATTAAGAATCTTAATTAAAAGTTCTTAATTGATGACAAAAGTAAGTGATTTATAGGATGAGTTTGACAAAATAACTTCAATTTGTGATATTCTAAACTCTTTGTATCCTAAATATGCCTTCTTCTTCTTCTGCTATCCGTGATATATATATATATGAATCTTCTGATTATATGAATATATATATGACTTTTATTTCTTTGGTTTTGATTGAATTTTAACAATAATGAAGATATAATCTATCTGTCAAAACAAATGAATGAAGTAATGTTAATCTAAATGACTTATTTACGATACAGTTAAATGAATAAATGTATGTATATGGTTGTATATGGTTGATTCCAAATTCAAACAAGTCAAAAATTCTTCAATGTTGTAATGAAACTTCTTTACTTCCTTTTCTTTGATTGATAATTTGTAATGATAAATTATATATCTTCTTATTATTATTAAAAAGATGAATATATAATATGTGAAGTAAAATGAATGAACCAAAAGTTAAAGAAGTAAAAGAAAAGAAAGAAGAGTAAGAAACTGAAAATTATTCAGCAAGGGACTGGTTAAATTTTTTTTCTCTCACTATCACTTCTCAACACACTAAACACAGCACTAACAATTTTTAAACACAGGCAATCAAAAAAAAATTTTATTTGTTGACACAAAATTTAACTTAGTAAAACTATTGATCAATTTAACACTACCTCTTTTAATTACTCATTATGTAAGTATAGTAAAATCAATGACCAGTAAAATTTAACGACATTGAAAATCTATACGATCAACTCTAAATCAGAATATGAGTGACTGAAACTAAATACACCAAAACCATGAATTATGTCAAATGAGAGATAACTTAGTGGAAAGAGAGAATCATTCATTACTAACTTTAACTCGATATGCCCCGAAAGTGCCACCATAACAGATTTAATTGTCTATGTTTTAAGTATGGTGTCATTACTTTATTCTTTTTTTCTTTTATTTTCCTTTTTTTTTAAACCCTAAATCAGAAATAAAAATTGATGCCTTTCAATCAAGTTGATTCTCACAAGAGTTCCCCTAAAATTATAATACAAAATCTAAAGCAATGATTGAATTAGGAATAAGGAAATCAAGCTCCTAATCGGGTATTGACAAAGAGGTTTGTGATAATATGCTTAAAATTCTCAAAAAAACATTGCTCTTCTCAGCTCATCGGTTCAACAATAAAAATAATTCTACGATTCTAAATTCTGGTCTAAGAACTTTTTGAAAACTTAGTGATATCTCCTATTTTATTAAACTGTGCCATGTGGTTACGAGAAAATTTATTTGTTCAATGCACTACTTTTTGTAAAATTGAAGTCTAAAACTTTTGAGACACACTTGAAACTGAGACACTCTGAATGTGAAACATTTCTTTTGCAACCTAATGTTATTAATAAACAAAAAGTTCCAAATGTGTAATAGAGGAGAGTGAACAACAGAATGAACAGAATGTAAGTTCACGAAACAATTACAATAACCAGTCGGGAACAAAAAAATACTCAAACATGTTCATAACTTTCATAATTAAATAAATATCCTAAAATCATAACAAAACCAAATTATCTTCCTCTTCTTGATTCATAAAATTGTAAAATTAAAGTTGGTATTAAACCAAAAGCCCCCACCAAAGCAGCCATAATCAGATAAGATTTAGTAAATCCAATATTTGAAAACATTATAGGATAATAAAATGGACCAATAAATGCAAATAATTGTCTTATAAATGTTATAAATAAAACAATTGAACTTGCATCTTTTGAATTTTGATCAATACAATAAGCAATTATAGGTGAAGTTGAAACTTGTAAACCAAATGCTGAAATTGCTAACCCAACAACTGTTTTAACATGATAAGTATTTGTTTGATCAATAACTACACCAAATACAATTAACCCCACGATACAAAATATATAACCAGGATAAGTTAACCATAATCTAAAACTTGAACCTTTACCATTTTTTTTACCCCAAATTAATAATTTATCAGATAAATATCCTCCAATTTCTCCAATTATTGTACCAATGATGAAACCAATAAATTGTAAACCTAAAGCCATTGGTCCCAACCCGTATTTTGTATACATAACTTGTGGAATTTGAACATTTAATGCAATATTTCCATGCATAAATAATATAGTATAACCGAAAGTTGGTATAAAAATTTTCCAATATTTTAAATATTTGAACGGATTTAATATAATCCATATTGAAATCTTATTTTCTGGATATATTGCATTTTTTCTAAAAATTTGTTTATATGGATTTATAATATTTCTTGATTTATCTTTTAAATTATATGATGTTTCCTTTCCCAAAAAGATATAAGCAATCATTTGAACAAAATTTATAGCTGCAAATACAACAAATATATATTTTGGTTCAACAAATTGTGCAACAAATCCCATAAGTAAAGGACCAAACATTGTACCTAAATTAACCATAATTGACCAAACACCACTTCTTGAACCTCTTTGATGAGAAAAAGTAGTTTCTGAAACAATTGCTCCACCAACTGCTAATCCTGGAGATATAAAAATTGCTGAAATACACCTAAGAGCAATTAATGATTCATAATCTTTACAAAATACACAACCAATTGAAAAACACATACTACCAAATACAGAAATAATTAATAATAATCTTTTACCATATCTATTCATAACAGGAGTCCAAACCATTGGAAATGAACCAATTAAAATAATTTGACAAGAAGTTAAATAACTAATTTGATGAGTTGAATGTCCCAATAAAACACTTAATTCTCCAAATGCTGGTACTACTCCTGAAGCCATAAATGTTGCCATAAATGCATGAAATGAAACCATTGATAATTGTAAAATTTTTTGATAATTTGACCAATTTAATGGATTATTATCATCCATTGTTGGTAATGGTATAAGATTATAAGTTCCATGTTTTTTTATTAAATATTGTTTATGTTCTTCTGATATCTCTGGCTCTTCTTCATCGTCAATGTAATTTGTTGATGTTTTTTCAACATTTTCAACTGATGATGAATTTGATGATTCTATATGCTGAGTTATACCTTTTTCTTGATCAATTAAATTATTATTCATTATTTATTATTATTAGCCCTTTTTGATAAAGCCGTTTATGAGCTCATTATTAATATGTTAATTTCAATTTGGATTCAAGTGATCTTATAAGCTTATTGGCTTACGGAAGTAGATATTATTGATAGGATGTCAAATTCCGGTAATCAATACTGATAGATAATGTGGATATACTTTTGATTGTAGGGTGGGGTGGGTTAGAGACCAAGAAGTCATATTTATAAACCAACTTTACCTTCCAATCTTTCATGAGTTTAGTTTTTAAAGTTTAAATTTAAAGGCAAAGGTTTAATGGGGTAAATCTTAAATCTAAAACCTAAAATCTAATTGAGACAAAATCGTAGATACACAAAACAAATTATATAAAACGGTTTTTCAAATTGAGTAAAATAATACATCAAAAAATCTAGGCACCTAATATCAATGAATAAATATATGAGATCTACCACTCTGATAAATGCTCACTGGTCTTGTCTATTTTTGGAGCCTTCTCAGCAAGTCATACCTGTTCTCGCACAGAGAGATGATGCTAAGACCAATTTTGATTATTTAAGGTTTTAGATATACTGTCTCCCCCCTTTCTATTACGAAACGTTTGAAATAATTTTTCAACTACATTTGTTCGTCAATTACACCAACTTGGGCTTATTTATTATCCGAGTTACTTGCATAGTGGCTGTCATTTTAACTTTATTTTAATGAAATTCTACGTTTTGGAAAAAAGTCAAGAGTTATCTCCACAAAGTTTAGTGTTATTTATGTCTTTAAAACTGAGGAGACAGCGGGTTACCTTTTTTGAGAAAATGTCAAAACTTCTTGTTTCAGTTGATAATTGAGGAGCTTTTCATTAGTTTGTCTTTATCTATACCTTCAATTCAAAGGATCTGTGTACCTAAGTTTTCTTCTCCATACTACTGTGCGTAAGAGATTTTACGAGATCTTTAAAAATTTTGGTTTTCAAGATGTTTAAAACAAAATTTAACATTTTATGCATATCCGATAAACACACTTTCAGGAAATTAACAAAGTCAACGGTAAGTACCTCTCGCATAAGCGTTGGTGTTATTTTGTATCTTCTTTCGGAGTTTCATTTTGGGGCATGGTATACGATTGTAAAATTGTTTGTAGAGATATTTTGTTTCAGATTTTAGGGTAATTTGAAAGATTTTTATCTTGTAAAAACTAAAGCTAAAGAAGTTCAACGAACTACTCTGGTTACTACGATAACTTCTTTTGTTTTTAGTCCAGTTTTTGATTGTTCACTCTAAATTGAAAATCAAATTATATGTTGGTAAGCTAAGAAGTAGAGAATCAATTGGTCTGAAATTTCTATTACATTACCCCTTAATGGTAAGCTCAAATCAAATTCGGACTTTTTAAAAATTCTAATGAATGCTTGTATGAGACAGCAAATGTATTGAAAAACACTATGTTTGTCAAAAGAGCTCTACTGACTACTTGTTTTGGGAGTAATTAAGTGGGTCTACAAATGTACCCAATAATGGTGTTGCAAATTTTGATTTAATTTTGCAACAATCTTGTAGTAGATCTAACTTGTCTATTTGCTCAACTTTTCTCGATACTAATACAGAATCGAGCTATTTGTGTTTTTCGGTCACTGAAAGTTACCAAACTCTAATAGAAGAGACTGATGTGAGTCTAGTTCTGCCCCTATCCAATACTTTTTGCACAGGCTAAAGACTATCAACCAGTTTTTTAATTTACAATGTCTCGTCTAAAAAATCGGACAAATTTTGTTTCACGACTTTAATTTTTATTTGTTTACATTTTAACTCAAATAATAAATAAACACAAAATTATAACATTACATTTGTTTATACTTTTTAACAACCACTTCTTCTTACTTCACAGAGCATTTACGATCAAGAAAACAGTCAAACTCAATCAACAATGTCATCAATTCCGCTTTTTTTGAAAGTGAAGAGACAAATTGATTCTCAGTATTACAATGATTATCCATGTTTTGATGTAATTAATGATAATTCAATAGAATTTAATGATACTAAATATGATTTTGAGTATATTTATAATTCAAATGATAATAATTATCACAACCTAATTGAACTGTCAAATAATTCATGTATAGTATTAATGGGTCCTACAAATTCAGGTAAAACCACAATGTTAAAACAATTGATTAATTTAAAATTAAAAAAATTAAATGAATTAGAATCACCAGTATTTATATCAAGTTTTGAAATTTCAAATAATAAATATTTTACTGATTTATTAGATATAACAGATGGTAATGAATCTAAAAAAATTCCATTTTCATACATCACCAATTTTGAAAATAAATTAAAAAGAACAAAACCAAGTCAAGATTTAATTAGAAATATTTTTAAACAAAGATTAAGTAAACAAACAGAGTTTAATGAAAATTCATCAAGATCATGTTTAATAATGACTTTCTTTTATAATAATTACAAAACAACATTTGTTGATTTAATGGGGAATGAAAAAAACTCATCCTCAAATTTAAGTTCAAATATTTTTGCAAATTCAAATATATCATCAATAACTCAAACAATGATATTAAATAAATCAAAAACAAGTGAATTAAAAAGATCTCATAATTTAATTACAAATTATATTTTTAAAAATAAAGATTTAAAAATTATTTTAAATTTAGATCCATTTGGTGATTTATCTTTAATAAAATCAAATTTAAATAATGTTGCTGATGTTGTTAAAAATTTTAAATTACCTACTGAACAAAATGAATTGATTGAAAAACTGACAAAAAGAGTTCCAAGTTATACATTACCTACAATGTCTTCTAGATGTCATAGTCCTAAAAAGATTGTAAGACCATTATCAGCTCCACAAGTTACGACTATTCAACAAAAAACTGTCACTACCCAAAAAAGAAAACCATTAGAACCAATCAATAAAATTATGAAACCTACAATTACTAGAAGTAGATCACCGATTAGAAAACCACCAGTTCCTAAAAGAGGTCCATCAAAAGAACAATTAATAATTCAAAATTTACAAAATGAACAACAACAATTAAAACAAAAATATTTAAAATCGATCGATGATATTAAAATGGAAATCTCAGGTTTTAAAACTGAAAGTTCAAATTTAGTTGAAGCTTTTTCTGATTTAAAAGAAAATTTAATTAAATTAGAAAATGAAAACTTGGAAAAAAATCAAATTATTGAATCTTTTGAACAGAAAATTGTTCAGCTTACTCAAGAATTGGAAACTTCAAATCAAGAAATTAAGGAATTACAAACTTTGAAATCAAATAATGAAGAAAGAATCATTGAGTTAAACATTTTAAAATCAAACAATGAAGAACAAATCAATGAACTCAAAAGTCGAAAAACAACCAATGAAGAACAAATTTCAAAACTTGAATCAAACATTTCAAAACTTGAAGAAGAACTCATGTCTAACAAAGATAGCTTCTTAAAATCAAAAGAAGAACAAGAAATTTTAAATAATCAAATTAACAAATTTACAGAAGAATCAAAAAATTTAACAAATCGTATAACTTCATTAAATGAAATAATTGTAGAAAATAAACAAATTTTAATTAAAAGAAATGCTCATATTGTGGAATTAGAAGAAAAAATTGAATTATTAAATAAAATTGTTGATGAGAATAAACAAGTTTTAAATGATAGAGATTCACAAATTGACAAGTTAAGAAATGAAGCAAGTGAAAATGAACAAACCACTTCTAGAAAAATAACTGACTTAGAAAATCAAATTAAATCCAATAAGATTGAATTTGAAACTTTAACAACTGAAAAAGAAAATTTTAAATCTGAAAAAATTTATCTTGAAGCTGAATGTGTTAATATGAAAAATAATTTAGATTTACAAAAAACTGAAAAATTAAAATTAATTTCGGAAATTGAAACCTACAAGAATAACATTACAAATAAAGATACATTGATTACCGATAAAGACAAAATAATTAATGATTTAAAAAATTCTGGAAATAAAATTGAAGATCAAATTCATAGTAAACAACAATTGATTGAAGATTTGGAAAAGAAAATAGCTGATAAAGATGTTGAATTAAAAAATTTAAACAATTCATTAACTCAATTACAAGGGAAATTGAATAAGGCTAATGTGACCGCTCAGCAATTGAACTCTACTATTGAAACAAGAAATTCTGAAATTTTGAAATTAAGAGAACAATTCAATAAAAATTTGAATGATAAAAAATCTGAGTTTGAAAAAGATAAACAAACTTGGACTCAAAAATTGAATGCAAAGGAATTGAGTATAATACAAAAGACCAAGGAAATTGAACAATTGCAAACATCATTGAAGAAAGAATCAAATTCTGTGAAGTCCTTACAATTACAAACTACTGAAAAAGATAAAATTCAAGAAGAATTAACAAAACAAACTTCAATTAATAAAGAATTATCTGAGAAGTATGCAAAATTAAAAACTAGATCAACAACCAAAACTACTAAAATTACAGAATTGGAACAATCATTGAAATCAACAAATGAGAAAATTTCACAATTAGAAACATCTAACTCAGAACTAATGAAATCGAAAGAAAATTTAAATAAACAATTAAAACAAACTGAAGATTCAAATAATTCATCAATTACAAATTTAAAAAGAAAATATGATTCAATAATTAATGAAAAAGATCAAGAAATTAAGAGATTGAAAGTTGTTCCATCATCTACAGGTAATTCAAATCATAATGATCCTTTTAATTCTAGTAGTAATCCATTATTTATTAATAGTTCATCACCTAATCGTGGTTCAAATAATGTAGGTGGTTTCAATCCAAAAGATATTTTCCAAGATTCAATAATTGAACCGACTATTAATTTTAAAACCACCAAAAATAATAAGTCATCTTCGACTTCACCTAATAAACCAAAATCTACAAATAATAAGAATTCAAAATCTAATACTCCAAATAAATTTAAAAATGTATTACAACCAAGTAATCAACAACTTTCAAGTCCAATCAAGAGTTCTAAGTTATCAAATCTTGTCAACAACAACAATACTAAATTAAACAACAATACTAATAAAAACAATTCATCACCTTTAAAATCAATTCAAGCTTAACCTTTTTAATTCTTTATACGTTTATAATATAATTTAATATACTACTCTAACAAAAATCATTCTTTCTACGTTATTTCTCTACAAGTTAAAATTTAACCTCTTTAAAAAATCAAAACTTTTATTACATCAATTTATACAGTTCGTCTATCAGTTAAATATCTAGCAATTGAACCAATTCCAACAATTTCAATAATTTTTTCAAACCAATTTAATAATAAACCACCTTGTTTTTGACCATAAGAAGTAGACATATTAACATATAAATATTTAATTAAATTATCTTGTTGTTCTTGATTTAAATTTTTTATTATCTCGTCAATTTCATTATTTGATATATTATTCTTGATGGAACAAAAAATTTCAAATATTGTTTTTTGATGAATTTCTTTTATTTGTGTGGTTGAACCAAATGGTATATTATTTAAACCCAATTCTAAAGCTTGTTGGAATTTTCCTTGTGATAATTGTGATCTTATTTGATTAGCAACTTCTTGAATTTCTTGATTTGAATATGTTGGTAAATTTGGTGGTATTAATTCTTCTTTTGTTATATGATTTTCTGGTTCTAATGCATCTATATCTATTGATCTCCAATCTCTTGATGACATGTTTTTGTGAATGTGCTAATTTGAAATGTTTATTTCGATTGTGAAGAGTTTTATTGTTAAGTTTGTATATGCAATTGAAGATTAATGATTTTGGTTGGTATATGAGTTGGTTCTTGATTATATTGGTAATTTTCGGTCAATTATTTTGTGTTGATAATAAGAGGAAATTTTTATATACAGGTTAAACTGCAAAATATATTAGAGATTTTAAAGAAAAGCTTGATATAGAGTGTTTCTTGAGGGCCTTCAACATCAATTCTGTATCGTTTACATTCTCATCTAATTATAAAATACACTGAGGTACTCAATTCAAAGATTCATTCCTTCATAAGGTCTATGAAAGAGGCCGAAATTGAATTTTGTTGAGTGATTCAAGATGTTGAATATACACTACCACCGGCTCCTTTCTCAATTACTGAGCAGTTGAAGTCAGTACTCTAGTAGTACAGCAAACTTTGCGCCTATCTTCCCAAGTATCTGATTATTTACATCTAAAATACGATGGAAAAAAAGTTCAACCTCTTCGACACAGTTTCAGAACATCCCTTAGACCAGGTGATTCAATATAATTAATGTTTTATCTTATGATGTTCATTAATAGAACTCCTAATGTTTTCTTTTCTTCTTATTTTGCTTAGAACTTTTCTCATCACTATCGTCATGCTCATTCTCCAACTTCTTAGTCAATTTTTCATCATACTCTTCAATGAAATTGAAAACTTCATCTTTTAACACTATAGAATCAACAATAATAATGACTAATCCATCAGATCCAACTTCATATTTTATATGACCTTCATTAGGATATGCTATTTTTTCATCAAATGTATCAAAAAATTCATTCATTGCAGTGAATGTTTGTATCGAATCTAATAAAATTTCTTCCATTCCATTTTCTTTTTGTTGTGAGTCTCTCGGTATCCCTTCTTCTTGATCTTTTGATTCTTCTTGGTCTTTTGATTCTTCTTTTGATGATGCTTGACCGAAATCTGTTACTAAAATTATTCTCATTGGATTATCTAATTCATCTTGTTCCGGGACTTGATAGTCTAGTTGTTCCGAGTCAGACATTCTTGTCTTTGAAAAAATTGATAATTCAATTGTTTAGCCAAGTGGAGGTACTTTAACCAGTTTTTGGTTTTAACCTATTTCAAGTTCTACGATGATGTAATGTTTAATGATACGAATTTTCATATCTTCGCGTAATTTTCAGTATCTACCGCTACCAGAGACATTTATCTGATCGTCATGATTATTCTATCACTCAAAGATTAATCTACAAATGTCTCAATCTAAATCTAAATCTAATTTAAAGTCTATCAAATTCCAAATAAGTTAATATCAAACTTCCCGAAGTTAATATTTACTATTTAAAGTTTCAACACCATCAACCCCATCTACAGCAGCAGCATCAACGAACCAATTAACTTCAACACCAGTGTTTATATCACTAACTAATTTAGATGGTAAATCACTATTTGGATCATTGAAAATTTGTTTTAAAATCGGTGCTTTACCAGATCCTTCTGCTACAAATGCAATTGAATGAGCATTTTCCAAAACTGGGAATGTAATTGTAATTCTTCTCGGTGGAGGTTTTGGAGAATCATTAATATATGATACTAATTCTGCTCTTTCTTTTAATAATTCGTGATGTGGAAATAATGAACATGTATGACCATCTGGCCCACATCCTAATAGTATGACGTCAAACTTCTTTGGTAATGATTTTTGATATTTTGAAGCAATTTCTTTATCTTTATTAATATCAGCCCCTTCAACATGACCATCTTTACCCGTGATTAAACTTGGGTCGATTGTATGAACATTTGGTTTTGCTGCAGTTGAAGGTAAATTCTTTAATACCATTTCATTAAATAATCCATAGTTTGAATCCTCATGATCTAATGGCACAATTCTTTCATCACTAAAATAAACTTCCCATTTACCCCATTTAATATTTTTTCCTAATTCTTCATTACTAATCAAAGCTTGTTTCAAAACTTTTCCTAACGACCCTCCTGATATTGCTATTTTGAATGTATTGTCATTCTTTAACGCTAAATCTTGTTGTGCCACAATGTATTTCCCAACGGCATTGGCTACGTCAATTGACTCCCTGTATGCAAAAACTTTGGCAGTCATGACTTTAAATCTACGAAGTATTGGTTTTGAAGAAGATGTAAATGAAAGCAATTTAAATTTGTAGAGTTCCAGATTTGATTTTAGATTTAGAAATCTCCGAAAAAAAAATAGAAATTTAAGTTTTCGGAATTATCTTCAAATATTATAAAAGTGATATATTAATACAAAACATATAAGAAAATAATTTTTTATTTACTCTATCTATCCTTCAATCCAAATAATGAGAATACTCAGCACTATCCTTAATTTTATTATTCATGAATTTCTCCAATTTATTGGCATTTTTATAATAAGTTGTAGTATCACCATTATAAGATCTACAATTCTTAAAAATTAATCTAGAATCATATAAAAATTGATCAAATGTATCATACTTATCATTTTCTAGTTTCGATTCCATTGTTGAAAGATCCATTGGCTCCTTTATGACTTCATAATAATCAGGTACTTCTTCTTTATTAACAGGCACAGCAAAGGGCCATGCAGACGGATGATTTTGTAGTTCAGAAAATAATGTAACCATGAAATTATAATGAGGTCCTCTTTTTGGTTTTTGAGCTAATTTGTCCATCTCTTCTGACCATCCTGCTTCTGCTAAACCAGGTATATCCTTATAATTCAATGTTACATTTTTATTAGTTTTGAAAATTTGTAGACCAGGTCTTACAACATTTGATTTTGATCTTGATTTAATTTTCCTCTCAATCGCTGCTTTTTGTAATAATAATATCTTTGCGGAATCTAGATATCTTAGTATCGACGGTAGCATTGAGCACTGCATTAGTGTTCCCCCTTCATAATCTTTTATATAACCCATCCACACCGATTTATCTAAAGTTATTTCTTTTGTAAATCCTTGTTTTTTAAAATATCCAATAGCATAATTATCAGCGTAGGTTAAAAAATATTTTATAGGTGAAGTCGCTCTTACATAATCTTTCAAATGATTCATTAAATGAGCACCATAACCTCTGACTTGTTCTGTTGATGATATGGCACAAAACACAATTTCTGCAAACTCTCGATTATTGAAAGGTCGATATGTGATACCACCTACTACTGTCAATGGTTTTCGTACCACAGCCATTGATAAATGTGATCGATCATAAACTAATCTTGAAATATACTCTCTCGGCATTTTAGGTAATTGCTTTTGAAATATATTTTTTAAACCTGTCAACACTATTAGATTTTCTTTAGTATTGTCATTATTCACTACTCTGAATTCAATTTTACCTTCTTTTTCCTCTATCACTGATGGTCTTTCTTTGAAAGTATATATTTCACCGTCAAAATTGAAACTTCGTATTCTTTTCTTTTCTTCCTCTGCTTCTTCATCCTCGTCATCGTCTTCTTCCTCTTCTTCCTCTTCTTCTTCATTATTACCATCCTCTTCAGTATCTACTTTACCGTTTTTATCTTTAGAATTTCCATTTTTTTCCTTGCTGTCTTCTTTTGAATCACCATTTTCAATTTCTCCATTCTCTTCCTCCTTTTCATCACTTTTCTCCTCAGATTCGTCATCTTGTTCCTCTTTGATCTTGGGTGATCTATCCTTTGATTCGATTTTTGATTTTTTATTTAATGGTAAAGCATCTTCTTCCTCATCTTCTTCAATTTTCAATGCTCTTTTCCTGTCTACCATCAGTCAATTTGTTATATGAATTGCATAAAATATGTGATGATTAATTACTATGTATATTTGATATGATGTTCTGATATCTTGTAGATCTAAAGTTTATGTAAACATACTTGAAAAATATCAAACGAGCAAAAATTGGTCACGTGAGTAGAACCTTAATCTCCGAAATATTCTTTTTAAGATGGAGATGACATTTGCAATCGAAAATTTATAAAACAGAATTACATTAATAATACAAGATCAAAAGCAAACATGTCTAATTATACTCAACTCAACCCAAATGATAGAGAAGTAGCAACTGGACCGGTTGCAACAGTGTTATGTTGTAATTGTGGTGTACCAATGGATGGATCATCAGGTTTAGTCATGTGTTACGATTGTATAAAATTAAATGTTGATATAACAGAAGGAATACCTAGAGAAGCAAATGTATCATTCTGTAGAAATTGTGAAAGATTTTTACAACCACCTGGACAATGGATCAAAGCACAATTAGAATCAAGAGAATTATTAGCATTATGTCTTCGAAGATTAAAAGGTTTGAATAAGATAAGATTAGTTGATGCATCATTCATATGGACTGAACCACATTCAAGAAGAATTAGAGTTAAGATTACCGTACAGGGAGAGGCTATGGCAAACACTATCGTCCAACAAACATTTGAAGTAGAATATGTTGTTATTGCAATGCAATGTCCAGATTGTGCTAAATCATATACTGCAAATACATGGAGGGCAACAGTACAAATAAGACAAAAAGTTCCACATAAAAGAACTTTCTTATATTTGGAACAATTAATCTTAAAACACAATGCTCATGTTGACACAGTATCAATTCAAGAAACAAAAGATGGATTGGATTTCTTTTATGCACAGAAAAATCATGCAGCAAAAATGGTTGATTTTTTAACTTCCGTTGCACCTGTGAAAGTAAAAAAATCTGAAGAATTAGTAAGTACAGATATTCATTCAGGTTCATCAAGTTATAAATTTTCATATTCTATTGAAATTGCACCAATATGTCGAGATGACCTAGTAGTATTACCTAAAAAATTAGCTCATTCAATGGGTAATATAGCAAGATTAGTACTTTGTAATAAAGTCAATAATGCAATGCAATTCATTGATCCTTTCAATTTACAAACTGCAGATTTATCTTCACAAGTGTATTGGAGATCACCCTTTCCATCTTTATTAGATGCAACACAATTAGTTGAATTTGTTGTATTGGACGTTGAACCAACCGGTGACGTGAAAGGAAAGTATGTTTTAGCTGATATAGAGGTCAGTCGAGCTAGTGATTTGGGATCAAACGATCAAACTTTTTACGTAAGATCTCATTTGGGTGCTATTTTACATCCAGGTGATTCATGTCTTGGTTATTATTTAACGAACACGAATTTTAATTCAGAGTTATACGACACTTTAGACACAGATAATACTCCAGAAGTTATTATAGTTAAGAAACATTATTCGAGAAAATCCAAGAAATCGAAGAACAGAAAATGGAAATTAAAGAGAATGGCTAGAGAACATAATGATATTATAGCAAATGACGATTCAAGACAAGCAAGACAAGAACAAGAAAAAGCTGAAAGAGATTATGAATTATTCTTACAAGAATTAGAAGAAGATGAAGAATTAAGACAAACTATTAATATGTATAAAGCTGGTGAAGATCAACAAGAACCACAACATAAAGATGAAGATGACATTGATGAGGATGTTGATGATGAAGATGCTCCAAGAATTGGTCTTGATGAATTATTAGATGAATTGGATGATATGACCATTAATGATACTGCCAGGAATGAACAAGAATAAGTTACTATTTTAAACTGTTTTTAGTCAGAAGTTTTGGAAAGGATGATCAAAACACTTATAATAGTTAACAGGTGAGTCGTGGGGCACAGTTGGAGATAAAACTGTTCTGTTTACGACTTTAATATTTAGTATTCAAAGCAATGATGTTTTCAAAAACTCTGAGCTTTTGGAATAGGAATTTCAAGCTACGTTTATAGCATTGAATGCAATGTCACCGATCTTTTTAAAACAAATATGTCTCTTATGACCTCTTTCTTTGCAAGTATCACGATGTGGAGCTCTGGTTTTGTTATACCATTTTTGTGTAATATTATATATCGTTATCTTATCAGAATTCGTAAAACAAGCTTTGAGATAAAAGAGAATACTATTCTTTCATTACTAATGACTACTTTGAAATTTACACCGATTCAATCTTTTATAGACTCGTCATTTTTTACAAAATTAGCAGACTTAAAGCTAAATAAATACAAATTAGAATCAACTGAAAGTAAAATCACTGGTTTTCAATCGAAACCATCTAAATTAAATAAATATAATGACACAACGATAGTATATTTATATGATGATAGTTTTGATGCAGAAGACTTAGTGCCGAGAAATGATGATAAGTGGCCATTGAATGGAGAGATTTTAAACGTAAATACAATTGAAGAATTCAAGGGTTTGAACAAACAAGAACTTTTGAGTAAATGGGGAGCCGAAATACATGAAAAGATTTCAAAAGCAGAATCCTTCGATTTAAATGTTTTCAACCCCTTCTATGTTTTGAGCTTTTCTGATCTAAAGAAGTATAAATTTTATTACTGGGTTGCTTTTCCCACGATTAACAATAGTTGGACAATCAAAGAGGAGCTGCAGGAAATTAGCAAAAACTTAATTGATGAACTTAGTGAAAAATCAGAACAAGTCATAGGGCAATTTTATCAGCTAGATTCTAATATTTTATTCAATAAATTGGACAAACTGAAAAAATCAGTTTTTGTATTCTTTGATTCATGTCTAAATGCTGATAACAAACCCTCAATTCAATTAAAAAATTACTTATACTATCTTGCTTGGAACGAGATTAACTCACTTGAATTAATTGTATACAGAAATAATGGCACATCATTTACACAAAAATTAAAACTAGAGTCACTATCTAATCCACCAAAGTATACAGGATGGGAAAGAACTACTGAAGGAAAATTAGGACCAAAACTAGCAGACTTGGGTTTATTAATTGATCCTCAGCAGTTAGCTAAACAAGCCGTGGAGTTGAATCTAAAATTGATGAAATGGAGGATTGCACCAGAATTGAATTTAGATATACTAAAGCAACAAAAGGTTTTACTATTGGGAGCAGGGACATTAGGTAGTTATGTTGCTAGAGTATTATTGGGTTGGGGATTTAATGACATAACGTTTGTGGATAATGGAAGAATCTCTTACTCAAATCCCGTACGACAACCTTTATTCAATTTTGTTGATTGTTCAAGTGATAACGGAAGAGGAGAGTTGAAAGCTATAAAAGCTTCAGAGAACTTGAAAAGCATATATCCGGGGGTCAACTCTGAAGGTTTTAACTTAGAAGTTCCAATGATTGGTCATCCTGTGACTGATGAAGAAAGACAAAAAGAAAATTTTGACAAACTAGATCAACTCTTTGACAACCATGACGTTGTTTTTTTACTTATGGATTCAAGAGAGTCAAGATGGTTACCAACAGTGCTTGGAGCAGCTAAGAACAAAATTGTAATGAATGCGGCCTTAGGGTTTGATAGCTATTTGGTAATGAGACATGGAAGTGTAGAACAATCATCAACTGAAAGATTGGGCTGTTACTACTGTAATGATGTTGTTGCTCCAGAAGATAGTTTGACCGATAGAACTTTAGATCAGATGTGTACGGTCACAAGGCCAGGTGGAGCATTAATGGCAGCATCATTAGCAGTTGAATTGTTGGTATCATTGTTACAACATCCAAAAAAGCAATTGATAAAGCATAATGAACGAACAAAATTTAGTAATGCTCCGCATCAAATCCGTGGGTTTTTAAATAATTTCAGTCAGACTAGTTTATACACGCCGAATTACAAACACTGTTCCGCGTGTTCTGAGATTGTTTTATCAAAATACAAGGATGAAGGTTGGGAATTTGTTAAAAAATGCTTGAATGATACTAAATACTTAGAAGATATTTGTGGTTTGACGCAAGTTCAAGAAGAAGCTGAGAAAGCATTACAGGAAATGACAATTGACGATTTTGATGAAGACATAGACGAAGACAATGAAATTTTATGAATTATTCTAATAGACATATATCTGTTATTGCTTTTCCTATCTCTGTAACTCTCGACTTGATTAATTTATACGGTCATGCATGGCCAATGCCATTAACCAAAGCATGAAATGTTGTCTTGGTAGTAGTAATGTCTAATTTTGATGTCACATTTTAAAACGCGTTCCAATTTTAAGTTTGTGAAATTGTAAACAAAAGAACAAAATATACAATAAACAAATTACTCTACATCAAGAGTTATTCATTCCAATAAATGAACCAATTCACACCATCGCAAACGAATCGAATGTATCCACTGAGACCATTCGAGAAACGAAATGAGAGTTTTGATAATTTTTCACCTACAAATACTTTTCCTAATAGACAACCACATTTTCAACAAACATCGCAACAAGATCAATCAACAAATATTCGACTAGATACTGCATATCAGAGAGACATAATCACATTGAGAGATGATTTCGAAGATACAGATGACGACGAGGGTATAACTTGCTCATGCATTGTTAAAAATGACATAGAGTTCCATCAAATGTCTGCTCCATTATTGAATGAAATTCAAGAAATCGATATACAACAAGCACTTATAATAAAAGATTTATTATTTATTCTACTAGGTTTTGAAGGAAACTACATTTTATACAGTAAAAATTATAATTCGGACTCGATGAATTCAAGGATAAATGGCCCGGAGTACAGAGTAGCGAAAAATTTAGATATCAGTTTGAAAACTGTTACCAAAAAGATAATAAAGTTGGGTAAACAATACGATGGACTCAATAACTTTATTCAATTCTATGACAACTCCGAAAACGGTAAGATCATACAAGCGTTTTGCAGCTTTGTAAAATCGTTTTTCAAGGAATATTATAATGTATTATTACAAATCGAACATGAATATCAATTTAATAACAAATTTAACATCAACCTATTGGATCAGATACTACATCAAGAAATCTCAAACAAGCTAGAACACCTTTACCAAATATGCCTAAGTATACACGAGATAAATGTCGAAAGAAAAAATCACAACGAAATGGACATCGATGATCTACCTCCATCTACAATAGAATCAAACGATCTATACAATGATAAGATGAATACTTGCAAGGGAGGATTGGTGCTACAAATAATACAAGACAGATTAACATTTTTCAAGGGAGACTTGACCTCTCTTAAATTTTTACACTCATTATTAGACGCCATCAGCGTTGATTATGTTCAAATGTTAAATAAGTGGCTAAGTGAAGGAACTATAGATGATCCATTTGACGAATTTATGATTAAAATTACTAAATTACCATCACATCTCAAGCAATACATTGACACAAAGAAAGAAATCTACTGGAATGAGCTATTCTTGATCAAAAAAGATGGTTTATTGGAACAATTCAACAACAAAGAAGTTCAAAAAAAAATTTTAAACACTGGAAAGTATTTAAGTATCTTTAAAGCCTGTACAGGTTTACCAAATTTTAAATTTTTGACTAATGAAGATCATAAGGTTACTAAACTTGATAGTTTGAACGCTCCGGATTTGAATTTAAAAATAAATCAATTTTATCAAAGAGCCAATAATTTGCTACTTAAATTAATCTTTCAAGGCTATAAATTTAACAATTTGATATCCAATTTCCAAACTTTGTATTTATTTAACGATTCATTCAATATAGACAAATTTTTAACTTCAACATTTCAAGAATTGAAGAAAAACAAGTTCAAAGTATCAAGTTCCAAACTAGTAAAGCAATACAATGAAATATTTATTCCTAAAATTGAAAACAAAGTCGGAGATGAATCATGCTCCTCAATTGATCAAATCACTATACAAAATCAACAATTTAAAATTAGTGTTGAGAATTTCTTTACATTAATTCAAGAATTAGCTGAAAGAAAAGACAATTTTGATATCAATTTGAAACGATTTTTTGAAAATGGAAATGAAAACATGGAAGATCAATCAGACTCTGCTCCAAGAAACTCAGAGAAATTTGAAGATTTAACGATTTTGAGTTGTGACTTATCTATACCAACTCCCTTTCCATTAAATTTAATTTTGAATAGACAAATATCATATCAGTATGAGCTTATGTTTAAGTATTTAATTATAATTAAATTCATTAGAAAACAAAGTGATATAAATTGGCATGATTTAAATACTTCAAAAATTTGGACTAATCAATCATTTGAACCAGGAATTATAAAATGGATATTAAGATGTAGAATGTTACATTCAAGAATTGGTACATTTATAACTGAAATTCAAAGCTACGTAATGTATGATGTGATACAAGAAAGCTACAAACAAATTACAAAAGTGATTAAAACAGCTCAATCAAACTCAGAGGCATATGATTTAAAGTCTAATGGAAGTGAAGACGATATTATCGAATCACAACAAGAGCAAAACATATTTGGCACAAGATTGACTAGTTCATCATATGCATCAAACTCGATATTTGACAACAAATTGAATTCAAAAATGAACAATTCGAATATGAATGATAGTAGTTCGAACATAATGAATGATAACACAACCGATATAACTATAGAAAATTTGATTTTGAATTTACAAACATATACAACTACTTTACTCAGTGATTCAATGTTAACAAGACCAGAAACATTTCTTATTATTACGAAATTATTTGAATTTATAATTCAATTTCAAATTTATACAATTCAAATTAAAAAATTTTTAATACTTGTAAATTTTGAATTATATAAAAATTTTAGTATTGAATTTCCCCAAAAATTTGCTTCAAAACCTATGGATCAAAATTCAATTGATAAGAGAATTGAATTTTTAAATGATTCATTTTTCAATCAATATGAAAAATTTGGAAATTTATTAGCTATATTCTTGAATATTATTAAAAAATTTGGTGAATCTGAGAATAGAGTGATTTTACAATTAAGTGATAGATTAGAAGCTTGTTTTCCTGAATAATTTAATGAAAAACGACTGTGTAATATTCTACATGACTCGTGATAAATAGGACTCTTTAAATTAATTTTTTTGTATCATACATTGCTTCTCTATTTGACTAACTCATTATGGTATCTTCATCAGTAGCTTGTTCATTCAACACTTTGATAATAGCATCAGTTTTTTCATCACTATAAACTTGAAATCCTCCATCTTTAGTAACACTAGCTAATTGAGCATTTCTACAATCTAATTTTTCTTCCATAACTTGTTTTAAAATTTTTAAAGCTAAAATTTCAGCTTCTTTTAAAGTTAAACTTTTATGATATTCATTATTTAATTCAGATTGTGCACCTTCAGAACCTGATCCAATAGCTTTTGCTTCATATCTATAAAATGTCCCACTTGGTTCTGCATGATATAATTGTGGTCCTTTTATATCATCCCATCCAGCAATTAATAAAGCAACACCAAAAGGTCTTGACATTAATCTTTTTTCACCATCTGCTCCTTCACCAAATCTTAAAGCTAAATCACATACATTTTGAGTTAAACTTTCTACACCAATTGATTCATCATAATATAAATTATGAGTTAAAGATGATACACGAGCATGATCAATCATTGATCTTGCATCAGCAGTTAATCCACTCATTGCACAACCTATATGATGATCTATTTCTATTATTTTTTCAATACTTGAACTTTCTAAAAGTGATGATGTAACTCTTTTTTCAACTCCTAATATTACACCTTCTGATGTTTGAATTCCTATTGCTGTAGAACCTAGTTTAATTGCTTCTAAAGAATATTCAACTTGAAATAATCTACCTTCAGGTGAGAATGTTGAAACTCCTCTATCATATTCACTTCGTGTTAAAAACATTGTATATGCTGTATGAGTTTATGTGATGAAAGTGATGGTGTTTATGAATTTATTTATCTGTATCAATTGTCAATTGGTTCGTTTATTGAAGTGATTTTGTCTATGATGGAGATTAATTATAACTTAGTGGTGGCAATTGATATTGATTCTTAATTTTTTTCAAAACAAATTGTGCTACCAGAGAGGATTTTAAAACTCAAATTTTAACATTGCAAGAGAGTGAATGCACAAACAGACTAATAGTTTCTGAATAGTTATATGATGTCTGAATTTCACATTATAAAAGTATGTATTACTGAAGTTTCTATATAATATCTCTTGCCAGACTTAAAAACAGTCCAAAATTATGCATTTTCCAGTAATATTAGTAGTAGTGTTTAATTTATGATTGTTTTGGAGCTAAAGAAACAATTTTTTCAGCAGCTGGATCTAAATCTTCAAAAGCATATAATTTTAATCCTGAATTATCAATTAATTCTTTTGCTTCAGCCATATTAGTTCCTTGTAATCTAACAACAACTGGAATATCTAATTTAAAATTTTTAGTAGCTGCAATTAAACCTTTTGCAACATAATCACATCTAACAATACCACCAAAAATATTTACAAATATACCATTAACTTTTTTATCTGAAAGAATTAATTCAAAAGCTTTTTCAATAGTTTCTGGAGTAGCAGTACCACCACAGTCTAAGAAATTGGCTGGTTCACCACCATATAATTTAATAATATCCATAGTTGCCATAGCTAAACCAGCACCATTAACAATATTAGCAATATTACCATCTAATTTAATAAAATTTAAACCATATTTAGCAGCTTCAGCTTCTTGTGGATCTTCTTGAGTTGGATCTCTCCATGAGAAAACTTCTTCTTGACGATATGATGCATTATCATCAAATCCTAATTTAGCATCCATTGCTAAAACTTTATGATCTGGAGTTTCAGATAATGGATTAATTTCAACTTGTGTACAATCTCTATCAATAAAACAATTATATAAACCTTGAATAGTTTTAGCAGCTTCTGGAATAGCATCTTTTGAAAATCCTAATACTGAAGCAATTTCAGTAGCTAATTTATCTGAAACTCCACCTTCTAATGGTACTGGGAAAGTTTTAATTGCAGAAGGATCTTTAGCAGCAACACCTTCAATATCCATACCACCTTGAGCTGATGCAACAATAATTGGAGTTTGTTTAGCTCTATCCATTAAAATAGCAACATAAGCTTCTTTATCAGCATCTCTTCTTTCAACAATATAAACAGCAGTAACTTCTTTACCATTAGCACCTGTTTGTTTAGTAATAATTTTATGACCTAACATTTGACTAGCTAAATCTTTGGCTTCATCTGGTGAAGAAATTAATTTAACACCACCTTGTAAACCAGAATCGAAATGACCTTTACCTCTACCACCAGTTAAAGCTTGAGCTTTTATAACTAATTCATTAGTGCCTAATTTTTTAGCAGCATCATAAGCTCCTTCGGCAGTAGTGGCTGGGTAACCTTTTGGAATTGGTACACCATATTCACTTAATAAAGCAGCTGATCTATATTCATGTAAAGATAAAAATCTTTTTTGTTGAACAACAGACTAATATGAATTGTTAGTAAACTTTCTAGGGTATGGAAAAATTCGATCTATACAATATGACCAAGTCGAAATCTAATAACACCAACAGATCTGTTAACCAATTGATAAGAGATCGTTATGCAATCTCTTGAGTCCTAAAATAATTAGGTTTCATTGGTTGAAAAATTATAAAACAAGATCGGTGTGTGAGGAAAAAATAGATATCGGCAATAATTTTTTTTCCATTGCAGATGTCAACGTGTGAAATGAATTATCAATTGAATTGAGTGATATAACAGGGATGTATCACCACCGGACGATAATCAATTTGTGGTTGTAGTCGTAATGAACATTTTTAATGAATTGATTGAAACACTCTGAGTTTGAATGGTCTTTAAACGGATTAACTATGGACCACTTAAAGATATTATTTTAACAATAATTAACAGATTCCGTTGGCGCAAATTGATGAAATGAACTCGTTGAATTTTTCACATTGATAGTTATTAACACATACTCTTGATATTCTAGCAATTGATCTTGATAACATATTGATGTGAAATGAAATGTTAAGTCGTATCTGTAGTAGACTAAAAAACTATTAGAAAAAAAATTGAAATTGATTTTAATTTTGTTGATATTTTTTTTGTTTGAGAAAAAAAAATAAATTTGATTTGTGTTTGAAATATTCGTTCTTCAGTTACTTGAGACGAACTGTTAAAATTAATTGTAGAACAAACGGGTCAAGTGATTGAAATTGAGACAGTATAGTTGAAAAGAACTGTCATATGAAAAGTGAAAATTTTTACAAAAATTCAAATTCTTATCTTTTGAAACATGAAAAATAGACGTAACGAACGTTAAAAAATAATTTTGTTTCTTTTCTAAATTGAATGAAAATTTATTATAATTCGAGTTCTAACAACACCGGTATTATAATAGAAAGCATTTTTAGACTCACCGATGTAATTAATGTAATAATAATATGAATTTTGAAGTGTTTGGTCGGATAATTTAATTATTATATCCAACATGAAGAGGGGATAGATCCTAAATCTCCGGGCTATCGATGAATGAGTTTCCCAGAATTACCACTAGCAAAACTTTCTAACGACTATTTGTAAAATCAGAAGATCAATCGCACCATTAAATCTTGATTTTTTCTAGAGCACGATAAGACTTTATGTTTTAGTGTGGACACCTTGAAGGATGGCTGCGAAATTTAATGTTTCATTATATTGCAAAAAATCGAGTTCAAAATTCAAAAGTTAAAAAAGTCACGACATAGAAAATGACATTAACTTCAATTATGTGTGATGATCTAAGTTTACTGTACTCTTAATATAAATTGCAACCATTTCTAAAATACACATTCAATGCCAAAACGAGATAGAATAAGGCCGTCATATGTCGACGAAGAGTCAGAAGATGAAATAAATTATCAGCTAAGTAGTCGTAGTGGTAGGGATATAAGCTCTGGTGAAGAAGAAGAAGAAGATGACGAGATTTCAACCATATCTTTTGGAGCGTTAAATAAAGCACAATCAAAATTACAAAAAGAACAGCGACATCAAAACCAACAAGAGGAGAGTGAAGATGAATTTTTTGAAGAGTCAGATTCCGATTCAGGACCAGAAATAACTAGTAGTTCTTCAAACAACAATTCAAATAAAAAAAGGTCAAAACATGCTCCAACTATATCATCAACTAAAAAACCTGTATCAAGAATTAGAGATATTCCAGGTTTACCATCAAGAAAACAAACATTACATACAGATATAAGATTTGATTCAGCATATGGAAAAGCAGATATAAATAAAACTAGAAAAAATTATGCATTTTTAGATGATTATAGAAAAGAAGAAATTAAAAAAATGGAATCAATTTTAAAAGATCCTAAATCAAAATTAAATGAATATGAAAAACAAGAAATTTCAAATCAATTACAAAGTTTAAAATCAAGAATGGATACTTTGAAAAATAAAGATTTAGAAACTTCAATATTAAAAGAATATAAAAAAAAACAATTTGCAAATGTCAAAAATGGAAAATCTTTACAACCTTATTTTTTAAAAAGAGGTGATAAACGTAAAATTTTGCAAAAAGCAAAATATGATAGTATGAAACCTAAACAACGTGAAAAGGCAATGGAAAGAAAAAGAAAGAAAAGATTGGGTAAAGAATTTAGACAATTGGAATTTAGAACTAATAATAAATAGGATAATAGTACAGTTTATTGATGCATTAAAATTCGTTTCTCTTTGTAGTGATTATGGTTATTAATTAAATTTCATCTATAAAATTATACAAAAATCTTGAGTTATAAAAATTACTATTTGTTAAAAAAAAATTCGAAGAATGAAAGACTATATGGACAAGAATATGGCTTTTGGAAAGTTGGAAGTGTGTAAAGTATCAAATAGTAGCATAGGTTGAATCAATCATTTTTCTGTTACTTCACCTATCACCAACCCCTAATTTTATTATTTCTTAATTTTATTTTCATGAGATTGCCAATCTTCATAACTACCTAAATAATTACCTCTTTTTTTATAACCAAAAGTAGAAGCTAATTCTTCAGCAGCAGTTGATCTAACACCACCTAAACAATAAAATACTAATTCTTTATCTTCACTTGGTTTATTAAATCCAAAATTTTCTTGAAAATCATCTTCATTTAAATCTAATGCTCCTGGTGAACTTTTGAAAGGAATATTTATTGCTCCTGGAATATGACCATCACTATATTCTACTGGTTCTCTTACATCAATTAATACTGATTCTGGAAATTTTTCTGGATTTGATGCGATTTTTTTAATATCATCATATTTATAAATTTTAGCTTCTGGTGATTCGGTTAATACACTATATGATCTTTTTGATATATTTGAGGAAAATTTAATTGATGATGAGAAAGATGAGATTGGTTTAGTTGTTAAAATTTTGGGGGTGGTAATTGTTGATGATTTAGTTATGTTTTTACATATTGTGGTATATGAAGCAACTGTGACTTTGGCTTGATTAGGAATTGATTTCCTAAAAATAGGTATGAATTGCTTTTTAAATGACAACATTGAATTTGATTGTAGTGATATTTTGAAAATTGCTAGGGTATGATAGTATGATCAAATAATAGTAATGCAAATATGAAGAATTGATAAAAAGTGGTACTTATGTGGTGTGAATTAAAATACAATTGTGGTTTATCCAATAGTTGGATTGATCAATTTGTTGGATTCTGTTGAGTTAATGATAAGTTTTAAATTAACAGTAAAAAAAACCGATGATCGTTATCAATTTGTTTTTTTATTTGATGATTCTTTGATTTTTTTTTCTTTATTTTTTTTTTCTTAACTCTCGTTTGGATCTACAACGGTCCCGCGGTAGTTTATGCGAGCTGATACAAGTGAAAATATAATATCTACAATAGGTTATTGATTCCGAATCGAATAAGACAAAATCTACAACAACAGTGAAGTTAAAACATTACAAATTTATATATAACTTATTATTTTATTGTTTGTTGAAACAATATGATTTTCAAAACCTAATTAACTAAAAAATCTATTACAAGAATAAAAAAATTTCATAACATTCGTTAAAACCAAGGTTGAACAAGTTTTAAACTCCCTGTTTCTATAACTGATAAATTATTTGTGTGAGTGATTAAAATAATCCATCGATTTCTCCATCTTCATTTACTTCAACATTCATAAAACCACAATGAGTTGGTAAACCAGGAATAGTTTGAATTTCAGCAGCTAATGCATAAAGATAACCAGCACCTATAGATGCTCTAACATCTCTTATGGGGAATTTAAACCCAGTTGGTACACCTTTTAAATTAGCATCATGAGATAATGAATATTGAGTTTTAGCAATACATATTGGTAAATTACCAAATCCTTGTTTTGTATATAAATCAATTTTCTTTTGAGCTTCTGGTAAAAATTCAACTTCTCCTGCACCATACATTTCTTTTGCTATAGCTGAAATTTTATCTTCAATTGAAGGTTGAAGTCCATAAAGAAAATTAAAATTTTTATCTGTTGAATTAGCTGCTTCTATTACACCTTGAGCTAAATCAACGGCTCCTTTACCACCTTCTTCCCAATGATTTGAAACTATAGCATCAACAGCACCAGCTTTTAATGCTTCTTCTTTAATAACTTCATGTTCATTATCACTATCTGATGACATTTTATTAATTGCAACAACAACAGGTAATCCATAAGATTTAGCATTTTCAATATGTTTTTTTAAATTTGAACAACCAATTCTTAATAATTCCACATTTTCTTGAGTATATTCTGGAGCTAATGGAGCACCAGCTTTAACTTCTGGACCACCTCCATGAACTTTTAATGCACGTACTGTTGCAACTATTACAATAACATCAGGTACTAACCCACTTGATCTACATTTAATATTAATAAATCTTTCACCACCCATTGTAAAATCAAATCCTGCTTCAGTAACAACATAACCTTCTTGTTCTTTTCTTTCTTCATTACTTAAATCTTTTGAAGTACCTGCTAATTTTAAAGCCATTTTATCAGCTAATATTGATGAAGCACCAATTGAAATATTAGCAAATGGTCCTGCATGTACAAAAACTGGAGTTCCTTCTAAAGTTTGCATAATATTTGGTTTTATTGCATCTTTTAATAAAGCAGTTAATGCACCAGCACATCCAATATCTTCACAAGTAATTGGTACTCCTTGTTTTGAAGTTCCAATAACCATTTTACCCAATCTTTCTCTCATATCTTCTAAGGAATTAGCTAATGCTAAAATGGCCATACATTCAGATGCAACAGTTATATCAAATCCAGTAGCTCTTGTAAATCCCTTTTCCGTTGGTGCTTGACCTACTGTTATACCTCTTAAAAATCTATCATTACAATCAACAACTCTTCTCCATGTAATAGATTCTGGATCAATATCTAATCTTGCAAATTGTGTAATTTCTTCAGGAGTTAAATCATTTGGATCAGTTTTATTTATACCTAATTTTTCTAATCTTTTCAACATTGATTTTGTAAAAGATCTTTTACCCTTTTTTTCTGGGACTAATCTTTTATATAGTGGACCATCTTTTTGAGTAGATTCATGAAACATTCTTGTATCTATTGCAGCAGCTAATAAATTGTTTGCCATTGTTATAGCATGAATATCACCTGTAACATGCATATTAAATTCATCCATTGGAATAACTTGTGAATATCCTCCACCAGCTGCACCACCTTTAATACCAAATGTTGGACCCATTGATGGTTGTCTAACATTTGCAAATACATTTTTATTTAAATGTGCACCTAATGCTTGAGCTAACCCTACAGTTGTGGTTGATTTACCTTCACCTAATGGTGTTGGAGTTATACCAGTAACTAAGACATATTTACCATTATTTTTATTTTGTAATCTTTTTAAAATATCTAATGAAACTTTTGCTTTATAAAAACCAAAAGGTTCTAATTCTGAATCTAATATACCTGCTTCTTCCGCAACTTGAGTAATTCTTTTAGGTTGTTGAGCTCTTGAAATTTCAAAATCTGAAGGAACTGGGTTTTGTAAATTTAATTTTAAAGGATTTGTAAATTTTGGTGTTGCATTGTTTTTAATATAATGATTTTTTGCAGCAATTATTACATTATCCAATAAACAAGCGACTGTCATTGGTCCCACACCACCTGGAACTGGTGTAATTAAAGAAACTTTTTCTTTAGCTGATTCAAAATCAACATCACCTACCATTCTTGAACCTGATTTTTTACTTTCATCTGGTATAAAATTTGTACCAACATCAATTACAATAGCATCAGGTTTTAACCATTCACCTTGTACAAATTGAGGTTGTCCAATAGCAGCAATTACAATATCTGCATCTGCTAAATATTTTTTTAATTGATCTAATGGAGTTTTTGAATGAACTATAGTAACATTGGCATTAGCTTTTGTTAATAAATTTGCAATTGGTTTACCAACAATATCTGATCTACCTAAAACAACCGCGTTTTTTCCATCAATATCAACTTTAGAAATTTTTAATAAATGCATTATACCTTTTGGAGTACATGGTAAAAATAAAGGTTCACCACCTTTTTTAGCTAATTCTCCAACATTAAAAGGTCCAAATCCATCAACATCTTTATCTGCAGATACAGAATTTGTAATTTTACTTTCATCAATATGATCAGGTAATGGTAATTGTACTAAAATTCCATCAACATTTAAATCATTATTTAATTTTGAAACTTCATTAATTAATTCAAATTCTGAAATTGATTCTGGTAAATTTATAATTTTACAATCAATATTTGCTTCTTCAGCAGCTTTTAATTTCATTTTAACATATGTAGAAGAATCTTGTCTATCACCAACTTGTATTATAACTAAATTTGGTTTGAAGTCTGGATGTTTTAATTGAAATTGTGCAATATCATCATGAATCTTGGTTCTTATATCTAATGCAATAGATTTCCCATCTAATAATTGTGCAACCATTTTGTAAATTGTTGATGATTGTAATGGTAAAATAAAGGAAAGGGAAAAGAAAAAGGAATGGATGAATGGATTCAAAGTTTTTAACTTTTACAATAGACCTATTTACATTCTATTTAAAATTGAAAAAAGTGAAAAATTATCACAAGTGGTTATAATTATTTTTACTACGTTACGCGCTTAATTATATTTTTCATTCCTCGATTGACTCTGATTGAATCAGGTCGAAGATTAAATTAAATTTTCAGTTGATTTTCAATCGAGTCATCTCCGAACAAATAGTTTAGTCATCTCATCTTAAATTCTTTTCAGGAACCATGTATCTTTCAGACTAGATGATCTTTTGTTGTCAGCCTCCAACATCAATCACTTAATGATAACTTAATCACTTGATCCACAGAGTCAGATGGCTATATCGCTTGATAATAAATTATAAAACACAAAATCGAAACTTGAATCATTCCCACATGCGATCTGAAAAATAAAAGTGGACCTGAAAGTTACACGGGGCCGATCAAGAAGATCTGTGACTAAGCGGTAAATTTAGTCTGGTATAACTGCAGTATGACAGTGTCTTAAAAATTAGAAGTCATAATACATAAATCATTTCTATTAAGATTCACTATTTACAAAGTTTTCAATATTTTCTATTAACACATTATTTTTAATATTATCATATCTTTTATTTAATGTATATAAAGTATGAGAAGGACCAATATTATATATTTCATCAACTGGTAAATTTTGAATTGATTTCATCCATTGAACAGGTTGATAATTAGCTTCAAGTAATTTTTTTATTGTTTGTTTGGAGTCTGTTGATATTTCACCATCTAAATTTGATATAATGGGGATTTTTTGTTCACCTATTGATTTTGTTTCTAAAAATTTCTTGAGTTTAGGCACCATATATTTTAATATTTCATTATGAAATGGTACTGATACTGGTAATTTAACTTCTTTCATTAATATTCTTTTATTTAATTTTCTCAAGTTTATTATAAACTCTTCTGTTTTGATCATTTCACCAGATACAACAATTTGAGTAGGAGCATTGATATTAGCTAAGATATGATCTTTTGTTGCTAAATCTATAACATCTTCAACATATTCCGGCCGTATTATTAAAGCAATCATTCCAAATGCTTCACTTCCATAACGGAACATATCTTCCATTAATTCACCTCTTTTTCTAACTAATTGTATAGATGTTTTCAAATCCAATATTCCACTTAATGTCAATGCAGTGTACTCACCTAATGAATGGCCTAATAAATATTTTGCATTTTTAATCAAATCAACATCATAAACTTCTTCAAATATTTTAGTAATGATATATGAACTAGCTAAAATTGCAGGTTGAGCATTTGATGTTTTATTAAACCAATCTTTAATTTTTCTAGGTTGAGTATCCTTATAAAATAAATGTTTTGAAAATTCTTCATTTAAAGCATCATCAATTTCATCTAAATATTTTTGAAAAATTGGTAAATATTTCTTATTACTTTCTAATAAACCATTTTTGACTATACCTTGTCCTATAAAAGTAACTGCATAATTTGGAATTGATTTTAAATGATTTAATCTACTCATTAAAGGTATATCTGTATTAATACGAATTTATCACGTAAATGTTTTATTAGGTCAAGGATTAAGTCGGATTCAGTTGGAGAGTTTGGTAGCATCGTTCCAGCTATTAGGAGAAAATATAACCGATACTTCAATTGGGGGGTTAACTATTTTCAATGTTTGAAACATTATGAACTTAAGACGACCATTAATCAATCAAACTTATAGAATTGGGCAAAGACCGAGCCAATTTTAAAGCACGATAAACTCCATGGTCGTGCTAGAAAACTAGACATTCAATACCATGTGTTGTGGTTTTGATTATCTATAACGAACAGAAGTACACGTATAAAAAGTAACTAAATTACGCGTTATTTATTTGTTTGTTTATATTTTCTATAGTAGTTAAGAAGTTATTAGTATTATGCCTTAGCAGTAGTACTAGTACTAATAATTTATAAGTTCTCCCTAAAATTTAATTTTTAGCTCGAGAGCACGACGCAGTTAAGCACTAACCAACTAAAATTTTATTTTTTCTTTAAAATAAATTCAATTTCCTCTCTTTTGACCAAAATTTAAATTTTTTTGTTTAAACTTCCTTCTTTTCTCACTAAATTTTGGTACCAACTGGTTCGAATCAATTCAATAACTCACTTAACCCCCTAATAACAAGTTACAAAAGGTTTCAAAATATCAAAACATCAAAACAATCAAAACATTAAAACAACAGAAACACGTAAATTAACAAACTACAACTCAATTGACATCAAACAAACACATAACAAACACATAACAAACACATAACAAAAAACAAACAAATATAAAAATGTCTGAATTCAAAGCTGCTAAAGATCATTTAGTTTCTACATTATTTGAATTATCAAAAGGTGCTCAAAATGCTGCAAGTGCTGCATTAGATTTTTATAAAGTAGCAGCTGGTGGTCATGATGAAGTTACAGTTGAACAATTACAAGCAATTAATGATCATATGAAAGCTGCTGCTGATATTGCAAATGGTTTAAAAGTTGATGGTCCAGCATCCAAAAAAAGAAAAGTTGAAAAAGATCCAAATGCTCCAAAAAAACCATTAACTATGTTTTTTGCTTTTAGTTTTTTCATTCGTAAAAAAGTTGCAGAAGAAAGAAGAAGACAACAATTACCAAATTTAGGAGCTATAGATATGAATCAAATGGTTAAAGAAAGATGGGATAATATTTCAGATGAAGAAAAAGCAAAATGGCAACAAAAATATCAAGATGAAATGAAATTATATATAGTTGAAAAAGCAAAATATGAACAAAGTTTGAAAGATGGTACTCCTTATAAAGCTCCAACTAATTTATATTCAAGTGGTTATGAAGGTGCAGATGATATTCAAACTCCTGCAATTGAAGCTGTTATTGAAGATGAAGATGATGAAGAAGAAACCGTACCTCAACAACAAGCTCAACCAGTTTTATCTCAAGAAGAATTGAAAAAGAAAAGAAAACAAGAAAAGAAAGAAAAAAAAAAAAAAGCTCAGGCTTCTCCATAAATTGGTAAGTGTTGATGAAAAAATTTTTGGTTGATTATTCTACTTCTTTAAATGCTTTTAATATTCCTTTTTTTTATTCTTTTGATTCTTCAATTTTGTATTTGTTAAGATAGCTTAGTTAATAATAATGATAATTTGTATTAAAAAATTTATTCAAAATGCTAATTAATTATTACCTTTTTTACCACCTCTTTTTTGTCTATCAACATGAGCTCGTAATACTTTTTGTCTATCTCTTAATGATAATTTTTGTTTACCTTGAACTGATTTTTTATGAATCATCATTACAAAATTTTTCTTTCTTGCTTTTTCTTTATTTGTTGTTGAACTTTCTTTTTCTTTTTTACCTTTTCTTGAACCAAATTTTGAACGATCTTCTTTACCTTCTTTTGCATGTGCAATTCTTTCTTCTCTTAATTGTTTATATTTAATCTTTCCAACTAATGTTGTTGAATCAACTGCATCTTCGTTTGTTATACCCATTATTTTTGAAACTCCTGCTTCTGTTCTTAATTCTTCTAATTTTGCAAAATCTGCTGGTGTAAGGATTCTGGAGGATAACATTTCATTTATTGCAGCTTGTGGATCTTTAACTTCTGTGGTGGTGGATGTTTTTACTTTCTTTTTAGGTGGTCCATCTTCTTGTTCCTCCTCTTCTCCGTCTTCTTCTTCTCCTGAAGATAACTCAAGATCTGAAACTTCATCTTCATCTTCTTCCTCATTTTTTTCTTCGTCTTTTTCATCATCTTCATCATCATCAGATATATCTATTTCCTTATCACTTTCAACATCAACCCAATCACCTTCAACATCATCTTCATCATCTTCATCAACCTCCCAGTTTGCATCATTTTCTTCATCTTCTTCACCATTTATACCTTGTTCTTCTTTCCATTTAGCTAATAATTCTAATCCTGGTATTCCAGTTATAGAATTTTCTACTCCATATTGAGGTTTTGAATTTCTTTCCCCCTTTTGTAATTCTATACTTGCAATTTTACCACGATCCTTTTTTAATAACATATCTGGTGCAACTTCTCTATATAATGATATTAATGATCTTGCTGCCATCATAACAGCTTTCGATTTTGATCCTTTATATTCTGTTAAATCTTGTAATAATGGAGCTTCAATAGCTAATGGAGCTCTTGATAATATTTCTCTTATTGTATTTATACCTGCAGATGCAACTTCTGCTGCAACACCATCACTTACAAATTCATCTGCAATTTTTCTTACAATTAATTCAATATTTTCAGGTGGTACTAAATCATGAGATGCTTGAGCTGAAGCAGCCATTATTTGAGTAACATTTCTTTGTTTTGGAGTTAAATATTTTAAAAAAAATGAATATATACCTAATACAATTAATTTATGAGTACCAATTAATCTTGAAATTAAATTCATAAATAAAATTTTTTGATCTAAATCAAATTTATTTGAATTTTTTGAACTTAAATGATTATCAAATAATTGTTCTGCAAAACCTTGAGGGTCTCTTAATAAATGAATAGCTGAAAAATTTAAATAAGTTGCTGAATGTTTTGTACTGTTTTTTTTTTTCAATTGTTTTACAGCTTGATCTATTTTTTTACTTCTTTTCAGTGATTTTTTATTTACTTCCATTTTATGTTTTAATGCACTCATATCAAATCCTTCTTCATCACTTGAATCTTCAAAATTTTCTTCTCTTTCCTTATCTGCTCCTAAAAAGAATCTTGCTCCTGCTATTGCAACTTTTACATCAGGATGTAAAGCAGCTTGAGTCATTATTTCAACTGTTCTTGAATCATCCCATATACCTCTTCTCCAAAGCTCTCTGGTTAATTTAGTTGCCCAAAGCCCTTGATTATCTTTTTGTTCCAATAAATTAAATAATAATGCTTGAGTTGATTTATTCAATCTTTGATTCCTTGTTCCTGTATTAACTGATTTTAACAAGGATATTAAAGTAGAATAAATTTGTCTTCTCATTTGTTTTACATGTTGACCAGATTGACCAGTTGAATAACTTGTTAAAAGGGGGAATATGGTTTGAATTAAACTTTCTGCAGTTATTATATCTTTATTTCTTAACATTGTTAAACATTGTATTATTTTTTCACGTAATTCTGATGTTAAATCTTTATGATTTTGTAATAAAATTGTTTTTAATTCTTGTGGGAAATTTGAAGTTTCTTTAGGGTAACAATTACAAACAGCTGATAAAAATCCTATTAGTTCTATGAATTCAGTTGTTGAATTTGAATCTGCACCTGTTGGATTTTCAAGATATAAATCTCTTAATGATTCATAATGTGAATATTGTTGTAAAAATTCTTCATGATATGATTCTGGATCTCTTCGTACTACATTTTGTAATAGTATTATATTTGTAGGTAATATAGCAGCTCTTCTTTTCTTCACCATTTTAAGGAGTTTGTTTGTATGTGGTTGTAAAATGATTACTTTTTTGTACAATTTATTTTCTAAGATGAGTTTTGATAAATTCTGAAACTCTCGCCCCGCGATAAGAAATAGTACATCAGAGTGAGACAAGGAATTGGTATACTCTAAACTTATTAATCAAGACTACAAACTATACATTCTATAATTTATCAGCCAACAACCCATTCAATGTATCATAATTAATTTTTCTTGATACTGAACTTTTTGCAAAATACATTTTAGCACTATCACCAGCATTTCTTGGAGTACCATCATCATCTAATATTATATCACCAATTTCTTTTTGAATTTCAGGAGGTATTGTACCTCTATTAATTTTTTTTCTTTTATTTTTATTTGTTGCTGAAGTATTTCCAGTTAATTCATCAGCTTCTTGTTTTAATCTTTTTCTTTCTTGTTCAACCATATAATCATGATTTAATCCTGTCCAAATTCTTTCTTTCATTGCAATTTCTTCTGGTGTCATTTGACTTTCTTCAACTACTATATCATCATCATCTGAATTTAAATCTCCATCTGGAATCTTCTCCAAAAAATCTTCAGTTTTAGGTAATTTTGATAAATTTTTTGGCCAATTTAAATTCCAAATTTCATTTGAATCATTACTTACATCTCCAGGTGTTTTATATAATTTTTCTTCTAATTTATTTTGTTTATATTTTAATATTCTTTCTATTTGATCATTTAATACTTCTTTATTTATGGTTAAATCACTCATAATTGTATTCATAAGCATTTGTTTTTGTTGTTCATCTTTGCTTAAATTTCCCATATATTTTTGTTTTTCTTCATCAGTCATTGATTCTAATTTTTTATAAGTTTCTTGTTGTCGTATTTGTAATTGTTTTGCAATTTTCATTTCTTCATCTCTATTTTTATCAAATGATGGTGGGTTTGAAGATTCTACTTGAACATCTTCTCTAAAACTTTTAACTGATAATTGTGCTGCTTTACTTTTTTTAAATTCATTTAATCTTCTTTGTAATGTTTCTTGTCCAACATGAGATATTGCAACAATTTCTGCATGACTTCTTCTAAAATTATTCATTCTAGCCGCTAGTAAAACACATGCACCTGCTATACCTGCTGGTCTTCTTCCTTCATGAATCCAATCTGCTGACATTCTTTTTGCTAACTTGAGGGCGTCTGCTGCTACTTTTTGAGTTTTTTCTTTAAAATCTAATTTTTCAACAAAATGTTGTATAAATAATGATGGATCAGCTAATGGTAAAGCAGTAACATGTAAAGCTTTTACCATTTTTAAAAAAGTAGCACCTAATGAATATACTGAAATTTGTAATTTTGAACTAAAATCAATTAACATATGAGGAGTTTTTTCTTTACGACAAGCAACATATAAACATGTAGCTAAAACATTATAAGATCTTCTACCTTGAACAAAATTATTAGTTAAAGCTAATTTAAACCATTCTCCAGCTGCATCACTTATATGATCAGGAATTCTGAGAGATGCAGCTATTCTTCTAATTCTTCTTTTACCATTATTTATTGTTTGTTCTCTACTTTCCATTGCATTTTGCCTTCCACCTGCAAATGTAGCTCTTGCTTGATCTGCTCCAACCATAGCACCTTGAACCATTGCAGCACCACTTGATGATTCACCAAATTGGACTTCGGAAACTATAGGGTTTTCTTCCAAAACTGTACCACATCGAAGACATGAAACATCCCCTGCTGCTGTGTATCTATTAACATCAAACTGTGTATGACCACAATTTGGACATTTTCTTTGTTTACTCATGGATGTGTTGTTGATGCTTTTGTTTGTATTTGTATTATGAATTTTCTACTATCAAATTTAAGACAAATAAAAAATTATTCACGATTGTGTAATAACCACATTTTACATCAACTTACATTGATTAAAAATGACTGAAGTCTTACCATATCAACCAAATGATGTAGCTGTTAAAACTCGGCCTAGGTATTTCAGATTTTTACATAAAGTTGGTACTATAGATGATGCAGAAGATGCTCATATTTCAAAAACTTTTCCGTATAATTTAGTAATGAAAGTTGTAAGTTCAGAACCAAGAGATGTTTTACAATCCGAAAGAACATGTTTAACATTTATAAGATTTTCAACTGCATTATTTTTCACTGCATTAGGAATTATATTAAATTTTAAATTTGATACTTCTGGTGAACCAGATCATGATAAACATAGACGTTTTAGTCATAAAAAATATTCAATTGCAATTTCATATATCTTGTTGATTTTAAGTTTTTTGGTTTTATTAGTAAGTGGTGTTAATTATTTTATTACTATAAATAGATATGCTAGACATAAGATTGATACTTATAATTTTAATAATTTTACAACTGCAATTTGTATTACTGGGATTATATTAACATTGGTTGCAATTAATATCACAATGATTATCGAAGGATATTTGGAAACAAGTTAAGTCAGTCAATCAGGTTAAGGGTATTGGATATAAATTAGTCACTATCAAAGACAGATAAACTTGATCTCAAATGAATGACGTTAGCTAGTCTGGTGACGCAGGATGAGTCAATTTTTTTCAGCAGATAGGTCTTTGAATTGTTCCAGAGCAGAATTTGCATTGGAAATGAACGACCCAATACAAATTATTCAATAATTACCCTTCGTTCCACTTAGACTGTTTTTCATTTTCAATTTTTAGTAGCAGCAGGCTGTTTACTCGGTAATATATTACCACCACAACACACTTTATATTCATCAGTTTTAAGATTTAGACTTTTTAGATTTCTTTGATTCCAATTTTTCATTTTTCCTTTTATTTATTTTCCTTTTTTCACCAAAATTTTCTCTTTCCATTTCCGATAAAGATTCTCTTTTAGCAGTAGTTATAAGATTTAAAGAATTTTTAATGACATTATCATCATTAATTTCTTCTAAAATTTCCATTTTTTTATTAATTCTTTCTTCAATTTTTTGAATTCTTTCAATATCTTTTTCACTTATTATACTTATTGCGTCACCTTTTTTACCAGCTCTTGCTGTTCTACCAACTCTATGAATAAAATCATCTGAATCTGCTGGTATATCGAAATTTATAACTAATTCAACTGTTGGAATATCTAAACCTCTTGATGCTACATCAGTTGCAATTAGAATTCTAGCAGCTCCTGCTTTAAATCTATGTAATGAATTTGTTCTTTCTGATTGTGGCATTTGAGAATGTAATGAAGTTACTCTAAATTCTAATTTTCTTAAAGATCTTCTTAATACTTCTGCTGTTGTTGTTCGATTAACAAATACAACTATTGTTGATTCTTTATATTTTGATACTAATAAAATACTATGTAAATAAGCTTCTTTAACATATGATGGTACAAATACATATTTTATCGACAATGTATTCGGTATAGCTACTTTATCAATTGTTTCAACTTCATGTAAAAAAACAGGTAATTTCCCTGGTGATTGTGGTTTATCTTTTAATGCTTTTACTGAATCAGTAACAGTAGCTGTGAATAATAAAGTTTGTCTTTTATCACTTGGTGGTAAAATTTCAAAACATCTTTCTAAATCACTACTAAAACTATCACTTAATAATCTATCTGCTTCATCTAATACTAAATATCGTATTCTTCTTAATCCACTTATAGTTTCTTCTCCACTATTTAAAATATGATCTGCTAATCTTCCTGGTGTTGCAATAACAAAATGTGGTTTCTTTTGTAATTCTAATGTTTGTTTTATAAAATCTTCACCACCAACTACAACAGCTACTTTAATATTCATTGATGCACCTAATGCAGTAAATTGTTCAGCTATTTGTAATGCTAATTCCCTTGTTGGAGTTAAAATTAATCCAAAGATTCCAAATGGATCTTCTGACCATTGAGTTAACATTGGTGCTGCAAATGCAATAGTTTTACCTGAACCAGTTTTAGCTCCACCTATACAATCTTGACCTTTTAAAATTGGTGGTATACATTCTTGTTGAATTGTAGTTGGTTTATGAATCTTCATTGCCTCTAGGGATTCGGAAAGCCATTTTGCTACACCTAATTTTTGAAATGACATAGTTGATGATCATCGTAAGTACAAAAAAAAGATGAATTTGAATTATCGCGATATCTTGATCTCACTTTTACAACCAAAACAATAATGAAAAACATACGGCTATTACAAAGATATCGACTACATACTAGTACTAGATTATCTAACTACTCATTGCATAACTCAATACCACAAGACCTACCTACAACAACAATATCTAATCCCAAAAATGAAGAACAAATAATAAAAATATCTCAACTACCCAATTCACGATTAATAAGTATATCTGATTATTTTTCAGGTAATTCTAATCATTTACATCATGTATTTTATTCAAATTTAATTCAGAATAGATCACGACGAGCGTTAAAAATTGAAAAAAAAAAATTTATTGATTTGAAAACTATAAAATTAAGTAGTGGTAATGGAGGTAATGGTAGTATATCATTTTTTAAAGATAATTTAAAAAGTTTTGGACCACCAGATGGAGGAGATGGTGGTAATGGCGGTAATATATATTTTAATGTAGTTGATAAAAATTTAAATTCATTACATTATTTAAATAAAAAATATATTGCAAAACTGGGTGAAAATGGTAAAAGAGGACAATTAGATGGTAAAAATGGTGAAGATATTATTATTGATATTCCTTTGGGGACAATAATTCGATGGATTCCTGATCCTTTGGAGTTTAAAAAATATATCACAAATAGGGAGGGTCAATCATTAGATGATATTTTCATGGAATTGGAAATTAAAGATAATAAAATACAACTTAATAGAAATAGTTATAAATCAGGAGAAGGCTGGTTATACAGAGATAACGAACCTGAATATTATCATGAAAAAGAATTCTTTCAAGAATTAAATACAAAAGTTTTAAAATATGATGAAGAATTAGAATTTGAAGAACAACAACAAGATCAATTTCCTTTATTTGGAATAGATTGTGATGAATTAACTGAAAAACCAATATTATTTTTAAAAGGTGGTAAAGGTGGATTAGGTAATATGCATTTTTTAACTTCAAATATTAGAAATCCAAAATTTTGTAAAATTGGAAGATCAGGTATTACAGAAAATTTTTTATTAGAATTAAAATTAATTGCAGATTTAGGATTAATTGGTTTACCAAATGCTGGAAAATCAAGTTTATTAAGAGCTATATCAAATGCAAAACCAAGAGTTGGACATTGGGAATTTACTACTTTACAACCAACTATTGGAACTATTCAATATAAGTTTGACACTCCACCTTTTACAGTTGCTGATATTCCGGGAATTATAAAAGGAGCTTCAGAAAATAAAGGTATGGGATTAGATTTTTTAAGACATATTGAAAGATCTGGTGGAATGTGTTTTGTAGTTTCCTTAGAGAGTGAAGATCCTACAGCTGATTTAAATTTATTAATAAATGAAGTTGGTTCAAAAAGAATGGAAAATAAAAAAGTTTTGGTGGTTGCAACAAAAGCTGATTTAAGTAATGAAGGTGAAAATTTTAAAATTTTAAAAAATTATATTGAAACAAAGTTTAAGGATTGGAAAATTGTACCTGTCTGTGCTCCAAGAGGTGAAAATATTGATAAATGTTTACAATTAATGAGTGAAACTGCTGAAAAAGGGAGATCTAATTTGAAAGAGGAAAATACTGTAAATAACTTATAGATATAGAAATAACATGTAAATAGTGGTGAGCTTTTAATGGAAGGGTAAAAGACTAGAACAAGAATATCCATGCTTGCATCTATGTCGTTACTGAAAACAAAAGAAAGATGATTCCTTATTCAATACCTGTGGTCTGTAATCTGTGTTTCAAGGTTTGTCTGGCTTTGCTTGAAATTAGAGACAGAAGTAGGCGATTATAAAATTATTTTAAAATGCATTGTAGTGATGTGTGAAAGCTGTTGATAACTATAAAAAGTTAATTTCAACCACGGAATTATAGCAGTAGTGAAAGTAATAAAATATCATGGTTCTGTCTTAATATATTTTGTATGATTTTCTCTCTTTTTGGGAGGTGTGTTATATAACTTCCTTGACTTTAACGAAATTTAGAGTTATATATCAACAACCAACTCTTATATTACATATATACTACATGTATTCTTAATTGATGTTTCTGAAGACTACAAAACTCAATTTCACTGACTTATATTATAGAAGTTTGGCTGATATAAATCATTAGAATAAACAAATTCAAGTAAGTATGCTCCAGACGGTACTGTCAACTTCCTTTAATTTATTTGGTCTAACTAATTGTCCTAAAAAAACCAAACAACCTTATTATATAATTCAGTTAAGTTATGTTCAATAATCTTCAAAAATATTCTTAACATGTATGTTATATATATGATTGAACTATTGGTTGTTGATATAAATCTCATAAAAGTCAAGGATTTATAAAATCATTTTGTAGGTGAAGAGGCAAAATTATTAGACGAGTTTATTAAAAGTGGGGTATAAATCACGTGCTACTAAAGTATTATTATAAAAATATATAAATATCCCCTGAATTCAATTTCTTATTTGTATTTAATGTTTAGACTTCTTTCTTCCTAATCAATTCAATCCTCATATTCATACAACCTATATTTTCTATTGTTATCTTTAAGTTATAAATTTATATAAATCAATATTAAGGAAGTTTTCAAGACCGATTTTAAATTGTTATACATTAAATATAATATTGGAATATACATCACAACCCATGGAACTACTCGAGAATAGGATAATGTATTATGTTGAATTCAACAGATGATTAATTATAGAATGATTGAACAAGACTTTGAAAATGGTTCAAAAGATTTTCCAGGTCAAGAAAAATTAAGAAACGTCTTGAACCTACTCCACCGGCCCTTTTAACATGATGCTTTCTCAAAACATTCGATAATTCAAATCAAGGAAAATGATACAGATTTGGAAGAATGTTTTGGAAAAGAATCGCATTAAAAGGTCTGGTGGAAAAGGGATCAAGAGAAATATTCAAACCAAAAGAAAATGGAGGAGCTCCTTTTTTTGTGCTCAGATAATTAATGAATTCAGCATATGTTCTGGGTACAAACAAAGGCGCATCTCCATTTTTCCTGTGGTTGGAATAAATCTTTTTCAGAATGATATTCATTAAATGTTGGTGATGGGTGAAAAAATTTCTTATGATTGATTTTCAGAGACCTTTTCCTGGTGATGTGACATTTAGTTATGAATGGATCAAGTCTCGAAATCTTAATTAAAAAGTGGTAAGGGCAAAGACAATATCAATTATAAACTCGGATCATGCGTTTGATATCAATAAATTTATATGAGCATCTTCAAATGTTTTTCTTTTTAATTTTTGGTGAAACTCAAAACTTTATTGAAGCTATCTTCTTTCCATGGATGAAAGTTTTATCTGAACAAATAGCAATAGATGATACATTGTGCATCTTGCTCATCATGGAATTTTTCTATTAATTTTGGGTATGAGACATGCAAAACGTAAGTCTATTCCAAATTACGGATAAAAAATGGAACAAGTTTATCTTTAAGTTTATTAGAGGAGTATGAACAGGAACCATTAAATGAAATATTAAATCAAATTTCACTATCTGTTTTTGTATGTAATTTTGTGGTCCATGTTCAAATCCTTTAATAAGGTTAAGCATAAACTTATTTTTCGTTTAATTTTGTTTATAATTGGTTTAGTTGGATAGTTTAAGGCTTGATATAAGTAATCTATGAACTTTGTTTTAAAATTATAGTGGTTAAAGAGTTAGCTATAAGTAACTTATTAGAATACACTGACATTCTATTGAATGCATAATTTGTAAAAAGGTAATTTAAAATTTTATCAATAACATGTTCGTATTTAAAATGCTCTGACGATGAATATATAACGATAGTTCAACTAATTCAAATAGATATAGGTTTTTGCTTTTCTAAGAAAATACAACAATTTCGATACCAAAAAGTTGAATTAAGACATCCACTTTACAACGAATAATTTGAGTAAAGCTAAGCGCGGTATTAAGCTTTATAAAAGAAGTTAATAAGTTTGGTTTTCACAGGAAGTCAATGAAATCTAAGTTTAAACAATACTGTTGTTATCTTGAGAACCTATCAATGAAATCTAAGATCCGATCTAAGATCTAAACTTTTTTGTGTAACTAAATAATTTTGGTACCTGAAATTTAAATTTTTTTTTTTTTTTTTTATTTTTTTCTTTTTTTAATTGTTTTTTTAAAATTTGATTCAATTTTATAAATTGGTATCAAAAAATTTCATCATACAATCGTTATCCAAAGATTAGCTCAACTTCTTTCAATTTTGAAATTCCTTAAGTTCTGCATATCTGTTTCTCTGTGCTCATAGATAATCTTGATTCACTGTTAAAACAAAAAGAGTTAAAAAACCCGGAAACTATGGATTATGAAATGAGTTTGTCTTGATCAGACGAATCAAAAATAAATAATGGAATCAAAGTATTTTCGAAGGGGTAGAATACGTGTGAATCATTGCATGCATAAAGTAAAAAATTTTGAACTCAGATAATTATATCGTCTCGCAGTTTTGAAATTTATTTCATTGTTGTTGTCTATTAGACTAGTCCCAATCAAATCAATTTATTATTGCATTTATCTCGAGAAAAATAATTAAGATTTACAATTGAAAAAAAAGGTGATACTCTTGAAACGTTTTCTCAATTCTGTCACTCAATTTCTCCTATTCTGTTCCGCTGCTCTATCTCAAGATTTAATTGATTGAAAACTCTCGAGAACCATATAAGATTAAATCACGACGTTGCATTTCAACTGTAAAGTTATTTTTTTTCAGTTTCATTTCATTTCGTTAAATCTTGCAATCTTTTAAAATTTCATTTTGAATTAAACTTTAAACTTTAAACTTTAAAATTTTTAAATTTTTTATACTACTTGTAATCATTTTAATCTAAGGCGTTGGAATATATAGAAATTAATTCTCCTCAACTTTTCGATAAATCTAGTTGAACATCAAAAAGAGATAAGGAAATTGTTCACCTCAGGTACAAGTCATTAAAAAAATAAAAGAAAAATTCAAAGTCGGCTGTAAATAAAATCTCCTTACCTTAAATACCGAGTGTGTACCAAATATAATTGTATACTTACATTACAGAATTTAACAAATAATTTTCAAAACCCGTTTAGTTAGTTAATGTACAAGAGCTTAAAATTTGTTGATGAAATCGAGATTACGAAAAATTTGTAATTAATTAAATCCGCCTCTTTACTACTCTACTCTCCTCTACTCAATTTAATATATATGTGATTACACTAAAGCTACACCAGTACAAGATACTAGCTGATGAATTAAAACTTTATTAGACCTAGTTATCAACTATATTATACTAGCGATAATTTATGTAAGGGTTTTATAAAGATTATTTATTATTTATTTAGATCTTTTATATACAGTATCTTATTTTTTTTCTCCTTTTGAGTTTGTGTACTTTTTCTAAAACATTCTTTTTTAGTATTGGTATGTAAGTATTAGAACAATATTTTAACTTGGTAATGGTTTAGATGATTTACAAGAGGACTTGATCTAAAGCTAATCCAAGTTAAAGCTGTTAATATCTTTTCTTGGCTTTAAGGACTATTTTGGCCTGAATATTAGCTTAGTCATGAAGATAATGCCCACGTGAAGTACAATATCAAATTGAGAGATTACAAATGAGTTAATTGATACCGAGATGTTTTACGAAAATTTCGACCTATATTATGTTAATGTGGCTTATTGATTATTTTAAAAGGTTGATAAGAGATAAATGATCAGATCACCTGTTAATTATTCAAATTTCAAAACTTATTAGGTTTCTAAAATGTGTTACTTACATACTTATAAATTCTAAATATTACTCATACTTTGGTGTAACTTTCTCTCGTGAAAAAGCTTTGATTCGTTTTTTCTTTTAAGTACAAGTTTAATTTTTCTCGTGTTGTACAATTTGGTTCTTCTATTGTTAGTTTAATTAGACTATACGTTTTTAATGCATTAATTAAAAAAGTACTTATCACAAAAATTAAGTTATTGTTCTTTAACCCCAACCTATAATCTAATTGGATTTAATAGAAAACAAATTCAGACTATGAACCAAACTAAGAAACATACTTCTACAGATATCATTAAAACAAAATTTCAAATACATTAATAAATAATTCGTTAATAAAATACATAAATAATTCGTAAATTAAAATAAATAAATAAAATCTATAAAATCTTTCATAAAAATTAAAATAAAATAGCAAAGTGTCATCATCAAGATGAAATTAAATAGCATGAATTGAACTTGTGTATCATTTGAAAATTATAATGTGTAGTAATCGATCCGTGTAGATTATATGTTGTGATATCATGAATGAAATGCAATATGTTGTTCTTGAAATTTATTTAGTACAACTACAAGTTATCAAAGAACTTGAAGATGATGAAGATATATTACTCATTAAATCAGATTGAGTAATTGTAGAATTTGAACTAATTGAACTAATTGAACTTTTAGTTGAATCATTACCACCACTTGTTTGAAAATAATTATTAATATTATTTATATCATTTTTTTGTCTAAATTTCATTAAATTATCTATAATATTACTCATAAATTCTAATTTATAATTTAATGGTTTATTAAAAGTATAATCAATACCTAAATTTTGAAAAACTAGGAGATCTTGTGGTGAATTTCTTGTAGTTACTGCAATTAAACTTGTTTTATTAAATTTTTTATAATTTCTTATTATTTTGGCAATTTGAAAACCATTAAGTTTGGGCATTTCAATATCTATGAAAATTGAATCATATAAATTATCTTCTAACAATTGTGGAATTTTAGTTGAATCTTGAATTTGAGTTATATTTGATTTTGGATAAATTTTTGATAAAATTCTATTTAAAATTTTTAAATTTATTATATTATCATCAACTATTAGGAAGTTGTAGGTTGATAAATTGGGGAAATTTAATTTGAATTTAGTAGGTGAGGTGGAGTTTGTGGAGGTATTATTATTGGTGTTTGTTGGTGAAGGTGGGGTTGATAATTGTGGTGAGCTAGATCTTGATCTTGATTTTAATTGTTTTGGTATAGGTATAATATTTGATAAACTTAAATTCATATATTTTGATGGTAAATTTGGTTGATGTTGTTTGATGTTGTTTGGATCTTCTTGTTCTAAAGTTTCAAATGGTGTAATTGGTGAATAGAAAATTTCTTCATTCTGTGAGTTATTATTTAATTCATGTTGATGTTTTATATGATCTTGATGATTTATTATTGATATTTGATTAAAAGAATCTATTATATTATCTATATTTTCAGTTTTTGTTTCATCAAATTCAGTAGATTCTAAATCTTCTACATCATCTTCATCTTCTTCATTCTCTGAATGATCTGAATGGTATGAAGATTTTGATGATGTTGACATATCTAATGATAATTTTGGTTTTAGTGAAAAATAATCTTGTGTACTAGTGTTATTGGTAGATTGATTCATTTCTTTTATATTAATTGAAGGAGTAGTTGGTAATGACTTTGGTTGTAAAAAAGTCATTATGATATGTGGTTGTAAAAATATGATATATAAATTGGTTGTAAAAATTAAAGAATAGTGGATTATATAGTTTATTATATATAATAATATAATATTATAGCTATTATATAATAGAATACTACTTACTACTAACTAATAGAATAAAACATACCATTAATATATTTGATCCCGCCTTAATTTTTATTACTGCCTTTAACAATAAAGAATTCTATTTAATACTGAGTACATATAAAAGTAGTAGTACTGTATATAGCTACATGCAAGTGAAAGAAATTAGAATGTAATAAATAACATACTAATTCCTGTGTATTGACAATTTTGTATGGAAATATAGTTATAATATAGGAAACAAAATTACACAAACTTTATATATGTCAACAATTTACAATCAAAATTTCAGACAATAATAGTTTTTGACATAAAAGACAATAGACATAGTGACTAACGGGTATATCTAATTTATTACTGACTTTCCGAACTATTACAATTTCATTCGTAAGCTGAAAGAGATAAGCTTGATACTGAACAAGTTAGACCTTATCATGAAATCACCGGACTTCATGAATCACTAATTCAACTAATTTCCTTAGTAATATTTAATATAATAAATTTAAGGCAACAGGCGAGCATCACTAATATTCTTGTTAATAAATAATTTATTTTTTTCTTCTATCTCTTCCCTTTTCTCTCTCTAATTTTGCTTAAATTCTTAAAAGTTTAATAACTTAAGATTAATACTTTTCTATCATTGCCTTATGGTACTACAACACACTACGAATCTATTTAAGTTAATTTAGGTTCGACTTACTAAGTAAAGGTGCACGTTATCCGCACCAATTTTGGGGCATTTGGTTTCTTTAAATTTCTACCCGACTGAAGTAAAATCTTTTTTTTCTCTTTCTTTCGCGAGAGGTTCTTTCTAATTTTTTCCTTCTTTTTCTATCTACTCCGGCTATTAATTCGAACTAACTAACTCAGTCGTACGATTTTTTTTCTCGGGTAATGTCCAAGATTTCTCAGAATTTCTCTATTAATTTAAATTAATAAATCTAATTAACGTTTACGGTAATATCAAGATTATTCTTTGTTAAATTAATTTAGCCACATTCATTAGAACAAAGATAGAACGTTTATCCTTTAATTAACTCTTAAATCGATAATTATCCACGATTTAGCAAGTCAATGGAACTCATAATTAAACTTTTTCAAGTCCCTCATGCTATATTAAAAAAAATGGTTAATGGATAATAGAGTAAGATTTAGGAGGGTAGTACTAACTACTGACTATAAAGAAATCGTAAATCTAATTGAAAATACCACATTAGAACAATAAAAAACGTCAACATTTTCGACGGAGTTGTCTTGAAATGGACTTCCAATAACTAAAAAGCTTAATTATGACGATCTTTTTTAAATTTGACCTGCTCTTCTTTGTTTTAAATGAGTTTTTGATTTGTCTTGGAACTATTTTATTTTCGTAAAGCATGATGGTTTAATTATATTCTTGAAACGTTGTGGAAGATCTAAAAATTAAAGTTTGTTTTAAATCGGATCTCATAACTGAACTCCGTTTAAAATAAATCCTTTCATCTTTTTCTTATATGTGCGGATTTATCATCATACTTGACCCTAATTTTGTGTTTTGACATTCTACGGCTTGGTTTTGTTGACTTACCCCTGAAAATAACATGGAGTCCGTTTTGTTTTAAAATGGATTTCATTCCGTTTTGAAATTTACTATCCACACGGATTTAACTTAATTTTTACGAAATATTCTTTCAAAACTTTAATTCTCTATCTTAGACCATAAATAAAGTTTTTAGTTTTTTTCCATATACTAACCTTGCATCGTAAAAATAAATCTAATAGAACAATTGAATTTTGATTGGGGCTAGTTAATTTACAGCTGCATTAGCTTTCAAAGAGGCTGGTAATGTGTGGATGAGATTGATTAATGAATAAATCTTCTTCTCTGTGATTTATTAACAGGTCAACGCAGGGCCCTTATTCATAGTTTAAATTGCGCACGGCTTTATTATTCAAAAAAATGGAATGTTTAAGGGATAGTTATATTTTAAAAATTGATTGTAAAACAGCTTACCTGATCCATGAAAGGGCAGTTGAAAAATATCTTGCGTAGTGCTAAGAACTTATCCGAATATTTCACTATTACACACCTTTAAAAATGACATGATGTCGTTACTGAAAATTACTTGGTGCTATATTTTTTCGCACTTCGCGGTATCTTCGTTGCAAAAAGTTCGCGATCCGAAAAAAAGTATAAAACGGAATTGATAATCGGATTTATCGTAGAAATAAAACCTTAATTTTCAAGAATCTGTAAGTGATAGATTATATTAATGTATACATTGCGGTTTTGTAGTATAAAACAATAGATCTAGAAGGTCTTGATATTGACATCATTTATACTACATTTTTTTTCACGTTCTTAAAAACATGCGTTTAAAAAACAAGGACGTTTTGTTAAATCTGTTAAAATATGCATTAGCTTTACATTAAGTGGGTTGCTAAAACGGAATTGTATTATTGATATTCCATGATTAAGCAATGACTAGTAGGACAAGTTCTACTTCTCCTTTAACTTTGGAGAGAACAAATTGGGAAGACGAGGGTTAATCTTCAATTTTTTTGAGGTATTGAAATCTTGAAAATCAAGAAATATATTTGAAAGTATAAACATATAATAGTTAAATTTCATACTGAAAGAGTTATGTTGAACAACACCAATATTCTGTTAAAAGCTCATTATCTTTTCACTTAATTACTTCTGCCTTGGAAAGATCATTTTCGATAGACGATTTGAAAATTTGGAATACTAATTAAAGAATCATCATCTTCAACCCATTCAGGATATAATTTCATAACTTGTTTTTCAATTTCACCAGTTCTTCCAAAATCCAAAGGGTAAGCAATTTCATTTGAAGACTTAATTCTTTCTAAATTTATATCTGACCAAATTCTTTTATCTGTTTTCCTCCAAATTAAACTAGGGTCAATTGATATATCTTTTATCTTGTTCGCATCATATCCAGCTTTTAAAATTTTGGATTTTAAATTCCTACCTGCTCTTATATCTGATGATCTATTATTTCCAGTGATTACAATACTATAATGTTTTAAAATTTCATAATTTATTGGAGTTATAATTGTTGATTGTAAATCTGCATCTCTTAAACAAATAAATCCACCTGGTCTTACAACTCTTAATAATTCTTTTAAACCTCTTATTGGATCATCTAAATGTACAATAACTTGATTACAATATACTAAATCAAAACAATTATCAGGAAATGGAATTTTATAAATTGAACCTAATTGAAATTTAGCATTATCAACTTGTAAATTTTGTTTTAATTCATTACATGTATCAACTAATTGTTGAATTGGTTCAATTCCAACTACCGATCCTCCTTTAGTTAAATAATTTTTAGCAAAATCTAAAGTAATTGAACCTGGTCCACAACCAACATCTAACATTTTATAATTTTGTTGTAAATATGGTGTAATAAATTTTCCTGAATTTTCAACATTTCTATATGAATGAAATTTTGATTTTGATTCTTGATATCCATTGGAATAATACATTTGATCAATCATTTTGGATGATTTATGATCTTTTGAATATACATTGCTTGAAGTAAAATCAAGTATAGAAATATCAAAAAAAAAGGATCATTTCAAAATCTTGCATTTTTTGACTTTTCAAATTAAATATTCCACGACTTTAGTCCTATAACGATACTTAATGACTACTATATATTGATATAATGAGTCGACATTCTTAAACATTCTCAATTAACTTTTATAAAGATGAGAATAACATAAAGGTCAAGCTTCAAGTTTTAATAATTTTGGACCCTGTTTAAGTTTATTAACCGAAAATCACACAAAATTGAAAAAAGTTTAATCTTAATAAGCCTCAAGTCAGAGTAATTGACAGATTTTTTAAAGCGTTCGTGATGAGGGTGGTACGGTTTGCAGGATCAGGATCTCCGCTAGATTGACAGCATGATATATTCTAGTAATGAATGGTTTTGAAAATTATATTCAAACTATCAGGCGTTTTAAAATGAGAAATCAAGTATTTTTAGTTGCTCACAAACTAAAAAAAATCGAGAATATAAATGAGACTAACAATAATAGAACTTTAGATCATTTATAAACGTATATGTATACAATTTACCCAGATATTACGCGGGACCAAAATTTTCTTTTTCATTTCATCAAGTAAATGATAACTATTAGCATTTATTCTTGAAAAATGATAAATCAAAAAAAAAAAAAAAAAAAAAAAAAAAAGAAATAATTTTTTTTCTAGCCACAAAAATAAAGATCTGGAAAAAATTCCGCCTTGAAGCAAAATTAAAAGATCTTGACATATTATCAATTTGTGTTATATTAAATTGTCCTTTCATACTTACCAATAAATTTTTGAATCATATTAAATTGTCCTTTTAAGTACTAATGTTCTACTTTTGTTTCGTGAGAAAACTTGAGTATTTGTATAATAGTCAAGATTCAGCCAAACCCGATTAATACACTTAGTTTTCATACATTTTCATCCGATCCGTACCAGAAATAAAGCTTGTGTTCCATGTTGTTTTTAATTTTGAAAGTTAGACCTGTTTTTGTACAAACTGCAACTTAATGACTTGTTTCGTACGAACGGTAGTGTAGCAGCTGTCACTAATGGTAACAACAATGGTCCCTTAATTTAATCATCATTTACTTGAATTGGTGATACTAATTGGTTCATCAGTGGGAAATTTGTACCACTACCTTCAAATTTCTGTTTTTCGTCAATCAAAAAAGATCTTTAGGTATCTTATGGCCTGATTCTGTGGAGCTTCAGTTGTAAATTTATTCGCTGAATGATTACTTGTCGTAGACTTTGAGATATTATATGAGGGAGTATGATATGGTTTGCTTTGCTTTAAAATACCACCGAAATGTTCTTCGTCCATTTCGATATTTTCTATGACTTTTCTCTTTTTGTTGACTGGAGAATGACCTTTTAATGAATTAATTACTTCTTCTGTGACTGAGTCATCCAAATTGTACCGGCTATTAGTTGTATCGAATTTGGGAATAGGATCAATGGGTGTTGTAGTTTGGTTTTGTAAAGTTTCAGTAATAACGTTATTCGTTGAATGACTGCTTGTGTCACACGTTGGAGATTTAAGAACTGAAGTAACACGACATGAATCGTATTCCTTTGCGATATATGTAATAAATGGTTTGTCGTCTTCTTCAAATTCCAGTTCTTTCTCTTCTTTGACTTCTTTCTCTTCGTTGAGATTTGGATGATGATATGAGTCGTATTCCTTTGAGATATAAGCGATAAGTGGTTTATCGTCTTCATCGAGTTCCAATTCTTTCTCTTCTTTGACTTTTTTCTCTTCGTTGACTTCTAAATGATGATATGTATCGTATTTCTTTAAGATATGAGTGATAAGTGGTTTGTCGTCTTCATCGAATTCCAATTCGATCTCTTCTTTGACTTTTGTCTCTTCGTTGACTTTTGGAGAATGATCTTTTGATGATTTGATTACCTCTTTTGCAACTGAATCATCCAGACTAGACCTGCAATCAGTTATACTAAATTTCGGAACTGGATCAATGGATATTTGTTTCCGTGAAGCTTTAGTATTAAATTTATTCGCTGAATGACTATTTGTCTTAGATGTTGGTGATTTAAGAAATGAGGGAACACGACCTGAATCAAACTCCTTTGAGATATATGCAATAAGTGCTTTGTCGTCTTCGTTGAATTCCAATTCCTCTTCTTCTTCGACTTCTTCCTCTTCGCTGATATCTGGATGATGAATGTCTAATAATTTAAGTAGTTCTTCTGTCACTGCTCCATCCAAGTTGGACCTTAATTCAATTACTCCGAATTTGAGAAATGGATTGCCGGTTGTTGTAATTTGTTTCTGTGGAGATTTAGTTGTGGATTTATTCGCTGAATGACTACTTGTAGTAGTCTTAGACGTTGGGGATTTAAGAAATGAGGGAATACGATATGAATCGTATTCCTTTGAAATATAAGCGATAAGTGCTTTGTGGTCTTCGTCGAAGACCAATTCTTTCTCTTCTTTGACCTTTTTCTCTTTGTTGATATTTGGATGATGAATTTCTAATAATTTAAGTAGTTCTTCTGTTACTGCTCCATCCAGGTTGGTCCTCCTTTGGATTTTACCGAATTTGAGAAATGGATTCATGTTGAAATCAAGGGTTGGATAGTTGAAAAATTGTCTAATGATTTTCCTGGTAAAATGTGTATGGTTTAGAATTGATCTTTCGAAAATATTTAGAATTATTATTTTACAGAAAATACGCGTAATTGAAAACAATGCATAATCAATAAAATATCAATTTTCCCCTTCGAACTATAGAGTATTAGCCTTCAACTAAAGATCATTCTATTAATTGCCAAAACATACAGCTCAATTGAATAACACTTTCAACTTTATCACCTGGCAGCAATGGACTCAGAATTATCTTCAACGGTTCCAAGGGTAGACGCGTCATTTTTGTAACGCCATTCTGTTTGACTTCTTAGTAGACTTTTCAGAATATTGACAAATTCCCGTTCTTCATTCTTCTCTTCTATTTACACAAACTATTCAAGCGAATATGAAAGCAGTTAGATTCGTGAATAGTAAGTATCAAATTATTTCCTCTTCCAGGTCATTTGAAATGTATAAAATTTGGATGAGGTTGCTAGGCCCTATAGAAGTCAAGTAGGATGTTCCAGGGGTAGTCTTTGAAGATAAAACTGTTTGCTTAAGTATGTTTGTTGAATTCTGGCTAGTTCTTGATTCCCATGTAGTCAATTTCTAAATGAATCTATTTATAGATTATCGGACTTATTTCTCGGATTTAATTCGGTTAATCTACAGATCAGATTTATTCTTTAGATCTACTCGATTTAATATTTATCTAACTTAAATCTTTAAGATGGTTGAACAAGCTTATTATAAAAAGGGATATCAACAATCAGTATCAAATACTCATGCATGGAGAACAGTAGAAAATTCAGGAAAATTTATAACAGCAGTTTTGCAACCAGATTTTAAAGTATTAGATGCTGGATCTGGACCAGGAACAATTACAATTGATTTTGCAAAAAATTATTTAAATGATGGATCAATTGTGGGGATTGAACCAACTCAACAACTAATTGATGAAAGTAATGAATTAAAATTGAAACAAAATGTTAGTAATGCTAAATTTAAATTAGGATCAATTTATAATATTCCATTTCCAGATAATACATTTGATTTAGTATATTCTCATCAAGTAATTATACATTTAGAAGATCCAATCAAAGCATTAAAAGAATTAGAAAGAGTAACTAAACCAGGAGGATTTGTATGTGTAAAAGATGCTGATTTAGAAGCTACCGTTGTATCACCTAAAAAATATGAAATTTTGAAAGAATATAGTTTATTAAAAGCTAAAAATTCAGGTTCAACAGATCCAATTGCTGGTAGAAATTTAAGATCAAAAGCAATTCAAGCAGGATATGATCCAAATAATATTACTTCATCAATTTCTCAATGGTTACTTACTGATGATTTAAATGAGAAACAAAAATTTGCTGATATGTTTATCGGAAGAGTTAAAACATCAAATGAAGTTGCTTATACTGATGAACAAAAGAATGAAGAAATTAAAAATAAAGTGGTTGAAGCTTATAAAGAATGGGCTGAAGATGTAAATTCATTATTTTGTATAATAAATTTTGAAATAACTTATCAAAAATGAGAATATAATAAACGGCTTTACTTTTTTTCGTCAACCTCTAGTTTCACACTAACCACATCATTATGACTGAAGTTTCATCACCGTCAAGTAGAAAAGTAGATGATTTTCTAACAAGTTTATCTCAATTATCTCAAGAAAGATTAAAAGAAGATCGTCAAAGACAAAGAGAATTACAAAAAAATATTGATGAATTACAATCAAGACTGACAAATTATAAGAAGAGTGATAAATTCAATTCAACTCAATCGCTGTATAAATTGGATATTCAAGATTTAAAATTTAATAGAAATATTGATAAAGATGATAATGATGAGATAACTCCAAAACTACCTAAAAGGAGAGATGAAAATCCACCAACTTTACCTAAAAGGAAAAATGAAACACCACCATTACCCAAGAGGAAACCAGATTCATTTGGATTGCTACAGCCTATAGCTAGAAAGGAAGGAAAAGAGGTGAAACCAGACACGCCAAAGAAGCCAGAAAAACCAGGAAAACTGGAAAAGTTAGAGAGACCAAGATCAAACTTTAAACCAGGATCATTTCAAGAAATGGAACAAAGAATAAAGTCAAATAATTCAACTCCATTATTTGAAAACGTATTAAAATCAACAAATTTAGAACCAAAACAGCCACCAACCCCAAAACCAAAACCAAAGCCAAAACATTTAACAGAAGAACCAGAATTTCTAACTAAATTTCAACAATTAAAACAAACGTCAGATAAATTATCATCACCACCACCAATAAAACCAAAACCAAAACTGACAACCGAATCAATCGATTTTAAAAATGCATTAAAACCAGCAAAACCGCAACCACGGAAAATTTCAGAGACTTTAGAATTTCAAAAAAAATTAAAAGAAATTGGTGGAGATTCTTCAAATAATAAAAATACATTAAAAGCACCACCTAAAGTACAACCAAAATCATCTAAATTAAAATCGCAATACGAAGAAAAAGATTCGAAGGAGCTAAGAAACCAGTTACAAAAATTAGCAAATAAAAAATCAAAACAAATTACACCATCTAACTCTGATCAAACTTCGATAAAATCGGAATTAGAACAACCACCTACAAATTCAGATCAAATCAAATCTACTTTACCAAAAGTAAATGACTCAAAACTTTCAAAGAAACAACCTCCTTCAAAAACATTACAAAAATCATCATCAAATCTTGAAGAATCTTCATTCGAACATAAATTAGGTGCAATTCTATCGAGATCTCAAACTTTCCCACAATCAACATCAACCACATTAATTAAGAATACAAGTCCCAAAAATAAATCAACTTCAGAATTAACTCATCTAACAAAAACAAGAGCAAAAGGTCCTAAAAGAAAATTGCCTAAAAATATTCAAAATAAAGAAACCACGAAACCTATTCTGATAAACCCACCACCTCAAAATAAAGATAAAGAAATTCCAAAACAACCTATTCTGAAGAAACCACCACCAATTAAACAAAAACCAAAAGAAATAAAAGTTAAACCAAGAGTAACTAGTGAAGTATTTATATAAAGTTTTTTGTATTATATGAAAACAAGATACGGAAGAACTAAAAATCAATTAGTAAAATAGCAAATAAAAAATAAAAAATCAAAGTAAATTAACACCACCGGCATCGAACTTTTAGCAAGCGTCTATTATCATATCAAGTCTGAAATTCCGAATAACCAATCATTTAAAAACTCGGGCCCAATTAAATCATTAAAAGAAGATTAAAAACTATCAAAAAAAAAACATTCACATTTAAGATCCGTACAAGAATAATCATCAAATCTTGAATCTTCGTTTGAACATCAATTGATGCAATCTTATCAAAAGCTCACACTCCCTCTCAATCAAAATCAATCACAGCAACTGCAAATTCAAAATCAACCTCTGAATTAACTCATATAATTAAAATTAGAACAAAAGGTCCTACAAAAAGCCAAAATATGCGAAACGAAAAAATTACAATACGACCTATTCTGAAAAGACCACCACCAATTAGACAAAACCGAAAAGAAATTGAAGCTAAATCAAGAGTAACAAGTAATGTACTTATCGAAAGTGTTTTAAATTTCATAATTATCAATTACATAGAAAAATCAATCAGACAGTTCAACCAGACAATTACAGTACTTAGAGAAGTTTAATCATACTAATACAACACAGCGCATCGACACTATCACAATTCACATAAACATTGTAATAATTTTGTAACATAAACAAGAGCAAAAAGTCTGAAGAAAGAATTGCCTATAAATAACGAAATCACGAAACAATCTAATTTGGAGAAACCATTGGTGATATATTTATAAACTTTTATCGTATTTCAAAATTATCAATTTAATGGAATATGCAAAATAAAGAATTTACTAAACTTTTGAAAAACAGCCACCAATTAAACAAAAACCTAAGGTAAAAAAAATGAACCAAGAGTAACAAGTAATGTATTAATTTATGAGTAACAAGTAATGTATTTATATTCTATATTTCAAAATTATCAATTTCTTCTATAAATTTTTCGACCAATGTATTAACAGTATTATAATATAAATTAGTAACATTAATTGAATTTTTAATTTTAATAAAATAATATAAAAAGCAATCTATTTTTGAAGCTATTGAGAATTGTTTTTGTAATTGTTCACTTGTTGAAATTTTCATTTCTATATCTTCTTCATTAAAAAATTCATCTATTTCATCAACGTCTTTTTGATCATCGTTGAAAATTGATGAATAATGATTATCTATTGATGAAGTAAATGAAGATTCTTGTGGAGGAGCTTGTGATGATGGTATGTTATTTGTTAGTTGATTTTTCCAATATTCTTTATCATTTTCATTACTTATTGATTCAGAAACAACAAATGATATCAATACATTTATGAACAACTTAGACTCCTCAGTTATAAAAGCAGTTTGTTGAATTATATAATAAATAGTTTCTAATTTTTTATTTTTTAATAATTCAAATTTATTAAAATCATAAGTTTTAAAATTATCCCAAAAATTTATATTCTTATCAACCACTACATTAGTGTTATGATTTATTATTTCTTTTATTACATTTACAACATTACTATCAATTGAATCTATTTTAAATTGTAATTCATTACCATTTCTTTTTATCCATTTAATTAAGCAAACAGTTATTGGTAATAAAAACGTCTGTGACAAATAATCTAATCCATTATTTAACATTTGAAAAGATATACTTCCAATATCAGTTGCTAATATTGCTTGTTTATAAATTATTGGCATAAATTTATAAATTTGTTTTATATTTAAACTTTTAATTAAATCATCTGACAATCCTTCGTCTGCATTGAATAATGCGGTTATCCATTCAATAGTTAAATTGTTATAATTTGTTATAATTGTTTGTTCATCATTATCTAATTCTGGTAAATTATTTGTCAAATTATCAATTAATCTATAATAAAAATTATTTAAAAATGAAATTGTAAATGAATTTATTTCAAAATTTGATAAGTTGATTTGAAAGATTTCAATGATGTAGATGATGGTTAGTAAGCCAATACTACAATATGAATATAGCTCTTGAAATTCATCATCTGAATTGAAAGATTCAAAGTCGATATAATCTAGGAGTTTATATAATATGGAATAACCGCTTTGGAACAAAATGATGTTTATTAAATCTTTTGTGTTGATTAATGCAAGTAGCAAACGATTTAATTTATCAAATTGTTTGGTGGAGATGAAATCGTCAATTGAACTTAGGATTATGTGAGTATATTCCAATTGTGATGAACTTTGTATTAGTGATTGAAAAAATTTAAATAATTCATCATCAATTGAAAATTCTCCATCTTCGTTGATTAGTTCTTTTAATTTTTTGAGATTAGGTGGTGGTCTATTATCAATTGGTGGTTCTTCATTTAACAATTTTATGATGTTTGGCACTTTTTCTTGTTTAAAGTTCTCAACATTAAATAAATGATAGCCAGTGGTTATTGGAAACGACTCCATTAATTGTTGTGATACATCACCTGTACATAATGTTTTGAAATGTTTTAATATTTGTTCTGGGCTGGCTTGTAATTTGGTAAAGTCTTTGGTTAATTGATAAATATACATTTTTCTACGAACTTCATAAAAAGCATCAACTTTGATTAGCTTTAGTGAAATTTCTGAATGTTCTTGAGTGATGAGATTTAAGTCAGTGAGTTTTTGTAATTGTGAGTTTGTTAATAAGTGTTGAATTTTTAGGTTGTTAGAAAGTGTAAATATCTCAATTAAATCATCATCAACAAGATTGAATGTTCCAAATAACTGCAACACCACAGGATTTTCCAAATGAGTTTTAGCGAACTTTATAAAATTATCATAAACAAATTTATCTCCATTTGCTCCTATAAACTTCTGTAAATACCTATTTGGTTCATCAATACTCCTCAAAATATTCCAAAATTGTTCACTTTTTGATTTTGTTGTCAAAGACCAATCAATTATCAATTGAATTTGATGGTCATTTTTTGTGGTGCCTAGTACATTATATAGCTCCTCATCTGATGGAGAACATAAGGCCAGTAGTAATAGAAATGACTTCGTGGAGAGCCTCTCCTGTAGTAACTTCTCAAAGTTCATTAGAGTTGGTGATATTTTTTTTCTTCACAATTTTAAAATTATAAATACTTAATAGCATTTGTTGGACACTTTTCATTAGAGATTGTTGATATACTATTTTTCTTTTATTACTATAAATACTTAATCAAATGCTAATTGTTTTTTAATTTCCGCTATAGCTTTACCTGGATTTAAACCTTTTGGACAAGTTCTTGCACAATTCATAATTGTATGACATCTATATAAACTCATTGAATTTTGTAACATTGCTTTTCTTTCAGCAGTAGCTTGATCTCTTGAATCAATTAACCATCTATAAGCTTGCATTAATACTGCAGGACCTAAATATTGTTGTTGATTCCACCAATATGAAGGACATGAAGTTGAACAACATGCACATAATATACATTCATATAATCCATCTAATTTAGCTCTATCTTCAATACTTTGTAAATTTTCTCTACCATCAGCTGGATGATCATCTCTTTTTAAATAAGGTTGAATAGATTTATATTGTTTATAAAAATGAGTTAAATCTGGAACTAAATCTCTAACAACAAACATATGAGGTAATGGATAAACTTTTGTATCTTTTGAAGTATCTTGATCTATTCTACATAAACATGCTAAAGTATTTCTACCTCCAATATTCATTGCACATGATCCACATATACCTTCACGACATGATCTTCTAAATGTTAATGTTGCATCTTCTTCATTTTTAATCTTTAATAATGCATCTAATACCATAGGTCCACATTTATTTAAATCAACTTCATAAGTTTGCATTTTTGGTTGAACTTCTGGTGTATCAGGATTCCATCTATAAATTTGAAATTTTTTTAATCTTGGTTGTTTTTCTTCAACTACAGTTGCAAGAGATCTAATAGATCTGCGGAGAAGGTTTTGTCTAAACATATTGTGTTGTGTTGCTTGTTGTATAAGTGTAGTTGATTACTTCTCCATAAAATATTTTAATCTCCTTAACCACTCGCTTTAACTTTAAAATTTTCCCGGGTCATACATTTCTTTTGTTTACAAATTAAATTGATTTTATTGGTCTATTATCTATTCTTAGTGCGCGATTATGTTTTTAAGACATTGACAAAGAAAAAGATGACACTAGAAAAGTTAATGAGTATAGTATTTTAAGTAGGTATCTAGACTAGTGATAGCTACAGCATTACTCTAACCCTTGCATGGAGTTCTTCTCTACATTGGGATTCTAAAGAAAATTTTAATGTCGCAAATTATGCTATGTCTTGTCGCTGAAAAATTGCCCCAGAATTTTGAAAAAAAAAAAATTTTAGATCGTAAAATAAGAGGTGTTGCATAATGCATAAGGATTCATGGAAATCGATTCAGTTAAATTTGCCATGAATCGTTCTTTATTCTCACTTCATTCCTCTGGAATGTTCAAATGCTAGCTCCTCGCGTTTTACATATTCCGCTCAAACACGTACAAAAATAGCCATAATCATGACTCAAAGACAGTACATTCAAAAATGACTGCAAATATTTGTTACATATTTTTGCTACATGATCCAATGGTTTCTTGCTTTTTGACTCGAAGGTATAACCAATTGAACTCACGAAACCTATACTAAACTTTCTTGTGTTTTCGAAGCTTGCACGAATTAGATTTCAAAATCTACAATTTTAAGCTAATATTGATGCATATGTCAAACTACTGATGATCTCAAAAGACATGATAAACTAAAAAGACATGATAAACTAAAGACAATTTCCCCAAAAGAAGCTTGATGCTCTTCCTTTCAAAAAGAGCCAGGACAACAGTCAATACTTAATTTCAATCGTTATCTTTGTAGAGCTAATTTGCAACAAGATTCATTCATTTTTGTTTTTTTTTTTTTTTTTTTTCTCTCTACTATATTATTAAGCCATTCTATATAAATTATATACTAAACTATATAAGGTTATAGATCCACAAAATAAAAGCATGTTTCTGTTGAGGAAACTTTCAATTAATAATTAATATTAATATATCAATTATCAATTAAAAGGAAAAACCTCAACCATAAAAATTGGAATAATATTTGGATTTTTGTTACTCAAAAGATGAACCAAATTTAACACAAAAATAGTTTTATTATCAAAGCTGAAAATTGATTAGAATATGAATCATCTATTCGTACCGCATTGATCTAGTCCCATTTGCTCATCTTTTAAACACTTGAAGAATTACCAACAATAATCAGCATCAATTTTTCATCAGCTCATGAAAGATCTGATTGATATGTTTTGAATAATTCAAATTTATTGATGCCGCTTTAATTCATTTCTTGTTGATATGAAATCAAACTATTGTTATTACATTAATGCTTTGTATTGTCTGGGATTTTGATTTAAACAAATGCTAGTCATCATGGCAAACTATGCATTAGAATCTATTGAATATTCATTGACACATATGAGACTTCCCAATCAAAAACCACCTCAAATTAAAACTTTTGCATACTAATTATGGTGGTTAATTAACAAAAAATATTTGCTCGGTTAATAAACTTTAATTTGAGCCGCTCACTATTGTAGTAAGTTCGATTTTTTTTAAATTTCTTTTTTTTTTTTATTATTTTTTTAATTTATTCGCTTCAGATGATGTACTTTTTAACACATACTTCACTTAGCCAATCATTTTTTCTCTTCCATCTCATCGACGTAAGTTTTTAGATTATATTACTACAAGAATCAAGAATTCAAATTCATCCAATGCCGATAATTTTTTCCTCTCTTTTTTTCTTATAATCATGGTATGTTTTAAGTATGAACCTCGCTACGTAATTGAGTATAAACCTCGGTACATAAGGAAAACCAGAAGAACTTAGTGGCTTGAGTATGGTGGTTTGACAAGAAAGGACAACATTGATTGCACCTCAAGACCCGCGGGAGATGTAAAAGTTGTGAGAGTGTACATGAGTGCGAATACCTGGATTTTGAGGACAAGTTTGAGATGATAAATACTTACCTCGCACTAGTTCGACCAATTCCCAAGCAATTTTGAGCAGTTATTGGTTTAACTAAGCTTTGGGTGTCTCCTAAAAGTTTCTAAATCTTTCAAAACAGCAAGAGCTGTGGCATAGTGGCTGGTCTGATAGCGAATTTAGTCACTCGACCAAAATTTGAAACAGTTCCAATAGCTCAGCGGTTTAGAGTAGAAGATTGCAATATGCAGGTATCTTTTGGTCCCTGGTTCAAGTCCGGGTTGGAACTGAGCACTATAGCTTCTTTTTTGATGTTTTGGACTATAGGGTTGCATGAATTTCAATTTTTTCTTTTTTAAAAACTCATGGTTTTAAAACTGCTTAAATTCTCCTAATTCCAAAAGGTAGCAAATGAATAGCCCCTAACAGAGAAGTACGTGCATCTAAAAGTTCAAATAATGTATACTACATGTTGAGAAATTGCATTTGTAGTCGCAAGTGTAATGGATGATTCATGATTCAATCATTTTTTTTTTTGATTAAATTTTGATTTTGTGTAACTAATTTGAAACATATTTTAACATGACGCAAAATAAATCTTCAATCAGTCCTTTTGAATATTTTTGTCTCTGAAATTGTATTAAGTTTGCAATAGAACTAAAAGGGTAGTAATGACGAGAACTACAATTTAATTCAATTGCGTTTAAAGCATCATTCATCAAGCTCTTGAAGTTTATTCTTTCACTTCTTAGCATGTTAAAAAATTGCTCTAGATTAAAAATGAAACAGAAAAAAAATTTGTTGTCACAAAATCGTGAGTTTCAAGCCATGAAAAATTTTGCAAATAGCATTCATACTTTCGGTTTATAATAATTTATGGGTGACAGCTTCAAATGAATACATCAACCCCTTTTTATCACTCCTTTATTCCGTTATTCACATATTCTATCAAGGTCAATAAAGTAAATAGATTTTATATTTTCTTGCTTACGACAAATTTTTTAATAGGTCGGTCAAATCTTTTGCCAATTATCATGTTTAGTTCCAGCTAATTTTATGGTTACCTTACAAACAAATAAGCCTCCTTACCTTCAGTAAAAATATCATTTATTGTATTGTAATCAAATGTTTTTCATTATTTGAAACTAAAAGCCAAATTTCTCGTAGTAAATTCATCTTTTACTTTAATTTTCACTTGTTCAAGTAATTGGTATATTTTGAATCAGTAACACTTTCAGATTTCCTCCAATATCAATCCTAACTTCCATACATCAAACACTGCACCAATTCTAGTGTAATTTTTGTACACTTCCACATGTTAAGTTACCACGCCGAATTATTATCTTATTAATAAACCACTATCATTTTCATTTTATAGTACGCAGTTTATTATATCAGCACCATTTATGGATGTTTTGTGGTCACTAATATTTGGAAATCTTGTTTGTATTATCAACTAATCAGGTAAGTGACTGTCAGAACTTTAGAATCTATAACCGCCCTTAATAATATGTTACTTTTTTTTTTCTTTTCCAATACAATATTATAAAGATTCAAGATGTGTTTCAGAAAGGTAATACAAAGCAAAAGCTGCACATATTACATCCCTACTGGCTATTTTGGTAACATTCTCAATATTGGGAACTACATTTTCAGTAATTGGACCTTCTATTATTAAACTTAACTATAGATTGAAAAGCAATACTCTTCTAAGCTAAGTTTGTTCTTCCCTGTTCACCATATCAAAGAATAATTTAAGAGATGCCTCATTCTTAAAATTTAATCTATTTATACGGTTGTATTTGTAGTAATATGATGATTGTTGAACACATTTGATAAATCAGAATTAAAATCACCTTCGCATATATACTTTTACCTTATTTGAACAAATTTGAAGTGTTTTAATAATTTATTGAACAAGGCTAGACAAAAGGACGCCTGTGCAAAAATTTAGTATTTTTCAAATTTGAAAAATTTTTCAAAATAAATTTGGATGTGATAAGGCATGCTTTTTGTATGAAGAACAACTTTTGTTTGCACTTCATATAAAATGTTGCTTTTTGCTTTTAATTTATCTTTCCCCCATGTAAGACCTACCATGTTCTTTGTTCGTCCTATTTGCTGTTACTTTACCGAGTTTTTCATATAAATCTTACGGTATACATCTAGTCGTATTCACCATTTTTATTTATAGGTGAAGTTGTTCATCTTATTCTTTCACAGAAGTGCACAAATTTCGACCAACTTCTAAAAATTACTCTAAACTTTTGAGCAAGATATTTTCCCAAGGCTTACTAGTATAAAATAAAACTTTATTCACAAATTGACAAGTAAGACCAATTTTTACAACAATATTATACAATAATATACAAAAAAATGTTCAATTTGTAGACGAATTTGATAAGGAGATAAAAATAAGTATTGTTTAAATTCAAAAACTCACCACTCTTAAATTCTTTTATGATAAAATATTTATCAGTGTTATAGATTGAAAAGTTAATTGAATTATAAATTTAACCCTTATTTTTATACCATATTTGTACCAAATGAAGTAGGCACACGAGCTTTACTTATCGAGCATAAGCTTTTGCAACTTTTAATTGTATAAACTGGTCAAGGGAAGTAAGTTTCAATTCAGATATTGAGAGAGAAAAATATTAGGATATAAATTTTATTCATACCTAAATATTCATAGAGGTCTTTTCTGGTTTATATCAAGAGTAAATTGCAAAAGGGTATGAGGGCCCTGAAACAATCAGTCTTTACTCGACCTGATCGTATTTCTTTGTTAGTGAAGTATTTACGAGAAATGGTTGGTAGCGATGGTATACACAATATTTTCAAATTTGGTTGCCAAAAAATACACATCACAACCAAACTAAATATAGCATTCAAGCTTAAAATAACAAACTAACTCATTGTTTTTAATTCAATTCAAACCCATAGTTTTATCATTATCAACTTTTAATTTTAATTTCATCTCATAAGTCATCAACAGGCTTCAACTCAGTTTTGTTCAATTATCCACTTTACAACCAAAATCATACACATACCAACCATCAAGAAATCATACACACACAAATTTGGCTTATTAAAATTCATTATCAAAACAAAGTAACTAAATTTTAACTATTCAATCTCACTGTAATCAAAGTAGAGTTTCAATTAATGCCATATATAATTCTGGTTAATTTATAATGGGTTCTGGTATACTTCGAAAAGAATCAAAAACTACTACAAAAAGAACAACTCCCAAAAAAAAATCTACAGCAAAAGAATTTTTCGAAAAGAATAAGGATAAATGTATTCCAATTAGTATTGAACAATATAACGCGTTTAATACTGGTAAAAATGTTAAACCTGATAAAAGGAAACCTAGCCCAGCTAAATGTTTAAAATGTGGTAGTAGATTCAAACATTTTTGGGAAATTAAAAAACACCTTCAAACAATTAAATGTAGCGATACAGTTCCAAAATTAATTGCAAAGGAAAAAACGGTTAATGAAAAAGAAGACATATCTGAAGATTTGTATGAAAAATGTAGTTGTGGTAAATTAGTTATGAAAGATACTATGAAACAGCATTTAGATTCAAGTCATAAAAAAGGTAGAGAGGTATGCTTGCCATGTAAAACTACCATTGCAATTGGAAAAGAGGGTATGAATATACACAAAAAAAGCTATCAACATCAAATATATTCAGGTGAGTTCTTAGACGAGATCTTTTGCAGCTTATGTGGTATGAAATTTCATAGTACAAAGGCTCTCGCTCAACATGAAAGATTATTCCATAAAAATCAAAATAAAGTTGAGTCGAGCGACAGGAAAAGTAAATTAAATTTTTCAAATTCAGATAAACTTCTTGGCTTAGTACCACCTCATCCTTTTGAAAAAACCAATAATGAAAGTTTAGAAGTTTTCAAACAAAGAAAATCATATTTAGAATTTGATGGCAAAAGTTTCAACACCAGAGAAGAATTAGAATCATATGCTTTGAATGAAAATCCAAATGGATATTTTTGTTTAGGATGTAACAAAATTCTTGATTCAAAAAGAAATTGGATCTACCATGTTACTAAAAATTCATGTTTAAAAGTTTATGTTAGCAGTGAAGAAGATTTTGTTGAAGAATTAAAAGGATACCCAATTGTTCCATCAAGTAAGAGCACATTACACAGGGTGTTATCATGTGATTTAGGAGACATGATTTATTGTGATGTTTGTTACAAGGATGGAAAAAGCATGAAATTTTCAGCAACACATGATCTTAAAATCCACTGTATATATAATCATGGTATATTTGATGACACATATAAACTTTCCCATCAAGATATGGTAAATGAAATGAATGGATTTAATTTTGAAGATTCAAGATCACTTGAAATTTTTCACGAACATTACAAATTTTGTGAAAAATGTTGTTCCTGGTTGTCGAACTATAAACACCAATCACACCTAGGTGTGACATGTTCAATCAGGGCTGGTTGGGTGACTCAAATTCTTAATGCCATTCGTTTGTGGGATGGTAAAATGGTCCAATTGAATTTAAATTCTGGTGGTGAAACTGGTATGAATTATCCTCAATACGTGTTTGAACCTAAATCATTGGAAATTATTAATGCTGATTTGGAAGCTGTCAAATTTAGTCATGCAAACAAATCGGGTGATAGTAAAATTCAACTCATAAGTGAATCCAAAGATGCTGTTAATAAAGTTGAAGATGGTAGTGGCCCCAAGTCTGGTGACTTTTTGATTGATGGTTCACATGTCAATGGTGAAGACGTATGTTCATTTACATATAAAAATGTTCAAAACGTTGGAGATGTAGCTAAAATTATCAATTGCTGCCAAGTTTTTGATGTCATTTGTTTAAATGAGTTGAATCAAAGCATTTCAATGTTTGAGTCCCTTTCTAGAAACAATGGCAATTATGAATATTTTGGAAACTCAGGAGATAGAGCAGGAATATTGCTTAGAACCAATAAGCTAAATGTGGTAGAAAAATATAACATAAAAAATTCAATGCCTCCAAATTTTAGAAACAGGATCACCGATATAACATTGGAATTGAATGGTAAAAAATTATTAATTGTATCAATCTACGCGTTTGCTACAAAAAGTGATATTTTGGGAAATTTTAGTGCTAGAGATTTAGAAAAAATTGATTTTTTTAAGCTGCTTATAAAAGCTATTGATGGATATGCTAAAGAAGATCACGAACTTTTAATTGCTGGAGACTATAATTTCATTAATCAAGAGGATGATGCAATGATAAAAATATGTGAATGGAAAAAGCATTATGATTTTCCATTGGCAGAACTTTGGAACGAGTTTTCTGGAAAGATTGGTATCATGTCTTTGCAACATAACTTTAGTCAAGAAAAAGGGATGATATCTGTCATCAATAAAAAGAATAGTAGATTACTTGATCGGGTATATTCATCTAAATACATCAAAGATAGAATATTCAAGTTCATCAGCCAACATAATCCAAAATTGTCAGATCATTATGACAATTTCTTTTATTTATATTTAGGTTCAGATAGTAATTCATTTGATGTAAAAGATTTTAGCTGTCACACTGATTTAAATGAATTAAAATTTTTACTTCAAGATTCTGAAATTGTTATGAAAGATAAAGCAATAACCATTGATGACTATGAAGTTTATGATGCATTGGAGCCATTGGGACCAGAAGTAATTGAGGGAAGTTCTAGAGATATGTTATGTGATCAATTAAATGAAGAAATATTAAATCCATCATTCAAGTTGTATTCAGATGAATTATTTTCAGAAGCAAATGATAATGAGAAAAGCAGAATTCCACGAGATGCTTCATTTAGTTCCATATCAAACTTGTCAGACCAGTATATTGAATTAAACAGAAATTGGAAAAGCTTGTTAGAAGGAATCACTTTGAAAACTAAAGAAGATACAACTGTAAATACTGAGTTGATTGTTGGTCTGACCCTCGACAATTTCGATGTGGATGAAGATGATATTGTCGATGAAGAACTTGTTGGGGATTTAGATCTTTATAATGAAATGATTAATAATGTTGATGGCTACAAGATTATAAGAGTTTATAATAATTGATTGGTGGAAGAAAAAGAGGATAATAATAAGAATATTTATTTCGAGGACAGAGCCCATGAAGTTGATAATGCTGCATATAATTTTGAACAAGATCAATTTAATAAATCATCATTCTCTAAACTTACTACAAGAGATACTGGTCAAAACCTTACCAATGACACCTTATCAAATGAAAGAATAACAACAAGAAGTAATGTTATTTCCACAACAAGAAGTAATGTTAACTCCACAACAAGAAATTATTCATATAATAATTTAAGCTTTTCTCAATCAAAGTTTAGTCCATGCTTCGAAACAAACGAAGATTCTGATATTAACGAAGATGATTTTGTTGTAGGAAGCAGTGAAGGAGATATATATTATTATGATGAGAATATTAATTGTGAATATGATTCTGATATTGAATGTGTCTACAACAAAGACTTGATTGAAGAAGATGAAGAATATGAAAATATTGGTCCAGTCTTTGAAATATATTGATGAGTTATACTAATAGTTCAATTCTGGAAATTGAATTAATATTTTCAATTCTTTTTATATAATAGTTTATACTTAATATTAATTTAATGATTCAAATTACAATGATCTTTTCTACGACTCATTCTCTACACCAGTCTAATTGAATCATAAACAATGTAGTTACTCGTCTCTTCAAGCATAAGAATTTTACCAATATACTAGACCTTAATTAGCACTAAATTTGCTAGCGGTGGCATAATAATTTTGATCAACAATTAAGACTAAAACTAGCTGAAGTCACAAAACACAAAAAGACATAAGTCCATTTAATATCGTGTTGAGAATCAAATTGTATTTTCAAACTAAAATCCTCCCATCCTAATGATGTGGTGGAACCATATTTGTTAAAAAATATTTGAATAGTAGATAAATTTATGTCATTTCACTCATTCAAGAAGACTAGGATGCAGATCATTAATTTTTGGCAAATTGCTTTGAAATCACTACCGATATTGATTTTGGTAAAGACCGGGTAGGACAATTAAGTACATTCAATGTCTATACAACAGATGAAGTTTCATAATAAAAGATTTTGTGTAGGAATGCTGGAAATTTGATGTTGTTCGTCTTACCAAATTTAGCATTCAAATTTTTGCATAATGCTGATCATACTGATGAGATGAAACTGCTATATGATTGACCCAGGTGATAATTGATTAAAACTAAGAATCCAATCACAAACACCGATTTAAGCAATCTGGAATTAAACACTGTAGGTCATCTCGATCATCGAAACATAAGCTATATAAACAATGTGATAGACGCAATGGAGGATATAACTTCAAATCGATCTTTTGATACATAATGCATTTTTGTTGCAAAATTAGATAAAAGCAATTAAAAACTACAAAATTATCAGGGCACAAATTAGAAGTTTTAAGTTATACATGTAGGCACGAATGTACATATAAAATCACCTACACATGAGAAGAAAAGCAGCAAAATCGATATAGAATAATGAATATAGTGTGTCTAGTTGTTATTCTAAGGTAAATTTGTTTTGGATATGATAATTCATTTGCACACTGTATAACTGGCTATGTCCAAGAATCGAATTAAGGTAAGTAAGAAAAAAAGTCGGCTAGGCCTAAATGCTGATACAGTATTTTAAAAAAACGAGAATCATTTTTTAAAATCTGATGGCAAAAACTCTCAACACCAAAGTAGAATCAAACTCAATCAAATTATATTTGCATCAAAATCATTGACTCAAGCAAAAATTGAGGACAGTGGTGTCACAACATTAGGATATTGTTCTCAATCATACATAAGCAAATGAAGATGAGTTTTATCAGGAATTGTATGTATATTTGATATTACCACCAAAGTCGAACACATTACATAGAGTTCTTTCATATGGTTTGCAAAACATTATTAAAAGCAATTGTCTTATGTTTGCGTTTCTGCATAATCATGGGTTAATAGTGAAGGGGACCTGACTCATCTTTACTCAACAAGAAATGGTCGATGACTTGAATGGGTACAAATTCCAAGATCTCGAGTCAGCCAAAGTCTTTTAAACACATTATAAATAATAATACCGTTTTTTTTTATCTAATTATAAAAACCAATCACAATTTGGTGCAGCATGTTTTATTAGAGTTGAATGGATTAATCAGATTTCATAATTGGCTTAAGGGAAGGAGAGGGTGTTGAATGAAATTTAATTCATGGTAATGTCTTCCAAATCACATGATAAAACTCTATGTAATGTGCTGTTGCTTGATGGCACACTTTGGTATCCTTTTAATTCTTCAACAAAATCTTCTTCACTGCTAATATAAAGTTTCAAACATGAATTACTAGTAAGATGATCTATCCAATTTTTCTAGCTAGAAACGCATGTTTAAGGCTTTATGTTAGCAGTGAAGAATAGTATGTGCAAGAACCTCATTTGTTCCTGATTTTATTATATAAAATTCAATAATAGAACTAGCAAAATATTGTTTGATAAGTCTTCCATTTATAATAATAATAAATGTTCCAATTGAAAAGGACTAATAAGTGGTGAAATATTGAACTCACACGATTCTAATAAGTGGTGAAATATTGAACTCACACGATTCTAATCTCTCTATACAAAGTCTACTCAATTACACAAGTTGGATGTTTTATTGTACTTTGTTGTATAAATTGGTCTTTTTATTTTTTTAAAGTCGGTTGCTTATTAATTTGCAATTTTTAGAGAAAAGATTTTCAACTAATAATCGTTATAATCTAAAACTCCTATACATTAATTATTGACATTTTATTCACTAAGGTGAATCAATTATCATGGCTTGAGCTTATAGTGTTATTATTTTCATCGTTAACACCCCACAAACCTATAGTCAACAATACTCTTCTGCAAATTCATAATATAGATTTCAAATTCAAATTCTGAATTATATTTCTTTCAGTTAAAAATTTCTGATACAACATTTAACTCATAATTAAAATTTGAAGTATGAAAAAAGATGTAAAAATTTTAGATCATTCTTCCACGAGTTTGACAGAAGCAAGTTTTTAATCAGTGATTGTAGTTGCGTACGAGACTCAACTTGTAAAGCAAAATACTTTAATAAAACTGAGATTCAAACAACCACCGTTTTGAGCAATAAGTACGTGGAATTAATCAGTGTAATTTTGTTAAATTATGTTAGACGTATAAATACATTATTAGACGCAATGGAGGAAACAATTTCAAGTAGACCTTTTGATGCATAATACATTGGTGCAAACTTAATAGAAAAAGTAAGAGCCAAAAAATAATTATTGCACAAATCAAAAGTTTTAAGTTATATATGTAGGTACGGATGTACATTCAAAATCACCTTCACACAAGAAGAAAAGCATCATATTCTATTCAAGATTGATCAAGAATCTGTATCTAGCTGTTACTTTATAACGTAGATTGGTTTTGAGCTAAAACGGAATAATTGCAAACTAAACAATTTGTAGTATATGCATCAAAACTATTTTAGTTTTAAACCAAAAACATAGATTATTGTTATTCGTAAAATCGAGAAATAACATATACCAGTATGTCAAATTTAATTCAAACTCTTAAATAATTCTACACAATTCATATCGAATCTTAAGCTTTTGTTTCTCATCGTATCAAACAACTCATTATCAGCTTTTCTAACGAACTATTATTCGTGTTTCAAACAACTCACTTGGTAGTTGCACCAAGGTCTATTTCTCATCTCGTTAATGTTGTATTTATTTTTTTCAATCATCTTACCATTAATCATCTCAACAACCATGGCTAAAGCATCCAAACAAACCAAAAAATTTCAAAATAAACATTTAAAACATACGATTGAACATCGTAAAAAAGTTCAAGATTTTAATAAAAAAGCAGCATTAAGAAAAAAAGGTAAAGGAGAAGCACCAATACGAAAAGATGGGAAATCAAAAGAGGTATTTGATGATATGTCAGTAGATGAATTTTTTGAAAGTGGATTTGAAGTACCTAAGGAGAAGAAGAAGAAAAAAGTTGCAGAAGAAGAAGAAGATTCATCATCTGAAGAGGAAGATATGGAAATGAATTTGGAGAATTTAGAAGAAGAAGATCCAGAGTTTTATAAATATTTGAAGGAGAATGATAATGATTTGTTAGAGGGGGTTAATCCATTAGATGCGATAAGTGATGAAGAAGAAGAAGAGGAAGAGGAGGAGGTGGCAGAACCAGATGCTCCTCAAGATCCCCACGATAAAATTGAAATCACTACAAAACTTGTTAAAAAATGGGACACTCAATTACAAAAACCAACTCCTAAAATTATCCGAAACATTATAATAGCTTTTAAAGCAGCTGTAAACATCAACAAAGGAGAAGATTATAAATATAGTGTTGTTGATCCAAAAGCATTTACAGAACTTATGTTATTAGTATTAAAGAAAATACCCATTGCAATTCAAAATTTAATTAAATATAAAGTGAAAAACAATGTTAGAACAGTACCTCAAAATCCTCAAGCTACACAAATTGGTTCCATATTAAAATCTCATGCAAGTTCATATATTACTTTATTAGAAGATATAAATAATACTGAAACAGCTGCATTAATTTTAGCTTCAATTCATGAAGTTATGCCATATTATATATCACATCGTAGATTATTAAAACAAATCATATCAGCAATTACAAATGTTTGGGCAAGTTCAAATATAATAGATATACAAATTGCTTCATTTGCATTTATAAATAACATCGTCAGAGAATATCCAAAATCTTTATTAGAAACTGTTCTTAAACAATCATATCAATCATTTTTACAACATTGTCGTAAAACAAATATTCATACAATGGATAGAATTAATTTTTGTAAAAATTCATTAGCTGAATTATTTGGAATTGATTCAACTATAGGTTATCAAACTGGATTTGAATATGTTAGACAATTAGCTATACATTTAAGAAATAGTATAAATGGAAAAGGAGCAGCAGCCATTTATAATTGGCAATATTGTCATTCATTAGATTTTTGGTCAAGAGTTTTAGCACTTAACGAAGGACTTAATCAATTAATTTATCCATTAGTTCAAGTTACAATTGGAACTATTAGATTAATACCGACTGCACAATTTTTCCCATTAAGATTTTATTTAATTAGATCATTATTAAGATTAAAAACAGTTTATATTCCCATATTCCCATTACTTTTTGAAATTTTATCATCAACAGCTATAACTAAATCTCCAAAACCTTCAAATAATAATTTACAATTTGTTGATTTTGAACATAATATTAAAGTTAATCAAGCTTATTTAGGTACAAAAATTTTTCAAGATGGTATATGTGAACAATTTATTGAATTAACTTTTGAATTTTTTGGTGTGTATGCTAAAAATATTGCATTTCCTGAGTTAGTTACACCTGCAGTACTTTCATTAAAGAGATTCACAAAGAAATCAAAAAATGCTAAATTTAATAAACAATTAAATCAATTAATTGAAAAATTAAATGCAAATGCTCAATTTATTAATAGTAAAAGATCAAATGTTGAATATGGTCCTTCAAATAAACAAGAAGTTTCAAATTTTTTGAAAGAATTTGAATGGGAAAAAACTCCATTAGGTCAATATATAATTGTTCAAAGACAATTGAAGGAGGAGAGAATTAAGTTGTTGAAGCAAGCACAAGAAGATGCAAAGGAGAAAGAGGGTAAGGATCAAGAAGATTAGATGGATATAGGACGAATAAGAAGATAATGCAAAGAGTTAGGTTTTAAATTCATGAATTTATAGATAAAAATTTATACAACTTGGAATATTACATCTATTGGGTAAAACTTGAACAATAACTTTTTCCTTCTATTCCTTCTTTTGGCCCTAAATTACAACTTGTTAAACTGCTTGGAAAGACTTCACTTGGTCAATCGTGAAAGACAATTGAAAGAAAATTAAATTGTTGAAGCAAGCACAGGATATGCAAAGGTGAAAGAAGATTAAGTCATAAAATTCATTTATTTATAGGTATATATGTATACAGCTTGTAATAAGAAGTTAATGCAAAAGAGGCATCTGTACTAGAAAGATCCGTTCCTACAAACATCCATCCGTACCCCATCCGTACTGCAGACATCCGTACAAACATCATCCGTGCCTCCTCCTCACGGATCTATAGGAATAAAATTACCCACTATACAACTTGGAATATTATATCTATCTCTCCGTATTGTAAAACTAAAACAACAACTTTTCCTCTTTATCCCATCTTTAGTCCTCAAATTACAACTTGTCAAAACTGCCTTCTGACCCTTATCAAATGCTATAGCTCCATATTTTTCCCAAAAATTTACTGCACTTTCTTCACTCATTAATTCATAAATTGCTAATTTACCATCTTTTAAATCATCAGTTGTAACTCCAACTAATGATGCAAATTCTTTATTACCTCTATAAATTTCACCAGTTCTTCTCCATAAACATGCAGGAATAGCCATTGACGTAAAAACTCTATCATAATCTAATAACATTCTTTCAAAACTTTCTTCAACTAAAACTAAATCGACATCTTTTAAAGTTCTTGCAATTGCTCTAAATGCAGGTCTAAATATACTTAAAGGTTTTAAAATTCTTTGACGACTTGAAATATTCATATAATTATCCATATATCTTTGTAATCTTGCATAACCTTTTGCATAATTATAAGGTTGTAATAATCCAGCTTCTAATTTTGCTTTAATAACTTGTTTTAATCTTTCTTCTGGGGAGATTTCTGTAGTAGGATCAGCAGCAGTTAAGAAGAATTTGTCTCTAGCTGAATCTGAAATTACTGGTTGTTCTTCAGGTGGTGGTGGTTGCTGTGGTTGAGGTTGAGGTTGTGGGTTTGGTTGTTCTTCTACAGGTTGAGGTACTTCTTCAAAAGTTTGACTAAAAATATTATTTGGTGAAAATGCAGGAGCCCAAAACATTTGACTTTCTTCATTATTTAATGCTCCATTAACTAATTCAGGATCATCTATCATAGATAGGAAATCATTTAATGAACTAAATTCACTACCTGCATGTTCTGAATAAAATAATGGTTCTTGATTGTAAGCTAGAGTTTGAGATAATACAGATTTGGTGGGTCTATGTTGAGGGGGTGGTACTTGTTGTGGAGGTACTGTTGGTAGTGGTTGTGGTGGTTGCTGTGGTGGTTGTTCTTCCGTCTTTTCTTCAACATCTTTTCTCAATGATGCTGCTTTCTTTCGTTGTCTTGAATTTGATGGTTCATCATAACATAAATGCAGGATACCTCTTTTAATACATCTTTGACAAGGTCTTGATTCATCACATATCATATGTGATCTTCTACAATATACACATGCTATTTCTAACTTCTTCTTTCTTTTCCTTTTGGTGGTGTCCATGGTTAATGGTGAAAAAGAGGTAAAGTTTACATTTTACACAAAAATTAAAAACATAATCATTATTCTTCAATACTAGTACTTAATTCAACACCTTCATTTTCAAAATTATATCTATTCAAGATCGCCAGCGGTCTTGAAAATAATATAGGACGTGAATTTCTCACTGGTGGTGGATCATGTACCTCTGGTCCTTCCTCCAATTCATCATTAATACTTCCATAATCTATAACTTGTCCAGCAAAAGATTTTAAAATAGTATTATTACATAATGGACAACTCCTCTTAAAATTAATTAACCAATTTGATAAACAATTTTGATGAAAAAAATGTTTACATTGTAAAACTAATACTTTTGATTTTAAAGGATGATATTTTTCTAAACATATTGAACATTTATAAGAATTAAAATAATCATTTGGACAATTTAAAATATTAAATTTCCCAGTTGAATTAAGATAATGATCAAGATCTTGTTCTAAAATTAAATGATTATTATCATAAATATATATTGGTAAATTTTTAACCATTTGAGCATTTCTTTTATTAATTTGTCGTTTTCTAAATTTTTGTCCACATACAATAATACAATAAAATAATACAATTAATAAAGGTGGTGATAAAACCATTGATAATACTATACTGAACCAACTACCAATATAGGCTGTAGATATTTCAATTATTATATCTATATTGTTATATAACTTTAAGATTTTATAATCTTCAAATGTAATAAACATTATTGGAAATTCTAATGTACCATCCTGATTAAAAGTATTTGAATACATAGTAATTAAACTTCTATAAGGTTCATCATTAGCAACAACAATAGCAGATGGATCCAAATTTGAATCAATAATATTTGTAACTTTATCCACAAATGTACAATCACCACGTAAAACTATTAAAATCTTGTTATTATATTCAATTGTTGATTCAATCTTTTCACACATATTAAATGGTAAAATTTCATAGTGACTACTTAATTTTGAATTAAGTACAGGTGAAAAAGAAGCATATCTACCAATGATTTTGGTGGTGGAATTACCTTCAGTTGTATTAAATTCTAATATTGAATCAATTGGAAAAAATGAATTAACAACATTATTAAATGGATATTCATCAGATGTTTTAAATTGTTTGAAGGTATTTTTGGTTAAATAAAATGCAGATTTCAAATCCAATTGAGAATCATGGATAATGAAGAAAAGTAGTAGTAATGATGTACAAAATATTAGTAATCTGTATTTCATGTGGTTCTTGTGGTTGATAGTCCTAGATCAAAATAATCGCGAAATCAAAATAAAAAATATATTCGTAAGCTCATGTTCTAGCCGCATCTACATGGTCAAGAATACAATAAAAGGTTGTGAAGCTACAAAAAGACTCCTTCAAATGACAGATACTCCGGTTTCTCTGTATAAGTCTATAATATACACATCCGCACAACAAACACTTCACCCTAAAACACACCACCCAATCTCAATCTCGGAGCTATATTCATTGAAAGTAATTCTTGAAACAACAACTTCGCAGCATATGGTATAGTCATTTTTATAATATTTTCACTCCCCTTACAAGTTGTACACCAAGAATTATATCCCATTAATCCACATTTATTACAAATATCAACTTCAAAAGCATCTGATGAAATCATTAATCTTTCTAATAATAATTGAGAAGCACCATAAGCAATAACACAATCTCTTTCCATCTCCCCCAACCTTAAACCACCATCTCTTGATCTACCTTCTGTAGGTTGTCTTGTTAAAACAGCTCTTGGACCTCTTGCTCTTGCATGCATTTTATCTAATACCATATGTTTTAATTTTTGATAATAAATTGGACCAAAAAATATATATGCTTGTAAACATTCACCAGTAATACCAGAATATAACATATCTTTTCCTGAATAAGAAAATCCTTTTTCAACTAAAATTTTTGACATATCTTCTAATTTTGATCCACCAAAACATGTACCATATTCTAAAGTACCATTCAAAACACCTGCTTTTCCTGATATTAATTCAATCATTTTACCAACAGTCATACGTGATGGAAAACCATGAGGATTCATAATTATATCAGGTGAAATACCATCATCATTAAAAGGTAAATCTTCTTGTTGAACAATTATACCACAAACACCCTTTTGTCCATGTCTTGAAGAAAATTTATCACCCAATTCTGGACGTCTAGTTTGTCTAAGTAAAACTTTAATTAATGCTTGATCATTATCACTAACCGACATCATGACTTGATCAACATATGATGGTTCTGCACCTTTATAATAAGCAGCAGATTCTCTATGAGTTTCCACTTGTGTTTGCTCTGGTGGTTGTTGTAAAGAGGACTCCCCCGCATTTGTTGGAACACATTTATTTGCATATACTTGACCATTTTCAATCTTACTTCCAACTTCACCTAAACCATCTGGTCCCAAAGCTTGATGTGGGAAAATTGGTTGATTATTTTCATCTACTCTCATACCTGATAAAATATCTTTTGTATGATTTGGATATTTTTTCAATTGTACAGTATTTTTTCTCACAACTTGACATCGACCAAACCCTCTATCTAATGAAGATTTATTTAACACCAAAGCATCCTCTATATCATAGCCTGAATAAGACATTACAGCAACTGTAGCATTTTGTCCAGCAGGTAATTTATCATAATTAATTAATTCTATAGTCTTTGTTTTAACCATTGGTTCTTGTGGATATACCATAAAATATAATAATGTATCAATTCTTCTGAATTGATTATATGCAATAGCTCCAATTGCTTGTTTACCCATCGCACATTGATATGTATTTCTTGGTGATTGATTATGATGAGGATAAGGAATTAAACCAGCTACAGCACCTAAAACAGTAAAAGGTTCAATTTCAAGATGAGTAGTAGTAGCATTTGGATGTTCACCAATATCTTTTTCATATAATGCAATTAACAGATCATTTTCTTCATTAACATCTAAATATTCAACTAACCCTTCTTTTAAAAAATCATCAAATTCCCATTCTCCTTTTAATAATTTTGATAAATGCGAGGCTTTAACTCTTGATTGATTATTTTCAACAATTATTAAAGGTCGACAAATTCTACCTCCATCAGTTGCAATATGAACAGATTGATGATGAGGATTTGTATATATACTAACAAATGCAGAAACTTTCCCAGCTCGACGTAATCGACGAAAATCAGTTACAAATTTCACTGGAAATCTAGTTGTACCTAATAAAGTACCATTAAGATAAATTCCGAAGTTACCTTCAACATGTAATGTACCAGAATCTAATCCAAAAATTGATTCACAACCTAATACTGTACATAACTTTTTAATAGGACCTTCTTCATCATCTGTTGTAATATGAGTCATTAATGCTAAATTTTTAACTAATCCACAAGCTTCACCTTCTGGTGTATCTGCAGTACAAAGCATACCGAATTGTGAAGGTTGTAAAGCTCTTGGACCAGAAACTTTTCTTGATTTTTCAAATTGTGAAGATATACGAGTCATCATACCTAATGCTGAAATATATGATAACCTCGACAAGACATGTGTTACACCTGCTCTTTCCATTTTAAAACGTTTTAAAGACCAATTCCCCGTTGAAATTGCTCTATTTAATCCCATAGTTATATTATTTGAATGTATATTTATAGATAATAAAGCATCAAATTCTGAAGTTCTACTTGGTTTTTTCAAAATTTTATCAATATTTGCTTTAAAATCTGAATTAAATTTTTTAAATAAATCTTCAAATAATAATGACATTAATTGTCCTGCTAATTCTAATCTTTTATTACCAACATAATCTCTATCATCAACCATTTTCGGATTATGCATAGCCATAATTACACGTCTTGCCATCATTGCCATATATAAAGCTTTTTCTCTAAATTGTAAATCACTTACAGTTAAATGAGCAATAATAGTAGTTGCAACAGCTTCTATACCTTCTTGTAATTGAGATAATTTTGGTGCTCCTGCTCTTCTAATAGTTTTAACTCTTTTTCCCAAATATAATAAAGCTTGTTGTTGAGTAAATACTTCAAGTTTAGCAGCTTCTTCAAAATTTACAACAAATAAATCTTGATAATTTGGATCAGATCCACAGACTAATTGTAATATTTCTAAATCTGACGTTATACCAGCAGCTTTTAATACTATAACAATCGGTATATCTTCACTAATAGAATTATGTTTTAAATAAATTTTATCATTTTTGGTGATTACATAAGTTTTTGATTTTCTTTCATGAGTAGATGAAGTTACTGAAGCTTGAACTATTCCCTTTTTTTCATCAGCTTCAACAATGATTCTATTTTTTGATAATTGTTCTTGAACTAATATAACTTTTTCTGTACCATTTACAATAAAATAACCACCTGGATCTAAAGGACATTCATCAACTTGTGCCATTAATTTTTCATTCATTCCATCTAACATACATTTATTTGATCTTAACATTATTGGCATTCTTCCAATTTCTAAATCATTATGTCTTATAATTTTTCTTCCTCTTGTATATTCAACATCAACATATATAGGAGCAGAATAAGTTAAATCTCTTAATCTACATTCATGTGGTGGCATTATAACTTCTTTTGTACCAATAGATGAAGTAGATTTATGACCAACTCTTATATCAAGATATTTCACATAAAAATCTGGATCAACATCTGATAATACAAGTGCATTTGCTTTTAAAATTTTTCTTAAATCAACATCTACAAAATAATTAAATGAATCAAGATGTTGTTTGACTAATCCTTTTATTTTTAAAAATGCCGGTAGTAGATTCCATTTATCTTCTGAAGTTTTTATTTCATCTGTTAGGCTTTTGCCTTTGTAAGTGGACTGTAGTAGGTCGTTAAACGCGTTATCCGTCGTTGATTTACCCTTTCTCATGCTTGCAGTGTAATAAGAGTTGTAAGTAAATTTTGATCTCATCAAGTCCGCTTTTTATTTTAAGTGGCGCTACCCCCAATGTTTACATCACATATCTATTTATCACCATCATGAGTTCAAATCTATTCAAAACAACAGTTAATGAATATCTAGAAGATCTACCTAAAGCAGTTCAATCCAAATTATATGAAGCACCAGCAACATGTCTATCTATTTATCGATTACTATCGCCAATGGCTAAATTTTTCATAATGTCAATGATTTTCAATGAAAAACCATTACCAATGAGAGATCTCACCAAGTGGTGTAAACCACTGGCGAAAAAACTTGAATTTGAAGCTTTAAAAAGATTGGAATCATTACATTTAATAGAACATGACAACAAGGGAACACATATAAAATTAAATTCAATATTTAGAAAAAATTTCCGAGATTGTCTAACAGGAACTCAAGATCCTAATGCATTTGGAAGTATTACTATAACTGAAGACAAACATAAAGTAGATATTCCATTTCTAGATAAATTTGCATCTACAAAATGGGAAACAATTTTACATTTTATGGTTGGGACTGAAGGTACTCCTGCTCCATCTAAATCAGTATTAAGTTTATTAAAAGCAGGAGGTCTTATGGAAGGAGATGATTACAACTTGAATATAACAAATACAGGATTTCAATTTTTATTACAAGATGTAAATGCACAAATATGGACTTTATTATTACAATACCTAAATTTAACTCAAGAATTAAATATGAATCCTGTTGATGTATTAAATTTTATTTTTATATTAGGTTCATTAGAATCGGGGAAAAGTTATGCAGTTTCTGGACTTAGTGAAACTCAAGTAAGTATGCTTGCTGATTTAAAAGACTACGGGTTAGTTTATCAAAGATCAGATTCATCAAGTAGATTTTATCCAACAAGATTAGCAACTACATTAACATCAGATTCATCAGCACTTAAAACACCTTCAATGGCTGTAGAACAAGCCCTTGAAGAATCTTCTGAACAGATCACCTCATCAAATGTTCAAGAATCAATCATAATAGAAACAAATTTTAAAATATATGCATATACAAATTCACCATTAGAAATAGCAATCCTAAACTTATTTGTTCAAATGAAAGCAAGATTTGCAAATATGATAGCAGGTCAAATAACAAGAGAATCTATTAGAAATGCATTATATAATGGTATAACAGCAGATCAAATTATAAAATTTTTAGAAACTCATGCACATCCACAAATGAGAGCATTAGCAAAAGATAAATTAGATAAAAAAATTGAATTTGATACAAGTCATAATATAAATACAGCAGGTGGAGCACCACAAAGTAAAACTGATGGGTCCATAAGTCAACATAAATTAGAAATAATACCACCAAATGTTGTTGATCAAATAAAATTATGGCAATTAGAATTAGATAGAATTCAAACTTTTGAAGGTTATTTATTTAAAGATTTTGCAAATCAACAAGAATATGATATATTATTTAATTATGCTACTGAATTAGGTGTTTTAATATGGAGTAATAAAATTAAAAAAAAATTTTTTGTAACAAAAGATGGTATGGCACAAGTTGCAGATTTTGCAAATAGAAAATTAAGAAATTTAAATTGAGTAAATTAAATTATAATCAATATTTAAAATTTTACATAATTCTTGAATTGAAAATTCATCATTAAAATTGGGTGGTGTTTGTTCTTCATAGTTGTTGATTATTTCACCATCTTCAATGTTAAAACCAGATTCTTGTAATTGTTCAATAAATGATTCCTTTGCATCGTCAGTAGCACTATCTAACGTGTCTTGAAGGTTCATAATCATTTCATCTTGTTGTAATTCAAGTGCTCTTTGTTTAGATTCCCATTGTTGTAAATGCCAATTTTTAAACCCACCAATTTTTGCAAATTGAACTGATTGTTCATTATACAAGTAATTTAATGCCTTTTGAGCAACATTTCTCCAATATGAAATAGATTCTTGAAGTTGATCTTTTTCTTTAATATATTTGGTTACTTTAATTAATGTATCTTTTTTCAATTTATACATTTTCAATTGTTTATCTAAGTCCGCTTCATAGGTTGAGGGAGACACCTTATCTATCAACGTTAGTCATTACAACTTCTAATCAACAATCTTCTCTCAACATACTCACTAAATTCTTTGATTTCATTTTGGTTGCCAAAAAGTGTAAGTGCAAAAAAAAAAATTTAGCTGCTAAAATTATTTTGCAACCAATTTAACATTTTTTTATAAACAAATGAATTACCATTATGATAATTTATATTATGATCATTATCAGGAAATAAATGAAATTCATAATTATGAATATTCGCAAGATTTAATTTATCCATTAACCACATTGAATTTTGAACATGAACATTATCATCTGCTGATCCATGCATTATTAAAAAATTTTTGATATTTTTGAGATTTTCTACTTTACTAATTTGAGCAACATTATAACTTGGATTATCTTGAGGTTTATTCATGTATCTTTCAGTATATATAGCATCATAAAATAACCAATTTGTAACTGGTGCAATAGCAACTCCAAATTTGAAAATTTCACCATTATCAAATTCTAAGGTTTTTAGTGTAGTAAACCCACCATAAGACCATCCCCATATTGCTACTTTATTTTTTTGAATAAATTTATTAGCTGAAATAAATTCAGAAGTAATTAATTTAATATCTCTTGGTTCCCAATATCCAATATTATTATTAGCGTAAGATTTAAATTTCCAATCTTTACCACCTGTTCCTCTTGGTTCAATTACAAAAATTATGCTATTTAACGTTGAACTAGCTACATCTAAAAAACCCAAATCATATTGTTTTTGAACAGTTTGTGAACCTGGTCCACCATATGCATGAACAAGTAAAGGATATTTAAACTCTGGGTTGAAACCAGGCGGGAAAATTGTTTTGATACTTATTGAAATATCTTCTTTTTCTAATTTGATTTCATTAAAAGTTGTCGTTGGAATATTTGTATTTTCTAAATTTTTTAAACTTTTATCCATAAAATTTATTATTGGTTGTTCTAATATTGTATGTTCAACATGTTCTTTTTCTTGTTCATGTAATTCAGTCATACTAATTAATCTTTGCCATGGTTGATTAGGTCCATTATATTTTAAACTTAAAAATTGACCATTTTTAGAAAATTTTGTAGAATAATATCCATCTTCATTTAAAGAAGTATATTCAATATATTCATTGGTATTTATATTCACACCAATTAAATGAGAATCCATAGCACTTTTAGCAGAAGTTAAGAAATAAATGCAGTTGTGTTGATTATTATAAATCCCTTCGCTAATTGTTGGGTACTTGTTGAAAATTTTAGGTTCAGCACTAGCTGCTTTGTCAAATAAACAAATATAATTGTTACCATTTTCAAAACAATTATCAATATAACCACCATTAGCGGCTAAATTGATTGGTTTCATTTTTTCAACCCATCCACCATATTTACCCGTAACATTAAATGATTCTATTCTAGTTACCTCATTTCCGTTAAAAACCTTTCGAGCAAATAATTTACTTGTTCTATCAGTTTGTTTCATTAAAAAATTATCATTATCAACCCAAATAGCTTGATAAAGTATAAATTCATCACCCAAAGTCTTATCTTTGTCCAGCAAAGATTCGACTTTTTTTGATTTAACATCATACGTATAAATTGATACAATTGGAATATTTGTCCCAGGTTTTGGATATTTTAAAGATGTCTTTATAGGATATTGATTTAAATTTTTATATTGTTTCTCATTCAGTTGTTCATATTGCATTCCAATTTCTGTATTTTGTTTAATATAATAATCAATATCAACAGATTGAACATTAGTATCATTTAATTTTACAAATATAAATTTAGATGAATCTGGTGACCACCAAATCATTCTATCATTTGCTGTTACTTCTTCTTCATATACCCAATCAGGTTTACCATTGAAAATGTTTGTTGATCCATCATTAGTTATTTGATGTACCTCTCCAGTAGATACATCATGTACAAATAAATTATGTTCAAATGCAAAAGCCACAGTATTACCATCTGGTGAAAATTCAGCAAAATGCAATTTCTCTAATACATTTGTTTCAACATTTGGTGGTTGTATGGGAGTATAGGTAGCTAATATAGGGTTATATAGCCAATATAATGCAAATGTTGAATGTCTCCATTGAGCTAATTTATCGGAAACTATGATATGATTATTATTTAATTCTTCAATTGATTTACTAGGATTTATGATAATGTCAGATATATGAAAGAAATTATTTTTATATGGAAATTTTCTAGAATTTATGATAATATCCTCAAAATCTGTATTTATTTGTTTTAAAAGAAATTGATCTTTTCTAGGAGTTATATAATAACCTCCAGAATTCCCCGAGGGGTACTGTTCTGGAGTTAACCAAGTTATACTTTCTTGATAAGTCATATAATCTCCATTTCTCCAATTATCAAATGTTATGTTTTTAAATTGTGAATTATATTCATTTAGGGTTATATTTTGACCAAACAACTTGATATTAGTTTGCCATTTAGTCTTATTTAATAATTGTTTAGGACTCAATTGAGAATATACTATAACTCCAATAATCCATAACAAGACAAACACAATTGATATAATACTAATTATAGATTTTTTAATTCCTTGATTTTTATACCTACTTAAAATTGAATGAAAAATAGGATCATTATAAAAATCATTCTTTGTTTCTTTTGATTTATTTGTATAATTTTCAATATCTTCAAAAACAACTGATGATTGTGAATCACTTGAACTTCTTGATTGACTTATATTTTCTTCTAATACATTTTGATCTATCATTTCATATTGTTCAGATTTTCGTCGTGATTTGAAAAAGGAAAACATTATGTAAGTGTGAGGTAGTAAAGGTAAGTGGGTATAGATAGCTTCATTAAGATATGAAAAGTAATGGGTCTTGGACTTTATATATAAGAATTTTATGTGAAGTTATGATAATCGTAATCAATTTTTCAATTTGTAAATAAAGTTTGAAATTTATGCAACTTTTCCAATTTTGTGTAATATTGATTAAATATACAAAATATTGAAATACAACAGATCAAGTCTAGACTATGAGAAATTAAGGAAGCATTAGCCAACTAGAGTTCATTTGCTAGGTACTGGCTCCTCTTAAAATCTATTTTTGAAAGGTAGACTGTTGTCAGAAATTATTTGATCGTGTTAAATTTGAAATTATTTAATTAATGCAACAAGTGTTAATTTGATTTAGATTTTTACCTTTATGAAACTAATCAGGTAATTACGAGATCTACTAATTGTATCCATGATCTTATGATAAATAGGATGTATATTAATGAATAGATATAATAGCATGTATATATTTTCACACTGAGTTTTATTTTTTATCTTGTAATTTTCTAAAGAAATCCATACAAGCAGTGAAAACAACTAATAATATACCACCACCTGGACCTAATCTTAAAACTTTTGGAATAAAACCTTTATATAAAGCACCAAATCCTTCTTCTTTTGCAACAATAGCTAATGAAGGATAAGTCCATTTATATCTTGAAGAACCAGCTTGAATTCTTGATTTAACAACATCAAAAGGAGTATTTAATATAGTACCAACAGTTCCACCAATTGTACCACAAGTTAAATCAATTAAAATTTTTTGAGTATTATCTTTTGGTTTTGGCATCATTGATTTAACTTGATGAATACAACCAAAATATCCTGCATTCCACCATATATGTCTCCACATTGTTGATTCTAAACCTTTATATAAACCTAATGGACCATTTTTTTGTATAATATCTTTAACAACTTCTCCCATACCATTAAATTTTGTTGATCTATCTTGTAATCTAATTTTAACTAATTCAAAAGGAACAACAACAAATGATTCAGTTGCTCCAGCTGTAGCACCAGTTAATATAGCTAATGGTTGATTCATAGTTTTCATATCAAATGCTTTTTTATAAAATTTACCCCATTCATCATTTGCTGCAAATTTTGTTGCTCTTTTTGGAGCTTCCATTAATATTGGTGCAGATATACCTTTATATAATCTTGAAAATCCTTCATCTTTTATAATTGTTCTTAAACAATTTAATGTTCCCTTTGTTGCATTTGTTGAATCTAATTGTTGTCTTGTTTTAACAACATCCAATGGATACATAACAAGAATTTCAGAAACTCCTGCTATAGCACCGGATATGAATTGATAAACAAATGGTAATGGAGCTGGATCAGTCATGTTTTGTTGGTTTTTATGTAATTGTTATGAGTTAATTGAAATAAATGAGAGGAATTTTAAAAGACGAAATAAATTTTTCAAAATTTAGAATTTATAAAATATTAAGATTGAATAATTGAATTATAATATGAATTAAAAAATAATATTAATAATAATCTAAGATTCAATGATGAAAAAAAAATAATAAATTGATCTGAATTGTTGTTGAGAAACTTTGATCTTTAAGAAATGAAGTTTAAATTGTTGATAATCTTATCAAAATCAAACTTTTTGATAAAGAGAGAGAAACTAGAAAACTTTAAAAGTGGGGCGATCTTTAAAATTAGAACAATAAAATTTATTGAACCGAATTAAATTACTCTAAACGGTATTAAATTTAGCGCGATTCTCATGACATTTCTCGCACTTATTGGAAGAATATGTAGTAGGACCCTTTAGATTCACTAGAGAATAGATCTAAATCAAATTGTAACATTTTAAAAAGTTTTTCGCTCTTAAAGTTCTTGTCTCAAAATTTCTTTTCGTGATCCTCAATTTACTCCTGGATAAAAATTAAGGTTTTAATGGAATTGTGAAATATGAAAAATCGGGGGAAGAAATTTTACGTGATTTCTTTAGCGAGTTGGCATAATCGAGGTAAAAGAAATTCAGGATTCAAACATCCAGTTAAATTATTAAATCACGTCCTTTTCGAAGTAATCTTGGACTTCCAAAAGGAATTTATTTCAAGCAGGGTAAATTCACTTTGTTGTTTTTGTGTCATGAATCAAAATCATCACCAAAGTTTCTGACATCTCGTTCTTATAAATTTTTTTTTTCAACTAAACTTTAATTACACTTCTTTTTCTTTTCTCTTTGTGCGGCAGCCAAAGCTTTAACCGTGTTGCTTGTCTGTTCTTTATATATCCTAACGAGTTGGCGAGCGTCAAGCTTTTGGCGAGATTGAACCCATTTAAAACACAAACGATCATCTTAATGCCCTTTCATTGAAATCAAATTAAACGATGTTAATGAGGGCTGGGAGATCATACATTTTTTACTCAAATCAGTCAATTACTTAATTTATTACTACAACCATAAACCTCTAACTAAAGCTAATGAAAAATTGATGGTTAGACCTGCTATTATTGCCATCTTTTGACGTTTATTAAAAACTGTATCATCAACTAAAAGGAATAAAACTGATATAATACCTAAAAATACTCCAATTAAAAAACCTAATAGTAGATCCTCATTAACGTGAACTTCGTCCATATCTAATGGTGTTTGTGGTGGTTGATCAGTATCTTGATTTAGGTTATTATTTCTATTATTCGTTGACGCCAGATTTGTATTAGCATTTGTATTTGCATCATTATTTGAAGTTGATTCTATCCATCTTTCTTCTAATTGTCTTAAATCACTTTGTCTACTTTCATCTTCTTCAACATCTATAATGTCTGCATTATTTGAATTATTATTTTGTCCATTTCCACCATATATTGACATAAATTGTCTTCTTAAATCATTTACATCGTCTCTTGAAAATCCTTGTTGTAATAATCTATCAAAACCTATTACATTAGGAGTAGTACTAACTGCTGGTATTTGATTATCTAATTTATTTTCTTCTTGTAATTGTTGTGAAGTTAATTGTTCACCAACAACACAATGAATATATATTGAATCATTTTCTAATAAATTTTGTAATCTTGGTTCTATAACGTCTTTTTTAAAATCAGTTTTTTCATTCAATACTCTTCCATTATATATTAATTTTAATCTCTTGTTGGAACATTGTGATACTTTATTTCTAATTGATGATTTAATCCAACTTGTATTTATTAGTTTATTTATATCATCTTTATCTAGATTTATAGTTATTGGTAGTGATAGGTCAGGTATTTGTTCATGTGATGATAGTGCATTAGTGAATCTAATCACTATTACCAACTTCATTTTATAATGTTTGGTTGTATGATAAGTGTTTAAGATAATTATCAATATTTTTTTATTGATAGTAAATTTCGGACTTAATTTTGAATTTTTGCATCTAGCAAACAATCATCCTTATCGCCACCAATTGACCTACCAGCAATTGAACTGCCACCAATTGAACTCCCACCGATCGAACTACCTTCAATTGAACTAACAAATGTCCTCAACTGATAGTTCATCCTTGAAAGATACTGTATCTAAAGTCCAAGGGTCATTAGATCATAAACAACCAGAGGACCAAGAGTCAAATCTTAGATATGCAGCTTATGCAAATAGAATAAGAACTATATTATTAGCTTCACATCGTTATGTTGCATATACTTCAGATATTGGTGAATCTTTTAGACCTGTGGCTCATCCATGGATAGTTAAAACAGGTTATGCAATCTCATGGCTTTATTTGATTGGTGATGTTTCTTATGCAGCTTGGATGACGAACTTAAAGAGTCAAGGTAGATACGTACCAGGCTTAAAGCCATGGGATCCAGCACCAGCTCCAAATTTAATAGCTGCTGAAACTTTTAAAGAAACTCATTCACCAATAGATTCAGATTGGAAAATAGTAGCTGTTAAAAGAGGAGTTTTTCAGAGTATTGCGTCAATGGGATTACCTGCTTTTACTATTCATTCAGCCGTTCGTTATTCATCAATATTATTTAAGAACGCAGCAAAACCTTTAAAAACTTATGGACCAGTTGGTGTTGGATTGGCTATTGTTCCTGCATTACCTTATATATTCGATGAACCAACTGAACATGTAGTAGATTACATATTTGATAAAGGTTATGAGTATTATAAAAAGGAAAAATTAAATTAAATGTAAACTTCATAAATTCATAAACTCATATAGACATAATATTTAGATTTTAGACATATTTAAACACATAGATTTTCAATTATTTTATATTATGAATCTCTTTTAGAAGAATTCAAAGTACCACATTTTTTACAAGTTTTATTTTCATCATTTGAATCAAATTCTAAAATTGCTTCTTTAATCTGAGTACCTAAGTCGGTCAAATAAAATTCTTTTTCATAAATCGTTTCATTACAATTTTTACAATACCATCTAATTCCATCGTTAACTCCCTTTGGTCTATCTTGTTCAACTACTATACCTATAGTATCAGTATATCGACAAGGATTATGAGGAACATTAGGAGGTAATAAAAATGAATCACCTTCTTGTATCCAAATATCTTTGAATTCACCATCATCAACAACTTTTAAACATATAGCTCCTTTATGTTGATAAAAATATTCTGGAGTTTGATTTATATGATAATCACTTCTTTCATTTGGACCACCAACAATCATTGTTGTGAAACCACCTCGATGTAAACAATAATTATTCACCGGTGGTTTCAATAGGTCCTCATTCTCTTCTATCCATTTCTTAATGTTTATCGGTTGCAGAAGCACCATTGTTGGGGAGATTGAATTGATAATGCAAAATTATGGTCTGAGATTTTTCAGTAGCTTAGTCAGAATTTGGAGATTTGTATCACAATTTTGTAAGACACGACAAATAATTCGTATCTTCAGTTTAGTAATAATATTATTCATGAGTAAGATTTATGGAATCTTTGAAAAACTATTCATCATCAGATAGTGAAGAAGAAGAAGAAATTCAGAAAAATGTTAAAAAGCAAAAAGTAATACCAGTTCCTGTTCAATCAATTGAAATTTTTCTGCAACATAAGCAAATGAGAACTAACTTTAAAACATCATCTTTATTTTCATACATACCATGGAATCCATCATTTACTACTACCAAAAAATTGGACAAATTGACATCATTTGTTACAGAGAGTGTACCATTATTGAATCAGAATTATGAATTCAAACCAGTAAACAAAGACATTAAGCGTCTAATCAAGTATCATATGACTATATTCCCTACAACAAACATTGAAAATGAGAACCTTCCGCACTTTATAAATGACATAAAAACCGAAATAGAAGCAATAAAACCTTCAGAGAAGCTATTACGACAACCTCATAATTCAAATGTAGAAGTGTTAAACATATTTAATTCTACAAAATATTTGAATTTAAAATTTGAAAATAATTTAATATTAGGTCGAAGTCCTACTAAAAATTTGGTGTTTTTATGTGGAGTTATAAAATTAAATTCTGAATTGGAAGATTATTTTGACAATATAATTAAAAATTTTAATATTTCAACTAAACAAAATCATGGTCAAGTACAATTCCCTGATTTATTAAAAGATAAATTACACATTACACTTGCAACTGGGTATCCGAAAACATTAAATACACCAACTTTTGAAGTTTTAGAAAATTCTGTCAAATCTGTTGATGTGAGCTCATTAGTTGATGATATAGACATTGATGTTAATGAAATAATTATTAGAGATATGGCTAGTTTATCAAAATATAAAATAGATTTAGTTCTGTAATAATGTTTAATTTAATGTATTTTTGTGAAATTTCATTTTTCTTAACATTTCTGGGTTTAATTCCGAACAAACCTCATTTACTCGAAATCTCTTTAATTCAACAAAATTTAAAAGTTAGTCAATAACATGTCCAGAAGGCACCAAAAGAACACCGAAAAGGCATTGATAGACATTGTCAACAGTAGAGGCAATGATAATAAATGTGCTGAATGTAAAGCAGCATATCCCACTTGGGCTTCATATAATTTAGGTATATTTTTATGTGGTCGTTGTGCTTCAGTTCATAAAAGAATTTTAGGTCCACCAAATTATAATATTTCAAAAGTAAAATCGTTAACTTTAGATAATTGGTCAAATGAACAAATTGCAAATTTAAGAAGAATTGGGAATTCAAAATCTAGAAAAAAATGGAATTCCAAAAAAATTCCTTTCCCTTTTGATGGAGATGATGATGTTGGATTAGTTGAACAATATATTAGAGATAAATATATATTAGGAAAATTCCGAGATGATGATGTTGATCCAAATGAATTTGAAGATGATCGATTAAGTAAATATAGTAATGATAATGATGAAGTAAATTCAAGAAGATCAAGGTCAAATAGTACAAGAAGTATAACAACAATTCCAAAATTAACTCATAGAAAATTAACAACTTTTGAATATACTCAATTTCAACCTCAATTAAGTAAAATTAGAAGTTTTGGTTATAATGATAGAGATGCTATATTAGAAAGTTTATTATTAAGTAATGGAAATATTGAAAGAGCATTAGATATATTAGATCTTGATATAAGGATAAATCCATCAAAACAAGAAATTGCACCAAGTCTACCAAATCGACCACGTGCTTCCACCAATAATTCAATAACTTCAGCAAATCAACCTACTTCGTCAACTTCAGATTGGTGGAGTAATAATCCACAACAACAACAACTACAAATATCTCAAACAAATACAGGAGCAATAACTCAACCTCAAATATATCAATACACTGACCCTGTTACTGGCCAAATTTCATACGTTGATCAAAACGGTCAAGAATATTTAGATCCAAATAATCCACAACATCAACAACAATTAATGGCTATGAATAATCCACAATTAATAGCTCAACAAACGAATAAACAGAATATTTTGTCATTATATAATCAACCAACTGGTATACAACTGCCACAAGGACAACCTCAACAACAACAACAAACAGGTTTTTTTGGACAACAACCACAACAACCTCAACAAGTCTTTCAGCAACCACAACAGCAGCCCGAGTTTACAGGTTTTCAACAGCAGCCTCAACAGACTGGATACTTTGGTCAACAATATACAGGTTATGGTCAACAACAACAAGGTTATTATCGATAAATATCATATATAGAGAAAGAATAAACACGCAAAACATCAACTTTAATAAAATCTTTTTATTGTAAACTTTATTATATAAATAAACACAATCTTATAATCTTGGTTTTGTTTTTAAATCATCACATATACCTAAAGCAACATGTCTTGCAACAGTCATTGTAGAAATCATTGGATTAGCTCCAGAAGCAGTTGGTAATAAACTTGCATCAGCAACATAAATATTTGAAGCTTCAAATAATTTACCTTTTGTATCACAAGCACCATATTTTGGACCTTTTCCAGACATTCTACAACTTGACATTTGATGAGCTGATCCATATGGTGTTCCATAAGTATCAAGTGGAATCTTGGCGACTTTTGCTCTCCAATCTTGATAATTTTTATCTATTATTTTTCTTTCATGTTTTGGTTTTTTTGTTTCAAATATCGGTACCCATGATTGAGGACTTAATATTCTTAAAGCACCTTGAATATAAAGCATATCTGATGTTATTAAAAGTGCCTGTAATAAAGCATTTTTATCAAATTTATTAACAGTATAATCAATATAAAGTGCTTCTGGTCTATTTGGATCACCTGTTACTTGACCATATGTAGTATCTCTTGTGATTAATAGCATTGCAACCATATTATTATAACGTAATAAATCTTTTCTTGCTTCATCTGAATTACGCCATGGTAACATTGCAGCTTGTAAAAATGGAGTATTTAATATAGTTTCAATTTTAGCTCCATGAGCTTTACCATCTAAATCATCAACTTGTGTACATACTGAAGTCATAATACTTTTATCAAAATGATCAGCTTGAACATCACGTCCAAAATCTCCAAATACAACAGTTACTGGATGTAATGTTAAATTATTACCAATATTTTTATTTTTAAAACCAGAATTTTGTAAAATTACAGGAGTGTTTAAGGACCCACCTGCAACAACAAATTTCTTAGGACCAGTAAGTCTGAAAAACATTCCAGTTTCTTCATTTTGACATAATAATCCATTAGCTACTCCTTTATCATGTAAAATTTTAACAACTCTAACTTGATCCATAAATTTACTACCATTAGCTGCAGCGTTTCTAAACCAATTAACTGATGCACCTTGTTTTATACCATATTTACAACCTAAATAACAAAATCCACAAGGATGATGAGGATGTCCTCCACTATTTTGTTCAATTTCTCTACTTTTATATCCTAATTTTTTCCCACCTTCAACTATAACTTCATTAGCTAATGAATGTGTTATACCTTCAGTTGAGGCTCCCATTTGTTTCCAAACATAATCCATACATTTATCATATTCATCACTTGCAGCAAATTCAACTCCATAATCATCATACCATTCTTTTCTTACTTTGAAAGGAGTTTTTAAACAAGCACTCCAATTAACAGTAGTTCCACCACCAAAAGTTGAACCTGCTAAAATGAAAATTTGTTGATTTCTTGAAGCAACTGTACCACCTCCTTGATATAATGCTGCTATACCATCAACATCACCAAAATTATATTCTGATGTAGAATAATATTTACCTTTTTCTAAAGTTAAAGTTCTATAACCATCATTAGCTAAAGTATGAGCAACAACTCCAGCACCTGCACCAGATCCAATAATTACAGCATCAATATCAGGAATATATAATTCAGCATTTTGAAATTGTGGTTTTTTTAAAAAATCATATTTAAAAGGATCAATTTGTTGAGTTTCATAAGCTTTTTCTCTTAAATCTTTACCAGGATAATGAATAGCTTTTAAATGTAAATCATTATTTACTGTAACAAAAGTTTTTAAACCTAATGAAACACACATTCTATATAATCTATTTCTTATTGGAATTGGAGAATCTCTCCAAGATTTTATTAAAATTTCTCTTTCCTTTAAAGACATATCTTTTACCAAAGTCATTGAATTTGTAAAAGTTGGAGCTAAAATATTTGAATCTAATATAGTCATTGTTAAAACAAATAATTGAGTTGCTGATGTTGTATTTGTATTTACAGTTTTTAAAACTTGTGCTTTAAATTCAGGTAAATCAGATGGTTTTGTATAAACTTTTGTATATTGAATGATTTCTTCATCAGTAAATTCATTACTTAAAAATTCTCTTGCAATTTCTATTGGAACATCATGAATTACTCCATCAGCAAGGTATGAAAAAGTTTGAACGTGTTTTTCAGTTGCAACATCTGGTAATAATGGCATTTTGGTTATGATTTTTAATGATGAATAATTATGTAGATGAACGTTTTAATATTGGTTGATGTGTTTTTTAATAAAGTTTAAGGGTTGTTTGTAGTTCTTGTTGTCTTGAAATAACTCCGAAATGTTAAAAACTTTAAGAGTGTGTTTGAAATATTGGAAAAAAATGAAATTATTTATATAAGTTGGTTTGTATATTATTTAAGTAAAGAAAGAAATTTAAAATCTGGGGTTTAAAAAATATATATAGAATAGAAAAAGAATTTTATGTATATCAACAAATAAATTGAGAGACAAAACTTTAGATCTATTTCTGATAATGTATTTAACTATACTCTCTTTCTCATATGCTAAGTTGACTTATCAGTTATATGGTTAGCTTCTGAGGTACTACTTAGCATTTGAAAAAAGAAAAAAAATCAGTTCATTATTAGTTAGTTAGTTAATTCAACAATTCACCCACTAACTTCGTTGTTCTATTTTACTTTTTCATGCATGTGTTTTTATTTCGGAGTTAACGAGCACATATAGAAATGACATTTTATGAAGTTAGTACAAAATCAACCAGTAAGATTTGAAGGTTGATAAGACTATACATTCATGAAATTTCGATGATTAACTGAACTACGGGATAGAACATTAGACACCTGTCTCATTAGATGAACAACATATTGACTGAAAGCTCATTCTAATCAGTCATTTTTCTACCTTATCGTTTCGTTATCTTTTGGAAGAGGAGTAAAATGGGGCGTGTGAAAATAAAATTTAAACTCTTTTGTGTAATGATAGTATCGCTGTATATATATCAATTTAAAGATCAACAAAATGAGTTAACGGATAATATTAAATCATTAAATCTTTCCCCTTATTTTAACTCTTCCGTATAAACTAGATCTGAAACAAAATTTCTATTGGGTCTGAAATGATTGATGACAGCAATTTTTATCATATCCCCAGTACTTCTTCTAGTTCAATTGGTATATTAAACTCTTTTCTCAATTCCTCAGTTTTATATCCACTTTTTTTACTCAAATAATCCAATAACGTTTCAATCAGATCATTAAAAAATTCAATTTTGGATTTAATATCATCCGCATTGTTAATCATGTTGAATTGATTTAGTTTTGAATTTGAATTTTGAATCTCTGTATTCAATTGTTCAAGTTCAATCAATTTTTCGTTTCTATCTGGCATTTGATCTAAACTTCTTTCTTGTTGCAAATTCTGCAATTTAACTTTCAATTCTTGAATATATTTTTCTTTATCAACAATTTCTTTATTCAATTTATCCCTTTTATCTTCTAAAATTTTAATTTGATTATATTTAAAACTCCAATAAAGATTAGTTGTACCACATTTTTCTTGTTCAATTAATCCTTCATTAATTAATGATGTAACTAATTCTTTAATTTGAATTGATGAAATTTTACAATTTTTACTTGCTTTTTGTTCAATTTCTTTTAAAGTATAAAAATCATGTTCCGAATGAAACCAATTTAATAAATCTTGTTGTTTTTCTTCATTTGATTTACCTTTTTTGGCTTTTGGTGGCATTCTTTTGATGTTTGTTGTAATTCTGAAAAAAATTGGTTGCCAATTTTGGTTGCAAAAATTAATTATGAAAAATAAAATGAAATTAAATTATTTCACATACAAAATTTAAGTCCAACTTTGGATTACTTCGACATTGAAGCATTTCATTCGATTTAAAGAGTCTACAGTGTCATCTTTCTTTCATAAGAGTTTTCCTTAATTACTGGATTTGCAAACTCCATAAGTCAGGCACGCTATAAGTTAATGCAAGTTTCGGACATAATTTTCGGAGTATTTTTTATAAGAAAAAGAATTATCACGATGATATACGGATAAAATTTGTAAAATCATAACGAGTAAAGAGTACATTTCAAACTTTAGAGCTCATGAATATCATCTTGTAAAAGTCTATTTTATACATAAATTTCCCACCTCCGGTTGTAGTATTCAATAATCATATAATACACTATTTTCACTCAAAAAATATTTCAAATTCTTATGATCATTCTCTTTACCATCTTCAATTCCAGCAAAACCTAATGGACCTCGATCACATTCACTACAAATAAGTAGTCTTTCTATGTGAACTTTGATTTGACCAGAACTATCTCCTTCGAGTTCTTCAATTTTATTAGTAGTAGTATCATTATCATCTGTTGAAATAATTATTGGATCTTTTGATATTTCTGAGGGTCTACTTACTCCAATATTAACAAATGACCAAACATCATCTATTTTGAAAAATTTGGTGGTTTTTGTTGAAAGTTTTGGTTCTTTTACTTCAGGATAATTTTCAATTTCAATACATGATGGGGCGTTTTCAATTATTTCTGATTTAAGTTTTTGAGGATTATATTGAATGATTTTTGTTGAGCAATTACGGAATGGGCATATTAGTGTTATCTTGTCATTATTTGAGGTTAGGTTGTTCAATGATATTTCGTCTGATGATGAGATTGTCATATTCGATTGTTCATTGAAAGGTCGATATCAAATTATTTTTTTAATCTCTCTCGTTCCATGAATATATTCATAGAATTTTAATTTTACATTGAAATAAAGGCTGTCTACGATGTTATCATACCAAATTGATTGATGTGTAGGCCGGATTCATTCGTCTTGTTTAATAATGAGTATTAAACAACTCGCTATTCAACAAGGCTGTCATGTTAAATTTTACATAATTCCAAGATCTCCACAGACATTCCCAATTAGGATGAAACATAAACAAACTGATGATTTCAAGTCTTCACATTAAAATCCAAATTTAAATTCCATATAGATTTCTGAAAAATATCAAAAGATACGTCTTTAGTCTTACCACAAAGTCACAACTTAGTTGTCATCATGTCAAGAACAAATAGAAATTGGAAAACTTTGTATTCATATAATACTGGATTAATATATTTACATTTAAAGAATAATGATTTATTACAATTACAATTTGATTTAGATGGTCAATTCAATAAAAGTAATAACTTGGTGAATAATCAACAATTAACGACATTACCTCCACCACCATTGGGTACTTCTTTGTTTTTAGTTAATGATACATTATATGGATTGACTAGTACCAATACTAGTTTAAAATCAAATTCTTGTGAAGATGGATCAATTTCAATTATAAAATATTTAGATGATTCATGGGATAATGAAATAAATTTAGATATTGATGATGGATTTGTAGATTCTTCATTTTATCAACATTCAACAATTTTAACTTCAGATAATGAAGAAACTATATATATTTATGGAGGAGTATGTTCATCAACAGAAACAATAACAAATCGACTAATATCAATCAATTTAACTAATGGAACAATAGCTAATATTTCAACTTCTACTAAACCACAACCATTTTATGGAGCTTCAAATATATTGGCACCTAATTTACAATCACAATTAGTAATTGGAGGTGAATCAAATCAAGGTTGGTTAAATATGTATCAGTTAGCTACATGGAATTTCGATTCAGGATGGTCTTTTAAACAAGTCCATTCAAGTACATCAGAATCAACAACTGTAAATACTCGAGCGTTTCCATTAACATTACCAATTTTTAAACCAAATTCAAATATAAATAATTTTAATATAGATCAAATATTAATGATTGGTGGTGAAATGAATGATAAAATTAGTTCACCTATATATTCAAATTTACAAATGAATACAAACACATGGCTGTGGAATTCAGATATACAAAATAATATAAATTTTGATGAAATATTAGGAGCAGCTACTATTTTTTCAACTTTAGTGGTAATTAATTCTACTACTGATTTGAAAAATAAACGAATGACAAGCCAAGGGTATCAGATCAATCTTTATGATGCTGAAACGTTTAAACCTGTTGAAGATGTCAAAACTAACACACAAATACCGAACAAAAGTCCAACTTCAAATAGTAGAGAGAAAATAATACTTGGTACAGTAATACCAATATCAATAGTTTCATTAATTTTAGGTTTACTACTATTTTATTATTTCTACAAGAAACGAAATTCACATCAAAAAGAAGATGAAATACCATATAATGAAATTGATTATAAATTTGATTATTTAAATCAACAACCTCCTTCAATACATGATAATCCAATATATATACATTTAGATAATGATTCAAGTTCAACATTAAGTGGAGCAGGATCAATGGATTCATGGAAAAGAAAAAGATTAGATTTTGATAACAATAAGAAATTAAGAAATAGTTATTTAGCTTCAAATGAAACTTTAAATATAATTGATGATGAACTGATTGAAAATCCAACAACTTTAGATCCAGTAGTAATACATAAATCAGTAAGAAATTTAAAGAAATCATTTAGTTTTACAAATACTCCTCCAACTTCACCAACTTTACAAAAAGATACACCAACACAACCAAAATTAAAAAGTTTAAGACTAACTAATTCTGAACAATTACTACCTAATTCCGAACCAAATGATAATGAATCATTTTTAAGTGATGATGATAATCAAAATATTGATGCTCAAGTATTAGTAAGTAGTAAAAGAAGATCTATTTTAAAAATCATGAATCCTGATATGAATGAAGATATAGAAGATAAATTAAGACAAAGAATACCATCAAATGAGAATAATAGACGGTGAATTAAATTTAAGTTGGTTATAGAGTTTTTTAAATAATAAATTTTAAGCCCTCTTTTATATTAATTCTCTTTAATCTCTATTGCCGATTATAAAGGAGAAAGAAGTACCAATTTTACACGTGGTAGAGATGTCCGACTCGACCTAAGAATAGGCCGAAATTGCCAAAAATTTAGTGACAAGCCATTGAGAAACGAGGCTGGGACTAAAACTTAAAGCTAAAATTAATTTTTCTTTTCATGTTTTAATCGGGTAGTGTGACGTTAATTGAACAAAGTTATTAATAGTATCTTTTCTTGTTTATGAGTTAACTTTGACTATCGACAGTAAGTGTTTTCTCAGATTTCTAGTAGTTTACTTAAATTAAGTATTTCCTATCTCTTATAGTGTGTGATAAAATTATCTTCAATTTTGTGTGTGTAATAGTTTTTTATTAAAATACATAACTTCAGTCAATTTATAATTTATTATTTTTACAACCACATAATTATTATCTAAACACTTCAAGTAAATTGCCATTGTTTAATCGATTGATTGTATGAAACGTTATCCATAAGGAGATGGATCCGAATCAAGTATTAGATCAACAATTTGAAACTGACTTTTATAATGATTTCACATCAAATAAAGGTTTAAACAATCATCAACAAAATGATTATGTTATTACACCTGAATCAAATAATAATAATAATGGTACTCAGAATCAAGATCTACTATCTCAAAAATTAAAAGATATTAATGATGAATATTCCCAATTATACCCTCATTTTAATCCAGATAATGAAACAAATTTTCAATTGAATGATATGGATTTTGATTTCAATGTACAACAAACAAATATATCACAACAATTACAGCAACCTTTACAACAGCCTTTGCAACATCACTTACAGCAACCGTTACAACAACCAATTAAAAATGAAGATAATATGGAAGTTGATGATTCTCCTCCGTTTACATTAGAACTGGATCTTTATTTTGATCAAGGATTTGATAATAATTCAATAATAACAAGTAATAATCTACCTGCAAAAGATTTTGATTCAAATCGAAATAGATTATCAGTAATAAGTCATCATAATTCACTGCTACGAAGTCCTGTTCATCATGACAGTCCTTACAATGAAGGTTCAAGAGTTTCATCATATCATAATGTACAAAATGCAATGGAAAATAATGTTTTTATAAACAATGGTAGAACATATTTAGATAGTAATGATCATCAACATCAACAATTTGTTGGGAATCGAGTACGTAATGGATCAATAGATTCATATTATGCAGCAAATGCTATTAATCAAGCTCATTTACAACATAAATTTAATGAATTATCACCATTAACTACAACCACTTCTAATACTCATTCTATTTCATCAGCTCAATCAGCTCAACCATCATTTTTTTCCGCACATCAATATCTTTCAAGAAATTCAATTGATCAAACTCGTCCTTCACAAGATCTTTATGGTCGACCTTCAATTGAAGGACAACCATCACAACAACAAAGAAGATATATAAGTTTTACAAATTCCATTACAAATATTATACCTTTTATGGGTGATAAAAATCAACAAAGATCACCTCCCACTGTAGCAAATCAAACTCAATCTTTATTCAACAATAATCAACAACAACAACCTCCACAACCAGCACCACCACCGCCACAAAAGCATTTAATAAAATCAATATTCAAATCACAACAAAATGAACAACTAGATGATTCAGTTATGTTGACTGATAGTTTCTTACTTATGAGTCCTACAAAAGAAGAACCAGAAGAAGAAACACCTAAAAAGGTAAAATCATCAAAAAGAAGTTTATTTACAAGATTTAAAACCAATAAAGAAGAGGAAGAACAACAACAAGCACCAATAGTGGAACCAGTTCAAGAATCAAGTGGTTCCTCTATCATGACAAGTAGTCAAGTTTTAGAACATTCTACTTCAGATTCATCACAAACTAACGGGTTGGTTGAACCAGATTATGCAGCATTATTTGAAAATGTAGGTAAAAGAAAACCACCTAATAGAAAAAAAGTTAAAGAAGAAACTCCACAACAATCATCATTTTTCACGAAAAATAAAAAAACAACGACTGCCAGTTCTCAAAATTCAATTGGTGATAGTGCTAGTGGTACCAATATAAGTCTTTCATCATCTAATACTTCTGGTATACAAAAAACTTCTACAAATGAAAGTGGAGAATCAACATCATCGAATACACTACCTTCAACAACTACCACAATGATTTCATCTACAACAAAAAGAATATTAGGATCTAAAATTATGCCTAAAAACAATAAAACGAAAAAAAGTATAGTTAAAAAGGAAAAAATTATAGATGAGGTTCCAATTATAGCATCATTAGATACTCCAGTAGCAACAATGATTTCAGAAGGTGTTGAAGTTCAAGTTGATTTAGCTTCATTAGATTTACCACCAGATACAAAAATTTTCCCAACATCCATAATAAATTCAAAAAATAGAACTCGTGGTAGAAAAGAAAATAAAGAAGCAGATTTAAATGATGAAAGTAAAATATATCTTTGTAATTATTGTTCAAGAAGATTTAAACGTCATGAACATTTAAAACGTCATTTTAGATCATTACATACTTTTGAAAAACCTTATGATTGTTCAATATGTAACAAAAAATTTAGTAGATCAGATAATTTAAATCAACATTTAAAAATTCATAAATTAGAAGAAGAAGAAGCTCAAGCTGCTAAATTAATTGAAAATGAATGAATAACAAAATCAAAATTTAATATATGTTTATTATCTATATAGGTTCTAATTCATTACTTACTTTTAATTGAGTAACGGGATCTAAATCAATTAATTTTTTTTTCAGTGGTTTATTAATTAAACCTTTTATACCTCCAACACATATATTTCTTTCTTGATGCTTTTTTAAAGCATCTAATCTTGCAAATTCTTTACCACAAGGACATTTACTTAATTTAGCTTCACTATGACCTTTTAAATGTCTATTTAAATCATGTTGTCTAACAAATTTTTTAATACAAAATTTACAACTAAAAGGTCTATCAGATAAATGAGTTTGAATGTGGGATCTAACATTATATCTTCTGGTAAATAATTTCCCACAATTCTTATAAGTACATTTATAAATTTTATTTTCATCTGGTCCAATCCAATAATTATCTAATTCTCCTGGTGGTAATAAACTTGTTTTTTTAACTCTTCTTTTGGGGGATGAATCTTTAATTTGTTTTGATAATGATTGTTTTGAATTTGGACTTATTACGGGACTCCATTCTAATATTTGTTTTGGTTTAGTAGGAGTAAGGAATTGTGATTGTTGTGATTGAGAATGTTGAGCTAGAGGTTGATTTTGAGGCGGTGGTGGTTGTTGTATTGATTCTTTCACCGGTGATGAAGATTGAGTTGAAAAAGGTGATGATAATAATTGTTGTAAATAATCAGTTTGTTGATTATATAATGGTGTATAAAAATTTACATCTTGTCTTAAACTTGGATGTAGTGGAGATATATCAAATTGTTGTTGATTATGTATTTGAGATCTTTGAGGAGATGGTGATAATGGTTCTGGTGATGATTGCCATTCAGGTGATTCATTTGAAAGTTGTGGTGGAGTAGGAGGTGGTAAGAAAGTATTGAATGTTAAATTTGGCTGTGGTTGGGGAACTTGTTGTTGAATTTGTGAAGATGGTTGCGAGTATTGTTGTGGTACTTGCTGTGGAATTTGTTGAGGTGATTGCTGAGAAGATTGCTGAGGTAGATTTGGTTGTAAAGGTAAATGTGTTTCTAAAAGTGGTTCAAAATCATCTACATATTGTTTTTGTTGTTGTTGTTGTAATGTTTGTAAATATTTTGCAGAATACAGATTTATAATTTTTTGATCATTTCTAATAGGAGTTGGTGAAGGTGGAAATTTATATGATATTGGATTTTGATTTGTAACAATATATTCATCTTGTTTTATAGTTCTTGGTTGAGTTTGAGATAATTGTGGTAATGGTTTTGTTGGAGTTGAAATTTGTTTTATTGGTGATGAATTTAATTTTGTAAATGTATGATCTTCTTCATCTTCTTCTAGTAATGGTTCTGATTCAAAATTAAAATTTAATATATCTTGACTAGGTACTGACGGTTTTTGAGTTTGATTTGGTGTGTGTTGTTGTTGTTGCGGAGTTGGTGTTTGTTGTTGTTGCTGTGGTAGTAGCAGTGGTTGTTGCTGTCTCTGTGGTAATTGTACTCGTTGTGACTGTGGTTGTAGTTGTTGTTGTTTTAAAATTTCTCCAGGTGATACACTAATTGGTTGTTTCATAAAATCTAAACCATTTAAAGAAAATTCACGATTATGATCTGCAAATCCAAATATTGCAGTACCACTCATTTGCCTACTATGAGTTTTTGATTTTGATTTTTGATAAGAATGATAAAAGGGATTATTTGCATTATTATTTGAATTGTTATTTGAAAATCCACTTGGAACATCTAAATCTTGTAAATTATTTAATGTTTCATTAAATAAAAAATCAATTTCATTTGAATCAGATACTAAAAATTGATCAAAAGTTGTATCACCAGCTTTCAATTCCTCAAATATACTCTCCATGATTTAGTTGGTTTGGTGGTTCTTGGTAGAAGAATATGTGTTATACAACTGTTGTTGTTTTTCTATTATTTTTTTTCTAGATATAATGGAATGATAAATGTTAAAATAGCTGCAAAAAATTAGAGATTTTGTGTTAGATCTGAGTTACTCTTTTAGTACAAAATGTAAACAAATCCAATTATATAGCAATTTTGAGTAACTTGACAATATTCTACTAGAAAAATAAATTATGTATGTATTGTAACTTACTACTTACTTTACGCTTAATATCTATTCCAATAATAACATCTTTCTTGGATCTTCAATTAATTCTTTAATTGTTTTTAAGAAAGTTACAGCTTCTCTTCCATCTAATACTCTATGATCATAAGTTAAAGCTAAATACATCATTGGTCTTGAAACAATTTGTCCATTTACAGTTACTGGTCTTTGTTTAACACCATGTAAGCCTAATACAGCAGTTTGTGGCATATTAATAATTGGAGTTCCATATAATGAACCAAATACTCCACCATTTGATATAGTGAAAGTACCACCAGTCATATCTTCTAAAGTTAATTTACCATCTCTTGCCTTTTTACCTAATGCTGCTATTTCTTCTTCAATACCTAATATTGATCTTGATTCTGCATTTCTAACAATTGGAGTAACTAAACCTTTTGGAGTTGCAACTGCAATTGAAATATCAGTATAATCTCTAAATACTAAAGTATCATTATTTTCTATTGATGCATTAACAGCTGGAATATCTTTTGCTGCTAAACATGCAGCTTTTGAAAAAGCTCCCATAAATCCTAATTTTATACCAGTTTTTTCTAAAAATTCGTCTTTATATAATTTTCTCATATCCATTAAATTTGACATATCAACTTCATTAAAAGTAGTTAATGAAGCAGCTGTATTTTGTGATTCCTTTAATCTTTCTGCTATTCTTAATCTCATTCTATTCATTTTAACTCTTTCTTCATTTCTAGAAAAGTTTGTGAATGATGGTGATGATGATGATTCTTTTTTAGTTTCTTCTTTCTTTGGTTTTGGTTTGTCTTCTTTTTTAGGTTTTGATGGTTCTTCCTTTTTAGGTTCTGGTTTTTTCTCCTCTTTTGGTTGTTCTGGTTTTTTCTCTTCCTTTGGTTCTTCTTTTGATTTATCTTCTTTTGATTTATCTTCTTTTGGTTTTTCTTCTTTTGATTCTTCTTTAGCTGGTGCTTCTCCACCTTCTTCAATTTCTGCAATTTCTTGTCCAACTTCAACAGTTGAATCAGGTTCAACTAAAAGAGTTTTAATTGTTCCACTAACTGGAGCATTAACTTCAACATCAATTTTATCTGTCTCTATAGTAGCTAATAATTCATCTTGATTAATAAAATCTCCAACTTCTTTATTGAATGAAGCTAAAGTACCTTCAGTAATAGATTCAGCCATATCCGGTACTTTTACTTTAGTTGATGCATATCTAATTGAATTTTGAATTGAAAATGAGGAAATCTTACAAACATTTGAAATTGGAAATGATGTTGTTGGTAATCTTGACTTGAGCAAGCTTTGTCCAGCTCTACTTATATTTCTAGCTAACATAATGAATATATGGTGAATAAGAGTAGTAGGTTCTGTTGAAGAAGAAGTACCGAAAAAAAAAAATATTGCTTTTCAGATTAATTTTATTGGACTTAAAATATAATACCCGCCCGGAGTTTTTATTAACCCAAACGATGACTACAAATATAATATGAAACAAAGAGGAGAAATGGTATCGTGTCAATGAACCTTGTCTCGGTTCGTTTGTGAGCTGGAATATGTTTCACATTGCTAATATGAATCAATGTGTTTTAAGACCATTTATCCCGGACTATATAGTTTCTATGCAGAGTTTAAACATTCCGGAGTTTTTTTTTAACGTGTAGATCGGAGAAATTGTGAAACTTTAATACATCATTTTTTTTGCAGCCATCTCTTCATCTTGTCTCAAGGATTTTTATGTTAAGTTTCTATTGATAAATTCTCAGCACATAGCTATAGCGCCCACACGTATGGTGTATATTAAAATTATGACGGGCATATGTATCTCAAGAATTCAGACTTGAACTCCGATGAAGCACATAGAAGTGTAACGCAGAGACAACACTAAGTTTCTCAAGCATTTGAGTAAGTTCGACTATAGCTCTTGAGGATGCTATTATGAAGTTCAAGATTGGCATATAAACAGGTTATGCACTGGATTTATGAAAGCGAATGAAAATTTCCTATAGACAAATTAGGAATAAAATCTGAAACAATTAAGAATCATTTTGCAATTATTGTCGAACACAACTCATCTCTGTTTAAGGACAAGTCAAAATTCATTCCCTCAAACCCCTTCTGATACAAGTCACGATCTGAGAAATTAAACACAATATTACTTCATTTCATGCCCTTATGTAAATTTTGTTTTGAGTGGTAACTCATATTGAGAAATTTACGTCGGCTGCAAAATAAATCTATTTCCTGAAACATAGTTAAGAAATTCAACAAATTCTTTAAAAACACAAATGGTCAATCAAAAAATTAAACCATTTAAAGATAAACTTTTTAAATTAAAGAATAACAGATGCATCCTTCAAAATCTTGACACATTTCTTCATGATTCATCAATGTTAATACAAAGTTTTAACGAATTTTTTTTAAGAATTCAAATTAATTTTTCACACAGAAAATGGAATAGGCAAAGTACCTTTCATGGGAAATTTTTGAACAATCACACGGAACAACTTTCAATATTTTAGACAGTTGATAATACATTTCAAAAGTACGATAGGTTATGTATTTTGAACAGTGAAGAGAAAAATTCACTTTAGCAAATGAGCAAAAGAAAAAAAATACATGAGTAAAAAAAACCCATTGTTACATAGATACAATATCGTCATGAACAGGATTCGAACCTGCGCGCCCAATGGGCATACCCTTTCCTTCTGTAGTAGAATAGCAGGGGTACGTCTTAAGACCACTCGACCATCATGACCAATTGTTGAAAAATAATTTTTTGGGGCCACCACTTTTTGTTGAAAATGACTTATTTGTCGCTTGACCTCTTTTGATTTTTGTTGTAATCCTCACAAAATTTTGGGGCCATATTCTCATTAATGTCGTAAGTTTAGGCCGGAAAATTAATTAAGGATCTACTATTATGATATATATTATCTAAAACATGACTCACCCAGTCCAGTGAAGCATCAAAATGACATAAGTCGAGTGTATAATCTGTGATGAGTAGAATGATCGATATCTATTGGAACCAGACTGTTCGAACTTATCAAAAATTTTTTAGTCATTGCCTCATTTAGTATCGTTTGAAAAATTTGACTCATCGAATCTACTTTTATTTGCTAAGAACCAGAACTGTTCCTCGTTACTTTGTTTAACCAAGCCTCAGACTACCACACAGATATAATTGTTGTTCATTTTTTTTTTATCCTTTTAACAGAACTTGAAATTCTCAAAATGTAAATTGAAGTAAAATTTTTTTTTTCTACTTGAATCATATTTTGCAACCAAATAATCAGAAATAATTAAATTATTTTTCATCAACAAATACCTTTATACTATTACTCTCAGAATTATAGACAGTGTTAACGGATCTCATCACTTCTCATTATTCAACTATGAAGAACTCATTCTAGTATGTATACTAACATAAAATACTTACTCTTACAATAGTAAACTTTCTGAGTGAAGACCCATACCTCAATACTTATATATTTTTGCCATCAATCATCAAAAATCATGAGTAATGAACTAGGGTTATCACATAACTGGAGTCACCCTTTGTTGGAAAGTTATAATTTTCGGGCTTATCGTGTAATGCAAGTAATCAATGATATCATTGTTTCCCCTTTAGAATAAGATTTTCAGGTCCTTAAACAAGTTATAGTTTATCAAATTTCAGGAATTTTAAATTTTAACAAAGAAATGAACAATACCCAACAATAAAAACTAAAGACATTGGGAAAGTTAAAATTAGAAAAGAACAATAGCAATTGTCTTGAACCCTTAGATTAGTTATAAACTCTATTGGAATTTGAAATTTTGTCCTATTGCGTATTCAAGATACAATTATCATATACATTACAATATTGAATTTACTAATAACTTTGATTCAACCTTGTTTAGATCAAATATAATATTCCAATATATAATAATTATTTGAAATATGAAGAGGTACGTCATTTTTAAAAGAATGGAACTTAAATATTTCACCAATTAAAAACTAAACGAGAATATTAAAAATGAGGATTAGATTGGTTATATAATGTTGTCAAGTGATGTTAACAAACATATGATTTATCAAATAGAAAAGTTAAAATAGAAAAGAAATACAAGTAGTTAAGAGAATACTATTGTAAAACAAGGGGGAATATTGATCGGTTGTAAATGGCTACAGATTTGTCTTTCTTTTCTTTCTTTCTTTTTCCCCTAGCCAATATGGTCATCTAAAGTAAGCGTGAGATATAATAAAATTTCTTCTTAAATCTGGGGAGGCAAAGAAGTCATTGCATTATTTAAATTAGTTCGTATGTGAATCAAAGAATTAACTTAACCAATACTTATAATAATTATAATTAATATTTTATGAGGGAATTTCAATTTAAGACAATTTTAATCGTTTTTGGAGAAATTAAAAGAATTTCCTCGAGAATTATAAATTTAGATTAGTTGTTTGTTTTGATTAATTAAAGTACTTAATAACGATCACAATCTTTTAACTATGATTAGTGTAGTACAATACAATATGTAAAAATAGCAAAGATTGTACGTTTTTAATGTATAATTTATTATCTTTCTATACAAACTCTCATTAAACTACTTAAAATGATATTGATTGGTTTTCTCGATGATCTTTCTCGTTTTTGAATTTTTTATTTTGTTTTGGTCCAAAGTGAACGACCAATTTTTTTTTATAGTATGAGGGATTTATTTTTGTACTACTTTATTATACGTGATAAAATTACTTAATAAAGAGATTTTCATATACAAAGCAGTTGGTAGCAGTATTCTTACAGCTGAAAAATTTTTTATACTCAGTAAAAATTTTATTCTTGCTTGTATACAGGAATAGGTAGCAGTTAAGATTGTTTCAAATTGAAATATGTTAAGTTCAATAAACAATTGAATAAATAAATAATAAATAAATTTATAATAAATTGATCGATTATTCCCCTGATTTTAAAAATTTTTTGCTTTTTTTGGGTTTTTCTCATCATCAAAATATATTTCCAAAATTTCATTCAAAAGTTTTATAAATTCATCAAAATTAGCAAATATTCATATTTGTTGATAAATTGAAAACTTATTTGTTTTTAGTTTTATTGGTTTTCATTATACTGTATTATTAAAAAGAATATTTAGAGATTTTTAGAGTTAATATAAAGATCAATATCAATAAAGTCAAGTACTAGATATATCATTTTTCATATATTCAATTTTCCAACATTAGAATAGAAACAAACCGTCATGAATTTCTAACATTTTGTAAATTTGCAAAATTTTAGAGAGAAATAACATTAAAGAAACAAGTAACAACAAACTACTATCAAACAAACAACCAAACAATCAAAGATGATTAATTTATTTGGAAAAAAGAAAACATCTTCAGATTCAAGAAGATCTTCAAATTCTTCATGTAGTTCATCAAGTTATAATTCATCATCTTCAAATAATAATTTAACATTTAAAAAATTTGATGAAAAAAAAGATTATAATAAAAGATGTAAATTAAAATGTGGTAAATCATCTAATAATAAAGCAAAACCAGTTGCAGTTAGTTTTTGTTTAGGTAAATAACATCAACTCAGATTTGATGATGATTAATGATAATTTTTATGAGTATAAAATGAAAGTTTTCCTTTTTGTTTTAATATTTATTTTATAGTTCTTAGTTTATTAGTTTTGTTTTTTGATTAAAAAGAAAATAAAATGGTTTTATTGGGGTTTTTAAAAGTTTTAAACATGTACTTGTAGAATATTTGATTAACTGACTTGACCATCACTGTTTTCATTTCTGATCTTACTGCTAATACTATTTGGTATTTCTGAAGAAATGAATAGTTCGACAGTACAAAACAATTTCTACTATTAGAATCACCACGCCAGTACTAAAAAGTTCTACTACTACTAGTACAAACGCCTTCGACTACTGATACTAAGTAATACACCAACGACTAGTAAAACGAGAAATTCTTAGACTAAGTTTAGCCAACTAACATGAATAAAAAAAATGTAAGAAAGCTCGTAGAGTCAAAATTTCATTTTAAAAATATTTAAAATTTCAACTGAACATTAGCATTTCTTATCGATTTAACGGGCTAGAGAGTACGGAAACACTAGGATCTTCATTTAGTAAAAGACCAATGCATAACCGGTCAATGCAAGTTGTCCCGTATATTAGCAAAGAAAGAAGAAAAAGAAGAAGAAGAAGAAGAAAGAATAGAAAAAGAATTGAAAAGTTTTTGAAATTTGTTGCGCGGTCTATGATTTTTAGTGATGATGAACACAAAATCAGAGAGAGAGGTCTATAACGTGTATCCAATTTTAGTAATTAGATACGAATAAGATCTTATAAATAAGTATATGCAATTCATTAATTAGTTTCTATAGTCATTAATCATTAGTTTTCATTAGCCATGAATCATTAGTCATTAGTTTGTCGTTAGTCATTAACCGTTAATCATATTTGCCGTTAATTAGAATAGCCGTTAATCAGTTGCCATTAGTCGATGTTTTAATAGTTATTCATTATACCATTAGCATTCATATTTCATTGAAATTTTGTTCATTCATCTTTTAATATTATCATGTAAATGATCAATTTTTGATTTTTTAGATAATCCAATTCTTGATTTTTTAAAATTATTACTTGTATTATTTACAATTTCAGATAATGGTTTTGATTTAACTCTTATTCTTTTTAATGAATTTTTTTGTAAATTTTTATTTTCTTTATTATTTGAATTAATTATGGATGAACTTTCATTTTGGTTGGATTTAATTTGATTGGGTTGAGCATTAGTTTCCTTTTCTTTAGTTATTTTATCATTTGTTGAAGCTGAAGGTTTATTTTGATTAGTTTTTATTGAAGATTGATTAGTTGGTGTAGCTGTTCCCGCTTCTTTGACCAATTTTTGTTTTTGATTTTTTTCAAATTCAATATCATCATTATTTGAAATTGTAGTTGATTGAGATGCAATTGATGGATTTTTAGAATTATAAAATTCAGAATCATTTGAACTAATTGTATCAGATTGATAATTAAGTTTTATAATAAATTTATTTTGATTATTTTTTAATTCTTTGTCTTTGGTGGGAGATTCTTGTTCAACTCTAATTTTTGAACTAATTTCTATTGTTGTTGGTGTCGGTAAATCTTTATTAGATTCCAAACTTGTAATTAAATTTTCTTCAATCAGTGAAAATGATTTTTCATATTGATTTATATCAAGACTACCCTTATATGTTTCTTGTGGATCAGATTTAAAATTCAAAATAGGTAAATCACCAATTAATTCCGGTTCAGTTTTAACATTTCCATATTGTTCATCATAATCATAACTTATTTTTCTTTTTAGACTTATCTTTTGATCTACAGCCAGAATTTTTTGAATTTTTCTTTGAATCAATTCATCAAATTCATGTTTCATATTCTGCACTGGTCTTACTTTTTCTTCTTTCAAAGTCACCTGTTTTACATTTTCTTCTTTGAACAAAGGTGATGAACAATCAATTATTTCAGATTCTTTAAATTGTTTTAAATCAGGTATAATAACATTTTTTAAAATATCAGTTTTATCTAAACTTTCTGTTTTTAAACTACTATCTTGAATTAATTGATTTGCAGATGAATAAGTACTTGATCTTGATTTTATTGGTTGATCCATAACAATTTCTAAACTCTCATCTTTTGTTGATTCATCATCAATTATAATTATATCTTCTGGTATTTTTGGATGACTATCATAAATTTCTTGAGTTTGTTGTTGTAATTGAGTTGATATCAAATCATTTTCAGCTGTTGCAAAATCCACACAATGAAAGTTTCCATTACTTAGTTGACTTATACTTTCTTGTTGATTATAATTATGACAATCTGATGTTTGTGTTTGTTGATGTTGTTGTAGTTGTGGTAAATGGTTGTAAATTGTTATTTCTTCTTCACTGTCAGAAACATGAGTTATATCTTCAATTGGAAAGGTTTTTGGTCTATGAGCATCTGGTAACTCTACCGTTAATTTATTCAGTTTCGGTAGTCGACTTTCGGGTAGAGTTTTACTTCTCCTATTTTGATGAACCTGTTGTCTCATATCTTGGTTGTCATAATCAAAATAAAACCAAAAAAGGAAAATCGCGTGTAGAAATTTTAATTTAATTAATCTTCAACATCTTCAACAAATTTTTTTTTTTTTTTCAACGACTTCTTTCATTAATACGGATTCTTTGTCATTGATTCAATCGGTATCCTCAAGTTAGGATATGCTCATATTTGAGGAATTGAGACCTAGTGAAATAGAGATCCCACGGAAACCAATACTTTTTAAATATAATTTCCAACAAATTATTTTTTGAATTTCATAAAAACTATTACAATTTTATTTAGTTTTTACCAATTTTTTTCAATTCCATATTGACTCAAATTTTATCTATTTTTAAACAACATTTTAAAAAATCAAAGGTTGAGAGGCAGTGATTACATCCGTACCGCACACATCCTACAAAGGTGTAGTGTATTACAAAAAATTATTTAAAAAAGGTTTATTCAAAAGTTCATATAAGTTGATGGATTCATAAACAGTAAACTAATGAAACTGTTTGAAAAATTGTTTAAAATCTTAGATGGAAATTGTTAAAGTTTACAAAAGGAGATTTTTATCTCATATTTTACTTTCAATTTACTTTCAAATTCACGGATTTTATTTGAATTTTTCATCATTGATTCATTTTTTTAATTTATATGAATTAAACTTTTTATTTCAGTAATACATGATCAAATAAATATTTATAAATATATATGATGGTTTTATGATTTATTGATTTTTAAATTTCCATTTTACCAAAAAAAAAAATTTAAATCAAATATGTCAAAAACTTTGATTTTGAAAATACCTGTTTGAAGGCTTGGATTTAAATTTGATGATCAACTTGTAGATTACTGGAATCATTAATTGGAAAGATAATTTGAAACAACTTTGTTTTTCGAAAAGAAATATTTATGATTTATTCAAAGGTATGGTTAGCATTTATCAATATTCGTTAAGTTAAAATATTTACCGATTTAAAGGGCTCCCTTATGGATAGCTTCCAATACTGTTTTGTTTATTATTTGGCAATAGGTATGTCTTAATGAGGTGATTTTTTCTTAAGGATTGAATTGATTTATGTGTTTGAAATTCATAATTATTTTTCAAGAATAAGTTAAAATTGGAATATGTTTAATAAGTTGTTTTTAATGGTTAGTTTCACATTTAAAGTCTTACTCATTTATGAGATAGATTGAATTTGACTTTTTTTGTATGTACAAGATTATAACGTTGAGGAATTATTTTGAGATTAAATACTAACACTACATTTCATGCATTAAAACCAAAGCCCAGTATATGAGAATTGAACTTTGGATTAAATACAATTTAATAGGGCACTTCTTTTCATTCGTTAATATCTTGATAAATCTTTGAAAAATTGTTTCAACTAACTTCCAATTAACTTAACAAAGAAGATGCTTTTTAAATTACGGATTGGTAGAAAGTTTGAAGATGTTTGTTCAACTCTATTAAAAAAGGAAAACTTTGTATTTCAAATCAAATTCCATTTTCCAAATAGTTCGACTGATACAGCATGCCCAAGAATAAACAAAACTAAGCATCTTTAAGTCTTGAATGTTAAATCCTGCAAATCATCGTATAAACTAGATTGGTTTAACGAACAAATATGAAAAAGCAGAGTCAATAAAAGGCTACAACCTTGGTGATGGGATGTCGAACGATATTTGCTGATGCTTTAACCTTTTCCATCAGCAGCATTAAAACCTTTTATTGAACCTATCTTTCCATATTTAACAGTTCATTGAACCAGTCTACCTAATGCAATGATTGGAAGATCTTTTCCTATTCAATCGAGTCGCTATTAGATGAAATTTGTAATTCCTTCCATAAAACTTACTTAAGAAAATACTCCCAAATTGTTTTTGATTGTAAAGTAAAATATTAGTTGCTTTAATAATTTCATGAAATCTACTCATTTAATCTTGTACCTAATTGGAGAAAAAATAAACGTCTAAAATTTTTGGATAATCTTCTTCTTCAACTGCTGCTGATTATTCTATTACTTCTGATTCTTCCTTTAAATCTGTTTCTCCTGCTTTTTCTTTCTTAAGCGTCTAATGTTTCTAGTGCCTCTGCTTCTTTCTTATCTTCGAAAGAATCGTCATATTGGATGGTTCGTCATCACCTTCTTCTTCTTCAATATTAGTACCACTCCAATCTTTCTTCTTTTATAAGACCTAAGCAGGCCCTAAGTTCCATGCAAATAATAAATTTGATCTCAATAGTCAAGAAGGAATATCAAAAATAAATGAATTTTTGGTTGTCAACAAGTTATATCAAATTTTAGCTGGTAAAGTATTGATTTTTGAAATCAAACTTCTAGCAAAACCTTACACATTTGATTAATTTAAGCAAAGATCATTTTTCATCCTCTACCATTGATTATGATGTTGGAACAATTCTTGACTTAAAATAATGTGTGTCATGTTAAGAATTATATAAACAACTACAACATGTCTGACTTGTAAATTATTGAACACTTATCCACTATGAGTTTCTGATAAAGTATTGCAACATTAGCCTTCTTCTTGTCGTGTTTGATCGTATTAAAAGTTTGTTTTGCCCTCATGTAGGCTACCGCTAAGGGACATTCCCCATATAGTTTTAACAGGAATACATAAGCTGAGACTGTTATTGAGTGTATTAATGATTTGATACTGATATTAAATTGAACAAAGAATATGTTGTTATTGCATTTGTAGGTATTAGATATAAATGTGATATATAATAGAGGAAAAAAACACGTATTAAATGTGTACACATTTGATTTATGGTTTCGTGGCGTTTCATAAAATTCGTGTACTTGAACAAGAAAAGTACAAATTTAAATAATCTGCAAAATTCTTGCACTTGGCTGCAAATTATCATTATAATGAATCAAGTTTCTAGCTTCATACATCAAACGTTGATTTTAAAAAAAGATAAATCAACTTTTGTTTACAACTATTCTATTGATGCCAAGTAAGTTAAACAAAGTAAACTTTAATAGGGTCATGTATATTAATAAGTCCTAATTCCTCAATTGATTTAAAATTCATGAGGTATCTATATAAGGGATGAACTTTATCTAGAAGTCCACTTATTCTTCAATTGAATTAGGAAAAGATTGATCAAAACATACGTAGAATAGTATGGCAAAATTTATGAATGAACCAAAACCAATAGGTGGATCAAGTTCAAAACTTAGTATTATGAGACAGAAACTATGAACTTAGATAAAATACCAGAACTATCCCAATACTCCATTGAATTGGAGAATTAAGTTTTACCATTCGTATTGAAGATACAATAATACAAATGAAAGTTAGAGAATCGATTCAGATATGTAATTTTAGATTTAATGTAGTACTGATCTCTATTTGTTATATACTATAAGTATGAAGAGCTCTTAGTCAGTTTTCATGATAAATATTTAGCAGCGGTTTGATAAAATGATTTACCTTGAATTTCAGCGATTTCTTTTTCTAATTTACTTGGTTGACGTGAACCATCTCCACCAGCGAAAGTTCCTGCACCATATGGTGATCCACCGTGGACTTCACTTAAATTAGCTTGTAAAGCAAAGGCATGAGCATAACCTAATGGAACGAAAATAATACCATGATGAATTAAAACGGATAATGAGTTAACAATTGTGGTCTAAAGTTATAAATGTTAGTATTGGTTAAAATATCGAAAAAAAGGTCTATTTTTGATGCCAACTTACTTCCTGACCACCTCCCAAAGTACCTGTGGACGTAAATACCGCAGCGATCTTACCGCTAAGCTTTCCTTGACTCCAAAGGCCTCCTGTTGCATCCCAAAAAGCTAAAAGTTTGAGTTAGTACTTTTTTGAGTAATCTAAAATTGGTAGCTTTTCACGAATCGTGACTAAAACACCAAGACTTTCAAAGTTAGAAAGTTAAGTTAGCAAACATACCTTTAAATTGAGCTGGGAAATTACCAAATCTAGTTGGAATACCAAAGATGAAAGCATCATATTCTTCTAAAACTTCATTAGTTGCAATTGGATAATTTGGTTTTGGTGGAGCATGTAATTTGGTTAAGACTTCATCACTTAAAGTTTCTGGAACTTGATAAATGACAGCTTGACCACCAGCAGCTTCAACACCTTTTTTTTCTTCTTCTGCTAATTGAGCAATGTGGTGATATAATGTGTAAATAATAATTGCAACTTTAATAGCCATTTTGTTTTATTTGATTGTTGATTTAAATATAATTGAATTGATAAAGCAAATTGATATAATAGAAAATTTCAATTGAGAGTGAGTAAAAGATAAATCGTGGTATATATATATGAAATCTGGTAATTTTATTCCAAACATGTAAAAATTAATAATTTATTATTAAACAAATAAGGGTTAAAGTTGTGTCGACAATAAAACAATTACACAAAGACGGTGAGACGGTTTAGTAGTATAATTGAAGTTATTTAAGTACCACAGCTTTTTAAAATTAAGCAAGCATATATTTAGTTAATTTACATACTGTAAATATTTATTTTTACTAATGAAATTACAAATTCGGAGTGTGAATTTTTGATACCATTATCAAATTAAGAGGAGAAAATTGTGTATTATAATGCTGTGGAAACAAACCATATGGACCATGACGGAATAACGATGTTATAACATAAAAACTGTGTATTAATATCTTTGTTTAAGTCGTTTTAAATAATGAAACTTACTTACTAATTTAATTACAAATTTTTGAAATTTGTAATTAATTATTAATTTTTTATTTTTTATATTTTATTTTTCTTTTCAAGAGAGAAACTCTTAAACAAGGACTAAGAATAAGAAGCGAAGCTCGAGGTCAACACTGAAGGCACCTGATCAATAACCGATCAACATTCACTCCCATTAGAATTCATGTATTTTATGTAACATCCTAAAACTTCCAAATAATCGCAAGAATTGACATGAAATTAAAAATTTAAAATCTATTTTATATTGAGTTTCCACTTAAGAGGTAATTCAACAAATAAAAAAAAACGAAAATACTGAAACAAATTTGTAGAAAAATTGACATATGGCATATTAACCAGCTTAAATTGAACCTCAAAATAATGAATTGATATCTACGTCAATACGAATTGTAATAACAAAGACCAATAAAACAAATGAATCACCAGATATTTTCGAGAAATTCTTATTAGGGAGGTGATTAATTATTCTGGAATAAAGAGCAAGGCTCTTAACTCATTTTTTACTAATAAAATTTAGTAAAATTAGTAAAATAATAAAGATAACATCATAGAATTACGAAACTTTTGTGTAATTAATAAGATATTATTATTTTTAATTTTTTAGTTCTTTAATTCTTCAATTCTTTATTCATACAATTTCATACAATTTCCATTCATTTTATGTTTAAATAAATTTTTTTCAAAATTCAAATAAATCTTTATAATTGATTGATATTACCAACACGATTGAATAATAATTTTCAATAGATTTACATTAACAAGAAAGTTAAAAAACAATGGTGAAGATTGCAATTATTGAATACTCAACTTATGGTCATATAGTGACTCTTTCAAAAGAAATTCAAAAAGGAATTGAAGCGGCTGGGTTCAAAGCTGATATTTATCAAATTGCTGAAACTTTACCTAATGATGTATTAGAAAAAATGCATGCACCATCAAAACCAAATTTCCCTATTGCAACATTAGATGTTTTGATTGAATATGATGCATTTATATTTGGTTTCCCAACAAGATTTGGTAATGCACCAGCTCAAGTTTTAGAATTTATTGGTGGAACTGGATCAATCTGGCAAAATGGTCAATTAGTTGGTAAACCAGCTGGTTTATTTACATCAAGTGCAACTCAAGGATCTCAAGAAATTACTCTTCGTAATTTCTTATCAATATTAGCTCATCATGGTATGCCGTTTGTACCTTTAGGATATACTAATGCATTCGCGGAACAAGCTAATGTGGAACAAGTACATGGTGGTTCACCATATGGTGCAGGTACTTTTGCTGCAGGAGATGGAAGTCGTCAACCAACTCAATTGGAATTAACAATTGCTTTTAAACAAGGTGAAGCTTTTGCTAGAACTGCTAGTAAATTTTATACATCAGAAAAAAGATCAATTAATAAAACTGGTGAAAAATCCACTGGTGCAACTTCAACTGGTGCTGCTGCAACTACAACTAAACCAGCTCAAGCTAATACAAATGCTACTTCACATGAAAAATCAACTTCTCAACCACAAAGAGCTGCACAAACTTCAAAAGCTCCAGAAACTACCGATAAAAGTTTCTGTTCAAAATGTATTATAATGTAGATTAGATTTAAAATAATTAAAAGTTATACTTTATAGATTCCAAAACAATAAATAATTCTTAATTCATGTGTTAGTCGAAAATGATTTGTAAGTAGTATGTTGATAAAACCGTGTGATGACAAGACTGTGTGATGACAAAACCGTGTGATGATAAAACCGAGTGATGATAGAGCCGTGTGATATAACCGTGTTTGTCAAATTTAGAAACTCAAAGTCTTGACTCTTTTACTTACGTAGATGAAAAATGAAACTGAAACCTACGTAAAATAATTGTACATTATTTTCAAAATCTATAAACCATATATATGTAATAAAGCTAACAAATTGTCAATCAATTTCGAATCCAAAAGAAAATCCTGTATTTTCAGTTAAGTTCTCCCATTTTTTACTCTTTCCTGTATCATTACAATATTGTTTTGCTTCCAATTTTTCAACTTTTAATAAAGCATCTTCCAATAAACTTTTTTGACCATTATCAATTAATAATTTCAGTAGAATCTCAAATATAGGTAAATTTAAAGTTAATTCTCCACAATCTTCATTTAAATCAACATTATAATTTAAATCAATATTTAGTCCTAATTGTTTTATTAAATTTTGTACATCACCTAATTTAAAACCTGATATTTGACCAGGTTTATTTTTTAAAAAATTTAAAACTTGAAATAATTTCATTGATGGTACAAAATTTTGAGTTATTGCTATTGAATCATCAATATTTATAACACTATGCCACCAACCCAGTGGTACAAACATACATTCTCCTGGAAAAGTTATACCAATTTTAATATCTTTTAATTTTGTAGAATCATTATAAAATCCAGATATTACCCATTCAGCTATACTTATCGGTGATGTTACTTCACTTTCTTCTTCATCTGTTGATACACCTGGTGGAGTTATATTCGGTGGTAACATAATCCATAATTTTCTACCTTGAATTGAAACATTCCATGCAGATGTTGAATTTGGATCTTTATGGAAAGTAGAACCTGATCTTTTGGACCCCATAATTAACCAAGCATGATCAGGTCGGTAATTTTGAAATAATTTAAAAATGTCATCATTGAAGATAGAAGGTGGATTATATTCTTTTCGTAGTGTCTTCATCGCCTCACTATTACAATCAAATAGATACAAAGGACACTCATCTTGGTTGGACTTGAGATACTGAGAATACTTTGATAGATCCCAGAGACAAGATTCTTGTCGAAATTTGACATTAGGAAACCTTGTAAGTAGTGATTCAAATGTCCATTTGGGCCATCTTTCTGGGTCTTTATTAGTCAATATAAATGGCGAGTCAACAAAATTTTCGAATTCTTCTATATCAAATGTTTGTTCATCAAATCTAGGTATTCTACCATTTAAAACTTCGGGAGATGGATTTTTTTGACTAATTTCTTCTTCTGCGATAACGTTCTTGAAAATATTTGCATAATCAATCTGTGAACATTGGTAAGGTCTATAAATCTCATCACAGCAAAGTAAATTATTTGGAAGTTTTGGGTTTGCTAATTCTTTTATTCTTGTTACTGTTTGTTTCCATGAACCTAACCATGATAAATTATCAAATTTCTCCAGCTGATTAATATAAATTTGTTTCCATTTTTCTTCGTCATATAACAAAGCGTAAAAAATTCTCGAGGTTTGTGATAAATTTATCAAACTTTGTATATCATCCATATATGAAATAATTTTTAAAATCAATTCATTAGGTAGTATGGAAAATAATCCTAATAATTTTTTTCTTTGTTCTTGTAGATCAACATCATCAGCTAAAAGTTGATTTCCACTAGGTTTTACATTCAACGGATGAAGTTTGTTAGCTATAGCTAACGTTGAGACTGTTCTGCATAATCTTTGCTTTTTAGCTGGTGGTTCCATATAAGTTGCAAAAAAGAAACTTTGATGAAGTGAAAAAAAAAATAAATTTTCAAAACTTTTTCTATCAGCTTTTGTGACTTGCATTATCACTCCACAATTTATTTATTATTTTTTTCAAGCAACTAATGCTTATCAAACAACTACCAAAAACCAGACTCATCAGAACAAACCGAATCATTAGACTAATGACAACACAACCAGAGACGGAGACTCAAAAACCAATAATATTTGCACCTGAAACTTATCAATATACCAAAAGTCATTTATCAGAATCTGATCTTTTATCAAATCCATTTGATCAATTTCATAAATGGTTTAAAGAAGCTCAAGATAAATTACCAAAAGATTCTGATATTATAGTAGAAGCAACAAATTTTTCAACTGCAAATTTACCAAGTGGTAGAGTTTCTAGTAGGATTGTTTTATTAAAAGAATTAGATAAATATGGATTTTTAGTTTATTCAAATTGGGAAACAAGTAAAAAATCAAAAGATTTTAATTCAAATAAATATGCCGCTTTGACTTTCTTTTGGCCACATCTTCAAAGACAAGTTAGAGTTGAAGGTATAATGGAAAGAGTAACGAGAGAAACTAGTGAAAGATATTATAAAACAAGACCAAGAGGTTCTAAAATAGGTGCTTGGGCAAGTCCTCAAAGTACAAAAATTAGTTCAAGAGAAGATTTAAATAAATTAAATGAGGAATATGAAGCAAAATTTAAGGATTTGAAAGATGACGAAATCCCATGTCCTGAACATTGGGGAGGTATGAGAATAGAGCCATTAGAAGTAGAATTTTGGCAAGGTGGATTAAGTAGATTACATGATAGAATTAGCTTTAGAAGAGATGATTTAGAAAAAGATTGGGAAATTTTTAGATTAGCTCCATAAAAAAATAGAATATTTTATAGATATTGATAAATTTATATACATGCATTTTCTAATTCTTCTTTAAATGACCTCTTTCATATAGTAAAGCAGGTTCTCTTTTAGGTATCCATTCTTTCTTCCTTAATTCTCTTTCATTTTCCTTTTCATGTTTTCCAGGATATATAATTCTTTCATCAATTGGATCTAGATTACTTTGAGGATTTTCAATATCTTTAATTAAACCATCTTGTCTTTTTAATTTTTTCAAAAAAGTTCTTATTTCTCCAAAACAATTCATACACATGAAATGTGATCTTTTAACTGCTCCACAAGCTGAACATCTAACTATATTATTTAATGGTTGTATTTGTTTATTACCAGGAGTATATAATTTTACTCTTTTTCTTCTATATGACATTTTCTTTTTTGGAGCAGCTTTTAATATTGTTCCATTATCTATCATGAATGGTGGATCTTGTGAATTTTCTAATTCTTCTTGTAATTCGGATAATCTTGAATCTTTTTGTTCATTTGGAACCAATCGTATTTTGATTTGTGGTATTATTCTTGGTAGAACACCCCATATCGATTGTTGGGGAGACGTTATTGAGCCGAACCTTAAGGCAAATGACATTGCAGTTTGTTAGGTTGATCTGGTTCATACTGAAAATTTTTAAATTATTGTGAATTATATTTTATCAAGTAGAGTGTCGTGACAGAAAAAGAAAGACTCAGACATCTAAAACATTTGTAAATTTATCGCTACCAAAATAAAATATAATTTGTTGAAAATACGAGGAGTGTTTCATATTATATTACCACACTTATTTAAAATTACTCCACTAGACTATTTAATTATGTGTTGAATAGTTTTAATTTATGAACCACCAAGTTTATTTTATGCATAATTTTCTTTTTTACATCAAATCATTCATCATGGATTTATTATAAACTGAAAGCTGTGTAAGTTCATTTAGAGTATATTCACTATTATAATTTAAATTTGTATATCATATTTCCCCAGCGCATTTAATTCATTAATATCATTAGTATAGATTACCAACGATAAACTAAAGAGGAATCCAAAGACGAAAGAAAGTCAGACGTGTTACAAAGACAACTATACCATTAAAGGATTACCCGCATTAAGTGCCTCATAAGTCATCAAGGTGTTGAGTTCAAATTTATTCGGGTCAGGAATTCAAACTTTAAATACATTGTCATCAAAATCTCCAGTTATAATTGTTCATTTTTAAAATTTGTTTTCTTTATAGTATTGAGATGGAAATCATTAGTTACACAGGGTTTATTACCTTTAAACAATCAGAAATGGGCAGATCGTATAAAAGAAGAAAGGTTTTACTGGACTAAGACTCATTTTTATTTTAACATCATAGTTAGAATTAGAAGCAGAATTAGATATAGAATCATCATCAGGTGGAGTTCAAGTTGAAAGTCCAAAACTTGAATTTCACCAGTTGCTTCAACTTCAACTTCACCTAATGTTGTTCCATATTTGACTTTGTTTCTAAAATAAAATCAGCATCTTCGTCTAACTCAACCTTTCTTTTTTACTTATGCCTACTCACTTTTTATTCAAAAATTTGAATTTAGTTCAAACAATGAAATTATTTTTAGTAAGTCAAAAGAAATGAGTTTTTGAAGAAACGAAAATTTGAAATAGAATGAATTTTTTGGTTCTCGTATATTTATATGAAAACTTGGCTGCTAAAAATATTAAGAAAAATGGCTTTGGGCAGGAACTTGTAAGCTCAATAACTAAACACAATAAAAATTCTTATCATTCATCATATGATTTTGAGATATCGATCGGTGGAATACTGATGATGTTGGTAGAACCTTCGAGATGCAATGAGTTGGTGTTGTGTCTAATATCAGTATAGCTCCATCAAGTTGCAAAAGAAAGTAACAAATTCATAATAATAAATTTACGTTTATTAATTGGCAATTTTTAAAAGAAATGGATATTGATCATACTGAGTCAAATACCGATAACGGTATAATACTAATATTGAAACTAATGTGTAGTTTAAGGAAGAGCTATTTCTTAATGATCACTGCTAATGGTGAGGCAGGGACAAATCTTATGAAGTCAGATGATGATCGAATTTTTGTTAAACCACCAAAAGTATACACATAAATTCCCTCTAAATTGCCAATCCAAAATGTTTATATATGTGCAAAGCCTATAAATACATGATGTACTGAATTGGATTAATTTTCAATTGCTTCATGAACATTGAAGTTCAATGTTTTCTTCGTGTTGCTGCTTTGAATCTCTCTCTTGGTTTACCTAACAACTTATTTCAAACTTGAAAGTAATAGTACGTGTCATTACCAATTATTTTCAATTTAACGCGTATCACAAACAAATTTGATCTCTTAACTATTTTTCTTTTTTTTTATTGATTTCGTTTACAATCAACACTTTTTAACAAACATAACAAAATCAAACAATCATGTCATTTGAAGAAAGATCAACACAACCAAAGAAATATGTCGGGTTTGATACCATCACAACTCAAATAGAGAATAGATTACTAAAAAGAGGATTTCAATTTAATATAATGGTAGTTGGAAGATCAGGCTTAGGAAAATCAACATTAATTAATACATTATTTTCATCGAAATTAACTCAAAGTAATGGTAGAAAATCACCATATGAACCAATTGAAAAAACTACAGAAATCAAAGTTACACAACATACATTATTAGAAAATAATGTAAGATTAAATATTAATGTTATTGATACACCAGGATTTGGAGATCAAATAAATAATGAAAAATGTTGGGAACCATTAGTAAAATATGTAAAAGAACAACATTCACAATATTTAAGAAAAGAATTAACTGCTCAAAGAGATAAATATTTGTTAGATACTAGAGTTCATTGTATTTTATATTTCATTCCACCAAATGGTCAAAAATTAAAACAATTAGATGTACAAGCTTTAAAGAAATTAAGTGAAATAGCAAATGTAGTTCCAATTATTGCAAAATCAGATTCATTAACATTAGAAGAAAGAGATGAATTTAAGAAATTATTACAACTGGAATTTATGAAATATAATTTTAATATATATCCATATGATTCAGAAGATTTATATGATGAAGAAAGACAATTAAATGAAGATATAAAATCATTAATACCATTTGCAGTAGTTGGATCAGAAAATGAAGCAGAAATTAATGGTAAAAATGGTAATGAAATAATAAGATGTAGACAAACAAAATGGGGAGTTATTAATATTGAAGATGTTAGTCAATGTGAATTTACATTTTTAAGAGATTTTTTAACAAGAACTCATTTACAAGATTTAATTGAAACTACAAATTTAACTCATTATGAAACTTTTAGATCAAAACAATTGATTGCTTTAAAAGAAAATGCTAGTAATCCAAACAGGCAATCACAAATCAATCAACAAGCTGTACATTGATGAATAGATAGCTTGAGTTTACAGTTACCTAATTTTAGTTCCAACCTCTAAATTTATTACAAATCAAGACCTATTTTTCTGCGATTCTCAATTGCTACTAAAGTATCTATATATTTAAAGACGTTAAAAATTCGATTGTAAATTTATATGTGGCGATTCGATCCGTTGCAGTTTTTTTGTTTGAATATGCATCGACCAATCTATAACTGGAAACAAAAATGAGTGAATGTAAACTCTTCACCGTATTTGGTAAATAGAGTTGATCTAGTACAACCACTGCCTTTTAACTACCGACAATGACTTTATTCTTTAATATGCTTAAACAGATTCATATTTCGAAATTATCAATACCTTTAGCTACCAAATGGCGTTTCAGACTATCCGGTTACATGAAGGTTTCTCATAAACAAGGACCTAATAGACTTTCACGGCTTATTAGGACTTAGTCACCTCAATCTTGAGCCTATCAATGTAAGCTCATATTCAAAATAATCGAGCTCACTTCAATCGCCTGAAAACCCTGAAATCAATATTTTACGCTACCAAATTTCAATACGCGTCTAAATAAAATCCCCGATAACATCAAGTCTACACAAAAGTAAAAAATATTTCTTACAGTACTACACATCATCTTCATAACTTACTATACCCATTTGTAACCACACTTATTCATTAAGAATCATAATGGGAGTCAAGGGACTAAATCAATTGATTAAAGAGCATTCTCCTGCATCTTTCAAAGAATTTCAACTTAAAAATCTTTTCGGTAGAAAAGTTGCCATTGATGCATCAATGTGTTTATATCAATTTTTAATAGCAGTTAGACAAACAGATGGTCAACAATTAACTAATGAAGAAGGAGAAACAACATCACATTTATCTGGATTATTTTATAGAACAATAAGATTAGTTGAAAATAATATAAAACCTGTTTATGTATTTGATGGTAAACCACCAGTTTTAAAAGGAGGAGAATTGGAAAAACGGTTATTAAAAAGAGAAGAAGCTCAAAAACAAATGGATCAAATTAAAGATGATGGTACAGTTGCAGAAGTTATGAAATTTGAAAAAAGATTAGTTAGAGTAAGTAGAGATCAAAATGATGAAGCTAAAAAATTATTAAATTTAATGGGAATACCAATTGTAAATGCTCCATGTGAAGCAGAAGCTCAATGTGCTGAATTAGCTAGAGGTGGGAAAGTATTTGCTGCTGCATCTGAAGATATGGATACTTTATGTTATGAACCTCCTCAATTATTAAGACATTTAACATTTGCAGAAGCAAGAAAAATGCCAATTGATCAAATTACATATAAAGAAGCAATTGAAGGATTAGATATGACAAAAGAACAATTTATTGATTTATGTATATTATTAGGTTGTGATTATTGTGAAACTATAAAAGGAGTTGGACCAGTAACAGCTTATAAATTAATAAAAGAACATGGTTCATTAGATAATATTGTTAAATTTATAAATGAAAATCCTGAAAAAACAAAATTTAAAGTACCAGAAAATTGGCCATATGATGAAGCAAGACAATTATTTTTGAAACCTGAAGTTACAAACGCAAAAGAAATTGAATTAAAATGGAAAGAACCTGATTTAGATGGATTAATTGAATATATGGTAAAACAAAAGGGATTTAGTGAAGATAGAATTAGAAGTGGAGCTGAAAAATTAAAAAAAGGTTTAAAAGGTGGTGTTCAAGGTAGATTAGATGGTTTTTTTACAGTTGTTAAACCTGCCAACAAAGATGATAAAAATGATAAAACAGATAATAAAAAAAGAAAAGCTAATGATAAAAAGGGAAGTTCTGCTTCCAAAAAGAAGAAAAAATAAGTAATGACAAAATAAATTTAGTTCTATTATTATGATATATAATATTTTTTTTAATCTTTTGGTTTTGGTTTTTTCTTTTCTGCATCAGTTTCTTTTTCTGCTTCTATTTCATCAACATATTTTTTAATTTCATCAATCGTTAATTTTTCTATTATTGCATTTGGTTTCATTACTGAAATTTCTATATTTTTTGCACCAGTTTGAACAACTTCTAATAATGATTTTACAGTTAATTTTATAGTATCACTTTCATCTAAATCTTCTTTATATTGTTTTTCCAAAAATTCTTTTACTGTTTTTGATGATCTTCCTATTGCATGAGCTTTCCAAGCATTAAAAACTCCAGAAGGTTCAGTTTGATATAATTTAGGTATATTATCTGCAACATCAAATCCTGCAATTAAAGTAGCTATACCAAACGGTCTTGTACCACCAGATTGTGTATATTTTTGTTGTACTCCTGCAACATATTTAGTTAAATATTCAACACTTACAGGATCTTCTAAATTTAATTTATGAGATTGAGCTTCAACTCTTGCTTTATCTATTAATATTCTTGCATCAGCATTTAAACCAGCAAATGCTAATAATATATGATGATCTATTTTACAAATTTTTGATGGAGTTGTTCTTGGATCTTGTAGTTTTAAAGTAGTTCTTCTCTCACATCCTAATACTACTACATTTTTACCTTTTACTCCAACTGCACAAGTTCCTCTTTTAACTGCTTCTGATGCATATTCAACTTGAAAAACATGACCATCAGGACTATTAATAGTTAGTATATCTATTTAAAATTGCCAATTGACTTAGGATATCACATACGAGAAAATGGACAATGCACTATCGTAACCACTCATATTTGTTTTGTTGTTTTAGTTGATAATTGTAATTGATTAATTCTTGATATTTTTTCGCCTTTGGAAAATCAAAAAAAATTAAGCAGTTATCATCACCACCAATAATAATGATATGGGTAAAAAAAATATAACACCACAGATACCAAATAAAGATAATTTTTCAAGAATATCATATTTATATAATCTTAGTAATGCATTAACTACTATAGATCCAAATTTATCTCGAGGGTATAATCGAAACTTAGATTTGATTTCCAAAAAGACTGTTTCCAAAATATCACCTAGTTTAAAAAGAACCGTTTGTAAGAGATGTCATACTTTACTTATACCAGGATTAACAATGTCAATGAGAATTGAAAATTTAAGTCGAAAACAAAATCCTCAAAATGATGTGTTTGTAACGAAATGTTTACAATGTTCCAAGCTAAAGAGATATCCAATTGGGAAAGATTTAAATTATATACCTTTCCATGAAAGAGTTAACGAAGACACCGATATGTCATAAAAATACAAGAATCATCATAAAAGTCTATTTCTATATCGTCTTATAAATACATTCTATGCTGTAGTAGCACATAATGCAGCACCAACACCAGATCCATCTTTTGCAATTTTCAAATAAATTTTCTTTGGTGATCCCTTTAAAGGATTTATAACTTCAATTGATTCCATAATAGCATCTCTAAAACCTGGATAAAATTCAACAACTGATCCATCACATCCAATTTCAAAATCTCTATCATCATCTTTATATTGATCTTGTACTCTTTTTACTATAGTTGCTAAAGGAATAGCAGATAATTGAGCAGCTCTTCTTGCTATAGCTCTTGTTAATCTTTGTATAACTATTCTTTCATCTCTTGTTGTTGGTAATCTCAAGACATTTTTTAAAATTAATTCAGACATTTTTAAATCTGTTGAATCATCAATTTGAATATATGATAAAACTTCAGAATCTAATAACCATGGTTCTGTAATTCTATGAGGTAAACTTCCACCTCTTTCTTTATATAATTCTTGAAATATTAAACCTCTTTCAAATAAATTTAATAATGTAACTCTTAAAATTTCACCTAAAAACATTCCACTAATTCTTTTTTCAAATAAATGATATCCTTTATTTGCAGTTTCTTTATCAACAATTTCATCAAATGTTGTATTTGGTAAAATTTGTAAAGTATTATCAAATGATCCCCATTCTGTATTTATAACCATACCTTTACAATCTTTTGGAGGATTTTTTAATTTTGGAATATTTTCAATTGTTTCATAATAAGCACCATTTGTTCCTGTACCAAATATACAACCAATAACAGTATTTGCATTAGTTTTAGAAGGATCATTTTGATAAGCTCTTGATAATAAAGTTCCAACAGTATCATTAGCTAATGCAACAACTTTAACATTTACCTCTAAAACAGTTAAATTAGCTTGTAATAATTCAACAATATCTCTATCTACAGTATCTGGAATGTCAAAACCTTTTGTCCATCTAATTAATGTTCCCTTATCTAAAGCAGTTTGTTCAACAGGAAATGAAAAAGTAAAACCTAATTTTAATGGATCTTTAGTTTTATTATTTGCAACATCATCATGATGTTCATTTAAAAATGCTTGAATTTTTATAGCTAAAAATTGAAATAATTCATCAGCTTTAACTCCTTTCATTAAATCTAATGGAATTTTATATTTATTTTGTTTTAATTCAAATGTATGATCACCTTTTAAATCAATTGAACAAACTCTAAAATTTGTTCCACCTAAATCTGCTGCTAAATATATACCTTGTTCTTTACCATTGGGGATTTTTGTTACAAATGTAGGAATCATTGGCATATGTTCTCTACTTTGTTTTGGAGCTTTTAAACCTTCATCCATTGATTTTTCAAAATATTCTGAAGCTTTTATTAAATAATCATTTGTTAAATAAAATTGATTTTCAACTTCTCTTACTGCTAATTCAACTTTTTCTGGTAAAGTCATATTGATATAACGTTTGGACATTCTATAAAAATAAAATAAAATAAATAAATAAATTAAATTTAAGCCAATAATTTAAGTCAATTGAGTTAGTATATATATGAATATAGTAATTTCTTTTTTAATTAATGCAAGTAAGTATCTTCACTTTCCCAATTTTTCTGAATAATTGTTACGTAGGTTTGGAATTTGTAGAAATTTTTCTGGTTATGATAAAACTTTAGGCCTAAAGATATTTTTTTCTTCGGAGAACAGCAATTTAAAGTAAAGAAAGTTTGAAAATTATTATGTTGCAACATTACATTTTATTGGCATCGTAATTATTGAACTATTTGGCATTGTTTATTCAAATACTAATATACCATCAGATTTGTGGTTATATCTGATATGCGAGTATAGGATAAAATCTGGGGTACTTATTATCTTATCGTCCTTATATTAATTAATAATGAGTTTCATAATATTTCATTTGTTTTTGTGTTCAATATCGGACTTTTGTTTTACATTTAAATTTATTCTATGATGGTTGAGTCAGTTACAGTAAAACTACCAGCTCCATATGATACCAAAATTACATTTTTAATTATGAAACCATTGAAAAAACCAATCATTGGAAAGTTAACATTGTCACTATGATGTTACAAAATATGGTGATGTAGTTACAATCGATGATAAATGAATTCATATAAAGTTCTGTCAATAGTATTGCTATAGAAAATTTAAATAATGATCAGGTATATGAATTTTTTTATCATTGATTGTAACTACTTCACCATATTTTGTAACATTATAATTCTTACCAAATGATTTTGGAGTAAAAATTTGAAAAAACGGGGAAGGATCCTGGTTAGGCTAAAGCACGACTATAGAGAAAGTCATAAAAACAACAGATGAATGCACTTTAAAGTGGTCTTACATTAAAGGTCAATTAAGGATCAATTCACAATGCTAGTTCTTGCATGTGTTTACATATAGGATAAAACTCAACTAATATCCATTTGAAATGTTTTGAAAGAAAATATTCAAACTTAACTACAGAATGAGGTACGGAAGCTATGGCAGAAGCTATGGGGGAGGGTTTGGAAGTAGTTATGGAAGTAGTTATGGAAGTTATGGAAGTTCATCTTATAATAATAGAAGATCAAGTCAATATTATAGTCCTGTGACCACAAATACAAAAGGTACTCAATATGGTTCAAATTATTATGATAGAAATAGGAGAAGTTCTCAATATAATCAAAATCAACCTCAATCCAAACAAAATCAACCTCAGTACAAACAAGATCAACCTAAATACCAACAAAATCAACCTAAATATAATCAAGGCAATTCCAATAATCCACAATACAACTCAAGATATAAATATCAAAAAAACAAAACAACTAATGTTAATCAAAATGTAAATGTGAATAACCAAGGAAATAGAGGTTTTGGAAGAATGGGTGGATTTATGAAATGGCCATTCATGATGATGTTATTTAGTAGAATGGGTAGGCGTCATCAAGTTGAAGAACAACCACCACCCATTGTTAATGTTTATAATCCACCACCAGAACAAGCTCAAAATATGCAACCAGAACAAATTCAAGATATGCAACACCAAGGACAAGTTAAAAAGAGAACTTTAATAAGTAAGAATGCTCAATATGAAAAAGATGTTAGTCCAATTTCTGAAACATCAGAACGTCAAGATTATGAAACTGATACATTTGGAAAATATGGGTCTGATAATGATCTTGGTGAAGTTGATTCACCTTCATCATTTCGAGGTAATCATTTAGTATCAAATTTATCAAATGAAGAAGATGATAATAAATTATTGAAACCCAAATCTCAACAAACTATTGATATGCAACATTTATTACAACTGACTCCACCTGTTAATTTTAATCAACAATTAAATAATGAATATCAATCATCATTTCAACCTTAAGTTAGTTTCTGTAGTCTATAGTCTATTAATGATATAGTTTTTAACATGTTTCTATCGCTACCAATACGCAAAAGATCATATCCTCGTAAATAATTTTTAAATCTAACTCACTATGCATTTTCTAAAATGTAAACAAAGCTAATTTTAATTTAACAGACTTTAACTCCACCATTTTCTCCAAGATTTCAATCAATGAATATTCCTCCTTTTAGACCATATGGTGGGGAAGATTATAGAGTAGTTAGTGATTTATCAAGATTTGATCATGAAAATAATACACCAAAACTACGATCAAGAAATACAACACCAACAAATACTGAAATTACACAATCTTCAAAATTAACAATTGATACAATAATACCTTTATATTCAAGTAAAATAGATCAAGGACAACATCCTTATCAACAAATTTATGATCATACAACTAACACGGAAAGAAAAAAATCAATACGACCTAAACATATTTCAGTTGCAATACAAGTACCTCAAGATCATTTTAAACCAAAACCTAAACCACCACCGAAAGATTTTGTAAGAAGATCTAGATCAGAAAAGGAATTTTTACCTTATCCGGCATCAATTAATGAACCAAATCTTGAAATACCTCCACAACCTCAACCACAACCACTACTAGAACAACAAGCTCAATTACAACCTCACCAAATACAACAATATTCAAAACCTCAAGAACATGTAAAATTCCAACCTCAACAGTTTGTAAACAATGATTCTGCAAGTATACTATCAAGACAAAAACAATTAGAACATGATTTAGTTAAAACAGTAATGAATCGACCTTTAATTTCTTTTAAAGCTGATAGATTTGGAGAACAATATCATGGTCAATATATAACAATAACAATAAATTTTTTATTATATTTATTTGAAATTTGTTGTAGTATTATAGAAATTGTTTTATCATCAGTTTTATTAGAACATGATACTCACATTGCAATTGGAATTTATAGATATTTTATTGCTGATGGTATAATATCATTAATTATTTCATTATTATTTATTTTAAAAGCTGTTAATTATGAAAAAAGAAATGGAAATTTTTATTGTTTAGTTGCAACTATTATAAAATTAGTTTCATTTATTTTAATTATTTCATATGTATTTCCAACAAATAATTCAGGAAATAATAAAATTTGGCTGATTAGAAGAGCCGTGGGGTCATTTATTATAATTTCTACATTTTTATGGATTGTTAATTTAATTATGTTCTTAACTACTTTATATATATCGAGATTAAATTTATTGGAGGAATTAAATTTTGATTATGGTCGAAAAGGATTAGATGATGAGTTTAATAAAGGAAGAAAGAGTGAAAAAGAACCGCATTATGAAGAAGAAGAAGAACCATTAAAAGAATTTTATTTAAACGAGAATGGTGAAATGTATGAATTAAATGAACATGATAAAAATTTATATAAAGGTAAAAATAAGATCTTGGTTTATACATTTTAGATCCGAGATAGATTTGTAACATATCATTTTTGCAGCCAAATCTGATGAAATTAAAATAATAAAAATCAAAATCTTCAATTGCATTCTCAAACTTGATAGCTAGTATTTGCCATTGACTAAAAATGAAAATTCAATTCTACAAAGTGGTTTTATATTTACAACTCATCAATGCATTATTATTGCCTCAACATTGGGCAATAGTTAAACCAAAATTATTTTCATTAAAATCGACAAAACAAAGGTTACATAATACATTACATACTTTAGTTCCAACAAGGCAATATCAAAGAGAATTTACATTTGGTCAATTGAATTATAATAACACTGAAAATTATAAAAATACTTCAAATTCAAATTTAATTTTCATTCCAAGAGAATTAATTAATCCTGAAATGTTTTCAGCATTAGGTTTATCAAATTTATTTTATAATTTTACAAATTTAAAATGGATTAATTTTACACCAAAAGATCAAATTTTAATACCAAATGAATTCAAGACTTTTTTCATTTTTAATACAAGTTCAATTAGAGATTCTTCATTTATTGGATTTAATCAAATTTCGAATTTAAAAAATCAAAATAATAAAAAATTTTTATCAACTTCAAATTTAAATAAAATTTTAAATGGAGTTATACCATTTGATATGCCTGAATTATTAGAATTAATTGATTATTATATGATATTACCAAATTTACCAAATTTAACAAATTTAACTTCATCAATTTATAGTGAAGGATTATTAAATTATTCATTAGATTTATTACCTACATTTAGACCACAGTTAAGTGATAATAAACCAATGATTGTGTTTATGTTTAATGAAACTGAACCTAATGTTGAATCAGCGATCTTTAAAGAGGACAAGTCAACACATCATATAATGTCAATAAAAAATTATTTAAAACCAACTATTATTTCAAGCTTTTTTGATAAATTTGCAAATACTTGGATAAATCAAGTTGGTTATGATTCATTAATTCATTCTGTATTTTGTAATATAAATCAAAAAGATGAAGATTATAGTTATTGTTTAAAAATTAGAAATTCAATGGTTGATTTTTTACCAGCTTTTAAAAAATTTGTTAACAAGAAAGATCCAAATATAATTTCTAATTTTCACTACAATTGCAAAGATCCTCAATTTAATCAACTAGCAGTAAAACAAATTCATGATCGTTTAAAATCTAAAAAAAATGCATTAGAAATGACATCATATAATTTAGTCAAATATCCTAAACAATCAATAGAATTGTTAGATGAAGAGCTCGATGATAGACTCGATGACAAACTTACTAAAATCGAATCAAAAAAGGAAGACTGGTTAGATAAATACGAGGAACAAAAAATTAAATTGATGAATAATTTAGATTCAAAAATTTATTCAATTGATGATGAAAAAGATGCCGTTGGTGATTTACTAAAGAGGAAAAAAAAATTTATATCAAATTTAAAATTTAAACCTCAAATATTTGATAAATCTGTAGCTTATGAGTTAGATAGTGATGAAGAAAGTGATGAGTTAGAAGATGAAGATGAAGATGAACAAAATGAAAATTCAGATAATGAAGATATTTATAAAAATGATCATAGTTATATAAGTAAAAGAAGTGATTATAACCATATAATTCAAACTCAACCATTAAAATATCAAGATGATTCAATTGGAAATTATATAGAAGATGAAGGATTTTCAATCCCATTAAGTTTATTAAAAGATATATATAAAGATAAATCAACTTCAATATCTACTTCTTCAAATCAACCACCTAGAAAGACAACATATAGTCAAATAATAAATTTAGATACTTTAAAACCATTACTCAAGAAAAGATTTGAAATTGTTGATAAATATGATTCTGATGGTTCAATTTTAAATCAAGATTGTAAACCTATTACATGGTATAATATTTTTCATTATAGTTTATTTGGTGAACCAAAATTTTGTAAATCAAAAGAAGAAGAAGATGAGCTGAAGAAAGTGAATTAAATACAAATGATGTATGTATATTTTTTAGTTTACATAGATACTAAATAAAAAATTGAAATTCTCAAATAAAATAATATAAATTGTGCAAGTGGTGGAAATGAATTTTAAGTTAGATTTTTTTCTCTTTTTTTGACCAGTAAGTTAATCACCTATAATTTCTTTGATTTGGATTTCTTTGTTGATATTGATTATTATTTGTATTACTATATGAAGTTTGTTGAAAATAAGGATTTTGAGGACTTGCAACACTTCCTTGATAAGCATCTGTTTTACCATAACTAAATCCATTACCATTATTACTATTTGAGCTGTATCCAGTATTGTGAGGTATATTAGATTGTGAACTTTGAGGTAATGCATTATAAGGATTTCCAACAATTGTTGAACCAGGTTGTGTAGGTTCCATAAAACTTATTGAATCTCTTTTTGATTCATAATTTGATCCACTTCCTGAAGTTGAAGATATACCTGGTCCACTTAAATTTCTTGTTCTTTGATATACTGAATCTTCTTCATATGAATCATCTTCATCATCAAATAATGTTGATGATTGATTTTTAGATTTTTGATGTTGACCTGGTCCTCCATGTTCATGACCTTTCATTGCTGTTGCTCCTAATGCCATTAATTCCATATCATCATCATTTCCATTTCCTGGACCTCCATTTTTACCATTTCCACTTCTTGGTAAAAATGAAACTCTATCATCTTTCATTGGTTGATATCTTGTATCTGGATTAGTATAAACTAATGCTAAAACACATGTTATAATAGTAAATAATAATAAAAATAATGCAAATACCGCATTTAAAACAAAATAAACAACTGCCATAACTGATGATACAACATTTGGTTGACCAAATACTGCTGAAAAAAACATAAAAAATAAAGCATTTATAAAATTTATAACACTTATTGTTATATTAAAAGCATTTGTTCTTTTATCCATGAAAGGACGAATCCAACATAATATAATTAAATAAATTAATTCAATAGCCCATATAATAACTGATTGAGGTTTTCCATGTTTTTGTAAAACAGCAACTAATAAAGATTTTATAAAAATATAAAATAATGAAACTAATATAAACCAATAACAATCAGCTCTAAATTGAACATATAAAAATCCAAATCTATTTAAAAATTTCCCATCTCCAAATATTAAATAAGCTGGATTTTTAAATTGTTTAACTGATTTTTTCCCCTTTAAAAATACTCTAATTGCTCCTTGATATAATAAAACAACAGATAATACTAATAAAAATACTGCAACAACTACAGTTCCTGCAGAATCTCTAACTGTTAATTCCCAAATACATAATAAACTAATTTGAGGTAATGCAATAACTAATAATCTATATATCGAACCTTTAATAATTGATGACCATTGTTGACGAAATTCATTAAATTTACCTTCATTCATTATTTTAGATCTAACTAAAATTTCAATTATTGCTTTAAATAACATTAAACAAACAATCATAACAAATGCAAAAAAGAATAAAAAACAAATACCAGTCATAAAAATATTTGTAATTTCAATACTTAATAAATAAGCAGCTCTTTGAATTCCTCTTAATACTAATATTTTACCTGCTAAATTATCTGATTTTTCATCCGTTGAATATAAATTTGGATCTAAATTATCTGATGTACCAAATGTATCTGAATCTAACATAACATTAGCTCTTTTAACAAGATTTTGTCTTGCATTGTTTTGACTTGATATAATTTCATCAAAAACTGTAGACACGGCTCTTTTGAATAATTTTTTCTTCTGAACTGATATTGAAAGATATTGTGATCCAATAATATCTGTTGGTGTACCACCAGTTGATTGAACATACCAATTTGCAATATTTTGAACAAATCCAACTCTAACTAATCCTAATGACCACATAAAATTTTGAGCCCATGCAGCAGCAATTGGTGGAACTCTTGCAACAGCCATCATTGCAGTTATAGCTAAAGATTGAAAATAAATAAATAATGACATTGAATTTGAAGCAATATGAGCAGCAGTATTTGAATGACCAATAACTGATATAACACCACTTGTTATAACACCTAAACCAGAAACTGCAGCAATTGGCCAAGCAGCATATTTAGTTTGAACAGTTTTACCATTTGATAAAGTAGCTTCAACACAAGCTAATTGATCATAAGTTTCAATATCATAAACTAAAACTTTAACTCTTGCATCTAAATCAGGAATAGTATAAGCAACTCCTGGAATTTGATCTGTAACAGATTTTCCTAATTCATAAGAAGAATCTAAATCCAAATGACCAGAAGTTAAAGGACATAAAGGATTATTATTTGGATTATTATTTTGAGTATAATCTAAATCACATAATGAAACATTTCTTTGTAAAATATTTAAACCATAAGCAATAACATTTACATAAGCTCCAACTTTTTTATTATTTATTGATGATATAGCAGTAACATCAAAATAAACTGTTCTATTTTTTGGATAAAATACTATATTAAAATATGAAGCAGTGAATTGTGAATTATCCATACATGTTAATAAAGAACTTGATTTTATAAATTGTGTAGCTGATATAAGGGAAGTAAAAATAACTATGATTGTGAAAAATAGCTTATTGAATAACATTTTGTTGTAGTATGATGATTTGATAATGATTTTGCCTCAAATTTTGAAGGGAGTTATTTGATTTTACTTTTGAATTTAATTTGATCTTTGATTAGATTTGATTTGGTAAGTGAGTGAAGATATAAGTGAAATTTCAAAAATATGTAAATTTATGAACTTGATTGATTAAATAAATATACGAATGGATTATTTCCTCATGAATCAAATGTTTAGGTTAATTTTGAAGTAAAATAATTGTCCCTTTGTCTATAAGTATATAACGTAGTAATAGATCAATAGAAAGTTGTAAATAGATTTCTTGATGAAAATAAGTGAGTGATTTTAGTAACTTGTGGTATATATGGTGATAATTATAAATATTGGGTGGTTGTGGTACTTGTAGTAGTGGTAGTAGTGGTATTAGTTGTATGAAATAGGGTAAATAGTGATGATATATAGATGGTTGTAAAAATCTGATTATAATATAAAATTGGTTGTAAGATTTTAAAATGTAGAGAGAGACAATAAAGAAAAAAAAAAATCTTTACTAACTAAAGAGAGATCAAAAAAGTAGTACAAAAACGAGATTACACAATATTATGCAGTAATAAATAAACAATACAATAAATTATAAATAGAAGTAATTAGTATTAATACATAATATATAATATACTGAGTTTCATATATGAATTGGGTTAGGTTAAAGCGGTTAATCCCTAATTTCATACCAGATCTAGTACGAGAACTAGACTAGGTCAACTTATTACTATGAAGAAGATAATGTAGCTCTTACACGTTAGTTAAATACAGAGACTACTCAACTCATAGTATATTTTCAAAACATCAATAATTATGTAACTAAAGTGAAGTATACATAAGATCAAGCTTTATTACTAAACTCTATTCACTTTTAAAAAGTATTACGATTTTTTAAAGTCTAAAAGAATGACATCACATTGAATTACGTTGACCGTATTTCTACTTTCTATATAGATGTACACGTGATCTTTTTGGTTTCACAGTAGAAAAAATATAGTACAAAACCCGTAATATAGAACATTACCCTATTCTCGTAAATCTGTACTTACCATTGGATCTGATCTGATCAGGATCACTGTAATTATCGATCTTACTTCATCACAATAAATCTATGGAGATTTTATGATTAGAGGTACAATATCTACCAATTAGTTGATCATTTGATACGAATTACGACCAAATTGATTCAAAATTTACTAACTTTCTTCACACTTTTCTTTTTACTACTGACTAGGATTAATGTTGTAAGAGAGGCGCAATAGATTTTTTTTTCTTCTCTTTTCCTTTTCTTCTCAAGCTTAGGCTAAGTATTTGAATAATCAGCCCTGTATTTTCTTGATGACTTAAAGTTCTTATTTTCAAATCTCAAAATTGCTATGAATACTATAATCTTAATATATCTTGGTGATTAAGATTTTTTAATTTCAGATGTTTCAGAAAATTAAACAATCGTGTTTCAGTACACAAAATTGGTTGCAAAAAATTGTAGAAAATCAATCAATTGCAACGATTTTAGATCATAATCTACAATTGAAGCTGATGTTGAAGTTGAGAGTAGAGAGTTTAATAATCAAGTTGATAAATTAATGCATAAATTAAATGACTATAACTTAAAATATATAAAAAAAAAGTGCATTTCCCGTTTAATATGGAATACCATTAGTAATTCTTTGAAATTCATCATAACCTTTTGTATAAAAACTTTCCATTGATTTTTTAATTAATTTTCTAAAATATAAAGCAGCTTCTTTATCATTTTTATTTGGTACAAATCTTGATCTTAAATTTTTAATAGTTGTATCTTTAAAACATGGTAATCCTGATTCTAACATTGGTGTTACAGTTCTAACAATAGTTTCCATAAATGGTCTACAAGCTAAATAACCTTTTATACATAATTCTTCAAACCATTTAAAAGCTTGAGTTTCATCATTACCACCTAATACCATAATCATTTCATGAGTTAATTTAAAAGGAGCAGCTTCAAATTTAACTCCCCCTGGTACAATATCAAAACAAAATCCAAAATCAATATGTAAAATATGACCATTATCATCATACATAATATTACCATTATGTCTATCTTTAAATTGTAAAAGATAAGAAATTATAGAATAAGCAGCTAATGATTTAACTAAATTATTTCTTGCTTGTTGAAATTCAATTGAATTTTCTGGTCCAAATTTTGTTATAAAATATTCATATAATCCATTTACTGCTTCTCTACCTAACATATCTCTTGATGTAGAATTTGGTAAAACATCAATAACACCACATCCAGGAGCTGTAGCAGTAACTCTATAAGGGAAAACATAAAGATCTAATCCTGCATCACTCCAAATAGTTCTAAAAATTGAAATTAATTGTAATGCTAAAACATCTTGTCTACAATCATCACCAACTTTGAAAATTGCACTTTGCCATTTTTCAATTTCAACAGTTTGTGGTCTACCCTTTTGATCATAATCTAATAATTCTTTTTTAATTTTAAAAGTAGCCATAAATGGAGCTTTTGCATGAGATTGCAAAGGTCTACCACTTTTACGATTAATATCAACTAATACACCATCAGGATTTGAAGGTAAATAAACACCAGGTTCAACTTTAATTAAAGCCATTTCTTCATCAATTTTAGCCTTTTTTTCAGCTTTTGTTTTCTTGATATATGGTTTTAATTTACCTGAAATATCAGTAACTTCATTAAAAAATCCAAATTCTTTATGATAAAATTGTAAATCTTCTTTACTAAAAGTTTTTAACATTGTTTCTTGAATTCTATCTAATACAGGTTTTAAATCATCAGGTTCTGTTGAATCTTCATCTTTATAACTATTTGCTAACATATTCCAAATAATTTGATGAGCAAATAATTGAGATATCTTGGCAGTTTCAATAATAAATCTTTCAACATATCCTTTTGCATCAAAACGTAATGATTGAACAATTTGTGGTACATAAAAAAATGTTAAATTAACATCATGACTTTCTAATGATCTCATTGTATATTGTAATATAAAAGGATTTGAACCAAATGGTGGTAAGAATAAAGTTATTGAATCAATTGGTGATAATGGAGTCCAAAATAATAATTGATATGAAGGCATATGAGTTCCTGCATTAAGACCAATAAAAAATTGAACAGCATCTGGATAAAATACAGCAGGTAATGGATTTTTAATAATTAATTGTTGTAATAAATCGTCATGATTTTTATGTTTATATCTTAATGCAAGATTTATTGCTAAAATTGGATCAATTTCATAAGCTTTTGTTATTAATTCAGTAGTTATAAATGGTTTTATAACAGTACCTGAAGAATCATTTGGATTTGTAGATGTTAACCAAATATTAAATTTATAAATTTCATCATCTAAAAAGTGTAAAAATAAATTTTTTTTCATTTCAATATCATTCAGTTTAAATGATGATATAGCACTTGCCATTTTAGAAACTTCTCTCATTACAATTGCTTCACTTTTAAATTTTAATTTATTACCACCAAATGGATAAGTACTTCTTTGTCTAAACCAAGTTAAAGCACCATCAAATATTAAATTTGTTAATTTTTTACATGATCTTGAACCTAATCTAATATGAATATGTAAAACTTCAAAACTGAATTTAATCAATTCAAATCTAACTAATCTTGATAATGGATGATAACTTGCAAATTTTAAATTTTCTAAACCAACTTCAATAAATCTTGTAAATAATTTTAATAAATGATCACTTTGATTTAATGTTGCTTCAAAATTACTTGAAAATAATTTTATAATTTCTAAATGTGGTCCAAAACTTTTTTGAGCTTTTTCAGCTAATCTATTAACAACATTTCTATTACTTGGTGCATATTCCATCTTATCAAATTCTGCATGATTTAAATCTAAATCTTGTGAAAATAAACCTTTTCTTAATTCAATTGATTCTTCCCATTTTTTAGCTAATTCACTTAATAATAACATACTTAATTTTGGTTTATCTTTCATAACTGCAAACCAAACTCCTGCTGCACTAATCATAACAGTTGGTTCAAACATTAAAAATGGAATTTCAACCATATATCTAACTAATTCTGCATTATTTATATCACTTAATAAAGTTAATCCAGCAATTTCTGATAATAAATTTAATACATCATCATCTGTAACAGATTTTATATCAATTTTAATTTTATAAACTTTTTCTCTTATAGCTTTAAAAGCTAAATCTAAATCTTCATCAGTTCTTAAAGGTAATTGATTCATAATTCTTGAAACAAAATTTGATCTCCAATTTAATTGAGCAACAATTGTTGGTAAACTATCTAACGCAGAAACATTAGCATATGTAATAGCATTTAATTCTCTATCATGAGATGATATATTTCCAGACATTTGTAAAGCAAATGATAAACCAAATTGTATAGGAGTATCATAATTTAATTCTTCATTTGATGAGACATAAGATTGAATTAAACTTTTAACATCAACATTTGATTTATATAATAATAAATTAATCCAATGTTTTGATTTTTCGTGAAATCTATTGAATGTAGTACATCTCCAATCATAGTCATCAGACATTTGAATTTTAATGCCTGTACATCTTGCTCTAAATGATGTTGTAGGTTCATATTCATGAACATCAGCATCAGCAATACTTTGAAATAATAAAGTTAATAAATCAAATAATGCAAATAATGATTTTTTATGACATAATGAAGCTGGAACTTTATTTATTAATAAATCACAACATTGAATTGAAGCATCTTGCATATCTTCAACTGGATAAGTACAATAAGTTAACATTGTTGTTAATTGTGCAGCAATATGATCAGCAGTAAATTGTTTATTTGCACCAGAAATGATTAAATTAATATAATCTTTAACAACTTTAAAAGCTATTGGACCTAAAAATTTTTCAATACCAGAAGATTTTATAGAAGGATCAGTAAAATATAATAAAATTTTAGAACAATTACCACTTCTTACTCTTAAACTTTCACATAATACAGTTGCAGATAAAAACATTAATTTTGGATATGATAAAGTACGATGAACTTCAAAAATATTACCTAAAAATGATCTATGATCTTTAATATTATGATTTGATGAACCTCTTCTTAATACAGTATTTAATTCAATTGAAGTTTCAGTCCTATCCCATGATAATTCAGAAGCTAATGGTGGAGAATTATAAGCAATTCTTTCTAATTCATTTTTGAAAATTTGACAATTTTTTGAATTTATATTATAACCATGAACAACCATATTAAACCAAATATTTCTAAATAAGTTAATAGTTTCTGTTTTTTTAATATTTAAAGGTTCTTGATTCAAATTAACATCTGGTAATAAAGAAGCTAAAGGTTTTAAATAAATTGCAATTTGATCACCAACTTCACTAATTTCAGTATGTGGTCTATGATGTTCTAATTGTTGAACATCACCTTTACTAATAATAGCTTGTAATAATTCATGTAAATAAACAAAATATAATTCATTTGATTGTTTTAATTTTGTTGATAATATACATTTAGCTTCAGTTAAATTACCAAGCAATACCATATTTTTCTTTTCTAATGCATCAAATGATAATTTATTTAATAATCTAATTAATATAATAAATTCACGTTCTGGTAAAAATGGAGCACATGAACTTAAACCTTTTAAAATTAATGGACCAATTGCAGAATCAATCTTGGCAACTTTTTGAGATAAAATAGTACAAGCTAAAGCAGGAACAGATTCATCATCACAAGCTTCAGAAACTTCAATTATTGCAGTAACTGCATTTTCACAAACTTTTCTATAATCATTTTCATCAAATTCTTGAGAATTAGCACCTTTACTAAATACTTGAGAAATTGAAGAAATTGAAGTTCTTCTTGAAGAAATTGGTGAACCATAATCTCTAATTAAACCATTTTCACCAGTAACATTTTTAACTGCTCTTCTTGCACTTTTTGAAGGTAATTGTAAACCTTCATTACTAACAAATAATAAATTAGTTAATGAATAAATAGTTGTAACAACAGCATCTTGAGGTAATTTTTTACTACCTAAACCAACACTTTTTGAAGCTTCTAAACAATAATTTGGAGCTAATTTTGGATTAGCAACAACAGATGTAAAAACTCTAGTTAATAATGGTCCAACAGTTTCATCTTTATAAACTAATAAAGCACCAAATTGAAAAATTGTTAAACCTAAATCTGGATCTAACATAACTTCTCTAATTTCAACACAAGATTTAAATAAATTTCTTGAAGTTTTTAAATCTAAATTATCAGTAAACATTCCACAACTTAAAACTTGTAAATTAAAACTTTTTGATAAATAACCTAATTTTAAACGATTATAAGTTGAATAAACAATATAAGTTTCACCACGATCTAAAAATTCAATTTTTCTTAAAGCTAAATCAGTTAAAATTTTAATAATTTCCATATTAGCTCTTGAAAATTCTAATTTTTTATGATCATTATTTGAAATTTTGTTTAAAAGATAATGAATTAATGATTCATTAGTGGTGGTATTACCAATAATTGAATTAATAATTGATGTCATTAATCTTGATAATTTTTCTAAATATAAAATTGGTGAAAAATCAATACAAAAATCACGTTCTAATAAACCCTTGTATTCATTTGGTTCATCATACAAGAAATCTGAATAATTTTCAACATCACTTAAAAAATCAAAATTATCAATACAAGCATCTAAATTTGTAAATATTTTAAAAGTTCTTGAAGAAAAAGTTAAAAATTTAGAATTTCTATTAAATCCATCAATTACACCAATTAATGTTAAAAAATTTGATAAATTTGGTTCAACATTATCAAAAAATTTTTCAATAAATTGATGAAAAATTTCAACAACTTCATCAAAATATGTTTTATTTGCTTGATAAGCTAAATTAATTAATCCAATAGTTAATTTTTCACCTAATAAAGTCCAAGGTGAAATAGCAACAGAATTTGAAACAATATTATAACTAAATTTTTGATCTGGTAATTCAAATAAATAGATCTTAAATTTATCAATTAATATCTTAATTTGACTTTGTAACTTGATTTGCTTTTTGGATGCATCACATAAAGCAATTAATACTTCATATTCTTTTGGAGCTATTGCAACATTTGATAATTTATCATTTTTACGATTATTAAAAATTTTGGGGGTTGAAGTTAATAATTTTGAAAAATCATCTTTTTGAATTCCTGTATTTATTTCTTTCAAATTTGATGGAACATGTTCAACCGTTAGATCCGCAAGTTTTTGTAAAGCTTCAGCACGGATTGAACCTCTGGTGATACCGTAATAATCCATGATTGATGATGAGGATGATGGAAGAAAGGATTGGTTGTAAAGGAATGTGATGGGGAAAAGAAAACTTGATTAATTTAAAATATTATTTATTACAATTCCAATTAATACGTTTCTTGTTGTTGCAAAAATGCATGTGCTCGAATCTGGGGGAGACTAAAAAAAAATAATTAAAGGGGAAATTGATGCTACCAGTTCGATCTAAATATATTTCCAAGTCTGGTAATTTTTTTTTTCAATGAGGTTGGATGACTTGTGGGTCTGGAAAAATTGTAGGTTTGATGGGATTAGTGCTGACTCACGCTTCGCTTTTAAACCTCATGGCTGGAAATTTACTGTAGTTACTATTCCGTCTGGTTTGTTCAAAATCGAATTTTGTACAAGTTAGAGAGAGAAGTCTGTTTTGTATTAATTGCTCATATAGGTTGTTTGCCCATCATTTGTATTAATTGCTCATATAGGTTGTTCATGATGGGAAAACAACCTATAGGTTGTTCATGATGGGAAAACAACCTATATGAGCAATTAACAAATATCACGAATTATCTTCATGCATATATCTATAGATCTTCTTGAACTACTTATCTTATGATTGTATGTATATTTGATAACTAGTTCATTATCTTCTTCAAATATTGTAACTTTGGTGCTGGTGAAATCCAATGCTAGAATTGTATCTCTAAGTTTCATGGCTCTATTTGTAGTTTCTCCTAATGCAACTATTTCAGCAATCATTGATGAATTTGTAAGGTACCTTTGCTTTTTAGTTCCCCAGGAGCATAGATTTCCATTTACATAAATAGAATATCCAGTTATAGATTTTCTATCACCTGGTGGACCAAATGAAGCATCTGACATACCATATACTATGAATTTCTCTCTCATTCTAGGTAATGTATTTGATTCATATTTGATACAAATATCCCTATTCTTTTTGAGGTATAAAATACAGTATATCATCATATCGTAGTCTTCAAAAGTTGGATTACTACTTTTAAAAGTTGGATTACTACTTTTGACACCAAGAGCATTTACTGTGAATGAGATATCAGGACGAGTATTCATTGTCACCCATTGTAACTGATTGATTGATTTGTAGTTGTTTCAGTTGATGTGAGAGCTAATACCATTACCTAAGTGTCGGCGACTCTCAAATAGACGATAGACTAGGTATTAACAGATGATGTATGGCCATTTATCTATCTACATAGTTTACGAATAAGTTTCTATTAATGTATCTCTTAAATTACCACCAATAGCATCTGGTTGAGCATCTTGTAATCTGAATATTGATTCAATAACTGATAATTCTGGAGCTGTTGTATCTGAACCAGCTACACTTAACCAATCATTTACTACCATACCAGCACCAACAACACTTGATCCTCTATTTACAGTACCTGCTACTAATGGAACTTGTAATAAACTACTTAATTCTTCTTGATCCTGTATTGAAGTTTGAGGATGTACTAAACCACCTTGATTACTTAATGCACAATATGATCCAACTAATACATTTCCTGCAATAGTTTGACGAAATACTTCAACTCCTAAAACATCTGCTATTAATTCTTCAGTTTCTCTTTCTATATCTGGATGTACTAATGCAACATAATCATTACAACATATTACATTACCTAAAGCAGATAATCTTTCTTCAACTCTTTGTATTTTAACTGTGTCTGGAAGTGAATTTCTTAAATGCATTAATTCTTGATCTGTTGTTTGTGTAGGTACTAATAATCCTCTTCTATTACCAGCAGTCATTCTCCCCACTATACGTGTTCCTGCTATAGTTGTATGTACTATTGGAATAATATCACCTAATTCTGCTTCAAATGCAGAATAAAAATTTTCTGATCCACCAACTGCAACTAAACAATATGAATTTGTTAATTTAGAAAATACTCCTACTTCATTTGAATTTTCAAATTGTGTTCTTGTAGCCATTTTGTATTTGTTTGTATAGATATGTATGTGTAAATGTATATGTATAAGTATAAGTATATATGTCTTTAAAGTCTTGTGGTTGTTCGATTTTAATGATATATCTCTTCTCAATTTTATAGAGTAGCAAATCTTTATTAGTGACTAATTTAAGAGTACAAAAACAAAAATAAACAAATTTTTTGTGTAACTGAATTGTCTCATTTTTCAGACACTGAATTGAAGAAGGACAAATATTTCTAATGTAAGCGTAGGGCCAATGAAAGTATACTTACTCCATAGTAATATCAACTTTATCTTCAATGATTTTTGAACACTGTAAATTATTAATATCTCGACTAACCCAACATTGATGTTCTGGAGTTTCAATAACTAACATTTTAAAAGGCTTAATATATTTTAAACCAATTTTATTCATTTTTTTATTTTTAAATTTCCAAATTATTGATTTTATATTTGGTGTGATTATATATTTGGGTTTTATAAATAATTGACCAATTTCACCAGGATTTATTGAACAGCTAAATAATAAAGTAATTAATTTTCCATAACCTATTCTTACACCTATTGCTAAACTTATACCTTCTGAAAAATAAAATGGTACTCCCATTGATAAATCTAAATTATTTTCTATAGTTGTATCAAGATATAATATTGTATATCTACTTAAATAACCACCACTTCCATGAATTGATTCTAAACATGAACTTATTGGAATCCAATTCATATTATGTAAAGTTGGAATATATGAACCATCAACTACTATGAATTCAATCCAATTTTTTTCTGATTGATCATATTGTAATGAACTATTCGTTGATTTGAAGTAAAAAATATTATTTTCATCATCTAGTAATTCTGCATGATCTTTGAGTAGTTTCTCAAGTGATTCAATTGAATAAGTTTTTGAAGTATTTTTTTGGGTTTTGATAGTTTTTGAAGATGGAGTAAGTAAGTCAAGGTTAATTAATTTTGAGAAAATGGTTGCAAAAATGAAACTAACCAATACAAAGTTTGGCCAATTAAGAAACATAAAGAGAAGGTAAATGGGAACAAATTTCTACAAAAACAGGGTATTCTTATCTTACATTTTTCCGACTGTAACCAATGAGTTCACCATTAAAATCTAGATATTTTGATGTTATGTTTAAAATCTTGAATCTTGTTAATTTTCGGAGTGTTTTAAATCTTAGGTTTTGTGTCAAGACATTTTTCCGAAAAGTCCATTTTCTTAAGATTTTTCAACCACTTGTGAGAACAGAGAACTTTACAAAATTGGACCAGTGATTTACGAGATTGCAAGGCTGTATAGAATGACTCAAAGTCACCCAATGTCAATATCTCAACTCATTCACCTGCTCTCGTTTCAAAACTTTAACCAATTGGCCTCGCGATAACCCTAGAATTTGCGAGAAATATCTGGAATATTCGTAAATTTTGGTTTATTATATTTTAATACATCACGCATTTTTAGGAACCAACTGATTTTAGATTTAGCAATCCTTTCAATTTCAATATATATAATTGTCGATTGGCCCACTTCATTACGTTTTTTCTTATCTTCATTAATATCAATTACAAAAAAATTTCAAGATGGAAGATACAGGAGGATATACAGATAATGCATTAAATATTATAAATAATGCAGTTGCTATTTGTAAAGAACATGCAAATAGTCAATTAATGCCATTACATTTATTAGCTGCTTTTATACCAACTGATGATGTAGAAGGTTCAACACCATATTTGAAAACTTTAATTCAAAAAGGTAGATTTGAATGGCCACAATTTGAAAGAGTTGTAAATAAACATTTAGTAAGATTACCAAGTCAAAATCCACCACCAGATGAAGTTAGACCAAGTTATCAAACTGGTCAAGTATTACAAACTGCTGCAAAAATAAAAACTCAACAAAAAGATTATTATATTGCACAAGATCATATATTATTAGCTTTATTAGATGATTCATCAATAAAAGATATTTTTAAAGAAGCAGGAGTTAAAACTGAAACTATAAAGACTGAAGCAATTGAATTAAGAGGTGATCAAAGAATTGATTCAAGACAAGCTGATTCTTCTTCAAACTATGAATTTTTAGCAAAATATTGTGAAGATTTTACTGAAAAAGCTAGAGAAGGTAAAATAGATCCAGTTATTGGAAGAGAAGAAGAAATAAGAAGAGTTATCAGAGTATTAGCAAGAAGATCTAAATCAAATGCTGTTTTAGTTGGTAATCCAGGTGTTGGTAAAACAACTATTGCAGAAGGTGTAGCTCAAAGAATTGTTGATGGAGATGTTCCAAATATTTTAGCAAATGCAAGATTATATTCATTAGATCTTGGTGCGTTAACTGCAGGAGCAAAGTATAAAGGAGAATTTGAAGAAAGATTGAAGGGAGTATTAGGAGATATTGCAAAATCAAAAGAATTCATAATTTTATTTATTGATGAAATTCATATGTTAATGGGAGATGGTAAAAATGATGCAGCAAATTTATTAAAACCTGCATTAGCTCGTGGTGAATTACATTGTATTGGAGCTACAACTTTTGCTGAATATAGAAAATATATTTCAAAAGATGCTGCATTTGAAAGAAGATTTCAAAGTATTGATGTACCCGCTGCCACTGTACCTGAAACTATTGCTATATTAAGAGGTTTACAACCAAGATATGAAATTCATCATGGAGTAAGAATTTTAGATAGTGCATTAGTTGTTGCTGCTCAATTAGCTTCGAGATATCTAACTTATAGAGCATTACCTGATTCAGCAGTTGATTTAGTTGATGAAAGTGCTGCACAAGTTGCTGTTGCACGTGACTCAAAACCAGAAGAATTAGATAATTTAGAAAGACAATTACATTTAATTGAAGTTGAAATAAATGCATTAGAAAGAGATAAAGAAGCAGATTCTGCATCAAAAGATAGATTAGTATTAGCAAGAAAAAAACAAGCAGAAATAGAAGAACAATTAGGTCCATTAAGAGAAAGATTTAAACAAGAACGTGCTGGTCATGATTTATTAATTGCTGCAAAAAGAAAATTAGATGATTTAGAAATAAAAGCAAGTGATGCAGAAAGAAGACATGATACTGCAACAGCAGCAGATTTAAGATATTTTGCTATACCTGATGTTGAAAAACAAATTGAAGAATTAGAAGTTAGAGTTGCACAAGAAGAAACTTCAAATTTAGAAAGTTTAACAAAGAATGCAGTTGGTCCAGAACAAATCTGTGAAACTGCTGCAAGATTAAGTGGTATTCCAGTGTCAAAATTAAGTCAAACTGAAAATTCAAGATTAATTAACATGGAAGTTGAATTATCAAAAGAAGTTGTTGGACAACCAGAAGCAATAAAAGCTATATCAAATGCAATAAGATTAAGAAGAAGTGGATTAGCTAACCCTAATCAACCACCATCATTTCTATTTTTAGGACAATCTGGTACTGGTAAAACTGAATTGGCAAAACAAATTTCAAATTTTTTATTTCATGATCCAAAAGCTGTCTTAAGAATAGACTGTTCCGAGTTGGATAAGTATTCCACAAGCAAGCTTTTGGGTTCAAATCCAGGATTTGTTGGATATTCAGAAGGTAACATTCTCGCAGAGCCATTAATTAGAAAACCATATTCAGTTGTATTATTTGATGAGGTGGAGAAAGCTGCCCCAGAGGTTTTGACAATACTTTTACAAATATTGGATGATGGTAGAATCACTGATGGTGCTGGAAAGTTAGTGAATTGTTCAAACGCTATATTTATAATGACATCAAATTTGGGTGCTCAATATATTGAAGCAAATAAAGGAAGTAAAATTAATGAAACAACGAAGGAAATGGTAATGACAGCAGTTAAATCACATTTTAGACCGGAATTTTTGAATAGAATTACAAACATTGTCATCTTTAACAAGTTGAGTAGAAAAGGTATTTCTAAAATAGTCTACATTAGATTAGATGAGATTCAAAAAAGATTCAAAGATAATGGAAAAGATATCAAACTAGATTTAAATCAAGCAGCAATTGATTATTTATGTAAAAATGGTTGGTCACCAGATTTAGGTGCAAGGCCTTTAAACAGATTGATTCAAAGTGAAATTTTAAATAAGTTAGCTGTGTTTTTATTGAGAGGTCAAATAAAAGATAAAGAAACTGTTAAAGTCGTTGTCGGTGATAAAAGCTTAGAAGTTTTACCAAATCATGAAGCTAATGATGTAGATATGGATGATGGTGAGAATGAATGGAATGAAGATGTAGATGATGATGATGATGATGATCTAGATTGAAATCGAGTCTGAAGTAGTTAAAACAGTATAAAAATAAGAAGAAGAAATTTTAAGATTAAACTATTTAGAATACTTTTTATAATAGCTACGCCCATGAATTCTTATACTTTTTCAAACTAAAAGCTTTAAGGACATTTTTTTTTTCACTAAGACTTGTTTAATTGATTCCATTCTTACAAGTCGCTTCTTGATTAATGCTGAGTGGCCTTTTGGTTTGAGATATTGTATGGATTCATGGTTAACACTAGACATTGTGAACTCTTCCTCAATTGCATTATCAGCAAATACCGCATTTATGGCGGCATGTGATCCCCAATCATCAAAACTTAAATCAATTGATACTAGATTTTGATAAAAATGATTTTCAACAATAACTTTATCTATATCTCTGGAGGTTGTACCATGGAAATTGGTAGGAAACCAATTATCAAATTTCTTGCCAATGTCTAAACAGTTTGCTGTTTCCAAAAACAGTTTCCACACTACATCGTACGCCGCACCCGATTTAGGCATGTTATTGTTGGCATCGTTCCCGTGATTAAAATCACCTACCATTATTTTGATTTCGTTAGGGTGGTTTTTATATAATATATCAATAGTTTTCAATATTTTCTTTTTGGCCCATACAGATTTAGCACTGTTATAGATACAGATGAACAAATACAGTTTATCATTGTAATTGAATGATATATCAATAATCCTTTGTTTTACCCAATGATCTTTAGGATGCTTCTCGATATCATATATTTCTTGTATTGTCATTGTTTTTTCCAATTCATCAACAGTGTCACTAATTTCTTGTGTTAATGAACCACCAACAAAATCTTCAACCTTATCCAAAAACTCCTTAGAGACAACCAAAGCCGTCAATGGGTACTTCCCACTTTCAATATTTGTATTATAAATTACTTCTCCTTCTCTTGATTGTTTCATCAAAGTTCCAATGCTTGATGGCCCCAATTCAGTCAATGCTGCTATATCTTTTTCCATTAATTTTTTGAGGAGGTCTGTTCTTACAGTCTTTTCAATATTCTTTAATGACATGGAAAGTAAAACATCATTTTCATCATAGTTTTCCTTCACATTTTTGGAACTAGGCAAATTTAAAAATGATTTTAAATTTCGAACACCATAAATACGTTTTTTCTTGGGTTGAGTTGAATTTTGAGTGTAGGTCGTGAATAAATCTAATCTTGAATGATCATCCATCTTGAACTCATGAGTTCATCCTGTGAGGGTTGATAGTACAATTTTGGTTGTAAATAAAATTGAACTATTTACATTTTTGGTTGCAAAACTATTTTTTACCAAAAAAAGCCGCTTATGAACAATCTACAAATAACTTTGACTTATTTGTATAATAATACAATAACAAAGGAAAATTGAAACGGTTTCATAAAGGCAGGACATACTCAAAGTATCTGTCTATAGAACTTACAGATGATGCATGCTGGTATTCTTGAACTTTAATGACTTTTTATGTTCACATATAGAATAAAGTTCAAACACTAGTTCCTATCCCAAAATATTTCTTGCTACACCGACAACGAATTATTCAAAAGGGCATGAGGCTAGACAATTTTGAGATTGAACTTCATCATCCTCTAGTTCTGATCTGGAATATTGATAGAAAAATTTAGAAGTTTGATACTTTATAACACTATATATTGCAGGGGATATATCTATATAGCCTCTTACTTTTGAATTTGCAAATTACACAAAACTATTGTCCGAAGTACTGTCCATTCTTACTAAGTTCGTATAAATTATCATCAATAATAGTGAATTTATGAGCAACTCTACTAAAGCTTTCCTCAAAATTATATGGAGATCTATTCCTGATAGTACTTCTTAGGTTTGCAAGTAATATTGAATAGCTAGAAATGAACTTCTACTACTTGTTTGAAAATGGTAGAGGTTTAATTGATGACTTAACATACTCGTTTTGAATGAATTATTTCCACTTACAATGTTGTAGTTGATGATACTGTCTCTTTTTGTCTTGTCAATGCATCTGCAAAGTTATTATTTTCAGTTGTAACATAACCAATTTTAATATTGAAGTCTCTACTAAAACATAACTATTTATGAAATCGATGTTCAACATGAGCATTGGCCGAAATTTATTATTCACAAGTTAAGCAACTGCCATAGGATCACGATTTAATTGAATAACAAATGTTGAAGCATTGTATGATTTAACAAGCTGTAAAGTTTTATACACATTTAACAATTCTTTTCCATTAACTTGAATATAATGATTCAGTTGAACTAAAACACCAGAATATATTGCAACAGTTAAGATAGATTTTTTATTTTTTGTTTGTTTAACAACAGCACCTCAAGCATTTGATGAAGCATCGGTGTTAATTATGAAAGGTAGTGAAATATCTGTACCTGCAACCTTGATTGCATTTGCCATTGCTTGTATTATTTTGATGAATGCATTAGTTGTTTCGTCATTCCATTTGATATTGTCATTTTTGAGTAAATGATATAATGGTAACATAATTTTTGCAAAAGTTTCAATATTTCCTCTTTAGTAATTACAACATTCAATGAGTCTATGTAATTGATGTTTAGATTTTGGTAGTTCGTAGTGTAATATTGCGTTGACTCTATCTGTGTAATGCTTTTGCCGTTTTCATCAATTATAAAACCAAATAATTCATAGTTCAATTGTGCTAATACTAGTTTTGATGGATTGCTTTTCAAACCTACTTGTTCAAGTTTAGTTAAGACTTTGACTATTGAAATCAAATGAGTATCTTATAACGATGGATTGTCATGTACTTCTTCCAACGGTGGAGCAGGAATAATTATATCATCAATATAAAGACAGATTTTAGGTAAAAATTCTTCTACAAATCTAATAATTGGACACATCCAAGGTTTAAAAAATGATTATTAGTGGTATCTTTCTTTTACATTGTAATGTGTCAGACTTTATGGAACTACTCATTGATCTTGTATCAACTATCGATTTTAATGTCTTATTGTGATGTGGAATTGAAAAAATTTGTTGTTCACAGATGAATTCGGCTCTGTCCAATGTTTTACCGAATAAACCTTTAACTGATTCATAATATTCGTCAATGCAATCGCCGATGTGGCTTCTTGGCAATGATATATGTGCAACACTTAATGATGTTTGCTTAGCATTTGCAGATAAAAATCCCTTTCTTGATCGATTCATTTCAAATTCTTGTATCTTGTCATCTTTCTAGCCATCAGCGTGCTTGAACTGGTGAGGTGATGTGTGAACACCCTTTCATTCAAAAATTTTTTGCGTATATTATTCAAATTTTGTTGATAACCTTGATCAATACTTCCTGGAAAATCTTCAATGTGTCAGTATCCATATCATGGTCGGTATGGTTTGAGTAAGATTGTTCTCTATCATTGTTGTGTGTTGAACTAATTGGATCATGTGTATGAGATAATATTGGTGATCAATTTCAGTCATCTGTAAGATCTAAGTCCCAATCTGATTGGTTCAATGATGTATCAGGTAAGATATCTTCATTTATTTTATCATTCGGGACAGTAGTTGTTGATAGTTCATTTATCTGACCTGATATTCCTGTGTTTATAAATTGTAATTATCATGCCGTTTTGTCTCCATTATAATTAGTACTAACAAAGTGATCATTAGTATGATTCGTTTCTAGATCTTTTTCTTCACTTTTATAATTTGTTGAACTAATTTCAGTCTTCATCAGGTCTTCATAATTTGTATTTGACTAATTTGTATTTACTATTTAAATAACAATTTTAGTTTGTATCTTTGTGAAGAACACTGATTAGAATAATTCTCAAAGTCGTAACCAGCTTACTCTTTTGCTAGATATTGAACATAACCTAGTGCTACTTTTATGATTTACCAGCTTGAATTGCTCCTTGACGTCTATAAGTATAATTTCTATCCAGTGGAGTTTGTGCTAAAGTCAGTTCTTATTTCGTTAGCACCATTCTTGTGAGTAGTATCAATGGTACTGGGTGTTTCATACTAAATTGTAATCTGAATTTCCATTAGACCAGCGGTAGTTGTTGCCTCATAAGTACAAATATTATTTTTTGAATTTTCAGGAGTGTTAACATTATTGGTTGAGTCGTAAGTTCTGGTAATATCATTTGCAGATTTTGTCGAGTATTGAATTCTGTGACAATTGCATCGACAATTCCGTTTTAACAACATTTCATTTGATTGCACAACAATGTCAAATTCTGCATCTTTATTAACCCCTAGTGAATGATGTCTTGAAGTAGTATTTCTTGATTCAGGAGATTTAATAGTTGGAATTTCTTCGCCCAAGAAGCAGTATGATCTCAATAGTAATGTGAGGTAAGACGACATAATTAATTAGTTGACTGAAGTGATAGTTGTTCACCGAAAATTAGGCTGTTCATAGTAACTGATGACCAAATTGAATAATGGATATATTTATCAAAATTAATATGATAATGGGAATAGCTCCAGCCTTTCTCAAATTTGTTCGACTCAATTTTATTTGTTTGTTTGGGTGAAGGTATGGACTGAAGGTCTTCAAATCAGTAAATTTGTATTGAACTTCACCTGTTGTATTGAATCCAAAGTTTTTGCAATTTTTAAGTAGTGATGAGTTCATATTTCATTAATGCTTTGAGAAACTAGTCAAATAGTCCTTCAAATAACACCTCATTAGTCTTAAATGGTTGATTGTCCACATTCAAATTAGATATCTACTTCTAATTCTAATACCGTAATATTTGTTTCAATACTCATAACTTTGTCCTAGTCTTGTCCTTTGTTGTAATCCAGGTGATGAGGTTCAAAAATATTAATTGTTTCAATATGGATCGCTTACTTAATGCGTATTATTAATGAAGAATGCATGTAACTTGAGTTCAATATAACGTCAATGTACCCAGACCTTGTGTGGAAGATTCAATTTTGATGAACAAATTAAAAATGTGATAAATGATATTGAATGATCAATCGATTAAGCGTTTCATTGATTCATCTAAAATGATACATCCACATTAGATTGAGATGTCAGAATATAGTATACACAATTGAGTAACTGAACAAACACGAAGATTTATATTTCATATGACTGTATTGCACGGTGATTTGGACTTTGATAAGTATAATTTGACTAGTGATATTGTTACTTCTGAACAGTTTAATGTCGATAGTTAACACCGCCCCCTTATGACTGCTATAATCGTAAAATCAATGACATATGCTGCTATCCATGTCCTTCCTATTATAAGCTAGGGATCAACATTTCTGTGATATGAACCTATAAATTATGTGGACTTTCATATAAGAAGTCTTATACTTTTGAAAATACACAAATTGTCATACATATTTTAAATCATGAAAATCATATAAATTTGAGACTTACGACTTCACCACAGATACAAGAGAAATAAAGTATTGGTTGTGTTAGAGAGCTTGTATTAATATAGCATGTACAAACATTCAATGAGTCAACATAGTTATAGCAAAAAACTTAAATAGGTCAATACGGCAGCACCATAATGATTAGGAGTCATTAAGTTCTTTGGCAGCTGGAATCAAATAATTATTGACGTACTTGCTTAATTGCCCGCTACTTCTAAAGACTCCTGTTCTGAGACCCAACAATCTACCAATATCCGAATAATTGATGTTACTTTTACCTTTGAATTCATGTAATATATCGCATAAGCTTTCCAATTCATCGTTACTAATAGGTCCTTCTTTAGCTTTGACTGCAATGTACTTATCACGGCAATTTTTTGCATCTTTATTCTGGAAGTTATCAGCAACTCTGTGGAAATTGATGACCCCATAAACCGAAAGTTCAGTTTCACATAATTCGACTAGTTTTTCAGTGTCAGCGTAATCCCAAAAATCGAAGTCTGCAACTACTCCTTTAAAATATATCCATTTACCATCTTCATCTACTCTAATTGTGCCTTTCTCGACTCTTTGATTAAAAGAATCCCACAAATGATTAAAAGGGGGCTCCAACGACTTACCAAAAGTTTCCACAAGATTTTTCCGATTTTCCACTTCATGAGGTGTATTCAATAATTCCAACAATGCACCCATCTCAGGTTTTTTAAGTTTTCTACTAGGTTTGTTGATTATTGGAGTTGTTCTAATCTTGAAGTTTATGCCACGAAAACTGAACTGATTTTCAGACTCACCATGCTCGACATTATCATCATAAATTTCTTGATCATAAAAATCTTCCCCTTCCACTTGATCTGAGTCAGTTATCTCTTCATCTGATAAAATTTCTGGATCTTCAACACCATCCAAAACTTCATTATCTTGAGCAAGTATAGTAGCATCGACTTCAGATACACTTGATTGAGCTTCGTTGCTAGTATTAACCAATATCTTAGTAAATTCATATTTACCTTCAACTAAATGCACTAGGTCCTCTCTGATCAAAAAGCTCCATAAATTTCTAATTATTTCATCCGCATATCCACTGTAAGCACCAGTCTTAATCAATGGCAAAATCAAATCCCACTTGATTCTATTATTAATAGCTCCGTTTTCTGATCTAAATTGTTTAGATCTGCTGAAATTAACCATTTCTAACAATTTTGATGACAAAGCAAAGTCAACCTGGTTAAAATCATCATCAGATTTAGAATTTCTAACCCAATTTGTTCCCACATTATCTATAAATTGACCAGCTTGTAAACGATTGAATATTAATTTGAATATAGAAATTGGGTCTGGTAGATCAATGTTTGACCAAATTTGTCTTTTGTTCGACTTCAATTTGTTCATACTATCTAAAATAAATTGATCCAATTGATTTTTGAAATCAAGAAATTCCATATCCGTTATATTGTCGTAATTTGATCCTAAAAAGGCATTTTTGAAATTCTTCCAATCTTGCGGTAAATCTTGATCATTTAATTTGTTGTAAATCTTTTGATACGCCTCAAACCCCCAACCTTCAACAGCCCTGTCTAAAATTCTATATCCATTAGGGTTGAGAGCCGTCGTTTGTACTGTAGCAGTCACATCTCTTTTTACTCCCATGTTGTTTGAAATTTCATCCAATTCCTCGATTGTAAATTTAACCATTTTTCCATCAATAAATTTGTGTTGATAAACCAACCCTACTTTAATAACATACAATTCTCTTATCAAAACTTTGACACGATCTTTCAATTGAAGTGGGGTAAGGTGTGAAAAACAAGTATCCTGTAATTCATTCTTTACTAGGTTCCATGGGGCTTTTATTGGATTATTCAAAAGTCTCAATGCGGCATTGGTCGCTAAAATCAATTGATTGGTTACCGCATCATCAAATACACAATCTCCCAATTTGAGATTTGTGGTATCATGAACCCATTTGTTGTCCTTTTTAATAATACTATGTTCACTCTTGAGTCTATCAAAAATCATTCTATAATTTTCAGTTTCTCCTGGTAAAAATGTTGGTGTAAAAATTCTTCGTTTATGAGGAGAATTATTCACTTTGTCAACAATAAGATTGTCCAACCCTTTGATATAATTAACAAAATCCAAATCTTCAAAGTTTGACATTTCCGTTTTGTCAACAATCATTCTTTTAAAGTTAGTCCATTCTTCACCTACGTTATTCTTCAAATTTATATAAATATCCTTCATAATGTCAATGATATTACTTGAATGAATACAAGTTCTTCTGTTGAAAAAATCATTTTCCTCAATACTTTTAGTACCATCACCATTAATTTTAACTAAATCAGATTTATCATAAGTGTATGTATCCCTAACGCGTCTTTTTGGTGTTTTCTCAACGCGTCTTCTTTTCTTTAGTGGAGCTTGATTTACACGATTTGTAAGGTCTTGCAAGGGACCTTGATTGGATCTTTCCATTTTCAATTGCTATGATCTTCTTGTAGCATCAGGTGATTGTAGATCAAATTCTTTTGGTTGTAGAAATTGAAAAGAAGAAACTAGAAAATCTTACGCACAAACATGAATTTTAAATTTGTGAAAATCAAAATTCAATATCAATTTAAAGATTACACAAATGCTGAAAACAAATCTCTGTAGACTGTAATTTTTTATTGCAATTTTCAAATTGTGTATCACTTGAACTACCAGAAACAACATGCTTTAACCGAAAGTGTCAACTGAAGATCAATTTAACAAATCAATTTGTGATTTTATTTGCTACAACCTGTGACTTTGGAGGAATTAATCAATTTTTAGATTCACATCAATCATGCGCTTGTAAACACTACATCATCAACGAAAAACTTTGTCATTGCTATGTTTATAAAAGCTCAGTTTAAACGTATCATGAGTTGAATATTAATTATATAAATTATCAAATAAATCTATTTTGAAACTTTTAACTTGATGGAGTAAATTGGTAACATTCAAAAATTTTAATTTAATAAAATATGAATGATTATTTGATTTAAGATAATAAGATAGTAAGATATGTTCTGAGCTTAACAGCACTGGTTCTCAAAGTAAGTTGATAGGTACCACGGCTGGATACATAGGATATGAAGAAGGAGGTATATTGACAGAAGGTTTATTAAGAAAACCATATTCAGTTGTTTTATTTGATGAAGTTGAAAAAGCCGCACCAGATGTGTTAACAATTCTTTTACAAGTTTTAGATGATGGTAGAATAACAAGTGGTCAAGGAAAAGTTATAAATTGTTCAAATGCTATATTTATAATGACATCGAATTTAGGTGCTCAATATATTGAAGCTAATAAAGGAAGTAGAATTGATTTAACAACAAAAGAATTAGTTTTAACTGCAGTAAAATCACATTTTAGACCAGAATTTTTAAACAGAATAACGAATATTGTAATTTTCAATAAATTAAGTAGAAAAGGAATTGCCAAAATTGTTAATATAAGATTAAAAGAAATTCAAAAAAGATTTGCAAATAATGGTAAAGATATAAAATTAGATTTAGATCAAGCAGCAATTGATTATTTATGTAAACATGGTTGGTCACCAGATTTAGGTGCAAGACCCCTTAATAGATTAATTCAAAGTGAAATTTTAAATAAATTAGCTATATATTTATTAAGAGGTCAAATTAAAGATAAAGAAACTGCAAGAATTGTTGTTGGTGATAAAGGTTTAGAAGTTTTACCAAATCATGAAGCTGATGATGTTGATATGGATGGTGGTGAGAATGAATGGAATGATGATGTAGATGATGATGATGATTTGGCAAGTCCAGGACTTGATTAAGTAAGTGTTATAAATTAAGTATATAAGATCATCGAAATAAAAGTTAAATAATTATAGTAACCATATTCTGATTTTTTTCTCTGTTGCACGGCACACAAGTATTGCAAATTGCTGCAAAATTGATGTTTCAGATTATTTTTCACAAATCATAAATTTTAAACCATTTATATTTTCAATCTTCATAAAATCAACAACATTCATATCCTCATTTCTAGTTTCGATTTGTTCCATATTACATTCGTATAACGTTTAAGTCGACAGAATGTTATTAGATTCCATTGTTGATATTCCATATAATCACCTCGTTAATTTATTAAGACGACGATCCAAAGCAAATTCAACCAATGGAGACTGGTTATAGCATCAATTGTAGCACCAAACCAATCGTCATCAGTTGAATTTGCTTAAAATAGTCACCTCAATAAATATACAGAATCTTAATCCTACTAAAATTTTTAATTGATTGACTTGCAAAATAGTCAATTTTCTTAATCATTTGATAAGAAAGACAAAAAGTTAACATGTGAAATCCCCACGTTTGTGATTTCTAATGATTAATTTCTCTAATTACCTTATTTGGAATCTTGACCTTTTTGAATCTTATTCAAACTGAATCATTTATTTAACCAAGGTCATGAATTAATTTTAAAAACAATTATATGAATGAGTAAGGCAATTGCTAAAGCTTGCTGTGACTTGTTATTATCTCAATTCCAATATTTATTTCTGATCATACCCAGTGGTTATCACCTTTCTAATTTCTAATCTCGCATGCACAATTTTAATACCATAGATTGTGAGAAATCAACAATCACTAATAACCTTGTTACGTAATCCATAACGAGTACAAATAAGCTTTGAACATCACTTTCTATTATTTTTGGCCATTTTGAATGAACATCTTTCTAATAGGTTATTCATCTAGTGACTTCTAATCTCGAAAATTTGGAATAACCTATTCAAAAAGAATTTTCATTCAAAATAGCCATCCTCCGTGCCCGAAAGAAAGCAATTGTCTCCAATTGATATGAGTGACATTATATTTTTGACCTAATGGTGGAATATCTAGAACATTTGACGTACCAAATAAAGAATCAGAACCTATATACACATCGAAATAATGAATTGGAAATGAAAAAACAAAATATGACAACTCACTAATAAATTAGAAAAAAATTAAAAAAAAATTTACAGAAAGTGTATGGATGTCAATTCTAACTTAGACACAACACTCAAGGCTTTGTAGAAGCACTTCCTCAATTTGTGAACCAATCCAAGTGATAGCGGCCCATTCCTTCATGTTTTCAAACTTATGGGCTAGTGATACATTTCACTCTTGAATGAATCAATGTTTAATTGTTTATAAATGTTTGCATATTACTTTTGAAGGTACCATTGTGGATGACATCAGGGCTGCTGCTAATTTAGCCGATGTATTTGAAATGTCTCTTAAGTGCTGTTATTTGGAAAGTGTTGATGCAGAGATTTTGGTTGAATTAATGCTGTTAGCGCCTGGATCAAATTAGACAATCTATTCAGAAAGGTTACATCCGCAGCTGATTCATCAATATTGGAGGCAATATTTGGGGATAGTTTTGATACATTTGCGAAGAAAATGAAGCTTGTGGAACAGGATGTTTGTGTTTACTCCAAAAGTTATTAAATTCCTGCTATAATATATTTGACAACAATGTTAGAAACTTATCGACACTAGATTTCGAAATTTAATTTGAAAACATCCACAAGTAAAACATGTTTGACGTTGGATCAGGACTGCCTAACTCAATTTTCAGCAATGGTTCTGTATGTATTTGCAAATTCCATTACTCCCAATGTTCATTTACTTTCACCTAAAAAAGGGAAAGATTTCAAGGATATTGGTCTTATCGGGAGACTCTAGTTGGTCAAATTCTATGACCTGCTCAATTCTTTCGTCCGTGTACATCATTCGCTGCAAGTCCGAACATCTCAAGAAGCAGATCTGGGCGACAGAATTGTGTCAGATATAGGATTTGCTGCTAGTCAGTTGTCCAGACATCTCAACAAGCCGTCATTGGAGCATATGGAGCATATTAAATATGTAAAATTTAGACTCAATGAAAAGTCAATTCGTCAAACACCTATTAGTCTTTGCTCCAAACTTATAAGAACAATTTTCAAATTTCATTCGATGATTCATTTCGAGCACCACAAAATCATTTTAAATGTTCAATTATAACAACTACTAAGACATTAGAGCAACGACTAGGACACTTACTGTTTAATTTCTCCCGAATAAATTTTTTAATGATTGATTTGGAGCTTCAATGGAACGATGAAATAGCCTTTAATCATTAATTTCTAACAATAACCTAAATATCTATTTAAGATTGTTTTTATTTTTTTTGATTGCCTTCTGTTATTTGACTGAAGTTTGATTATCATGTACTGGAGAGTTTATTCAGGAGAAAATGGACAGTAATGGTATTAGTGGAAAATCAACCATGTAATTAGTTCATTTTGGGACTACTTGTTGGGAATAAACATAAACCAAATTTACATGTCGAGATCAAGGTTCTCATAATCATATAACAGATACTTTTATCAACAATGAAAGATTTGAAATTAAAATCAAATCCAATAATAAATAATCATCATGGTAATTTTTATCATCGAATGTTTTGTGGGCCAAAACAGGTTTAAAACTACAAGCCACTCATTTGATTGTTCTATCTTTTTGCCCAAAAAAAGTTTAAAAAGACATAAGCTAATATCAATTCCAAATTTCCAAAAAGAAAAGAAAGTTAACATCGAAAAAGAAACATTCGTTAACGTTACAATTCTTAAAAATTTATAACGGAATCATTTGATTGAAAATTAAAGTGTTCATTTTCATTTCGAATGACTTAGCTAAACTAGTAAATTCAAACTTATAAAATAGAATTTAATCTTAAAAAATGTGGAGAATAGAATTAAGTTACTTAAGATAAAGCGCAATTATGTATGTATGTGTTCTTTATATTTACTTACTCATCTCAAATACTAGCATTGTGCTAACGAAAAAGCTTTAATTTCTGCTTTTTTTTGGGTTCTATACATTCAATTGATTCTAGTAATTCATGAAATCAATTGATCATTGGCGTATTCTAGGTCCACTTGTTAAATAAATATGAATTGATTCCAATTTCAAAATTCAAATCCATTTATAAAAAAAGCCGCTTACGTATTGTACTATCAAAAGATCTTCAAAATACAATCAATTGAGAATGAAAGGAAATTGAAAATATGTATAGAAATGATCCAAAGATGAGCAAATAAGTCGTAAAGAGAAAGAGACATTTACAATTTGTAGATACGTATGAAAACATAAAACATAAAATAACTTTATCAAACCAAACGTATAAAAATAATAAATGTCAAAAAAAGAAATGATAATATGATATGTGGAGTAAAATACAAAAAATTGATAAAACTGGATGCTTTCTGAGTTTAATGAAATATTTTCTGAATACTCGAAGAGATTAATTAATGAGGCTCCTCAATAGTTGTAATAACAATTACGATAAATAGGAGTAAATAATATTTCGTTATAAATATTATTTTCATACATTCAAGAGATAGTTACCTATATTAAATTCAGAATATAATATTATAAAAAATCTCAACGGTCAAATTGAACCAGTTGACACTACTTGTTGTACTGTAATGTACTGTAATTTCTATTGTCTCTGTTATTAGAAAGAAGGGAGGGGATTTATTTTATATTTTTTAATTATTCAATTGCGGAGTAAAATAGTACGTTCTAAAGTTTTTTTCTTTTATAAACTTTGTAATAAAAAGTAGAATTTAAGATGAGATGATGATTGGGGAAAGTTCTTTCTATACTTTAAGATTGTAGACCAAGTTTGTAGGGAGAAAGAATGATTGAAATAGGTAGGTAAATCGTTAGTCAATACTACAATATACTTAATTTTTATATATATGTATTGTCTTATCTATTAATATCATAAATACTGTATAACAAAAAAACATCTAATATCCTTAAAACCTTATTTAACCAAATGTATGTAAAAACAAAAAATAAGCCTAAATTTCAAAAAAACCCAAACTCCGAATTGAAAAAAAAAATCATTAAAACCTCTTCGAACTGAAAAATAACCAAACAATTGACCTCATTAAAAATTCATAACTCATTAAAACCTCATTAAAAGCCATGTAAAATATACCTTAATAATCATTATCATTACTAAACCTTCTAAATTTAAATTTTTTCATTTTATTTAAATAATTTAAAGAATTATCAACCATATTATTTAAATTTTTATTTAATATTGAACCACCAGTATTATTATTTGATGATGTTGAATTATTTCTTGTTGTTCTTGGTGTATTTGTTTCTTCTTGATCTTCATTTGAAGAATTACTTGATGATGATTCTAATTCTAATGGAATTGAATAATAATCATAACCTATTATCTTGTTATGTTTATGATTACTAGGTGATTTTGAATTTATAAGTTGTGGTAATGGAGGTGATATTGGTGGAGTTATTGGTAAATTTTGTTTTGAAGGGATAGTTGTATTTGATCTTTGTAATCGTATATTATTATTTGGTAATGAATTATTTTGCACTGTGGTTGTAGAATTAGTATGTGTAATTTGTTCTGATTTTCTTCTAATTATAGAATGATCAGTTTGAAATTTATAATTTTGTTGATTTTGATGGTTCTGATGATTTTGATACTTTATAAATTTTAAATATAAATTAATCAATATTTCATTAATAATATAATTTTTACATAAATTTAAAGTTGTTATAGATGGTAATTCATTTAATTTTAATTGATTTGATAATGAACAAGGTAAATTAATTTCAAATTCTGAATTGATTTGAAAATATTTTTTATATAAATTTATCCAATTTTCCTTAATTGATGAATCAGTTGTGGTATTAGTTAATAATGTTATAAAATAATTTAAATCTAATATAAATTCTAAATTTTCATTACAATGTAAAGTTTTAAGATAATTTAAAAAACTATGAACAGTTAAATTATGTTCATTCTCATTTACTAGGTCTTCATTTACTAATAATTCTTGTAATGTTGGTATATTCTCACCAAAAAATGATGATGATTTTAATTCTGAAGATTCTGATGATGATGAATTTAATGGAGTTGGTTGAGCAAAATTGCTAGTGTTGTTATCTATACAATTACATGTATTACATAATAATATTGAAGTATCAATTGAATTACTTCTAATTCTATTTATTGAATTTGGTCTTATTTGATAATCCATTTTTTCTATATTTTTTTTGTTTTCAGTGAATCATCTATTGAAATTGTTGTGGTTATTTTAGTTGTTCTGGGTACTATCAACTGTTCCTTCCTTTTTTGTTTACTTATTTGTCTGATTTATCAATTGGTTGGTTAATCAATTGGTTGTAAAAAATTATTTGGAATTCTAAGATTATATATATAAATATTTATAAAAGGGGAGATTGGAGTTTATATAATAAAATAATAAATAACCAGTAGACAAGTACAAAATATAATAAATTTAGCACAACGGTTTTTTTTATTTTGAGTTAAGAAATTTAACTTTTTGTGTGTTATGGTTTTGTGTAGTTAAAAGTTAATAGTTAATACTTACATAGTACAAGATGTCGTATACATTAAGACATTACATACACTTAGTGGGTTATGCATACAAATACACAAACACAATTTAGCATATATAATTTGTTAACTTGTATTAACGAGATAAATAGAACATAACCAACTAAAACTTCATAGTATTAACTATGTTGTTAAAGCCGAACAAGACATCTTTAACCATACAGTACAGGTGGCGTTTAGAAGTTGCTGAGAACGTGCAAAAAATGAAGAGCTAAAGATTCAGAAGGTAAATAGTGCTTACTATACAATATACTTTTTCAAAAAATATTTGTTAACTAAATTTAGTAATTTCATCATATACTGTACGTACAACTTTGTTAAAGTCAGGTACTTTTTTCAATCAATAAGAGAAAGGTAGATCTTACTAAAATTGTACTACAATATAAGCAGAAAAGTTTAAAATTTGTTTTTTTCAATTGATCAGTCTTACTCAAATGCACTCAAATCTCCTCATTTTTTTAATTGTTTTTATATTTGCATTTTCTTATCAAACGTTTTAGAAAATCTTTTTATAAAATTATATGTTAAAACTTTATTGTCTTACCCTTTTAAACTAAACCAATAAGTTAAAGGAACGTTTGATTGAGTAAAAACTTTACTCAACTTTCAATAATAGAGAGATTAAACTTTTTAAAACAACAAAAAGATCTTGAATTTCTTGACAAAACAAATTATACTTTACCAGCCTGAATAAAAAGTATAAATTCAACTTTTTACTATCCGTCTTGATGTGAAGTAATAGCCGATATCTCAATGGAGATAATCAGTAAGTAACTCCAATTACTTACTCGCCAAAGTTTCGAGAAAAATATCTACTGACTTAAAAGAATAAATATATGATCAAATAACATGTTATTTTTTTTAGATGTTTCAAAAAGTCAAGAAATATATTTTTACGCAAATTTATTCACAAGATCTAATCAATTATTGGTTAGAAAATAGAAAAATTTATTTTACAAATACCGAAGACATCATCTCATGAAGCGCTTTACGTTTGATCTCGATCTTACCATCACACTCTTTATAATTCTAAACAGGTCAAAAGATCTAAGATTTAATGTATCGGCTACAAAGACTTGGTCGGAGTTAAACAACCACAGCTCTTTAAATTTAGATAGTGGACACTGAAGTATAACAACAAATATACAATTAGAAGTACCTGATTGTTATTTCTATAATACATTTAATCATGTCATAACTAATTTTGTTTTGGTTATGAGACATTTACAATACAATAAAGTAAGCTGAAGAGAGAAAATCGCGTTTTTTACTTTGTTAACATTTATCTTTGTAACTGCTATAAAAAAATAATTAGCAAAATGTCGTCTATGATTATCTTTTATGCCACAAAATTCATATCTTCATACAATGTATAAGTATGTACAATAAGAAAGATAAAAAAAGCCATAATCCTAGTCCTGTGCAAATAGATATGACATGTATAGTCAGGTACATTCCATAATCTAGAATAATTAGTAAAACTATGCTTAATCTAACTAGAATTGATTGATAGAACCTTAAAATCAAAAAAAACGGTAAATGACGTCAATTTATTGGGGTTCTATTCCTCTCACTGAAAATTGCATTATCTTACATCGAGATAATAATTTATTATTTCTTACTATCTTTTGCAATTCAATTCAAAAAGAAAGAAAGAATATAATAAAGTTAAAAGTATAATATTTGAATTGAATCAAATGAATGAATGATACTTTCAAAGAAAATAATTAACGATAAACGTTTTGAAAATTTGAAAAAACTCCGCAATTTGGTATTAGTTTCTTTTGAAATCGTTCTACAAACTTACATTGAATTGAAGTAACTATCAAGATTAAAGTTTCTATTTAAAGTTATCAATTCTATTTTGTTCTTGTTCTTATCAGAACGTTATGCTTTTCAATTTTCGATTTTGATTTCGACATTTTGCTATCAATTGAAAAAATTATTGGTAAACATAACCTATAAACCTTAAATTAAAATTGCTACATCATAGATTTCAGAACAATAGATTGTTTTTTTAATTAGATTGATTGACAACGGTTTTTTTTATCATGTTACAATAATCAGTGGTGCTTAACCTTTAAAATCGTAACCCACTCAGCTTTTCATACATAATGCTTTACTTTTGTGGTTTTAAAATTCGGAGATAGTCATGATACAAATATATCTAGTAAGCTTATTATCAGATGATCACTCATTCAATTCAATTGAGATGACATTAAAAGTGCAACATCTTTTCAATAAAGAAATAATATGAATAAAAATAATTTAATCTGAGACTGATTAAAGATTGAAAGGGAAAATAAAGTTCTGGTAAAAGTCCAAGAACCACAATTGTTTCTTTTATTACAACGATATCTAGTATTGTAAATCTCTATTTGTTTCTTTTTTCAACTTTTGATGCTTGCATTTACAAGCAATTAAAATTATGCTCGTTATTCTATTAATAAAACTTTGAATCTACGAATTATATTACAAACTATACTATTATTCAAAGTTTTTTTGTTTTTCTGAAAACAATTATAGGAATCCTGAAGTAAAATATTTGACCATATATTTGAATACTAGACAATGACAAATGCAATCCATGCTAATGATTTATTGGATAACATTGGAGAGTTAAACTGTATTGAATCAAGAGGTTTCAACGACCAAATTTTATCTTTTTAGTCAAGAGATTCTCTAAATTTTGAAACATGATAATTAGATACATACATTTTGTGTCAAAAAATGAAGATTTTAGGATTTCTTTTTCTTTTTTTTTTGGTTGCAAAATTATATCTCTAGATCGTGATATACTTCAATATTTTCTCAGAAAATTACAGATGTGACCAATTCAATGCTTTTATGCTGTGGTCAATTCAAAGTCATGTAAATTGTTAATTAGGTAAGATCTAAACAAAATTTAAAGTATTTTGAAAATTGACAAAAATTCGACTAAAGACTTTTACCTTAGTAAAAAAGACTACAACATTAAGTAGTACATCAGATCATTGCTCTACGTTAATTCCACACTCTGTCAGCAAAAAACATAAATGTCTCTTTTAAGTAGCCCTTTATGATGTTATTTAGTTATTTGAAACATCCCAAAAATACTATCGATGCATAGATGATCTCCAAATTGGTATATGATTACCTTATAGTCTTTTAAAAAATCACTAGTGATGGAATAATGAGATGATAAATAAAAAAAGTATCCAAATGAAGAATAATTCAAGCTTAGACAAATTTCAAGTTTAGGCTATCTTATCGAAAACATCAAGGTCACCAATTCGTTCAATATTATGCAATTTGATTGATTAGAAGTCTGGATGAATAATTGATGAATCTGTCAAATCAGATATATATATATATAAGAGACCTACACATCAAATGGGTCTGAATAACCATTGAGTAAGGATTTGAGTGTTGACAATAATCCTTTCAATAACCATTCATTATGGAAAATGAATGACAAATTTAAAGTGTAGTGGTATCGGTATTATTTCTAGTTAAATGGAAATAATTTGCTACTAAACAAATCTAACAATCAACGGGTATTACTTAATTTACTTAGATTCGTCAATTGTCTATCCTTGGGTTTGAAAATCTAAACTTGCATTATGAAATTCGTCTTGTTTGTTAATTTTTACGGTTTTATACAAACGTAAAGTGAAAATTAAACAATTTAATTTGTTGTAGAATTTTGATGTTAAATTTTATACTTTAGGTATGTTATAGCTGTACCATGATATTCCGATACAAATTCCAAAACCCATTTAGCGATAGTGTTCAAACGATAAATTTGAGTCGATGAATTTGAACATGACTTCTAAACTCTTTTACTATATGGTTGATATAAGTCCGTTTTAATGATCATGTAAGTAGAAGAATGAATATATTTATAAATCCAGAGCGGAATTAAAAATGTGTCAGAAATTTAGAAGTCCTTTGTAAATCACTAATTTGGGATCATTTTTTCGGTACCGTAAATTTTTTATAATTCCGATATTAGAGCCGTTTGAACAAATGCGAGTCACAACTTAATAAATCCGATTCTACTTGAATAGTTGAAAAAGTATACCATGGTTACATGGTTATAACTTCAAATAATTGAATCATAAAAGTGGATTTAGGCTTTTACGCTCCAAACCGTTTGAGTTGGCTTAAAGATCGTTGGGTCATGAATCATTTTTAATTCATACGATCATCAAAGTCATTTATATTACACTTCGCGTTAATCTAATAGATAAAAATAATTATTCCGATTGTGGTGCGAAATCTCTAGATCTAAGATTTCAGATTCGCTTGTAAGATCTGACCAACACAACTAAAGTTCGACTTAATCAACTACCCTATGATTTCATGTTTCAAACTGTATAATTTGTATCATACATCATTGAAAGTATATCTCGAAACATGTAAATATGTTGGTAATAGTAGGGTCCTTTAACGGTATTTTTTACGTCAAAATTTTTAAAAAATAAAAAAAGAAATGACGGAGTTTTAAGACAATAATTTTTTTTTACACACAATGAAATAATAATGTTAAACAAATTGATAAGCATGTTGTACTTTGTTTCGAATGTTTATGAAAATATACGAATTCTATAACTGTTGGTACCTCAAGTTTTGAAAAGATCTGTTAATATAAAATTCAATCAATCTGCATCAATTATCATTAGATCTATATTTCTAGTTTTCATATTTTATCATTTTAATATTTTCATCAATGCTTGTACAACTAATATCGAAACTCATATAGAATTAGCTTCAATATATCATCATATCAAAAAGAATCAACTAAAACCTACTGAAAATGGAATATGTAGAAGAAGAATTAGAAGAAAATCGTATAGATCAAGAAATTAAAAATTTAAATGAAAATGAATATTCAGATAATAATGATGAAGAATATCTCAATATAAACTCAAGAAAATCAGAATCAATTAAACTGAAACTGTTATATCCTTATACAATATTTGAAAAAAATGAAAAAATTTTATTAATTATTATATTAAGTTCAATTGGATTTTGGAGTACTTGTAGTTCACCAATATATTTTCCTGCTTTACCAACATTAACAAAATATTTTAATACTACAGAATCAATAATGAATATATCTGTTGTTTGTTATTTATTATTTCAAGGAATAGTTCCAACAATTTCATCAAATTTAGCAGATACTTTTGGTAGAAGACCAGTTATATTAGCAAGTTTATTAATTTATATTGCTTCATGTATTGCATTATCTCAAACTAATGTATATTGGTTATTAGCTGTATTAAGATGTATTCAAGCTGCAGGAATTGCTCCTGTTATAGCTATAAGTTCTGGAGTAAGTGGTGATGTTTGTACACCTGCAAATAGAGGTTCAATGGTTGGAGCGACAGGTGGTTTACAATTAATGGGAAATGGGCTTGGTGGATTATTTGGAGCTGCTTTAATATCTGGTTTTCATACTTGGAGATCAATATTTGTATTTCTAGCAATTGGAGGAGGTGTAACTTTTATTGGAGCTTTTTTCTTTTTAGCTGAAACATCAAGACAAATTGTTGGTAACGGAACAGTAATGCCTAAAAATATTATGAATAGAGCTGTCTTGATATATATGCCATTTTTTAAAAAGAAAATGAGTAATGATATTGCAACAATTGAACCCAAAAAAAAATTTGATATTTTAGGACCATTTAAAATATTCATTAAGAAGGAGGTATTCCTCGTTCTTGTCCCTAGCGGGCTCCATTTTGCCGCTTGGCTGGCTGTTTTAACGTCATTATCTACAGAATTGGAAAGTTCAAAGTATAATTATGGAGTTATGCATGTTGGTCTTATTTACTTACCACAAGGGATTGCAACCCTCGTTGCATCAATGGGTGTTGGTAAACTAATGAATATATATTATGCTTATAGAAAAAGATTATTTGATGAAAAGATGAAGAATGTTCCGAAAGATCAACGACCCGCATTCAACATTGTTGCAACTAGACTCACTTTAACTATTGTTCCAGCTGCATTAATGATTATTGGATTAATTATATTTGGATGGTGCATTCAATATGAACGACATATAATTTCAATTATAATATCAACTATTTTAATATCTTTTTCATCATCAGTTTTTATTGCAATTTGTACAACCATGTTAGTTGATTTATATCCAAATCAAGGAAGTGCATCAACAAGTTGTTTAAATTTAATGAGATGTTGGTTAGCTGCTTTATTTGTTGGTGTTTTAGATAAAATGATTAAAAGTTTAAATCTTGGTGGTACTTATACTTTAATGGCTGGATTATGTTTATTATTTGATCTTTGTTTAATTTATGTTCTTTATTGTACTAATAAAGAATTAAGAGATTTTTCATCAAATCAAAGTACAAGAGTAAGTAGTACTACTTCATCAGTTATAGAATAGAGTATAGACAAGTTTAATTATTTATTTATGATAAAATTTATTAAACAATCATTCAAATGTATTTGTAATTTAGTGGTTATCATGTTTCATAATTTATTCTGAAACACTTTTTTTTCCTGACGAAAAGTAATTCCGACTATTTTTCAATTATAATAATTCTCACCAAGAATATTGAAAAAGTTAAATAATAACAATTAAAATGCTTGTCCAGGTTATTAGTCTTGTGAGAATTAAATTCAGTGATTATCATGAAAGTTGATTCATTTAAATTAAATCAATGACGGAAGGTGTCAAGCATTTGGAAACTCAAATTTCATTGACTAAAGTAAATAAACATGAACTACAATCATCGACCCAAAATCGTCCAAAAGTAGCTTCAACGCGATCCAGCACCTTCAGAAAAGTTCCATATACAATCTTACATTTAAGGGAAGAAATCATTATAGTCATTATAACAAGTTTATCAGGGATTTGGTCAACGTTATCAACATCAATTTACTTCCCAGCATTACCACAATTATCAGATGATTTTCAACTATCTCCACAAATTATTAATATATCAATAGTTTCATATTTGATATTTCAAGGTATTACACCAACTTTAATTGGTACAATATCAGATTCATATGGAAGAAGACCAAGTATATTGATATGTTTATTAAGTTATTGTTTAATATGTATAGCAATAAGTTTTGTTAATGTTTATTGGGCAATAGCAGTGTTAAGATGTTTTCAAGCAGCTGCTATTGCTCCAATTATATCAGTCACTTCTGCAATTATGTCTGATATTACTGAAACTAAAAATAGAGGAAAATTCATTGGAGCAAATATTGGATTACAACTTGTTGGTCAAGCTTTTGGTTCTTTAATTGGATCATTATTACTTGCGAGTTTTGATACTTGGAGAGTTTTATTTCTATTTTTAGCAATTGGAAGTGGTTGTGTGATGATTGTTGTATTGATAGTTTTACCAGAAACTAATAGAAAATTAGTTGGAAATTTATCAGTCAAACCAACAAATTTATTGAGTAAAGCTCCAATAATTTACATTCCTTATTTTCAAAGCAGATTAAACAATGCAAATGAGACTATTCAAGAACGAACACCTGTAAACTATTTGGACCCCTTCAAAATTTTATTTCAACCAATGATCTTCATGAGTATGTTGGCAAGCGGATTCCAATTTACTGCATTCACAATGTGTTTGACTTCTATGTCTACTTCATTACAAATTGATTATGGATTTTCAATCATTAAAGTTGGATTATGTTATTTAGCTCCTGGATTGGGAACATTATTAGGTTCAATAATAACGGGAAGAATAATCGATTTACTTTATGGACGTCAAAAAAATAGACATACAATTAAATATTGTCATTTATCAAAAGAAGAAAGACCAGAATTTAATATTATAGAAAGTAGATTTCAAACATCAATATATACAACCCTTTTGATAATATTGTTCTTAATAGTGTTTGGATGGTGTCTACAATTTCAAGTTCACATTGCTCCCATCTTGATATCCACATTTTTAATCTCGATAGGAACAGTCTCATTCATGAGTTGTATGAATACTTTATTATTAGATTTGTTTCCCGATAAAGGGTCATCGGCCACTGCTTGTTTGAATATCGTAAGATGTTTACTTGCTGCTGCTGGAATTGGTGCTTTACAGAGCTTGGTTGATAGAATTGGAATTGGTGGTACTTACACATTAATGTCCAGCTTTGTACTAGCATCATTTATAGTGCTATTGGCAGTCAAAAGATACATACAGAATCAAACTTAATTTGTCTATTAGTATTTACGCATTTTATTCAAAGACTATGTAGTTATATGTATATATATAGCGTTCATGTCATACAACATTTATAACAATGAAAATTTTGAAGTAAGTACAAAGATCTATTAATAACTTTATAAGCATAAATGTAATATGAAGATGAATTCCCTTATTGTGATGCACATTGAACACCTGGACCAGCACCTTGTCCTTCTTCATCATCTTCGTCATAAGCACTTCTTCTTTGTTGATGTTTGGCTGGATCGTATTTTGTCATATGTTCTTCATCAACTTCTGCATCAGCAGGAATTTTAACTTCTTGTCTTGGTGGTAATATAGTAGCTAATTCTTTTAATTTATCTTCATCTGCAAAATGATTTGGTGGGAATTTAACTGAAAATTTAAGTATTAAATTACCTTTACCTCCATGTCTATAAATTGGCATACCTTGACCTTCAACAATTTTTAGTTCACCTGGTGCAATAACTTCACCTGGTGTAACATTAATTTTAATCCAATCTCCTGATATATGTTTAAAAGCAATTTCACCACCTGCTAAAGCAGTTAATAAATCAATTTCATATTCTTTAAATAAATCATTACCTTTTCTTTGAAATTCAGCATTTGGTCTTTCATCAATAACAAATATAACATCACCTGGAGTAATACCTGGTTCTTGATCACCTTCTCCACTAAAAACTATTCTTTGACCATCTTTCATACCAGGATCAACATGAACTTGTAAAATCTTTCTTTCAGTAGTGGTCTTTTTACCTTTACATGTTGTACATCTATCTTTTGGATCACATAAATCACCAGTTCCTTGACATTTATCACAAACTGTTTGAAATCTTTGAATCATTGGACCCATTTGTCTAGTAACAAATTTCATACCAGTACCATGACAATCTGGACATTCTTTAACTTTTCCTGCTGCACCTCCTCTACCATCACAATCTTTACATAATACAGTTTTGTTTAAAGCTAATTTTGTAGTTTTACCTTTATATAAATCTTCCAAAGTACATCCAATACTATGTTTTATATCTTTACCTCTTGTTGGTCTTTGAGGTTGACCACCAAATCCTCCACCGAAAAATTGTGAGAAAATATCTTCTGCATTCATTCCACCTGCAGCTCCTTGACCTGATAATCCTTCTTCACCATATGAATCATAAATTTCTCTTTTTTGATCATCGGATAATATTTCATATGCATGACTGATTTCTTTGAATTTTTCAGCAGCTTCTGGGGTTGAGTTTTTATCTGGATGATATTTTAATGCTGCTTTTCTATAAGCTTTTTTTAATTCTGACTCACTTGCAGTTGGACTTACTCCTAAAGTGTCATAAAATTTTGTATCTTTGACCATATCTATAGATTCTTATATGCTAATGATTGATGTGAAAAAAATGAATTATATAAATGAATTGAATATGATATTATATTGTTGATGATTTGGTAATTATTAGATGCCAAATATTCAGTATTTATTTATGAATAACTCGTGCTAGTTTAATATATGATGCGTTAAAAGTAGTTTGAGAAGGCAATATCAAATTGATGCAATTTATGGAAATGATTTAAAATTTTTTTTTCTGTATTATGTTATTGTGTTTGAAAAAAAAATAATTTATTACTAAGAAAATTTGTGTCTCGTCTTAAAACACGAATTGCGACTCTGAAACGATGCATTTACGAACTCTTATTTTTAGAATTACCTAATGATTTGAAATCATGAAAAGTCCATAAGATTCTTATGATCAGTCTTTATCCAATCCCTAGAGAAAGCGTAGGACCATACGATCAATATGACTTAATCGTTAGAGTTTTGTTAAATCTAATGCCTCAAATTTCTTGTTTGCAACCAAAAGGAGTACTTGAGAAAAAAAATTACTTTTATATAGAAAATTCTAGAAATAGTAATGAAATTGTTTCAAATTATACACGAGAATAAGTATTTTCTTTCATCAACCAGCGTGTTCAACAATTTGACTTACTAACTTACCGTCCTTAATGGTTGAGACAAATTGTTCTGGAACAGCTAATTCCTTGAAATCATCATTTGCTTCAGGAATATTAATATTTAATGCAGTTGTAGAACTAGTAAATACTTGACATTGATTTTGAATACTCTCATTTGACAAATAAATAGATCCTTCATCTGATTTATCAATACTTATCATTGGTACCAAACCGAGAACTTGAATACCATATTTAAATGACTTAATGATATCAACACCGGAGATTAAAGAATCAATCACTATACCAATATTTTTAGTTTCTGAAATTGATATTGCATTTGCTTTTCCTTTCAATTGAATCGTAATATCACTACAATTACCAATGAAAACAGATTGATGCATTTCTACTTCAATGACAATTGGTCCTGATGCATCAGATTGTGTGAAATTTTGTATAATCCATTTTGTTCCATCAACCAATTCCTTTTTAGCTGGTTTTTTAACTAAAGATGATGTATTTGTATCATTACTTGAAGCTGATGACGAACTTGCTAAGTTCTTTGGTTTTTTTGGTGCCACTGGTGGTTGTTTTCTTAATTCTGGGTTTTTGTGGGTCATTTCTGATTTATCAACTTTTTTTAAACCAGATGTTACATTTGAACCTTGATTTAATTGAGCAAAAACTGCATTCATTCCACCTTCAGGTGCTGTAGCAGATGCTGTAGCAGATGGATTAGCAGAAGTATTCGATTCTTCGAAAAACGAAGCTGGTGGAGGTGGTGGAGGCGCTGGCGCAGATGCAGATGCTGCTGCTGGTGGATTATTAGAATTGTCTGTAGCAGTTTTATTTGAACTTTTGAAATCATCTATAGCTTGAGCGAATGGTTTACCATTTGCATTCCATGAAGGACCTTGAGTTTGATATTCCTTAACATAAGCTTTTAAATTATCAAATATATCAGATACTTGTTTCACCCATTCCACATTAGCATTATCTTTGTCTTTATATTCTTTTAAAACTCTATCAGACCAAAATTTAGCACTATCTTTAATATCAGAAACATATGAAACAGGGGTAGGCACTCCAAACCAAAATATAACTGCTGCACTTTCACTCAAAGTATTCAAATGATTGAAAAAATTGGATCTACGATTATCATCTTTTAAATTATTGATTTTTGTGATTTTTTCATTAGTTGGTGCTAAAAGTTCAGCAAACAATGGATCTGAGTAATCAGGTTTTTGAGATTGGGATACAATTGTCAAAAATTGAATTTGATCTTCAAAGGCTTGTTGGAAAAGTTGGGCTGATTCCCCAACTAGTGGATCAATTGACTTTGAATTTTCAACAAATGGTGAAACACTTTCATTGATAAATTGTTTGAATGCAACGATTGACTTTGGTTCGGGAATCTTTTCTTCTGTTGACGAGGTTACGGGAGTTTCTGAATCTTTCAATGCAAGACCTGAATTAGATTCATTTTGCGAAGTGATCAAGTTAGTTGACGAGTTTGAATTATTATGATGTTTGTTTGCTTCTTCTTGAAAAACGGTTATATCTTCAAGACGTGAAGTAGCTGCTTCTAATCTTTTTAATATAGTAACAATGTTATACCCTTGAACATTGAACTGATTCTCTTCGCCTGACATTGTTCTTCCTTGATTGGAATTAGTTGAGTTGAATTATGTTCAAATTGAACAATTCGCGAGGTTTTGAAATATCAACTCAAATTCAATATGCGGTTGAGAATACAGATTTTTAATATTTGAAATTTCAAAGTGAAGTAAACCTCATTTTCGAACTAACCACAAATATATCGTTGTGTCACAGATAAATGGCTCTATCTAAGCTAAGGCTGGAAGAAGAATCATTTCCACCACAAGAAATACATTATTTGAAAGACATTAAAGTAGGATCCAATAAACCAGAACCGTTTTATCAAAATTATGAACCAAATGTTCCAATTGCCATAGATTTAGGGACGTCTACTTGGAGAATAGGTTTAACAAATAACCCAGAACCAAATAATGTTTTTCCAGGTATAATTTCTCGACATAGAGATCGTAGAGCTTTAAAGACTTTGACCATAATTGGAAATGACGTGTTTGGTGATTCCGCATTAAAATCAACAATGAAAACTCCGTATGATGGACCATTAATTACGAATTGGGATTATATTGAATTTATGTTGGATTATTCTTTTGAACATTTGGGTGTAACTAGCACTAATGGGAAATTAAATAATCCCATTATAATGACTGAACCAATAACATGCCCTTATAATCAAAGGAAAACAATGTATGAACTACTATTTGAGGCTTACCAAGTACCAAAAGTTGCTTTTGGTTTGGATTCATTGTTTTCATTCTACGATAATACAAATGGTAAATCTACAGGGTTAGTAATAGGAAGTGGGAATCAGCTGACGTCGATTATTCCGGTGATTGATGGTAAAGGAATAATGACACAAGCAAAAAGAATTGATTGGGGTGGAGATCAGTCTCAACTGTACTTATCAAGATTGTTAAGCTTGAAATACCCATATTTTCCAAATAAATTAAATCAAAATCATACCACAAACTTATTTCAAGACTTCTGTTATGTATCGAAAGACTATGATGAAGAATTAAAGCATATATTGGATATGGATATACTAGAGTCAAAAGATGTTGTAGTTCAAGCTCCAGTTGAAATAAATGTGTCTACGGAACCTAAAAAGTCAGAGGAAGAGTTGGCGAAACAAGCAGAGAAAAGGAAAGAGCAAGGTAAAAGACTACAAAAGCAAGCTCAACAAAAAAGAATTGAGAAATTAAATCAAAAACAGCAGGAATGGGATTATTATACAAAATTTAAAGAAGATAATTCATTTTTAAGTCCCGAAGAATTTGAAGAACTTTTAATAAAAGATGGATTTGAAGATTTGGAAGATTTTAAAAAATATATGAATTCTTTAGATAGGTCTTTGAAAAGAGCAGCCAATTTAAATGAAGATGGTGGTGATGATGATGATGAAGATGAGGCAGAACCAGCAAAAACTTGGCCTCTAGTAGATATTCCAGATGATCAATTGACAGAAGATCAAATTAAAGAAAAACGAAAACAAAAATTACATAAAGCAAATGTTGAAGCTAGGGAAAGAAACAGAGAATTGAAAAAGCAAGAAGAAGAAGCAAAAATAAAATTTGAACAAGAACAACAAGAATGGAGAGAACGAGATTTAGACGATTGGAGTAATACTAAAAAAGTTAAATTAGCAGAATTAATTAGTAAATTCAAAGATAGACAAAAATTATTAGAGTCAATGAAAGATAGGAAATCGGCAGCTGCTCAACAAAGAATGAAAAATATAGCAGATTTGGCGAATGATGATAATGGTTCAACCAATGCTGCATCTAGAAAAAGACGACGTAATGCAAATGCTACTATTGATAATGACCCAACTGACAATTTCGGTGCTAATGACGATGATTGGAATGCTTATAGAGAAGTCTCCAACAAGAGTGTTGAAGAAGAATTAAATAAAATAAATGATGAAATAGTTGCAGTAGAAGAAGAATTGCTCAAATATGATCCAAATTTTCATCATGAAGACACTTTTGCGGCTGCCAATACATTCGATTGGAAAAATTCGGTTCTACATAAATTTATACATGGACCAAGACCTAACATAACCATAGCCATGCAAGCAGAAGGATTATCACCTGAAGAAATTGCAAATCATCCTGAAATAATTCGAAAAAATCATCAAATTCATTTAAATGTAGAAAGAATAAGAGTTCCAGAAATATTATTTCAACCAACTTTAGGAGGTCTTGACCAAGCTGGGATAAGTGAGATAGCGAATGATTTACTCGTTAAAAGACTAGGTGGTGATTTTTCTAGTGGTGGAATTTCTTATAAAATGGCTCAAAATGTATTTTTGACAGGAGGATTAGCTTTAATCCCAGGTTTTCAAAGTAGAATTGAACAAGACTTTAGATCATTCCTTCCTACTGGTGTGCCGTTGCATGTCAAAAGAGCAAAAGATCCATTATTAGATCCATGGCATGGAATGTACAAATGGGCAAATAATGAAGAAGATTCACGAGACGCGTATGTAACGCAAGCAGAGTATGAAGAGTTAGGTCCAGAGTATATAAAAGAGCATGGTTTGGGGAATGCTTGTATTTTGTAAATATATATGTCTATTATTTGTTCAAATAAGTCTTATTTGGACTTGTTAGCATTCGGATTGATACCCTTTTTTCGTAAACTTATTTTCTTTGATTTCTCCATTATAGCATCATCTTCCTCGTTATCAAATGTAGTGAAGTCATCGTGAATAATTCCTTCTTCCTCAGCTTCAGCTCTTGCAGCATTTTCTTTCTCTCTTGCACCAGCTTTTGATATATCATGTGGAGAAGGTGCAATCTTCTTGAATTTAGCAACATAAAACCCGTCAACATTATAAGTATGTGGGTAATATCTCCTTGTCAATTTTATGCTTGAATTAAAATGTTTACCTCTATATGATGTAAATCCTTCTTTACCAATGGCTAACCCTGTTTCTACCAATTTCACATTTGGACGTTTCCTTAATGCATAATCAACAACTGCTTCATTCTCATCAACTGCTATAGAACAAGTTGAATAAACAATCACCCCACCAGTAGGAGAGTTTGCATCAACTGAATCAATAGCAGACAATAATAATTGTTTTTGTAAATGAGGAATTTGCATAAAATCTTTTTCAGTTCTGCTTACTTTCACACTTTCATCTTTGGCAATAACACCTGTACCCGAACACGGAGCATCTAATAGTATTCTATCAAATCCTCCTATAACTTTTGGAAATTCTCTAGCATCATAATTACAAACAATGGTATTTTTGCATCCTAAACGATGTATATTTGCAATTAAGGATTTTGTTCTTGCTTTATTTGCATCATTTGCAAACACACAACCTGTATTTTTCATTAATGCTGATATATATGTAGTCTTACCACCTGGAGCGGCGGCCATGTCCAAAATTCGTTCATTTTCTTGTGGATCTAACGCCATTACTGGTAAAAATGATGAAGCAGCTTGTAAAATATATTGACCTGCTAAATATTCTGGAGTAGCACCTATTGGAACTTGTGAATCAAATATTTGAAGTCCTACTTTCGTCCATGAACCAATAGGTTGTAAATTAACACCACGATTTACTAAAGCTTGGGCTAAATCCCTCCTTCTTGTTTTCAATGTATTCGTCCTTATAGTTATAGGTCTAGCAATCTCGTTAGCTTCGAAAAATTCAATAGCCTCAGCAGGTGAAAATAAATTAAATAATTTATCCGCTAAAAATTCAGAATATCCAAAATATTCACATATATCTTTTATTAATCTAGTCACATACTCTGCCCTTGATTTTCCTTCTTCTGCTAAAGTTTTAAAATTTTCCAATACTTTTACTATTTCGAGCATCCTCGTTCTTACCATAGTAATATCTTGTGGTCCTTGTGTCATTTCTTCTTCTTCCTCGGCCGTTGGTAAAACCTTCGCTCTAGGCTGTATTATTCCTTCCTCTAACAATTCTTTCTCTGCTTCTTCTGCCTCTTCCGCTTCCTCTTCATCCAATTGTTTCGAATATAGTTCCATATTTTGAGCATTTAGCCCTTCTAAATCTTCATCCTCCTCATCATCATCTGAAAACATGTGCTTTACACGTTCCTCCTCATCTGAATCGAGATCCTCTTCATCGTCATAAACACCATTTTCTATATCAAATTCATCATTTAATTCTTCTTCTCCTTCATCTCCATTGTCGTCATCAGATTCATCAAATAAAGATTTCTTTGCAGACGCCAATTCTTCAAGATTCACTTCTGGTAAGGCATTTTCATCTTCGGTTGTGTCGTTCTTTGCCTTTGATTTTGATTTTGATTTTGAATCTTTAGCTTTCTTACTTCTCGTATTGACTTCTTCGGTGCTTGACGTTATATCATTTTTTGATTTCTTATTTGAAACTGGTTTTAAATCATCGTTAGATTTTCTTTTCTTGCCTAATTTTTTCTCTTTTGAAGCTTGAAATTCATCGTAGGTTGGTGGTAATCCTTGCTTGTTTTTGGCCCTTCTACCCATCTATGTTCTGAATTAATTGGTGTATAGTAATGATTTAATTTTATGTAAAAAGTTGATGAGATGAGAGATCTAAAAAAAATAATTTACGAATATCTTGATGCATAAAATCGAAATTGAAAAGTACATCAACTTGAACAAATTCTCAACAATTACTCGACAGAACCTCGAGTTCTTAACTATTACAAAACCATCCCTCATTTTCTAGATACTTCTGTGAATATTTATACAAGTTTGGCAATGAGTAATGATAATATAACTGTTGGACAACACGTTTTAATACGGTTACCGTCAAACGGATTGAAAATTGTTCAAATTCAAGACTCAGGTATTATTGGATTGGGAAAATTTGGACATTTTGAAGTTTCTAATATACATGGATACCCTTTAGGAACTTCATTTGAAATAATAGGAGACAATGGAGTTCGAGTGATCAAAAGTCTAACGGATCAAACCAACAATGTAAATCAAGAAATTGAAGAAAGTGAAGAAGTTCAAAAAACTGTTTTAACCCAGATGTTCAGTAACAGTGCCGAAAACAATCAAAACATAATCGATATTGGATCCAAAATTCAATCTTTGACGAAGGAAGATGTAGATGAATTAAAAAAATCCGGAGCTTCATCAGACATAGGTCAACTAATCATCGATAAAATGATTGCAGGTCATGAAGGATTTGATAAAAAGACTATTTTTTCACAACAAAAATATTTGAAAAGAAAGCAACAAAAGTTTTTGAGAAGGTTTACCGTGGAACCACTAACATCATCAAATCTACTAGAATATTATGTTGACAAAGATCCTTCAAAAATGTTGAACCTAAGTGTAGATACTTTGGGATTAATCATGACATACGGTAACGTAAGACCTGGTGGAAATTATTTAGTGATTGATGAAACAGGAGGGGTTTTGGTGTATGCAATGCTCGAACGAATGAATCAACAAGGATCTATTATTGTTTTGCATGAAAATGAGCATGCCAATTTGGTTGCTTTGAAATATTTAAAAGCTCTGGAAGAAAATCTAAATAAAGTTGTAAGGCCGGTAAATTGGTTGCAATTTGCCGAACCAGAGAATGAAAAGATAGATTGGAAAGATGAAGATACCACAGTGATGAAACCCAAATACGTAGAGCACTACCTTAGGAAAAAACAGAAAGCAGCTAATATAAATACAGTACTTGATATGGTTGTAAAAGGTAACTTTGATGGATTTATTTCAATGTCAACATTATATATACCTGACGTTTTGGAATACATAATACCGAAAATTGGAGGGTCAAGGCCAATTGTTATATATAATCAATACAAAGAGCTTTTGGCGGAGGTGCAACAATTATTCACAAATGATCGTAGGGTTCTAGCGTCGTCAATACTTGAAACAAGAGTGAGACCTTATCAAACTATACCAGGAAGAATGCATCCTATAATGACGATGAAAAGTTTAGGTGGATATGTACTATGGGGTACTAAGGTTATACCTGACGACTCAGTTCAAGCTCTTGGAAAAGGAGTTAAACGAAAGAGAGAAGATTCAGAACAACCAATTGAACCTCAGGTTGAAACAAATTCTGTTGCAGTTAAGATAGAGACATAATTAGCTTTGTATACATTAACGATTGACTCATTGTCATATACCTTATCTCGAAACTTAATCATTAAAAACTTCTTTACACATCGACTCAAGTACACTTAGTTTTTTATCTTTTTGCCAGCCTATTACACATCTGACATTACCAGCAGAATCATAGCGTAAACCAACTCCCCAGACTTCATTGTCTAACATTTCTCGAACAAACTGTACTTGACTTATATATCCGACTTCAAAAACGAAACCTATAGCTCGTGAGGGTATTACCAAATTATTTATCAATTGATCATAAAATTCATTATCACCTAATAAAGCCAAAGCGGGTTCATGTAGTCTAACCGACTTCTCAACGCCAAATCGTAGAACCGATTTAGTATAATCTTTGGATAAAACGTAGGGAGGATTAGATGTTACTAAATCCACTGTATTTTCTTTCGTTTCATGTAATTCGACACCTAATCTGGGATCAAATAAATCAGCTATCTCGAAATTCAGGTGTACATAAAAAGTGGGGTTGTTGCTCTTGTACTTTTCTAAATTATATTTAGCTAAACTGATAGCTTTAGGTGAAATATCAAGTCCAGTGGAATTCAATTTCAAACAACTTTTGGAAAATTTATGTTGCATTAATAAAGGAATGCATCCAGATCCCGTACATGCATCTAACAAATTCAAATCATCAAAACCATGACTAGTCAATAAATTCGCTAGTGATTCCGTCCATTCGGCAGTTTCCCAACGCGGTATCAAAACTCCTTTACGACAAATGATATTTAATTCACCAAAAGGTTGAGTTCTAAGTATATACTGCAACGGTACTAGCTTTGATCTTTGGTTTACAGCTGAAACCCACTCTTTTCTCGGTAATTCTTCTTTAATCCATTTCAATTCCAATTGAGCTTTTTCAATGCTTCTATTTGCTTTCAAAAGTGGTGGAAGATAATTGGATATCTCTTTTGCTTTTCTGAATAATTTATTAGTTATCCTTGGCATAAATTAATCATTACTTGTTATTGAAGATTTTCTGAGTTGAAAAGTAAAAAACAGGAAGTACTAACCCAAATTTATATTTATTACATGATAGAGTAAAAATGAGAAATGAACATACATGAAGCAACAGGTCGCTTTATTATATACAAATTTATCTACGACATTCCCTTCTTTATATAGTACATATAAGCTCTTTCATGAACATTTTCAGCAAATGGTGAAATAACTTCTGAATGACCTGGTCTAGCTATTGGATCTCTTAAATAGACTGCATGACATGTATCGAATGAAATTTCTATGTGGGATGGTAAAATAGCAAAAGCACCTAAGAATGCTCTTGGAGTCCATGGAGTGAAAAATGATTTCGACGGATCTTTACGTCCATATAAATGCTTTTGCCAAGGTAGACTCACGAAAGCTTTTGTTTCATCTTCCAAAATTTCATCTTTGTTTAAGGATTTCAAGGGGGTAAGTTTGTCAGCATAAGATGGATCATAATTGCTCGTTTCGTTACCTGAGTTTTCAAAATTCAATCGTATTCTCTCCCATTCACTTTTCTCTAACTCTCTTAAAATATTGTTTATTTTCCTAAATTCAGTTTTTTCCTCAACACTCTTCTCGGAATCTTTTGAGAAATAAAGTTCCAAATTTGAATCACTATAGTCATTGATGATTGAGTTTTTGGAGTCTGCTAAAGTTTTATAGACCTGTACAAATTTCGTTTGTGCTAATTTGTTGCCGTATGATTCAAACGTTGATTCATTGACTTCACCCGTTGAGGATTTTCCCAACTCGATAATGTTCCTTAAAATTGATTTCTTATTAGTTTTATTTTGCTCGGACTTCATTATGGATTCAGAATTTTTTTGCTTAGCCATATTTCTTGCTTTTCTTTCAAAATTATTAATTGAATTCAATGAGTCAGGTTTATTTTGTTGCATTTCCCAAACTTTTTGTGGATTTTTTTTGGCCATGTTAACATAATGGTTCCAATACCTTATTTGTTTATTGTCTATTCCAATCGATTTGTTTAAACTTGGTTTTGATTTACCTAAAGCATATAATACTCTTTCCGGATCAACTGAGAAAACATCACCACTTTTTAATGGGAATGAAGGATGCTTAATAGTCACTCCATTAACTTTGACATACCCGCCCAAAATAAATTGTCTAGCTTGTCTCACTGATGATGCAAACATACTACGAAATAAGGCAAACTCTAATCTCTTCTCCAATGTTGCATAAGTCTGTAGTGTAATTGGGGTTTGTGCTATGTCTTGACCACCTTTTAAAGATGCATCCAACTGTGAAAAAGTCTTTAATTCTGGTTCAAACAATACTTTTTTAAATCGTTTTTCCCTTAAATGTTCCCCATGATACGATCTGGTTTCTGATTTGGCAGCCCATTTTTGTTGATATAAAGTCTTACCCAAATAATTTATGGGTTGTTTTCGATATAAATTGAATAAGTTGAGTTTGTTCATGGACATACCAATCTGGCCCCTCACCATTCGCGAGACATTGTCCAACCGTCTAGGCATGCTATGTTATTCAGAACTTTATTTTCAAGCTGATAACTTTTACTGCTAAAAGCTGAAAAAAAATTTTAAAATTAATTTAAACTTAAAACGAGATTCGTAATTACGACCGATAATATGTACAACCTTTTATATATGTAGGACCAATTCCAAAACATATACCACCTCAATCTTAATTAATTATTTATCTTTTATGCTGGTAGTCGATGCTCCATTAGGTCAGCTGCAGTCAACAGATATAACGACATCAAGAAAATGGTCAATTGAGGAGGAAATTGAACTCTTCAGTTTAGTTTGTGAATACAAACCAGCTGGAAAACAAAAGCAAAAGAATCTTCAAATAATTATAGATAAAATCAATGAAGGTATAGAAGATCAAACGACCGAGGGGCCATTTACAGAATCAGATATATTGGAAAAATTGACACAATTGTACGATCTACCTAAAATTGACGTGTTAGAAGATGGAAGTGAAGATAGTAGCTCGTTCAACGAAAATAGAACAGAAGCAGAAGAAATTGAGAATCAAGAGGCTGATGGTGAAGCAGGTACAAATGACAAAGAAAATGATTTAATTGAGAAGAAAGAAGAAGAGAAGAACTCTATTGAGGAGAAAGAACAGGAAGATAATTTGCAAGAAGCTTCAGAGGATGTTTCGATCGATAAGAAGCACAAAGAAAATACGAAGAATCGGGAAAGTGGGAAGAAAGACGTTGTGGCCGAAACAAAAAAAGGAGGCAAAGATGTGGAAGATGAGGAGGAGCCAGAAACAAAAGTGAAGGAGCAATCTATTAATAATGCTATTGAAGAATCAAAAGAGGAAAATGACGAGTCTGATAGAGGTAACGGTGAGACAAAGAAAAGAAAAGGTAGAAGCCTACGAGAAACATCAAGTAAAAGAAGAAAATTACGTTCCACGAACCAAGAAGAAAGTTTACCTAATGCAAGTGAGAGCATAGAACTCCCAAAACCCCATGCTGATGATGTGGAAGAAAAACCTGGCGAGAAAGTTAAAGAACATAACAGTGGCAATGAGGAAAATGAGACAAAGGTAACACATGATGATGGTGAGAAAGAGGTTGAAGGTAACGGTGACGATAACCGAACAGAAGTAGGGGAGGAGGAAGAAGAAGAAGAAGATCAACCCGATGTAACAATGGACAAACAAACTGAGTCGAAAGAAGATGCTCCAGCTAGAAGAACAAGGAAAAAAATAATTGGTCAAGAACAACCACAAACGCCCATATCATCCAGAAAAAGAACAAGGCAAAACGTTAAGTTTGAAGAGCAAAACGAAGAAGATGTAGAACAGGCTGCGGCAACTCCCGTGCCCAAAAAGAAGGCCAAAGCTAGCTCATCCGTGCAGCCTATTGTGCAAACACCTCAAACTAGGAGAAGAACTAGATCTGAAACACATTTTGATGAGGATACCGAACCAAAATCAGAAGAACAGAACAGTAAAAATAAGGCTGAAGAGAAGAAATCAGTTGGTAAAAGAACTGAGAAGGACGAAGAGAAGATGGAGGAAAGCAAAGTAAATGTTACTCCCAAATCAAAGGGTAATCCAAGAAGATCGAGCAAGGGCACTTTCCTACCTCAAAATCGACCTTCACCATCAATAAGAAGAAGCACGAGAAAGAAATAGTATGAGGAGTTGTATAAACTACTATTGTTTTATGAGAAATGAATCCCCTGTTGTATTATATATATATTCAGCTACTTTACTACCTAGTATTTTAGCTGGTCTCAAAATTTGTAAACTTAAATTTGTATTTATCAGTCTGTCTAATTGCGTTTTTGATTCTTAGTTGCCCTATTACCCCATAATTTGAAACTTAACTATTAATGTTTTTTTTTTTCGTTGCACCAAAATATTTGAAACGCGTCTCATCTTACGAGATCAAAATAAGTTTCGAAAGATTAACGATTGATATGAATTGATGATACTACTTCCAAGAGCTAACAAATTTGTCAAATGTTGTATCCTGAATATAGCTAGCTCCCCAAAATGTAAGTTGGCAACCATTGCAGCTACTTCCAAATCGGCTAATGTATCAAGAGAACTTGAAAACTGGGATAGAGGTGGTCGAAAAGACAAAAGCATTGGCAATGGCAAGAAAGTTAGAAAGGAGGAAATTAATTTTACACCATTATACGCGTCAATGAAGAGGTTGATAGATCTGAATCCAGGATGTGTTAGTCTTATACAGGTTGGGAGTTTTTATGAAATGCATTTTGATCAAGCTGAAGAGTATGGACCAAAATTGGGTTTGAAAGTTGCTTATAAAAAAACTAGTAATCATGTTATTCCAATGGCAGGTTTTCCCTTATCTCAACTTAAAAAATTTATGGAAATGTTGATACATGATCATGAAGTTAGTGTTGCAATCATTGATCAATATAATAACCTTAGCAAAACGAATCAAAATTTGATACATAGAAAGGTTTCAAGAATAGTCTCACCAGGGACTTTGATTGATGAATCATTTTTAAATTTTAATCAAAATAATTTCATGCTTTCAATATCGCTTCCGCCAAATATGATGAAACAGCCAGCAGATCCAGATATGATCATTGGATTAGCTTGGGTAGATGTTTCAGTCGGTGATACCTTTGTTCAACAAACTACATTGGGTAATTTGATTTCTGATATATCAAGAATTAATCCCAGTGAAATTTTGATATCAAAAGAGTATATGGAATCATCAAAATCATTTGTTGAATGGTTCCCACCTTTGCAAGAACTTAGACGATACTTTGTTAGGTTTCACAACACTCAATATTCAGATTTAAAATTACAATTTAAGGCAACAGTTCCTGCTGTGAGAAAGGCGTTGGAAGATTTAAGTGTTCGAGAACAATCAGCTTTAAATTTGGCTTTGTCATATGTCAATGTAAATTTACCAGACGCGGATTCATTACTAGATTTACCCATTAGATACCATAGTAAAGAAAGTCTTCAAATGGATTCAAGAACAAGAGAGGCTTTGGAATTGACTGAAAGAGGCTCAGGAAGGAAAGTCTCTGCTAGTGGGACTCTTTTATCGACGATACGAAGAACTTGCACATCATCAGGATCGAGATTATTGATCCAATGGTTAAACTCTCCATTATTAAATGTGAAAAAGATTCAAGAAAGGCAAAATTATGTGAAGCTATTTCTTTCCGAAAATCATTTAAGACTCGGTGTAAAACACCGTTTACAAAGAATAGCTGATTTTATACGTATAGTCCAAAAATTGTCGGCTGGAACTGGTGATGATATTACGAATTTAAAACAAATTGCTGATACACTAATTGAATTAAGGGACTTAAAATTATTTTTGGAAGAATTTACTAATAATAATATCGACAAATCGGAAGTGTTGTTGAATTTCACTAAACAATTTGATATCCCATTATATGTTGCTGAAACAATCAATGATGCCATTATTCAAGAGGAATTAAATAATATTGATGTAATTGATAACCTGGCTGTTGGTCAACAACGAGCCATTGATGATGATGAGGCTGAATTTGAAGAGGATGACTTATTTACGAATAATTTTATGAAACAATACAGGATAAGAGAAGATGAAGAATCAGTTTCACAATCATATTTTGTAATTCGACCGGACTATAATGAAGAGCTAAAGAAATTACATGTTGAGTTGGGAAGAATAGTTGAAAAAGAAAATGAATTTTTGCAGGATTTACTTAAAGAACTTCAGCAATATGATCCTAAACTTACAATATCTAAAAAGGATCAATTAGGGAAACTATATAATGTTTTGGCTATATCTGGTAAAGTGTCTTCGATAAAAAAAATTGCCCATGCATTACATCGTGACGTCTTACTGCAAAAGAAAACAACACTCGTTTATAGGCCCGCAATGTGGAATACATTACAACAAGAATTGCATTCTAAACAAGATTTGATAAAAGAAATTGAAAACGAGATTATTCAAAATTTGAGAAATGTGGTTATTAATGAAATTCCTAAACTTAGGTTATTAGCAAAAGCTGTTGACTTTTTGGATGTAACATCTTCATTTGCAACAATAGCAGAGGAAAATGATTGGGTGTGTCCAAGTATTGTTGAAAGTTCAAAATTGCGAATTCAAAAAGGTCGTCATGTCGTTGTTGAGTCGAGTTTAAAAAGTTCTGGTAATATGTTTACTTCAAACGATTTGTCATTGAGTGCAACCAAAGAAAAATTATGGGTAGTTACAGGTCCAAATATGGGAGGGAAAAGTACATTTTTGAGGCAAAATGCATTAATTGTCATATTAGCACAAGCTGGTTCATTTGTGCCGGCTGAAAAGGCAACAATAGGTGTCGTAGACAAAGTATTTACTAGAATCGGAGCATCTGATGATTTGTATAATGACTTAAGTACGTTTATGGTAGAGATGATTGAAACAAGCAATATTTTAACTCATGCAACTTCAAAACTGTTAGCTATAGTGGATGAAATCGGGAGAGGTACAAGCGGGAAAGAAGGTCTTGCTATTGCTTATGCTACCTTGGTCACATTATTGAAGAAGAATAAGTGTCGAACACTATTTGCGACTCATTTTGGGGTGGAACTAGATAAGTTGCTTAAATCACTGAATGAAGACCAGTCCCTCATAAAATTTTACAGGACAAGAGTGTTAAAACCAAAAAATGAACAAGAAGCAGCATTCATAGATCATACATTGGAACCTGGTATTAGCGAACGTTCTTACGCATTTGAAGTTGCTAAAAAAGCTGGATTTCCTAATTTTGCATTAGAAGAGGCGGAAACTATTTATAGTAAGTTATCTATATCTCCATATTGAGATCGTGTAAATGCATAGATTGTAGATATTCAATATAAATATGTTTTTGCGGAACAAAAATAAACTTTTATCCTGATCGGTTATTGGAAAGATTGATTCTGTTGGTTGGCTTGATTTTGAAGTTGTTGTAATAATAACCGTTGTAAATGAGCTAATTGAGCAGGATCAACATTTTGATTCGACGTTGGGGCGCCATGTTGTGGTTGCGGTATAGATTGATACGGTAATTGTTGTTCCTGCTGTTGTTGATATTGGCTTTGAGGATTTGAGTATTGTCCGTATGGTGAAGGCTGATTTTGCTGGAGTGCACCGTATTGTTGAGGATATTGTTGTGGTACTTGATATGGCATTGCTTGACCATATGGACGGTATCCAGATGGTTGTTGAGGGGCATGATTAAAATTGTGTTGGTTAGGATTATATGGAACCCCATACGCTGATGGTTGAGGAGGGGACTGGTACGATTGAATTGGTATTTGAGGTAGTTGATAATTATTTTGGTTTCTTGGGTGATACGTTTGACTTATCGGAGAATAAGATGGTATATGTGCCCGATGAGCAGTAATATGATTTTCATTTGGCTTATGCACTTTTTTACCTTTATTATCATTGTTGGCGTTGTCCCTTGCACCTTTGTTTTGTTTGTTTTTTCTTTTCTTTTTAGCTTGCTTGGCTGCTTGCTCTTGCTCATCATCACTAAATTCTTGTTCTTCTTCAGGAATTTCTTCATCATGACAATTACTTGCATCAGTTCCCTTTAAATATTTTATTGAATCAGTATATAAAAATTGAGAATCTGATACAACATAAAAAACCGTTTTTCCTTTACTATCCTTAAACTTTGCAAATTCTTCCGGGCTGTTGAATTTCACACTATATATTGGTTGTTGAACTCTACCAAAAATCTCAAACAATGGTCCTATCACTGTTCGGTCGTCAAAACAAAATATAGATTCTTCTTTTAGTATTCGAAATTCTCCTGAATATTTTGCTGTTATTAAAACACTATTATCAACAAGTCCGGTAATAGTTCCTATTTCCTCTATCGGTGAATTATTTGGTATTTGGTAATTTTCTGGTAGTGTTGGTGCTTTTTCATTAATTTCATTAGCTGACTTGATTGGTCCTTCATTTGTTTCTCCTTCTTCATCATCTCCTATGTCCTCATTTGCATGATTGGTATCGGTATCGGACATTTCCTCATCTGTTGAAGTGTTTGAGTCACTTTCACTTTCACTTTGCAGGCTTTCGTCATTTTCATTTTCCTCTGAGGATATATCATCAACATTTATGTCGTCGTCAGAAAAGGCTTCCAATTTTTCGGTAGCATCAATTTCAGGTAAGTTGCTTAGTGTAGATGCTCCAAGTTCGTTAGAATCCTCTATATCTTTCTTGTCATCAAGAGTCTCCTCTGGTTCCTTTTTATCATCTACAGTCTCTGCTGGCATTTGCTTGACACTGGCCTCGCTTTTCTTCTCTTCAACAGTATCTCCCCCCTCGTCAATTTCCATTAACTTTGCTGAATCTTCCTCCGGTTTCTCCTCACTTCTATTGTCAACTTCCACATCTTCTGTTTCCTTTTCGAGTATATCGTTGGCCACAGTAATATCAATTGGAGCATGATCTGTTGCTTCATTGGTCAAAGTTTGTCGAGACTCTTGAGTCATTGGTCTTTCTTGTGATTCAGCGTTGTGTGTATTGACTGCATTCTCTTGGTTTAAATCAGGTAGAGACTTCAATGGTTGGTCTTCCAAATTCTGGCTGAGACAAGCTGTACTGTTTTGATATGATTCATCTGGTTTGGTAACTATATTTTCAACTTGATTGTTTAGGTCTGATGCTTCTGCTTTTTCATGTAAAGGGAAATGACTTTTTTCATTGATCCCTGTTTCTGCCATTGTTGGTGGTAATGAATGTGAAGGGAAAGATCAATAGGCCTTGATGATCATCTCCATATTCTTTAGTTTTAGTTTGTGTAACTTTTGTTTCAGATTCATAACACAAAACTGGTCTTTGATTAAAGTCGAAACATGAAGAACAAAATTATATCGACTACAAAAAAACCCAATTCTCATAAACTAATAAAGATTCATCTTTTACACATAGGCTTGGCTTGATTGTTTATCTCTTAAAACAAGATGAAAAACATTTTCGGCACAGAGTCAGAATCTGATTATGAAATTTTGTGATCTTGTGCTAATTATTAAACCGGAGACACTCCGCTAAGTCTAAACGCCAACGTTATTTGTAACTGATGAGATCTAATGTTTAATATCACTTTGTAGCACCCACTGGTCTAATGTGATCTGATGAAACGAATCTCTGTAGCTCAGTCTACGTAGCTCATATAGTTATGGCCGCGATTGGTAGCCTGTTTATTTAGGGCTCTAGCCCTTGAACAATACTCTTACTCTTAGTTTTCAGCACCATCGGGACCCCGAAAAACTGAATTGTTAAACAAAGTTCCAACAGCTCTACAAAGGTCAAAGTCAATGAGTGGCCTACTTGATTCACATTGTAAAATTCAAGTTGTATAATATACTCTTGGTAATTATAGACCAATCTTCCTTTTTCTCGTAAATATTTTGTGAAACTTAGTTGTTAGACGCATCAGTGAGTGAAAAAAAAAAAAAGTAATATTATCAAAATTACTTGAAATTTTTCATATTTACTTCTCTTTTTCGAACAATCAATCCTCCCCACCTTAATCAAGTTCAACAATAATCAACCATGGGTGCTTACAAATATTTAGAAGAATTGCAAAGAAAAAAGCAATCTGATGTCATGAGATTCTTATACAGAGTCAGATGTTGGGAATACAGACAAAAAAATGTCATTCACAGAGCTTCAAGACCTTCAAGACCAGATAAAGCTAGAAGATTAGGTTACAAAGCTAAACAAGGTTTTGTTATCTACAGAATTAGAGTCAGAAGAGGTGGTAGAAAAAGACCAGTTCCAAAAGGTGCTACTTACGGTAAACCAACCAACCAAGGTGTTAACCATTTGAAATACCAAAGATCATTAAGATCAACTGCTGAAGAAAGAGTTGGTAGAAGAGCTGCTAATTTAAGAGTTTTAAACTCATACTGGGTTAACCAAGATTCAACTTATAAATATTACGAAGTTATTTTAGTTGATCCACAACATAAAGCTATCAGAAGAGATCCAAGATACAACTGGATCGCTAATGCTGTTCACAAACACAGAGAATCAAGAGGATTAACTTCAGCTGGTAAAAAATCAAGAGGTATCAACAAAGGTCACTTATACAACAAAACCAAAGCTGGTAGAAGACACACTTGGAAAAAACACAACACTTTATCTTTATGGAGATACAGAAAGTAAACTGTTTGATCAGGTGTTGTGCATTTGTAAAATTATTGAGTTCATGTTTGAGAAATTACTGAATAGTAAGATGTGTATGTAGCATTTTTAGGATTAACAATGAAATACATGTTTGATAATTTTATGATCACCGAATTATTTGTAAAAACTCTCTTTATCTGGACTATTTTTATCGATCGATGGATGAGCAAGCAGACCAATAGTTCATTTGTAAAGTCTTCATGAGATCGGTAGTGAAAGCCTGTTCAGGATAATTGAATAAGAGTCAATTTATTTTATTAACTTAATTTGCAATTTTTTACTTTATATGCAATACTCGACCATAATAAATTCTCAACTTATTGATGAATAGTATAATCTCTCCTTCTTAAATTTGAATTGAAACAATTTCAGTTAATCAATTGGGTAGTTTAATTCCAAGAGATCGCACATCAATTTTATTGCTTCAACATTCAATATCAAAATTTGAAAGTTGATTGATCCTTCATTATTAATTTTTTTTTTTTTTTTTTTGGGATATCATTTTAATCTTTAATTTCGAATTTACAATCGTTTGATTTCGCAACTTAAAAGACTCAATTAACATCACCATCTATCATATTCAACTAATTCTGAATAGTTACAAATGACTGAACACAAACAAACTGCAATTTTGTCAGTCTATGATAAAACTGGATTATTGGATTTAGCGAAAGGTTTAGTTAATGCAAATGTTAGAATATTAGCATCAGGTGGTACTGCGAAATTAGTTAGAGAAGCAGGATTTCCAGTTGAAGATGTTTCATCAATTACACATGCTCCTGAAATGTTAGGAGGTAGAGTTAAAACTTTACATCCAGCTGTTCATGGTGGTATTTTAGCAAGAAACTTGGATAGTGATGAGAAAGATTTAGAAGAACAAGGAATTGAAAAAGTTGATTATGTTGTTTGTAATTTATATCCTTTTAAAGAAACTGTTTCAAAAATAGCAGTTACTGTTGATGAAGCAATCGAAGAAATTGACATTGGAGGAGTTACTTTATTAAGAGCTGCAGCTAAAAATCATCAAAGAGTTACTATTTTATCTGATCCTAAAGATTATTCAAACTTTTTAGAAGAATTGAAAACTGGAAATATTACAACTGAAACTAGAAATAGATTAGCTTTAAAAGCTTTTGAGCATACTGCTGATTATGATGTTGCTATTTCAGATTTTTTCAGAAAACAATATGCAGAAGATGTTTCTCAATTACCATTAAGATATGGTGCCAATCCACATCAAAAACCTGCTCAAGCATTTGTTTCACAAGGAAATTTACCATTCAAAGTTTTGAATGGTTCACCAGGATATATAAATTTATTAGATGCTTTAAACTCATGGCCATTAGTTAAAGAATTATCAGCTTCATTGAATTTACCAGCTGCTGCATCTTTTAAACATGTTTCGCCAGCAGGTGCAGCTGTTGGATTACCATTATCAGACGTTGAAAAGAAAATTTATTTTGTTGAAGATATAGAAAATTTATCCCCATTAGCAAATGCTTATGCAAGAGCAAGAGGTGCTGATAGAATGTCATCATTTGGTGATTTCATTGCTCTTTCAAATATTGTTGATAAACCAACCGCACAAATCATTTCAAAAGAAGTATCAGACGGTGTCATTGCCCCAGGTTATTCTGATGAAGCTTTGGAACTTTTGAAAAAGAAAAAAGGAGGTAAATATTGTATTTTACAAATTGATCCAAATTTCACACCAGAAAATTTGGAAAACAGACAAGTATATGGTGTTACTTTACAACAAAAAAGAAATGATGCAATTATAAAAGGATCATCATTTAAAGAAATTGTTTCTAAAAATAAGGATTTAACAGAACAAGGTGCAATTGATTTAACCCTTGCAACAATCGCATTAAAATATACACAATCAAATTCAGTTTGTTATGCCAAGAACGGTATGGTCATTGGTTTAGGTGCTGGTCAACAATCAAGAATCCATTGTACTAGACTTGCTGGTGATAAAGCTGATAATTGGTGGTTAAGACAACATCCAAGAGTTTTAGGTTTTAAATGGGCAAAGGGAGTTAAAAGACCAGAGAAATCAAACGCTATTGATTTATATGTTTCAAATCAAATTCCAACTGATGAACCTGAGAAATCAGAATATGAATCAAAATTTGAAGAAATTCCAAAACCTTTAACTACTGAAGAAAGAAAAGAATGGTTAAGTAAATTAAATAATGTTGCATTATCATCAGATGCATTTTTCCCATTCCCAGATAATGTTTATAGAGCAGCTAGATCAGGTGTCAAATTCATTGCTGCTCCAAGTGGTTCTGTTATGGACAAAGCTGTATTCAATGCAGCAGATGCCAATGACATTGTTTATGTTGAAAACCCAATTCGTTTGTTTCACCATTAATTTTAATTTAATATAACGCTATCATTGTATGTAAATCATTAATCATGTTTTCGAATTTCTTTTTACTTGTATGAGACCTATCTTCTTGCAAGATGTTTCGTCGGAACTGCTTATATTTTGAGTGAACTGGCATAAACCTCTTCAGTTGAGCCTAAATTATACAACACGTCAGACAAAAAAATTTCAACTTTTCCGTGAAAAAAAAATAAAATTAAGAAATTGCATATGTTACGTCAAGTAGATTAATTTATCAAATTCATTCAATCTTTCACTTAACTCACACCCCGAATTCACTTTCAATCTAATTATACAATGGCATCATCTGAGTATAATTATGACGAAGAAGGGGAAACCTGGCCATTTTTTATATTGGCTCTATTGTCATTCATTTTAATCCCAATTACAATCAATTATTTTGCAACTTTATTAAGTACAAGTGATCCAACCAAAATTAATTCAAAAATTATTGGTTCAATTAAAGAAGATGCAGAAACTTTGAAAATTGATAATTTAAATGATATAAAAAGTTTTAGAAATAAACAAAGATCATCGAAAATATTGAATAAATCATTAATAATAATTGTTTTAGGTTGGGCCACTGTTATATATCTTGGATTATATGTAACGAAAGAAACCGACATGACTGGATTATTTGATCCATATACTATTTTAGATGTCTCTTTCACTGCAAGTGAAAAAGAAATCAAAAGTCATTATAGAAAATTATCTTTGAAATATCACCCAGATAAGTTACCAAGAGATTTAACTGAAGAGGCTCGTTTAAAAATGGAACAAGAATATATAAAATTAACGAGTGCATATAAAGCTTTAACTGATGAAGTTACTAGAGAAAATTTCATTAGATATGGACATCCAGACGGAGAACAACCTATCACTCATGGAATTGCATTGCCTCAATTTTTAGTTGAAGGTAAATATAGTGCAATTGTAGTTGTTATATATTTCATTTTAATTGGTATTTTATTACCTGTAATTGTTGGAAAATGGTGGAATAATGTTAAAAGTCATACTAAAAAAGGTTTACATATCAATACTGCTGGTAATTTTGTAAGAAAATTTGCTGATAAAGATCCTGCAAAAATTTTTACTCCCGATGTCATTTTAGACTATATCGTTGAAAGTGAAGAAATTAATGAAATAGCTCCAAATTTAAATCAAAAGGAAAGAAAGCAATTGGTTCAAGATCATTTTGATAGGAAACGTAGTACTAATGAAAAACAAAAAATTGAATTGATTGCCAAAATACCGTTTTTGATTGATGGATTAATAGACATTGCAACTGTTTTCAGATTACAGGATGCTATATTTGCAGCAGAAGATTTGAAAAAGGCTGTCATTCAAGCAGTTTCACCAAATGGAAAATATCAAGAAATTTTACAATTGCCATACGTTGATAAAGAAGTAGTTGTTAAACAACCGATTAAAAAACTAGGTAAATTATTTGCCGTATCAAAAGAAGAAGCCCAAAAAGCTTTAGGTATTACAGACACTGCAAAATTCGAAACAGCATTAGCAGTTGCATCACAAATTCCATCTTTGAGAATTATCGATGCTGAATTCAAAGTTCCAGGTGAAGAAGAAGTTAATCCTCATTCAAGTTGTCATATTTCAATAAAATTTTTAGTAAAATCACCAAAATTAAAATCATGTCCTGAAATTGATGAAGAAAGATTAAAAGATGAAGAAACTTTAGAATATATGAAAAATCCTTTCACTGTAAATGAACAACAACCAAAATTACCTTTTGCATATGCTCCAAATTTCCCATTACCAATTCGTCAAAATTGGTCATGTTTTGTAATACAACAAAAGGAAAATAAAATATTTGAAGATACAAAACCATTAATTTTAGAAAATATAGATTTATCAAATTTAAATTTAACACAAGAAGAATGGATTGATGGTACTAAATGTACTATTGGAAGATTTAATATACCAATTCCTACACCATCTGGAAATGTTGGTACTTATTATTATAGAGTTGTATTAAAAAGTAATGCTTATTATGGAGTAGATGTTGATATTCCAGTAGATTTAGAAGTTGTTCCATTACCAAAAGAAAAATCATTAGCAGGTATTAAAAAATTAATGGAAAAACGAAAAAAAGAAGATAATGATGAACTGGAATCGGAAGAAAGTGATAGTGATAGTGATATTTCAGATCCTGAAGAAGATAGTTTAGCAGGAGCATTAGCTGCTTTAAGAGGTGAAATTACAAAAGCTAAAAAGGATAAAAAAGAAGATGAAGAAGATGATGATGAAGACGAAGATGTATTTACAGATATAGATACAGAGACTGAAGATGAAAGTTAATAAAGTGCGGTTAAAATAATACATATATATATATAATTACACATATTCATAGGTTTAGTCATTACATTTCAAAGTGAATTCTTATACTTTAAGTTTTAAAATATATGCATCAGGATTCTCTAATCCTTGTTCCTTATAATAATCTTTCACTATATTTTCATCCTGTATAAATCCCTTTTTCTTATACCATTGCAAAGCATATTCATTATTTACATGTACATGAATTAAAATTTCATGAATAAATCTTTTTTTAGTTTCTTCAATAATCCAATTTAATAATTCAGATCCAATACCTAAATTTCTATATTTTTTTAAAACTGCAAAACTTTCTATATATACACAATTTGGAGTTTTTTGTAATATGGATGAATTGATTGATTCTTGATATGTTGATTTTATTGAATTATTACTAAAAGTTTTTGCTTTTATTGCTCCAACTGGTAATTCTGCGTAATATGCTAATTGTACAAGATATTCATTTGATTCTAGACTAGATTTATACCATGATTCTGGATAAATAGTTGGTAAAGAAACCTCATTTATTTTTTTAAATACTCCAATGTTATTTATCGTTGGATCGTCTAATGCTATAATATTTCTGCCCATTGTGAGTGCTTGAATTTAATTGATTTGAGATTGAATTGATATTGCTTAATCGCGGTGATATGATCTAATAATTTTTTTTCAATTCGAATTTCGCAGTCAAATTTGAATTGAATTGGAATGCAATATTTACCTAGTTGTTTCAAAAGACATTGTAGCTAATCTTAACTGGTTTTTTCGAACTACTGTGCTAAATGATTTTACGAGTATCTAAGTGATGGGTGAGTCCATGCCTGATGTGCCCATTAGACATATCTAATATTTAAGTGAGGAACTTCGAGACTTTTGTCTTAAAATCAATTGTAGTGGGTTGGTCAATTGATCTGGACAGTCTGTTTGGAGTCGATTTGGCTAGGTCTTTGTGATTCAGCTTTAATTATCATTTTGTTATAGCTGAATTCATATGCATTTGATATGTAAATTAACACAATAGAAAAATAATGTCTATGATGTTAAAACTCCGCATTTGAAATATTATTTATTCTCTCCAAAATATTTGATTTAAGTAATTTTAATACAACCACAACTAACCGAATCATTCACCTTACCTGTTTCACAATATTAAAGTTCCAATTTCACAAATATTGAAAAAATGATAACTCAAATCATAGTTTTCCTACTTATATTATACTTTGTCAAAACAATTTATACAGAATTTGTATCAAATGGTAATCCATTTTCATCAAAAAATTCACCAATTGAATCAATAGTAGAAGGAAAATTTACTCCTAAAACATTACAAAAATATAATGGAAAAGATCATCCTAAAATATTTATTGCTGTTAAAAATAGAGTATTTGATGTAAGTCAAGGTTCTGCATTTTATGGTCCAGGTGGACCTTATGAAAATTTTGCAGGTAGAGATGCAAGTAGAGGTTTAGCTTTAAATTCTTTTGATCCTTCTGTTTTAACTCCAATTAATGAACCAATTGATGATTTAAAAGATTTAAAAGATTTAGAAAAAGAAAGCTTGGAACAATGGGAAGAACATTTTGAAAATAGATATAAAGTTGTTGGAACTTTACATGAAAATGGAGCTGTAAAAGATGAAAATTAGAGAGCATTTAGATGAGTTTAAGAACTGATGTCTTGAAAGAAGCTATTTATTAAATCTATATAATATTTATTAATACAATTAATACCACCATATAATACCATAAAGTATTATTGTCTCAAATAATTTCTGCGACACTCTTAATTTTTCCGACCGACTTCCATACAATAATGAAAGAGATGGAAAATTTCAATTTGAAGAAAAAAATATTGAATCAAGACTACTTCAATCATAGGTCAACTACTCACTGGATCAATTCAGTTTGAATCCCACTATATTACTAAAAAATCTAGTTAGACAATTTGCATCTGAAATTTTTTTTTTTTATTTATAAATGAGTTTTCGTGGAAGAGGAAGAGGAGGATATTCTTCAAATAATACTTATAATCGAAATTCATTTTCAAATCAACAACAAAATGTTGATGCATATGTTGCAGCAAATGCATATCCTATAGAAATTATGGGATGGAATGGAGCAAGTTCACAAGAATGTATAAATTTTATATCAAGAAAAACTAGAGTTATTGTTACAAATTCAAGTGTTGATCAAAATACTGGAATTTTAAAAGGTTATGTTAAAAATGAAAGTCAAGCAAATGAATTATTAAATTGGTCTGGAGTTAAATTTGCAGGACAAACTTTAAAATTCTCGAAGGGATCTTCTAATTTATCTAATCAATTGGGAGGAAGTAGTTCGTCAACTGGAACAAGTACAATTGAAACTATAACAAATTTTTTAAAATCAAGGTATCAACCAGAAATAAAAATGTTAAATTTAAGTAATGTTAAACAAGATCCAAATTTAAATGCATTAGGATTTTTTGGATCAGTATCAGTATCATCTAAATTTTTTCCTGCATTAATGAAAATTGCAAGTGATTTAAAAATTGAAGTTGATAGTATTGATTTATCAAATAATGAATTACAAGATTTACAAGCATTATCATCAATGGCTCAAACTTTCCCAAAACTTTTAAATTTATCATTACAAAATAATCAATTTTCAAAATTAAAAGTTTTTGAAACTTGGAGACATAAATTAAATTTTTTAAGAGAACTTATATTATTTAATAATCCAATAGTACAAACTACAAATCCTCAAGAAATTCAAAATATTAAATTAGAATTAATGAAAAGTTTTCCTAAATTAGTAATACTAAATGGTGAACCATTAAGAAATGAACAAATTTTATTAACAAATACAACTTTTCCATTTGAAAATCCTCAACCAATGTTTTTTCAAGATGTTGATTTACAAAATTTATCAACAAATTTTATAACAAATTATTTAAATTTATGGGATAATAATAGAGCAGATTTAATGATATTATATCAAAATGAATCTCAATTTTCAATGCAATTAGATACTGCACATCCTTATCTAATTGAAGATTCAACAAATAACGCGAATTTAGATTTTGGAAATTATATTTCAAATTCAAGAAATTTAACTCGTATATCTTCGGGTAAAATAAGATTAAATAAAGTAAGTATTGGACAAGAGCAAATTTTTAAAAGTTTTCAACAACTACCTAAATCAAAACATGAATTGGCAAATAAACCAAATAATTTTAGTATGGAAACTTATAAATTTGCTCCATTAAATGGAGTAATAATAACATTACATGGATCATTTGATGAAGTAGGACAACCTGAAATTATAGATACTCCACCACCTTCAGGACCAAGAAATAATACAAGATTTCATCATTCATCAAGTAATGGAAATAGAGGTAAAAAAGTAGCATTAAATAGAAAATCATTTGATAGAACGTTTTTAGTTCTACCTGGTCCTAATGGAAGTATGATAGTAGCAAGTGATTTATTATTAATTAGACCTTATTCAAGTGAGACACCTTGGAATGTATCGCATCAACAACCTCAAGCACAACCACAATCACAATCACAACCTCAACCACCACAACAACCAAGTATAGCACAAATCACCACATCAGCAACAAACGCATCAACACCATCACCAGCCCCAATACCCCCAACTCAACAACCGATACCACCAATAACAGCATCATCAACAGCAACAATATCAGATATCCCACCAGAAATTAAAACAAGATTCCCACAACAACAACAACAAGAATTAATTATAAAAATAATAAATGAAACAAGATTAAATTTTGAATATACTATAATGTTATTAGAAAGTTCAAATTGGAATTATGAAATAAGTTTAAATAATTTTAAAAATTCAATGGGTAGTTTACCTAGAGACGCATTTATATAGACCATTTTTTGTATAGTCTTTTAATGAAATAAGGAAAAAAAGTCTGTAAATAAGAGAATAAGCTGGATTGTAGAGATATATTGTTTGTTTTAATAGGCTTAAACTCTGTCATAAATTCATCCATCAGTTTTTCTGCCCTGTGAATTTTCCAGGGACAAATGCTTTTACGAGACAGAAAAAGTAATGAATGAATTCATTGCAAAGTTCAAACCTAAAGGCTTAAAGTTTGTTTCTTCAATCAATTAAGTATATTAAATTTTTGTTAGTAAATATCTATATAATCCTAAATAAAATCTTTTGATTGATTAGTTTATTCAAATCTTTTTTCCAATTGAGCTAATAAAGTAGCAGCATCTTTACCAAAATTTCTAATACCTTGAGATAATTTTTCAGTTGCCATTGCATCTTCATTTAATTGTAATCTAAATTCAGCTTCATCATCAACAAATGAAACTTTTTTAACATCACTTGATTTTGCTTCTGATGCATCTAATTGTTTTGGAACTTTTTCATTTGAATTATATAATTCTTCTAATAATTTTGGTGCTATAGTTAAGAAATCACAACCAGCTAATGCTTTAATTTCTCCTGTATTTCTGAAAGATGCACCCATTACAATAGTCTTGTAACCAAATTTTTTATAATAATTATAAATATCTTTAACTGATTTTACACCTGGATCAGTTTCTGCAGTATAAGTTTCACCAGTTGATGCTTTATACCAATCCAAGATTCTACCAACAAAAGGTGAAATTAAAGTAACATTAGCTTCAGCACATGCAACAGCTTGAGTAAAAGAAAATAATAAAGTTAAATTACAATGAATTCCATGTTTTGATTCTAATTCTCTTGCTGCTTGAATACCTTCCCAAGTAGAAGCAATTTTAATTAAAATTCTATCTTTTTCAATACCTTCTTGTTTATATAAATCAATTAAATGTATAGCTTTTTCAATAGTTTTTTTAGTATCAAAACTTAATCTTGCATCAACTTCTGTTGAAACTCTACCTGGTACAATTTCTAAAATTCTTTTACCAAATTCAATTAATAATCTATCTAAAGCTAATTCAGCTTTTTCTTTTGGATTTGAACCTTTATTTTCAGCATATTTAATAGCAACATCAATAACATCTGAATAATCTGGATTTTTAGTTGCTGCTAAAATTAATGAAGGATTTGTTGTTGCATCTTGTGGTTTATATTTAGCAATTTGTTCAAATTCTCCTGTATCGGTAACAATTGTTGTACCAGTAGCTTTTAATTGTTCTAATGAATTTGATGACATTTTAATTTATTATGATAATAGCAATTGAGTTGATTGAATTAAATTGAGATAATATTATATGAAATAAGTAGTACTATTGAATATACTATATAAATTTGGAAAAAATGAATGATATTTATATATAACCACTTAATAAAATTAATTTTTTTTCTTTTTTCAATTGTTGGAATTTTTAAATGATTGATTTCCGGAGAGACCATAAATTTAATAACACTAAACTATGTACTTACATACATTAATATATTACTAATAAAGATGTAAGTACTAGATCTTACTTAATTGGAATCATCAATTGATTAAACTATAAACTGAGAATTCTCACAAACATCTATCACTCCTCAGCTTTAGATTGGATTGATATATCGCTTCACTCTCCAATCAATCGGTTTAAAATTTATTTTTCCCTTTAATTAATACTAGCAAATCTTATTCCCTTAAATTACATCAAAATTTAGAGTTGATTTAAACCGGAGTTTTTTTTTGTTCAAAATAGCAATTCAACTCTGAATATTAGTAGTTAAATTTTATACATACGATATATATAGACTAATTATACATCTTGAAGAGCATATAGAGTGATATACAAGGCACTATATAACATCTTAGTCAAAAACTATTTTATTCATGATGAATTGAATTGAATTGATAATTGAATTTTACTTTTGCAATGAGATCATACAATTCCGATTAGGGATCTTCCATATATAAGCACAAGTAGTGTAGTTTGTTCAATTTCAAATATTTATACCCACGATGTTTCAAATTTATTCATTTTATTTTGCTACCTAACATTGTTCGTCTAATATCCATGTTTTGAAGTTATTCTACTGTATTAATAGACTTAACTAATGTTTTCATTCATAATTTGCTACAAACAACTTTCAGTGATCGTTTGTACTTTCATAAATTTTGAAATTTTTTGCAGCAATTATTTAATATTTAATGCTAAGTAAGTGAATAAAGTTGCAACCGTATTGCTCATCTTAAAAAAAATGTAATTTTATGTTTCAAATCCAACTAAAGCTAAACATTAAGAATTTGTTTGTAAGTCCTGACAAAAATCCAGTACTAATAATAGAAAATAAACTCCCAGGGCTAAAATTTAAATGGGTTCAACCTCTTCTCAATTGATTCTAGTTTAGGTCAGTAGACTAATACAGAAAAGCTTTAATACAATTGAATTCTAAATAAAAAGACTTTATTTGTAGAACTATCTAGAAAATATAGAGTAAAGATTTGTTGATTTCATTTAATGATAAAAATTTAAAGCAATACCTTGTAAAGATCAATAAATTTACCCAAATGAGGCTAATTCACATGTTTAAATATCTGGAATTATGTTTCATGAGGATGTAAGTCATAGTGAATTCAAATTATCTACCTATAATCCCAGATCCAGATGTATAAACATGTGAATTTACTCCATTTGAAGGCGGTAAATTCATTTATCGTTACAAGGTATTGTCCAAATTAAGTTGCTATTGAATCAACACCATCAAACAAAAGTAAGATATCTGTGTTTCATGTTAGTATATCAAAGTTCATATTGGTCTATTCCTTTTGAAACATACCATACCCAGAATACAACGTATCGTGTAAAAATTGATATGAATTTGATTGAATTATACTTCTTAAGATCTTTGATATCAAAACTCTTTTAATAATCAGGAGACAATCCTAATTCAACAAGATACTTATTAAATTAATTCGGATATGCTTTCATAATTGAACAATGACCCGAAAGACCAATTTGTCATATTTCATGTTGAATGAATGTATGCATTTTGTTGAATTGGGATTAGCTCCAGATTATAATACGAGTTTTGATCTCAAATATCTAAAGAAATATGATCCCACCGATTCTCAATATTTGTCTGAACCATTCTTTCAATAATTGATTGTTTAAAATTTGCTAAAATGAAAAAAACTTGCTTTGATAAATGTAAAACTTGACTACTACTGTCGTTGTATTTAGTTTCACATATGTGATCTAACTCATGCTGTCTTATTTAGTATTGAAAATACCCAAATAGTTAATCCAACTAATAAACTTTAAAAGTTGATTGATGAACATAGCAGTATAAATTTGATTTAAACATTTAGTTCATATGGTGTTTGTCCTGTAAGGTTTCCACACCATTTTTTTTCATCTTTTCATTTGATTTTTGATTTATTAGTTAGACTTTGATGATAGATTTGTTATTTTGATAGCTGATAATACTTGATCGAATTGTTTTAAAATTTCGAAGTATCATCTCCACCATTATCAAAATCAGTAATTCCTTTTGAATCGTCAACATCAATAATTGCATAGGAGAGTCTTGTTCTCTGTCTTTGAAATTTATCATAAACTTGATAAGGTTTAAAATTGTTGTTATTGTTGCTGTGATCTAAATTGAATTTACCAATGATGGAGAGAGTACTTTGAAATTTCAAAACAAGTTGATCAAGTCGAATGTGAAAACAATTTTAAGTATGACGAAGTATTGAATTATGGAAACTAATAAAGATCCATCCCTTATTAAATATCCGAATAAGTAAAATTATTTTTGAAATGAGTGCAGTTGTTCAGTTGTGTCTTGAAATCTAATATAATGTCTGTAATTGATTGTAGTTAACTTGTAATTAATATAGAATGAAAAAATGAATTGCAACACGTAATCTAACTTGATTGATAATTTTTAACTATTTGGGTCACGTGTAGCGTCTCGTATAGTGTCACGTTTTAAAATTTTAGGTCAAGCCAGTTGAACATCAATATATTTTAAATTTCTTTTTTTCTGTTGAATTGTTAAGTACTGTCATAATATTTCATTCTATGCATGTGAATAAATAAGTAGTACAAACTTAAGAATTACTCCACCAAGTAATAAAAATTAATCAAAGTAGATAAATTACCTTACTTAATTAAACATATCATAAGATTTTGTTGGTACGTTACGTATGTTTCAAATGACCCACCTTTCAAATGACTTTATTTCTCCTATGGTACTTAATTAACTTAATACTTTATCGTCCTTAAAACCAACATATTATTTATTATTTTTTACAACCAATTTCTTTTTTTTTGGATGTATAAAACTACACCTCTTTTTCTTTAATTTTTATTTCTAAGATCTTAAAACCATTTGAAATCTAAGATCTTGATTAAATCTACTATTTGCATCAATAGACATATATTTTCTATTTATAAGATAGAAATTAATCATATAAAACAAAACAAAAAGGGTCCCCTTTTCTTCTATTATTGATTAGTTCAAATTGGGTAATTGAAAGATTAAATTATTGTCACAAACTCATTTTATTTTCACATTTTCATTTCTGTCCTTGCTTATCATATTTGAATTTTTAAAATTATCACATTGTTTTATTAAATCTTAAAACAAACAAAACACACAACAAAATATTAATTTAAAACAAGTGGTGATTGTGATATTTAAAATTAATACAACAATACAATATAACTTACATTAGGTGGTCTTATGTTCTTATAAAAGATTTTCAAAACTAAAACTGAAACTTAACTCCTAATATTAATTATCAAGTAACAATACGAGGATTTTTTGTTTATGTTTCAATAATAAAACAGTTTTATCGTCTAATTGTTTATTAATATTAAGAAATTTCAACTATTTATTTATATAATTTATTTAAATTCTAACTGATCTTAGATTATGGTGGTTAGATCTTTAATAACTGGAGTTATAAATAGAGTTCCTATAATAAATCAATTTACAAATAAATTAGAACAATCAGAGCAACAACAACAACAACAAAGAGTATCATCAAGACATTCCAACACTACTTCTACTAGTTCGGATGAAGATTTTTATGATCAAGATACAACAGACGAATTTGAAGACGAAGAAGAAGAAGATATAAAACCAATAAATATTCAAAGTTTATCACCAAAAGATAAAATTCATTCAAAATTAATTAATAATAGACAAAGTTCTTCTCCAATACCACAAACAATACCTGAAATGACATACCCATTACCATTACCAAACACATCATCAAATACAAATTCAAAAACAAATTCACAAGATGATCAAGAATTTATATTTGATTCTCCTTCAAAATCAAGAGTAAGTTCAATAGATAAAAGTAATATATTACCAGTTTCAACAAGATTAAATAAAAGAAAAAATCAATCTAATAAAATTAAAAATCCATTTGCAACTTCATCAACAACAATATCTAATGGATCATCAGCATATACTTCAGCAATTCAAACATCTTCTGAATCTGAAGAAGAAGAAAATGAAGAAATTAAAGTAAAACAATACCTTAATGATCAAAATTCAAAATTTAATGATTTAATAAATAATAATATTGATGTTGTATTAAATGAAGATAAATCACAACATTCACATCAGAATCAAGTACAACAACAACAAATCCCATCAACTCCAACTCAATTATTATTTAAAATGGCTTATGATAATAAAGGAGCAATAGCAAATTCAATTTATCAATATGGTAAACAACAAATAAGTTCAAAATTACCATATATACCAATAATAAATCCAAAAACAAATGATCAAACTCCTAAAGTAGAAGAAATTGATAATTTTATAACTCCAAAATTAGGTAGTCCTTTGTTAGATAATAATTCAGAATTAATTCAATACGATAGAGTTTATGAAGACAATACAAGTTTAACTCAACAAAATATAATAGATCAACAACATTTTGATCATTTAATGAATAATTTAGATGATGAAATTAAAATTGATATTTTTTTAGATTCATTAGATAGAGAAACAAAATTGAATTTATTTAAACTGTTGAGGAAAGATTTAAATATAGTTGGAGATGATATTGATGATTATTCAACTACTACAACAACAGGAGATAATATAAGAAATTTATATTATAATTCAAATATGTCAACAATAGATAAATTTCAAATGTTTATAATAGTATCAATAAAATTATTTATTACAGGGATAAAATTATTTATACCAATTACAAAATATATAATATATAAATTTCAAAAAAATGATTTATTTATTTTCAATTCAAAAAATTTAAATAAATTTATTGATTTCATTTTAAAATTTATGAATTTTTTAGATTTGAAACTTAATTCAAATGAAAAAATCCTAAATAAGATATCAAATCATGATTATATTCAAACTGAAGAAAATTTTGAAGAATTAGTTAATGATTTTACTTTGAGGACTAAAAACATGTTTAAACCAAATTTTATAAAAGATAAATTTATATCAAAAGATGATTTATTAAAAAGAAATTTATATGATTATTTTATTTCAAATAGTGGATTTAATTTTGATACAACCACAGAAAATACAATTAATTCTTCAAAAAATTATGAAAATGATCCAAAATATTCTATATATTATAAAAATAATAATGATTATAATTTAAATTCATTTGAAAGTAACAGAAAGACAATCAAGAATCAAAGATCAATACCAAATTTAAAAAATTCTTCTCCAAATAAAAATTCTAATAATGATACTAGAGTAACTAATGATGAAAATATTTCATTCATGGAAGTTGCTGATAAATTTATAAATCAATTAGAAAGTGGAGTTTAGGTTGCAACATAGCATATTAGGTTAGGCTTTGGGTAGTAGAGTATATTCAAAGTTAGGGCGGTAGAGGATTCATTAATCTAATCCATCATTCATTAATATTTTCATCACATTCATTAGAAAATTTTACAATTAGATTTACAACTACAATTACAAATTCATTTTTTTTCAATTCAATTTACGTTATCAATTTTATACAATATTTTCAATCAGTTTCGTTCACTCGTTATTAAAACTGTTTTGAATTATTTATTCATTTATTTTCCAAGATTCTAGACTATTAGTTTGATTTTAGAACATCAAAAATATATTAGCGAAAATAATGTTAGAACTTTAACTATTATTTAATTTTCGTTTTAAAATTTTCAAATATACGTTTACTTTGCATATTACAAGATATTCCCGATTTGTAAATTTGACTCTAATTAACACCTCTATTCATATTTAGTTTGGAATTGAATCTGGTCTGAAATTGATTGGTCTGCAATTTATCTAATCAAACAGCATTTTATCAATGATCTGATTAAAAAATACGATATATTTGCTCTTCTTATCAATATAATCATCTTTCAAATTAAAACATGTAAATCATAGTCTTTCGAATCTAATGTAAATCATGTAAAAACCTGGGGTTCGCTTGTTGAATTTTTAAATTTTACAAGAAACAAGATATTTAGCAATTAAAAACATAAAACAGATCCGTACCTACATATATTACAATCATTTTGACTTGTAAAAACAGGGTGTGTTCCAAATTATTATCAATTTTTTGGCTTTTGATCTGGCTTGGTATTGTCATGACCGATTATTGACATAAGTGATAATAGATCAACCTATTACACCTATGCAGCAAACCTAAAAAAATTGATTATGAGATGTATACAATAAGAGGGCACAAAGATTAGATTTATCAAAAAATTGGTTGCAAAATTATTTTTGAAATTTTCTTTTTCTATTTCTAAAGCAATAATGTTCATAAAATTATGGAACATTTTGCTTTAAATTCTTTCAAAAACTATTACGTTTACAATATTTAGATAGCAACTTCGCTTGGATAGAGTCGAGTTAAGAGACAGTAAGGCTTCACGAATGTTTGATCAGGATTGAATTAGAATGTTTATGCTGAGAATTTTTGCAAAACCTTTTAGTTTATAAAGTTGAGGTATGGATGTAAAAATTAAACACTTCACATGTTGCAATAAATATCAATTAGCAGTCTATCATCTTTAAAATTTCTGATATTCTTCTGTCATAATTAGCATTATAAAAACGTTTTATTATAATTGATTATTTCGATAGAAAACTTGAAAGTTTAAAATTTCTTCTAACTTCCAGTATTCATCTTAACTTACAAGTTTATCTTAGTTAATAGGTTGTACTTTAGTTAATGGAATATATATGTGTGTTATCTGATACAAATGCGCTGATCCATTTAAATTATATTGAATCAAAGAATGCACCCATACTTGATTGTATTTATCGCTAAATTATAGTTATAGGTTAGATCATAATTACAAATTTAAATTAAAGATACAACAGGAACAATAAGAACAATAGAAATTTAAGTTTCATTTTGATTGTACAAAAATATTTAGCATTAATTTCTTAAGGGGGTGGGCTTTGAAGTTGTTTTATCTTTGAATTTTTATAATAATCTATGAGAATAAAGTATTAGGTTTGGAAAACACGATATCATAAAATTAGCTTTAAAGACAAATTGAACGCGTCTTGTTATAATCGTCTAGTTCAGTTGAATGAAAGACATTGATATCTATTCACTCGCTGTTCTATCATACAACATGAATTGTATCAACAAGAGGTTCTTTGTGTCTTGTTAACATAATGTGAAAAGAAATAAAGCTACTTGTGTAATTAAGTTCAGGTCGAAATTTGTAGGCGATAAAAATATCAAGTCGCATCGAAGTTTGAAAACTGCATGAAAAATAGGGGAAGATAAAGATTTCTACTAATAAAATTATTTATGCTTGCTCTCCTAAACAAATAATTTAAAAAAACGTTTATCACTAAATTGCAAGATTATCTCAATTTTGTCACCACGAAGTTTCAAACTTGCTGGGTAGAATAAAGAATTGATATGAACTTTTTTACACCCAGCTTGTGCCTTATCATAAGTAATTTGGAGCTGATTGAAGCAATAGAAGTCATATAATACTTCTGTTTGATCTATTTCTAGTGTATTTAAGTTACTTGTGTATAGCGTAGTAGTGTAAAATTGTCAAAGGACGTGTGAAAAAGCCTAATTTAATTCAGTGTTGCTCAACCAGCCAATCAAATCAATTTATTATTTATTTTTAAAATATTTTTACCTAATAAATAAATTAAATAAATAAAAAGGTCATTCTTTTTATTTTTATTTTATTTTTTGTCTTTTTTTTTTTTGTTAAACAACAACAAAAATTTCATTTTTTTTCCATCACTTTTTTTTTTTTGTTAGGCTTTTTTCACCACTTTAAAGTTAACAACAAATCAAAATTCACCAAATTTTTATACATATCAACAACAACAACACCAAACAAATATAGGTATTTTCATATACTTTAAGACTATCAGTTGTTATTAATCAATACTACTACGTTCATATATTTCAATCTACAAGAGTTTGAACAGGTTTTATTGAGTTGATTATCACATAAGTTTAGACTCTTTCATTAGTAGTTTAATCAACAACAAACCAATCCGAAGGCGTCGTCAAAGAAAAATTTTTTTCTCACTCGCTACCAAAGTTTTAATTACACGTGATTCTTTATCATAAAAGTCACTTTATTAATTATTACGACAAGACATTAATATGGCATTGTGTCCAAAACCTTTATCATTTGAAAAAAATATTAATGCTGCTACTAATTCACATTTATTAACAAGAACTAATAAAAGTGGCAACACTAAATCATCAAATATTAACAACAAAAACATAACTACAACATCAAACAACAAACGTGGTTGTGAGTATTCATATCCATCAACAACTTCAAACAAAAGAATATGCTTACAACAATTAAGAAAAAATAATAGTAATAATTTACCAAGTAATTACTACTCATCTTCATCAGAAGAAGATGATTCTGAGGATGAACAATCTTGTTATTATGCTGATCAGATGAGAGCAAAAAGAAGAGCATCATCAAGGATTTCTTTCTCATTAAATCCAGAATTATCAAAAGCAATTTCACAATATAGTGATGATGAAGATGAAGAAATCGAACAACAACAATACTACAACAATAAAAAATCAATTATATGTCCTAGAAGATCATCAGATTCTTCTATAAAATTAATGAAATCAGATGAAGAACATGAAAATTTAGATTGTAAATTTACATCAAGTCCAATTGGATCTAATTTATCATTAAAAAAAATGCTTGTACAAAATAATAATAATAATACTGATGATGAATATGATTATGATGATGAAGAAGATTTATTTGAAAGTGATTCTAATATTCAATCTGTTGCAATTGCTGATAAAAATGCAAGATCAAGATGTTTTGAATATTTAATTGGTGCTATAGATGAAGCTTGGGCAAGATATTGTGATGCAACAACTTATGTTGAAGATGAAGTTCATGGATATATTACTCCTGCATCAATGGCATCAGATGATGAAGATAAAGAATTAATGAATTTAAAACAAAGATTAATTAATGCTAAAAATTTTTTACAAGATCATATTGATTCTTTTGATTTACAAGAAATTAAAAAATTTTGGAATAGATGGGATATTTCAAAATATGAAATGTTAGAAGTAATGGAAGATGAAGATGAATTATTGGAAAAATTAGAAGCTGGTCGATTTAATTAATTAAATTTTGGAAATGAAATGGTTTAGTTTATATAGTTTAGTTTAATTTTAAAATGTATTAATATATATTTATTTTATTAACTTTAGTCTCGTAGAACCTGAAATTAGAATGTCATAATTTAAACACAAAAGTAAATTAGTTTCATAAAAATAAATCAAGAACAAACACAATAAGCTTGGGGAAATAGCAATTCAGAGAATAAAATTTATATAAATAGCACGTTAAATCTCATTAGAAATTTGTGGAGAGAAAAGAAGAAGAATTCGAAGTTAATTTTGGTATTATATGTCACGTCCATTCCATCACATCACAAATTGGTGAGTAACCAATTCGCAACACTTGATCTATCTTGAAGTTCAAATTCAATGAATCGGCAATTTCAAGATCATTTTTCATGCAATCATTATCCTTGCTATTCACTCCGAAGTGAATGGTATTAGAAAATGTATTTCATAGTCGTTTCAAACTTATTTCAGAATCAACTAGTTATTTCCTATTAGGCTATTAGGATCAGCTCAACTATTATCATCAAAGCCTGATCATGAATCAATAAATAATTTAGTAAATAATAAAAGCTCTATCAAGATGGATAGATGTCTTATTGATATACAAAATATTTATTGATTACATTCATGGTTCAATTAATGCTGTCGACGGTTTCATCTACAAAGTTTACTGAATTGTTAAAAATTTACAGCATTTGCTTTTAATAATTCTGCAAACTTTCTAGATAAATTATTGGCACTATCAAATTCAACTAACATATTTTTTTGAACTTCATTCCAGCTATTTCATTCAATCCTTGATTTTCGAGAGAAACGAGTTCGAATTTTTACTTGTTCATTAAAGTAAGGTGAGATTGTGAATTGAATTTTGAGTTATTAATCAGGAATAATCTTGCAAGATTTTTATATGACCATGTCCCATATCATATTTAGACTTTCAATCTGATCGAGTGCTGCGAATTAGTTACAAAAGAATTAGTGATGTGATGTTGACCAAAAGGGAATCTGAAGTATATTTATACTAACTGAGCAAGGAAATTAATATTGGGGAAACCTTTTTATCTGTTAGATGAAGAACAGTCGATTAAATGAACCATTCAAGAGTAATATTCGGTAAAATTCGTGAGTTTAAATTGAAATATTTCAACAAAACGATTACCAAACCTCTTTATATTTTTGAACGAACAGCTTAATATGAACACTTGAGTAGAAGTAGTGCACAACCCATTGAGTAGAACTTGGGTGATTCTTGTATTTCACTACCCAGTATCAAGTAGTACCTTTGTCACTCCATAATAAATTTATGAAATTCATGCTCTTAGTTGAACACAGCGTTAAGAACTTGGCGAAGTTGAACACCTTATTTTCTGACAGCCATTGAGTAAAACTTAGGTCTTTCACATTCCAGTATCGAGAGATACCACTGTCATTCCACAAACAATCAACCAATAAACAATACTTCACTTGCATTACCAAGTGCACTGTTTCAATACATCTTCTAGTACTCAACGTTGTATTCCACTAAGTTTGAGAATCTCATGAAATTTATTTTTATCTAATACCTTTGTTAAAATATCGGCAGCCATTAAGTCAGTTGCAACATATTCAAAACGGATTTCTAGCTATTGGCAATCAATATATCTTTCAACTTTCATAGGATCAAACAGCAGCCAAGTTCAAATGAAATTGATGAGTAGCCGTTTCAGTTTGAGTAAGCTCAATCCCTTTACCTTTTTCAATTTCATCGTCTGACCATGATTCCATAAATTTGGTGAGCCCATTAGCAGCTATCAGTGACTTAATTGGTTCATTAGCATCTACTTATAAATTCAAAGAATAATATTCAGACAAATGAAATCAGCTCAAAAGGCAGAAGGACAGAACCTATGGATATTAAATCTTTTCAACCGATAGCAAATCATCAATATTAGCACATTTGATAATATCAGTTTCATTGGAGGCTAACAATTGTATTGCTATTGTGTTAACTTTGACTCTTCAGGATGTGTTTATGTTCGTTCCTAATATTCAGTAGAATTAAATAAATCGTAGATCAAAATTCTCGACGTGTCGAATCAACTCCGTATTTTTCAACACGTCAAATTAATCTTACTTTACAACCAACTTTAATTTCACCAACTTTCATTTCAGTGAATATTGCAATGAAGTTCTTATCAATTACAATTGCATTGACCGCAACAATTGCATCGGTATTAGCATCACCACCAACCCCAGATCAATTGAAGATCGGTATGTTTATTAATTTAATTTTCAGTTGAAATTAGTCCTTAAAAATTACAATACTAACTAACTACCTTTCTTAAGATATCACAAAAGAAGTGAAATGTACTAGAAAAACACAACCGGGTGATGCTGTATCAGTTCATTACAGAGGAACGTTTGAAGACGGTACAAAATTTGATTCTTCATATGATAGAGGTACACCATTATCTTTTAAAGTTGGATCAGGTCAAGTTATAAAATGTTGGGATGAAGGTTTATTAGATATGTGTATTGGTGAAAAAAGAACATTATGGTGTGACTCTTCTATATGTTATGGAGAACGTGGAATTGGACCTATTCCTGGTGGATCTAATTTAATTTTTGAAACTGAATTGGTTAGTATCGCTGGTGTTAAATCTGAAGAAGTTGAAGATTTAGAAAATGATGATGAAGTAAGTAAAGATGAACTTTAGCTTGTTTTTATATGATAATTTGCATTTTGTTAAGTCTCGAAGTAATTGATCTCTATTAACTTAAATCTCATGATAATTAGGCAACTTTATCTTGAAAAAAAAAAGTTGAATCAATTGACCCCAGATTTTATTAAAATGTCTCGATTTATAAAACCACTACAAGAATTTTTAACATCAAAAAAGGACTTCTCCATTGTCTACTCATCAAACTCAGTTGGCTCATTAATTACAAATCAAACTGAAAGAATATGTGTTTTGGATTCGTCATTTAATCCACCACATTTGGCTCATTATGCATTAATTGAAGAACTGTTAAATACGAAACATGATAACATACCTATTGAAAATAAGCTGATATTACTTCTACTATCCGTTAAGAATGCAGACAAGATACATCCACAACCAGAATCATTTGATAAAAGATTGGAAATGATGTACTTTATGGCAAATCACTTAACAAAGAATTATCCCATAAATGTATCAATAGGAATTACAAATCATGCAAAATTTGTTGATAAGTCATTATCAATATTAAATTTCTTAGAATCTCAAAAAATAACTATTCATACTGGTTTTAAACTAACATTTTTAATTGGTTTTGATACTTTGATTCGTATATTTGATCCAAGATATTATTTACCAGATAAATTATCAAATTCATTAGATCATTTTATGAAAATGACTGATTTATTTTGTTTAACAAGACCAACTGATGAAATTAATGTTTTACAACAACCTAATTATGTTAAGGAAATAGCAAGTGGTAAACATGAAGAAATTCCAAGTTCTTGGTCAAATAGTATTTTTTTACTCAAAGATTTAAATGAAAAATTAGCTCAAATAAGTAGTTCAAGTATAAGAAAAAGTATTATAAATGGTGATAATAAAGATTGGGAATTACAAGTTATACCGGAAATTAGGGATTATATTATTGAAAATAAACTTTATCAAACAAAATAAAGTTTGCCTATATCTAATTTATATACAACGAAAGTATGATTAATTGAATACCAATAACCAATTTTAATATGTCCTTAAAAATTGATTTGAAATCATATGCTCCTGAAGTATTTCGTAATTCCCCTACTGAATTCGAACTAGTTGGTGATGATTTAGTTTTATCAATTGCTTTATCAGATGCCAGTGTGGTACTTTCAACTTCATCAATTGACCCATCATTATTACCTCCCAAATCATCTTTAGTTCTTGAAGTTATTTTTTCATTATTTGAATTAGTACATTCAATTTTACCACCTCTTACAACCAATAAAATATTCAGTTTTGACCATTTATTACAATCAAACTCTGGTGAAGTTGAAGTAACTATAGCGCTTCCTTTAATTAATTTCAAATTTTTAAATGACATATCTGAAATTGGACCATTAATTTCTAAAGCACCTCCAATTATTTGTAATTTTGAAAGGAAATTGATTTTTTCAATTAAACTATTATTAATAATAACTAATCCTCCTTCAATTTCTTCCAATTCTGGGAATTCAACATTTGATAATTCTTTATGTTTTGATAAACTTAAAGTACCTCCAATTCTAGTTAATTTGGGGAAATTTAATGAACTGAAATAATTATTATTTAAAATCAATGAATTCTCAACAACTTCTAAATTATTTAACAGTAAACTTTTAACATTATTAATACTTAATTCTTTAACTTTTTTCAAATTTGGTAAATTTATTTTAATTTCATTTGAATTTGCACTTAAATGTAATAATTCACTAATTTTTTCAACATTACATTCAACAGAATCCAAAAATCTATTATTATTAATATCTAAAATTTTTAATTCATTTGTTAAAAATCCACTGAAACCAGTTAATGAAGTATCTGAAATAGTAATACTTTGAATTCCTTGAATTTCATTATTAAATTGAACATTACTTAAAATTGGTAAAATTTCCCAACTTAAAACTGAAACTTTTTTCAAATTTGGAAAACTAATCAATGCTAATGAAGTTAATTCATATAATTCAAACCAACCAGTAATAATGTTTAGTTGAGGACTTTCAACTCTAACTAATTCTGGTGATTTATAAATTGATAAGTTACCTTCAATTTTATTTAAATTACTTAATGTTATAATTGGGTAATTAAATTCAGATATAAAAATATTCCCTCTTACTGTTTCACATTCAATTATTAAATTTAAATCATCTAATGAATGAATTACAAATTCTTCTTTTTGACAATGTAATGGAATATCATTTTTATGATCTTCTTTATCCTTGTCATCACCTGATTTTGCAGCATTAAATTCTTCTTCTTCCTCTAATTTCAATTTTTCGAATTGTTGAAAATTGGAGAATTCAGGTAAATGATCTGGAACTTGTAATGCTTTAAATTTAGATGGAGTCTCTTGTGTCAAGTTGTTGGATACTAAATCCTTCTCATTAACAATCTCTATTTCATTAAAAGTTAGTAAGCATATCAATAGATTTAATAATGAATTATGAACATACTTGTTCTTGAGGATCCCACAATGAAAGGTATTGATTGAATAAACACTAAAAGCAAAATAACTTGCATTTTCGACAATTATTTGAAAAAATTGGGTACTTTCAGAAAAATGGTTTAGATGTTGGTCTTTATATTTGTGGTAGATTCTGATGTGAGTGATATATATTAAATATTTGCAGCCATCTTCGCATATCAAAAAATTACGATGTAATCTCGGAAAAATTATGCGTATTGAATTGTAAAGTACCATTTAAAATGCGAGTAGTAAGATTGCTAGTGAGGGCGTCAGATTTTGATTTCTTTTCTATTAATAGGAAGATCTTCAACCAGATCTTACTCATTGATAACAATGTCACAACAACATTGTTAGTGTAAATATGTATAGGATTTTGTTGAAGGTATGAATAATTCTTGTAACTTTGAATCGTTTAATTTATGCCGTGGGATGATTAAGCAAGGGCTCAGCACCTCACAGATCTCAGTATGAGAAGGTCAAAAACGGGACATATCGAATTTGTTAGTAATTTGTTAGTGTTTCAGATTTTTCTTTACGCATTTTATTTTTTGACACTGTTTTCTTTCGCGACAATCACCAAAAAGTTTCAGTTTCAAGCAAACCAAAATTAATCGAAATTTGAAATCTTTTATCAGACCAAATATAACAGTTTCAACCTAATTAATTGCATTTAAACAACCACCTGTCATCATTATTTTTTCACAAATATAGCAATGTCATATATCACATCATCAATAGTAATAACATCGCTATTAACAGTGGGTGGATATATGTTATTCACTGGAGCTGGTGAATCATTTAATATTGGTGAATTTTTAGAAAGCACATCACCTTATATGTGGGCATCATTAGGTATAGCATCATGTATAGGGTTTTCAGTAGTAGGGGCAGCTTGGGGTATATTTATAACTGGTACTTCAATTATAGGGGCTGGTGTAAAAGCTCCAAGAATTACTACAAAAAATTTAATTTCCATTATCTTTTGTGAAGTTGTTGCTATTTATGGTTTAATCATGGCAATTGTTTTTAGTGCAAAACTCACTAGTGTCAGTTCAGAAGTACTATATACTAAGGAGAATCTTTATACTGGTTATTCATTATTTTGGGCAGGCTTGACGGTTGGAGTTTCAAATTTGATATGTGGTATTGCAGTTGGTGTAACTGGTTCGACTGCGGCTATATCAGATGCAGCCGATAGTTCATTATTCGTAAAGATATTGGTTGTGGAGATTTTTGGATCTGTATTGGGATTATTTGGGTTAATTGTTGGTTTGTTAATGACAGGTAAAGCTCAAGAATTTAGCTGATCAAAATAATTTAAATAGACAATGACAGTATATAATTATCTACAAAAATAAGAGTAACTATGACTGCTGTAGGTCTCATTTATTACATGTTCTATTGACTTATGTATCTACCTCCATAAAGTCTGGATTCTTTTTCAATATTACAATTCCTTCTAAGGAATTACTCAAACTTATCCATTCATCTGTGTTTTCTAATTCAGCACGTTCACCATAATTTAATAGCACGGGCGTTGATTGTGTGACCCAACCTGTAATTGTTTTTGGTTTACCTGCTTGTCCAACAACATCAACAGCTTGACCTACTCTTACATTGACTTTCAATGGTTCTAAATTCTCATCAACTGTGATTAACATTCTTGGTTTGACTGCAGGGGTTAAATAATACAATAATTCATGAGTGGTTTCATTAGTAGAGTCATTTAGTATGAAAGCTCTTGGATCTAACAATGCTATAGCAACTGTTAACAATGATGCTAATGATGTATTTGACAAAACAGTTCTTTCCAAGTTATATGGTGATAATGTTAAAGTACCTTTACCCAAATGTAAAATACCTTGAGCTATCCTTACCATGAATAATGATTCCGGTGATTTGATATAATATGAAGCTAATTGTCTTAATAATTGAGCTAATCTAGCGTTATTAGTACCAGCACCTACAAGACCCATGGAATAAATAGCATTTTGTGCAACTTCTAAGTCAGGATCGTGAGAATATCTTGATAAAGTTTCAAAAACTTTCATTTGAGGATTTGAAACTGATACTAGTCCCATAGCTAAAGGAACAGCTCTACGTATCAACGAATTTCCATAATGCATCAAATGACTGAAATGACGTAATGACATATCTTGTCCAATGTCTTCCCCCATTGCTATACATGCTAATCCTAGAACAGCAATACCTTGATATAATTCCTCATCTTCTTCGACTTCGTCACTTTCATCGTCATCATCTTCCACGTTTTCTTTCTTTTCGGATTTGGAAGCTTCTCCTTCCTCTTTTTTCTCTTCTGGTTGTTCTTCAGCATCTTCTATCTCAATATCCCCATCTGTATCTACGTTGGTTGTTCCTTCAGCTTTTTGTTGATCTTCCTCAGATTGTTCTAATTTTTTTTCTTCGTCCAATTGACTCTTTGGTTTTGCTGTACACATTTGTAATAAAGCTTGAATCTGTAGAACATTACCAGTTCCAGCATATGCACATATATTTACCAAAACTTTCAAAGTTTTGCTGATAGGATGTTCAATAGCATCAATTGTTTCCAAAACATCTTCGACTTGTTCGGTTTTACCCATATACAATAAACCTAACCCTAATGCCATAAATTTTATGAATTTGTTGGTCAATTGAGTAAAATCTCTTTCCAATAAAGTTTGCAAAATAGTAGATGTGATATCTCCATGACAAGTTCCTACAAATGTATGACCTAAAGCTAACGCTGCTAAGCATGAAACTTCAAGAGGTGCATCTAAATCCGACACCAATGGTAATAATAAATTTAAAACTTCTTCATTAGCAGAACCTGCAAATGCTATACCCAAACCATTGATCGCTGAAGTTTGATATAATTTGTTTGAGTCATGTACGTATTCTTGTAATAAGGCAAGAGCAGCATCAACATCATCATGAACATTTGCTGAAACAATACCAGTTCCCAATAATGCACCAGCTTTAACTTCCGGATCATCTGAATAAGTATATTTGTCCAACACTTGTAACCCTTCATTTACATTCCATTGATGAAGAGAACCTAATGAAGCAGTAGTAGATACCATACCTTTACCTTTCGTTCTGTATATCCAGGATTTATTATCTTCTTCAGTTTGTACCAATTTATCTTTACCAAAACCAAGATTTATGAATGAATTGACAAATGCTGCAGCTAAATTTTGTTTAGCTGAGTCAATGGAACCTGATGTACCCAAACCAAATTTGGAATTTTCTAAATGAGATTTGTAAATATCTTCTGGAACCTTTGGGTCTAATAAGTTTAATTCTTTTATGAGATATTGAAAGTAATCTGCCAATTTGACATTACTTATAGTTTCTTGTACTTCTTGATTGTCATCTGGTAATTTGAAGCTACTATTTTGTTGTGATAAAATAAATCCTAATTGTTTATGGACTAAATCATCTTTTGTAGAATCAAACACTTGCTGTATCAATTCGTTGTCATCCAATTTTATGGCTATAGTCAAAGCTTGTGTCAATTGTCCATGAGCTAAATAGATGGCAAAAGCAGTGTTTAAGAACGAGATATCATCTGGAGGTGCTAAGTATGGAACCACACTAGTTACATAAAGACATGCTCTAGCGTAAGTGTTATCATCAACAAATCCTGGTAATTTATCTATTGATTCTATTTCAAGTAATAAATCAACTGCGTCTGCTTCTGCGTTGTGATTCAAAAAAAATGGTACAATTTTTAAAGCTAATTTGGTTAATTTTGATACTAAATCCTCATCTACTCCCAAATTTTCTTGATAAGATTCACCAATTTCTAATGCTAAATGACGCAAATATTCGTGACCCCAATCTGCTATAGTATCATCATTTGATAAAATTCTATATTTCAATGATTCCTTTTTGCCTTCATTTGAATAAGTCATGGCCAAAACTGATAAAATATCTGCCAATTTTGCAACAATTGTATTACTTTGACCGTATTTTTCAGACCATTTTTCATATAATTCAGTTAAAGATGGATAACTTGGTCTTAAAAATTTCAATGGTTTTGGAACTGCAGTCATTGATGTGGTTGACTCTTGTATGAATTTTTTCAATGATTCTAAGAATTCATCATATTCTTTTTCATTATGATCAGGTTCAGTCAATCTTTCCACTAACAATTCTAATTCATCTCTTAATTGTTGATCTTCTTCACTCAATTCTTCCTCTTTCTCTATCGATTTATTAGTTGTGGAAACATCCTTTGTGTTCAGTTGTTGGGTTGCTGTAGAATTGTCTTTTGATGTATCTGGTACTGGCGCCATCCTTACACTTATTAATATTACTGATGTTCAAAGGTGAAAGAATGTCCGTAGCTTGATGATAAATTGAATCAGTTTGAATAATTTAGCGATCGATATATTTTTTCGCTACAAAGAATTAGTGGCAAAAGTTTCAAAATTCCTGCATAATCTCAAGAATCAAGTTGAACTCACGATAGACATAAATTGTTAATTCAACGAGCTTGACTGGCAATTGTAATGTAATAAATGTTGTAAACCATGTAAAGATTCATGGTAAGATTATTGTAGATCACCTGGGTGTTTGAGAAGACGACAGGTTTTGTTTTAATTATTGACTATGTAGATCACAGGAATTAAATGGAGTTAAGAGATCATGATATTGAAAAACCGCATTGGCGTAAATATAAACCAAGGCTAACAATAGTTTCAAAGTCGAACATATCTCTATCAAGCACTTTCGAACACCAAAACTGTTCTAGTTGCAATAAAATTGAATAGTTGTATAGCATTGCTCGAGGCTACCAAATTCTTGTAGCTGATATTTTATACAGGTTCAATATTTACTTTTCTCGTAAAGATTTCAATTATTCACGTAATTTTAAAGGAAAAAAGTAATAAACCAATACTTATTGAATATCAAGTCAACCATTTATTGATTCATTCATTTGAATCATTTTCATACCTATCATTGCATTAAATCGAAAATGGAAAGAATCTTCTACAATTCAAATCTCCGAGATCCGATCACGAATTACCCAATATATATTTTTGATACCTCGTATTTACCATCTACAGATTTAATAAATTATGATGAATTCATACCTACTTTAATGAGATACTTACCAACTAAACCTTATGTACTAGTGATGTTTTCTAGTGGACTAAATAAGATTAGTTGGGTATGGGGTTTAAAATTTATTAAAAATTTTATGAATAATGTTACCAATTTAAATAATTTAATTAAGATATTTACCGTTCATGAATCTTGGTTTATTAAGTCAATAACAACTGCTATTTACAATTTCCATTCTACCAAAAGAAATATAGAGCAATTAAATTATTTTTTGGATTCATTAACTATTGAGTCAAGACAACAGCCTAAAAATTATCAAACAATTGTTATCCCTTGCGGAAATTTAAGTGAATTAAGTAAATATTTAAACATAACAAATTTAAAAATTTCACTAAATATCTACAAATATGATTTACAATTGGAAAATGAAATTAATTTAAAATTGAAATTCAATCCCATTATTAATCCTCACGTCACATTAAATCCACTAAATCATCCTATATTATATCATCACATATATCAGTTGTTGAACATCATTAATTTAAATTGTTGCAAGACTGAATTAAGTTTTCATAAACCTGGCAAAAAGATCAATATTGACATTTTATATCAATGTATAACGAGAGATCAATTAATTTCAATAAATGATTGGGATTTATACTCAATCTCGTCAACATTCAAAAGAATTCTTTCAGAGTTACCATATCCTTTAATTCCGATAAATCAAATACCACTACCTATGAAAGATGACTTTGAATATACTCAATCCATTTTCCATTCAATTCTCACAAAACATAAACAATTACATCAAACTCAAAACTATGACCAATTACTATTTCAATTGTTTGGATTATTCAATAAATTGATTACAAGTGAAGATACGACAAAACATAGCATAACATCCATTACAAAGTGTACGAGTCATTGTTTATCACAAGAAGTTGTTTCCACCGATAAAAGCTCCATTCAAATCATACAAAGGTTTATGAAGAACGTTTTACAACATTGGGGTAAATTAAGCAAGCTTTATTCTTACAAATCTATTCAAGATATTGTACATGGTGAAGCAAAATCAACTCAAAATGAATTTGAACGATCTTATGACGTTAGCTATGAAATAACTTATGAAGAAGGTAGTGACAGTAATGATGAAGATACAAGACTTGCATTTAACACAGATAATATTCTCGACTCACATTCAACTTTAAAAATTGATCCACAACTGAGCAATCATGACAAATGTAATGGCAGCATTAATCCAAAATTACCACCAAGACCATCAAGTGTAGAAGAAGACGATGCACCACCACAATTACCAAATAGAAATAAAGATTATGAGAAATTACCTAAAACTCCAACACGTCCAAAGGAATTAACGGTCATACCAAATCGGGACCCATTTGAAGAAAAGAAAGATCAAATACCCCCAAAAAATAAACAAGAAGAAGTACCCGTAACTAAATCTACAGCAAAAACTCCAAAACAATCAACCGAAAACAAAGAGAATATTCCTGATGAAAAAACAGAGATCAAAATTTCAATAGACCAAGATATCAAAAGACATAAAGAAAAACCATTAAATAATGTTTCAAATTTACAATTTTTACAATATCCACCTCAAAAATATCATTTTACACCAACAATAAAAAATAAAAACTTAGTAACAGAAGAAGAAAACATTGATAATAAAGTAATCAATAATAATGGGAAAAAACCAGTTATTCGGGGAAGAAAAGTTGGTCAATTAGCTAAATTATTTGAAGAAAGAAATGAAGGATTTAATATCTTAAATTCTTTATAATCTCAACTAGTAGAGGTAAGTAGGTAGATATGAAAATTATGCAGTTTTTTTTGGACTTTTCGAAATATTAGACATTACGTATATTTTTGCTAATCATTAGATAAAAATTTATAGTTAACTAGTAGCATTCAGTTATTTAGCAAATTTTTCATAAATTAATTATTCTCCAACTAATCTTGAATCAATGTTATCCATTGATAAATCAGCGCTATCTTGATAACCATGTTGACGACCAACATTAGTAACAGCAGCAATGGCAGCGACAGCAGATCCGTCATCATTTAAAGGATTATGATGAGTATGATTATTAGAATGATGATTTTGATGATTATGATGACTATGTAATTGTTGTTGATATTGTTGATATTGATGTTCATCTAATTGATGCTGTTGGGCTTGAGTTGCTGCAACAAATTGACGTTGAAATTCTTCTTGTTGTTGTTGTTGCTGTTGTTGTTGAGTTTGAGGTGGTTGTATTTGTTGTTGAGACAATTGATGGGATTGTTGTTGCTGTTGTTGTTGAGGTTGAAGATGATGTTGCTGTTGAAGTTGTTGTTGGTGTTGTTGCAATTGATGATGATTTTGTTGATGATGTTGTTGTTGATAAGTATCATAACCTTGTAAATCTTGACCATCGTTTAAAAATGCATTAGCACTTGCAGCGGCAGCTACTGCAGCAACAGCATCTGAATCAGTATTATTTGAATTGTTTACAACACTAGCTGCTAAATTTCCACCATTATTGTTAGCAGCAGCAGCAGCAGCAGCGGCGGCGGCAGCTTGTTGTTCAGCCTTCTTTCTATATTGAGCATTTGCAATTCTTGAAGGATTATTAAATCCAAATCTTGAAGATTGTTTTTTCAATTTACGTTTATAACCTCTAATTTCATTATAAATATCTTCTCTTTTGATCAATACATCAGGATATTGTTCTTTAATTTTAGATTCAATATGACTTGGTTTAGTTCCTAATTTGTAAAGATCTAAAATCAACAAATTTAATTCATCGCTACGTTTTCTAAGCATTGGATGATTACTCAAGGGATCTAATTGTGGATGATTGTGTTCATTACATGTTGTTCTTAAAGTCCACATACCAGTTGATTTTCTATATGAAGCAGTCATTGCAAATGGACATTTTAATTTTTTAGTTTTAGTATCTGGATCTAACATATATCCATCTCCAACATCAATTTGTTTTGATACATCAATTTTTTTAGATTTTTTATGACGATAACGACCACCTAATTCACAAGTATAATAAATTGCTTTTTTATTTGAATGAGCAATAACAACACCAAAACCATTATCTCTTGCAAATTCAGCAATAAATTCATTTAAATCTTCACGATTACTAAACACTTGTTCAGGATAAGGACGAGTTATTAAATATCCTTCTGCAGTTATAGTATTTTCAGTTACTGGATATATTTTCAGCTTAGCATCAATGATTGGTTCAGGTATTTGAATATTATATTCTGATAATTCTTCAGCTGTTGGACCGGATAAGTCCAGTAATTCTGGACTTTGTTGTTGCTGTTGCTGATGTTGTTGTTGTTGCTGCTGTTGTTGTAGTTGTTGTTGTTGCTGCTGTTGTTGCTGCTGTTGTTGCTGTTGCAGTTGATGAGGAAGGGGTTGTTGATGGTGTGGAAGCGTGTAATTATTTATACCAGCGGCAACTGCTTGTTGTTGAGCATGTTCCTGGGCTTGTTGATGCTGTCTTGTATATTGATCAGGATCTTGTTGCAAATGTGATGGAATTTGAAATTTTCTATAATCATCTGGATTTTGATGAATTTGATGATGATGCTGTTGTTGTTGATGTTGAACAATTCCATCATTTGTTCTTCTATCTGCATGTGATTGATTTGAAGTAGATTGATACAGATTTGTTATTGATGATTGAGGATCTTGTTTATATTGATGTTTATCATTTAATTGTGATGTATCTCCAAGGTCTTCTAATTTTAATCTAGCTGAATGATGAGGGTCAACACTATTTAATAATTGCTCATCAATGTTGCTAGCAAAATCATCTTCTGTTGCAGACATTTTATTAACTTGAAACAATTCTCAAAACACGCTTTATTTATAATTTTGCAACCTGTTTGGATTAACACTACTTTGTTTTGACTTGATACAAGGGGCGTGTGTGTTGAAGATTTTTTTACAAAAAAAAAAAAAACCTGACTTTAGGAAATTTTGACAAAAACAAAAGTCATAATAGAAAATCACGACAAGTAGTGCAATATTTACAAAATCTATATAATGGTTTTGCAATCAAATTTTAGCTTATTAATCAGGTATATAGAAATGGGTTTTCACATTCGATTTTGAAATATGGTTGTAGTCTGGTGTATAATCTTGAATATACGCCAAACTTTGGACATATCGCGCATTTTGCACAACCATTAACAAACTTTTTGACAAAATTTGCTAATTTTGATATGAGCTTCAAATGAGCAATATGGCCAAAGTCTGGAATACAATCTTGCTTGCTAGAGCTACAATTTACTTTAAACTATTGCCTCAGAATTCAGAATATAACTAGGAGAAGAAATTCTTCACACATAAACTTTTATTAAACTATCATAATAGTAGAATCTAGAAGTAAACAAAATAGAAAAATTCAAAACACCAGATAAACCAAACCATAAAAGAAACAAAACTAGAACACACACTTATATCTCAAAAACAAAGCAAATTATTCAATCATTATTATTTTCCAAGTAATCTTTAGCCCAAGTAGGTAAAATAAAAGAACTTTGATGAATTAAATGATTATAATATTTAAATATTTTACTTTCTTTTTCTTTTGAAAATATTCTTAATGGTGTTGATAAATTTAAATTTTCATCCATTGTTGCAATAATTAAACCTAATTGACCAGAAGTATAAGAAGGCATATAACATTGTAAATAATTAACATTTTTAAAAATCAAATTTGATTTTTTAATTAAATTTTTTAAATATTTTAAATTAAGCCAAATATTTTCAGAAGATTGCATTATAACAATACCATTTTTTGATAATGCATTATTTAATAATTTAAAATAATTTATTTGAAAAAATTCTTCTGCTGGACCTTCTGGATCTGATGAATCAGTTATAATAATATCAAATTTTGATTGAGTTTCTTTTAAAAATTTAAAACCATCTTCAATTATTAATTTTACATTTGGATGATTATGATATTTTGCCATTTCTGGTAAATATTGAGTCGATAATTTAATAACCATATCATCAATTTCAACCATTGTTATAGATTCAACAGTTTTATCTTCAACATGTTTAATTAATTCTCTTATAACTCCACAATCTCCTCCACCAATAACTAATACCTTTTTAGGATTTGGATGAGACATTATTGGTACATGAGTAATTAATTCTTGATAAGCAAATTCATCTTTTTCTGTACATTGAATAATACCATTTAATATCAATACATTTCCAAAATTTTTTGATTTAAAGATTAAAATATCTTGAAATTTAGTTTTTGTATGATATAAAATTTCCAAAATTTCTAATCCAAATGCTTGACCTGGAAATGAATCTTTTGATTTTTCATAAAACCAATATGAATTATCTTGTTTATGATATACTATAGTTTCATGTTTAAAAGCTGATAAATTTATTGGTTCTTTTGGTTTTATTGAAGTTGAATCTGATTGAAACTTTGTTGAGGTTGAACTTGTGATTGATGTAGAGGTAGATGACATTTTGTAAGAATATTTTTAACCTGATTTCATGAGCCACTGTTATATGAGATTATTTTTTGAGCTGTATTTGTTTTAACACGGCATATAGTCTTAGTGTCTAAGTATTCAGTTATCTAAGCGTTAAATGATTTAGGATATTGATAAATCAAAGATTTGGTCGCTTAATTTTCTTAATCTTCTATATTTCAATTTGTAGTAAAAAAAAATTTTCATTTTGTGTTTAAATTTTGAAAATATTTGATTTAATTATCACACGACAATTAATAATAATTTTTTGCAACCACTATAAAATTAAGTCTAAACATTTTTGCAACCAAATTTGACAATCGATTGTGGACACAATTTAGACAACCAGGTACTTGAGTCACTTGAAAATTGCCATAAAAACACTTTAATATTACACTTATGTGTGCTAGTCTGTTATCTCATTGCTTATCTAATCAAAGTTTTTCGGAATCAAACTCAAGAATATAACTGATAATGTTCTCCCTGACATCACCCATCCGAGAAATTTGTCAAATAAATGGTTAGCTTTCATTTAATTATTCTAAGTCAAACGGAATTGCAAAATCAAATATACCAATCCAGTACTGCTTTCATCAGCCGGGTTTTTCCATCTGAATAAATTTGAAACGTGCCACAGTTATTTCGCATTCGAATTGAAATACGAAACCTTATACAATTGAGATACCAACCTCCATGGAAATCAGTTGATCTGTGCTGACACCATAAAAAAGCTCTTTTGAAATATGTATAGATTCACGGGGTTTAAATCTTGTATAATATCAAAGGTTCCAATCTAAATATTTTGCAAAATAGTCAGTAACATTCACAAAGCATATTCATATTCTTTCAGAATACTTCTAAAAAACCTAAGTGCCTACGAACAACGTTCAAAATCCTTCAAAATGTAAATCTAAGCATGAATGAAAGTCATATTTATTATTTCACACGTTTTTTAAAAATGATTTGAAGATTGTAATAAATAATTAAATCGATAATTTCGTACTTAAAGCTCGCAGCATATAAGTCTTCAATGATACAAATAAATTGAAGCGGACAGAACCACATTCCAAAAAGCATGAAGAATAATAAGGTACATGAAATCGGAGTTGTGGAGTTGAAATATTGAATTTACGGCAATTGAATCATTATGAGTATCGTAAAATACTTGCTATTAATTTTAAAAAATATGAACCTCGAAAAGTATAATTAGAATCGGTTTTATACTTTTAGTTTTATTCTCTTGCATATCACTATTCTTCAACAAATAAACAATAGAATAAATCAATTGTTGTTATAATTGATCATGGGAAAAAGAAAATGCCGTATATGTTTCTATACAATTTTGCATGGAATATTTTGAATTTATAAAACATTAAAAGCGGCTGGATCTATTTCTTTGTACACTATATTTATTCGAACTCGAAGATCCAAGATCCTTAAGTGATGATAAAGGGGATAAAGGAGATTGTAAACTCTGTTCTTGAAATATCGATTCAGCTTAAAATCATCGATAAATAATTTAGATAATCTGAAAATCTATTTTTTCAAGTGACGGAATTTGTAATTTAATGTACGAAGTGACTAAATGAAGATAAAAATTCCCCTTTGTTTGAAATATACCAATTCCAACATGTATAGAACATAAATGTGTTGAATGATAGTGTATAGAAAATGATTATCTAATTTTTGGTGTTTTTGCGATGCTCTCTAAGATTAGATTAGATCTTACTACAAAATTTAATTTAAAAAATGTTCACTAACATAGACGATAGTCCACGGAAATTTTTAAAAAATTGATTTACCTTTATAACTCCTGATTTCAAAATATTTAAAACACTTTTGTTCCATGCCAAGTTAAAATCCAATTGGACCCTAAATTCAACATCGTAATTACGCACCTTTCTTTGGCTTTTGTTCACTTTGAAGTCAATTAATTGTTCAACCAAGAAGTAGATGTTGTTATGAAAAACTATTTAATCTATACAGAGATCCATACATAGATTGCTAAATGAGACTGACAAAACATTTCTTTTTCATTTGTATGGAATATTAAATCAATTGTTTAATTTTTTAGAATATCCATTGTTCTTCAACATACAAATTGTTATCTATTCCTAACTAGAGACCTGATGATATCAAATACCTTGATTGAGTTATAACAATAATAATAATGTCAAATGCCATTTTCTTCGATTTCTCGTAAATTATTAATTTAATTTTACATTTAGTTAGTTTAGGCTAAATAATAATACTAAATTATGATACAATCAAGATATAATAACAATACACTAATATACAACTAATTATTCCGTTGTTCCTTGAATTAACTAATTATTTAGAAGAATGTTAAGACTAAAAACCTTATATTGTTCAAACTACTTTACAATCGATCTGTAGTGTGTAGAAAGATCAATTGATTACGATCGGCTATATTTTAGTCCAAAAACTTAGAAGATGTAAATGCCTTTCGACATTGATATATCTTCTTATTCCAGCTATACATTCAACTTTTACTACAATTCAAACTTCTCCCCCTTTTTCTTCTATTATTGAAGTTCTTTACTTTTCTATATAACAGTAGTAGATTTAAAGTCCAATTCAAACGTGTCATAGATTTATGGATTTGTTATTATTTGAAAAACCCTACAATAATAAGTACTAATCCGATTTTGTTCTACTTTTTACTTTTTTATTGTTGTTGTGTTCTTCACTTAATTTAAAATTTAACAACTGAGACATAATTGGGGAATTTGAATTGAACGTATTCATTAGTAGTAGTGATTGTCTGTCTTCATGTCTTACTTCTTATTCTTTTGTAAGTCCAGTATGTCGTGTATTGATCAATAATTAAATGTAAAGAGTGTATATAAATAGAAATGGAAAAGGAATGAACAAAAAATTTTTTATTTTTTTTGGCTTAATACAATATTACATAATATATTATATATTATATAATAATAGACACAATAATAATAATATATTATCTACACATTTATAATTTTCAACAAATTATTATTACAAATAACAACTACCATTAAATTATTTACAACCACTCAGTACAACTGATAATACAGGGTCTTTGAAAGAGACAACACTGAATACATTTAGACTCATATCAACCATACTACATTTTTCAACAAAAAACCAACTAAAGTAAACAAAATTTTCTCATCATACGACTTATAAATTAAAAACCCTCATTTCATAAATTGGTTGCCATTTTATATTTCAATCCAACAACAACAACAAAATATTAAAAAAGACTTCAGTTTATCATGATTGCAAATAAGCAATTACTGTCTTCGAGACAAAAACCGAATGTTCCCACAGCCTCAACGACTCCAAATTCTTATAATAAATCTTCAAATTTTGATGATCAATTTTCATCATATTTATCAATTAAATATTTACATAGTATTGCAATAATTTCAATATTCATAACCATTTTAAGGTTTATTTATGATTTTGTTACCAACTTCATTCCATTATATTCATCAAATATTATTCCAAAAGATTTTATCAAAACTTCTAAAAATTCAAAACAGCAACAAAAGAAACAAGTAAAACACCAGAATTTATTCCCAAATATTAATGTTAAAAATGATTCAAAATCACCAAAAGAAGAAAAATCAGAAGATTCATTAGTTCCTACTACTTGTTCAATGGGTTTAACAACAAAATTATTACCAATAAGAAATTCAAAAGGTGATTTAGAATGGGTATTTACAGAAGATGATGCATCAATATCAAATGGAAATAATGAATTAGATGCTTTTAGTATTCCTCAAAATAATTCAGCCTATCAACAACAACAGGAACCTCAAAATCAAACAAAATTAGAATATCAACAACATAGTAATTATACTATCAATGAATTATCACCAACTATGTCAAATTCATCAAATGAAACTTCATTATCTTCAAAATTGGAATCTAATGCAAGTAGTCAAAAAGAATTGTCAATTTCACCAAATAGTGGATCATCTCCATTTGAAGGAGAAGAAGCTGAAGATGTAGAAAATTCTCAAGAAGATGAAGAAGAAGATGAAAATAAAACTTATCAATGTCCTCATTGTGATGCGAATTTTAAAATTAGAGGTTATTTAACAAGACATTTAAAAAAACATTCAACAAATAAAGCATATTCTTGTCCATTTTATGAACAAAGTATTCAAGTTGATACAAATAATATAACTCATAAATGTCATCCAAATGGTGGATTTTCAAGAAGAGATACTTATAAAACTCATTTAAAATCAAGACATTTTAAATACCCCAAGGGAACAAAAACTAAAGAAAGAAATAATAGTTCTGGTACATGTGGATTATGTGGAGAATTTTTTAAAAGTTCAGAGATTTGGTGTGAAATTCATGTTGAAGGAGGTGAATGTAAATTTTTACCAACTGATTACAAGGGGAAATCAAGAATTAAAAATAGATTAAGAAAAAAATTACAAAAAAATGAAATTATAACAGATCCTGAATTATTACCTTATGCTTCAAAAGTTTATGAAGAAGTTAAACAACAGAAAAAATTAAAAAAATTAGCTAAACAAGAACAGAAATTGAGACAATTACAAAATCAACCTCATTATCAACAATTAGCTATGAATAATTTTAACAAAATCAATGGTATTAATCAACAACCACCCCAACAACAACAGCAATCTCCAGGCAGTCAACCTAAACCAATACAATATTCAAATCAAACACATTCTTCACCTCATCAAGTTGATACTCCTACATCATTAACTTCTTCAAATTATGAATCTTCATCAATACATTCACCATATACTCCACAATCAAGTAAATCACCATTATATTTAATGACAAATCAATCTATAAAACAACAAATACCAACACAACAACAACCAACTCCACAATATACTACAAGTAATAATAATAATTCAAATAATTCATTATCAACACCAGCTACTAATTATCAATTTGATCAAATTAGTACAGCACATGATCAAACTCAATCAACAGCCAAAGAAGATTATGATGATGATTATTGTTTAGATATTGATCAATTAAATTCAAATCTTTTATTAACTGGTTCTCAAAAAAATTTAAAATTAGAAGTTATTCAAGCTTTAAAATTACAACAACAACAACAACAATATTATCATAATCTTCAACAACAACAACAATATTATCATAATCTTCAACAACAACAACAACAACAACAACAACAACAGCAATCTCAACCACAATACCAACAACATCAAGTTCAAGGAGTATATCAAGATCAACAATATTATCAAAAAGAAATTTATACAGGTATTGAACAACCATTACAACAACAACCCTCACAACAACAATTTCTACCAAGACAACCAATACAAGTACAAATAAATGAACCACCTATTCATCATCACCATATCAATCAACAATCTTATCATCCTTATCAACCTCAACAAGTTTTTCAATCAACAAATTAGTTCGATTGACGTAAGATAAAGTAGAGATGAAAGTTTATGAATTATGATTTGATGAATGGTATGATAATATTTTTTTGGATTCTGGTTAAAAATTGGAGAGATGTTGATTTTCTTCTGAGTTGGTTTTTCGTTTATGGCTTTGAGAGCTTGTTTGTGGTTTTTTCAATTTATTATGTAATTTTAGATATTATGGTTTTTCAAAGTTTTGATATTGATTTTTTGTTTATCAGATTTCAGATTTCGGATTTCAATTTTCTTTCTACATATTTAGTCTTTTTCAAATATTTATTTAATATATTTTATCAGTGTGTTTTTCGTTAAATACTTCATGCCTTAAATCTCTTGAAATTGAACATCGTCTTTTTTGCAACTTTTGGAATTTTGTATTTGATCATTTTTTGAAATTGTACATCGTCAAACCATTCTTAATGATTGGAATTGAATTCAAGTCAGAGTGCAAGCAACATGAAGGTATATTGAATTCTGTAGAAGGTAGACATCAAGGCAATTGAATGTTTCAACGCAAAAGGACGTAAATCACAAATATACTTAAATACGAAATTAAATCAATAGATGTTTGGAACTTCAGTTTATGAAAGAGGAGAGTGAAGAACAAGGAATGTGAAACAGAAAAGATCTCTTTATTTATCAAATGATACAATCTTCATCTAAATGTTCAAAAATTAAATTTTAAATTTAAAATATAAAATGATATTTAAGATTTAAAAATACTGTCTATTGATGTCTTTACTTTCTTTTTCTTTTTTGATATCCCATTGGTTGCAGCTTTCTTCTTTTTTTGTTTTTTATTTCCAAAAATATCATCTATTGATGAATCGGTATTTGCTTTTCTTTTTCTTGTTACTTTTGCAGTTTCAATTTCTTCCAGTGGAACTTTACCCAGGCTTTGATTTTCTTTTGAAGATGATATTGTTTCAGTTGGTGCTTGCTCTACATTTTGTTCGACAGACGTCCCTACGTTAACTTCACTATTCTCCTTATTTGCTTTTTCCAATTCTTCTAAATTAACTTCCTCTCCTAAATCATCTTCACCATCATGTGGGAAAATTTTACTTACATCGGAAACATTATTAACATTATCCATATTTATAGTGATTGGTTTTTTACCATTATTAACTCCAGGAATATCTAATAACAAACAATATATTTTAGCTAAATTTCCAATCAATGCTAACCCCAAAGTTAAAAATTGACCAAGTACTAAAATTGAATTATAATTCCAATATGCTTGCCTTGATATTTTAATTAAATAATTAGCTAGTTTAATGATTTCCTTCTTTTTATGTTCGATTTTGATTTTGTTTTTGATCCTATTTATATCAATTTGTAATTTTAAGATTTTCCTTAATTTTCTAACATATATATTTGTATATTTAAACCAATTTTGAGCATGATGTTGATTTTTGGATCTATAGTGTAATAGATTTAGAATTTCGTACTCATTTGTTAAGGATTTGAATGTCTTTGAGTCCATCTGACTTTCGTTGTAAACAATATAGCAAATTTGTAGCAATAGAGAAAGTTCGGAGTTAGTAAGCAAGTGGCTTGAGCTAAGGTTGTGCTTGATTTTGATGATATATGTTGTTTAATAAAAAAAGATAGTTTTCCATAAACTAATTCTATTTTCGTAAATTTCAATACACAAAATCCCAAAGTAGAAGCATCAATAAAATTTATGTATGAGATGATGATTCTCTGATTCTGAAATCATTTCCTTCACCAATTACATAGTGTTTTTCACAAATGGTTCAAGAAAATCCAATAGTATCAGAAGCAAGAGCATTTCTAGCCACATCACAACCAGACAAAGCTTTGGAAATACTATCTCCTCATATACAAGAAAATCAAAATTCTGTTGAATTTTTACAATTATTAGGTGAAACATATCTAGAAAATAATGAGTTAGAACAAGCATATAACTTATTAACTAAAGCATGTGAACTTGACCCGGAAGCAAATTTAGGAATTGAGAAATTTTTATACTTGGGACAGATAATAGGAGGATTTGATGGAATAAATTATATAAATATAGGATTAAATAAATTACAAGATTTATTAAATCAATTACAGAGTAATAATATAAATTTAAAAGAAATTAATGATAAAGGCTATAAGACTACAGAAGAATATAACAAATGGATTATAAATAAAATCAATTCTGGGATTTTTGCAAGTATAGAAATTTGGATGACTGATTTATGTATGGAAGAAGAAGCAGAATCAAAATGTAATGAATTAATTAATATAAGTCTTAAAATTGACCCTGAAAACCCTGAGACTTATTCACAATTATCATCCATAAGAATTTCACAACAATTACTGGAAGAAGCAATTGAAGCATTAATTAAATCTTGGGATCTATTTAAATCAAAGAAGACAAAACTTGAGGATTTCGCAAATGAAAAATCGAATAAAGAAGAAGACACATTTGAAATTGGAATGGAATATGTAGAGCTTATTCAACCACTTATAACATTATCTAAATTTGCAATTGAATTAGAACAATATGATATAGCTTCAGATATTATTCAAAATGTATCAGATATAAAAGATTCCATATTAGACGCTTACTATATTGAAGCATTATCAAATATATTAAAAGCCAAACAGGTATTATCGATACAACAAAATTTGAAAGATCAAGATTATAGAGATTTAACAATTCAAGAGCTTTCAAATTCAAATAATGAAGAAATCAAAAATTTATTAAATGAAGCTAAGTTAACATTAACTTCAGCTTATAAAATAATTAATAGTGAACAAGTCGAAGAATTTGATCCAACTGTAGTTGAACAAATTAATGAGTATTTAAATCAATTAGGTGGACCTATAATGAGTGAATTGTTACCTAAAAGAGATAAATTTGATGAAACTGATGAAAATTGGGAAAATGAAATTGTTTCAGATGATGAATGAAGGTTTTAGATATAGATTTTATAGACAATTCTTAATTAAAAAGTAAGAGCGAAATATTCTGGTCAAAACGTTCCCATTAAAGCCCTATTTTATCGTAGATTCTTTAAAAGCATGTTTCAAATTTGGTTGCAAATATCGCACAAATCGAAAGCCGCATCTCTTGTTTAGTTTCACAATTTAATAGACATCATAAAACCGTTTCTTCATATCATCAACAAAAAAATCATTAAATTATGACTACAAATCATAGACCAACACTAATAAGTAAAAAGGGTAAATCCTTAAAAATTCAAAATACAATCAAACATGCAAGAGCACTACCTCAACAACCTGGTTTAAAATATAGAAAAAATATAAATGGTGTACCAATTGAAACTTTAAATGATGCAGTTTCAAGTTTAAAATCTGATAATATATTAATAGATCAAACGAGCAATAATGATAGTGATGAGAAAGAGGTGGATGATGTTATAGCGAAATTTATTAAAAGGAAGAATAAAGAGAAACTCGATCAAAATCAAACTAAAAAGGCTATACTACCTTCAACTTTGAATACTGAAAATGAGCAAAAATTCGCAGAAGACGGACTGAGAGATAAAGATAATGATGATAATGAAGACACTTATGGATATGAGATAGAAAAACAAAACTCGAAAAGTAAAAATGAAACACAAAGGGCAGATTCGAGGATGTTATTGAGTAGTCGTCTAAATGGTTATGAATCAACATCATCGGAAGAAGAGGAAGAATGCGAAGAAGTGGAAGAAGGTGAAGAAGTGGAAGAAAAGGTCCTCAAAGATACGATATCCACAAATGAGACCGTAGAAGCTAATGGAGAACAAAAGACGACGAAAGAGGTAGAGACAACAACAAACATTGAAACGAAGAAAACAGAAAATAATTCGTCATTTGAAGAAGAATCCGAATCCGATGAAGAAGAAACAGCTGAACTAATCGCTGAATTAAATCGATTGAAAGAATCGAAGGAATCGAATAAAAACAAAATTGAAGAAACTACTGTTTTCCCAAACTCAGGATTTGGTTTTCGACCTAATGAACATCTTTCATTGAAGAAAAAAAGTTGGAGAGATTCACCAATAAAAACAATTAACGGTCAACAACAACAACAACCAAACTTCACGAATGCAAAATTGAACTCTTCAATTAATCAAAAATTCTTATCGAAGTATGTTAGGTAGAGACTAATCTAATGAACAAATCTTAGTTTCGGCTTGAGTATGTTACATATTTTTAGCTACGTATGTATATATGCAAAAACTTTATATTCATGTCAAATCATCTTCATCTACCAAATGATTACGAGAATCATGATTTAATCTAGCATCAATATAAGCAATATCTTCTTTCAAACTTGCTTCTTCAACAGTAAGAATGATAATGCAGATACTCATGGACATGAGATAGAAAAACATAACTCGAAAAGTAATAATGAAACATCAAGGGCAGATTCGAAGATGTTGTTGAGGAATCGACTAATAGGTTACGAATCAACATCATCAGAAGAAGAGGAAGAACGTGAGGAAGTAGTGGAAGGAGGTGAAGAAGGTGAAGAAAAGGTCCTTAAAGATACGATATCCACAAATGAGACCGTAGAAGCTAATGGAGAACAAAAGACGACGAAAGAGGTAGAGACAACAACAAACATTGAAACGAAGAAAACAGAAAATAATTCGTCATTTGAAGAAGAATCTGAATCCGATGAAGAAGAAACAGCCGAACTAATCGCTGAATTAGATCGATTGAAAGAATCGAAGAAATCGAATAAAAACAAAACTGAAGAAACTACTGTTTTCCCAAACTCAGGATTTGGTATTCGACCTAATGAACATCTTTCATTGAAGAGAAAAAGTTGGAGAGATTCACCAATGAAAACAATTAACGGTCAACAACAACAACAACCAAACTTCACGAATGCAAAATTGAATTCTTCAATTAATCAAAAATTCTTATCAAAGTATGTTAGGTAGAGACCAATCTAATGAACAAATCTTAGTTTCGGCTTGAGTATGTTACATATTTTTAGCTACGTATGTATATATGCAAAAACATTATATTCATGTCAAATCATCTTCATCTACCAAACGATTACGAGAATCATGATTTAATCTAGCATCAATATAAGCAATATCTTCTTTCAAACTTGCTTCTTCAACAGTTTTAACTAATTCTTTTGTGCATTTAGCAATATCAAAACTTATACCAGCTAATCTTTGTTTAAAATTTTTATCAGCAAATTCTAAATCTGGTTTTTCACCACCACCACCATTTGAAGAAGCAGGTTTACATAATATATTCATTCTATGATAACAATCTTCTAAACTTTCAACAACCCAATTTCCATGTTCTTTTAATTGAGCATTTCTTGTTTGATTCATTGAAGTATTTGTTGCTTCAGTCATTTGTTGAATAACTATAGTAATAGCTTTTGATTTTAATCTTAATTCACCTCTTGTTGCTTTTGGTTTTTTTATAGCTGCTAATAATGATTGAATAGTATTTATAACTTCTACAGTTTGATGTTCTAAATATAATAAAACTTGAGTTAATGTATTATCTGGATCATCAATATCAAATAATTCAACGTTAAAATTTGCTGCTGCCATTGATTTACGTAATTCTTGTCTTTGTCTTGCTTGCATTTCTTCTACAGTTTCTTCTTCTTCTTCTTCGTCTTCATCTGAAGCAGGTTCTGCTAGTCTTGGTTGATGTCTTGTGTTAGAAGTTGTTTGAGGTTCTGTGATCATTACTCTTGGTTTGGTGGATCTAGTATTTGATTCTTCGTCATGTTTGACGTTTGTTGGATTTATTTGTTGTTTTGATGTAGATGAGATATTTCTATTTAATTGAGTATTTTGATCAGTAATTGATGATAATGATTTTTCTTTCGAGTGTTTAGGTTGATGTTCAGTTTTAGGACTTTCTTTGATTTGTTCTTTAGGTTGTTCTTTAATTTCATCTTTTGATTTTTCTTCTACTTCATCTTTTTTGTCATTGGAATTAGCTAAAGTTGATTCAGCTGCGAATCTTTCTTTCAATGATTGAAATATCCCTTTTCCTCTACCTGCAAATATCGAACCACCGGAAGATTCTCCACTACCTGAAGAAGTAGGTTCTTTTTCTTCAGATTTTGATCCAACTTCTTTATTTTCATTTTTAGATGAAGATCGATTTAATGTAAATGGATCAGCAAGTTGTCTTGGTTCATCAGAATTATTTGATTTTATTGATCTATCTTGTTCAGGAGGAGATTCAAATTGTTTAACTCTTTCTAATATATTAAGCTTTCTGGCAGATGATGATGGTTGATTTTTGGAAGTTGAATTTTGTTCTGGAGATTCTTCTAGACTACGACCAATACTTGCAAAGGAATCATTTTCATTTAGTCTTGGACTTCTTTCGACTTTAACTCTAGACATACTATCATCAGCTGAGCTATGTTCATTACCATTTCCTTGTTTAAAATCTTTATTATTACTCAAAGAATCAAATGCGTTGGGTGTCCTTTGTTTATCTCTTGAATTATCTAAAAATGAACTTTTTTCATCTTGTTTGCTTAACTTTTGTTCCGGTGATGCAGCACTAGCATTTAAAACGGACTTATTTTGAAGTGAAGAATTAATTACACCTCTATTAGGTGAAGTATTATTACTTTCCACCAAGCTATTATTATTACTTTTTAATTTATTTGCCATTTTTAAAGGTCTAACACCACCAAAATTTTCATGAATAATATTTTTTGAAGGTTTTTTTTCAACATCTAATTTCCTTAAATTTATTGAATTTTCATTTAATTTTGAAATTGAAATTAATTCACATAATATACAACTCATTTCTCCTAAAGATTTTTCAACAATAAATTTGGGAAATAAAGTTTTATAAGTTGCATGATATCTTGTTGCTGTTAATGAATATGCTGCAGCTTCACGTAATAAAATACCTTGTTCATTACTATTTGCTACATGATTATCACTTTGATTTGCAATCTCATTCATTACTATAGCAATTTTAGAAATTTTATCAAACATTAAATTAACATCAACATTATCTCCATTTAAGTATAATATGAAAGATTCTAATAATGCTTGTGCATCACTAACTAATTTAATTGAAATTAATCCATTTGGTGAAATTAATGGTTTTAATTCTATTTTAGATAATGCTGTCTTTTTAATATCATGAGCAATTGCTTTTGATCTTGAATCTTCATATCTTCTTTGCCAAAGTTTAACTTGATTTTTTAATTCTAAAGTTGTTGTGGAGTTATTTGAAGAAGAAGATGATTTCATATTTTCTAACTTATCAAGGAAATCATTAATATTATTATCAGGAACTTTAGTGGATGAAGAATTTAGTGAAGTTACTGATTTATTCAAAATTTGTGATGAACGATTAACTGGTGATGAATTTTTTAAAGCTTGATTTTCAAGTCTTAATGCAGCATTGATTGATTTAACTTTTTCAAATTCTTCAAGAACTTTATTATTATTATTAATAGATTTACTTATTGCATCGTGTTTTGTAATCCAATTTTCTTTTTCTTGACCTAATGCTTCTAATTCTTCACTTAATGATTTATTTTGTTTAACAGAAAAATTATAATCATCTTGTAATGATGAAAGTTTTTCAGTTAATGAATTTTTTTCATGTTGTAATGTTTCGAATTGAGTTTTATATTCATTCAATTGAGATTCTAACTCTTGAATTTTTGCGTTTTTTTCATCAATTTCTTTGATTGTAATATTATTATTGTTATGATGATTATTACCATTCGATAAATTCTTTCTAACTTGATCTTCCTCATCATCTTCTTCCTCGTCACTAGACCAAGTTAAGTTTGCTTTTGTTGGTACAACAGTTGTTGGTTGAATACCGATAGATTGGTTGGTTGTATCTGGACCCACATTTTTACTTGAAGTAGCATTATCTCCTTGTTTCTGTAACTCTTCTTCTTCTTCTTCTCTTTGTTGTGGTTGTTCTTCCATCAAAGGTAAATGACTACTTAATTGACGTGATGCTTGACGACTATGATGAAATCCGTTATTGTTGTTATTGTTATTATTTGTCAGATGAACTGAAGGTATTGAACCCTTTCTTTCATGAAATGATCCTGTATTATTATTACTTTGTTGATGATTATTGTTAGATGAAATTGATGGATGTTGACTATGAGATGAACTACGTTGATACTGCTGTTGTTGTTGTTGCTGCTGCTGCTGTATCTGTTCCTGATTATTAACAATATGTAGACCTCTTCTTTCAATTTCAAAAGATATATCAGCTACTAAATCTTTAAATCTTGTTTGTGGTAATGAAGCTAATTTTTGTCTTGCTTGATTTCTTTTTGGATGAAATGATTGTTTTGGTAAAAGATAATCTGGTTCACCTCTACTTTCATCAATTCTTCTTTTTAATTCATCATAAACATCAGTACTTAATTCTTTAAATTGTGCAGAAGATAATTTTAATAATTTTTCTTTTGCTCTTTGAGCTCTTGTTGATGTTGATTTTGTTCTTGTTTGTTGATCATCTGATATGTCAAGAAATTGTTTTAATACTCTATAATGATGTACTAAATCCCGTTCACTCATTGTTGGAGGTTGTGTTTAATTATGTTATGATTTAGTATTGTATTGTGGTTTTTAAGGAGTAATTAAAAGTGATTCATGTATGATATGATTGATGGAGATGATAACAGTTAAAAGTTGGGTTATGTTGCTTTAGTTAAGTTGAGTGTGAACTTGTTTACCGATAAACGATGAGTTTGTTCTGAAGATGTTTATAAAGTTAGTTGTAAATTGTTGTTTCAAATTGTTGTTGTTTTCTCAATTTTTTTTGATATTTTTTTTCTCACAATAAAATTATTGTTAACTATGAGACTCATAATACAGTAATAATATTATTATAAGTATAATTATTATAATCTAAGATACGAGTATAAGTAGACTTAATTGAGAGTAAAACGAGTGATGAGAGAACCAAGTCTTTACTGACAATCCACTAATTTGGCTTCTGTTCAGGTACAGTCAATAATGATTAGCAATTACGTTTTTGATTCACGATCTTTTCACATACAACACCATAGTATGGATCAAACAAAGTTTTACCTTCTTTTGATTTTGTGAGACAACAAAAAAAAATTTAAACTAAAAATTTAAAACAAGACGCGTCTTACACATTTTTTGATTTTGAGTTATTATCTAGATTACACCAATAACACCAAGATTATCAATCACCAACAAGAATCGAAACGTCTATTCATCTTAAATATACAATAATTAACTAGAACAAGAACATTGTAACATACTATAATCATCACCTTTTTCACCTTGTAATAGCCAACTTTTCTCCAATTCTTTTAATTCATTACCCCATTCTTCAGGAGTAAAAGGATTTGAACTCATTTTTTGTAATTTTTTTAAATATGAAATATTTGAACATCTTGAATCTTGTGCTTGTTCTATTACTTGATTTAAAATCCAATTTCTTGGTAAAAATTTTGGATTATAATTTGAAGCAATGGGGGGATTTTTATTTGAAGAATCTTTAATGTAATTATGATATATTTTTAACCATACTTTAAATTCTTTTGAAATTTCTTCTTTTGAATTTCTATTTTTATCAGGGTTATAATCTTTTAAAAATGATTCAGCTATTTCTTCATATGATTGATTATTAAAATTTATATTTTGTAAATCTAAAAAGAATAAATTAAAATCTGTTTGTAATTTATATAAAATATCCAACATAGGTGTAATCAATTGAGTATTTTGTATGTCTGGATTTTGTTTATCTATTAATTCTAATGATAATCCTAATCTTTTAAAAAAAGTTTCAATATATTTTAAAGTATATGAATATTGATATATCTCACCACCTGTTTCTATAATTATTGTTGCTCTTTTTATAATATCTTCTTCCCATTCTTCCTTTACACCTTTGTCAAATTCTGGATTTTTTAAAAGTTTTGGACCTGCTCCAATTAATTCAGCTAAATCTTCACCTAATCTAGTTAAATTCCACCATATTGCTGTTGGTACATTTCTATATCCATATCGTGATTGATGATCTTCTGAATTTGGAGTATAATTTGGATCATATTTATCCATTATTGAAAATGGTCCAAAATCTACTGTTAATCCTAAAATTGAAGTATTATCAGTATTTAAAACACCATTTAAAAATCCATAACATTGACATATTGCTGTTGTTTCAGCATTTCTTATTATTGATTCATAATACATTTTATCATAATTTGTTAATTCTTCAACTATATTTTCATTTTTAAATTTTATTAATGATGGTTTTAATGCTTTAATTCTTTCAAAATTTTGAAATTTTTTATCATTAATTGTAAATAAATTATTAATTACATAATCTGATAATTGTCTAATACCTTCACGATCACCTCTATATCTATATAAATCAAAAGTACCTAATCTAATCCAACTTTCAGCAAATCTAGCAACTATAGCACATCTTTCTGCAGAATGTCTTTGAGCTAATGTTGAAGGTAATGAAGTTAATGATAAAGCTCTTGTTGTTGGAATCCCTAAGGCATTTAAATGTTCAGATATTATATATTCTCTAATTGATGATCTTAATACTGCTTTTCCATCAGCAAATCTTGAAAATGGAGTTTTACCAGCTCCTTTTAATTGTAATTCATATATGGGTCTATTTTCTAAATCTTTTTCTTTGGTAGTTGGTGGCTTTGGTAATTCAAATAAATTTATAACTCTTCCATCACCTAATTGACCAGCAAATTGACCAAATTGCCAACCAGCATAAGCTTGAGCATAAGGAAAAGGTAAATTATATTTTTCTATATTTTCAGAGTCATTATAAAATTCACCACTAACAATTTGTTGAAATATGGGTTCTTCAATTTCTTCCAATGTTAAATTTAAATCTTTCAAGGCTTTTGGATTTGCAATTAAAAATTCATAATCATTTCTTTTTGTTGGTAAAACCCATGAAAACCCACCATTTATTAAATTTCTTGGAGTATTTGTTATATTTTTATCATTCTTTTTAGCAATTTCTATGTTGGGTATTCTTTTATCTGGTGTTATATTTGATGTAAATGATGATGAATTTTGATTTATTGCTAAATTTAATAATTTTGATGGGGTCTTTGATGTGCTGCTAGTTTGTGACATTCTTTTAATGATTTTAAGCATATATTATGGTATAATGGTATGTCTAGATTAAGTGACTTAGAAATATATGATGTCTAGGATGATTTCTATGAAGATTGTTGCTCTTAAATTGTAGTCACGTTCTTGAGTTATGAATATGTTTGGATATAATAGAAGGACAAATAAGAACTGTTTAAGACGTGTGCACCTTGTAAGTATGAACCAGTTCAGTAAGCTTCTAATATCTAATTAGTTGATATGATAACTCTTTTTTATAAAAGCAATGGCTATTTCTAATCTGGAGTTACTGGTAAATTCCATGACGTAAATTAGAACTTCTGTTTGTGCATCTAGTTTCTCGCCCTAAGCTTATCTTTCTCTAGTGCCAGTCTCGACCTAAAGATCTACTGTATACCTTTATCCTTCAATCAAACCGCTTATTTACAAATAACCTATGCGAGTATTGTAAACAATTCAAACATACTAGTAGTATAGATGCTCCACTAAGTTATTTTATGCCAGTTCATTGTGTGATTATGGTTATGATTAGAATTACTAGTGTCTTTTTGTCAGAATATCTCCCTCGATCTTAGTCTGCAGTAATAGAATTTACAATGTCCGTGTATATTTCAGACGTGTTAGAAAAAATTTAGCTCTATTTGTCTGACATCACATTTGAATTAAACTTAATCTTTCTTTAAAAGCAAAAATATTTGGAATTGATAAGCATTCCTTTTATATCACATTTACAACAATTGTTTAGATAAGGTAGAATATAATCAGGTCGTTACAATAACCGCGTTTAGGAATAAACAACTACATGGGGATAATTAGTATTGGATTTGAGATTCAACAATCACTAGACGTCATATAAATGAAATCAAGTTTATACGTTTAACTTTTCATCACATAAATTTTTACAATCACACAACAACACAGTCAAATTTTTCATCAATTCTCATTCATTTGCATGTTAATTATATGAATTTAAACATTAAAAATTTGAGACATTAAAGTTAAATCATATCATCAATGATGCTCAAATATAAGATTAGAATACTATTGTTAATAATTGTTAGTCTAATATCGATTCACTTTTTCACTTCAAATAAATTCAAAACTAATGATCTTCAAAAATTATTTGATCATCCAGTAGTTAATCAACCACCACCACAACAACAATCACAAAGAGTGAAAGGGCCTCCTCCTGGAAATAAAATAACACCACAGGAAAAACCACAACAACAACAAGAGTCAAAAGAACCAGAATTTACAAAAAATCCTAAAATTGAAGATTTCACCATATTCTTTGACAATCTACTGAATTACAAAATAAATAAACCATCAATTAAAGATAAATATAAAACAGAAAAGGCAAAAGAATTATTTTCCAATAATGATGACTTTTTATTTAATAAAGAATATTTGGAAAATGTATTAGATATACCGGATCAAACATTTAAAGAATTAAAACAAAAACATTCAGAATATGTTAATCATAGAATCCCAGAACTAATAGAAGAAGGAATTGCAACATTTGGAAACAAGGTACCTCAAAATAAAAAAGAATGGGATTCATATCATGGATCATCAGGTTATGTATTAGTAGGAGGAGGTAAATATAGTTGGCTTTCATTTTTAGTTATTAAACAATTAAGATCAGTTGGATCAAAATTACCAATTGAATTATTTTTATCTTCAGAAGATGAATATGAAAAAAAATTTTGTGAACATTTAAAAAAGAAATATGATGCTCGATGTAATGTATTTGATAAAAAATTAGCAAATGAATTGAATGAAAAATACAATATTGGAGGATATCAATATAAAATGTTGGCATTATTAAGTTCAAATTTTGAAAATGTATTATATTTAGATTCAGATAATTTTCCAACTATAAATCCTGATTACATATTTGATTCTGAATTATATAAAAATACTAATTTAATACTTTGGCCAGATGCTTGGGCAAGAACTACAAATCCAAAATTTTATGAAATATCAAATGTTGAAATTAAAGAAAATAAACAAAGATATTCTAGCTACGATATTAAACAAGCTGGTGGTAAAGAAAAATTAAGACCTTTAACAAGTTATAATTTTGAAAATTCTTGGTTTCATGATTTCGAAGGAACTTTACCTGATCCAACTTCAGAAACTGGAGTATTTATAATTAATAAAACTACTCATTTAAAAACTTTATTATTAGCATTATATTATAATGTATTTGGACCTGATTTTTATTATCCATTACTTACTCAAGGTTCAGCAGGAGAAGGAGATAAAGAAACTTTTATTGCTGCTGCTCATGTAATGAAAGAACCATGGCATCAAACTTTAAAACAATTTTTATGGACAGGTTATGTTTCAAAAACAAATAATCAATTTACATCTAAAGCCTTGGGACATTATGATCCCATAAAATCTAAAGAAATTCATGATAAAAAAGAAAATGATCCAAATTATAAAAATGAAGAAGAAGAGAAAAAACAAAATAAAATTATATTCATGCATTTATCATATCCCAAATTTTATCCAAATTGGTTATATGATAATCATGATTTAATATATAAAGATTCAAATGATCATATAAGAATGTATGAAATGATTAATGAAAATATTGGTTATGATTTTGATTTAAAAATTTTACAATTTTTTACAGAAGCTTTATGTTCAAATTATTATGGAAATGATGGTTTAGCTATTGATAATGATGTTATATTAGATAAACATAATACTTATATGGGTGAATATTTAAAATATGTTGGTGAAAATGAAGAAATTAATAATAAACGTTGTGAAGAAGTATTTATACCTCATTTACACTGGTTGAAAAAGACTAAAAAAAATTATGGATCGGAAAATTCTTGGTAGGGGTTAGACTATAGCATAGATCAAATATTTTACTACTACTCTTGATGAATGTATATTTTTATTAAACTATCTAATTATGTAGAATTTCTAAGAATCCATTTTTTCTATTATATTATTAACAACTTCATCAACACTATCTTTTGAATATTTACTAACCATTAAAACATCAATTAAATTTTTAACACCAATATTTATATCATATTTTGATAATTGATTCAAAATTTCAGATCTATCATCTTTATTCATAAATCCTAATTTATCAAGGACTTTACCAATTTCTTCAATTGTTTTAACTGGTGGAACTGAAATAACATCATTAAAAGAATCAGTTAAATTCATATGTTTTAAAACAGAATATTGTGAAGTTGTACCTATTATTAATAATTTTCTACCACGAGGTGGTTGTTTTGTTAAATATACCATTAAAACTTGTAATACATCATTTGAAAAACGTGGACCAATAGGATTATAATTTATTATATTTTCAATTTTATCAATCACCAAAACATTTAAAGGAGATTTATGAACATCTCTAAAAATATTATCAATTTCTTGAATTTTTCGTTGTTCTCCCATACCAACTAAAGTTTCAGCTGATAACATTTTTATAAATGGGAAATCACTATTTAATGCTAATGTTGTTGCAATTGCTGTTTTACCAACTCCTGGTGGTCCATATAATAATAAACTTCTTAAATGTTCTGATTCACTTGATCTTACAACATCAATAATTGATTGACCTTTTTCAAAAATATGTCTTATAGTTTGATTAAATTGTATTATTCCATGTTTAGCTTGTTGTGATAAATCTTCTTCATCGGTACCAAAAGCAGGTCTTATATCATTTAGAGCTAATAAAAAATCATTTCTTGTAATTTGCATATTTGATATAGATTCAGGATCAATTTGAGCTAATGATCCCTTTTTTGTATGTCTTGATATAGCATAAGATTTTGCAGAATTACATAACCCTTCAATTTCTGCTCCTGTAAAATTCTTGGTTAATGAACTTAATTCATCAAAATTTATATCTGAAGTTAATAATTTATTTTCTTTTAATTTTCTTGTATGAATTAAAAATATATCTTTTCTTCCCTTTTCATCAGGTAATGCAATTTCAATTTGAATCTCAAATCTACCTGGTCTTAATAATGCAGTATCTATTAAATCTAATCTATTTGTCATACCAATAATTAAGATATTATTTAATTGATCAACACCATCCATTTTAGATAATAATTGATTAACTACATTATCACCAACACCTGTACCATCTGATTTTCCAGAACCTCTTTGTTTAAAAACAGAATCTAATTCATCAAATATAATAACATGTAAATCTGAATCTTCTCCTTTTAATTTATATTCAGCTTCTGCATCTTTAAATAAATTACGAATATTTTCTTCTGATGCACCAACATATTTACTTAACATTTCAGGTCCATTAACTATTTTGGGTTCTTTACCATTTAACATTTTTGATAATTTACGAGCAATTAAAGTTTTACCAGTACCTGGTGGTCCATATAATAATAAACCTTTACAATGTTTATAATCTAATTTTTCAGCAATATCTGGTGGTAAAATTCTTGAATTAAAAGCTCTTCTAAAAATATCTTGAAATTCAGAATCTAATCCACCAATTCCTAAATCTTCTAATTTAAAATCTGGATTTATAATTTGTTTTCTTGATCTAGAATGTCTATTTTCTATTGAACCATTTCCACCAAATATTCTTGATTTTAAACTTTTACTTTTTGAAATTTGAATTTTTGAATTTTCAAAGGGATAAAAAACAATATCTGTTGATTTTATAAATATTCCCTTAGTTTTGATATCATTTGAATCTTTAAAACTTGGTAAATTATCTTTTGTATTTACATCAATAATTTGTACTTGTTCAACTTTAACTGAATAATAAACTCCATTATAATCCATATATATAACTTGAGTAGGTTGTAAAATTTGATTCTCATATTTTTGATGAAAAATATTTATTAAATCATCATGATTTAAATTTGTACTATTAGTTTTAGATTTAACAAAATCTATTGATAAATCAATTGCTCCTAAATATTGTTGTTGTTGACCATTTTGAAAAATATCATAATTTTCAACATGAACTTTTTGATCAAATGAATACTTACCCCATGTTCTTATATTTCCTGATAATCCAATACATCCTGGTGAAACTCTATCATCTTTAGCTATAGAATATACAAATACTCCATCTAAGATTATTGGAGTTCTATCAGGTATATGTTGAAAATCTCCAGGATTTACAGCTACCCTATTAGATAAAACAACATCATTTCCAGGAGCATTTTTCACTAATAAAACTTTCTTGACTGTTTCTGAATAGTTTGGTGGTGAAGTTACATGAGGATGTGGTATTGGTATATTATGAGTTATTCTTGATTGATTTGGTGATGTAGGGTGATTCGATACTTTATGGAATCCAAATTTTTCCATCATAGGCTATATTTAATGGTTGATTTTAAATGCAATTGTATAAATTAATTTAAGGAATATGATTTTGGTCTTTTATAACTTGGCCTTTGAAATACAATCGTACATTCCGATTTAGTGTCATTAGAATATTCTTTGACGTGTTTTAGATTTGCGACACAAAGTTTGACGACACTAGCGGACAGTAAATTTAGAATAACCACAGTTTAGTTGAACTATGATTATATCATTGGTCCCCTTTTTACCATATTGGTCATTCAATTGAAAGATTTTGAGATAGCCGATCACAAGGTTACATCAATTTAATTTAAAAAACCAATTGTCGCTTTGTTTCATAACCAAGAATTCAATACAATGTCATTAAGTAAAGTTCCGAAACAAATAGGTACCGTACATACTTTTGGTTTCAATTTAACTGCTTTTGAGTTTGATAACAATAAAGTTAAAGATGGCAATTCAGATAAGATTGTATTATTTATTGGTGGACTATCAAATGGTTTATTGAATATTCCATATTTACCAATTTTAGCTCAAGCTCTTGAATCAGAAGAATGGAGTTTAGCTCAACTTTTACTATCATCTGCTTATACAGGATATGGAATCACAGGTTTAGCAAATGATACGGAGCAGATTGACCAAGCTGTGAAATATTTTAAATCACCAGAGGGTGGTCACAGGAAAAAAATAGTATTAATGGGTCATTCAACAGGTTGTCAAAATGTATTACATCATAGTTTACATGGTAAGGAAAAAGTAAATGGTATAATTTTACAAGCTCCTGTATCTGATCAAGAAGCAATTATAAATAAAGTAGATCCCAAAGAATATGAAAATTTAATAAAAGAAGTTCAAGATGAATATATTTCAAAAGACAAATCTAATGAACTTTTACCAGAAAAATTTAGAAAAATTAATTGGGGAATACCTATAACTGCATATAGATTCAATTCATTATATAATAAAAGAGGTGATGATGATTTTTTTTCATCATATTTAAAAGATGAAGAATTTAATAATACTTTTGGTAAAGTTCAAATACCTATACTAGTATTGTATTCCGGTAATGATCAATTTGTTCCTAAATCAATTGATAAGAATGAATTATTATCAAAATTTAAAAAAGCAACTCAATCTCAATTTTGGAATAAAAATAGTAAAATTATTGAAGGTGGTAGTCATAATTTGGGTGATGATTCACGAAGAAAAGATGTTATAAATGAGTTGATTGATTCAGTACTTGGATTTATAGAATCAGCAATTTAAATTATAGGAAGAAGATAAAAATGATGCAAATGATGAATGGCTGTTATACGTTAATTGTCAAAAAAAATCAAATCCTCACATTAATTGAATAACTCGTGATCTAGATACTACCGACTCCGAAGGTGACAATATAGTATTTACTTCTGATAATCATGCAAAATATATTGTTTCCATATTTAAAAATGAAAACAAAAGGTTTTAAATCAAGAGTAGCATTATAATCCGCATATTGACAGAGTGTTTTTAATAATTCAAGTTATGAAACACATTGTTGAAGGATGAGCTTATGATGTAAAATGTAGTTTATATGATACGTTGAATTTAGCATACTATCTATTGAAAGATAAACTTAATTTCCAAGATAAATTCCTTTATTTTGTACCCTGTTGTCAGCTCTTATATTCATTTGTTATAATGACAAGCCTTGTATATATCCGTGTCAAAGTCAGCTTGAACCTTTTTGGAATAGTTCTACATCAATGAAGTTACTTTTACCTCTGTTTGTATATTCAGTCCAAGAAATTTCGAAACCAGACCCTAATCTTTTCATTCTAAACTAAGATAATAGAAACAGCTTGATATTTGAAATCTCACTCTCACCCATTGGAGACATTGCCTCATACATGGATGACTTATTAATTATCGGCAAAGATAATAGATAATTAGTAAGTCATCCACATATGATGCAAAATCTCCAGTATATAAAGCGGTTGACTCACCAACCTGTTAAAACCATTTTCAATTATGAACTTATTAATAGGTAAGTTCCACATAAGTGGAGATTGTTTCGAACTATATAGTCATTTGTTCTAGCAACATACCAGCAGCCTATTTCTATCTGATGTCATTGCGGCTGAGATGTGAATACTTCTTCATAAATTGGACCATTGCGAATAGTTGTAGTAACGTCCATTTGACGAATGATATAACCAACTTATGGTACATACTGGTTGTCTTATTCGCCAAATGGATGTAACTACAGGTTTCTTAGATTGTTCGATTCATGAAGAAGTCAAGTTGATCAACTCAAATCTTACCACTGGTGCAAAAGTCTCGGAGTAATACATACCAATGTTTTGTCAATAATCTTGTGAAATGGCTTTATAAGGTCCATCAAATTTTGAAGTATAAACCCATCTTGTACCGATTGCTTATATGTTTGGTGGTAAAGTCGTTAATGGTTAGATCGAACTAGCATGAAGTGAACCAATTTCAGAATTCATTGCTTTGCATTTTTATTTTTGAGGAGAATTAACAACTTCATAATTTTTGTTGGTACAGGCATGTTGGTGGAGATTGAAACAACGACTGTAGCAGCAGAAACTAATTCTATATTCAAATTTGTAACTTTTGATTTCCAACCCACGTTTAGAAATGGTGTTGATAATGATTAGTTGATTCTTGCGTAGTGGTGAAAATGAATTAGCATCAAACATACAGTCCTTTTCCCAGAAATTAGCAATACCTGCTCGACTCACAGCATTAGCAGTACCTGCATTAGGAAGAAGTCAAGGCGCATTTATCATATCAACCCAACCCTTACTCATATAATTGGGATTATTACCAATAAAATCTTGTTCTTCCTTGCCTTCAAAATCAAGATTTTTATTCTCCAGCCTAAAATATTGTAAGCACGATCTTCGTGTAAGTTTAGCTGTTCAAATTGTTCGCTATTCCAATGGATGAATCGTCAGTTAAAACATAGTCCGGCAATTAATATTAAGTCAACTTTCCCAGATACTGCAGTCTGATTTTAAAGCGAGTAAAGTATCTACGGATGATTTAAATGCTGTACTCATAACTAAGGTCCACAGTTCAGAATTATTAATCCGGCATTCAACTTTCCCGTAGATGCTAAACTCACTTCGAAAATTACGGAACAATTATATCTAGTTGCTGAACAATCTTCAAACCTAACGCTTCCAATCTTATTGATTTATGTTGACCTTGACCTTCTGTACGTTATTATTTGAAAGTAATCTGGTTGTGACAGTAAGATGAACCTTTAATGAGTAGATAGGATTGGTACTCTTCTAATAACTAGATTAAGATAGTGAAAACTCTTTGATTTTATTTTGTATTTTTTTCTTAGTCGTTAGTTCAGTACTGCATATACCAAGTACATCATATAAAATGAACTACCAAATGCATATTTCAACAAATCTTTCTTAGTCGTTTTGCTCCATGTTGGTGTTTCAAATTTTTCTTGTTGTTTACGGCAGCCTCTGTAGAACAATAACTGAAAATTTCTATATTCATAGTTGACTTTTGTATCTATTCAAGTTCCAGAGTATTTTGCTCATCAAAATATGTTTTTAATATTTTAAATTACACTGTTTCATATTCCTTTGTCAATTACAAATTAGTTCAATAAAACAGAGCCGCAAAAGTCAATTTTAAGACTAAAGTCCGACCAAATAATTAAGAAATTGCTAACCTCACAAATCATGGAAATTACAGAAGAAAAAGACTCCTCAACATACTACATTTGACAAATATATTTTGTTACTGATTCAGATTTTATTGGTTAATTGAAAAACCTCAATGATTCAAAACATTAAGCTAGGAGATTATGTTTCCATTGAAATAATTTCCTACAATAGACTCTCGTAACTCTATCCAAATTAAGCAGAAGATCAAGCTCGCTACCAACTTACGCCTCTCAACCCCTTATAAATCAGGATCTTGTTGTTCCACACAGAAAATTAAGGTTGCAAAAAAAAAGTATCTCGTAAAAAATTATTTTTTTTTTTTTTTTTTTTGCAGCCGATTTTTTTTAAGAACCTGATCCGAGACGTTACACAAAGATGGAGCAACAACAAGTCTCAATTAAATCTAATCTAATCTGATCATGATTTTTCTTATTACTACTTACTTCTCATACGTAAGCTTTGCATTTTTATTTCATTAACTACTACAATTTTACTCTCAGTTTAAAGAGAAGAAGAAACGATATTTCGAAGGTTAGAAAAATGAATACAATATATATATTTATTTATTAATATAAAAAATACATTTTAAATTAATTGATGCTGATATAAAATAAAAATAATTTTTTTTTTTAGTTTTAATTTTTGTTTTGAAATTTGAGTAATAAAATTGTAATAATAAGAAAGGTATTGAAGAAATATAATATGCTTAAGATTTGAGTTTTTTTGTTTTTTTATGATGAATTTGTATTCATCTTTTTTTTGCCTTTTTGATTTTTTTAATTTTATGTTATTTGATTTTTAAAAAGTAATGTTACAAATTTATACCATATTTACCAATTTTGATTGAATGGAGTAGTATTATTAGCTGTTGATGCAGCAGTTGTAGCAGTTGTTGCTGCTGTATTCGATTGATTTATATTTACATTTGTATTTGTATTTGTAGTTGATGAATTTGTAGTTGTTGTAGATGACCAAGAAGGATTATGTGAATGATAAATATTTCCATTTCCACTTCCAAATTTACCATTTTGATTATTTGTTTTAAATCCATTTAAATATCCAAATCCATTATTAATTGATTGTGTTGATAATTGTGATTGATATTGTTGTTGTGGAGTATTATAATAATTTGAATTAGGAGTAAATGAAGGAGTTGAATTTACTGAAATATAATGTTGATTATGATTTTGTTGTTGAGGTAAGTTTAATGAAGATACTGATGAATTACGATTATGACATTGTTGATTAGATGAAGGAGGTGGAATTGGTGGAGGAGTTTGATAACCCATTGGAGGTTGTTGTTGATGTGGATGTGGTAATGGATGTTGTTGGAAATATGGATGATGCATTGGAGAGGGTCCATTAACATAAGGATAAATATTATTATTATTGACAGCAGCAACACCATTTGGTGGTTGTGGGATTCCACCATTTCCAAAAGATGAAGTTCTTCCATTATTATTATTATTATGTTCTTCATTTGTATTTGAACCATTTGAATGAATTGAAGTACCTGATAAATTTGGATTCATAAAATTGACATTATTTACATTATTATTTCCATTATTTGATGATGATTGTTGCATTGACAATTGATTTGAATAATTATATATATTATTAGGTAATGAATTAGTTCTAATATTTAAATTTAAATTATTTTTTATAGGAAAATTATTATTATAATCTAAACCGGCAGTATTATTATTTTGATTAAATTGATTTAAATAATTTAAAGATTGTAAATGTTGTTGTAAATTAGGTTGATATTGTTGATTATGTAAATGTTGTTTATATACTACATCATTTGATGAAATAAATTCACCATTTGAATTCATTTGACTATTACTTTTTTTAATAACTTTGTTATTAAGTGGTCCAATTGATGATGATGAAGAAGAACAAGCTGATGAATTCAGTGATGAAGATTGTGGTAATGATGATGAAGATGAGGTAGAAGATGATGAAAAATTTAATGAACCATTATTATTTAAAATTATATTAATTTTTGATTGAATTCTTTTACCAAAAGATGAAATAATTTTACAATTTTGAAACCAATATTTAATTATAATAATTAATAAATAATTTTGTTGAGAACTCTGCAGTTGTTGTTGATTTTTTAATTGATCTAAATTAAAATCATTTGGTAAAATTAATGAAATTTTACAATCATTTTTTAAATAATTAATTTGTGAATTAATTAAAATATCAATCACTGTTTGAATAACATAATTTCCATAAGGATCATTAATTAATAAATTTAAATCATCATCAATTAAAATTTTATAAATTAATTCAAATTTTAAATTCAGAAAATCCATTGAATGAATTTCATTGCCAAAACAATTTTTTAAAAATTTTTCAACAACATTTGAACTAAATTTTGAATTACATAACTTCTTCAATCCTAATTTTAAAAAATTTTTAAAAATTTTATAATTTATATCAATTGAATTTATTGATATAAGATATTGTAATACATAATTTCCAAATTGATCATTTATTAATTTTGAAAAATTTGAAAAATTTAATATTGAATTTGAAAATTCAATTAATTGTGATTGAGTTACATGATTCAAACATTTTTGTAATACACAACATCCATGTTTATGAGTTGCTACTATATATAAACTTTCAATTATTGATTCATAAATAAATTGACAATCAATTGGTTTATATTTATTTAAAATTTTTTGAATAACATGATTACCATTAAGATCTTTTATTAATTCAACAATATAAGGTTTTAAACCTTTTATTAATAAATTTAATTGTAAATTATTATTTAAATTATCAATAATTTTTTGTAAAGCTCTTGTACCATGTTGATTTATTGAAATTTGAAATAAATTTTTTGATAAAATTTCTAATATTAAATTTAAATTTAATTCAGTACAATATGGAATCATTTTTTGTATAAGATAATTACCAAATGGATCAATAATTAATTCATACATGAAAGGATAAATTTCATTAAATATTATTTCAAAATTATTAACTCTTATTTGATAACTTGTTATTAAATTTTCATCAATTTTTTTTTGTAAAAATCTACAACCATATTGATCTTTTGATAATTTTAAAATTTCTGTTTTTAATTGAATTAATGGTAATTTATTTATTGATGAAAGATATTCCTTATCAATTTTTGTTGGTATTAATATTGGAGTTGTTGAAGTTGTAGTTGATGTTGCATTACCATTTGCACTGCCACCATGACCATTTTTGAAATAATCATTGCCTCCATTTCCACCATTAAAATTTAAATTATTTGTAGTTGATGGAGTTGAAGCAGATGAATTTGAATTTCCATCTCCAATAAAATTTATTATGTTACCACCATTACCATTACTATTTCCATTAACGTTACCGCTACCAATACCATGATTCCCCAAATTTGAGCCATTATTTAAATTTTTTAAAAAATTTTCTTTATTATCAATGGAATATATAGTTGATTGATTAGATTGTTGATTTGAATTTTCTTTTGTAGTTGATGGTTTTGAATCTAATGATAATTTTTGAAATGAAGAAATTGTTGAAGATGAAGGAGAATTAGTTAAATTATGTGTAACAATTTTTTCATTAGCTTCCGTGTTATTTGTAGTAAATGAAGAAGGAGGTATGATTAAAGGAGTTGAAAATATTTCATTATTATTATTGTCACCATTTGAATTTGTAGTATCAATATTAAAGTTTGGTAAATTTAAATTAGAATTTAATTTATTTGAAGTATCCCATAATAAAGATTTTCCATTTAAATTTTGACTATTAAATTTTGAAAACCCATTTGAAAAAGATAAACTACGATTATGGGTATGATTAGTATTATATGAAGTATTATTAGTTGAAGAAGTAGAATTTGAATTTGTGGCAGTATTAGTTCCAGTTGAAGAAGTTTGAGGAGTTCTTGGACGTTGTTGATTTTGTTGTTGAAATTTATTATTTGTGGTGTTATTAGTAGTAGAATTTGTAGTAAAACTATTAGAAATACTATTAGTATTACTATTAGTATTTGATAATAAATTGTTTGGTGGAGTTGTTGGTTCAATAATTGAAGTCATTGAATTTATAGATAGATTATGATTATGATTATGATGATAAGACATTTGATAGGATGGTAGATTATTGTCTTACTTAAGGTTGAAATATGGTAATTGAGGTTATTCTTGGTTGGTTGAGTTGAGTAAATTAATGAAAAGAAGAAAGTTGTGTTGTAAAAAAGAAGGAAAGTTTGTAAAATGAATTGAAATATTTTATATTACTTATAATATTTATTATATTATTAGTATTACTAGTATTATTAGTATTAACATTAGTAGTACAATATTATTTTTTTACTGTCTTATAAAATGAAAATTGTCTTAATGTTAATTGCCAACGGGACCAAAAACATCAGTTGATTCCTACATACTTCTTAAGGCTTAATGATTGACTTGAATGGTTTACTTAAAGCTTAGAATCCAACAATAAGATTTACTGTTGTCTTACTATTCACTTATTTAAAATTGTAAAATTATGTGAAAAATTCTGAAAAACAGAACACTCTTATAGACGGGATTTATGTCCAGTAGTCTCTCTAAATCAAAATGTTTGTCTAGTAGTCTCTTAAAATCAAAACATTTTAATTGTAATTTGTTGAAAGAGGTGTATTGTAAGGAGGACAGAAAAACCAAAAAAAAACAGGATATTAAAAATATTTAGTATGAGACTACATACTAGATTAGACTATGCTAAAACAAAAGACAGAAGACACATACACAGTGGTCTATAGATCTTTTCAAAATAGACCATGAAAGAAAGTCTAGATTAAAATATTTTAAAAAAGTAGTATGAAACATAATCAAATGCCAACACCACCAACAATATACGTTTCAATTTGTGCTACTATACTCTCTCTCAGTTGTTAATTAATGTACTCGTTTCATCAATAATAAAATAGTAGTTACTAATACAATTTTAATTACATTTATTGATTATTATTTCTGTAATCCTGTTTAAAATGAAAGTAGAAAGACTGGAAAATAAAATATGTATGATTCAAATTAGCAAAAATAATAATAATTTCAAATTGAATGTGAAAATTAAAAAAATATCTTGGTGGGAAGATTAGATTAGATTGGAAGACATAAAATTGTCAGATCAAGAATAGACTTAATAATATTCGAACGATGTTTTAAATTATAGATAGACTTTGTTTTCAATGTTCAATGTTCCTTTCGAAACAAGGTTGAGTAGGTAAATACCTTTAATTGCTCAAACGAACCCACAAATCCAGCTGTTCTTTTGTTATCGTCACCATATTATCCGTTAATTTACTTTAACTTAACCCTACAAAGATTTAAGTTTGTGTTGTCGTTGTGAATGTGCTAGGCAATTTTAATGTCTGATCTGACTTTTTTTCTTTTTCTGCTTTGGTAATTTGTTAGTGATATAAAGACAAAAATTAATTAGACTAAATTTATTTTTAGAATATTAAGGAAGGTCTGGAGTATGAATAAGTATATACGAGCCTATGTACTACTACATGTAATCAGCCGAAAGAATGGACCAATTTTAATAAAGATATTTTGCTATTAGAATATATCGGAATGATAAACTTCAATATGTACATTCCATAGGCTATAGTACTAACAAATTTTCAAACTCCTTTCAAATTCTTAGTTATGTAAGAGTTGTTTTCTTTTTTTTTATTTTTTATATGGTCAAAGGACTTTTCATATCAGTAGTCTATTTGTAAATACTTTCGTGTAATTGAAACCAAGGCTACTTTGTGATAAATAAATCAACGACAAATCATTAATAATCACCGAATCATGCACGTAATAATTAAATGATAATTCGAGAAAAGTTTGGAGAGAGAAAAAGGAGAAACTATGTTAACTAAATCATCTTACCCAACGTAATTTATATACTGACTAAATATCACGGGTATTAAATGACCTTGGTGATATGGAGAAGAGCTCCTAATCTAAAGTAAATTGACGTCCAAACTACCATAAAACAATCTATTTCTATTTTGATAATGATCTTAAGGTTGTCCAATGATAAGTTCAATTTTATTAACCTTCGTCGTCAATTCAAAAAAACGTACTTCAATATCGAAATTTAACTACTAAAACAAAATAATATCCAGAAGTAGAAATTAAAAAAAATTGAAATGTAAGATACCTTCAAAAATCAGGAACCTGATTTAAAGGGATCTTTCAATGTTTTCATCTTTTTTTGTACCTGGAAATATATCTGCGGCTCGTCTTTTTTTTTTTTGTCACAAAGATCAAAATATTTTTTAAAACCGAGAATTTGGTTTACGAGCGGAGTTAAACTCTAAATAAATATATAGACTATTACCAAAATTATTGTACAAGTCTATAGAGTATTAATATGTTACCAAGTTTTAGTTCTAATCACTTGTTAGATGTTACTTTTATAAGTATACATGTTTAATACGAAGTTGTGATAAGTTTAGAAATTTTTCCATTGCATTCCTAATCAGGTATAATCTTGATTATTTTTCAAACTTGAAATTATTTGTTTTTCAGAAATGTTATAATTACCATAGCTTCAACAATCTTTGGGGTAATCACCACTAGTGAATCCTTTCATTTTGATCGTCGTTTAATTGAATTGATGAAACGTGGTAATTGTATGAAAAAATGATAGTCATGTCTCAACCAATTTTCAATTCTTGAAACTTCCTAATCTTTCGATCTTAAACTCATGATCTTGTCTCAATTGAAACCCTTTTACCCCACAAATCTGATTTTTAATTGAGCTTTTCTTCTTTCTAGTAATACAATTCTCTGGTGTTACTTACAAAACATCGTGCTCAATCTTAATTTTTTCAACTTATAATACGACAATTTCTTTGCACCCAAAAATACAATTTTCATCGTTTACAAATTTGACGAAAATTCGAATGATTTTCACAAATATTAATCAAAAAATTGTATATAGTATGTCAAGTCAAATTTTGCTTAAAGTCCAAAGATGTTTTATAAAAGTAATTCAATTTTGATGTCTTGATTGACATTTATTTCATTCCAACGAGCGATTCTAGAATTCATATTGTTAAATCTACGACAAGTTGCTATGACAATATTATTTTTGTAAATGCTATAATATTAACTCTAGAATCTATAATAAATTATATAAAGAATAGTAAAATAAAAACAAAATAGAACTAAATAATATATATACCCAAACAAAACACAATTTCAAATCCAACTCAACTCAAAATTTGAATAAAATTTGAATAAGATTCATCACCTAATATACCAACGACCAGAAATAACATATTTATTTAAAATATCACAACTAAAAATAAATTCACCAATTTGTTGATTTTGATCATTTAAAAATAAACAACTTTTAATTCTTCTATTAATTCTATTTGTTTGTCTCTTGTCTATTAATTTTTTTCTTTCAATTAATTCTTGTGATGTTGGGAAATCAGATTTCATAAAACCAGGAGGTGATTCAAATTTATCAAAAATTTGCAGTAATTTATCTTCAATTTTCCAATTTTCATTTAAATTAAAAAAAGTTTTATATTTATTGAATTTTGTTGGATCTTTTATTTGATGTTTTTGTAAGAATTGTGAAAATTCCATTGGTTTGTAATTTAAATTTTTAATAAAATCTATAAAATCCCATGATATTTGTTTTATTGGATTCTGGATTAAATTTATTTTAAAATTTAAATCTGTTTGAAACTTTGAAGTATAATAATCTAGTAAATATTTTCTTTTTTGATTGATTGTTATTATATTTTCTGGAATTTTAATTTCTGGTGATGATGTTAATGAAATTGGTGGTGAATTTAATTCATTTGAATATTGTGTAGTTGGTGGAGGAGTTGAATATACACTCATTTCACCTTCTTGAGAATCTTCTATTATTTCATCTTCAAAATTGTTTGCATCTTCAATATTTTCTTCTATTTTTACTTCTTCAATTGATTGACTTGATTTTATTGGTGAAGTAGGTTCCACTAATGGAGGTGCTACAACTGGACAATCATAAAATGGATCTTCATCTTCTTTTAATTCAACACTTTTTTGACGCTTATATGATTTAACAAATAATTTTCCATTATCATCAAATTGTAATTTAATTGGACTTATTTTATGTTTTGAGCTAGTAGTAGGAGGTTTCATACTTTTAGTAGGACTTATAAATAGATTATCATCTTTTGTATATTTCATGATAGGTTTATTTTCATCATACTTAATTTTTATAGGTGATGAATTTATGTTTTCATTATTTTTTGTTGATTCATCTTCTGAATCACTATATTGAGTTGCAAGATCCAGAATATTTTCGATCATACTTTTACTTTTCCAATTTTCATGATTATTATTACTTTTTGGCTTTGCTTCATATACTGATTTAGATTTTAAATGATTTAATTTTGTAGGAGATGAAAACTCAATTCTAGTTCTATTTAATGAAGGTTGTGATGTTTTTTTCTCTTTCGATAGTGACGAAGTCTTTGAAGATAATGAATTTGATCTTTGACTATTATTTTCTTTATTTTCTTCATGATATGATGATGATGATTCTTCTTCAGTATCACTATATTGAGTAGGCATTAATCTAAAATTTTCAAACATTGATTTTGATTTTCTTGCTTTTGTTAGATCATCAGACTCGATAGATAATATTGAAGTTCTTGGTTCAATAACTGATTTTGTTTGTAATAGATTTTTAGTTGGAGATGAGGCTAAGGCACTTAATGCACTTACATTACTACTGTTCCTTGATTTCAAAGTTGGTTTCACGAATGGCTTATTATCTTTCAACTTTTTAATTTCTTCATCTTTAAATTTCAATTGTTCATCTTTTAATTTCAATTGATCATCTTTTGATTTTAATTGTAATTCTAATATTTTCAATCTATCATCTTTAGACTTTATTTTCAATTCTAAAACGCGTATATCTTCTTTTAACTGTTTATTTATGGATTGATCATTTTTTATAACATTTTTTAATTCTTCAAATTTTGAATCTTTTTGATTGAATAATTTGTAGATCTCATTGATTGGATTTTTCAATTCTGATTCAATTTGATCAAATTTATTATTATTCATAACCCATTTGTAAATAATATTAGTTTATTGATGTGTTATTGATGTTTGTATATTTTTGTTTGGTTGTAGAATTTCGTGAATAAACAGAAAAACAAAACATCAAAACTTTATATTGATGATTTGAAAATTAACAAATTCAAATTAACCAATCGCTATACAAACAGAATAAAAACATGTTTGGGCAAACCACAAATTCAAATCCATTTGGTGGATTGGGTTCAAGTAATACATCTACAGGTGGATTATTTGGTGGAAAATCTGCTACTTCAACCACAGGTGGTGGAGGATTATTTGGTGCTTCATCTACTTCACAACCACAACAAAATACAGGTACAAGTGGTGGATTATTTGGTAATTCATCTACTGGTAATACAACTGGTGGTGGATTATTTGGTGGTAGTCAACCAAATCAGCAACAACAACAATCAGGAGGACTATTTGGATCAAATAATAATGCATCTTCAACGACGGGAGGAGGATTATTTGGTGCACTGAATCAACAACAACAACAACAACCAGCTACTGCTGGAGGATTGTTTGGTGGGCTGAGTCAACAACAAGCAGCTACCGGTGGAGGGTTGTTTGGAGGCCAACAAAATCAACAACTGCAACAACCCGCTACAGGAGGACTCTTTGGTCAACAAAATCAACAACAGCAACAGCCATCTACTGGAGGCTTATTTGGTGGATCATCAAACACAACAAATAATACATCAGGAGGACTTTTTGGAAACAAACCAAGCACGACTACAGGAGGTGGATTATTTGGATCTAGCAGTAGCACAACTCAACCAAGTGGTGGATTATTTGGATCAAGTAATAATACAAATACAGGAGGTGGATTATTTGGAGGAAATACAAGTACATCAAATACTCAACAAAGTGGAGGTCTTTTTGGTAATAAAACTACGACGCAGCCTAGTGGAGGTTTATCTGGTGCCAAACCTGCAACAACGGGTGGATTATTTGGACAATCTCAACCACAAAATCAATTTCAACAACAGCAACAACAACAACAGCTGCAGCATCAACAACCACAATTGACAGCAATGACGAGAGTAGGTGATTTACCTGACAATATAAAGAGTGAATTACAACAACTAGACAAATATATCAGTACTCAAAATTTAATAGCAACTACGTTAAATTCAGATATGCAAAAACATAATGAATTAATAGAATCAATACCGAAAGATACTCAATATTTACAAAATAAATTATTATCAACAAAACAAGCTTTAAAATTTGATACAAATCAATTATTGGATTTAAAAAATAGAAATAATGAAATAACAGAAGATATAACAAATATAATGCAATTAATTATACAATTAAGTACACCAGGTACAAAATTATCAAGTTCAAATCAATTAAATGAATTTTTTATAAAAAAGATTAAAAAATATTATGAAACTGTTAATATTTATGAAGAAACTATAAATGAATTAGAAATTGTTTTAAATGGATTAGAAAAAAATTGTAATGAAGGTTTTGGAAATTTAGAAACTATTATAAAAGTATTGAGAAGTCAATATTCTTTATTTATGGATCTTTGTGAAACAATGGCTCAATTAAATGATGAAGTAAATAGGTTAATTAAGTAGACATCAAGACAGAAAAGAAATATTTGTATTATTATATTTTTCATTAATCATAAACTATTTCATAATCTTCATTAATTTTAGTGCTTACTTTGTTATAATTTTGTTCATTAATTTTTCTTAACATTAATTCTTCAAATCCATTTGATCTATCAATTCCATCCCAAAAAAACCCAGCTGGTATATTAAATCTATTTGGTAAATTAACACCTTTTGTATATATAAATTTAGATTTTGTCTTGTCCTCAATTTCAATTTTTTCATCAATAAATGCATTTGCAGGATCTTCAAAATTTGAATTTAATTTTGGTTTAAATTTGGTTGATTCTTGTTTTAGCTGATCTTCTTTCGATGTTCGTACCTCAGTTTTTGATTTTGAGTCTATTTCCTCTTGTTTTCTTTTGGTGTAGTTCTCTTCAGCTTCCTTGATATCAACGATTCTACCGGAGGAGTCACGATAGACAGTTTCCTGTTGAACGAGTGGTTTTTCAACTTTTGTTAATGAAGTAGATGATGACGTAGGTAGTGGTTTCAATTTTGTAATCGTGCCATTATCTATTCTTTTGAACCCCTTATTTTCTTTCAAATTTGTCACCGTCACTGGTTTAGATTCTTCATCTAATTCCTCCTCTGGTAGTATTTCATCTAAGTCTTCAGTTTTATGAGATAGTATTGGTGTGATTGATTCGGTTTTACTTATGGTGATATTTGACGTTATTTCAGGTACTTTTTTCTTCTTCTTTTTCACCTTTTTGGTTTCTGTTTGAGTGTTGTTCATATACTTCGCTAGGTAATCCGCTCGTGACATGTTCGTTGATGATATGTGACTGATAATTAGTTTTAATGAATATTTGGTTCTATTGGTACCTTATACTCGTAAAAAATTGACACAAAAAAAATGAAACATGTTGGATAAGTAAATCAACAGTAGAGTCTGTTCCATATACTTAGAAGAAAATTACTTACACTCTTACACCTCAACTTCAAGTCAATTTTCATACGGAACAAGATGCCACCAGCTCCTCCGAATATTCCTGGTTACTATTTTGACACAACAAGAGGAAGATACTTCAAAGTAACGAATGGTGCTATACCGACAAATGAATCCACAACAAATCCTACTTCTGACTTATCCAAATATCACAACAATTCAATTCAAGCTGAAAAAAGAACTCAAGAATTTGAAGAAGAAGAAGCCAAATTATTAAAAGCTGAAAATGATCGTAAAAGAATTCATTCACTGGAAATATATAAAGATCCAAAAATTAAAAATCCAATTAAAAAAAATTTTGAATTTAATGATGTAAATCAAAAATTTAAATTTGATTCTTTAAGTTTGTTGAATCTAAAAACTGGTAAAATCAATTATTTAAATTCATATTGGAATAGGGATGTTTTAAATCGAATCAAATTTATAGGAGTTAAAGAAATTGATCGTGATGATCATTATGCTTTACCAAGAGGTCATATAATTGGGTATGATAATGATGATTTTGTTATTGTAAAAATAAGACCAAATGAGTACTTTTGTGATCATGGGGATGATATTAATTGTTCATATTGTTGGAAAGCTTCTCCAGAAATTTTTAATTGTAAAGAAGAAAAACTTTATAAAGAAAATCAACCTTGGTTTTTTAACGGTGATTTTGAAGTAGAAGCTATGAAAAATTTATATGATTTTAAAATGACATTTGAAGGTGAAGAAATTGATTCTAGAGAATCCGGTTACATTAGTGATTTTAATCCTAAAGCTATACAAATTTTATCAGTCCTTAAAAGTGGATCTAATGACATGATTAACGTATTGAGATTTTGCCTTTTTAATAGGGAAAAGAAGAAGTTCACTGATTTGACATTTCAATTGGTGAAATTTTTGAAAAATAATCTTGATAAATTAAATAAACGTGGCTTTGGAGTAAAATCTGCATTAGGTCTTGGTAATGTTGAATTAATTGACATAGAATATAAAAATATCAAAGAAATTAATGAAATTTTGAAGGAAGAAGATATTTATTCAAATCGTAGAAGATCGGAATTGAATAAATTTTTATCATATTATGATGGTTTAAGACCAAATTTTGTATATGGATACACCGAAGATAATTTTGAACCTTCTGATTTGTTATTTTTAGATGGGAAAATAATTAATAATAAATTTTTTTTACTTTTCAGTGGTGGTGAAGTATTGATTTTTGATTTTAATCCAAATACTAAAAAATTTTCAAATTTTAAATTTTTAACAACTTCATTAAAATTACCAGATTATGGTACGAAATTAGAAGTTATAGGAACGAAATTATATATTACTACACGTTCTCAAGTTGTAATATTAGATTATTCAAGTTCTGAAATAAAATTGTTCAAAAATTTACATAATAGAAGAATATTTATTCTTTCTCATAATAAATGGTTATTAGTTAGAGATAAAGATATTGTTATGTATTTCCCAAATTGTAATATATTTAAGAGAATAATAGTTTATAATCATGGAAATGCTGTATATCAACAATTTGAAATTATAAATGATAAAAAAAGAAATAAAAAATATTTGATTTTTAATATGATAAGTAAAGCAAAAGAAAATGGAGTTGATTTTAAATTAGTTGATTTAAATACTGATGATGATGTTGATGATGCAAGGAATGAAAGAGATTATGAAAGTATTGAATTTAAAATTGAATTTCAATTTTTAAAATTTGGTTATCTTAAACAATATGCCTTAATTCAAATTGTTGATTTGGGAGAACAAGATGGGAAATTACATATTGGATTTCTTCATGAAAATTGTAAATCAAGAAACACAATTTTTGAATCATTTTTGTTTTGATGAATAGTTTGGTTTCGCTTTTTGAAGGTATGCCTATTGATATAGTGAGATCGAGATCTTATATCGGGATGTGAGATCTGAAGCTATCTACACACTTGTTTGTAAAATTTGATATGTTTCGATCATTAATTTTACAAATACTCGAACATTTCTTTTGCATAACAACAGTTGAAAGTTTTTGTTTACACAGCATTGATTGATAATGACTACATTAACACTCCCAAAGACATTGAATTTAATCCATGACAACTATCGGTATTCAACTAATACATTACCACCTGAATTGTCACCACAAATTTCATCTTTCAATCATGCTAATTCAACTGAATCAAAATTTCATACCATCAATTCAATTCAGCAGAAAAGAATTAGTTCCACGATAAATGGTTTAAGTGTTTTATCAAAAAGGGACAAGAAAACAAAATTCCATGATTATGGTACTGTAATTTTAGAAGTTATTAATGTTTATTTTATGCCTGATTCTCCACCATTAGATGCTCAATTAGATGAATTAGAACAAATGTGTAGAAATGAATGTTTTTCACTTGATCAAAATGATAAAAGAAAATTGAATTTAATTAAGCCTAGAAAAGATAAAGTTTTACCCAAAATTGAAGAATTAAATGAAGAACAATTATTTTCAATCGAAGAAGAAGATGAAGCTGCTGAAGAAGAAGATGATGAAGAAATGAAAAAGGGCAGTAGAAAAAGTTCAAGAACTAATTCTTTTATAGGTGGGTTGAATAAGAAGTATAATTCAATGTTCAACTTGAATTCAAATTTAAATTCAAAATTAGATTTAACTTTTGAAAAAAATTCAAAAATTTTAAATTATCAAGATTTTTACGAAGATGAAGATAATGACGGTTATGATGCAAATTATAAAAGTGATAAATTTGATAAAGAATTTGAAAATCAATTCTTATTACCAAACTTAAATTCAAAAAGTAAAAATCGTCAAAGAAAAGTTTCAAAATTTCATAAAATGAAATCATTTACTCAAAAATTAAGAAATGAAGATTCATTTCGCTCAAATAGATTTAGTGCAATTTTCCAAAATGCAAGTGATTATGATGAAAATGAAAATGAAATTGAAGAACAACAAGATTATAAATTAAATAATTCAAGTATTAAAAGTGATTCTGAATTAATTTCAAATAATAGTTATAAGCAAAGAAATGGTTTACAGAATCATAAAAGAAGAGTTAAAATTCAAGAACAACATAATGAATATATTTTACCAACTCCAACTTTAGTAAGTTTTAAAAGAAATTTTTCAAGAAAATTTCATTTTTTAAAACATTGATATGATGATTTGGTGCTAATAGTTTAATAAAATATCTCTTAAATTTTAGACTTATCAAGCTCTTTGGTTTTGGTACCTTTTTATATGTAATTTGTACATTACGTTTGTTGAATGTTCCAAATTGAATAGTAGACCTTTAAACACCATGGAGTAGAATACGACAAATTCAAGATAGTTATTGATATTGGTATTTTGCAACAATTTGTAAGTCACAAGTATCAAAATGTGACACAAATAGAACTGACAGTTCTATATTTTGAGACACTAAAAATTCTGAAATATGAATACTTAGTCTTACTCCAGATCATACCATCGTCAATACCAACTACTTATCATCATAAGATCATTACAAAAACCATGAGACTGACATATGTGAACAGACTAATACACAGTGTAACGCGTACCCAACTAGAAACAGCAAAAGTAAGTACTTTTTTTAAAACCATTTTCAATCGGATTAAGATGAAAACATTAATACTAACTTGTCATAATAGTTTGGTTTTTATTTATTAACGCCAATTTTAATAATGTATTATGTTGGATTAGATACTGATAAAAAATTTAATTTACCAGGATTTTGGCCAGATCCAAAAACTTTAAATCAAATTCCTAAAGAACCTCATGAAATTCAAGCTGAAGTTGCAAGAATTAAAAAAAATAGAATTGATAAAAGAAATAGATTGGAAGCTAAAGCTCGTGAATTGGGGTTATTGGAAGATGAAGATGAAGAGAAGAAGTAATGAAACTTGAGGTTTAAAAAATTAGATAATGAACTAAAGAAAGAATAAAGAATTAGAGTGATGTAAAAAAAATGAAGAAAATGACAGAGAGAAGAACTAGTGAAGAAGCTAGGTTTCAGAAGTAGGGTATAAGTACTTTGAAAAGTGCAGAAATGAATATGACGAACTTGTACATAGTTGTAGGGGAAAAGTTTAATGAAATATTAATGAAATTATTATTATTAATTAATAAATTACGATAATTAATCTCTATTTAATCTTGATTCAAAATTTCTTAAATTATAATTTAAATCATCTATAGTTGATTGTGATAAATTTATTTGATTTGTATTAGTATAATTCAAAATTTTAATTAATGATTGAATTATATCTATTTGATTATTTGATGAATGTTGTAGTTGATGTTGATGTAGCAGTGATTGATGTAGCGGCGGTTGCAGTGGTAGCAGTGGTTGTGGTTGTGGTTGATAAATTGAATAATTTTGATACTGTAATTGTTGATTACTTACTATTGCATGTCTTTTATTTTTAATTAAATTATTTTCTAAATTTTCTAATTTATGTTTCAATGAATTGGTGATGTTGGTGGTACATGTAGTGTTTGTGTTTGTTTCAAATGGGAAACTATTTATAATTTTATTTTCTAAATCATTATCTACATTTATTGAATCTCCATTTTCTGAATTTGATGCTAATGAGTTTTCAAAACTCAATATTTTGTTATTATTATTATTTTGATCATTATTTGAATCAGTTTCAATCATTGTCCAATTATTTTGATCATTATTACTACTATTAGGACTTCTATTTGAATTTTTATATTCTTTTGTAATCATTTCAACAAATCCTTCATCTTCTATATCATTATGACTTTCTTCATGTTCTTGTTCTTGTTCTTGTTCATATTCATGATCTTGTTCAATATCATCAATTTCAAAATCAGTATGAATTTCATCATTTATTGATTCTGATAAACAACTATCAATAATTTCTTCAATTGATGCATAACTTAAAGTAATTTTACCTCTTTCATTAACTAAACCAATTAATTCATCAATTTCCCAAGGAATAACAACATTTAAATAAGTCATTAAAGATTCTAATTGTTTAAAATTCTTGAGAGAATCATACTTAATTAAATTTTCATTTAATTTTTGAATTATATTATTTGAATATGATTTATTAATTTGACTTGGCCAAGTTTGATTTTCTTTTAATTTTAATAAATGAGTTTTTTTCCATGATTGATATATACATTCTTTTGAAACTTGATTCCATGCATTGTTTATCCATTCAATTACTTTAATTAATGGAATATGATAATTTTGTTCAGATAAAACTTCTAATGGTGGAGTTGAGGTGGTTGTGTTAAATTCATATTGATTTAATTTATTTCCCCTTGATATATAACGTTGTAAATTTATCATTTCTTCATATTGTTGTTTTCTATATAAAATTTTAAATTCTTCAATAATACCAAAATTCATTGGTAAATAATCAAATTTTATACCACTAAAATTTGTATTATAAGGATTTTTATGACAAGTTTCATTTTTCAAATAGACTAATTTTAGATGTTGAAAATTTAAATTTATAATTCTATGACTTGAACAATCATCTAATATAATTAAAATTTTTCTTTTTGAATTTAAATTATGTAATTTATGATCTAAAGTTAATAAATAATTTTGAAACATTTGTGAAGTTATCCATTTATTTTTATTTGATTTATAAAAAATGTTATAATATTCAGTTAATTTATTCATTAAATTATTATAAGAAATATTTTCAATTGATAAAGATTTTAAATTTATTATTGAAGATTTTGAAACATCAAATTTGTCATATTTTCCAACAATCATTGGTGATAATTTTTCTGAACCATCTATATTACAACCTAATAATAAAGTTAAAGAAATTTGATTTGATGAATGAGATTGTGGTAATCCTTTATCTAATGAACTTACATTAAAAATTTGATCTAATGGTAATTCATAAAATATTTGAAATTCATCTAATACAAATATATCTTGTGGGGAATAATTATTTTGAATAATTAAATCTTCAAGATATTGTTTTAATTCAATTTTTTCATCTAATTTCCATACTTTATTTAATTTATAATTTAAATTATTTTTTATGGCTTGTTCATCACCTGTTATATTAATATTTAATTTTTTCATAAAATGTGAACACCATTTTGCATTAAATACTCCATTTCCTGTTTTACCCAGTTGTGGTAATCTTGTCCATATAGCATGAGCAGTCAGTTGTATTATTGGAGTTGTTATAGGTATATTTTCCCATATAGCTTGAGTAACCCATTCAGTTAATATTTTTCTTAATAAAGGATTTGTTTGCTTTCTTCTACGAACTAATTTAAAATCTCCTTCTTTTGATGCAATTAAATCATTTTTTGAACTTAATATTCTTGAAATTGTTGTTTGTGATGGTGGCTTTTTAGAACCGTATTCTTTCATTGCCCAAACTGCTAGATCAGATTGTGTCATTTGAGGATTTGATTCTGCTTTTAAACAAATATCTATTTTTTGTTTTATTGTATATCCCATTGCTAAAGAATATTTGTGATTATTTCTGTATGATTGACATTTGGATTAGTATTTAGGAGTTGTGAATTTTCAATGTTATTCTGTACTATTGTGTGTATGGAACCAGATTTGAATGCACACACTGATACTATTTGATTACTATAGTAAATATGATTATTGGTGATAATTTTGATTCTATTATTCAAAATTGAATTGAATAAATTTATTTTTGTGTTATAAAATAGTTGATTCTGATTCATCTATGCGTTTAAAAGTCAATTGTTAATAATAAATTGATAATCATATTATAAAATCCAAATCATGGGACGGCTATTAGCGGAAGATGAGACGAAGACTTCTGAATTATTCATTCAATAACATTTGATCATTAAAGTATAAAAATAACATATTTTAAAGAACTTGGATGCTAATTTAAAGCGACTTCTTCTTATAAGTTTGATTTCTTGAGGAAATTGAATGTCTATAAATGACACACTTCAGACTAGTCATTAATGGAACCACTTTAATTAACTTTTCAGTGGAAGTATGTTAAACCTATCCAATTATATCAATTTAGAAATGATTATAATTGAAGAAAGGAAAAAAAGGTAAATTTTTGGCTGCAAAGTTGATTTTAGGACGTACCACCAAAATTGTATTTCTAGAATGTACAAAATCAACATTTATTTGCTATAGAATTTTTGTTTAAACCTGTAACAAACTTAGGTATTTTAAAACTGAAGTTGTTATAGTCACATATTTCGTAGAACATAAATGATGATTCGAAACTTCATCTTCACCTAAATTTGATGTGTTGGGGAATTTAATATTCAATACAAAAAACAATGCTATCTAATTATTAGTGGAAACACTTACTTGAATTTTAAGCTTCAACTGTTCAACCTATTCAGTGATATCAGTTCACAAAGTGTGTAATTTGAAGAAAGAAAGAAAAAGTGTTGTAAAAAATTAAATAAAATTTTTGGTTGCAAAATTGAATTAGAAATTTACAAGCAACAAATTTGTATAGTTTATTTGCCCAATAAGCAACATCAACATCTATCTAGTATATCTGTTCCAGTTAAACCTATAACAAATATAGCGTTTATTGACACAAACACATATGCGTAAATTGGTTATAGATAGTTAAAAACTCTGAATTATTTGAATCATCAAAATCTCAATAACAATGATACCTTAACATTTTTGTAAAATTCAAAACTTATAAAAAGGTGCTCCTGTAATTAACGTAAGAGATGGTAGAAGTATTTTAAATTGATTTCGTAGATTTAATTCATCAGGAATTTATCTTTCAATTGAAATAACTTATCGTCTTGTAAGTCCAGCACATAATTCATTCATCAATTTTTTTGAATTAAAAATACAATCTCAAAAGCTTCTCCAAAATAAATAATGAAGCATTGAAGAAAGTAATTACAAGTTCCAATGAATTTGACATAAAAGTTGACAAATTCCAAACAAATTTGAATCATAAATCATTTTTATCAACTTTTATGTCAAATTCATTGGAACTTGTAATTAATACTTTCTTCAATCCCTTAGATTATTAAATTTCTTTTTCAATAAATTCTTACCATTTAAAAATACTTTCATCATCCATCACTCACATTAATTGCAGGAGCATCTTTAATAAATTTTGAATTCATATTTTTCAGCCTCTTCATTCACCCTATCACTTGCAATTTTAAAAGCTGGAGGTTTTGCATTAGTTTGGTAAATCATTATGCTTCAGTTAACTCTTCATCTATGTCATTGATTTATCTATGTCCGAAGCATAATTATCTCACTAAATCCATGAGAAAGATGAAGAGTTGGCTGAATTTTTAAAGTAAGAATGATGATAATGAAGTAGAATTAATCAATCAATTAAACGCAACCAAATGTGATCAAAAAACTCCAAACAAAAAATAACCCCAATAATTAAAGGTAGTGTAAATTAGACTAATTACATACATTTACATTAAACGATTTCATTTTTAACAAGGATCATACCATTTATTAGTAAATTACATACATCGGAATATGTTTAAAGATATAACATAAGGTGATTGTATTAAACCATGGTAAACCTTTAGATTTCCACGGAATTTGGGACCAATGGTCATTTGAACAACTAATTTTATATGGTATCGTCAACTTTTAACTTATTCACTGTTCATGTTGATATAATATTACTCCACGTTGCAATTCCAATTTTACATTTTTGTACGTTGGTTTTCTTCGTATTAAAATTTAATTAGGGAAGATAAAAAAAAATAATGACCAACAATAAAATATAAATTTTCATGCCCACGCCGCCCTAAATTTTAATCATTAGAAGAAGATTGCTTCAGAATAGAATGAGGTTAAGAATCTAAATAACCACGTTTTGAATCAACTCTTGAGTTTACAAAAATAGCACATGGAGTGTACCACAAGTTTAACATATCTCTATCTCTCATTCAATTTTAGTAATTAGATTAATTGATAAGCGGAGTGACATTTGTACTACAAGATTTTAATTTTGTACCCACACATTTTTTTCAGTTACAAAATTTTGTTATCTTTCATAAGCCTAAAACAATATTAGACTATCATCATAGATTTTGATCTTTACGAATAGTTAAATTCAATTTGAAAAAGCTTTTTTGGAACTCCTCAACTCTAGTAGAGTAGATACCAACACTCAATACTATATGGAATCCATATGATACTGTAGAATACCTTATCAAACGTACTTAATTTTTTCAAAATTTTCAACAACACCACACTCTTTAATTTATACTTTAAGATTATTAAGATAATCTTTTAATCTTTTAATCTCTTGTATTTTCCCACCCTTAAAATTTTTCAATCTTTTTAAGTTTCAATAAAAAGAAATCTATTCTAATTTAATATTGTTGTACTGTTGTAGACTCTGTAGCAGTAGTAACTCTCTCTTACAACTTACACTCAATTACTCAATATTTTAACGCTATAATTGTTACTGTATTATTTATTATTAATGTATGGAAGAGCAAAATAAAAATACTATACAGTGAATATATATCAATAAAATAAAATATCATACTAATACTACTACTACTATATACAAACAAACTGCTATCAACATTATTAATACTATTCCTACTACGACTACTATCCATAAATCAACTAAAGGACTAAAACAAACAAACCTACCACCATTTATCATAGGGGATATTTAATCTATCTGCTTAGATATTTTCCAATTCCAATAATATCTTAATATCCTAATAATATGTCCTTATTAACAAATAGGAAAAGACCAAGGGGTTATAGTGAAAATTTTGTTAATCTGGATCAAAATGTTATGAATGTAACTTATCAACAACAATTACAACATCAACATAATCATCATCAACAATTACAACAACAACATCAACAAGTTCAACAACAAGTACAACAACAATTACAACAACAACAACAGCATCAACAACTGAATCCGCAACAATTGCAGTATCAACAACAGCCACAACAATTTAATCATGTTCTTAATCAACCTCAGCTGCTACAACAACAACAACAACAACTAAATTATAATTCATTCAATAATAATTCTAATCAATTTACAAATCAATATGATACAACAATAAATGATTCCTCAAGTTTATCATCCTCATTTTATGAAACAAATTTAAATAATAATTATTTACAACCAAAAAAATCAAAATTTAATAATCCATTTTTACTGGTTGAAGAAAATGATGCAATAATAGATGATAATGAAGATGATATAAATACATTTATATTAGATGATAATGAAGAAGAAGAAAATACTCATGAATCAAAGAATCTAGAGTTAGAAGAAGAAGATGATGATTATGATGAAGATGATATAATAATAATTGATGAAAAAAATATTATACCGAAAAGTAAACGAAATAATAGTGATTCAATATTAATAAATAGAGATGCTCAATTAGCTTATAATTTATTTAATGTCAATAATCAACAACAACAACCACAACTTCAACAAATACAGCTACCTTTAAATTCCCCACAACAACAATACTACCAAAATCAAGAAGAATTTGAAATTGATGGTGGTAACAAATTAACAACAAAAAAGCAAAGAACAAGTTCATTACCTCAATTACCTCAAGTTAAATGTTTTTATAATAAATTACCAAATAATTATATTTTACAAACTCCAAAATTAGGTAATATAAAAACAAATGTAATCCCATATCAATTAAATTTACCACCATGTGATGATGAAAATGGTCATTATATAATAAAATTAAATGATACTTTTGCAAATAGATTTATTATAATTAAATTATTAGGTCAAGGTACATTTGGAAAAGTTGTTCAATGTTATGATAAAGTAAATAGAGAAAATGTTGCAATAAAAATTATAAGAAATATTCAAAAATATAGAGATGCTGCAAAAATTGAACTAAGAATTTTATCAACCCTAAAGAAATTTGATAATCAAAATAAAAATCATTGTATTCATTTAAGAGAATGTTTTGATTATAGAGGTCATATATGTATTGTTACAGATTTATTAAAAATTTCATTATATGATTTCTTGGAAAATAATAAATTTATTTCATTTCCTGGTAGTCATATACAAGCTATTGCAAAACAATTAATTAGATCAGTTACTTTTTTACATGATTTAAATTTAATTCATACTGATTTAAAACCTGAAAATATTTTGTTACATGATGATTCATTTATAAAAAAGCAAATTCATAGTTCAACTATTACTTCAGCATATATGAAATTGGGAAATAACAATAATAGCAAAAAGGAACCAAAATATTCAAAAGTCTTGAAAAATCCATTAATTCAAATTATAGATTTTGGAAGTGCAGTTTTCAATGATGAATATCATTCATCAATAGTTTCAACAAGACATTATAGAGCACCAGAAATAGTATTAGGAACAGGCTGGTCCTATCCTTGTGATATGTGGTCAATTGGTTGTATATTAGTTGAATTAATTATTGGTGAACCCCTTTTCAAAACTCATGATAATTTAGAACATTTAGCAATGATTGAAAAAATTGCTGGATATAAAATTGATAAAGAAATGATTAAATTATCAAAATTAAAAGAAAATGAATGTGGTTTGGAATTTTTTACAAATGAATATATTGTTAAGAAGAAAAAGCATCATCATCATCGTGGTCATCATAAGAAGTATTTTTCTGGAAACGGTGGTAGAAATAAAAAAATGAGAAGAAGAAGATTATCAATAAATAAATCACCAACTAATAAATCTTCATTGTCTTCATCTACTACAACTTCAACTACAGCAACAAGAACTTCATCAACAACAACATCAGAAGATATTGAAGAAATTTTAGAAAATCATCATCATCATAATCATAATCAACAAATAAATCGTGGTCCTACTAATCATTTATATGAAGATTCAGAATATTCAGATGAATCAGATGAAGATGAGGAAGAAGATTTAGAAGATTCAGATGCTTCGGAAGAAGATGATGATAACTCAGACAACTCAGATGATGATGATGATGTAATATTCGATGACGCAAAAACATTAGAAAATTCATTAACTTTAAAATTCCCCACATCACAAACTCCAGAAAAATTTAAAATTTCAGTATCAGAATTATCAAGAATTGATTTATTTATATCAAAAAAGATAGGGTTATTTATAAATTTTAATTATTCATTAAATTATAATTTTGAAAGAAACAAGAACAAAATAGAATTTGGAAATTTTACATTTTGGTGGTTTTTTATTGATTTAATGAAAAAATTATTTATTATTAACCCTCGTGATAGAATAACTGCTTTAGATGCTTTAAATCATCCTTGGTTTAATTTGGGGATTAAAGATGAAGGAACTATTTGATTTGAAAAGAGAGAAGAATTTGAAGAGAATTTTTTGATGGAGTATGGCCTTAGTGGTATTATTTTATTTTAATTGTTTGGTTATGAAAAGAATAACTTTAATGTGTGTGTTTTTTGTTTCAGTTTATTTAATTTTACGTAATTAGTTTAATTTGGTTAAATTTCGTTATTTTTTTGGGTTTTTATATGATTAGTTTAGTTTAGTTATATTTTTTTTTAATATGAGACGTTTTCAATTCAGTGTTTTGATATGTTTAAGTTTGATTTTAAAAACTGTAGATATTTCTTTACATCTTCTTTCTTTGTTGTTGCTTCGGTGACTTTTAGTTGAATTTTGATGAGTTTTGGGGAATTTAAGCTCAACTCTCAGTATAATAATAGTTAGTGCTTATATAAATTGAAGACTATTGAGTAAGAATCGAGAAGCAGTTGAATTTTAAAGGTCGGAACAGTGAAGTTTTAAGATTTGATTAGTTTACGTCTAAATTCATTATTGACAATTCTATTGTTTATTTATATACAAGTATTTGAATGATCTCAAATTCAATTAATTATCAATTGGTAATTCAATAATGTAATTTACTAAGTTCCCTTGAACCCAAGTATCATACTGGAGAAATTAACCAAAGATTATCTATCAAACTAACTAACTAGCTTTTAATTTGCAAAAAATGGATAAAATTCATTATATTTTTTTAAATAATAACCAGTAGATAAACCACCTAAAAATAATAAAACCAAGGGAATAGGTTTTTGAAAACCAGTTGGGATAGATCTAGATAATCCAGCAATTAACAACAATGAACTTGTTCCCAAAGCAATTTCTAATCCATAATTTGAATTTTTTTTTAATAAATATCCTGAATATCCATATAATGTTGAAACTGTTAAACCTGCTATAATTGATGGTATTGAACCCTTTCTAATATAACCCATTATACCACCAATGGCACAAAGACCTGATAATGTAAATGCTGGATGCTCCATCTTGTATTTGTTGTGTATATAGTATGGTTTACTTGAATGTGTAGTTAGATTCAATGAATAAGGACTTTTGGTATTAATATTCTATGATCAGGAGATTGGAAAATTAAAAGCGAGAAATTTCGGATTATGAATAATGTAGAACAAAACACAATTTAAAAATTGAGGCAATCATAGAAAAGAAGATTAGATTGGAATTTCGGATAAGAAAATTCCAAGGTACTTATGTACTGTTGACATCAATATTTTGTTGTTCATTTCACAGAACAGAGTGGAACTTAGAATCAAGTATTCAACAAACTATTATCAATGAGTTTCAAAATTATCACCAGATTTTTACCAGCCTTTAATTCACATTTTTGTATAATAGAAAATCAGTCGAAGTTTGAAAATTCACGGAACTTTCTATTTCTTTAATATTTTAAACTCTACTCCTTGATCAAAGACAAATACCTACTGATTTGTTTTCCCTTACATTGCTTTTAATACTTAAGCTTGTTTTTTAATAATTATTATAACCCTAAAACTCCTTCCATTAAATTTCAATTTTCTTTTGTATCTAATTTGTGTGTAAAAAGGTTTGTAATTTATTTTCTTCGCCCCATTTTCTCATCATTTGATTAATTGGTTGAAAGATTAGAACGAGGCTTCGTATAAACTCCGGCTAAATTGGCTCAGCTTTTCTCGCTCAATCCCAATTTCACTTTTTCTTTTTTTTCTCGCTCATTCAACAAAATGTATGAATGAGCAACGTAATAATTAGATTACATCTTTAATGTTACGACATAGATACTGATCTGTGTATACCCCTAACTTAAAAAAGAGAGACTTGAATTATGGTTTTAATGGTTGGTAAAGTAGTTCGTCTCTTTATAAATATCAGTGGGAAAGATCAAATTTCTACTATACTCTATATATACAATATTTCTAAATTTTACACTTTAAAATATTCAAATCAAAACATGTTTTTTTTTTCAAAACTGGTATTCAGTAAAAAAAAAATTATAACACAATGATTGAGGTTTTACTTACTTCCCTCTAAATCTAGTTGAGAAAAAATTGATATTGAAAAGAAAGAAAATGTATTCAACAACAATATAAATAATTGACAACCAACTTAAACTTAACTACAATCAATCAATCAATCAAAGTTAACAACATTGTTTTAGTAGTGAATTTCAGACAAACATGAATATATCATCTATGCTATCTAATGATAGTAATAATATTATAGAACAAAATAGTAAAGATATTTACAACCAAAGTATAACGCCATCAACAAATATAAATCAAGAAAATATTGATAATGGTAATAATATATCATCAATACATCATCAACAACCATCATACAATAAACCAGTTATTAGAGATGATGATGTTGCCACCAATGCTGCTGGTGTTTCAACCACTCAATACCAAAATAACAATTTTACAACCATAAATGGAAATGGTTCATTACCAATACTATCCAAATCAAACTCCATAATTGGTGATATACTACCTTCATTTGAATATGACGCGTCTATTAACACTATTGATCCCATTTATCAATCAAATTTTGAAAATAATATAAATATAATTAATGAGTTAGATAAAATTCAAAATTTAAATCATAACCTCAAATTATTAAAATTTGATGAAATTAAATTAAATAATTATCTTATAAATACTCATCAATTTGCGGCAAATTATATAGATAGAGTTGTTGCAGAAGATATTTCTTCAAGAACAAATAAAATTAGTGATACTAACAAGAGTAAAGAATTAACTTTAATTGATCAATCAAAACCTTTACATCATAATAGTACAAGAGGTAAAGAATATAAATGGGGTTCAACAAGAGAAGTTCATAAAATTGAACATAAATCAAGAAGAAGAAAAATTGCAAGTACTAATCTGGAGAAATCAGCTTCACCTTCAATTGATAATGGATCTGCTACTTCTACCACTACAAAACATGTATTAATTAAACCAAAACCTTCAAGTTCATCAACAACTCCAACTGATTTAAATGTAAGACGGAGTTCCCGTCCAAAAGCTAAAAGAAAAACTTATGAAGAAGGAGAATATGATGAATTTGATGATTTTAATGAATTTTATGATGATGAAGATGATGAAGAAGAAGAAGATGATGAAACTAGTAAAGCTAGCAGTATAAAAGAACAACCAGATCTTAAAAAACAAAAATTAGAAGATGGTAAAGCTAAATCAATGTCATCAAAAGAATATAAAGCATTTATGAGACAATATGATACTACTTATGTTGCAATTTGGAAAGATATGTCAAGAAAAGATGGTCCAAAAGTTAGTAGATTAATTCAACAATCTACTCAAGCAAAATTAATTAATTTAAAAAAGACAAGTATATTAGCAGCAAGAGAAGCAAAAAGATGGCAATTAAAAAATACTAAAAATCAAAAAGATTTAGTAACAAAAGCAAGAAGAGCAATGAGAGAAATGTTTAATTTTTGGAAACGTAATGAAAGAATTGAAAGAGAAGCTAAAAAGAAACATGAAAAAGATTTAGTTGATAAAGCTAAAAAGGAAGAAGAAGAAAGAGAATCAAAACGTCAATCGAGAAAATTAAATTTCTTGATTACTCAAACAGAATTATATTCACATTTTATTGGTAAAAAAATTAAAACTGATGAAATTGAAGGTAGTGATTCAGATCCAAGAATTAGAGCTACCACCAATAATCATGATAAAACTCATCTTGATAAATTTGTTGGAGTTGAAGCTGCTAATCATGATATTTCTTCATTAGATTTTGATAATGATGACGAAGATGCATTACATAGAGCAGCTGCACAAAATGCTCAAAATGCTTTAGCTAATGCTCAAAATAAAGCAAGACAATTTGATGGAACTAATAATAATGAAAATGATGATGATCCTTTTAAAAATCCAGATACAAATGGTGAAGAAATGAATTTTCAAAATCCTACTTTATTAGGTGATATAAGTATTGAACAACCAAAAATGTTAAAATGTACATTAAAAGAATATCAAATAAAAGGTTTAAATTGGTTAGCTAATCTTTATGAACAAGGAATTAACGGTATATTAGCAGATGAAATGGGTTTAGGTAAAACTGTACAAAGTATTTCAGTATTATCATATTTAGCAGAAACTCATAATATTTGGGGTCCATTTTTAGTTGTTACTCCAGCATCAACATTACATAATTGGCAACAAGAAATTTCTAAATTTGTACCAAATTTTAAAGTTTTACCATATTGGGGTCATGCAAAAGATCGTAAAGTTTTACGTAAATTTTGGGATAGAAAATCTTTAAGATATGATAAAGATGCTCCATTCCATGTATTAGTAACTTCATATCAATTAATTGTTTCAGATATTGCTTATTTTCAAAAAATGAAATGGCAATATATGATATTAGATGAAGCTCAAGCTATAAAATCTTCACAATCATCAAGATGGAAATCTCTTTTATCATTAAGTTGTCGTAATAGATTATTATTAACTGGTACTCCTATACAAAATTCAATGCAAGAATTATGGGCTTTATTACATTTTATAATGCCAACATTATTTGATTCTCATGATGAATTTAGTGATTGGTTTTCCAAGGATATTGAAAGTCATGCTCAATCAAATACAGGATTAGATGAACAACAATTAAGAAGATTACATATGATTTTAAAACCTTTTATGTTAAGAAGAATTAAAAAGAATGTTCAAAGTGAATTAGGTGATAAAGTTGAAATTGATTTATTTTGTGATTTAACAAATAGACAAAAAAAATATTATAAAATGTTAAAATCTCAAATTTCAATAATGGATTTATTAGATGCTGCAAATTCAAATAGTTCTAGTAGTGGTGGTGATGATTCATCTACATCATTAGTTAATTTAGTTATGCAATTTAGAAAAGTTTGTAATCATCCAGATTTATTTGAAAGAGCAGATGTAAAATCACCTTTTGCATTTGGAAAATTTGCAGAAACTGGTTCATTTTTAAGAGAACAAAATGATTTAGAATTTAATTATTCAACTGAAAATTTAATTGAATTTAGTTTACCTAGGTTGATTTATGATGATTTGATGACACCAAATTATAACTTAAATAATAAACTGTCAATTTTAGAAAAATTTAGTATTTATAATCCTGAAAATATTGATTCAAATGAAAATAAATTAAGAATATTAGAATATGAACCATTAACAAGACAAAATTTAATAGAAAGAGCAATAAATGAAAAACAAATAAAAGATCCATTAAATATTGTTGAAACACCAAACTTGTCTGGTGAAGTACCTCAAAAAGTTTATGAAGAAATGTATTTAAATAGACAAGATCCAGCTTACACACCAATAGCATCAGCTCCACCAATAACAATAAATTGTTCATCAATAAATTTTCAAAATAATTTAAATCAAGAGTTATTTGATGACAAATTAAGATCATCATTATATCCAATGTCATTAAATAATGAATTAAAATATATGCAAAATCAAATCCCCTTTCAAAATTATCCAAAAACAAATTTATTACCACAACCAATATCAAAATTTAATAATCATTCACAAATTAGAATGCCATCAATGGAAAGATTTATAACAGAATCAGGAAAATTAGCAAAATTAGATGAATTATTAATTCAATTAAAACAAAATGATCATCGTGTCCTTATATATTTTCAAATGACTAAAATGATGGATTTAATGGAAGAATATCTTACATATAAACAACATAAATATATAAGATTAGATGGATCATCAAAATTAGATGATCGTAGAGATTTAGTTCACGATTGGCAAACAAAACCTGAAATTTTCATTTTCTTGCTTAGTACAAGAGCTGGTGGATTGGGTATAAATTTAACAGCAGCAGATACTGTTATATTTTATGATTCAGATTGGAATCCAACTATAGATTCTCAAGCAATGGATAGAGCTCATAGATTAGGACAAACTAAACAAGTTACTGTTTATAGATTATTAACAAGAAATACTATAGAAGAAAGAATGAGAGATAGAGCTAAACAAAAAGAACAAGTTCAACAAGTTGTTATGGAAGGTAAATCTATGATTTCTAATCAAGATAAAGATAAATCTGCGAATAGTAAAAAAGATGCTGCTATGTTGTTGTTAGGTAATGATGATTAAGAATTATATAATTAAATATATATAATGTAATATTAAAATGATTAGTTAAGATGCATAAAGTTTCTTAAATTTATTTTCTAAATGTTTTTTAAATTCTTCCTTTTTTTGAGATTCATTAATTGTTGAAAATTCTTGATCTTCAGTTACTTGTTCGTCTTCATTTTCTTCTTCATGACTTTTAAAACTTGTTAATTGAGTTGATATTAAATCAGTTATTCCACTAACATTACTTTGAACAGAATTTAATGAAAATCGATTATTCATGATGAAATTATTTTGGTTGTTATTACTATTACTTTTTCGATCATTATTTAATTGATCTAATGTTAATTTATTATAATTTTCATTTAGATTTAAATTTTCATAATCATTTTCATAATTTAATTTTGGTGGTTGTTGTAATAATGATGGTTGTAATTGATATGAATTTGAAGATAATGATGAATCTCTTTTAGTTTCAAATTGATTTTGTTGCAGTTGTTGTAGTTGATTTTCTTCAAATACTGTTAATAATCCTAATGGTAATCCATTAGATAATCTATTATTATATTTTTTTCGAGTTATTGGTTCTGATTGAGATGGTGAATTATTTATTGTTGTCGAAGGTTTAGGAGTAATAGGAGAATTATTTGATAAAGGTAATGAAAATCTCTTTTTTAATGAAGGATTTTGAAATGATTTTAAATTAAATGATGATGATGATGAATCTTTTGTTATTGATTGTGATGGTGATGATATATTTGAAGAAGATTTTGAAATTGAATTATTCTGGAACTCTGGATTTAAATTTTGATTTAATTCTATTAGTGTTTGCTTGTGTAGAGTTTTTAAATTATTTAATTCATTATTAAACTGGTTAAATATTGAAATTTTTTCTTCTTGATCTTTTGAATCTGTGGTGGTTGATGAATTATTATTAATATATTTTTTAAAATATTTTAAATTTTGATTTAAATTTGAAATTTTTGAAATGAATAAATTTAAATTCGAATTATTATTAGGTTCTTCTTTATTGGTTGTAGGTTCTAACTTATAATTATTATATTTTTTAAACATTTCATTTATATTCTCTATTGATTTATTATAATCTTTAAATACTTCAATTAAAATATTAAATTTTTCCAAATTATTTAAATCTTTAGTCTCTTCTTCCGTATTAAATTGATCAATTAAATTTAATATAAAAAAATTTATATTTACATTTTCATTTATAGTAAGTAACTGACAAATTAAAAATTTTCTTAATTGATTAAATTTATTAATATAAAATTGAATTTCTTGAATTTCATTAGCATCATCGTTTTCAAAATTTTGAGTCAAAATACCTAAATTTATATTATTAATAACACAATATTGTTCTAAAATTTCTCCATTCATCAAAGGTAATAATTTAGTAATTAAAATATTTAAATTAATAATTAAAAAATTTAAAGAATTTAATAAAAATTGAGTTAATTGTTTTTGATCAATTGAAATATTTAAATTTAAATTTGAACCTTTTATTTGAATCATATTCAAGATTAAATTTTTATTTATTTGATAATTTAATTTTAAAAAATTATTAGTTAAATCTAATATTTGATTTGTTTTTATCATTATTTTAAATTTTCGAATCTTAATTAATTTTGAAGATAGGTATAATATAATTTTAAATAATTTAAATTGTAATACATTATTCATACAATCTTTTCCATTTCTTAAATTTTGTTGTTGTTTTAATAAATATATTATTAAATTTGTAATTATTATGATAATACTAAAATTATCATATTGTAAATTATAAGTTATTCTATATGATGTATTTTTTACAATTAATTTCGTTCCATCATCATTTAAAAGATATTTGAATCTACGATAACGCTCCTCTGTAACGTCTGTTTTCAAAATTTTTAAACTTGATTCATTTTCAGATAAAATCATTGAATCTTCTAATAAATTTGAAATTATTAAACTATATTTAAATTTTTCCCAAAATTCTTTTGATTTATTTTCCATTGAAAGATATTTTTTTATAAATTTTTGTAATGATTCAGTAGTTGGAGTTATAACATTACCAGATTGTTGTAAAAAATGAATTGCATTTAGGGATTGTTGCAGATGAGTTCTATGTAATTGTTGATGAGGATTTAATGGACTTTGATGTATATTATTTGAATTATAATAAGATGAATTTGAAATTGAAGAATTTCTTCTTGGAATTGATTTTATATATGTTGGATTTGGTGGGAAATATTCATCAAATTGTTGTTGTGAATGATGTGAATTCGTGCTTGGTTGATGATGATGTCGCGTATGATAAATATGTTGTTGTTGCTGCTGCTGCTGGAGTTGTTGTGACGGATGCTGTTGCAGTAGTGAAACATTAGTAGGATGTGTATGAGATGAAGTAGCATTTGATGAAGTTGGTGATAAAAAATTTGAAAAAGTTGTACCAGTATTTGGTGTAAAATCTTCATCAATTCCCCAATCACTTACTTCTGAATTTAATTTTAAAATATCTGCTGTATTTTCATTTTCATTGATAGTTGATTGCTTGGGTATATTTGAATTGTTCTTCGTGGTTGTTGATTTATATATAAAGTTTTCTGATAATGGATTGAATTTATCAAAATTCATTTGGCGGGAATATGATGTTTTAAATTATTCAAAATCATGTAAGTTAAAATGATTATACAAACGTTTGGAATTGAAATAAATTAAGTATAATTTGAATGATAAGGGTGAGATATGCCTTCAATGCTATTCAGACCAGCTGATATACTTTGGTTGCCAATAAATGTTCATTAATAAAAAACTTGATTTGTTTATAATTTGATCTTTCTATTGTTTTAATAATTATTTATTTTTTTTTTTTTTCCTGGAGAAGGAGATTTGTCGCGCTTAAATATTTACCGCAAACTCGACGCAAGTCTAGTACGATTGCCGGTCGAGGTCGTCTGACGGAAGATCTTTGAATCGAATTTTAACACGAAAAAAGGGTCCTCTTTCACATGATTCTACTAAGGTATGGCTCATACAAGTATAGAGAAAAACATCAATAATAGCTACATTTTCAATTAAATCTTTATATTAATAATACAATTACAATTACATACAATCTCTTTTTCATATCTCCATTAATATTAATCAAATCCTGGACCTGATCCCATTGCATTAAACCAATCAGTTCCAGCTAAACTTTCTGAAATTGCATCAAATTTAACATCATCACCATTTAACATGACTCCATTACTTGCATTATTACCAGTATTATTATTTTGATCTTGATTTGTTGTAGATGTAGGTAAATTTTGAAAATCATCAAGTAATAATTGTGTTGAAAAAAATGAATCATCAATTACATTATTATCATTTGTTGGAAATTTAAATTGATCTTGTAATGATTTTTGATTATTTTGTTGTTCTTGCTGTTGTTCTTGTTGTGGAGGTAGTGGAACTTGTTGTACTGGTAATGATGAAAATAAAGCTTCTAATTGAGCACTATTATCACCAGATATTTGTTGTTGAGGTTGTTGTGATTGAATTGGATTTTTTTGTTGAATGGGGGGTTGTTGCTGCTGTTGTGACGTATTATTTTGTATGGGTTGTTGTTGTTGTTGTGTTTGTTGTTGTTGCTGTTGCTGTTGTTGTTGTTGTTGTAAATACCTTTGTCTTTGTATATTATTTTGATTTTCCATTTGCAATAATGTCATTTGATACGCATCTAAAGATTGAATATTTCTCTTATTATTTGGTTGAACATTATTGGTTTGTTGATTTTGATTCGGTCGATTATTAGATGGAGGTGCAGCGCTGTTATTCAGTTTTGGACTTAAATTTTGACTATTTCTATGAGGAATTGCACCATTTCTTGCGGTTTGTTGTTGAGGTAGGTTAGCTGAGTTAGACTTTGATTGAGCTTGTTGTTGTTGTAGTAGTGCTTGTTGCTGTAACGCTTGTTGCTGTTGAGGCGGAATTTGTTGTCCTTGGCCCTGTTGATTCATCATATTAGGAGGAGCTTGTACTGCATTTTGATTTTGTGTCTGATTCTGTTGACCAGGCATAAAACCAGGTGCTTGTTGATTTATAGTTCTTTGTTGCTTTTGTTGTGGTTGTTGCGGGTTTTGAAGATTTTGTTGGTTTTGTAATTGTTGTTGTTGTTGCAACATAGCTTGTTGCTGAAATTGTAATTTCAATTGTTGTAATCTAGCTTGTTGTTGCATTTGATTGATGTTGGCCTGGTTTTGTTGTTGCTGCTGTTGCTGAGGTGTTGATAAATTACTCTTATTAGTTGGTGTTTTAGCAGGTATTTGAACTGGAGTTCCTTGTTGTTGTAAAGGAGTTATGGATTCATTTTGTTTACCACTAGTTTTTTGTATTTGAGATTTTGAATTTTTACGACCACCTTGTGTACTTGCTTGTGATCTTTGTCTTTGATGTTGAGCTTTACCAGGTTGAACTTTAGGCGTTGGTTGTTGAGTAGGAGGTGATTGTTGTTGGGATATAGATTGTTGTGGTTGAGAAACTTGTTGAGGTCCTTGTGGTGGTTGTGAAGGACGTTGCGCTTGTCTCTGTTTCTGTTGTTGAAGTTGTTGTTGATTTGATGGAGGTATCTGTTGTTGTGGTGGTGGTTGTTGTTGTTGTCTTGGTTGAGGAGGTTGTTGCAAGTTGATTGTTGGATTAACAGGTTGATTAACAGGTTGGTTCATTTGCTGATTTATAGGCTGATTCATTTGTTGATTTATTTGTTGATTCATTTGTTGATTTATTTGTTGATTCATTTGTAAATTCATTTGTTGTAATTGTTGTTGTTGCTGAGCTTGTTGTTGAAATTGTTGTTGTTGCTGAGCTTGTTGTTGTTGTTGTCTTTGAATCATTCTTTGTTGTAAAATTATTTGTTGTTGTGGTGATAATAAATTATTATTCAAAGTTTGATTTAAATTTGGATTTATAGAACTTTGCATACTCCATAAAACTGACCACCATTCTTGTAAAAATTCTTCATCTTGATTATTTGAAGTAGAACCTGTATTTGAAAATGAATTTTTGGGTTTTTTATTACTTATTGATGATGGTAATTGAATTTTGGTCTCATTTAATAAAGTTTGAGCTGATTCTTCATGTCCATTATTTTTTAAATATAAATATAATTGATAAATTAGTAGTTGTTGTGAATTTTTCGGTGAATTTGATGACATTGTATATTAATTTTTTCAATTCTCATTGACTTTCTTGAATTGAATTTGTTATGTTATTTGTATTGGATGGTTTCTGTAGTTGTAATGACTTTATATTCATGTATTTATGTAGTTAAGTCTTGATGAAAATAATAAAATGTAAGTTATAAAAAATAATATTTTAATTTTTAGTTCGTAAATCTTAATTATATTTTTTTTATGTACTTCAAATTATACTTACATTAAATACATACATAAGATATATAAGATACATAGAGAGATATGAGATATATATCATTAGAAAAGATCTAATAGTTTAGAACGATAAAGTCTGGATTATCACAGAGCTAATGATGGATCGAGTGGACCCATAACTTTCGCTCTTAAATAACTCTCCTTACAAATCTCAATAATAATTAACATGTGAAAAACTAGAACAAAAAAAAAATAAACTTAAAAAGTTAAACAAAGAAATGATGGTGTTTGAAAAAATGCAATAAAAATATGTCGATCATCACACACTAAAAGAAGATCGTAAATTGGTTAAAAGCTTTGTTCATAGTGATGAGTTCTTGATACCGGGCTTGCAACGGTTTTTGAAAAATTGTACGAAGAGAAGGTCTTTTTAAACAATTTAAACAATCGGTTAAAGGAAAACTTTAACCCCCTTTTTCCATATTTTAATAGCTCTCGACTTAGGTCTGCAGCATTATTTGATTTAGAAGACAGTATATTCTCGCCTGAAAATTTATTGTTAGGTATTCTGATTTAGATCTTTCCATTAACTCCTGTTGCACACACCTTTATTATTCATATTTATTGTGTGTAGAAAGCCAAATTATTCATCGATCAACGTAGTGATGTACTATTTTAATCAATTAACCTTGAATGGTCTTAGTGTTTCACTGGTTGCATGAAGTTGGGTAGAACGGTCGTTGAATGTTCGTTTGGTCTTTTATGGCAAAACAAAAAGTTTGACTTTCATCTTAGCTCCAGTCTGCTCCAATAAAGCCAATTTTACCCGTCTTTACAAGGAATTTTAATGCACGAATCGACGTGTAATTAATGTCTAGATGACTATTGAGTAAGTCTTTTGCTTAATCTACTTTATCTTAGAACCGATCCACTTAATAAATCTACGACTGCTGCAGATACTGCATGCACTATGCCGTGTTAGAGATTTTGATAATCCAAATTTGATCTTGCCCGATAATATTCCAGATGCCCAAGCAGTCGATGTTTTTATCGAGCTAAATCAAATTTGGATTATCAAAAATTCATGTTTGTAGATAAACCAACAAACTTTAATGGTTTGTTTTGAAATTTGAAAGTGGACTTTGCATGTCGCGGTTTTCAAATTCCTTGAATGGGGACCCTGATATAACTCTTGGTAGAAATTTTTGATTGCAATCAAGGTGTTTGTTTGTAGATCTAGATGATTATTAATAAGAAATAAATGATCATGAAAGGTAAGAAAACTATAAGTTTTCGAATTAACGCATTGAAATAAAAATTTTTTTCTATCATCCTCAAGTGCCATTAAACTTACTATCAGTTCGAATCAACTGTTGTTAAACTCTTTGAATTGTTGTACAATAGTTCGAAGTTTAGCCGAATTTTGAAACTTTTTAACGATTTGATATTTCAATTCAAACCTATACAACTATAAAACAGAACCTAAATTAACATGAATAGCTTTTGGTTGAGTATACATAGTTAATCCATATTCACCTAATTCTCTTCCAACTCCTGACATTTTAACACCTCCAAATGGTATATGAACATCTGAATCATTTGAAGAATTTATCCAAACCATTCCTGATTCAATATCAGCAGCCATTGTATGAGCAACAGTTAAATCCTTCGTGAAAATAGCAGCACCTAAACCATATTCAGTTCCATTAGCTAATTCCAAGGCTTCTTCATCATTTGAAAATTTACCAACTGAAACAACAGGACCAAAAATTTCTTCTTTTACAATTCTCATATTTGGTTTTACATCTGCAAAAATAGTTGGTTTTATAAAATAACCTTTTGATAATTCTCCTTCTGTATTTTTTTCACCACCTAATACAACTCTTGCTCCTTCTTTTTTACCAACATCAATATAATTTAAAACTTTTTCAAATTGTTGTTCTGAAACTTGTGGTCCAACAACTGCATCTTCTTGAAATACAGTTCCTTGTTTATAATCTTCTTGTACATGTTTTGATAATAAATTTAAAAATTCTTCATAAATTGAATCTTGAACATAAATTCTTGATGTAGCAGTACAAATTTGTCCTTGATTTGACATTATACCAATTGCTGCCCATTTAACAGCTTGATCTAAATCAGCATCTTCTCTTATAATTAATGGAGATTTACCACCACATTCTAAAGTTACTGCTTTCATAGTATCAGCAGCAGCTTTTGCAATTAATTTTCCAGTTACTGTAGATCCGGTGAAAGCTATTTTAGCTACATCTGGGTTTTCACATAAGGCAACACCAGCAGTTTTTCCATAACCTGAAATAATGTTAACTACCCCAGATGGGAAACCAACTTCTTTAAATACTTTAGCTACATGTAATAAAGATAATGGAGTTATTTCTGAAGTTTTTAAAACAATAACATTACCAGCAGCTAAAGCTGGAGCTAATTTCCAAGCAGCCATAGCTAATGGATAATTCCATGGAACAATTTGTCCAATTACACCTAATGGTTCATGAATAGTATAAGCTAATTTTTTAGGATCATTTTGAATAACTTTACCAGTAATTTTATCAGCCCATCCAGCATAATATCTAAAACAATTAACACATTCATCAATATCATATACTGCATTTTGTTCTTTTGTTTTTCCAGAATCCCAAGCTTCAATTGATCCAAAATAATCACGTTTTGATTCTAATGTATCAGCAATTTTATTTAATAATATACCTCTTTCAACACCTGTTAATTTTTTCCATTTTTTAAAAGCTGTTTTGGCTGCATCAACAGCAATTGTTACATCTTCTTCTTCAGCAGCATAAACTGATGCATTAGTTTCTCCTGTAGATGGATTAATTGATTCTATGGTTTTCCCATTTTTTGATTTAACAAATTCATTATTAATAAATAAACCAGTTGGTTGATCGATTTTTGTACCGTCAGGTAATGTGATTTCAACAGATAAAGGTAATGACATTGTATGAAGATATTTGGAGATGTTTGCTTGTTTAAAAATAAGACGATTAATCAATTGAATTGATTGTAACAGTTTGATAAATAATATATATTCAAGTTTATGTCGATAAAAGTAATTACGGAATAAATTAACAAATTTGGGTGAATATCGATGTAATTTTTCAATTATTCATGTTAAGATAAGCACAGAGTTTTTGTGTCAAATTCGGTTTTCTTTAGCGGATCGAGACTTTCTCAATTTGGTAATTTACGGGGCTTGATATTAATGCTATAACTACACTGGTGCTATTAATATCTAAAAACTAGTATTACAATTTGGTTCCCATGTTAACATGTACAGCTTTTGGTTGGGTATACATAGTTAACCCATATTCACCCAATTCTCTACCAACTCCTGACATCTTAACCCCTCCAAATGGTATATGAACATCTGAATCATTTGAAGAATTTATCCAAACCATTCCTGATTCAATTTCAGAAGCCATTGTATGAGCAACTGTTATATCTTTTGTAAAAATTGCAGCACCTAAACCATAAGTGGTATTATTTGCTAATTCTAAAGCTTCTTCATCAGTTGAATATTTACCAACTGATACAACTGGTCCAAAAATTTCTTCTTTTACAATTGTCATATCTGGTTTAACATCAGCAAAAATAGTTGGTTTAATAAAGAATCCTTTTGATAATTCGCCATCATTATTAGCTTCACCACCTAATATAACTCTTGCACCTTCTTTTTTACCAATATCAATATAATTTAAAACTTTATCACGTTGTAATTTAGAAACTTGAGGACCAACAATAACTCCATTACCTTCAAATACAGTACCTTGTTTATATTTAGATTTAACATGAGTAGCATAAGCTTCTAAAAATTTTTCATATATTGATTCTTGAACATAAATTCTAGAAGTTGCACAACAAATTTGTCCTTGGTTTGACATTATACCTAAAGCAGCCCATTTAACAGCTTGATCTAAATCAGCATCAGCTCTTATAATTAATGGTGATTTACCACCTAATTCTAATGTAACAGCTTTCATAGTATCAGCTGCAGCTTTTGAAATTAATTTACCAGTTGCAGTTGAACCAGTAAATGCAATTTTTGAAATATTTGGATGAACACATAATGCAGTTCCTGCAGTAGCACCATAACCTGAAATAATATTTACAACACCTGGTGGGAAACCAACTTCTTTAAATAATCTTGCAACATTTAATAAAGATAATGGAGTAATTTCTGAAGTTTTTAAAATTATAACATTACCAGCAGCTAAAGCTGGAGCTAATTTCCATGATGCCATAGCTAATGGATAATTCCATGGAACAATTTGTCCAACAACACCCAAGGGTTCATGAATAGTATAAGCTAATTTTTTTGGATCATTTTGAATAACTTTACCAGTTACTTTATCAGCCCAACCAGCATAATATCTAAAAACAGAAATACAAATATCAATATCAAATACAGCATTTGTATTTTTATTTTTCCCTGAATCCCAAGCTTCAATTGATCCAAATAAATCTCTTTGTTCTTGTAATTTGTCTGCAATTTTATTTAATAATATACCTCTTTTAACACCTGTAACTTTTTTCCATTTTTTAAAAGCATCTTTTGCTGCTTTTACTGCAACATCAACATCTTCTTTTTCAGCTGCATAAACTGATCCATTAACTTCACCAGTTGAAGGATTTATTGATTCAATTGTTTTACCTGCAATTGATTTAATGAATTCATTATTAATAAATAACCCTGATGGTTGTATGAATTTTTGACCGTCTGGTAAAGTAACTTCGTACTCTAATGGTAATGACATGATAATTGATGAGTAGTATTTGAAATATTCAAGGGAAGGATCTAAATGATTTATAAATAGAATAGTTAAAAAGAACTAATTGTTGGTAAAGATTCTATGTTAAATAATAAATTATGATTCTTGATCTGAAAAATAATCTCGTTCTCCAGAATTTAATTTTTCAATCGGAACGCATTCGACTTACTAAATGAAGTAATTCCAAACCCTTAAGCGGCTGAATTTACTAAAATTAGAGTTAAACTTCATCAATTCAAGAAAAATTTAAACAAGACAGGTCCAGTTAGTTCGTAGAAAAGAATCTGAGTTAAAAAATAATTTAGCAAATAGGATCTTATCATGAGATCAATATTGAATTATTTATGCAATTTGATGCAATGTTTTTATCATAATTTTCAATTCGCGGGTCTCCAACACATCATATTTAGCTTTATAGGAATAGGGTTTCCGTTTTGATTATAATAATAGCATCAAACTCCTAAAGCTCAAACTTTTTCTCGAATTTTTAAAGTTCATGTATAGTTGACCAGATCCTGCTTTTGATTCAAATGGAATTTGGGACTGAAACATAAATTTTACGTCTCGTGGCTACCAAATGTACGGAATTTTGAAATTTGAAATTTCATAGCATTATGATTTGACTCTAATCTTCAGAAGAAAAACCTCTTCAGATCAATTGGATCAATCAAACATCACTCATCTTGGAAGAAACCTCAGCAGATCAATTGATACTATCAATCATCAATCATGGACTTTTCAACATTTTCCAAAGAAAGCCCTGCTCATAATGATTTTAGAAGTGATACTTTCACAACACCAACAGTTTCTATGATTCAATCATTAGCTACAACCAGTTTAGGTGATTCTGTATACAATGAAGATTCCAAAACTAAAGAATTAGAACAAAAGGTTGCAGAACTAACAGGTAAAGAAGCAGGATTATATTGTGTTTCGGGTACATTAAGTAATCAAATTGCAATGAGAGTGAATTTATTTCAACCACCTTATAGTGTATTAACTGATTCAAAAGCTCATGTTTATGTTGATGAAGCAGCAGGTCTTTCTACATTAACACAAGCTCGTCCTCAACCAATAACTCCTAAAAATGGAATTCATTTAACTTTAGAAGATGATATTTTACCAAATTTTATACCAGATGATGGAGAAATTCATTCAGCTCCAACAAAATTAATATGTCTTGAAAATACATTACATGGAATGATTTTTCCAATAGAAGAAATCAAAAAAATTTCAAAATTTTGTAAAGAAAATGATGTAAAATTACATTTAGATGGTGCAAGATTATGGAATGCAAGTGTTGCAACAGGTATTTCATTGAAAGAATATTCAAAATATTTTGATAGTGTTTCATTATGTTTATCAAAGACATTAGGTGCACCAATTGGTACAGTTTTAGTTGGTGATAAAAAGTTTATATTAAAAGCAAATCATTTTAAAAAACAAAATGGTGGAGGTATTAGACAAAGTGGATTATTAGCAAGTATGGCAATAACAGCAATTGATGAAAATTTTTCGAAATTACAAAAGACTCATGAAATGGCCAAAGAATTAGGAGATTTATGTAATGAAAAAGGTATAATCTTGGAACATCCAGTACAAACAAATTTTGTATTTATAGATATAACAAAAAATAAAATTGATCCAAATAAATTAGTTGAAATTAGTAATAAATATGGTGTTAAAATATATTCGGGAAGGGTTGCGTTTCATTATCAAATTTCAAAAGCTTCATTTGAAAAAGCTAAACAAGTTATATTAGAGGCTGTTGAGTATGCAAAAGAGCATCCATATGAAGCAAAACTTAATACTAACTTTTACACGGCAAATTATAATGAGTAGATTATAATTAGTTTAATATTATGGAGTTTTTTGAGTAGTTAGTAGATTATAATTGGATTAATATTATAGAGTTGTTTAAGTAAATCGCGATTTGCAATCTCTAGATCTTTTTTTTTCTAAAACAAATTGTTTCGGATTAAATGTTTCAGAAGATGAATGTCTTCCAATGTGATTATATACACCACAACGATTAGTGATGACCTTATTGAGTACCTCGAAGACGATTTCAATTTTGAAACAACATTACGATTATTGAATGATTTGAAATTGCAATCCAAGATCCAAAATTTGAAATCTCCAATAAAGTATAAACAATTAGTATCAAATTTATTCACAAGACATGTTTTGAATAAACAATTACAAAAACCTATATTTTATAAGTTAGAGTATCTGTATAATCAATATGGGAAACCAATACTACCAGGAATAAGTTTCAATTCAAGTTCATCTAATGAAATAATTGCAATAGCTATATCTAACAAAGACGTAGGAATTGATTTATCTCATACAACTCAAAATATTTCATCTACAGATTATATTGAACAATTCAAACCAATGTTTTCTGCTGATGAAATAGACCAAGTGACTACTTACTTCAAATTTAATCATCTTTGGACATTGAAAGAAGCATTTACAAAATTATTAGGTTGTGGGTTGAATATTGATTTATCAAAATTTCATTTTGAATTGAATAATTTTAATGATGAATTTGGTATGTTGGAGAAAGAAAATAGAGGTGAAGAAGCAATAGTACATATGAAATGGTATGATAATATCTCAATCAATGCAGAGCAATTATTTAATGAAGAAAATGAATTTGTTGAAGGTTTTAAAAATCAATTTTATTGCTATAGTACATGTTTGAAGTATTCAATTGATTCGCTACCTGTCATATGTTCATTAATTACTCCAGAACCGGTAAAAATTCAATGTATAGAGATTGATTTTTTACAAGTTTTACTGAATCAAAGCTAATAAGATTAAACTAACTTATCTAAACATTTTAAAGTAATAGAGCTCCAATTAATGCTCCTAATCCAACCATACCAACTCCTGAGTCGGATAATCTATTACCTACATTAGATGCTGAACCAGAGCTAGCTCCACTTGCACTTGGTTTACTTAAGCTTGAACCACTTGTTTTACTTGAACTTGATCCAGTTGTTTTAGAACCACTTGATTCCGAATCACCAGAGTTGCTTCCACTTGATCCACCTGAACTACCACCAATTCCACTTGAAGATGAATTACTATATGGACCTCCTATACCACCAACACCACCGCTTGATGATGAATTTCCTGAACTACCACCTCCAATATTAGTTGAATTACTATGAGATGTACCACTTGAAACTGGTGAAGTATTATTTATAGGTGTAATAGTATTGTTACTAAGTCCACCAAGACCACCAACAGCAGCATTAGTAGGTTCTGAATCTTCAGTTTCAGTAGGATCATCTGTTTCTTCTATGTCATCAGTTGAAGAAGGACTACCTGTTTCTTCAAATCCTGATTCAGTTGCATCAAATGATTCAGAACTATCACCAAAAGAGTCGAATGATTCACTTGATTCATTAAAATCTGTAAGACTTGAATCTTCTGAACTTTCTAATGATGGAAAATCAGTAATTGATGGTTCAATTAAACTTGAATCAGCTCTTTTTATAAAATTTAATTTTTTCTTGTTAAATGTATTTTTAGCATTGATTGAAACAATGGTTGAACAAATTATAACTAATGTTGAGACTTTCATTTTTGATTTAATAGAGTATATATCAAAGTTTAGAAAGTAAAGAATAGAATCGGACTAATATATATATTGAATTTAATTGACGCGTAATTCTTTGCTCATAATTTAATTTCATTTTACGAACAGGGCTTGTTTGTTTCAAAATAAAATTATAGAGGGGGTGCTTTAAATATGAGCTGTCTTTTACGAAAACATTCAATAACTGAGTGTAATGATATTTCTTACATAAACAATTAGTTTGTAACTTTGATGATACTGGCTTTTGAATATCAAGGACCCTGATGAAGTTTACGACTGTCTAATTTGAAAGAAGTTATAAATCTTGGCTAGATCTAATCAGATCGATCTAAATGGTTTTGTTAAAAAAAAAAAAACCTGGGGTATGATTTCTTTTTTGTGTTTCATATAGAATTAGACTAAGGCTGAGCTTTGATTTTTTATGCAAAACCAATTTGTTAAATGTCGTCCAATAATCACCACGACATACGCGTATAATATGGTTGATAAGTAGATATTGAATCTTTTGCATAATGATGATTTTTAAGCTGAGTTATTCAACCGTCAGGGATTCACTCACGATTGTATACAGAGAGCAAAACTGAAATCGCACATAGCACCACCAACAAAAGTTATTATGGAGAAAAACTTAGATGAAACTTATTCATTTCTGGGAAACGATGATAAGAAGGAAGAAATTTCAAATTTTAAATCATTAGATGATGAACAATTCCGAAGGCTCGAGCTTGAGTTTGTTGATGTAGAGCAAAGATTTCTGCTATTGTTTGAGAAATATAGAAAGATGATATACAAGAATAGAAAGTTAAACAAACATACTGATTTGTCAAGTGCTCTCGAAGAACTTAAAGATTCTTATTATGAATTGGAGAGATTGTATAATTCTATTAAGTAATTTGTTTGGTAAATCACGTTCCATTTTTCATTTAATCATAACATATCTACAAATAAGCTATATCATTGGGTGGTTCAAGCTTGGTGGGATCTTGAATTTTTGGTATGAAGATGTATTTTGAACTACGTATTCTATTTAACAAGTTTCAAATCATATCATATACAAGAGAAGAATTGTTTATCAAAATTCAACCTAAAGATTTAAACACAATTAATTGAAAAAATATAACCAATACCGGATATAAACTTGAAGCATCATCATAATGTCGAAGTTCAAGCTAAGAAAATCAGATTTTACCTACATTGAACTTTATTGAATTTTATTTTGAATTCATATATTTAATACTTAACTTATGTAAAAATCAAATTAATAATGCTCCAATAAAAGTACCTAATAAAAGTATCTTAGAATCTCCAATAGAGTTTCCTGCACCTCTAGATGAAGATGAATTATGATGTCTATGAGTAGTATGATGTGTTCCCCCGCTAGCATATCCAGTAGAGCCTGAACCTCTTGTTCCACTCGAACCTGAAGAGCCAGAAGAACCAGAGGACCCTTCATCAGAACCACTGTTTGATCCACTATTTGATCCACTACTTGTACCGCTGCTTGATTCACTGCTTGATCCACTGTCTGAATCACTTCCAGAACCATGACTCAGACTTCCACTAGAACCACCATCACTCAGACTTCCACCAGAACCATGACTCAGACTTCCACTAGATCCATGGCTCAGACTTCCGCTAGATCCATGGCTCAGACTTCCATGACTCCAACCATACCTTCTTTTTGTAAAAAATGATAATAATGAATCTCTTTTTCTTTCATCTACTTCTCTTTTGTTAAAAATATTAGCTAAAGCATTGAAATCTGTATTTTGATATTCTTCTTTAATTTTCAAGTCAGGATTGACTTCATCAAGATTGAAATTCTCTACTTTATATAAACTTAATCCATTTGTAAAATAAATTAATGAACAAATAAAAACTAAAGCTGAATTTTTCATATACTAATTTATGATTGATTTTTTTATAACTTGACAAAATAAGTTGATTCTAGTTCAAGCTCGTTCAAGTCAGTTGTTTATATATAAAGTCATGTTGACATTTGATAAGCCCATGGTGATAAAAAAATTGATCATTGGAATGACATTTTAAAAGATTTAAGAATCATTGCATTAGTCATTAATATAACATGAGATTTACGAGTTTCAGCCTTTTTCACATTTATAACTTTCATAAGTAATTCACCGATGTTGGTACATAGATCAAGCGAGTTTTTTCACCACCTAGGTTGCAATTGAGATCTTTCATGACATTCAAATTCTATTTTTCGAAAGTATTAAGAAAAATTCAAAAAATTTCAATTAGGCTAATACTGAATAATTTACGAGAAATTCATTAATCTTGGCTTAGACTTACTTTTAATATTTTTAATTTTCCACCTTTTCTCGGAGTTATAACACAAAGTCAAGACACGGCTGTATTTTAGACAAATGATTAAAAGCTTCACCTCAATTAAAAATCAATTAACATGATCAAGTATTTGATCATTGATCATCAAAGATAGCTAACAACAATGTGACTGTTCAAAAGTAGAAATTATTTACATTTCGGTGTTATCATTTTGTATGATTTTTGAAGGAATGCATTAAAATATCATACAAAACCAAAAGTACTAAAGTTTAGGTGCAAAATATAATCATAATTGACTAGGAAGGCTATAGTTTCGTAGAAGAAATGGATCATGAGAAGGTTCAATTATTTAGTTGGCTTATTTGCAAAGCGAACAGTAAAATATTTGTAAAAATTTCATTTCTATAAATTCATCACAGTTGTAAAACCATCCGGCAGTTGATAAAATTCTTTAAACAATTCTTAATGTCAGTTATTGTTTTGACAATTCTCAAGCCTCTCTCCTCCTCATCTCTAAGAATGTTATCAAATAAGTTATAAACATATTGCATTGAATCCGTATCCCTATGCTTTTCACTTCCACTAGATCTTAACATTTGACCTGTTATATAATAAACAAATTTTACAACTTTTTCATATTCAACTTTGTCTTTTGAATCCATTTTATCGTATTCCATAGTATTGATTGTAACATGATTTGTGGAAATAACTGAGTCATCACTTTAACGGGAGTATTATTGGACGTTTTAGTTTCGGCTATTTTATTGTTAGTGAACCCTTCATTTCCCTAACAGATGAGTCATACGAAAATTTTCATTTACTACTATCTGTATTTGTATTTGTATCAGATCTCGATTGGATTAGATTGAGATCCAGGTAAGGTTTCCTCATTATTTTGAGCTTTTGAATTTTCGTTATTCACATCTTTTAAGTCTATTTTTTCAATTACATCATTTATTCCTTTGATTATATTTTTACTATCTTCAACTACTGATAATCTAATATTATTTAATTTATCGATATCAAGCTTTAATAATTCATTAAACATAAATTTATCATTTTTATATACATTTTGTAATTTTCTAATCATTCGACTTATAGATTCAGTTTGTACCCCATATAAATATAAATTAAATATATATTTTTTAACAATTGGATGAACTGGTAATTTATTTGCATAATCTCTTGATGTATAATCATGATCGTGCGAAGTTTTCCATGTAACATTATAAACATAATCGACTAAACTAATTGTTATTGAACTTTTACAACCACGGGTATTCTTATTCGAAGGTTGGCTTGTTTTGAATTTTAAAGGTTTTTTGTATGTGATAGTAGGGAAAATTTCCTCGAATGAGTGTAATCTAGAATTTGAATAAATTTCATTATGTTCCATTTGGTTAAAATTGGACAAGTTTGATGTGGAATTTGATGTATTTACTTGTTGACGAGAATTTTGCATAGCTGTCTGAATCGGTTGAACTTGCTTATTAGAAGATGGTTGACAAAAAGGTTGTTGTCCGTTATAAGGTTGGCTGAAAGGTTGTTGTCGATTATAGAACTGACCATTAAAAGATGGTTGACTAGGAGTTTGCACATATATAGTTGGATTTGATACTTGAACGTTAAGTTGCTGAACGTTAAGTTGTTGAACGTTAAGTTGCTGAATAAAAACTTGTTGACAAGGACGTGATTGATGTGGAATTTGTTGATGGGGAGGTGGTTGTTGTGAAAATTGTTGATGTGGAAATGGTTGTTGTGGAATTTGTTGACGTGGAAGTGGTTGATGAGTTGGTAGTTGATGATGAGATGCTGGTCGATCAATTACTGAACAAGACGACAATGGCGTATTTGTTGAAATTGACGGTGATATAAAATTTAATTGAATTAATTGTTTATCCTCACCACTTCTATCTCTCTTCTTATGTAAATGACAAACCAATTTTTGATATCCATGCCTTGCAAAACCAAATCTTTTCAATCTACTATTTTTAGAATTTTCTTTTAATTCAAATTCCCCAATATCAAATATTTTAGTTTGTTGAATTGTATATGGAGTGTAAAGATTACGAACTTCAATCCAGGATTGTAACTCTTTATATGATTTAAATTGATAAAAAGCTTCTCCTTCTCCAGGATATTCTGGATCTGTTAATTGTCTTTCAAATAAATCAGGAGATTGTACTTTAAAACTCATGATTAGTTGTTGATGAAAAGAAAGGGAAACATTTATTACATTAAAATTGATGTTAATGTAGTTTTACAAACGCGTCTTGTGATTACACAAAAGTATAATTGTTCCAAAAATATTTTAGTGTCTCAAATAATATGTCGGAAACTAGTTAATCATGATAATTTGAAATGGGTGCAAAATATAAGTATATTTAACTCAGACTATAGCATAGCTGGGATGATTAAAGTCTATTCAATATTTCTATAATTTCATCTTTATAAGATAATTGGAGTTGGAAAACCATTCTGCAGTCCACAAAAGTTTTTAAACAATTCTCAATATTTTATTATTGACTATTCTCAAACCTCTCATCATCATTTTTACCAATATTATAAAATATATTATAAACATATTGAATTGGATTCCTACACTTTTCTCTTCTACAAGATCTCAACATTTGATCTGTTACATAATAGATAAATTTTACAACTTGTCATATTCAACTTTGTCTTTTGGATCTATTCCATAGTATCGACTGTGTCATGATTTGTGGAATTTACTGAGTCATCACTGATATCAGAAGTTTCATTGATTGATTTAGTTTTTGTAATTTTATTGATTGGTGAACCATTCATTTCATTAACAAATGAATCATACGAAAGTTTTCTCTTACTTGTATTTGCATCATCGATTTCGATTGGATTAGATTGAGATCCAGGTAAGTTTTCCTCAATATTTTGAACTTTTGCACTTTCGTTATTTGCAACTTTTATTTCAATTTTTTCAATTATATCATTTATTCCCTTTGTTAAATTTTTACTATTATCTATTACTGATACTCTAATATAATTTAATTTATTTTTATCAAGTTTTAATAATTCATTAAACATAAATTTATCATTTTTATAAAGTTTTTGCAATTTTCTAATCATTCTACTTATGAATTCAGTTTGTATTCCATTTAAATATAAATTATATATATATTTTCTAACAAATGGATTAATTGGTAATTTATTTGCATAATCTCTTGATACATGATCATGATTATGCTTAGTTCTCCAAATAACATGATAAACATAATCGTTTAAAGTAATTGTTATTGAACTTTTGCAACCACGGGCTTCTTTATTCGAAGGTTGACTTGTTTTGAATTTTGAAGGTTTTTTGTATGTCATAGTAGGAAATAAATCATCCTCAGATGAGTGTAATTTAGGATTTGAATGAATTTCGTTTTGCTTCAATTGGTTAAAAGATTGACCATCTGATGACTGATTTGTTTGAATATGGGTATAAAAATGCTGATTATTTAATGTAAGTGGATCAGTTGAAAATGAGCTAAAATTCAGTGGTGCAACTATATCCGGTTGATTAAAAGATGATTGATTGAATGGTTGTTCTCCGTTATAAGGTTGTACAAAAGGTTGTTCTCCGTTATAAACCTGACCATTAAAAAATTGTTGACTAGGAGTTTGTGCAAATAGAGGTGGATTGATAGCTGATGCTTGGACGTCATGTTGTTGATTAAACAACGGTTGACTAGGATGTGGTTGATGTGGAAATTGTTGATGAGGAGGTGGTTGTTGTGAAATTTGTTGTGGAAATTGTTGATGTGGTAGTGGTTGATGTGAAAATTGTTGAATTGGAGGGGCTTGATTGAAAGGTAGTTGATTGATAGGTGGTTGATTGATAGGTAGTTGATTTGGAGGTTGTTGATTGATAGGTGGTTGATCAATAGATGGTTGATCAATAGATGGTTGATCAATAGATGGTTGATCAATAGATGGTTGATTAATAGATGGTTGATGTGGAAATTGTTGATTGAAAGGTGGCTGATTGATAGGTGGTTGATCAATAGATGGTTGATCAATAGATGGTTGATTAATAGATGGTTGATGTGGAAATTGTTGATTGAAAGGTTGTTGATTGATAGGTTGTTGATTGATAAGTGGTTGATGCGGTGGATGTTGAATGATAGGTGGTTGATTTGGAGGTTGTTGATGGAAAGGTTGTTGATGCGAAGGTTGTTGGTCAATTATTGAACATGAGGGAATGGGCGTATTTGTTGAACTCGTAGCCGAATTTGAAATTGGTGGTGATGTAGATATTGATGATGAATTAGGTGATAAAGTTGCAATATTTGTTGAAACTGGAGTTACATTATTAGTCGTAATTTTAGTTGGAGTTTTAAAACTAGTTGTAGTTGAAGCTGAGGGGGATTGAGGTGATATTGGTGGTGAAAATGATTGGCTCAATTGCTTATCCTCTCCATTTCTATCTTTCTTCTTATGTAAATGACAATGCAATTTTTGATATCCATGTCTTGCAAAACCAAACTTAATTACATTATTATCTTTAGAATTTTTTTTTGATATAAAGTCTCCAATATCATCTATTCGTGTTTGATGAATTTGATATGAAGTATAAAGATTACGAACTTCTATCCAAGATTGTAATTCTTTATATGATTTGAATTGATAAAAAGCCTCTCCTTCTCCAGGGTACTCCGGATCTATTAATGGTCTCTCAAATATATCGGGAGATAGTAATTGAAAATTCATGATAACTGGTGATGATAAGAAAGGAAAACAAAATGATTATGTTTATGTTTATGTAGTTTTACAAACGCGTCCCGTGATTACACAAAAATGTTCAAAAATTAGTTAATCACGATAACACTAACTCCTCTCACCAACTTATGTCATTATTACATTCAAAACATGAAAAATACTTCAATAGATGTTTAGTAGCATTACCATCTCAAGCTTCATCAGAAGATTCAAATAAATTAGCTATAATATATTTTTGTCTACAAGGATTAATTATATTAAATAAATTTAATTTTTCAAAAGAAGAATGTAAATATCATGAAAATTTTATATGGTCAGATTTTTATTTTGAAGATGATGAAATTGCAAGTTTTAGATCAACTTCTTATTTTAAAGATTTGGGGAGGTATGATTTTGGAAATTTATCTGCTTGTTTTTTTGCAATTGTAAGTTTGATAAGTTTAGGATCAGATTTGAAAAGGTTAAATCGGGAAAAGCTAATGAAATATTTAGGGAAGTGTCAAACTAAAGAAGGTGGATTTATACCGTCTAAATTTGGAGAACCAGATTTGAGACAATGTTATATGGCTTTATTGATACGACAGATTATAAATAATGATGTAAATACAAATAATGATATTGATTTAAAATCTTTAGAGGCATTTATACTAGAAAGATTAAATTTTAATGGTGGATTTAGTTCAACTATATTAGATGAATCTCACTTGGGATATACTTTTTGTGCAATAGCTTCTTTAAAAATGTTGAATTATCCGTTGGATAAATTGAAAAATACTAGAAATTGGTTATTACATAGGCAAGCAGATTCTGATGGTGGTTTTGATGGTAGAGAGAACAAACTAACTGATACATGTTATAGTTGGTGGTGTACTGGAAGTTTAGCATTACTTGGTGATGAAAATTTAAAACTTTTTAATCATGAAAAAGCTGAATCTTACTTGTTGGAAAAAACTCAAAATTCGGTGGTAGGAGGTTTCAGTTCTAGACCTGATGCTACTCCAGATCCATTGCATTCATTTTTAGCTCTTGCAAGTTTATCATTATGGAATCATAAAAAATTTCAATTAAATGAAATAAATCCTCTATATGTAATTTGTAAAAAAAATATAAATTGAAAAATTATTTTATTTACCTCTATACACCAAATGAAACAAGATGTATCAAATAATAAGGTAATACAGAAGACACCCGATGCGGCTGCACATTTAGTATCTGGAGCAATAGCAGGTTTAATTTCAGCAATTACTTTACAACCATTTGATTTATTAAAAACAAGATTACAACAACAACAATATACAAATAAACATGAAGTTAGAACATCACTAGCGAAAGAATTGAAAAAGTTAACAAAAATTAAAGATCTATGGAGAGGTACATTACCATCTACTTTAAGAACTTCAATTGGAGCTGGACTCTATTTCACAATCCTTTCAAAAATGAGATCAAATTGGGCTCTATATAAATCAAAACATAATCATATAGATTTAAAATCTCAATCATCAATTTTACCAAGATTAACTCCATGGGAAAATTTAACTACTGGATTTGTTGCAAGAGCTATAGTTGGTTATATAACAATGCCTATAACTATAATAAAAACAAGATTTGAAAGTAATTTATATAATTATAATTCAATGTATGAAGGTGTACTGGGTATTTATATGGATGATACAAAAAAGGGATCATTAAAAAATTTCTTTAGAGGGTCAATTGCTACATTAGCAAGAGATTGTCCTTATGCTGGATTATATGTTTTAACTTATGAACTGTTTAAAAATGATATTTTACCTTTAGTGGTGCCAAAACATTTAGGTGGTGAACATCATTCAAGTATAATTAACTCAACAGCTGCTGTAATGGGAGCTATAACTTGTACTACTATTACTGCTCCATTTGATGCAATAAAAACAAGATTACAATTAACAAAAAATGGTAATATATGGAATACTTTTAAATTATTAATAAATGAAGATGGTGGATTTAAAAATTTATTTAGAGGTTTAAGTTTAAGATTAGGTAGAAAAGGTGTAAGTGCTGGTATAAGTTGGTGTATATATGAAGAACTTATAAAATCAAAATTTATAAGTAAATATTTTGCATAGAAAAATAATTCTCTTAGACAATAATTTTTTTGTAAATTTATCCGCTGGAATTGTGGAGAGAACATATAATACTCTTGAATAGAACACAACCAAAATGAATGAAGAGTTAATCAATAGTGCTGTGACTTTTTTAAAAGATCCTAATGTTGCATCATCTCCACTTACAAAGAAAATAGAATTTCTTGAATCAAAAGGTTTAAATCAACAAGAAATTGAAGATGCTTTAAAAAGAGCTAATGAAGCGGAGTCTACACCATCTACACCAACTTATTCTTCACAAAATTCTTCTTCACAACAACTACCATTAGATTATTATAATATTGCCCCACCGGTTCCTGAAAGATCATGGAAAGATTATTTTATCATGGCTACAGCAACTGTTGGTGTTACATATGGATTATATCAAGTTATATCAAAATACTTAGTCCCTTCAATCTTACCTCCATCAAATTCATCAATAGAACAAGATAAAGAAATTATAAATTCAGAATTTCTTAAAATAGATAAAGTATTAGAACAATTAACAAAAGAACAAGAAGAAATTAAAATTTCAAATGAAGAAAAAATTAAAGATATTGATACTGTAATAGATAATATAAATGATTTTTTAACAAAATATAATAAAGATAAATTAAAATTTGATGATGATTTAAGATTAATGAAATTAGAAGTTGATAATTTAAATAATAGTATTGAAAAAAATATGAGATTAAGTAAAGAAAATATTCATGATGAATTATCAAGTATTAATAATGAATTACAAAGTTTAAAGAATTTAATTAAAATAAGAGGTGAACAATCTCTGAATAGTAAGAATATTGCTCCTGTTTCTTCAATACCAAAAGCAAGTGATATTTTGAAAAAAGCAAAAGAACCAGCAGAAAAACCACCATTGGAAAAAAAACCTTCATTAGAACAAAAACCTCCATTGGAACGTTCTGAAAGTGTTACAAAAGGTAATGTTGTTGCAGCTGGTATTCCAACTTGGCAATTAAAACATAAAGAACAAGAAGAAAAAGAATTAGGACCTCCAAGTGAATCTGAAATTGATAATAAAATTAAATCTGCAGGTATACCTTCATGGCAATTGAATAGTAAGTAAGGATGTGGTACGGATGAGGATGTCTGAATTACGGATACGGTACGGATGATTGATGGATGTCTGAAGTACGGATGTGTGCGGTACGGATGTGTGCGGTACGGATGTTGTACGGATGATAGGATGTCTGCAGTATTTTTTATGGACTTATGTGTTATGTTGTTCGGATGATTGATTGACTATTTGAGTTATGTACGGATGGGTTTATACATAAAATATCTTCTATAAAATTTGTAATATATATTACTCATAACATTATTATTTTCATTTATTTTACCTCAAGAATAATTATATTGTAGTCACAGGTCAGGAACTTTTAATCATAATTTTTAAAAAGTCATCCCATGAACAAGCCCAAGACTCAAATCTTGTCCAAACTTTGTTAGCCAAAATTTTGGATAATTTAAAATGTCCAACCTTTGCATAAAGATCCTTTTTTTCTCTGAATCTCTGTAATCTCAAGATTCAGTTGTCTTTTAAAGTAGTGATTTCTAAGATTTAAAAATATTACATGTTCTAAATTCTTTTTTTTACCAATTTCCTGCATGTAAAGTTTTATAAATATTTCGAAAATTGTTGATTTTTCAAACAAGACTACCAACAACCATTAAGAAACAATCTATGTCATATCCAAAACGACAAATAGAATCAATACCTTTTAATTATCAATTAGAAGTTATTGAAAAAATTAATAAAAATCAACAACAAAATTTAAAATATCAAAATTATAATAATAGAAATCAAATAAATCAAAGATTTTCAAATCAAAATAAATATGCTTTAGCTGCTGTAGCTGCTGCTGCTGCAGTTCAACATCAACAACAACAAACATATATTTTACAACAACAAGCTGCTATGGCTATGAAGCAGAAACAGCAGCAACAACAACAGCAACAACAACAGCAGCAGCAACTTCAGCAAAACCAACAACAACAACAACAACAACAACATCAACAACAAAATCATCATCAACAGCAAAACCAACACCACCAACAACAACACCACCACCAAATTTATACTCAACCTCAAGTATTTGCAAATACAACAGGAAGTAGTTTATCAACAAATTTTCTTAATGGAAGTTCAAATTCCCTTAATTCATCATCATCATCAAATTCATTAAATTTAAAAAATTCTTCACCAAATTTAATTTTAACAAATTTATCACCAACAACAACTGATTTTTTAAATTCTCCAAATTTTAATAATTTTACTCCAACTACAGCTACAAGTACTGGTTCTATATGGGGTAAACCAAATGAAAGTTTTTCAAATTCAAAAATTTGGTAAAATTTGGTTAAATCTTTAGTAAAAGATTTTGGTAAAAAATTGAAGATTCTTTGGTAAAGGATTTTGGTGAAAGATTTTGGTAAAAGATCTTGAGATAGATAAAAAATGTATTTTAATTCAAATTTATTAGGGTTTTATAGGCATGTTAGAGATTAAGGTATAATTGTTTGTAATTTTAGAAGGAGTTTGTAATATTTAGTAATTAATAAATCAAGGTCAAGGTCATTTATGGTTTTGTAATTTGTTAGGCACTCTATCTATTGAAACAAATACTCTAAGAGTAATAACTACGATCAGTTCTCACTATGAAATTCGACTCTATCACAATAAATTAGCAAAGAACATGTAGATTTTAGCTCTAGCTTCGAGTCTACTTGAGCTTATTTAAATGATTCTATACTTTTGAAAATATAAATTAACTATCACAAAAATGATTTTTACATTTTTGCAACCAAATCGAATGATATTACTTCAAAAGTTAATTTAATTACAGAGTGAATATACTTTCGCTCAAAAGACAAAATTTGAGCACATGATAAGCAATCTTTTTAAAAACTCGTTATCCCTCTTTTTTTTTTGAAAATCAATGGGATATTGACCTACATTTTGCGGTACGGATCTAGCTTGCCAAATATTAGTAAAGAAATAAACTTAATTCACAAAAGAAAGATTTTTCAACTAATAATTTCTATAAAATCCATAAACAAACAATTTTAATCTTTTAGTAACCATAAAAAACCAGTAATTACTTTAATAAAAAAGTTTGTGATAAATTGTATTAAATATTCAAAGTGTCACAATTGTTGCAAAATTTTATTACCAAAAAGTATAAAATGTGTTTTAAACTTCTTTTATTTGATGACAAAACATTAAAAGTTAACTTTATACAGTACTAGACTATATAACAAAATAATGTATGGAATTGGCAACAAAGAAAGTCTTTTCAAAATTACTGTAATACTTAATACTTTTTTCTAATACATACTTCTTAAAATATTCACAGAGTGTCCCAAAATATTGCGGTACGGAACTACTTATAATTTGCGCTTAATCAGTGCGCTTTATTCCAATATCTTTCCTTTTATAAATTCTATCAATTTCTACTTAATTTAAACTTAGGGGTAACACACATCAACTTAAACAATGTCTTATTCAGCTATACCTGATCAACCACCAAATTATCCACCAACAGATGAACAAAATCAAAGAGAATTTGGTGATAATATTCCGGATGATTTTAAATATTCAGTTGATGTTGCATCATGTGATTTACCAATAAGACAATTATTTATAAGAAAAGTTTATCTGTTATTAACTTTACAATTAATGGCTTCTGTTATTGTTGGATATATTGTAAGATCAAATGATTCTATTAAAATATGGGCTATTGAAAATCCATGGATTTTGTTGGTATGTTTAATTGGTTCAATTGGTTTTATGATTGGTGCATTTTTTAAAGCAAGATCATATCCAATAAATTTAATCTTGCTAGGTGGTTTTACATTTTTTGAAGCTTTTACATTAGGAGTTGCTTGTGCATTTGTTGATAGTGGAGTGCTTATTGAAGCTATACTATTAACTTTAATAATATTCATTGGTTTAACTCTATTTGCTTTTCAAACTAAATATGATTTTATAAGTTGGCAAGGTACAGTTGGAATGATTTTATGGGGATTAATTGGTTGGGGTTTTATAATGATTTTTTTCCCAGGAAGTAAATTTATTGATAATGTTTATTCATTTATTGGTGCTATAGTTTTTAGTATTTATATTATTATTGATACTCAAAAATTAATGAAAACTTGTCATTTAGATGATGAAGTAATTGCTACTATACAATTGTATTTAGATGTTATTAATTTATTTTTATTTATTTTAAGGTTGTTAAATAATAATAGGGAAAATTGATAAGAGGAAAAGTTAATATGGAGGATATGTAAGGAGAGTCAATAATAATAATAATAAGTAGAATTAATAAGGAGAATTAATCACAATAATAATAATAATAGGGAAAATTAATAACAATAAGAATTAATAATAGTAATAATAATAATAAGGAAGTTTAATATATATATTTAAAGAGTTTGTTTCAAATCAATTAAATCTAAAAACTAATCAAAAATTTCATCTTCCAAATCTCTTCTTGCATTTCCTTTTTTAAATAAATAACCCATTAATAAAGTTATACAAACAGACAAGGATTAATTGATTATTATAGTAATTTCTGCAGGAAGATTAAATAATAGAGGTTTATACAAGCAATTGAAAAGATATCATGAGAAAATCAATAGACACATCTAAACAGTCTATCTTCAACATATTGAATCAGAATTCAAATAAAGAAGAAGAAAAGGAAATTGAAAATAAATTGAAATCAATTTATTACAAGAATTAATGGATACAATTTTGATAAAATACACCTACAACAAAATCACCAATACCAAATTCTACAAACCACGACGAAAGTTCATTTCCTAGAATTCTAAATTTTTATTTCACTTCTAAATTTCTTTTGTCATTTTCTTTTTCAAATAAATAACCAATCAATAAAGTTATGGAACATACAAACATTGAGTAATTAATCTTATATAAATAACCAATTATATAGGAACTAACAAACATTGAGTAATTAACATTAATAAATACATCTAAACAGTCTATTTTCAATATCAGTAAGATCTAAGAATTCATTTCCATTTTCTTCCACCTCTATATCCCTCTTTGCATTTTCTTTTTTATATAAATATCCAATCAACAAAGTTATTGGAACAGATAAACATTGAGTAACTAAAATTAGAATATATATCCAAAACCAATGAAAAAAGTAATAGGAACAAACAAACATTGATGAACTAAAATTAAAAGATATATTTAAAACCAATTGATAAAGCTATTGAAACAGACAAACATCGAGTAATAGCTAAAATTAATATATATATCCAAACAGTCTATTTTTATTATCATGAAGATCTAAAAACTCATCAAAATTTCATCAAAATTTCATCAACTTCTTAATCTCTCCTTGCTCTCTTCAAATATCCAATTGATATAGGAACAAACAAACAGTGTGAAACCAAAACTAATAAATATACCTAAACAGTCTATTTTCAATATCTGTAAGATCTAAGAATTCATTCTCATTTTCATCAACCTCCATATCCCTCATTGCATTTTCCTTTTTATATAAATATCCAATTAATAAAGTTATTGGAACAGATAAACATTGGGTAACTAAAATAGTAATTTTTGCAGGATGATAATCTGGAGCACTATAAGCTTGAAATAATTGAGGTCCAATAATACAAGCTATGGAAAACGATATCATAATCATTGAACTTCTTATAAATTTCTTTGAAGTACCTGCAGTATTTGCACCAATCCATGCATAAATTAATGTAATACTTGATGATCCACTATATAAAAGATATAATGCTAATAAATTACCAACTTTATTTGGAGATATAATTAAAACAATAGCACCAACGATGGAGGGGAAAAACATTGAAGCCATAAATAATGTATGATTACCAAATTTTGAAACTAATTGAGTAGTTACAAATATTATTATAACAACCAAACCACCAATTGGCATTTGTAATAAAGCAGATTGATAATTATTGAAACCAAAAGTTAAAGTTATTGTAACTCCAAATGTACCTATAGCACCAGTTACAATTTGAGAACACAACGTAACTAAAACATGTAACCAAGTAAATTTATCATAAAATAATTCCCAAATTTGTTCTTTTTTAAATTTTGAACTTTTTGTTCCTGTTTGATTAATTCTGACAACATTATTTAAGATGTATAGTTTTTCTCCATCATTTAAGAACCAACATGTATGAACATTATCAGGGAGGATAAAAACTACTACTACTCCAAAAACTATTGTAATTAACCCCATCACAAGGAATAATATCTGCCATGATTGAAATTTATTTGTCTTTATATGTTGAAATGCAAAACTTAGTAACCCCCCCAAAATTGATCCAATTCCTGCCATTGTTGACCATATTCCCATTCTTGCAACTTGTTGTCTTTTTGTATAATACATTCCACTAATTATAATTAATCCAACGGCACTTGATGATTCAAATATACCTAATAATGTTCTAACAATCATTAATGATGTATAGCTCTTTGATGCTGAATGACAAGTAACTACTATACCCCAACATATAATAAATATTCCTAAACACTTACCTAAAGGAAATTTTTGTAAAAAATATGATACAATTGGAACTCCAAATATATAAGCTGCATAAAATATTGTTGATAAATTTGCAAATTCATTACCTTTTAAATTTTGTTTAATACCCATTGCTGCTGCATAATTTAATAATAATTTATCTAAATATTGTAAAAGATATATTCCACATAATATTGGTAATATAATAAAATCTAATTTCTTAACTATTTTGTGATTATCAATTTCAATTTGATTATGATCTTGTTTAATAAATTCTAATGCATCATCATATGACTCGGATGAGCTAATTTGTTTCTCCATTTGAGGTGAAGAGTTTCAAGGTTACATTTTTTTGGATGTTGTTGATTAGGCTATTTAAATTAGTTTCTTTACTTAAACATTTTTTTTTTTTAATTTTTTGTATGCGCTTAGAGAACTTTGGTTTATGGGAATTAGAAATCCATTTGTTTTAAGATATTATTTGCAACTACTATTTATTAAATTTAATATAATTATGTATTTATAAATTAATTGGATCTTCCAAAATTATTTTATCAACAGTAGCTTCAGCAGATCCAATTACCCCTTCTGATACGGATGAAGAACCATGATTATTCGTTCTAACCGTTTGCAATTTATAATTTCCTTCTAAATTGAAAATATAATTTGAACCATTGGTTACATATTCATCATCAACATTCCTTTTATTATTTCTTTTTGCTCCATCTTCAAATATGGGTATTGGAAAGGTAGTACTTATCTTTTTCATTTTGGAACCAATTTCATTTGTGCTATAATTGGCAAAAAATTTATCATCTTCTGATAAAAAATCTTCATCATCATTATCAATTGTGTTAAAACCATTATCTTCTTCAGCTTCATCTGTATCAATCCCTGCTGAAGTTGTTGTACTTGTGTTTTGTTCATCAGGTTTTTCAATGCGTTGGCGCTTTTTTCTATCAATTGGACTAATTTCTTCACTAGCTCTTTTATTTCTGCCACTTTCATTTTCTTTTTTATCAATAGTATGTGTTGCTGCTGTTGTTGTTGAATCATTTTCATTTGTTATTTCTGTAGTATTTAACACATCAAGATTTTGAACGGGTTGGCGTTTTTTTCTCATAAATAAACTGATTATGTCATGATTCTTTCTACTTTTGACACTTTTATTTTTTATATTTGATATTGATTTTGCAGCATTTGTTGTTGTCATCGTTGATTCACTATTCACTTCTCTTGATTCATTAACAGTTTGACCAATTCCATTAGCAACAGGTCCAACATCTTTTATATTTGATATTGATTTTGCAGCATTTGTTGTTGTCATCGTTGATTCACTATTCACTTCTCTTGATTCATTAACAGTTTGACCAATTCCATTAGCAACAGGTCCAACATCTTTTATATTTGATATTGATTTTGCAGCATTTGTTGTTGTCATCGTTGATTCACTATTCACTTCTCTTGATTCATTGGTAGTTTCACTAGATTGGTTGATGACTTGAGTTATTGATTGGTTTGCAGGATTCAGTTGATTAGATTTGAGTTTTTCATATTCATCCCAAGCTAATCTATAATATTCTTCGTCAATTGCTCCTTCAGCTTGTGTAATTCTTCTTCTGTTATAAGCTATTTTATATAACATTCCAGGAAGCTGTGATGTTATAGATTCATTTTTCAAATTTTGATAAACCGAGTTAAAGTGACTCCCGGTTTGAATATACCATTTATTAATAAAATGTGTGGAAAATGGATATTTTTCAATTTCTAATCCACAAGTTCTTAATAATAATTCTAGACTATCAGTCAAATAATGATCAATATTCTGATTATTACCTGAAGCAATATTGCTGATTAATGTACCATCATAAATTTCTCTCTTGATATTTGTAAAATTTTCCCGACAAAACTTCATAGCAATAGCTTCATGTGCACCTTTAGTTTTGACAGGTGCAAGTCTGTCTTCTTCTACCAATATTGAATTTAAGTCCCCAATTAATAAAACTTTTTTTGTGGGATTTTCATTTTTAAATTTTTTGAAAATTTTAATAAATCTTTTCCAAAAATTCAATTTTTCCTTATCTTCTTTACTGGCTGGAAAGTAACCACTTATCATATGAACTTTAATCAGTCCTACTTGGACTGTGCAATCAACTATTCTCTTTTGGTCTTTCTCAGTTAAAAGTTTTTGAAATATGTTTATGTTAGTAATTGTAGGATTAATACTTTTCTTAACTAAAAGAGCAACTTTATCTCCAATAGGTCCTGTAAATTTATCTGCTTTTTTGAAATGTTCTCTTGATAAATCATTCAATTCCTGTAAACTTAAAATATCTCCAACCAATAAGGAGTGATGAATTTTATGGGGGAGTTGAACATTATTTATGTTCAATGTTACAACATTGATTACTGTATCTGCAGCATTTGAATGTGTGAATTTAAAGCTAGGAAATCCAGGTACCTTTTGTGTTTCTGTGCCATGTACATTAATAAATTCAGCATAGGACTTGTATCCCGCAATTAATCTATTGATTCTCACCACACGTTTGGAGCAATAACCAGAATTGATATGTTGACAATAGTCATACTTATTATCAAATTCATCCAAACAATATTGACAGAATTTTGTTTCAAGAACTTTTGTGGGATTTTCTTTAAAGGTACAGCCATGTTTATTTTTTAAATGCTTTTCAAATGCTGTTTTTTCTGCTTGAACATATGAACAATTTTTGAATCCACATATATTAGTTTTTGAAGGATTTGTTTTGATTAAATTGAAAAATTTTTCTCCTTTAACAACATTTTTGATTAAGTTTTTTAAACTTGTTGAGTACTGTGTAATACACATTGAATTCGACAAATGATCTACAAACCCAGGTAAATCTTTGAAAATTTTTTTACATGAACAACATTCAAGTTCTTCAGTGTTTGCTGTTAAGAAAGCTGCATTTTCACCATCATCTCTTGAAGCAGCTTCAACGTAAGACTTCAAGTCTTCGGCTTCTAAATTAATAGCTGCTGTTATTTTACCTGGTATTATTTTATCTGGATGCTTTCTGTGGTAATGTCTAGTCAAACCAGAGTTGTTGAACTTGCGATTGCATAACGGGCAGGGAAGATCACCAGGGTTACAAGTCGTGCAAGTCTTGTTGTGTCTGAGTAATGCATTCTTCGAACCAGCTATTTCAGCCTCGCAATTTGGAACCAATTGCGTACCTTCTGTACATCTACTAGCAACATGATTGGCCATAGTTTTACTCAAAATTATAAGTTCACAGCTTTTACATTTTTCAAATCCTGGTGGATATTCAGTAGGACCTAAATAATGTTCAATCAATTCCAAAATGCTTCCAAAATTACCTAAAAATTTCAAAAATGATTTTTCATCGAGATGTTGTGGATTAAAACTTAAATTAGCTGAAATTGATGTTCCTTCTGCGGTAAGTTGTAAAACTAAACCTGAATCTGAATTTGTATTTGTATTTGAATTTGTATTTGTATTTGAATTTGAATTTGTATTTGTATTTGTATTTGTATTTGTATTTGTATTAGCTTCTGTATCTCCATTTGTATTTGATGATGTATGTGATGCTAGAACTGATTTTGATAAACATGTGATTGCTCTGTCACATTTGATTTTGTATTTATCCAAACATACCGATGTAGTCTCAAAGTGTCTTCTTATTCCTCCAACTCTGTCGCATCTATAACAATTACCCTTCTTCTTATGGTATGTTGACTTTTCGAAACGTATCTCGTACTCCTTTTTGATAAACTCCTTCAAATTAGCTAGAGTTATATACATGTTGATGATGCTGTTGAATTGTGTAGTATGTATTGTTTTGATAATTATTGAATTTAACGTGTTATAGACATTTTTTTTTTCTCCTCTAAATTTCTCGTCTAAATAAAAATCAAAACAAATTAAATAATGTATAACACTTCAAATTTATTGAATATATCCCTTTCAATTCTCACATACAGATGGTCGATGTAGTTGATTGTTCGTAGACATCTTGTAGCTAGTAAATTTCAATTTATTTCATATAAATATTTTTTTTTTTTTTTTGATGTGGTATAGTTGAATTGTTGATTTTAAATTCTATTTGATAAGTACTTATATGTTCAATCACATCAAACAACACATCCATTATCATTAGGTAGTTTTGATGGCTGAATTAGATAGTTTGAGTTTTTATATAGTTGACATTTTAAAATTATTAAAGTATCACCTGAAATTCACGTAACATTACGCAAAATATATATAAATCCCATCATTAGACCTTGAATGATCTTAGATTAGTTTCTTTCATATTATAAACCTGAATATCTTGAGTGAACAGTGTTGAACTCATTGTAAAAATTGATTAGTAACTTAATACAATTCAGATAGAATCCCCATCAACACTCAATGTTCCTGAACTGCAAACAAAAAATCACTAAAGTTGATGCCAACGAGACCACATGAGTAAAAAGGGTCCTAACAATATATTTTAAATTAAATATCCCATGTTCCAAATACCCTCAAACTTATAATGGGCTCCAAATTAAAACGCGTCTCTTACGATGCTAAAGTCGATTCACATTGCTCTTATATTATCCAATTCTCAAATAAATTCAACAGCAAATCCAGAACATGTTCTTATGATAACAGTATCAAACTGTTTAATAAAAATTTTAAAGTTAACTTTTAATTTCAGCAAAAGTGTTTTTAAAACAATCTATTCTTCTGATACTCCAATTTTAAAAGGTTTAGCACCATAAGTTCTGAAATAGTATTGCACAATAATTTGCTGCATCAACTAACCATTCACTTGTTATATTCATTGTTAATTTTTCTGTTTTTAAAATATTTTTACAAGTATCTTTTGGATTACCGTTACCACCCAAAAATCCAAGTGTAAAAATTAGAAGATCATGATTAACAATTGTGAAATATGAAAATGGTGCTAAATTTCGAATTCCATCTTTTGAAATATCGATATAAAACCAATAGGTCTTGGTCAACTGCACTTATTATAGTTTCATAATTATCAACTTGATTTCTACCTTCTCCAAATGTATCAATTTCTAATTTTTCATGGTTTTCCAATCATTATTATTTGCACCTGATCCAACTTTCCAATCTTTCTCAGGAATTTGTGTATAACTCCATTTTAAATCAAAATCAAACGATGGTCTTTCATTTTCAGCTTTATTGAAATCTGGATCAGGATTTCTTTCAACTTGATTTTCTAATCCAAATCTTTTTGCTTCTTCTTCTTTTGTTTGAGTCAATAAATTATTTATTGTGGTATTGTGGATTTGGCTTTTATTAAATTTAAATTTAGATTATTCAGCAAATGTCATTCAATTTTATCTTTTCACTCATTTTATCATAATACTCAAATGTAATAATTAAAGCTAGTTTCAGTGAATTGGATAAAGATTTGTGAACACACAAACATTAGCTTTCTTGATTTTTTAAGATGTGACAACTGCAAATTTTTCCATTTATAATGATAAAGTTGATTTCCTCTTAAACCAATAAACTCACAACAAAAAATTTGCTCTAGTTTCTAGTAAACTTTATTTCAAATTTTCACATATTTGATATTTACCGATATTGAATAATATATTAAATAGTTCTCTGTAAAAATGCAAAGCCAAAGGTCCCTCAAGCAATAAGTAATTATATTCACCTTGAAAGCATTACTAATTTTTGTTTACTAAATTAAGGTAAGCTTCATACAATCCTTTTTCACGATCCAAACCATATTTGCAATCATGGATTTGATAATTCAGTTGATTCTATTTTAGTATATTGGATCATTAGTTTCTGACCATGAGTTTTCATGGATATAAGGCAACAAGTAACATGTTTATTCTAGTCTAATACTGAATGATGATTTTGTTTGTTGTTGTCATGGGATTACATTTTAACCCAATAACATTGAGAATTTTTAGTAGAGTTAAGCTACCAACTGTGTTCTTTTTTGTGCTCATTTTCTATTTTTCTTTATTCTATTAGTTAAAGTTTAAATTTATTATTATTGCTGTAAAGTTTGTTATTTGTTGTTATTTTAATTTGTGTTAATAATTACCTCAACCCAAACTAAAAATATTTCAATCTAGAGTGGCAATACTTTTGATAGTAATGCTTGAACATATAAAATTTGCTGAATAGTTTGTTTTACTATATGTTTGATGACCCATTAAATGATAAATACGTGTTACAACGTATTAAGGATGTAAAGTCAAAATATTACACGGAAGTAAATAAATTTGCCGATTTTGAGTTTAAATTATTTTTTTTTAAAAATTGAAAAAAAAAAAAAAATAGTCAAAGCCTATGCTACCATAAGTACGGAATTTGTTGATATGATGGAATAAAGATACGTCATACACATTAGCTAATACTTGAAACATTGTATTATGTTCTTGATTTAATGCAATTTATATATTGATTCATTGCAACATATGGTTTATTCAAAACCTCATTTATGAAACAGAATCAATTTTGTGTTCGTTTCACGTTTTCATGTTAAAAATTTAATCAAATAAAAAAAAAAAAGAAATTTAAAATAAAAAAAAAAAAAAATAAAAAATTTAAAAGAAGGAAAATTCAACATCAAAAGTATCAGCATGTTGCTTGAAAACATAAAGCAAGTCAGTCTATCCAAACTGACATAGTCTTCAAATTGAAAAATTAGTAAACTTATTTATTTGCTCCCAGTCAATTAAAGACATTGGATCTAAAATTATAAGCAAAGCTATAACACTATAATTTAAAATTCAATAATAATTCGTTCGATTGGAATGGCCGAACAAATAGTGGTATAGCAAATTTTAAAGGTAGAGTAGTGACGTGAGTTGGACAGCACAAATTGGTTAAATTAGGCAATATAGTACTAAAAATTAAGTATAAAAAAAAGTAAAAATGAAGTTGTAAAACAACATGATTTGAAAGCAGTGGCTGCAAGGATTCGAACCCTGAATCGCCTAGTCCCCATTAGATACCTTCAAAGAAGCTTATCTCCGTAGCTAGGTGCCTTAACCATTTGGCCACAACCACTTCTTTGGGCATGTAAGCATTGGACCTTATACCCACGGTTAGCTAAAAAGCGCTACCAAATTTATCTTTAAGTTGGCAGTCAATGAGATTTTAGAATTTCGCTCCATTTCTTGTTTGAGAGAGAGTTCACTCAAGCTGTATTTATATCACAAGCTGGGATAGTCAAAAAACTTCTAATTTTACTTCCTAAAAAGTGTTTTAAACTATTTGTTTCATCTTTAAAAAATCCTGCATATAATTTGACTCTTACATATTTTATTTCCCTATTCGACATAAAGTAAATTACACATAAATTTTCTAGAAATCGAATTTTGTGATGTTAACAGTGGATTAGGAATTAATCCGATAAATTCCACTATAATAAATTGAGTTGAAGAAAACACCAAGACCTAGACTATACATCAATAGAATTTTTCGTTGGGTTCAATGCTCATGTAATGTCATCAAATTAACCAACTTCAAGATAAAGTTAAGTAAAATCATCAACTAAAGAAATGTGAAGATCCTCATGTGAAGAATCTTTTAATCAAAGCTACAAGTACGAATAATGTTAAATAGGTATTTGACGATGAAGCTAATCATTCATTATTTGCAAAAGTATCAACAGTAGATTGAAATGGAGGACCATTTTATGATTGATTAACGTTTCTTCGAATAGATTTTTGAAAAGATTCAATTGCTAAGATATTATTGCCTACTGAGAAGATGTCCTCTACAACTTGATTCACCACTTGAGTTTATAATCTAGATGTTTGGGTTTACTTGCTAGAATTGAAAGTAGCAAACGTATATATATGATTTAAGCAATCAAAAAGAATTTTAAAAATCAGCTAGAAGTTTTGATATTCTTAAGCTAGAAGTATTTGGAAGTACTGATATTTTCGAGCTAGATTATTTGGAAGTTTTGATATCATCATAACAAAAGAGGTTTAAATTTTCAAATAAAATTTGAATCAAACTAGAGCCTACCTCCACAAGGTTAGAATCAAAAATTTTACTCAATCAATTTTAGATTGGTGAGGTTTTGAAATTTTTTTTGATTATTGTCTGAATCACTATTTTTTGTACGGTGTATTAATTTTAGACGATACAAATTTGAAACGCCAGATGGTAGCCGGGTAAAATCACGTCTAATTTATTTTGAATTTTTAGAAAGTGGCAACCAGGATTAATCATTAATTCAATAAAGCATCAACATTTAACTCATCAATTCATCAACTCAACTACATTCCACCTCAATAATGCATTTATTCCTCAAACTACCTAAAGAGATATTATCATTAATTTTTAGCCACATCAAGGATGAATCAATTCTTGAAAGTTTAAGATTTATTCCAGGTTTACAATATATTTATCTAGAGCAAAGATATTCAACATTTGAAATAAATAGTAACAATAAGTCAATGGAAGCATTAATAGGGCTCTTGCATGAGTATAATTTCACGCCTTCAATAATTATTGGAAATATAAATCAAATCAAACAATTGATAGATAAACCTACATTTAGATTAGCTAATTATGAAGTGAAAATCTTACCGACTACTAGATTTAGTGATTTTGTATCAATTTTGGACAAAGTTTATGTTATAGGTATACATTTGAATCAATATTTAGAACCCTTTGTTGGATTATTTAAAAAGAATGAAATTAAATCATTTTTGGATTATATTGCAAATAATAACATACAATTTTTAACTACATCTCATTCAAATACATTTAAAATTCAATTTCCAATATCTTTAAAGCAAATAACATTAGATGGAGGTCAAAATTTTGAATTAGATTTAAGTGAATTACAATACCTTGAATCTTTTAATTGCAAAAATCTCCTCAAAATGAATTCATTAGAAAGTCTTCAACTACCAACATCCATCAAGAATTTAACACTATATTCTTGTGATTTTCAAAGTTATGGTGATTTAACCAAGTATAACAAACTAAGATTTCTTGACATATCATACTGTCCTGACATTTATGGTTTAATTCATAGTCCTGTTCAATATCCTGATTCGTTGAAAATTTTCAATTTCATTAGCAATTTTCATCCTGATCGAATGGAAGAGTTAATTGAAGAAGATAAATTGGATTTTAGGTATGTTGTTGATGCTAACTGGCGGATCCGTTTGTATCATTTTCCTCCATTGTTGAAAAATTTAAAAATTTACGATACTATGCAGACTCTAGACATAAGAAATCTTGAACTTTATTATAAAACTCTTGATTGTTTAGAGTTAGATGGTATTGGAAAACTTGACTTGAGCAGCTTGGCATTTAGTTTACAGAATGAAATGTCTGAAATCATTATTACAAATTGCCTGATTATAAATTGGGACTGCGTTATTGACTTTCCTGAGCTGAAACAAATTAAGTTCACAAGCAATACAATTTATTCCGAACTTTTTGATTCAAATTTAGATCAATTGGAATTGTTGAAAGTGTTGGAAATGTCTGATAATACTTATTTTTATGAGGATTGCAATTATCCACTTGATCCACTTGAAATTTTATCCGACTTGAAAGTAATACGTTTCAAAACACCTAAATTACAAAGCTTAATTTTGAAAAGTCCAATGCCACCTAAAGACCATGATTATCAGTATTCATCTAAAGTAGCATTTGAGGTTAGGAATTTGAAAAAATTAGAAATGATAAATTTAAATATATGCTTGTTGAATTTTGATGAATTTCCACATTCATTGGAAGAATTAATTATCAGGAATTTAAAATTACAAACAATTAATGGTTGCCTTTCAAACTTGTATAAGTTAAAGATTCTAGATTTGCAAAATAATCAAATTAATTTTTCTATGTTAGCACCTCAAATATTTCCATCAAGTTTAAATAATATAAATTTATCAGACAATAAAATTGAAGATTTAAATTGTTTGAAATTAGATCATTGTGTAAATTTGCAAAATTTAACATTAAAAAAAGTAACTTCAAAAGATGAACCAAAGGGGGGGTTAAAATTAAGGGACTTTTGTATAGATACTGGTGTTAAAGATGCAATCTTGACAAATTATAATTCAGATGTAATTTTTGATATTGTTAATGGAGTTGAAGAAGATTCAATATTAAAAGCTAAATCTAAAAGAAGAAAAATTTGTTAATAATTTGTTTGATTGTGTCTGGATTAATTGAGTTGTTAAAAATTCAACCCTTGAACTAATTCTAAGATGGAAGGTATTTAGATTTATATTGATTATTAATATATATTTACCAAAGCTTGAAAACCTCTCAGCTCTCAGTCAATACTATATAGCAAATTAATGAAACATTCAAATTGGTCTCATCACTTAATTAGTATTATGAAAAAAAAAACAGGCTAACAAATAATAAATGTGATTGAAAATAGTTGTGAACTTATTGATATTAACTTGAGCGATAAGTTGAATACAAATTTGTCTGTTTAATGCTTTATATCCACTGTATAGATGAAAATGTTGATTGATGTATCTAAGTATGTTAATAATTATATCATGACTTGACTTTCAAATCTAATTCAGGAATCATAGGATAAGTTAAAATCGCTCTTCTTGTATTTCACTTAGTTAAATTCAGTCATACAGCGATCTCCATATCCTTAACTTGCAGACAAAACACTTTCGTACGATTCACAACACATTGACATCGAATAATATTAGGCCAACAATGAAAAATTCAGATCCTGTCCAAAAAGTATTTCGTTCTAATTTATTCTTTGTCTCAGTGAATCTAATGAAAGACGACATGGTTTCTCTTAATCAGTAAATAACATCACAAATTTGATTATAAAACAGTATTCAGTTCATATAAGAGATTGAAAATCTCATAGTTATACTATATCAACTGCTTTTCAATGACCTCCTTTTATCTCGTATTATGTAACCAACTTTATGAACCCAAAATTTGACATTATTAATTGATCGTTGATGTGTGATTATGGTGGATCAACGAAGCTTTGCTGACTAACATATTGCACATAAAAATTCTAGAAACAGATTTTTGTGACATCGAAATTAGTTTCCTAAGAAGCCGTTCATAAACTCACCAACATCAGAATACGATGAACCATCAAGCAACAACCCGAAATTGATACTAAATTGAGTTATTGTTTAAATAACTACTTGCTGAAATTATATATCTTTTTTAGTATATATCATCATGCCTTTCAGAAAAATCAAGTGACTGGAAATAAAATGCATCTACAACAAGAATAATTTTCACGGAATGATCGATTTAGTCGGAGATTGAAAGCATTTTGATGTTACTTGTCTATGGAGATTAATTGATCAAGCTATTTATTTGGAACTCATTCGAAACATTTCACTATATTATTTAAATTAAATTAAATGCTACAAGATGGATTGAAAGCGGAATTGGAATCATTGAAAATTGCTCCGTATGAACTTAAATAAAGATTATATTCTAAGACATAATGATATATTGAAGAAATATTAAACAAATTCGTTCTTTGATTAGGTCTGTGATCACAACTTTTTATTTCACCAGCTTTAGATAAGTTAACAACCAACTCGTTATATCATGTGAAAAATTTGAGTCTTTAAAAAGAGTTTTAAAAGCCAGTTCAAAATTTTGAGACTTTCCTTACCGCCAGCATTTGCAATCAAATTTGCTTAAAGTTATAAAGAATTTTTAATATCATTCAAGCAATTATAGTTTTGATTTAAATGCAAATAAAATTCGAAATTGTGATCTGCGGATGAAATTTAAACAGAGAGTTAGGGTGCTTTTGAAACAGAGGGTCTATGTAACATTCAGATTCAATAAGTTCACAAAGTTCAAATTCAGCATTGCTGATAATCCGTAAGAACAATATATCATTACATGAATTAGACGATTCATATTTGAAACGCCATATGGTAGCCGAGACAAATCACGTCTGATAAATTTTTGAATTTTTAAAAAGTGGCAATTGAAATTAATCATCAACTCATTAAATCAATAAAGCATCAACACCTAGTCATCAATTCATCAATTCATTTACATTCCACCTCATTAATGCATATCTTCCTCAAACTACCTAAAGATATATTATCATCAATTTTTAGTCACATCAATGATGAGTCAATTCTTGAAAGTTTAAAATTTATTCCAGGTTTACAATATATTTATTTAGAGCAAAAATATTCAAAATATGAATTAAATAGTTTCCACAAGTCAATTAAAAAATTATTATTACTTTTTAAAGTATTTGAGTTTATCCCTTCAATCATCGTTGGGGATGTAGAAGAAATCAATCAAGTATTAGATGAACCTGCATTTAAATTAGCCAAATATGAAGTGAAGATCTTAAGTAATACTAAATTCAGTGATTTTGTATCAATTTCAAATAAAGTTTATGTTATAGGTATACATTTAAATTCTTTTATTACTGAATCTAAAAACAATGAGGTTAAATCATTTTCGAATTATATTGAGAATAATAGTTTACAATCTTTAACTGTATTTTATTTAAATAAGTTTAAAGTCCAGCTTCCAACATCTTTAAAAAAATTAACATTAAATCAGCGTCAAAATCTTGAATTAAATCTAAGTGACTTACAAAACCTCGAATCTTTAGAGTGCTATAAACTATATGATATGGGTTCATTGGAAGATCTTCAGCTTTCAACATCTATCAAAGAGTTAGAACTTTATTTTTGTGATTTTAAAAGTTTGGGTAATTTAATCAAGTACGACAAACTAAAACTACTTCGTATAGCATGTTGTTCTGAAATTCAAGATCTTTTTGATACAGAGTTCCCTAGTTCATTGAAAATTTTGAAAATCGAAAACAACTTTCAATTTGAAGACTTATGGATCTATAAGAATTGTTTTCCTCCACAATTGGAAAACTTTATGATTTACAACAATAATATGCAAACTTTCAAAATAGGAGATGTTGAGATTGCAAAATCACTAAATTTTTTAGTATTGGTAGGAATTGAAGAAATTGATTTGAATAGGGTTCTTGTTAATCTACCAAGGAAGATGGCTGAAATTGTTTTTGAAGATTGTCGCCTTGTGTCTTCTACATCTCATGTTTCATTTCCTGAACTGAAGCTAATCGAAATTTTCTACAGTAAAATATGTTTCGATGGTTTCAAAACAAATTTAAATGAGTTGAAATTATTGAAAGATTTGTGTTTAATTGATAACATTTTTTTAGATATTGATGATAGCGAGTGGCCAATTGATCCGCTTATGATTGTAACTCGCATGGAAACATCCCATTTGGACAAGGTATATTTCAACCCACCCCAATTACAAAGTTTAATCCTAACAAGTAAATGGCCACCAGATGATATTGATCGTGAGTATCCTTTTGAAGTGTTATTTAATTGTAAAAATTTGACCGAAATAAATATGAAAAATTTGAATATAAGCTTCTAAACCTTAATCAATTTCCCAATTCATTGAAGAAATTGATTATTGAGGGTTTAAATTTACAAGCAATACATGGCAATTTTTCCAAATTAAAAAAATTAAAGATACTAGATTTAGAAAATAATCAAATTACTTTTTCAATGTTAGAACATCAAAATTTTCCATCAAGATTAACTAATATAGATTTATCCAACAATAAGCTTGAAGATTTAAGTTGTTTGAGACTAGATAATTGTGTTAATTTGCAGAATTTAACATTGAAAGAAGTAACTTCAAAAGATGAACCAGAAGGTGCCAATCAATTAATGGAATTATTATTAAACCTTAATACTAAAGTTAATGCAATTTTAACAAATTATGATTCAAAAGTAATTTTTAATATTGTTGATGGAGTTGAAGAAGATTCAATATTAAAAGCTAAATCTAAAAGAAGAAAAATTTGTTAATCATTAAATTGGTTCAAGATTAATTGGTTTATTCAAAAACTCAATTCTTAACTTATTTCAAAGAGGGTATTTAAATTTATATCAATTTTAATACATATTTATCGAAACTTGAAAATGTTTAGCCTCTCAATCGAGATTATCTTTTAAAGTAAGGAAAAATTTAAACATGGGATTCATTACTTTCAGGTGATTATACTAACTAACAAAAAATTAATTATCATTCCAAATTACTTTTTCATTATTCTTTAATTATTTACTACTACTTTCAGAAACATGAATCGAAATATTTGATGAACCATTTGATAAACCATCTGATAAACCATCTGATGAACTAGCTGATGAACTATCTGATGATAAACAGTTGCAACTATGCTTAGCATGGAAGATGTGTATCTAATGTACGAAATAAACTCGATGATAGTGCAGATAAATGTATGAAAATTAAATAATATCATGACACTCTCAATAGTCGTCAGTTGTGATAGTTAGATAGTTTCTAATTTAAAGCTAATGTAGGGGATTATCACAGTTATTATTAAACCTTCTTAGTTTGGAAATACCACCTCAGTCATACTTGTATCCACCACAACATTTATTCGAAGGTGAATTTGGGAACTTTTCATAAATCTCCAGCCAACAGGTCATGCAATGAAAAATTCAATGACTATTGTATTGAAGAAACTCATTTGATTTTATGCTTCATCATCCATTATTGATTCCGAACAAAAAAATGTCATGATATCTCGTGAACTAGACAACTCCCACAAAGTCAGACAAAACACATCATGTGAACATTAAACCAATTTCATGTCTAGAACAAATTATATGTGCCTTAAATTTTTACAAATACATTTAGCTTTTCCATGTCCTCATTCTCCAAATTTGATTGGTACGCTCCATACTTTCTTTTGAACAGTTTAAAACTTCAGTTCAATGTTGACTCTTTAACGACTTGACCATTTTTGAAATGCTAATTTGGTGATACAGATTATGTTGCAGATTTATTAGATTTTGGTTTATTGAAAAAGCTGAGTCTCAAATAAAATTGCACATAGGCTGATTCTAGAAATCTATTTTTGTGACGAAAAAAGTGAGTTAGACTTTCCAGGATATCAAGCCATTGAATGAAATCGACACATGAAAATAAGAGTGGAAGAAAACTTGAACCACGAAGATGCTTGTCGATACTATGATCTTGAGAAATTCATCAATAGAACTCTATATTGTTTTTAATTAATTGTGTTCCTGTTAACTCATCAACTATAATCAACTTCATGAGAAAATCAAGCAACTAGGCAAACTATCAACTGAAAAATCAAGATGAACCTCAGGCAAAAGTTCTTTATTTAAAAATTTAGGCAGGTTTGAATGGGTGCTTGACATTGAAGCTAATCTTTCGTTGTCTGCTTAAATGTTTATGCTATAAGTTGGAATAGGTGATCGGGATTAGAATTATTAGCAAATTTTTGAAAGGGACTTATAAAGAGTTAAAAGCAGAAACATGATTATAAACTAAAAGATTTTATTCTACAGCTTGACTCACTTTTAATGCATATGATTTTATTATTTAATCTCAATAGCTTGAATTAAAATCAATACGCAATATGTTGAATACGATATGAATTTCGAGAGAGATTAGTGGCCAAGTAAAAGCTTTGAAAATTTCGCTAAATACTCTTATTGAGATTGTTTGACATTGTCCAAGCAAGAAAAGTGTTAATTTACACGTTCTTCATATCAAAGTTAGGTTACATTTGGAAAAAAAAACTTCGAATACGTCACTTCATTGAGAGCCAAGCTCTAGTTTCATTTGGGTCATTAATTGGATCCTTATTTGAATCATTCTTTTGATCATTATTTGAATCATTATTTGTTGTATTACAATCTCAAATAAAGTTTTAGACGATACAAATTTGAAACGCCATATGGTAGCCGAGAAAAATCACGTCTTGATAAATTTTGAATTTTTAAAAAGTGGCAACCAAAACTATTCATCGACATTTTACTCATCAATTCATCAGCTTTACAATCACATCACTAATGCAAGTATTTCTCAAATTACCCAAAGAGATATTATCATTAATCTTTAGTCACATCAAGGATCAGTCTATAATTGAAAGTTTAATACTCATTCCAGAATTACAACATATTCCTTTAGAGCAGAAATATCCAAAATTTGAAATCACCAATAACATTGAAACAATAATAGGGCTTTTTCAGAAGTATAATTTCACACCTTCAATAATCATTGGAGATATAAATCAAATCAAGAAATTAATCGATGAACCAGCATTTAGATCAGTCAATTATGAAGTGAAGATCTTACAGACTACTAAATTTAGTGATTTTGTATCAATTTTAGAAAAAGTTTATGTAACAGGGATCCATTTTGATGTACCTTCTGTTGGATTATTAGAAAAGGAGATCAACTCATTTTTAGATTATGTTGGAAGTAACAATTTACAATCATTAACTATATCTCATTTAAGTATGTTTAAAGTTCAATTTCCAAAATCTTTGAAGCATATTACATTAAATGGGGGTCAAAATTTTGAATTAGATTTAAGTGGTTTACAATATCTTGAATCTTTAGATTGTAAAGATCTCCTCCAAATAAATTCATTAGAAAATCTTAAACTTCCATCATCCATCAAAAATTTAAGACTTGATTCTTGTGATTTTGAAAGTTTAGGTAATTTAATCAAATATGACAAATTAAATTTACTTCAAATATCTAATTGTCCTGAAATTTATAATATTATTCATACTAGGTTCCCTGATTCATTGAAAACTTTAGATTTCATTAACAATTTCCAACCCGATAAAATTGCTGAGTTAGGAGGACACTTACATGCTCACGTATCAAATAATGATCTGATCCGTATTGTTTGTCATTTTTTCTTTCCACCAAATTTGAAAAAATTAAGAATTTGTGATACTACGCAAACATTAAGAATAGGTACCTTGAATATTCCAAATTCACTCACTTGTTTAGAACTAGAAAATATTGGTGAAATTGATTTAGAAGACGTTCTACTTAGTTTACCAAAGAAGATGTCTGAAATTATTATCAGAGGTTGTCAATTTGTCTATTCAGATAATGATGTTTTATTTCCTGAGCTGAAACTGATTAAGTTTACAAATAATAGAATATGTTTTGAAATTTTTAAAACAAATTTAAATCAATTGAAAGAGTTGAAAGAGTTGGATATGTCTGATAACACTTTTTCAGATTGTGGTAAATGCAAGACAATACTTGATCCATTCCTAATTTTGACAAAAACAATGGAAAAAATATGTTTTGAAACACCTGAATTGCAAAGCTTAATCTTGAAAAGTTCAGTTTCAATGTTTGACCGTGAGTATGACGATGAATGTGGTCCACCTTCGGAAGTTTCATTTAATTGTAAAAATTTGACCAAGGTTAAAATGATAAATTTAAATGTAAGCAAATTAGATCTTACTGAATTTCCCAGTTCATTGGAAGAATTGACTATCCAGAATTTAATTTTACAAACAATAGATGGAAATTTTTCAAAGTTCAATAAATTAAAGATTTTAGACTTACAAAATAATGAAATTAGTTTTTCAATGTTATCATCTCAGAAATTCCCATCAAGTTTGACTAATTTGAATTTATCAGACAATATACTTGAAGATTTAAGTTGTTTGAAATTGGATAGTTGCGTTGATTTGCATAATTTAACATTAAAAAAAATAACTGCAGATGATGAACCAGAAGGTGCAATGCAATTGATAGATTTATTATTAAACCTTAACACTAAAGTTAATGCTATTCTAACCAACTATGAATCAAAAGTTATTTTCAAAATTGTTGATGGAGTTAAAGAAAAATCTAACCGTAAAAGAAGAAAAATTAATTAATTAAAATCTATAGCTATTCTTTATTATTTAATTTATATTCTTCTCTCCATTTTTTTCCATTTTTAATCAAAATTAAAACCATAACTATACCTATTAAATCCAACATTGCTAAACCTGTCAAACACCAACCAAAACCCATTTTCTTTATCAATTCATCAATTATAACAGTACAAATTGCAGCAGAAATATTTCTCATTAAATTCCCAATAGCTACATTAGCACTAGGTTGACCAGTTGAACATTCAGTTAAATAAGTAGTTGTTGTTACAAAAACCCAAGTCATTCCAAAACCTGATAAAAAAGTTCCTAAAAATACAGTTTCAATTGGAGCTAAAAATTCAACTGTCCATGCATAAATTATAATCCCACTCATTGAAATTAGCAACCCTAAAATTTGAATTGAAAATCTACGTTCTGGTATTAAATTATAAGTTTTATCAGATAACCAACCACCAATAGTTGAACCAATAATTAAAGCTCCACCAGGACATAAATAACCTAAACTTGTTTGTAATGAATTAAAATTATAATTTTCTTGTAAAATTCTTGCAAAAGTAACCATAACTCCATAAAATGTTGCAAATAAAAAACCTGAATTTATAGAACAAATTAAAACAGGTTTAAATTTTAAAATATTATAATAATTTTTAAAACTTGGTTTTGGAGGTCTTGGGAATCCATCAACTAATTTTGGTTGAATAAATCTTGGTTTTATAAAAAATGAAGTATAACATTCACCATTACCAACTAAATATCTTAAAGTTTCAGGTAATAAAAATAAAATTAATAAATAAACAACAGAACCCCATATAGCTAAAAATCCAAAAATCCATCTCCATGATTTAATTGCAATCATCGATAACAAAGGTCCCAAAACTGGACCTAATTGAGGTCCCCACATAAAAATTGAAATAGCTTTTGCTCTATTTTTAGGTTCTATAATATCAGTAATAGTACCTGCTCCAACAGACATAACACTACTAGCACCAAATGCTTGTACAGCTCTTAAAATATATAAAGCAATTATATTTATTGGAATTATAGATAATAAAATATTTGCAATAATATAAAATAAAATTGGAATTAAATATAATAATTTTCTACCACCATAATCAGCCCAAGATGCCCAAATTAAAGGTGCAAAAGCAAATATTGTCATGAAAATTGCAATAGTACCATTAATTGTTGTTTCTGAAACATTGAAAACTATTTGTAATTGAGGTAATATAGGAACATAAATATTACCAGCTATTGGACCTAAACAACCAGTTATTGTAACAATAAATATAATTAATATTTTCCGTTTGGTAGTGAAAGCGCTATACATAGTTACTAAAATAAGTTTTATTTTTTTAGATCTCCTATATCCCATATATATCCTACTTTCATTCTTGTAGTTTCCTAAAATTTAATTTCATCCCTACAGGAGAAATTGGACCTGAAGAAGTAAATTTCACAGGTTCTTTCAATTCAAAATTATATTTTCCTAAAATTGCTAATATTAAAGTTTTACATTGAGTTAAAGCATATTTTTCACCTAAACATGCTCTTTTCCTACCATGAAATGCAGGTAAAATTGCATCTCGTTTAGCTTTTGTATAATCAATTTTGGACCATCTTTCTGGTAAAAATAAATCTGGATTTACCCAAATGTTTGGATCTCTACCAGTAGCAATATTTATATAACCAACATATGTATCTTTAGGGATCTTAATATTTTGCAAGGTAGTTGTTTTGGAAGTACATCTATTAATTATTTGATTTAATGGAGGATACATTCTTAAAGTTTCATAAATTACAAAATCAAGAAAAATGGGAGAGTCTCGGCATTTTTGTTGTAATTTAGGATCTTTTGCTAGGACATATAAAACCGATTGCATTAATAATAAAGGATTTTCATGACCTGCAACCATTGTAATAATTGAATTATCAAGGAATTGTTTTTCTGTAAGCACCCCATCACTCCAAGCTTGAGTTAATTTAAATGCTGCTCCAATTTGATTATTTTCTTTAATAATTGAACCAAACCAATTTCTAAAATTTTCAACTTCTTTCTTAGCTTTGATTCTACTAGGTATAAACCTCTCAATATTAGGGAAGTTCATAAAAAATGGGTTAAAAATTTGTTTTTTTATATAATTTATTTGTTTATGCATTTTTGAAATTTCAAAATCAATACCAAATATACAATTTCCAATATTTTGTAATGAATATTTTTGTAAAACACTAGAAAGACTTTCGTGTGGTAACATTTCAATATATTTTTCAGTATTTGAATCTAATGGATCTAAATATGGAAATTGTATAGAATTTTGTAAAACATTTCTATATTTTAGCCAATTTTGTCCAGTTGATGAAATTATATTATCACCAGTATAAGTAGCTAAAACAGAACCTGGAATTTTTAAATGATTCCCACTTTTTACATATATTTCTTCATGTTTAAAAATTTCAATCAACATTTCTGGTTTTGAAACAAGAATATTCCATCTTGATGCAAAATAAATTTTAACAGCTCCATATTTTTCCAATTTTGTTTTAAGGTGTTGATTATAAATTTCAATTTGATCCTTTTTGGTGATTGCTCCTAAAAATAAAACATAAAAAGGAATTGTTGGTATATTTCTTGGGAAATTCCATGGTGGTAAAACCACTTCCAAAATTTTGAAAACCACATATGCTATAATTAATGAAAAGATCATTGGTTGTTTGCTGGTGATCTGATTCTTTTTTTTTCATAATTTATTTATATCTTTAAATCTACATTTACATTTCCTGGCATGTAAATTTTAGGAAATTACAACATACCTACCACTTTTTATATAAAACCTCCAGAAGTTGTAAAATTGTCTTTTCCAAGTTTTCTCTTCAGTAATCATGGAATCTGTTTCAACATTATCATTAAATACTCAAACCAATAGTTCAACATCAACTATTGATTTTTCAAAACCAATCTATGAAAATATTTGTATGCTTTATAGCCGTAACCAAGATCAAATCTTGAGTTTACGATATTTCAATAATTGCAATCTCGATCTAACCGATGCGATCTTGAATGCCAAGTTTATCAATCACCACAATTTCAAACAAGCAACGATCTCTGACGATTTTCATATCTGGGAATTAGATACACAAGATTCAATCAAACAAGGAATTGTTACACTTCAAATTTTACCAAATGAATTTGATTATTGGTTTTTAAAATTATTAATTTCAGATTCTAAAATATATTATCCAACAGTAAATGATTTTTCAAATTTAACAACCACTATAACTGAAATTTTTGCTTCAAAATTAAAACATACTGTTGAAAATGATAAATGGGATGTAATTGGTAAATTTAAATTTCAAGAAAATGTTGAATTTTTTACCCAAAGGGGTGTACCAATTGAAGCTGTACTTCCAGCGTTTCCTTGTAAATCTTCAAATTATGAAAAAGTTTCAGGTGATTTACCAGATAAAGGTGAAGAATTAGCTTTAAAAAGATTAATATATTTTGCTGAAGAAGTTGAAAAAATTTATCCACCTGGTATTATAATTTGGATTATTAGTGATGGACATGTATTTAGTGATTGTATTGCAGTTGATGATTTAAAAGTTAATCAATATTCAATAGCTTTGAAACAGATATATAAAAGAATTCAAAAATCAACAACCACTTTAAAATTTCATTCCCTTCCAGAAATTTTTAAAAATATTCATGAAATATCAGTTAACATTGATTTACAACATTTTTTAGATACAAAAATTGATTATGAATCTGAAATTTGTCGTAAAATTATGATGTTATCTTGTGATACTGATAATGGGAAATTAAAACAAGATATAAATACTCCAAATCATCCAAGATTATCATTATTTCGAGGATTTAGTAAATTTATGACTGAAGATTTACAATTTCATCCAAAAGTAAAATTAATGACTAGGAAAAAATTTAAAAAAATTGTAAGTCAAGTTGCTTTTGAAATGATTAAAAGAAATGATGCTTATTCAAATTTAGTTGAATTAATGTTTCCATTTCATTTAAGATTTTCAATTCATGCTCATAATAATTCAGGTCCAAAATATGGTATTTCTTTATTAAGTCAAAATGGTATTGATGAAATTTTACCAATTAATAATTTAAAAGATCATAAACTTCCTCCAACAACTACTGATTTATTACATATTCCAACTCCATGGCATAATTCTATAGTTTGTATTGATGATGATCCAACTTATTATGTTATAAAATCAATTGAAGCAAAAGAAAAAAGTGGATGGGATTCAACTAATTTACACTACTTTTATAAAACAACACCACCAAAACCACCAAATAATGTCACCAACACCTTTACAAATTAAAGTCAATGCTTTAAAAAGATTAATCAAAGAAGAACAATTGTATCAACAAGAAGTTAAAGATCAAGAAACTTATGTAAATCAAATGAAATCTCAAAATGCTGATGAATATGAAATTAAAAAACAAATTCAAGTATTAGAAGAAAGTCAAAGAATGGTACCACAAGTTAATGAAAAAATTAAAGAATTAAAACAATCTCTTGAAGAATTTATAAATAATTATAATGGAGATGAAGATTTATCAATTGCTAAAAATTTATTGAAGTAGTTTAATATACAAGAGATTACTTAATGTTCTAATAATGTTAAATTACCTGTAACAACAACATTTTCTAAAATTGAACCATTTGGTATATCAATTTTATCACCATCATTACAAACAATTATAACTGTTCCCTTTAATTGTACACCTTTCCCAATACTAACATTACCAGTAATTGTTAAATGATCTAATTCTAAAATTTTTGGCATATGAGGAATTCTTGATTGAAAACCAGAAACTTTTTTAAAATGTGAACCTAATTTAATTAAAGGATTTGAAAATCCATCTCTTGTTGGATCTAATTTTAATGCACCATGTTCTAAATAAAATAAATCAGATTTAACTAATAATAAATCAGAACAAGTTTTAACAGGTAAAAATCTTGATCTTGGTACAACAACTCCATGAGCTCCTTTAAAATGTCTTATTGCAGCTCCAACAGCAGTTTCTAATTGTAAAACATTAATTTCAGATTTTCCCTTTAAAATAGTTTTTTGATTTGGAATAATTTCAACTTCAATTGAATTTGATTCAACTAAATTTTTAATAGCTTTTAAATTTATCCATAAATTATTTGTATTAAAATATTTAAATTTTTTTATACTTTTAAATTCTTCAACATGTTCCTTGGGAACTTGTGCAATTTCTAATAATCTAACTTCTCCTTGATAATTAATTAATGTACCACCTTTAACATCAGCTCTTGTTTTATCAGTTAATTCCATAATATATTCTGCTCCAGTTTCAATCATATGAGATAAAATTTTATTATCAACTGTTGCACCTAAATTATCACCATTTGAAACAAATAAAATTTCTCTACCTTGTTCTAATAAAGCATCTAATTCTCCAGATTGAACTAATGCTTCAAATAAATCACCATGACCTGGTGGATACCAACTATCTAATGAATCTTCGGAAGTTTCAGGTACTGGTAAATAAGAATCTTTATAAATTCTTGGAAATCTTGATTGATTAAAAGTTTTAACTCTTATTCTATGACCTTGATATTTTTTTATAATTTTTGCAGTATCATTATCAGTATTAAAAGAATTCATTAATAATAAAGGAACATCAGCATCATATTTTCTATTTAAATGCTCAATTTGTCTAACTGATAAATCTAAAAATGTATTACCATCTCTTACTTCAATAACAGATTTTGGTCCAACACATCCCATTGAAGTACCTAATCCACCATTTAATTTTAATACTGCTAATTTACTTAAATTTGAAGCTGCTCGATCTTCTCCATTTTCTAATTTATTATAAGCAACAACTTCATCAGCATTGGGGGATCTAATTTTATCCCATTCTAAAGTTGTACCAGAAGCTTTTTCAGTTAAATATCTTCTAAATAATGAAAAAAAATTATCCATTTCATTTTCAAATTTTCTTTTCTCTTCTTGATCTTCAACTGTATCTGCTAAATTATTTAAAGCATTTCTCATTTGAGAAGCTGCAACTGTTGTTGCTGTATTGTCAAAAGCCTAAGAGAGTTAGTAAAAAGGAGCAAAAAAAAAGTATATATACTCAATTGATACATACATATGCTGATTGGCTCTTTATATGTCTCTTTGTAGTAGCAGCCATCTTGTTTCAATTCAATTCTGTTTTCAATGTCAATTTGTTTGAGTTGAGAGTTTTGTTGAAATATTATTTTTAATAGGCGTGCGTATAATAAAAATTTCAATAGCAAAATTATGTACAATTTAATAAATAAAGACTACAGTGCAAGAGATCAAAACTCGAGTGGAGAATTCAATTGTCAATTCTGAAACTAGATACCTCCTACAGGTCTCTTATTAAAGCGAATTCTGTTTGGTTTCATTAAATTTTTTCAAATTTTGTTTCCATTTTGCAATCTTTATCTGTTTATCTTCAATTGAAGGTTTTAAAGATTTTGATTCTTTTGTTGAAGAACTTAATTGATAAAGCTCTTTTATATTTTCTAAATTATTTGAAATTGATTTTTGATTTTTATTTGTTGGATCAAATCCTATTTTGGAAATCATTGATGATGAAAAAGTTGATTTTACTTGAGCTTTCGAGTGGTTTTGAATATTTAATTTATCTAATAATGAATTATTTGGTGATAATTTTGATAATTTTGTTTCTAAATTTAAATTAGCTCTTTCATTTATTAATTTTCTCTTTTTTAATTGAGTTTGTAATATTTTGGGATCTTGAAATTTTTTTGAATCAATTTTACCATATCCTGAACTTGAATATGTTGAATTTTCATTAAATTCTTTTAAATATATCTGATTATTTTTATTATTTTTATACATTTTGGTTTTTGTTGGTGATCTCATACTAATACTATTTAATTCCATTCTTGAACTTGATCTAAATTTCATATCTAAATGAATTTCACATAATTTTGATTTTGTTATATCTACAACATTTGAACATCTTTGATTATCTGACTTTTTTATAAATTGACATTTGCCAAAATCTTTGATTGAACCAATTTCTAATATACTATTTATATTTGTACTGTCTAATTTTAAATTGAAACCCGTCTTAGATTCATTTTCATTAATTTTAATTTCATATTTATTAATTATAGGATTTAATAACAATACCAAATCACTTTCTTGTAATTTCCAATTTTTTTCAAATGCTTCATCAAATAAAACAAATTCAATGTCATTGTTAAAACTACCTATTTTAAATTTCATATATTTTTTATCATTTTTTGTATATAATACTTGAGTTTTGGTTTTTATAAATCCAATTAAACACCAATTTGTATAAATTGGTTCAGTATAATTGTTTGTTTTGTTTGTTTTGGCTAATAATTTTTCAATTTTTAATATTTTTAATTCTGGAATTTCCTTTAGTAGATTTGTAATTTCATGTTCTGGAAAGTATCTTTTTCTTAATTGATAATTTGATAATGAACAAACTTCATTTACATCTTCTGGATTTGAATTTAAATTAGTAAAATCAAATTCAAATTTTCTTTTATTATAATCAATACTTGAATATTTTTCAACTGTTTTGTTTAGGTTAGCTTCATGTAATTGTGATAAGAATTGTGATGATGGTGGTGGTTTTGTTGATTTTATAATCTGAGTATCTTCTTGGATTGTTCTCCGCGTTTCCCCATTTTCCCTTGGTTTTGGTTTAGTTGGTGATTTTGGAACTTCTGGTTGCAAATTTACTGCTTTTTGTTTCTTCTTTTCAGCTTCTTTCAATTTAATAGCTTTATATCTTAATTCAAATTCCTTTTGTAAGTCCTTCAATTCATCTGATGAATCTTCACTTAATAAATCTTCATCATTGATCTTTTCATCTCTTGGATCAATCATTGATAAGAGAAGTAGATTTACACGCGTTTGGTTAAAAAAAAAATATTGAACTTTTTATCACCAACTTTTTTTTACAACCACAAATGCCTAGGGTTAGATCAAAATCAACTGTACTGCAAATTGCTAATGATGTACCTATAATATCTGAATCAACTACAAACTTCAAACATTCACCAACTACTTTTAAAAAATCAAGATCAAGATCTTTATCATCTTATAAACCATCAATCAAACCACCAATAGATCTTACAACACCATTTAATGAAGAAGAAAAAGATCGACTATGGACAAATTATATCAATTCTTTTAATTACGATTTAGTTTTAAAACCACAAGATATTCATACAATCAATAATAAACATTTACAAAATGTTATAAATTTTCAAGATAATTTACATATAAATCAAAATCAATTACAAAATTTTATAAATCAAACTGATAACTTAATTATTGATATGAATGAATTATTTAATAGATATAAAAAGATAACCAATGAAACATTAGATTTTGATAAATCAGCAAATGAATTACTAAAAAAGCAAGATAATTATCAACAAAAATATGATGAAATTTATTCAAATTTAAAACATTTTGAAAATTTAGATTTAATTACAAAAAATTTATTAAAATCTGGTTCACACTTGCTAAATCAAAAAAGAACATTTTTTAAAAATGATATCCTAAAAAGTTTAGATGAAAGTTTAGAGTTTGTTGACAAACATCCAAATTATAAAGATTGTGAATTATATAAAAGTAGATTTCAACAATGTATGATAAGATCATTAACATTAATTAGAAATTTCCTAAATAATGAACTACGAGGGATTAATGATTCAATTTATAAAAAATCAAAGTCATTAGAATTAGATTTATTAATTTATAATGAATTTAATAATTATTTAAAATATAATGGTGATCAATTTCATGAATTAATGTATGAATTAAAATCACGTAGTAATAAGGATGAATATTTTGGATTATTTAATGATGTTTTATCAAATTATTTAAATATTAGAAAAAAATTATTAAATCAATATATTAATAAGTATTCATCAAAAGAGCATTCTGATAATTCACTTGTTCAATCATGTCAAGATCAAATATCTTATTATAAAAATTTAATTGAAAAAGAATTTTCATTATTTAAATCATTTTTTCAACCAAATAATAATGATGAAATAAATGATTTGTTAAGTGATACATTTTATAATTTCTTAAAAGGAGTATTAGAACCATTATATGATGATATAAGACTTTTAATATTAAAAGAATCAAATATAAGTTCATTATGTCAATTTACAACATTATTACAAAAATATTATGAATTTGAAGATAATGAAGGTTCCCTAAGTAATCAAAATTATTTTTCAAATGATGAATCAATAAAATATGGATATTTATTTCAACCAATATTAGATGATTGTCAAAATAGATTAATTTTTAAAATTCAAAATTACATCGATAATCAATTAATTAAATATAAACCAAAAACAATTGATTTAAAAATTGGATTTAAAAAGCAAACAAATAATAAACATTCTTTGGATGTGGATTATGAAGATAATTTATTTCCAGAAATTTATTTACCATTAGCTAAAGCATTAACTATATTATCAAATATTTATGAATTAGTTAATGGGTATGTATTTGATGATATTGCTCATTATATAGTTCACGCAAGTATTGAAATGTTAAGAGGAGAATATCTTAAATTAGCAATAAATCAATTAGGTATAATAGAAGGTAAAATTTTATATCTTAAAAATCTTATAATATTAAGAGATCAAATTAAAAATTTTGATATTCAATTTATAAGAAATGATTTTACAATTGATTTTAAAAGTGGATTTATAAATATTTGGAATTTTATAAAATTTCAAAATTCAAATGGTATTATTGAAGTTGTAAAACAATCAATACCAAAAGTTATAAATAATATGATTGATGCAAATATGGAAATTGAAATGGAATTAAATAATTCAGTTACAGAATTTTTAACAATTTGTTCAAATGAAATTTGTAAACCTATTTTAGGTGAAAAATTAAATAATGATAATTTAAATAAATTTAAAGATAATTTAATTATCAAGATCCCCAATTATTATAAACAAATTATAAATATTATAAATGATCAAATTATTACAAAATTTTTAATGAATAATTTATCACAATTAATTTTAATAACTTATGAAGAATTTTTTAATTCAATAACCACCGAACAATCACCACAATTTGAAGACTTATTAGAAATTGATGCACTCTCTGGATTTGTAAATGATATAATAAATCATTTATATGAAGAAGAAGAATTAAAAAATGAACAATCTGAAATAACATTTAATGAAAATATTTTAAATACTTTTGATTTAAATTTAGATGAAAATGATATTGAAGATTCTAAAAATTCATTACATTTAAATATTGATACAAATTTATCAATTGATCCAACTGATATAGATTCAAATACATAATCATTCATTGTTCCTTCTTCCAATGAATATGACATAAAAAGTGTTAAAGTCTTCCCAAACGTAATTTATTGCTCTTTAAACGTAATTTTTAATTCGTCTTCGAAAGGAACATGCCATTTCTAAATGATAATCTCCTCATACGTGATTCTTTCTCTCTTAACACTCCATCCTCTATTCTCAATTATTCATCTTCAAAAGGTATATAAATATTTTTAGATAATAATTTATTTAATTCATTTTTAACAATTTCAACTTTATCTTGTTGAATTAATAAATGAGTATCATCTAATTCTTCTAATACTATACCTGGAGTTACGGAATCTATTTGAATTATTAATGCTTTTATTGATGGATCACATCTAACTAATACTCCTTTACTTGCTACTAACATTTAAAAGTTGTTGGTTTTGTTGTTAGATTGCAGTGAAGATTAATTTTACATCACGAGAATATTTCTGAATATGTGAAAGCCGCATTTATAATTGAAATTCGTTTATCACTATCATAAGCTTTAAACAATGATAACGATATAATGAGTGATGAAGAATCAATTCATAAAGAAGAGAAGTTAGATACAAATGGAGGACATACTAATGAGATTGTAGAAACCAATTGTAACGACAGCAACGACAAAAACGGCAGCCATGATTTAACACATGACAACAACGATAACAATGACAACAGCAATAACAACACACAAGATAACACACAAGAGTCAATAACAGAATCAGAAGCTGAGGAAGATGAACCACCAAAACTTAAATATTCAAGAATAACTCAACTTCCACCAAATTTTTTCACAAAGGATCCAGTTTCATCATGTTTTTTTCAAGATAAATTTTTTATATTTGCAACTCATTCAGGAATAATTCATTTATGTAAATCAAATTTTGAACCCGTTAGAACATTTAAAGCTCATAGAGCTTCTGTATTAAGTACTTTTATAGATGGTCAATTTTTTGCATCTGGTTCAATTGATGGTACTGTTGTTATTGGATCGATTTTAGATGAAAAAGATATAATTGCTTATGATTTTCAAAGACCCATACATTGTATTGTATTAGATTCAAATTTTTCAAACAAGAGAAGTTTTATAACTGGTGGAATGAGTGGTAAAATCATATATTCAAGTAAAAATTGGTTAGGCAAAAAAACGGATTATATTATAGATCAAAATAATGGTCCAATTGTTGGATTAACTATAATTGATGATCTAATAATATGGATGAATGATAAAGGTATAAATGTTTTCCATTTAGCTAATAGATCAATTATAAAAATTTTGGAGAAACCAAAAGATAGTGCAAGAAATGATTTATATTGGCCAAGATATACACAACCTGATCCAGATAGATTAATTATAGCATGGAGTAATTATATTTGGTCATTAAGAATTTCATTAAAAACTTCAGAAGATAAACAACAAGATCATCAATCACCAATTTCTTCAGGTATGAGTAAAATTTTACCATCAACTGCATCAATATCTTTCCGAAATATTCAAGAAAAAAAAATTGAAATCGAACAAATTTTCAAATTAAATGATTTAATATGTGGTATAGCAAGTTTTAAAGATGATTTATGGATGGTATTAACTTATAATCCACCAACTAATAAAAAAATTTTTAATAATCCAGATTTAAAATTAATAAATTCAATGAATGGAGAAATTGAATTTGAAGAAGAATTAGGTTTAAAAAATGTTGATAATTTAGGATTAAATGATTTTTATTTAGGTTTTCATATTGAAAATATTCCAAAATATTTTATTATAAGTGCAAAAGATGGTGTATTAGCTCAAGAATTTCAAATTAATGATAGATTAAATTGGTATTTAGAAAAAGAAGATTATTTACGGGCTTTTGAAATAAGTGAACATTTAGTTGATTTTAATAAGAGGTTAAGTTATGGAATACAATATGTTGATTCATTAATGAAAGATAATGAATGGGAAAAAGCAAGTGAATTTTTGAAGATATTATTACCTGTAAATATTGAGGAAGATATTGAAAAGAGTGAAGAAGATATTACAAAAAGTGAAGAAATAATCAGTCAATGGCAAACTTGGTCAAATATATTTATAAATAGTAATCATGTTAAAGAATTAACAAACGTTTTACCACAAACCGATGAATTATCAAAAGAAATATATAATAACATATTATTATATTGGATTGTTAAAGATACAGCAATTTTGAGAAATTTGATAAGTGAATGGGATATAGAAATTTATGATTTTGTAAAAATTGAATTAAAATTAATTAAAAAACAAGATCTTCAAAATTTAGATGAAAATATTGAAAATTCATTAATTATAATATATAACAAATCAATTCAACCAATAAAAGCAGTAAAACATTTATATAATCTTAAAAATGATTCAATTATTGAATATTGTTTTAATAATCATATTTTACAAAATTTTATTACAGAATTGCCAGAGTTTATAAAATTAAAATTTAAAAATAATGAAATTAATACTTTATCAGTAGATAAATTATATGATATTTTAGATCCCGTCATCACCATATTTATTGATTTAAGATTAGAAATCCTTCCCCAACAAATTATTGAAATTTTTAAAAATTCAAATTTACAAATTATAAATTATTTTTATTTAAACAAGCTAAAATCAATTGATAACTACTTAATCTACAATTTTCAAAATGAAATTATTCAATTATATTGTGAATTCAATAAAGATTTACTTTACGATTTCCTTATATCAAATAATAATTATAATATAGAAGACACTATAAAATTATGTGAAAACAATGAATATTATAAAGAATTAATTTATTTATTAGGATTAATTGGAGAAAATCAAAAAGCTTTAAATTTAGTTATAACAAAATTAAATAATCCAGAAATGGCTTTTGAATATGTTTTAAAATTAAATGATAAAGAAGTTTGGAAAAAATTTATAACACAGTCAATAACAAGATTTAATTTTTTAAAAATCTTGATTGAAAAATCAAATGAATCAACTTATAAATTTTATGATCCTATAACAATTTTAACTAAGCTAGAAGAAAAAATAAATGATGGGAATGAAGTGGTGACGGATGTTGAAAAATTAGAAAATGAAGAAATTTTAAGAAATTTGAAACAAAGTATTATTGAATTTAGTAAAAATAATCAATTAAATAAATTAATTCAACAAATTATTTTAAAATTAATTTATAAACAAAGTCAAGAATTATCAATTTTTTATAAAAATAAGATATTAAAAGGTATTGAAGTTGAAAATGAAAGTTAGAAGGTTTTGATTTTTTTAAAACCATCAGATAACTCTAAATAACTCATTTCAGTTCAGTTGGAGGTAATTGCCTTCGTTTGATTCGCTACTCAGCAAACAACTAATTGCAAGCTCAATTTAAGTCTCAAGTCCATATCCCTAAATCTTCCAAAAGAGAAATCGACGAAAAGTAAACAATATTCCAACATTCTTTAAAAATTTGACTAGCATGAAATTGAATCGAAATGGGAAAGATGCAAAAATAGTCCAAGATCTATAATACTCCAAATTATTTGATTTGAAAATGTGATAGAAGACTATAATTGAATGAAAATTTCTCAAAGTGCTGATAAAAGGTTAAGCTCAAGGAATTGAACATTTCGTATTGCAAAATTAAACCTTGTCGACCCGACAGACTGACATCACTCATTAATGCCACTCCAATCCCATCTGAACTACGATTCTGCACATAAATTAGGCTTTGGAAAGGACTAATTAATGGTCCAAGTGATAAATTCTCATAGGTTTCTATGAACTAAATATGAAGATAAGTGGAATTGAAGTAGAATTGAATAATCTTTCAGGTAAATCAGTATAAAGTATTTCGTTGTTGATGCATGAGTAATAAAAAAGAAAAATTGACAGTTGATTTTAAACCTGTCAATAAAAAATTCAGAAATATTAAAAGAAAATAAACGGAAGGGATCAATTATTATGGTGTGATTAAGGAAAGGATGATTAACGGTTTTTTTCTCCTTAAAATTGTAAATCAATTGTATTGAAAAATTAACAGTATATTTTAAACAATAGAAAAGCTACAAATCTCCTATCAATCAACTATGAAATTTGTTGAGATATCATTCCAAAGAATGAAATGAATGTGAAAACAATTGATGAGAGAATGTTATCAATAATCAAAATCACAATTAAGTTTCACATACAATTAGCCTTAATTCAACACATTCTTGATCTAAAATAAGTTTGCTATGTAGGTCTATTGTTCTCTGTTTGATCTGTCTTGATAAATACGAAATTATATTGGTACTAGAATTGATAATTGTAACAACTATAAATTTCATGTGAAATTATTTAGTTGTGTATAAAAATAATTGTGTACCTGTATATTATCAAAAGAAACATACACAAAAGCAAAACTCCGATTTTTGAAATCTTACGGAGTTTTTTCTTTACGTTACACAAAACTATCAAGTAGTATTTCTTCTTACTGAAAAATATGGGGAAAAAGTTAAATGCTACCATACTATCATGAAATTATTATATAGTAAAGGAACTGAGAATCACATGTGATAAAATTATCATAACTTAACTATGTTAGTGCAATGAAAAATAAACGAATAAAATTTAGTGTTGACTAAATTGAACTAAAAAAGAGATCAAAACTAAATCCACTATTGCTAAATACAATAATATATTTTGTAGTCCTATCATCAATTTCTCTTCTTGCAATTTATCAAATTGACTAAGTAAAGAAAGTACTACATTAGCTCAATTGAGTAAGATTAAGAGCAACATATCAATTGATACCCATTTTGTTATTAAGTAGATGTATCAGACGTTTTAATATTGTTTTAAGATTACAAATTGTACACTGTATAATTTCTGAGGGGTATTTTCATTTTTTATTATACAAAAATAGAAAAACAAAACTACAAACCATTTTTAGACATTTTTAAAGAAAACAATAGAGAACAAATAAAGTTTTACACTTACACGAAGAAATACTCCGACCTAGTAATACCACTACTACTACTCCTCTAGTACTACTGTTACTATCGAAACATCAGTAGAATTACAGTAGTGCAAATCCAATATATTAAATTTTTGTACTGTGATAATTATTCAATATTTATATATAGACACAAATTTCACTAAGTAACATTTATAAATATACAACTTCCTTCTTTCATATTTTATTTTCAATTTTCTTATATTCAATTCATATACAATTCAAATTACCAGTTCATCAATCAACCAATCAATCAATCATAAGATACTGCCATCACAAGTCATAGTTCATATACATACTTCAAAACTTATTTAAAACATAATAATAAATTATTTTATACTTTATTTTTCTTTTCTCCTTACCCCATATTTCAAAATATTAATAATAATTTTTACAACCAATTATTTAAAGTAAACACATTCCATAACAACCAACAAACAAGTAGTAACAACAAACATGTCTGAGTTTAATCTACAATCAACCATCCAATCAACTATCTCATTCTTAAAAAATCAATTTATAACATGGTATGGATTAATTTTCATTTCAATATCATTATATTTTATAATTTTATACATTAAAAGAGTTATATTTAGAAAAAAACATGGATGTGAAGAACCACCAATATATCCAGATGGTGGGTTTTTAGGTATAAAATTAGGTTATGATTTACAATATTATAAAAAAACCGGAGAATTAATTGATTTTCCATTAAAATTATATAAAAAATATGGTAATATTCCAACTTTTAGTGCTTATTTATTTGGAGTTAGAGTTGTTGTTACAATTGAACCAGAAAATTTAAAAGCTTTATTAGCAACACAATTTAATGATTTTAGTTTAGGTACAAGACATGCACATTTTGCTCCTTTATTAGGTGATGGAATCTTTACATTAGATGGTAATGGATGGAAAGATTCAAGAGCAATGTTAAGACCTCAATTTGCAAGAGAACAAATAGCTCATGTTCAAATTATTGAACCTCATTTACAAATTTTAAAAAAACATATTTTAAAAAATAAAGGTAAGGTTTTTGATATTCAAGAATTATTTTTTAGATTAACTGTTGATACAAGTACTGAATTTTTATTTGGAGAAAGTGTTCATTCATTATATGATGATTCTATTGGATTAAAATGTGATGATCAAGTTGCTGGTTTTGCTGAAGCTTTTAATGAAGCTCAAAAATCATTAGCTGTTAGAACTTATTTACAAGTGCTTTATTTTTTATATAATCCTCCATCATTTTGGAAAAATACTAAAATTGTTCATAATTTTGCAAAAACTTTTGTTAATAAAGCTTTGAGTTTAACACCTGAACAATTAGAAAAACAAGAAGGTTATACATTTTTATATGAATTAGTTAAACATACAAGAAACCCCATTGTTTTACAAGATCAATTATTAAATATTTTAGTTGCTGGTAGAGATACAACTGCAGGATTATTAAGTTTTTGCTTTTTTGAATTATCAAGACATCCTGAAATTTGGTCAAAATTAAAAGAAGAAATTTATTCAAATTTTGGATATGGAGATAATATAAATTTAGAATCAATTACTTTTGAAACTTTAAAAAAATGTAATTATTTAAAATGGGTGCTTAATGAAACTTTAAGATTATATCCTTCAGTTCCCATAAATTTTAGAGTTGCAACTAAAGATACTACATTACCAGTTGGTGGTGGTAAAAATGGTCAATCACCAGTATTTGTTGGAAAAGGAACAACAGTAGCATATTCTCCTTATGTTTTACAAAGAATGGAAAATTATTATGGAAAAGATGCAGAAGAATTTAAACCAGAAAGATGGGAAAATTTAGGTAAATTAGGTTGGGCTTATTTACCTTTTAATGGTGGTCCCAGAATTTGTTTAGGTCAACAATTTGCTTTAACTGAAGCAAGTTATGTTATTGTTAGATTAACTCAAATGTTTCCAAATTTAATAAGTGGTGATTCTTCACCAGATCCTTGTAGAAAATTAATTCATTTAACTATGAGTCATATGGATGGTGTATTTATTAAAATGGATGAAAAAGAATAATTTATCATCGAGTAGCTTAATTTTTGACCAAACATAAAAAATGAGGATAAGAGGAAATAAAAATTGGATTTGCTTTTTATTTATTTGATTAACTTAGCTTGTTATTTATACTAATTAAATCTTTTACAAGTATTTTAAAAAATTAATATAATTCAAAGTGTATAGTTCTTAGTGTGTAGTTTTTTTGAATATATATTTACAATGAAATATTATTAAGTCTATTATTTTCTGTTTTTTTTTCAAATCAATTTTTTATTAAATTAGTAGTCCAGCTTGATTAACAGTAGAGGAATATACTCAATTTAAGGAGGAAAGATTTTCAACTAATAATTTATATAATTTGGTATCTTTAATTTTAGTTTTCATCATAACATCCAAAAAACCTCTTTCTTTTATTATTTTCTGAAGAATTTGCACTAATTTGATCAGGAATTTGAAAAATACTAGGTACCGGTGAATTCTTATCATTTCGTAGTCTTTTAAGATTTGAATTACATATGAGAGAATTTTAGATTGTAACCTTCTATTTTGTGGTTCTAACAAATGCCAAAGCTACTGAGGCAATCCCTGGCTGGTTTCTTTTCCTCTGCTTATTGATATGCTTAAGTTCAACGGGAAGCAATACCTGATTTGAGGTCGGATTTGGAAAAATTTTGGAGTTGAATATCGAAACAAAATATCATAAGTGAATAATATAAATTCAATTAAATGTTTTTATATTTTAAAAGTCACTATATCAAGGACCAATGTATTAAGAAATTCAAGGTCAGAAAAACCAAAGTAAGTTAAGACTGTCCTCAAACTTAGCCTACTTTAATCAGAACTTTTCAAAGTGTTATTGGATAAGAGACTAAAGAGCAATTCACACATTCTACATTTCATTAACAAAAAACCGTTTTCACAAATTTAGTTTTAATAAATGAAGAAGAAGTTACTAAGTCTGGTTTGCCTTATATTCAGATTATCACCATTGATAAGTTTGCTATCGTTTGCGATAACGGTTCCTTTAATGCTTCTGTTGTTCCCAATTTTTTTTTTTCTATATTCTTCATTTATTAATTTGATTACATAACACTATAAAGATAGACACTTATATATTGAGATAGACACTTATATATCGAATATTATAAAGGTCATATAAGCATCTGGTGACACAAGTTAATATGATGTTCTGGATAGAGCACTAGTATAGTAATCTTATACTAGTATAAGAATTAGACGAAAGTATCCTGAAACACCATATGGTAGCAAATCAATACGACACGTCTAAAAATTTAATTTTCAATATTTTTCAGGGTGAAGAGAAAAATAGTGGCAACCAATATCAAAACGAACCCACCGTTTCATCCATCAGCCACAAAACAAACATCACAAAGTTCATGTCAAAAGATAGAAAATGGAAATATTTCTTAAACTACCAGCAGAATTATTGAATCTAATAATCAAGTATATAAATGATGAATCAAAACTTGAGGAGTTAATACTCTTGATACCAACTTTAAAAAAATATGCTTTACGAGCAAGATTTTCAGAGTACAAACTTGGAAATTCAAATACTTCTGATGGATCAGTTGAAAGCTTACATAAACTATATAATGCATACAATTTCAAACCTTCAAGAATAATTCTAGATGCAGATAAATTAAGTGTGTTATTGGGGTTAAAAAAATCTATTACTGAGTCGCAAGAAACATTGAATTCTGAAGTTGAAATTATGAAACATTATGGTCAAGCAGAATTTGAAATTTTCCTTCAAGACGGAATGTATGTTGATTTGAATCTGATATTTAAAAAAGTCAATGTCGTTGGTGTTCATTTGTCAGAATTTGATCCCTTTTTGTCAGAACCTGATTCATTTACGGAGTTTGATATAAACGAAATTAAGTCTTATTTGGAAATCATTCAAAGTAGCAAAATAGAGTTTATGACAACAGTATATGGCGATGATTTTGCATATAATTTTCCTACATCTTTGAAAAAATTGAGTATAGTTATAGTTTTGAAAGATAATAGGATCATGGATAAGATCAATTTGAAAGAATTACAATGTCTTGAATATTTCGATTGTTGGTACTTAAGTGGTATAAAATCCTTGGATGATCTTCAATTGACTAAAACAATTCGATCCATCAGACTTTTTAAATCTCATTTCAAAAATTGGGGAAGCATAAAAGATTATGATAACTTGAGGTCCCTTGAAATCTATGAATTTGATTATTTATTTGATATTTTCAAGTGCACTTTCCCTGAATCATTGGAAAAGTTGATATTACGTCCTGAATTTAATCAATCTGATATTGCTGAATTATACAGAGATGTAAAAGAAGGGATAAACAATCATTTTGAAATATCAGACTTCTCAGGTGACGGGAAGTATTTACAAATTGGGTCCAACTTTAAACTTCCGTCAAACCCAAAAGTATTAAACATACGTACGGATGCCAATTGTTTAGAGCTTGGATACAATCCAAACTTAGCGGCACTCAATAATTTGGAACTAATTGGCATCAAATTCAAATTAAACGAGTTCCTTCTTTCTTTACCGATATTTATGAGGAAACTCACAATTATTGATTGTGAAGTTACAGATGTTGGAGGGGACTTAAGATTTCCTAAGGTAAGAGAATGTTGTTTTACATTCAATCAAGTATCCAATATTTTTCAAATAGATTTGAAAGGCATGGTGAATTTATATCAGTTGGAGATCATGAACAATTTTTTGGTTCTACCTTCCACGGAAAAACGAATCATTGACCCATGTCAGTTTCTCAGTGGTGAATTTGATGTTCTTGATGAAACTAGCAAATTTTTTAAAAAGAGAAAAATAAGTAAAGTATCTGAAACATTGAAAATTGAACTATCTGATATCAAATATTTGAAATTGAGTAAATTCAGATCCGATTCCTCGGAAATTTCAGACTTGAACAACTCAAATGATTTTCTTCACCTTCCTTCACAGATTTGTATTATAGGTTGTACAAGTTTACAAGTTTTGCAATTATCTGGATTGGGAATTCAGATTTTGGATTTACACAAGTTTCCACTTTCTTTGAGAGATATACGGATAGAAGATTTAAAACTAATTGAGATAAAAGGTGATTTCAGCTTGCTAAATCAATTAGAAAAGTTATGGTTGGTTAACAATGGAATCACTTATTCAATGTTGGTCCAACAAAAATTTCCATCAACTTTGATAAGTTTAAATTTATCTTCTAATCCGATAGAAGATTTGACTTGCTTACAAATCGATAATTGTAAAGAATTACATCATTTGAAATTAAATCGAGTTACTGGACTGCTTAATCCAAACGGTGCTAATGAATTGAAGAAAACATTTGTTGAATTAATTGGAAAAGCCGCTGATACTATTGGATCTGTAACAACGTATGATTCAAAAGTGAAGAAAACATTTCTTGAATTAATTGGAAAAGCCGCTGATACTATTGGATCTGTAACAACGTATGATTCAAAAGTTGTATTTCTGATCGTTGAGGGGGTTGATAAAGCTTAAACCATCCATCAAAATATCAACTTCGATTACAAAAGGTTAAAATTAATTGAAATTAGAATAAATTATAATAAAGTAAAATAAAATTATATCTCATGATCATTGTATACATGGTTGAATAATCATGTCTCAATTATTCGTAGTACATTCTCTAAAAAAGCTTTTAACCGGCAATGCCATGATAATAATAAAAATTTAGAACCAAATTTCATTCAAAACAAATCAAAAATAATAACAGTACCAGCACTTCTTCAAGTCATATAATAAGTAAATTATAAAGTATTGCTAATGATGGGAAAAATGGTACACGAATTAATTCAAGTTTGAGTTTACATAGTTTACATTTATTCAGTGAATAAAATAATTAAAGCTTCTTTCATAAAAATAAGTAAAGGTTGAAATTTAAAGAGGTATGCCAACCCAAAACTAAATGACTAAAGTGTTTACTATACGTTCTAATTTTCGTATAATACGTGCGGTTTTGAAAACATTTCGTAACAAGTGGAAACAAGTGATTCATGAAATTATTGGACCTGCATATAATTAAACTTAAAACAACAATAAATATTCGAAAGAATAAAATTAACCAAATTAACAAACATAATTGTTGTATAATGAGAACAAGAACTACTAATGGCATGTGTTTTTTCAACGACTCGAACTTTTTATTGCTCAGTTGAGCTAAAACTATTAAATATTGTAAATGTTATTACATTTAAAACTTGTTACTCACAATAACGTTGTAAATTTTAAACTACAAATTGAAGTAATGAGATCAGATCTTGAATAGTAAAATATGAATTTTACAATTTTGCAATACCTTCTTTAAATCAAAGGAGAAAGAATTTACCAATTTCAATTTTCTTTAATGGGATCTACAGTAATATTAAACTTTCGATGAGAGATACCATTGATTGTAAATTCTGTTTCCAAAGATTAATTTATTTCCTTTTTTTTTGAAAACCAGAAGATCCTGATATCGGGCTATGAAAACTATTATTTCACACGACAAGCTATTACTATTTCATTCTAAACGTTCAAATCGATTTTTTTACGATTCAATACAATAGATCGATGAGTGGATAATCAACGATATGAAAAAGAAATTACATACTTTAAGGAAAGTAATGATTTCTTAATGTCTACGTCACTCTATTCAATACTCGAAATATGCAAGACCTATTGGATAACGGTGCAAATCTGTAATATTGAAGGCGTTGTTCATAAATATACGTTGTGAGTATAGGAGATGAAACAATAAATGAAAAGAAATAAAACATGAACTCTTAATCATGTGCATGTAATTAACCCAGTACAAAATTATAATTATTTTATTAGGTGCAAAACCGGTAAAAAATTTTAAAGTGAAACTTATGTCTCATTTGATCTAGAACTCTCCCTTAGATGTAAATGCAAACTTTGAAGAAAAAAGGGGTGAGGAGGCAAAGTTAAAGTTACTTCAATTTAGTGAAAGATTTAACGAGTTTCAGTTTAGGCTTCAATTTGAAGCTCTGTGTTTCAAATTGTATAATCATCAGTGTTGCATCATGAGCAAAGAAAAAATACAAAAAAAAATGAATAAATAACACTACAATTACTAGATGTATTGAGAGTAAGACTAGATTCAATGATCAATCGTAACTTCTCGCTTATAACAATAACCATAGTTGGTTTGAAATACTCAAAAAAAAATTGGTCTAAAAAAAATGTTTAATATCATCGTAACTGTTCGAATCAGTATGATGGCAAATTAAGTAACTCATACACCGATCGTTGAAGTGGGCAAAAAAAGAAAAGAAATTGTGATCTATGATCTGGATGTATGATTTAGTTGATTGTAATGTTTCATTTATTGTAATATACGAAATCAAAATCATTGAATCAAAAAACCGTTAGATTTTCACAGTTGGTCGTGCTTGAAAAAGAAACTGTATATAAATTTCTGTTTAGTAGTGCATTTCATACATAAAAAGGTAGTGTATCTTTTTACTTGACACAAAATTGTTTAAAAAAATTTTCATGTAACCAATTATGAAACCAAATTAGGTATGGTAAGGGCAAGTCAATGATTTGATAGTATATATTATTCATTTTAGTTAAGCGATGAACTTTAGCCAAAGTCCAATGGTTAGATTTTCAATTGCCTTCATTCAAAAGATGTTAATTGGTTGATACAAAAATAAGAATTAACTTTTTTTTGTTTCATAATTTGGTTCCAATTTTTTTTCTTGCCAATCATTAATGATATTTCAGTCGGTTGTTAATTGAAACTAAGTTTTTTTTTTTTTCAATATTAATTGTTTATTAGATCGGTAGTCTGCGGTACAACTACTGCTCTGAAACTGTTTAAATCTAGACTTGACCGTTGTGAAACTTTTAATGCTTTCACAAAACTTTGTCTTTTGTATACTTTGGACAAAAGTAACTGCTTTTGCTTTTACATTTTTTGTATTTCATGGTTGCAAATCCTTAGCTAGCCTATTGATCGTATGAATCAAAAATCTAATAAAGTTTTGATTTGAGCACAAGAAGTCAAAAGACATGGATCTACTAAAGATTGCATGTCACACAATGATTTTCAAAAAGATCTAGATCAAATGCTAGTAGATGGTAGATTAAATAATTTACACTAAATCGTATGGCTTTAACAAAAACAATAAAGAAAGGGTAAATCATTGAGACAAAACTAACAATATGAATGTTACCAATATGTATGCCCCACCTCGTTAAGAAAATAACGGTAGGTTTAGAGTAAAGATTGTTATAAAGTGATAAGGTTCCACAAAAACCCCTATTCATTTAGATTTCAAATTCTTTTTTAAATTTTGCAACAAATAAACGTCAAAAGTGGTCAATTGCAAAAATTTCGTTATCAATATATTGGCAAAACTCCTCTTTTTTTGAAAACTTTTGGTCGCCTTAAACGATATGGCTCTACTCTTTGAAACAATCAATTAATCAATCTGACTAAAACATTCTCATGAAACTATAGATTCTGACCTTTCATCAAATAATTTATCTTTTTGTACACTTTTGACGAAACGGCACAAAATCTTGAAGTTTCATTTTAAGTTAAATTAATTGCATAAACTAAAAAATTTTAACCCTCCATACACATGAAAAAATTTCAAATTGATTAGCCATAACCATTCCAATAAATCGTACAATAGACTTCGATTCATGATAATTTATCCAAAATTGTATGAAAAGTAAATAGAGATCAGGTTTGCTATTTGAAATGAAAAAACACATTCTGTTAGAGTCCCTGAAAAATTAAAAGGGAATGAGGTACACAAGCTCGTCACCAACTCTATTTCAAATTAAAGTAAAAATTTGGAAAACTGAATATGATCCATTTGCTTGTGAACTACATCAGGGCGTTCATTAAATTTCAAAAAAATTTTATTACCACTTATCATCAAAGGTGAAAAACTATTTGAAAAAAAATTTGGTAGATGAATACACTACCTTCTATTTCACTGAAAAAAAACGAATTTACTATCGGTATCACGTGTATTTTAGCTCGAAATTAAACTGATTTATGTAAATCAACTTTAATATTTCAAGTTTTGAGCTTACTAAAACTTCTATAACAATTGAGAGGTTAGACTTTATCAAACTGAGGAGAAAGAGCAGTAAACCAGATTAATTGATAATCAAATTTATACCTTAGAAAATACAAATTTCTGAGATCATTTATGTTAAACTTTCTACTGAAAATCCAAGAGTTATATCAGGCAGGTGACTGACTCCTCGTAAATTAGACTAAGTTTCGTAACCTTTTACTTTTAAAACTTAACCTCAGGTACACGATTATTTCAAACTACCAATTGATCTCTAGAAATCTTCAGCGAATTAGATTTGAAAAAATAATAAATTATTATATTTCATATCTCTTTGAAAAAGAAAATATCATCAAATCTTTTCAACATTCTATTTTATGTCAATATTATTGAGTAGACTAATAAGGCATGTGATACAGAGATTTAAAGTTTTGAAATAATATTAATGGCAAGAAAATATTGAATTAATCAAATGACTTAAAACAGATAATTAATTGATGATTTATTTTTTATTTGAACCCTTTGATATATTAAAATTCTTTTTATTATTTAAACTCGCTTCGAATTGTGAAGTTCAGTACTAAAATTGTGAATTATGCTAATTACAGTTAAATTAATCGTTGCCTTTCCGTTGTAAAGTAGGGCCGTGTCATTCAATTTTATTGCTTTTTTTTATGCGATATTCAAAACACCTTTTTTTAAAAGAAAAAAACTTATCGTGTACTACTATGATTCGTACCTTGAAAATTATATTATGTATGCATGTATATGTTTGTTTCAATTTTTTCTCTTTCTTTTAAATAATAGGTCTCCTTTTTTTTCTTTTAATTTAATTTAATTTTAATTTTAAGATTGTAAGATTTTGAGTTTCTTTTTTAATGTATGAGATCTGGACTGAGTCTAGAATTGATAGTACAAAATACTGTATATAAACAATACACAAAACTTAAGATCTCATACATACAATAGTTAGTTAATTTTTTAATATACACTAATACTAGTATTGTGTAACTCAATATTTGACAAATTAAGTTAATTAAAAAATAAACAAATTAAAATAATAATCAAAATAATAATAAAAAATTTTCAACACAATATGAAATAATACAAATAATATAAATATGATTTATTTTGCTATTTAAGCTTTTCTTCTGTCTTTTTTTTTGATTTTGACATATTTATATCAATTTATTTATCCAAGTCAATCATTAGTTTTTCAAAAACTTTCATATAAATTTATTACACTCATTTAAGTTTTCATTAATAACGTTTAACGTATTAATTCCAACTATCGTCTTTCATTAAGTTTTTTTAAATATCCAAATTTATATCAAAAGTTTTATTTTAAATCTATACATTCCTTTAATCAAAAACTATTAATTATTAAGAAATGAAATCATCAATCTTTACTATTTTAACTTTAGCAGCTTCATCATTAGCTGCTCCAGCTCATCAACATCATCATCATCAACAAGAAAAAAGAGCAATTGTCACTAAAGTTGTTTATGTTGATTCAAATGGTAATACTGTAACTGGTCCAACTGCTTCAGCTGTCCCAAAAATTGCTGAAGTTTCTACTTCAGCTGTTCCAACTGAACAACCAGAAACTACTTCAGAATCTTCTTCATCAAAATCATCTCCAAGTACTGAATCAGCTCCTCAACAAAGTGGATCATCAAATTCAAATTCAGGTTCAGGTTCAATTTCAGGTGATTTATCAGCTTTTTCAAATCCTTCAAAAAAATTCCAAGATGGTGTCTATTCTTGTGATACTGTTCCAACTGGTCAAGGTGTTATTGCCATTGATTGGATTTCAGGATTAAATGGTGGTTGGTCAACCATTATGAATTCAAATGGTGATACTTCATCAACTTGTAAAGATGGTTATTATTGTTCATATGGTTGTCAAGCTGGTATGTCAAAAACTCAATGGCCATCCGAACAACCAAGTAATGGTATTTCAGTAGGTGGTTTATTATGTAAAAATGGTAAATTATACAGATCAAATCAAGATGAAGATTATTTATGTTCATGGGGTGCTAATAATGTTGAATTTGAATCAAAAATTTCAAAAGATGTTGCTATTTGTAGAACTGATTATCCAGGTTCAGAAAATATGAATATTCCAACTTTATTAGAAGCTGGTGGTTCAGCTCCAGTTTCAGTTGTTGATTCAGATAATTATTATAATTGGAGAGGTGGAAAAACTTCAACTCAATATTATGTTAATAATGCTGGTGTTTCAATTGAAGATGGTTGTATTTGGGGTGAAGCTGGTTCAGGAGTTGGTAATTGGGCTCCAGTTGTTTTAGGTGCTGGTACTACTGGTGGTAAAACTTATTTATCATTAATTCCAAATCCAAATAATCAAGAAAAACCAAATTATAATATTAAAATTGTTGGTGATAATGTTAATGGAAATTGTAAATATGAAAATGGTCAATACAATGGTGCTGGAACAGATGGATGCACAGTTGTGGTTAACCTGGGGAAGGCAACTTTTCAATTTTACAACTAGTTAGCTAGTTAGTTGGTCCTAGTATTGAGTTTGTCAATTCTTAAAGTTCACGAATCATGTTTTCATCAAATTCAATAATTTGATCACAAAATTGATTCTTTATAGAATTTATTATACCCAAATTGTTTTTCTTCTTGGAATTTTACAAATTTCAATAGTATTGTTCTAAAAATTTCGTTGTTTTAATATATACTTAGTGTTTTGAATTATCTTTGGTATTTTTGTAAAGTGATACTCTTGATCTCTCAAAATCTTTTTTTTGAATTTTGATAAATTTTGGTTTCAGATAGTGCTACCAAGTGGGGTACCTTGGCGATACCAAAGAAAAATCTTTACCGAAACAAGATGGTAGAGTTATATCGAAGAATTCTAATAGACAATTAGACAGTATTTGTATAACCAAGATCTTGTAAAAGCAATTTACAAATATACTATGAACACGCCACAATTAGAATTTAATTAATTGATGGATCGAAGGATCGATAACTTTAAATTTTTTTATCAAGATAAATGTTACACAAAATCAAGTGATAACTTGACTAAGATTGAATCAACAGTACTGTTAGGTGAAGTAAACGCATGTGTATGAACCTTCGGTTGATGGCTCAAAGATCATGAATATAGGTCTCATCATCGTTTAACAATGTCAATTTTTGAACATTTACACATCAGTATTTGACCATTAAATTCAGAGAGTGATCGTCAACTCTTTACATTTAACATTTAAGGCTACAGATGTCTGTTCATCATACTGAGGTTGAATCGTGCCAGTGATAGTTTTACCCCAGTAGACTTTATTTCAAGGGATTGACGTTCAAATTGATTACTGATTGTTTATCTACTCCAGGTTTCAAATTCAGGAACTAGCGAGATATGACTAAGGACAAATATATACATTATACTAAAATAGAACCTAACCAACATCTTTAGTTTAACCTTACTTCGTCGAAATTTGCTCTATTAAAGTTCTAAATGTATTAACAGGACGAAATAGAAAAGCAGATTGGAAACCAGGATAATCGATGAACATGTGGTTTCTGATGTAAACATTTATCGACCATTGAACCAGACTCTGATTATAAGAAACAACACTTGAACCAATTTATGTTGAACACGGCAGCTATTTCGATCAGTTTCTCATCAAAATAAATGCATTCTCAACACCAGCGACCATTAACAACTGTTTGGGTGATTATTCCAAATGTTAAAAGCTGATCTGATAATCCCTCTTAAACTTGTTTCAACCAAATGCAACTGTATTACAATAACTAATAATTAATTCATTATTAGTTTTAAATGCATCATATAATTCACCAATTTTTTCATCAGGACTTGGCAGAAATGAATTTTGTAAATATAAATGTAAAGTTTTTAATTTTAATTTTTTACATAAAAATTTATTAATTGTTGAAATTGTTTGAAATGATGATATTTTAAATATATTTGGTTCAATTTGATTTGTTGATCCAATTGATTGAAATCTAATGTTTATCTTAATTACGGGTTCTGAGCCTTTCGTTTGCTCTTGAGATATTCTGTCTTGTTTGGTAGGACTAACATCATGAATTTTGACTTGATCCTTTTGCGGTAGTTTCTCCAAAATCAATGATGTTGACAATGGTATTTTACTTTCAACATGACTAGTATCATCTTCAATTTGTTGAGGTTGCAGTTGAGGTTGTGATTGTGATTGCGATTGTAATTGTAAGTGCGATTGATCTTCAGACTGAGCTTGATCCTTTATCAGTAGCTTTTTTAAACTTTCTAACGAAGCATTAGAAGATGAATCATCTTCGTCATCATCATCTGAATCAGATTGTTTAATATATGACATTTAAAAATCATTAAATATTAGAACACTTCAATGTAAATGTTCTAGAACGGCTTTTCAAAATTCTAATCGCGTTTATCCATAAACCGTTAAAAAAGTGATTAATATACGCAACTGTGATAAAATTCAAAATTCTTTACAACTTACTTCAAACAACATCAAGAGAGGTCTCCAATTAAAATAACTGTACTTAGAACTCATGACAGACCAAACTGAGACACCAGCATCACTAGATGTTTCTGATGATGAATCAAGTGAAACTACTTTAAGTGAGTCATTACCATTCCCTAAAATCATTGAAAATTTGAGAAATGGAGCAAAAGATGCAATTGAAACAAAGGATTATTTTTCATATGACACGTTAATTGAAATATATTTAGATGATGTATCAAAATATTCCAATGAAGAAAAAGAAGAAATAATGACAACATTATTAGAAATTTTTAAAGAAAATGATACATTAGTTTATGAAATTGGTTGGGATATACCAAGTTTAATATTACCATATGTTGAATCTGATTATCAATTTACTAATGGAATTAGAAGTTCACCATGTGTTTATAAAATTTTAAAAATTTTTGAATTATTAGCAATAAAAGGAAATCCAAAAGAATTACTTTTAAAAAGTTGTGAAATATTAAGTAATTTACAATTAAATGTTGATAATGATTCATATGAAAATACTGAAATTTCAAATAAAGAAAAATTTTTTGAAATTAAAATATATTGTATTGTTGAATTAATTGATTCATCAGTTAGAAAATTTGCAAATTTATATCCCTCAAGAATTTTAGCAATGATAATTACATCATTTATAAATCTTATAAATAATTTAGATTATCTGGAAATTACAACTCATACAGTTTATCAATTTGTGCTAAAAAGATGTTATAGTTTTGTAAGAAATTATCATAGACCTGCAATACCAGAAAAATCCAAGAATGAATATTCAAAAAAAGAACTTGAAAAAATAATTGGAGATGAAGATTTTTTAATACGAAAGTTACTTACTGGGTTTATTACAAATATAATATATATGGCCACAGCAAAACATTCGGAACAATTAGCTTTAAGTCATTTTCATTACTTACAAAAGAAACAAAATAAACCAGTACAAGAAACAGAGTTTGACAATATAATTTTACAAAGATATGTTGAGCTTTCATATCTGTTTGATTTATACTTGGGTCATCTATTTGAAGATTTAGTGAAGAGCACTAGAAATTTCTTTCAAAAATTAGAGGAAGATACTAATGATGATAATGATACAGAAGTACTATTTGAAAAATGTGTTGTTGATTATCAATCAAATTTATACACAAATATTGTTAATCAAGCCGTTAGTAAAATACATGATTCAAAATTAGGTGAATTCATTTTATATACTTACAAAATTTCGTCTTCACATGAATTTGAAAACCCAAAAATTACTTTAACTGACGCTATACAATTGACAATCAAACTAATAGTTCCTCAAATGGTTCAATCTTCGTTTGTCCATATTACGTTACAAGATTGTTGTATATTTTGGGTTTGGTATGCATTAGAACAAAATAATACAGAATCCTTAAAATTAGAATTAGCTACAATTCCTAAAAATGTTTTGATTACATTTTATCAAACTATATTATTTGTCATCATAACTATAGAATCTACTATATTTAATTATATGGCTTTTACTTTATTGACAAAATTATTAATATTAAGTCCAGAAGATATTGGATATGATTTCATAAAGGATTCAATTGAAAATTGTCCATATGAAAAAGTAAGACCGTTTTTGATTGGAATTTATAAAGAATTAATTTTAAAATTGAAAAATCCAGATGAAGAATTAAATGAATTATCAAATATTTCATTAAAAGATGCACCAAATTTACCACCGAGAAAAGAATCTAATCTGAAGTCAAATAAATATTATAGATTCGATGAAGATCGATTACATGATATTTTAGAATGGGTTTTAATTGCTCAATCTAATGCATTTATACAAAATTTAGATGGTTCAGATAAAGTGAATGAGAATGATATAAAGATTGATCCAACAAGATTATCTACATTAGCTTCTGTTTTAAACTTGTTAGTTGCAATCAGAAAGGATCCAATATTCATTGCCAATAAGGAAAAGATTGATAGAATTTTAAACAGCGTTGAAAAAAATATTAAAATAATTAATGAAACATCGTCGAATCAATTTGAAAAGAATGCAGCTGGTATGCTCGAGTTAACTGTGGATAGAATTAAAGAGTAACAGCTATAAATAATTTCGTGTAGATGTATATAGATTAATAATATAATACTCTAAATGCTATTTCTTTTTTGAACTTTTTTTACTACTTGTTCTATCATCAATTAAAGGACCCCAATAAACAAAAAATCCTTCTTTAGTAGTTGAAATTTCTTCTTCCATTTGTAATTCGAAATCATCAATAAAAGGATCTTCAAAATCATATTTACCAACTTTTCTAATCATTTTAATTTCATGTTGTCTAACTAATTGTTCTTCAGTTAATTCTTTTCCCTTTTGTTGTTGTTGTTGATGTGATGTAGGTTTTTCTTTTTCATCATCATCATCATTATCATCATCTACTTGATCATCATCTTCTTCATCATCTATCATATCATCAATTATATCTATGGCAGATTTAGCATTTGGATGAATTGTTGACCAACCATATTTTTCTTCAGCTAATTTTAAAACATTTACAACAACTTCAGCTTTACCTGGTTGAGGATTTTTTGGATCTAATAATGGAATATTTAATGCAATAATAGGTGTTTCTGGTTTATTTGTTGCTGATTGTTTATCAGTTAAAGAAAGCTGTTTTCTTTCGTTGGAGCTGGTACTAGTTTTAGATGGGGTTGTAGTAGTTGTTGGTTTTTCAGATTCAGTTTCAATTACTTCTACTTCTTCTTCATCTTCTTCTGGATTTAAAAGATCTATTACAGTTGGAGCACTTAGTTTAACAGGTGGACCTTTATTTTCTGATTTTTCAGTCGTCATTCCAGAATGAATACCTTTTTTTACAGGTTGAACATTAACAATATCATTTTTTAATTTCGATGTTATGATTGGTGATTGTTGTAGTTCTCCATTAGTAACTTTACGACGTTTATTATCATTGGTACTTGATCCATTTTTTCTTTTGATTAAATTATGATTCATCAAAATATCAGCCAGCTGAGATGGAGTTAATGGAGTATGTGATCTGTTTAAATCATCATCATCATCATTATTTATTATGGAATTGATTGAAGTTTTACTTTTGGGTTTAGGAGCTGTAATTGGACCTAATTGAAAAGAAGTTTGAAATTTTTTTATTTGTGATGTTAGTGAAGCTGATGGAGATCTTGAAATTGATCTTGATCGATTATGATTTTTAGATGAACCATTTGTAGATGGTGAATTTGTAACATTTGTAACTAATCTATTTTTTAGTAGTAATGTGTTTGAATTTGATGATTGTTCAATTGGTTCAGGTGTTTCTTGAGCGTCAAAGGTAGTCTGATATTTTGATAATAGCCTTTTCAATGATGATTGCTTTAATTCTTTAGGATCTTTTGCTACTTTTGGAGCAGGTGGTTTTGGCTGTAGTTTTACTAAATTATTTGTATCAGAATCATTTGTGTTTGAAGATAATAATGATGAAATTGAAACATTTTTATTTCTCAGACTCATTATATTGAATTGAAGATGTGCAATGATTGATATGACTTCTGAAGCAGTATAATTTCTAATGAAATCAAGCTTGGTTTATGAATGTGTGTGTTATTATGATTTTGGTTGAAATATTTGGTTGCAAAATTTATTGTATGTTTATTTTTATTTATTGAGTGTATGATATATCTCTTTAATAGATGGAAATATTGTATCAAAAACTAAGATGATAGATAATTTACTTTGTTGAGAGTGGGTTGGAAAGTGCGTGATAATCCTATTTACTATAGGAAAGTGTTTGTGTATAGTAATAAAGTGCGTGTGCGTAAAACACTATTCTTAACAGAGAAGACAATCCAATTTAAGAAGCTAACCCTCTCTTAGTTAAGAACTTGCTCAATGTTTGAGGAATGTTCTAATAAAACTTTGTATAAAAATTCAAAACATTTTTTCTGTTGTAATTTGAAAGAGAGAGAAAGAAAGAGAGAGACAAAGCGAGAAAACGACTGAGAATAAAATAGATCGTTTGGTAGCGGAGAAGTCTGATCTTGACTAGCACTTTAAAAATCATTATGCTTTATAGTAATACCTGTATTGACAATTGACTGTATGCTACTTACTTACTCGTTACTAGATGTTCTTATAGGATTATGATAAAGTCTCAACAGCATGAGCTTGAACTTTGATTATTTTCATTATTTTCAATTGTAATGTCAATAGTTTCAGGTTGATTTTTATTACTCAATTCTCCATTTTCAATAGTTTCATCATCATTATTAAAATCAGGTAGAGATTGAGCAATTTTTTTAAATAATAATTTAACATTATGATTTGCTTTTGTTGAAGTTTCAATAAAAAATTTGGAACCTGTTTTTTGATGTAAATTCTCCACATCTTCAATACTTACTTGTCTTTTATCATTTGCTAAATCTGATTTATTCCCAACTAATACAATTATAACATCATCTCCTCTTTCAACTTTTACATCATGTATCCATTTATCTAAATTTAGAAATGATTTTTTATTTGTAATATCATAACATATAACTGCAACATGAGAATCACGAATATATGAAGGTATTAAAGATCGAAACCTTTCTTGTCCTGCAGTATCCCATAATTGTAACCTAATTGTTTTACCTTCTTCAAGATACATTGTTTTACTTAAAAAATCTATACCAATTGTTGTTGCATATGTTTCATCAAAAGTATCATACATAAACCTCGTTATTAATGATGTTTTACCAACACTTTGGTCACCTAAGAACACTATTTTGTACTTCTTTAGTATATTTGTTTTATCTGAACTCATTTGAATATTGCTTTTTTAATGTATATATGAATATGATATTTCGAACTCCAATGAGAAATAATAAAGTATATGAAGGATCTTGAATATCAACTACTGATCTTGTTTAATTTCAATTCAATGTAATGAGCGTGGTAAGTCTTGATTTATTATTGTATTTGATCTCTTTGTTAAAATGCATTGATCTAATTTGGATTTCAAAAGAAAAACGCAAGTGAGAAAATTGATTAAGATATTTGTACGACCATATTAATTTCAACCATCGTTTCAAAGCTTACCAAAATATGGATGATGCAGAATTAAATGCCATAAGACAAGCTAGGCTAGCTGAATTACAAAAGAATGCATCTGGGGGACTGTCAAGTCCAGGTCCTCAACAACAGCAACAAGCATCAGCATCAAATGATATGACACAGGCGATACTATCCAGAGTTCTAGAAACGGAAGCCAGAGAAAGATTGAGTAGAGTTAGAATAGTTAGACCTGATAGAGCACAAGCGGTAGAATCATATATCTTAAAGTTGTATTCGATGGGTCAAATCAATAGAAAATTAAGTGAAAAGGATGTTGTTGAGATTCTAGATGGTATAAGTAGGGATAGTCAACAAAAGCAATCATCAAAGATTGTTTACGATAGAAAGCAAACCTTGGATGATGATGATGAAGATGATTTCTTCGATTAAGTAGTAGGTGATAGAGATGTACTTACTTGATGGAAATACTAATATACGATGAAGCTAATGTATTACGACACTAAAATTTATTAGTCTCTTGTTTTTGTGCAATTATTGTTCACGTAAATTTTGTTTGTTTATGTTTTCTGTAAAAAAATAGCAGCACTTTAGTTTAGCAAATACTTTACAACCACTAGTATCTCAAAAGATGTCAAATATTCAGGTCGTTGTACGATGTCGAGGGAGAAACACTCAAGAAATAGAAGCCAAATCCCCGATTGTGGTAGAGATGGCTGATGACAATTTTTCCTCAGCCGAACCTTTTGTTACAATAAACAATTTATCTACATCAACCTCAAACACAAACATTAGAAGAAGTTCTAGCTCTTTCAACAAATCAATAAATAACCAATTAGATGTCACACATCCATCTGTAAATTCAGCTAATAAAAAAACATTCAAATTTGATGAAATTTATGGATCTCAGGCAGATCAAATATTATTATACTCAAATGTTGCTTTACCTTTATTAAGAGATTTCATTGATGGAATAAATGTTACAATACTAGCTTATGGCCAAACTGGAACAGGGAAAACTTACACTATGTGCGGATTAAATGATACAAACATTGATTTAACACCAGTCCCAGAAATAGCAGGAATTATACCACGACTATTATCTCAATTATTTCAAATACTAAATAATGAAGCATTAGATAGCGATTACATTGTTAAAATGTCATTCTTAGAAATATACAACGAAGAACTAGTTGATTTACTACTGCATCAAAATAAAAAACTTAGAATTCATGAACAAGTTAATCCAACAACCAAATCAAGCCCAAATGCAAATAATATTACCTCAAAATCAATTTCAATTCAAAACTTATCGGAATTCACCGTTAGTAGTTACGAGGAAAGTATAAAATTACTACGACTTGGATTAGATAAAAAGAAAATGGCTTCTACAAATTTAAACGAACATTCATCTAGATCCCATACAATATTCGGAATTCAATTATTCAAAAAACATCCAAAAAATGACTCAGTATATCTTTGTTCCAAAATGAACTTAGTGGATTTGGCGGGATCAGAAAACATTGGTCGATCGGGATCAGTTGTCAAAGAAGCTGGTGGTATAAATCAATCATTATTAACATTGGGGAGAGTAATAAATTCATTAAATGATAAGAAAAAATCTCAACATATCCCATATAGAGAATCCAAATTAACTCACATTCTCCAAGATTCGCTTGGGGGAAATACAAAAACGGTTTTAATTGCAACAATTTCACCAGCTCAAATAAATGCATCGGAAACAACTTCAACTTTAGATTATGCTGCTAAAGCTAAAAATATTAAAAATTTACCTCAAAATGGGAACGACTCAGAAGTGTTACTTAAAAAAACTTTGGTGAAACAATTATCAAAAGAAATTGGTCAATTACATATGGATCTAATCGCAACAAGAAATAAAAATGGTGTTTATTTGAATCCGGATAATTATGATCGTTTAATAAAAGAGAATGAATCTTCAAAAACAGAATTGAAGGAGAATCTGTTGAAACTTGAACTGTTAACCAAAAAATTTGAGAGTACAAAATCTAATTTAGAATTGAGTAAGATAGAGAATTCGAACCTACAAGATGAAAATGTTAAACTAAAACAGAAACTTGAGGAACTTGAGGCTGAACACCAGCAAGATCTTCAGTCTAATACTAGAAAAGACATGATGATTGACTCATTGAACGGAAAGTTGAACCAAATATCACAAAAATCATCAAATTCAGCAGTATTATTGATGAACTTGTTTTCCAACCATTTAAGCTCTTCAATCGATTTGATAAATGATTCATTAAACATACAATCTACATCAGCAGTTTCCAAAAGATTGGATGATCTCCAAAATGAGCTTCAATTGGATGTACAAACTTATACCAACAATTTAAAATTAAAATTACAATCTCATCAAAATGATTTTAAAAATAATGCCGTGGAGGATTTGGGTCAGATGATCAGTTCTGTCGAGGATATGTTGAATGACTTAACTAAATTACAAAAAACAATGCAGATTAATATGAATGAAGCGTTCACAGACTTAAGAATTGCTAATGAGAAACTTTCTGGATTTTTAAAGGATGATAATTTGACGACAGTCCGTGATAAAATTACAGAAAAGCAAAATGAAATGCTTAAAGTCAATTTAAAAATGTTATATGGTAACATTAAAGTTAATGTAAACAACGAAATAGAGAAATGTTTGAAAAATGCCTCATTAAATAGTATGAACATTATTCAGGATATAGTTCATAAAGAGAGAGCTAACGTAATGTCATACGAAGAAAACTGGAAGAATCAAGTTGAAAAAATTTTACCATCAATAGAGAAAGAATTCAACGACTACCATCAAATCAGCAAATCAAACTTTGACCAAGTGAAACAAATCAACGAAATAGGCTCTAGCAAATTGGAAACTATGAAACATGCAGAATTAGATATAGGCTCAGATGAACTTCCAGATGTTTCGAAAATATCACAAATTTCAAAAAATTTAATACTAGATCAACACCTAATTACCAATAATTTGAAAGAAGTCAATGACAATTTAACAAAAATTCAAGAATTTGACGCTAAAAAGGAATTCAGTGTATCTCCCACTCGATCAATGGTTTCTAACCTTAACCAAAATATGCAAACTAATAATGAAATTCTTATACGGTCGAAAAGATCACTATCATTATCACCACAAAAATCTCAGAACTCCACATTAATAGCTCCATTAGATACCATCACTAGTAACAATCTAAGGATGAAATCTCCGTCAAAGATTCCAAAATTTAAAAGACTGGAAACTAATATTACCAATTATCAACAAAACAAAAAGCGTAAAGTTTTCCACCCTCTTGAAAATAATTCATTGTAACAATATATAGTTTTGTAATAATATATAATCTAATTTGTAACATTAAAAATTTATTGGAATGAATTGTAGATTCATTACTTCTGTCTAAGCTGTTGAGCATAGATCTTTTGGCTAAAACTGGTAGCGATCAATGTCGGTGATAAGCTTTACGTATCTTTATGTCAATGTGGAGTTTTATATCAAACATCACTAACACGTATTACTAAAATCGAACAAACAATTAGCAGCATAAAACCATCCAGAAAACAAAAATTCATCAGATTTACATTATCAGGCACTAGTCATCACCACAAACATTGTTCATGAATGACAAAGATCAAAAATGCTCATAAGTAAAACTTACCAATACATGATTGGATATACCATTATATCTTTATCACTACTAAGTTGGTCAATATATGATTCGTTAACAAAATCCTATAACTACATAATGTTTATAATAGAATTCACTGATGGGTTGAAACTAGGAATATTTATAAATTTTATAATTTTCACATTTTTATTATTTAACAAACTACTACAATTAGCATTATTTGGATCCTTAAGAATAATCGAAGTTGAGCATCTTTTTGAAAAACTACCGATTTTTGCAATAAATTTATCATTGAATATGGCTACAGCTGAATCTAATATTATTTTGAATGTTGCGTTAATGGGTATAGCAATGACTTTCAAAATGATTCATATCATTATGTTTGATAGATTGGATTTCTTGACTTTAAAATTGTATAATAAGTTGAATGAAGAAATTGATGAAGAATTTAATTCAAAAGAGAATGAAATTGAAATAAAATACGTAACTTGGTATTATTTAAGTTCAATTAATTTTTGGTTAAATGTGGTTTTAATCTTTTTAGATTTTACTTTCGCTAAATTTTTGGTTTATGACGTATACCAAGGAGTAAATTCAGTGACTTGTTTATTATTCGGGTTCCAATACGCTGTTCAAGGAGTAGAAGCTTTAACCAATTTAGCCAAATTAGCATTGGGATTTTATGAAGTCGTAAATTACAAACTTAAGAAAAATGCAAGAGAAAGAGAAAGGGAATTGGAAGAGACTTTCTTAATGCAAAACGCAGAAACGTACGAAGAAGAAGAAGAAGAAGAAAATATAGATTCAACAATTGATTCAAACACAAGCAATGAAGTATCAACCGAAGATATAGTAGAACCGTCAGGAAATTTGGAAGAAGTTGATGCAGAAGATCCTGAAAATGATTTGATAGATGACGATGATGATGATATTGATTTTGTATGGGAAAATAAACCATACTACAGTAAGGCTATTGATATTTCATCAGCACTTTTGACATCGGTGTCATATTTATGTTTTATATATTTACTCACAATTCAATCTGGATTATCATTACCACTTTCAATGTTACAAGGTACATACTCATCATTGAGAAAAGCCTGGATTCAAATTACTCAGCTCCTAGCATTTATAGAGTCATCCAAGAGGCTAGATACTCAATTACCTAATGCGACTCAACTGGACCTTGAAGAAAACGACAATTTATGTATCATATGTCGTGAAGATATGCATTCTGTTGAAGATTATCAAAGAGTATTCAAAAAGCCACAATCATCTAGAAGATGTGCTAAAAAATTAGAATGTAATCATATTCTACATATGGGGTGCTTGAAAGATTGGCTAGAACGTTCAGATAATTGTCCTTTATGTAGAAGAAAAGTCTTCGGTGGTGCTGAGCCTGCAAATTCAACTACAAACCCTGCTCAAGCTAATCACGATGCACCAAACCATGCGCCACCACTACATCAAATACCCACAAATAACGACATACCGCCACAACAAATGGAAGACCAATCACCAATTCTTCCACGAAATGGTGATTCTGCAACTACGACAACTGGAACTTCCACACCAAGAAATATATATAATCACTTTGATATATCTCAATCCAATTTTAGAAGAGTTTCCAATGATGCTATGCATGTGTTAGATCCCGGTGACAGAGAAGAAGATATTTTAAGAAGAGGGAGATTGAATAACGGAAACTATTCTAATGACAGCGAAGATCGAGGCTCACAACATATCATACCCGGAGAAAGATTTGAAATCGATGATACTATCGTAGAATCATCATCACGGAATGACAAGGGATCAAGTTTAATATCTGAACCTTCTCATATGCGAAGTTCCAATCTCACACCGACTCCAACATCAGCCACACTAAACACAAATTCATCACTATCGGATTTCCAAACTATACATCTACCAAGTTCCGCTCTTCTCCCTCCGGATTGGGTTCTACTACCATTAGAAAGAATTAATAATGAAACGGACCAGGATGTGAAATATATGGTGAGTTTGACGAATGAAACACTGGCCAAGTTGAGAATAAGGCATAACGATAGGTGAAGTAAAATTTTTCCAAGTCTAAAAACTTACGCTGTATAAAGTTGAATAATGTAATATATATATTTACGAGTGATGTAATGTTTTATAAATTTTATCGCGAGTATAAGTTTATTAAACAAATCTAAGTTATATACCGATCATCAACTGTAAAGTATGCTTTCAGTCGTCGCTTTTAGTTTGAATTTGACCCTGATTGGAATAATTCAAGATTATTTCTTCGTTGATCTGAATACTCATCTGAAATTTTATCACTTTTGCCTTTGATGTCGTCAATCATTTGCGAATTCAAGTTTTACTTTGATCATATAAATTCTAATCGTCTATGTCATCTGACTCAATCTCACTCCAACCGTCAAACTCATCCATTTTACCATCACTCTCATCTATAGCAGTCGTGATCGCAGAACTCATCACCGATTCTTCTTTCGAAGTCGATTCATTAATGTAATTGTCTTTAGTTTCTTGTTGAGTATCATTAACTAATTTTGCTGGTGGATTTGAAACTTCTGAGGTTTCATCAAGATCTGACTCAATTTCTGCCCACTCATCTTCGTCAGATACATTATTCTTCTCTTCTTCATACTTATGACTCGGTTTGTTAGTCTCGTGTAAAAGGCCATTTTTCAAATCAACTTCAAAATCAACATCATCTGCACCATTTGGTAATGAATTCTCTATTTTCTGAACAGGTCTAGGCGGGGCTTCATCATCAGAATTAGCATCAGATTTAATTCGAGACCAATCATCTTCTACTCCCTCAAATTCACTATCATCTTCCTGTTTGTGATCAATGACTAAATTTTGCTGTGTTGAGGTATCAATAACTTGACTTCCATTCAATTCTTCTTCCTTGTCGGATTCGATATCACCCCAGTCATCATAATCATCCTCGATATCTTTCTCATTCTCGCCTTCGTTGATAAGTCTGGTATTTGAGTCATCATATATGTTTTTATCGTCGATTTCGAATTCGAATTCGTCACCAAATTCTTCATTACCGAGGATTTTGTTATAGTGGACATCTCCATCAACTGCAGGTTCATCGATATCTCCATCTAGTGTAGGATCAAAATTATCAACAATAGTTTTATCTTCCTCTTCATCAAATAGTGAGCTTGAAGATGATGTTCTTTTTGGTGTCAGCTGTTTAGTTGCTTCAATTCCAACCAAAGTTTCCCTGATATGACTACATTGTTCCTCGATCTCGTCCTCAGGAATACAAAAATTCAATTTCAAGCACATTTCAACATTTTTATCTATCATCTCTTTGTAATTGTCCAAGGTTGCTTCACACTCATTGAATGTTCTGAATTCACTATTTTCCATAGCATGAAATTTCTCTCGGTCATTGATTTGTAGATCATACATGTTTATTGAACTGACCATCAAATTCAAACAACATAATATTGATATAAAATACAATGCCCCTTCGTCATGATAAGGCGGTTCTAATATTAATTCGGATACACGATTTAAGATCTGCACATAAGCTTTTTTCGCAACAAACAAATACCACAATGACGTTAATAAATACAAGGGAGTTAATGTTTTTGTACCAACCCTCCAGGTTGGAGCTAATGATGTTCTATCTGAAATTTCCAAAGCTATTTGATTTCTATAATTGACCAAATAAAATGAATTTAAATAATTGAAAAATTTAGTGATTTTTAGCTCATAAGTTGATGATGCTTTATTTGATAAATTTTTGGATAATTCAGTTAGGATCTCAATACCTAATGGCCATATCAACCTTACATCAACCATGGGGAACCTAATAATAAGACAAAATATATTATACGCAACATCCCAATTTTTACGTAGCATATTAAAGTGCAATAAAGTATTCAAATTATTCAAATGTTTATTTGTTATTGATTCTTTGAATATTTCTTGATTTGGTAAAATTTCCATCCCACTTGACTCAATGATAAATTTGGTCTTGGTGATTGTGTTCTTTGTGTCAAATGCATTAGTTAAATTTTCAATTTCATGAGTTGATCTAATATCATATTCGATATATTTGTCATTAGAATATTCATCCTCATCACTCTCTGATTCGACTCCAGGTATATCTCCATTTAAAATTTGGTTTTCCTGATCTTCTGCATTAAGATTTGGGTTGGCAACTTTTGTATTGAGATATTCTTGAATCGTCAATGTCAATGGATCAACATCAGGTCTTGAACTATCACTGACATTTGTCTCTAAGCCATTATTGTTGTCCTCATTCTTGTTCTTTTTTTCATTTTTTTTGCTTTTCTTTCGTTTGGTCTTCATTTTCCGGTCATCATTCTGCTTGTTCAAATCATAATGCCATATTTCAAAAGTTTCTTCGGGCTTTAATTTCTTATCTAATTCCTTATGAATTATTCGTAAAACTTTACTTTTGACTTTCGGACTAGAGATTTTACACTTTTGAACTTTGTTTAAGGTTTCATAAATTTGATTGTATTTTTTCAATTCAACATATTTCGAAATAATTTGAGTTTGGTTTTGTTTTGATCGTCGATATTTTTTATAATTGTCTGTTATGTCTTCAAATATCATTTACTATGTTATATTACTGGATTCTGTATTAGTGTCATGGTTTTTTCTGTATGATCTGTATGATTGCTACCCTCGAGTTGTCTTAAATTTGTTGAGACAGTTAATGATCCTGGTTTTTCTGTAGTTATTTGCTTCTATTTGATTTTAAATTATGCAACTTACAAAGAAGTTTTTGAATCATCTTGAAACATTGTTTAGACTTGAATTTGTGATGCAATGTGCTACCACATTATGATTTTAACTTAGCAGAGGCTAGTTTCAGTAAGTGTAGCACCCATACGCTATCATAATTTAAGATATTTATTAACTATATACAAGATCTTAAACTAATGGAAATGACATATACTTCTTTACATTTTTCTATTTAATAAATTTGGCGTTCAATCGTTCAACTTTTTAGTGATAATTTTGAAGGTTTATTAAAACATTCCTGGCATACCTCCCATAGGTGGACCACCAGCGCCTGCAGCTGGAGCTGGTTGTGGGGCGTCAACAATTGCACATTCAGTAGTAGCTAATAATGAGGCAACACTTGCTGCATCGACTAACCCATTTTTAACAACTTTGAATGGATCGATAATACCAGCAGCTAACATATCAGTAAATTCACCTTTTGCTGAATCGTAACCAACATTAAATTGTGGTTCATCATAAATTTTACCAACAATAACAGCACCTTCTTCACCTGCATTTTCTATAATTCTTCTGGCAGGTTTTGTAATTGCTGCTTTAATAGTTTCAACACCTAATTTTTGATCAAAATTGGCAGCTTTTTCTTTTACACCATCTAATATTTTAGTAGCTTTAATCAAAGCAGTACCACCACCTGGTAATATACCTTCTTGAACTGCAGCTCTTGTAGCATTTAAAGCATCTTCATATCTATCTTTCTTTTCACCAACTTCAATTTCCGAAGCACCACCTACTTTAATGACTGCAACACCACCGGATAATTTAGCCAATCTTTCTTGTAACTTTTCTTTTTCATACTCGGTAGTTTGAGCATCATCCATTACGGTTCTTATTTGTTCACATCTTTGTTCAAGATTTTCTTTTGAACCTTCACCATTTAAAATAACTGTATCCTCTTTAGTGACAGTAATTGATCCAGCACTTCCCAATTGCTCAATAGTAGCATTTTCTGGTTTAATATCTAATTCTTCAGTAAAAACAGTACCACCGGTTAAAATTGCAATATCACCTAATGTATTTTTTCTATTATCACCGAATCCTGGGGCTTTTACAGCACATACTTGAACTTGACCTCTTAATTTATTTAAAATACATGCAGCTAAAGCTTCTCCATCAATATCTTCAGCAATAATCAACAATGGTCTTCTTGTTTGATTTGATAATTCTAAAGATGGTAAAATATCTTGAATACTTGAGATTTTTTTTTCAGATAATAAAACTAATGGATTCTCAAATTCAACTTTACCAGTTTTAGTATTGGTAATGAAATATGGAGAAATGTAACCACGATCAAATTTCATACCTTCAGTAACTTCTAATTCATCTTCTAAAGTTTTACCTTCTTTAACAGTAATAACACCTTCTTTACCTACTTTTTCCATTGCTGAAGCTAATAAATCTCCAATTTCTTTATCTCCATTAGCTGATATAGTAGCAACTTGAGCAATTTCTTCGGATGTAGTAATATCTTTTTTATTCTTTTGTAAAAATTCAATAACTGCTTCAACTGCAGCTTGTGAACCTCTTCTTAAATCCATTGGATTACATCCTGCTGCTACATTTTTAACTGACTCAGTAAAAATAGATCTACCTAAAACAGTAGCAGAAGTTGTACCATCACCAGCACTTTCATTTGTTTTTGATGCAACTTCTTGTAATAATTTTGCACCTAAATCTTCAAATTTATCTTCTAAAGTTATAGATTTTGCTACTGTTACACCATCTTTAGTAATTTTTGGGGATCCAAATTGTTGTTCAATTAATACATTTCTACCTTTTGGACCTAATGTAACAGATACAGCATCTGCTAATGTATTTACACCTTTTAATAATGCAGCTCTTCCTTCAACTCCAAATTTCAATTCTTTTGATGAAGCGTGACGAACAAAAGTTCTTGTCACACTTTGTAATTGTCTATTATTGACTTTCAACATTTGTTTTTTTGTAATTGATTTTTGGTAAATGTCTTGATTTGAATTGAATCGGGATTCTGAAAAAGTTGAAAAATTCTATTATAAGGTTTGATATATAGAGATGGGTGTGCTAAATGGCAAAAAATTCCAGAATATTCCACTTCGCACCGGGGAGCTTAATTTTCTGTGTAGGTTGTAAATTTTAAAAATAGGTCGATTTGGTAGCAATTTGCTACATGTTTTTGTAAATTTTTATTAGAATTGACCTTAGGTATAATTGATGAAACGTAATTCAAAGGCATGTTCCTTAAATGTTTAAAAAATAAAAGAAGATGAGTAAAAGCATTACCAAAATAATGTTTAATAAGATAGTAGTCAGTGAAGTTTCTCTCTAATAAACGGTTAATTAATGAATTAACTATCACTATTTCAATCAAATCGAGTCTCGTGCTTAAGACAAGTTGTTTGCAATTTTAGGATAAAACCGTTAGACGTTTTGACAGAGCCTTTAAAAGAGACCAATTTCTTATTTAAAAACTTTTACATTTATTAAAAAAATTACTTACTATGTATTAGTTTTCTAATTAATTTGGAATTATCAAAAAACTCATCATTTCCTAAAGATTTGAAATCAATAGAATTAGGTAAAGTATTAAAATTAGTACCAGATTCATTACCACCAGTGGTATTAGAATTTACTGGAATAACCCCATTATTATTATTATTATTTGCTACTTCCAATCTTTTAGCTTCATCCATTAATGGTCTAATACATAACCAACCAGTTTCAGTTCTAAAATGTCTAGATAAAGCATCACTTCTTGCAAATTTTTTACCACAACCCCATTTAGTTATACCATCTTGTAAATAACCTTCACATTTAAAATTTTTAATACCTTGATGTAATACTTCATGTCTTTTTTTATCATGACTTCTTGCAAAAGTTTTTGAACAATATGAACATGGAAAAGGTTTATCTGATGAATGAGTTTTCATATGAGATTTCAAATTGTATGGTTTTTGGAAAACTTTATCACATAATGTACACGGAAATGATTCAGAAATGTCATTTAAATTTGATCCTGGGTTGGTTATTGATGGTAATAAAGGTTTTGTAGTGGAAGTTGTATTATCTTTTCTTTTTCTTCTTTTTCTCTTTAAAGATGGTGAAATAGTATATGAAACTAAAGATGAATAATCTATATTTGTGGTAGATGGAGGTGCTTGAGGTTGATGTTGATAGCCAGGTGGTTGAAGATAAAGTGATGGATGTGTATAATTATAATGTGAGGAAGCAGTTGAAGAAACCGATGAAACTGAACTACTCTTTTCTGAAATTGATGCTGGACTTAAGGGATAACGTTGATCACTGGAGTTATTGGTTTGATTGTGATAGTTATAATGTGTTAATGGATAAGAAGAGGTGCTATATGTTTGTTGTTGTGGTTGTTGTTGAATATATGGATTGTAATGTTGTGAGTAATCTAATACTTGATTATTATTGTTCGAACCACTATAAGGGAAAGTATTTGTAAATAATACGGAAGAATCTTGTGATTGTTGTTGAGGTGTCTGAGTAGCAAATATTGAAGGAAGTGGTTGAGTTTGTTGTGGTTGTGTGTAAGATGATGTGTTTGATTGATTATATTGAGTGTGATAATGTTGTGGTACTTTATAATCATGTGTGAAATTATAATTTAAATTATTGTTATGATGATTATTGTTGATTAAGTTGTGATTTAAATATTGACTGGTGGTTGAACCAACTGATGATGGGGTACTAATTTGTTCCATTATTGACATAATATATGTGGTTTATTTATCTCTGGAGAAAGTTATTTCAAATTAAATCTAGTGTGTAAATCTTTATACCGAGTGAAACATTAATTTATTATGACAATCTGAGGAAGATAAGACAAAAAATCGAATCTGATGATATTGCTGTGATCTATGTTTATTGATGAATGGTGATAAGAATGTTTCATAAAAATTAAGTACTCTTCAACTGAAACAAAAATATAAAAAGAAAAGGTAATATTTTCTTTGATTAAAATGGTTATTATTTATAATCTTTTTATAAAAAATAGTTTACTTACTTTTTAAAAAAATTATGACAATTTTTAAAAATAAAAAAAACCAAAAAACTAAAAAAAAGTGGAAATAAAAAAATTAAATTTTATTTAGTATATTTGTTACACAAACTTAGTTTTTTATTATTGGCTATGCCAAGACTTTTCTTAAAAAAAATAAACGAATGATATGTCAAATCGGTGATTAAGGATTTGTTTACTTCAATAATTGAATAAAAGCCACTAAGTAGAGGAGAATGAAGATTTGGTGAAAGTTTGTTTGAGCTAGAGTTGAAAGAAAAGAGATTATTTGAAAGTTTAGAATCATATAACTAGGAGTAAAATTTGTATAAAAAAATTCTAAAAATAATTAAAGAATGAAGCATGTGGAAAAAAATATAAAATGTCTGATTGTTTTTTTTATTTTTTTTTTTAATTCAATTCAAACCAATAATATTGTAAAGATAAACCTCTCTTATTTAGTCTTATTAATTTTAAATAGGTTAATTTTAATTATGATCAGTCTTATTGCCTTGTTCTAGTTAAAAGGTATAATTTATTTTGTTAATTAATTGATTTAAAGTAACATAATTTGCTCATTTATACTATTGCTTCTTATGGTGAAGCATTATTGTTTATCTTACAAACTTAATGTAATGAAACTTGAAATACCGATATTCTTGGCATGGCTTAACTTGTTTCTTTATGTGTTTTTATTCACCTGTTTTTTTGTTTATTTTTCATAATTTTACGATATAAATTAAAGTACCTGATTTATTTTTCTTGGCTTTCGTATCTTACTTATGCGATCTCCCCCACTGATTTCTTGGCTGATGATGTATTTACTTTTAAATCTATTTTTTGATCACCGAATGTAGAGAAACCCATATCTTGTAATGATGAACTCAAAACTTCCTATAAACTTCTATTTTTTTATTTATTCCAATCATTCCTTTATGACAATTTTGTTGGTTACTGTTATTTGCGGTATTTTAATTTTGATGAGCTAATCAAAAAAAAAAAAAAAATTTGTCTGATGAATACACTCAAAAAATCAGACATAAAATGTAACAATGCTAATTGTGAATTACGTACTTAATTTCAAAAAAATATTTTTTCAAACTCCTGTCGGATCGAGATCATGCATAACCTTAGTTAAAACTCTTAAATGGATGAACATCCATACTAAATAGTTTTGTTTAAATACCTCAAAAGGAAAAAGAATAATGTAACTCAAAACAACTTCTTGTATAACCTAGGATGAAATATCAGATACTTGAACGATTTGGTTACAAGGCTTGGTTGGTTTAATATTTTTACTTTGTATGATTTGGGAGTCCCCTCTATTTCTCGAAAGGTTCTACATATGGTAAGTTTCTACGATATTCAAACCCCGCTTTTGATTACTACAATTCGACATTGATTAAATTTTTTAAACAATTTTCATTCTAACCATTTAATTCATTCAAATTGGGTCGTTAAATTTATATTGACATGCATTCTAACATTCATGACATCATATAGTTTCGTTTAGGTGGTACAATTCTTTCAATTACAATGTGGTGATTTTATTAATTGATTCCCCGAACAAGATAAAAACATTGAAAAAGTTTTATAAGCCTTGATTTTTTTACTTTTGATATTATAATAACTTGCATTGCCAAGGAAAACTTTAATAAAAAAAATACGAGAGGGTTCTCACTTTTCCCTGCCAAGAAAAATGGTGTTTGAAAATTACATATTATTTATGTGTAAGACCAAAATATTTGTTAAATCTATGACGTTATGATCGAATAAAGTTCATGATGATTAATCTTAAAAGACTTCTAGCCACGAACTTTTTATTTAAGAGTGTAAAAGTAGAATACTTGATTTCATTATTTTCAACATAAATCGGAATATAACTCGGAGACTTTATTTTAATTTTGTAACTTTAATGAGTGTTGTAGTCCTTTTTCTTTTTCTTATGTGAAAACTTCTGCAAAGTTCGTGATTCAAAACAAACACATGGAAACCTTCAAGGAGTATATAGTTATAGATAGAGCTATTCTTGCAAAAATTACTAAAAGCGAATAGTTGCAATGCATTCGCTAGGTCCAACTGTTGGGTCCGATCGCGCACAAGTTTAGGGTTAAACAATACAGCTTTTGATATAAAAAAAAGAAAAAAATTGACTCCCAATATTTATTTATAGAATTGTGGTCTTATCTCGATTCAATAACCTATTGAAGAGTCAACTAAAATTTGATTGATTTCAAGTTTTTGACAAGTAACGGTTCGTTTCGTATATCTCAGAAATAATTTTACTAAAATAAAAACATATTGTAGTTTATTCAAAGCGTTATGTATAAAACTGTCTGTTCAATCCTAATATTCTATAAGTATCCAATTTAAGTAAAAAATTAAATAATCTATATTTGAAACCATCTGAATTATTTTAAGTTTTGAAACAGAATTAAGCTGGATATAAATCTTTCCCAAGTTTTAGATAGAGTCTAATTAAATCCGAGAAATCTAATACTTTGACGTATTTAATAGCTCGATAATTGTCCTTGGTATCCTAAAATTTGAATGCTAATGTTACATGTTTTATATAATTCGGTAAAACACTTAACCATTGAATTGAAAAAATAAAAGTAATTTATGTTGTTTGCGAATGAAAGAAACAATAAAGATTGGGATTTCTTCATCTTCCTTTCTTGTTTCCTCCCTGAATAATTATCGCCTAAGCTAAAAGTCATAGGCACATGTTAGACGAATCATCAAATAAACGAAATAATAATATTTTAGAAAGACTACGAACCAATTTATTTTAGTTTGTTCCGTACGTAACCGGTGTCTTGACACAATTCCTTATCTCTAGTCTAAATAAAAACTTCAAAGCTATGGTCTTTATCTCCATAACCGCTAAATATAGTTTTTGTCTGATTTTTAGCAATTAAATAAGCTTTTGTTTGAGATATTTTATTTTGTTGATTGTGATTTAAAATACATCGGACTTATAAGCTTATAATAAACCCGTGGATTTAATACATTATAAAAAGTTTAAAAACATGATCGATCCGAGATATATTGACACTATAATTTATATAAAGTGATATATGTATGCATATCTCAAATTGGAGTTATATTGTTATTTTTAGAAATGTCTATCATAGTTGTATATGGTTGAGGCAAAAAAGCCTCGAATTTGACAGCATTCAATCCTTCATTATCAAAATCTAAGCGAATTATATTCTAAAATTAGAAAATTCTTTTCCATTACTTTGCTATCATACTAACTATTAATTTTGATGAAACACTTTTTCTCAAAATGTTTGACAAGTGACTACTATACTTTTTTTAACCAATTATGTTGCAAAAATTCAGTAAAAATCAATATAGACTACAAAGTCACTGGAGACAGATTTATTACATACTTCTCACAGAAACTACATTTTCATCGCCTTCAAGTAATATTGTCTAGAATATCATCACAGTGTTTCGTGAATTAAAGATAAATATTACATCAATTTGATATCTTTTGTTTCAATCACCAGTATTGAATTTCACTTGGGGTTTATTAGGCTTTTAGATGTATAGTTAATTTCACAATTCTTCTAAATGATGATAATACACAATGTTTACAATTTTGAGAAAAAGTAACAGTGTTAGTACTTGTCACAATCAATCTAACACTGATGTTGCTGCTAATGGTGCTAGGACTGTTGTTGGTTATTATATAAAACTTTCCAACTCCATTTACAAAAAAAGCTAAGAATACAAGCACTATACAGTAAAGCTATTTAAGACTTTAAAAGTTTGTATGAAATTTGTTCATTTCATTGAATTTGAAAAAGGTATAGATATTTAATTACGAAACAATAATAAAATGTGGAGTTAAACATGGGTCGTATTATGGATCTATAGCTGGTAACACCATGCAACATCCAACACATGCATTTACACGACGGAAAATGTAAACTTGATTTAAGAAGTTGATTGGACATTTAAATCTTGATAATTTGACGATGAAAATTGGAGCATAAAAATAATATTAGATTATAGTTTTTCTCTTGGTAAAAATTAAAATTTCAAAATTTCAAACCTTATCGATATAAAAGATGAAATTGTAAAAGTTTGTTGAATTTAACCTGTTGTGCATTAATTCTGGAGATTATAAATCAATGTCTCTAGCCTCATTTGTTGATTATCACAACCAATTCTGAAACTTGCCATCATCTAATACGCTTAAGTAGTTTGTACTGCCAACCATTATGAACTGGTTACCAAAACTCACCGTATTTGATTGACTAACTGATAAAAGTCGCAGTCATCCAGTTGTATATCAATAAATATTATATTATGCAAGTAATTAAACTTTAAATTGATTGAATTATTTTTTTTTTTTTTGCAATTTTGCAACCATTGTCAAATCCAAAACGGGTAATTTTTAACAAGATGATTCAATTCAATAAAAAATGTGAAAATCAACAAGAAAAGATTACAACAATAATGGGGATTACATCTTGTACGTCGTCAGTTCACAATAATAAGAAACATGAAATATAATAATTTTCATTATCTTGATTACTTTATAATTTATTCATATAAATCCTTTCAAATCTGAAACAAGTTTAATTAAATTTTTATATAAATGATCAAATTTCAGTTTGATTAATTTTTTTTGAATCAATTCAAAAATTCTTTCAAATCACAAATGATTAATAAATCAAATATGGATCAAGAAATTAGTCAAATAAATTCAGGTGCTATCAGCATCACATATACAATTCCAGGTGTACCAAATGTTCAAACTGTTCCATTTGGAGAACTTGATAAATATCATCAAGCTCAAATGAATAATGGTATTGTATTAGGTGTTACAATAGGTGCTTCATCAATGTTATTGATTGTTTTATTAGGAATTTTGTATAAAAAATTCAAGACTTTGAAAACCTCATTATTATTTAACTTAAATATTGGAATTTTACTTATGATTATTTTCAGATCTGGTTGTTACATTAACTATTTATTAAATAATTTAGCAAGTATTAGTTTTAATTTTACAGGTGTTTATAATGGAGAAAGTTTTGCAAGTTCTGATGCGGCAAATGGATTTAAAGTATTGTTAATTACATTAATTCAAGCTTCATTAATTTATCAAATATATGTCATGTTCAAAAATCCTACTTTTAAAAATTGGGGTATATTAGCATCAATATTAGCTGGTTCTTTAGCACTTGCATCAATTGCTACTCAAATCTATAGCACTATTAGATCTCATTTGAATTTTGTTGCTGGTACTTCAGGTTCACCAATTAGAATTGATGGTATTTTAATGGATTTACCAACAATTTTATTTTCAGTAAGTATTAACATCATTTCAATCTTATTAACTATTAAATTGGGATTAGCTATTAAAACAAGAAGATATTTAGGATTAAAACAATTTGATTCATTTCATATTTTATTCATTATGTCAACTCAAACTATGGTTATACCATCAATTATTTTATTTGTTCATTATTTTAATTATAAACATGCTAATACTACGTTAATTAATGTATCATTATTATTAATTGTTATATCATTACCCTTAAGTTCTTTATGGGCTCAAACTGCCAATGATGTTAGAAAAATTAGTTCATCACCAAGTATGTCATTCATTTCAAGATCTTCATCAAATTATAGTAATAATCAAGATACTTTAGGCAGTGCATCTTCAAGAATTTCTAAATTCAATACAATAGCATCTTCAAGTTCAACAACTCCAGTAACATTAAAAGGTGGAATGGATGATGCAGACTCATTTGATTTAAATAGGAATCTGGATTCAAATCCATTGGGAAGTACAGTCAATACTGGATTACCAAGGGATTTGGAAAAATATTTAAATGAAGATATTGATGAAGGTATTATTGCAAGAGAAATTACCATTTTAAAAGATTAAGTTTGATAACCCAAACATTTTTTGATTTTCATTTCCAACTTTATTAGCATTGGCATTTTTCATTCTTTCAGACTTTGATCATTTTATAAGCATAAGCATTTTTAATTCATTCGGTCTATATACTGGTTTTTTATAGTTCTTTCTAGTTTCTCTTAATAAATAATTGAAGTTAATATTTGCGTTCTCAAAATCGCATTCGATTTTATTAAAATTAATTTCTAGTACGAATTTGCAACTCAATTCTTCAACAACATCGTATTGAATATGGTTGCTGAACCAGTTCAAGCGACAGTGCAAACTTTGAATCGACTAATAACTCAAACAAATGATTTTATAAATACTCAACAAGAGAAATTGCAACATTCAGAAATTTATGAAAAGCTTTTTAATGCTGATAATCCAATTTCAATAATACCACAACAGGCACCAAAACCAAAATCTAATACAACTAGTCTATTTGACAAGATCTTGCATAGAATTAGCGAAAGGAAAGTCACATATGGAACAATATTAGCAATTGGTTTGGGTATAACATGCTATAAACTTCACACCATATATTTAAAATCTTCACAACCCGATAAATTCAAAAAAAGAGTTCCAAAACTATCTAACGGAGCAAGAAATGATACAATTTTGATTATAGGATCACCTACTGAACCAATAACAAGACTAATTGCACTTGATTTAGAAAAAAGAGGTTTCATAGTGTATTTGACCATTTTGGACAATATAGATTTGAAATATATTGAGTCAAATAAGTTGAGTGATGAAGTTAATTATATTGATCTCACTAAAACTTCAATTGAAAATAGCATATCTCAATTCAATCAACTTTTGAAAACACCAGTGATACCATTCGAAAGAGCAGAACCTCATTATTTGAAATTGAGAAGTGTTATATTTGCACCAAGTTTATATTTCCCCATTGGACCTATTGAAAATATTGGTATAAACACATGGCAGAAATTGAATGAAAGGTTATTGACTTATCTTAAATTATTTTCTTCAGGGTTGATTCAATTAATTAGGAACCAACATTCAAATTTACTACTTATTAATTCAACTAATACTAGCTCATTAAACGTACCATATCATGCACCAGAAACAATGTTGCAAAATCAGTTATCAAATCTTTTTACAACACTAACTTATGAGTTAAAACAATTTGGTATAAATGTTACGCAATTGAAATTGGGTAATATAAGTTTGTCTAATCAAAAAATAAATTCAAATACTAGAATTGAAAGTTTGATTAATTCTGAAATCAGAGCATGGACTTCGGAGATGAAGCAATTTTATGGCTCCAACTTTAGTAAAAACATGTTTAAATCAAACAAGATTAAGGGAATTGGTGGTAAAGGAACTTCAATTAAAGGGTTGTACCATTTAATTTTTGAATTGATATATGGAAAACATAATCCAAATGTTGTTTATTATGGCAAAGGGGCTCGATTATACAATATCTTATCGTATTTAGTACCAATTTCTTGGTTAAGCTGGTATTTTAACTAATCTATGTGTATCGTAGGTAGTGCACATTTGTAAATATTATACACTACCAACAACCAAAAGTAAAAAAGATGGGCAAACAAAAATTTTTTTTCTTTCCTTTTCATTTCTCTTTTTTTCCTCTTCACGCCCATAAACAAAGAATTATCTATCGAAGCTTTACAAAAGGATCTAAGACTTTATGTCTTTCATCAATATTAATCATCAGATTGCTTCGGGGAAAGTCTCCTGTCAATATAGCGGAAACGCAATGGAATATCATCGATTTCCCATTACACTAAATTTTAATAGTTGAATTTCAAATCACTACAACATCCCAAAGATATATATCGATATACGAATTATCTTGAAAGAGCAAGAGAAAGTATGAAAGATTGATATGAAGTACTTAAGTGATTGGTGAGCCGCTGTGCCACCTTTATAACTAAAACTAAGATTAATATTGAGATTATAACTGAAATTAAGATTATAACTAAAAACTAATACTAAAACTAAATGTTTACTCAGGTTGAGCCAGTGAGCCGCCTATTAGATATATTAAATGACGAGGTTGAGCCAAAAGAGCCTCCTCCAGTCTTAAAAACTATATGAAATACACTGTTTGAAATATAACAAGCGAACTGTACATCAAAGAATATTCCGGTTTGTATATTGTCATTGGTTTTTGAATATAAGAAATAATTGGTGGATTTAAGTCGGTCGGTCTTTTGGCTTTTTCATTCAATGTTTCAGGTCCTAGGGTTATTTTCATAAAAGTGGAAATACTATCTCGTTAGAGGTCTTTTTTCTTTTTGCTTAAAGGAACTTGTTCTTTTTTGGAAAAAGCTCTGGTATTGAAGCGAAGAGAATATTCTCAAGAATGGATTTGTTTTAACTTTGTGGAGTTAGTCACACTGAATCGATTTCTGCTGATAATGTTTCTTAATATTTCGATTATTTTTGGCGATGGTACTACTCGATGCGTTCTGTACTTATGTTCTCGCCTCCGGGCATATTTCGCCTTCGGGCATGTCGCCTTCGGGCAAGTTTTGGCCTTCGGGCGTGTTTTCGCCTTCGGGCATGTTTATGGCCTTCGGGCAATTTGTTACATTCTTTGGGATCTGAATTGTTTTGAGATGGATTCAACATTAGAAGATAAGGTGTTCAATTCCCAACTTGGTTTTTTTAATTCCTTGTTGGATGTTTCAAATGTGTTTCCCTCGGGAAATTCATTTTATGATTTGACAATGGGACTTGGTGTCCTAAACGATAGTCATGATAATTGGTCGTTAGACTAACTCAATGGAGCTTACTCTTGTTTTATGGGTGTCCTTTTTACTTATTTTTAAACTTGAATCTTTTTAGAGATTATGTACTGTCAAAGGTGCCAAGTTTGTGATTGTATATAGAAAATTAGTGCTAGATTTTGAATATGATGAAACATCCAAGCAAACATAGAGTCAAGCTCTGATATATATATAAAATATATTTCTTGATGAGAGTTGCAAAATTTCTGAATTCAATATGATCTCGCAAAATAAAATGAATTTTTTATTAAATTATTTAAACTTCTTACTCTACTTTCCAATGACTTGTTAAACTATTACCTCCACCAGATGAACTATCATTGTTCAGTAATTCTGCAACATATAAAACTAAAGTAGTCACCATATTCACCCAATTCCAAAATTTCCAAGGATGAACAATTAAAGTATTTTGAGAAACACCCCAAAGTGGCCAAATTTGTAGTTCTGTACCTAACTCACCAATGTATGATAGCATCAAATGAGAATATACTGCTATTATTAAACATGGAGAATAAGCATAAATGAGCCGTATGATAGCAGATGGTGGTTGATGATGTGGAGGTTTTAAATGAAATGATTTTCTTGATTTTAAAGGTACTCTTTCATCTTTTAGTAGATTTTGATCTTCATTTTCATTTTCATTATTAATCATTTCACTTATTGCTGAACTTGAAGTTTGTCTTGATCTTGGTTGTGGAGTTTTAGGTGGAGTAACAGTAGGATATGATACTGATTGATATAATGAAGGTATAATTTTCGTTGCTGCATAGAATACTCCTATTCTATAAGCCAAATTTAATAATAATGGTAATGTTAAATTATGAATAGCCATAACCAAAAATTCCCAAACTCCTTTGAATGATAAAGGTAATGTTGATGCTAAAAATGGAACAACTTCTGAAATGGGATTTAAAATAGATGGTGGAATCTTTGGAATTTCTTTACGCACATTTTGAGTTGCTTGTGTAAGTAAATTTGTTAATGCAGCTGATGCACCTTCTGATAATATTGGGAAAGTTTCATAAATACATCTAACAATATATGCAAATAATAATGAAGATTCAATCATGGAACCTTTACCACTAACAATACCAAATAAACATAATCCAATTGTCATTGTTAATAAGGAACCTAATAATGAAGCACTTACCATATCAATTGTAAATGGAAATACATAAATTCTGTATAAAAAATAAAATGCACCTGTATCAACTAAAGCACTTCCAATTAAAGATATAATTAACCAAGAATCTGATCTATAGATTGTTAACCAACTAATTGTTTGTCCAATAGCTTGAATCAATAATAATGAACAAAACCCTTCTAATATTGTAAAAATAGGAGTAGCATTAATTAATAAAAATTTCCAAATTTCAACTGGATTATATTTAGAATTTGATATAACATTTGTATTATAATAACTTAAAAAATAAGTTAAAATACTAGGTATAAAAAAATGTTGACTATAATAAATCATTGATATCCATTTAAAATATCTTGTTCTTCTTGCAATTAATCTTATTGTTGTTAATATGAAATAAATAACCATTGTTGTCAATGAAAATGCCAATCCACAATTAACACCACCAACATCAAACGCTAGTGGTATTGTTAAGATTATTAATACCAAATATAATGTAGAAAATAATGCACTTATGGATCGTGTAGTATTTTTGATGAGTGACATTTGTAAAAGTATTTTATTGAGCCATTTATTGAGGGTTGGGGTGCTATGTAAAATGTTATTTAATTGATAATAAAACTGTTGCTTCTTGTATTCGTCAATTTATGAATTGAAATTGTTTGATGATAATGAGATTCCTTCGGCTAATATGTTGAATATTTCAATGTTATTAATAGTACTGTTGAATACTAATTTCGTTATATATATGATTGTTTAGCTTAGACGGTGTATTAACTACGTAAAAACAGATTAATTGATATGATGATGATTATATATAGTGGTTGTAAATTAGTGAACACTTGATTATCAAGATAATTTTTTTTTCTTTCAATTGTTTTGATTTAAGTTTATCTTTTTTTTAGTATGTAAGATATTAAATAAGTATACGATAATATCAATGCTTAGTGCTTGTAATGACTTGATAGAATAAAGCACGTAGAATCTTGACCGTAGATAATATACAAGACTGGGGATACGTTATAGAGCAAGATGAATAAGAACTGACTTCTAGTACATAAACATTACATTCTACTATACCTAATACATAAGGCTTTTGGTGTTTCATTTCAACCATTATCATTAACTTCATAAATTCATTACATATCATACTTCTAAGTTTGAGTACTTCATAACTATTAAAATCCTAAGAAGCTTTTCTTTTTCAACTTCAAATTTTCTCTTAAAATATTCCTTAATTCGTTTTCATTTGTTTTATTATCATAAAAAATATTAAAAGCATCTAGATATCGTATAACTTCAAATCTTTGTAAATATTGTACATCATTTAATTTATTTATAGGTGGTAAACCAAAATCTTCTGGAATTTCACCACCTGGAAAAGTTATAGATGAATTTCTTGAATGATGATAATTTCCGTTATTATTTTTAAGTGTAATTGCTGGATTGATAGATGTTTCCTTTGTTGGAGTTGGAGAATGTGATTTTGATTTGTAAAATGGTTCTATATCATTTTTAACATTTTCTTCTATAGTTTGAGTATAGTCTAAATTTTGATACGATGTTGTATGGGGTTGTTGTCTAAAAGATAATCTAACTTTGGTTATAAGATTCATCTAAATTAATGTCATTAATAAATGGGAACTTTCGATCCAAATAACTCGTCAAAAGAAAGTGAAATTTATTTGAGATGATTCTTTTCAATCCAAGAAATCAAACATTTATAAAATGAACTCAATCTTTTGTATAAAAGGATTTAAAACTGATATATATTATCACCGTATAAGTATCGTAACATAAAAAAATGTTATCATAATACGAGGAAAAAAGTATAGAAGGACTTGAAATTTGACGTATTATTTTAATTTGAAACCAACTTTTTGGGTGTATTCAAATCAGTATGACATCATGTAAATGAATTTATAGAACAAACTGAAACATTCCTAACAGTTGATAGACTCATATTTAGGCCTAGTTAAAGATCTAAATTGGAATCAATCATGCATTTTTATTGTAATTAGCAATTGAACCAAAAAAAAAAAAGAAAAAAACGGCTAACTTTTATATCATATTGTATGCAAATTGTACTATTTGATCGATTTGAAGCGGTCTAGAATTAATCACTTCAATACACTAATATAGTGTGAGGCGTGGAGTGTAAATCAGATAAAAAAAATTTAATTTTTTGCGCAAAAAGTTTTTAATTTTCGAGAATTTTGAATACTCAGTTCCCAAAAGGGAAACTTTTGCCCACAACCAATTTTATATGGTAGCCCAATTTTTTTGTTAAAATTATTTTTATTTTTTTCAAAACGTAAACAAAAAAAAGTAAACAACTTTTCTTCACCAAAAAACAGCTCAATCATGGAACAACAGTTCAATTACACACTGATGTAGGTATTTGCTATTGATGCTTTGGCTTTAGGACCAGAAACCGAGACATGGGATGTTTGAAGTACGGATGGGATGGGATGGAATGTCTGGAGAATGGTTATTATAATATCAGTGATAATGATGATGATGATGATTCGGTTTTGAGTAGCTCTGATAGACACGAATAGTTAGCATCAGCTCCCAATGATCAACCTGACCCAATAAGAACTATTTTAAATGGAGGAGTATGATTAAAGCTGTGAAAGGAAAAGACATTGTTTGCTTGAATGGAAAAGAGATCGTTGTCATACGCTTCAGCGATTACAGCAGTGGATAGAAAGGGCAGACGGATCAGAAAAACTCAAGACAAGTTCTAGATAGAGAATAACTGTTTAATATATTTTAAAATTGTTGTATAATTAATGTAAATTTGTTAAATTTTAAGATTAGTCTTAACGAAAAATAAATGAAAAAGACTTAACAATTTTAACAAATTTTTCAATGTGAACTATTTCCTAAAAGGGAATGAAATTTTCAATTTTTCCAAAATCCAAAAACGCGCAAAAATCGGAAAATTGGGAAAATTTTATCGGATTTTCACGCCACGCTAGTGTGAGTTGTCTCAATTTAAATAATAAATTTCAACTTCAGAAACGATTTCTTTTACGGTTTTTTTTTTTCAATATTAATTGTTTATTAAAGCTTTCTTGTTTATTAGAGCTTTCTCTGTATTTGGGATAAAACTGAGTTCAAATATTAATATTTTATACAAAAATATGTGTTTACGTAAACAAGAAGAAGAATAGTAATTTATGCAACTTTTTACTATAACGAGTTCTTAATTTTAAATTCTAAGGATATTAAATTTGTATCGAGTCCGAAATATTGTGATTACTGAAGGAGAAACATAATAGTGCACTATCCGTATTAATTATTTTTTTGAATACATGACTGATTGAAAAATTGAAAATAATCTGTTAGTTATAGCCAGTTGATTTTAGGAACTAGGACTGATCGATAACAGTCTACAGGAAAAGCATTTTATTGCGTGAGAAGCTAAATTCAACTCGTCATCCAGTACATTTTTTGGTTCGCTGAGAGCGATTTAAAACAGTACCTAAGTAGAGCGGAATTTTCTAAAAAGGAATTAGTACGGATGTTTATGAAATTTGGTAGCCGAGGAGAGAAAAATCTCAAACAATTACATCAAAAAATTTGCAAAAATTGATCAATTTTGAGCCAAAGTATATCGAAAAAAATGAAGAAAAATAAAAAAAAATTAAAACTCTTAAAATTCAATTATTTTTCAATATTTTCTTCACGGAATAGATTCAGACTTGCCCAATTCAAACTAGACCACTCTTGTTTGATTTGAACCAATATTAATTCACTTAAAGAGGTTCGCACTTTAGAACTTTGCAACCAAACTATTAACAAATTTATTGAACTCTACCCGTTTTTATCGAAATTGTAATTTGTAGAAGATTAATCGATTGATGAGAATCAGTTACACAAGATAGATTATGAAATGATATTCTATTATGTCTGTCTCATCCTCCCTCCACACTAGATCCCAAATGGAAATTACATAAGTACTCCCTATATATTGACTTTTCTCGTAATGTATGATTGTTTCTTATTTTTGTATTTTTGTGTTCATACTTATGGACTTCGGAATTATTTGTTTTCCCGTAAATAAATCTATGCCTCATCTAAAGTTTTAATTTGTGTACGTGAGTATCAAAAGCGCAATTTGTTTTTGTTGAGATGTAATACACTGGGAGTGTATATAGCATTGAACCGCATGTAATCCAAATATAGATGTCAAGAAGAGAGTAGCTTATATCCGGGTTACAGTAATGTAACACGGACCCATATAGAAATACAATATGCAGTATCGCACTGTGTGTTGGTATTTAATATAGAGATGGCGAAATCTACTATCTGATTGGTGACTAGATTAACTAACGAACATCTATATCATCAAGATTCCCTCCAGTATCAACAGGAGAGAATATAACGGATAGATCCTAAGGTGAATCAATTTAACAGTTTTCGATTTCAAAATCAGATGCATACAATCGTTCTTTTATATTTTTCGTACAATACAATAATTATAAGATCGAACCTGTATAGAAGAAGAAAAAAATAGGATCACAACAACCTAAAACATCATATGTTTCATAGTTGAATGCTTTGAGTCAATTTCATGATATCTAGAGGAAGGGATCATTGGTTATTTGTTGTGTTTATTATTTGGAATTTACATCAAGATATTATTCAACAGTAACAGCAACATCATACTAAATTCCAAGAATAATTCAAGTTTCAATTCACAAATTTTATATACATGAAAATGATATAGAGTTCAAAAATTATCTATCAATTCACCACCCAGATCGTCAAAGTTCAAATATTTGCACTGAAAAAGCATCAGTGAGTTATCCAAGAGAAAATGCTACGTTTTTAATGTTATGTGGTAACCTAGACATGTATGAAGTTTTACAAACAATTCAAATCGTTCAAGATAGATTTAACAAGTTCAATTACGATTATACTTTTTTGAATGATGAACCATTTACAGATGAATTTATATACTTGGTCAGTTCTTGTATAACAAATGGTAAAATTAATTTTGAAATCATTCCCACTGAGCATTGGTCATATCCCTCACATATTAATTAAAATTTAGCTCAAAAAATAAGAGAGAATTTTGCAGATGTACCTTATGGAAATTTGGAAAGTTATAGACATATGTGTCGATATTTTACTGGATTTTTTTATAAACATCCAATGGTGAGACAATATCAGTATTATTGGAGAATTGAACCAAATATAAAATTAACGTGTGACATAAGTGAAGATCTTTTCAAAATGATGAAACACAATGATAAAAAATATGGATATGTTATTTCTTTATATGAATAACCCGAGACTATACTAAGTTTATGTGCAAATGTGTTGGAATCTGTCAAATTATGAAACATAAACCCAAATTTGTTACCTGATTCACCTAATGACTACGACTGGTATAGTTTATGTCATTTCTGGTCAAATTTTGAGATTGCAAACTTAGATATTTTCAATAATCATGAAATTTATGAAGTATTTTTCAAATTTTTAGATTCAAAAGGGATTCTATTATGGAAGATGGGGTGACGCACCAATCAATACAACTAGTCTTATGCTAAGTTTAAAAAAAAGAAGATTTTCATTGGTTTAATCAAGTAGATTAGGATATTATCATCCACCTTTTTCAGCATGTCCTCAAAATTCAAAAAATTTATTTGGAAAATAAATGTGTTTGTGACGCAGAAGATGAAGCTAAAGCAACCAATTTAGCTATACGAAACATTTTTTTGAAATTGTTTGAAGGATAAACTTCAGAACTTTGTAATTTAGACTTTGTATATCAATTCTTTATGTCAATAGTAATGTAAATATGATAGGACTATCAGATCGCTACCAATATTGGACTTTTGTTGTTTAAATTTGTAACGAACACGAAATTTTGAATATCTTGATTATTTTGGATAGTTTGACATCAGAACATCTTTAAAATTATCTTTAAACCTTTCCAAATTGTTTTAACAAGATCCACAGTATTACAAAATATTCAAAATGGCAATACAATTTCTATTTCTTATGTCAAGATAAGGTAAAACAAGATTATCAAAATGGTACCAAACATTACCACAAAGAGGAAAATCCTAAATACTTAGAGAATTATCAACAATAATATTATTAAGAAGAGCCAAAATGTGTAATGTTTTAAAATATGAAGATTTAAAAATGATATATATAGAAGATATGCATCATCATTTTTCACAATAGTTATAAATTATCAAGAGAATGAATTAATTGGATCAGAAATTATACATGGATTTATATGGTAATATTTGTGAACTAGATATAACTTTTGGATTTGATGAAGTTTATCATGTATTAGATGAATTAATTATTGATGGATATATTCAAGAGGGTTCTAAAAAGGAAGTCTTGGAAAGAGTTAATCAACAAGATGAGTTAGAGAATAAAGATGAATTTGAGAAGATATTGGTATAAGGTGTAAAACTAGCTTAGAAGTGTTGTTAGGCATAAACGACCTTTAAAATCAATGCATAGTTACTGTTTTAGACTAGACAGTTGGTGAACACACTGTTGGAGCCAAATAAATTACTAGATGTGAATTGCCGGGCATAAATGAATAGTAATCCTCACAAAATCAATACTAAATATTTTAGCACCATATTTTAGCACCACGAATACAAACAAACAACTATGTTTAGAAATCAAGCAAAGGATAGTAGAGAATCACCTATAAAGAAAAGCCCTAGTCTTATTGAAAAACGACAACAATTAGATTCAGCTTTAGCATCAGGAAAACCATTATCAAAAGAAGTAGCAGAAGATGAAAATCTACAAAAAGACTTTTTATATGATCAAAGTATTCAAGATGAATTTGAAATAGATGATGAATATAGTGCATTATCAGGAATAAATGATCCAAAAATATTAATAATTACATCAAGAAATCCAAGTGTTAAATTATTACAATTTTCAAAAAAAGAAATAAATTTAAAGTTTCCAAATAGTTTAAAATTAAATCGTGGTAATTATATTATAAATGATTTGGTTAAAACTTAATCAAGAGCTTCAATATCGGATTTAATAATATTACATGAACATAGAGGTGTTCGAACATCAATAACAAAAAGTCATTTTCCACATGGTCCAACTGCAATTTTTACATAACATAATGTTAAATTAAGACATGATTTACCAAATCTAGGTAACATAATTGAAGCTTATCCTCATTCAATATTTGAAAACTTTAATATTAAATTAGTTAAAACAGTTGTTAAAATTTTAGAACATTTATTTCCACCAGGTGTAAAAAAAAATAATTCAAGAGTTATAAGTTTTATAAATAATGGTGATTATATAAGTATAAGACATCATATATATGTTAAAACAAAAGATGGAATAGAAATTAGTGAAATTGGTCCCAGATTTGAAATGAAATTATATGAAATTAAATTAGGTTTACCTGATAATAAAGATGCTGATATAGAATGGCAAGTAAAAAGATTTATACGTACATCAAATAGAAAAAATTATTTATGAAATGAATAAATATGCATTTAGAAGATGCTTTCATTTTCTCTATTATCATGATTACTTCTAAAATAATTATGACCTTCATCATTTGAACTTGCTCGACTTTTACGTCTATCTCTTAAATTACCCAAATTAGTTAATACTTTACCAATTAAATTATCACCTCCATCCATTGGTCCTCCATTTGCAAAAGTTGCAACTCTACCTAAAGTAGTTCCTGTTCTTTCTATAGTATTATTTGAGGATCAGCAAAAAACCATATCTTTTTCGCCAATTTAACCAACACCTTGATTGATTCTAATCAGGTGTAAATCTTCTCAAAGTAATTTCTCTTTTATCCAATTACTCTTGGCTTGTACAAACTCATTTAATATATACCGCATGAAATATCTAATGGTGTTTTTGTTGTTAATTGTTTTGGCTCTGAAAGTTCAATTTGTCAATCATTTTCTAATCAAATTCCGAGCTTATTTGTCACTAATCAGTATTCAAAGTATGATGATAATTTATCCTTCTTTTATGGCTAAAGAGCTAAACTTGTCTCCCATGCTCTCTCTCATTATATTGTTTCATCCGATGCATTTATTTTAATATTAATGAAGTGATACAACGCGTGCAAATGTTTACAAAATTAACCAAACCGACGTGAATTTGGATCGTGGGATATTTGCTTGATTGATAATGTTGAAATTTCCTGATAATTTGAATTCATTTTCAATGATTTTTCATGATTTAGGTAGATTTGGTGATGCTTTGTTACAGATAACCAGATAAAAATAAAATACAGGTTATACGCTACCACAGATTAAAAGTGTTGCAAATTAATCCAACAAAAATATGAATTTCATCTACACATTAAGTATAAACTTATCAACTACTTAAACTTAACAATATAGTTTATCAACATAATTTAATTTGAAACTACAAATGCATTAACAAACACATTCACAATCACATCACAATTACAATAACAATTCAAAATTTCAAACTTAAAATCTGATCTAATCTGTACCATCAAAAACCAAACACTCGAAAATGTGCAACACCACAAATGAAAGTTCCTCATCACACAAGATATCCATATTAGTTTTCATGGAATACGTAATATGTTATATATGTGGGTCAATGTTTAAATCTCCGGCAATGTTATTAAGACACATCAAATCTTACCACCAACTCAACCATATGGTTCCACCCGTATATGATCCTGAAGCTAAAATTTATACTTGTCGAATTTGTAACACGAATTTTAAAGATCAAGCTAGTTACGAAACACACGAAAAGCTGCATCATAAAAATTTAAAAAAACGACCATTAAATAAAAGTGAATTGGAAAGAAAAATCCTTGATCATAAAAAATTGGGTCCTATAAAGGACATCCCGCCTGCTGTAATACAACAAGAAGTTTATACATGTCAACATATGATGAAATTGAAAGAAGTTTGTGGCAAGTCCTTTGGCGACGAATGGGATTATAAAAATCATTTTCGTGAATCACATTTATTAATTGTATGTGAGCACTGCGGAGACGAACACTTACTCCATTCCCATTATCTGCATTTGAAAACAATTGATTGCATACGAATCCGTAACTCAAAAAACAATTATGATGTTTTCAATGATAAATACAAAGATGCTAATACTACTTTTGAATCGCCTTTAAATTTAATCAATTTTGATATATTTCAACAATTTATTGATAAATTCAAAATTCCAAAAATGTCAAAACCCACAGAAATTAATAATCCTCACATGAATGATGAAAATGGAGATTCGAATAAATGTGCAAATTGTAAGTTGTCATTCTCAGGACAATTTGGTGTGATCCTCCATTTGTTCAAAAGTCCTGTGTGTATGTTGAACTATATTTTTGATATTGAAAAATTAAATGAATTATTTGATCCACTTCTTAATAACATAACTTTAAAGGATGCTTTGAGCAAAAGCATTTTAAAAACTCCAGGTGTTCTTTGTGAACTTTGTCTCAAACAAGGTTTAGAAAATTGGATTGACTGTCCCGATAGCCATTTGTCTCATTTAAGGAAAGATCATAATTTGAATCAATCTTCACAACAAAATCATTATTTAACTCTGGATTATAGCACAATAAAGTACTGCTGTTGGTTTTGTAAAAAAGATATTGACAATCATAATAAATTAAAATCTCATCTAAATGAGTGCACCATGATGAAACTATATAAGTGTCCAAACTGTAAAACACCATACTGTACTCAAAAATATATAAATTCCAATGAACATAAAAGCATATGTAAAGGGATTCTCCAAGAAAAATTGGCATTCAAGAAAAGGATCACATGGTTTGGCTTGTTGTGTTTATCGACCATCTTGAATTCAAATAATGCAAGTAATGAAATGAAAGAGTGGGTTGTTAAAAAATTAAAGATATATGAGAATCAAAAATTCGAACATTCTATTGACTCAAAAGGAACATTTACGGAAAAAATGCCAAAGCCAAATTATTTCTATGAACGTAAAAGTTCCACAAAATCAAATGGTAGTTCATTCAAAATCGTCAGTCAAAACATTAATAATCGTAATAAACAAGATACAATCAATCATTTGATAGATGGTGAAACAACCATCTTGGCTTTTCAAGAACTTTGGTTACCACATACTAACCCCATTTCAAATATAGATGACTTTGAGTCTTATAGATCAAGTTTAGAATCTCAGGTAGTTACTTTTGTGCGTAAGGCCTGGACTAAATATGTGAGTGAACACGGGGAAATCAACAAGCGTCTTCCAGCCGAATACAAAGATTATGTTTACGATGTGGAATTCAAGACTGAAAGTATGAAGTTTATCTTGATCAATATTTATGGCAAAATAGGAAAACAGATAGAAATATTAAAGGCATTGAGGAAAGCATTAGATGATTATACAACCACTCGAAAAAGGAACAAGAAATTTGAATTAAAATACATATTTGTTGGTGATCTCAATATGATCAGGGGTGCAAATGATACATTATTCAAATCAAGATTAAAATCAACACACATAGATGCATTGGATCGTATGTTGGAGAAATATAATTGTTGTGATCTACAACGAATTATTGACAAGGATGGAGTTTTAGTATCAAATATTGGAGCTGCTACATCCCGTAGACTTGATTATATCTTCATCGATCGAGAATATGTGAATAACGTCATCCGACTAGAGTCAAAATTCAAACATATTGGCACACATCTTTGCTTGACTTGTACTATGAGTCTCAATGCAAGTAATGATAATTTTATATCTAATAATCATGATTTTGAAATTCAAGACATGATTGATGTATATACCCAAATTCGTGCTGGTGCGAGTTGGGATTCAGTTATGTCGTCGATAAAGGAGTCATTTTCGGACTCAGTGGATATTTCATCAATTAAAAATATTTTGTCTCAAAAGTCGAAGGAGCTTCTGGATTTGATTACAAATATGGGTGTAAATAATTTTACAAATACTGAAATTAATGTTGGAACTGGTGCTTTTGGTAATTCGGTTCAAGAGGAAGCTTTAGTTGAAGAGGAAATTGTGGTTGATGAAGATGAAGAGGAAGATTTGCAAATAATTCGACGCAAAGAAGCTGAAGATAATAAAGTAGATACTGATAATGTTACACAATTGGATGATTTAACAGCTCAATTTGAGAAATTGCTTATTGATGAAGAGGAGTCATTTATGGAATGTGATGATTCTGAAGTTTATAAAATAAAACTTAATCCATTATACATTAGTATGATGTTTATTGAAACTTCGAGTGGTTCAGAAAGCATTGAAATTGACAGTAATTCTGACGGCGAATCCGATGATAAAATTGGAATCAAAAGAAGAATCCCATTACAAGAGATCAAAAATGATGCAAACACTGAAGAAAGAAGAAATAAGAAATCCAAAACTAAATAAATTATAGTAAATTACATATAATGAATGTACAAAATCAAACGTTTCTCTTTCCCTATAATTTCTAAACAGATTCCAAAGAGACAAAAGAAGTACAAAAATTATGGTTGATTATGGTTAATTATGTATAAACACTAACAAGCAAAGAAAAAAAATAAAGACACCAAGACCAGCAAAGCACCAAGAAATTAAAAATTCAGTAATTATTAACTTGAAATTGAAAATCATTAAACCATGAGCAAAATTTTATTAAGCGTACCCAAAAAAATTATTCAAGCTTCAGATTTAGCATTTTTTTTTTCTTTTTTTTTTTCCTTTTTAATATGAACTCCATAATCATGGACATTCCCTTCAAACTCTTCATCAAAAATAAGATTGAATATTTCAATTGGTTGGTCTTTAATTTTATGGTAGTATCTCGCGGACAAAGTGACATCACATTTATTACCCACCAAGCTCAAAGCATAAAAAAATTCATCTTCTATACCTGTAGGTGGGAGCTTTATTTTGTTATGAAAACAGTATGTAAGTATAGCTCGAAGTAAATGTATATCTTGTGCTTTGGTATTGACATGATCCAAATCTTGTCTCCTGACAATGGCTGGTAACAGAGAATCTTCTTGTCTCATATTCCAATATTTTGTGACAATAGCACCTGGTACTCTTTTTAGTTCCTTAGCAACATCTTTAAATACATCCACTGATGACTCATGCTCTTTTTTGCCCGCATCTGAAATCTTTTTTAACTCCCAAGCTTCATAATTTCCATTTCTGAAAGTTTGAGGGTGTTGTTTAAACCCCAAATAAAAAAAATAATTTTCATATCCCATATCTCTATAATCTTGCTCAGTGTACATGCCCCTGCGGAAAAAATCCAATTCAACATCAGTATATTGATTATCCGCTGTTTTATAATTGTATTTTTGTTTCATATAGCAAGCTATGTTCACATTATTATTGCCTTTTTCACAATCTTGTAAATAACTTATAGCATCTGAAATAGTCATCTTTTTCATTTCACCTAAACGTTGTGAAAAAACCACATAGGAGTTAGGATTTGACGCTGAACCTGCAGCGTAACAAAAAGCACCAGAAATGGAAGCAGGGGGGAATTGTGTTCCAGTTTGTTTGCAAAACGTGATTAAAACACGAAGTAATTCGATATCTTTTTCCATAGGAAAACTAGGTATGGCTTTATTTTTTGATTTAGTTTTTGATTTATTTTTTGATTTATTTTTTGATTTATTTTTTGATTTATTTTTTGATTTATTTTTTGGATGATCTTTTGCAAATTTCAATTTTTTGTATTGTGCTGGAGGGAATTTGTTCCTTGTTCTTGTCCAGTTGCTCATAATAATTTGGGGGGGTCTCTTTAAATCTGCTGCCATTTGTAAAAAAAAGTCAGTATCAATTCGTGCCGCTTTTAGAGCAGCTTTTTTGATGTGATCTATTTCAGAATCATCAAATCTTCCTTCTTTAAGTTGATTTTCTTCCTCCATGAATCCTAGTTGGTAAAGAAATTTATACCCTTTTTCTAATAATTCTTGTTTCAGATAGGCAAAAGTATAAAGCTCTTTTAATCTCTCTTCTTCTTGCTCTTCATTTCCCTCTTCTCTATTTGCAGCATTAGATGGAATAGCAGCATTAGATGGAATAGCAGCATTAGATGGAATAGCAGCATTAGATGGAATAGCAGCATTAGATGGAATAGCAGTAAAAGAAACATCACCACCTCCAGTTAAAATACCTCTAACATTTGACCCACCACCACCAGATGAAACACCTCCAATAGTTTTACTAGAATTATCTTCATCCGTTGAATCATCCGCTTCATCACTTTCAAATTCCTCTTCTGAATCTAATGAATTATTTCCTGCAGTTTTTTCAGCATAGTCTTGTGAGCTATTACAGCATGCTGCGTCGTCTTCATCTAAATTGTAATTAACTCTAGTTCTTTGACGTAATACTCTTGTTGCTGTACTAGCTTCTGCATCTCCAAAACTATTATTAAATATTTGTATATCATTATTTATTTCTTCTTCAGGTTTTTGATTATTAACAGCACTAAAAATTTTATCATTATCAATACCATTAACTCTATCAATTTTTAACATATTTGTAGTATTTGAAAAGTTGATTTTAATTTCTTCAATACTTTCTACTCTATTTGATGATGGATCTTCTTCCATATCTACATCATCTACTAAAATTGAATTAGATTCTTTAACTCCACCATTACCTTTATTTTCATCACCTCTATTAACTCTATCATTTTGTATCATGTTTTTACTTTTTAATAAATCTATTGTAATTTCTTCAATATGTTCTTGACTATCAGGAATAATATCTGCTTCATATTCATCATCTTTTTTCAAATATGTACTTCTAGTAATTTCTTCAATATTTTCTTGACTATCAGGTATTACATGATCTTCATTTTCATCATCTTTTTTTAAATATGTATAATTCGAGGGTTGCATGATATTATTATTGTTAACTGCCGCTTTTTTTAAAGAATCAATTTCAATTTCTTCTAATTCTTCAGAACTATGAAAATTTACTTCTGAATCTATTTTGGTTTGAGTTTGACTGCTGTCAATTATCTGTATATGTGCTTTTTTAGTTCTTGGTAATGATGTATAATCATCGTCTGCATATATATTATCTGATGATAATTCTTTATAATTAATTTGTTTTGCTTGTCTTAATGATCTTTTAGGCCTAACCTGATCAACCATTTTAAAGAATGATCATAGAATTGATCCAATGAAGTTGTTAGTTGATTGTAGAAAAAGTGTGGTAAAAAAATTGTTTAAAATTGTACAAATTCAAACACTTAATTAATACTATAAAATAATATAGAGGAGAAACAAAAAAAAAAGTACAGTATTTGTTTTAGATATCATGAAAAAGATATCCAAAATTTAAAATAAAATGATAACAACAAATTAATCAAAAGGTTAGTAGAGCTTCTTCAAGAGTATTATTTCACACTTTCGATAATAGTTGGGAATGTAAAACAAATCAATCAATTAATAGACACACTTGCATTTAGGTCAATCAACATATGAAGTAAACATCTTACAGAGTACTAGATATAATAATTTTGTATCAATTTAACAAAGGAATTCATTTGGATCAATATTTAGAAACTTTTCATTAGCATCTACAAAAAAAATGAAATCAAATCAATTTGGGATTGTATTGGAGGCAATAATTTACAATCTTTAACTGCATCCTCATTAGATCCAAGTGATTTACTACACTTCGAATCTTTTAATTGCAAAAATCTTTGCAAGATGAATTTGTTTGAAGATCTTCAAATTCCAACATCTATCAAAAAGTTAAGAATCTGTTCTTGTGATCTTAAAAGTTTTAGTAAATTAATCAAGTATGACAAACTAAATTACTTCACATATATTACAGTTCTGAAATTTATGACATAAATTAAGTGTTCTTGAAATTTCAACGTCTCCTATTGCTAGATGTAGGTGACGTTGGAATTTTAAGAACACTTAATAGTTTAGAGTTTGATCGATGGTATTGAAAATTATTCAATCAACTTACATTTATCTTTACATATAAAATTATAATATCTAGTTATCATTAAATAATAAAGTAACTCCGAGTACGCTTAGCTAATTATATATTGAATCTAATAAAAAAGCTGATAAGTTAACATCACTAGTTTCAATTTTTCAACTTTATAATTACAATATTCTCTTAAGAAAGTAGAGATTTAAAAAAGTAGAATTAGTACAGATGTTTCATAATATTGGTAGCTCGCATTAAAAATATGTTGGAAAACCAGACTAGAGATGCGTGCGATAATGACAATAATAGTTTCTAATATATAAATAACACTGCTTTAATACTAATGATTATAATAACAGCAGTTGACACTTGTAATATTAATATATATAATATAAATAATGAACATCAATCTAATAATTATAGTAGTTGATAATAATCTGAACTTGACTTAAAGAAACAGTTAATAATTTCATTTATCATTTCAAAGATACTTTTGATCTTTATATAATGTAACAATCATCATTACCCCAATTTCATTCGAACTCCTCTTTTATCAATTAATAGTACAGTGCGACACGTAGGCTGTACGCTGTTAGGGGTTATACGCACCAAATTTTGTTAGCGTTTACCAACAAAATTTGTGAAATAGAATGCTTCATAACTTAGTCAATATAAGAGATATGGTTTTGAAACTAGCTTTATTGTTCTCTACAGGCCTGAAATAACCTATTATGACCTTCAAAAATAACTTTTTTCAATTTTCTTCATAAATTACCACTCTAAAATCGCTAACAAAATCATACAACAGAATTTTAAAACGTATTAACAAATAACACAACATTTCAAAGAATTCAAACTCATTCAAGATGAATCTTAACTTCATATAAGAATTAAACACCTTCAACATTTTAAACCTTTTAACCACCTTTGATAGATCACCTTTATGAGATCACTCCAAATAACAAATAATACTCAAATAATTGATATATTTCTTAACTTACCATTTCTTCACATGTTAAACTAGTCATTATTACCATTAAATCTGTCAACACCTTCAACAATTTAAAGATTTCATATTAATTTACATCTCTCCACAACTTCAGTCAATCATTAACATAATTCATAATATCAAAAAAATATCCTTGCTAGATCGCATTTAAAACCAACGAAAGTACTATGGGTGCAATATTAAGTGGAAAAATGTCCTCTAATTATTCATAAACCACCTTGGGTATGTTGATAAAATTTTTGAAAAATGAAACAAAGATTTTTACCATTCACCAAATAATTGTAAATATGAGGAAAATTTCCAGCTGTATGATGACCCAATCAAGTAGATGATTTAATGTCGTAAGAAGCAAATTGAAAATCAGGTTTGCATTTTTGACTGAAACTGACCACACAACAAAATGGCATAGTTTTTTAGTTCATAATTGGCGTTAATGGAAATAGCAAAACCACCAAAACTTTAAAACCAATCAAAATATCAGGATTTATTTAAAAAAAAATAAGACTATTCAATTCAACTGATATACCATAATGTTGGATAGCTTGAATTGTTTAAACTCATGGATTAATAATGACTTGAATTATATGAAACATTAAATAGTTGACACCATTGATATCATAGAAAGCATTTAACCATAAATAACTTATTGAAAATAAAACCAGTGATCATAAAAGCCAGTTTAACCATTAAAATCAAGAAAAGTTAAACTTTTGAATTCGGTTGAATTAACTTCATCATAATGATTTGAAGTAGTAGCATTAACATTGTCAACAACAAGTGCCTGAAGCATAACACAAATTTAACAATAACATGTCGGAACTTTCTTCAAAGGAGAAACTTTTATTAATTTTCGCTTTAGTCGATCATTCTGATAAGTACCTCAGATTAAGTTGATTCAATAGTTACTTGATGTCAATTATTTCAATTTGTAATATTCTGGTTTTGATTAATTCATACTATGTTTGTTGATTGAATTTTTTGATTTGATGAATTTTGAAACTGACTATACTGGCTTTGATCGATTGACAGATTGGAACTGATGATCTTTCATTTTTGCACCTCCATTAAGATTATTATGATTCTCCAATTGGCATGACCACCGTGATACTCTTTGATCAAATATTTGAAATGAATTTCACATTTGTTATTGTATCTATATAGTCCTCGAGAATGGGTATCCCTCTTTCCTTTCCTGTTATGAGTATGAATTGTAGATAGCTTTTTTCGATAAATCTTAAATTATCCGAAAAATTTTTAAAATTGAAAGCTAGGTTTGAAATTTGATTTGATTCCGAAGAAGCCGAATTTGTTAAATCTGAATGAAATCCGGTTGTATCCGTAGATGTTTTTCCACATTGTCAATCAACTATAATTTAAGATGTCTAGAGTGAACATGAACAGAATGATTATTCTAAATATCGAAAATTGTACATTTTTTTTTTTTTTTTCTTCTACTGTACATAGCTTTTTTTTTTTTTCTTTTTTTTTCTCTCTACTATATTATTAAGCCATTCTATATAAATTATATACTAAACTATATAAGGTTATAGATCCACAAAATAAAAGCATGTTTCTGTTGAGGAAACTTTCAATTAATAATTAATATTAATATATCAATTATCAATTAAAAGGAAAAACCTCAACCATAAAAATTGGATTAATATTTGGATTAAATTTGGAGCAACGTTGATGGAATTAGATATTCTTTATATATTCTTTATATATTCTTTATTCAGCAAATAATTATATTATTAGAACCTTGTGTGGTATTGGTATTTAAATTTGGTTAAAAATTTATTCAATTTAGGTAATGAGAATGGACCACTGTGATCTTTATTCTTCCGTTCTCTCTGATAACACAACACTGCTTCTAAGTATTGATTTATTTTTAATTGTGCTATTTTGGAAATTTTATCATTCCCGATAAATAACTTTAAGCTTCTTTCACCCTCACAAGGTTTGAAAAAATCCCATATAAAATCCGTAATCATACATTTGGTTATAACATGATCAAAATATTGACCAGCCGGTAAGGGCTGTTTACATAAAATACAATTTTGATTGTCTGTGGTGTATGTAAAATGACCTAAATTTATTCGATGTAGGATCTCTACACCTCTTGAATGTGTTCTTTTAGTTTCATTCAACTTTGTAAAGAATTTACTCCATTGTTTGTAAGTAATTCCAAGCAGGTAACTCCATTTTTGAGCTCCCGCTGTGAAAATTGTTTCATTTTGTATCTTTTTTGAAATTGAATTAAAAAATTTAGGAGGGAGACGGTTTATGAGGTGATCTTCTTCTGTTATAACCATGTGTGCAATCATATTATATTCTTCCATTGTTATTGTTTTTCTAGTTACTTGTGTTATTTTTCGATATGGCTCAACCAAATGGAACCACGCTAGTAATTGCTGTTTTTCCATGTTGGTGAACATTTTGGTATTTCGATTATTCTTTTTTATATATTGTGCTAATTCAATATTTGATTCTCCTCGTGTGTATGCATATTTAGTCAAATACTCATACCATGGAACTAAGTTGATTTTGTTATTGGTTGTATAGTAGGCGCGAATTACTACACAAACAAGTGAATAGATAAAAAATCCATTAATTCTCTATAAAACGATACAATTTAATTAATTTACTTTATTTTTATATTTATGAATTCTGTGGTAGCTAATAATAACTGAAATATGGTAGCTATCCCACATAGCTCTCAATTCTCGAATAAGTTTTGTTCAAAATAGTGTTAATTGACTTACATTCCCTTTTGTTTTTGTGTTCATCTTAAGGCTATGACTTATGAAATTATTTGACTAGTTATGGACTTGAAAAGAGCTAAGTCAAGAAATCAATCGAAGAATGTTTACTACATTTAGATGATGCATTCAATCACTATAAATTCATTACAAATTAATATCAAAAATCAATTGAACTGCTGTCTTGTTACGACAATAATACGATTCACTAAGTCTGTTTGAAATGATCAAAAAACCGACAAAAAGAAAGTAGAATTGTTTTGATGTATGTAAACTTTACTATGTCAATATATAAACACAAATGACTTTCAATAAATCTGCAATTTGAATTCTCTACTATCAAGGTCAAATTTTAAAATTTATAATGATGGTGACAAAGATGATGAATTTAAATTTATTTCAGAACTATCAGCTGTTTGTTTTAAGAAGTCTAATGCATCTTTGACAGTTGCATTTTTTTCAACTTCTCTTTGTTTGGCCATAACTTTATAAAAACTATTGGGGTCTGAACCCAGACCTGCTGCATAATAATAATTTTGTGTTAAATTGTGTGGTGGATAACTTAAATTCATATTATAACAATAGGTGATGGCAACCCTCAAATCTTCAATAGTTTCAGCAATGGAAATAGGTTGACGTACATCATCTGCTCTTCTGATTCTTGTCATTTCTTCAACAGTAAGCGCTGGTCTTACTTTCTTTCTATAACAATCTTTTATTGATTCTGGGTTTCTGGATAATGCTGCAGCTAAGTTTAACCACAAAGTATTTGAAATCTTAGAATTTAAAACTTTTTCCTTAATAGCTTTTATTTCTTCATTAGAATAAGCACCTGTATTTAAATCTTCACCGTGATTTGAAAAGCCTAAGTAGAAGAGGTGCTTGTAACCTCTATCCAATAATTCCTGTTCTGTATACCTATAAGTATATAATTCTCGTAATTGAGCTTCTTCATCAGCTTCATCAGTATCTTCAATATCTAATGCCGTTGTTGTATTATCATTTGTTGTATTAGTTACTATTTGCTCATCATTCAAAATTTCATCTTCGTCACTTCTTATTTCATCTTCTAAATTATAATTACCATCTCTATCGCTAGATAATCTTCCAACATCATCAGAATCAAGTCTATGAATGACCTCTTCTCTATTTTGTAATATTCGACTTGAAATTGATCTTGGTTCGTTAATAACTTCTTCCATGTTTGATCTTGTTTCATTTAATGATGATGAATTATCTTCAACTTCTGATTCTATACCATCCAATTCTATTGAATCAAATTCAGCTTGATCATCAATTTCAATTGGATCGGAATACCTTTCTATTAATCTTTCATCAATAACATCTAAAAATAGTGGTTGAGACATATAATAGGATGTATTAAGTAATGATGTAATATATATATGAATACTTACAACACAACGCTCTTCTTTTTTTTTAAAAAAAAACCACCTTGTTGGTTTATTAAAAAAAAAAAATAAAAACGCGTGAAAGTAATAGCCTAAAATAAATAAAGTATTATTGTTGAATTATATGACAAGTTGGTTATATACAAGAAGTCGGTGCGATGTAGGCAGAATTATGGTGGTGGAAAGGTAGGTGGTGCTAGGCTTAGCAAGACAACAGGTTAAAGGTGGACAAGCTGTGCTACAGGTTTTTTGACATATATACTATCGTAACATAACTAAACTAAGTTTAAACTAATACAGATAAATTTTAAATAAATTACCTCTGAAAATCAATAAATTACCAACTCTTCAAAATCAAATTGCCCTTTCTAAACAAAAAATTACCTGAGGATAAAAAAAAAAATCACCTTACAACCGATTTCAAAATACCAACAAATATTTATTAAATCACCTTCTTAACTATGTTCTCATACGTTTTGATGTAATCTAAAATTGGTTGCAAGGTGAATTAATCTTTGTTGTTAGGTAATTTAAAAATTTCTAAAGGCAAATTATCTATTTTAAGAGGTGATTTATTTAAAATTTGTCTGTATAATTTTTGAAATGTTTTAAATTTTTTTCAGGGAATATGAGTTAAACCCATAATAAACAAACCCAAAAATTTGTTAATATTTGCTTAACTATGAGACTCCTTTCGTTGTAATGTATTAACCCTTTTTTGAAATTTGGTCTACAGACGATATACTAATACAATCGTATATGCATCAAATAGTATTTCTCAAAATTTTTGTAAATCAAGCACATCATTATAAAATATTAAAAAGTAAGTCTTCATTTTTTTTTTTCCAGCTAAATTTAAGTTTATAGGTAATGAAATGATGAATTTTTTGTATGTTAGGCATTTTTAAATCGATAATTTACCATCAAAAAGAAGACAGTTCTTATTCTCAAGATAAAAGATATCATATTTTGGGATTACCTGATCTGGTTTCTAGATTCATTTTATTTTTTTGTAACAATTTTAAATTTTAAATTTAATACATGGTCCAAAAAAGTAAAATAAAGTTTACGAAATTCTGATTCAATGAAATAAAATCTTGGCATCTTTGTAACATTTTTCAAATATACACATTTCTTACATAGCCTATATATGTTTTTTAAAAACACAAAAATGTATAAGTATATTATTTACCAATGGTTAGTAAATTAATGCATTGCACCGAAAATAGCTTTATTTTGACGTTAAATGTCTCTCCACATAATTAATTATAAAATTTCAGAATAAGGTTTTTGACACAAAATTTAAAGATTACTTAACTTAAAGTGAAATTAAATACCACAATTAAAAGTGTAAAAATATGTGATAAGATAAGATGACCCATTAATATTATAAGGAGCTAGCGTGTAAACACCAATGTTTTGTTTTGATTTACTAATATTATCATTACTCATTTGTCCAATTTTTTTCCCAAAAGAGATTAATCAAATTGCCGTTCATGTACTTCATTTGAAATAAAGTATTATTGAATTTACTTTAAATCTAATTATAGATTTTTAAATAACGTTGTAAACTTAATGTATTTGAGCTTTATTCTATGTCAAATTTGACTATTGATGATCTAAAATACAAAGGATCTTACTCAGATTGAGGATCATCTAATTTTAACAATAAGATAAGCAGTTATTAATTTGAAATACGTAAAACATAGATACGATATTGTGGGGTTATCCAATATTAATACATTTAGTATATGCATCAATGCTTATATAGTTAAAAATTTTGTAAACTATACGCCTCATTATTAAGATAAGTTAAAATTTACTATATTTTATGTTTCAAAAAAAATATAAATAGGACAGAATTTTCCTGAAGTTGAAAAATTTTTGTTTTACTTTTCTCTTCTTCTTCTTTTTCCTTTTTCTTTCTACAGAGTTTTCATCATCATCATCATCTATTATTCATAATTCAATATCAATCAGATCGATTAACTCAGTCTTGACTTGATTTATGGTGAGTTGATTTATTTATTTATTTATTTATTTATTTATTTCATTTTATTTGTTCTTATTACTAACATGTATACCAAGTCATCTACACATAATTTTTCATGGATATGATGTCATGAAACTTTAATTGTGGGTATTTAGGGGAAATGGGTAACTAGTGCAGGACAAGATATATTTTTCGACAAATGTTTTAATGAAACCGTTTACTACTATTTTAAACCTTTTGAAAAAATCAAAAAATTTTGAATTTACAAATAATCTTGTGGTATCTCCGAAAAATACTTTTAATATTAATCAGTTTCAGTTTTCCAATTTAAATAATTTAAAGATTTTAGATTTACAGAATAATTAAATTAATTTTTCAATGTTAGAACATCAAAAACTCCCATCAAGTTTAATTTATATAAATTTATCATACAATGAAATTGAAGATTTGAGTTGCTTCGATTTAGAAAATTGCGTTCATTCAAAAAATTTGATTTTGGAAAAAGTAACCACAGAAGATAACCAGAAGGTGCTATTCCATTGATGGAATTACTCATAGATACCAAAGCTAATGTCATTTTAACAATTCCATCAACTTAAATCTTCAATTGGATTGTTAGATAGATTTAAGTAAATTAAGCTTGATGGAAATATTTGATGTTTTAATATTGAATAAGTAATTTGATTATTTTGTAGATTAAAGATCTACAAATTATTTAAATTGGAAAAATTGCGAAAATCGTAAATACTGTAAGAAATTCCTCTTAATTTCAAATCCCTAACAACCATTTCTTCCAATGAATTGGGGAAATAATAAAGCTCCAAGTACTCTATATTTAAATTTATAAGTTCTATTTTGGTCAAATTTCCACAATTAAATGATGGTTTTAACGGTTCCACATAATAATCGCAATCTGGTGGCCCTGGACATTTTAAGATTAAGCTTTGTAATTCAGGTGTTTCGAAACATGTGCCAGATAAAATGTCAAGCGGATCAGGGCCCACCTCTTCAGAATCATAATCTAACCAAACATTGTCTGAAAAATCTAACACTTTTAATGACTTCAAGTCTTCTATATTCTATCTGAAACGTTCGAAACGAATTTCATTTTTAGCAAACTTGATATGTTTCAGCTCTGGAAATAGAACATTATTGTTCCGATTTTCGGTTTCACAATTTGTGATAATGATATCATACATTCTAGATATCATACATTCTATTCCGTATACTTGTCAAAAACTTGAACGACTTAATGTTTTCAATACTATCTAACTCTAAACAATTAAGTGTTCTTAAAATTCCAACGTCTCCTATTGCTAGATGTATGTTATTGAAAATTTAGATAGATACTTATTCAATCAACTTACATTTATCTTTACATATAAAATTATAATGTCTAATTAACAATAATTTATGAAGTAACACCGAGTACGCTTAGCTAATTATATATTGAATCTAATAAAAAAGCTGATAATTTAACATCACTAGCTACAATTTTTCAACTTCTATATAATACTCTTTTAAGTAAGTCTAGAACTTTAATTTTTTTTTTCTATATTCCTCATTTATTAATTTAATACTATAAAAATAGACAGTTATATACTAATTAATAACGAAAGTCATCTAGGCATCTGATGACACAAGCTAATATGATTTTCTGGATAAAAAACTTCTATAGTAATTTTATACAAATATAAGATTGTGGGAGACTAATTGATTGCTCAATCCCTACCCACTAAAAAACCAGTTTGAGTTTAAAAATTTTGAGAATCATTAATATAATTGTTTCGGGTATGGTTCATACTATCAACATTATTATTTCACATCCATTACACTGCTCATCTACCGTTCTCTCGATTAAATTGACGTCGTCGAGCGGAGTTTAAGCATTCTTCCAAATAGTTATTGATAACATTGCTCTTTTTTCAAAGTAGATGGAGTGCTATAGTTATATCGAATTTTGAAATATCTTTTTCTGTTTCATTTCTGAATATAAAATTTATCTTCGTATCATTTGTTAAAGTATGATCATTATTTTATTACTTGAAGTATAGAAGTAAAATTTATATTTCTTTTCTTTATATTAATTACGAATTGGGAATATTGAGGTTACTAAAAACAATTTCCACCATAAATTGACTCAAATCAACATTGTTTTAATTCAATCACTGAAGGCTTACCTTTTGTTGTTAACTTGTGAAATATATACTTTAGTAAACATTTGGTCGAATAACTCGAAACTCATTTAGTTTTGAATTCAAAATGCCTCACCAATTTTTGTTCCATTCTAGAACATAGATTTTGTGCATCTAAAATGAGACTATTGCCGGTAAATACAATAGCTCAACCATCTTCAGATTTACTTTTGGAGTCAATGATGCTCCATCAAGATATCGTTTTTTGCTGCTTTTTCAGCATTATTGGCTTGGTTTTGTGGTTAAGTTATACCACTACAGTTGCAATTTCCTATTCATTAATAACAGAGCCCTTAGGCAACAATGAAACTTTCATATCATTTATTTAACAATCAAACTTCATCATTAAATGACGAGAAAAAATTTTGGTGCAACTCTTTAAGATTTCTACAAATACAAAGGAATTTTCAATGCTCTTGATCTTATGGTTTTGAGGATAGTTCGATACCTTACTTTCTACTTAAAGATTACATATAGTTTTCACCTTCTCAACGAATTTTAACATATTTACAATTTTGAATATGGTTTCATGATCAACCGGGTGCTTACTAACTATCTGGCTAACAATCGGTTCTGAAAAAAAATAAAAGAACTTTGGAAAAAAAATAACAGGAAACAGTTATTGATTCGGAAAACGTTTAAACTCCCTATCTTGAATTATAAATTTGATACATTCCAAAAACCTAACTAATTGGAGTTATCTAGTGATTTATTTTCTGCCACATCAATAATTACACACCTGAATTTCACAGTTTGTTTAGTTGATTTGATAATTTATATTTTGAACATCACGCTAGGTAACCGTCTCATTCCGTTACACAAAACCTAAGATCCTCCAAAACAAGAAAAAAATTAGAAAAAAATTAAGAAGACTCGCTTAGGCCGCACAAGTTACAAAATTAAGTTACGAAAAAAAAAAATAACAATAAAAAACAATAGAATTCCGTTATAACAATTCAAGTTTTACTTTATAATTAAATTTAAAACATCTCATAATTTTTATTATTTCATTTACGATGATTTAATTTTAATGAAAATTTTGAAGAGCCACAATTTAAAACGATAAACTTATATGAATATCCTGAAATCAATAACATATTAATGGAAAATGTTTTTGAGTCAAATCATTTCAAAATATGAGTGCCATTATCACACCATTCAAGAGATTGAAATGGGGTTTTTTACCTCAAAGGAGAATTGTTGATGAAGATGAGTTTGGTAATTTCATAGATTCTGGTGAAGATTCAATAAAATCATCTGAAAAAGAAGAAATATCAGAAAAAGTTTCAGATACTAAGATTTTTGAAAAAGAAAGCCCTGAAGATAAAATTTATGAATATAGGGATGAAAAAGATAGACCATGGTGGAAATTTTTTGATGAATATGAATATAGAGTTCAGACCAAAGTTAAGAAAAATAGAAAATGGTATCATTGGTTTCATGATGATGATACATATGAAGAGAAAAAATTAATTTTAAAACTTGACTTATTACTTACTTTTTACCTGATGGTTGCTTATTGGATTAAATACCTCGACACTGTGAATTTAACAAACGCCTATATTAGTGGTTTATATTTGCCTAAGGATCAAGGTGGTATTAATATGGTGAAAAATGATTTAATTAATACTCAAACGGTTTTTAATGTCGGAACAGTGGTTTTTCAACTTGCAGCTGTTATAGTCGTTTATGAATATCCATTGACATATAGTCTTCCTATTTCAGATATGTTATGGTCAATATTAACTATTGTAACGGCTGAAGTAAAGTCAGTTGGTGGACTTCAAGCCGTCAGATTTTTAATTGGTGTTTGTGAAAGTCTTTTCTACCCTGCTTATCATTCATTACTCGCCGGCTGGTTCATTCCTACAGAATTAAATCGTAGAGCAGGCCTATATTATATCGGGCAATTTTTAGGTGTTCTTAGCTCTGGTTTAATATCGGGTGGTATAGAAAATGCCTTTGGAAATACTCCCGGTCAAGTTTGGCGTTGGATTTTTCGTATAGATGGAATAGCAAGTTTTGTGGTCGGTATTTTGGGTTTATATATGCTCCCAGGCACTCCAAGTGATTGCTATAGTATATTTTTAACTGACGAAGATATAAGAGTTGCTAGAAGAAGAATGAAGAGAGCTAATGTTGGTTCAAAACCTAGAAAAGACGCACTAAAAAAATTTTTTGATAAAAATGTTTGGAAGTCAATTTTTTCAACTTGGCACTTTTATGTTTTATCAATATGGTGTATATTCTTGTGGAACAATACATCAGGACCACAAGGGGCGTATCCATTATGGTTAAAATTTAAAACAAGAGAAGATGGCACACCTAGCTTCACTGGCAGTAGATTACAAAATTTTACAAGTTTAACTCCAAGTTTGGGAATTTTGTATCTTATCTTAGTTTGCTGCTATGCTGATTTTTTCCAAAGTAGATGGAGTGCTATAGTTATATCCCAAATCTTTAATTTTGTGGGAAATTTGTTGTTAGCTATTTGGAATATACCAGAGGGGGCAAAGTGGTTCGCTTGGGTCCTCCAATATTGGTCATGGTCAGCTGCCCCAGTTGTTTATGCTTGGCAAGGGGATATATGTCGTTTTGATTTCAGGAAAAGACAAGTTTTATTATTTTCAATGAATATCATAGCTCAAACGTTTTCAGTTTGGATTACACGGTTAACATGGTCTACAGTTGAAGCCCCAAGATACTTAAAAGGTTTTTCATTTATCACAGCTTCAACTTTTGCTTTAATAGTGTGGACATTTTTAGTATTATATCTTTATAAAAAACAAGAACGGGAACATGCAAAGGAAAACGGTATTATTTTGTACAATTCAGATAAGGATGGTGAAGTTGCTTCTGAGATTGTTGATGGCAAAGTTGATAAATTTCATTCTTTATAGATATAAATTCAAAGATCAAATTTAAATCGGTTGCAAAATTCTGTTTCTAACTCTATTTCCACTTGTCATTAACATTCTTAGGTGATCTATTTTAGTAAATCTTTGCATAACCCCAAGTCTCGTATCAAACAAAGACTTCAATGTGTTCTTGAATTGATAATGTAGGCTAACAGAATGATCTTGACTATTAAAGATAAAGTGATCTCGAAGAATCAAAATCACGCAAGAGAAATGCAATCACATTACAACAAATTAACAATCCAACTTTAGAGGATCTCCAAACATACAAACAAAGATCCCGAAAACACCAACTTAACGCAAGACAGTGCATCATCCCAGATGGTTGGACAAGAGAAATGCGATTCACAGAAACAGATTGGAAAACCTTCTTCAAAATGTTAAACAAAGCCAAAGGACTACATCCATATGATTTGGATTATTTTCATAAGCTAAACCTTGGACATTTTAGATATAAAGAAAGAAACATTCGGACATGCAATCTTTGCAAAAAAGAATTACCTGCAAGAACCATGTTAAACCACCTAATATTTCAATGTCGGGCATCAAAATTGTTGTGGCAACAGATTGGACCAAGAAATCGTAGGTTACAACTGAGAATTTTAATATGCAACTTAACTTTACAACCTTCAGAAATGACAAATATTAACCGGTATTTGAAAGCTTTATTTAGGTTAAATGGGTTCCGACGAACTCAGCCGGAGAGCCTGGAGCTCTCCGACACCCAAATTAACAAATGGATACCGGTATTCCTACATTTTGATTCAGTTTAAATACTTTATCGAAATGAAATCATGAACACTTTAAAAGACAATATAGTAAGAAAATGAAAAAATATATAAAAAATGCAGAGGTTTTTAGATGGTGATCCATCATTGCTAATTCAAGATTATATTACAAAACAAGTATATAGAAATTATTAGTTAGAAATCTTTCCTCTATAGATTAAGTTTATTCTTTTACTGTTTAGCAAGCTAGACTACTGATCTAATAAACAATTAATATTGAAAAAAAAAAGTGAGGTCTGAAAAAATATCAAACATGTTTATTCGATTTAATTTTCATAAAAATAAAAATGGTGACATAAATTTTCGACTTCACATTTATGACAACCAAATTAATTTTTTTTAGTACTTAACATTTAGACTAAGTATATCACAAGTGCTTTCAAACTAAAAAATCACGAATTACTACTAATCACGATGGTATGTAGATGAATAACGATTCTTATAGAAATGATACTAACTTAACCCAAATTCTAGTCTGCATTATTCAATTTCCAATCACTTTTGCAAGTTATACTACTATTGATATGTACATGTACATATATTCATCAGGTAACACCAGCTATATTAGATAATAGAAAACTGGGTATATTGAGTGTTTTTTATAAATTTGCTAGAATTGGGGAAAGATTGAGTCCTTATGTTGCAATTGGATGTTTTATAATGGCTTTCAACACTTTGAGTGGATAGGGTAATGGAATAAGAGTAAAGTTGCTAGATTCAAAGATATTTAGATGAATTTACTCATACATTTTTACAAAGCTATTTGAACTCATAAGAATCATTTCTTGAATTACATAAAATTGGAGCACGTTCATTTCCAACAATTCTTTCTAAACTTGTTGCATCCCATTTAGAAAAAATCGTTTTGACCATGGCTAAATTCAAATCACATTCATCTTTAAAAATCAGTTTCCCAATGAATCTGATGATTTCTTTATAAAATATAGGATTGCTTGGTGGAGAATAAATTATTAATGATTTAACACCATTTATCTCATATCTTCTGAAATAATGTAATCTTTCCGTGTACAATAAGATTTTAATTTTACCTTGTTGAAATTCATGTCTTGTTCTTGTTAATTTTGATTGTGAACTGTATTCATCAATAGCTCCAAAATTAAATTTTGTTGAACTTTCAAAATAATTTTTAATACGCAAATAATCAAAGTATGATGGAATGTATATCATAATACCATCTTCATATGAAACGGTTTTAAGTAAATTTGGTAAAATTGAATTTGTGAAAAATTTAAATCTTGAATCTGGATCATTTGACGGCGATTCACTAGGAAATCTTTGAAATATTTGTTTAATCTTAAGTCCAATTGAGTTCATAAGGCTTGTTTCTGAATTTATAATTGGTTTAAATTTAACTTTACCCAGTAGATTGAATGATTTGGATGATATTAAATTATTTATCGATGGTGTTAAATATTCACAAAATACTAAAGTTTGTCTCAATAATTGAGCCTGATCATTTATGCTCCACATTCTTATTCTACTAAAATCAGCGTCATGAAATTCTTTGGGGATTTTGTTAAGGTATTTTAAAACTGTATTCACATGATCCCAATTTTGCATTTCGATTTGATTTGCTTTGTCCATTATCAACACTTCAATTGATGAAATAAAATCGTATTGTCTTTTCTTTTTATCAGCGTTTTCTAATATCATTGATAGCCCAATTGGTGATGCAAGTATTATATCTGATGAATAAAAAGATGAATATAATTTTAAAGATTTTCTAGTTAGTTTTAACCCAATACAAAAGAAATCATTATTATTTCCTTTAAATGCATCCTGAAAATCTCCAGGTTTGTTAATTCTTGCAATGTCTTTAGCATGAAATTGAGTTGTAAATTTTTTTTTATTCTCTTGTTGATCAGTTCCTGACAATTTTATCAATTCTTCAACAACTTCATTACATGATTCTCTTGTGGGTAATAGTATCAAAACTTTAGGTCGAGTAAAGCCTTGGTCTCTTAACTCCAAATCTTGATTCGTGTCGTCAGTTTGATTTAATTTAGTTGTATTTTTGATTATTCTATCTCTCGTTTTATATATATGATTAAGTGCATGAAGTATATAAAGTTTTCTATAAGATTTATTCGAAAATGATTTATATTGATAATTAACATCTTGATAATTTAGAATAGGTCTTAACAAAGTTGAATCTAATTCTGACAAGTTTTCACCATGATATTTTTCAAATGCATGTACGATTCTTTTTTTCAACGTTGAATAGTCTGATACAGTTGATGCAACTTTTTGAATTGGCGAATTGATAGCGGTTCCAGGAGGTAAAGAAATGAAAGAGCTCATTGACAAAGATTCCAATACATTCCTTTTCCCTATCTTCCATTTCTCATGGTCTTTAATAACCTGTTGTTCTTCTTTTTCTAAGTATTGTTCCGTTGGTTGATTGAAATGAACTTCAAATGGATCGTTTGCTAGTCCATTTGGGGAATCTTCATCATCCTCTGAATCAACCTCATCTTCGTGTAAGTCCTGCTCATTATTTTCTTCCAAATTCTCCCCTGCAAGCTCCTCCTCCTCCTCCAAAACTTCGTCTGAAGTACTTTCTGTTTTGTTATCCTTGGGTTCGGAATTTGATCTTTGATCCGACTTCAATAATGTCAACAATGCTGAATAAGCTTTACCTTTAGCCTCATACTCATCTTCTTCCTCTTCTTCACTTGTTTCTGAGAATTTTTCATCTTCCTCTTTTTCATTATTTCCCGATTGATCTTTACTGAATGTTTCACCCTTTGATCTTCTTGAAGTTCGTGTGATGGTTCTCAATTCTGACCTCCCTCGTTTGACATGTCTTTCGTGAAAATTCCCACTACCATTACGATTGGCTTTTCTTTTGACTTGCCCAGACATTAGTATCTGCTATTCAATTACATAGTATATACAATTTGATGATGAGCATCTTAAAATCCAGTGTCTGGAGATTTTCAATTGTCTCACGACATTGGACTCAGCTTGCTACCAATCGATATTTACAATTCCAAAAAATAGAGACTGAATTCCCATTTGAGTTGATATAAAATTAGATCATGAATTAGGAAACACGATTACATTAAAAGATATAATATTAGAGAGCTCTAGCTGAGGATTTTGGATTGTTTTGAAAACATCACAATAAGTTGTGTCACAAGTGAAAGTGAGGAATCAGATACGTTTGTTTTCCCTTCCCGGTTATAATTCAAAATAAAATTACTATCCATGACAACATCAACAGATGATCCATTCACAATGGACGAAGATCTATCAGAGCTACCGAATAACGAAGAAACGTCAGTCACAACAGCTACTAATACATCAGAGACAAGCAATGGGATTCGAGATCCAAATTATTCAATTCACCAATCACCCAATTCCATATACGTTGATACAAAATTAATACGATCCAAATTGGATCAAATCAAATTAGAAGAAAAAGAAACCAATGCAACTACAACAGAAGAAGATGATGAGAAAACTTATGATGAAGATGCCGATGATAAATTAGATTTACAACTTCAGAAACAATTATTGAAACAATATAAAGATGAACATAAACAAAATGATGAAATAGACTCAAATAAATTTAATTTTGATTATAATGATGATCAACCATTAACTCCACCTGAAAATTTTGCATTAGTAATAGGTTCAATCTATCGAAGTTCATTTCCACAACCAAATAATTTTTCATTCCTAAGAGGATTAGGTTTAAAATCAGTTTTATGTTTAATACCAGAGGATTATCCAGAACTTCAACAACAATGGCTACAAAATGAAAATATAAAATTATTTCAATTGGGGATGTCAGGAAATAAAGAACCATTTGTTAAAATATCATCAGATTTGATCACTCAAGCTATAAAAATTGTTTTAAATCCAGAAAATCAACCAATATTAATACATTGTAATAGAGGAAAGCATAGAACAGGATGTTTAGTTGGAGTTTTGCGAAGGTTACAAAATTGGTCAAAAACAATAATTTTTGATGAATATAGGAAATTCGCTGCACCAAAAGAAAGATCAATGGACCAACAATTTATTGAATTATATGACGATACGGAACTAAAACAATTTTGCAATGAAAGAAATCTAATTCCATTAAAATGGGATTAAATCGAATTAGAAAATTACTTTTTATTGATTTTGAGTTCGACTTCGTTATCTCTAAGCTCTACTAATTCAAATCAACCAAATGATCCTTGAATTTGAGTTGATCTTTTAGCTTCAAATTTCAATTATTTGAACCAACATGTGGAACCCAAGCATGAGCTCTATTATAAAAGTTCCATGAGCTGAAATAGAAAAATCTCACTTGCATTAACAGCAGCACAATCTCGATCCAGCGTCAGTTATATAATTCAACAAAAATTTAGGACAATTCGTTTTTAAAATTAAGATGATAAGAGATCTCTTAAGAATAAATAAAGCTAAAGTGGAAAAACTAGATCACTCCAAAAAATATATTTGGAATACCCTATAATTTCTATTTACAATCTTCTTTATCAATTTTTAATTTTGAAATGGACTTTTCTTACTCCAAATGAACTCTCTACCATATATACCAGTGTTGAATAAAGCTAATCCACTTAACCCTATTGGTGAAATATGTCCCCTGAATAAACTCGATATACTTGATTTTCCATTAACTATCAAATATAACAATGACCATGCAAAATTAAAACCTGAAGCATTTATAGGATCACCATCTATCATCATATAAGTTCCTAATGCCATTATTGAACCAAATCCTAAAGATCCAAATTTCGTTGGTTTAGCAGTTTGTAGCTTTTTATGAAATGCAAAAGATGATCCTGAAGTTCCAGAATTCGGTATTGTTGAAGTTGAAGAACTTGTAAAACCTTTTAATAACAAAGATGCAGATAATAAACCAGCTGGAATTGGTGAAGTTGATAATTCATCAATTCTTGATAAGATTGATGGTGGGATTGCATTTTTGACTACATCTGATGATGATGAAGAATCAGCTGTATTTGACATATCTTTGAGATACTTGATGATCAATTGACAAAACTGAAATGTGGAGTATTCAAAATTATAAAGCAATTAAACAAAAATCAATCGAAATTCAAAAGCCGCAGCCATTCCCAAAAACAGAAGTAGTAAATTTTAGACGTCTTTCTTTGATCTAAATTTTGAAACATCATACAAAAGTATTTTCCTTTGCAAAAGTAAATTCATGATCACAACAACTGAATTGTGAGATTACACCTATACAAATTACGTTCAAAACTCAACATTTTGTAAGACTGCTATCAGAAAGTTCAGTTATAAACGAAATTAAAATTTTCAAGAGAACTGATCTATGTAAAAGAATCCAGCTCAGTCGAAAAATTCAACTAAAAAATTTTACAAAACATTTTTATCAGATTTGCATTGCTTTATGATGTAATAAGTAATCAATAATTAAACGTGAAATCTGAATGTTTTTTGTATGAGGTTATCGATACCCAGAGTGAAATTTGACCAGATATTTGAGCCAAAATGTATTCTTCCCATTTTTGACAAACTCGAAAATGTGCTAAAATTGATGTTTCACTTAAGATCAAGTGAGAGTTAGATAAAATGTGATAAATACAAATCTGCAGTCTTGAAATGAATTTTTTCATGGTGTAGAGCTATATTTCTAATTGCATAAAAGTTGAAACAAAAAATAGTACAAAACAACAAGAAATGTCAAATCACTAAATAACGGAAGAAAAGATCAACTCTCAGAATTTCAACAACATCAATCACAAATTTAAATAACTTTCATTTATTCAATGAAGCAATGTAGCACTATTAGAAAATCATCAATAAAAGCATCTTTTGATTCCAAACCTCGATAAAAAAAGAATATAAATTTTATAAATGCTTAGATTTTTGCAGACAAATGGAAATTGTTTCAATTCTCATGTTCCTTTATGCCCTTAGTTTCGAGAAATTTTCACAATTGTGGTAGAGTACAAACTTGATCGTATTGAAAGTGAATTAAAAAGACTTTAATACATTGAACTACATTAATTAAACTTCAACAAAATATGATATTAATAATACATTACAAGAACTAAAAATAATAATGTGAATTAATAAGAAGGAGATATTAAGCTTAAGCTCTTTCACCTCTTAATCTTCTGGCTAATTGAATATCTTTCTTTTGAATGGTAACTCTTTTAGCATGAATAGCACATAAATTAGTATCTTCAAATAAACCAACTAAATAAGCTTCAACAGCTTCTTGTAAAGCACCAATAGCAGATGATTGAAATCTCAAATCAGTTTTAAAATCTTGAGCAATTTCTCTAACTAATCTTTGAAATGGTAATTTTCTAATTAATAATTCAGTAGATTTTTGAAATCTTCTAATTTCTCTTAAAGCAACAGTACCTGGCTTATATCTATGAGGTTTTTTAACACCACCAGTTGATGGTGCTGATTTTCTAGCAGCTTTTGAAGCTAATTGTTTTCTTGGAGCTTTTCCACCAGTGGATTTTCTTGCTGTTTGTTTAGTTCTAGCCATTGTGAATTATTGGAATTTGATTAATGAATTGTGAAAAAAAAATAACAAGTAGAAGTTGAATAAGGATTTAAGATGATTATATAATAATTTAAAATAATATTTGCTAATAATTTGATATGTTTTGATTTATTATTATTGTGTATGAAACGCTTTCGATTCGCGCTATTGTTAATGAAAGAGAGAGAGCGAGAATATTTTTTCTTCTCGTCGGATTTTAGTGCATTTTGAGATAAAACTTGCACTAAATTTGTTTCTTCTCATGAGAAGAAAAGAAATGATTTTAAATTAAAGAGAGAGTAAATTTCAGTACAGGTGAGTAAATTTCAGAACACTTAACTTTTGTGTAAAGATAATGTTAGTTTTAATCATTTATTGGATCATGGAGAGAAATAAACAACACGCTTTTGTATAGAATTGGAGTGAATCACACGATAAGATTCCGTTGTAATTTACAGTATAATTTGTAAATTGTATCGTCTTTTCATATTATTGAATTTTGAGTCACTCTCAGTGATAATTAAATTCGTGATTTTTGTTATCTCAATTAAAATAGTTTGTTTATATTTTTACTAGTAAGATTTAATTTTATAATCTTTAATTATTTAAATACTTTAGAGAATCCAATTTTTTAGTCAAGTTTACAATTTCATTTTACACAACAAAGATAATTTTTTATCAAATACCCCATATATCAATATAACAAATAATATACAATGTCAGGTAGAGGAAAAGGAGGAAAAGGTTTAGGAAAAGGTGGAGCTAAAAGACATAGAAAAATTTTAAGAGATAATATTCAAGGTATAACAAAACCAGCTATAAGAAGATTAGCAAGAAGAGGAGGTGTTAAAAGAATTTCAGCATTAATTTATGAAGAAGTTAGAGTAGTCTTGAAACAATTTTTGGAAAATGTTATTAGAGATGCAGTTACTTATACAGAACACGCAAAAAGAAAAACTGTTACATCTTTGGATGTTGTTTATGCTTTAAAGAGACAAGGAAGAACTCTTTATGGTTTTGGTGGTTAAACTGGTGATATTCAATTCAATTCTATTTTCAATAACTTTTATACTTTCAATATATATTTTACAATAATTCAATTTATCACTAGTACTTAGTTTCTCTATCAGATTTTGAGATGGGAGTTGATATTTTTCATTAGTAAAGTCACTCCATAACAAGAATGTTCTGTATATGTTACGTTCTTAGGAAGTTTAATATTGTTGGAGTGGTTTTATCTAGTTCCTCTGTATGTTGGTATCAAAATTAACAAGATTCAACTTTGCTATATCGTTGAGCCAAAACATTTCTCTTCGTTATTGCGTTTCGGAGGTTTTTTCATGGATTTGAAAAAAAGTTAATTTTGTAAATTTTGAGGCCAATTTGTTGTAAAAGTCGAAATTTTGGTACAATAAACGAAAGAGATTTTTAAATTGAATCTATTAATATGCTGGTAATGAGTGTTTCGATTCACATGTTTGACAAAGAGTTGTGTTAGTGTATAATTTTTGTTTCAAATCTATGAAATACTTTGGTACTACAATAGAACTTTTCAACTCAAACTTAACTTAACATTGATCAACATAACTTGATATATACAAGATACACTATTGTGGGAGAGCTGGCTTGATCCAGAATTTATTAAGACTTTTGGATTAATGTTGACATAAAGAAGCAAGTTTTTGGCCATAACCACAAATTCCCATAGCATTTGACGGAAAATCCCATAACATATGTCGGACAACAAATTGTGTGGATTTCATCTATTCAAGATCCACGACTGAATTGACCTACATCCGAGCAAATTTAGTAGTGTCATGATATAACGATTATAGCTAACAAATATCATATTTAAATACTTCAATCATCAATACAGTAAATCTAAAGCATTGACTACAAAAATTTGTATTCAACTTATCACTCAAACTAATATCAGTGGTTTCATCATCTTTTTCAATCATATCTATTACTCCTTAGTCTGATTATTTTACGAATAATACTAAATTAAATGATCAAACAATTTAATCGTGCAATTAGCCTACTATATAATATCGATTGAGAGCTGTTAGATTTTCAAGCTATGGCAAATATTTATTAAAAATTGATATAAATTTAAACACCTTCTATCCTTAAATTAGTTCAAGGATTGATTATTTAACAACTCAACAAATATAGGAATAGCCAGTAACGATAGTATTAACATATTTTTCTTTTCTTAGATTTAGCTTTTAAAATTGATTCTTCTTCAACTCCATTGACTATTTTGAAAATCACTTTTGAATCATAATTTGTTAATATCACATTAGCTTTAACACCAGCATCGGGAATTAAGAATAATTCCATCACTGGAATAGTACCTTTTGGTTCATCTTTTGCAGTTACTTTTTTCAAAATCAAATCTTTCAAATTTATACAATAGCCTAAATGTAAACAACTTAAATCCCCAATTGGATTGTTTGATAAATTTAAATAAATTAAGCTTGATGGAAATATTTGATGTTTCAATATTGAATAAGTAATTTGATTATTTTGTAGATCTAAAATCTTCAACTTATTCAAATTGGAAAAATTGCGAAAATCGTAAATACTGTATGAAATTCCTCTTAATTTCAAATCCCTAACAACCATTTCTTCCAATGAATTGGGAAAATGATAAAGCTCCAAGTACTCTATATTCAAATTTATAAGTTCTATTTTGGTCAAATTTTTACAATCAGATGATACTATTGACGGAGACACATAATAATAGCAATCTGATGGCCCTGGACACTTTAAAATTAAGCTTTGTAATTCAGGTGTTTTGAAACATAATCCAGTTATTTCAAGCGGATCAACGCCCACCTCGTGAGAACTATAACCTAACCAAACATTGTCTGAAAAATCTAACACTTCTAATGATTTCAAGTCTTTTAAGTTTGATCTGAAACGTTCGAAACGAATTTCGTTTTTAGCAAACTTGATATGTTTCAGCTCAGGAAATAAAACATTATCGTCCCAACTTTCAATTTCACAATTTGTAATAATGATTTCAGACATTCTATTCCGTATACTTGTCAAAAACTTGAACGACTTAATGTTTTCAATACAATTTAACTCTAAACAATCAAGTGTTCTTGATATTTCGACATCTCCTATTGCTAGAGTCAGCATAGTATCACAAATTTTTAATTTTTCTAATTTTGGAGGAAAACAATCCATAATGACCCGTAATAAATCATCAAAATATACCGGATTAAGCAATTGTTCTTCCTCCACCATCTCATATATTTCAGTAGAATCGAAGTAGGGGACAAAATTCAAAATTTTCAACGAATCAGGGAATTGCAGTTGATTTATGTCATAAATTTCGGAACAATAAAATATTTGAAGTAAATTTAGTTTGTCATACTTGATTAATGTACCTAAACTTTTAAAATCACAAGAATAGATTCTTAACTTTTTGATAGATGTTGGAAGTTTAAGATCTTCTAACGAATTTATCTCGAGAAGATTTTTGCAATTAAACGTTTCGAGGTGTATTAAATTACTCAAATCTAATGCAATATTACGACCTCCACTAATGGTTAATTGTTTTAATGAGTTTGGAAATTGAACTTCATATGTATTCAAATGAGATGCAGTTAAAGATTTAAAATTATTACCTCCAATATAATACAAAATTGATTTGATTTCACTCTTTCTGTCTATGCTAATTAAAGTTTCTAAATATTGATCCAAATGTATACCTATAACATGAACTTTATTAAAAATTGATATAAAAGCATTAAGTCTAGTACTCTGTAAGATCTTTACTTCATATTTGGTTGATTTAAATGCAGGTTCAACTATTAATTGATTAATTTGTTTCACATTCCCCACTATTATTGAAGGCATGAAATGAAACTCTTGAAAAAGCTTTATTAATCTTTTGATTGATTTGTTGTTATTATTTATTTTGAATTTTGAATATATTCGTTTTAAAGCAATTTCTTGCAAACCTGGAATACATGTCAAGCTTTCAATTACGGATTTATCCTTAATGTGGTTTAAGATTAATGATAATATCTCTTTAGGTAGTTTGAGGAAGATTTGCATTGATGTGGTGAAATGTTGATAATATTTTTATGAATTGATAAATTGATGGATTGATAAATTGATAAATTGATAAATTGAATTGATGGATTAATGTATTGATGAATTCAAAGATGAATAAATGAATAATTTTCGTTGCCACTTTTGAAAATTCAAAATTATCTAGACGTGTTTTGTTGGCTACCATCTGGTGTTTCAAATCTGTATCGTCTAAATTTACTGAAGTAAGCACTACAACAAATAATGAACCATAATGATCCTTGACAACCCAAAAAAAGCATAAAGCTTGGTCTTGAATGAAAGGACATATTCGGGGTTTACCTTTACGGATTTAACCTGATTTCGATCTGAACAACTTGTAAATTAAAATTCTTCTTGCACAGGTGATATCAAGAATTTTCAATAAAAAGATTTAGCTGAATTACCATAGCTTTTAACTGACCTCTAAACTCTTTTCAAGATTCAAGTCATACGTCAACACATCGCGTGATGTTTTTAATTCAAGCAGGTGAGATTAAAAGTTGAAATCATATGAGTAATGAGTCAAGTTGTAAAACGATATCTTTCGATATGATATGAGTAATGAGTCAAGCTGAAGAATGATATCTTTTGATATACAATCATATTTCAGTATCTTAAATCTTTACACAAGTCGCTCCTAAACAGTTGCTAATAATTCTAATCCCGATCCTCCGTTCCAACTTATAGCATAAACATTTTAGCTGAATGATTAGCTTTAATACCAAGCACCCGTTCAAAATGTCTGCGTATGAAGCTTTAAATGAAAGAATTCTTATCTGAGGTTCTTCTAGTTTGTTCAGTCGATATTTTGTTTCATTGCTGAAGTTTCTCCCGAAGTTTATTAAAGTTGATGATATAACTTAAACTCAATTAATTGAACACAATAAAGAGATTTATTGATGAATTACTCAAGATCATGGTATGAAAAAGCATCTTTGTGATCCAGCTTTCTTTAAATCAGTCTATCATGGTTCGATTTCATTGAATGGCTTGATATTCTGGAAAGTCTAGCTCACTTTTCACATCACAAAAATCGATTTCTAGAATTATGTGCAATTTTATTTGAGAGTGAGCTTTTTCGATAAACCAAAATCTAATAAATCTACAACATAATCTTTATCACCAAGCTAGCATTTCAAAAAGTCGTTAAAGAGTTAACATTGCACTGAAGTTTTAAACCACTGCTCAGAAGAAAGTTCGAGACGACCAATCAAAATTGGAGAATGAGGACATTGAAAAGGAGAATGCATTTGTAATTGTTTAAGGTACTTGTAAATTCTTCTACATCTGAAATCCATGTTCACATGAAGAGTTCTGTTTGACATCGTGAAAGTTGTCCATAGTTAACAAGTTACCATGACATTTTTGTTCGGACTCAATGATTAATTATAAAGTATAAATTCAAATGACTTTCTTTGATACAATAATGGATGATAAAGCATGAATTCAAATGACTTTCTTTGGTACAGTAATCACTGAATTTTTTATTACATGACCTGATATTGTCTGGAGGTTAATAGAAAGTGATTTATGTACTATTCCGAAATCAAGCTCGAATAAATGTTGTGGCGGATACAAGTATGACTGAGGTGGTAATTCCAAACTAAGAGGTTTAATAATAACTATGATAATTTCCTGGACTAGCTTTAAATGTGAAACTATCTAACTATCACAACTAACGACTATTGAGAGTGTCATGATAATATTTAATTATCATACATTTATCTGCCCTATCATCGAGTTCACCCTGTACCTAAGATTCACATCTTCCATGCTAAGCATAGTTGCAAATGTTAGTCATCAGATAGTTCATCAGAGATTTCAAGTCATGTTTCTGAAATAATAGTGAATAGCAGATAATTAAAAATTATTTGTGAGTTGGTATAATCACCTGTAAGTAATGAATACTAAGCTTCTGTTGTTCCTTACTTTTTAAAGATATAATCTTGAGTGAGAGGCAAAAGATTTTTAGGCTTTGATAAATATCTATTAAAATTAATTAATTAATTTCCTTTTTTTCTTTCAATTAAGTCATTAGTTGAGTTTTTAATCAACTCAATTAACATAGTTCAAACGGTAGTAGTATTAACATATTTTTCTTCTTTTGGATTTAGCTTGTAATATTGAATCTTCTTCTACTCCATCAACAATTTTGAAAATCACTTTTGAATCATAATTTGTTAATATTGCATTAGCTTTAGTATCTAAGAATAATTCCATCAATGCAATAGCACCTTCTGGTTCATCTTTTGCGGTTACTTTTTCTAATATCAAATCTCCCAAATGTACACAATTGTCTAAGTCCAAACAACTTAAATCTTCAAGTTTATTGTTCGACAAATTTATATAAATCAAACTTGATGGGAACTTTTGATGTTCCAACCTTTGTAAAGTAAGTTGATTACTTTGTAAATCTAAAATCTGTAACTTATTTAAATTGGAAAAATTACCATGTATTGCCTGTAATTTCGAATTCTTGATAACCAATTCCTTTAATGAATTGGAAAATTCATTGAGGTTCAAAAAGCGTATATCTAAATTTATTACATTTATTTTGGCCAAATTTTTGCAATTAAATAATAACTCAGACGAAAACTCGTAATAATCGTGATCTGGTGGCGTTGGACTTTTTAGAATTAAATGATGTAATTGGGGTGTGTTGAAACATATTTTTTCCATATTAAATATTTTCATGTCAGGTAAACTCATAAGCGGATCAAATGGGTACTCGGTATCATCAAAATCTGGACACACGTTATCAGATATATCCAACTCTTTCAACAGTTCCAACTGATTTAAATTTGAAATAAAAGGATCAAAACATACTTTGTTGTTCGTAATCTTAATCTGCTTCAGCTCAGGAAATGAAACTCGAAAGTCTGAATACAAAATTCGACAATCTCTAATAACGATTTTAGACATCTTCCTTGGTAGATTATCTAGAACCCAACTTAAATTAAATTCACCAATACCCTTGAGCTCTAAACAATTCAATGATTTTGAAATCTCAATATTTCCTATTTCTAAAGTTTGCATAGTATCGTTTATACTTAATTTTTCCAAATTTGGAGGGAAACAATAAAGAAGGACCCGTAAGTCTTTTTCAGAAAAAATCACATCATCCAGTAGTTCTTCTTCATTTAGCTCAGCTATTCTATTAGGCTCGAAATTGTTAATGAAATTCAATATTTTCAATGAACCAGGAAACTCGGTATAAGTAATGTCATAAATTTCAGGACAACAAGTTATATGAAGTAATTTTAATTTGCTATACTTTTTTAAATTATCTAAACTTTTAAAATCACAAGAATCAAGTTTTAAATTTTCGATAGATGTTGGAAGTTGAAAACTTTTGAATGAACTCATCTTGTGGAGATTTTTGCAATTTAATGATTCAAGATATTGCAAATCGCTTAAATTTAATTCAAAATTTTGACCTCCATTTAGTGTTATTTGCTTTAAAGACGTTGGAAATTGGATTTTAAACATATTCAAATGAGATATAATTAAAGATTGTAAATTGTTATTTGCAATATAATCCAAAAATGATTTAATTTCATTCTTCTTGAAAATTCCAACAAAAGGTTCTAAATATTGATCCAAATGCATCCCTATTACGTAGACTTTATCTAAAATTGATACAAAATCATTAAATTTAGTAGTCGGTAAGATCTTTACTTCATAATTGGCTAATCTAAATGCAGGTTCATCTATCAATTGATTGATTTGATATATATTTCCGATTATTATTGAAGGGATAAATTCATATTTTTGAAAAAGCGATATTAATTTTTTAATTGAGTTGTTGTTATTGTTGATTTCAAATTTTGGATATTTTCGCTCTAGAGCAATATGTTGTAAACCTGGAATGTGTATTAAACTTTCAATTACAGACTTATCATTTACTTGGCTGAATATTAGGGATAAAATTTCCTTGGGTAATTTGAGGAATATCTGCATAGGTGAAATGCTGATGAAATAATGAGTTGATGATTAGTTTCAGTTGCCACTTTTTAAAAATTCAAAATAAATTAGACGTGATTTTTGGGCTACCATCTGGCGTTTCAAAACTGTATCGTCTAAAAACGTGTAATATTATTTTGACCTTACAAACTATAGGCAGTCTGAATTTAAAAATTTTCATTCGATGGATTCTGAATTCTTTTTATGTAACCTAAAGCTTTTCTGCATTACATCCGTAGATCAAAATTTTGTATTTCATTTGCAAATTATACATCTAAAATGTTAAACTATCACGTACTTTCAATAATTTCTAAAAGTATCTTACTGCAACTTATCAAAACCTTCAACTATCTTTATAATCATTCTCCCATGATTTAGGCTTTTCACCTACATTAACGAGTTGAGTTTAAGTTTGTCTCAAGTTGGTGAATTGAAAAGTTATACTAAATCAAAGTCTTACAGTATTATTCAATCCATAGCAAAATAAGTCTCATTTCAATCTTTACACAGGTCAATCCGAAGCAATTTTAATAATTAAAACTCCACTTTCAAGTCAATTCATCTTGTAGTATTTGATTTGATTTTTATAATACATGAATAGTTTCGAATAAGCTATTAATGAATAGTTTCATCTTTTAATTGACAAGTATCAAAAACATGCCTTCAAATTTTAGATTCAATCTATCATTTAGTTAAAATTATTCATGCTGTAGATGTATCTATGTCTTAGTCACTTAACTTTTTCTACAAGTTGATTTGGCATGACGATATTTATTAAAAATGGTAAAAAATTTTAGCTGGTATTTACTTTGAACGAGGATTCAATCGACGTCAACGATTTTATCATTAATGCTGATCTTTGATAATGCAATTCAAAAAAGCTCACGGATGGATTGAATGAAAGGTTCCATGATACAAGACAAAATGGGTCATTGCAAAGCAGGATGCCTTTATTTTGTATTGGTCTGAGATTTACAATTTGTTATATGGACTAATTATGTTCAAATTTGTAAAATTATTCGCTGATCGTGAGATATCATGAGGTCTTTAATTGGATTCACTAATGGAAGACAAAGAATAAAATGAAATAAGCACTTTTAAAACTCTGATTTTTTTTCATTGTTTTTGATTGTTGACCTGGTATTGTTTGATGTCAAGGTGTAGTATATTCTGTCCAAAGTGTTTTGTCTGCAAGCTAATGATGTTGGAAACTCTGAATCCAAGTTTAAATAAATCCTTGGAGCGACAAATAGATACCATTCCTTACTATCGTTAATTGGTCGATCTTACAAACTACACTAAATTGTCACCAACTTTACCCCCAGCTCTCAAATGATGCTTAATCTTTCTATCAATTCGCTTTGTCCATCTATCAACATCTATTACATCATTGTCTCTATAATCATCTTGTATAAATTTTTCCCATTTTCTCATACAATCTGAATTTTCAATCTCATCGTAAGTTTTAGGACATTGACATCTACATCCTACTCCGTTAAATTTTGGTTTATCAGGTCTTATAAATGAATCACCTGTATATGGTAATTGCTTTCCAACTGCGTTTGAAGGACAATGGGAAAAAACATCATGTCTGTATCCAATATCTCTGAAATAATGAATTTCATTTAAATCTAAAAGCATTCCGATAGCTAAAGAATGAACTGGTGCATCACCCCATCTTTCTTTATAAAATCCACCACTTTCATCCAAATACTTGAAAAAATCTTGATATTCTTTTGATTTAAATAAATCAACTCTAGCAATTTCAAAATTAGACCAAAAATGACATAAATTATAATCTTCATTATTTATTCTATCCTCATATAAATTTGGCATTTTTTTACTAATTGCAAATATTTTGTCAAATATTTGAAAATTATTTTTAAACATTTTTTCATCTTTATTTTTTATTTCATGAATTAATTTTTTAACATATAATTGATCTTGAATTTCATATAATATTTCATGACCATCATGAATTCCATCTAGATTTTTTCGATCTTGTTTTGAACCACCAGTTATAAAATTTGAATTGAGTGTAAATAATTTCCAGGCACTTTTAACTTTAATATCATTTTTCTTGATATATGATGAAACATATCTAAATAAACCAGGAATAGAATAATATAAATCTGCTAACATCACATTAAATCCATATTTTTTCCCATTTTTTTCCATTTCTAAAAATGGATCATAAGTTAAATCGCAATAAAATTCAACATCAGGTTCAACTCTCCAATACCAATCTAATTTTGTTACTAACGGATGTAGAAAAAATTGTCCAGCATAAAATCGACACATTTTATGATAACTTTTTAAATTCCCATATAATATTTCTCTATCTCCTTGTGATTCTATCCATTCATGAAATTCATCCTTATCTATATCTGGATTGAAATCCCAGTCTTTCATATCTATTTTCCCAAATTTCGCATCTGATGTATGCTTTTTAATTTCATTTTGAAATTCCAATGTGAATTCTTCATTATTTAAAAAAATCCAAGGATATTTAAACCATTGATTAAAATGTCTTTCCATAGATCGTATACTTGATACAACTTTTTCTACTTCAGAATTTCGACATAACATTACAAAAGCCGCATTAGCTTTTTCTTGGGGGTTTGGTGTAGAACAACCATAAATAAATGGTGAATCAATATTTGTATGTAATTTCGAGTCACTTAAAAGTTTCAGTTCCTTGATATATTTTGGTTCTTTTTTGATCTTATAATTTAACCAAAATGGGTCAGTGTTCGGTAGTATTAATTCACTATTGATATAAATGAAAATTATGAAAACCGTAAATGCCGATAGTAGAAATACATTTGATCTTTTTAATTTCTGAGGTGAAAATTGTCTTAATTTAAAACAATGCACCATTATGCTATATGAAGATTGAATCCATGAGTGATTATGATTGTGTTATTCTTGGTAAACTGTTTGAATGAATGAAATAAATTTTCACATAAAGCGTATCTTAATTTTCATTTTAGGAAACTTGATTGATTACGTAATGTTGAATCAAAATTTGGTCCGTTATAATTACAACATACATCATGAATTGTCAACTATAAAGTCTTATACAAGAGGTGTAATTTTAAATTATTCTTTCTTTATAGCTGATCGTAGAAGTTCTAAATCTTCATTTAATTCTTCAACTCTTAAACCTTGAGGACCAACAAATTGTTTATGAGAACCACGAGTTTGAACTTTATAATTATGTTGACCAATGCCACTTCCATTTGTTTCACCACCATTTAATCCATTTCCATCATAAATTAATGACTTACCTCCATCATCATTCTCCATAATTAAAGTATTTAATGCGTCATAATCTTTATCACTTAAATTAGATTCATAACCACTTCCTATTCCACTTGATGTCACTCCTCCATGTCTTATATGTGCATGTCCATGTAAATTCTTACTACCAGGTACACCACTATGCCAGGGTTTTGCACTTGCAGCACTACTTGAAACTTCATCATTTGAACTATATCTTGTTGTATATAGTCTTCTTCTTTTACCCAGTGAAGTATATCCATTTTGATTTGATGATAAATTCCCACCACCATCTGATAAATCATCCATTTCTCCTGTTGCAAATCTTCCAAAATATTCTCCTCTTTTCCTTAATGATCTCCTGTCTTGTAAATTTAATCCCATTGCAACTGCTAATGTTTCATCATCTTTAATTTGATTTTCATCATCATTATCTTGATTGTGAGAATTACTATTTAATAAATTTAGTAGATACTTATCTTCTTTTAAATTTTTAATTTGTTTTTGTAATTTATCATATAATTTTTCTTTTATTAATTTTATCATTTTATCATGATTATCTTTTGCTTTTTCCAAATCTAATTTATATTCCAGTTCAATTCTTTTAACTTGATATTCTTCCCATAATCTTAATTTCGTTAATTCATAATCTCTTACTTCTTCCAAATCTATTTTCTTTGTAATATACTCTTCGTTTGATCCTTGTTGCAAACTTGCTAATTTGTTTTGTAATTCATGTAGACTATTTCTATAAAATATATCTCGATCATTTTTGAACGTAAGCTCTAGCTTATTTAGCCTTGTCGCTATATTGCTTCTCTTCTTATCTCGCTTGCTGATAGCTAAATTTGAAGTTAGTATCCAGGATATCAATTTTCGTGATGATAAATTACATACTATTGTCTTGTGGAATCATTCCATTTCTTTTCAGATCCTCCATTTTGAGCTATGAATTGTAGGAAGTTGAGTTGTTGATGTGTTTAGATTGTCGAATATCTCTAGTGATAATGTGTTATATTTCTGAATCCATATATATATTTGATAATATGTAAAATGTAAATAATTGTTTGGATTGATTGTATTATTATTATTTCTGAAGAAGAAGAATCTTATAAATTTACGGACAAATTTATTATCGCTTATATACAGGAAATATCAGGTTGTATAATCTTTGTATTAAGAAGATTATCAAAACTAATCGATACTTATATCGAGTTTAAAGCACTTGATAAATAATGGACCCTAATCAATTGAGCTATTTATAATCAACGTTTTGGATTAGATCAATTCACTAATCATCATTCTCGACCTTTGCATTACCCTTTTGTTTGATTGATTTATTCTTCGAATTCACTTATTTCAAAATAAATTCACGTTCACTCTTAATTCAGACCACCCAGAATCTATCTAATCATCAATCAGGTTACATTTCTCGAGTATACTGAAGATCAGTCTTGAACCAGTTATTGGAATAAAAGATAAAACAATTAGCTACCAATAAAAAGCTTTAGCGCCATGCTTTTTAATGAAATGATAAATCGGTCTTAAAACTTTAGCAGCCTGGAGAAAGATACATCAACCTCATGACTTCAGATGCTATCTTTAAATCAGTGAAAGACTTGCCTTTTGCTCGTGGTCAACCTCCCATATCAAAAGATTTATCAACCGTAATAAATTTTGAAATTAAAAACAAGAAGGTAACTTTATTTAATGTCCAAGATCCGTCAAAAGTTCCAAAGAATCTAATTATAACACTTCAAAACGAATTTAACTATGTTGTGGAAGAAGGTCAAACATATCCTTACGATGAGGTGAAATCATTCGACCTGTTTGTAGAGTATTGGTTCAATTATTTCGCTTCAATCTTAATTGAAGGTGATTACAAATCGTTAAATGATTCACAATTGCAAAATTTATCAATTGACCAGTGGGAAGATAAATTTTTAGGTACATTTTACGTTAAACCAAATTATATTGGTCGATGCAGTCATGTTTGTAATGCTGGATTTATTGTCAATCATAATAAAAGAGGATTAGGTTTAGGTAAAATTTTGGGTACAAGATATTTAGAAATTGCTCCCAAATTAGGTTACGTGTATTCTGTTTTCAATTTAGTATTTGAAACCAATGTTGCAAGTTTAAAGATTTGGGATTCCTTAGGGTTCGAAAGGATAGGATATGTGAAAAATGTTGCCGTACTTAAAGGATATGATAAATTGATTGGAGCTCATATGTTTGGAAAAGATCTTCAGTGATAACCACCGATTCAATGGATTCGTTTTATACTATGTCAAACTCCACTTCTATTCAGAATCTTGTAAATAGTCAGTGAATAGTCAGTGAATAGTCAGTGAATAGTTGGTCAATGCAAAACATTTGAACTTTATCGTTGCACAAAAACAACGACTAGACGTGTAAAATTATGATACCAATTAATCAAAACACTAGCATTTCAACTTATATGAAAAATATATGCCAAACAGTAATGATATAGCATCGCCAAAATTAAATGTCCTCAATAATCACGAACAAACGCCAGATGAGGATGGTCAATTTGTCTCCCCAATTAATGACAGAGTTACAATTTTGTTGAAAGATGGAGTTACAACTGCAACTATATATCCCATTTTATCACCTGATTCAATACCGTTGGGATTATTACAATTTTTATGTGACGAATACAATATGGAAATAGAAAGAGGAGAAACGTTACCATTTTTTGACCCATTTTCATTAGAAGAATTTGTCACTTATTGGTTTGATCAATCATTTGTTGCAATAATGTGTCTAGGAGATTCATTAATAGATGAGAATGATGAGCAAGAAGAATTAAGACATTGGGAGAATGAATGTCTTGGTACTTTTTATATTAAACCAAATCATCCTGGAAAAAGAACTTCTCATATTTGTACTGCTGAATTCTTGGTAAATGCTGGAATTAGAGGTAAAGGAATAGGTAGAACATTAACTGATTGTTTTATGGATTGGGCTCCAAAATTGGGATATACATATACAATTTTCAATATGGTATTTGAGACAAATGCGGCAGCTAGAAAATTATGGGAGTCAATGAATTTTAAAAGAATTGGTAAGATAGATGATTCTGTTTATGTTAAAAATTCAGAATTCCCAATTGATTCTATTATTTATGGGAAAGAATTAGCTGATAAGAATGAATCTAGTTCTTCTAGATTCGACAACATTAAGTATTATTTGACAACTGGTAAATATCCAAAATCAGCCGATAGAGAAGAAAGAACGAAAATAAGAGCCGGTTCAAAAACTTATTCTTTAGTTGATGGAAAATTAATGTTGAAAGGTAAGGAAGTGATAGGAGATCCTGATCAGCAGATGAAAATTTGTCGTGATTTTCACCTAAAAAATGGTCATTTAGGAATGAATAAAACAACCAAACAAATTGCTGTATATTATCATTGGCCAAGAGTAAAGGACACAGTGGCATTGATGATCCAAGATTGTGAAGTATGCAAAGAAACTGGAGGGGAAGGAGGACGTAGTAACAAACGCCAAAAAACCTCAAAGACTCAAGAGAATGATCAAGGTGAAACTAGAATTAGTGATCATGTTCAAGCTGTTATTTCTGAAGTTCAAGAATCTCATTTAGAAGGATATAAACCAACTTATGCCGAAGTAGCAGCATCTGGATTAACAAATAATTCATATATAGAAAACTATCGATCAGAAGAAGAAGATTTGGATCCTGATATAGTTCAACCAAGAGTTAGAACTTACAAGAAGTAAAGAATTACATATCAAGCCAAATAGTTGTATAATAATTTTAAAATTCTATTAATGAAATCTCCCCCAAGATTTCCTTAGACCTATAAACAAATTTTGAAAAAATAAAAAAATATACTTCGAAAACTCTTTAAACTTTTTATAAATTCCTTATTCTGTAAAAAAAACTAATTGGATTTGATTAAAAGTCAACACCAATTACCATAGCTAAAAGAGCCATTCTTATAAATAAACCATGTTTCATTTGTCTGAAATAAGCAGCTCTTTGATCAAAATCAACTTCTTCTCTTATCTCGTTAGTTCTTGGTAATGGATGCATGACACACATATGTTGTTTAGCATCTCCTAAAATTTTATTATCAACAATATAAGTATCTTTTAATCTATGATATTGATCTTTATCTTCAAATCTTTCTTCTTGAACTCTTGTACAATATAATACATCTGATCTTGCTAATATATCTTTAGTTAAAACTTCTGATTCAGTAACCAACATATTATTTTTAACTAATAAATCTTTAATTTCTTTTGGAATTTCTAATTCTTTTGGAGCAACTAATTGAACTCTAACATGATAATGTTTTAATAAATGACATAATGAGTGTACTGGTCTACCATATTTCAAATCACCCATAAAAGTAACAGTTATACCATTAACAGTACCTAATTCTTCTCTAATTGTAAATAAATCTAATAAAGCTTGAGTTGGATGTTCTTTTGATCCATTACCAGCATTAATAATTGGTACTGGTGAATATTTAGCAGCAATATCAGCACTTTCTTCTTTTGGATGTCTTAAAACAACTGCATCAGCATAACATGATAAAGTTCTAATTGTATCTTGTAATGTTTCACCTTTTTTAATTGATGAAGAATGAGAATCAATTGCAACAACTCTACCACCTAATCTTTGCATAGCAGCATCAAATGAAGCAGAAGTTCTTGTTGATGGTTCATAAAACATTGTTGCTAAAACTCTACCTTTTAAAATATCTAAAACTCCTTGTCTTTCAACTGCTAATCTCATTTCTTGAGCAACTGTAAATAATGAATGTAAATCTGATCTTGTAATATCTTTAACTGATAAAATATTGTTTCTTAAAAATGTATTATTTTTTCTAATATAATCACTTAATGCAGCAATTTCTCCTAATGAACCAGCAACAGGTTGTGATACTAATTCTGAACCTAATTTTTCAAATTCTGCAGGTTGTGGTTCATTTTGATCTTTAACAAATGATGGACGACGTAAATTTGAAAATGATACTCTTTTTTGATTTCCTAAGATTGGAGATTGAGGTACTGATGTAATTGAATTAAATCTTGATCTTGAAGTAACTTCATTTTTACCTAATGCAGAATCAGCTAATACTGAACCATCTAATACAACTGTTTCACCATGGAATGAAACTCTTTCAATAGCTCCTCTTAATTTTAATTTATTGAAATCTGGGAAAACTGGTTTAACTTCTGAAAATCTATCTAAATCAATAACAACTTGTGCATCTTGTTTTGGAATATTGAAAATTTTTGAAGGTTTATCATGTAATTTATCAACAATATCATCTAATGTTAATTTACCCTTTTTAACAGCTGATAATAATAAAGGAATAGTTTCACTAACTCCCAAACCTGGTGTAATTGGTTCTTTAGTAGCTTTAGCAATTAAATATGGTAAAACACCAATTGAAAAACAATCAATATCTTTTAAATTTTGCCATAAATAATCTTGATCATTTTTACTTGGTATAAATGGATAATTTAATTCATCTTTTGAAATAAATAATGATAATACTGAAACATCTAAAGTAACATTTAATGACTTGTTTTTTGCCATAAGTATTAAATCTAAATCTTCTTTTGACGATACTCCTGTTATATGAATTGATCTATTATATAATGAAGCTAGTAATAAAATTGAAGCTAAATCAGTAGTTTTGGCATCTGTTATAATTGGTTTATTTGTTGGCCAAGCTGCAAATTGTGCACTAACTATAGAAATTTTAGAACCATCAATATCATTGAATGGAATAAATAAAGCACCAGCATTTTCAGCTGAATCAGCAACACTTTGTGAATTGGTTTCAGTAGCAGCAATTGAAACTGAATAATCAGTGAAAGCAACAGCACCAGCTTGATCAATGGTATCAATTAATGATCTGTAATCAGTTACTGCAACTCCATGTTGTGTATGTGGTAAAAATGCATTAAATGTGAAACCAGAAGCTAATGATTCCTTAGTAGTTTTTTCAAAATCATTTAATGAAGTAGCAAATGATGTAATATTTATTAAACCTGGAACAATTGAAGTACCATGAGAAGTTTGAGCATCTCTATTTGAAACTTCTAATGAAATATTTCTTGCAATAGCTTCAACTAATAATTTAGCATTTTTAACATTTGTAACTAAAGGAATTGCATAATCAACAGCCATACGACGAGATTCATAACCTTTTGACATATATGAAGCTGGACGACGGAATCTATTTGATGATGGTAAATTGACATATAAATCTATTAAATTGTTTGCTAAATGTTGAGTTAATGAATATTCTGATTTTTGATCTTCTTCTTTACTTAATACTTCTAAATAATGAACTGGAATATCATGTTCTTTAATAAAATCAGCAGTACCTGCAGTAGCAAAAATTTTATAACCTAATTCACTTAATTTAGCAATACTTGGTAATAATTCTTGTTTTTCTTTATATGAACCAATTGAAAATAAAATATTTTTTTTAGGTAATTTGAAACCAGTTGATAATAATGATTTCAAATAAGCTTCATATTTATTTTTACCAAAAGTTGCAACTTCACCAGTTGAAGCCATTTCAACACCTAAAACAGGATCAGCACCAGCTAATCTTGAAAATGAAAATTGAGGAACTTTAACTGCACAATAATCATCTGGTAATCTTTCACCTGGATATGGTATAATTGGTAAATCCATTATAGCTTTTGTAGCTAATTCAACTAAATCAACTCCAACGACTTTTGAAACAAATGGACAAGATCTTGAAGCTCTAACATTACATTCAATAACTTTAATATCATTATGTTTTGCAATAAATTGAATATTATAAGGACCAGTAATATCTAAAGCTTTACCAATTTTAGCAGTAGCTTCAACAATTCTTCTAACAGTTTCTGGATCTAAATCTTGTGGTGGAACAATTAAAGTAGCATCACCTGAATGAACACCTGCATTTTCAACATGTTCAGAAACAACATGCATAATCATTTTACCATCTTTTGCAACTGCATCCATTTCAATTTCTTTAGCATTTTCAATATATTTAGTAATAACAACTGGATAATCAGGTGAAACATCAACAGCTTGAGTTAAATATGAAGCTAAATCATCTTTTGAATATACAGTATTCATAGCAGCACCAGATAAAACATATGATGGACGTACTAATACAGGATAACCAACTTTTTCAGCAAATTCTTCAGCTTCATCAATTGAAGTTAATTCTTTCCATGCAGGTTGATCAACACCAATTTTATCTAACATTCTTGAAAATTTATATCTATTTTCAGCTGAATCAATCATTTCTGGTGAAGTACCTAAAATTTTTACATTTTGTCTATATAATGGTAATGCAATATTATTTGAAGTTTGACCACCCATTGAAATAATAACACCTGCTGATTGTTCTAAATCATAAATATCTAAAACTCTTTCTAAATTAATAGTTTCAAAATATAATCTATCAGCTTCATCATAATCAGTTGAAACAGTCTCTGGATTATAATTAATCATAACTGTTTTAATTTTATTTTCACGTAATGTTCTAATTGCTCTAACAGCACACCAATCAAATTCAACTGATGAACCAATTCTATAAACACCTGAACCTAAAACAATTACACCATTATCATCAAATGAAACATCAGAAGAATCAGCATTATAAGTAACATATAAATAATTTGTAAAAGCTGGGAATTCTGCTGCAACAGTATCAATTTGTTTAACAAATGGAATAATACCAGCATCTTTTCTTAATCTTCTAATTGCAACTTCATTACTGTCAACAAATTTAGCAATTTGTCTATCTTCAAAACCTAATTGTTTTGCTTGTCTAATTATTGATACAGGTAAATTTTCTTTTTTACCATAACTTGTAATTTTATCACCAAATTTAATTAATCCATCTAATTTATTTAAAAACCATTTATCAATATTTGTTAATTTCCAAACTTTATCAACTGAATAACCATCAGATAATGCATTAGCAATAGCAAATAAACGTTGATCAGATGGAGTTTGTAATTCTTGATCTATATCAATAGACATTAATGCAGCAGTTTTATTAAATCCTAAATTATGATAATCTGTTGATCTAATTGCTTTTTGAATAGCTTCTTCAAATGTTCTACCAATTGACATAACTTCACCAACTGATTTCATTGATGATGATAATAATGATGAAACTCTTGTGAATTTTTTTAAATCCCATCTTGGAATTTTAACAACAACATAATCTAATGATGGTTCAAAACATGCACAAGTTGATTTAGTTACATTATTTTGAACTTTATTTAATGGAATATTTAAACCTAATTTTGCTGCTGTATAAGCTAATGGATAACCAGTTGCTTTTGAAGCTAAAGCAGAAGAACGTGATAATCTTGCATTGACTTCAATAATACAATATTCTTTTGAAAAAGGATTTAAAGCATATTGAATATTACATTCACCAACAACTCCTAAATGTCTAATAACATTAACTGCAGTAGTTCTTAACATATTATAATCTTCATCTGATAAAGTTTGCGATGGTGCAACAACAATAGAATCTCCAGTATGAATACCTAAAGGATCAAAATTTTCCATATTACAAACAGTAATACAATTATCAAATGCATCTCTAACAACTTCATATTCAACTTCTTTCCAACCTTTCATTGATCTTTCAACTAAAACTTGAGGTGATGTTGCAAATGCTTTATTACATAATGCAACTAATTCTTCTTCATTATCAGCAAATCCAGAACCTAAACCACCTAATGCAAAGGCTGCTCTAACAATTAATGGATATCCTATAGCATTTGCAGCATCAATAGCTTCTTTAACATTACTACAAGCTTCTGATCTTGCACATTTTTCACCAATTTCAGACATTGCACTAGCAAATAATTCTCTATCTTCAGTAGTTATAACTGTATCAATTGGAGTACCTAAAACTTTAACACCTAATGATTCAAATTCATCTTTTAAAGCAATACCAACACTTAAAGCTGTTTGACCACCAAAAGTACAATAAATACCATCTGGACGTTCATGTTTAATAACTTTTCTAACAAATTCTGGATTTACAGGTAAAAAATAAACTTTATCAGCTAATCCCTTTGAAGTTTGAATAGTTGCAATATTTGGATTAATTAAAACAGTATAAATTCCTTCTTCTTTTAAAGCTTTTATAGCTTGAGAACCAGAATAATCAAATTCACCAGCTTGGCCAATAGATAAACCACCAGAACCTAAAACCAAAACTTTTTTAACATCTTCTTTTGGATGAAGTTTTAAATTATCTTCAATTTTACCACCTGGAAATTCAACTTGTTTATAAATACCAGTTTTATTATGATCAATAACTGAATTAATAAAAACATCAAATAAAAATTCAGTATCTCTTGGACCAGGAGTTGATTCTGGATGAAATTGTACTGAAAAAAATGGTAAAGTTTCATGATAAATACCTTCATTTGAACCATCATTTGCATTAACAAATAATTCTTTCCAACCATTAGTTAAAGTAGTAGTATCAACAGCATAACCATGATTTTGTGAAGTTATATAACATCTACCTGAAATTGTTGAAGTACAAGGAATATTATGACCACGATTACCAAATTTTAATTTCAAAGTTGAAGCACCAGTAGCTCTTGCTAATAATTGATGACCTAAACATATACCAAATACAGGAGTTTTAGCTTCTTCTAAAACTTTTTTCAATACTTCAACTGTTTTATTCATAACTGCTGGATCACCTGGACCATTTGAAATAAATAATCCGTCATATTTTTCATTTGTAAAATCATAATCCCATGGAACAACTAATACTTCAACACCTCTTCTAACAAAACATCTAATTTGATTATATTTCATACCAACATCAATTGCAATAATTCTAATTGGTTTTCCATCTTTACCTAATTTAATATTTTCCTTTGGTGAATATAAAACTGGTTTTTTTATAGATACATCAGCAACTAAATTTTTAATATTTGGATCATCATATTCAGGAATATCAAAATATTTTTGCCAATTTCCAGATTTATCAGATAAAATTTCTTCTGATTTAAAATTTGATTTTTGTAAAGCTAATCTACCTAAAGTTGAACCTTTTTCTCTTAATCTTTTAGTTAAAGCTCTTGTATCAACACCATAAATAGCTGGAATATTTTGTTCTTTTAACCATTGACCTAATGATGATTTAGCTAAAAAATGAGAATATTCTTCAGTATAATGAGCAACAACTAAACCTGCAATATGAATTTTAAAAGATTCAAAATATTTTGGTAATGCAGGAAAATAATCATCATCTTTTAAATCTCTATCTGGTACACCATAATTACCAACTAATGGATAAGTTATAACTAAAATTTGACCTTCATAAGATGGATCAGTTATAGATTCTGGATAACCAACCATACCAGTTTGAAAAACAACTTCACCTGCAATAGGTTTTTCAGCACCGAATGAATAACCTTGTAAAGCAACTCCATCATAAGTCTCCAAAGTCATCAATCTATCACCAGTAGAATCCATTGGTGGAGAAATTGGAACAGACACTTTAGCCATCTTTTTCAAAAATTTAAAAATTAAACAATATAAACTCTAATTCTAGTAAAATTATTCTTTGGAATATCCAATTTGAAAATATGTCTCTATAATTTTGATTGAAGGGGGGAATTCAAAATTGAAACTTGATTGATATTATTTCTAATTTGAAAATGAAAAATTTGAAACTAGATTAGCTAAAGAAAATCTCGAATGTTAGTATCAACAACTCTAAATTCAAACTGTCTTTATGTATTGTTTTGTTTTTGATGAAGAAGATGCAAAGGAATGGAATAGTATTTGGTTGTGAAATGAAAAATCAATAGAATCACGTATAACTTGATTTCTATTTTTTTTTTTTTTGATACTGCATTCCCATAGTTAAAGTTTCTGAAACCATCTCATCGCGGTTAAATAGTACGGAGTATTTCATGAACTTTCAGGATAATGATTCGCTTTAATATCAACTTCTTCAACACTTATTACTCTCCATATCGTAGTGAAGTCCAAAATCAATACAAATATATGCAGATGAGTTTACTAAAACATACCAATGAAGAAATCCACTAAAATTTTTATTTGTCTGAACTAATTTCAATAAATAGATTGATTGAAATGGTTGATTGACCTAGAGAAGGAGAGAGAGAGAGAGAGGAAGGAAGAAGGAAAGGAGGAGGAAAAGAAAAGGAATAAAATAATGAAAAATGTAAAATGAAAATGAAATGAAAATTGAAAAATTAAGTGGTGATGATTTAAAATTATATTTATACAGCATACAATATTATTGATTTAATTATTGTGTAACTGAAAAAAAAAAAATTTTTATTGTCTAACTGTTTTAGTATTAAAATAAAATAATTATTATTATCATCTTCTTCCTCTTCATCTTACATAACTTAGTATTATTTTACTTTTGTAATACTTTATTATCTTTACGTCATTTTTATTGCAGTACAGTTATTTTTTTTTATTTGCAATTTTTATGTGTTTTTATAAAATTTATTCTACTCATTAATAAACTTGTATACTTCGACACCCTAACATAAATAGGATGACTTTCTGGATCAAGCTCCTTACTTTAGTTCAAAATTAATTTAGAATGAAAAGGTTTTGTTTGAAGATCCAGTGGAAAATTAAATTTAATTCGAGTTTAGGCTGTTACTCGACTTAAAATTAGCGCGAGGTTAAAAAAAATTAGTAACAAAATAATTAAGCTAACCTAACCAAATAAATGTAATTAAGATGAGATAATCTTATGTGGTACAAATTGAGGTAGTAATAGCCTATAAACTATTTAAAAATTTGAATTTTGAATATTAGAGGCGGTGAAACAGTTTAATACATAAACTATGACTTAATAACAATACAGATAGAATGAAGTTTCTTTTAGCGTCTTGTGTAAGCATTAGAAAAAGGGACTGAGATGACCCTTCGACTATCACAAAATAAAAAAATTGTATAAATTTGGTTGCAAAATATTTTCAAACTTTAAGAAATGATTGATAATTTAAATTAATCTTAAATGTATAAAGGCAATTGTAACTAGTCTAGTTTTAATCTTATATTCTTTTCAACGCTAATTTAACTTCTTCTCACGGATGTCGAAACTTCGTTATTTTGAAACCGGTATTGGGTTTTAAGGATACGTAAGCAGGAAGTAAAGCGAAAGCTTAAGCTGAATTTTTATTTGTCGAAGGTTGAGATACTATCCACAATCCATAGGATCGTTTGAAAATATTCTGTAATTTGTAAGTTGTTCGTAAGTTGATTTCGAAATCTGAAACAAAACTATGGCACGTGAAGCAAGATATAAAAAAAATAAAATATTTTTTTTTCTTAATTAAACTTTAATATGAAACGGTTTATAGCCTAATTAAACTTTAGATCAGTCCTTTATTAAGCATCACCAATATTTCAAATTAATTTAAGTCAACAATAGTTGTTTTACATATTGGTGGTGTTCACCTATCATTCCTTATTATACACCTTATTATTTAATCACTCAAACCAATAAAATCAATCTTTTTTCCATGTACATATAACATTCAAATAATCAAACCTAAGATCAACTTGTAATGACCAATTTTAGAGAATCATATAAAAAATTGAAGCGACTGTGTTTCAGCTTCGATTTTGGTCTAAATGCAAGAAATTTCATTCACAAGGTAGTATCTCATGTTTATCCATATGCAAAAATAGTATTACCTAATTTTAGAGCAGTTCATTATTTTTATATTATAACATTAGTATTTCTTGGGTCAATTTTAATGTATCCTGTTAAATCAATAGCTTATATTGATGTTTTATTTTTTTCAAGTGGTGCAAGTACTCAAGCTGGTTTAAATACTGTAGATGTTAATAATATATCATTATATCAACAAATTTTATTATATCTAATAACAACTTTATCAACACCAATTTTTATTCATGGTTCATTATTATTTGTTAGATTATATTATTTTGAAAGACATTTTGATGGAATTAGAGAAAAATCAAAATTAGATTTTAAAATGAGAAGATCAGCAACAATTTCAAGACAAAAATCTAATCCTTCACATGATGCAACTCGTGTAAATACCGCAACAAATAAAGGATTGGGATTTTATGATAAAGAAGAAGAAATAGAAAGTCCACAATCATCAACACTGACACAGCAAAATGCTGGACATGGCGCTGTGCAACATTATTCTGAACCATCAGACGAGGAAGAAGATGAAGAAGATGTAGATGATCAAAGACAAAATCAGCACAACAATGTATCAAATACCAAACAACAAGACCATGCTATAAAATTTGGAGCTCTACCGCATCCTAGAAGAAAAAAATCAATTGACCCGGAAGATATGCTTAGATCAATCAATATGATGAAACAAAAACAAAAAAGTCAAGAGAACGATAACAATCAACAGCATTCAAATAAATCCCATAGAGCTGAAGATGAATCTAATCCTACTGGTAATTCAATTCAATTTGTGAATATAAGCTCACCTTCAAGAACAAGAAGATCTTCACATAATATTAATCACCAGTTACAATCACCAGATATGGATGATCAACAAGATGATAATGATGATGACGATGTTTTAGTTATTAAACCTCCAAATGAAACAGAAAATTCAACAAGTCATGATCAAATTTTCACAAAAAAGAAAAACCCATCTCAACAAATTCAATTTGCAGCAGAATCTAAAAGATTACCACATTGGTTTCATAGTCCTAATGGGAATGGTGTAAAAAAACATTATAGACCTTGGACGAGTAAATTAAAAAAATCATTTTCAAATAGAAGATTTTCAAGTTATTCAAGTGAGGGAGATGATGATACTGATGGATCTATAGATTCTGAACATGCAAATACTGAAGATGAAGATGATGGGGACGATGATGACGATTATGATGAAAGAGGAGATACAGATTATGAGGATTTGGATAATGTATTAACTGATGCTGATAACGAAGAAGATGATGATGATGAAGAGGAAGATGATGACGAAGAAGTTGATCCAATATCTCGAAGCAAGAAATTATCTCAAACTAATCAAAATTCACCTAATCCAAATGATCAAAACGAGTCGAAACCTCATGGTAATAAAATCAATTTTGGAGATGATCCAATTCGAAATAAAAACAGAACCAAAATCCCAAATAGAAGAAGAAGAAGAAAAAGGAAATTTGGTATAAGAAAAATTAAAACACCTGTATTATCAAGAGCAACAACATCATCTAATAGAGAAGGTTCAATAAGAAGTGTACATAGTAATGAACCAGATAATAATTCAATGGGAGGATTATCAAGAACAATGAGTGGGAATTATTTATCATGGACACCAACTGTTGGTAGAAATTCAAATTTTATCAAATTAACTGAAGAACAAAAAGACGAATTAGGTGGAATTGAATATAGAGCAGTCAAATTATTAATTAAAATTGTTGTTTTATATTATTTAGGATTCTTATTACTTCCCTCCATAATGTTTACTATATGGGTTTATTGTATGCCAAATTATAAAAATATGTTAAATGATGAATCAATTGTACCAGGTTGGTGGGCATTTTTTACAGCTCAATCATCATTTAATGATTTAGGTTTAACTTTAACTCCAGATTCAATGATATCTTTTAATCAAAATGCATTTATTCAAATTGTTAGTTCATTTTTAATTGTTATTGGAAATACGGGTTTCCCTGTATTTTTAAGATTTATTATATGGGTAATGTTTATAACTGCAAAACCATTATCTTTATATAAAGAATCTTTAGGATTTTTATTAGATCATCCTAGACGTTGTTTTACTTTACTTTTCCCCCTGGTTCCAACATGGTGGTTATTTTTAATATTAGTTGTATTAAATGGTTTTGATTTAATTATATTTTGTATATTAGATCTAAAAAATGCAACATTTGATGGAATTCCAACAGGATATAGAGTATTAAATGGATTATATCAAGCTTTTTGTACAAGAACAGTTGGATTTTCAGTAATGGATCTTTCTGAATTACATGCAGCTACTCAAGTAAGTTATTTAGTAATGATGTATATATCAGTTTTACCAGTTGCAATGACAGTTAGAAGAACTAATGTTTATGAAGAACAAAGTTTAGGAGTTTATGCAAATGAAAAAGAAAATGAAGCTGATGAAAATGCTCCTTCAAATTATGTTGGAGCTCATTTAAGAAATCAATTATCTTATGATTTATGGTATATTGTATTAGGATTATTTATTATATGTATTGCAGAAGGTAAAAAACTACAAAAACAAGAATTTAGATTTTCAGTATTTGCAATATTATTTGAAATTATAAGTGCTTATGGTACTGTTGGTATGTCATTGGGATATCCAGATGTAAATACTTCATTAAGTGGAAAATTTAATGTTGTTTCAAAATTAGTTATAATAGCAATGATGATTAGAGGTAGACATAGAGGTTTACCATATGCAATAGATAGAGCAATAATGTTACCTGATGCAGATATGAGACGTCATGATAGAGTTCAAGAACAACATGCATTACAAAGACATAATACTATAGAAAGAACAGGAACTACTTTAGGTAGAGTTGCAACTTTTGCAAATGGAGGACCAATGGATGGTGGTGAAAATTTAATAGGTAGGGTATTAACTAATTTGGGGAATTTAAGAGATAGACGTAAAAGTCGAACTAGTTCAAATGATGAAGGTCATAATTATTTTAGAAGTAATCATAATAATAATAATAGAGAAAATGAAAGTGGTCCAAATACTGAAGAAGGAAGTGATCAATCAACTCATTCAAATATGCCTCGTTATTTAGTAACTACAGTTAGTCATGTGTAAAATCCTTTCAAAAAGTTGTAAGCATCTTCTAAATGCATATTTATTCATTTCATAAATAATTTTTTCTATTTGCTGTACGTATAAATCTTCTTACTTGCCATTCAATATCAGCATCTTTATTATCAGGTAAACCTAATTTAATTTCATATAATTTCATTTCAAATCTTGGACCAATTTCACTTATTTCTATTCCATCTTTTGTTTTAACATATATATGATGTCTTACACTTATATAATCACCATTATTTATAAAACTTATAACTCTTGAATTATCTTTTTTAACACCTGGTGGAAATAAATGTTGTAAAATTTTAACAACTCTTTTACCTAATTTAGTATTAAAATTTTCAAATATTAAATGAGGATAAGCTTCACTTATATTACCTAAATTTGGTAAATCATGTCTTAATTTAACATTATGTAATGTAAAAATTGCTGATGGACCATGTGGGAAATGACTTATTGTTATTGATGTTGGAACACCTCTATGTTCATGTAATATTATTAAATCAGATATTGAAACTCTTGAACAAGTTTTAACTAAATCATTTATAATATAATTACCACGATTTAATTTTAAACTATTTGGAAACATTAAATTTATTTCTTTTGAAAATTGTAATAATTTAACACTTGGATTTCTTGATGTTGTTATTAAAATTTTTGGATCATTTATTCCTGATAATGCACTATATTCATCATCTATTTCAATTTCTTCTTGAATACTTTGATCATATATGAAATCTTTTTGTAATTTTTCATCTTCTGCTACTTCTTTTGATAATGGTTTTCCTGATGCTAAAGCTGATTTTAATTGTTGTCGTTTTTCCGTAAGACTAGCCTCTTGTAGTTGTAAAGCTTTTCTATATAGATATTCTCTTCTTTCTCTAGCTTGTTTTCTGATCATAGTTGTTGAATCGTGTTTTATGTGTACTTGGTTAGTTTATGTCTAGAGATGAGAATCTTAAAAATAAATATTTACGATACTAATATATTTATTGTTTTTGTGTAAGTTTCAAGATCGAACATTCATTTGAGCCTGGAGATTCACATCAGTAATCCATTAAGCTCGCGGATGTGTTCGCCTACTATACAGCCGGGAATAGTAACTTTGCATTAATTTAAAAGACTTTTATGGTTAACACAATTTGTAAGTAAACGTATACATTATATCAATATTTTCTCAAATTCATCCATATTCTCCAATTCATCTTGTTGATTAACTCTTTTCAAAACTTCCTTTTTAGAACTTTCTTGAATATATCCATCAATTATCAATTCATCTAATACATGATAAGCTTTATCAAATCCAAATATAATATCCAATTCACAAACATTACCATATATTTTATCCATTTGTTCAACAAATCTATGTATAATTTCTAATCCAATTAATTCATTATCTTGATTATTTATACCTATTATAAAAAATAATGATGCATATCTTCTATATATAATTTTTAAATCTCTATATTCTAAAACATTACACATTTTAGCTCTTCTTGATAATATTATTGTTGATAATTCTCTTATTATTTTGGATTTTTCTCTTTGTGGTAATGTTTGATACCATTTTGATAATCTTGTTTTACCTTGTCTTGATATAAGAAATAGAAATTGAATTGCCATTTGAATATGTTGTAAAAGTTTGGTTTTGTTTGGAAAGTACTGTACTTAAATGAATATTGTAATGTAACAACACCTTAATTTGCCGCTGGCTATGAAATTAGTCTTAATATACAATCTTTGTTTTGTTATACTAAAATAATTTGGGATGGTTTTAAAGTTGATGTAATGATATTTTGGACTCAACTGTTCAAAATATTCAGATTTTCGTGTTACAAATTTAATCAACAGAAATCAAATATTGGTAGCGATCACTCCTATCATATTTACATTACTATTGACATTAAGAAATGATATACAAGTCTAAACAACAAAGTTCTAAAGTTTAACCTTTTAACAATTTCAAAAAGTGATTTGTACAGCTAAATTGGTTGTTCAGATTCACGTCATCTTCTGGGTCACAAACACATTTATTTTCCAAATAAATTTTAGAATTTTGAGGACACGCTGAAAAAGGTGGATGATAATATCCTACTTGATTAAACCAATGAAAATCTTCTTTTTTTAAACTTAGCATAAGACCGATTGTATGAATTGGTGCATCACCCCATCTCTCATAATAAAATCCTCCTTTTGAATCTAAAAATTTGAAAAATTCTTCATAAATTTCATTATTATTGAAAATATCTAAGTTTGCAATCTCAAAATTTGACCAGAAATGACATAAATTGTACCAATCGTAATCATTAAGTAAAGCATGTAACAACTCCGGTTTCAAGTTTTTTAATTTGATAAATTCCAATACATTTGACCACAAAGTAGGTATAGTTTCGGAGTATTCAAATAAAGAAATAACAAATCCATATTTTTTATCATTCACTTTTATAAATTTAAAAAGATCTTCATTGATGTCACATGTTAACTTTATATTTGGTTCAATTCTCCAATAATATTGATATTGTCTCACCATGGGATGCTTATAAAAAAATCCAGAAAAGTATCTACACATGTGTCGATAACTTTCCAAATTTCCATAAGGTACATCTGCAAAATTTTCTCTAATTTCTTGAGCTAAAGTTTGATTAATATGTGAGGGATACCACCAATGCTCAGTGGGAATCATTCCAAAATTAATTTTACCTTTTGTTATATACGAGCTGATCAAGTATATAAATTCATCTGTAAATGGTTCGTCATTTAAGAAGGTATAATCGTAATTGAACTTGTTGTTAAATCTATCTTGAACGATTTGAACTGTTTGTAAAACTTCATACATGTCCAGGTTACGACATAACATTAGAAATGTAGCATTTTCTCTTGGATAACTTACTGACGATTTTTCAATACAAATATTTGAAGTTTGACAATTTGCGTGGTGAATTGATAGATAAGTTTTGAAATTTATATCGTTTTCATACATATAACATTGTGAATTTAGACTTGAATCATTCTTGAAATTTAGTACAATGTTGCTTTTACCGTTGAATAATATTTTGATGTAAATTCCAAATAATAGACACAACAAATAGCCAATGAATTTTCTTTTAGATATCATGAAGCTGACTCAAAACATTCAACCATGATGCTTGAGGTTGTTGTGACCTCTATTTTTTTTCGTCAATAGGTTCGATCTAATAATCATTATATTGTACACAAAATATAAAAGACTGTTTTGTATGAATTTTAAATCGAAAATACTTCTCTCTACTCACTTTCTTATACAATATCTTTTACATACCTTGATGTTCATACCAATGCCATTTTTGACAAGGTTCGGGGAATAATTATGTGACTATAGAATATCGAAAGCAACGGTGAAACCTTAAATATGAGAAAACAAATCTGTACTTTCAAATATGGCAACATGGAGCCAATTTGAAGGTTATATTACATTGATAATAAATTGAGTGATACATATAATCACCCGGTATCATGAACGATTAGTGTCGGATATAAAGAGTGTGTGTGGAAACGTCAACACTACGATAGCTCATTAGTCCTAGGAATTCATTGAACAAGGGAAAACGATTAAGAATACCAACAATAATTATCAATCGACCGAGTTTGAATACAGATTACAAACAAATAGAAACTATGAGCATTATGAATTCAATCTTATCCATTGAAAGAAAAGAAGAGAATTGAAAAGACTGGAAGAAGAATGTATTGAATTAGCAAGAGAAAGAAATTTTAGTTGCAGAACAGGTTCAACTTGTACATTTAGAGATAGTTCAATAAAAATTTCGAACAGTAGATGTAATTTAAGCAAAGAAATGACAGATTTAGTTTCAAGCTCTTTGCATAAGATTGAATCTGTCATTCATCATTTTTGTTGAATTACCTCTTAAACAATTCTAAAAGGAGTTGTATCTGCAAGTGAATTTAGAGGTAAAGGTAAGTTTAGATAAGAAAATTTGTGATATGCAATAGCTATCAATTCAACATCAATAGTAACTGAAACTTTAATAATGGAACTAACAATTTCAATGGAATTGGCATTTCCAACAACATCTTTAACAGCAACTATGGCAACAAAAACAACGATGATACAAACAATACAAACCAGTAAGAATTTGGTCCGTTAACATGATTATGCCAAATAATCATAATCACACTTTTTCAGCTATCTTTTATCACTGAGAAGCTACAGCTATTGCACTTTAAATAGCTTCAGTTTCTGAGTGATAAAAGATAAATGATTTTTCAAAAAATTTCATTTGCATCATGAAATTTCTGCTTCCTGACGGGACAACCATAAATTCTTAAGGTACTATAGAAATAAAAGGTTGAAAATCTAACCTTAACGTACATATATATCATTTTTCTACAATCACCAATAACTTGATTAGTGTTTCACAAAGTACCAACCTCCATGATCTTGTCTCATATACGAACGATACATTATACAAGACCTGAATTAAACGAATACATGAATTGAATTGATAGCTGAAAAATTAAAGGTTTATAAAACTAGCCTTGGTGGAACAACTGAAAAAATTACTGATACACCTACAATCTAAAGCATTTGTAAATCCATCAGCAAAATTTTGTTTGATTTTTTCACAGCAGTAGTTTGTTTAACCCAAATTATTGAAGTTTTACCTCAACATTTATCACAAGAGGTGATAGAATGTAACTTATGCATATCTTCCAACGAGAAGCTATTTATGAGATTGAAAGTAGCTTAAGGGGTTGTGAGAAAGATATTGTACTATAGTTTTTTGTAAGTTAAGTAAATCGTTATATCAAACGTACCTTAAGTTTACAGTGTATTGTATTGAATGAACTAAATTTCATTTTTAAATATTATATAAAATTGATTGCTGCAATGTTTCAGATTTTCTAATTGTAATGCACGTTCTTCATCAAGATCGTGGTATTAAAATTATTTCTTTTTTTTTTCTTTCTCTCAGATCTTACTTATAAAATAAAACAAATGTCAAAATATTATTATTATTATTACTTGATTTGAACAAATTTGGTAATTTGTAACTTTGATTTAAGGGGACCACATGGTTTATAAATTTTGAATTAAGATATTGTTCTTTGATTACTAACCCTTCGACTATTGTATTTTTTATCTGATTATTATGTCGATGTCTCGAGATATTGTTTTGTTTATAGTTTTGAGTAATGTTTCATACGATTTTTTCAATTATTTACGAAATATTGATTACTTGCTCGTTGTAGGTCGCTATTCTAGCTGCTACTACTTAGAGGTAAATTTGATGAATCCCTCTAAGAACGGTACAAATGCAAAGGTACATCAGTCTAAGTGATGGACAAGCCTTGTTTAACTCCTCAGAAAAATCATAAAAGTATGATTGTTAATTTCGTTTGTAACATTGGAAGTTCCACATTTTTCAAAAAAATCTAACTAAACATTTGAATTACTATTATGATTTATCAAACAACATGGGTCAGTGAAATCTGAATTTTGATGAGATTTTATTGAGATAAAATTAGTATAATGTTAATTCTATTTATATATTTTAATGATTATAAGTATTCTCTCTCTTGATATTTTTTCTTTTTCTAAAATTATTATTTCTTCTTACTTTCAGGATAACCATTATTATTAATATACAACGTTTTAATCACGACTAACGTTTAACTCTAAGCATTCATTAAAGACATTTAGTGTTTTTTCAATAATCACATCAACATTTAATTGTAATCAGAAAAAAGTACCATATGACTAGATCAAAAATATGGAGGTCAATAACTCATCAACTTCATTTAACATCATGAGTGGACCTTCATCAACAACAACATCAAATATGAAGAAAGAGACTAAACTGCAACTAGACTATGATTCAAATACAAACAAGTCAAAATCAGCAGAGATTCTAAGCCGGCATCCTCAATCCCAAGAAATTTCTGAAACAACAAAACATCAACAAGATCAGAAGAGTAAAACCATAGGACATAAAGTTGAATTCAATGATCAAGCAAGCGCAACTGATAAAATAGCCTCGAAAGATGAAACACTTCCAAAGGATAACGACAACCAAGAAATTAAAAGTGATAACAAAAGCAACATCGAAGACAGTGTACCATCATCAAGTCAAGAAAGATCACCTTCAGCCAATTCGGACTTACCTATACCCTCAAATCAACTTAGTGGGAGAAAAGCGGCAAGATCTTTAAGAATTTTCCGAGGTATTGATGAATCTGAATTTGTTGATGAAGAAGAACAAAATGAACAAAATAAACTACCTATAACAAGTCCAATTAAAGAAAAAATTGTTCCAGATGGTGGTATTGATTTGGAACCAGTGTCATCAGCAACTTATATTCCACATACTCCAGCAACACTTGAACATTACAATAAACATCATTTAAAACCAGATCAGGATCGTTTAGATACGACTACAATAACTAAAGAATTAGAAGAACCATTGACGCCAACATTGTTACCTAAACCTCAACATCTAACAGCAAATTTGGAGTTTGATCATGGAATTAATGGCGATATTACAAAAATTTCATCTGTTTATAATAATAATGTCAATGACAATGAACATGTTGTATTTGATGAAAATCAAATTCGGGACGATAACAAGGCTGAAAAAATCAAAAAGTACTCAAGATCATCCACTCCTGTTTTGGATATTCTTGTTCCTAAATTACAAGAATTTGAGAAAAAAGAAGTATCTGAACAAGTTATTGGTGAAGTATCAAAAGAAAAAGTCTCTAACGACACTAATGATATTAATGAAACGGTACAAGAATTTGAAGAAGATGAAGGTTCTGAATTTCCTTTAGCAGTTGAATTAAGACCTTTTAAAAATAAAGTTGGTGGTCATACAGCAATATTTTCATTTTCAAAACAAGCTGTTTGTAAAGCATTAGTTAATAGAGAAAATATTTTTTATGAAACTATAGAAATTCATCATCCTGAACTTTTAAAATTTATGCCTCGATATATTGGTGTTTTAAATGTAAGATATTCAAGTTTAATAAATGAAGTTGAAACAAAACAAGAAAACGAACCAATTGCAAGCACATTTGAGCATGATGAGGAGTCTGCATTGATAGAACAAACAAAACCTCACAATCATAGAAGACAATCGGAAAATATGCCACCAGAAGTTGTTTTAGATGACAATAAACATATTATACCAGATACTTTATGGAAACATTATTCAAGTTCGTTACCATCACCAAAATATTCAAATTTAGAAAGTCATAGTCCTGTTCCTAGTTTAACTAATTCTCCAATGCAAAGACCAAATCCTGGATCAACATTAGTTAATACAGAATTACAAGTACAAGTTTTACAAGAAGTTTTTCAACCAATGAAATTACATGATGAATTTTTTGAAATGGATGAAGATAGAGAATTTACAACACCACCATTAAATGATAATAAAGAATCAACTCCAGATAATGAATTTGATAAAAATGAAGAAGCCGTCATACCATCTTCACCTGATGTCTTATTACGTAAACATACAAGATTTGAAAGATTTATTTTATTAGAAGATTTAACATGTAATATGAAAAGACCATGTGTATTAGATTTAAAAATGGGTACAAGACAATATGGTATAGAAGCAAATTTAAAAAAACAAAAATCTCAAAGACGTAAATGTTTTATGACAACATCAAGAAAATTAGGTGTAAGAGTATGTGGATTACAAATTTTTAAACAAAATAAACAAAGAATTATAAAAGATAAATATTTTGGTAGAAGAATTAAAATTGGAATACAATTTTGTAAAATTTTAGCAAAATTTTTATATGATGGAGAATCAATTTTTTCAATATTAAATAAAATTCCAAAATTAATTTTAATGTTAAATTCATTATTTAAAATTTTTAATAATTTACCTGGTTATAGAATGTATGGATCACTGATTTTATTAATGTTTGAAAGTGGATCAGTATATAATCAAGTTAAAGTTAAAATTATCGATTTTGCTCAATCTGTTGTATCAGAAGAAGAAAAAGAAAAATCAAATATTCCACCATATCATCCAAATTTAGTTGATAAAGGTTATTTAAAAGGTTTAAATTCTTTAATTGAATATTTTATTTTAATTTTTCAAATTTTAAGTAAATCAAAATTGACAGATCCAAATGAAATGATTAAATGGAATGAGACAAATGAATATAAATTAATTAATAAAAATTGTCCTTGGTTAGATGATTATGCAGAATTGGAAAATGAAATTGATGGAGGAATTAATTTAATTGATGAAAATGATCCTTTTAATATTGATTATCCAATTAATGATACGAATGATGATGATTTATCAGAATGATTAAAATTAGAAAGTTTATAATGCCTTAAATAATATATATATATTAATACTTAATGATACATAATGATGAAAAACGAATTCATTGTAGTTATAGCAAGTAGTTTAGATCTCATAGTGGTCTTGATCTATTAAATTCATCTCCACCTTTTGTACCCCAGAAAAAATAAAATTGACTTTGATTAAATTTGACATGCAATAACTCCGAAAATTATAACTTGAATTTTGAAAATTTATCAACAAATATTCAAACCGTTTTTGTAAAACTGTCTGGCCCTGAGTTTTATTTTCAAGATCCCCCTGTAAATCTAACAACATAGCCGTTGTGAGACATCAATAATTATTAGCAATAAACATACAATTGAATGTTTAGAAACAGATCTGCTCTATTGTTCCCAAACATTACACAAAATAAAACACAAGTTAACCGAAATAAAGACATCATAACTGGAATCGTTGCTAAGATGTTTCAAAAACAGACAGTCTTCAAACCTGTCTCCTATCTTCTATACGCTTTTCGTACCGAATAATCTAGTTTAATATGCTTGAAAATTCGGAAACTAGCAATTTTGCTTCACTTACTTGTTCAAGTAATCTCTTAAAACTTTGGTCCTACGTTTAATGTTATTTCAAACTCTATTTTATTTCTTTGCTTTCTTTTTCTATTCCAAAATAAAATTTTAAAATAAATAATTTTTCAAAACATATCTATTATTTAACCAACTTTAATACAACATACTTTATAAAACTACAAAACAAACACACTCATTTAGTTAGGGAACTCTCTTATCTCGAAAGAATTCATTTCAATATCCACTAGTTATCACACAGTTTTCAACAAATGCCACGTCGTAATAGTAATTTTCCATCAATACCATTAATTGCTACAATTGATATTGGTACAACATCAGCAAGAGCTATATTATTTTCAGATGAAGGTCAAGAAATTGCAAAACATCAAATTGAATATTCTACTACAGCATCAGAAGCTCCAGAAAATTCTAAAAATACTGAACAATTTAGAAGAAGATCTTCTTTATTAAGACATGATGAACCAATATTTTCAGCTGAAGGTATTGCTATTTCAATAGAAGATAATGTTGAAATTGAAAATAATAAATCATCAGTTGGACCAACATTAAGATTCCCACAACCTGGTTGGGTTGAATGTATGCCTGTTCATATTTTAGCAAATGCTGTACAATGTTTAGTTGCATGTTTAATTACTTTAAGAAAAATAAATCAAAATCCAAATTTAAAAATTAAATATAAAGTAAAATGTATTGGAATTGCAAATATGAGAGAAACTACAATAGTATGGTCAAGAAAAACTGGTAAACCTTTAAGTGGTGGTATTACATGGACAGATACAAGAACTTCTGAAATTGTTCAACATTTAGAAAAAATGATTGATGAAGATAGAAAAGCAGAATTAAAAGAAAAAACAGGTTTACCTTTATCAACATATTTTTCTGCTGCAAAATTAAGATGGTTATTAGATAATGATGATGTTATAAGAGAAGAATATGAAAAGGGAGATGGAAATTTAATGTTTGGTACTGTTGATACATGGTTAATTTATCATTTAACAAAAGAAAAAAATTTTGTTTCTGATATAACAAATGCTTCAAGAACTTATTTTATGGATTTACAAACTCAAGATTATGATGACGATTTATTAGAATTTTGGGGTATTGATCCAACAAAAATTCAATTACCTAAAATTGTTTCTTCAAGTGAATTTTATGGTTCATTTGCTGCTCCAAATTTATCAAATTTAGGTTTCCACAACAAGATTACTCAAGAAGCTTATGATATTTTAAAAACTATAACAGGGGTTCCAATATGTGGATGTTTAGGTGATCAAAGTGCTTCATTAGTTGGTCAATTAGCCTTTAATCCTGGTTCAGCAAAATGTACTTATGGTACAGGTTGTTTCCTTTTATATAATACAGGTACAAGAAAATTAATAAGTAAACATGGTGCATTAACAACATTTGGTTATTGGTTTCCATCATTAGGTGGTGATGCAGGTAAACCATATTATGCATTAGAAGGATCAATAGCAGTAGCTGGTTCAATTATACAATGGTTAAGAGATAATTTAAAAATGATTGATGATGCAAAAGATATTGGACCCTTAGCTTCTCAAGTAACAAATTCAGGAGGAGTTGTATTTATACCAGCATTTTCTGGATTATATGCACCATATTGGGATGGAGGAGCAAGAGGTACAATATTTGGTATGACACAATATACATCAGCATCACATATAGCAAGAGCAGCATTAGAAGGTGTATGTTTTCAAGTTAGAGCTATATTAAAAGCAATGGCAAGTGATGCAGGAGCATCTGAAGATTTTTTGGAAGAAGCATTAACAAATCAACATGAAAAAAAACCATTATCACATTTAGCAACAGATGGTGGTATGTCAAAAGCTGATGAAGTTTTACAAATTCAAGCAGACATATTGGGGCCATGTGTTACAGTAAAACGAGCTCAAATATCAGAATGTACTGCATTAGGAGCTGCAATAGCAGCAGGTTTATCTTTTAAAGATGAAAATGAAAGAATTTGGAAAAATTTAGATGATGTTGTTGAAAAAATTACAGGAAAACATGATGATGAAAGTAATAATTTTATTGCTGAATTACCTGATGAAACAAGAAGAAAAAATTGGAAAAGATGGGAAAAAGCTATTGAAAGAGCAAAAGGTTGGTTAAATGAAGATGATTAAAGGATGTTTGAGGCACGGATATCTGCTGTACGATTGAATAAAGATGATCAAAGATGATCCAGTGATAACATTTTAAACAAAATACCAAGTAATATGCAAAATGTAATATTATTAACGATATATATAATTTATAGAATTAGACATAAATGCAAAATTAAAAACATTAAAAACTAGGATTTTCTGTTTTTCTCTCTAATCTTCAAAACTTGAATTATATTCATCAATATCTATATTTTCATAAAGAACTTGAACATCATTATTTAAATGATCTATATCAAATTCATCGATTTCATCAATATTTGTAGTTTGTTCTTTTGAAGGAGATATTTGTTTTAATGTATCATTAAAAAATTGACTTGTCTGTTTACTTAGTGTTCCTATTTTGTTATTTGAGTTTTTGAATATATTTGGTAGACTAGATTTGGTGTTGTTATTTTCTTTATCATCATTAAAAATTGTTGATGCTTTTTTTTGAATTTGTTGAAATTCATCAATTGCAGAATTTATAAAATAAGAAGTCTTGATTTTTAAAGGACTTTCAAGCTGGTCGTGACTCTGTTTAGATGTATCTAGTTTTAAATTTTTTAAATCTTTCTCAGTTTGATTAAATGCTTGATTAAAAAAATCATTTGGTTTATTTGGTGATTTTAAGATTAATTTTCTATTAATTTCTTCTAATTCACATTCTATTTCTTTTAATTCAAATTTTGATAAATTTATTTCTTGTTCTTGTATTTGGATGTTTTTCAACTTTTTTAAATATTTTTGTTTTAATTGATATTTTTGATCTTCTAGTGATAAGGTTTCTGATTTATGGGAGTCATCTTTGATATCAAATTTTAATGGTGAAGAAGACAATTTTGGATTTCTTATATAATGTTTAGATGATTTTGGACTTGATAAAGATGTGTTTAGTTTGTTACTATCGAATGGTTCATTAATTTTGTGTGGTGATGATGGTTTTAAAACATTTCTGTAATCCGTTACCGTACTATCAGGATTAAAATTAAACCGTATTGATCTGTTTGAGGTAAAAGTTTGACTTGGTTTTTTCAATAAAGACATTACTCAATTGAGTTGATAAAAGTCTTTGAATGTATAAATGAAAATTTCAAATAACACAACAATTTTTTCTGAATGTAATTGATATCACCAACAGATTCTTTATTCTGTTTCAAACTAGTTTGAACTGTAATTACATTTACTAAAGTAGTAATTATGTGAATTTGATATAAAATTATTTTAATCTATTTTCCAAATTGAGATTATTTCAAAACATTCTATTGATTTTGTGTATTAATTTGCAGCCATTTGTTCTTTTAATACTGCATGTAGATAACCATTTGGTAGTACAAAAAAGCAGCAAATCAATTGGTAGCTATAAGTCATGTGATTTTAATATATTTAACTTAATCCAACGGTTAACGGTTCATATTTATATATTTGGACAGAATAAAACAAGGATTATGGAAAAACCACACAATTAGAATAAAAATTAAGGTATATAATCAGAAGCTAAGACAAATTTAAATGATCTATACAGTGATCGTCGAATAAGACCTTTTTTCTATCAAATTCTCAGTAGTTTCATCTTCATTTATTAACTGTGTAAAATTTTCAAAATTTATTTTTCCATGACAAAACTAAAGAGAGGAAAAAAATTCTTTTATTTATATTTGAACGATTCAGTTTTAATTTCATTTCTTAATAATCTATTCAACTTCTTCTGAAACAACACAACCGATTATAGAAGAATACAATCAAATTAATAGATAAATACCCATATTAATTACATATACCCTCCCTAAAGTCATGGTTTTTTTAAATTTAAAAACATTTTTATTTACATTTATTGTATTTTATTCAACTTATTTATATAATTATAAATGTCCAACTTTAACACCATTAGAATCAATTGAAAATAAAGTATTACATCCATTAACATCACAACATTCAACATTATGTGAATTATTACATGGTGGATTAAATAAAATTGATCCTTATTACGTACAATTAAATTTATTTTTAGATAAAAATATAAGATCTCAACCAATTGTAAAAGAATGGGGATTATGTGCAAAAGTTGAAAAAACTAAAAGTAATTTAAAATATCATGTATATCCTTTATTAAATCAATTATATGAATTTACTGATTATGCTGAAACAAGAATTTATGATGAATTAAATCATTATTATTTAAAAGCTGAAGAATTTGTTCATGGTAAATTAAAACAAGATTAGATGATTGAGGAAGAGATTTGTTTGAATCTTTGGATCTGTTGATTTGTTTTAATGGAAATTTACGTTACTTAATCTACTAGTTCAATGGTCAATTTAGTTTCAAATTTGGTTTAGTATATATTTAGTTTAAGTGTGTAGTAGTATTTAGTTTGTTACTTTAATTGTAATTTATTATTATAATGTACGATCTTCTTATAAATGGAAATTTATCTCTCTAGCCTAGCCTTGCTCTCTTCTCTTGACTGTAGATCAACAAAGATAAGATTTTGAATTGACATAATTAATTAAACAAAAATAAATGACGTGCATAAAAGACTTAAATCCAAATTTTACGAAATTAAATCCGAGGAACATTTTTTGCAACAAATTTGATCCTACTTCTTAAACCAGACATTTTAGCTGCAATGATATGACAAATGAAGAAACTGTGTTGTTACCCAACAATGGTGTCAAGAGGTATAATGATGGAAATCAAAACACACTTGATAATGATTTATTTTCAATTGAACCAACCGATTCAGATCTAGTATCACAACAAAATACCCACAAAAATATACAAACAAAAAGATTATTAAATAAAAGACATATTTCAATGTTATCAATTGGTGGAATAATAGGAACAGGATTTTTTTTTGGAATAAATTTAACATTAATTCATGGACCAATAATAAGTTTATTATCATTCATATATTTAAGTTTTTTAAGTTTCATTATTATACAATCTGTTGGAGAAATGTCATGTTTTACACCAATTAATGGATCATTAATTCAATTTCAATATTTATATTTATCTAATATTTTGGGATTCATGAATAATTTTATATATTGGATAAGTTGGTGTATAACATTAAGTTTAGAATTAAATTTAATATTTGAAATTTTACAATTTTGGAATTTAGAAAAGGTGGTAGGAATATTTGAAAATCAATTAGTTATTATATTAATATTTTGGATTATTTTAACTTTATTTAATTTATTTCCTGTTAATTATTATGGAGAAATTGAATTTTTTATAACATTATTTAAAGTAGGATTTATTTTAATTTGGATTCTATTAAGTATTGGTTTAATTTTTAAAACAAAAATTGGTTTTAAAAATTGGAATCAAGATTTAATTTGGGGTATAGATACTATCAAAGCTATAAAAAATCCCATAGGTAATAAAATTTTAAATATTTTATCATCATTAGTTTCTTCATGTTTTACGTTTCAATCAATTGAATCAATTGCATTATGTTCAGGAGAGATAAAAAACATTCATAAAACATTACCTAAAACTGTTAAATATATTATAACAAGATTAATTATATTTTATATATTAACATTATTTTTATTAACTTTAATGATTCCATGTAATGATTCAAAATTAATTGGTAACAACCAAAATAACATTTTTACATCACCTTTTTTAATTGGTTTAATTAATTTGGGATTACCAATAAATTCGGTTTTATTATCAATTTTTAATTTTATTATATTAATGTCAATTATATCAGCAGCAAATTCAAATATTTATTTTGGTTCAAGATGTTTAATATCAATGGTTGAAAAAGGAATGTTTTGGTCAAAATTTGGAAATACTAGTAAAGCTGGTATACCATATAATGCTGTATTATTAACTTCAATTTTAGGTTTAATACCTTCTATATTATCAATTTTTAAATCATTTGATTTCGTATTCAAGATTTTAATTAACTTATCTGCTACATCTGGTTTAATTATGTGGTTATTTATACTGATAAGTTATATAAGATTTAGAAAAATATTACACTACAATAAACTAGACTACAGAAATCTACGATTCAATTCATCATTAAATATGATTTATTTATCATATATATCAATTATAAGTATAATTATAATAATTTTAGGAAATGGTATATTGAATCTATGGAATTTTAATTGGGATTCATTTTGGAGTTGTTATTTAACTTCTATAATTATGTTGGTGGGTTGGATTATTTTAAGTATTTTTTGGAAACAACCGTTGGGTTTTAAACCTTTGTCGGAAGTTGATATTTGGATGGATCAATCTCCTTTTGCTTTTAAGGAGTAATAATTAGTTGAATAGACATCTTGAATTTGCCTGCAAAAATTTTCAAAAGGTAATTAACTCTACTACTTTGAAAGGGATTTCGATATAATTCTTTAAGCTACACCATACAACATTTGTTTCAAATATGTTGTAATTACAACGATTTTATTAGTACAGCCGCACGTGTTACTTCATTAGTTAAATGAGTAACAAAATCATCATCACGCAAATAAAAAAAAAAGATCACGTAAAGAAAATTTATATTTAAAGTAAACAAATGCAATAGGTTATAAATATATGATTCAATCTTTTACTATATAGCATATACATCAGACCAAGTTATCATCATCATTCATCATCTGTCATCACTAAACCTACAAGATGCTTACCAAAATTAAGTCATCTTCTGGGATTGTTCTTCTAACGTTGGCTTATTTTATTTATGTATTTACATTTATATGTTATCCAATTAAATCTGAAAATTCCATTATATTAAATCAATTATCACCAATAAATTGTCATTTTTGTCAAATATCAAATGCTTATATTAAACCATATATTGAACCAATAGTTGACACAACCATAAATCCTACTATAGATACAGTTAAAAAAATTGATAATGATTTAAAAATTTCCAGAACATTAGTTCAATTACAAAAAATTGATTCAAAATATGGAATTCAAGCTGGATATGATAAATTTATAGATTTAATTCAAGATAGTATAAATTGGTTTCAATTAAATATAGAACCATATATTTCATTATTCATAAATCAAATTAATTTAAAATTTAAAATTTATATAAACCTTATAACAAACTTTATTAATTCATATTTTTTAATACCAATAAATAAACAATTTTTAAAAATTTGGTATATTATTACATCAAATTCCATATTCAATCAATTGATTAATTCATCTCATGCTTCAAATTTACAAAATCGAAGTTTATTTTTACAAAAAGAATTTAAAAATTTAATTAAATTTAATGAATTTTATCCAAAAGAATTTAAATCAAATATTATAAATGTTGTTAAGGAAGTTTTGGGGAAAGGGTACCAAGATAAAGAAGAAGATTGGGAAGATGTTGAAGATGAAGAAGCTGACCTTACCGAAGAAACTATAGTCATAACTCAAACTATTTCAGTTTATGAAAATGGAGCCATTGCAACTAATAACATATCACCTGAATTATTTGAAATTTATAATGAAATTGAAAAATGGGAAAAAAAAATTAATAAAACTATAGAATTAGCAGAAATAAATCTAGTTGAAGAAGTTGAACCAATAGTTAATGATACTATAGCAGAGTTGAAACCAAAAATTAGTGAAATTTTACAAGATTTACAAAAAGAAAATCATTTACAATATAAGGATTTAAATTTAAAAATTTCTCAAATTAATAAAGATTTTGAAAAAATTAAAAAGTCAAATAATACAAAAATTGAAACTGTATCAAGACAAGAAATAAGAGATGATATTCAAAAAAGTTATGATTTAGCAACAAATTATTCAACTAAAATTCAAGATCTTATTAATAAAGAACATGAAAATTTATTAATTAAATATTTTAATTCAATTCAACAAACAATAGATATATTAGATTCATTTGCAGATTCTTCAATAAATGAATTTTCAACACAATTAACACAATTAATTTCAAAAAATAAAATAAATGAATCAAAAACATGGTCAATATGGAAAAAATTTCATTTTATAAAAAATTTATTATTTAAATTTAGAGATGAACTTTTACATAATTCAAATGAATATAAATTAGATAATAAAAATCCTGAAATTAAACACAAAGTTATTGGATTAAAAGAATGGAATACTTACTTAAATAATATTGAATTTCATTTAAATTATTTAATTAGAGATAATGGTGATTATTTAAGATTAATTCGTGCAAAAGCTAATGTTGCTTTTCAAATGAGAGAAGAATTGGTATATAATTTGGAAAAAGCAAAGAATGATAAAGAAGAAGAAGAAAAGAGAAAAATTGAAGAACAAAAGTCTCAGCAAAGAGAAATAGAAGAAAAACAGAAAGAAGAAGAGGATAAAAAAAAACAAGTGGAAGAAGCAAAAGTGGAAACTGAGCAACAATCAAAAGTCGAACATGATACAAAAACTGAAGATAAATCAGTTGTGGAAGAAATAATAGAAGAAGAAGAAGAAATAATAGTTCCTGAAGAACACCAAGAACAAGAACAAGAACCAAAAGATGAAGAACAACAAGAAGAACAACAGCAGCAGCAACAACAACAACAACAACCACAGGAAGAAGAAAAAGAAGAAGAGATAAAAAAACCAAATTTAGATGAAATAAAGGATGAAGAAGACGGCATTGAAGATGAAGATGAAAAGGATGAAGAAAACATAGATGAAATAATATTGGAAACAGAAGCAAGTTAAATCAAGCATTTTGGGGTTTAGTGTTTGCTTTTCCAATTAATTAGTTTGTTAGTTACTTAATAGTTTTGTATAGAAATTTTTAATGAATAAAATAATTGTTACTACCCTGATAGTTTGGAATGTAGATTTAATAGTTCAAAGCCGTAATAGTAGAAGCATTTTAAACAGTGAAAATCGGTATTGTTGATGAATTTGTTTTTGCAACATAAAATATTACAACCATAAAACTAAAATTTGGTTGCAAAATTAAAATACAAATTGTTACATGTCTTTTCTACAACCATTACTTCCCGAATTCAACTACCTCAACATTGTGCACAAGTTATTGAACTATTGACTTAGTATTAGTCTGAGTTAAAACACAAACAAAAGGGAAGATGAGCGAAATCAAAATCCATTTCTTTAATTCTGTATTCTTGAATCATGAAGAAAGACATTAAGACACTGAACTAGTTTATCCTTCATTTTTCAGATTTGTTGAACAGAAGTAAAGCATTAGTCCAACAGGTATTTGACGAATTGCGTGGGTTGCAATCATCGATTCTAATTCGTTTAAATCTTGTGCTGTTCCATGTTTGTTTCTGGTTAATTTGATTCAACATCAATTATAGTGGTCCAAAGATCTGAAATAAACCATAATATATTATAATAATACGGAAAAAAGTGATATAACAATCAATTTCAATTTTCTTTCAATCTTCTTTCAAATTAGGGATCAATTATAACAAGTATAAAACAATTGAGAAACAAGTAAATAACAATAGAGAAAATATCCTTATAGATATAATGAAAGTTGGATCCTTATAGATCAGATTTGACGATAAGATCAATAATATGATTATGAATTGATAAGACCAAATAAATAAAGGATCTATCTAAATTGAATTCATTTCGTAAAAAATATTAAATTAAGGAAATCCCGATAAAATAATAATAAGTCGCTTAAATATTTAAATTTTAATTAATCCCGTCCCGGAACTTCTTTACAGGGTATTCTTCCTGAAATCAGAATAAATTAGATTATGTAAATTCATGCAGAATGAGAAGAGATAAGGAAAAATTGAAAATTAAAAGTATGATATGATCAAGGACAAGTTGATTAATATTGTTAAAGCTTAATTTAATTAGGGTACTTTTGACTTCAATCAATTAAATTTAATTAGTGATTCTAAAACAAGTTGAATTTGTTGATGTAAGATGAGTTAAAATACATTTTCTATTATTTCTATTGTTTAAGGGTGCAATTATTCTTAACCTCGCTTTCTTTCTAGATTCTCTGATTAAATTTTTTAATTTTTCTCGACGGGACCGCCATGAGATTTTCAATTTTAATCAGCAGGAAAAAGAAAAATTAATGAATAGGAGAAGAGGCTGAAGCACTTAAAGGTTTATGCAATTGAGTGAATTAAACTTCTGATTGAGTGTAGCTAGTTGATCGCCCAATTTCAAAAATATCTCATACTTACAATAAGAAGACAAATTTGTAAATCCAATTTGTTAAGCATCCAGCTAGTTTGAGTTTTTTCATGACATTTTCATTGTTGAGAATTCTTTTAAAATTTTTAAATATTCATGGATCTCACACGATCTTTATATTGTTAGTAGAAAAAGCAATTGGTAGAAGTTCAACAAATTACGCTAACAGTTTTGTTCTACTCTAGTTGGTGACTCAATGACTCAACAATTACTTATCAACTGATGCTACAATTGTAAACTCTTTCCCCATATTTTGCTGAAAAAAAAAAAGGATCTAGCCTATTTCACAACTTTGTTTCAAAATTAAAGATCATTCCATATTTCCTTTAGTTCAATTACAACAATAAAATCGCCTGGTTTGAATATTAATTTTTACTACTACAATAGTTTATCTTTGTGTTATATTGAAATTCCTTTTTTTCTTCTAATACTGCGGTAAGGTTGCAGAAGTAAGAAAAATTTTCAATTATATACAGGATTTTAATGTATTGAGTCATGTAATTAAATATCGCATTTGCTATTCTCAGTAGTAGTATTTCTCATTCTCTCACTGAGATAGAAATGATGTAACAGATGCATTGGTACTGTATCTAGAGACAAGTGAAAGATAGGTTGAAGAATTGAGCATATAGGTTAAAACAGCGTATTGAACTAAACTTGATACTTTAATTACTCAAATCACAAGATAGTTTCAATTCTCAATACATTTGATAAATTACCTAATACATAAATAATAATCTTAATCAAAATTATCTAATTGGTCAGAATTCCGATTGATAAAAGACATCTAGTTCTTATATACAGTACCACTCTGTATTTCCACTCAACCAATTTTTTTTTTTTTTTTCATTAAAAAATAAACGCTTTACATTTCTTTTTTTTTTCTTCGTAGTGGTAATAATAAATTGGTAGTAATATAATTTTCTATATATAAACTTAAATTTTCTTATCTAAATTTATCAAATCAATTTTTCATAAATTGAACAACTTATCAGAATTAGATTTTTATTTCAAATTTATAAGAACTCCCAAGTTCAACAAACTCACTAACTAACAAAGAGTTTATAAAACAACAACATATCATTCACTTCTTCTTTCAATTATTTATCATTCATTTAATTTAATTTTATATAACACTTCCATCTTATTAAATCACATATTAATATAATTATGAGTGTACCTTTAACAGAACATACTGCTATATTATCAAAATATTTAGATTTACCTCAAAAAGGAAAAATTTTAGCTGAATATGTTTGGATTGATGCAGAAGGTAGAACAAGATCAAAATGTAAAACTCTTAACAAGAAACCAAATTCAGTTGATGATTTACCAGAATGGAATTATGATGGTTCATCAACAATGCAAGCTCCAGGTCATGATTCAGATGTTTATTTAAGACCAGTTGCTTATTATCCTGATCCTTTTAGAAAATTTGATAATATTATTGTATTATGTGAATGTTGGAATAATGATGGTACACCAAATAAATTTAATCATAGACATGAATGTGCAAAATTAATGAAAGCTCATGCTGATGAAGAAGTTTGGTTTGGTTTGGAACAAGAATATACTTTATTTGATCAATATGATTATCCTTATGGTTGGCCAAAAGGTGGATTTCCAGCACCTCAAGGTCCTTATTATTGTGGTGTTGGTACTGGTAAAGTTGTTGCAAGAGATGTTATTGAAGCTCATTATAGAGCTTGTTTATATGCTGGTATAAATATTTCTGGTATAAATGCTGAAGTTATGCCTTCTCAATGGGAATTTCAAGTTGGTCCATGTGAAGGTATTAAAATGGGTGATGAATTATGGATTGCAAGATATTTATTAGAAAGAACTGCTGAAGAATTTGCTGTTAAAGTAAGTTTCCATCCAAAACCTTTAAAAGGAGATTGGAATGGTGCAGGATGTCATACAAATGTTTCAACAAAAGATATGAGGAAAACTGGAGGTATGAAAGTTATTGAAGTTGCCCTTAGTAAATTAGCTAAAAGACATAAAGAACATATGTTATTATATGGTGCTGATAATGAACAAAGATTAACTGGTAGACATGAAACTGCTTCAGGTGATGCTTTTTCATCAGGTGTTGCAAATAGAGGTGCATCAGTTAGAATTCCAAGACAAGTTGCAAAAGAAGGTTATGGATATTTTGAAGATAGAAGACCTGCTTCAAATATTGATCCTTATTTAGTTACTGGTATTATGGTTGAAACTATTTGTGGTTCAATTCCTGATGCTGATATGGCTAAAGAATTTTTAAGAGAAACTTCTGATGAATAAACAAATAAATAAATTCATAGAGTTTTTGGTGTTAATAAGTTAGAAATTTTATAGTGATTTTGTATATTACATTTAAATTATTAAAAAAGTAATTAATTATTTATTTAAAATATGTTTGTTGAGATTGAGTTTAACTCTGTCACTTTGGAAAGTATTCTATGTTGAAACTACACAAGTTTTGAATTCGTCATACCTTTTGAAACAACTTACCGCAAAATTCCATGAGTAATGAGTTTTTAATTATATTACAAATTTAAATTTATTGAACGATATGAAACCGACCTAAGAATGAATGGTATTCTTACATTTTGAGTGATTTTAAAAAATGAAACTTATTAAAACAATTAAAGGACTATTGTATGGAAAAATGAAAATATCTCAAACAATTAAAGGACTATTGTATGGAAAAATGAAAATATCTCAAACAATTAGTAAAAATGAGTGAATTTAATTGTTGGATAATTTGCTCATAGTCAACAAGATGAGTTCAAAAAAGGAGAAGAAAACAATGATTTATATCCCTCATAATACTAATGATAAGCCATTTTTTATAAAATCATTCAAATGAATTGTAGTAGATAATTGGAATAGAGATCAATAGTGAGTTAATTTGGTAGACTACGTATTATTAATTTTGTTTTAGACCATGGGATTTTGAACTAGCTCTGTTTACTAAAATCAATCTCTTGATACGCAACAATTTGAATCAAATTATACATTAATTTGAATAAACTAAAGTGCTGTAATTTAATGAAGACTATTTATAATTTTGAAAAAGACTGTGTTTAATTGATAGAAAACTTATTTAACGTTTAACTTAATAAATTTTTTGCAAAAGACTTATCAAATTTTGAGATAAAACAAATCATTTGTTGGTGAATCATAACGGAAGATGGAATCAACTCGAACGACTAAAATCATTTACACACGCTACTCATCTAAAACAAACTCCGTTTGCTTATGATTTTCAACATCTCATGTGTTATTTAATTTTTAAAATGGTAGATAACAAATTGTATCAATCAATTAATGAACTTTCTTTTCAACCTAGTTAATTCTCTACTTATCTTTAATAGGTTTAAAACAAACTATCTTGTATCGCTTCAGTCATTAAATATAGGTTCTCAAATAACTTTGTAGTCTCTTTGTCTATTGGGTTCCAATAAAAAGACAATTTTGTTCATATTTTGCAGCCAAATCTTTTTTTTTTTCAATGCTGAAACAAAATTTATCTTTCGATGTTAAAACCATATCATCAAAATAAGGTTAATCGACTATTAAACTAAATATTTCTTGAGTCTTTGGGCTAGTATTAACTATTGGCTTAATATCAAATTATTTTTCATAATATCCATTATCATAATAAATAAAATACTTAACCTATCTTTGAAGATCTTCACAATTTATGAAAAATCAATTAATTCATCTAAGATGAGAGATAAATCAATAACCAAAAATTGTTCTAATGTTGGAAATGGAAATGAAAACAGAAAAATGAAGGCTCTATGAGGCTGAACTAGCACCTATCATTAAATTCTAAATATAACAGTATTATATAATTTTGTTTTTTAGTGTATATTGAATTAAGAAAAAAAAAACTTTTGGGTTTTTGGATTGGTGAATGCCATATCCTGGAATCGAACCAAGGTCTAGTCGGCCACAACGACTTGTACTAACCACTATACGAATATGGCAATTTACAAAAGAATAATTTTTTAGAGCCTATATATAGTAATAAACATTGCCTTTTTTAAACGAGGTTTTAGTCTGGTTTTCTGGCTAAAATTTTGGGCGTATACTAGTTTCAATTGAGTGACTTTCAGTTGTTCCAAAAATTATCACGAAGTTTTCTTTTATTGAATCAGTTTCTGCAAATTATTTGTCAAATTTACATAAACTTTTATCACAGAAGGTATGTTGAAGTCTCAGTTCTCAAAATTATAAGATTTTTGTTGCAATTTTAATTGATGTTGAATTATAAATTAACATCTATCGAACATTCGAATTTTGTCAGATAATTAACAAGCGTGAATTGAAAAATCCTATTTGAAGCTGTACTACGTCCTTGAAAGCTCTCACAAGCTGTTATGACGATTTTGTGAAGTCGAGAAATGACAATAATCCTACCTTTTAATGATCTTTCTTCATGAACTGAATTTTGCAACAAAAATTGGTAGTGCAATGTTTCAAAACTATGAACGAAATTCAATTTATTTAATTTAATTGTTATCGAAATTCGAAATTGTGACAGCAATAACCTATTCAACTGCATTGAGAAAACAACCAACTCTTCAATTGCATAAACACAACAACCTGCACAATGTCCGACTTCACAATAGATAGCTCTTTCTTAAGTGACTCAAAAAGAATAATTAGTGAAAGAATAATACCATGGGAAGGACTTGCGAGATCTGGAGTTGTATCAGAAGATGATGCTAATCATATAAAAATATTAGAAAAACAATCTATTGAAAATAGAAATGAAACAGTTAAATCACAATTAGAATTATATTCAAAATGTTTGCTTACAATATTAAGTAAAGTTGAAAAAGATGATGTTGTTAAAAATGTTTTAACATTAATTAATGATTTACTATTAAAAATTCCTGAATTTATAAATTCATTATTAAAATTATCATCAATTGATGAAGGATTACCATTTGATCCATTTTTAAAACATTTAAATAAAGATTCTTTAATAACTTCATTATCATTATATAATTTAACAATTTTATCAAAAGGTTCTTCACCAAATAAAGAAGTTATTATAACTATTTTCAATTCAATATCACAATTAATAGAAAATAATGATTCAAATTATCAATTTATTGGAGTTCAGTTATTACAAGATTTAGTTACCACTAAAAAATATAAAATTATATATCAGCAAAATAATTTAGTATCAAATTTTAAACCAATTAATAGTTTAATTACAAAACTGGCAACTCATCCAAATGCAACTGGATTACAATTATCATATAATGTTTTATTAGCTACATGGATATTATCTTTTAATGCAGAAATAAATAAATCAATATTACATAATTTCCCACAATTATCCGGAAGCTTATTAACAATAGCAAAAGATTCAATAAAATTAAAAATTGTTAGAATATCAATAGCAATAATTAAAAACTTTGTTAATGTTACAACATCATCAAATGAACAATTTAATGTTGTTAAATTATTATTATTTCATGATGCTTTAACAACTATAAATACTTTAAAAGAAAGAAAATTTGCTCAAAATGGTAGTGATGAAGAATTATATAATGATTTAGCTTATTTATCAGATATTTTAAATGAAACAGTTAAAACAAAATTAACATCATTTGATGAATATTTAACAAGTTTAGATAATCCAAAATTAATAAGTTATGCATCACCAACTCATAAATCAAATGAATTTTGGTTAGAAAATTCAGGAAAATTTAAAGATTCAAATTATAAATTGATTAAAAAGATATTTGAAATTTTAAGTATTGATCATAATGATTCGGGGATTTGTATTATATTGTTGAATGATTTACAATATTTGATTAAAAATTTAGGTCAAGATTTAATTCATTTTATAAATACTGAAAAAGGTGGTCAATATAAAATTTTGATAATGTCATTTTTAGAAAATAATCAAGGTAATAATGAATTGAAGTATGAAGCATTGAAGACGATTCAATTGTTAGTAGGACATAGTTTTTAGATAAATTTTGAGTTAAGATTTATTGATTTTGTACTCTTAACTTTTGTGATACGAAAATATTCTATTATCAAAAATAAACAAACACTTACCAACACTCTTTAACTCACCAATGAAGAATGGTTCTATGATATATAGAAATGAACGACAAAAAACATTCGATCAACCAGTAAAAGCAGAAGGGAAAACTTTTAATTGGAATGACATTATTGAATTCACACCATCATATGATTTAATTGAAGCTGGATTTTATTTTACACCAACTAAAAGAAAAAAAAATAGAATAACATGTACTTATTGTAATAAATCAATAATAATTCAAAAAGATTTTAAATATGATCAAATTGTAAATGAACATTTAAAAAGAAATTCAAATTGTCCAATGTCAATTGTTTTAAATTTGTTAGATTTATGTAAAGATTTATCTGAAGATAAATTAAAATCATTTTGGGAAAATTCTAAATATAAAAATCCATTAAATGATGAATCAATAGGGTTTAGGAAAGAATTTTACTTGGATTTTCCATTAGATAAAGGAGATTTCAAACCTAATTCAGATTCATTAGCAAAAGCTGGATTTATTTATCAACCAAGACATATCGGAGATGATAGAGTTAGTTGTATGTTTTGTAAATGTGCATTAGATTATTGGGAAAAAAATGATGATCCTATTGAAGAACATATTAAGAATGCTAATAAGTATTGTTATTTTTTGGATAAATTTGAAGAGGATAAAAGAAATCGAATAGGTAAAGAAGACGCGTCTTTTGATTTATCAATGCTGGATATAGTTTCAAATAAGAAAAATGTAAATCTAGGTAATTCAAAAGTGTCTAAGGAGATATCTCAATCACATAAAAAAAGGACAACTCCTGAGTTGGCTCAAGATAAACCAAAGTCTAAAAAAAGAAAAAAAGATTCAAAATATGGTAAAAAAGATGAAAATTTGGAATATTGGAATAAATTACCTGATGATGATTTATTACAAGAATTTATTGAAGTTTCAAAACGTAACGAAAATGAAGCGCCAAGTCGCCCAGTTTTAGGTACAGATAAAAGCAAAACGCTTCATGCCGAAATTCAGCCTTTGTCAGAAACTCAACCAAAACCAACAGATCTCAAAGAGGATCAAGTTAAATCAACTCGTTTGTCATATTCAAATGATTTTGAAGCAGGTTTTAATTCACAAGAAAGTGCTGCAGATGATATTGAATTTGAAAAACCTAGTTCATCTGAATACGAACCAACACAAGAAACATATTCCGATGACTTTAACTCACCTCAGAAACTAAGTCCTAAAAGAAAAACAGTACCCCCGAAACAATCAAAAACCAAAAATCATCATGAATTTATTAAACCAGAAAAACCATCTTTATTAAGTTCTTCACCAATAAAATCAAAAATGTTTATTAAACGTACAACTCCAGTTCCAATATTTGATGATAGTTCAACTGATAATGATTATGGAGAAAATCATGTTGCAAAATTAGAAAAAAAAATTATTAAAACAAATACTCCAATGATTCAAGTTGATGAAGATAGTAAAGATCAATCATCTGAATTAAATATTTCACCAATACGTATATCACCATTGAAAATTACAACAACTATTAATAAACCTACGAACGTGAAACCAAGTTTATTTGATCTGTCAATTGATTTTTCATTAGAAAAAATTGCTCCTGTCAAAACTGAGAAAAATCTGAAAGTTGAACTGATTGATGAAAAAACTTTGGAGCAGGAAAAGGGAAGTGTTATTGAAGTTGAAAAAGATAATCAGGAAGATGAAATAGTGGATGATGTTGAAAATGACAATAAATCTCCTAAAGATTATGTTAATACCAATTTATTTGTTCAATCTAGTAATAATGAGTTGGATCCTGCCCTCGATACATCACCAATAGCTTTCAAGAATGTAGAGAAACATAACTCGACTGTGCTGAAAGAAACTGCAACTGAAATTAAACAAACAGAGAGATCAGCACACTCTGATTCATTTAATGACCTCAGTATCTCGGTCAATTCAAGCCCATTTAGAGAACCACTGCAACATTCAATGATGGAACAAGATTTTCTTGATAACGATTTGACCACATCAACACCTAATAAATTAAAAGCAGTCATCAAGGAAGATTTGAAGGACAATGATGATGATATTAAACATGAAGCTAAATCAATCACGCCTGATATTATTTCTAATAATTCACAAGCTGAAGAACAAAGCAAAAGTAATCAAAGTGATAGTTCCGACGACACGGCACCGCAGAAAACTGGAGACAATTCTACTAATGATGAACCAATGTTAGTTGCTCCAAATGAGAACGAACTTCAATTGAGTGATGTATTAAGTCATACCAAACCAAAATCTAATGAACAGATGATCGAGGAAGAGAAAGAAAGTAATAACAGTACAAAGTTGGCAAACATTACATCTGGCGCTAGTACCAAGACTGTCCCGAAAAAGGATGAAAACACTACAAAATCGCTTAATAAACCAAAAGACTTGAGTTATACCACAGAACGGAACCCAATCGAAGCTTCAAATTTCATTGAGAATAAATCCACAGAGAAGAATGACATCGCAAAGGTGAAAACATTAAAGAAAAATCCAATAGCTGCTAAAACTCCATTAAATCCTAAAGAAGTGGAGCGTACATTGAGTGACTCAGACAAAGAGAATCAAATTTTGGGTAAAAAATTGAGTCAACTGGATCTACTGAAAGATCGCAACAAATCAAGTCAGTCAAAGCTTTCACCTACTTCAACAAAATCTGTCAAACTTTCCTCAACTACAATAGCTAAACCTTCAATAGTTGAAGTGGCTGATGTTAAAAAACATGACGAAGAAGAAGTAATGACTGACCTGGGATCAACTTGGCAACCTAAATCAATGAATTATTTAATACAACAAATAAATGATCTTAAAAATAGTTCAAAAGAATTACAAAAATTATCTTCATTACCATATGATTTAGATGATGATTTAAATGGAGATTTAACAGGATTTATAGCAGAAATGCCTGAAGAAGAAGAACAAATGACTATTAGACAATGGATTGAACATTGTGCTATAAATTGTAGGGATATTGTTGATCAATCTTTAAAAGTAATGAATCAACATGTATTGGATGAATATGATAGAGCCATTGATATAGTTAGTAAAATGGAATGATCATGAAAAGTTGGTACTGGTTTAATTTTTGTCATTAAAATTGCTGAATACAGGCTCAAACGAAATCACAAATAGATAATAAATATAAGTCTTTTAATGTATAGTTACTCTTAATATTTATTACATTCTTAACGAATCACAATCCCCTTGCCAGGTGTTTAATGAGTATTATTACATCCTTATTATTGGTCTTCCGCATCTTTAAATTTTGCTCTATTTTAACTTTATTGAGCCGCTCAAAAATCTTAATTTGCACAACTTGAATATTCTAGTAAATATTTGAAGACATCACTAAGTCACCACAAGACCGATACCTGAATCAACAACACTTGTTCATTCAAGGATATAGGCAATTGTATCAACAAGCCTTTTTAAGTGGAGACATTGCAACCCTTGAAGTCATTCTAAAAGTATTCAATATTTTTTGTTTTTGATCACAGATCAAGTTTTTGTAATATTATCATCTGTGCAACCAACTTTGTGACAACAATCTTATCATTCAGTGTGAAGGGGTTCAATTGAATTAGAACAAAATCAAAAAAACAATTGTAATTCATTGTTATTTAAAAGATGTCATTTTGGCCTTTTAATAATTCATTAAATAATAATAATGTTTTACTGAAATTCTTGGATTCTATACAAGATTTATCATCAATAACAGTTCAAGATATTGTAAAAGATCCAAATTTAGTTCAAGAAATAATTAATGAATTACATAATATAAAAGCAAATTTCAATAAAAATGGGAGTTTTCTGTTTTCACAAACAAATCAAGATTCAAATGTATCAAATACCAATGCAGATTCTATTTCATTAAATTCTTCAAATAATGATAATAATAATAATAATTCAAATAATAAAGATTCAAAGGGAGTTAAACTAATAGAACTACTAATACAACCTCAAATACTAGGTGGGTTTATAGAATTATTGGAGAAAAGTGTGGATTTCTTTTATGAACAAAGTTTAAAAGAAGAAGAAAAAATGCATAAAGCTATAACAGAAGATAAACCAACAACTGATATAGAAGAAATAGATGAAATGGATGAAGCAAAAGAAGAAGTTGAAAGTTCAGATGAAACATTTAGAAGATCCGTTCAAGCAGCAGCGGATATTCTTTCAATTGATATGTGGATAATGCTGAATAGAATTATAGAGACTCCAAATATAATGAATAGACTTTGGCTGATATTAAAAATGACTCATTTACAAGAAAATTATCCAAGTGTTTCATATCTTGTACATATATTAGATCAATTATTAGAATCAAATAGTATAGAATTATTAAATTTCATTAGGCGACAAAATGAATTAGTTGATACATTTTTAGCTAAAATTGAAGTACCAGCAATAATGGATTTCTTTTTTAGAGTAATACAAACTGATAAACCAGATTCACCTACTGGTATACTTGATACAATTGGTCAACAAAATGTAATTCAAAAATTAATAAATATTTTAAAACCTCAACCAATGCAATTCGATAATACACCATATATACCTGATCATAAACAATATTTTAAACAAAGTTCAGCTACTGATTTTTTAAAGGCTTTGGTGACTATATCTTCAAATGCTGCATTAGCTGTAGTAATGGAAACTAATATAGGCCCCAATCAATTGACAAGAGAATTAGTTTCACCAGATATTGTAAATACAATGATTCATGATATTATGCTTGTGAAAGTAAAAGATAAAGATGGTAAAATCCAAACAAATAAACATGGTATTAATAATTGTGTTAGTATCATTATTGAATTAATTAGAAAAAATAATTCAGATTATGATTTAAATTGTGGAAGTTATAGTTCAATGTTACAAAATGCAGATGGAAGTCCAGGAGAAGTTAATTCATACGTTATGTTTCAATGGCTTAAAGATTTCGAACAAAATCCACCAGGTCCCAGAGATCCCATATATTTAGGTGAAATGTTGGAATTATTTTCAAATAATTTGAAAAGTTTTCTGGATTTATTAGAGTTAGAGCCAATACCACCTATTGAAGTTACATCAAACATTTTAGGGTTTACGAGGTTTAAAACTAGTGAATTAATTGCAGAATTATTACATTGTTCAAATATGATATTACTTAACTCCAAGAAGATTAAAAAAATGATCCATATAAGAGATCAAATTAGATCACAACAAAATAAAAGATTATCAAAAGCATTAAATGATAAAATCACATTTCCCGAATCACCAAATATTCATGATGTAACATCAGGTTTAGATGATGTTTCATTAGACGATGTTCATTTTGAAACACACGACCATAACAAACAACATGATTATTCAAATTTATTAAAAACATTAGATTCAATTGAAGATTCTGAAGATGAAGAACCGTCTATATCTCCAGAAAATCCATTTGTTTGTTCGGAAAGAAACGAAGCAATAAGGCAGGATCCTTGCGTCGGTGATCTTTTCAAAATTAAACTTATTGATCTGAATATTTTATTAAATATTGTTGATAAATTTACAAAATTTGAATGGAATAATTTTTTTCATAATGTTGTATTTGATTTAATTCAACAAATTTTTAATGGTAAATTAAATTCTTATAATTCTTTTTTAATTGTGGAGTTATTTAATCAATGTGATTTAACAGAACTTATAATAAAATCTTATGAAGCAGATATTGAACCAAGACCTGGTTATATGGGACATTTAATATTAATTGGTGAAGAAATTGTAAAATTTACATCACTTTATAAACCAGATCTTATTTCTCCAATTATTGTTGAAGCTGTCCTGAGTGAGAAATGGAGTTGGTTTGTAAATGATATCCTTTCCAAAACAAGAGAAATTTATAATGTAGTTTTAGGAGCAGAAGATAATGATGATAATAATGATTATGGATTTGATTCATCTGGATATTTAGATATGGAGAATCAACCTAAAAAGATTATACTTGGTGATACATCAAATCATGATGAATTTATACATGATGGAGAAGATGAAGATGAAGATATGGATGAACCAAAAGTTGCAGATGTTGAAGTTGGAAAAATGTCACCAACAGGAGATTTAACAAAACATAAATTAGCAGAAGATGATGATGATGATGAAGATGATCAAACACCAAATGAAAATAATTATGTAGATAATTTATCAGGAAGTTCATCTGATGAAGATGAAGATGACGAAGGTAACGAATTACGAAGAGTTTCAAAACATAATGAATAGATGAAAATGTATAAGTATTTGTTTTTTTCTGCTGTAGACGATTTTACCATTGGGTTTAACTTTTTACCCTTTTTTCTTTTCAATTACTGATTGTGTGGTTGGCCCGTGTACGTGATTGTCATGTCAATTGGTTTAAAAAATCAAACTACCTTTAAATCCAAGGTTTATAATTTCTTAAATTTAACGAATTGAGAAGAGTTTTAAAACATAATGAATAGATGAAATAAAGTATCAGTGTTATTTTATTTCTTTCTACTATAAACAATCTTTCCATTCGGTAATTCTAATTTTTTACCTTTTGATTTTTTCTTCTTTTTCTCAATTTCTGGTTCTTCGTTGACTGGTTTGTTATAAGTGATTGTCATATCAATTGGTTTGAAAACTTTACCAAAGGTTAAATTATACAATTTTGCAGGTAATTTAAAAATTAAACTATCTTTAAATCCAGGGTTTAAATTAATTTCATTCTCATCAATTAAATGTGTTTCTTCCCCATCTTCTATAAATACATCACCATTATTTTTAACTAAGAAAATTTTCCCAGTTTCATTTGTTAATCTTCTATCTGAACCATCTAATGGTGCAACTTTTGATCCACCCCAAGCTTGAGTTTTAATTTCATCTTTTAAATTAGCAATCCTTTTAAAATTTTGTTTTCTATTAATTTTTAAAGCAAAAAAATGTAGTAAACTTATTAAAAGGTAAACAAAAAATATAGTTAATAATAAACCAGGTCTAAATTTTGAATAGAAATAACCAGTTGATTTCCATTTGGGGAATCCCTTTGCTATAAAATAATCGTATCTTTCTTTTCTTGAAGCATCTCTTAATATGTTGTTGACTGATGATAATATGGCATATTTTTCTTCAGCCTTTTTACGTTCCTTTGAGGATTTAAAATTTAATTTATCTGGATGTAATGATTTTGATAAATTTCTATATGCTTTTTTAATTTCTTGTGATGTTGATTTAGGACCATTAATTAGATTTAACCAAGTGTAAAATGTAGTTTCAGGACCAATTGTTTGACGAACTTTGTCGTTTAATTTGAAAATCTCATAATCTTCTGGACTCCAAGCTAGCACTATAGTAATGAAGGTGAAAATTAGAAGTAATCTCATGTTGGTTAGTTGGTGAAAAGTAAAAAAAATGTAACAGCGCGTTTTATTTATTTGATCTAGGAAACTGTTATTTTATCAAGTGATGTATCCATTACCTTTCAAGCAAAGATTATTATTCTTTTTTAATATAACATCCGCTACGTTATGGTTTTGTTGCTTTGCAAGGTTTGCAATACTATTACCATTAGTTGGTAGAAGATTCCTACCTGGAGGTATAGCCGATTTTTTTCAATCAATATCAACAACTCCATTACTAGGGACATTGTTACTTTTAACAATTGGTGAGAATATCAGTATATGGGCATTGGCAAATGGGTTAAAAATGATCTTAATATGTTTTGCAGTAATATACCCACATCCGAAAATTGCAAAACATACATCATATTCAATGTTAATTACAGCTTGGAGTTTACAAAATTTTATAAACTATAGTTATCATGCAATTAAATTGAAAACAAAACTGTCACCAATGTTTTTATTTTGGCTGCAATATAATAATTTTTTAATACTATATCTTTTAGGAACAATTGCTGAAATGATTCAAATTTTTTTAAGTTTAGCATTTGTTGAAGATAATTCTTATTATGAATTGGTTTTGAAAATCGCATTTTTAAGTTATATACCTATTGCTTATTTCACATGGGGTCATTTAAAACAGAGGAGGAATTTGAAGTATTTGGAGGTGATAAGGAAGAGAAGTGTAAATGATAGACGTGGTTCAACTTTGTAGAGTTTATATTTATCCTGTATACAAATAAAATTTGAAAAATTTACCAACACCTACTACTTCATCTACTATGTCAATGATAACAAAATATTTCTCAAATGTACTGATCAAATTCAATCCATTCACTCCTGGTGCAAAAAGTGCAAGGATTTTTCTATCAAGAATGCCATCAACAACAAAAATAGATTATAAAGTACTTGATAATAATTCAAAAGATCAACAACAAGAAATAAAAGTAACTTTTAAAGATAAACATATAATGAAAGCAGATCCATCGGTGATGAATGTAGCAGATTTGGCTGATTATTTTAATTCACATTCTAGAAAATTGGCTATAAAGGATTCTATACAGGAGTAAATGCATTTTAAGAGGGGTTTGTACATAGTTTTGATTCAATAAATTCTTTAAACCAGGGTGGTATTACTTTATTGAAAATTTTATTTGATTCTTTTTCATTTACCTTGTGGAAATTTAGGTTTGAATCCATCAATTCTGTCTCTGAATCAAAGGAAAGTTTGAGTACAACTAATTCATCTTTATCTATTTCATTCTCTTTTTCAGCAATCCAATTCATTACTATATTGTACCAGGTGAAAATATGTTTAGTGTTAATAAAACACTTATCAGATAGAAATATAGGATTTGATTCTAATATTCCAATAAGCTCGTAATTGGTATATTTTTTTATTGAACATAATTTAAAATCTTGTCTAAATCCAATGATAGAATGATTGCATGAAATAAACTTATTCTGACAATATAGTGACATCAATTTTTTATGAAATTTGTTCAATGTCTTGGGGTTGTAATTTGAATGAGTTTTCAATTCAACATAATTTTCAAAATTTGAATCATCTTTTTTAATTCCACAATCTATTTCAGCAGAGTACAACACAGGAATTTTATTAATCTTATGTTGGGAGACTGAAAAAAAATTCGTACTTCTCAAATCCTGATTAGTGATTATTTGTTCAAACTTGAAACCACTATAATGAAGTAATTGTTGAGTTGAATCTTTTTGATCAAATTCCAATTCTTTTTCATTTTCTTCCCAGTCATATGTAAAAAAAATCAACTTTTTCCAATAAATTACATTAAATTTTATAGGTTGTTTATTCAACGGGATATTAATCAATTTTTGCAAATGCCTTCTTAAAGTTAAGATTTTTAGATCATTTTTAGTTAGTTGTTTATTATCATATAAATACTTGATTGATTTAAAAAGATCATCCAACAGATAAATTTCTTCTAAAATGGAATGCTTATATTTATCAAATCCCAGCGTCAAACATGATCCAATAATCGGTTTGTACTTTTTGGATCTTCCCAGATTTTTAGACTTCTTTTTAGAATTTAGTGGAATTATAAGCTCATTTAAACCCGATGAATTGTTGAATCTTATTTCATCTTTGTCGAACTTAGTGAAAACACACAATTGTTGAGGATTAATGGTTGTGTCCATCCCCGAGTTGATTTCATCCTTATTGATTATATCCTCGAATATTGATAATTTGATATTTTCAAGCATTTAAAGAAAGTGATTCAAATTGAACTAAACATATGCTTGGATTTTTTAACCTCAATATATTTCAGTAGCTCTTTAGTTTTATTAAACTTCTACTATGTAACTAGTTCAATTTCAAAACAGATGGCTTTGATATTACTACCAGTGACAAGATAAGCTTTTAATTTTCATTTAATTTATTCCAACTGAAAAATTTACTTCGATGGGTTAAAAGTTGAGTATTTGTCAATTAATTGAATTTTGAAAGAATAAATTCATGAAACTAAATTCTATTCATCTAAGTCGTAAACAAATACAATTCGTTTTAATTTCCATATTTGAGGTAGTTAATGAGATTAATTTGCTTTAATTTAATTGTAGAATGAACGTTTGTGTGATTTAGTCTGATTCGTTTGAGCTATTTGAATTAAAGTATGCTACTAAATCGACGAAATTTTATCTTAAACATTGAGCAATATAGATACTACGATCAAACTAGGAATAGAATTATCGATGGACACCTCTTTTGGTACATCAATAATGTAATTATTACAAATTAAATCCAATAGTCGTTTCGAAAATTTTGTTTTTAAGACAAACTGTTTCTGTATCAACAATTGAGGTTGTATGGTTCCATTTTGTAAGTTCGGGACTTTGAGAATATGATGGAAGCAAACGTCATTTTTTGCCTTTCATGAAATCCACTTCGCTGTATGCCTCAGCTATTTTTTGTTGTCAAATGAACGTTTTAGTTATATATTTTGTACACGTTTATCATATATACCACGGTTTACCATTGAGACGATTTTATATTTTAAACTGTATTATATATGAAGAAGAACTACTAAGAATTCGTATTAAATATAGGGAAAAAGAATAAGCTTAACATACGATAGATTTGTGCTCGATAACTACTATATATTCACGATATATCGCTCCGCTATTTTACCGATTCACTTGTGAAATATGAAAACAGTAAATTTGATAGTGAAATGAGTAATGGTTGTAAGTATCGCGCAAAGGAATTGAGACTTAACTCTTTTCGCAGTCTTGCACGTAAGAAAAATGACAACCGAAATTTTATTTATTGGATTGAGAGGTAACAAAGTGCCGGTTGAACAAAAAAGTTCTGATAAATGCTAATCTGTTAGCTGATCAAAAGGTGCATGTACACTTTTCTTATACAAAGTTTGAATTTGTTTGTTTGGCAAGCTTGACTATGAATCTCATAAACATTTTGCATCCTAAAAATTTTTTTTTCATGGATATTACTCTACTTAATAATTTGAAGTTTAAAATAGTTTAACAATGTGTAAAGTCTTCCAAAGGCTCTACATGTATCCGCATTTCTTTTTAAGCTGTACTTAGATCTCGTATCATATCCTAAATTCCAAACTTAGGTACGACGTTGAATCTGTAGATAGATTTAAATAAAAATTTTCCCCGCATTTAGATTCATCAAAATTAAAGCATATTGCACATGTACGATAAGATTACTGTATCAAATATAAATCAACTGAATGAATGATACTAAAAAACGTTTGGACTAAATTTATACTACAGTATAATTTTTTTGTGGTTAGCCCAAAAAACTTTTAAACTCGTCTATATAATTAACTAATTAAGCTTTTTTAAAATAAAATCTGAAACACATTCACGTGATATTTAAATATAAATTATTAGTATAATGGTTTGAAAACTAATAATAATGAAACATTCATAAGGTACAAGAAAATTTAGTCCAATATTTTATTACAGGTGGAATTCATTAAACCTTAGTTTATTTGATAAACTTATCAGATGATTAACTTACAACCGAATGACCATTGAACTATTGAATCTGAAACAAAATAATTTTAATAAATTTGTAAATGTAAGATTTGCAGATCTTTTACAATAACCTATAAAAGCTTCAATTAGATTTATAATAAAAAAGTTACAAAAATCAATATTTGGATTTGCTGAGAAATTAAGTATAGTATTATTGACGAAGTTTAAAATGTTTTGTTTGTCAGAAGGTATATTAAGATATATGCATTGACACATGGCTGAATCTTTAAAAGGTATGTAATCATCTCTGAAATTGTTGGTCTATTTGAAATCAAGAATAAATTAGACCACTAATATAATAAATAATCGTTTGACAATTCTAAAAAGAATTGACGGTTGATCAAAATCTTTATCTTGATCTTTGGAAAATATAATACACTATACAGGTACGACCTTTACACAAATTGAAAGTAGTGTCCATCTAACTTTAAATTTTATAAACAAGTTTTTTGAATGAGCAAAATAAAAACTGAAATACGTTCAAATCATACTTTGGTTTGATTAACGTTCAAAGCTATAAATCTTTCAATTGGAAATGAATATTCAATAATTAATGATTACTTCGATGTCATGAATATATCTTTTCCCATGCTATAAAACAAAAAACAATCAAATGATCAACATAAAACCAATTGATCATTAAAATTTGAATCTGAAACAAAATAATAATTATTACATACATACAAACATGAGAAATTGCAAATCTTTAACAAAAGCTTCAGCCTTATTCAGCTTAATAAGAGTTATAATAAAAAAGTTACAAAAATATTATTCAATATGGTGATCAATTAATTAAAATTGATATGCTTCAATTAGATGTTGCCAAAAGAATTACTCAAATTGGTGAGAAAATATTATTATTATGTATAAGATGTATGGCATGAAGATGTATGATAAATTGCACAAAACTTTTGGATATATTGAGCTGTTGGTTACTTTTTCAATATATATATGGTAGGTTATCTCATATTTGGAATTATTTGATACAAATCAAAATATTTCATTAAATCATCTATTCAACTATTCAGCAAAATGAGTTCCAACAATCCTACAGCAGGACCAATTATTTCAAATTCAAATGATCAACAAGAAGAGGTTAATGATTCAGATACAAATAATAGCATCCAGTCAAATAATTCCGACAACAAAGGAGAAGAGTTAAATAAGAATGTTAATTACTACTACAAATTATTAATCAAAAAGAAATTAGACATAAGTATTTATTCCGAATTTTTTCTCGGATTATTCGAACCCCAATATATTAATACATTTCGCCCTGATCCAATTCATCCAAATCAAATTCCTACAATTACTACTGATTATACTGGTGCTTTAAATGGATTAACTTCAGATAATGAAATTTTTACAATAAATGGATGGGCAAAAATTGGAGATGTTGATTTTGCAAAAACTCAAATTGCTAAAGTAAATTTTGCTCAAAAATTTTTTACATTTGGTTTTCCTAATTCAGTCAAAACTAGTCAAACTGGAGATGTTTTAGTTAGGGATTTTGAATCATTGACTACTTCAGCTGGTAAGGAATTAGCTATTAAAACTTTACGTACTCCAAGAAAATCAGAATTATCGTATGAAATTAGAGTTCCTCCATTGGCTTCGTATAGTAAAATTGGTGAAGCAGGAATTGAATTTATGGTTACAGCATTCCATTTACCTAGCACTGTTTATTATGGTGCTATTCAAACAGACAGAAGTACAGTTAATGAAATTTTGAATAGATTTGGTTTTACTCAAAACACTTTTACCTCCATTTTGCAATTGTTGGCTCTTTGGATTTCTCATGGTTCAATTGATCATCGAAAAAATAGAGTTGCAATCACCACTAGTCAAAGCTTTGAATTTTTATATATACTTCATTTGTTTCTGGAGGTAGGTTGGACATATAATGAACATTTCGAATGCAGATGCTACCCTAGTCAACCAAATTTAAAATATTTTTATTTTAAAGATTCACCATTTAAAGATTTCATATGGAATTTGTTTTCAAGTAAATATGGAGGGAGTGGTCGAAAACATAAAGTTGACAAATATACTGAAGCTTTAGATTTTTTATTACAATTATCACAATGGGAAATTGATAATTTTTTGAAAGGTTTAAGTATTGGTGTAATTGGGTCTGGTCGAATTTTTACCTCAAGTGCTGGTCTTAAAGATCTTTACATGAAATTATTATGTCTCGCTGGTCATGGTTCAAGTTGTGTTGAGTATACCAAGTCTCGTGCTAATACCAAATATGCTATCAATATTTTGTATTGTAAAAATGTCAAATCATTTAGCAGTGCCCATTCAATAAAAATTGAATCAACAGCGGCACGTACCATGAACACAAAGGTTATATCGATTGATGTCGGCAATGCTTTTTTAATCGTTAGAGGTGCTTTTTCAAATGGTTCATCTGGTAGGTCTGTTTTAGTTCCAGGAGAAAAACATCATTCAATTCATGATAACCAAATGTGAAGCTCATTTATTAGTCTGGTGAGTATTCTAAATTGTGCCATTTACCTAAGTGTTGATCAACTGATAGCATGTCAAAACCTGCTGATGATTTTGCTAATTTTACATCTGAAGTCATTTATTTTTCTCTCATTTACATAAATTATAATTCAAAATTCTTCAATATACTACTTGTTTCGATAATCTCTAATTTTTCTAAGGTCGAATCGTTTGCCTATAAAATGGTCAACAACGAGATGAAACTTGAGGTTTTTCCCATCGGGCTTTATCCTCAAAATTCATTAAATACTTACTATTTTATGTATCTACTATATTGAAAAAAATATATTGTTAGTATATTTATATAGTGAATTGTATAGAAGACTTAATAAATAGGTTCTAAAGAAAAAAAAAAAAAGAAGAAACTTCAAAAAATGCAACTTCCGAAGCGTTTGAACCAATATTTCCATTGTCTAATTTTTCATTGTTTGGAAATTTATCATTCATAACATAGTCAAGAGTTGATGCGTTTGTCGAAATCATGATTTCGAATGAACAGAGAAATGTTTTAGTATGGTTCATGTACCCTTTTTCAGGATTGAAAGTTGCAGCGATTGGAATTAAAGAACGTAATTAAAAAATGACTAACTCTCCGGAAGCGAACTTTAAGATTAAGTGGAAGATCAAAGCGATTTAAATGAAAATAATCAATTAGGTTTTTTGTATGGATTCTGTATGTCAGCTAAGTGGTGGTTAGTTAAATAAGCTGAGTCGAAAAGTTATGCTATATAAATAATAACAAATATCCGTTACAATGGGACATAAGCAAGAGGAGATCAACAATGCATATGAGAATTTTGATTTTATGGACAAAATGGGGTATAAAAGTGAAACAAACGAAGTAAACCTGAAGTGATGAATTTGATGAAATTTCGAGCATGCCCACAATGGAATAATAATAGAGAAATTTCGAATTGTAATAGTGCATTTAACTCAAAATTAATTAAAAATTCGTTCAAACGTTATCTAAAAGAAAAGTCGAGGTGACGTTTATTACTTTCATTTCAATTGCTTGACGCATTACCAAAATTTGGTATGTTTAAGGAATAAGAGTTTAAATCTTACTTTGTTTTATTGTCAGTCAAAGACAAGACAACAATAAGGGGAATTTCAAATTGTCTTGATTGAAGTTGATTAAGATTGAATTTCTGGTTTGAGTTATGCTCCTATTCCAATTAAAATATTAACTATTACATTGTGAAAACACGCTGCAATTTAAGAATTGGAGAAAGTATCTACTTTCTAAATGGCTCAATAAAATTGAACATGGATGATACTAGGGGAGTATATTGCTATTGACTTGATCGCAACTTTGATAGAGTGTTGAGCTTTGCCGTTTTGCTCCCATCAAGAACAATTATGATTATCCATGCTTTGATTAATCAAATTCATTGCATTCATATCAATTTAAAAGCCAGAAGTGAGGACTACGAACTGTTTTTCGAGTTATGCCTTTTCTTATGTGAATGTTGGATAAAACTCGACTTTGATGATAAAATCTTGACGATTTCAATTAGCAGTTTTCTTCTATTTTCTGAAGGCAGTTCCAGAGAACTCTTATTTGAATTAGTTAAATCAATAAATGTATATTGTTGTGATGAATAAATATAGCTTTATGGGTGAGATGGGCTAACATTTCTAAGCAAACATAATATTTTGTGATGGCATATACAAAGTTCTGATGATGAAAAAACCTTTTACGTACTTTCATAGAGCCCAAAAAAAAGTCTCAATCTGGCTAAATTTATTGGGTACTATTTTTCAGAGTAGAATTGAACACGACGATACAAGTTATGTATATATTACTTTGTTTTTCTCTAAAATATTGACAGATCTACAAATCAACCCCTTTGACCAAAACTGGGTACCCAGTGTTACCTTGATCATCTTCCCATCTTACAACAGCAAAACCGTCGACATCCAAAATTACCATTTCATCTGTTGTAGTCATTTTTTTGGATGTTTCAACTTTACAATATTTCAAACCCTGAACAGCAGCTGGATTTGAACTATCAGAAAATGATAAAACCCAAATGTCATTTCCATTAGGTACAACTTCTTTATAGGGTTTTTTTTGTTCTTCACTTAATTCATTGTATTCCTTTTCATAAATCTTTGGTAATCCCCTACAAATCCCAGCAGCCGCAAAAATGGAATATTGCTTAATTTGTGGACGTAATGTAGCTTTTGTTGCAAAACCACCATGAATTAATATTCTGGAGTAAAACTGTTTCATTTCTGTGCTGACGGTATAAATTTGATTAAATTTAGCAGCTACTCCATCAGCAGCGTTATACCCATAAGTTAGCAAAATAATTTCTAATCTTGTTAATTCATTGAACCATTCCAAGAACTTAGTAGGTTTAGCAGAAGTGAAATATTCTAGTCCGTCATTGTTTTGACTGTTTTTATATTTACAGCCAAACCATTTAACGAACATGACACGCCATGAAACTTTAGTTATATGCATTTCATAAACTACAGTTTCAGCATAAAAAACTTGTGATTTATATTTTGCTTCATGCTTCTTTATTCTGTAACTTTTCCGCCATTCTGTATTCATCTGTAAATTCAATTTCTTGAAGCAGTATTCTAATAACAATATATCATCTTCTTTAATTTGTGAAAACCAAACCGATTCACAATTACTGGTCTGATCAATCTTAAGGGAACCATCCCCAATCCAAAATCCTAGCACTATCATGAAATAATGAAATTTTTCGATTGTATCTATTCCCATAAATCCTCTAATGAGATTAATTGTTTCACGATTTTGATTTTTATATCCAGCTTGCAAATAATGTAACAACTGAAATTGATTAAATTCTTGTTGTGATGGAACTCCAACATACCAATCGCTATATTTTGAATTTTCCTTAGTACGGAGTATTGTTTTTTGTTTTGAACCCAATATAACACCATTATAATTTCTTATTGTATTAGCTTCACCTGAATGACGTTGAACAGCTTTTACAAACTTATAGTCAAATGATTTTGTATCTTTATTGTACACAGCAATTTTTGTTTCATTAAAGTTTATATCTTTTATTTTGACAAAACCATTTGCAGTTAATAATGTCATATTGTTTGATATTCCTTGTTTGGTACTTGATGTAAGCTTTTCCTCTTGCACATCACCAGTTTCCACTTGCACATCACCAGCTCCAACTTGCACATCACCAGTTTCAACTTGTACATCACCAGTTTCAACTTGTACATCACCAGTTTTTTTCAATGGTTTAATATTATCTTTATATAAATATGTAGTCAAATCCATGAATTTAAACGCACTGAATTTAAGATAATCTGAACGTGGATCTGGTACAATATATTCTTCCTGATAAATGAAACCAGATTTATCATACAATAATCCATTAAACATTTCATTATCCAATTTCCTTTTTCCAGTATCATCAAAAAATGGTTGAACTAAGTCTCTAGGTATTCTTTTATTTTTTTCAATTTTAATTATTGTAGTCTGAACATCATCTGTATTATTTGTATCTTTTGATAGTGCTCTCCTTTTGTGTACGGATTGAATAATTTTTAAGATACCTGATCTTTTACCCATATTGGTGATTGAGTGTTGAATTGATTATGGTTGAAAAAATTGAATAGATGAAAACAAGAAAAAAATTGAATTTGTAAATTTTAAATTTCATCTTTCCTTCAGTATTTATATTTATTATATTTATATTTATATTTATATTTAATTTTGAGCTGTAATTTATTTTGATGATATGTATCATATTTATGTACTAATAGATAAATTAAAGTTTTGCAATCTATATTTCGATTTTTTTTTCTATATAATTTAGTGTCACAAAATTGTTTTTATTTTTTCACATAAAAAAGATATTGGTACTCGAAAATTAAATGGGCTATAAAGTATACAGTGGGTTCAAATTTTTTCTACAGAAATGTTTTTATTAAGAGTTTGGCTGTATTGACATTGTTTGGAATGTTTCTTGACCTGGTTTTATCACCATTATTTCTTAATTTTATATAGATTTTCTTTGAATTCGCCAAAGTATCTCATTTGGTAGTGCGATATATGAACTTGTTATAATGTCATGATGATTGTCATAAAATAAAATTTGAGAAATATACTTCTGTTACGTTTATATAAATCTTCAAATTATAATCATTTTTAAAACTAAATCTTTAACAACCACTTTAATATTACAAATCACACATATACACTTATAACAAACCTTACTCACTTGATTTATTATAAAGCAATTCAAAGGAAATTTTTTAGTAGCTTAAAAGACAAAGCATGAATCAATACAAAAATCTAATAAATTAAAGATTAATCAATTATACAACGCACAAGTTCATCAACAACTGTGGAAAAAGAACCGTTTAAACTCATGTTAACTATTATATGACCATGGTATATTTATCGGGTTGTTGAATAGCTTATTCAGTAAGATTTGCAACCTTTAGAGGATAATACATACTTACAACATCAACGTCGACAAATTCACAAAATATCTTAATAAATTAAAAAGTCAAGCAGCAATTACAACGTGGATTGGACGCGGTACAATGGCTTATATGCGAAATGTAACACAGCTACAAGTTTCAATCAGATGACGGATTATTATAGGCAGATTCTTCAAAAACAGCATATTATTTTGCTTTTCAATTCATATTTATTAGATCAATATTTAACAAATACACCTTTCTTCATTGTTCATTGGGATAACTTGTATTTCGATTGATGGTCATCACCTTAAAGATTTTTCAATTAGTACATTAAATGATAAAAAAAAATATTGGAAGTTGAAGTTAGCAAGAAATATAATTTACAAGAATATGAAAACGGATAGGATCTCATTCAATATAATTGAAATAAGTCATATATTTTAGTATCAACATAATTTTGAGAACATAAAATAAGAACAATATTTCTTGCTATAATTTTTATCATTCCACTTGGAGGCATTATAAGGGGACCTGATACCAGCGAGATTAGTCGTCAATATCCATCCATCTTTAATTACTAATATTTCATACGTATTCATACATTAAAGCGCTTACATATCATACTTGTATCCAAATAAATCACAAAATTCAATATCAAGGGTAGTAACTCATAGAATTTTCATCTCCTCCATCGGATGTTATTATGCATTGGCTCAATCTGGATTTCATAAAAAAGGATGCAAAGAAATTACTGATGAATGAAAAAGAAGCTTCTGAATTAAATTTGTTAGTTTATGGATGCAATGCTGTTAATAATTTTGCTGCCGATTTCTATCGAGTTTTGCTATTAGAACTAAATGAAGTAATTCTTCTACAATAATGTTAAACATTAATACATAATTAATCCAGGATTAAAGTGCTGCAAAGACTGGAAGAAAGAAAGAAATAACATTACCGTAATTGATGTTAGCAGATGTGGAATGGAAGATACAATGGGTCCTACTCATTCCAGCTGATTGCTGGGTTCAGTTGCAATATGGCGTTTAGAGTTTAGATATATTTCTAATTAGTTATTATACATTGAATTTGATTTTCCCAAAAAGCATACTTTGTAACAACGTAAAAAATAATTAGTGAAGCTTGATTGTAACATATCATTGCTTCTACAACAATATCACAAGAAGAGGCTAATGCTTGAGTATTAACTTCACTTTCGTTAATTCAACACATGTATGCTCTGATGTTTCCTTTGCTTGAGAACAAATCCGAATCAATTAATTTTCGAAAATCAAAGACTATCTTGGGATTCATTTTTATGTTCCATCATAAGTGATAATTTCTATTTTCGTTCTAAGCACTTGAAAACGCATGTTTATAACATAACATTCAATTACTTTCTTAAAATGGTTTGGTTTGCAATTAATTGGTAATGGAGCAGTAATGAAAATACGTACCAGAAGTCTAACTTCATAAATAAATAAATGAAATCAACAAAATAGCTCTACTGTTGAAGCATATGGGTTTGTATTTTCAGTTGATCTTAGCTTATCCTTGATTGAACCATCATGAACTGAAATTTTTTGCTAGTTACGTGTCAATCTTAATCTTTTTAACAAGTTCTTATAAATTTTCGAATGATACATACACTGATCTATTGATGTTTGAAAACCAACGTTTAAATTAATGGAGCCAAGCCAGTGTCTGCCTAATACTCATAAGTTATGAAAAAGCAATAATCCTACCATTTATCTAAGGTATTAACTTAGTTGAAGTAGTAGCAAACACTAAAATTCAACTAATATAATTTTCTTAAATGTTATAAATTAGACGTCCGTCATCTGAAACCTTGGAATGAACCATGACAATGGAACTTGTAAAGCTTTACCTTTCATAACCGCAATATATTGAATTTTTTGACGTCTTGAAATTGAGCAAGATAAATTATCAAATTGTAGGAAGGTTAATTCGTTATTGAATGTATGAAGCTGATGAATACATTATATTTAACTGTCCTAAAGGAATCTGTTCAAACAAATTCCTGCATCGATCGTATAACTTGTTGCATTTGATTCAAATAGTTAGAATGGCAAGTGTGTATTATTTAAAATATAACTATAAAAAATATGTAAGAGTAAAAGAATATTTAGAATAATTTACGAATAAAAACTCATACAGAATTAAACAAAGAGTTTAAAATAGTAAACCTAACAATAACAATAACAATAACACAACTAAATCATATTAAGTGGATGCACCACCATCACTCAAATTATTATTTTCACCTGGAACTAAAGTTGAAATACCTGATTTTTTACCTTGAAACTTACCTCTAACAATTAAGTAGGATTTACCTATATCAATGGAAAACACTTTAGTTTTTTGGGTGTAAGCTGTTGTTGTTGAGATTTTATAGGGATCAGTTGAAGAATATGACTTGAGGTTTTTGCAGTCAAAAAATGTAACTTTAAAACATCTATCACCCGTACGATAATATGTACCATGACCTGCTAAACACAATAATCTCATATATAAATTTTTGAGACCGTTACTACTAACGTTAATCCAATTTGATTCTTCACCATCAATACTTAAACCTTCTAAAAAATTTGCAATTTCATATTGAGTCAATTGAAATAAAAAATCTAAATCTTGAGTGTATTTATCAACTTTACCTTGACCTGCTAAACCATATTTGTTTGAAAATAAATCCCAAATAAATGTTTTAAAAGAACACTTTTCAATATAAAAATACTTTAAATTTTTATTACTTGCATAACATTCACAAACGAACTTGTATTGATAACGCAAACCTAATTTATCAAACAAGTGCAAAATGTACAAAAATTCATAAGCATCACTAGTTGTTATAGCTACTCTTTCTTTAGGTTTATCAATTGAACCACTTGTCAACCAGAAGGCTAATAATTGCAAAATGTAAATGAAGGAATCCGAGTGAAATCCATATTTGTTGAGAATAGCATTAATTTTATCTCTTCTTGTTTGAACGGCTCCATAATAAACAGTAGTAGGTAAATGAAATGCTGTAACCGTAAAACTTTTACCTGCTTGGCCCACTTTTTCAAATGAATCTGTTGGTGGAACTCTGACATCATAAGAATTTTCCAAAAATTTTGGTGTTTTCAATGTTTTAATTGCTAAAATTTTATTTGCTGAAGTGATTAAACTTCCATAACTTCTAACTAACACTTCTTTTCTTTCACCAATTTCAACTGATTTTGCAAATCCAAATGTATAAAATTTTCGTTCCATATTGACTTTTGCTATTCTAGTTCTTGCAAAGTTTATATCACCAATTCTAGCCCAACCATCAGCAGTAAATAATTCATCATCTTCAGTTAATCCATTAAGCTCCATTTTTGAATCAATATTAACATTTGGAACAACATCATCTTCAATTGTTTGAAATCTGGATGGATCATTGTCGTAAAACATGGGGTTGACTTCGAGAAAATATTCCTCATAATGATTTATTTTGAGATTGTGGTTGATCAATTTATTGTAATACAAGTTGATGTCATCTATGAATTCTTCTTGGTTGTCGTTGTTCATTTTATTGATTTAGGTGAAATTGATTTATCTAGCAAAAGTTAAAATACTGGAAAACATGGGAAATTTTCAACATATAAATATTGAAAGAGATTATGAAAAGTTCAATACTTGTCTCACTATTGCAAGATAATTGTTGGTTAGACGGTAACCACTTGAAACTGTCAACTCTGGCTCCATAATTAAGAATCATCATTAAAACGTATTTGGTTTCAATCTTTGTAACTTGTTTATTGTAATTCTGATTAATTTCAATCCTATATAATAATTATTATTTTGTTTCAGATTGAAATCGTCTAGCCGTTGTCAATTAATGATCGAATAATTTTATTGAATTTGATGATTTTTAGAACCAAGTATGATATTCGTTCATAGTTGTACAACTCTATAATCGTGTTATGTTTAGTCGATACCTTTGACCGTCGTATCAAAATTGAACTATATCATTGTTTAACCACCTTTCAGTCTACTTCAGCCATATTTTACGTTGAATACAAATTTTTTTAAATGATTGTACTTATTTTTGTGTCATGCCAAGAAAAAAGCGTACAAAAGCCTAAACGGAGATAAAAGATCTAGATCTCGTAATACAAGCCTCGTATCTATTTGCGTAGATAAGATCTTATATTGTCTTTCTAGTACTAAATGTTCCTTATTAATTAGTTTAGTTTTTCTGTTCAATTATTATGCGCTTGTCCATCTAATTTGTAAGATTCGAAGAAGTAAGTTAAGCCGATGGGAAGAATAAGGTAATGTAAAATCTCGTCTCACCAATCAATACACTTTTTTTTTCCTTCTTTTCGAGATACAATACGTTTATTGAAGTAATAGCGTGGCCATTAAATGACTTACCATGGAGAAGTCGAGATCGCTTGCCACGTATCTTGTTTCGTTAAAGAAACATGCTGCAAGTCAACATGGAGTATGTTTATTAGCGGAATCAAGTCTGGAACTAAAAACTTGCAGAAGCGAGCAGGATAGGTTTAACTCTTACGTGATGAATAAACAATAATATTAGCGATAAATTATGTCAATTATAATTAAAAGACTACAATAGTTTGTACTTTCAGGTTTCGTTTGATAATTTTCGAGATTCAGAGGGGAAACATGTTTTAAAACATCAAATATTTCTTTGAGATTTATTTTTGCGGAAATAATCATTCCAAAATTTGTACCTTAATAATCGAGCTTTATCTAGTTTGAAAAAGAAGAGTCAAAAAATGTACGATTGTGTTAAGATTGGTTGTTCTGATTACTATAACCCCTAAAGTTGTATATGGATTAATTTTAGTATTATTACTTTTTTTTTTTTTTTCAAAATCAATTATATTATATTGGATTAGTAGTCTAGTTTGCTAAACAGTAAAGAAATAAATTTAACTTATAGAGGAAAGATTTCTAACTAAAATTTATATAATAATTTTAGTTTTCATCATAGCATCTAAAAAACCTCTTACTTTTTTTTTTTTTATGAGTGTGTGTGAAATTGTTAGGAGATCAATCTGAAAAAACCTTGATTACTTAAATATGAATAATATTTATTATCCAATATCGATCTAATTCACCATTTTATCTGGAAGGTAGTGATAGTAAATATAAAAATATGTAAATATAAGGAAGTAATTGATTATAAAGAACTATAAACACTAAAAACCTTGAACTGAATTCAAGGATCGTTAAGTCTCATGACAACGATTGGTAAATTGAGTGGAACACCAGAGTTTGGATAACACAATATAACAAATAGTGCATGAACAAAGCTACCGGTTTAAGAATTGAAATTGAAGTCCAATCAAAGTAGCTTGAGTAAACAATTTGTTTAGGAAGGTGAACTCTGATACAATTAAAAGAAAAAAAGTTAAAAGAAAAAAAAAACTTGAAACATTATGTTTGTGTAACTTTTTTAAGGAGTAATAAAAATCTGTTAAGGGGCAATAAATTTCGAGATGGAAAATAGCACCCAAAATGTGAGTACTGATCACTACATGAGTTAATCTTGAACTAAAAGATCTTGCATTTATCTTATACACTTATACACTTAAAAAGCTTATTTCTTTTCTCTTTGACCGTATGATTTCGTTGCGTAATCCCCATCTATGCAAATCACGTCCTGAGGTCTGTAATGGAAAGATTTGTTGAAGAATTCAGTTAGAATTTGACGCACTCCGTCTGCATATCTCTGTTGAGCATCAAGACTCGTACCTGAGCAATGGAGAGTCATTCCATTGCCGTAAAATCCAGGACCAAAAGGATTTTTCATACTTCTCCAAGGGAAATCCTCCGGTGGCGGTTGGACCGGGCTAACATCTCCGGCATCTTATTCTGGTGTTAGTATACTGTTACTTATAATTTAATCAAGAAATTGATGTTACTTTGATGGTTTATGTGCTGTTTGAAGCCCTTTTGATCCAATCATGAATTTTGAAATTTTGTTCAAAATATTTTTTACTACCTTTGGTAGCGACAAGATAACACAAAACCAATCAATTTGGAAAAAAAATAAAAATTATACATACAAGCAATATGACCACTGTTTACAGCTTCAGTAACAGCATCAGTATCACAAATAGCACCTCTAGCAGTGTTGACTAAATAAGAACCTTTTTTCATCTTTGAGATTAAAGCTTTGTCAAATAATCCTTTAGTTTGTTCATGTAATGGACAATTGATAGTAACAATATCAGCTTGAGAAACTAAATCTTCTAAACTTTCAACTCTTTCGACAATTACATCAACTCCATTGTATAATTTTGAAGCTTCATTTAATTTATCAGTAGCAACTTTTGGTAAAGGTTGGTAGTCATAGTATAATAATTTTTTAACATTGAATGGAACCAATCTTTCTAAGATTCTGTAACCAATTCTACCAGCACCAACAGTAGCAACAACTTTACCTTCAATGTCGTATTCATCTTTAGCAACAGCTGCAACATCCCAGCCACCATCAATATATTGTTGATGTCCAATATTATAGTTTCTGATCAATACCAACATAGACATGACCGCATGTTCGGCAACTGATTGAACATTTGAACCAGTGACTTCAATAACTGCGATTCCTCTTTTGTTTGCTGCATTTAAATCAACGTGATCCGATCCAACACCAGCAGTAATACAAATTTTTAAATTTGGAGCTTTAGCAATTCTTTCTGCAGTAACATAAGCTGGGAAGAATGGAGTAGTAATGATAATTTCAGCTTCTGGTAAGTATTTTTCAAAAGTTGAATCTGGACCATCTTTATCAGCAGTTGCAATAACTTCGTATCCATGATCTTCAATGAATTTTCTAAGACCTAATTCATTTTCAACTGCTCCCAACATCTTTGGTTGATCAAGAGCATGCTGTTTTCCCTCGTATAAAACGATTAAACAGACTGGTTTCTTTGCCATTTTGATTTATTATTGTTTGAGTGATTGATTTTGTAAGTTTGATAACTTGGTGAAAAAATTTTAAATCAATATATTCAGTAAGATTTTGAAGGATATTTATAATAATTTGATCCATTTTGAAATTGATTATTTTATATATGCTCACGTTCTTAGGAACTCATTAGAAATAATTGGAATTCACAATAGCCATTTTATGTTTGGACTTTATTTAAGAGTTGCTTTAATAATTTGTAACTATAGGCTAACTTAGAAAGCGCTACCAGTGTATTATTAAAATCACTCGGAAGAAGAACATTCTTCTAAAATCTGTAAATTTTATCGTTCATCTTTGTGTTCAAAACTTGAACAAGTTTCGTTCGGCTTTGTGTTAACAATTTGATCAAAACTCCAGTTTCCGCTATACGGTCAAACTTACAATTAATGATCAAAGAATTGTTACTTTATTTCCTCAAATTTTCAAGTGATCAAGTGATGAATATCATCAGTGCAATTGGTTGATGAGGGTCTTAATTCTCATCAGTTTAAAATATTTTATTCTTGGGTACATATGTTTACACGATTTGTCGAAATATTTTGTGGGGAACTAATTTCAAGGGGTATATTTTACAATTAATAATTTTGATAACAATATTTTTTTTCTCGAAAAAAAGGCATGTAGAACCTTTTGAGGTTAAACTAAGCTTAATAAGAGGAGATAAATTCTATCATTTAATCCCGATCAAATATAGTAAAAAATACTTAATGTTTACTTTTTTTTTGACGAAAATAATTGTTCGCAAAATCTAAGTTGTAACCAGGTATAAAAATATATTATCGTATGGCAAATATGAGTCAGAATTCCACCGAAATTAAATATTTACTTTTCACCTCCAATATGAATAATTCAATCCCAACAATTAATTGAATGGCCATCAGAAACTGATCCAAACGTCTACAAAAAATATCATTATTTTCAATTTAAAACTAGATACAGCAATTTCTTGTGAAATGGGGTTATTGATGATAAATTGACGACTTAATGTGCTTTTCTTCTTGAAATATTCATCAAAATATTCAATTTAACAGAATAGATTCTCAAAAGTTACTTGATGCAGGTAAAAACTCATTTTAATTTTAAGCAAAACTTTTATTCATTTGGCTGAAACTTTGAATAGTTCTTACTTTAAACTTGCATTTCCGAGATTTTAAATTTTTGACCAGATATATCAACATATCCAGTACCATTACCATCACAACTTTTAGACCCATCAGTAAAACTATGATACGGAATCGAAGTAGCTTGACATTGATGTTTCATTGCACCATTAGTCCATACACTAGTCCATAATATTTGACTCATACGTTTGACAACTTCAATTTCATCACCGTCGAGTATTCAACCTGGCATTACATATTTATTTATCATCCATGTTACCATGACCATTTGATGTATCATGAATTTCTGTATCATGTATTTTCTTCAAATCTTAAGGTTTCATTAACTGTGATTTCAATGCTGGTAATTACGTTATAAAGCAGATATCTTTGTATAGGTAAACTATGATGCTAAAAGATAAATAAAGGGAACAACAGACTTGCATTTGTTTCAACAATTCCATTTAAAATGTTAAATTCATCTATATTTTATGTAATTTTAGTTCTCTGGTTTATGTGAAGGCTCAATATAAATACACGCATCAATTGATGACTTCTGTCGTTACATGAATGTTTTGGATTTTGAAATTTTATCAATGTTTCTTCAGTTATGTGTTTGAGAAATTTACTTCTGACATGCCACATCAGATTTTCATCTGACCCGACCATTTTGAATATATATTCTTAAGTTTTAACCTTCGAAACTCTTTCATGAGTATATCTGCCATATATAGTGAGGTTTATACCTGGATATTCATCATTTCTCTTAGTAAATAAGTCGAGCTCTGATGAAAACATGATTATTGATGATGTTAAAAAGTTGTTGAAAAGGTAAGAACAAACTACTCGTAAAAGGATTCAGATAAATTTGTACATTTCTGAGATCTACGAAGATCTGATTTTAAAATTAATTAAATTTAAAATTATTTTCAAGTTATGTATTGACTAAACAAGTTTTAAAACAAAATTAGTATGATTTGTTGAGTTTCAATCTGGGATTTATAAATTGCTCAAGGAAATAATATATTTTTTCAAATCCAAGAAGTTTAAACTTGTAGCTCCGACTGAAGTGTTACAAGATAAAACCACCATATATTAAAATAGCTTAAGAATTAATATTTCAAGATTGTAGTCTCTATTTACACAAACAAACATTTATCCATCAAGCTCTATCAAGTTGAATAATATTACTATGATAACCTAATTTACTTAAAGTTAAAGAAGTATCACTTCCATAACCTTCTAATGAATTCATTTCTAATTTACCATTCCAATAATCTGCATATACAGAACACATTGGTAATCCCATACCTAATTTAAATTCTTGAGGTCTTGACATTAAATCAGATAAAGTTGATTTTTTTTTAGCTTTTTCTTGCATTTCAATAAATGATTGATTTTCATCATTATTATTATTAACAATTGATGAACCTGATGCAGTAACTTTTAAATTTGAATATAATTGTAAACCTGGTATACTATGAAAATTTGCTAAACTTTTTCTTGCTAATTCTGGTGATTTACCAAATGACCAAATCAGTTTTAATTTATTATGATTTATACCACCTCCTTGATCTGAAATTCTAAATAAAACATTTTTTTTCAGGTCTATAATAGTAACTTTTATTGGTGGTGGTTTATCTTTATGAAAATTTATTGTAGCTTCATAAGAATTTTTTAAAATTTCATGAATTAAATAATGTAAATGGGGTATCATAAATTGAAATTTACAATTTAAATCACCTTCAATTTTTAAATCAGGTAAGGAATCAATTTCTGGATATTTTTCAATTAATGACTTTTTTATCATTGATGAAACTTGATTAAATTGATCAACTGCATTACAATTTTGAAACATTTCACCTAAATAATGAGGAGGTTTTTTATCATATGGTTTTTTTAAATAATTTTCACTTAATGATAAATGTTCTTCAACTATAACTCTTCTACTTATTCTTGATCTTAACATTGAACTCATAAATGAATCTAATTCATGTTGTGGTAAACTTTCAGCTATTGATATTTCTAAAGCACCCATTAATAAATGTGATAAATTAAATAAATGATCATCTAATAAAGTTGATAAAGTTTTACAAAAATTTTCATTTTCTTCAATTGTATTGATCTTGGGGATTTTTCTAAATGCATTAAACAGATGATAATAACTTTCATAAATTTGAGCTAAATGGAAATTATTTACAACTCCAAATGGTAATGTTTGTAAATCTCGAATTCTTAAAGCTAATCTTATTGGTAATTCAATTCTTACAAAATTTGCACTATTTATAATTTTTTGTTTAGTTAATGTATTTCCAAATCCAGCTAATTGTCTTAATGATACTGGATGAGGATCTCTTTTGGAATAATCTAGTAGTACAGCATTTTGATAAAAATGTTGAGGATTTAAGATATTTGAATATGTGGGAAAGGGACCAAGATTTTTTATATGTTTGGCAATCTCTTCTTTACTGATATCTGATAAAGCATCAGCATGAATGTAGGAGAAAGGACTAACTGAGGATGTAGTATTTAGTCTTTTGAATACATATCGGTGACATTTTTGGCATTTTGTAGTTCGTGGAATCATGTAGTGATAAATTGATTCGATCGGAAGTTTTTTATCGCAAGATAAATTTGATAAATATGGGGTCAATTTGGTAGCAAACTTGGCACAACACATGATTCGTCTTTAAAGTGCTTAAAATGTTGAGCATGTGATCAAATGATCAAATGCTTGAGCCTAGAGCATCAATAGCTTCTCGTTTGATAGATTTGGAGGTCAAATTTTGTAAAATTGATTTCCGCTAAGAAACGGAGTGATAGAAATATGTTGAACGCAACATCGCCCGTACCGCAAACATCCGCATCCCACAATCTCAGGCGTCACACTACTTATCATATCAAGCAAGGCTCTATCACTTTAATTGAAACTTCATTATCGAAGTTGTTTAAATCAATGGTCCAACACAAATCCTTCTCTTTGATTTTGTGTAATTGATCTAACCAGCCATTTTTGCGTACTAATTTTTATTACTCCTTAAAACGTTTTAAAATTTTCACTGTAACACATATCTTAATCAAATTATATATAAAATAAATCAAATTCTAGAAAATCTAGTAGTCAATTGAGACTCAAATTAACAACCTTCAAGACATGAATGTAACCAGCAATGCATATTATACTTCACAATATCTAAATGAACGACAACAAAATCAATATAGAATGCCTACTCCACATGATTATCATTCACAATTTCAACCAAGATTACAAAAACCTTATAATCCTAAGCAAAAACCAGTTATGAATAATATACGACCAAAACAACAACCTATCTCAATTACAACATCTCCCAATTCACCATCATCAAGTCAACCTGAAATTGAATTTGAAATTGATTCAGATGATCAATTAGAGGAAGAATTAACACCAGCACAATTAAATTATTTAACTCAAAATCATATGCCCACCACCATAAAAACAAAACCACCACCACCTCCTCAACCATTAATTAAAAAATCAAACAAGAATAATAATTATTATTTAAAACAAAAAAAAAATTATGATTTAGCTGATAATTCAATGAAACCAAAATTATATACTCATAGAACTTTTAGAGAAGTATTTCAAGATAAATTTGAAAATTTAGATAAGTATAATCCAATGGATTCTGTTTTTGAAAATAGTAAAAATTTTAATACACCACCAAATCAAGAAAATGGAGAAATTACACCTACAACTGAAAAATCATCAGCTTCTAAATTTTTTAGAAATGTTAAATTTATAAAAGATGATTATAATGATTATAACTATTATGATCATCGAATTAAAAAGAAAGATCCAGTAAAGGAGATATTCGTTGAGAATGGATCAGATGATGACGAGGAGGAAAACTCAGAGACTGGTGAGAAAGTTAAAAAGAACAGGAAATTTAAATCACTACTCAAAAAAAGGATAAGGCAAGCTAAAAAAGATTTAGGTAAAGATTTTGATCATCATGTTGATAATCTGAAAAAAATTCCAATAGAAGAAAGTACTCCTGAAGAGATTAATGAATCAACTGAATTAGTTCCTGTTTCAAAAGGTTATGATTTAAAATCTTATGTAAATCCATATATGAATTATGTATGGTCATGGGTAGATTATTATAAACAAGGAAAATCAGCTCCAACAGAACAAACTACATCCAAAGTTTTAGTAGAGTCTCCACAACCACTTGTCAAACCAAAAAAGTTCAAAAAATTTACTCAAAATTCGAAAACTTTATTCACCAGCTGGAATGAACCAGCAAATAAAATGTTTAATCAAAAACAACTCAGGAACCCCCCTACAATTCGTCAATCATCAAATGATACACTAACAGAAGAATATCCAAAAGAATTTATAATAGAATATGATTCAAGTGATGAATCAAGTTTACCAAATAGTAATGGTCTGATAAATGAAGAATTATATTATAACCCAGAAACAAAACAATTAGAATCACAACCACCAACATCATCATCATCAATGATTTCCCTAAAACAAAAGTCACCAATCCCATTAGTTAATAATTCAATTGAAATTGTTTCTTCATTAATTTCCCTTATAAAAAAAATTCAAGTTATAAAATTAATTTTTCAACCAATTGATATAATTGGTGAATTTTTTCCAAATTTACAAACTATTGTTATTATTATAGAATTATTATTATTTATTTGGATATTATTTGAATTAAGTAGATTAATTGATGCTTTATGTATGATGGTGAAGGCATTTTGTGCTCCCATGATTGCTGTTGGAAGATTTATGAATAAAATAATGTAAAATGTTTGTTTTTAAATTAGAGCTATAGATAAATGTAACGAAATTTTGAAAAAGATTCAATTAAAGCAACAATTTTGAAAAGCAGTAGCTGTTGACATGAAATTTTTTTTATTTGTTGTAATAATAATCGATTATACAACTTAATTGTAGCAAATTTCCTAATCTTTTAAAATTATTTGATACTTTAATTTAAAGTAAAAGTCATTACCCCTTAATCTTATTTTTTTCTCGGAGTAAAATAAAAAATTAAATTTACGAGAATTTAAAAATTAAAATTTAAATTTAAAAATTAAAAGAAATAAACACGAAACAAGTCTAGTGGAATCTACTAAATTAAGATTATACTTGAACATTATTAATAATACTAGTTACTAAATTACATAAATACAAATTTAAAAATCAAACATTAACAAGACAAAACAAACAATTGATTTAAATTTTTAATCTTTTTTTTTTTTATATTTTTTAATCCTTTAAATTAAAAAAATTAAAAATTAAAATTAAAAAATTATTAATAACAAAAAGAAAAATAAAATTTTTACTCATAACACTTTAACAAACAAACACTTCATTACTTCTTAACTCCACCATTGATTTTAACTCCCTTTATAGTAATACCAGTTTGTTCAACAGGAAATTTTCTTGGTCTACCTCTTCTATCTTTTTTTTTCAAAAGTTGTTGAAATTCAGCATCATTTACATTAGTTACAGAAGTTGGATGATTTTTGGAATTAGTTGTATTGGTGGTGGTAGTAGCAGAATTATTAGTAATATTAGTTGGCTCAATAGTACTTCCCACATTATTATCTCTTATTATTTTATTTAAATGTTTAAAATTTGGATGAGTTGAATCAATCATTTTATTAGTTGATGGATCTAATATAAATTTTTTTGGACGACCTCTTCTTTTTTTACCATTTGAATCAGTTATTGAAGTTTCTTTTACAATTGGACTAATATTTGATTTGGCTGCTGATGATGTTGATGATTGAGGATTTTGTTGTTCTTGTTGTAATCTGATTTTTTCTTTTTCTAATAATAATCTTCTTTTCTCTTCCATTTCCTTTTTAGTGGCTCTTGGTTTTCTTGGTTTTTTTATTGGTTGATCAGATTTAGGAGCTTCTGGTTTTGCTGGTTGTTGAGTAATTTGTGGTGAGCTCTTGGGTTGTTGTGACTGCTGTTGTGGTTGTTGCTGTTGTGGTTGTTGTTGATGAGTGAGGTTATGTTGTTGTGGAGTAGTAGAATAACTATGTTGTTGTGGAGTCTGTTGTTGTGGAGTATGTTGTTGATGATGGTGCTGTTGTTGCTGCTGTTGTTGTCGATGTTGCTGCTGTTGTTGGAGATGTTGTTGTTGTAATTGTTGATAATATTGAGGATAATGTTGAGCTTGAGTTTGCTGAGTTTGTTGAGTTTGTTGAGTTGTAAATTTTTGTAATTGTTTAGGATCTAATTGTTGTGGATGATCATTACCATTACCAGTATTATGTAATTGATTATTATAAATTTGAGGAGTTGAATTATGAGATTGATGATTTGAAGTTGGGTTATAATAAAGATTTGGATTTAATTGTTGTTGTTGATTTAATTGATTATGATTATGATTCCCTAATTGATAATTTGATGTATGAGTGGTTAGCCCACTAATTGATTGAATACCATAGTTTGAACGTGGAGGTATTTGAACATTTGAATGACTTAATGGAGGCACACCTCTTGAATTTGAAGAATTTGATGAAGTTTGAGATGATGTTGAACCAGTTAAATTTCTACCAAAATAAGAAGCAGGATTTGAGGGAGTATTTAAATATAATGGTTGTTGTTGTTGTTGCAGCTGTTGTTGTTGTTGTTGTCTATTATTAGGTGATTGTTGAGATGTCTGTTGTTGATTATTTGTATTAATATTATTTGAATATCCTGAATAAGGATACATATTATTGTACATTTTTAAGGGATGAAAATTGATTAATAATATGCCCTACTCTTCGTAATTACACTTTTATCCCTCTGTAGATATTTTAACTAATTGACTGATTGATATGAAATGGTTGATTGATTGATTCAGCTTGATTAACTACTAAATAAAATAAATAATATAAAATTTATAAATAAAAAAAATAAAAAAAATAAAATTTTTATGTTAAAATTTTTTTTATTTAAAAAAACTATAAACAAATAATAAAAATATTATATGTAATTGTGTAACAAAAAAAGATCATATTTAGAGATGTGTTATATGTTTCAGAGTAAAGAAGAGGAAAAACAACTCACAAACCTAAATCTCTTAAGCTTACGACCGCAGTGCTAAGCATAAACTTCCCAACAACCAATCAAAACTCCTCAAATTAAAAGTAGAACATCATTTTTTTTTTTATTGAAGAAATAAAAAAATTAAAAAAAAAAAAAATAGAAAATCGTAAATTAAAAAAATAATTATTATTTTAGACAGCTACCAGTTGACCATTAGGGTAATTTAATTATACTGCCGTTAAGTATGTAGAGAATTAGCTATCACTGTAGAGTTTTCAAAACTATTTCGTTAAGTTGTCTATAAAATTACTAATATATACTTACATACCACATCAATTGGTTATTTTCAATTTATTAGTTGGAATTTGAGATATTAAAATTTCTTCAAAATTTGAAACAAATTGTTTCGAATCTAATAATTGATCATTGAATTTAATTTTAAACAGTATTAAAACATTTGATGAACCAATTTCAAGATATTGAGTGGAAATCTCATTTTTTATTGAATTATTAACTAATATTTCATCAAATTCATCAACCACTATTTGTTTTGTTCTTGGTGGTTGTTGATTATAAAATTTAAATTTAATATCACTTATTTCAAATCTATTTTTTGTAACTGATGGAGTTATTAATTCTTCAAATATATCATAATTATCATATATTGATGAAGCAGTTGGAGAATTTGCAAATTGTGGGAATTTTGAAGAATAAGTTTGTTGAATTGATGATTTTATTATATTTTTAAATGAATTTTTGAAATTTTGAGGTGATATATCATCTGATATTGTAGAAGTTAATTCAACATTAAGTATATTTTTTGGTTTAGGTTTTTCTTGTGGTTTTGTTGTAGGTGTATCTTTTGATCCTGTCTTGGTATCTGTTTTTGCAATTGTTATATTTGATAAATCTAAATGTTCTCTTGATTTTATAAATTTTGCAATATTTACAACACTATCTGTGTTTATTGTTCCTAAATATGCTAATACATCCCCTTTTAATATTCTTCCTGATGGTCCAGTTGCTTGAATTTTATTTAATGCATCTTCTTTTGAAATATGATTTTCATGTAATAATAATTCAACTGATGGTGAAAATTTTTGATTTGGATTTGCTTTTTGAAGTATTGATGAGGAGTCAGTTGGTTTTGATTCAGATTTTTTTGTTTCCTTCTTTGGCTCCTTCTTAGGCTCTTCCTTTTTTGTTTCTTTCTTTGGCTCTTCTTTCTTTGGTTCCTCTTTCTTTGGCTCTTCTTTCGATTCTTCAACTTTTGGCTTTTCCAAACTATTCAAATCATCATCAACTTCAGCTAAAAATGCAATTGGTTTACCAACAGGTATACCACTAGCTCCATCTTGTTCTAGAATTTCCCAAATTTTACCATCATCTGCAGCTTCAACATCAATACTAGCTTTATCAGTTTCAACTTCTAATAAAACATCACCAGAATTAAATGAGTCACCAGGTTTTAATTTCCATGATATAATTTTACCTTCTGTCATTGTTGGCGACATTGCAGGCATTTTAAAAATTGATGCTTCATTATTTATTGATGAATTTGAAAAGTATTGTTTACTTGCTAATTTGGGTATACATTTTAATGATGATGAATTTTTGAGTAGTGATGATACTCTGAGCATTATGCAAGGGATATATAAATGGAATAGATAATGGTCTGAGCCAATTTGGTCAGGTGGTTTTTCAATCAGACGTAATGTATACTTTATTAGAGGAATTTAATTACCGAATTGATTGCAGTTCAAGGAAGATGATGGGCCGTGTCTTAAAAACAATGTTCAGTCATTGTCATTGTCATTGCGTAGAACAATCGCGCGTTTAATAGGATATCAAAATTTTCATCTTACCGGAAAATGTAGGAGCAATGTACTTTACCCCATATCATAATAATAATAACAAGAAATAAAAATTATATCATTCAAATTATACAACTCATTTGTTTAAAATATTTCTTTCTTCAAATCATCGAGTTTTATTTATTCATTCGTTAGTATCATCATAATTTACGTTCAGGAGTACTTTCACATTTAAGACCACCTTAGCCACAGAGATTTTCAGTTCAATTTTAATACAACATAATCATTAGCAAAGCTGTTTTACATATTTCCGTACAAGACACTTTTAACGTAACATCATTTCCAGCATTATTACAAAGTCTCACTGAAGTTTTATCAAAGTCAATCTCAAGCTCCCAGTTATTAACAAGCCTACTACAAACTCCACTCAAGTTTTACTCACACTTAAGTCTCGAACTAATTTTAAACACGAAAAAAAATAGTGACAATAATTTAGACAATTATTTACGTACATATCAACTAACCACTATAATTATCATCATACACATATTTCTTCACAATGTCTATACGGATCAACATACGATGTATTTTCTCCAAACTTAAAAAATATTCAAAATTCATTGGCCCCGGTTTAATGGTATCTGTTGCATTTCTAGATCCAGGAAATTATTCAACAGCAGTATCAGCAGGATCAGCATATAAATATAATCTTTTATTTTCAATATTATTATCAAATTGTTTAGCAATATTTTTACAAACATTAGCAGCAAAATTAGGTGCAGTAACAGGATTAGATTTAGCAGCAAATTGTAAAGAAAAATTTTCATATAAATTTAATATACTACTATATATAATGACAGAAATTGCAATTATAGCAACTGATTTAGCTGAAGTTGTTGGAACTGCTATAGCATTAAATATATTATTTAAAATTCCATTATTTTTAGGAGTTATTGTTACTGTAATAGATGTATTAATAGTATTAGCTGCATATAGACCAAAAGGTCCATTATTATTTATAAGAATTTTTGAATCATTTGTATCAATATTAGTTGCTGCAACGGTTGTATGTTTTGGTATACAATTATATCAAGTAAGTCATGATAAATCAATAAATTTTTCAACTTTAGAAGTTTTAAAAGGTTTTTTACCAAATGAAGACGTTATAAATATGTCAGAAAGAGAAGGAGGAAATGGATTATATTTAAGTTTAGCAATATTAGGAGCTACTGTTATGCCTCATTCATTATATTTAGGTTCAGGATTAGTTCAATCTAGGTTGAAAGATTTTGATATTAAAAATGGTCATTATATTCCATGGAATAAGGATAATAGCTCCATACAGGATAGTGAATTTACAATAACTGATGATGCATCACCAGAAAAAGATGGAGATGAAGATACTTTAGATGAAGATGATTATAGACCTTCAATTCATGCAATAAAAGATACAATGAGTTATACCATAATTGAATTAGTAATATCATTATTTACAGTTGCATTATTTGTTAATTCTGCAATTTTAATAGTAGCTGGTGCTACTCTAAATAGTTCTAAAATGAATTCAAGAGATGATGGTAATGAATCAGATTATGATTCAGATAAAGATGATGATTATGAAAATGCAGATTTATTTACAATTTATCATTTATTATCAAAACATTTATCACCAACTGCTGGATTTGTATTTGCTTTAGCTTTATTATGTTCTGGTCAAAGTGCAGGAGTTGTTTGTACATTAGCTGGTCAAATGGTTAGTGAAGGATTTTTAAATTGGAGTTTACCACCAGTTACAAGAAGATTAATTACAAGAGGTTTAGCTATTGCTCCATGTTTATTTGTTGTTACTTTCGCTGGTAGAGAGGGATTAGCAAAAACATTAAATGCAAGTCAAGTTGTTTTATCTTTGTTGTTACCTATAGTAAGTGCTCCATTAATTTATTTTACATGTAATAAACAAACTATGAGAGTACCTATATTAGTAAGAGATGGTGATGAAGAAATTGATATATTATATGATGAAGAAAATGAAGAATTACCAAAAAAGAGATTCGCCAGTAGTGAGCCAGCTATTAGGCTACAAGATTTAAGAAATTCTCATCCATGTGCAGGATGGGAAGAAGATGAAGAAGAATATCCACAAAATAATTTGCATGAAGAAAATAGAAGACTAATAGCAGATATATATTCCAAACCAAAAAGTATAATAAAAAGTAGATCAAATTCAATAACTCAAATAACAAATGAATTATCTGGAAATTCAAGTCAATCATCATCATCAAATCAATCACCAATTATAAATAATTTAGATAATGATAATTATAGAATAAAAGGTTATAAAGATTTTAGTAATAGTCCATTAACTTCAATATGTGCAATTTTAATATGGAGTTTTATAACAATTTTAAATTTATATTTAGTTTTTAGTATGTCAATTGATTTTTAGGAAAAGTTGAAGGTTAAGGTAATATACAATTTCGATAATTAATATATCTCTGGCCAATGTTTTAGACAAATTCGTATCTCTAATCTAGTAAACTCAAGTTTAGTGTATGTATGCAGTCTTAAAAATTAAAATTTAAGGGATAAAACTTTATCACATTAGTGATCAAATTATTTATACATCCACATCATCAAAACCTCACTGAATATACCAACACAGCTTGAGATTATAATGGATATCCCTAATTATTTGAATAATTGCCAACTAATGGGCATGCCAGCTTTTTATACACCAGAACCTTGTAAACTTTCGTCAGTCTTTAATTATTCCTTATGGCACAAATATATGATGGATATGATTAGTGAAATTAAAGGTATGAAAGAGTATTTGGAAGATCCATCTGAAACCATTGATCCTTTTTTAGACGCATGGCTGGATCGTATGCTTAGACAAAGTGTTAAAGAAGAAGTTTTAAAATTCTTTATGGGGATTGATCATTTCGGCAAATCCCTTTACAAAGCAATCAAGGAGGAGTATGGAGAAATGTCAGATGCCAACAAAATTGATTTTGTATTCATGACGATTGACTCTTTAAAGGATGAAAATTTGAGTCTAGAGAACAGGAAAGATATTCATAATCGATTGAGATCTTTCTATGAAACCTTGAGCGAGAAAGAAGTACTGGCGTTAAAAACTTTAGAATGGATGTACTGGGCCGGAGAAGAAATTGCTAAAAGATACAGAAATTCGGAAAACCCGGTGTTAGATATTAAGCGTATAGATAATTATATCAAACGTTTTGCTGATCGCTCGCCAAAATCAAATCGACTGATTGAGATTACTCCAGGATTAGCCAGTCTTAATCAATACCTTGAAGAATTAATTCGGTTGGATCAAAATCCAGATGGATCTGTACCGGGTACCTCGCGTGTTTGGACCATTCAATGTTACAATTGTTATGGTTTAGGACACACCCAAACTAAATGCTCAAGTCCACGTAGAGATGGTCCCATCCCCGACCTCGAGAAAAAAATGGAAAGAGCTTTGATGCTAAACGGTGATATTTCAAGTAGGAAGAGAAGAAGATAGATGCAAGAAAAACTGTCGAACCGATAGGATTTGAGAATTTTGCAATATACAATCTCACAATTGTTCAAAATCTGTCGAATCTGATTTAGCCTGACTGGTCTAGTTAGATGATGAAATATTCTATTAGATTTTGAAGCAACCATCCCCGAATTGTTTAAAACGTGAAAATTTTTGGTAAAGCACATACATTTCCGTTGCGTTAGTATGATATTAGTTAAATGGCCTATTGATAAATTGACTTGTCTATATGAAGATCTTCAACTTACTTTGATTTTACAAATATTATCTTACTGTAGTATTAACTGAAAAAATAGATTTTTAAGATAGCATTTTTATAATGAGTATTGTTTTATGCATTGCTCTAGTGTGACTATTAATCACAATCATTACGTTATCAACGTTTTTATCGAAATTTGTCCACATTGATTGAGTTTCGAAAAGGTAGATTTGAAACCAATCTGGATATTACACAAAATCAGGACGCGATATAAACTTATTTGTGCTATGTCATTCTCCACAGGATCATCCACGTCTGACATCACACGTCTCATCACACAAGCATGAAACGACGGTTATCAAATTCATCTAACTCACCAAGTCCATCAAAAAGCCCCAGTCCCATTACAGAGTCTTGGTCACCTTTTTTCCAAAGACTAATCAAAATTTTTCATGAAATAAATACACATTTAACTTTTTTATCATCACATTCAAAAAGTGTTATACCATCAATACAATTAATTCAAAAATTAAATAATTCAATAACAGAAACTGATTTAGCAGTTATAAAATTCCTATTTCCTGAAGATGAAATATTATTTGATTATTTTGATGAAAATCAAGTAATGGTTGCTTTATTAGAAGAAGTTTCAACTGGTAAAAAGGGATATGATCAAAAATTAATGGCTGAAAAATATGATATTGATGATGATAATGAAGAACCAAAAACAAGTAAACAAATTCTTATATTTGATTTTCAAGATGTTAAAATTCATGGAATTGGTAAAATTGTTAAAGGTAGGAAAAAATTAAGAAAACAAAGACACGTTGAATATGATACATCACGTCGTCAAAGCTTTTTTTTAAATGATACAAAAAGTCTTTTGGTTCCGATTGAACAAGTGAACCTTACGAAAATGATTCAAGGTAGAGATAGTAGATTTAAAAAATATTTAGATAGTTTTATTAAATTACATGGAGAGGATGCGGAGGATATAATTGTGAAAAAAGCATTACCATTAATACCAGAACCCCCAAATCTTGATGATATTGTTGAAATATTAGAAGGAAAAGAGAACACAATTGAAGAAAAGAATCTAATAACTACCGATGATATGATTAACGCGTTAAAAAACTCAAGCTCATACTCCGACCAAATTTCATCCATCCATCAACTAAATTATGAATCACCTGCAAAATATCTAGATCCACCTGAATTTCATCCTGAATTAGAAGAACTCATTTTCAACAATGTTGATTCATTATACACTCATCAATCAGAAGCATTACATTCTTTATTAAATGATGGTGATAATTCTCATGTAATAGTTAGTACACTGACAGCATCTGGAAAATCTTTTATTTATCAAATACCAGTATTAAATTCAATATTATGGGATATTACAAATGGATTAAAAGGAAGAAATACAACTGCATTATTTATTTTCCCAACAAAGGCATTAGCACAAGATCAAATACGACATTTTCAAAAATTTTTAAATCAATTACCAAGTAATAGTAGACGACCGATTATTATAAATACTTATGATGGAGATACACCATTTGCAGAAAGGAAAAAAATTCTGACTGAATCTGATATTTTATTTACAAATCCAGATACAATTCATGCTTCAATATTACCAAATAATAAATTTGATTCTTGGTTAGATTTTACAAAAGCTTTGAAATATGTTGTTGTAGATGAATTACATATTTATAAGGGAACTTTTGGAATTAATGTTGGATATGTAATGGCAAGATTACAAAGAATAAAAAATAAATTTGATACGAAAATTAAGTTTATATCATGTTCAGCTACCATAGGAAATCCCGTAAATCATTTTAGAACAATTTGTTCAATACCAAAAGAAGATAAAGTAATTCATGTTTCAAATGATGGAAGTGCAAGATGTGAAAAAAAATTAATAATATGGAATCCACCTGTTTTAATGAATCAACGTGGTGAAAAAGGTCCCGCTGATTCAAGTAGTAATTTAATTCCAAGAGTAGGGATGATGTATGAACTGGCAAAATTACTCCTTACTTTGTTAACTGAATTAAAAGGTATAAAAGTTATCGTCTTTTGCCCCATTAGAGTTGTTGTTGAATCTGTAATGAGAGAAGTTAGACACTTACTACAAAATTCATTTTCAAAATCTGGAATTAATCAAAGTGAAATAATGGCTTATAGAGGTGGATATAGTAAATCTGATCGTCGTATTATTGAAAAAAAAATGTTTGGTGGTCAATTAAGAGCAATTGTTGCAACAAATGCATTAGAATTAGGTATTGATTTATCTGATTTAGATGTTGTTATTACTTGTGGTTTCCCTATGCTGAAATCAAATTTACATCAACAATTTGGTAGAGCTGGTAGAGGTAAAAATGCAAAGGGAAGTCTTGCTATATATGTTGTTGGTAAATCACCAGTTGATCAATATTATTTAGAAAATTCTGAAGAATTAGTACATAATACCTATGAAGATTTATGTGTTGATGGATTAAGAGATATGGAACATGGACTGTTATTATTAGAAAGACATTTACAATGTGCTGCATATGAAGATCCTATACATTTAGAAGAAGATTATCGATGGTTTTCTCATGGAAGAAGTTTTAAAGAATTTGAAAAAATATTGAATGAACATTTAATTAAAGATGTTGGTGATAGGTATATTACACATACTAAATATATGCCAAAACCTACTAAGTTGGTTCCCATCAGAGCAATTGATGATACAACTGTAGCAGTAGTTGATATTACAAATGGTAGAAATGTAATTATTGAAGAAGTAGAATGGGCAAGAACTTTTTTCACTATATATGAAGGTGGTATCTTCCTCCATCAAGGTCAATCATATTTAGTTAAAGAATTTAATTTTGATCAAAAATATGCAAAAGTTGAAAGAGTTAATGTAGATTGGACTACTTCACAAAGAGATTATACTGATGTTGATCCTGAAGAAGTTGAATTAGTTAAACCATTAGCTACTAAAGCTATTGATTTACCTGTATTTTTTGGAGCTATTAAAATAGTTAATCATGTTTTTGGATTTTTTAAAGTTAATAGAAAAGAAGAAATTTTAGAAGTTGTTGAAGTTGATAATCCTCCAATTGTATCATTTGCAAAAGGTGTATGGTTAAATGTACCTAAATTAGCTATTGATATTATAAAATCTAAGAAGTTATCAGCAGCTGGTGGAATTCATGCAGCAGAGCATGCAATAATGAATATGTTACCAATTTATATAAACACATCAAAAGCTAACACGAACATGGCAGATTTTGAAATGGGAACAGAATGTAAAGCACCTCAAAAGGAATTTAAATCAACAGAATCAACAAGAAAAAGACCTGCAAGATTAATATTCTACGATACAAAGGGAAATAGAAGTGGATCAGGTTATTCCTACAAAACCTTTGAATGTATTGATGAATTATTACAAACAACTTTTGATAGAATTAGAACATGTCAATGTAATTGGGGTTGTCCATTATGTATAATTGGTAATACATGTCGTGAACAACTGATTGTTATGTCTAGACCAGCTTCACTTTTAGTTCTTGGATCATTTTTAGGTATTGATTTAATTGAATTAGCTAATGAATTACCAGATGGTCCAGAACCTGGTATTCCAGCAATGCTTCATAATACAATTGCATATGATACAACATCTGTTAGATTTTCACCAAATGTTAAAATTTTAAATTTAGCTTAACAGTTCTTTTGCAATGTTGGCCCCCATATTAATTCTTTTGGTTTTGCAGTTCTAAATACATTTGAAACAGGTTTTAAATAAATAGAAGCTAATGATCCAAAATTTAATTCTAATTCTTCTAAAATTTTAGGATTTACACTATCATTTTCTGATGTTATACTTGGATCAATATTAAATACAATGTCTTTTGTATTTTTTTGAAATTCATTGTTGAAAGTACTTTGTTCAGAAGATAATAATCTCCAATATATATATCCACGATCTCTGACATCTGGATTTCCTGTTTCTTCAGTTGCCCATTTTAAAACATCCAATAACATTTCTTCACCTTCTATAGGATGTTTAAGATATAATTTTGTAGTTGCAGTTAACATTGCTAATTGAACCTCCACAGGATCTTCTTTATATGAAAATTGTACCAAGTACTTTTTCGGATCTTTACTGTATTGTCCAATCATCCATATCATAGCTGCTTTTGCATCTGGTTCATCAAATAAATGACAAAATTTAGTTAATTCATCTATTGCATATTCATAACGTCCAGGATATCTTCTCAAAACATTTTTCAAAACTACTGCTGCTTCTTGAACAATATATGTAACACCAGTTGATATTAAATCACATAAAACTTCAACACATCTTTCAGCTGCATTTTCTAATTTTACAGCTAAATTTCCAAATGCTCTTATTGCTTTTCTTGCCATTGAAACATCAACTTCTGTAGCATATTCTTCTAATTCATCTAAAACAGATTCTATATTTGATTCATTTGCTAATAAATAAATTATTTCTAATTTTGTATCTTTTACATAAATTGGATCATCAAATCTACAATAAAAAATTTCAATATCAAATGAAACAAAATTTTTACCTAATAATAATAATATAACATTTCTTAACACTAGAAATTGAGTTTCTGAAGGTTTTGTTAATAATGAATTTAATGATGATCCTATTCTTTTTGGTAATATTGGTAAATGTAATTCTGGATTTTTTGCATAATTACAGTAATAAATTATTAATTTTATTGTATTTAATACAACTGATGAATTTTCATGTTGTAATGAAGGTAAAACAGATTCAATTAAATCTAATGCTTCATTTTCACTTTGAGGAACATATGACATTAAAGCATTTAATATATACACTTGTTGCCATTCATTTGCATTTTTCAATAATGCTATTAATTTTTTTGAATGATTTTTATCAATTGTTAAATTCAATTTTTTACTTCTTTCAGTTATACAACTTAAAGCAGCTAATGCTTCTGCTACAACCATTGAATCATTATCATATAATAGTTCATTTAACTCTTCAATTAAATTTGTTTTCTCACCAATATTTTGACATAATCTTGCAATTGAAAATGCTGCAGTTCTTCTAACATAAGAATCTTTGTCATGTAACAGTCGTTGGATTGAACTCAAACTTAATTCGATAAAATCAGGTATATTTATTGATGTCATTGTTTTTATTGCAAGAGCTCTTAGTATTGGTGAAGATTCATCTTTAAATCGTTTCAAGAATGGTAATGCTTCAAGGGAATCCTTTGTTAATGATGCGTATGTAATAAGATATTCACAACATAACTTCCGTATTTCTATATCATCAAGTTTCATTAATGGTATTATATCATTCATTAGATTTACGATTTCATTATTATTTAACATTAAATTTGCAAGTACTTTCCTTAACACTATCTTTATTCTATTTATAGGTTTCCCCTTTTTGAAAGCTTGTTCGATTTCTGCTTTTATCTCATTACTTTTGCATTTTGTGAACAATTTAGAACTCATTGGTTGAAACTTCTATAGTGTTTGCGGACTTGTTGTAAATTTTCGGTTATATATTTTTTACAACCAGATTGTGTTATTTTTAATCAATTACTTATACTTTCTTATCTATTTAATGAATATACGTCCAGCTACTCATGCTGGTTCGTGGTACAGCAATGATCCAAAATTACTCAAGAATCAAATTCAAAACTATGTTACACCAAAACCAATTAAGGGGGCAAGAGTTTTAATAGGACCTCATGCTGGATACACTTATTCAGGTGAAAGATTAGCTGAAACTTTCGGAGTTTGGGATTCTACAAAAGCTAAAAGAATATTTTTATTAGGACCTTCACATCATGTTTATTTTAAAAATAATGTTTTACTTTCACCTTTTGATGCTTATGAAACACCATTTGGAAATTTACCAGTTGACACCGCCACAATTAAAGAATTATTAAAAAATAAATTGTTCAAAAAGATGTCTGAAGAAGTAGATGAAGATGAACATTCATTTGAAATGCATGCTCCTTTTATATATCATTATGCTGAAAAATCAAAAGATTTACCAAAAATAATACCAATATTAATTAGTGGATTAGACCTGAATTCACAAAAACATTTAGTAGATGCATTATCTCCTTATATAGGGAATGAAGAAAATCATTTTGTTATAAGTTCTGATTTTTGTCATTGGGGTTCAAGATTTGGTTATACAAAAGTTTTATCAAATAAAAATGCTACATTTGATACATTGGAACAAAATTTAGTTTCCATAAATCAAAAACCAAAAGAGTTTGAAATTTATAAATCAATTGAATTATTAGATAAAATTGCACTTAAAATAGCTACTAAAGGATCTTCTAAAAAATGGATAGAATATATTAATACAACTGGTAATACAATTTGCGGGCAAAAACCAGTTTCAATTATATTACAACTTTTAGAAAAATATGGTTCAAAAGAAGGGTTTAACTGGATTGGATATTCACAAAGTAATCATGCAACAAGTTCAAGAGATAGTAGTGTTTCATATGCCTCAGGATATGTTAAATTATGATTAAATAACATTTTATATTGACTATAAAGTATAAATAAAGTCTATATTTGAATATAGTAGTTCTATTTTGTAATTTCTAAAGTCCAATCACTAACCATTAATGTTTCACTACCTGCTGTATAATATGAAGTAGCATAATAAGTTCCTCTCATTAACCAACCACCTGGAGTTTCATCTTCTGGAAAATCAACTGAACGAATTTCTTCACTTGGTTCATAAGATCCTAATTTAACTTCTCTTGTTCTTATAGTTACACCACCTTTTTTAACAATTTGTTTATAATTTAAATCTTCTAATTTTCTATTTTTAACTTTAAAATTTAATTTAATATAATATTTAACTCCACCTGGTACAGCTATATGAATTTCATCTTGACCATCAACTGGAATAATTTGAGGTTCATCTTTACCTTCAATATATAAGTCAAAACTGACAATAATTAAATCTGGATGTGTTTGAAGAGGCATTGTTGATTTTTAAGTGGATATTTGATAAATTATTATGAAAATGAATTGAGAATTCTTGAAAACGTCTATAGTAAATCTAATTTATTGTCCTATTTCGAGTTGGTGGAACAAGTAAATAAATTTGGAATTATGAATTGTGAAATCATTTTATTTGAATTTATATTCTGTATTTATAATTCAATAAATAATTATGTAAATATGTTACTATTTTGAACAATAATAATTATTCTACATTGTGTGATTTTCTACTAAAGAAATACTCCGTCATTTTCTCATGCAATAATTTTTCAATATCGTAATTTCAAGCTTTTAAAATTTCTTAAAAATAATCTTTATTAAAGTAAAACGGTTTCGGTTAATAAATTTATTTCTTAAATAGACAATCCTAAATAGTTCTTACGCAATGAAATATAACCGATACTATCAAACATGAAGTTTAAATTAAAATCAACGATTTAATCATTGAAAAATTGATGATAAGTATCAAAAGATACTGAATTTCTGTATACTTCATTCCGATTAATAGTACGTTACGGTAATTTCAATTTGTAATTTAACCGAATTGTGGGGGAAAAATGGTTTAATTAATTATTGTGTTACTTTTAATGAAAGTTATACAGAGATAAAAAGAAAAAACAGCAATAAAAACAAGACCATTAGACTGAATAATATAGACAAGATAAAGTAAATAAGATTTATTTTGAAACGAAACTATGAACTTATACTTGTAATTTTCCTCTAAAAATGTCTTACTTCATTTATTCTTCAATTTTATGACATAATTCACTAAATTCTTTAACTTCTTCTTCTAAAATTTCTTTTAATTTTGGTATTTTACTTGGTTCTTCAAAACTAAAATCAAATATTGTTTTTGAATTTGGTTCTTCACCATTTTTAACATATTTAAAAAATTCTTGATTTAAAATTTCATCAACTTCAAATCTTTTTTTATAATCCCATTGTAATAAATTATCAATTAAATTTATAGCTTCTATTGGAGCAAATGGATATAAATTTGACCATTTTATTGGTTTATATTTACACCAAAGTATTCCTTCAATTTTCCAATTATATTTTTTAATTGTTTCATTTGATGGACTACCTAATACTTTAACAATTTCAAATATTTGTTCATTCAGATTTTTACCTGGAAAAATTGGTCTTCTACCAAATAATTCACCTAATATACATCCTATTGCCCATATATCTACTGCTTTTGAATAATTTTTAGATGATAATATTAATTCAGGTGCTCTATACCATCTTGTTGCAACATAATTTGTTATAGTTGCAACTCTATTTTTAAAAAATTTTGGATTTATACCTCTTGCTAAACCAAAATCACAAATTTTTAATATACCTTGAGTTGTAACTAATATATTTCCAGGTTTTAAATCTCTATGTACAACATCTGCTGAATGAATATATTTTAATCCACATAATATTTGATACATAAAATTTTGTATATGAAATTCTGATAATTGAACATTTGAATATAAAACTCTTGCTAAATCTAAATCAGCTAATTCTTGAAAACAATAAAGTCCATCATATGGTTTAACGTAAACAACATCTGAATCTAATAAAGTAGCAATCTGGAGAATTGTTAGTATTTGTTGCAAATTATAGATTACTTAATTTCACATACATTTCTATGCCCTTTAAAAAATTTCATAAACTTTAACTCTCTTATGGCCCTTACTAATAATATATCTTTTGTAAAAATCTTTGTTACTTTCTTTATAGCTATTTTATGTTCTAATCCAGTACTTAAACTTTTAGTATCAATTGCAGAACAAACAACTCCATATGACCCCTTACCTAAAATTCGTACAATTTCATACCTTGAATCAACTAAAAAATAATTTTCTTTATCAGTATAAGTTGAACATGATTCAAAATAACCATTTCTTCCTCTAAGTGAAGCCATTGTTTAAAAAGAGTGTGAGTTGTATTTGGATCTATTGTTTGGTATGTTAGATTTTTTTGCAGCTAAAATACAACCAAAACTGTTTTGCAGCAATTAAATTTTTTGCTTTCAATTAGCGCAAAATTGATACAAACATATCTAAATCTATGTGGAAAGTAAGATCAAGATCTATTATGAGTATGCAAGATGCAAATTTGGTGAATTTATAAAAGATGGTTGTAAAATAAACTCACCTCCTTACAGCAATATAAACTTTCAGGTGTGTGGTAGCACACAATAGATTAGATTTCAAATCGATCTGTCACAACTTACTAAACAGGTTTCTTATAGTACTCCATCAAATGTTGAAGTCAGAACTAGAAGTCATTCAACTGAAATTATTGACAAAATTGATAAATGTATCAACTACAAATAAGCAAATAAATGAGATACTAGCCACCTTACTTGAACAACTCAACTATCAATTAAATTTATATGACAAATTAGGTTATTGTGATTATGATGTTGCATATGCAATATCAAACTTGGTAATAAATTACTTTAGTCAAATTAAGCAGAAAATAAAAACTCAAAGTACTGCTTTATTTTATGAATTCCAAAGAGTTGTTGATCAAAAAGCCGAATTGGGTCTTAAATTAAAGCACATAAATAAAGGATTTCAAGAACAAATATCGCCACAAGAATTACAAAAGTTAAAGAATGTATTAATCATCGATTATAGACCTAAAAATTTGTATCAAAAGAGTCATATAAAAAATTCAGTCAACTTGGATCCAGTAATAGTCATAGACGTTCAAAATGATGAAGAATTAGAAGATAAAATTCAAAATACAATAACTTACAAACAATTTCAAAAATTTCAAGAAAGACATAAATTCGATAATGTAGTAATATATGATCAAGAATCAGGTGATGGAAGATTTAATGATATACCTGGGAAAAATCCATTTAATCGACTAATAGATTTATTAATGTTTCAAAATAAATATCTTAGTTCACGACTAAAAAAAGTACCAAGTTACTTAACGGGAGGCTTTGAAAGTTGGAAGGCACAAGGATTGGAGACAATCACAGGAGCTGAAGAGGAAAAAATACTAAGATCAGATGACAGCTCATTTACAAATCTACTCAGCAATGGCTCATACCTGAATGGTAAAAGTCAAAATGAGAATCAGTTAAATCTGCAAGAATCATTACAATTTAGTTACAATTCTCCAAAGTCATCACCTCAAATCTCCCAAGCACCACTTTTACCAACCAAAATCAACCCCAAACCACGACCTCATCCTCAACCGCAACCACAAACTCAGCTTACGAAAATAACTCCTACCACCGTTTCAACAAATAAATTTTCAACAAATTCGGCTCCAAAAACACCTCAATTTACAACTGGTTTGGTTAACTTGGGAAATTCATGTTATATGAACTGCATGATTCAATGTTTAGTTTCAACTCCATTAACTCCATTTTTTTTCACTCCATTCAAACAACACATCAATTATGATAACATCTTAGGAACAAAAGGACGATTGACAATAGGATTTGCAGACCTTATCAACAATATGTTAAAGAATAAAAATGGAATTTATAACCCCAAAAATTTCAGAAATTTAATTGGTCAATTTTCTCAACAATTTAATTCTTGTGATCAACAAGATTGTATTGAATTTGTAAATTTTTTATTAGATGGTATACATGAAGATTTAAATCAAATGGCGAAATTAAATCCAAAAGAAAAGCAAAAAATTACAGAATTAACTCCAGAACAAGAAAAAAGTAGAGAAATTTTACCAATTAGACAAGCTTCTACAATTGAATGGGAAAGATATTTGAAATTAAATTTTTCAATTGTTGTTGATCAATTTCAAGGTCAATATTCATCACAATTAAAATGTTTAACATGTCAATTTACTTCAACTTCATATAATGCCTTTTCCATACTTTCTGTCCCAGTTCCAAATAAAGAAAAAGTGACATTACAAGATTGTATAAATGAATTTTTAACAACTGAATTATTAGATGATAATGATAAATGGTTTTGTCCTAATTGTAAAACTCATAGAAAATCAACTAAAAAAATAGCAATAACAAGATTACCTCAAGTATTAATTATAAATTTTAAAAGATTTAAAATGCAACTGACATCTATTAAAAAACTTGAAACTTGGGTAACTTATCCAGTTGATGAAATATTAGATCTAACAAAATATTGGCCAACTGATGGAATGAATGATTTAGGATCTTTACCAATTAGAAATCAAATACCACCATTTGAATATAAATTATTTGGAGTTGCAAATCATTTTGGTAGTTTAACAACTGGTCATTATACATCATATGTTAAAAAACAAGATAAACAATGGTATTATTTTGATGATACAAAAGTATCACGAGTTAATTCAAATCAAGTAATGAATAAAAATGCATATTGTTTATTCTTTCAAAGAATTTAATTTTAATTTTGGATGACTTGTAACTAAATGTTTACTTACACCAACCCAAAGCCAAGGTACTTTATCATCATAATTAATATTAACAGTTCCATGAAAATTTTCAACAAATAATCTATCATTAACAGTTATATTTGTAGTAAAATTTATAAATTCATTAAATATAGAAATTGCTGACCAAAATTGTAACTTTCTTAAACATGCAACTAATAAACTTGTAATTTGACCTCCATTTAAACAATGTATAAAAATTGGTTGATTTTTTTGATGTATTATAATATTTAAAATTTTTATAGCATTTTCATAATCTAATGGAGTGGATCTTTTTTTACCTTTACCTCCTGATGCACATTCTATATGTATTAAATTTATATTTTGCTCTTTTGACCAATTATAAAATTGTGGATCTGTTTCTAAAGTTATTGGTTCTGGTGTTAATGATATAATTGTTTTTAATTTTAATGTATTTAGGAATTTGAAATTCGGTTCTCTTGGATAAGCTCCTCTATACAAGTTTGACTGGATTGAGTTAAATCGTAGTGGTGGAATGTATGCATCAGGTATTATAGGAGTTGACATAAGGTTGTTTTAATTGAAATGTGTTAATGACATTTATTGTATCTGATTTGGTTGTAATATTTACAAACTTATATCAAAAGTGGTAGCATTTTCTAGAGTTAATAAAGTGGTTAAATTATGAATATTAATTAAAAATTATGAATTGTCTATGTACTTAATTCTATATCAATTTTGGCTTTTTACATTCTTCTACATTAGTTGCTAATACGTCCTCTATTGAACAACGTGGTGGTTGACCTTCAATTGCAGATCCACCAGCTATACCACTACTGAATTTCAAATATATTAAATCACCAATTTGACTTAGTCTTAGCAAGACTAAATCAAGATCTTCTTTTGTTAATGCTGATGATACACATAAACGAGCTCTTGCACTTACTAATGGAGTGGCTGGATAACTAACAATAACAACTGCAATACCTAATTCATACAACATTCTTGAGACTGCTGGCATTTTAGATGGTAAAAATACTAATAATGGTATAACTGGTGAATCATCAGCTCCATATACAATAAATCCTAATCTTTTCAACCCTAATCTTAAATATCTTGAGTTAAATGCAATTCTTTGTAATCTTTCTTGTCCTTCACCTGGATTTAATTCTCCCTTTATGATTTTTAATGATGATATTATTTGACCTAAAACTGGAGGCGGTACAACTTCACTATAAGATTGTGTTATATAATTTAATCTCATTTTATCTATTACTTTTTTATCAGCTGCAATATATCCACCAGTTGCACCAAATGATTTTGTTAATGTCCCCATTAAAATATCAACTCTAGCTGGATCCACCGAGAAGTAATCACATATACCTCTACCCTCTGGACCTAAAGCTCCTATAGAATGTGCTTCATCAACAAATAAATAACATTTATATTTATCTTTTAATTCAATTAATTCTGGTAAATTACACATATTTCCTTCCATAGAATATAAACCTTCAACAGCAATAATAATTTTTTTCCATGGTCTATGAGTTTTTGGTTGACCTTGTGCAATTTGGTTTCTTATAAGATTCTCCAAATCTTTCATATCATTATGTTTATAAACTTTAACACTTGCTCCTGATAATCTAATACCAAATCTTATAGATGCATGATTTAATTCATCCGATATAACTAAAGTTTTTGAGTCAGCTATTGATGCAAAAAAATTAGCATTTGTTCCATAACCTTGACTTACAATTATAGCATCTTCTTTTCCAACAAAATCAGCAACAACTCTTTCACATTCTTTATGTAAATCAGTTGTACCAGAATATGATCTTGGTGAACAACCAGAAGTTCCATAATCATCAACACATTTTAAAGCAAAATCTGTACAAACTCCACTTGATTGAGCAAAACCTAAATAATTATAAGAAGATAAATTTAAACATTCCTTTGACGTGCCATCATATAAATAACCAGTTTTACCATTCCTTATTCTATTGAAACATTTTATATATCTTCCTGGTGCTCCATGAATTGGTCTTGCAAAACAATCATCTATTCTAGTTTTCAATCTACGAACATAAAAACTTTCAAATCCATCATACCATGGTGCATAACCATCTTTTTCAACTAAATGTTTATATTCTTGAGGTTTAAAAATTTTACCAAAAAAATCTCTTATATGACCTATTATAATTAAAATTAAAAAATTCAAATAAGTTGATAATAATATTATATATGGAGGATCATCATCGATAGGTTTTGGTAATGGTTCACCAATTGGATGTTTTGAGACGTGTAAATAATCTTTTGATGTTAGTTTACCATATTCTAAATTACTCCTAACTTCAATGGGCCTATTATCTTCTGGTGCATTGGGAATGTATTTTGAATATGGCATACTATTGATTGGTTGAAGTCTCAAGTCAATGATATGCTATATTACAATTGTTATTGTTGAATTAATCTATTTTGTTGAATAGGAGTAGTTCTTGAGACTGTCAATTATTATTTACAAAGTTATGGAATTTTTTTTTTTTTTCTTTCTTTGACATTTTTCGTTTTTTTACGTTATCGTGTTTATTTAAAAAGCTATTAGCATTACAGTACTTACTAGGTTTCATATATCATATAGATGAACTACTTATATACTTAGCTGAAAAGTGGCAGTACCAGTAGTAAAATATTGTCTATTCCCAATCATCTTCCTCATCGTCATCATCATCATTTTCATTCTCTTTCTTTGTAATTTCCTCCGAACTTTTATCATTTTTACTTTCTTTTAATGTCAATTTTTCAGGCGTCTCAATTTCATGCTCGTCGTCATCATCATCCCAATCAAATTCTTCATCTTCCTTCTTTGAATGTAGCTCTTTTCTTTGTTTATCCAACTTCTGTAGTTCGGATTCATTTTTGAAATATAAGTACCAAAATTGATTATAACTTACTTCAACAGGGACTATTTCATTCATTAATTCAGTTAATGTGGTAGGATACTTTTTGAGTAACAGTTCAATTTCTTTTGTCTTTTCATCAACATTAAAAGGTTCATCTGGTTCTTCTTTCGTTATGTAGTAATTTTTGTCTGTATGTAGTTTCAATAAATCATTTTCATAACGGCTAGTACCATAATTTGCATATTGATTTAAGGATGAATTAAAAAGTACTTCTTTTTCTTTTGGTTGGTCTTGCTCAGGCGTGATTGATATGATTTGAGAAAAGAATGATGTAAATGAATTGACGTATTTACTAGCTTCTTTTTCAACACTTTCTAATTTCGAGTCTAATACATCTAATGCTTGATTAGCTTTCGTTGATATGTCTTTGATATGTAGCTTTTCCTCTAGATTTAATTCTTTTAATTGATTTTCAAATGTATTAAAATTTTCAGTTACCAATTGAATATTTTTATTATGACCAAGATTTTCTTTCATTGTGTTCAATTGCTTCACAAACTTCTGTCTTTGTTCATCCACTGTTTCTTTATTCAATAAATGTGAGTTGTCTTTCCAAAGTTGTTGGAATTTTGATTCAACAATAGTATAAGCTTTATCTATTTCGTTTTCTAAATTCTCCATAGTTTGCTCAGTTTTAGCATTCAAATCGGATTCAGTTTTAGTAACAGGAGTTGCTGCTGATGCTTCCGCAATTGGTTCAGTAACATCCATACTTGGGGTAATTGTGATGTGGGTTTATCTCTGAAAGCTATTAAGTTGAATAAGCAAAGCTCTCCAGTTTAATTTTATTAATTTTTTAATGAAGTTAACAAATTATTATTTCTTCTTAAGGGGTAATTTGTTTTCCTTATAAAATAATTATATTTACGGTTCCGCTCATGCTAAATTTCTAAATTAAAAAATATACGCGGTGGTCCATGAATCACTTTTCACTATAAAATAACCATTTGAATGCCCAAAAATCTCAAGAATTGTCTTTTGTCAATCAAAAATGCTAACTTCAAATCAACAACGTTGAAAAATGCACCATTCATATTCAAGAACAATTTGAAAAGTTTTCAAATAAATAATAACGACTCATGGCTAATAACTGGTCCATCAAAAACTTTGATGTTGAAGATCATTGCTGGGGAGTTCATATCATTTCCTGCTTTATCTAGGACTTATTCAAATATAACTGAACTATCTACTCAAATACTGTTTTTAAGTTTCAAAGATAAATCTGGTTTAGATACAGTTCACATGTCGGCGAGGTACGAATCTTACTCATACAAAGGTGTTTTAGAAATGTCTGATGATGTTAATTCTGTCTTTAATTACATTACAGGACTCAGCAATTATAATACTAAAAACAAAACTATAGATTCTGAGTATATTGAAAAATTATTGAATCTTTTTAATTTGAATCATTTACAGAAAAAATGGATTAATTCATTGAGTAACGGTCAATTAAGAAGAGCTAGAATTGCTAAAGCATTAATGACAAAACCAAAATTGTTAATCATTGATGATCCATTTTTGGGCTTAGATCCATCAAATACGGAAAAAGTAAGTGAAGCTCTACATAAAGTGAACGAGCACTTGTCTATCTCAATTGTCATTGGATTAAGAGAACAAGATGCTATTCCGAAATGGATAAAAAATACAGCATATGCGGACGAAGAAGGGATCAAGAATTACGAAGGTAGTAAAAAAGACATTAAACAAGATCGATCTGTGAGTTTGACTTTAATTGATAACAATGAGTTTAATGGTCCAAATCATATCGAATTCGCTAATGCAAAAGTTGCTTACAAGGATTTAGTGATATTTAAAGATTTTGATTGGAAAATACCAAAAGGTTCCAAATGGAGAATAATGGGTGACAATGGAACAGGCAAAACAACCTTATTGTCATTAATTACGGCTGATCATCCTCAAAGTTGGAGGTCAGTATTGAAAATAAACAACAAATTGAGGAAAACGGGAAGTGGGATTACTTTTTTTGATGTTAATAATGAAATTGGTATGTCATCTCCTGAATTACATACATTAGTTCCACAACATAAAACTATGCTAGATATTATATATAATGGGTTAGTTCCAAATATTGGGAACTCAAATTATTTATTTCAACCAAAAGTGAAGTCAAAGAACTTTGAGATATTTGATCGATTCAAAGATAGAATTGAACAGTATGGAAACACCAAATTTGTTGACTTGTCAATGACTGACCAAAAGTTAGCTTTGTTTTTAAGAGCATTGATCAAGGAACCAGAAATCTTGATTCTAGATGAAGCGTTCTCATGCATGGAAGATGAAAATGTAATGAAGAGGTGTCATAAGTTATTGTTGGAAGACAAATATAAAGATTTGACAATACTATCAATTGGACATTTGGATTGGGAAATAAATAAATATGATTATATGATAAAATTAACCGGTGATGACGATAGAAATTATGAAATTTATAAAGTAGAACATAAAATAAATTAAATAATTTATGATTGTGATGTATTAACTATTAAGTAGATGTGCTGTTCCAATTATTTTTACTTTTCCAACCATCAAAATCTATAAGTGCTTGCATGCAACCCCACTCCGTTATTTTATTCTGTAGCCACACCAAGTTGACTGGCTTGGTCAAATAATCATTACACCCTGCTGTCAATGCGTTCTTTCGATCAACAGATGAATTTGAAGATGCAGTTAAGGCAACTATGATGACAGGTGATCTGAATGTTGAGCTATCTAGTCTATCTTCTGTAGTCAAATCATCCACGGCCAATTTACTTAATTCTTTATCGTCAAAAACACCTATCTTATTTAATTTTTCCAATTGCCTAATTTCTTTCGTTGCCTCTATACCAGATTTCACAGGTAATTGGATATCCATTAATACTAAGTGAAATCCACCTTTTTTCCATTTATCTATTGCTTCTTGTCCATTTTTAGCAATTTGGTATTTTATTTTCCTTTTCCTTAAGAATGCTCCCAAGATTGCTTGGTTGATTGCATTATCTTCTACCACCAAAACTGAGATTGAAGGCAATACTTTATCCAATGCAGGATCTACAGTTTTCTCTGGTTTAGTTTCTTTTGTTATTGTTTTGATATCAGGAGGAGGTGTTGTGAGTTTTTCCTGTTGTTGATCATCAGATTTTGGATCCAACTCGGTAGAATCATTCAAGGTCTTCTTGTTATTATTGATTGAGAAATTTTTTGGTAATAAAAGTACAGCTTGTGGATTTGTATTTGCGGAAGTTATGACATTTGTTTGGGATGTTGATCTTTGTAACAGTTTTTGATTCGGTATTGATGGTGACATTGAACGATCTTTACTGCCTGCAGTGTGAGTTTTGTTCAATGGGAAATTTTTGAAGTTTGTTGTTTCGATTTGTGGAGATGGTTTTGCGTATGTTTCAAGTTGATCAGTACTATCACTATCAATTATGAGTGCATCTTTCATTTGCATGCCTTGCGGGAAATAGTTGTCTAGCATTTCCCAAACATTTTGATCTGGCTCTAGTATTAAATCTTTTGAATCTGTCAATTTGGCAGTCGGTGAAGTTGAAGGTATATTTGAATTCAGAAAATGAATTTTCAATATCAAATTAGCTGCATCATCAAATCTTCCAATTGTATTTGGATATTTATTTACAATCAAGGATTTTAAATCATCAACTATACTATCTTTTTCTGCTAAAACAGTTGTAGGGTTCCCATTGTTACCTCTTTTCACCCAAAGTCTTCGGGGTTTGTTTGAATTGTAGGATGAAGTGTCTATTTGAAGTCCATTAGATTCGTTTTTTGGGAATTTATGTTGCGGGATGTTTAATGAAGTAGTAGGTGAGCTGACAGAATGTCGCGGGAGTACTAAGGAGGGTGACTTCATTTGATAAGATTTAAAATCCAGCGTATTCATTGTTTTGGTACTGGTGTAAGTGTCAATTGATTGTTTAAGCAATAGATTTTTGTTTTGAAAGTCTTAATTTTTTTTCATTTCGTTTCATTAAATCAAAAAGATAAAGTAATTTGAAGATTTAAGCAACGAAATCAAATTTAAAACATTCAAGGTTAATAAAGACATGTCAGAGCCGGTAGAGGGAACAACAGATACAATTCCTCAACAGGTTTTACCATTAGAAGTAATAGATCGTTCAATTGGGAAAAAACTTCGAGTTTTGATGACAAGTGATAAAGAGTTTTACGGTACTCTTATAGGTTTTGATGATTATGTTAATATGGTTCTAGAAGATGTTGAGGTGATAAGTAATGACGATGATAAACAAGTGGTTAAAAAGATGTTATTAAATGGAGGTCATATTGCAATGATAGTGCCAGATCACCACTAGGAGAATACATAAACAGATGAAGTTAAGATAAGGTTTGTTTCAAAAAAGTGAATCTACCGAGTTTTTCTATTTAGTGTAATAGCTGGTCAGGTAGATTATTAATACAGGTTATTATTTATGTAAATTTTATGACTATAGTTTTATATGTAATTTGCCATTGTAAAATTACTTTGAAAGAAGCGTAAAAAATCAATTTTAGTTGCAAAATATAAATTGAAACTGTTTTACAATTTCTTTTCGCCACTAATCACAGTTACCACCAACCAACAATGCAGATAACGATTTCTTTAGAGTATAGTGGAGATATTTTGTCAATAGATGTCCCAGAGTCACTATCATTACCTGACTTTAAAGCATACTTACAAGCAGAAACAAATATTGAACCAAAAGATCAACATTTAAAATTCAATAGTAAAACATTAGATTCAGATAATAAAACTTTGCAAGAACTAGGAATTGTTAATAATGATTTGATAGTGATGAATAAAAAAGCTCAACCACGACCACAAATACAACAATCACAGCCACCTTCAAATCAAGTTCATGAACGCATTGAAATGGTAAGGCAACAAGTATTAACAGATCCTCAAGCTTTAAATAATATGAGAATGGCACAACCAAGTTTATATAATGCCGTAAATGATCCTATACAATTTCGAAATTTAATGGTTGAACAAGTAAAAGAGGAACAAAGAGAAACATCTTCAAATCAACAAGAATTATTAAGATTACAACAAGATCCAGATAACCCTGAAAATCAAAAACGTATTTTGGAGCTAATACAACAAGAAGCAATTGAGGAAAATATGAAACTTGCTTGGGATATTAGTCCTGAAAGTTTTACAAGTGTTAATATGCTTCATTTGAAATTAAAAATTAACGGGGTAGAGCAAATTGCAATGGTTGATTCTGGAGCTGCAATGACAACAATCAGTTCAGAAATTGCAGAAAAATGTGGAATATCAAGATTGGTAGATAAAAGGTTTCAAGGTCAAGCTGTTGGGGTAGGAACTCAAAATATTGGCGGTAAAATTCATAGTGTACCTATCGAAATAGCTGGAGTTGAATTACCTTGTTCCTTTTATATAGTTGATACATCAGTGGGAATATTATTTGGTTTGGATATGTTAAGAAGGCATCGATGTGTTATAGATTTAACGAAAGATACATTATTAATTGGTGGTCATATTGAAGCAAAATTCTTAACTGAATCTGAAATGCCTAGAAATTCTTTAGGGGGTAATATTTTCTCTAGAGAAGCTTGAACTAGAGTTAGCTGAATAATATACGATGTAATTTATTATTATTAATTATTTGATTTCTATTCTTCGGCTACGACACCTTCATCTCTCTTCTTAACTTGTAAAGTATTTCCTGTAATACGAAAGTAAATATCTTTTACATCATCTGTAGTTGACTCAAAATGGGACGAGGCATCATAACTCTTTGATAGATAGATCCCATTTTTAGTTCCATCATTTGTTGGTTCATATAATTCAGCTATTCCCATCAAAGTATCAACTCTTGGTCCCAATAATTTGAATGCTGGTTCTAATTCGACGTGAGGAGCATCTGTTTCAATGATTGTTGAAACAATAGCTAAGAAATGACCTTTTGGCACAACGCAATGTACGTCTGATAAAACTGCAATATAAATATCATGTTTTCTGCCGACTTGATTTTGTGGTATAATAATTTGTAATGAGTCCAAGTCAACTCCTGGTACAGGATGATCTAAAATACAAATAGCTCTAATAACTTTTGATCCGGTCTTTTTAACTAGTTCGGGGAAATAAGTTGGATCAGCAACGACTATAGGAGCTTTTGCTGTACCTTCTTTAGTTTTAACTCCAGCAAATTTATCTCCGTCGTAAAGTACTTCATCAACTGGTGTGTCCAACATATAAGTACCACCATATATAGCTGATAATCTAGCAAAACCTTGTGGTAATTCACCTAAACCGTATAAAGGATAAATATATGGAGATTTCCCATACTTTGCCACAGACTGTGCGTATAACAAAAGTCTTTCATAAGTTGGTCTAGCAACTTCATTCAAATAATCGTCAGTTGACCATAAAGCCATTGCATGACCTATGAAATCTTTTGTACCATTTTCTAATCCAAAATATGTATAAATTTCATTCATCGTGTTTTTATCTAGATCAAATCCAAGGTGAGTAGATGCAACATTTTCATCATAATTTTGAATATACTCCAAAAATCTTTTCATTCTTCTTTTTTCAAATATCCCCATTAATGAAGAAGCCAAAGCTTCTTTCGCATTGGAGGGAACTTTTGCAATTCTGCCATTTCTATAAACATAACTTGCAGCAATTTGTTTGAATTCAATATAACGAGTAACCTCTGTGTGGACCAAAATATTTGATAATTCTCCATTTGCCATAAGAAATTTCGGAATTAAGTCAACGCACCAATCTCTATCTCTACCTTTTAATTCTGGTCTTTGTGCTGTTGGTTTGAATTTACCATATAATTGAGTTAAATTTAATGAAGCCGATTCTCCCCCATAAAAATCCTGTCTATCAATGTGTAAAACTTTCTTACCTTCAACTGAAAGAATACCAGAGAGAACACATTCGGTCAATCCAGTTCCTAAAACAATAACGTCGTAGTTTTCATCCATTTCCGAAAATACAATTGATGTATGTCGTTGTTTGGTGATTGAGTAAGTTTGATTTTTTGATTTTGATTTATCGTAACTAAAATCACAAAACAGTTTTACGTAACATTTTTTCTCTATAATTAATCCTGAATATCAATTTTACTATTGCTATGTAAGAGTTTAATAATCATACAAAGAAATCTAACAGTTTTATACCACATTATGAAAACCTTTCTCCCCTTTATCTAGTCCCGCTTTCACAATCTTACTAATCTCCTCAGGATCTTTTGTGATTTTTGTGAAAATTTCATATCCATCTTTTGTAATCAACACATCATCCTCAATTCTAACTCCACCAACATACCAATATTTATCGAGTACCAGTTTATTAATGTATTTACTCTTTATTGGATTCTGCAATGTTTCTTCTAGTAAAAAAGGAGAAAAATAACATCCTGGCTCATTTGTAACAACCATTGATGGCTCTAATTTTCTTCTAATTCTTAAATAACGCGACAATTCATTTGAATCTGAGTAGTTTGCAAACCCTGCAGTATCATGTGTATCCATACCTAACATATGTCCTAGTCCATGAGGATAAAATCTAGCACTAACTTTAGCATCGAAAATTTCATCGACAGAGAATTCCTTCTTAAAAATCCCTAATTTGATAAATTCTTGAATTAAAACTTTATGAGTTTCCAAATGGATATCTTCCCAATTTGCACCTGGCTTTATCAACTTATAAGCTTCTGTTTGCATTTTGAGAACTAAATTATAAATCTCTAAATGTTCTTTAGACCACTCTCCATTTATCGGGAAGCATCTTGTAACATCACTCGCATAGCAATCCCATTCGGCACCAGCATCAATCAAAATTGATCTCTTATCTGGAGTGATTTCTTCATCATTCTTTACATAATGCAATGTAGAACATGATTCTCCACTACAACATATTGGATCATAAGACTGATTTTTTGAACCTTGACGTAATGCATGATACATGAATTCAGCATGAATATGAGTTTCATTTGTTTCGATAGGTATTGCGGACATAACGGCATAATGACAATTATCAGTAATTTTTGCAGCATGTTTCATTAATTCTATTTCAAATTCATCTTTAAAAGCACGAGCTTCATCCAATGCAAAAAAAAAATCCTCGTCTTGCTCTATTAAAAATTGACTCTTGAGGTTGTTATCTGTGGTAAAAGCTTTGGAATTTAAGTTGATATCAGAAGCATATTTGACTTCATCCACATCATACTTTTTTGCAGCGTCCTCTAGTGATAATGGTAAACCAGACCACATAATATCTTCTTTATCCACATCTGGTAAATATAATGTTAAGTGGTCTTTCTCGCTATCATATAGTACATGAGCCCCTGGGATATTGCACCCACTCAAATAAAAGAAGTATCGATCTTGTCTAAAAGGTTTTGTTTGATCGCAGTACTTATATCCCTCTAGAACTTCACCACTAATGAAAAATTTGGCTTCTGTTGCCTTTGAAGGGTTTTTTTTCTTCAATTGAGATAAAACATTCCTAGCATGTTGTTTTGCAGGATATTTTCGATCTTTGAGTGACTCTGGTCCTGACATGTTGTGAAAAATAATTCCCATAGACCAATTTGATAAAATTTTTGAGCCGTTTAAATTTTTTTGCAACAAAAACCTAAAATTATTCTAAATGCATACAACGAGCAAAGGTTTCACTTGAAATAATCTTTTAGTAATTTGAACTTCAATAGGATGATATATAGATGAAAATTTAATCTGACAAGCACATTGTAGATCGTAAAGAAAGCCTAATGGTCACATGACTAGTCACATGACTTAGAAACATGATAATTTTATCAATTAAAAGTCTCGTTCTTGATTTTGGCTTTTTCATGGTCGCCACTATCATTCAAAAGATTCAATCATTACCACATAATAAGACACAATGGAAAGGTTGCAACGTTTGCTAGGTCAAGGAGCAGGTTTAGGAGGAGGTGTACCACCACAATCTGATGGACCAGCCATTGATAATTCGGAAACTGTATATATATCATCACTTGCATTATTAAAAATGTTAAAACATGGAAGAGCAGGTGTACCGATGGAAGTTATGGGGTTAATGTTGGGAGAGTTTGTTGATGATTTTACAATTCATGTTCATGATGTCTTTGCAATGCCACAGTCAGGAACAGGTGTGTCGGTTGAAGCTGTTGATGATGTGTTTCAAACTAGAATGATGGACATGCTCAGACAAACAGGAAGAGATCAAATGGTTGTAGGATGGTATCATTCACATCCTGGTTTTGGATGTTGGTTGTCTTCAGTTGATGTGAATACTCAACAATCATTTGAACAATTAAATAAAAGAGCAGTTGCAGTTGTCATAGATCCAATCCAATCAGTAAAAGGTAAAGTTGTTATAGATGCATTCAGAACTATTGATACCACAACCTTGATGATGGGCCAAGAACCACGTCAATCTACATCAAATGTGGGACATTTAAATAAACCTTCTATTCAAGCATTGATTCATGGATTGAATCGTCATTACTATTCACTTAATATAGATTATCATAAAACATCGAATGAAACAAATATGTTACTCAATTTGCATAAAAAGAATTGGCAATCTGGTCTTATTCTGGGAGATTATAATCATAAAGAAATTGAAAATCTAGAAAGCACTGAAAAGATGGTAAATATAGCTAAATTATATAATCAAAGAGTTAGTGAAGAAAAAGAATTGACTGAAGATCAATTAAAAACAAGATATGTTGGTAAGCAAGATCCAAAGAAACATTTGTCAGATACAGCTGAAAAGTTGATTGATAATAATATAAAAACTTTGGTAACTAGTGGAGTAGATTCTTTGGCAATTAGATAATATATATATATATATATTTACAGACTTCATGAATTATTCAATACTTTGTAGCTTCTCTCTACAATTTCTGGCGGTATTAATTTTCCAATTTCTGTGAAAGGAAGAAACTCATTTATTATAATGATGAATGATGCTAATTTGAGATTATCCAAATCCATGTACTCCGTGAATTCATTTAGTTGTAGATTGTAGAATTTCTTTAAGTTTAATGAAGGATATCGTACTTTAAAGTCGTTCCAATTGGGTATTTCTTTCTTTAAATCATAAATTTCAAAGTCTTTTACATCAAACAATTTGTGATAAATTTCATCATCAAATTTTTCAGTCAAAAGACAAGTTATCCATAGATTGTATAATTTGGTATCCAAAAAGTCGTTGATGAAAAATTCTTCGCCTTTGTAATGTTTAGCTATGTTCTTTTGAATTTTTTGTATACTTTCAATAGAATCTCCAATCAATATCGGTAGTGAATTGTATGGTGATCCACGAAATGGAATTTTTGTTAAGCCAGTTGATGATGATGTTAGCTTTAAATCATTCTTTTGAATTAGTCTAAGGTACGTAGCTAATGAAATTGGATCTGTAGGTAGTTCTATATCTTTGTAATGAAATGTGTTGTATACTCCCAATATTAGTGGTACTGAGTTTGACAATGGTGTTGGAGACTTGATTTGAATATCGTTGTCACTTTCATGAATGATTTTCAATGGTACTGAATCAAATAAGTCATCTAGTATTTGAGGAATTTTCATTACTAGGACGATTTTTAAGTTGAAAAATGGTGAATTTGACTTACTCTTTTCTTAATGATTAGAGTGCGTATATATTTTTTATTCTACTAACGATCTACTACATTCAAACATACAAATTATTGTTGACTATTATCAACTATCTAGGAAGTATACATCTTGTATTAATCGATAATAAGACGAAACATCTTTTTAATTTCGCCTATTCATCTTTAGCTATTAAATCGATAGACAAATCGTGCCAAGTACTATTTGCAAATTTACAATCACTTTCACCAATATCATTAAATCCAATTTTTTCATAAAATGGTACCAAGTCCTTATGAGATATTATAACTACTTGATCACCTAAATCTTGATTCGATAATTTTTGAATATAATCATGTAATAATAATGGTCCTAAATTTTTTCCTCTCCAAGTTGGATCTATTACTACTGAATGTATTCCAATATGCCTCGATGATTCCTTATGATTACCTATTTCCATTGATTCCTCGGTGATTTTGTCACCTGGTATTTTTGTTGCAATGATTTGACCAATTAAAGTTTCTTTAGTAACTGAAGATTTAGCTGGATAATCATCTTCAAATTCATCATCATCATATTCCACATTATTGTGTTGTTTTGATAATTCTTCAGCAACTTCCGGTAAATTTATAAAGTTATATTTATAATCAAAATCTCTTATGAATAAACCTGAACATAGTTCGGGGGCAACAGTTAATCTATATTGTAATTTTGATTCACTACATCTTTCTTCTTCAGGAAATCCCTTTTCTTCTAATTGTACACATTGGTCTAGATCTTCAATAGTCAATGGTCTAATTGATAAGTTGGGCGGAAAGTCCGACATATTTAATGCCTGTTGATTTTTTGGTGTTTGAAGATTTTATTTAGGTGTTTAACTCTAAATTTTGTATAACTCCAATATTTACATTTAGGCTAAGTTTTAATTTTATTCCACAATTCTCACACGACTTAAAAATAAATCATGACATGAACTTTCAAATTAGAAATCAATAATAGAGGATAGTTGGATTGAAGAAAGTGAAATATAGTTCATATAATATTACACACTCTACATTACCTATTCCAAGAAATCGGCATCAACATCAGCTTCTTCAGTATTTATCAAGCTTTTATTAATTTCCCATAAATGAACAATATTATCATCAGCAACAGATCCAATTGTCCATTCTTTGAAAGGACACCAAGATAAGTCAGTCACACCTGCTGTATGACCAGCATGCATCATGAATAATTCTGGACATCCATCTTCAGCATCTTCTTGTTGTTGTTCTTCTCCGATTTTAAATAAATCCCAAACAATTAGTCTTCTATCTTGACTTCCTGATGCTAGTATACCATCCTTGTGAGGTGAGAATTCTAAACTAGTTATACCTTCTGTATGACCCATCATTGTATGTAATAATTTCAAATTTCTAAGATCTAGTATTCCTATATTTGAATTAGTGTTTCCTATAGCTAATAAATTATGTGAAAAAGGAGAAAAAGCAACTGAATTGATACCTTTTGAGTTTTTGGAGTAAAACTTCGATACTTTATCCGGTGATCTTAAGTCATATATGTATAAATGTTCATCTTCTGATGCTGATGCAAATATATTGTTGTCAAAAAAATGCCATTTAGCATCATTAAAGATATCATCTCCTTCTTTTTTAAATATTTGTTCGTTTTCCTTGTTTGTATCACTCACACAAACCGTTTTGTCATCAGACGCTGTCAATAAGAGTCCTTTTGTTATTGGGTTCCAAGATAATCCATATCCATTATCTGAATGAGGTTGAAAATGTGAAAAGCTACCCCGTTCATCGCTTTCAATATTATATAAATCAACACCACCAGCTCCATTTATGGTCCCCACTATCGTTGGATTTTGAGGCATGTATCTTGCTCTACATATTTCTTCTTGATTTTCAAACTTTTTAATAATTTTTATTCTGGAATTTGCTTTCCCACCAGCAGATATTTGAGTTTCTGCTATTTTTAAATAATTTGAATCATTTCCTGATGTATGTGTTCCAAGTAATAACTTTGTATTAATTACTCCATTTTCTGTTGTATGATTTGGAAGCCATTGAATTGTTAATGATGGCCAGGTTAATGCTGTTTCACTAACGAATTCATACATATATCTACAGTTTTTACGCCATAGTTGATATTCATCTTTTATAGATAGTTCTTGAGATTCTCCATTGGCATCCATTGCTTAAAGTATGTTGTGAATTGCTGAGACTTTGGTGATGTTGATGTTTTAGATAATATTTGAAACAAACGCGATTTTTGAAGTAAATAATTTTCCATTTATTCTATTTAGTTTCATCGCAACTAGATCACATTTTTTGCAGCTTATGTTTCATACAAAGTTAAGAGCATTGTATTAGCCAAGTTTTGGGCAAAACATTGCAACAGCTGCCACTGCTGAAGCTTAATAGCAATACTTTGGTACAGATGAAAGGAAGTCAGTTATGAATTAGAAAACACGGAAGTTCAAATTATTGCTTGCTCACTCGTCTAAGCATTAGTCCTATGGTTGAAGTCGATCAGACTAAAACCATTCATCTTGAGATTCTACCTAATATTTTGTTTGACTGGACCAATACCAAGTCAAAACAGATAGTTTTACACGAAATTACAAACCAAATTTTAGGAGAGACTGGATCAACGTTTTTCACCAGGTTCAGATTACTTACAGGCGTTGAATTCATCACAACATGACCTCAAAATGAATTCTATGGACATTTCCTTTTTTAATAGGGAATAGTTCATTATATTGCAGCCATGGATGCCAAATACTATAACGTATGAATGATGTATGCCAATTACTTTATATTGAAGATTTTATGGGATCTATATTCTTTCAATTGGATCTGCTCGATACTCAAATCCTTTAAAAATAAATTGACATATCATTCATACGTTAGTGATCTCATCACTTACGTTGCAACCAAGAATTCCACAAGCGATATTTGATGAAATCATAATCAATTAGCCAAGCCAAGTATCAAGAGGGAAGGTGTTTAAAGATAGTGGTGAGTTTTTCACGGTGTGTTAATCTTTGAACTATGGTCGAACTCAGCGAGATTATACAATTTATAGTTTAACATATTACGAAAGCCTTCAAACAAAGCCTTTGATTTAATATTTTCAATCCATACTGGCATCCCTTGTACCTTTCAAATAGGGCTGAATTCGAAAAAAACGGTTATTTAAGATAGGTACAAATATGGGTCAAAGCTGGACCTACATAATTTGCTGTAAAGTGATAAATCTATAAAGTAGCAATTATTTGAAGAAGATTCTACAAACTGGTATCTTTTCTTCATGCTTAACTGATTATTTCAATTTGCTCAAGATTGTCATTTTCATGGTTAACGCTGCACTGATCTTTTTTGATTAAACGCGGTTGATAATATCAATGTCATATCTATATCATCAAAAATTGACATCATTCCAAATTTTATGATTCAGGGATTAAAGTTTTACGTAAATTAAAGCCTTGTTCAATTTTTAGTAAATAAAATCCAATTCTTGATTAGGTTATGATTGTTTTTATAGTATAGCTGTAATTTTAATCTACAAAGTCTTTAGTATCACCGTTCACCCATTTTTTCCAAATGTATAAAATAACTAATTGAAGAATAAAATCTCGATTATTGACGCACCAGCAATTTCTCAATTTAAACGTGATTCCATGATTCTAATTATAAATATATACAAGGAAACTCAAGGATCGGTAGGTTCGTTCTAATAAAACAATAACTGTGTGATCGAATTTTTCGGGATCTAAAATTTAGAAAATTTATACATAAATTACTAGCATATGTGCAGCTTGCAATATATTACTAACTTAATTTATTGATGACAATTTGAAATTCGACTAGGTATCTAATTATAAAGCCATATTCTGTTTTAAAATTAATACGTAATATATTTTTTCAAACCGACCTAGAATGGCTGTACCGTATCTTTTTTTATCAGCCGATGCACACGACTTGAGGAATTGTATACTAATTTAGATTGAATGCAGTATCAATTTAACAATATTCAAATTATACGAAAATTATCTTTTTTTTTTCCTTTTGGCCCTTTTTGTGTTTATTTTGTATGTATTTTGTGTATCGATTATATTGAAATTTTATAACCGATCAGATTAAACTTTTAAATTATCAACCGACTTGAGGTATAAAATAATAAATAAAAAAATTAATTTAATAAATTGTACATTATACTTTATTTTTTGTACCAAGACTTTTTATGTTTAAAGGGTTAAAGGGGGTTAAACATGCATAATCTGCGATAATAAACAATTCCATATACAATTTAATGAATGTTACATCAAATCTTGTAGATTGGTATGAATTAGTAAACGGTTGCAAAATATTTATTTTGATATCAATTATAGATACCGATATTTAGTTTAAGCAATTTTATATATATATACAACCACTCATCCATTTCAATTGAGAATGTTAAAATTTGAAAAAATTATATTCTTCTTAAGTTTAATTAAAATTAATTCATCAATATAATAATATATCCCAATGTCTCATTCAGAAGATTCAAATACAATAGATAATGGAAGTGTTGATTCTGAAAAAGTAACATCTTACGGAGATGCATTACAATCACAACCTCAAACAAATAATAAAAATGAAGAAGAATTAAAAAGAATACAAACTCATAAAGAAAATTTATCAAGAATAATAACGGATTTACAAGAAGGTGCTGGACAATTAGGACCATTAGAAGAACCTTATGATATAAAAAAAGTAGAAACTCATGCTGATCCAAATTCTACATTTAATGATATGGATCCTTGGAAATATCCTGTAGATGAAGGTACTGGATTAAGAATTGTTGAATGGGTAGATCATGATGTTAAAAATCCAAAAAATTGGAGTACTGCTTTAAAATGGTTTTATACTGGTTTATTAGGTGCAATTTGTTTTGTTGTTGCTTTAGGTTCAGCAATTGTTACTGGTGATATGGAAGGTCCAGCAAAAACTTTTGGAGTTTCAATTGAAGTTATTATTTTAGCTTCAGTTACAGTTTTCGTTGTTGGTTTTGGTGTTGGTCCATTAGTATTTGCTCCAATGTCCGAAGAAGTTGGTAGGAAACCAATATATGCGGTAACTTTATTTGTTGGAGTTATATTCATTATACCCTGTGGTGCAGCAAGAAATATTGGTACATTATTAGTTTGTCGTTTAATTGATGGTATATCTTTCAGTGCTCCAATGACATTAATTGGTGGTTCATTAGCTGATATGTGGGACGGACCAGAAAGAGGTGTAGCAATGGCAATTTTTTCAGCAGCTCCATTCTTAGGTCCAGTTTGTGGTCCAATTTTTGGTGGTTTATTAGGAGATTTTACATCAACTTGGAGATGGATTTATTGGACTTTTTTAATTGTTGCAGGTGTATTTTATGCTATTTTTATTGTATTAGTTCCAGAAACTCATCATGGTACATTATTAAGAACAAGAGCAGCAAAATTAAGAAAAGATACAGGTGATAAAACATATAAAGCTTTCAATGAAATTCAAGAAAGAGAATTTAAAGATGTTGCAAAAACTTCATTATTAAGACCATTTGTTTTATTAAGTGAATTAATTGTATTTTTAATGACTATATATATGGCTATTGTTTATGGTTTGCTTTATATGTTCTTTTTTGCTTATCCTGTTGTTTATATGGAAGGTAAAGGTTGGTCAGCTTCATTGACCGGTGTTATGTTTATTCCAATTGGTGTTGGTGTTATAGTAGCCACTATTGCAGCACCTTTTTTCAACATGGATTATAATAGAAGAGCTCAAAAATATAGAGATAGAGGAGAATTACCACCAGCAGAATTAAGATTAATTCCAATGATGATTTCATGTTGGTTTGTTCCAGTTGGTTTATTTATATTTGCTTGGTCATCATATCCAAGAGTTTCTTGGGCTGGACCATGTTTTGCAGGTTTAGCAGCAGGATTTGGCTTTTGTTGTTTATATAATCCAGCTAATAATTATATAGTTGATTCTTATCAACATTATGCAGCAAGTGCATTAGCAGCAAAAACATTTGTTAGATCAATTTGGGGTGCTTGTGTTCCATTATTTACAATTCAAATGTATCATAGATTAGGCTATCAATGGGCATCATCATTAATGGCATTTATATCATTAGCTTGTTGTTTGATTCCATATGGTTTTTACTTTTACGGTGCAAGAATTAGAGCTTATTCTAAATATGCTTATTCACCAGGTATGGATGCTAAAAAACCAGATCTTGAAAAAGAACAAGATTTCGGTCATTAAAAGATTTCAAATTCGAAAAATTATATATTTATTTGTTATATTTATATAGACATTCCTTGCATTTTTAATTATAAAATAGGTAAATAGATTAATATATTAATATCCAAAAAAATTGAAAAATATTTATTTAAGATAAATGTAGGGAATTAATAAACAAGGGTTCCTATGCTCCTCCGATTTTCGAATTCATTAAGTCAAATCAATGAAGGCTTAATAAATTTCCGTATATGTCAGTGGTAAAAGTGATTCATTTGGAAATCATGAAACGTCTTTTTCAAACAACAGCCTTATGTTTCATATTTATCTAAAAAATCCATGTATTCAAATAATCGTACAAAACCGCACATATAAATTTGTTTCAAGTTCGAAATCTATTTTAGTTGTGAGATAACAATAGACCGCTTCAAATTAGTTTGAAATAATACAAAGAAAGTTAATGCAATTCAACGTATCAATTACTCCTTCGAAAGGTACACATAAACGGTAAAAACTAACTAACAATTAGTATTTTGTTTTTGCATGTAAAATTTTTATTTTGTATTATTTTCGATCGGCTTTATTTTTTCTATTTTGTACCACATTTTTTTTTTTTTTTTTGACTTTGACATGACAATCTTAAAAAAAGCTTGGTTCAAATTCAAACGAAATTCAGGTGTAAATTGAGAACTTGCTGAATGAACCACAACTGAAGTGGATTTTGTTAAAAAGGTATCGACTGTGGTTTTGACACTCTAGCTAACAAGTTATGAGTACGATTTCATTCAATCCAACCAATGATCAACTTACCCAATTAAAATCAAAGGCTGAAAAGACCACACTATTATTCTAGAATTATGAACCCAGATTCCATAGTAATTTATATTTAGTAAACGGCTAAAACTGAATTTTGTGTAACTAACATACTATAGCGTCTATATTTGTGTAAAAATTTTGTAACCGGCTTTACGTACTATTTAAAAAAATTTCTCATACTAATTGTATTTAAATTGTTATTATTATTAGTGTGATGTAAGTAGATTGAAAATATAAAAGGACTATCATATCCACTTCATAATCTCTTAGTTCAAAAATTGATTTACTGTGTTTGAGTTGAAATTTTCAATAATTAAAATAAAATCTAAAACAATCATGTCTCATTCAGATCTTACAGATAAAGATAGTATAGAATCAAATAGAATAACTCCTTATGGAGAAAGTAATATATCACATAATAATAATGGTAATGATACTACATCCACAACCACAATAAACAATAATAATATAACAAATAACCACCACAATAATTCCTTACATCGTAAAACATCAACAAATACAGAAGATGAAAAAGAACTTGAAAGATTAATTACAAATAATCAAGGATTGGAAAGAATAAAATCAGAATTAAGAGAAAAAGCAGGACAATTAGGTCCATTAGAAGAACCTTATGATTTTAAAAGAACTTTAACTCATCCTGATCCAAATTCAGATTTTAATGAAAATGATCCTTGGAAATATCCTGTTGATAAAGATTCAGGTTTAAGAATTGTTGAATGGGTTGATCATGATTTAAAAAATCCCAAAAGCTTAAGTAAAACTTGGAAATGGATATATACAAGTTTATTAGGTGCTATTTGTTTTGTTGTTGCTTTAGGTTCTGCTATAGTTACAGGAGATTTAGAAAAACCTGCAAAATATTTTGGTGTATCAATGGAAGTTATTATTTTAGCTTCTGTAACAATGTTTGTTTTAGGTTTTGGATTTGGTCCTTTAGTATTTGCTCCAATGTCAGAGGAAGTTGGTAGAAAACCTATATATGTTGTTACATTATTTGTTGCTGTTATTTTTATTATTCCTTGCGGTGCTGCAAAAAATATTGGTACTTTAATTGTTTGTCGTTTAATTGATGGAATTGCTTTCAGTGCTCCAATGACATTAATTGGTGGTTCATTAGCTGATATTTGGGATGGTCCAGAAAGAGGTGTAGCAATGGCAATTTTTTCAGCAGCTCCATTTTTAGGTCCAGTTTGTGGTCCAATTTTTGGTGGTTTATTAGGAGATTTTACATCAACATGGAGATGGATTTATTGGACTTTTTTAATTGTTGCAGGAGTATTTTATGTTGCTTTTATTGTTGTTGTACCTGAAACTCATCATGGTATATTATTGAAAAAAAGAGCTCAAAAATTAAGAAAAGATACTGGAGATTCAAGATATAGAAGTCTTAATGAAATTGAAGTTAGAAAATTTAAAGATGTTGCAAAAACTTCTTTATTAAGACCTTTCTTATTACTTTCAGAATTAATTGTATTTTTAATTACAATTTATATGGCTGTTGTTTATGGTTTACTTTATATGTTCTTTTTTGCTTATCCTGTTATTTATATGGAAGGTAAAGGTTGGTCAGCTTCTAAAACTGGTATTATGTTTATTCCAATTGGTGTTGGTGTTATTATAGCTACTATGGCTGCACCATTTTTTAATAATGATTATAATAAAAGAGCTCAAAAATATAGAGATAGAGGAGAATTACCACCTGCAGAATTAAGATTAATTCCAATGATGATTTCATGTTGGTTTGTTCCAATTGGTTTATTTATTTTCGCTTGGTCATCATATCCAAGAGTTTCATGGGCTGGACCATGTTTTGCTGGTTTAGCAGCAGGATTTGGTTTCTGTTGTTTATATAATCCAGCTAATAATTATATAGTTGATTCATATCAACATTATGCAGCAAGTGCATTAGCAGCAAAAACATTTGTCAGATCAATTTGGGGTGCTTGTGTTCCATTATTTACAATTCAAATGTATCATAGATTAGGTTATCAATGGGCTTCATCATTAATGGCATTTATATCATTAGCCTGTTGTTTAATTCCTTATTTATTTTTCTTTTATGGTGCAAGAATTAGAGCTTATTCAAAATATGCTTATTCACCAGGTATGGATGCTAAAAAATCAGATCAAGAAAGTCAAAAAGAAATTATACATGATGATGAAAGAACTAAAAATGAAGTTGAGAATGAAAAATAAATTTGATATAATAAACATTATTGGAATTTTAAATTGGATTTACATAGATTGATTTTTTTTTTGTTTACTTTGCATATAAAATAGATATATTTGTTTTAAAATAACATTAAGTTGTAGAAAGTTAATTATTTTTCTGCTTATATGGATCTTTTAGTCAATTGTTCTTAAATAACTTAGTTTTAGATATGAGTTGAAATACGCTGGAAAAGCTGTATATTCAAGATTGGTCTATCAACAATATGTAATTCGTCATTTCGATTTCTCTTAAATTTGTTGTCCAGTTCATCAAAAGGTATCGTCAAACTATAGCCGAAACACTTTATAATTGAATACCAACAAATACTAAATCGTCGAGTAACGATAAAGTTCGTGATGATTTTTATGTGTCGATTTCAATGATTTAGGTCTTAATGCACGGAAATCATATAATGTGTCTCCACAGACTTATGATGTACTCCATTGGTCGATTGAAATGATTTTATTCAATTCCTCAATAAATCACTAAGGTTGTAAATTAAAAGAAACCTCTCCGTTCGTGATACAATGTGTCTGGAATTGTACACACATTTGCACTAGCGCTATTACGTTTTATCCTTTTGCTCATTTGATTCAAATTTGATCGAAAATTACAGTAGATACCCTTTCTTTTCTTGTTTTTTTGGCACTACTAATGTTGATCTTTGATAAAATTGATAATTTATGATAATCACATTGATGTGTTGAAAATATTAAACGTTTGCATTTACTTTTCGTGATTACGTCATACGATCTCTAATTAATTTCCGCTTTTAGTTTTAAAATAGTTTAGATTTACGAAAAATGTGATGATTGTACTTTAAAATACAATACAGTACAATACGTATCACTTGAAAATTGTATTGTAATTGTTTCTGTTATTGCAAAAGCTGTATCCATAATTAATGTTGAAAGTAAGATTAAATAAAAAGCTGTCATTAGTTATTAAAGTCTTTTGCTGACACGGTACCTTATCATACATACTTAATTTAAATTGTTATCAGATGATAAAACAAAGCGGAATGTGATGTAAATATAAAAAGGGTGAAAAAAAGCTTAATTCTTATAATTAATCGGAAAATTGGGAATTATACAAATTATAAAGTAGATACGATACGATAATTCATTTTATATGTTACTGTATATTGGTAAAAATTATTAATTTGCATACTTCATTATCATATGTATTAGGTGCGTATGTATGCAAATGAGGGATAAATTATTATTGATTTGACTAACTAGATTCATGTGATTAAAATTTTCCTCTATAAGACTTATATAACACAATTCAATACTTTCATTTACACATTTGATTCTTTTAGTCTAAATTGTATTTTTATTTGTGCCTCGTATAGTCAATGATATTGAGGAATGAGAATTTAAAGATCAATTGGACTTTCAAATGTTTAAAAGATGTAATTGACCACATGAAAATAAACTTCGTAATCACAATTGATTTTGATTAATGTTTAATCAATGAAGTTTTTCAAGCTTAGATTTCAAAAATAATTATAAAAATTTGAAATTGAACCCTTCTTTAATTTACTTGCTATTGGTATTAGATTTTTGCAACAATTAATTGAAATCAATTTACATAATACAATAATTTAGTGTACATAATGTGAATACAGTAGTTTACTCATGAATTAACCTCGATTAAAAGTCATCTTCGTAAATTACACTCTATGTGGTGTTTTTGAGACGGAATTGAATTTGTTACGTGATTACTTATACTGTACAAATCAATTTTTGTAAATTAGCAACAAAAATAATCTGTTTTTAAAATCATTAGGACGATCTCCTCTATTTTACAACTTGATATTAAATTTGTTTATGAATAAAATTTCCAAAAACATCCAAAGTATTTCTATCTATCTTCCTATTACATTCTATCTTATGAAAAAAGTAATATTACGTATGGGCACTGAACTAAATTATATAAATTAGATGTTATTTTTTAAGTGAATGTCTAAAATATAATATTTCTTAAATTAGACAATAGACTGTATATACTTACTATAATAGACTATCAATACTTTACAATACTTTACAATACAAAATTATTATACTTTTTTCTCGAGAGAAGTTTAATTTTATATCTAATTATTTTTGACAACCAAATTAGAAACCATCTGTATATATACAAATATAAATCACCACCACATTCCTTTTTCTTAATCCTTGTAAAACAGTGAAACTTCATTTTTTCAATAGTTGATTACCATTTATACCCCCCAAAAAAATGGGTAATAACGCGTCAACTAATAGTCAATTTGGACAACATTTATCATCACAATCAAATAATTCTAATCAAACAAATCAATCAATTTCAAATAAAAAATTAAATTCAAAAAACAGTAATAATCAAATTAGAAAATCAACTGCAGGTAATAATCAAAATAATTCATTAGATGAAGAATTTAGTGATTTAATACTACATCAAGTTATTAATAAACCTATAAACACTACAAATGAAGGTGAAGGCAATAACAATCAAACATCTACCATTCAATCAAATTTAAATCCTATTCAACCTCAAAATCTGAATCAACAATATAATCAATTTTCAAATGGTTTAATAGAAGATGAATTTAATGAATTAAATGAAGGATTAGTAGAAGAATCTACTTCATTATCAAGAAATATATTACCTGATAATAATAATTATTTTTATGATGAAAATAAAAAAATTAATAAGAATATTCCTTCATCTAATTCAAATTCATCATCTTCTACTTCACAATATCAACAACGATCTAATACGAATGATGATCAAATGGAATTAGATGAACCATTTCCTCAAGATTCAGATGATATACAAGAATTTGAATATCAATTATCTCAAACTCCTACTCCAGATTTATCAAAAGTTGATTTTACTAAAATATCAACATATCAAAATCAATCTACTCAACAACAACAACCTCAATCTCAATCTCAGCCACAGCAACAACAACAACAGGAAAATAATAATCAATATTTTGCAAATAGACCACCGCCAACTGCAAGAATGCTATCAGCTGCTTCAATAGCTAGAAGTGGGCATTCTCCATCACCTTCACCTAATTTGGAACAACAACAACATCAAAATCAACAATATCAACAAAATCAACAACAACAGCTACATAGTCAACATTATCATAATCAACTGTATCTTAATAATTTCAATCATAATAATAATCAAAATCAACATCGTACAAAACAATTTAAAAGTAATAATCATAATGATAATTTATTAATTCCCATTGAAATTAAATGGGTTAATACAAATAGAGAAAATATTGGAAAAATTTCAATTATTGGATCATTTTCAAATTGGAGAGATATTATAAAATTATCACCATCGATAAATCATCCGAATGAATTTATAACAACAATAAATTTACCATTAGGAGTTCATAAATTATTATATATAATAAACAATGAATATAGAGTAAGTGATCAATTACCTACTGCTACTGATCAAGAAGGTATATTTTTCAATTGGTTTGAAGTTATTGATGATACTCATTTATTTAATCATTCATTAAATCAATCAAATCATATTGGTGCAAGTACTGATTATGATGCAAATATTATATCAAGTAGAAATGATGTGAATAATAGCGATAGTACAATTGGAGGATATAACAACAACAGTAATACTTATCAAAATCAACCAAGATCAGCGGGTAAATATGAATTTGAAAAAATTCAAGAAAAATCAAATGAATTATTACATAAAATTTCAAAAGAATCAAGTTCACAATTTGAACATGTTGAATATATTGATGATGAAAATAATGAAAATAATCAAGATGATAATTTAATGATTGATGAAGGAGAAGTTGAATTAAAACAAAAACAAATTGAACAACAAAAATCAGATAATTATCCTTATCCACAACATAACCACAACAGATCAAATTCTCAACAACAAACTCCAATTCAATCAACTCATCAATTTCAACCATATGAATTAACTAAATCAAATTCTTTTATAAAACCAAACCAAAAATTAAATTATTCAAATGAAATTCCAGAAATGTTTATAAATTACGATTATTTTAAATTAAAACCTGAAGATTATGAATTACCTGAACCACCACAATTACCACCACATTTAAATAATGTATTATTAAATAAAATTTCAAATAATCAATCTTCATCATCAAATTCAAACATTTCAACTTCAAATTTATTACAAAATGGTCCAATACCTCCTCAACCTAATAATCCAACATCATCAACAATATCGACTAACTCTACTTCCACAACAAATACAAACTACCTCAATAAAAGACCACCATTACGTAGAGCAGATAGTTCATATTATGCATCAAATAAAGAAGCTTATCATTTATCTATTCCAAATCATGTTATATTAAATCATTTAATGACAACTTCTATAAAAAATGATGTTTTAACTGTTGCTTGTATTACAAGATATTCTGGTAAATTCGTTACTCAAATTATGCATTCTCCAGCTGATAAATGAAGAACAAAGATAGTTGATAATTGAAGAAGAAAACCTGAAAATAGGTAAAGATAAAACAATATAAGTATCGAGTAAGATTTAGTAATTAATGAGAAATTGTAGTAATAAATAACGTTACAGTCTTTTGAAATTTTTTTTGATTCTTTAGTTTTTAAAAATTATATTTACTTTAATTCTACATAGTAATACTAATACAGTTGAATTAAAATTGTTATCGTTTTGAAAAAGGTATTGGTTAATTCTGCAACCGAAACTGTCGAAGTATTGTTGAGGTATAGATAATATTATACGTGCTTAAACCACGTAACTGCTGATAGAAACTGATCAATAATAACTCAAATAAATTTATACCTGATCTAATTTAGTCTCAGAGAAGGTGCAGCTATTTCGTAATTGAATTTCAGTCTATCCTTCCTCTAACTCAACATATATAGCCACAATCATCACTTTAAATCAAGTAGCAAAAATTTCTCATATAATCCCACTCGATCTATAATCGATATTGATGAATATTTAAGCAAAGATTCATTCAATATCTGGCAATTAAAATATAACCAACTATGATACAAAACGGAAACATCAAAGAATTTAAAATTTGGTTTTGACTTATTGTATCAATAATTAACTTGAACAATTTATCAAAATTTTTGATTATTCTATTATCTCCAAAATTCAAGTATAAAGTCAGCATACTATAACAAATCCATTCTAGGGAATTTAGGTAACTATCCATTAAATCCTCCTTGGGTTGACTCTCCAATTGAATCTTATAACTTTTGTATAGAACTTTTGCTGTTTTAGCCAAACATTTAATTAAAATAGCTTTTGCAATAAATTCACCTGACGTAATGATAGATGTAGATGCTGGTTTTAACTCTTCTAAATTTTTACTCATTTTCGACATAGCCTAACTTAGATCTTGTGTTGGAAAAACAGGATCAAAATCGTTAATAGTCACTAAGTTTACGCTGTTGGTGGACTTTTTAAATGATACAAAACTTTTTGCAAAACGTATTCCTTTCACCAATCTTGTACAATAAATATTATTTTAGGGCAATTGAGTTGTCCTTCGCATAGGTAAAATTGATTGATATTAAAACGGCTCAATCAAGTTTATCTGAAATTTTCATTCAAAATGATCATAACCTTCAAAGTCTGAATTCCAAGTTTTGTGTCATTTATATTTTGATGTTGCAACCATCAACTTTGGGTTATTTCGTGAATCTTTAAAATGATTTAACACCGATACTAAAAGAAATTGAGGTTATTCTGATTTATTAGTACATAGCAGTTATACATAGTAATAATACATAGTAATATAAAATAATACATAATCAAGATACAAAAAAATAATACAAAAAATATGAAAGCATATTTTTTTCCTTTTCTTAAAGCTTTCATTTCCATAATTCGTTATTCATTAGCATAAATCCATTATAATTCGTTATTCATTAGCATAAAAATTCATTACGTCGTTACCATAAATTCATTAGTCATTTAAATTAGTTAATAACATAGCATCAACATCACCACAAAAGAACACCACCAACAAAAACACCACAAACAATTTGATTCAAATCAGGTATAAAAATAGCTTCAATATCAACATTAATCAACACCACCAATCAAACAGTTCATTCTCAAAAAACTCACAAAAACTTCTTTTGAAACATCATTACTATTCAAACTTTCAATTTTTTCTTCTTCTTTTTCTATTTTTTCTACCTAATTTTTTTAATCTTCTTTCTCTTCTTAATCTAGTTTGCATCATACTATAAGACCCACGTCTAATAATAATTTCTAATTTAAAAATATTTAATTCAGGATAAAAATACAGGGAAATTTTAAATAATTTTGATAATAAATTTGATCTAATTTGCTTTGTTGTATCTCTTACCCAAGTTTGATAAGCTAATTTAAATTTACAATAATTTCCAAAAATTTCTAAAATTGATAATTCTATATGACGAGTTAATGAAATATTAAATTTTTCTAAATTTAAAATTTTGGATAATTCATATATATTTAATCTTGAATAATATCTATCATCTTTTTTTAAATCTGATTTTTTTGCAATTTTATTATCTTTATTTGGTTTTGGTTTTGATTTTGAATTAGTTTTTGATTTAGGTGTAAATTTTGATTTTGAATTAGATTTTGATTTTGATGATTTAGAATTAGTTGCAGTAGATACAGTAGATACAGTAGTTGCTGAAGATGATGATGATTCAACAGTCATAATAGTTGAAGTTGAAGTTGAAGTTGTTGTAGAAACATCAGAGTTTAACATTGAATTAATAGATACCACATTATTTCTTTGATTTTCTTCACCAATGTTATCATTATTTTCACTTTTTGGTCTTCTTGGATAATATAGAGAATTTAATTTTTTCAATTTACTATCCATTTCATAATTTGTTTTAATATTTTTTGGTAATTTATAACATTCCATTTTACATAATTCTGATAATGGTTTAAATTTTGTAAATTTTAAATTTTTAAATTCTTCTGTAAATGGTTTTGGTAATAATTTTGGTCCAATATCATAAATTTCTGATCTTGGTGAATTAGGAATTGATGATGATGTAAATTGATATTCATTATCGTTGTCTTCTTCTTCACTGTTGTTTTCACAATTATATTCCCCATTTTCAATCTTGTATTTCTTATAATTAGATGAAGTTCTTAAATATGATGGAGTTTTGTCAATAATTTTTAAAAATTTATCTCTATGTGAATTAAACTTCAAAACAACAAAAAAAGTAGTAGGATGTAATTGATAAGTATCCACTTGGGAAAATTGATCTAAACTGGAATCAGTTCTAATTTCATCAATTTGTAAATCTGGTTTTTCATTAACAGGTTTTGCAATAGGTGAAGAAGGTAAAGTAAAACTTTGAACATATTTATATGCTGATAAATTATATTTTAAATCTTGACTTTTATTAAGATCATTATTACCACTAATTTCATTAAAACTTCTTGAACTATCTGAAATAATTAAACTTTCATTTCTTTTATTTAAAATTTGAGAACTTGATTGAAAAATTGAATCAAAATTTAAATTATCTTTTAATTCATTAAATTTTTCAGAATTTGTTTTTGAATAATATGGAAAATTACTACTACTTTCTAATTTATTTTCATTTGTTTCATTTATTTTACTAATTAATGATGATGACAGATGAATATTTTCATTATATAATGGTGATGTTGCAATTGTTGCATAATTTGAACTAATATTTCGAGGATAGTAATTATTAATGATTGCTTCATTTTCATTTTCTTCAATTGGAAAACCATCAGAATCATCCCAGTTATTATTTACTGTCAAATTTGATGTATAATTAGTTTGTTGATTTTTTAAAATATTGAAAAATCCAGTTGATTGTGAACATTTTGAATTAATTTCATCATCATTTGTAATTGTCAGAATTGTATTAGATTTTGAATAAATATCTGATGCTTTGACTGTTTTATATTCATATTCTTTTGTAATTGAATTAGTTGAAGTATCTAATGATGTTGATAATACATTATATAAATGTTCAATTCTCGTTAAAGAATTTGAATTTGAATTATTATTATTATAATATACAGGTAATATATTTGGTTGCAAATACTTTTGTAAATTATATGAATTTGTAGTTATTGCTGTTAATTCATTTTCTACTAGTTCTTTATAATCATCACAAGTCTTGAATCTTTCATTACTTATTGGAAAAGTATTTGTAAATGGAGCTATTGTATATAAATCTAAATATTGTTCTGATAAATTATTAGTGTATTCAACTTCTGATCCTTGACTCATGATTTTTGAAAGCTAAAATTCATAAGAAGCTTATAAAATTGGAAATTACAGCTGTTACTTGAGCTCTTTCTTTCAACTAGTATAAGATTTCTTTCTATTTGGTATGTGTATGAGTTTGTATTTTAAGTGGTAATGGGACTTAAATTCTATAGTTTCTGTAGTTTTCAATTCTGGAGAAGGTATGAAAGTAGAATCTTTCTACCAAAGTAGACTTTATATGGTTGTTTAGTGAATGGTAAGGTCAATTAATAGTGTTATGTTATAGTTGTATGAATTGGTTAATTAAATTAGTTGTAAAAAAAGTGGTTGTAAAAAATGATGTTTTATATTTTAATTTTTTGGTTGTAAAAATTTAAAATTATTGAGGGGAAATTTACTAAATACAAATTTACATAGTGAAGAACATTAATAATTAAGTGTGATATGATTTACTGTAGACTTAATAAGAGACAGAGCTAGTAGAGACAGTCCCAACCCTACATCTTCACTCTTTGATTGTAGCCCTTCAAATAATTGTAAGAATTTGACGTACTCGATTTCGTATGAGGTAGATGAAACATGCATTTTGACTTCAATTGGAGCCTAAAGCAAGAAATTGAAGCTTATCAGACAAGACAGGGGGTATTACACAGTCATGGGTCAAAACGACTGCTCATTAACTTAGTCAAAGTTACGATCATTCGATCAATAACAACCATATTCAAAAATTCATGTGGGACCCCTAACAGATTTGAAAAAAGAAAATTAGGTTGCAAAAAAAAGAATTAAGATTCCACATTATTACGTAATCAATACAAATTAGTAATTCTACTGATTTATCACTTTTGAAATATGAATCATATAATTTGAATCATTATCAACTTCAATTACTTCACTTGCCTAAACAACAATGTCATCACCGGTATTAAAGTCACCATTGACTAAATCATTAAAAATTGCATTATTGCAATTAAAAGCTGGATCAGATAAATCAGCTAATTTAGCAAAAGTTACAAAATATATAGAAGAAGCAGTATCAAAACAACCTAAAGTTGATTTGGTAATGTTACCAGAATGTTTTAATTCACCTTATGCAGTAGATCAATTTAGAAATTATGCTGAAATTATTCCCCTGGGAGAAACAACAAATTTATTATCAAATTTAGCTAAAAAACACAATATATTTATAATTGGTGGATCAATTCCAGAATTAAGTAATGATAATAAAATTTATAATACTTCATTAACTTTTGATCCAAAAGGTGAAATTATAGCAAAACATCGTAAAGCTCATTTATTTGATATTAATATTCCAAATGGTATAACTTTTCAAGAATCTTTAACTTTAACTGGAGGAGATAAAGCAACTGTTTTTAAATTAGGAGAATATGGTAATGTGGGGTTAGGTATATGTTATGATATTAGATTTCCAGAATTAGCTTCAATTGCATCAAGAAGTCCAAATAATGCATTTGCTATGTTTTATCCTGGTGCTTTTAATACTACTACTGGTCCTTTACATTGGCATTTATTAGCAAGAGGAAGAGCTGTTGATAATGAATTATATACTGTTTTATGTTCTCCTGCAAGAGATGTTGGAAGTGGTGGGTATCAAGCTTATGGTCATTCTTTAGTAGCAGATCCATCAGGTAAAATTATAGCAGAAGCTGGTGAAGGAGAAGAAATTTTATATGCTGACTTAGATAAAGATGTATTAACAAAAGCAAGAGAAGGTATACCCGTACATTATCAAAGAAGATTTGATATTTATGGAGATTTTGTAGGCGATGGATCAGCGAAAGTAAGTGCTACATAAATGATATTTGAATAACTTTGAATAACTTTAAATCTATTCGTCTTCTTGACGTTCTATATAATCTACTATTACTTCCATAAATTCTTTTGGTTTCTCACTTATTACCCAATGACCAGATTCAATATCTTTTATTTCAAAATTTGGGAAAAAATTAGATATTTCAGGTATTATATCATCTGGAATATATTTTGATTCAGTACCTCTTATAAATAATGCAGGACCAGTCCATCTATAATCTTGAGAACTATATGGCCAACTTGCTATCATACCTTTACTTATTGCATTTCCAATAATTTCCAAGGGAATTTTTGAAGTTACTGGTTCATCCTTTTTACCTCTATTTAAATTCATTAATACAAATTGTCTTATTACTTTATTTGGTTCAACTTCTTCTAATTTAGAATCAACATCTTTTATGTTTGTATAATGATATTTCTCCAAGGCAATTCTTAATTGATTAATATATTTATTAAATTTTGAATCTGTGTTTCCAAATGTAATAGGAGCATTATCAACACTTACAATCATTTTAGGAATATCTGGTTTTCTTAAAGCTAAAGCCATAACAGTTTTTGCACCCATTGAATGACCAACCAATATAGGTTTTTCTGAAAATTTTTGATTTAATATCCATTTTTCAACATCTGCTGATAAACTTGGATAATCTAATCTATTAATATGAGGACTTGATCCAAAATTTCTTAGATCTAAACAATATATATTTCGTTTCAATTTTTCAGATAATTGTTTTGCAACTGTTCTATTATTTGCTTTTGAACCAAATAATCCATGTAAAATTATTACTGGTGATTTTTCTGGATTTAAACCTTTAAATTCTTCAAATGCAAGATCAACCGTTTCAATTGATTCATTTCTTGTTATTCTAGTTGATGAAAAATATCGTATAGAAGAATAAATTGGTTTAGTTCGTATTGATGGTGATAACAATTTCAAACTGAACATCTTCAGATCTGACCATATAGATCGGAAAATAAATAAATAAACTTGATAAATTTAAATTTTAAATAATTTTTCACATTTCCACAATCACTATCAATCTCATCCATTCATGTTTAAAAATTTCATAAGATCAATGTCATCATCTACAAATATTGGCCCCATAGAATCCTCAATAAATTCAAAATTAACCACAACATTCAAACCAACATTTTTAGAAGTACGAAATGATTCACATAAACATTCACATCATTCAGCTATGAAAGGTGCAACAAACACTGCGGAATCTCATTTTTTTATAAAAATGCAAAGTGAAGAATTTAATGATAAAAATTTACCAAATAGACATAGATTAGTTTATGGTTTATTAGATGATGAATTTAAAAATAAAGGATTACATGCTTTACAAATGAAATTAAAAGGTACTAATGAAAAATTGGAGTAGCAGAGGAAGTGTATAACGAAATTAATGATGTATATATACAAAAAAAAGATTAAAATTATTAATTAAAAAGTACTACCTATTAATTGTTAATTTTACAGACCGTTTTGATGAGAAGTTTCTTGAACTGAAGCATTTTTTGCAACTAATTCAACAATTCTTCGTATTACAGGTAAATTCAACCATGCGGGAACATAAGCTTCAACTCTTGAAAAAGGTCTTAATTCAATTTCTCTAAAAGGATCTTCAAAATGACCATCTGTTGACATTGTTAAAAATAAATCATCATTTGAGCTTTCTTTTGTTCTTTCTGCTACTAATTTCATTACTGCAGGTGCTACAGGAGTTTCATAATCTGCTGCTGTATAAGCACTTATAGTTTTATGAATTTGTGCAGAATTTAATGCATAACATATTTCATATATAATATCAATATCTTCAGCAGTATTTTTTCTTAATTGTAATAATTTTGCAGCTTGTAATAAATGAACTAAACATGATGAACCTTCTTCAATATCATGAGATTTACACCATTCTTCTAATCTTGTAACATTATAATTTAATTGTAATCCTCTTTTCCAACTTAAAAAATTTCTTCTTAATATTAAATCATTAAAACATAATGCATCAATAAATTTTAACATTTCTGTTATTACTCTTACAATAACATCATTTTCTAAATAATAACTTTTCATTGACCAATATAATGTATTAAAAGTTGATAATATATCATCCATTTTATATGTAGCACCAGCTGAAAATACTTTACTTAAAAATGGTGAATTTTCTGGTGCCATAAATCCAGGTAATGCTTGAGATAATACAACTGCAGAAACTGCTTTTTTCTCTAAATCTTTTTGCATTTTTTTCATCCACATATTATAAATATTATAAGATAATGATTCAAAATCTTCTTTTACAACAGCAACTAATTTTAAATATTCAGTAAATTCTTCTTCACTCATTTCATTAGATAATGTATCATTTGCTATAATAGTTTGTTCAGCATATGAAACAAATGAATATAATTCATGAGTATTTGATAACCAAAATGCACCATGAGGAATAACATCATCATCTTTTAATAATGAAACAAGATTCTGTATAGATGCTAAAATTTCACCAAGAAAATCTTCACTTTCTTTAGTTAAACCTAATCTCCACATATCTGATAATATTATTATAATAATTCTACTTGGAAATAATACTTCTTTTCTTGTTAAATCTGCAGCAACTCCAGCAGGTGGTATTTTTAAACCTTTTAATAAACCTTCAACTATTTCACGATGTAATTGACGTGAATCTCTTAATAATTTAAATAATTCATCATTAATATCATCAATATTAGCATTGTCATCATTTGATACAGCAATGACTGATACCGGCCTAGGATTATCAATAGAATTGGGAGAACTCCACGCCAAAGCACTGCTATGACGTTTACTTGTATTCGCGTTTCTAATTTTGGGATTACTTAGTTGAGCTAATTCTGATTTTAATTGATCAATATGAGCTTTAAGATCAACTTCAATAGTATCACGTTTAATAAGATCATTTTTAGCATCATTTAATTCTTTTATTGTTTTTTGAACTTCTTCTTTCAATTCAATTTGTTCTTTAGTTAATTGTCTGATTTTTTCTTCAGCTGATGAATAATCTGATTTTATTGTATTTAATTCACGATTTAAATTTTCAACTTCTTCTTGATGTTCTTGTTTTGTGGAATCATATTTCTCATTAAATTCTAATTCTCTTGATTTTAAAGTTTCTTTTACTTGTCCTTGTTGATTTAATAAATCTTTTAAATTCAGTATTTCTTCCATTAATTTCTTATTATCTTGAATTTTAGATGTTAAAGCTTGAGTTAAATCAATAACTTTGTTCTCCAACTGATAAGAAACTTCTTTTAATTTATTTACAGATTTTGCATCAGCTTTTAATGTTTTCAATTCACGATAAGCAAATTGTCTTCTAAAAGCAGATTGAATAATAATAGCTGATCTTTTGGTTTTGTTGAATTCTTTTCTTTGTTGATATCCTTTCCATGATTTTTGTATAGTTGACGCTGATTTTTCGAGTCGGTGTTTTTTGAAATTTTGTCTTGCTTGTAAACCTCTTATTGATTTTTGTAATGTAATAACTGATTTGAGAGTGTTTTGATACTGTTTTCTTGCTAAATGTCCTCTTATTGAAGTTTGAATTAATGTTGCTGCATGTTTTTCCTTTTCTTGTCTTATAAACCTTCTTCTCTCAAAACCACGTATTAAACTTTGTAATTTGATATGAGATTGCCTTATTTCAATATATTTTTGTCTAAAGAAACGTTTTCTCATATTCTTTTGTATCATGACAGCAGATCTATATAATTTATCTGTCCTTAATTTTTCAAAATGAGCCAACATACCAGCTTTGAAAAAAATCTTGGTATTACCTAGTTGATATTTTTCTTTATTTTCAGTATTTGATTGTAAAATTTGATTACATAAATCAGTTACAGATTCTTGTGTGGTTTCACCACTCATTACTTTAATCCAATCTTTTGAAGGAGCTAAGATATGATACCTATCAGCGAATTCAACATAAGTCCATCTTGAAGGGAAACCAGCACATGAAATTCTGATCGTTTCCAAAACACCACAAGCTCGTAATTGAGATAGCACCATTAATGAATCAAATTCCCAAGCTTTTTTCTCTTCATTTGGTTTTATACATCTTATATAATGAACATTTGTAGAATTTATAGTTTTCATTAATTCAATTAATGAATTTTTAAACATGGAACCTAATGTTGGTTTTTTATTCATCATTTTACCTTTTGTTGGTTGTTTGGTTGCTTCTAAAGCACTTGCATTTTTATCAATTATACTAAGAATATCTTGAAGTAATTCATTTTTAGAATTTTTCATAACTTCTAAATGTCCTTCTCCAACTGTGTCTCTATTTTTCTCTATAAATCCATCCATATCATATGTAACATCTAAAGCATAATGATTAACAACGAATTTAGTTTGACCAAATCTTGGTTTTTGGAAAACTTTATTTGAAGGAGGTTTATCCAAATTTTGATACATTTTTTCAATCCATGATTGATCATTACCTGCTGGTAATCTTGATTCTTCATCTAATAAAGCCAAAATACCCATTCTATTTTCAATCAAATCAATACATGGTTGATTATCTGAAAAGTCTATAAAAGACCATTCAATTTGTTCTTTTATATATTCTTCTTGTTCTAATTTAAATACATGTTGATTAAATTCTTGTTGTAATTTTTCATTAGCATAATTAATACAAAATTGTTCAAATGAATTTTTTTCAAAATGTTCAAACCCATAAATATCCAATACTCCAATAAATGAATTTATTTGTGAAGCAACTGATTCTGGACATAAATCAGTATTAACATAATCAACCAACCAATCGAATAATGCTGAATAAATATATTTTGCAAATGAATCTCTTGCAACAATTGCTTGTTTATGATTTAAATTACTAACAATTTTTTCAGATCTTGTAGTGATTTGTTTTTTCACGCACCATTTGGCGAAATTAAACGCATCTATACCTAATAACTCACAAGCTTTAACTAAATTTGGTTCATCACTTGATAAATGTGCATCATTTTTAGTAGCAGCTATATCAATATTACCAAGATGTAAAAGAGCTGCCAATATTTTATATATTTCAAATTGTTTTGAATCATCAACACCTATTAAGGATAACGCATCTTTTGTTATTTTAAATTCTTCAGCATCATCTACTCCATTTATTTTAGGTGAACCACCTTGATTGGTGTATTTATAATCACTAGCAGTTTTCAATCCTAATTTTTCTTTCTCTTTTGAATCCATTCCTGCCAAAATTTGATAAAAAATATGATAATTTCTTTCAGTAGATGGTTGAAATACTAATCTTGATCTTTCTAAAAGGTATGTTCTTATTCTTGCACCAATAATAGAAGTTTCTTTATCAAATAATATTTCCAAATATTTACCAAAACGTGATGAATTATCATTTCTTGTAGTTTTTGCATTACCAAAAGCTTCCATTATAGGATTTGTTGCTAATATTTGTTTTTCAACATCTGACATTTCTACTTTATGATCAGTTCCTATAGCTTGTTGTACATCAGCTTCTACAGAAGCAAAATATCTCATAATATATTTAGCAGAAACTGTTTTACCAGCTCCAGATTCACCACTAACAACTATAGTTTGATTATCTCCATTTTGTTTCATACATCTATAAGCATCTTCTGCAATGGCAAAAAGATGAGGATCTGATTCTGTTCTTTGTCTTCCAGCATAATTTTGTACAATATCTTGAGTATATAATTGTTCTACTTTTTGAAAAGGATTAGTTGCAATTAATACTATACCTGAATATGTATAAATATTTAATAATGAATAACGTATTTTTATAGTTTGTAAAACAGCTGGTTCATTTAAATATGATAAACTTGTTAAATCTTCAGTTGATTCTAATATAGGTGGATTTCTTAATGGTGGTAATTCATCATTATCTTCTGAAAGATTATCTGTTTCTATTTTAAATATAGTTGAATCATCATTTTCTAATGTTAATTCTATTATATGTTTTTTACCTTCTTGTTTATTTGATTTAACAATTGTTCCTACCCAACCTAATTCTTTATCAGGATACCAACAGCGAGTTCCTGCATCATATAATGATACCATAGTTAATTAAGATATATGTATTGTATGTGTAATGATGGTAAGTTGTATAGTTGGTTGTAAAAATTAGATAAGAATGATTGTTAGTAAGTTGTTAGTTGTTGATTAGATCAAAAGATTTTTTTATTATTTATTTTTGTACATAAAAATATTTTTTCTTTCTGTTTATTTATTTACGTGGATTGATTTATTTAGTATAAGATAGAATGGAGACGACGGATTTTATAAAAAGGTGAAGTAATCAAAATGTCATGACGACACAGGTAATATACACTTGACTGAAGAGTAATGATTTCTTTAATTTGGATAATATCACCAAATGTTTTGAACCATTTGAATACAAAGTGTTTGTAAGAGAAAGATTTAAAATATTCTCTCGAGTAATAAATATATGGTCGTGTAAATTATGACACTATACATTCTTAAAAAATAAATATTAAAGATCAAAAAGATTTGACGAATCCTAAAGCATGTGATTATAAGAAAAATTGAAAGAGGCACTCGAGGAAATTTTCAATCACATACAATCTAATGATATGTGTTTCGTTCAGTGATAATTGGAATTGTTATATCTATTTACACTATTTTACTAGACAGTCATATGAAAATTCTTATTAATTAGACGCGTTTATTGGTACCTGATACATATTCAGTTTTGTGTAATACATTTTGTGCCAAAATTTGATCCAAGTAATTATCTAGAACTCAAACAAAATGAAACACTTTCCATGTCTTCTCAAAACTTTCCTCTCAACAAATTCGAAATCATATCCTTAGCAGTTAAATATGAAGTTTTATAAAATGTACCAAAATCTAAAGTTGATGATAATGTATCAACAAATCCAAAAAATAACATTGAAGGAATCCAACCTTGAGCTAATTCTAAAGCATAAGATTCACCAGGCATAGCATATTGTTTAGTCTCGCCTCTTTTTAAATGATGACAATCACCAGGTTTATAAATTTCAGGTTCTAAATTACCAGGTAATGCAGCTCTTTCTTCACCTTTTAAAATCATAAAATAATCATCAGCAAAATGAACACCTGTATGACCTTCTGTTCCAATTGCAGTACCAAAAAATATTAAATATTCAGATATTGAACTATGTAATATAAACATCATACCCATTGCTCCTCCTGCATTATTATATACCCAATCATTAAAATTTAATTCGTTTATAATATCTGGATATTCTTTTTTAATTTTTTTACCTAAATCAATCATCATTGCTGTTGCATTTGTTGGATTAGTTTTAATTGTTTGATTTACTAATGATTGTAAAACATCTTTATCAAATCTATAATTTGTTGGTAACCATGTATAATATAACAGTGACATAATTGTATACATTGCAATAGGTATTAAACCAATTAATAATAATTTCATGATTGTTCAATTGATATTAATTATTTCTCTGATGTTTGAATTGAATCATCAAAACTCATCACTCTAAACAAGTCGAATGAAATATCCAAATATATATATATATATCATTGACTTGGTATTATTGTTTTTGAAATTTTATATTCATTTCTTATACGACCGTATATATATATAATACTTCTAAACTAAGCGAGAAAGCTTGAATTTGAAACGATCTCTATTTTATTTTAAAATGGATTGAACTTCCTAATTTAGATATTTGAAGTGTTTGTACCTGAAACGATATTCGAACAAATTTGAAACATTGAAGGCTTGTTAGTAAGTTTCATGAATATAGAAATTTTTAGGTTCACGTTAAACGATATTTAAAGATTGATTACACTCATAGAAATGCATATAGAAATTTAAGTGTTACTCAAAAGAAGTTGTCACAAACTTGTCAGAACTTCATTTTTTGATATTGTTTGAAATTTGTTGCAAAAAAATTTATCTGTATTTCTAAAACAAAACCCAAGCATTATTAGTTTCTGATTTTGGATTTAAAAACTCAGAATTCATGTAAACGTGGATCAATCAGATTTTGTCTACTTACATTTGAATCTAATATTAGAGAGGTAAATTTCAAAATTGAATAATAGTAGAGTTTGTTGATTACACGCAAAACTTGTTTCAGATAATATTTGTTACCAAATTTTGATATTAATGATGACGATCCCTTTTCAATTGCATATTCACATCTAGAAAGACTACACCTATCTTTGAACGTTGTGAAAAATAATTAATAGTTGGTTATTTTCATAATTGCCATGAGGTTTATCATTGACATTCAAAAGTGAGTAAACAATTGGATGGTTTAACGCTATACAACTATAACTTAACCTAGCAAGGTATAACTGTTTTTTGAACGAAAGACGTGCTTTACGAAATGTGAAGCATCACCAATTACATTTTTTTAAATAGAATTGATGATATTTCACATTTCATTTCTGTTGGATAGGATGTCATTCTGATGGTAGTCCGAAATTAGAATCCTTTTGATACTTAATAACCATCGACACCCCATAGGTCGAATTTTCGATGTTGAATTCCTTGAAATTAACGTCATTTCAAGATGTAACTAGTCTTGTGAATTTTCATTAGATCTTGACTTGAATGAAAATATTGAGATGGTGAATACAAACGCAAAATGCATTTCATGAAGAAGGCTAATACTTGTTGCCAATCAAAAATTAGATATATTTCTTGAATTTTCATCGGAATCATCTCAACATCTTCATCCAAGTGATGTGATGAACATGTACCTAACTATTTACATCTTAGAACGACGTAAAGCTTTCAAATATAGGTCAACACTGCCAATGAACTATTCTCATAGTTTGCAATTTAATCCCATTGAGTGATAGAATCCAACAACTAAGCATGAGGGGATCCTACACCAGCGTTGAATATTTTTAGAATCTCCACATCAAGTCCATCAATAGTACAACACATTCCAGCAGTGCTATCAATTAACAGAAAATTCTGATTGATGGTTCTAGATTGGAAATCATCAGGTACACCATTGAATAATTTAGACCTTCTAGCTTTGAATAATACATACACCTGCTCAGTAATTTTATCATCGCCACATTTTCTTCCAATATGCCCACTCCCTACAATAAAAGGTGAAATGTAGATAATGCAAACAAAACCTTTAGTATTCATGTCTAATTTATGATAAACTGATGAAAAACCAGACCATTCATTTGCAGTTGATGGTGTAAGTTAATCATAATTATCATCTGCTAAACTATATTTTTACTTAATACCTATCAACAATAACAATGTAAACTAATAAATGTCCTATTTCTAATGCCGATTTGAGGAATCGTCAACAATTAAGTCATCTTAAAGTGTGAGTCAGATGAATAATTTTGGTTCAAAGGAAAAGGTTAATACCCCAGTATAGTCAGGTTGTCTTAATCATTTGGTGTCAACTTGTTTCTTCTCATTTTTCATTATTATATTAGTTTAGATTTCTGTCAGAATCAAACCAGTTTTTTGAAGTATTAAAAAAAATTGTCTGAGATAATGTTGAGAACGGACATAAAATTATTTGCGCTCTTTTTAAGACACAAATTTAAAAAAATAAATTAACATCTAATCACGGAACATATTTCCTAAATCAGTATTTGATTACCATTCTTAATTATATAATTGGATTAAATCTACCCCACTAATCAAGTATAATAACTAACAAAAACACCAGTAATTACATCCAATTTTCTTTCCAACAATCTATCATCAACAACATTATACTTCACTACTAGGAGAAAAATGGTTTTATCACTTGAAGAAGTTAGTAAACATAATAATAAAAAAGATTGTTGGGTAATAATTCATGATAAAGCTTATGATTTAACTGAATTTATGCCAAATCATCCTGGTGGTGAAGCAATAATTTTAAAATATGCTGGAAAAAATGCAACAAAAGTATTTGATCCAGTTCATCCTCCTGATACTTTAGAAAAATATTTAAATCAAAAAGATCATAAAGGAGAAGTTGAAAAAAGGAAAATTGAACCAAAAAAACAGAAAATAAAAGTACAACCACAACAACAAGAAGAAAGTTCTAATGATGGAAAGAAGATAGTTGATGAATTTGATGTAGAATATGATGAACAAGATGATATGGATCCTATACCAACTGGGCAACAATTACAAGTAACTTCCACAACAGAAGAAGAAGATGAAGATCTATTATATGATGAAGATGGAGAACCAAATTCACCAGAAGAAATTCAAAGATTAAAAAATATAAAAAATAAACCAGATTTAGGACAAATTTATAATTTAAATGATTTTGAATATGTTGCAAGAAATACAATGGAAAAAACAGCTTGGGGTTATTATAGTTCTGGTAGTGAAGATGAAATAACAATGAGAGAAAATCATTTAGCTTATCATAGAATTTTTTTTAATCCAAGAATTATGGTTGATGTTTCCAAAATTGATTTTTCAACTACAATGTTAGGTACCAAGACATCAGTACCATTTTATATTACTGCAACTGCCTTGGGAAGATTAGGTCATCCAGATGGTGAAAAAGTATTAACAAGAGCTGGTGCAAAAGAAGATGTGATACAAATGATTCCAACATTAGCAAGTTGTTCATTTGATGAAATAGTTGATCAAGCAACAGATAAACAAACTCAATGGTTTCAATTATATGTTAATTCAGATAAAGAAATTTCAAAAAAATTAGTTCAACATGCAGAAAAAAGAGGTTGTAAAGGTTTATTTATTACAGTTGATGCTCCTCAATTAGGTAGAAGAGAAAAAGATATGAGATCAAAAGATATTCAAGATTTAAGTAATGTTCAAGGAAATGATGAAGAAAGTGATAGATCTCAAGGTGCAGCAAGAGCAATAAGTTCTTTTATTGATACTTCATTAAATTGGAAAGATATTGAATTTTTTAAATCTATAACAAATATGCCAATTTTATTAAAGGGAGTTCAATGTGTTAAAGATGCAATATTAGCAGCAGAATATGGATGTAATGGTATAGTTATAAGTAATCATGGAGGTAGACAATTAGAATTTACAAAATCTCCAATTGAAATATTAATTGAAACAATGCCAGTATTACGTCAAAGAGGATTAGATAAAAATTTTGAAGTATATGTTGATGGAGGAATAAGAAGATCAAGTGATATTTTAAAAGCTATATGTTTAGGTGCAAAAGGTGTTGGTATAGGAAGACCATTTTTATATGCAATGTCAACATATGGAGATGAAGGGGTAATAAAAGCTATACAAATTTTAAAAGATGAAATGATTATGAATATGAGATTATTAGGTGTTACATCATTAGATCAATTAAATGAAGAATTTGTTGATACAAATTCTATAACTAATAGATTTGTACCTGAAGATAAATTATTTAAAAAAGTTTATCAACCTTTAGTTAATCCACCATTTAAAAATAGTAAATTATAATATTTTTCTATAAAGGTTTAATTAGATATATAATACATTCATAGATATTGTTTCCCTTTGTGTATAGAAACTAATATATATTTATTTGATTAAAAAAGTAGATTTTAGTGACAATAAGCTTATAGCCTTATAGAGATTGTAGACTTATGAGGATATTAAGTGCGAAAAAGAGCCCTTGATTGAAGAAAAAAATAAAAAAGAACAGGGTTATCACCACCTCAACCATCATACATTTCAAGTCAATGTAAAACCTTAAAACGTTTCTTGGCTATGTTGAGGAAGTGAGAATAGCCTAGAATGAAAAATTTTCATACTTTAAGTTGTAATTAAGATGAAACTTTCATATTTCATGAAATGGCTTTAATAAACTAAAAATTAAGTTTTTTTAGTGAATTACGTTTCAGGTCTAAATTTATTTTTTTAGTCCCTTAGTTCATTAATATTATAATTGTTGATACAACAAGAATATAATAATTTATGTAAGACTATCAATTACTTGAATCTATAAAATCCTTGGCTTGATTCGGTCCACTGATTGCCATTTTTAATACTAGAATCGATCTTTGAAACTGGAGTATACGTGCAGTATGTGTCTACACATTGACATTTATGGAAAAATACATATACACCGATTGATCCACATGTACAAATTAAAGAAGTGTATAGTTGGATAAAAATTTAGTTAAATCTACTTTTTATTAATCTATTAAGCATTAAATGTATATGTATAATTCGCAAAATAATTCATTAGAGCTAAAACTAAATGAGATTTGACAAAGGCAATTTACATATGTAAGTCTACAAGTGAAGATTATATGTTTCAGCCGTTTTACACGCCTTCCATATTTAATTGATGTTGATGATACAATTTAAGAATTTTAAGAATTTGGCGGAATTTAATGTTTACATAACCATAAGAATTAGTTTAGTCAAAACTCACCTAGATATACTAAAAATCTATTAATATGTACATGTAGTAATAGACAATAGCATATTCCACGTAAGAGTATTAATTTGTTTCTATCTGATAAGGGATTAAGTATCATCTTTTTGCTCATAATTATACCAGAATTTCCATAATTTTACTTATAATTACTTAAATATTTTCACATTTCCACACTTCGTATACTAATTAAAGTTCATAGTACGAAAGTAATACGTATTATCTCTAAGCAATAGCAGTAATGTAATCCATACTTAGCCCAATACTTACTCCATTAGAGGAAAATTTCTCTCTATTTCTGTTGTATTGTTCATACTAGTACTATTATGAATTACTGGTAAAAAAATATTTACTGTTTATTATATTTACAATCCAAAAAAGATAAAATTTAATAATTTTTTTTTTATAAGAGATCTCTGTATTTATTATAATAAGTAAACCACATTTTCATTTATACAAGCTACTTTTCTACTAAAATAATAATAAATAATACTAAGAATAATATCAATAAATCAAACTATAATTCAAAACTATTATTAGATAAGAGAATTTTGTTTCTGTAATTTTTACTGGGCTAATTTTGAAGAAAAGAAAAATATCAGGGTAAAAAGACATTAGACCTTCCTCCTCCTCACCAATACTTCAATACAATCACCCATAACATCAGGTAACTTTATTTTTTTTTACCTTGAAGAGGTTGGTGTAAATAATACTCCTCATTATACTTGGTCACTACTAATCTAATCAAAGTTATATTCATTTTTTTTACCTAGAAGAGGCGTTAATATTCTTTTGACAACCACTAACTTTCATCATCATTATCAACAACTATTTCATCAATCAATCTAGTTTTTGAATATCATATTATCAAGAGCAAAATATCACTTTTGAGTATATTTTTACCAGTATAAAACTTTTTCATCATTTAACTAATTTATCGTATAACTAAATACCTAATATGGTGTTACTTAATGGTGTCAAGTATGCATGTGATCGTTGTATACGTGGTCATAGAGTTACTACATGTACTCATACTGATCAACCTTTAACAATGATAAAACCAAAAGGAAGACCAGCTTCTCAATGTACTCATTGTAGAGAAAATAGAAAATTAAAAAATTTACATGTATCATGTTCTTGTGGTAAAAAAGGTAAAGGAGGTTCAAATCATGATATAAATTGTGCTTGTTATAAAACAAATCATTGTACATGTTCAACAAATTCTTCATCTTCAACTTCAACTTCCATAAAAAAATCAAAAGATAATCAAATAGAAATTCAAAAAAGAAAACAATTATTAGATAATGATTTAAAAAAGAGATCTACATCTATGTCAATACAATCAAATGCAAGTGATTCTTCACCTGGAAGTACTGGATATTCTTCAGCACCTTCTTCAAATGTACAACAAGAAATTAAACCATCAGCAATAAATTCTACAAATCATCATCAACAACAACAACAACAACCACAACCACAACAACAACCAATTAATCCAGAATTAAATGATAATTTTGTTATTGAAGATATAATAATACCTTTTGATACTAAAAATGGACTTTTTGATATGTTTTCAAAAAATGAAAATTATGAAACTTTTAGTAATGAAACAACACCAGATAAATTTCCACCACAACCAAATCAAAATACTAATCAAATCAATACCGCTAACAATAATGATTATGTCAATATTCGTTCATCATTAACTGATCCAAATCAATATGATTCAAATCCAGATGATGTTGATAATATGTTTCCATTATTCCCATTAGTTGGAGGTCCAAGTTTTGATAATGAAAATCAACCATTATCTGGTATTCCACAAAATAATGAATATCAACAACCAAAACCAATGAGACCATCATTAGATACATCAACTTCAAATTATGATTATAATCTGTATACATCTTTTCAATCAACATCAGCAGCATCTGAATCAACATCAAATATAAATTTTGGTTCAAATTTAAATGAATCAAATAATAATCAATATCATAATAATCATCAACAACAATATTATCAACTGCGACCTAAAAGACCTGAAAGTGTATTATCAATAGCTTCAAATTCTTCAACTAGATCATTTGATTTTATAAATAATAGTAGTAATAATTATCATAATTCATCATCATTTATAAATGGTGGAATACCATCATCAACTACATCAACTGCTTTTCCACCAAGTGGGAATTTTTCATTTGATGAAAATAATAATAATTTAGAAGATCATCAACAGAATAATTATCATAATCATCATTTTGGTAAAACAGGATTAGGATCATCAAATTCAAATAATAAATTTGGTTCACAATTAAGTAAAATTGAAAGTGAAATGTATACAGAAAATTTTTTTGAAGAAAATTTTAATCAGAATAATAATCATCCTTTTACTCATATTATTGAAGATAAAATTAATGGGAAAATTAATAATAATGATAGTTATGAGAATGATGGTTTGAAAAGAAATTCATCTATTACTTCTTCTTCTTCAATACCAAATTATTTTTATAATAATAATAATAATGATGGTAGTAGTAACAAAATAAACAATGGTAACAATAATAACATCAACATCAACAATATCAACAACAATAACAACAACATCAACAGCAACATCAACAATAATAACAATACCACCAACAACAATCTTAAAAATAACGGTAATATTAGTCGAAGCAATAGCACCAATAATGGAGTAAATGGGAACGTCAATGGTAATTTGAATGGTAATGTCAATGGCTCCATTAAAAATCAAATCAATAATGTCGAATCATCATATTCAAAAAATTTTTATAATAGTGAAAATATAAACAATCTAAAATCAAACAATAATAATAATAATAACTTTAAAAATGAGGAAATAATTTCAAATAATGATAATAGTAATAATAAAAATGAAGAGACAGTTGATGATGATATTCCATTATATCAAGATTATTTTATGCCAACTTTTAATAATGGTACACCAACTCCAAACAGTAATTAATTTTAATTCAAACATATTGAATAAAAAGATGATAAAAATGAAGAAAAGTTTTCATGATATGAATTGTGATAAGAATAGAGAAATGATTTATAAAGTTTTGATTTAATGATAAATGTATTAATAATTTGATTAAATAGATTACTAACTTACTTATTTACCTCTTCATTCACTAATTAATCTATTCACTTATTAATTTTTAAATTTTTTAATCTATTAGTATTTGAATCTAAATCAATTTTAGAATTCACTTTAGATTTTATTTTGTCTTCTTTTGAAATTTGTTTTTTAGATTTTGGGTAATTTAAATCAGTTGATGAAATAGCTCTATTATTTTCACTAGTGTTGTCTTGTATTAAATATAATTTTAAAATTTCATCTGGTATATTTAAAATATTTTTTTGTTCAATTTGTTGTAATTTTGATAATTTTATTATATATTCTAATAATGATAATGAATTTGATTGTTTTTTTAGTTCTTCTGCATCATTATCATCAGTTTCTTCTTTATCTTTCTCTTCTTCTTCTTCTTCCTCATTTTCGTCATCATCATCATCTTCTTCTTCCTCTTCTTCTTCATCAAATTCATTTTTACTTAATTGTCCTAGTGCAATCCATTCTTCATTATCTTGTTTATCAATTAATTTCAAAATTAATACAGGTGAATTATTATTTTCTAATTTTAATAAATTTCCTGAAGCAGTAAAAAACATACTTTGAATATTTTGAATATTAATTTCTTTGGTGATTGGAATTGAGTCGTCTTCATGATATCTATCATCATTAAAATTTTCTTTTATTTTCAACGTATATTGATATTTTAAATTCGAAACTCTATTAATAGTAGTTGTACACCTTGCAAATGTTTCTTTCCATGATATACAATCTAATTCATTAAATTCTTCATCTCCTTCATCAACATATTTAAGTCTACTTGGATTATAAAATATTGTATAAAGTTTTAAATCAAATTTTGGACCAATTCTATTATTACTACTATTTATATAATTTGATGCTTGTAATAATCTACCTGGTGAAATTTGATTAAAATTTAATGAACCATTTAAATTTATTCCAGAAGTAATTAATGATAAATTTAATATTGGTATTGCTTCATTTATATCAACCAATAAATTATTCATATATGTTTCAACTTTTAATATACTTTCTTTTGTATTCTTTGTTGAAAGATTATTAACTATAAAATTTAAATTTTCATCAAAATCTTCAAATTGTAATAATAAATCATCAATTAAATCTAATGTTGAATCTAATATTGTATTTCCTTTACTTGATGCTAATTTTATAAGATTTATTGTTATATTTATTATATTAATTTTAATTTTTAATTTATGACGTTGTTTTAATAATTGTTTTTGTTGAGATTCTGGAATTTTATCAAGAAATGTTGATATTGATTTTATTGCATAACCTGATGCAATTGATATACCTGATCTTATAGCAAATGATACTACTTGGTTTGAAGCTTTTGCTAATATTTGATCCATTTGGTATCTAGTTGGTTAATAGTTGTGAATGATAATGATGAAATTGATTTTGTGTTATAAGATCAAACATAAAACAATCGCGTAAGAATCAATGTTTATTTTTCTTTTATTATTATTATCGTATCAACTTAATATCAAAGCATAACTCATCAAATGGCTGTTAGAAAACCATTAACTAAATTCACAACACCCTTGGGGTCAGGAGCAGGAGTACCCAAAGAAAAACGACCTCCAAAAGTTTTAGATTCTGAATCACGACTAGCAAAACCATTTAAAGTTCCTTTTAAAACGCGACTGGAAACAGTAGGTGGAATTATATCAAATAGACCAGTAAGATCCAGTAGGAAAAGAACAAATTATGCAATTGATGATTTAGAAAATCAACAAACTGACCAAGATGATGATTCAAATGTAAATGAATTTGGTGAAGTTATAAGAGTTAAAAAATTTGGTGCTTTATTACCAAGATCAATGAATCAATTGAATATGAATAATAATGATATTAAATTTAAAAGATCATTTACCGTACCATTTAGTAAGAATAATACAAAACAAAATGAATTTAATAGAGCTCCACCACCTCCATTAGGTACAAAAATTAAACCAATATTACCTCCTCGTGCATTACATGATCCAATGTCTGAATTTGCAATAGTATTATATGATCCAACTGTCGATGTTATACCTAAAATTGAAGAACTAGAAGAAAAAAATCAAGAAATTCAACTGAGTCCAACAACTGAACCAGAAAATTCATCAGACAATACTCAACCACCTTTGAAAAAGAGAAAACATCATAAATCATTAGCTGAAATTTTAGGGATTGTTAAAAATCCTGAAGATCAATTAGCTAAATTCCCCAATGTTCCAGTTGTAATAGATCCAAAATTAGCTAAAATTTTAAGACCTCATCAAATTGCTGGGGTACAGTTTCTTTATAGATGTACTTCAGGTTTAATAGATCCAAGAGCAAAAGGTTGTATTATGGCTGACGAAATGGGATTAGGTAAAACTTTACAATGTTTAACATTAATGTGGACTTTATTAAAACAATCTCCTCGTGGTAGGAAAACTATTGAAAAATGTATAATTGTATGTCCTTCTTCATTAGTTAGAAATTGGGCAAATGAAATTATAAAATGGTTAGGTGAAGGTGTATTAACTCCATTAGCTGTTGATGGGAAAAGTACAAAACCAAATGAATTAGGTACTGCTTTACAACAATGGTCAACTGCAACAGGAAGAAATATAGTTAGACCTGTTTTAATTATTTCTTATGAAACATTACGTAGAAATGTTGATAAATTAGCAGGAACAGAAGTTGGATTAATGTTAGCTGATGAAGGTCATAGATTAAAAAATGGTGAATCATTAACTTTTACAGCATTAAATTCTTTAAGATGTGAAAGAAGAGTTATATTATCCGGAACTCCTATACAAAATGATTTATCTGAATATTTTTCATTATTAAATTTTGCAAATCCTGGATATTTAGGTACAAGAAATGATTTTAGAAAAAATTTTGAAAATTCTATATTAAGAGGTAGAGATGCTGATGCTACAGATAAAGAAAGAGAGAAAGGTGATGCAAAATTAAATGAATTATCAACTTTAGTTTCTAAATTTATTATTAGAAGAACTAATGATATTTTATCAAAATATTTACCTATAAAATATGAATATGTTTTGTTTACAAGTTTATCACCAATGCAAAAGAAATTATATCATCATTTTATAACATCACCAGAAATTAAAAAATTATTAAAAGGAATTGGATCACAACCTTTAAAAGCTATTGGAATGTTAAAAAAACTTTGTAATCATCCAGATTTGTTAGATCTACCTGATGATTTAGAAGGTTGTGACCATTTGATACCAGAAGATTATCAATCATCAATATCATCAACTGGAAGAAATAGAGAAATTCAAACTTGGTTTAGTGGTAAATTTATGATTTTAGAAAGATTTTTACACAAGATTAATTCTGAAACTAATGATAAAATTGTTCTTATATCAAATTATACTCAAACTTTAGATTTAATTGAAAAAATGTGCCGTTTTAAAAAATATGGTTGTTTAAGATTAGATGGTACAATGAATATAAATAAAAGACAAAAATTAGTTGATAAATTTAATAATCCTGATGGATCAGAATTTATATTTTTATTATCATCAAAAGCTGGTGGGTGTGGTATAAATTTAATTGGAGCAAATAGATTAATTCTAATTGATCCAGATTGGAATCCAGCATCTGATCAACAAGCATTAGCAAGAGTTTGGAGAGATGGTCAAAAAAAAGATTGTTTTATTTATAGATTTATATCAACTGGTACAATTGAAGAAAAAATTTTTCAAAGACAATCAATGAAAATGTCATTAAGTTCTTGTGTTGTTGATGAAAAAGAAGATGTTGAAAGATTATTTAGTTCTGATAATTTAAAACAATTATTTCAATATCAACCAAATACTCAATGTGATACTCATGATACTTATAATTGTAAAAGATGTAATTTTGAAAAAGGTCAATTTATAAAAAGTCCTGCTATGTTATATGGTGATGCAACTACTTGGAATCATTTAAATCATAAAGCTTTAGCTAATAATGAAGATAGCTTGATAGCTGGTGAATCACAATTTAATGATATTTCTTTTGCTTTTCAATATATATCTCATTGATATATAAACTATTTAAAGTTAATGCATTTTTGATCAAACAACCATCAATGGTCTGTAGGTGACAAGACATGTTTTGATCTCTTTTTTCTCAATGGTTACTGCTTACAGATAGAAGTAAAGTCATTGGTTAATCGGAGTTGTTAAAAAACCCCCTAATTCCTGAAACGTAAATATAAAAAAACTAAGCGAAATTTAATCAGACAAAACTGTCAAGATCTGACAATTTGTATACTATGAAACTGACCGAGTCAAATCAGCTATTGCCTTGCCAAGAGGGCTCAAGTCTGAAGGATTTGTACCTCGATATTGATCATTTGCGGAACTTGAATTCCATTACCAAAAAGTGTCTGAATTCAATCTAGCGCAATATTTGAAGTATTCGCGCCAATTTTTAAGTCGGCAAAATAAAAATAATTCCGCTATCTTCCCCACACAATGTACTGACACACACCACTCTACTTAATAATTTATAATATATTGTATTGAAGTTAATAAATTAAATTGGTTGATAAATTGGAAAACATCAGTCCACAATCCAACTCACTCAATTCTTTTCATTTCCACTAGATTGATTAATCACATAATTCATTCATGTCAGAAACCACACCATTAAATCCAATTATTATAGTTGGAGGAGGATTAGCAGGATTATCAGCAGCTCATCAAGCTTATTTAAGAGGTGCAAATGTTATATTATTAGATAAACAAGGATTTTTATCAGGTAATTCAGGAAAAGCAACATCAGGTATAAATGGATCATTAACAAGAACTCAAGTTAAATTAAATATACCAGATTCTGTTGAACAATTTTATGAAGATACTTTAAAAACTGCAAAAGATAGAGCAAATCCAGATTTAATTAAAGTTTTAACTTATAATTCAGCTGATGCTATACATTGGTTACAAGAAATATTTGGATTAGATCTTACTGTTGTAAGTAGATTAGGTGGTCATTCACAACCAAGAACTCATCGTGGTCATGATTCAAAATTTCCAGGAATGGCTATAACTTATAGATTATTAGAAACTTTAGAAAAATTAAGTGAAGATGAACCAAATAGAGTTTTAATTTTAAAAAATTGTCAAGTTATTGATTTAATAAAAGAAGGTGATTCAAAAATTATTGGAGTTAAATATAAAAATTTAAAAAATAAATCTAAATTTGAATTATTTGGACCAGTTATTATGTCAACAGGTGGTTATGCAGCAGATTTTACTAAAAATTCATTATTAAGAAAATATAGACCTGATATTATTGATTTACCTTCTACAAATGGTGTTCATGCAACTGGAGATGGTCAAAAAATTATTATGAAAAATAATGGGGTTGGAATAGATATGGATAAAGTTCAAGTACATCCAACAGGATTAATTGATTTTAATGATAAAGAAGTAATTGAAGGTAAAAAACAACCAAGATTTTTATTTTTAGGTGCTGAAGCCTTAAGAGGAGAAGGTGGTATAATGTTAAATGGTAAAGGTGAAAGATTTGTTGATGAATTAGGTACAAGAGATTGGGTTAGTGGAGAAATGGAAAAACAAAATAAATTAGGTAATGGACCAATAAGATTAATATTAAGTGAAGAAAGTGAAAAAAATCTTGAATTTCATATAAAACATTATACTCAAAGAAATTTAATGAGAACTGTAACTGGAAAACAATTATGTAAAGAAATTGGATGTAGTGAAGAAACTTTAAAAAATCAATTAGAAATTTATAATAAAGCAGCAAAAGGTGAAATTAAAGATCCTTATGGTAAACAATATTTCCCAACAACTCCTTTCATTTATAAACCAGATGCAAAATATCATGTTTCATTTATAACTAGAGTTTTACATTTTACAATGGGTGGTGTGAAAATTAACGATAAATCTCAAGTTTTATCAAGTGATGATTCACCATTTGAAGGATTATATGCAGCTGGTGAAGTTGCAGGTGGGGTTCATGGGCATAATAGATTAGGTGGATCTTCATTATTAGCTTGTGTTGTTTATGGTAGACTAGCAGCTGATGAAGCTTCAAGTTACACTTTCCAAAAATTATCATCAACTCAGGCGGCTACTAATTCTTCTCCAGATCAACAAGAGACAGAGTCCAGTAGTAATAATGAGAAACAAGCAACTCAAAGATTAAATATGATTAATTTGCATATCGATCCAAATAATAAAAGAATTATTATTGATTTAAATGATGATCAGTCATCTACTCCACAACTTTCACAACAATCACAACCACCACAACAACAAAAAGTACAAGATCAACAACCAGAAAAAGAACAACAACCAGAAAAAGAACAACAACCCAAACAACAACAACAACAACAACAACACGCATCAAAAAAACCAACTGCATTCACAATTCCCAAAAAGGAATTCACAATAGAAGAAATTTCAAAACATAATACCGCAGAAGATTGTTGGTGTATTATAAAAAATGTAGTAGTAGATTTAACATCATTTTTAAATGATCATCCAGGTGGATCACAATCAATTATAAATTTTGGAGGTAGAGATGCTACTGAAAGTTTTGAAATGTTACATGAAGATAATTTTATACCAAAATATGTTTCAAATTGTGTTTTAGGAGTTGTTAAAGGTAAATCATCAGAATTAGATTTATAAGTAAATTAATTTTGATTCTGATTTGATGTATACATTAATTAATAGATATATAAAAGTCCAATTAATACAAATACTTATTTATTTATTTATTGAATAGTTAAATTAAATTAAAATGATATGTACTTAATCTTCTTTTAAAGATTTAGTATAATCTTCTTCACTTAATAATGAATCACTATCAGTTATTTCTTTTGGATCATCTAATTTAATATGAGCAATCCAACCTTCATTTGTAGGATCTTCATTAATTAATCCTGGTTCACTTTCTAAAATTGTATTTATACCCAAAATTTCTCCAGAAACAGGACTATAAATTTCACTTGCACTTTTAACTGATTCAATTGATCCTATAGTATCACCTTTTTCAATTCTATCACCTAATTCTGGTAATTCAACAAATGTAACATCACCTAATGCTTGTGCTGCATATTGTGTAATTCCTAATAATGCTGAATTATCATCATATAATTTAACATATTCATGTTCTTCAGTAAATTTTGTATCTATTGGTTTTTTTTCATGTAAATAAGGATATGCATGATCTTCTTTATTTGCTTTATAAAATTGTGGGGTTTGAGTTGTAAAAGTTTTGAATAAATTTATTGATTGATTTGAAACAATTGATGTACGTAAAGCAATTGATGATGGTCTTAATAATGATTTGAACATGATTGAAAATTAATTTGGTGTAGACGCTCTGGAAAGAAAAGAGAAGACGATGAACAATATATTTTGGTTGTTAAAAGTTTATTAGTTCATTGTTTTTCTATGTTTCCAATTTTACTATTTCAAAACATTTTGTTTTATGACTTCTTTTGTGTTAGCCGTAGAATTTGACTCTTTTACTTACATATATAAAAGTATATAATTAATGAAAAATACTCAATCATTTTACATATTCATCTTAATTAGACATTCATTTTTCCAATTCGCTTGTCACTTGGACATTTGTAATGCCTCATGATGTAATCAGAGAATTTACTTAAAATTCACACATTATCCATTATTAACAAATTACATTTAAAATGATATATAATTAAGCTTTTTTAATATAAAAAAAGTACTTATGAACAAAATAACATGATATCAATGAAGTTAATCCAGACAATAGTCCTAGATTTCAAGTAATCCCCTCAGTAAGCTTTCGCTTTAAAATTAAAACTCGTTTTTTAATTATCCCTTCATTAATTAACTAAAATGAACAGCAATTGGAACAACTATAACAATAATAACAATAATAACACCAAAAATTAAACACATTCTCATTTTAAAATCTTTCCACCACATATCTTTTCTAACTCTATTTGCTCCTCTTCTAAAACCTTGAGCAGATATTGCTAAATTATCTGTTTTATTTTCTATTGAATCTAATCTTTCACCTCTTTCAGCTACTTTATTTATATTATCTCTCATTATTCCTACTGTATCATCAATTTGCTATTTTAAATGTTAGTATTAATACTTTTACAAGATGATTTTGGCCATGGATTTTACTATAATGCATTAGCTCAAATTGATAATGTTTTACATACTGCTTGTATAGCCGCTGTTCTTGAATTGGATTGATCTCCAGTAGTCTGATTTGGAATGTATGGATCATATGGTACTGATGATGACATTTTGAGTTATTGTTTTCAAATTTTATCTTTACTTATGATATATCTTAACGGTTGTAAAATTGAATCAGGACTTTTGTTTTTATGGACTTTTTTTTCTTCCTTCTTTGGTTATGCGAGAATTCGGATGGTAAACTTTACTTCAAAGTACGCAACTAGCAAATGATAACTAAAAATCTTATTACTATTGATTGGTTGGATGTTAACACTTAAAACAGTGTTGATAATATAGGTTTGGTTATAATAAGTAAATAATTACCTAATTGAATGTAATCTATCGTTCGCTCAATTCTAATTTTATGGTTGTAAAATATGAGGAGATATTTTTTCTTTCTCTCCCTCAGTGTCCATTTTTTTTTTCCTCAAAAATTGTGACATTAATTTTTTTCCAATTTTGGTATATCTTTTCTTATTATCCAACTGCTCATGATGTATTAATAGATCCAAATAATTATGCTTTGAAATTTCAAAGGTCGGGGAATATGTTAAAGTGTGCTAGAGTCGGATTATAGAAACAGATAGGTTATTGACATCAAACTGTGATAATGAATTGATCCTATAAATTTTTTAAAAAATATATCATAATCAACAAAACTCGTATTTTTAACAAAAATAAAATAAAGTAAAATCTCTTATCGTTTAAAATCGTCATTGGTAGTAGAAAGTAATATATAGAGGTGGTGAGACTAAAGCAGAACCCAAAGTCAGATGAAAGAGGTGAATCTAAAACAGTTCAAGCAACTCTTTCTATGACTTTGAAAAATTCAGCCCCTTTTTATCATGTAATATTCATCTTACATGTTGGTCAGGTTTCAGATCATTTTGTAATACGTTTTACAAATTGGTCTTGGTTTTGTGTTTGATAATCTAGCTAATATTGATTTTATTTATCACCGCAATAGCCGACTTCAATTAGAAAAGAAATGAAATTTGCCACCAACATTGGCTATCTTTGTAAAATCTGAAGAAGTGGATTGGTTCACTTGTAAATTCTAGTAAATGACTCCAATATCTCATTAAGTTGCATGCCTTTGGGCTAAGTCTGTTCGACCCTATAATTTAATTTAGGATAGGGGAATTTATCGGCTATACAGATTTTAATTTCATGACATAAATTAATGAACAGATGATCAAATTTTCAATGAATTGAAAGATAGACTTCAATGCATTCGTTCTCTGGATCTGTCATAACTCGTTTATCGTCCAAAGTATACTGTAGCTTTTGAGTTTGTCTTTGTCTTTCACTGATATTAATATATAAATCTCTTGATGGTCGTGTAAAAAACTAGATCAATTTTTGAAAAATCTAATATGACACGTCTAATTATAATTTCTTGCCTCTTGATCAAAAATTATCAAATTGTAAACGTATTTGTTGAATAAATACAACCGTCTATCAATTGTAGTTATAATTTCTATCAACATCTGTAAACTGCTTTAAGAAAAATTATAGTAAATAGTTTGATCAAAACCACTCGTATTTTAATTTATCAACTCTTGTATCATGTTAATCTATAAATTAATACGATTTTAATTTCTTAATCTAGACTATTTATTAATTACGTATATTAAGCTAATTACTATTTATAAACAATATAAATAGTCTATAATAATTTATTATTATAATTCTTAAGAGTTGTTCGTTCAATTAGTTCAAAATTAAAATTTGTTTTGTTTTGTATTTTCTCTTAGTGAGTGAAATTTTTCCAGTGAAATTTTTAGACTAACAAAATTTTATTAGCACCATTTAAAAAAGATTCCAATCTTTTTTTTTTTTTACTTGAGATTAACATATACATCCTTTTAATAACTCATATATATACATTTAATAAAAAGATAATAACAAAATGGACGGTGGTATGTAATATATTCATAAAACAATCAACTACATTGACTACTTTAAAGCAATTGATTGATTGATTCAAAGATTTTATCATAGTTTTTGTTTCGAAAAATTCGAGTTTTTTTGGGTCGACAACACAACAATTAAATATTTCAAGATTTCGGATTTCACATCAAATCAATCAATTTAACGTCGAATCACGTCAAAACTCAAGCTTTAAGTTGATCGATCTAATCAATATCATTCTACGTTCAAATTTATACGATTTTGTCGGAGATTTCAAGACATAGCAACGTAGTATTAATTCTGGTCGAGACAATTTTTTTTACGACGGAATATTTCAAATTGACGAGATTTCAACGCAAAAGGTCAATCAAACTTTATGAAGGTTTGATAGGACAAGGTAAGGAATCAAATATCCTATTATTCCATCATTAACCGTTATCAATTCAGAAACCTCATAAATTTGTCGATCAAATTTATTTTTTCGTCGAGTTGTTGACTTGGAAAAACTGGACAAAAAAAGTTTAATCATTTTCATACTACATACGGACAACAAATTAAATTACGAAACAAAACATGACAATTCTTTAAATCAATTATGATTATCATTAGATTTCCAATACTAACTCCGATTTCATAGAAGAAGTTGCTGCTTTAGTCATTGATAACGGTTCTGGTATGTGTAAAGCCGGTTTTGCTGGTGATGATGCTCCAAGAGCTGTTTTCCCATCAATTGTCGGTAGACCAAGACATCAAGGTATTATGGTCGGTATGGGTCAAAAAGATTCATATGTTGGTGATGAAGCACAATCTAAAAGAGGTATTTTAACTTTAAGATATCCAATTGAACATGGTATTGTTTCAAATTGGGATGATATGGAAAAAATTTGGCATCATACTTTTTATAATGAATTAAGAGTTGCTCCAGAAGAACATCCAGTTTTATTAACTGAAGCTCCAATGAATCCAAAATCAAATAGAGAAAAAATGACTCAAATTATGTTTGAAACTTTTAATGTTCCAGCTTTTTATGTTTCTATTCAAGCTGTTTTATCATTATATTCATCAGGTAGAACTACAGGTATTGTTTTAGATTCAGGTGATGGTGTTACTCACGTTGTTCCAATTTATGCTGGTTTTTCATTACCACATGGTATTTTAAGAATTGATTTAGCTGGTAGAGATTTAACTGATTATTTAATGAAAATTTTATCAGAAAGAGGTTATACTTTTTCAACTACTGCTGAAAGAGAAATTGTTAGAGATATTAAAGAAAGATTATGTTATGTTGCTTTAGATTTTGAACAAGAAATGCAAACTTCATCACAATCATCAGCTATTGAAAAATCATATGAATTACCAGATGGTCAAGTTATTACAATTGGTAATGAAAGATTCAGAGCTCCAGAAGCTTTATTCCGTCCAGCTGATTTAGGTTTAGAAGCTGCTGGTATTGATCAAACCACCTTCAACTCAATTATTAAATGTGATATAGATGTTAGAAAAGAATTATATGGTAATATTGTTATGTCAGGTGGTACTACTATGTTCCCAGGTATTGCTGAACGTATGCAAAAAGAAATCACTGCATTAGCCCCATCATCAATGAAAGTTAAAATCATTGCTCCACCAGAAAGAAAATATTCAGTCTGGATTGGTGGTTCTATTTTAGCTTCATTATCTACTTTCCAACAAATGTGGATCTCAAAACAAGAATATGACGAATCTGGTCCATCAATTGTTCATCACAAATGTTTTTAAAGGAATCTTATTTCAAGTCTATTCTTGTGTATTATCTTTTCTAATTGATTAAAATATAAAATTTTTATATAATTTATATTAAACAAAAAAATTTAAATTCATTTTTTTTATAGCTTAGTTGAAGAAAAGTGTAGAGGCATTGTTGAATATTGTTGATTCTCTAGTGAAAAAGTTTTTGATCTAAAAGTGCTTTAGACTGCAATTAAATTCCATCATAAGTTCATTATTATTAAGTTCTATCTATAGATTTAAACAAACAAAATCTAAACTAGAACATTTTGATTAATATCAGTCTTCACTATTTATATTTTCTTCTTTCAGCTCTTGCTGTTGCTCCTGCCTCCTGGATTCAAATCCATTACTTCTTTCTTTTAATTCGTTAATTCCATCATAAAAGCTACTCCATAATCTACCAACATCATCAAATTCTTTTCCAATTTGTATTGATTCATTTAATGATCTATTTAAATTCTCTATGTTATTATATACCTCATTCAAATTGTTTGAGACTTCTTGTAGTAGCAAATCTCTTTGTTTTATGAAATATTCACTGTTAGAATTTGTGTTGCTTGTTGACATTTGATATGGATGACTTGATATAATGATTCAAGTAAGATCGTTGTTTTGATTTTTGAGATTGAGATTCCAATTTTGTGTTTTGATTTATCGTTTCGTAAATTTTTTTTTTTCAGATTTGAATCTTTGCAACCATCTATATCATCAAACTCAAATTCAAATAAAGCAATGGCTAAAAAGGATAAGAAATCAAAAGAAGCTAAAAAACTACGAGCAGCTGAGAAACAAAAGAAAAATGAAAATAAAGCTGAATCTAAAAATAAAAAGTTAGCAAAAAAATTGAATGATGGAGAAGAAGAAGAAGATGATGATATAGATACAATATTAGCAAATTATCAAAAGGAACAAGAAGAATATAATGAAATTAAAGTAGAAATACTAGAAACTCATCCTTCAAAAAGGCTTAACCCTACAATCATCTCAAATCCTGTACATACAAAAAAGGAGCTCATACTATTTGGTGGAGAAAGTGTTTTAGAAGGTAGTAAGACTTCACATTTTTACAATGATCTATATACGTACTCAATCGATAATGATACATGGAGAAAAATAACATCAAAAAATTCACCATTACCAAGATCATCTCATGCCATGTGTTCTCATCCATCAGGAATTGCATTATTATTTGGTGGAGAATTTTCATCACCAAAACAATCAACATTTTATCATTATGGTGATACTTGGATATTAGATTGTGATACAAAAGAATGGCAAAAATTAGAATTTAAAAAATCACCACTGGCAAGATCAGGTCATAGATTAATTGTTTGGAAAAATTTTATAATTTTACATGGTGGGTTCCGAGATTTAGGAACTTTTACAACTTATCTTAATGATTTATGGGTATTTGATGTAACTGATTTTAAATGGTATCAAGTTGAATTTTCACCAAATCATCCTATTCCTGACGCAAGATCTGGACATTCATTTATACCTTGTAATGAAGGTGGTGTTATTAATGGTGGATATACTAAAGTTAAAGCAAGAAAAGGTTTACAAAAGGGTAAAGTTTTAAATGATTGTTGGTTATTAAAAATGAAAAGTGATATAAAAAATATTAAATTTGAAAGAAGGAAAAAACAAGGTCAATTACCATCACCAAGAGTTGGTTGTTCATTAGTATATCATAAAAATAGAGGAATATTATTTGGAGGAGTTTATGATTATGAAGAAAGTGAAGAACAATTAGATTCTGAATTTTATAATCAATTATATTCATATCATATTGAAAATAATCGATGGTATAATTTAACTTTAAGACCTTTAAGAAATAAAAAAAGAGAAGTAATAAAAGAAAAAACAAGAGATGAAGATTTAGAAGATATTTTGAATTCAATATTATTAAAAGCAAATTTAAATGATGATGAAGAAGATGATAAAAAGGATTTAGAAGAAATTCAAAAGACTAAAGAACAAGAAGAAGAAGATGAAGATAATTCAAATAAGGAAATGAAAGAATATCCAATAATGAATCAACTACCTCATCCTAGATTCAATGCAACTACTTGTGTTGTTGATGATCAATTATATATATTTGGAGGGATTTTTGAAAGAGGTGAACAAGAATTTAATTTATATTCATTTTATTCAATTGATTTGGGTAGATTAGATGGTGTTAAAGTATTTTGGGAAGATTTATCTGAATTAGAGAAAGCAATTGAAGATTCTGAGGAAGAATATTCTGATGACGATGAATATGATGAAGAGAATGATAAGGATGATAAGGACGAAGAAGATGAAGAAGATGAAGAAGAGGAAAAAGAAGAAGCTGAAGAAGAAGAGATAGCAGAAGAGGAAGAATTTCCTGATCCAAGACCATGGTTACCACATCCAAAACCATTTGAATCTTTAAGATCATTTTATATTAGAACAGGTGCTCAATTTTTAGAATGGTCAATATCATCTCATAGAGATGCTCGTGGTAAATATTTGAAAAAAATTGCATTTGATTTATGTGAAGATAGATTTTGGGAAAGAAGAGAAGCTGTTAGTGTTGCTGAAGATAATTTAGAAGAAATGGGTGGAGTTGGTGAAGTTATTGAAAAAGATACTTCCAAGTTTACTAAAAGAAGATAAAACTTTCATAGAATTCATAGAAATAAAAGAACGATACAACGAACTAATCTACTCAATGAAATCAATAAGATGAAAATCTAATACTTTTTCGCAAAAAATGCTAATATATATTATTAAATTATGCAAAGTGAATACCGACTTGGTGGAAAGCATATAATAATTTTAAAAAATCAGTTTGATCCATTTTCCCAGCTCTTTTATCAGAAAATCCAGTTTCTGTTAAAACAGTAGTGATTTTAGTTTTAATTGAATCTTTTAAATTTGCTTGATTATCTATTATCATTTTTGAATCATCTTGTTGTTCTTGAGTAGCTAAAAAAGTTTTATAATTTTTCTCTAATATATCAATTACATTCAGTGATTTAAAACCAGCAGCTATGGTTTTATTTTTCCTAACAAAAACAATCCTTAATAATCCATCCCATTCATTAAATTCAATATTAGGTTTAGGGTTTTTTATCTCTATCCTTACTACACTGGATTCTACTTGTGGTGGAGGTCTAAAGTTATTTTTACCAACTTTCATTATATGTGTTACATTTGCCCACATTTGTACATTTGCTGATAATCTGCAATATAGTTCATCACCAGGATTAGCTACTAATCTCATTGCAAATTCTCTTTGAAACATTAGTATAGAAACTCTTGGTGGTTTTGGTTGATTTAATAATTTGAAAACTAATGGTGATGAAATTTGATAAGGTGTGTTAGATATGCAAATGTCAAAATATGGTAAATCCATTTTGATGAAATCTCCCAATATTATTTCTAATTTCTTTTCTTGTGGTGTTCCATGAACTCTTTTAGTTAGTTCAGCTGCCATTCTTGGATCCATTTCAGAAGCTATTACTTTTCTAGCCTTTTCAAGTATTTTTACTGTAAGATTACCTGTACCTGGACCAACTTCTAGTACTATATCACTTGGCCTTATTTGTGCTTTATCCACTATTCCTTGTGCAACTAATGGATTTTTCAAAATATGTTGACCTAAATTTGTATTAAATTTAAAGACTGAATTTAAATGTTTGTCAGCTGCCACTGTATTACCAGTTGGATTTGGCTTTGTTGTAAATTTTTTATTTGGTGTCTTGCCCATTTTTGAAATTGTAAAGGTAGTATGAATAAAATGATGGTATAGGTTGTGTTTAGTTGATTCTAGCTCTAATTAGGTTATAATAGTTTGATCTATCTTAATTGATAAAGTCTCATCTCTTTACATAAATAAATTTGAAGTACAAAACTCAAGTTGATTTTGTACTTACACTTTGTTTTTGTACAACTTACTAGGACTTTAACTTCACCAAGTGAAGATCAAGATGTAGGAGCAAGAAGGGACCCTTGTACCATCGAATGTCTGGGTAAGCTCATACCGGCTCAGTTATTGATTTGGACGACTATTTTATCGCTTGCTACAAGTGATAACTACTGGAAGTGATCAGAATAACAAGTTATTATCACGTGATCTATCACGTGTTTTTGTTTACAATTTGATCTGGTTAAAGATTGTTTCAAGTTAAGGTTATTTAATTTATTAATTGACAACCATACATTGATAGATCTACATATATTATTACTTTATCGTCATTAACAAATTATTTTAACATTACAAATTTTTGATCACCAAGATTCGCCACTTTCGAAATTATTGATAAAGTTTTAAAACATAACACTTTTCCATTTACCATATCAATTACAGTCATAACAAAGCAATCGTCAAAGAAATAATACTCCAACTTACACCGTCAACCAGAAATGCTAACATGAATCAATTAAATTGTCGAAATCCTCAAATAAACCTATCTCATTTGTTAACTTCGATATCAAATTTTTCATTTTTTGAAGAACTAGTGAACCTTTCTGAATCAAGTCAATATAATTCAATAAAACTTAATCTACTGCAACATGAAACATTCAAAATAAATAAAATACTAGATGATATTGATCTTTATTTGAACGACGTAATAATGGCTTTCAATAATATCAAGGAAGTTTCCAAACATACTATAAATCTACTTGAATGGTATTATGAAGGAAAGAATGTATTAGTTGATTTGTTCAGAAACTTGGAAAGTATTGACTCCATTGTCTCAAGATTGCTACTATTGGTTGAATCGTCTGAAGCTGATAATGTTGTGATTCAGTCATTGATCAAAAAATTTGAAGAAGTAAGTGATATTTTATTGGATGTCAAGAAACTACTGATTCTGTTAAAGAAAAACTTGGATCTTTCAATCAATTATAACGATTTGATCGAATCGGTAATAAGGCTGTTAAGAAATGAGATTGAAGACTGTATCAAGTCAATTGAAAAATTGAAAGATTATAATTTATCAAGTCCAAGGAAAACTTTACCGAAATATAATTTGAATGATATTATCACTAAAATGAAGATCAACGATTTTAATGACAATAGTAGTAATTCAATTAAATCATTAAAGCTACCCACATTTAACGATTTGGATGAAAAAATATATGAAGAATATTTGATGATCGAAGCCAAAATCCAGCCATTAAAAATTTCACTAGATATCGTGCCTCAAAAAGTTGAAGAGTTCATTGCATTATGTTCACACAATTCTTCTTTTCAAGTTTCAAGAGAACAAGTGTTATCAAACTATGAAGCATTATTGGATAAATGGAAGTTGCTAAGTAATCAGCTGTTAAAATTAAAAATTGAAAAAATCGATTCCAAATGGAATGATATTTTTAGGTATTTGGTTAAACAAATTGAACTGGAAAGTGATGATTTGATTGATGTTTTAACTTTTTGTGATTCTGCTAACACCGATGGAAATTCCGTCGTTAGTGACGATATTGGATCAAGATACAAAATTTGTTTAAATTCTATTCGTTTAATTGAAAGCGCCATCATGGAAAATATTATTACTGATAGCGATATTCGGAATTTGTATAACAGAACTTTGCAACCGAAATGGGTGGAAGTGAATGATTTGATATCAAGATCAAAGAGTGAACAAAATATTTCATTCCTTCAAAAACAAAGAAAAGAACTGAATAATAAAAAGAGTCATTCCAAAGGTTTAAGATCATTTCATACTATATCAAGAAGTTCAGGTCATGAAAACTCTGATAGGCCATTAAGCAACGGCTTGGGAATTGATTTTAATGTTGATGTCAAATCTGTTACACTACCGTTGAGTATACAAAATAAGGAGAAAGTCAAAGATATATTTTTAGGAAAACCGAAACCTACCGGTAGAAGTTTGAAGAACTCATTAATTAATGTATTTGACGAACTTAGTATTGACGTTAAGGATACTGAAGATGAGGAGAAAACTTTGGTCAAAAGTCCAGATCTAAAAATTGAAAATCCTAATGATCATAAATTACAAGCACCTATATCGTTCAGAAAAGCAACATGTTCAAGATCCGTATCATTCGATTTCAATGGTTATTTCAACAATATTTTAAATTCAAGTATTAGACAACCATCAAAATTACCAAGAATGAAATCCAATTATTTAGCTAAGGGCTATCCTAAAATTATTAAACGTAATGGTCATACTAGAATCCCCGAAATTTGTTCGAATCATCCCATTTTTCAATCACCATGTAAACTCAGACTTTCAAAATTTTCAACTCCAAGGACGAACAACTTAGATATCTCACCTGAAAAACAATTTCGTGCATCATCAACTATAGAAAGTCATCATCATCGAAATGATCCATTTCTACTAAGTAAGACTAGATCAAGGGCAAGTAGTTCAACAACAACAGTAATTGGGCGACCGAATTCTTTATTAAATGAAATGAAAATTCCAAACTTGACTTTTTCGAGAAGATTGAGTTATAATTGTACTTCACCTGAAAGACCAGTTTCTTCGTTGGGATCAAGATTTGATGATGAAAATCTTTTAAAATCTTTGGATGAGAATCGACCTGCTTGGAGGTGAATTTTTAATACTCTGCTTTAATATCTTTTATAGTTCAATGAATGACACTTATACTTTATCGACTAATTTTTCTCAACCGCTTTCTTCTCCAAATCTTTCTTCATAGTTTTACTAGTTAACCCATCTAAGAAAAAATCTAACCCAAATATCTTACCAATTATACTATTCTTCTCTCTTTGATATTTTTCAAACTCATTAAATTCTCTTACTGATCCATCAGATAAGAGTTCACCAGTTTGCATTTTCTTAACTGATTTACCATCTAATCTTGCCCATAATTCGTAAGAACTTATAGCGATAACAGGTATAGACAATAAAATTAGATGAATTCCTTTATATCTTTGTTTAAGTTGCGGTGGAGCTTTTGACCAATTTGGTTTACCCGTTTCAACTAGTTCCTTAACAAATGGGGAATTTTTAGATGTGCTTGAGGAAGTTGCTCCTGTTGATGAAGTCAATGGTGAATTTGTTGATGGCTTTTCTGGCGACTTTATTCGTATTGTTGATGAACCTACTTTTGTGTGAAAGTTAGGAGATTTCTGACTCAAGAATCGACTGAATAACTTCTTCATGATCCCTTTTGATTTCAAAGTTTCTTTTTGACAAGAGTTTGTAGCATCAAAACGGGTCTCGGAATTATTTTTCATTACGTAACTCGTAAATTGAAAATTTGATTTAGTCCCAAATTGGAAGTAGTTTTCGATCTAGTCAAAATTATTCAGTTACACCTACGAATTCCTGAGATCTCATAGATCGATATCATACAAATCAATTGCTTTAACAATACGTGAAAAAATGTCATTGAAACACTCAATTGAATCTCAACTGGCTAAACATCCAAGACCAAAAAATATCACATTTACTTATGGTACAGCTGGATTTCGTATGAATGCCAAAGACTTGGATTATGTCAATTATACTGTGGGTATACTAGCTTCATTGAGATCCAAATATTTGGGCGGTAAAACTGTTGGAGTAATGATTACTGCGTCACATAACCCACCTCAAGATAATGGTGTCAAAGTAGTTGATCCAATGGGTAGCATGTTGGAAGCAAAGTGGGAAAGTTATGCTACTGAATTGGCAAATTCCTCAAACGAAGATCTTGTTTCGACTTTGGAGAAGATAGTTAAAGATTTGAATATTGATTTGGAAGTTGCTAGTAATGTAGTCCTTGGAAGAGACTCAAGAGAAAGCAGTCCAAGATTAAGTGAATCTACAATTGATGGGCTAAAAAGTGTCCCAAACACTAATTATGAAGATTACGGATTATTAACTACTCCTGAATTGCATTATATTACAAAAACTTACAATGATCCAAATTTCGGAGAAAAAACCGAGCACGGCTATTACGAAAAATTGGCAAATTCGTTCAAAAAGGTCTTTGAAGTGTCGGGCAACGCAAGCAAATTAGACATCACGATTGATGCAGCTAACGGGGTTGGAGCTCCTAAGGTTGAAGAACTTCTAAAAAATTATTTAGCAAATGAAATAAACTTTGATGTGGTCAATGACAAATTTCAAGATCCTAATCTATTGAACTTTGAGTGTGGTGCAGATTTTGTCAAGACTAACCAAAAATTACCTAAAAATATTGAAGGTCCAATTGCAAACAAGCTATACGCTTCCTTCGATGGTGATGCTGATAGATTAATTTGTTATTATCAAGACTCATCAAAGAAATTCACCTTACTAGATGGTGACAAAATATCAACATTGATTGCATTATTTTTGCAACAAATTTTTAAAAATATAGATTCTTCTAAATTATCCTTAAACATTGGTGTAATACAAACGGCTTATGCTAATGGGTCGTCAACAAAATATGTTGAAGATGTTTTGAAATTACCTGTCCGTTGTACACCAACTGGAGTCAAACATTTACATCATGAAGCAGAAAAATTCGATATTGGTGTTTATTTTGAAGCTAATGGTCACGGAACTGTAGTTTTCAATCCGGAAGCTGAAGCGAAGATATTCAACTACAAACCAACCTCAAAAGAAGAAGAGCAAGCTATTTTGGTTTTACAAAACTTTAGTCAATTGATAAATCAGACTGTTGGGGACGCTATATCTGATCTATTAGTTGTATTGATCATATTGCATTATTTAAAAATTAGTCCTGAAGAATGGAACAAGGAATATACAGATCTTCCAAATAAATTGATTAAGGTGATCGTACCTGATAGAACAATCTTCAAAACTACAAATGCTGAAAGGACTTTGGTTGAGCCCAAAGGTATTCAGAGTAAAATCGATGAAATTGTTTCACAAATTTCAAATGGAAGATCATTCGTTAGAGCTTCTGGAACAGAAGATGCTGTAAGAGTCTACGCTGAAGCTGATACGGATGAAAACGTTGAAAAGTTGATCACACAAGTTTCTGAACTATTGAAGTAAATACAGCAATTCAAAAACAAACATGAAACTTAGTTCAAATTTGTTCCTATCCAATATGCAAATAACCATTCATTCCCCTCTATAGTAAACTTTTTTGTATTCTCCTGGTGTCATTAACTTTGAGCCCAATGACCAAATACCTCTTTTAAACCATTTAGCTCTTTTTTCCAACAGCCTATACCAATCTTCATTGTCTCCAAATTCTGCTCCAATCTTTCCTTCATAGACCATTGCAATCCCATTTCTCAACATCTCAGCACTGACATCTTTTCGACCATTCCATTTCCAAATTAAACATTTAGCAACTATTCGTTTATATTGATCAACCAGGTATGGTATTATCGTTACTCTTCTTTTGTTTACGTATTTATTTAACCATTTCAATGCTTCTTCGCTAAATGGCTGAGCAGGTTTGCCAAAATGAGATCTTTCTGGCGCATCAATCCCACATAATCGAATCATTAATGTTTGATTTTTTAGTTTTGATCTTTTTGTTGGTATTTTTTTCAACCAACCCCAACCCCAGAGAAATCCTCCTGGAGTATGATAGAATCTAAAATTATCACCATCACCTACTCTTGTTACATACCCATGCAATCTATGATTTTTCTCCAACATTCCTGGATTCAAATCTAGTATTGATCTTATCGGTTTCAAATAATTCCTATAAAATCTGTATGATAATATTGTCGTGAGGGTAATACCAGCTGATAGTAGTATTACTTTAGGATGAAAAACCCCAATATTTTCATTTTGAGAAGGATGTTGGTTCATAGTATAGTCATATGAGTAAGTTTTATGCTAAGGTGAATTATATTTTGTACGGTTTTTGTAAAAATGCAAATGCTAAAGATGAATAATGTAATAACGGGTAAATGCAAATGAGATTGCAACTTTGTGAGTTCAAATTTTGAATGTGATTTTGTATGTATTTGATGGGACCAAATTTGTAAATGATAAAAATTGATTTTAATCAAAACATTGATAAAAGTACAAAAACGAAATATAATTGTTCGTGATTTTATTTTAAATTTGCAACCAATTTTCGAACAATAACGAGATTGAGAAAAAGCAAAAGTTCGAAATTCGAGAGTTTTAGCATTGTATTTGCTATATTTGCAACTTTCAATTAAACAAGTTCAAGCAAAGAGTCTGAGATATAATATTTTCATATTTCTAGAGTCATATCAATATTGCAAACTTGATGAGTTGCAAAAAAATTAAATCTTTTGATAAGTAACTGCTATACTGTTTAGTGTAATAAAAATAGGGCTAAGTTCATGAATTTGACTCAATTTTACAGCTTTGCTTTTGGAGCATTATAGCAAACAGAAGCATTGTAATTGTCTAGGATTGGCTGCAAAAACTTGAAAATTAGCTACTCAAAAGAGCCTTATACAATTCATACGAAAAATGGCCAATGTGTTGCAACGTTCAGAAGACTGTAATTAAAATGGTGAAAGCAGGATTCAATTCTTTGCAAATTTTTAAACTTCTTCAACTTCTTCACTCAGATTGTTAGTACCCCCACTTTTCAATCGTATCACTCAAACTAACATATTTTTATGTCGCATTATGAACACAAAAGTAAAGCTTCAAAGGATTATAGACAATTACTTATAGTATGATAATTAGTTTCTGTTTATCAAGACCTCATTCACTATAAGATCAACAACAAGCTCAATCCTTTACAAAGTCTTCATTCACATCGTCTAACCCAATTGCATCATTCAGGTAGAGAAAACATCAGACCTTAATGCAGTGATATGTCCTTAGCAGATGGTGAATATGATGTAGACGTATCAGTTCTATTGAATACAGTATCCAACAGTTCAAAATATCACAATGAAAACGGGCCTGAAGATATGGCGATAAGATATGGATTTGTACCTGACTCAATGGATGAATCAAAGCTTTTGAAGTTATATCAACGCGATCAATCTTATATATTACTTGCTTCATCTTCAGAATCAAATAAAAAACCTATTTTGTTTGAAGGTACTGAGACTAGTCACAAAGACTCCGAATACTATTTAACTTACGATCCGACAAAAACGGGGGACCTGACTTTGAAATTAAATCAGTTGAATAGCACAATCAAGGTGAATAAAAGTCGAGATATATTGAAATTGCAATCAGAAATCAAAGAATTAGAAAAATTATTTGAAAAGCAATTACTCACACCCCTGGCAAAACCAGAACGACCGCCCGCACTGCCAAAAGTTGATTCAAAGCAATCGCTGAAACCTGTTTCGGAAGCCCAAAGAACCCAACCGAGGAAACAACAAAATTCAGAAAAAGGAAAAGTCACGAATCTTAATGAAAAACAAGTTGAAACCGGACATCTGAAATGGGAACAGAAAAGGTTAGAACAGCGTAAATGGGAGCAGAAAAAACTAGAATTACAAAAATTGGAAGAAAAGAAATTAGAGGAGCAGAAATTGACGAACCTAAATCAACAATCAAAAGAAATCAATTCACCCACTAGACAAGCTAGGTTAGCATCAAGCAAAACATCGCCGAAGAAGGATATCCCAGCAAGATCTTTGCATGTACCGTCTGTTACCCCTCGTGTTGCCTCGAAGCGACCTCCAACATTGGTTAGTACTCCTGAACAAGAATCTATAATCAGCGAATCTGACTTTGATGATTTGAAAAATGAACTGCTGGATGATGACGAGATTATACATCCCCCAGCACTTGAGATAACATCCAGTAAATCTAAAAAGGAAGAAAGTAAATCTAAAAAGAAAGAAAGTCATCCTAAAAAATCAGAAGTTTTAAAGGCTAACAGTGTTTCACATGAAAATCCAAATCATTCTCCTTTCACTGATGCTCACAGAATCACTAACGCAAACAAAGCTATTAAAGGAAAGAGAGCCAAGAAGTCAACAATAGACAAAGCATCGGGTGATGAATTTGATGATTTAGAGAATGTTTTAAAGGAAGTTTTGGAGCTTGATGAAGGAGATCCAAAAAAGAAATATGAGAGTGAACCAATTGAAAAATACGACCACAAAGTCGAAAATGATGATAATGAGAATACATTCAATAAAGAGAGTGCATCTATGACAGTGAAGGAAAAAAGTCCATTGTCAGATGCAGATGAAGAAGATGATGAAAGTAGTACCTACAATTTTAAAAATCAAGCAATCAAAATTGATGAAGGAGTGAGTCAAAAGAAGACCAAAAGTTTCACACTAAATACAACACTGAGAGGTAGACCAAGAAGTTTGAGAGAGCTAATGGGTGTAGAGGTATCCAAGCAGAAGAGTAACAACGATGGAAGTAGTAGCGAAGAAGAGTAGAGTATAGAGCACCCTAATGAAATTAATGATCTAAAGCATATTCTTTTACATGATCTCTTTCATATATTATATGAGTCGCGAAAAATATATGTTTTATATTTGATAACGCGCTTCTTATAACACCATTAATGGATGAAACAGTTGAAGAATTAAAGAAGAGAGTTTTCAACTTACAACAACTATTATCCAATGTCAAAAATGACGAGTCACTAACGTCACAGGTCAAAAATACAAGTTTGAGATTGAAGATATTTCTCGATCAAAACCCAAATCTAGCGATTTTAGTTGAAGCAGCCATTAAATTTAATATTAGTCAAGATGAAAAGGTGCTAGAATCTTCAAGCCTAAATGACAGAAATGTACCCAGTGATATCAAGGAGGAGCGAATTTCCATAAATTACCCCATGATCACCAAGCTATTCCCACAAATACTAGAGTTGGAGCAAATGCAACCAATGAAGATAATGAATAAAATAAATTCAAATATATCGAATTCAAACATAGAACAGACAAAATATATCTTTGAACAGCGTAAAGAAAGGATTATGCAGTTGAATGAAGCTTTTAATCAGTTGGTTTTAAAAAACATTTTAATCTTTGAGAAATATGTACAATTTGTTTTACGAGATAACCAGTTTTGGATCGAGACGGAGGAAAAGTTAAAATGTGCTAGTCAAAAAATCCAGCAATTAGAGAGTCGAAAGAAGCAATTGAATCATTATTAACTCAATGCCAAAAATATATTGTTAATTTATTTATACCGATATAGTTTTCCAAATATTTAATCCATCACCTCCTGTAGAAACTAAACAACCCGGAATTTGTTCATGCCATCTAACATCTTTAACATCTTTTTGCCAATGTACAAATAACAATTGCGGAGGTATATCATGTAATTCTTGAATTTCTTTTCTTTGTTGTGAAATTTCGTCATCATCTGCTTCCACCGCCAAGTCCCACAATGTCACGGTATTATCTTCTGAACTCACAGCAATGATAGATTCATCTAATGGATTGAAAGATATAGATGTGATTGGTGCTTTATGAAAGTTGTATGATGCCACTGGTGTGGGGTTTGGTTGTGTGAAATTTCTTAGATCCCAGACACTCCATGTACCATCATCATGACCAGAGGCTAACAAATGATTGATTTTCGAACACCATGATATAACATTAATATCGGAATCTGATGCTTTTACCGATAATGCGGGTTTATGCTTTTTAGATCTAGTATCCCATATTCTTACATATCCATCACAACCTGCTGTAGCAAAAACAGTACTTTCCCCAGTTGACCATTGAATGTCTTCGATTGATGATTGTGATGCAAAAAAAGGACTTTTATCTGTAACCCAATTTGATGTTGTTCTAGTTGTTAAATGAATTCTTCCAGTGACGTCACCTGTCAATAAAGCCCCCGTATTTATCAAAGGTGACCAGTCCAAACCATATCCTTCAACATTACCATGAGCTCGTATCGTATATATTGGTCTTTTAGATGATTTTGGAATCATATAGCCCGGTGAATCAAAGGCTTTATATTGTGCTGATAAATCAAATATGTATGCTTCTCCATTTTCTGACATTGTTGCTGTTAAATATTCTCCAGTCTTTTCTGCATGTGGGCTAACTCTTATTCTATTAGTTGTATGTTTCAATGGGATGGTTTCTGTATCCAATATTGGATCAGCATCCATGTCATCATCATCATCGTCATCCTCATCATCTTCTTCACCGTCATCTTTGACTAAAGTTTTCACCAAACTTGATGCTTTCATGGCTATTAACTCATTGTCTTTCGCCCTCGATGCTTGAGTGGCAGTTGCTAGATACACAGATGCTGGATATGATCTTCTCTCACTACCCAAATTATCAGGAATAATATCGACCGTCAAACATGGCCAAGGTAGATTGACATTATGTAACATCTCGTAAACTGAAGGATCTGCTTCCAAAACCTCATCTGGACCTAAAGGTTTAGATTTATGTGGTAGATATATAGATGATTCAATTTCCTGCTGTTCTTGTTGCTCTTTCAATTCTATTTCGTGAATCTTTTTATTGGCTGCCTCTTCATCCATTTCATCATCTTCATCTATTCCGTCATCGTTTTGATTATCAAGCTCTATTATTTCTTCGTCACTTTCGAAATCATCACCATATGGATCTTCAAATTCTCCCACATCCATTGAATCTTCACCATTTATTTGTTGTGCATTGGTTGATTGTGGTAGTGAGGTTTCTGTTACTTTAATTGAAGTGTTTTGATGACCAATATCATCTTCTGCCGGTCTTTTAGACATAACTGGATTGTTGTATTAAATTAATTAATAATTATTGGAAAAGTAATACGATGAGGATAGAAGAAATGAGACTGCAAAATATTTATTACACAAAATTTATTAAGCATTTAAGCATCACCAAATAAGATACCAGACACAGTCCAATGTCTATATCATCGACAAGAAAATGGATAAGGTGACAAAAACAGAGATATGAGTAGTAACAAATTAGCATTTTTGGACCAAGAAGCTCCACCTGGTTATGTTGCAGGAGTAGGAAGAGGTGCAGTTGGGTTTAGTACTGGAGCAGATTTCAAACATGAATTGCCACAAGTTGATGATGATGATGATGACGACGATGAAAATTTGATCAATCAAGAAATCAATGACAAGGGTTTACTAGTGGCTCGTAAAAGAACTGAAGAGGATGAGGAAGAAGACAAAGTGTATGAGCAAATCGAGCAAAGACTTAAGAGAAGGAAAACAAAACCTCAGCAAAAGCAAGTGTTATCTGGTGTTAAAAACGAACCAGACAAAAGATCACAATTTTTAGATTTAAAAAAGGACCTAGTGGCACTAACAGAAGACGATTGGATGTCAATACCGGAAGCTGGAGATATGACTAGAAAAAATAAAAGACAACGTATATTAGATCAACAGCTGCAAAGGCTATATGCTGTTCCAGACCAAATCTTAGCTGGAAATAACGGAAACTTTGGATTCACTAGAAGTTTGAATACATCTAATAATAAAAGTAACGCATTAAGTGCTCAATTAGATAGTTTGTTGGCCAGTTCACGCAAGACTCAAAATAACGGCATCGAAAAAGAACTAGAACAAGAAATAATGTCCTTTGATGGGGTTGACAGGGATGCTAAGTACACAGACTTGAAAAAAAGTAGACTCATATTCTCATCTTTAAGAAAGACTGAACCTTACAAATCAAGCACATGGATTTCATCATCAAGATTGGAGGAAGATGCCAAAAATTTCAATAAAGCACGAGAATACATACAGCAGGGTTGTAAGATGATACCGGGTGACGAGGATGTTTGGTTGGAGAATATACGGCTCAATGAGATTGACACCGATTTTGCAAAAGCAATAAGTAAAGAAGCGTTGACCTATTGTAATAAGTCTATCAAATTATGGTCGAAAGCAATCGATTTGGAGATGGACAAAAAATTAAAGAAGAGACTTGTCATGAAGGCGTTGCAACAACTACCGAGAAATCTAGAATTATGGAAAAAAATTTTGGAACTAGAGGATGATCTGGAAGTAAACATGAAATTATTGTTGAAAGCTGTTGATTTGTGTCCTCATGAATGGGATCTTTGGTTGAAATTGATAGTATCGTCCAATTACAACGACGCCAAAGCACATCTAAACAAAGCAAGAAAAATATTTTTGAGTGATTTGAAAGTTTGGATTCAAGCATTAAAAACAGAAGAACGTGAAAATCCAACTGAACTTTCGAAATTAAATAAACTAGCAGAGAAAGCAGTGAAGGATAACAAGTTGACCGAGCCCGAGAGGTGGTATGAAGCTGCCTTAGATTTATCCAATGATGGTTTTAAAAATTCAAGTCGAGCCGTATTGGAACAATTTTTAAAATATTCAAAGTTCGATTCAAATGCATTGATAGCAGAAGCACAAAATTACAACAAATTTCATCTGGAACTAAGTCAGATCATTTTAAATTATGTAATCACCTCAGATCCTCAAAATCTTGTCGTTTGGAATACATTATTCAGCATTTTGAGAAAATCTAGAGACTTTGACTTATTATTTAATTACTACAAAAAAGCTATAGAGTCCAATCCTGAGGTAGTCACTTTGTATCTAAGTTTTGCTGAAGATAAATGGAAATTACAGAAAAATGCCACGGAGGCAAAGAGTTTGCTATGTTCGGCCGACGATAAATTGAACGACGACTCAATAAAACTTGCTATCTTCAATATGGATTTTTTGGTGGGAGATTTGAACAATGCTAAACTTTACATCCACAATGTGATACAGTCAGAACCAAATAGAAACGTCAAATTTTGGTATAAGTATATATACGCTATGCAGTGCTTGGAACTGGATCCACGGGAGGTTTTGAAAATTATTCAAGATGCAATTGACATCTTTCCTGATGACGTGGAATTATCTTTGAAAAAGCTTCAAGTTTTGATCAATGATATTAACGATTTACAAACAGCTAGACAGTTTGTGTCTTCAATTGTCGATGGAAATCAAGCTTGCCCAGCATTGTGGATTAAATATAGCGAAATCGAAGCAAAATTGGGAGTGTTGATTAAAGCTAGATCAGTTTTGGAAAAAGCATCAACTATTTATCCTCAATCAGTTGATATTGCAATCGCTCAAATTGAGTTAGAAAAGAGATCAAACAATGTATCAGCGGTTAAGAGTTTGACAAACAAGTTTGTCAAGAAGTTCTCCTTTAACTCATACATTTGGTATTTATATTTATCGTTAATTCCAAAGATGTCACACAAAAAACCAGAGTTTGTAAATGCTTTAAAACAGACGAATAATTCTCTGGAAATGTTAATGTTTTTGGGTCAGTTTTTTTGGCAAGACGGTAAATACTCCAAAGCAAAACAATGGCTTGAGAGAAGTTTGGAAGCTGATATTCAAAATGGTGACGCTTGGGGTTGGATGAATAATTATTATAAGTCCCATGGTACTGATGTCGAAAAGGAAAAATTTAGAAAAGAATATGAAGAGATCTTTGATGACATTAACAAAGGCATGATATTTTTGAGAACTAAAGGAAGTCCAAATAATTACAACAAGACATCTTTGGAATTGTTACAATTAACTTCTATTGAGTTACTTAAGACTTAAAAGTTACAAATTTGAAGATACCTCTTTGAAGTTTTCGTAAAGTTTCAAATTCAAAGCACTCAACAAGCAAGGGAATTGATTTTTAGAAACCCATTCGTTTGCCAATTCTTCACAAAGCGATTTAAATTCATGATCACCATATGCTTTCAAGGATTTATTTTCAAAATCCAAAATTAAATAACTATTGCTTTGATTGTTTTTTAGTTTCTCATATTTGGATACCAATTTTAACCTTGATGATAAGTCGTTTGAGTTAGTTGTACTCGGCAAAAATTCAATACTATACCCAAAATACTTTGATATAATTTTTAAAATTTCTTTCGATTTTTCGGTATAAACTTCCCTCAATCTTTGTATTCTTTTGCTTAAATGATCAACTTGAGTTTGTAGTTGTTGTTTATCATCTTCTTGACGTATGAACAATGATTTTGGTATCATATCTTTATCACTTTTTCCACTAATATATGTATTTATTAAAGATTCATTTTCTTTTCGCAAAAGATCTAATGTTTCTTTTTTAATAAACTGATCTTTTGCGAGCAAATTGTTTTTGAATTCTAAAACCCTGTTTGCTTCTTTATGAACGTTGATAGCTTGTAACGACTCCAATTGTTCAACTAGTTCTTTATTTTTTTGTTCTAATATCTTTATACTTGACGTTAAGTCAAAATTTTCTTTCTCCAAGTCGGATGCAGTTTTTCGGAAACTATGATCTTGCAAATGAGGACGTTTAGTGCCAGATATTGGTTGTGCTTGTTGAGGTTGAAGTTTTTGAATCATCTTCGCTTGTTCATCGAGTTTATTCTTGTATTGATCAACTAATTTTTCTAGATTGGTAACATACTGTTGTATTGTTTTATTATCTTGCTTTGAATCTTCATTCGACCTTAGGATATCTTCCAAATCTTTCAACAGTTTTCTTAAATGTTCAATTTCAATTGTATACCATTTTTTCTCTCTTTCTAACTCATTTATTTGACTAGCGGATTTTTCATTTTTCAATTGCCAAGATTCAATCATAGGTAGATACTCTGTTTCAATTAATCTACTAGCTTCTTCTAGTTCATTCTTAATTTCATTTACTTCAACAGTTTTGGAGTTGAGTTTTTCTTTCAAAGTCAAATTATTTGCCTGTAAGATTTTAAATTTTTCAATGAAGTTTGTTATTTTAACACTTCCCGTAGTATCGTCAGTTGCGTTGTTTTTCGTATCTGTGGTATCATCGATAATTGCATTTTCCAAAGTCTTGAAATAAGTATTAAACTTAGACTCTATTTGTAATTTTTCCATTTCTAACTTCAGATATTTCTGTTTTAGATCCTCATACTGCCCTAATTTATTCATTAAATTCAAATTTTTTTGCTTTAATAGTTCAGCCGAGGTATGTTTTTGCAATAACTGATCAATCTTGATTTGTAATTGATTGTTGGTCTTTTGTAGACTATTGTTTTTGTTCACTAAAATCTGATTGTTCTTCAAAAAGGACTCATCATTCTTGAACATTTCTGTATATTGTTCCAATTTATTTACAAATTCTTGATTTGAGTTTTGTAGGTTATTTATAGTTTCTTCTCTTTGCTTCAATTGTTTAGTCATTTCATCATTCAATTGAATTTGAGTATTCCAATCAGATGTTACTTGTCTATGTTTTCTTATAAGTCGATCATTTTGCTCCACCAAATTTTGATATTTTGATTCAATTTGGTGAACTTCTTGCTTTAAATTTTTAATTTCTAGTTTCAAGTCCTTTTGTTTATTCATTGAAATGTCATTGGAATTCTCAATTTTGGAATTCAATTGATCATTTTCATTATACAAAAAATCCACATTTAATTTCAAAGTTTCAATTTCTTTATTTTTTGACTTAATGCTGTTTTCATAGTTGGTGATGATAGTCGACTTTTCTTGCGACCATAGTTTCTTTTCCGTTTGAAATGATTTGATTTGATATTCTAGTTTTGATATGTAAATTTTGGTATTTATGCCAGATGATTCCTTTTCGTAATTACTGACTACTTCATTAAGATGAGGATTATCAACAAACGGTGAAGAAGTTATATTGGACATTAATAATTGACCGAAATTTCAAGTCTTAAAGTTGTTTTTCTACTTTGTTTAATATGCTTCAAATATCATGATAATTTATATAGGATCAGTAAGTATCGATATTTGTGTTTTTTACTTTGTTTCAAGCGGTGTCGCAGAAATTCTGCATAACCGACACAATTTGTAAATTTCAGACATACATTTCGTTAAAGATAATAAATTGATTGTGATATGAAGCAATTCGATTTGCAAAAATCAGTTATACCTACACATCGAAAAATATTTGAATCTATATAGAACCTTTTGAGATGTCAAAGATGTACGTTGTTTCTGTCATTTCGTTTCTATCGATATTTTTTACTAACGCTTTTACAACAGACCACGAAATTTTAAATTGTTAGAAGAATTAGAAAAAGGTGAGAAAGGTTTAGGAGCAGAATCTATATCATATGGATTAACTAATCAGGATGATATAACGATGACATATTGGAATGGCACGATAATAGGTCCACCTCATTCAAATCATGAAAATAGAATTTATTCCTTGCAAATTATATGTGATGAAAACTACCCTGATAAACCTCCAAAAGTGACCTTCATTAGTAAGGTAAATTTACCATGTGTTGATTCTGTTGGGAATGTTATTGTAAACGAGTTTGATACTTTAAAAAATTGGAAAAGATCATACACTATGGAGACTGTTTTATTGGAATTAAGAAAAAGTATGGCTTCACCAAATAATAAAAAATTAGCTCAACCAAGTGAAGGTTCTACTTATTGAAACAACAAGGTATTGTAGAATTAGAGCAATGGCATATAATGAGAAAAATGAATAGGACTACAGAGTATTAAGTAAAAGCTCCTATAGTGACGAAGAATATATTACACTTATATTTTACATAGTTTACTTGAAATAATTTAGATCTGATTTAAGAATGTATCATGTTGATTCGCTATACTCAGTTTCCGTTAATTCCCTGAACTCTTTCTCAGCACTTAAAAATTCTTTAACGTGTTTATAATATTTTGATTCAGGATCCATCAAATCTCGATTACCATGTTCATCAGTAATTTCAATGTTTTGCCACCTTTCTATTCGTTGTTTCTTACCGTTCACAATTTGTGTTGTGGGCACAAGACACCTTTGGAATATCCTTTTAAAAGGTAAACATATTATTTCTGGTGATGATTTATAGGTGGAGGGTTTAAAAGTACATTCATGTTGTGTAATTGATTTTAAGTGACATTGGTATTTTTGCGGATTATGTAGTTGCTCTTCATACTGTAGTTTTATTTCATCTGAAGTATATACTGGAACTGGTGGAGCCATTATTGAAGTTTTGAGAATGGGTTTGGCGTAACAATAAATTCAATACTTTTATTAGTTTAAATCGGTTCTCAACGGTTGTGTACCTCACGGAGTTAATCAAAGTTTCTTGTCCTACAAAAGTGGCTACCAAATACTTGAGTTTTGAGAACAACAAACCGAACCATACTTCAATAAGACAGTGATTAAATAATTGGATGTTCATTCTCGTTATATATAAATAAATAAAATAAATAAGGTCAACATCTGACATCAATTCCGGATCTTCGTTCACTTTCTCTAAGTTCAAACATGACTTGAGATGCAATGAATAAACAACTTGATGAGACCACAAAGAATCTTATACCTGAGAAAGTTTTGAAAATTTCTTTGATCAATTGTAAAGTTCCCTCTTTACCTAAGCAAAATCCTACCAAGTTTGCTGTCATCATCATCCATATATTAACAACGGCACCTAATCCACATAAATATCTAAACCACCATTCTCGATTAAATTTTTTGAAATATATAGATGCTGTTAATTCAGGTATCAAAAATAAGACAATTAACCAGCCCCACATTAATAGTTTTAGCTCTATATCATGCCATATAGCAACAAAACTGAACACGAGCAAACTATTTAAAATTCTATAATTTCCTCCCCCTCCCATAGGAACATAAATATATTTAATGACCCATCTATTGAAAGATCTATGCCAAGCTCTCCAAAAGGCTAATGCTGAAAAGTTATCATCCATACATCTAATCATGTTTTCTGGTGGATCAATACCATCCAATAAAGACCAGAATCGAAATAATCTCCAAGGAATTAACAATTTCAACCATATGATATTCAAGTTGAATAATCCCAACATTGATATTTGAAAAGGTGTATCTCCATCCCATGCTTTCGTTTTGGATACTGCAACTACATACATAAAATGAAGTACAAACTCCATAGTTAATAAACAGAATATGAATCTTAAGAAATAAATGAAAATTCTCTTGTAGTCTTTAACTGATGATGATTGTTGATAATTTGATTGGTAAACATAATCGTTGAATGTTAATATTGGACCTGCAATAAATAACGGAGTATATAAAAGATAAGCAAGATAATTGATAACATTGTAGTCCGTCAAAGGTAAAGGTGCATTCAATCTTTCTCGATCATTTAAGTTCAAAAGTGTGCCGTTTTTTTCATTATCAGCGATCCTGCTTAATTGATGTTCTCTTTCGATGTAATCGAGATTAAATGATATCATTCTCAACAAAGTAAAATTGTAAAAGACATCCCATCTCGCTATAATTCCTTTGAATCCGCCATCTAAGAATGGCACACCGTATCTAAAATGTCCATACCATTCATTGAAAAATAAAGTCGATACGCCATAGATCCAAGTAAACCAAATTGCTGCTTTTCGATTTTTAACATATTTTCCAATGATATAATTTATACCAATTAATGTGACAATTTTTAAAACGTTAACTCCATGTGCACCAACTAGAAATATAATTCCAAATCCGAAATCAAAGTAAGTTCTCTTTTTAATACCCAACAAAGGAGTCAAAATTTTTCGCAATAAAACATGCAATATGACTAGTAAAATTAATAATGGAAAATTATCTCTGAAAAATCGATATTGTTGATCTGAATTATCCACTTTTCTTCCGAATAGCCAACCTTGACTTAACAAATGTTGAAAACGGGGATAATTTGGGTTGGTTTCATTTGATGCATCCATTGCTGCTTTAAACATCAATGGAACTACTATTAAAAACACCACGTAGTATAATTTAAACTCTAAAGTTGACCATTTTGATTTTGTTGATGTGTTCTTGATACTCTGTTGTTTCTTATTATTCTGAGAATAAGTTGGATCTAATCTTGTATCCAATGTTGATAATGAAAAAATATTCTTCAACTCATTTAAAAATGACATTTCATTTGTCTGATTTGGTCTTCAAATCGCACCTGTATGATTCAATTGATCTTTCAACGTGTTAAATGATTGGGGTAAGATTCTGATTTAACTGAAAGGAAAATATAGTACACAAAATGGATTTGAATTTTATTGTAATAAATATCAGATTTGTAAATTGTAACAATTGAAATACACCATCACAGATCGACCACTGTGCTCATTAAAAACTTTGCTATAATGTCCAACAGCGAGAATAATGAAAAAAATAGTGATTTTTCAAGAAGACCAAATCCAAAAGGATGGACACCACCAAAAGCTCCATACAATCCATACGATCCAAATGATATAAGACCAGCTGAAGGATATCCATCTGAATTTCAAATACCAAATCAAGAACCGAAAGGATTTTCATCATTGCCAAAGAAACCCACACAATACCAAAAGATTAACGAAACAATGACAAGACTAAACTATACAGCAAGACCCAAATCTAATATCTATCCGAATCAATATAAGGTATTACGACAAGTTGATACAAATAAGAATCTTCATTTTGGATCTAGATGGTTTAGTATATTTATAGGAGGATCTATTATCATTTATGGTGTCTTTTTTCAAAGATGGAATAATGGTAAAGAAAATGTATTTAGTGATTTTTATAGATCACAATTAAGATTCAAAGAACGAATGTTTGGGGGATTAAATGAAATGGAATATGATGATTTGTATCATTCAAATCAATCTAATACTGGAGGTATTTTGAAGAATGTTAAAGATGCTCAATATATCAATGAAGATATTAGAAGAACTAATGAAAATGATTTTGTGCTAAATAGACCTAGTGAAAGGCATATTTTAGAAGCCCAGAGGATACAACAAGAGAATGAAGAAAGAATGTTACGAGAGATGGATACTTCAAAGAAATGAAATTTTGTGTGGTAGAATATAGATTGATAACCTTGTAAATAATAAGAGCCTGCTCATTCGAAATTTTTAATGTGGTTGACAGATTTAGCTTGATATGTAGTTTGAACATCTTTTTCTGAAACCTATTTTTCAACACAGGAGCTAAATTTCTCTCAAGTGTTTCTACTTCTGATCCATTGAAAGTATGAAACATATTTGAAACTCAAAAATTGGTAGCTTTACGATTTTAAAAATTCTCTCGTAGATAAAATCTATGTTTCAAATAAGCGCAATACTTCGATTATGATAAACAAACAAACAATAGCATATCAAATTGCTGTGAAATTTAGAGAAAGAAAATTATAACATATTATATCCTTATCACTATCATTCAAAATACTCCTTATTATTATCCAAGGTACAATATATGTTTAACTACTGGCCCACTTTCATTAATATAATAGTACCAAATTATTAGTATCTCGTATAAATAATTACCAAAACGCAAGATCATGCCAGTACATAAAGATTTATCACTATTCTCAACATTCGTAAATATTTCATTACTAATTTTAAAAATCATAACTGTTTATGCTAAATTAATATTTTCCACTTACAAAACCAATAGTTCAAGATCAAATGACTGCAAACAATTGGAAAAAGAAACTTGTTTTGAAGAAAAAATTATACGAGCGAAGGATATTAATGAAATAGTTTCAATATTTGGTTATAAAGCAAGAGAATATGTTGTGACCACGAGAGATGGATATTTACTATGTATTCATAAATTGGAAGCTCTACATACTTCAAGCAAAGATGTAGGCAAGAACAATAACAATAAAAAAGTAATATATTTACATCATGGATTATTAACAAATTCAGAACTATGGTGCTTAGGTTCCTCAAAAGAAAAAACTTTACCATATTTATTGGTTGACTTGGGATACGAAGTATGGTTAGGTAATAACAGGGGTAATAAGTATTCCAGAAAACATTTAAAATTATCAGCTTCAAGTCTTGAATTTTGGGATTTTTCATTAGATGAATTTTCATATTTTGACATTCCTGATACAATTGACTATATTGATCAATTTTATGAACTGGACAATAAGCGTAAATTAAGTAATAACATAAGAAGTAATTCCAGTAGTGGGTCAGCTACTCCGATAAACGGGAGTTCAACTACAACTTTGAACGAATCAAATAATTTCATCAATGAAAGTCCATCACAGAAGAAACATCAAATAATTTATATTGGATTTTCACAAGGATGCTCACAATTGTTGGCGAGTCTAAGTTTAAACCCAGAATTGAACTATAAAATTAGTTTATTCATAGGATTGTCACCAGCAATAGTCCCACAAAATTTAAACCATCCCATATTTAAAAGCATAGTGGATCTAACGGCACGAGATAATTCATTCTTGTATAGTTTGTTTGGAAGACGAGCAATATTTCCAAGTGTTTCCTTTTGGTCATCGTGTTTTACACCAAACTTTTATGAACAAGTTGTAGATAAATCACTAATGTATTTATTTGGATGGTCAGGTACCAATATAAATAAAGAGCAAAAAAGAATAGGTTATCCTCATATGTTTTCGAACTCCTCAGTTAAGTCGCTTTTACACTGGTTTCAAATTATAAAAGCCAAAAGATTTCAAATGTTTGATGAGACATGTTCTACAGGATTGACTAAACTTTCTACATTATCTGATTCTGCAAAGTCAAAAGGAAATAGAGTTACACCATTTCCTATAACTGATCATTTAAAAATTCCAATGATGTTATTTTATGGAGATCGAGATATTTTGGTGGATATTGAAAAAACAAAAGAATTGATTTTGAACACGAATAAACATATGGAAAATAAGATGGATGTTGTGTTGTGTGAAACTTATGAGCATATGGATACATTATGGGGTAATGATGTTTATGAATTGGTATTTAGTAAGATTTTGAAAAAGTTGGAGACTTTGGATGATAATGATGTCTTTAGAAATGATGATGAGAAATTAAAACAAAACTTGAACTTAATTTAATGAGGATCTATTTGAAATAATGCTTGATCTGTAGTTGTAAATAAATGTTATTGTAGTTTGGTTGCATAATGTATTATTATTTTTAGTATGTTTAATTCTTTATTTAATCTCGTTTAATTTGGGTGCAAAAAAATTAGAGAAAAATATTAATTCTACATAACAAAACTCTACTGTACAATTTGTATAATTTACAAGGTTACTATGCTCAACAAGAAGAGAAAAATTACATATACTATACCTGAACTTTATGGATTGTATCATGAATACAGGTATGACATAATTCTTTATGATTTACTACCACAGGATCAAAAATTTCAAAATAAAAGATACAATTCAAAAATTAATAACAGAGAAATGTATCCAATTTCAGCATTTGTTTTATTTGAGAGCAATGGAAACCCTAGCAGCTCTAGTTCTGGGATTTCTGAAGTTCAGCAACCAACTCCTACAGCAGTTTTGAAACCGTTTTCACCACCTGATTCTTCATTGACTCAAACGTTACAACAACATCAACAATATCAACAACATCGAAGTCAAATTTATAATGGATATATACAGGAAACTGAGACCAGTCAAGTGTCTAATCAATCTTCATCATTTATTATTCCTGTTATAACAATTGATCCTGGTTCAAAAATTCCACCAGGTGGGCTACATTTACAAGAATTATATAAAAAGTTTCCGAATTGTAAAATTTTTGAAAGTCATCATGTAGAGAAAGAAACAATGAAAGTCTCAAAACAAATTGATGGTCAAGCAATACACATGAGATATTCAAATACAAATCATGTATCGAATACTGTAATCTTGAAAGAAACTAATGAATTGGATAATGAATTAGACTACAGAGCTAGGGAAGCCGATAGACAAGGGTCATACCAAACCATTGACGATGATGCAATGAATATTGAGTCAGCCAATTCAGTGAATTCTTCTAACACCTCATCATCTGATGGTATTATCATTCAAATCCATCCATCTTCATGATGTACTATACAAATTAAATTTTGCAGCAAATCGGATGTACCACAAAATTGATACGAATAAATAATTCAGAGTTTTATTTTTCTCTGTTTCATATATCTTGTGTAGTATGTCTTCTTTAAATCTATTTAGACTATTCTTGTTTCATTACCTACAAAGCACATTACAATTCATATATCATTAAAATGCTAAGACGAATGGGATCAGATGTAATTGGTGAAGTAACTGTTAAAGAGAAAACATGGTGTTATTTCAAATTGATAATGTATGTCGTGAGACTTTGAACCAAGCTACTTGAATTAACAAATACTAACATAAAATTTAGACATCCAGACCCAATAATATTTGAAGAATCAAATAATTCCAAACACTTGTTAGCAAGGTACGATGCAATAGAGATAGATGTTGTTACTTGGAGAACGTTAATAATAAAATCTTTAAGTAAATTATATGGATTAATTGGTGAAGCATCACCATTTGAAATAATAAAAACAGAAAATCAATCTTTGAATAAAACAATGATATTGAAAATTCAATTACAAGATAAAGATAAATTTAATAATTCTTTAATGAGTTATACTTTTAATTTAAATGAATATTATAATGATTTAGATTTGAATTGTAATATTAGAATTGTTAAAACTGAAAATTATATAGGATTAGTTATATGAAAAGATGGGTGAAAAATGGAAAAAAATTATAAAGTGTAACTTATTTAGATGACAACATTCTCTATCTTTAGTACAAGGTCATTACAATGAATTGTCAATGCATTTACTCATGATATTAATTCTGAAGTTGATTTATCTATTCGATCAAATCTTTTACTTTTGCGTAACCTTTTACGCTACCAAACAAATGTAACTGAAAATTTCCAAAACTAAAAAGTTACACTAAAAGTACAGATTGACATTTTCTATTAATTAAGTTCGAGGCTTTAACAACTTAACAACTGTTAACAAGGCATCAAAAGAGTTCAAGAGAATTACAATCATAGGACATTATAAAGAAATCTTAGTTCTATTGTAACTGTATCGGAAGTTCTTAGCTAATTAATACAATCCTTATCATTTATGATTGAAATTTACATATAGTATATCATAACTATCACATTCATTGCGAAATATTCAAGAAGAAGGATTAAAGAAACTTCTACTCAATTGCAATTATTATAAAATAAAAAATCATGATGTTTCCTTTTTGCTCACTACTACTATTGCTATTATCATACATATCTTCATCACTAAGTTTTAGTCCAGAAATATCAATATCGATACATGATGATTTTCCAGAAATAGTAAGATATTTTGATGATTCAAGTAACATTTTGACTTTGAAAAATAAAAAAGCTTATATATCATATGATGATGGGAAACTGTTTGAGCAAGTGAAAGGTATTGAAGAAAAAGTGGTTCAATTTGAGTTTGATCCATTTGTTAAAGAAAGAGCATTCATTATAACTGCAACAAACAATCATTATGTAACTCGTGATAAAGGTAAAAATTGGTCAAAATTTGTATCAAATATTTATGAATATAATGAAGATGGATTAGCTTCAATACCGAAAATGGAATTTAATGCCAAAAATCCTGAAATGTTATTGATATCAAATTATCAATGTCCTGATTCTGGAGAATATAATCATAAATGCCAACATATTTTCCATTATACAACTGATGGATTTAAATCCAAGTCTCAAAAATTACCTTTAAATGCTCATGTTTGTAGATTTGCAAGATCAAGTAAAAATTCGGAAATCGGAGATGAATCAACTATATATTGTTCAGAAAATCAATTAAATTCTCATAAACATATAGTTCTGTCCAATTTATATAGATCAGAGGATTTTTTTAAAAATAAAAAAGAAATCAAATTATCTGAAACAGGAAATGGAGCAATAATTGACATCAAAGTTGAAGAAAGTTTTATGACTATTGTTTCGAGATTAGATAAATATAGTGAACATTCTAAAATAAACTTATATGTGACAAGAAATGGTGATGATTTCAATAAAGCTGATATTCAAATAGATATAAAATATGGAGTCATGACATTTTTAGAATCCTCACCTTCGTCGTTATTTTTATCAGCTATTGATTATAGTCAAGACAAATCAAAAATTTCAAAATTATATAGTTCAGATTCATTAGGTTTAAGATTCAAAGAAATTTTAAGTAAACTTTCATATGTAATGAAAATTCAATATATTGACGGAGCATGGTTAGCAAATGTTGAAGTGGAAGTTGAAGATGATGATGATGAACAAAAATCCTTATACGATTATTTATTTGGTGGGAATGCTGCGAATGCTTTAATTTCCAAGATCTCTATTGATGATGGTGAAAATTGGCAATTATTAAAATCAAATGATGATCGTTGTAAAATTGAGGATGGTTGTTCAGTACATTTATGGACATATGGTCAACTAGGAGGCGAGGGTAAATTTGAAACAGGTCCAACACCGGGAATTTTAATGGGTGTAGGTTCAGAAGGTAAACATTTAGCTAGAAATTATGATCAAATGAAAACTTATGTTTCAAGAGACGGAGGATTATCATGGGATCTTGCATTAGAGAATGCTTGCGTAACTTCATCTGGTGATAAGGGAAACATTTTAATGGCTGTTCCATATAATAGTGTTGCTAAACATGGACCAGTTGATTATTTCTATTATTCATTAGACCAAGGTAAGATTTGGGACAAAGTTAGTCTTGAAAAAGAGATTTTTGTTATTGACATTCTCACTACTATAGATGGAACATCTAAAAAGTTTGTAATTGATGGTTATGCACCAAATAGTAGAGGACAACCTAAGGAGATAATGTACTACATTGACTTTGATGGAGCATTTGATGGTAAAACATGTACTGATTCTGACTTTGAGGAAGTTTATGCAAGACAAAATGGAGATGATACACCTACATGTGTATATGGTCATAAAGAAAAATTCAGAAGAAGAAAACAAGACGCTAAATGTTTCGTTAATCAATTATTTCAAGATGTAAGAGTGTATGAAGATCCTTGTCAATGTACTGAAAAAGATTTTGAATGTTCCTTGGGTTTTAAACCTAGTGATAAAGGCGATGCATGTGTTCCAGATCCTAAAATGATTACCAGTATTTGTAAAGAATCAGGCAAAAATCAAATTGAAATTTTTGATAAATCTAAAATTAGTGGAAATTTATGTGATTTTGGATCCAAAAAAATTGAAGATTTTGCTTCGAAAGAGACTTTTAAATGTTCCGATTATACAAAACCAAATGACGACAATAGTGGTGAAAAAACGGATATTGTAGTTAGTAAAAATGAAGTTGAGGGTCTCATTACTCAATATGTTTACGTCAATACGGATGCTGATGCAAAAATTGCCGACAACATTGTTTTGAAAACTAATGAAGAACGTGTTTATGTTTCTAATGATGGAGGTACTGGATTCACAAGAGTTCCAGTTCATGATAAAATTCTAGCATTTTATACTGGTTTAGTTCCTGGTCAAGTTATTTTAGTCACTGATTCGACTACTTTTTACTATTCAATTGATGGTGGAGGAATGTTCAGAAAATTTAAAGCACCAAATAAGCCTGTTGCATCATCTCCATCACAAGTTTCATTTCATAAAACTGATGAAAGAAAGTTCATTTGGATGGGCGGAGATTGTGAAAGAAATGATAGAAATTGTGAAGCATCGGCTTATTTTACGACAACAGGTGGAGAGAGTTTCAAAAAAATTATGGACAATATTATAATGTGTGATTATGTTGGACCGGTTTTTGAAAAAAGAATTGATAATTTAATTTATTGTTCTGTTAAAGAAGAAAATGGTAAAAAATCATTATATTCAATTGATGGTCTGAAGAAACCTGATAAAATATTTGATGACATTGTAGGATATGCAATTACTGGTCATTATGTTGTTGTTGCAATTATTAAAGATGATTCATTAGAAGCTAAAGTTACTGTTGATGGTACAACTTTTGCTGATGCTGATTTCCCTAAAGACTTAAAAGTTGGTAAACATCAAGCATATACTGTTTTAGATTCAAGTTCGAATTCTATTTTTATGCAAGTTGAAACTAATTTAGAACAAGGGTTTGAATATGGTTCATTATTGAAATCAAATTTAAATGGAACTTATTTTGTTTTATCTTTGGAACATGTGAATAGAAACTCAGTTGGTTATGTTGATTTTGATAGAATTGATAATTTAGAAGGAACAATTGTGGCAAATGTTGTTGCAAATTATAAGGATAAAAAGGGAACTAAAAAATTACAAACTTTGATTTCAAGAAATGATGGTAGTGAATGGGACTTTTTAGCTCCACCAGTTGTTAATTCAAAAGGTGATAAATATCAATGTATTGGACAACCAAGATCTAAATGTGCTTTACATTTACATGGATTTACCGAAAGAGCTGATTATAGAGATACTTATTCATCAGGGTCAGCAGTTGGGTTTTTAATGGGTGTTGGTAATGTTGGTGAATATTTAACAGATCTTGACTCATCATCAACATTTTTGAGTATCGATGGAGGAATTACATGGAAAGAGGTTAAAGATGGAGTTTATCAATGGGAATACGGAGATCAAGGAACTATATTAACATTAGTTGATGCTGTTAAAGAAACAGACACATTAATTTATTCATTGGATGAAGGTAAATCTTGGAATGATTATAAATTTACTGATACTCCTGTTAAAATATTAGACCTTACAACAGTACCAACTGATACTTCACGAAAATTTTTGATTTTAGCTGCTCATCCAAAAGAAAGAAGAGATACTTTAACTTTTTCAATTGATTTTACAAATATTTATTCAAGACAATGTCAATTAGATCTTGATAAACCAAATCAAGATGATTTTGAATATTGGTCTCCATATCATCCTGAAGGTGAAGATAAATGTTTATTTGGTCATGAATCAATGTATTTAAGAAGAGCTATAAATCATAATGATTGTTTTATTGGATCAGCACCATTGAATGAAGGTTATAAAAGAACAAGAAATTGTTCATGTACAAGAAGAGATTATGAATGTGATTATAATTATCAACGTGATATAACTGATAATACATGTAAATTAGTTCCTGGTTTAACTGCAGAAGATCGTAAAAAGGATATGTGTTCAAAACCTAATGCATTTCAATATTTTGAAAGTACAGGATATAGAAAAATTCCATTATCAACATGTGAAGGTGGAAAACAATTTGATTCCTTTTCTCCAAAACCATGTCCAGGAAAATCAAAAGAATTTGATGAATATTATGGTAGAGAAGTTAAAGGTTCAAAATTATTTATAGTATTATTTGTTCCATTATTAGTTTTCATTTTTGCAACTTGGTTTGTTTATGATAGAGGTATAAAAAGAAATGGAGGATTTGTAAGATTAGGACAAATTAGATTAGATGAAGATGGAGAAGACGGTTTCAATCCAATTGAAAATAATCAAGTTGATGTGATAGTAAATAAAATTGTAAAAGGTGGTATTTTTACAGCAGCAGTTATAATAGCAAGTTTTAAAACTATTAGAAAAATAGATAAATTATTAATTGATAAAATTGGTAATAATATTTTTAAAAGACCAGGTAGAAGAAATTATGTTTCAATACCTGAAGAAGATGATGAATTATTTGGAGATTTTGATGAAAATGATGATATTGATGATGAATTAACAAATGGTGTAAGATTTAGTCAAGATTTTTTCAGAGATAATAATCATGAAGAAAATGAAGATGCTCGATCTTTTAAAGAATCTGATTTGGTTGATTTTAATGGTGATAAATCAAATAAGAACAATGATCCAACATCAACAAATGAAAGTTTGTTTAATATTGACGATGACGATGATGATGATGAGGAAGAGAATGAAAATCCACCGAAAAAGTAAAACCTATAAAACATTATTTATAGTAACTCAAATATTAAATGTAATTATAATTAAATATTCTTTTTCATTACGAAACTAACCATATTAAATGCTCTCATATTAAATTAATTGTTGTATAAACACTATTCAAAAGTATCTTGTAACAACTTATATTATTATATTATTTTTCTCTTTGTAAATCAATTTCATGTAATAAATCTTCAGGATTAACAACATCCATCATATCTTGTTCATGAATTCTTTGAACATAACCTTTTCTATTTTTTAATAATGCAAAATAAGGAATTATATATAATAAACCAAATAATGTTGTTGAACCTAATGCACAAGCTAATGAAATTCCAACAACTTTTCCCTTTGATAAATTTTTATTTATATTTTTTAAATCATTTGATGATAAAAATCTATTTTGATCATTTATTAAAATTGATTTTATATCTCCTATATTTGCTGATGATGATGATGTGGAATTTTGTTCTAGTGTATAAACATAGGGAATCCATGATGTACCATTATATAATGCCATATTGACTAAACCATAATCTCTGATATTTAATATACCAGCAACTAATAATATCTTGTTATTATCAAATAAACTTTCATTATAAGATGTTGATTTTTCAGTAGTTAATAATTTTAAATCATTAAATATAGTAGTATTATCAATATTCAAATCTTGATCAATATTATACCAATTATTACCATCAAATCCAAATATAAATTCATCACCAATTGCAATCATTCTATCATCTAATTTTGAACTTGATGATCTATCATTTATAATAAATTTTTTAACATCTTTATTTAATGAATTTAATGAATTTGAAGTATCAAATTCTCCATTATTAAAATTATAAGTTATAAAATTAACTTTATTATTATTTAATAATAATTTTTCACCAGTAATTAATACATTATTTGATGTATAAAATTTCATATCTGTTATAATACCACTAATACTTTGAGTTGTTTCTGCATCATTTTGAGGATTTATCCATCTTGTATTTGAAATATCATAAACACATAATGATGGACAATTTAAAGAACCAGCAGTATCAAAATCTCCACCAACTAATAATTTATTATCTTCATCAAATAAAACAATTGAATTAATATGGATGGCATTACCATTACTATTTGATAAAGCAGGTGGTTGAAATGATGTAAATGTATTATTAAATAAATCATATATTATTATACCTGTTAAATTATCATTATTTATTGTTATAGATCCATGAATTCCCATAAATAAATATTCAGCATTATTATCAACATAAATTGCTTCAATTTCTGAATCATCATTCCAATTAATATCATTATCTTCTAATGCTTTAATTGAGTTTGACGGATTCCTATTATTTATAATTCCAACATTTTTAACATTTCCAGAAGTAAATTTACCTCCAATAATACTAATTGAATCATTTACATAAAATGAATTTGATATAAAACTATTAGAATCTTCAGTAACATTAAATCCAAATTCATTAAATTCAGAATTTGAAATAAATGCTTGATTAATACTATTAAAATCCATTATATTAAAATTATTTCCTCCCAAAATTTGTTGATTAGAATTTAATGATAATGCTTGAGTTAAATTATATGATTTCGAACTCCATTTAAAATTTGTATTATCCCATGTTTTAAAATTTGAACCAGATGATGACGAGAAAATAAAATATTCAATATCATCTATTGTTGGATTAGCAAATTGATCAAATTCAACATCTTCATAATCATTTCCAAAACTAAACCATTGATTCTTTGAGTATAATGCAAAATTATTAGCTTGAGATGTAGTATCATTATCATTAGAAAGATCTTTTAATGATCCATTCAGTACTGAAAATTTACCTAATACCAATAATTGATTTTGAAAAGTGATAGTCTTCGATATTGAATTATTAAATGTTACACCATGTATAGTTTGATCTTCTCTTTTCTTTAAAGTTGTTGGTAAATTTATAGATGTTTCATTTAAAGTTGAATTATATGATGAAATATTAAGAGTTAACAAATTATTATTTGTTAATGTTAAATTATTACTATTAGATTCAAATTGTCCTAATAATGTTAAAGTATCATCAAATAAATTAATTGATTGAATTTCAGATTCATTTGATAATCTTCCACTTAATAAATTAATTGATGAATTTCCAATATATGTATTATTTGTGTTTATTAAAGTTTTATTACCTTCTTTATAATGAACTAAATTTTCATCAAAATTAGTAAAATTAGCTAATGAATATTCAAATAAACCATTTAATTTAATATGAACTAATTCTGATGAATTCTTATTTGTGGTACTGTTTGTATTATTTCTATCATAATACAGATCTAATGAAACAATATTAGCAGTAATTTTATCAACAACCATTATTGGATTTGATTCATCTGGGTTTATAGTATCATGAAATGAAACTTCAAATCTATTATTTTCACTTTCAGAACTATTTAAATGACCATAAAATAAATAATCAAATTTCATATTTTCATTATTTTGATAAATTAATTTAGTTGATAATTGATTATTTTCAATATCAATTACTGTTACATTAACTATTGCTCTTTGTTGACAAGAATTATCTATTGAACAACCTGGGGTTGTCATTATGATGGAGTAATTTCCAGAATAAGTTATATTTGGATAAAAGATAATTTTAGCATCCGTATCTCTAGTGACTAAATAGTCATTCCCTGAAAGTTGTTCATTTATAGTTCGTATAGATTGAAAATTTCCCGACACTATTTCAGCATAATTATTATTATCTTGATTAAAATCTTTATCACAATTTGGTTCATTCAAAGTATTATTTCCATAAGTTGTAATTGAATTTTGATATAATTCAAATCCACTAAAAGAAGCTTGATTACCATACCAATCCAATATTGTTAATCCTAATTGATCAAAACCTATTTGATTTATAAAAGCAAATTCTTGAAAATTTGATCCATATCCTAAATTTTTTGTTTTTGTTGATGGATCATAATATTTAAAAAATGTTCCATCGTCTTCATCAACAAAAACATCATCTTGATTTAAATCAGTTGCATTTTCTTTATTATTATCAACAAAATCATTCAAATCATCAAAACTTAATAATGGACACCAAGCATCACAATAAGCTAATTCATTAGTTGAAGGATCAATATATGTTAAATTCATAATACCATTATTTGGATAAGAATATATTCTAAATAATTTAATACCCTTATCACTATCTGGTAAATATATACGAGCTTTTGTTGGTATTATTCCTTTCATTTCATCAGCTAATTCAACTTTCCATTCAGCTCCGGAATTAGGATTAGCATCCCATATGTGGTTATCAGATGGACAAATAATCTTAGAATTTTCATTTTCATCTTGTGCATTAACTGATGTAAAAGTTCCATGTCTTAAAGATATTACTTGTTCTGCATTAACTATGGTAGAATTAGTTTGATTATGATTTGAAGTTGAATTTGTTGTAATATTATGCACAAGTAAATCGTGTAAACCGAGTGTATTAAATGATCCACCAAATATAATTGATCCATCATTTGTATCATCATCACCTCCTATTTTAATTATACTATTTATTATTGATTGATTTCCAAAACCTTGAAATAGTGTTGAATTTAATGATTTTGATGTTTGATTGTATATTGCTACTCCATTTGTATTATTGTATGTGAAATCACCTCCTAAATATATAAGTTCTTTATCTATGAAAATAGTTTTAACAGTTCCATTAAATCCATTATTAGGTATTATATTTGTTGTTGAATTAGATGTTATATTATAAATAAATGGACTTTTAACTGATTGTGAATTAAATTCAGTAAAATTACCATTTAAAATTATTGAATCATCTGAAATCTTATATAATTGTTCAATTGGTCCATTAAGATTTGCAAATTTTAAAACAAAATTATTGTTTTTATCTTGTAAGAATAAGTTATTATCATTTGTGGTATTTGAATTATTATTATCGTCTCTTTTGTTATTTGAATTTTGATCTCCATCTTCTTCTTCTTCTTCTTGTGAATTTATACTTAAAAAGTCAGAACTTCCAATATATTTATAAAAACTACTTGAACTAAAAGATCCAAAATATCCAATTCTATTACCAAATAAATCATATTTTAGACTAGGTTGAGTAACATTCTGAAATAAGGAATCTCCATTAACGAATGAAATATTATAAATTAAATTTATTAGTAGTAGTAGTAGAATTACTTTTCGATGTATTATTTTGAACATATCATAAGTTTTATATCATTAATTGTATTTGTAATTGTGATTGTACAAAGTGTCTGGTTAATGCTAATTAGCTAAATTGATGATGATGTTGTAAATTATTAAATGGTTGTAAAATTGATGGAAAAATTAATTTAATATTGAACGTGATTAACGAAGTAAAAATTTGATTTGATGAAAATGTGAGTGTTGTGAGGATAAGTAAGACTAGTAAATGAGCGAAAGTGAGTGAATGTATTGATGATGTTGGACGTTGAATGTAGTGGTACTGATGTTGGTTGGTTTGGTTTGAAGTAAATGTATTTGATCTAAAGCCTTTTTGGTTGTAACTTTTTTTTAAGATTTTTTTTTTTTTCTTTTGTTTACTTTTTTTTCACAGTACAGTAGATCTCACTCTCGCATTAAGAAACTAAGATCTAGTTCGTATTCATTCACCAAGACGACTGAGATAAATTACCATCTAATTAGATACGTTAAAGAGTTAGATTTAAACAACATTACAAGAGATGTCAAGCTATTCCATATTGTAGGCAAGACCCGTCTCTTTTCTTGTGGTAGAACCAACCTATACCTAGCTTTAATAGTGTTATGAAACATCGACATACATTAAATTACTCGTCTAAATACCCAATTAATTAATTAAAGGTGAAGCAAGGGAATGTTTGTTATTGATCATAGACCAAATTTGATGTATACTTTCCTAAAACTGTTTAATAAGGTAATGTAGGTTACTTACTTTTCGTGTAAATTATTACAATAAATTAATAAAGGGGTAATTTAATAATAAATTAATTTTTGGTGTTTCAGCCGCTTAATTAAAATTTGAGTGTCGTTAAGGTCTGTAAAAGTTGACATTAAAAATTAAGACACACAATTGGTAGTAAAGCAATATTTGATCTCGCATATACACTAAATAGACTAAACTACAATTCAAAAATCACTGGATTTACACAACTTCATCTATAAATCAAATTAATTTGTCATTTTGAACAAATATTTTAATGGAATATCCTAAAGGATTAGATCCATTTAAAGCAAGACAAAACTTATTGCATCATACTTATTCACCATTAATATCAATACAATCTACTTATAATGTTGATATATTATTTCAATCAATTTTAGAAAATGATAATAATAAAAATTCTATATCAACTTTAAATTTATTAAAACCTTTTGGTAATAATGCAAGATATGGTATACCAAATCAACAATTTAAAATAACAAATAATCAATTAATTACAAAAAATTATAATAGTTTTCCTATAAGATTTGAACCTTCATTACCTGAATTATTATCAATATCTTATGCTCAACAACAACAGCAAAAACACCAAAAAGGTCATATTACTCCTCATACAAAACAATTACCTAATTTACCTAATTCATCATTTTCATCAAATTCTGCATCTTCATCTTCTACTAAACTATCAAATAGTGGATCACTACCGCCAATTGAATCATCAATACAATCTGAAAATCATCCTCAATTAGAACAATTGTTTAGTATATCATCATTAGAGCTTTATCTACGTCATATCTCCAAACTGCTTAAAGATTCTGATCAAAAAGAAGAAAAGCTATATCAAACATTTTTTAATAAAATTATAACAACAAATAAAATAACTCCTTTTGAAACTTTTAATCATCCTATAGCTCAAATATTTATAATAGATTTTGAAAATGATTCAATAGATGATTTAAGAAAATTAATTGTTGAATTTAGAAATTTTAATTTCCCAAAATTTTTTCAAATTGATGATTTATTAATTCATGTATTTATAATATATGATTCTATAAAATTTGATTCAAAAGATGTATTGGTTTTACAAAATGAAATTAGAATTAAATTAAATATTGATAGTATTACAATACCTATAAAATTAAAATGTGATTTAGAAAAAGAAGCAGCACCAGAACAAAATTTTACAATAATTTCATCAATTGAAAATTGTACAATTGAAGAAGATTTACAAAGATTAACATTAAATGATGAAACTACAAATTTAAAAATTCCAGAATCAATAGATACATCATTAAGAATTACTGTTTATAATTTCATTAACAAGTTTCTTATACCTCATATGCAAAATAAAATTAGAATATGGGATGATCAAATGTTACAACCAAAAAAATCAATAACTGGTAGATTTTTTTCAGCATCAAGGAAATTTTTTAATAATAGTGATTCAAATTTATTATCATCTTCTTCAACTATACAATCATCAGGATCTAATTCTTCACAGACATCATCACAACAAACATCTTTTAATTATCAAGAAATGTATTATTATAAATCATCACCAGAACAAACTATACGTAAATTAGCTGATTGGTCATTAATTTTAAATGATTTTAAACATGCTTATTCAACTTATGATTTAATTAGAAAAGATTATAGTAATGATAGAGCATGGATTTATGTTGCATCAACTCAAGAAATGTGTATAATATCATTATTATTAGCACAAACTCAATCTTTTGGTACAAATCAACAAAAACAGACGATTCCAGATAAAAATACATTGCGAAAAATAAGACATGATATAATTGAACCATTTATTGATAATTTATCATATACTTTTAAATCAAGATTAAATTTAAAAACTTATAGTATTAAACTGTTATTAATGACTATTGAATTAATTCAAGTAATGAATTTAATGTATAATATTCAAAATTGGTGGATTGATTTAATTGAAAAATATTTATTAAAATTATTTCAAGAATTTGATTTAAATTTAAATATTTTAAATAATCAACAAAATTTAACAAACATTGCAAACAACGGTAATAATTATTCAATTATAAAATCAATTTTATTTCAAAGATTAGGTTACGTAAATGGATATTATTATTTAACAGAAAATGAAGAATTATTAAATTTTACAAATTTATCAAAACCAGTAAGAAATGAGAATAATGAAGAAGGTGGTTATATAAATACTTTTAAATTAAAACCTTTAAATCCAATTATTGGTTTAACAAGATTTAGAAGATCTAAATTATGGTATCATTTATCTAAAATTGATAATCAAAAAAGTATTACACTGTAAAAGAAATTACAAAAAAGCAGCTATAAACAATTGATTTAGATAGGTTTAATAGACGTTCTTTTTTTTTTTTGCCTTGTTAAGATCTACAGAATCAAATGTATCGAGTCTCTATGTGGTTAAATAATTATTTTGGAGCTAATAATCTATACACTTGTGTTCTTATGGCGGAGTTTTAGTACTTTAAACACATTAATAGATTGTCTAATGAGATTATGATTGTATTTAAAGATATTTTGGTCGAAATGGTGTTAAATTATGACATTTCTACCTAAAAGTAAGCTTAGGTACTCAATAAAGCATATTCACTAATTCTTTTTACGCACAAAATACTTTTCAGATTTCTACACTTTTTCAACTATCATCAATCATCCAAGATCAATACCAACCCCCAAATCAAAATGCTCTCAAGATCACTACGTAACCATATAGGAACATCGAATAGAAGCATAATTACCATACGACTTAATTCCAAAACTGCTGAAACATATATAAGATCAAAACCAAAATTTTGGTCATTATTTAAATCATCAATAACAAAATCATTAATTTTAACTCTTATAACAACTTCAATAATAATAGATTTAATTAAAATTAGAAAAGATTTGACCAACTTGAAAACATCATATAATTTAAAATTTGAAATTTTAAACAATATAATCAAAAATTTAAAAAGTAATGAAGTTGATCCTGAATTTGATTTAAAAAAGGAGTTAAGATTAGCTAATTCATTTATTAATTTTAAACAATTTGATAAAAATGATTTAGAAATTGATTTTCAATTGAATGAATTTTTAAAATCTTTTGATGATGATACTACCGAGTCTGTGAAAGAGAATAAAGATCAATTTGAAAATCATAAGAGAAAATTAGATGAAGCTAAATTTTTGTAAATATAAACATACTTGTATTAATACATAACTTAGTTATTTAAGAACTGAAATAGTTGTTATTGGGTTTTATTTATTTTTTACTTTATTCTAAATTTCATTCAAAGATTAAGTAATTGAAATTTTCCTTAAAGTTCTTCTATGACTATCACCACTTTCAACAATTTTACCTTCTTGAATTAATCTTTTTAAACAATCATTTAAATCAAAATTTTCAATTCTAAAAGAAGATCTTTCATTTAATTTTAAACTTAAATCATTAAATCTAATTAAATTATTATTTTCATCTAAAATTTTTAAAATTTCAGATATTAAATCTTCTCTTATTCTTCTTTGTTGTGATGTTGTACCTGTTTGTACCATATCCATATCAATTCTACCTGTTATTGGATCTGTTGCATAATCCTTTATTGCTGATTTAATTAATCTAACAGATTCTTTAACATCAATTAATTCAACTCTATTACTTAATCTCATTTTGGCATGAGCTTCACTTAATCTAATCATTGATTCTAATTGTCTTGTTGTTGCAGTAATTCTTTTTTCATTTATTCTTACATCTTCTCCTAATTTTCTCATTTCAACATATGATTTAACTAATTCATTTTTACCTTCTTCTGTCATAACAGGATTAAATTTTTCTTTTGCATATTGTAAATATAATGTTAATTTTTCAATTGGTAAAATATAATGATTTGTAACTCTTTCTGGTGCATCTTCAATATACATATCAGTTAAATGTCTTGCTAATTGTCTATCAATTCTTTCATCAACTTTATCTAATATTAAATAAACTAAATCAAATCTTGATAATAATGGTGGTGGTAAATCAATATTTGCAGTAACTGGTAAATTTGGATCATAACGAGAATTTATTGGATTTGCAGAAGCTAAAATTGAAGTTCTTGCATTTAGTGTTGTTATAATACCAGCTTTTGCAATGGAAATTGTTTGTTGTTCCATTACTTCATGTAATACAGATCTTGTTGATTCACTCATTTTATCAAATTCATCAATACAACATATTCCACCATCTGATAATACTAATGCACCACTTTCTAATACTAATTGCCTTGTATCTATATCTCTTGTAATATATGCTGTAAGCCCAACAGCTGATGAACCTTTTCCAGAAGTATAAACACCTCTTGGTGCAATTTTATGAACATATTGTAAAATTTGAGATTTTGATGTAGATGGATCACCACATAGTAAAATATTTATATCACCTCTATATCTACCACCTTTTTGAAATGTCTTGTTTGTACCTCCAAATAATTGTAATAATATACCCTTTTTAACATCATCCATTTCATATATAGAAGGAGCTAAGGATCTTGCTAATACTTCATAAAGATCATCTCTTTGACTAATTTCAATAATTTCATCTTCTTCTTCTTGTGTTATTTTTCTAACTTGTTCAACTTCTTGATCTTTTTCAGCTAATTCATTTTCTAATGTAGTTATATCTGCTCCTAATCTTTTTTTATCAATTTTTTTTATATGAACTATATCAAGATAAGTTTTATATAAACTTTTCAAAGCTCTTTGTCTTGAATTTTGTCTAACTGGTACTGATCTGAAAATCCCACAAACTTCAACTCTATCACCAGCTCTACTTGTATCAACTAATTCATCATAAACACATAAATTTATAGAATGTGGTGTTTGACCATCTGGTACTAAATCTGGAGTTTCTTGTAATTTTATAACTTGTTTATCAGCGAAAGAAGATCTATTATGAATTAAAACCATTGAATTTGTTTGTCCACAAACTTCTCTTGGACATTTTGTTGGTTCTGATATAACACCTCTATCAATTTCAACTCCAACAGTATGACCACATGCATTACATTTAAAAAATGCAACTTTCATATCTGGAATTATTGAAGTTGATCTTAAAGTTAAACCTTTAACACTAACTAACTTATCAATATCATTTGGATTTAATTCTCTTATACCCTTTTCAACTAAATTTATATTATAAGGACGAATTGTATAAACTTTTGTTTCAATTTCATCTAATTTTGAAGCAATATCATCTTCATTACTATCTTGAATTAATTGTAATAAACATTCTTTTATAGTATGATCCATAATTGGAATAATTTCTTGAGGATAATTAATTAATTGATGATATAATTTTCTTGTTGAAGGATAACTTAATAAATTTTTAGCATCTAAATTTAAATTATTTAAACCTAATTCTCTCATAAGATTTAATTTTTCAACATAATATAATGAATGATCATTTGGTTCAACTTCTTGATTATCCATTTCTTTTCTAAATCTATATTTAAAACTTAATAAAAAATCTCTAAAAATATTTGAACATTCTTGAATTGAAACATTTGTACCCCAAATAACTCTAACTGGTTCATCTGGTTCAATAATATCTGAATTAAATTGTGAAGATGATGAATGTATCAATGTTGATCCATTTTGATTTCTTTGTTGAGTAGTGGTTGTTCTTCTTGAAGGTGATGAAATACCATTATTTATATCACTTCTTTGATTTCTTCTCAGAATTCTATCTAAATCATTAACTCTATTACTTCTTTGTGACCTAAAATCACCTAAATCTGATGTATGATGAATTGATGAAGTATAATGTAATGGTGATGATATATCATTTGTTCTAGCATTATTATTATTTATATCTGAAGCAGGATTTGATGAAGAATTGAAAAATAAGGGCGATGATGGTACAACATTTTGATTTTGTTGACTTTGAGATATTGATTCTGAATTTCTATCTAATGAATCTCCATTATTTAAATTTGATTCTGGTATATTATTACTAGAATGTAAAGGTGATGATGACATTTTGGTTGAAAGTTATATTTGATTTATAGCGAATGAATGGGTAATTTATTAATGAATTTGTGAAAAGAGTGTAGATGATTAGTTGGTATGATATAAGTTTTATAATTTTCGAAATCTTTTGTAATAAATTTTTAAATGAAACGCGTCTTTAAATTTTAATTAATTTTCCTAATTGGGATTAAATCATATACATTATGAGTGAACGTTATATGCAATATTATACTTATTCAAATAGACCATCAACAATACCTATCAATACAAGAACTAGTACACAATCAGAATATTAAGAGGGTTAGAAATTGTTTTGAAATATATATACATTTTATTAGTTATTATAGGATGGAATTAAAATCTAGAATAGATATAGCACCGTTGAATGAAGCTCCATTACTTTTCAACACCATTATTCTGAATCTTTTATACCTCCTTCACCAATAACATAAACACATTCTTTTTCTGGCATATTTGGACTATCTAATAATTTAGCAACTCTTTCTTCTCCTCTACCTTTTCTTAATAAAATTCTTGTTGCAGAAGCATGAGCTAAAACATGACCTCCAACAGGTTTTCTACCATCTGCAGCAGCAAATAATGAACTTGCACCAGGATCACTTTGAACTTGATTTGTTAAAAATACGGCAACATTATAATCTTCAGCTAATCTTGTTAAATAAGCTAAATGTTGATTTAATTTTTGTTGTCTTTCATTTAATTCACCTCTACCTGAATAATCAACTCTAAAACATGCTAATATAGAATCAACAATTAATAATCTATATTGACCACTTGATAATTCATTACCTAATTGTTCAGTTAATTCAATTTGATGTTCACTATTTAAAGCTCTTGCATAAGATATATTTTCAAGACAAGTTTGAGGATCAACTTCAAATCTTTCAGCTATAGATTTAATTCTATCAGGTCTAAAAGTACCTTCAGTATCAATATAAGCAACTTTACCTTCAGCACCACCTAAATCTTTACTTAATTGAGCTGCAACACATAAAGTATGACATAATTGAGTTTTACCACATCTATATTCTCCAAAAACTTCAGTAATACTCATTGATGTTATACCTCCACCTAAAACTTCATCAAATTGTTTTGAACCTGTAGAAATAGTAAATACATTTTCTCTTTGTTCTGCAACAATACTTGCTGAAATAAATCCAGTCATCTATAATTTAGGTTAGTAAATACTAATACTTCATAAAATCAAAAAGAGATTTCAAAACATACTTTGATCTTACCAGCTGCTTCTTTGATTTTTTCAACTTTGATTTCACTTAACCCTTTGATTTTAACTAAATTTCTTCTAGTGGTGGATAAGACTGACTAAAGCCAAGTTAGTAATTTAAACATAGTACAACAAGTGAGATTGTTTTTTAACATACAGCAATAGAATGAATTCCAGCCATTTTTAATTTAGTGATATCACTAGCATTGATACCTTGATCCTGTAAAAGTTCTATCGATTGTATTTGTTCAACAACGTTCATTTTGTCTTGATAAGTAATGTTATAAAAGTTGGTTGTAAAAAAAAATCAATTTTTGCAACCATAAATAAATTGATAGTAATTTTCATAAAGCGGCTTTTGTGAGTAAATTTGTCTATAATAATAAATTATGTAAACAATTACTGTATATAATATCACATAGTGTAATACATAGTAAAATAACAAAATTAATGTTAACCTAACTATTGGTAAATTTAATACTATGGTTAATACAACTAATGAATAACTTTCATATGGATATTCATAATCAATAATGCCGAGACTCAAATCAATTTTAAAAAAATCCAATTCGTTTTCTTTCAAATCTTCAAAAGATTCAACGTTTAAAAAAGTTAGGTTTTCAGATTATGTATCAACTTATCACATTCCAAGAATGAATAAAAGTAAACCCATAACTCATAAAAAACACAAATATCGCAAGCTCAAATATTTAAGATATACAAAGTATAATAATGATACCAATGAAACGTCTGGAAATACTGAAACTTTTAATATATTCAATTCATTAATCCCAGAATCCATATTTAATTCATTCAATTGTCAATCATTTAATGTTCGATTATTTAACTTCCATTCATCTAACTCCGATTCATTTAACTTTTACGGATCTGGATATACTAAAATGGGTAATACAAAATTTACATATGAAGTTCTTAGTTCAGAACCTTCTAATAAAGGATTCTATTGGATACGCAAAGAAGTTTCCAAATCGCTTTGTTAAAAAGTGTCAGCTCCGATGTCTTTTAGTTGGAACTTTGGTAGGACTGATTAATGATACTTGTATCAGTCCATTTAGAACTAACAGTCAACTTGTAAATAACAGACAACTAATATAATACTATTCTTATTTCTCAAATTACAATTAAAATTCGATATCTTTTGTTGTTTTACCACCTTCTGGTGTATTATTATTCTTATCATTTGAATCATCTTCAACAGGAATTCCCCATTCTTCAATTTCAAATTTCTTTTTACCATTTTTAAAAGCATATTCACCATTATGAATCATCATTAATCCCTTTTCAGAAAGTACGGGGATTTTTATAATATTAATTAAACCTTGTTGAATTTTAGAAGGTTCATTTTTATAAGCTTTTTCAATCAATTGACTCATTTCTTGATTAAATGGTTGTAAATGAATTATTGAATCAAATAAATTTTGAAATATTGATATTAAATTTGATGTATTTGGATATAAATCTAATGAAATTGAACTTATTAGTACTAAATTATTATTATATTGACGTAATAATGATCTAAATGAATGAACTAATGGGAAAACAAATGTTGATTGTGTAAATAATGGATGATATATTGAAGGATTTAAAAATCCAGGTATAATTAATCTAATAATTTTTAATGGATTTGATCTTAATTGATCTTGAATTATTTTATTTATTTGAGATATAATACTTTGTGGAGTATTTGTTAATGGAACATAAGAAATATCATTAGGGTTTGGTCCAGGTTGTAATTTTTGAGTAAGATCAAATTGATGATTATAATTTTCATAGTTATTTCCATTGTTGATTTCATTTTTATCTTCATCTTTTTTATTTAAGCCATATCTCCATGCAATCTTCATTTTAGAATCTCTTCCACCATCAGAACTGCTATTTGCAATATTTGATACACTAACTTTAGATTCGTTTTCTGCAATTTTAGCTTTTTTTTGATCTTTAGATGATCCTTTATATAACCCAGGTAGATCATTTGACCAATGAGGTGACATCCCCAATACTATTATATGAGAATTATATACATTATTTTCTAATCGATTTTGTATTATACCTTGAGATGCAAATGCTCTTAGTAGTACTGAAGAAAAATCAGTTGTTCCTGATTCTTCTATTAATAATGAACATCCTAATGGTAAACCTTGATGTAATAAAATTTTATCTAAATCAGAACTTCCAGTAGATGCAGTTGGTTGAGATGTAATTAAAGAAGGTCGTATTCCAGGATTTTGCATAATCAATGAAGAAATGTCTATTTCTCGTGGAGATTCTTGTTTATTTGTAGCTTTTTTGAAAGATGATATTGATGACGTAGGGGAAACATTTGGTTGAGATCTGCCTGGCACTGAAGATTGACGACCTGCAATTGATGGAATGGGACCTCTTTGAGGTGCAGGACCTCTTGCACCTCCAACAATCTCCCCTCTTTTTCTAAATGACATTTTAAACCTAAGTTTGTACAATCCTGTATCTGAGATTAAGTTGGTTTAAATTTAAACCATCAATTCAACTGAAAAATAAAGATGAACCAAAATTAAAATGTGACACAAACTTCAGTTAACTCCATATCACCAAATTATTACTATCATCAACAACAACAAATCGTATCAAAGATGGGTGCTGCTATATCTTTACCTTTGATGCCCATATCATCTTTGGCATCATGTTTTGGAGCAGCTGCTTGTTCTGCTTTTTGTACATCAATAGGTGGAACTTTTAAATCATCAATAATGACAAGAATAACATATGCAATAATATTATTAATAAATTCATTATTATCTTGGATTGCATTATCACCATTTATAATTCATAAATTAGAAAAAGCAACTTTTGGATTTATAAATAATAGATGTGGACCTGATGGAAGTCAATGTATTAGTTTTACATCAGTTCATAGAATTAATTTTGCCCTTGGAATATTACATTTAATATTAGCTGGTTTATTAATAAATGTAAAATCTACAACAAATCCAAGAGCAATAATACAAAATGGATGTTGGAGAATTAAAATATTAGCTTGGATATCTTTTATTATAATAAATTTTATTTTAATACCTGATGGATTTTTTGTATTTTATGGTAATCATATTGCAATAATTTTTTCGACAATTTTTTTGGGGATAGGATTAATTTTATTAGTTGATTTTGCTCATGCTTGGGCTGAAAAATGTTTAGAAAAAATTGAAATGGAAGAATTAACTGGTGAAGGAGATGCAGGATTTTGGAAAAAATTATTAATTGGTGGAACTTTAACTATGTATATTTCAAGTATTGTATTAACAATATTAATGTATTGGTTTTTTGCTGGTAAGGGATGTTCAATGAATAAAACAGCAATTAGTTTGAATTTAGTTTTTGCTATAATTATATCAGGATTATCAATTCATAATACTGTACAAGAATATAATCCACATGCTGGTTTGGCACAATCTTCAATGGTTGTATTTTATTGTTCTTATTTAGTTATGAGTGCTGTTGCTTCAGAACCTGATGATAAATATTGTAATCCATTAATTAGATCAAAGGGTACAAGAACAGCAAGTGTAATATTAGGAGCTTTTTTCACATTTTTAGCAGTTGCTTATACTACTACAAGAGCTGCTGCAAATTCAGCTTTTAGTTCGGATTCAATTGAAGAATTCACTGCATCAGGAATAACATCAACTCAACCTACTGGAAGAAATGAAATGAGATATCAAGCTTTAAAACAAGCAGTAGATGAAGGTTCATTACCAGAAAGTGCATTAAATCAATCAGATTTATATGATGATGAAAATTCAAATGATGAGGAAAGATCAACTGTAAAATATAATTATTCTTTATTTCATATAATATTTTTTTTAGCAACTCAATATGTTGCAACATTATTAACAATAAATGTTAAACAAGATGATTATGGTGATTTTGTACCAGTTGGTAGAACTTATTTTGCAAGTTGGGTTAAAATAGTAAGTTCTTGGGTTTGTTTTATATTATATGGTTGGAGCCTAATTGCTCCAGTGATTTGGCCCGATAGATTTGTAAGTATTTGAGATATTTAGTATACAAAAGAGATAATAATAAAAATTAATGTGGTTAGAATTATAAATGGATCCTTAATTGACTCTAAAACCAGCAACTCAGTCTAACGAAATGTTCGATAATAATGCTACAAAACTCTTAGTATCACGATATCTTCTAACGTTATAGTGAGTACTTCAAGTTCAATCAGCCATAACTAGTGCTACCAATTACCAGTGGTAACAAATTGATTGGTTAATTAAAAATTTGAAAAAAAATCTATTCAAGTGAAAAATGAAAAAAAAATAACCATAATAGACGATTCTAATTTAGAAACTGACATTATTCATTCATAAACATTCATAAACACATTTCAAATGTCAGCCATAATATCAAAAGCAACAGGTTTGCTCAATTCAGTAGTATCAAAATCAGCTGAAGCCGTAAATAAAACTATTTATTGGACAAAAGTAGGAGCTGAATTAACTAAAACAGTTTATCAAAAAGAAGGTTTCGCACCACCATCAATAAAGCAATTTGAAACAACTTATCAAAATTTATTTAAATTTTTAAAATCTCCAAAAGAACAAGAGAAATTCATTAATGAATATAAAAATTATAGACCTGATACAAAATCACTTGTACAATTTGGAGTATATGGTATACATTTAGCTGGTTTTTTTGCAGTTGGTGAAATAATTGGAAGAAGAAAATTTTTTGGTTACCCAAAATTTGGTAACTCTAGTCATCATTAAGTTTAAGGACAATTGAAGAGGTAAAAGAAATAGAAAGTGCATGTATAAATGTTAATATATTCATAAAAAGTTTTTGTCAAAAACTTAAAACATGAATAAATTTCATTCCAAAAATACTACTTAGCTAGTGGAATCAACTTCATTTTGTTTTCTCCTTTTGGAAGCTTCAATCATATCTTGTTTTTGTTTTCGTTTCTGTTTTATAATTTTTGGAACAGTACTAATTTTCTTTCTTTTTACTTCATGAGTCTTTATTGATTTTTTCTCATTTTTTGATAATTTCCCCATATTTTCCATCCATTCACTAAATCCATTTTCACATCCAGATTGTTTCATAACATTTATGATAGGTTTTATAGCTTTATCATCTTCCTTTGTGAAAAATGTTACGGCTTTACCAGATCTACCTCCTCTACCAGTTCTACCTATTCTATGTACATAAGCTTGAGCACTTTGTGGCACGTCATAATTTATAACTAAGTTAACCCCTTTAAAATCAACACCTCTTGCTATAACATCTGTTGTTATCAAAACCCAAATATCTCCATTTTTGAACCTATTTATAACTTCATCTCTTTGTTTAGGTGTCCTTTCGGCATGTATTACGTCAACATTTAATTTATCATATATCAATTCATGAAACAATGCTTTTGCCCTAGTTATAGATTGTAAAAATATAATTATTGGTGGTTTAAATTCCCCATTTTGCACCATTTGTCTAATTGCGATAAGTTTACCTTCTTCATTACCTGTATAAACTAACTTTTGATCAATAGTATTGCTTGCTGCTTCTTTGTGTCCAATGATGACTCTCAATGGATCTTTCATTATGGAATGAGCCATTTCTTCAACTCCTGACGGTATGGTTGCAGAAAACATTGATTTTCGAATTTTGGAATTTGTACAATGTGCAAGGATTTCATCAGTTTGTTCTGCAAATCCTTGATCAAACAATTTATCTGCTTCATCTATAATTAGTTGTTCAACGTTTGATAGGTCTATTTTGCCTGTATTAAGTAAGTCTATAAGTCTCAATGGTGTTGACACTATAATATCAAATTTCAGTGACTTCACTATATCGTTAGTCAATTTGTTAGCTAATTGTTTAGATAGTATTGCTACTTTTAAATTTTTACCATGAACTAGATTTTCTAATTGTTGATATATTTGAACTGCTAATTCATTAGTTGGAGATATTATTAATCCTCTCACTCCATGATTTTTGTTAGTTTTCTTAGTAGTCAATTGTTGAATTAATGGAATAAGAAAGGCTAAAGTCTTACCAGATCCTGTTGGTGCACATGCTATTAGGTCTCGATCCGATAAAGTTATAGGTATTGACTCACATTGAACAGGGGTTGGTTCTATGAATTCATTATTTATCAAATTTGATAACAATTTTTTATCTATTTGAAATCTTCCAATCAAATCTTGAAAAGAACCAATTGGTAATGGTATGTCATCTCCAGTTACTTTTGATCTATGTGAATTTCTAAAAATTCTTGCATCTTCATCATTTTTTATCTCTGGTGGTGGGATCTCTTCTACTTCTGTTTCTAACGCTGTTTCCTCCGAATCATTTGATTTTTTACTATCTATCGATTTTTGATGCTTTTTTGTATGGAAAAAGTCAGTTTCTTTCTCAACTTCGTTAACTATAGAATCCTTCTTCGATTTTTGTGATTTGGACTGATTTTCAGGTAGAGCAAAGTCAGTGGATTTATTTCCCTTTTTATTCAATGAAGCTCCTCTACTTAGTATTCTGAAAATATCCATTTTTAACTTATGTAAAGGTGTTGATATTCAGTCGATGATCATCTCTTGTATACAAAAGCGATCTGAATATCTGCAAATGTTTTAAGTTGTTGCAGCTACCAAATTTTTAAACTATTGATGTATGGATGCAGAATTTATCTGTGAAAGAAAATTTAAAATTTTTCAGAATATCAATTGATTAAAGAACTTTACAACTTAATTGATCATATAGATACCAACCAACAGTTCGTGAAATTCATAGCTTAAGATCATGAGTATACGACCACTACATCACATTACCTATTCAACACTTCGATCCATAAGCAAACAAAATCTAAACAACGTAGGCACTAAAAATTTAAAGCTCACGAGATCTATATATTTACATAAGGGACCAAGGATAGAAGGACTAAAAAAAGATCCAAAAGAAGTATTTATCAATTCAAGCGGTATTGAATACGGTTTAAATGATGAAAACATTAAATATATTAAATCATATTTGGGAGAGTCATACAAAATTCCCGACGAAATTGCATTACAAATCATAACTCATAAATCATTTGGTAATGGAATAAAACCATATAATGAGAAATTAGCAGCTATGGGATCAAAATTATTGAATTTAAGCCTAGCAAAACATGTAATTAGTATATCACAACAAAACAATAACTCAAGTCAATCGTCATCATCCTCAACATCTCCTTCACCATTGTCAACATCTTCATCATCTAACCCAAAGCTCCATATCAATGGTTTAAATTTATCAATACTAGGCTCACCCACATCCAAAGAGTTGAGTAGTAGGAAATCAACAGGATATTTTGCAAAATTCAATAATTTAAACAAAATAATGTTTTGGAAATCAAGAAATCCAACATTAGGTTTTGAATCAAGTGGTGAATTGAAAGTAAGTTCTCAATTGATCTATTCATTAGTTGGAGCAGTGAATTATTATTATGGGAAATCAAAAGCAGAAGAATTTATTAATGAGAAACTTGTGGATAAATTAACTGATATTACTTCAGATATTGTAAATAGAGTTTAATAAAGAAGTATCAGTTATTTGCGGAACGAGAAATTAAAGTTAGTGCCAATGTGGAGCTGCAGTCTCTGCTCCTTTTGGCTTTGTAGTTGGAGCAGTGTAAGCATTATAGCTACAAATGTTTTCTTTCACATAGTATGACTATGAATGCCTTTCTGATCATTGAGCTATACTCTAGTAAGTGACATGGGTAATTAATGTTTGTGATTGATTTTGAGAGTTGCATAGACAGCAAGAATTTTCTCAAAGTTTTATCGATTTTTGCAATATTTATTGAAGATTACTATAAAAATTCAAAATAGAATGAAAATATATTTTAACAAACTTATGATCTGTATTGAGATTTAGCAGCTTCATAACCTTTTTGGAATTCATTGTGAGCTTCTTTTTGTAAATGTTCAGGTAATTTTGAAATTTTAGCATCTAATGAATCATTACCAGTTTTGAAGTGGTGACCTGATGATGAACCTGATCCTGAACCATAACCGGTACCAGTTGATCCTGATCCGTAACCAGCACCAGTTGAACCTGAACCATAACCAGAACCGGTTTGACCAGATGAGTGGGTGTAACCTGAATCATGAGCATTTGATGATCCTCTGTTATCGTAAGCACCAGTAGCACCACCAGCAGTAGTTGATGGAGCATGTTTTGAAGCATCTTGGTGACCTGATGAGTAACCAGATTGGTTTCCGTAACCGGTGTTTGTACCAGAACCTGAACCATAGTTTGAAGATTCATTACCGTAACCAGTTGAACCAGAATGTCCTGATTGATTACCATAAGCAGCAGCACCTGCAGCACCAGTGGCAGCTGTTCCAGCAGTGTGATGTCCTGATGAATGGTGTCCTGAGGAGTGATGACCAGTTGTAGAATCACCATAACCTGATGATGAAGTTCCAGATTGGTTACCATATCCAGTTGATGAAGTACCAGATTGATTACCGTAAGCACCTCCGGTAGTTGAGTCATTACCATATCCTGATGAAGTAGTACCTGATTGATTTCCATAACCTGATGAAGTAGTACCTGTTTGGTTTCCGTAACCTGATGAAGTGTTACCGGAAGTTGATGAACCAGCACCATATCCTCCAGCAGCTCCAGCAGCAGCACCACCTGTACCAGCGGCACCGGCAGTACCAGCACCAGCACCAGCACCGGTACCTGAAGCGCCTTTACCACTGTATTGGTTGTATTTTTCTTGAGCTACATCAGTACCTTTTTGGCCATCTTTACCAGTGTATTTACCAGCTTGTTCATTGGCAGTGTCAACGTCATCTTTTTTAATTCCTTTTAATTTGTCAGTTAAACCCATTTTATATATTTGTTGTGTTTTGTATAATAAATATAATTATATTTGATTGTTAAAAGGTAAGAAGAAATCATGATGTTCGAGGATATTTCATGGTTTATTTATAACAATTTTTGAAAACTTCTGATTTATGCAATTGATGTTGAATGATGTAAATGAATAAAGTTTAACCACGTTTAAAATTATTTTTAACAATACAACCCCTAAAGTTTTAAGTATGGGTTTTCCATATTCGTTGTTTGCTTTTCATATATTACTCCTTTAAATTTATTTTTATTTTTCAAAATTGTTGCTATTTGAAACGGGTGCGAAATTTTATTAAGGTACATCCATTTTATTTTTCTAAATCATTACGAAGAATTTCATTTCAGTTGAATTGTTTATTTTGAATCTTATTATTTGTATTTGAGATATTGTAAGTAATCAATTGGTTTTTTGCTGACCAAAACCTGAGTGTGCCACATAAATTTAGTCGTTTTTTTTGCACACCTTGTTTCAAATTTTATTCGATTCTAAATTTGATATTTGTGATTAAATATTTAACACAAGATACGGAGCAATTGTGAAATAACTAGTATTCGGACATGTTTGTTTGTTGCAGAATTTGGAGAGATTCCCGATTAAAATTCTTAACTGTTTTACCGTTTCAACGATTCAACTTTTCATGAGCTTTCTAGTCAAGATGATGAACAAGAGAATTGGCAAGGAGCTGACTCAATGGAAAACCAAAAGTCAATTGAACTCGATTTTAACCATTAAAATTACTTTGGTACTATACTTACTGTGTGAAATGTGGAGTATGTCAAAAATAGCAAACTAGTACACTTAAATTCTGATATTTTTCACGTATTAAAATCCTCCACAACCACACCCTTTTTTCTATGCTTTGTATAAACTTTGAAAATTTGGAATGCATTAGTCTCCACAAAAGTCATCGACTCTTTTTGGATTAACGTTGGTTATTTTTCAAAACAGAGACAAATTTATACGTAAAAATTACAATTTACATTACGTCACACAAACTCGATTTGCTAATACCACTAAATATTTCATTAAAACAGATATTTTTCATCGTTGAATAACTAGTTTGCTATGAAATTCGATCAAAAAAATCAAAGCCTTTACTATTCTATATCTCAATTTTGATGGGAATTTTAATTTCAAAAATTTTTCGGCTGCTAAAAATAAGGTCATTTTCAATTCATACATTATTTTCGAATATTGAAACTAAAGCAGACATACCTCTTACTGATGATAATTTGAAAATATTAATGACGTAGTCGATTAATTTACTTAGTTGAGTTGAGTTTGACTTTGTTAACAATTATTTTCACTAATATTGAATTACCGTCACTTTCTGACGCGATGAATAAATCTTCTTGTCGTCTGAACACACTGAATTGAGATCATCGACAACTTCCTTTTCCAGTTCAAGTTATTCAGATCCTACAAAGTTTACTAATTGCTTAATTGGGCGGGTTTTTTTATGAAATGGCTAAATTATTCGTTGAAAAGTATTGACGTCTTAAGTCCTCTGTACTTTATAATTCGAGTCATAAATTCAATTGAGATTGGTTTTTTTGACATATAACGGAATAGATTATATATAATCTTTGGATGGTTGTTCTTCGCAAATAACATTCTTCATTAGCTTTGTCCGACGGTTGTTCAATCACTTAATTTGACCCAGTATTTAATGCAAGCACTGAATTCGACCGGGTATTTAATAACTCTGGCAAATATTCTTTGCTCTTATACTTAAGTTGAATTTATTAGAGCAGGACTATTATTGTATCATGCTGTTGGGAGTTACTTAATTATAGTTCAATTATTCGTTTCTGGATTGTAAATTCATAAAATTCATGTTGAAAAAACACCTTAATTCGGTACACAATCTCAAATTCGGAATTACACAAAATTGTAAATCTTTTTTTTTTTTGCGATCTAAAATTTACGAAGGAACAATTTTAATTTGCGCTTTTGTTTAGGCTAATCAATTAATTATAATTGTTTTTTTTTACTCCGTATTCAACATGAATTTATCACAAATCACTAATATTTTATGATTTTCTTCGCTAGATCTAATCAATGATCATGCACTATATTCTCACCTTGACTAGAGCCCTAATCCTTTACAATTTGTTGCTTTCAACCTCATCTTATAGTAAGTTTTGAAACTTTGTTATTACTAATCTAATAAGTTATTGATTTTGAAAAAAAAAGCACAATCGAAGTGAACCACTTATCTTCCAAAGCTTAGTAAGGTTTTAGATTTTATTTTACTCAATGCAAAGTGAAAATATTTCATTCAGTAAATTCGTTACAACGGACCCTAAATTGTGTACGTTTTGGACTGTTAATCTTACGATATATTCAGTCCCTTTCCAGGTTGAGAAATTTTAAAATCTATAATCATAGTCTATTAGTATCTATAAAATAATTTAAGTTGCCCTGATTTTGAGTTTCCTCACTATCTTTTGAAATGTTTTAATTCTAAATATCTCAAGAAAGGATAACTTATCCCACTAAATCCCATACATAACCACATAGCAATATCTCCACCATATTCACCACCTATTCTTCTAGCTACAGGTCCAATCCAATAAGTTTGTGACATCCCCACAGCAGCACCAGTTGCACCTATACAAAATGAACAAGTTGCTGCTAAACCTTTTGTCAATTTATTATAATCATTCCATATTCTAAAATTATAATGTTGATTTGATCGTATTGGAATATGTAATCTTTGTTTAAGATCAATTGAATTTGAAACATCTTCTGAAAATTCTAATTCATATAAATACTTAAATTTATCAGTTCTAAAAATAACATTTTCTTCTAATAACATAATAAAATACATTGATATCCAATAACCAACCATTGGTAAAAAATTACCTAAAATTGTAGCAAATTTATTTCTACCAACTAATGCACAAATTAAATATATAGCAGTTAAAACAAATGCCCATAACCATCTTGGAATTTTAGCAAAACCAGTACCAGCTAATTGAACACCAAAAGCAGCTGAATAAGTATTTATAATATTATTTGATATCAAGGAAAGGAAAATTAATATTAAAAGAAATTTTCCTCCTCCACCCCAGGGTTTAAAAGCTTCATTTAATAAACCACCCATACCAAAAGTTTCATATGCTTCTCCCCATGGTTTATATGTTAACGCAACATTACCAATTAATAATCCAGCAACACCAACAAAAGTAGTTGGAATAAATATACCTAATAAAGTTATTGAAAAAATTTGAATATCTGGCGTAGTTTCTGGGAATAAAATATAATAATCAGATGCAATTGAACCCCAAGTTGATGTAATTGAATAACATAATGAAAAAAAACTTAACCAATTACCCTTTATTGTAGCTGGATCAGTTATAGCATCTCCCAAAGTTAAATATTCAAATTTTTGTGAAGCAACAACATAAAGCATCAAAAATGCAAAATTTACAGGTAAACTTAATAACGCTTCAATTCTAATTAAATGTTTTATACCTCCAATTGCAACAATTAATGAAATCCCAGCAATTAAAACTATACCACCCCATAATGGTATTTTATTATTACTTAAACTTGCTAATATTTGACCTCCAACTAAACAATTAACAACTGACCAACCCATAACTCCAATAATACTAACTAATGCAACTAATTTAACAAACCACCAACCAAATAAAAATCTTGCACTAACCATTTGTCTACAACCAGATCTTGGACCCATTAATGAACAATATGCAGCTATAAAACATCCTAAAGTATGACCAATTAATCCTGCTATCAATGTATTTTTTAAACCTAATCCAAATAATAAAGGACCTAAATAAAATGTTGACATTGATGATAATCCACCACAAGCAGATAACCATAATCCAATAACACTAATAAGCTGTTTTGTTTTATTTGTTGATCTTTCATATGGTTCTATTCTTTCTATACCTCTAGTTTCTACTCCTAAAGAATCTAATTTTTTTGATGCCACATTAAAAAATTGTAATATAGGGTTCTTATTTTCTTTCTTTTTGTCCAAAGTAGATTCTGATGTTTCTATTTCTATTGATGCTGATGATTCGGGTATGTCATAGTTATTTGCTGATGAGCCTATATTGGTTGTTCGTTCACGTATTTGTGAGTTTATAGTCTTCTTTGACATGTTTGGTTGTCGTTATTAGTTGAAGATGATTCATTATTAATATTTCTTTTTGTGAAAAAAAAAAATTAAATTTGACTCAGAGTTTCAAAATCATAAATTAATTTGCAACCAAATATTAGAAATTATTTTTATTATGCATTTTTGGTCCAGCTGAGACGATGACAACAAAGTATGGACAGAAGAGACTAAAACGAGTATTTGAACCACCTTAAGCGGGATGATGGAAATTCGATTTAAGTTCGAAATTTTTTAAGTTTATGTACTCAAGTTGAAGTCATAATATTCGAAGTTGGATTTACCTTCACAAATCTTATTTAAAATTTAGAGTTCAGCAAGATTTTATTACGTAGATGAAGTATCTAATCTCATTAGATAACAAGTAAAAAATTTTAAACTAATCCTTCTTTCAAATCAAACTATCTTTTTGAATTTAATAATGTCGTCGCATCTTGAACAATAACCTTTAAAGTTTTCCTTAATAGTTATCTAGGTGGATCATCTAGATAACTATTATGTTGACAGTAGTGACATCATTTGATGCAAACATTGGAATTAGTCAGCAACAAAGTATGCTGGAACACTCTGAAATTAAGACCCCGATGTGAGATTTCAAGCTGAAAAATTACAAAGTATCAAATTTAAGGTACTAAATCTCACCATATCGTATCTGTATAACATAAAAAAGGAAAAGATTCATCTAAATTAGGGGGTGTGTTAATATATTTCAAGATGCAAAATTGAATAATTAAGGTGTTTGAAAATTTCTGAGACAAAATTTCAATTGAATTAATGCAATTTTCTTTCAAAATTTTAATTATATAGGGACTTGAAACGTTTGATGAAAAATTTTTTTACAATTAATTAACATTACTTGAATGAGCTCAATCACGGATAAATTAGGTTATGATTGGAATATTATTTCCTCGGAAAGAGTATACACGTTAGAAGGTTTATGGATTGTAAGACTCTGTATCGGTGATATTTTTCTAACACTCTCGAAGCATGTTGAACTGCTTGAAATAATAATATAGATGAAAATCATTATCAAATTTTTCATTATCAAAATGTTAATTCAGAGAATCAAAATTTTATCAAATTCTGCAAATAATTACAAGGATATTTTGAGTACTTTCAACTGTATTAGATTGAGACATATTATAAGCTTTTTAATTAGGTTAAGATCTATCTAATTTGAAAAATGTCTCCCTTGTCAAAAGAGGAAGGTAAATTTTAATAACAATTTTCTTTTAAACTATCAAACGTTTGAATTCAAAAGATCTACTTACTTTACCCCTAAAGTTGATTAAAAAATAATCTAATAGGGATATTCTAGATTTATCAGAAAAGGTGGGAGGTTTCACTCCTTGATGAATCTGAGCCTATCTTCGTCTAAATTTTCATAGATGTGGATATAATTTTTGTAAATTCTCGCAATGTATTATGGAATTGAAGAATATGTCATAACCAAATATACACCTCAAATTTCAAGGTTTCCGATATCTATTTCATCAGTTTTGGGTGTGAAATACTCTCCGATTCCACGATGAGTTACTAGAATTTAAAAAAACCAACAAACAAGAACTTCCAACACTTCAAATTGTTAGTAAACTATTGATCAATTTATATATATCATTGGATAAAAATCAACATCATTAGTTAATAAATAGCATCAGGAGAAAAGAATTTCTTTACATTGGTTAAATTCAAATAATGTAGATAAGTATATGTTTTTGTTATTTCATCATCTTATTAAATAATAATGCAATTCACATCCACAATTGATATAGTTGTAACATACCTTAGATTCCGAATATTACGATGATAAATGTTTCTTTTGTTAATGGTTTATAGTCTTGAGCTAAGTTGTGTAGATTTTCAAATATTTTTTTCATTCGAAAGGATTTCATGTCTCAAAATTTTATTTGTTTTGACAAATACTCAAAAATGACACTCTGCTTTCAATTTTTGTACTTACATCCATACAACAATACTTAAACCAGAAAATCTAACTAACACCCCCAAAGCTTATCCACAAAAGATGAAATATTTAATCATTCATACATTAAATAGATTTAAAAATATATAAATGAAAAACAATAGATTTTATATTTATTATAAGATTAACAAGGCATTGCTGGTTCAAAGGATGGGACAATTTTGAATCAGCCTTGATGCTCATCACCATATGAGTGACAAGTCATACCATACATACTTGACTAATAAAAGGGAGTTTTGAAGATGAAATAATATCAAATTGCGGTATTAAAATAATACATTATTATTATAAAACTTCCTCAAATGATTAATTATAATCTTATTTCATTAAGGTTAAACACCTAAAACAAATATAATAAAGCACATTTTATGTAGACCCAAGTCAAAATAAAATATTAACTTTTCAAAGTGAGACATTATTATTTTATCACTTTATACTTAATAACTGGAACTTTTCAAGAACTTAAAAGGTGAATGAGAGACATTTTTTATGTTTTAAGTTTTTCTTACTCTGTTTGTGTTTATGGTTTAAATCGGGAGATTTAAAAATTAAAAAAATAAAAAATAAAAAAGCCTTTGTTTTATTAATGATATATAAATATTAATACACATCTTATTTCTTATCAATTTTACAAAATAAAATTATTCATCACATCTTTTTCATATCATTCATCAATTTTTATTCATTGGTATCATTTGCATCTTTCAATTACTTAGCTACTCATCACAATAATAGCTAATTGCTAATCGTTCAATCCATTGATACACGTAATTTTATCTTGCTGTTTTTAATTCCCAGCTACACCCGGAACCCACGATTATCAATAACAAACAAATAAAAATTATCATTACTTCCTACAACTTAAACACAACTCAATAACATATCTAATAATCAATTTACACACACATCTACCAAAATGTATTTATCATTAACAAATTTAATAACTGATTCATCTTTTTTTTCATCCTCACATCCATTATTTTATATATTAAAATTTGAACAAATAACAACAACATTTTCATTAATCTTGGTATCAATGATTATTTCATCAGGTATAATTTTATTTTTAATTGATTTAGGATTATTTTTAAGTTTACAATATAAATTAAAAGAAACGAAACACAAAAAATATTTTATAAGTAATGAACATGAAATTGTTATTTCAAGTAATAAAATTGAAACTCAATCTTCTTCAACAAGATTTACTAAATTATTAATTAAAGAAAAAATTCATTGAATAATTCATTGAATAAAAGAATAATCAAAGAGATTGTAACAGGTTTATGGTCTAACTTAATTTTGCATATTTTTTTAATTACATATATACATACTTTCTTTTGTTTGTTTTGTTTTGTTTGTTTGTTTGATATTTAAATCCATTTCATTTCATTAATTATCAATTTTCATATATATCTTATTTAGAATCTTAATACATACAATTAACTAGTTATTCTTAAAATTATTCACATTTTGAAACTCTGTAATGATTTAACCATAGAGAATTGTGGTTTAGTAAGAGCTAGCGGTTCGTTATTTGTCCCTAATGAGAAAACTTTTTGCAAATATTGAAATCTGTAATAAATGAGTTTAGCAAGATTGTATACAATGAATAATTTATAATCTTATCCAATTTGCCATGCTCAAAGCGTAAATTAAAAACAAGGATATCAAATTTTAAATTATAAAGACACATCTTTAAATGCTAAAGTTTATAAGTTTATATTTTCATTACTTTGCGACATGATCGTTTTTGTTATTTTATTGACTATTTTTGGAACAAACTAAACTAAAATGAAAATTAAGAAAAAACTTTAAATCGCTTACAAGATCCTTCTTAACGACTAGATCTAGATTCCATTAAATTTCATTTTAACAAAGAGTTGGAGTAATGTGATTTATGTTTATGCCGATGAAGTTGTAAAAGGATTAAGACTATATATATTGAAATATCATCATTAAAACCTCTAAATTTTTATTTCAAAATTCGCACAAAATTTCACAATTTTTTGCATCAAAGTGTAGACTAAACCAATTAATCAAAAATGTAAAGCACCTCAAGAATCTTAAGGCCGATAATACAAACGCAAAATGTAAAAAACTCATTCGATTAATCAACACCCACTTCAAATTAGTTACAGTTAAATCTACGAAAATATACGACCAATACGATTGGATCTTGAAATTTTTACTTGTAGATCTTTTGAGGAAGAAAGAAAAAAAAAAAACAACAGCTAATAATTGCAAATCTAAAATAGTAAAATTCGCTACCACTGGATCTCGTAAAACTTAACTTACACAAAAAAGCTTAGATCTCCATAAAAATGATATATGACACAAATACAAGATGCTCTAACTTACACACAAATACTTTCAGAACTTCATCGTACTAAGTAAATGTAGAGCAATGACAAAACGATATGTTGCAATATTTTGAACCTACGGGGGTGTAGGCACTATTGATTGTACCCATATTTTCCCTCAAATAACTTCTCTATTGATAATAAATTATGATTCTCAAAACATCTTTTTTATTACCATTAAATACTTTGAAATACACGAATACTCGTCTACTTACTCATAAGTCATTATTACCTTAGGTTATCTGAGTACTAAATGTAATGGTAACTTTATACGGAACAAAAAAACATTTTGAATCTCCATAATTGGTTTCAAAAATCAATCCGGTAGTTTTATTGTACTATATTAAATTGTCCTTTTCTATAAGCACATTACTTAACATGTTTATTTTTTGCAAACACTTGAAAATGTCGAAAACTTTGAGGAAAGACACCTGAAAGAATTTCCTGGACTTTGCAGACTTCAGAAAGACGGTTCTGAAGGTAGTTTTTGACGATAGATTTGATGCAGGTAGATTTGTCAAATTCTAGCTGTTTTGACTTATTGCCTAGGTAGTGTATTTTAGTCAAAAGGACAATTTAATATTTTACAATCCAGTTATAACACCAGTTATCTCTACAAAATTTTTTAAATTAGTTTAAAGTTATCATTGAAATCAATATCCAAGTCGAAGTTATTGATTCTATTGTATTTTGTTAGGATGAGCAGCTAAATAATTGTACATTTGAAGCTGTATTTGAGTATATGTTAAAGCTGTTTCATCTTAATACTATCTACAGTTTTTGTGTACCAAATCAAAAATAACCTTCAGTAGTAATAACTGGATCCTTGGCAAAAACCAGTTATTATTGTTCAAAAATTTTTTGTTAGAAGTCAAAGTTACAATTAAATCTATGTTTCAAGTTGAGCTACTCATTACCATTGTAATTTGTGAGAGGAAATAGATGTTTATTCGTGTATTTAACCGTGTTTGCAATCATTGGTAACGACGTTATAGGCGTAGTAATAATAACTGGTAGATTTAATAAAACCAATTTTGATAAATAAGGTATAATTTTTAATTGTAGAGAGATCTCTACTGGAATTAAATTACGAGATCCAACTTTAATCAACAGGACTTCTTATAATTATCAATCTGCATTTCTTTTTTGTCAATGATCGATCGATCTATCCAAATATAACTACGAAGACGCGTCTTCATACGAAGTTGTTCATTTAATTCGTTTCTTTTGTGAATTAATAGTAAATTTCTATTCCATTTTTAGTTTTATATTTCCTAATATGATTTAATTGAGTTTAGGCTAAATAAAACAAAAGAAACGAAAGATCAAATATTTAACCCCCTGAAAGAAGATTGCTGAGACTCGTAAGGCATTTGAATTGTTTTATAATCTATTCATTAAAGGATATTTAATTTTAGTATACTATAAAAGTTTAATTTTTATTCTTAGAGATTAACATACACAAGTAGATTAATACTTACCAGAAATTAACATAACGTCAATCTTAATGATATTACATGTATCATCGTTTAAGCTTAAAAAAAAACACTAATCATTGTCACTTGTTTCTGCTGATGCTCATCTTTAATCTTGTATTGAATGATGACTTTTATGATAAAGTCCGTACACACATGGGTTCAATTGATAAGCAATAATATATAGACTATGGATTAATATTCTATTGTCTTGTATTTTTGTGATTTTTGCTGTAATATTGCAAAAGAATTTTTTAATTTCGTAAATCATTCCATTAATTAAAATAAAAGTTTATTTAATCTCCCCTCTGTTATCTAATACTAGTTTAATGAGGCTATCAGTCAATTAGCTAAGAGATGTTAACTATTCTAAAGCATAATATATAAGGTTCTTGATCAGAAGATCATCCGCTCTCCATTATACATTTTGTAGATTAACAATTTGGTCAAATCCATTTCGTTAATGTATTTATTGTAATCTTTGTCTCTAACTCCCCCAGAATAATTTATTGGATTTAGCCGTAGAAGTTTATGAAATACTTAGTAAATCCTACATTATCATAATATCAGAAATATATAATAATAAGAAGTAGCTGAATATGACATAAAATTATCATGAAAATACCAAACATGTGTTCAAGTGCTTTCAAATTTTCCAGAAAAAATCTCTTGAAACATCATGACCAATTTGAGATTCAATAATAAAGTAAAAATTTAAAGTTAATTTAATCTCATTATTTAGAGCAGGACTTAATTTTCCACGATTTAACCCTCAATCACTCCATTGAAATAAGGATGCTGAAACGCGTCTAAATCGAAGCGATGTTCGTTGTTGAAAATTTATGCTGTTGTATTGTTTTGGTGAAAATTTTATCCACTTCAAAATAGCTCAGATGTCACTTTATGATTTTAATTAGTTGAATAATTCTATAATGAAGAAGAATAACATTTACATCTATGTTGATTGAAGATCCTATCTCAATGAATACATCTGTTCAAAGTCTTCGTCAATCAGCAACAACTTTAAACTTTTCTAATTGTTCAATGCTAGTTGTCCAATTAAATTTTCAATCGTGGTAAATGTGTGGTTTGTATAAGTGGTTAGCCTAAGAAGAAGAAAAACAATTGAATTCAATTTTACACAAAATTGTAAAAAAGTATACTAACCAATTTCACTTACACTTAGTATGGCTTTGTTTTGTTTTGTGTGAATAAAAACAGTTGAAATTGAAATTATGTATTAATTTTTAATGATATTGTGATATCTCATCATATTTTCAAGAAAACGTTAATTTTTTTCATGAAAACGTTGATAAAATTATTCCTTATTTCGTTTTCAATCGAGATCTACCAAAATGTAACATTCATTTTTAGATATTTGAGTTGTAACTATATCTCTATCTAAATTATCCGATCTGATACAAAACGCGTCTTAATATTCCTCGAATAATTATTATTAGTGTTTTTGAATGAAAAAATATTTATAGACTAAAACTATATAGAATTAAGTGCTGTACAACTCTTTTATATAGTTAAAAGTATCACTGATATCATTCTTGAAAAAGATAGCATCATTAATGATAACTCATATTACATATTACACATACTGTTTAGTATATTTTTGTACTACTTCTTTACTTTTTAACACTATCTATTACTATTACATTCTTTAATGAATTATACATTGTAAATCATTCTTCACTTAACATATTATTTAAATGAAGATCATAAAATTTGTGTAATTATGAATGAATGGATTTAATATTTAGTAAGGTAGTTGCAATTAACTTCTCATTAAAAAAATAAAAGCCATCTTTAACTCTTTTCATATTCGGATTATTTATATTATCAAAACTATTTACAAAGATAAAGCCATTTTAAATTAAGTTTACGAATATTAACACTTAGTTCTGTTCTGAATTTAATAAATAAATGAATGGGTGAATGAGTGAATAGACAAAAAATTGTTATAAGTCTCTACTGCTAGTTGTTACTTGGTGCACCCACTTGGTTTAATTCCTCTTTTCATGAATACATGTATGTATGTGATTATCTATTTACTTTATTTTATTTTTGGTTTGTTTACTTCTTTCCTTTATATAAAAATTTTGGCAACCAAAAAAATAGAAAGTTTAAATTTTTCCAATTTTTGTACTTTAAGATAATCATCATTTTTTTACAACACTTTTTCTTTAATATCATATCAGTCAGCAACCAGATTATCAATCCAAGATTCACTATAACCTTATCCAAATCAACTAATACCATCACCCTCGTTTCATTTCCCCATCAGTTATCAATATAGTGTTTAAGGATCCATACAACTGTTTAAGAAAAAACGGATTTTTTTTTTTTTTTGTAACTGAAGAATCAACTTAACAGATAGATAATATATAATATATCATATCAAAGATCTATTTCATTCATTCGCTTAATCTTACATAATATTACATATTTAGGATCTAATCTTGATTGATTCATAGAATATATTTACAATAGAGGGTTCAATCAACAAATCAATCCGTATCAATCACATCAATCACATTAATCATCATCAAACCTTTTTTCTCCCCAATATCACAATTTGCATTTCCAAGGACGATCGAACTAATCATTATTTATTTATCATTCACACATTATAATACCTTTAATTTTATAGACCACACTTAATTTTCATTTAATTCCATATACCACTTTATAAATTCAAATAATAACCAAAAATAACAAAATATGATGGAAAAATTTACTGGTACTAGATCAAAACAAAGATTCTTCATATATTCAATAATAATAATATGGTTATTACTAATAAATATTTGGTTATTTCATACATATCATTCAAGAACTCATCCAAATAATAATAAATCAATAGATCAATCATCAATATATCATGAATATGATGAATCAAATATTTTAAGTGATTCAAAAATTCCAAAACTAGGGCATAATAATATAGAAGATTTACATACTGGAGAAGAAGAAGAAGAAGAAGGTAAACCAAAAAAATCATTCAAAGATGATTTAACAATAAAATTATTACAAAAACAACAACTGAAATTAAAAGATGTTAGAGGTATTGATGCTCATGCAACAGTATATAATGAAATTTTCAAAAATCATATGATTGATTCAATATTTGGAAATTTAAATTTTCAAGAACGTTGTGATTTATTTTTTCAAAATTTATTTATAAATGATAAAAATTGGATATTTAAAATTAATGAAAAATTAAAATTAGAAAATAAAGGAGAATTTAAATTTGAAGATTTTAGAAGACATAATTTAGATCAATATAAAAAAGATTGGGCAGAAGTAAATAATTTAAATAAAGATGAAGTTGAAAATGAACCACATTTTGAAGATTGGGTTAAAACAAAATATAAAGAATTTTGGGATAAAACAATGAATTATGAACAAAAAATAGTTGATCATTTATCTATATTAAGAGTTTTTAATAAATGTTATTTAACAAGTGATAATATAAATCAAATTAAAAAAACAAATGAATTTATAAAACGTCAACAAAGATTTATGAATGGAATATATTTAGCAAGTAGAAAAGGTGAAGGTTTACCACCTTTTCAATATACAAAATCTGAAAATTTAATACATTTTAAATCAATAAAACATTCAGCATTTGAACATAGAGTTTATCCTTGGTTATCATTTGAAAATCCAATATTTGAAAGATTTACAGGAGATGTATTATATAATCCTCCAAAAATGTCAAAATATATAAAAGATGGTTCACAAAATACTCACAAGGATTTAAAAGAAAATAATCAATTAGATTTTTTTTTAAATAAATTTAAAAATCAATGTAATGGTAAAGGTATTGTTTTATCAATAGGTGATAATCATGTTGATGATACTGTTAGATTAATTCATTTATTAAGAGCTTTAAATAATAAATTACCTATACAAATTGTTTATTATGAAGATTTATCAATTGAAACTAAAAAAAAAATTGTAACAGCAGCAAGAGAAGAATTTAAAGTATTACCACGTTCATTTAATAAAATTAAAAATCATTTCCCACTGGATTATTTAAATGGTAATAAAGGTTTACCAGAACAAGAAATTTGGTTTGTTAATACTTATAATGTTATTCATAATGATTTTAAAGATAAATTTAAAGGTTATGCAAATAAATTTTTAGCTACATTTTTTAATTCATTTGAAGAATTTATGTTAATTGATGCTGATACTGTTATGATGCAAACTCCAGAATATTTTTTTAATTTAGAAGGTTATCTAAAAACTGGTACATTTTTTTATAAAGATAGAACAGCAAGTGAAAAAAGACCAAAATCAGATTCTGTTTTTTTTAAAAAATTAGGTCCCTCCATAATAGATTCAGTTATGTTTGATATTCCAATAATGACTAATTATACTTGTGGTAGAGAATTTTTTAATGGAATGTATCATTATCAAGAAAGTGGATTAGTTATGTTAAATAGAAATATTCATTTTAATTCCCTTTTAATGATGTTACAATTAAATTTTTATGAACCAATAAATGGTAGAATTCATGGAGATAAAGAAATTTTTTGGTTAGCTTTTGCAATAAATGGTGATGAAAATTATATTTTTAATAAAAATTTTGCAGCTGCTATTGGTAAAAAAACAACAACTGATGAAAGATCAAAACCTGATGGTTCATCACATAAATCAATTGAATTATGTTCTCCTCACCCGGGGCATATATCAGATCAAGATAATGCATTAGTTTGGATTAATTCTGGTTTTTTTTATTGTTCAAAAAATCAAGATGTTGAATTTGAAAAAGAAATAAATCATAAATCTCATTTAAAATATTTAAAAACAATTGAACAATTTAAATCTTTTTATTTTTCTCCATTAAGAATAAGTTCTGCAATTATACCACCAATAGATCATGAAGAATCAGCAATAAATAAAGATGATGAACCAAGTAGAGGTTGGTTTCTTGATAATAGATATTGTAAAGGTTATATGTGGTGTGCTTATTCTTCAATTGGTGGAAAAATTAATGATAATGAAAAAGATAAAGATAAAAAAAATTCAAATTTTAAACAAGGTCAATTATTTGATTTTTCTGAAAATGAACAAAATTTATTTAATTTTTATGGTGATGTTTGGGTTGGATTAGAATAAATATTGATGTTTAAAAAGTGTTAAATAATGTTTATATTAGATATAGTTTAATATAATTAATAATTTATTAATGTAAAATTTGAATAATTTGTAAGTACACAGTATTAATATTCCCCTTAAGATTTCTCAATTTTTAATTTACGTATTATTTTTTTTGGTTGTAAATATTCTTTACACATTATTTGCATTCTAATTAAATTGTAATTAAATGTTAGATTAACTCCAAGCAGGCAATTCATCTAAATAATGAAATTGAAATTTGATCCATTCACACCACCCAAACTATATATACAACCAGATGAATCTTTATACGAAAATATAATAAAAAAATTTCATGAAATTTATCCCGTTAAAGATTTTAAAAAACCACAATCAAACTCAAATCATTCAATCGATACAAATAAAAAGCGTAAATTGAATCAAGATAGTGAAGCAGAATCTTCTATAAATGTAAATGATCAGGGAAAGACAAAGATGAATGAAGGAAAAACCGAATCATTATCATCTAAAATCAAAAAAGTAAGATTTAGGGACTTAGATAAACCTTCAGTAGAAGAATAATTAAACCTAGATTATATATCATTTTTGATGATGAGATAAAAAATGAGTTGAATTCAAAATTCCAAGTAAACTTATCGAGTTGAGTAGATTGAAAAGGATTAAATTTATCAATCAGTTGAAATAATATAATGTTTGATGAATGATATGTATGTTGATTTGCTTTAGTAATGTAAAAGATGGAATCCAATCGGATCAGCTTTATAGTTAAATGCTTAAAAATATAAAGTAACTATTTCTTAATTAAATATATTAATTCTGTACTTAATTGTATTTGATGAATCCATTTGTGTAGAAAACTAATAATGAATTTCAATATTTGTTGAATTTAAGGACCACTTGTAAATAACTTGTTTGAGTTTTCGTAAAATTTTGTAAAGTTTATTGAAATTGTCAACCTGTTCTCTTATCATTTCTTTTGCTTTAGTCAAATTTAATAAAATTGTCATAAAACAGATGCATTTACTTTCAAAGATTGTGATCCATCAAAATTGGATGATGAAAATTGATCGCCATCTTCAAAATTAAATACATCCGATTTTATCACAATTTTATTCTAACTTACTCTTAATTTTTGCTGTTTTGAGATTGGTAAAGAATTTCGTCCTTTCAGTTTCAGTGGAATTTAACCCCCTGCTCCCTTGTCTTAACTTGGATAGAGACGGTTTTATAATTGATGTTTCCGTTATTGTTATAGACAACCTACTTATAGATGATTCATAGTTATGAGTCCAATTGCCTTCTACCAGCTTATCTTTAGATGAAGTTAGGTATGCCCTTGAAATCTGAAAGGAAAAAAAGTTTTGTAAATCTAAATAGACAACACAAAATATAAATCCATATGAATTGAATTATTTCCTCTGTTTCAATTCAATTTAGGACACTATAATAAAACAGATAGACAAATGCAAATTTGTCGTTTAAGTAAATTGGAATTTTCCAACTAGGACCTAACTCAGCTGTTTGAACTTTGAATTTGTTGTAAGGGCATTGTAGAAATATGGTTCTGTAAAAATAATTTCTCCACGCTTCTAGAACCATATTCCTACAGTGCCATTACAACAATTTATGAGGATTCTTGATTTTATCAACCATCTTACTAAAAATTTTGCCAACTGTTTGACCTTTAAATTTGTTTTAATGGCATTGTAAGAAGGTTGTCGTATAGTTTGTCTGCAAGATTAGATAAGCCATAAAATCATCTTCTTACAATGTCATTACAACAAATTCACCATGCTTGATTTTATCAATCATCCAACTAGAACCTGAGTCAGCTGGTTGATCTGTAAATTTATTGTAATGACATTGCAAGAAGTTTGTCGCATAGTTTATCTGCAAGATTAGATAAACCATGGAACCGTCTTCCTGCAATGCCATTTTAATAAATTTAACCTAGTACCAGGATACCTAAAACTATCAATTACACAATCTTAGAAGTCTCATATTCTCTGGTAATCATGGAATAGTCGATTATAACATTGAGTTTCAATTTGCAACCTAATCTTGAAAGTTCCGAAATGACAAGAATTAACCGGTACCTCAAAAACTCTTTTTCATCTAATTGAGTGTCCATGATCCCAAATTGGAAAGTACTGAGCATTCATTTTTATTACCAAAGTAAGCAATGGGTACCTTGTATAACTTCAATTTTGTAAAATGTGAATATTTGTCAAATTGAATTTTTGATATATTTCACCACCAATTTTTATAAAAGTAAAAAGTACAGTAAAGAAGAAAAATTTTATAAAACATAGGGATTCCTCCACTTTTATATTAAATCATTTCATCCTGCAATAATATGCTTAATAACATTTGAATCAAATATTATATATTGTTATAGTATATGTAAATTTATATTTTTAAATGCTACCAAAATCAAATATTATTGGCTTAATAATTACAAGGAGTGTTTCATATTTAATTATTACACTAAATTATTTTGTGTTAAATAATTTTATATTGATTAGCCTATATTATGATCCACCAATTTTATGAATTGTGTATACCTTTTTTTTGACAATCAATTTATCCATTATATACTTCTCCTTCGGTATGTTACAAATTTAGAGTTATAGAACTTCATTGAGAACGTATTCTTAATCATCATTTATATTCATACATCATAGTTCTATCTCAGGGTTCTTAAACTTAAGACCTTTATTCATTGAATAATAATACTAATAATATCATAAATATAGGGTACCAACGACAATATAATTATTAAATTCACACATTCAATATATGATTATAATTATTTCCAAAATTTAAAAATTATTACTTGGTCTAAAGAACCTTCAAGTTATAACAAAATTGATGGTCCAATGTTTCCACGTGCATATTTTTCATACAATCCCTATATGTCCAATATATTCTAAAAACTTTTTATCATCAATATATTTGAAGAATTTCAAAAAGGATTCAACCAGAAAACGCAAGAAACTAAAGACCCAAAATTACTTCGCAATAAGAATTGATTTAACCATCAATAAATGCCAATTGATTGATTAAGTCTGTTCTTATTGCAAAGCCTTCTTTGATGTTGCAGGTCTCTTGTATTTTGGCGTTGAATTTGTGACTTCAAATAATCACGTGTAATTTATGGGGAAAAGCAGTATCAACATGCTCAACGTAATTGCATGAATGGCTAAAGAAGTACATGATTTAGTGTTCAATTACACTCTTAATCATCACAATGATATTTTCATTCAAATTTCCCTTACCCGTACAACCTTAATCGTTGATCATGCTCCATGCTCCATGCCCCATGCTCCGGGGCGATACAAAAACCTTTACAAAGTCTTTCAGAAATGAAACTATTAAACATTAAAATCATTTAATCGAAATTCTTTTAATATAAAGATAAAATTTTTAAAACTACAAAAACGATATTGTAAAAAACTATCAATTTATTAAAAAATTAAAAACCCACCCATAAAATAATCTATAAAAAGCTATAGATATATATCTTCTTGATTTAAAGTATATTCTTCTCCTCTTCATCATCAACCATTAAAAAATATTTTTAAATCAATGAATTAAAAAACATACAACCTTTTCTCTCCACTCTAACCAAACTACCTCTCTCTCCTCTCTAACATTAACACCCTCTCTAACCTAATTTAAACACTAATTTTTTTTTTATCTTTATCATCATCTAAATCAGGAGATAATAAAACTTTAGATAAATTACTAGAAGACTGATTATTACCATTACCACCAACATTTTTATTTTTTGAATAATTTAAAGAATTATTTCTTTTTTGCATATTTGATTTAAATGTTGGTATAATACCTTGAGAATAAGAAGATCTTAATTGTGGAGGTCTTCTTATAAAACTAGAATTGTTTGAATTTGAATTTGAATTAGATGGTGAATTATTAAAAGTTGATGAAAAATTTAAATTTTCATCACTACACATTTCTGCATATGAATAGAAATTAACTGATGATTTTGAATGTTTTAATTGTGGTGGACTTAATGGTGAAGATGGTAGATTTTTTGGAGTTGTTGTTTCTTCAATTGTTTGGGCTGGTTGTTGTTGTTCAGATGATGATTGTAATGATGATGGTGAAGTTGAAGCATTGTTATTAGTATTTGATGAATCATTTGTATTTGGTTGTATAGCAGACATTATTGGAATTGAAGAATAAATTGAATTATTTCTTGATATTGGAGACATTGGTCTACCTAAAGCCATATTTAAAGCACTAACTGAAGAATTTCTTCTACTTGAATAAATCATTTCAACATTTTCTAAATCAGTTTGTTTATCATTAAATAAATGAGCTGTAGCATCTAATGCAGGAGGAATTAAATCTTCATGTTTATAAGTTGATAAACCTAAAGAAATTTGAGAATTATGAGTTGAAGATCTTGATCTTTTAAAATCTGGATTAAATGAAGAAGTGTTTGAGGTGTTATTGTTGTTTGTTGTGTTATTATTATTTGAATTACCATTATAAATTGAATTTGATAAACTTACAATTGAACCTGATCTATTTGGTTCAAAAAAGCAACAACAAGAATCTTGTACTGATCTTTCAAATATACAACTTTCATCAGTTTCTATAATAGAAGCAGCATTTGATTTAGAATTTTTATTTTTTGAATTTGTTGTTGATGATTTGGTTGAAGAAGCTGATGATTTTGGTTGTTGTTGTTGAGATTGAGATTGAGATTTTGGTGGTGATTGTTGTTGTTGTTGTTGTTGTTGTTCTATTGGTGTGTTTTCGTCTGAACCAAAAGAAAATAATGATAATCTTTGTTTAGTTGAATTAGATCTTGAAGGAGCTTGATTTATAACTTGAGTTGTCATTTTGATGAATATATCTGTATTTAGAATTAGATTTGAAATAGAATAATTATAAACTCGATTCTGTAAAAATTGTGAGTTAGTTAAACCGATATTTGTTTGTAGAAAGTATCAGTAGTTTAAGTATTAGTAATTAGTTATTAGTAGTAGCAGTAATACTGTCAAATGAATGAATATATCTGGTTGTTGGTTATTTGGTTGTTTGTTGAAATATTTAACTTTATATCAAATGAAGCTTTAAATAAAAAAAAATCCAAATATTTTATTGGTTTAATTTTTTGATAAAGGGAAAAAATAATATTTTGTATTATGTATTTTGTTTTAGTGTAGAATCCTTTAGTATTGATCAGTTTTCTACTTGTAAAATTCTAAATCTGGTGAAGCTAGTGGTTGGAATACTTTGAATTAAAGAACAAACTGTATATATATAAGGCAGATGATGAATATATTAAAAGGGATGAACAAAATTTAAGGATTGAAAAATTTATTTATATTTTATTTATTGGTGGTGTATAGTTTTCAGTTTTGTTAAGATAATGAATGAATGAAAAAAAAAATGAATGATTAAAAATCAATTTTGTGTAACTATTTTATATTAGTAGAATTTATACTTTTTTTTGCCTTATGATAATACATAGCACATGGTAGCATTAAGATAAGCTGGTTAATTATTAAATCTAATCTTACATAGTTTATTACTTAACAATAGAAATATACATAGTAGGGGGTGTAAATTATGAATTTCTAGTATTTAGAATTCATTTTACTTACTGAATGCTCATTCGTCTTTTAAAAGTAAAAGTTGATAGTGTATTTTCTGAAGCTGCATTGACTTTTCCAATTGATGATGGATATGAGTATCACCAAACTTAGACGATCTATTGAATAATTTGCATATGATAATTAAATTTGAAATGATCAGTGTTACCAAACACAAAAATATATTTTTTTTCAAAAAAATATACACACATAAAATTAGATTCATAGATTTAATAGGTGTATAAAATTGTTCACTTTAAGAAGCTCCTTATGAAAAGATTTACAAATTTAAATGTTTCAAAAAGTTAAGTAGGTATACAAATTTCTATTTAGGTGTAAATGTATGATTAGACCAAATATAATTTGCTAATTAAAAAGAAAAGTATTAAAATGTTTGTCTCAGATAATATTTTTTTTCATCATTCATATGTTTCTTTGAAATTTATAATGTGAAATATGGAGGGTGGGTGATCTTTACTAGATAATAAATACACCCTAATGAAACAGAATATGAGTTTAATATATCATTAATTTTTAATTGACAACCTGTTTATTACTGAAATTTAGTATCTATTGGGAAAGACCATAAGGACGATATTGATCAACTTTTCTTCTTTGGAGAAATTTATATACTTGGTTAATTTCAAATTTCAAATACATAGATATATGATTATTGGCTATACATTCATTATCGAAATGCATTTAAGACTAGTTGACAGAGATAAAGAACACATTTTCATAAATGATGTAAGCCTAAAATCAAATTCTAAATGTAATTTAAGTAGTAAATGATGATCATTGACTTTTGAAATACATCAAAATGTGAAGTTTCAAAAGAAAAAAGGTTTATGATTTTGTTAAATAACTGATAACTATCTATCAATCAATCGTATTAGATCACCGCCACGATCAAAATTTCCAATGTATTATTAAATCATTATACTACAACTTTGTGAAACAATTCAAAATCAAACACCACTAACTTGTTTATAAATTGTTTCAAAATGTAAAGAATAGTCGTTATGTACTGATTTGTAAAAGTAAACAAAAGAACTCGCTGAAATTAATGAAAATGGATTGATAAATTGATAAATTTGATTGTTCTTGATCTTTGTGTTTTTAGACAATGTTTTATATAAAAATTTCAGCTGTTAAACGTTAAATTAAAAAATGTTTTAGATTGGAATCTAATTACACAAAATCTAAATCAGCACACCTTACATTTGTTAGAACACTCCGGGGGGAGGATACGCTCTTGAAATTCACATGGAATCAAACAGACTCACTACCTTAATCAAAAAGTACGAGATAGATAACCTATACTCGAATTTATGAAAATCATTAGTTCTATAGCCCTGGTGTTCTACTACCTCAGATTTTCGTGAAAATTACTTTGAGTTTACTAGATCTACTAACAATAGTTTACACCCCCTTTTCCTTATAATAATAAAAAATAAACGAAAAAAAAGAACAATAAGAAACTAAAATTAAAAATTAAAATAATTCCGATCAATTTAAGATAGATTTAAGACTACGTATTGATATCTTTATATTGAAGAAAAGTAAATGATGATGTAACTTACGAAATGATTGATCGAAAAGTTAAAAAAGAAGGTTATAAAATCACTCTCAAAAGAAAACGGAATTAGTTAATACCATAACCTTTTGTATTTGACTTGGATCTAGAAAATCTATTACTTCCTTTCATCAACAACTTTTTTTTATTTTTTTTTCTGCGAAACCGCCTTTTGATCTACATACAATTTTCTGCAAATTAAAAGGATGGAGGAATAAGACACACGAGGGTAGATGTGGAAAAGAGTTTAACCATTCATAAATAGATCAATAGAACTTCACTCTAATTTCATGCATCGTCAATACGATGTGACATTTTTACAGATTGTTTAAAGTTGTATCTGATCTCTTCAATTGAAAATGATAAAAAAAAATGAAATCGGATTGTTTTTCAATTTTAAAAGATCCCTGATTTGATCCATTCATCCGAACAATTTACACAAAATTACAATTTCAAATTAGTTGCAAAATTTATTCAATCAATTAACATTCATTTAACTTTAACAAAACAAAGAGAGATACAACGAAGTAAGTAAAAATAAACCAATACCAAACAAGTATTACTAATTAAGATTACTGACAAATATATAACCGACCTCATTAATCTATCTTCCTTACCAATTTAAACTTTTTTAAACTTATAATATTTCAAAAAGTTAATTTTTTGACATTATTTGAAGTCTAAATATTATTGTAAAGATTCAAGTACAAGGCTCAAAATTTCCTTTTGATATCGGTTGCAAAAAAGATTTTTAAAAAACTTTAATGATTTGAAAGTAAGTAAGTATCTTTATTGATTATGAAGGTTTAGGGATAATCTAAAATTTACAATTTATTTTTTTGTCCATTTGTTGTATCCCTTATGTTTAATCTAATTGAATCTTTAATAGGATTAAACAAGATTCAGGGATAAATTAATTATGTCATAATTTTGGAATATCATCAAGGGTTTTAACTACGTCATAAATTCAAGTGGTAGGGTTATCATTAAATTGAGGTATTGAATTTTAGAAGTTTGAGTATTTTCTATGATGCAATTTCGTCCTATCGACGCCCATTGTTGATCACCAAGAGTAACATCAGTATTTATTTTGATTAATCTGTTTCTACTGAATCGAAATTACTTACAAATAATAATCTAAAAATCAGGTTTTATAAATGGTCGAAATATTCAATGATACAACTTGTGATTTACGAACAATATTAAACAAGCTATAAGAAAAATTTAACAGACTCAACTAGCTATAAAAAAAATTTGACGGATTTAACAAACTTTGATTAGATTTGATATTGGGTGATCATAATATAAATGAATGGCAATTTTTCACTGATTTTTCTTTCAACAAAGTTTTATTCAAGGAATTACGGTTCATGATGTCAAAGACCTTGGGAAAAATATTCTAGCTTATGGGTGATGATGTTGACTTTGTTAATTGTTGTGACGTGCTTTATATTGTTTGAAACATATATATTGAGTGATCTTTTTACTTGCGAATTCGTACAACCAGAATTTAGAAGAACTATCATAAAGTGTTGTATGATGGTTCGTTTAAGTTCTTGTAGTACGAATATGCAAATAAGAAAATCAAACTATTGATATTTCAACCATTAATAAAGCCCTTCTGATCTTTCAGAAATTGGATTTTTTAATAAAGGTTTAATTTAAAAATAGATCATTCTCAACCTACAACTAATCACTAAAATTGGTATGGCACCAATAGAACAATTGAACTTTATAGGGAATCTTTAGCCAATCAAAAATTACTTGTAAAGAAATATTTTGATTAATATCACACTTATTTCCTCAAGTTTGCGAGCAATTAACATGTATGAAATTTTCATTTGTATTGGTAGTTAATTTTGACACTATAAATGAGCTATTTCTAACCCAATTTCAGTGGTCACGTCTACTGTTTTTAATAAGATTCGTAGCACTTTAAATGTCAAATTAGAGGTGAAATTCTTTTGTAAAGTAATATAATTAATAAAAACCCAATCCTATAAACTCCTACTTACATCTCAATAGAAATAAACCAAATACCTTAAATGCAATAACCTATTCTCCCCGCTGCGTATACTTATTAAATAGCTTTTCTACAAGTTGGACAACAAATAGAATAATCAACCCATTTTTTCAAACAATCATAATGAAATTGATGAGAACATTTAATTTCTCTAATATTATTATACTTTTCATTATTATCAATTTTTAAATCATCTAAACATATAACACATTTATAATCATTATAATTATTAATAAATTTAGGAATTATTAATTTTTTAGATAAAACAATATGTTTTTTTTGAAAATTTATAAAATTTCTTGCTTTATTTATAACTAATTTTAAACTTAAATATGATGATGGTAATATATGAATTGGAAAAGTATAAAAATATAAAAATAATAATGAAAATATTAATATTGAAATAAATTGTAATAAATTTACAATAAATTCTCCAATATAAATTATAAATGATTTTTGATCAATCCAATTTAAATTTTCTTCTTCTTCTTGTTGTTTGAATTTTAAAATTTGATATAATTCTAATCCACATTTTAAACTTGTTAATATAATCATTGGAAATAATGATAATACTTCATAACCGAAAATTGCAATTAATATATTATCTTTTATTGATGAATAATTCAGTTTATCAAATGACCAAAATCCATTTAGGTACAATGAATAAAAAAATTTAAAAATTAATAAAACATCAACAAGATTTAATATAACTAATCCAATTGATAATTTTATAGTCCATAATTTCATTTCTTTTGAATTTCTAAATCTTTGATTCTGTTGATCTTGGCCGTTAAATAAATTTTGTATACGATCAGAACTTAAATAATTAAAACATTTTAATAATAATATTACTAAAAATAATCCACCAAATTTTATAAATTGAGAAATTAAAATATTTTTAGATTTAATATCAATTTTTGAATCATCAATATTAAATCTAACACATAATAATATAAATCCAATAAAAAATTCCCATATAGTATATATGATCTTATCTTTTAAATTCATTATTTCATTATTTGATAATTTTCCAAATAATCCCCATTTACATAAATTAAAAAATAAAAATAATATAATTAAACTTAAATGAGGTTTATATATATAAAATGTTTCCTTGGATATTATAGATTGTAAATTTTGTAAAGTTGTTAAATGATGATTTATTGTTAATATTAAAGTTGTTATTGATGGTGAAGTATTAGAAGCTGATGAAGTTGATAATGATGTTAAAGATGATGATGATGATGATGATGATGTGAATGATTTACTATCTATTTGTTTATATGCTGTGAAACTAAGTAATGCACCAAACTAAGATGAGATTGAGTTAGTACATAGAACATAACATTTATAAGGATTTTGAAAATCAAGTTTCAGAAATCATTCTCCTTGTCCTTTAATTGTTGAACCTTAATATTACATACTGCTCCATACCGTAGTGGCTGTCGTCTTAAAGATTCCATGTTATATTAAGTTATATATTGGAACTTGTTAGTGTTTGGTGTGTTGTACTTAAATCAGTTGTAAATGAAATTGACAGGTTATTTTTTTATTGTTGCATCTAAAAATAATGTAAAGTAAATTACACAAAAACAATGACGTAGAATATTTGATTCACGCGACACCTTATGAAATTGGACTTGAATGGAGTTAAGGAGGTTGGTGAAAGACAAGTGACGTTCAATTCAATCAAGAGAAAGGCATTACCCAAGCCAATTTACACCCATATAAAACTAGCTTAATTAATCTTTTAGCGTACTGTAGTACTAGTAGTCTCTAAAACTAAAATCTAGGACGTTCGAACGTCTCACCAAACTTCTCGGCACTAATGAAAACTTCTGCATGATTCTAGTTGCTTGAATACTTTAGGGCTCACAGGTTGGTTTTAAAAGCTCTAGTAATCAGAAAATTCTTACAACTTTAGACCTATCGTGGTGAAATTAATTTTGGTTGCAAAAAACTCCATGATAATTTGATCCAGTTTTTAACGCGCATAAAATGATTATCAAATTTACAACCAATTGAATAAACAACATCTATACAAGACTCAATGCTACTAATACTATGAGAAAATCAGCGTCTAATACAAGATTAGATCCAACAACACTACCGAAAAAGACAACTTCTATAAAATCATTACCATCATTACAACCTCGACAACAACAACAACAATTACCTATAACTCCACAAATACAACAAACAACAAATCAACCACCACCATTATCAACTAATCAATCTCAATCATCATTACATCAATTTACAAAAAATGATATTATTGAAAGAGATAGAGCAACTACATTATCATCAATGGATATACCATTTCATCCAGTAGAAAGAGATCGAGATAATGAACAACAAGAACCAATAATATCAAAATTAAGACCTGATTTTTCAAGATCAAGAAGTACAACATTACCTAATTTTGTAAATTTTGAAATATTATCAAATTCAAATTTACCTTCAACTCCAAGTTTAACATCAATACCATCAAATCATCCAGAAAGTCCTACTTGGTTATTAAGTGATTTATTATCAAATTTAAGTAGTTTAAAAGATAAAGATGAATATTCAATTGTACAAAAATCAAATGATTTAGTTACTTTATTTCAAACTTATCCAAATTTAAAAGAAGAAGTTCAAATTAAAACTGTTTTACCAAGAATTCAATTTATGTTATATCATAGAATATCAGAAGTTAGAAGTTCATGTTATAGAATTTTAAGACATTTAATTGTAAATTATCAAAGTTTAATTTTATTAGGACAACTGAAAATTTTAATTTTTATTATAGTAAGTTTAGCAAATGATCAATCAAAAAGTTCAATAATTGAAATGGAACAAGCTTTAAAATTAATAAGACAATATATGACTATTGAAAAAGGTGCAGATTTATTATCAGTTGGTGTAATAAAGGCATTAATTGCTATAGTTGAAAATGATAAATATGATTATCATAAAACAAATTCAATAAATACAAATTATGGAATTAATTCAGAATCTATACCAATGGGGTTTAAAAATGCATGTATTGAAACGATAAGTGAAATAGCATTATTAAAACCAGAATTAGTTTTCCATTCAGGAGGTTTTAAATTAATGATAAATTCAATTATAGAAGGACCATTTGAAGTTTCATCAACATGTTTATTAATTATATTAAGAATTTTAAGTTATCAAAATTCAAGAAAATTTTTAAGAAATGGATTTGATTTAGATTCTTTAATTTCAATTTTTTCATCAGAAGAAAATAATGAAAATTTAAAAAAATTTGAAAATTTAAATAATTTTAAATTACAAAAAATTTCTTTTTTAATTTCAACTTTATTAAAAGATTTTAATGGTTTAATTGCTTATTCAATAAATGATTTTACAAGTATTCAAAATTTATTAATAAATTTAACTAAAAAAAATAATAGAGTTCAAGATTTAGTTCTAGATATTTTATTGGATGCTTTGAGGATAAAAGTTTTTCCATGGTTGGAAAATAGTCCCATTGGTGATTATGTGAGTAGATATAATGATTATAAAAAGAGGAATGGAAAGGGACATGAACATTTAAAATTTGAATATACAACTAGCAAAGAGCCGTTTTTGAATGATATTGTACATCATTATCAAGGTCTTTTAACATATATTTTAATTGTTAATGATGTATTTGAACATCTAATAGGATTGATTCAAGATTCAGCTAGTAGTGAAGAACTACGACAAAAAGCAACGCTACTAATCACAAAACTTAATGCAATTGCAAGTAATTATTTACCTCAAGAATTAATCAAAAAGAAATTACAACTGCTTAATTTTTCTTCACATATTTCATTTGAAGTTGTTAATTTAACACGTACTAAACCTGAAAACAATCCTGAACAAAATCAATATATTAAAACCAATATGAAAAAAATCTCAATTCAAGCAAGTAATAATGTAGATGATGAAGAATTTAAAAATATGATTACAAATAGTAGAGTATTAGTAATTAAAGAATTTGAAGATTGGAATTGGCCATTACTTTCAAGTTTAGTTCAAGGTCCATTAAAATCATCAAAGAGATTTGAAGAAGTTTTAGAAAAATCACCAAAATTCTTTAAGAGATTAGTTTCATTTTATCGTCCTTTTAAATATAGATTTTCAACTGTTCATATTCAATCTAAAAATTATCAAAAATATATTAATTTTGGTTGTTTGCTACTCGAAATGTTTTTAAGTTCAGAAATTGGTACAAAATATTTATCATCAACTAAATTATTACCTCAATTATCTGAAATTGTTGCACAAATTGATCCGTATAGTGGTATAACTTCAAAAGATCCAGTATTAAGTAAGAAAAGACTTGAAAATACAGCATCAATAGGGTATATTCGATTTTTGGGAGTTTTAAGTGGTAGTATTGAAGGATTAAATTTATTATCTAATTGGCAATTTTTCACATTAATTTCAGATATAATTTCAGCTTCAAATGAAATTGAAAATAATAATTATTTTATATTAACTTTATTTAAATATATTGATTTTTCAATTGAAAATAGTCAATTTAAAAATTTATTACAAATGTGTTTAAATATTTCAAATTTAAAAATTAAAAGTTGTTTATTAAAACATTTATTACCTCAATTAGTTAACAACAAGGATAGTGAAGAATTTTCAATTAGGATACTTGTTGAAAATTTTTATAATCGAAATCATGAAATAGTTGAAAATTCAATTCTATTTTTATATAATCATTATAAAGCAAATGATTTTCAAAATGTTGATATTTTTTTAAAATATCTGCCATCAATTTCAATAATGAAAAAATATAATATTGGGAAAAATTTTTTAGTTCAATTATTACAAAATATTAAAAGTTTTAGATATTTAGAAGATGAAGGATATATTGAAGAAGAATTTAATAAATGGTGTCAAATTAAAAAATTTAAATTTGTTAGAAAAATTGATGAATTAATTAGATTACAATTTTTTCCATATGTTAATACAAATAATATTGAAAATAATGATAATAATGATAATGAATTTGAAAATTATTCATTAAATTTTTTTAAATGTCTTTTATCAACAGAAGAAGGTTTAAATTTTTTCAACAAGGGTATAGCAAAAGATTTTTTAGATCAATTATTATCATCAATTGAAATAATTTTTAATCAAATTTCAAATGATAATGAATTTTTAGATATTGATAATCAAGATGAAATTCATTGTGATTTATTAGGTTTATTAAGACAAAATTTATGGATTATTGGACAAATTGGTTCAGGAAATTTTGGAATTCAATTATTAGATCCAATGTATAATATAAATTTAAAATCTTCAATTATAGAATTGATCTTGGACAATTTTCATAATTGTCCTGTTTGGGAAATTAGAGGATTATGTTTTTATGTTATAGGAATGATTTCAACTACAGTTGAAGGTATGGAAATTTTAGATGAATTTGGTTGGTATTCAGTATTAGATCAATATGGAAGAAGTATGAATTTAGCTTATCCAAAACAAATTATTGATGGTCCTATAAACTCAAATCATGATAAAGCAAATTTATTTAATGTTTCAATAATAAATCCATATCGTGATAAAAGATATTTTCATATTTTTAATAGTTTAGTCGACAAGACAAATGATGAAATTCAATCTCCAATAACTATTAGAATTTTTACATATTTACAAAATTTAAATTCAATTTTATCAAAAATTGAATTAAAAGCAGTTAAAGAATTAATTAAAATAAAACAACAATATAATGATATATTTGAAGATGTTGATTTATTTCTTGATGTTATAAGGTTAATTGATAAAGGTAATTTTTCATTTCATAAAAGAGTATTTATATTTAAATTATTTTCAGATGGGTCGGTATTAGAATATATTTTAAAAAAGGAAAAAAGAGGATCTTTTAAATTTCAAGTATAGTTTTTGAACGGATACGTATAATACACATGTACATTGAAAACTCTTTATTTTCTACGTCTTTTCTTACTTGATGAACTTGCAGCTTGTGGAGTTATAATTAATTTACCATCAACACCTAAATCAAATTTTGTACCTGAATATTCATTAAAATTATTTAAAGTTTCTAAAGTTATTGGTTTATAATCTCCATTTATAAAAGGAGTATTTTTATTACACCATAAATCTGCAGATTGAGGATTTATTTCTAACAGTATAAATTCATCGTTTACTAAATCTGGTATTTTTTCAATTAAATATAAATTTAATAAAGTATTTGAATCAGGTTTAAATTGATCTGAATCAATTAATTTTGATAATGTATTTTTCAATCTTGGAACTTTCGATATTATTTGTTTTATTCGATTATTTTCAATTTCTTTCGACGTATCATCATCTTTTGTTCCATTTTCTTCATTTTCTTCTTCTTCTTCAAATTTCTCAAGAATATCTAATATAGCTTGATTTCGTCTTTGATAATATGCTAATGTTTTCCGCTGATTTCTTTCATTTTCAAATAATCTATTCAGTTCTGTAAATACAATTTTAAATTTTTCTTGTAATTGATTATATAGTATTTGTATTTCATCTAATGATTTTGAATCAATTTCTGATTCAGGTAAATTTGTAGGATCTATGGATTGCGAGGGTTCTGGTTTAATTTCTGGGTCTTGCGGTTTTGGCGCTAGTTCTGTTGTCATTTTGTTGTGATTGTGTACGTGCAAGTGTTACAGTATTTTTTTAACTGTGTTAATGGTTACTTTAATGGTGATTCAAAATTCGGTCGCAAAATTTTGAGCTACCTTGTCGTGATACTTTTGAAATTCTGTCACACTCAAAAATCAATTTACTTCAAAACGGATCTCAATCACTAATTTCTAGAAAATAGCTATTCATGTTTGAATCCATGACTGAGTCTAATATTAGCTATTAGCATTCTTAGGTTTGCAAGTGAATTTCAATCTGTTAGCTTTATTTGGCTGGCCATTGGCTCAATATCTCAGAAGAAGGAACCATAGAATTCCAAATTTATGACATTTACTACACGATTAGACTAGAACAAATGAAGTTATTAAAGATCTCAAACTACGCCTAGTTTTCTCTTGAAATAGTGAATTGTTCTAAGCTGATTCCAATACCTTTTTGCAATCTTGAACGACAGTTAAGAACTTTGTTACAGACCTGTATATAATCCTACACGCTATGATAAATTAATTTTTATTCTTTATATTTCTACGCGTTTTATTTATTTACTTCATTTCATACAATATTTCATATAATATCATCATTCATAATTATTGAGATCATCACTCTACATATCATTACTAAAACTCATACAAAATCTAACATATAATGTCAATTGTATCATTAACAGGAATAGAAGTACTTAATAATCCAGCAAAATTCACTGATCCATATGAATTTCAAATAACATTTGAATGTTTAGAATCATTAAAAGAAGATTTAGAATGGAAATTAACATATGTTGGATCATCAGATTCATTAGATCATGATCAAGAATTAGATTCAATATTAGTTGGTCCTGTTCCAATTGGAGTTAACTCTTTTTTATTTACTGCTGATGCTCCAAGTCCTGAATTAATACCTGCAAGTGAATTAGTTAGTGTTACAGTTATAATATTAAGTTGTTCATATAATGAAAAAGAATTTGTTAGAGTTGGTTATTATGTAAATAATGAATATGATACTGAAGAATTAAGAGAAAATCCTCCTACTAAAGTACAAGTTGATCATGTTGTTAGAAATATTTTAGCTGAAAAACCAAGAGTTACAAGATTTAATATTGTTTGGGATAATGAAAATAATGTTGATGAATATCCTCCTGAACAACCTGAAGATGTAGAAGAAGAAGAAGAAGAGGAAGAGGGAGAGGAAGAAGAAGAGGATGATGATGAAGAAGGAGAAGAAGAAGAAGAAGACGAGGAACTTGGAATACAGGAAGGAGGCTCAAAGGACGTAGAAGATGATATAGAAGATCAAGTTGAAGATATAGGTGAAGAAGATGAAGAAGAGGATATAATAGGAGATGAAGATGAAGAAATGCAAGAAGAAGAGGAAGAAGAAGCAGAAATATCAACATTAAATGATAAAGAACCAGTAATAGAGTCTTCATCAAATCATCAAGAGCAACAAGTAGATACGCCGAAAGATAGTTAATTTTTAAATTGAATGAAATAATGTATTTATTATTATTGTTCGTAAACTTCGTTGTATATATGGTTCATGTCATGGAGATCTAATTATTTATTCCTCTAAAGAATCAATCATTGAATTTATTATTTGACTTAATTGATCAATAACTTCAATTGTAACATATTTTTCATTTTTTAACCTTCCTATCCATTTATCTGGATGCCATTTTATTCTTTCTTGTTTTAACAATTCTAACATTGATTGATTGGAATTGTTTAAAATTATTTTATAAAATTTCTCTAAATTTGTTTGATTTATTATCTCTAATAATTTATTAGTTTCAACAATTTCATAGAAAAAATATGGTGAAATTAATGGTAATTTTAATTTATTATAATATTCAAATTTTATAACTTCGTTCTCATTATCATTGATATCCAATTCTGGTGTGATGTATGGATCATTAATACGTTTATCACCAATATGAATATCTTCATCTTCTTCATTCATCAATCCAGCTGATGTTATTGGAATTTCTCCTATTATATGATAATCTTGTTTATTATAAGAATCTCGTAGTTGATTATATTTCGCATTATTATTATTATTATTTCCAGAATTAAAAGATTCAAATTTATTACCATTTATTGGAGTTTCATATCTATAATTTGACGGTAGTCTTTGTTTTGGTTTAACAAATTTATAACCATTAATTGAATTTAATGATGATGTTTCATTAGCCGGATGTGTTGATGGTAATGGTGGAGTTGATGCTCTTGATGAAGATGGAGTTGATTGAGAAATTGGAGTTGATGATAATTCATTATTTATTTTATTAAAAGAACTTGAATATTGTTTTTCTTCATTTTCATCATCTTCTTCTTCTGGTTGATCATGATGTATTGGAATAGGTGGCATATCTTGTAATGATGTTTTTCTGGCATAATTTAAATCTAAAATATTTGTTGTAGAAGTTTGTTTAAATTTTAATTTTTTTCTTTTTGGTTGAGGAGGACATGGAGTTGAATCATTTGTTGAAAAACTTAATTTTAAACTTGAATCATTTGTTGATGAAATGTTAGTATTACATATTGACATTTTTGATTCATGTGATATAGTATTGGGGGTACTCATTCTAATATCTGTATCTTGATTCATTCTTCTTTTTTTACTAATATATTTGGGAGGTGATATTTGAAAAGCATTGTCTGAATTATCATCATCAGAATTATTTGCAATAGTTTTATTACCTAATGAATATTCATCATCATCATCATCGTCTTCTTCTTCTTCTTCATCATTTTCATCTCCTGAATCATTTTTATTATACTCTTCAAAGATTACATTTTTGCCATCATCCAGTTCTTCATTATCTCTTAAATAATCATCTTGTTTATCATCAATAATCTCAGATTCTAAATGTAAATTATTTAATTTATTCATTGGTGATAAAAATGAAATTGCATGATTTAAAGGAGTTGATGCATAACTCAAAAAATTTTGATGATTTAAATCTAATGTCTTTTTAGGTGATGGAGTTTTTTCCATTGATTCAAAGTCTAAAGATTCCGGTCTCCATGTAATTTTATTGTGACTACTATTATGATCTTCGGAATTTTCAGAATCTTCTTCATAATCTGATGAAGTTACTCCTTTATGATACCAAGCTTTTTTCTCCTTCCTTGACAGATTTAGCTGTGATTTTGATTTTGGACTATGATGAATTACAGTTGATTCTACAAAATTTGGTGATGATTGTGAATTTGCAACATTATTTAAATCCATGGGTATTGAACTATTCTGATCATTTGTTAGCCTATCATTCTTCATCTGATGTTGTAGTTTTGGTGTGGTGTACTTCAGTAGAACCATTAATTAATTGTTATATAGTCATGTGTTCTAATAATATGTTTATTTGTTTAATCTATTATTGAATCCTTTATCTGATTTGAAGTTTGTTTATTTTGAGTATATAGCTCTCTCTGATTTGTTTTGATTTCAACGGAATAGAACTACCAAGTGTACTATAAAATTTCATAACCATTTTCTTTAGCAGCCAAATTCAATAGCGTTTCATCCGAATTCTGCAACACTCAACTTTGAAACCGAAGTTTTGAATAGTAGATGGAAGAGCTTGTTTACATGGCCAAATAATATAAATAAATGCTACGGGTTTTCTTTGTTGAAAAATAGGCTCATTATGGTGACCAAAAGATGAAAGGGACATGCATAAACATGATACCCATGGATCTAGCATCTCAATGTCAATTCTACTTTAGTATCCCAAAATCAAATTACTAGGTGAACAAATTAAAAGGAAGTATCTTCATGTGACCAACAATTAAGAATTTTGATGTACTCCTTTTGTTCCTTACATATGCGTTCAAATTATGCGTGAATAGGAATGAAATAAGCTCCACAAGCTCCGAGAGCTCTTTTGAATTCTACCTACTTAGGAGAAGCGTCAATAGAGAGATTCGGTGATACTAAGTTAGAAATCATTTCCAAAAAATTGGGCTTAATTTAGGAAATTTGTGTATTGTTGGTGTGAATTGCAAATTTAAATTAGATCAAACTCACTAAAAAGGAAAGACTATAAAAAATTGTTATGCGCATAAATTATATGTAATAGTCTAATTAAAGTTTGAGATAGAATTAAATGAAAACAGGAGCCAGAAAAAGTGTTTATTTTCTCTTTGTATTCGACTAATTCTTAAACTTGTCAATTTCGGTAACACTTAACTTAATATAATATTATATGTTTTTGTGTGGAATGCAAGATAATGTGATGGAATGAAATTGAAATTGAAATTGTAATTGATAAACGTTTTTTTTTGTGTGTTTAAAATTTCATCAATATTCTATTACGTATTAAAATTAAAATAATGACCTTGTGTTTGCTTTGCCTGTTCCAAAAAAATTCTATAATCCCTTGATTTTAAGATAACTTTAAGCCATTAAAAACATTTCTTTGCTCAATTAAGCCTCTATTAATCGAGATCCTTTCTTTGATCTCTTTTTGCCATTCTCATACTTTCTGTTAATTTAGGTTTGTTTCATATTAAAATTTTTCTTTCAATTTCTCTTATCTTATAATCTCATTGGTAGCACAAAAACAATACATATTATGCAATAGAATAATAGAATCATTAGGTAATAGATTGTGCCACATTTTTTATATACATCTATATTGATCTACCAATAATATTTATATATACTTCTGAATCATCCTTCGAGTTTTATATCTGGTATTCATCTGGTGTCAAATCTATTCATTCAACAGACTTCTTACAAGTTTTCGAGTCAATCAGTGGAGTTTAAAGTTTAGTAAGAACGCAAATTTGAATAACTAAAACTAAACTCGTGTTTATAAAGCAATCAAAAACAAATATCATTAAATATTTTTTTTGCCAACCAAAACATCATAAATCAACAAACAAACAAAGAACAACTAAACTAATCTCATTAATAGATTCATGAGTGATCTACTATCTAATCCAGCAGATACTTTATCATATTTAGATATTTCATTTTTAACATTTGAAGCAGTATTAGAAGTTATAATTATATGTTTTGCAGGATTTATTGCAGCTAAAACAGGTTTATTAAATACAAAAGGTCAAAAAATTTTAAGTTCATTAAATGTTGATTTATTTACTCCATGTTTAATATTTTCAAAATTAGCAAGTTCTTTAAGTTTATCAAAATTAATTGATATTATTATTATACCAATATTTTTTACTGTTTCAACTTTAATAAGTTTTTTATGTTCAAAATTAACTTCATTATTTTTAGGATTAAATGAACCAGAAACTGATTTTGTTACTGCTATGGCAGTATTTGGAAATTCAAATAGTTTACCAGTATCATTAACTTTAAGTTTAGCTTATACTTTACCTGGATTATTATGGGATGATATACCTGATGATGATAGTGATAAAGTTGCAGGTAGAGGTATATTATATTTATTAATTTTTCAACAATTAGGTCAAATATTAAGATGGTCTTGGGGTTTTAATACTTTATTAAGAAAAAGATCTCAATTAGAATTAAATACTTATTATTCAAAAAATGGTGTTAAAATTATAAATGATGAACAATTTCATTTATTAGCTGAAGATAATGAACAAGCTTTATATATTGATGAAGAAAGAGTTACATCAAATGAAATTAATGCTACTTCAACATCATCTTCTTCTTCTTCTTCATCATCAAATAATTCAATATCAAACAATTACACAAGTAACAATACACCATCACAAACATATAATTCACAATTACATTCGCAAAGTCATGATCCTTCACCTATTTCAGATAGTGATGATAGTGATAACAATAACAACACCAACAACACAAATAATGATAATAAAGTTGAAATATTAGAAAAACCAATACGATTCCTAGATTTTTTAAAAAATTTACCAGGTATAAAACAATTTATATCATTTATGAATCCTCCATTACATGCAATGTTATTAAGTGTTATAGTAGCATCAACTCCATTACAAAAAATTTTTTTTAAAATAGGTAAAGAAAATGGAGATGGTTCTTTCGTTCATAATACATTAACTGAAGCAATTACAAATTTAGGGTCCGTATCAATTCCTTTAATATTAATAGTATTAGGTTCAAATTTATATCCATCATTAGATATTCCTGCTCCATCAAAACATTATAATCGTATATTATTTGGTTCATTATTATCAAGAATGATATTACCTTCATTAATATTATTACCTATAATAGCAGGCTGTGTAAAATATATTAATATATCAATATTAGATGATCCCATATTTTTAATTGTTTCATTTATTTTAACTATTAGTCCTCCTGCTATTCAATTAAGTCAAATTTCTCAATTAAATGGTATTTATCAAAAAGAAATGTCTGGAGTTTTATTTTGGGGTTATGTTGTTTTAACTTTACCTACTACTATTTTTATTGTTGTTTGTTCTTTAGAAGTTTTAAAATGGGCTCAAAAATAGAGGTTGTATATAAGGATATTTAAGAGAACTTAGAGTAGGAAGACACTATTATTGAACAAGCTTGTGTGTGTCATGGGCATATAGGTTTAAAAAACGATTATTAGTTAAATAGGATGTAATGCATAAGTCTGGCACTAAAATTAATTGATGGCGAAAATAAGTAACAACTTTGTTCTTACTTATAATTTTCATCCTACTCTATCCAGAAATAATCTTGAAGTAGTTATCAATGACTATAATGTTAGATTAAAAAGATGGGAATTTAATACTAAGAACAGATCGATTCTGCTCACTTAACTACTGTCCTTGGGTCTATATGGAAAAAGTTAATTAGTATATTTTATGTAAATTTAAAGTTGATTTATGTAAGTTTAGAGTTGTGAACCCTTAATCAACGATCTCACCTGATCAATTTACAATTTGAATAGATAGGTTCCCGTCCATATATATGAATTCAACATAGTTACCATTAGCCCTGAACTCCCGCTTATTATAGTTAATAGCATATTATATGTACAAATTTCATGTCTAATATTTCTGAAATTATTTATGTATGTACATTTAGTTTTAAAATAAATTATCCCCTCAATCGATTTAATCATCAACTATAGATTTAACTGTATGTTACAACCCAACAATTTTCCAAAGTAAATTTTGAGTGATTAATCTGAAATTTTTTGAATCCTAAACATTCTTAAGTTTTCTCGAATGATTTTGATATTATTCAAAAATAAAGTTTTAAAAATTTAATTACCCCATTGAACCAGTGGAGGAATAATTTTTATGACATGATCAATAAAGCATTCAAATCAACTTAAACTAGTGTCAATGTAAAATTTGTTTTTTAAATATTGAAATATGAGTAACGTTAACAATGATGAAGAAATTTTAAGTTTTACGATTTGCAAATGGTTGAGTTAGTTCATATGATGATAACGATTTGATCATTTTATTGCTTAGGTATTTTAAAACAGTTTCTGAATTTGTTATGAATGCATAGAGTCTTAGTCAAATTGTTTAGCATTGAGCAAATGATAAATGAAAGGTCGATTGAAAACAATCGAAGCATCAAGTACATTAATATAACTGATTCTAATTGATAAATTTGAACTTCCTTGAATAAGTTTGATGATGTGACTTTTCAATGACAGTAAGTTGTATAATAATAGTAAAATAAAAAGTTCGTAGCTTATCTCTGTCAAATCCCATTTACAAAACGAGTGTTAAAGTACGTAGGTGAATAAAGTCCCTAAACGTATTCTTTATAAACTGATCAACTTGACAAATTCAAAAAACAACATTCATGAAATTATAAAAATCAAAACAGCTTATTGAGCATTTTAAGTAAAAATTTAGACCATCATCGAAATACTGTAGTAGCCTGAGTTACAAACGATTAAATTCACAGAATACAACCAATCATATATATTTGAAAGTAGGTTATTCTTTACAAACTTATTTTATAGGTGAGATAATTGATTGTTAATCAGATCTATAATTTTTAAGATTTTCGCATCTTCTATTTGTTTGATTTGCGTTTCATAATTATCATTTAAATAATCTTTTAGCCACCAATTAAGTTCGTTAAAAAAATCTAAATTTGTTACCGAGCAGAACTAGAAAAGTTTGAATCTGAAGCAATCCCAGATTAAAGTTAAATAAACAATATAACTTCCAGTACTTTGCTCATGGTAAACTATCAGAAAACTTTTAACGTTGTTCTCAAAAATATCATCAGATTTATCACACTAAACTCATATTCATTTATCAATTTTGTACCAATCTGAAAAAGTAGAATTTATTAAAATGTAAGGCACAGTGAAATCATCTTTTTCTCCTTTCTTGAATCCCGAAACAATTTCGGTTAACTTAAGCATAATTTAAAATAAATCTTTTTCTTCGATTCTAATTTTTTTAGTTCTTGCGTTATGCATAATGGTTTCTTTGAATTGAAGGGGTTAAAACATAAGCAAAGTATTTTAAATGTTTCAATAAGTTAAACCCTGTTTGAAACCAATTGAATGTTGAAGCATTTTTTATTTGAAACTGTGGGATATTGAAGTAAAAGCTAAGATGTTGATGAATTTTGAAATAGACTCTTCATTATGAATATAGATCCTTCATCTTTGTATTCTGTATTAACTTGGTAAGTTTTTGTGCAACGTGTAATACCCGTTAATGGGCTTTATTTAATTTCTTCAAAAACGGTATGTTTATCACTCAAAAGTCAAAGGGAGTTTTGAATGTTACTCATCTAGACTTGACAAACATGTCATTAGTGAAGTTGACTAAAATCTCAAAATGATTTAAGTTATCTGATCCACTTTTTTTGATATTGAGGATTATAAATGTTGATTTACATTTTTCTGTAAAACCCCCATGGTTCTTGATCATGTCAAATAATTTCAAAATCTCATTCTCTAAAGTTAATGTGTTGCCTTCAATGTTAGATGTAGTTGCAATTTTTATCCTGTAATGCCGCCTTTCTAATTAGAATAAGCAAAAATATTTTATGAAACTCCACAATGTAATGCTTTATCCAACATTTGCAAGTAAAAACACGGAGCTATGATAGTGCATTTAAATAAATCTTGAACCACCTCTCTATTAATATTAAATAACTAATTTTTCCGATAGAATGAAGGTCGGACGACCAATTCAATGACCTCAGCAATTAAAATTTCTGAATAGTGCTGATTCTTGATAGTTGATAATTCATGAAAGACGAACTACGTGAGTTCTCCAAAGGTGTAAAGTATATCTTAACCCATTGTTTAAAAAATCCAGATACTTATTTTCATTCCATTGATTACTCTTGATGAGATTTGTTTGAGTTGTAGTTAATGAGTGTTTGCTCAATTTTCTCCCAAACCCTTTGTTGACATCCAATCCATAATTGTCATGGGAAGAAAATGCAAGTCCTTTGGGATAAGTTATTCTTATTGCCCATTATTAAAATCTATCAATTATATGATAACGTCTATAAAAGTTTTAAGTATGCTTGTTTACATACCTTGATGAATACAGGGTTGCAAAAAACTCGAATCAGTTCGTATTGCAAATGATTTTTGAACTCATAAGCACGCCCTATAATCTAGTTGGTAGCTAAGAAAATAATTTGTGTAAAACTCTTTCAATTTTATGTACTTGATCCCCCAAATTAACACCCATGAATTTGCGCTTCATATTTTTCAATTGTATATCATTTCAGATATCAGATTGCACATCGATAAAATTTGTAAATTTAAAGGCAAATTTAAGCCTTGTTTTTGCAGTTGGGTAATAGGGGGAAGGTCTCACATTATGCTAACAGAACAAAACAATCTTAAACTATCCCTATTGATTAAAATGGCTTATTTTTGTGTTTTTTTGCCATAAAGCCAGATTCAATCGTAAATGGTACCTTTTTTGGAGTTATAAGCCTTACTACACAAAAACGGGTTTACAAAAAATGTAATAATCATTCAAATTTACGAGAAATTCTAAGCTTGGCAGGGGAACGCTTTACACTGATATTAAGAAAAAGATATTGATTTTGATTTTGCTGTAAATTCATTTAAGTATTCGGCATTTTTGTCAATTTTAAAACTCAATTGACAAACAGGTTATCTCATTGAAGTTGTGGATAATAAGTTTTTGACTAAAAATAGACATTATAATTTCATGTAAATCAATAGCAACGATGGATCGCAACCATGATTATCAAAACCGTCCCAACGGAATTGAAATATATATTTAATCTTTCAAGTTTTAGCGTTTGAAATGTGAAATTTTGTATTAAGTAAGGGCTCAATAGGTTTTCATGATCTTCGAGTGTATAATAAAAACGCCGTAGATGAGAAGTATCTGCAATCATGAGTTCGAAATCCACCGTATATGATCAATAAGTTGTTGTTATAATAAAATAAACTTTGAAGTATGACAACAATAGACAGTTCCTAAAATTAGTGTATGCACATATGTGTATCCAGAGAATTTGCAAATCGCGTAGTTAAATATAGGAGAGACTTTACAACAATTGATGTAACTTAAAATAGCCTAAGCCAAGTAGTTAAAGCTATAAGATAGAGTATTAATCTAGATCTAAGTATAGTATTAAGTTTTGAGATACTACTCATGGACGCAGTTACGAACGATAACACGGTAAAAAAAATAACTTATGGTCCATTTTTTCAATTATTCTTACTTTTCGTCATCGAACAATAACAATTTGAAAATACAGGTTATGTTATAATAAAGTTTAAACTGTTCCTATTGTTTTTCAATTTTTTATTTAGGATTCCTAAGCACAATAGATGGAGAAATACAACAAATTTAAACAAAGAAATATCGTAAACCATCAAAGAAGCTTTCACTTACCTGGAAGAACTTAACTGATGCAGGTGAACGCATTACATAGGACCAGAACTATTGTTTTAAATCTTGATTCTTTTTGATAGACTCTTGTATACTCGCAATTATCGGTGTTGAGATAGGGACCAGGTCTTCTTTGATTATTTTAATCGTCCTATTGTAAGTGCATGAAGTATTGGTTCTTCATTTACATGATATAATGGTTCCACATCTGATAGTAATCTATTTCTGAATAGGGCACCTATAATGTAGAGTAAATAAGGTGAATTGTAAATGTGTTTACTAACAGCCTAACTCGAGAAGTTTTTTATTTCCATCATTATTCTCCTGTTATGGTAGTTGTGAAAAATGTTTGTCAAAATTGGTTGTAATGAAAATTAAATTGTCTCTCAATCGTCGGCATGTGATCTACTCCTCATAACCAAAAAGGAATTTACATTACTTTCAAAACTTAATGAATTAACTTTACATTGTCATTATTCAGTCGATAGCGAAAATTCTCATTAGTGATTGCGCTAATTCTATTATACAACATACAATAAACCCTAAATGACATCAACAAAAATTTAGAAGCTTCAATCTTTCCCTTACAAATTACCCCACATATTGATGATTATCGATGCGGTTTTTTCATATAAAAAGATATTGAGATTTAATTTTGCTGTGGTTCAAGTTATTAATAGCATTTTATTAAAATTAAAATGTAATACCACTTAATAACTTAAAATGACTCATTATATCACAAAGTCTAACTAAACGAAATTTAAGTCAATTTGCATTAATTATATGGTTTTGAAATAGTCGGTATTTTTGTAGATACTTGCTTTATCTTTCACGGCATTTGTCAGTAGTTAATATTTACAAGGAACACTATAATAAAATGGTTTTGAGATCAATTCCTTTTTAAATCAATGTACATTATGCATGTTTAAGAATTGCTTCTTTATAACAGTTAAGCTTATTCTATTGTATAGTTATTATCGTGAACAATATATAAAAATCTATTTTTAGAAATGTATGAATGATTTTTGTTTACTTCGACCGTTCAATGATTATCATGGTTATTTGGCTTTTTCAAAAATAAATTCATTACAAGATAATATAAACATGTAATTTGTTTATGACCAGTTAATGCATTGAGATTTACGGAACTTCAAGCTATCGTATTTATTTGCAACAAACAAGAAATTCAACTAAGAAAACTTTAGCGAGTGAACACAGAAATTAATTGACACAAGTAGTTTTAAATTTAAAAGTATCGATCTAATCAGATTAATTCAATAATTTTAGATTAAAGAACAAAAGCGGAATCTAATTCAAAAGATCTATAAGACAATATTAAATCTTACTTTTTTAATGTTTAACGAAGATCACCACGGCGTTTGCCATGACGCCATATTATACCATTCTTCGCGTCATAATAGACTAATCTTATTAATATGAAAGTATCATATTCAAAACCAGGATTTCCAAACATTTGGACTAACATGTTTTTTTTTTTATACTTTCTTTGATGCAACTTTGCTAACTTTTACCATACAAAATACAAAATATTACCATGTTGTATTTTTATTTTACCATATAACGAAAGCATATAAGAAATTATTCAAAAACCATTTACGAATAACTTCTATTTTAACAACTCCAGCAAAACAAAGGTTTTGATGAGGCGTTGAATGGATTTATAGAAGAAGAGAAAAAGAAAATGGTTATGGTTTAGTTTCAATAGAATTTTTACTCTCATGCTTTACCCTATAGTTGGGCGAGTGTGGGACTTCAATCAACCGTTCAAAGATTTGTTTGAAATTATTGATAAAGCGCAAATTGGAAACAAATTAAAAAATATAAAAAAAAAATTAGGCTTTTTTTTTTAATTAAAACAAAGTTCGTAAAGAACATAATTTATTATATTTTAGACTATTAATTAAATTTTAGTGAGTGAAGAACGTTAAAATTAGATTACCAAAGCCGGAATATGCATGTTTAACCCTAATTATAATAAATCCTTTCATACACAAACCTCATATAATTTTTATGTATTGTAAATCGATAACTATCTTTTTTTAGTATGAATGTCAAACCCCATATATTAAATTAAATATTTAGGTTGCTAAGGTTTGAAGAAAATTTTACTAATGGTAACTTACATACTGTTTTGCTCGAACAAAATAGTCAAACAGTTTATAGAGTTGATCGATCATGATGGCAGAACTTTCTCAGGTACTAGTATAATGGTCGATAAAACATCTCCCCTCTATTAGTCGTCTTAATGTACTATGGCTTTTGAAATTGGAATACCCACAAAATGATTAATAAGTGTTTTTCGGATCGTGAATAATCAACATATTCTTTATTCTTTAAATTCAATTTAAAAAGAAATTCCATGAACCGTAAATGCATAAGGTTTTAACCTTTATGATCGTCATGATCATCAATCAGTATCCTAAAAGTAAAATAGTAAAAGTTAAATGGAAGCGGTATACTTCTTGATAGAGTTTTATGGACGAGACGATAGTCAGATGAAGATGTTTCAAAGTATTTTTATTTGAAACTTATAATACCGCTTAAGGAGTATTCTGAAACAACTTCGATTAAAACAATAAAAAAAAAAAAGACACAGTCAAATCTGGTGATAACTACTATCATATACAAATCTAAGCACCATATTATTTTTTATGCAATAAGTTGTTTGATTTTTGTACTTAGATAGTAATGGATTTTTTTATTTTACATGTTTGCATGAAATATGCACAAAATGCTGTATAACTTCAAAATGTATTAAATACTAAATAATATTTCATTTTATACTTTTGTGTTTATACAGTAATATTATAAAGTATGAAATAGGGAAAAAATGGCATTATTTATGATTACATTGATAAACTAATTGTTCAGTTATCAAACATTTGTTTTAGGATCGTACAATAAACAATATATAGATTAAAAAAATAACAATCAAGATTTTGTATGGCGATTTGACATATTTTTTGATAGTTGTAAAATTTGTTCTATGCCTAAACTCATTACTCTTTTTGTAACTTTGTGGACTCGATTTCCCTTACGCCCACACGTTGATTTTATTTAAAAGCCTACTATGTTTAATAAAATACTATGGTCGAATCTAAAGGGTGTGTTTACATTAAAATACAAAAAAAGATTATATCTATCAAATATCTATTAAGGTTAAAAGATTTATCACTAATGAAATAAAATCAAATTGTTTCACTATATATATCAACCATTCTTCCTCTTGAATTTTTACCGAAATTATTTTGTTGTTTCTTATTTGTTTCGTTTGTTTGTCTATTTCTTTTTCTTTTTGGTTCTTCTTCTCTCATAATCTAATAAACTTACACCTCAGCCTTCTGATCATTTTTGATTTTCGAGTTTCGTATCATTTAAAAAATTTAAAGGCTCAGTTTTTCATCACTTATATAAATTCAAACATTCCAACTTAAGTAATTGATCTTTGACAACATCTACTCACTATCAAACTCAATCAATATACTCAATTGCTTTATCTTTAGACCTACTCATATCAATTAATTCATATATTATAGAATTTTATATTAATCACTCATTTTCACAAAATCAATTGTATTAATTACACAAATTATCTATAATTTAACTTATAAAAACCGAGCACTAGATCCCCCAACCACTACTACTAGTAATATTACTAATAATAACTCCCAAATACACAAAAAGTACACGGTGATTAAATTTTTAGTTTTTTAATTAAAGAATAGAAGTATAATTACTTAAATACAAAATTGGTTTGTTATCACAATAAAAATAATAATTAAAAAGATCGTTATTATTTAAAGTTTTTTAAATTTAAAATATAAAACAAATATTTCAAATAATAAATCTCAACCAAAACTACTCATTTAATTTCAAAATTAACCACGACAAACTTCATGGATATAAAGGTTGATTAGTTATTACTCAAATTGATCAGAAAACTCAAGTCAATAACAAATAAACAAATTAACTTATTTATTTATTTCAAAATCTTTAAATTAAATCAATACTTTCGTTTTTCATACATCCATCAATTTTCAAGGATCAGTATTGGAATCAAAAAGACCTTATCAAGAATTAAATTTCACATTCCGGAAAACTTCAAATCTCATTTTGCAACAGATCACATTAAAGTTTAACTGCTTGGCTCAACTACAGAATTAACTATATTACACAATCAATCGAACTAATTTTTAAAATTTAAATCTTGAGTGGTAAATTATTTTACGTTGGTGTTTCAAATCATTCTTCATTTATTTTTTTCAATATCACAAATATACAATTTTATGCTTTTGCAACTAAAAGTGAACTATTAAAAAACTTATTTTCAATCAAAATTAGCTAATGAGTTTTTACAGTGAAACTTTAGAATACAATAATCAAACTAAATTAAATAACATTCATTTCAACAATAACAAAACATTAACTGAATTAACTGAATTTACAAATACTAGTGATAATAATAATTATTTTGGAATTACAGAACTGTTGGATTTTAATCAATTTCAATTTATTGATACTACTACAATATCCGAAACGGATCAATCAGAATTAAATTTAAATTCAGACGAAGATAGTAATTCAATTACATTTGATGATTATTTTGATATAATGTCAGTTGAAGATAATGAAAAACAAAAAGATGATGATGATATTAATACTGATATCACTACAAATTCAAGTAATAAATCTTCACCTATTGTAAAACAACAACAAATTATTAATACAAATTTTCATGATTCAAATTCAAACTCAAATTCAAGAAGATCATCAATTGTTCCAAATAGAAGTATAGGAGTTTCAAATCTTTCACCTTCAATTAATTCTCAAATTTCAAATTTAAATTTAAATCAATCAATAATAAATTCAAGTTTCAGAAATTTAAGGGGTGATGATAATAAAAATGTTAACACATTTCAAAAACCGAAATTTTCAAATTCAATTAATGTAAATTTAGCTAATACAACAACAACTAATACACCATTATCATCTTCTTCATCATTGAAAACTAAAAATATATATGATATTCAAAATAATACATTAAATTCATTATCACAATTACCTCCTTCATTATATGATAATCAATATAATGTAATGAATACACAAAATGTGCAACATACTAAATCATTTGGTGATGATAATGCTACCAATTTTAATCATAATATTTCTGGAAAAAATTCTTTTATTTTACAACACAATTACAATAACAATCCTTTATTAGTTAATTTGGCAACAACAACTACATCAACTGATTCAAATTTACAACTACTTCAACACCATCAACAGTTACAACAACAACAGTATCAACCTCAGCAACAACAACTTTATCAACAGCAGCAGCTACAACAACAACAATACCAACAAATCCAACATCAATTTCAACAACCATCAACTCAATCAACTCAATCTCAACTTCATCATTTATTTACAAATGAATATCAAACTCAACTAAATTATGATCAACATACTAAAACACCTAATTTGTCATCATCATTGCCTTTATCAAGTTCATCTTCTACATCATTAACAAATTTATCAGTTCCTATATTACCAAGTAGTAGTAATAATTCATTACAAAATACAAAATTGAATATAATATCAAATTTAAATAAATCTTTAAATACAATTGGATCATCATTAAATTTTAAATCAAAATCATCAATTGAATCAATGACTGCAAAATTATTACCAAAAGATTCTAGAGCAATTGAAGTTAGTGGTAGTGTTGGTAATGAAATCGGTCAAACAAATACCACTACTTCTTTATCAACTAGTGCAATTACTGCTTCATCATCATCATCAAATGATCAAACGAATAATATACAATCATCATCATCTTCGCCAAATTTATCTACAACAAACTTACAGTATAATGAAAAAACTAAAAGAAGAAAACATAAAAATTCAAAATTAGGTTGTCCAAATTGTAAAAAGAGAAGAGTTAAATGTTCAGAAGATTTACCATCATGTATTAATTGTATTAAACATAAAGTGAAATGTGGTTATTTGGATTACACTGAAGAACAATTACAAGAATTAAGAGAAGCTAAACAACAAAATCAAATTCAAAAATTGACTCAACCAAGAAGTGCAACTGATTCACATAAATTAATTCAAAGATCATCATCAACTAGTAGTATAAGAAATAAGAATGAAGATGAAAATGAATCTGATGGAGGAGAAGATCAATTAAATATTGGTGGTAGTAATGCTGCTAATAGAATTATCAAACCTAAAACTAAACGACAACCATCAAATTCTTCAATTAGTAAATTATCAGATCAATCAACTCGAAGATTATCAACTTCTAAAAAACCAAATAGTAGTAATAAAAATTTACCAACTTTAGGATCAATAAGTAAAAAAGATGATGATGAAATAATTGATTCAACTAAAAATAAATTAAATCTAAGTCGTCAAAATCCAAATAGGAAAAGTGTAACTCAAAATTTTGATAATCTATTAACTATGAAAGATGAAGGTGAAATCATTTATCCAGTTTATAAATTACAAACAGAATCAAAATCTCCTGATGATGAAAAAGATAAATTAAAATTACCAACAACTCAATTAAAAGATGATTTTAATATTGAATCTCCTTCAAATTATCAAACACCTCAACAATTTCATCTGGCTACACCACTTGACATGATGTATAATCAATATAATTCTCAAGCTTTATCAGGTGCTATTAATCAACAATCGACTTTTAAATGTATCAAGAGGAAAAAAATAAATTATTCTGAATATTTATTAAAAGTTTTAAATACTGTTGGTCCTGCTATTCATAAAGGAGAAGCAAATTTATTTCAAATTAGAGAATTATATACTTTATGGTTAAACAGTTTTATTTATAAAGCTTATACAAGTGAATTAATGTTTAATGTATTATTAAATCTTAGCGCTAATTATTTAATTACAAATTGTTTTAATGATTCATACAAGTATTATAGTTCTGATGGAGAAATATCACTGATTAATAGAGGTATTGAATTAGAAAGAGTTAGACAAATTTGTTTAGTTAAATCTATTCATTATTATGCTGAAGTTATACAACATTTAAGAACTATGTTAAATACAAATTCAGATCCTGATATTGCTGGTTCAGTATCATATATTTTAAGTTTAATGTCAGTTTATGATCCAGAAAGTTCATTAAATTCAACTGTTTGTTTTAGAGAAGGATTATTTGGAGTTTTAACTTATAATATGAATTCATCTATAAAAGTTGGTAGATATCCTCCAAAATTAGTTTCAACTCATTTAAAATTAATGACAAATATAGTATCATCTATACATTTTCCTGGTTATGATCCAACTTTCATAATAGAATGTCAACTGTTATTTATAAGATTTGGTGAAATCTTATTACCAATGATTGAACATAGTAGAACAAATTCAACTTCAAATCAATATTTAACTCATCAATTTTTAGAATTAAAATATAAAGAATTATTAAAATTTTTAAATGAATCAATTGATCATTATTTACCACAAATTAATAATAATTTATTTGATATGGAATTACAACAAAGATTATTATATGAAATGATTATAAAATGGGTTAGAATGTTTCCTGGTAAATTCATTGCAAATAAAAAAACTCAAGGTCCAATGGAAAAAATCCTATATTTATTTTATAAATTAGTTAAAAAATCATTATTAGCTATTTTTCCTCAAATTAAATTTTTCTTTTTAAGAGATTTTGATAGTCCTTTAATGATGGATGTATTTGCAAGTGATGATGATTATGATATTTATAAATTTGAAATTGAAAATCCTTCTACTATAAAATTTGATTTTAAAATTTATCAACCTTTTATAAATGAATTAAAATATATTTCATCATATTTAATAAGAACTATAAATTTTTTTCAATTAAGATTAAGTTTATTATATAAATTTTTAGTTGAACATATGTCATCTCAAACAGATTTTAAAATTATGGAAATAAATCAATGGAGAAATAATATAAGTGATATAATGAAAATAAGACATGAATTTATTGAAAAAATTGGTATAAAAGAAATTCAAATAACATCATTTGCAAAACAATATATTAGAAAACAAAATTATCCTCAAAGATCAATTGGTTATGAAATAAATGTTAATGAATTAATTGAAAGTTCAATAATTGATGATGGTAATATAGATTTTATGAAATTACAACCACTGGGTTTTTTAAAAGATGATTTTGATATTAGAAAAGATCATCAAAGTTAAAAAGATTAATTGTTTAGATTATTTAGAAATGTAAATTAAAATTATCGTTACTTAAAATACTTCTTATTTATTACTTGAAATGTCTGATACTTAAACTTACATTTCTTATACGGTGTTGATAAAAGAAACACCTCTCTATTTCTCGTTAATTTTCTCTCTCCTAAATAAATTTATTTTCAACAACAAACAAAGAAAAAAAGAATTCACATTTTAAAACAATTATAATACAACATCAATAAACTTATAATTAAACCACATACCAATTCTTTTCATCAAGGACTATTCAGTATTTTGCATCGATAATCAAGAGATATATATCACCTATATTTTTTCCCAGGTTACATACATCTCAAACAAGTATCCAAAAAACTTAGCTAATTTGGACAGCAAAACTATTATACTATCAAATTTACGATTATCAACTCAACTAATCTATTGATAAATTAATAAACGATATCAAAACAATCAACTTACACATATACATAAAACTAATTACTCACTCACTCACCCACTCATTCATATATACACAAGCACATATACACACACTCATAAAAAATGTCAGATAATACAGATGATTATTCATATGATTATGAATATTTATATAAAATAGTATTAATTGGAGATTCAGGAGTTGGAAAATCAAATTTATTATCAAGATTTACAAGAGATGAATTTAATTTAGAAAGTAGATCAACAATAGGAGTAGAATTTGCAACAAGAACTGTTGAAATAGATGGTAAAAGAGTTAAAGCACAAATTTGGGATACAGCAGGACAAGAAAGATATAGAGCTATTACTTCTGCATATTATAGAGGAGCAGTTGGAGCATTAATTGTTTATGATATTTCAAAAACTGAAAGTTATGAAAGTGTTAGTAGATGGTTAAAAGAATTAAAAGAACATGCTGATGCAAATATTATAATAGAATTAGTTGGTAATAAATCTGATTTAGATCATTTAAGAGCCGTACCAACAGATGAAGCAAAAAATTTTGCATTAGAAAATAATTTATTATTTACTGAAGCTTCTGCTTTAAGTTCTGATAATGTTGATTTAAGTTTTCATCAATTATTAAAAAATATTTATGAAATGATTTCAAAACATCAATTAGATACTAATGAAAATAATGGTGGTTTAAAAACAAGTAATAATGGTCCTACTATAAGTTTAACTCCTGCTCCAAAAGATAAAAATAAAAATAAAAATAATTCAAATTGTTGTTAAGATTAAGAATCATATAATATTTACATGGGATAATCAATACGTTTGTAAGTGATAATGAAAGGAAAGATAATATATAATAATAATAATACATTTCAAGATTATTTATTGAGGAATACAAATATGTTGCAACTACTTATATACAATGCATTCCAATTTATTCATAAAGGAATACAAGTGTCATAATAGTATCGAATATACGTACTCTCAAACAATATGCTATATTACGAACTTGTAAAGTTACTATGCTATTTTTTTTAATTTACCAACTGGTTGTTTCATTATTCTACCTTTTTTACCAATTGCAACTCTTGTTTTAATATCTGTTAATGGACCGGTTTCAATACTAAAATTAACAATTTGTTCACCTCTTAATATAATTAAACCTAATTGTCTTTTAACAACATCTGGTTTATTACTTTTGGGAATTTCCGTGGGGAATAATGGTGTATTATTAGTGGTGGTTGTAGTATTTAATATGGATTTATTTGATTTTTTACTTTTATTTTTCAATTCTTGCCAACTCTTTTTTGTTATTCTTGATTCTTCACAATCTGATAATACAAGGTTCATATATTTATCAAATGATAATAATGAACCAATATATGTTCTATTATCTATTGTTGTAATTTTTAATCTATAATTTATTAAATCTGACATTCTTGTCTTTTTATTAATCGGTAGTTTTACTGACTATAAAAATTGATTGTTAGTATAACATTACGGAATTCGTTTATTTGACTCACACGTTGGTTTAAGGAATATTGACATCATCATTTAACTCATCATTTAAACGGATTCTGATCGTATAAGTCCACCGTGAAAATTGATGATGATGATGATGATGATCACCTAAATTAGTCATGACCGTTAATTTTGCACAATAAAATTACATACCATATTGTTTTAGTTTGAGTTTCACTTGTAATATTGCTATGATCTAATGAATATTACTAAATTTCAATTATGGTCGTAAAATTATCTCTTTATAGATTATTATTATCACACAAATTTAACCTTCCTTTTCGAATTAACAAAACACTTTTTTGTCGTAAACTCTAATTTTATGACACTTGCTTTTTGTCAATAATACATTACGTAGTTTTTGAAATTATGACATAGTGATTTTCGAAATACAAATTTATAATTGTTAAGGTTGAAAGGGGAGTAAGTTAGTGTAATTTGTACCAAAATAAATTAAACTATTACACAATTTTAATAGTAACTTACACAAATTGTTAGTACAGTAAATCGTAAAATTCGGGGTGAGTTTATTAAATTTAGTTTAGTTCTTAAGCAATAGAAAAATAAAAAAAAAGATGGCTCTGTTAAAGAATTTATTTTTGCTTGCTCCGTAAAATTTATATATTTAAAATAGACAGAAATGAAAAATACTTGAAAAACTAACCAGATTGATTTCTTAATATTATAAATTATTATATTATTACATTATATTATTAATAACTTCTATTCAATTCTATAAATTAATTATAAATATCAATTGAAATTTCATTTCATTTTTTTTACTTTTTCAGTTCACAATTCTTCATTATTTCTTTGAATTTAACACATTTCTATTCGGACTTTTAAAACTTATATTCATAGAAAAGATTTCATTATTTTTCAATTGAGTAACAACAACAATTGGTAATCCAAAAGAAAATACTAAAGAAAACATATAACTCACAATGGCTGAAACAGAAGATAAAAGAAAATACAATGGTAAACATTTAACCAAAAAAGCAAGAGAAGAAAGAGAACATGATGATCAAGATGCTAAAAAAGATGATAAAAAAGAAAACAAAAAGCAACAAGAAAAGAAACGTGATGATGAAGATTCTAAAATAGATGATAGAAAAGAAAGAAAAAAACAACAAGAAAAAGGACATGATGAAGCAACTGCTGAAATTGATGATCGTAAAGAAAAAGAAGAAAATAAAGAATTTGAAGATTTATTAGAAACAACTGCAGGTGATGATGATAAAAAGGGATCATCTGATGGTAAAAGATCAAAATCAAAATCAACTGGTAAAGAACCAAGTAAAAAGAAAACTAAAAGAAGAAATTATGATGATGAAGATGATAAAAAATCAAGTTCTAAAAATGGAGGAAAAGATGAAGAAGATGAAGATGATGAAGAAGATGATGAAGAAGATGAAGATGCAGATGAAAATGATGATGATAATGAAGATGATGATGATGAAGATGATGAAGATTTAAAAGGAGAAATTGAAGATGATGATGAAGAAAAAGATCCATTAGTTGAAATTGATCAAAGTAATATTATTAAAGGTAATAAAAGAACAAGAGGTAAACAAATTGATTTTAATGAAACTGCTGAAAAATTAGATAAAGAAAATGGTATATTAGCTGATAAAAATGAAGAAGGTGAAACTGTTCCTGCTGAAAAAGATGAAGCTGGTGATGAAAATTTAGATGATGATGAAGAAGATTATGAAGAAGGTCAAGAAGCTTATGATGAAGAAGAAACTGAAGCAGTTGAAGTTTAAGTACCCTTCACAAGAAAAATACAAAAAGAAAGAATGAAGCATCTCAGAACATTGCTTTGATTTAGAAGTTTGTTTGATACAAACTAATTCTTTCAAATTTGATCAAAATTTTTTTAAAAATTATATATATACTTATGTTTGTATTAATAAAGTTCAATTATTATTAAATTTTACGTCAAAGTCTTCATTACTAGTGTTAAGAACATGTATTATTGGTCTTGAATTCGAACAAAAGGTTGTGTTACCAAAATTCAATTTTTTTGCAACCAAATTCGTCTAAAACTCAAATTGAATATTTTTTTTTACAGCCGAAAAATGAAAAAGATTGTGTACGAAAACAACAAAAAATGGTTACAACCATAATCGAAAGACTATTTATATTTTAATAAATAAGAGAATAAATAAATACAAGGATGTGAAATGAAGTAAAAGACTACGGTAATTTACTAAGGTTATCATATTAGTTCTTCTTCCAATCCTTCCTCTTCTATTTTCACCGACGAATCAAAATTATTTTCATTTTCATTTTGATCTTGATTTTGTATTTGATCTTGAATATCTAGTTGATTTTCATTTTCAATTTCAATTTCATTTTCATCTTCCGCTTCCGCTTCAACCTCTCCTTCAATCACTCCTTCAACTTCTCCTTGATTTTGAGCTTGTGCTTCTGCTTCTGCTTGAGCTTGAGCTTGAGCTCGTGCTTCAGCTTCAGCTTCAGCAGCTAATTGAGCTTGTAATTTCATTTGTTTTTTAGTTAATTTAATTTCTCCTCTTTCTTGTCTTAAACTTTGTTGTTCTCTATATTTTGCTAAATAAATTTTTAAAACTTCAGCATAATTTTCAAAACCTAAATCATACATTGAATATAAAATATCTTCACCATTTATAGTTTTTCTTTTTTCTCTTAAACATCTATCACTTGCTTCACTTGTTATAAATGATATAAATTCAGAAACACATTCTTGCATACATTCTTTAGCATCTTTTGAAACTTTTGCTGTTGGTGGTAATGTATTTTTCATTAATCTTGCAACATTTGCTATAGGTAACCATCGATCTTGTTCTCTTAATTCTATATCTCTTGCATTTTGATCCATTTCTTTTTTGTGAATATATATATGTTATGTGTGGAGTAAAGGTTGGTTTTTTTGTGAGAGTTTTGTTGTAAGTTTTTAATTTTTTAATATGTGAATTGTGATTTAGGACTTTTTCAAATATTCGATAAATGTTATATGATCTGACTCATGTATTTGAATTAAATTATATATGTTGTTTTGTTATATATGTAAATTGTAAATATTGATTACTATGAATCTATCGTTAATGGCTAGAATTACAAAATCGGAAATTTTTCAAAACATGATGTGAAAATTAAGTTTCGCGAAAAATATAGTAAGTTACCGAAAAACAATTATTTAGACATTCGTTTCATAAGTTCATCTATTGTTTAAACTCTAATTTAGTCAACCAGAGACATTGAAGAGGGAAGAGAAGACCCTTATACACTGCTGCTATTCCAATTGAATTTCTACACTTTACTATAAGAAATTTTGGGCTCATTCATTTCGGTATTAAATTCAATTCGACAAGTTCAGCAATAGCATGTCAAATGAAGGAAATCTAAATGCAGCGAAAAAGTCAAACACAATTGAAGGTTCAAAATCAAATGTGATAGAAGAATCAGCAAAAGGTATATCTTCATTAATACTAGTACAAATAGCGACAAAACTTTTTACATTTTTATTAAATCAATTATTAATTAAATTTATATCACCAAAAATATTTGGATTATCAATTTATTTAGAATTTTTAATTTCAACAATACTTTTTTTCAGTAGAGAATCAATTAGATTATCAATTCAAAGAATTCAAAATAATGATGATTTAAAATTAAAAAATAAAACTTTACAAAAAATTATAAATTTTGGATTTTTACCTATTATCATATCAATTCCAATAACTTTATTAATTGGATATTTTCAAGGTTTTAAATCAGATAATTTTCAAAATTATTTTTTAAATTTACCATTCCATAATTTAGTTGTAGTACTTTTAATTTTACTGATTTTTTTAGAATTAATTATTGAACCTATATATTGTATTTATCAATATCAATTAGAATTTGGAAAAAGATCAAAGTTTGAAAGTATATCATTATTTGTGAAATGTATTACTACTTTTATTGGGGTATATTTGGCAAAGCAATACAATTCATCATCATTGGAATTTAGCGGATTGTCAGTATTAGCTTTTGCTTTTGGTCAAATATCATATTCTTTGCTGATTTTTTTATTATATTCCGTTTCATTCATAGGATTCAATAAAGTCAACAATACTCATATCAAATGTTCAATCACTAAAATTGATGAAGGTTCCAAGTTTTATTATTTTGACTCTAATGTTGTTGAAATTTTTAAAAGTTTTTTCATTCAAATGATCTTCAAACAATTATTAACTGAGGGTGATAAATTATTAATTGCATATTTATGTACTATTGAAGAACAAGGAACATATGCAGTTATTGTAAATTATGGTTCAATTATAGCAAGATTATTATTTCAACCATTAGAAGAATCAACAAGATTAATGTTAACTAAAATTATAAATAGTACTCAATCTAAATCAAAATCATTATTACAATCTTTTACATATATCAAAATGATAAGTTTATTTTATTTTAATTTATGTTTATTCTTGTTGTTTGCAGGTATAACAAATGGATCTTTTTTATTAAGATTTATTATTGGTGGTAAGAATAAATGGGAACAAACTGAAATTTTTGAGTTATTTCCTTTATATATTGCATATATTCCATTTTTAGCTTTTAATGGTATATTTGAAGCATTTTTTACAAGTATTGTTAAACCATCAGATATGCAGAAATATTCAAATTTTTTAACATTTATTACTATTTCTATATTAGGATTATCATATTTATTAATTAAAGAAATGAAATTAAGATTATCTGGTTTAATGATTGCAAGTATGGTTAATATGTTAATGAGAATAATTTATTGTGCTATAGCTATCAAAGATTATTTCAAACCTCTTGATAAAAATATTGGTGTATCCCAAATTTTACTGTATGTTTCTGGATCAATAGCTGTAACTATAAGTATTTGGTTATTACAATATTTTTTTGTATTTAAGGAAAGATCACTTCTAACTACTAGTTGGGAAGATTTATTTAAAAGTGCTGTACTATCTTTTGTCTTATTAATAAATTTGATGATATTAGAAAGGCAAAACTTACAACATACAATTAGATCAGTTTTTAGGATTAAAACGGAATAGACCATTAAAAAAATACTTCTTACATTTATTATCCTCTTATAGTATTGTAAAATTTTGCAAAAATTTAGAGTCGTATCATATAGACACTAACAAATTATTAATTAGCTAACGATGTGCCATCCAGTACCGCCTCCATTACGGATAATATTACTGTGCTGAATTACTTCCCTCCAGTGATTATATTATTAATTACCTGAATTAAACATATTGACTACTCAAATAGTTTGAAATTCAAACCGCAAGAATCGAACTGGACACCTCGAAAATTTGAACAAATTATTAGTGTACAAACAATGCACTTCCACCAAAGGCCATCACAGCCAAAATTTTGAAATTTTCGGAGCAGGGACTTTTTGATGAACTGGACCTAAGATTTTAAACGAATTTTGGTAAATTTGGAAAAATTGTAGCCCAAATTCTTATCATCTTCTCCAACTTTTCAAACAACAAAATACAAAGTTTTCATCCTGAAAGTTAATCATTGTTATCGAGTGTGGGAGTGCTCAATTAATCGTCCATACTGCTCCACGATTTCTCAAAGATTTAATCAACAATAAAATTGATTTCAAACTCATCTTCCCATGTCAATCGCTGATCTACTGAGGGAAGTGGATAATCTAGCTAAGATTATAATAAATAAGAACACAGAATTGGAGCAACTAAAAAGAGGATACGATTTGAAAATTAAAACAATAAATGATTATATAGCAAAGTTTCAAGCAGAACTGAAGGATAAAGAGCGAATATCTGACGAACACTTTCATAAATTACTACAGAATAAAGTTGAATGTCCAAAATGTGGCAGCAACTTGAATGATGGAGAAGAAGAGTTTATTCTTATACCGAAGAGTCAAATACCGTATCTTCTACCTGAAAGTCAAACCCAAAATAAACCAATTGTTCCAACGAAAATTCAGCCAAATCTAAGTTCTACTCCATCACATGAATCCAAAAGTAAAAAGAAAACTCATATTATCTGCTCATTTTGCAAGGAGTCAGGTCATACTAGAGCTAGATGTCATAAGAAGTTAGGCATACAGCCGTCCTGATCTTATTTAAACAGTACAGTAATATTTCAAAATCAAATTTTTTAATTTTCATTAATTTCATCATTTCATTATTAATAATACATAACTTTTAATAAAATCTATTTATTTTGATGCTTGAACCATGGCTTCTATAAAAGTAAATTCAGTTAGTATCGTTTCTCGTAGTAATTCTAATATATCTTTCAATTTTGAAATATTTTTAAACATACCTCTTCTTGATGCATCTTGTAATAATGTACAATCAACAGAATTCGGACTCATATGTACATAACGTACAGTTGAGCCTCTTATAAATAAATTTTTAACTGCTTGTAAATAAGGATATTTATCACCATTTGTACATGTAATATTATCTAATTTTAAATTTAAATATTGATCTACTGATTTAAGCGTTCCTTTTATTTCCATATCATTTTTTAATTCCACCGTTACTTCCTGATCAACTAGGGTTTTGAAAAAACTGAAAAATAGCATGTTGTGAGGGTTGTTATGATGGTTACTTTGGTTGTTTCACTGTTTTGCTTATTTTATAATTATATCTTTTTTTTTATCGATTGAATGGAGTTGATAAATTCCTTTTTTTACAAAATTTAAGTCAGATACAAGAGAAATCCAGTAATCACAACCTGGAGCTTTACCACTGCCCCCTCACTATTGATATCGGGATATGCTAAGCTAGAAGTTTGTTCAATGAAAGAGTTCACAGTTAGTTCATCATTAATGTACTTGTCCTGATTTGAGACTTCAACGTCGTGTAATAACAAACGAACAAGTTGGTAGCTTCTCATATAAGGAATTTTGATTTGATTTTTTGCAGCCAATTCATTCTTCAAATTTCAGAGTTGATGTTTCCTAAATTTTTTACATAGCATTTTTACAAATCCTATTAAAAGCAGACAATAGCCAAAAACTTACTAAAAGCGTAATTAGAAGTACTCAATCATAAACAAACGATTCAAAATTTTTTGAGACATGGAAAAATTAGTATATTTCCCATCAGAAGTGTTGGAATTGATATTTCAGCAGATGAATCATCACATGGTATTAAATTTGATACCTTTACATTCTAAATTTTGTGACATTGGTCGAAAAAAATTATATAAGTTCATTCATATATACTTTAATGATAGTGAGATAAAATCCATTACTTACACTGGTTGGAGGATGCATAAAAACATTGTAAATGACTTTACCAAAAAGTACACCATCATTGAATCTTCTAAGTTTTACACAAGCATGATCGAGAATAAAATTGATAGATTTCAAAAGATTCAACATCTTAGTATTGAAAATGATGTTTTTTTGGGACACATAGATAAACTATCAATCGACTTTAATAGAGCAGCCCCAGCATTATTGGAAAGAATCGTAAAATATTTCAAAAATATAGACTGTATTAGTTTTGCTTTAGCAAACAACCAGCTAGAACCAAATAAATACAGAAGTTCTAACGAAGCATTGGAGGCTATAACTTTTCAGAAACCTAATATTTATCATGAATTATTTGATCGAGTATTGGTTTTTGGACTGAATAATCCACTATCATATGATTTCTTGTATAATAACCTCAAAAGTTTTAAATTTCAGTTTGGATTAGTTCGTAGTAGAAAAAGAAGATATCACCATGGTGACATTGACCAAGACCTACTAAGAAGTATTGATGTATTTAACAGTATTAACTTATTTAAAAACCTTGAGGACTTGCATCTTGCTTTTAAGGGTTTTATAAATTTGATGGATCCATTATTGCTTGAAAAATTGAATAAGATTGATTGCAAATTAAAGACCCTTCAAATAATATTTTGGGGTAAACACAAAGAATTGAGAGGTATTCAGAAAAAACGTGAATTACACATTAAAGCAAAGCCACGAAAGTGGTTGTTCACATTAGATAAATTTTTTCGTACAGATGAGATTACTTCCCTAACATTAGACCACTATAGCAAAAAAGATTACAGAGATGTTATCTTTTTTGAAAAAGCTAATTTCGAATTTGAGAAATTTGAATTTTGGAAAATACTAGCCAATGCCAATTTATCAAAATTGAGGAACTTATGTTTATCTTCACAGTATTTGGACTTGAAATGGATAGATGTTTCAAAATTACAGAAACTAATAATACGTACTGATGTTGCTAATTATATCTTTGCAACTGAAATCGCCATGCTATATCTTAGTAATCCAAATTTAAGAATATCCTGGTGGCCACGACTTACAAATCAATATCGCTGTAACAACTTTGATAAGTTTGATAACATTCAAATCTATACACCACATTATATCCAAGTAATATCATGTCAATGGCCATTATACTTTTTCAAAAAACTAAAATCTCAATTAAAGAGGAGGAGTCATTTTTCAACAAACTAGGAGTATTTGGCCAGAATGGAACTTCTAAAACCCTACATATAGGTTTGAAAAATGATTATTCACTTTTGAACTTTTTGAAATGAATCTAATTCAAGAAAATTATATTTGCGATTCCGATATGAGAATTATTGAAAAGCACTAGGCTATTCAACAGTAAAGTCTTTCAATTCTTCTCGTTTGAATAGATATTAGGACTTATGATCTTTGAATGTGCCATAAATAGGTTAAACTTGTCACTCGTTTGAATAGATATTAGGACTTATGATCTTTGAATGTGCCATAAATAGGTTAAACTTGTCACATACTTATGTAGATTATTAGGAAAAAAAATAATTTGTTCTCCTACAAACTAAACTTGTTTTTTTACTGTTTAGCAAGCGATCTTTGAATAATTGAATGATTTTGAAAACAAAAGGTGAGATATTGATATATTAATTCCGTATACAATTACCCCCTAAACATTATAAAGTGGTAGCCTCAAAAATTTATTTGGTTTGTCTCATCTTATTTCGGTTTTGTATTTCAATGTATTATTTTTCTGCAAACATTCAATCTAACAACTTTAAAAGTCTACAATTGCAAAAATGGGTAAAAAGGCCATCGATGCTCGTATTCCAGCCTTAATCCGTAATGGGGTTCAAGAAAAACAAAGATCATTTTTCATCATTGTTGGAGATAAGGCAAGAGATCAACTACCAAATTTACATTATTTGATGATGAGTGCAGATTTAAAAATGAATAAATCAGTATTATGGGCATATAAAAAGAAACTATTGGGATTTACATCTCATAGACAAAAAAGGGAAGCTAAAATAAAGAAGGATATCAAACGAGGAGTTCGTGAAGTAAATGATCAAGATCCTTTTGAAGCATTTATTTCTAATCAAAATATAAGATATGTTTATTATAAAGAGACTGATAAAATTTTGGGTAATACTTATGGGATGTGTATTTTACAAGATTTTGAAGCAATGACGCCGAATTTGCTAGCAAGGACCATTGAGACAGTAGAAGGAGGAGGATTAGTTGTAATTTTGTTAAAAAATATGACATCTTTAAAACAGCTTTATACAATGAGTATGGATATTCATTCAAGGTATAGAACTGAAGCACATGATGATGTCGTTGCAAGATTTAATGAAAGATTCTTATTATCTTTAGGATCATGCGAAAATTGTTTAGTGGTTGATGATGAATTGAACGTTTTACCAATATCAGGAGGTAAACATGTAAAACCATTACCACCAAAGGATGAAGATGAATTATCACCAAAAGCACAAGAATTAAAAGATTTGAAAGAGAGTCTAACCGACGTTCAACCTGCAGGTAGTTTAGTCAACTTATCAAAGACCATCAACCAAGCACAAGCCATTTTAACATTCATTGATGTAATAACTGAAAAATCATTACGAAGCACCGTAACTTTAACAGCAGGAAGAGGTCGAGGTAAATCTGCAGCTTTGGGTATTGCCATTGCTGCAGCTATATCTCAAGGTTACTCAAATATTTTTGTTACATCACCATCACCTGAAAATTTGAAAACTTTATTTGAATTTGTATTTAAAGGATTTGACGCATTAGGTTATACTGAACATTTAGATTATGACATCATTCAATCAACAAATCCATCATTCAATAAAGCTATAGTGAGAGTAGATGTGAAAAGAGAACACAGACAAACAATACAATATATATCACCTAATGACAATCATGTTTTAGGACAAGCAGAATTGTTGATCATTGATGAAGCTGCCGCTATTCCTTTACCGATTGTTAAGAAATTGATGGGTCCATATCTTATATTCATGGCTTCAACAATAAATGGTTATGAAGGTACAGGAAGATCATTGTCCTTAAAGTTGATACAACAATTAAGAACACAGCAACAATCATTAAATGCACCAGCTGATACTGAGGTGATTTCAAGAGATAAGAAGAACGGTGAAACTGGTGGGCAATTAACAAGAAATCTTAAAGAAGTCGTATTAGATGAACCTATCAGATACGCGCCTGGAGATCCAGTTGAGAAATGGTTGAATAAGTTATTATGTCTTGATGTTTCGTTATCCAAAAATGTCAAATTTGCAACAAAGGGAACACCACATCCATCTCAGTGTAACTTATTTTATGTAAATCGAGATACTTTATTTTCATACCATCCTGTATCTGAAGCATTTTTACAAAAAATGATGGCATTATATGTTGCATCTCACTATAAAAATTCACCAAATGATTTACAACTAATGTCGGATGCACCAGCTCATCAATTATTTGTATTATTGCCACCAATTGAAGAAGGTGATAATAAAATACCCGATCCATTATGTGTGATACAAATTGCACTTGAAGGTCAAATTTCAAAAGAAAGTGTAAGAAAGTCTTTGAGTAGGGGACAAAGAGCAGGAGGTGATTTAATTCCATGGTTAATATCGCAACAATTTCAAGATGATGAATTTGCTTCATTATCTGGTGCTAGAGTTGTTAGAATTGCAACTAATCCGGAATATGCTGGTATGGGTTATGGTTTTAGAGCAATGGAGTTATTAAAAGATTATTATTCAGGTAAATTTACAGATATCAGCGAATCAACAGAATTGAATGATCATACTTTAACTCGTGTCACTGATAAGGAATTACTGAAAGCATCATTGAAAGATGAAATTAAATTAAGAGACGCATCAACTTTACCTCCATTGTTATTAAAATTATCTGAAAAAGCCCCTTACTATTTAGATTATCTTGGTGTATCGTATGGTTTTACTCCACAATTACACAAATTCTGGAAAAAAGCTGGATTCACACCTGTATATTTGAGACAAACACCAAATGATTTAACAGGTGAACATACATCTGTTGTTTTAAATGTTTTACCTGGAAGAGAGAATAAATGGTTACAAGAATTTTCAAAAGATTTCCATAAAAGATTTTTACAATTATTATCATATGAATTCAAAAAATTCCAAGCTTCCCAAGCTTTAGGACTTATAGAGGCAGCCGAACAAGGAGAAGGAGATAGTGATGTTAAACAATTAACCAAAGAACAACTTGACGATATATTGTCACCATTTGATTTAAAGAGGTTGGATTCATATGCTAACAACTTGTTAGATTATCACGTTATAGTAGATATGTTACCATTGATTGCTCAATTATTTTTTTCTAAGAAAACAGATGACCAGGTTAATTTATCTTCAGTTCAATCAGCTATTTTATTGGCCATAGGTTTGCAACATAAAAACATGGATCAAATAGCGAGTGAATTGAATTTACCATCAAATCAAGCAATGGCTATGTTTGCAAAAATTATTAGAAAATTTTCAACTTATTTTAAAAATGTTTTAACAAAATCAATCGAAAGTAGTATGCCTGAATTGGAAGATGAACAAATTAAAGAAATGGAAGGAGACGTTGAAGACGAAGTAGATTATGCAGAAATGCAACAAAATTTACATGATGAATTAGAAGAAGAAGGAGATGAAGCAATACTGGAAATGAAAGAGAAACAAAAGGAATTAATCAATGCTTTAAATTTGGAAAAATATGCTATAGCAGATGATGGAGATTGGGATGAAAAATCAATGTCAAAAGCTGTTAAAAGTAAAAATAAAGGATCAAATGGTACAGTTAGTGTTAAAAAGGGTAAAAGAAAATCATGTGAAAATGCTAATGAAATTTATGAAACAGAAATGAAAGGTCTTAAAAAATCTAAAAAAAGTAAGAAAAATAAATAGGGTCTATAAATTATCTATTATGAAATTTAATGCATTTGTAACTAGACTGAATAAATTTTGACTTTCTCCATTATTCAATTCCTTGATTTTATAAGTTTTCAATAAATCGGGTTTCAAGTTTTTATTTATGTCATCATCAATGAATAAATGCTTGTGACTTTCTTCATATGCAGGCCATACAATTGATTTAAAATAGTTTGGAGGATCAACCCAAAATCCTTCTGCTGTATTGTAACCTTTTCTAGCATCTCTTCTCGTCTTTAATGTGTCGAATGTTGCATGAAAGAATAAACTTATATCAAATAATTTTATTATTGAAGGATCATGAAATAACATAAAACCATCAACAAATACAATCTTTTTATTATCAAATTTTTTAAGATTTGAATCAATTACGTGCCGTATTTGTGATGACTCTTCTTCGTTCAATTTTAAATCAGTATCTTTAGGTTGAATTGATTCGACACTGATTGGCTCTTCCCCATTCTTTAAACCAACCAAATATTTCTTGAACTTTTTAAAATCAAGAGCTTCAGGACAATCCCAATTTTGATATCCTGTTTTTGAATCAATTGGAATTTTAGAATCAGTTAAATAAAAATCATCTAAATGTATCAATTTTGTCTTTTGAGGAATCAATGATTGGATAGTTCTCGCAACTGTTGTTTTACCACTTGATGAAGGACCCCCAAAAGCTATCAAAACAACACCGTTGCTCACCTCGTGCTCTTGATGATTTACCATTAAAAGGGTGAATTTGTGTACAAGATAAACATTTCTTGATAACAAGTAAAAAAGTCTTCACCGGTCCAATTGCGTAATTTAGGGAACCACCTTATTGCGCATTTGCAAACTTGTAATTCAAACATTTAGAGATAGGTACGATGAGGATTAAAATAAAATACAAAGGGGTTCTTGATATTATTTCTGAGCCGGTTTGAGGAGAAGATTATCTTATAAATAGCTTTACAAATTTTGTTGTTAAAAAACGTATCAATCCAACAAACAAATAAACTTTAACGTTTTGATTTGAAAAGTAAAATATGTCAATAATTATTTTTCACAATATAATTAAAGTGTAAACATGATCCAAACTAAAGTTTATTAGGGTCATTCATTTTTTACAATAAGTATAACAGAAACAAACGTCCAATACTATAGAGTTTGTGCTAAAGTAAGAGCAATTGGACTGTAAGTTAATAACACATTAGCAATGTTAACGGAAATATTTTAGATTTTGTTTCACATGGCTTGAAACTAGAAAGAAAGAAAGAAATCATCTTATATTTTTGAAACAATATTCTAGATTTTGAATAAGATCCATCTCGGAGATTATTAAATAGGCACAAAATAAATATCAAAACTTTATTAAGTAAGACAATTGATTATGGCTCAATTGACCTTTTTTTTTGTTCAAGCACAATATGTTCCTTAATTTATATTGTAACTCCTAGTTAATTCTTTGAAAGTTTATTATCTTTTAAGTGAATTTCAAATTTTTAGTTCTTGATGTAATGGTTTTGAATAATTTCAAATTTTTAATTTGATTACCAATTCAGGAAATAGTAAAAAGATTACACAAAACTGGTGCAACAGTTTCAGGTTTTTTTTGCGGAACACGATTATGAAAATTGAAATATTCAACAAATATCAATTATGATCAATCCAATCGATTTATTAAATTCAAGGTAAAGACGTGTGACTATGTACTAACATTATGTTGTAATTAAATTGAGTTTTATAAATCCCGACTTATGATCCACTAGAGACATTATTCATTTATACTTTAAACTTTGAACTTTAGATTAAACTTGTTCCGATCATCTAATCTATTGACGTTGAAATAATATTTTTCGTAAAATTTGTGAGTTATTATAACAAATTCTTATCTAAGAATAGTAATGTAAAGAAAATATTTCAAAAACGTTAGTCGTTAAGTTAAAATTTGATTAAATAGATCCGTTATCACAACTTATGGATATATATGGTTTGAAACAATAATATTAAGAGATACGGAAGGTTATAACATTCTTTTTTTCCCTAAATGTTTCTCAGTTGCTATATATCAAAGCATGAAAAAAAAAAACGGATAATCGATGTAGTAAATCATCTGAAATCTAATCGTTGGTATAACTCAGATTTTGAATAGTACTATTAATATTTTTTCCTTTTGTTTTTCCTTATTACTTTTAATATTTTCTAATGTAAAATTCTAAAATTCAATTTACTTAATTTAGTAATTTTTTTTTTTTTTTGCAGCTTAAATTTATATCTGATTTTGTGTAACAAGTTACTTTTTTATATGAAGATATGAAAACATATGTAACAAGAGATATAGTTTATTTCTACAATAAATTCATTTGTTCATTTAAATAATTGAAATTCTACTAAATTCATTAAGAACTTTATAGCAAATCATTATTGGTAGTCCCTTTAACTTCACAAAAAGGAAGGAGAATAACAAGGAAGTAATGCAAACTAAATTAAAAACAGATAATTAATCTAAATTTTTATATATACTTTATCTAATTCTAAGCATTGCATAAACAAAACTTTAAATTAAAAAATTTTAAAGTTAAAAATATTAATATCAATAAGATTCTTTCATTATAGAAAAACAAAAAAATTGAGGTTGAAAGAATTTTGGAAACATTCTTCTTCATACATTCACATCATATTCAGAGGTCCTTCAAATTAATATTCAAAACACCCAACAATCAACATCACAATAGTCAAATTGTTTAAATTTTCACCTCCTCACTTTCGTTTATACCTTTTTATTTTGCATCATAACATCAATCATTCAATTGTATTCAATTTTCATCATAAGTTTTTATTTCAATCTTATTAATTGATTTGTTACCATTGATCCTAAATTCACACTTCATTTTAAACAATTTTCAAGTTGTTATCGATAGTCAACCTCATGAGTGCTACACCAGCCAAAGAGTTGGGTGAGCAAAACAAAATAGATACAAATTTAAATAATTCACTTTCAAAATCAAATATATTAAGTCAACCAAAATCTTTTTCAGATTATACTACTCCATCTCCAACTGATGAAGAAAGTAGTAAATCTTTACCACCTAAAAAACAATCACCATCAAATTCAGAACTTTTATCAGATTTAAAGAAATTTAATGTTGATCAAACTATATATAAACATTATGGTCATCAATCTCTGATGAATTCTCAATCATTAAATAAAATAATTCATATAAATTCACCAAATGAGGAAGAAGTTGAAACAAAAAAAGATGAAGAATCGATAACCAACAATAAATCTCCTGAAAAACTAGAAATTGAAAATAAATTAGCTCAAATGTTTGGAATACTGCTGAATTTGACTAAGGATCGAATTAATTGGCCATATAATGCAGAAACTTTAAATGATTTGGTTAGACTACAAATCGAACAAGAAAAAACAAAACAAAATCAATTGAAAAAAGATATGGGTGAAATATTAATAAAATTATTATCCTTAACTAAAGATTCCAATATAAATATTGATTTATTACCATTCTTATTTGTTTCAGATTCCGTAAATTCAAATACATTAATTGAAAGGATTGATAGATTGAAAAATAATGATCCAAATTTAATAGTTAAAGATATTGTAGAACGATCTAAACTGTTGGATAATAATACTACTACAAATCTTTCTTCATCAAATAATCAACCTAGTGGCATTAAAAGAAAACATTCTGATACTCAATTACCATCATTTTCAGAAACTACTCAAAACATAAAAACATCTAGTGCTTTAGTATCTCCTTTAAGATCACCAGTCAATAAACTGCCAGTCCAATCTCATAGAAGAATTGTATCTGATAGTAGTGATGTTAGCATAAAATCATTAGTTTCTAAAGGTATTTCACCCTCCAATAATCCACCCCAACTACCACTTCCAAACAGCAATTTATCACGCCCGCAATTTCCTCAACACCAACCATTTCTTCATCAACCACAAACTCAACCTCAGAGTCAGCTACAACCTCCTATTCCTGCCACATTACAGGGCAGTTCAAGAACTCAAAGCCAAACCCATCTGCAACAACATCTGCCAACTATACCATATCAAGCCCCACAACAGAGCTATCAATATTATTATCCAACTCAACTTCCTCAAGCGTCTATACATTCACAACCACAATCGCAACCTCAACCAATTCCACAGCCACCAGTTTTTCAGGCTCAGCACTTACCTCAACCTCCTCCGCCTCATCAACAACAACAACAACAACCAATCAGCACCCAATCTAATACTGGATCTCCATATCCACAAAAATTTCACGCATCAACTACTTCAAACTATCCCAATGTAGCATATCCCAATTATAATCAATCTATATCACATTACGCATATTATCAACCAAAATCACCCGATCACACTCAAGCATACCAGCCATCAGAACCACAAATGATACCACAGCATCACCATCAACCTGTACCACCCAAACCCTCAACAGTATCCACAAAACAACAACAACAACATCAGCAACAACAACCAATCCCAGTGCCAACTCATCAATTTGAGACATCACCAGATCGTAAAACAACATCTAAGTCATCCAACCACAATAATGAAGAAAATCCATCTACAACATCAACAACATTAACTCCACCAATGAAAAGATCAAAACATTCGAAAAATAATAATCATGGTGGAATAAATTTTATGATTACTACACCAAGTAATCCGCCTGCAAGAAAATATAATAACCCAAAGTAGGTGACAAGAAGTAGTTTTAACGGAGCTACAAGAATCGTTTAGTTTGGAGTGGCTTTTCTCCTGGTTTCATTTCAATATTTCAATTCTTTTTTTTTTTTGGCTATTTAATTTTAGTCATGATCAATGATTATTATAAATTAATTTTATGAAGGTTATTTTCTTTATTAATTATACTTTAATCTTTTATAGTTTAGTTTCTTTTATTACACATCGATACCAAGAATATACAATTTAAATTTTTTGATAGGTAAAAATACTAGTATCTTTCACTCGCCCACATAGAGTTGTTTTTTAATAGATTTAATTTCTGAAATACTTGTACACTGTAATCAATGAACAGATAAAAAATGGTAGCTTCGTCAAATCTGAAACATGATAACAATTTTCAAATATGGTAGCTGGAATCCCTTAGTTTGAGTATAAACTGCTATGGATCAAGGTTGAACAAAATTTAATGAACGGACCTATGTTAAACTCAATTTACTCTTGGATGTTTGCTGAAAGTAAAATAAATTAACAAGTTTAAATAAATTGTCTACTTTGAAGGAATATAAATCTGTCAATTGATTGTGTGACTATCAAAAGTTAGGTGCACTATGAACAATACAAAACTTCAACAGTGTATCAAAATCGTTTAACGATACATTTTGGCTGTTGAACGATCCTCAATTGTTTTGGTTATGACTTTTTAACTCATTATTTGTCCGAACATCTGTGTTCATGACTTTAAACGTTATTAAAAAATTGGTTGTAAAGAAAGAAAACAAACGCGTAGAGAAGTAACAAAAGTGTTGCAAACTTGAAACACATTTGAAATATTTAATTTATATAAATTCAACACTAAAATCTCAGATCAAATTTCATGATCAAATTTTAAATTCTTGAAGAAGTAGATGTCCAAACGGCAACACTTTACAATACTACCCAGGCAAAATAATCAATCCAAACGACCATGTATTGATGCACCAAAACTTAGTTTCAAAAGGTTGCCAAATCTCAGAGATCAAACTAAATTGAAATTTATAAATTCTCAGCCTTCACAACAACAACCCCAAAATGATCAATTATTAACCCCCTTAACTAACGACAATGAAGATTACTTGAGTGAATCAGAAGAAGAAGAAGATTATGAGAATATAGCTTCATTAGATCAACTTACTTCGGAATATTTAAAACGAAATTACGTATATGTTTTAATAAGTCATACTTCTCAGGTATTCAAACAAATCAAATTCATTGATATACCAAACATGAGTATTGGTCCATATAAATTAATAAATCGAATTAATGAGCAAATTTTTGATGTTGAAGTTGGATTAAGTACAGATTATGATACAAAATTTAATATCACAGAATTAACTTATTTTGGACAGGAGATATATCAACCTGATCCAAGAAATATAAAACATTTCATCTTGTCAAATTCAATTGAAAGTATTCTCGGTGCAAGTGATGATCAAATAGTAGTTAAATATAAAAATTATGAATACGGTTGTGTTTTCGGTCATGATTTAGTTAGACGTGAATTAGGTAAGCTGAAATACCAAAAATTATATAACATATATAAGTCTAAATTAAGTAGCTAACCAAGAATCAATTATATTTTTATATTTTTCTTGTAACTCTTCATTTATATTTACAGTTGACCCACTTTTGCCATCTTTTAAAGCGTTTCCAATAACGTTATAACAACAAAAATAACTATGACTTGATTTTTTTAAATTTTCAGAAGTTAATTTTTGTTCCATCCATGCATCATATGGTCCGTTGAAATTTAAAACATTTACTTTTTGAGTTAACACTGGTGGTCTTATAATATTTTCTAGTATTAATGGATTTTGATAAATCTTATGTAACGTATGATAATCATTTTTTATCAATGTATTTTCTTCGTTATTGAAGATCTTTTTTGTTTCTTTGATCTTTGTAATATACTTATCTTTGAATATGGTTTTAAAAGAGTGATTGTGTTTCAACCAATTTTGCAATTGATGTGATGTAACAGATATCAAACTTATATCATCTTCATCCGATAATTGAGCATATGAAGCAGAACATATTTCTTGGGAAGGTCTTATGTCTTCATGAAGATTTTCTTGTGGTGTGTATATACCTGCCATCACAGGATAGTTGTAATTGAATGATAAGGTTTGACCTGAGATCTCTAAACCAATCCATAAGAAATCCAAATCAAATCCTTGAGTAAATCTGATTTTCATTATATCATAAAATTGTAGGTTTAATGCGATAAGTAAACCATTAAAACTTTTTTTTCTATTTATAACAATCATATTAGGATCTATCATTGTAAGGAAATGATCTTCGTAAAATCTGGAAGTGATATAAGATTCTCCCCTCTTCAAGTCAAAGAAGGTTTCATCATCTTTGTTTGGTCTAAAAGATTTTATGAAGTTTGTTATTTCATGGAAACCAGGAGGGAAAATGTTAACTCTATCCTTCAAGTATGAAGGAGATTTGAATAAATGATTACCTGTGGACTTATATCTTTCACCTTTGAATAATAACTCTGGTTTTTTCAATGGAATAATATTTTCAGATAGTAGGATCACTTCTTCAAATTTGCTGTAAGTTAGACTCGCTATTGTTATAAATGTTGAATCATTTTTTGGTAATGAAGATAGGTCGATAAAAGTAAGATCTTGAATGTTTGGTAAAGTACTATTTTTTGCTGCATCGATGATTAACTCTTGATCTTGAGAAGAGAGCGAGGTATGTGAAACTTCAATTGGTAAGGTATTTTCAATTGACCTTAAGGCTCTTACTAGTCTTATGACATTCTGAGGACTTTTAAGTATTGGTATTACTATCCCTCTACTTTCAAACTTTGGAGTTGTTTTAGACCAAGGATATAATTTTTTGAGATTTTTTGGATTTTGTTCCAAACATTTACCTCCGATCTTCATATCATTGACTTCTTTGAACATTTTTTCCTCTAACTTGGAATACTCGATATTTTTCGACATAAATTCATTTAAAATTTGCTGATCAATTTCAGGTGTCCAATTCTTCTTCTTGATTTTTCTTTGTAATTCCCTTTTTCTTTTCTTAATCCATTTTCTTTTATTGTACACCAACGGATCTATTTTCGAATTATCCCAAAATTTCAAATTTATGTTTGATATTGATTTCAAATATTTATTACATTTTTCTTCTATTGACAATGATTTGTATTTTGATTTTTCAGTGTTCCATTTGGTGAAAATATGATTTTTGAATTTTACTCTATTTTTTATAATATCAAAATTTTTGGGTACTATTTTCGAATTGTTGACATACGTGTTATATTCATTATAAAACAAAAATAAAAGAAATATGATTATTGACGTTAAAGCAAGCTTGTAATATTTGCGATTTACCATGGTTTTATGGAGTACATTTTCTCAACCTATTGGTGGTTAGTGATTGATAAGTTTTGTAATAAATATCACGTCTATTTAATTTTAGATTTTCCAATTACTAGATTAGACCAAATTTACGAAGTATTAAGCCGCATCGAAATTTTGACATGAAACATCATATGAAATACTAAATAATTACTGGTGAAGCGTTTGAGAGTTGATTTCAATCGTCAAATGTGAAATAAATGTATAACTACACTCTGACTATATACGAATTGGTTGCTCTCATACTGGATATTTTCTGTGATTGAGAGTTAACAAGTAACTCAATGTGCAAAAGTCAAGCATTTCGATCAAGAAGATTCATGACGTGTCCCCAGCATTATATCACGACAATCGTGTATATGATGCCGATCCGTCCACACAGTCCACAATAAAGGCAAACTCAATATTTGATCAAACATTGTCAGCAAAAGTAGGAAATCTTTAAGGTAGTCCTATCTTTTGCTGCCTAAGCATGATATAGGTCTTTCAAAGTCTGAAAATCTTTTATAATCTCGAGAACTATTTTGTTGGTTTCAATATATCATAACTGAATCCTGGAGCGACTTTATTAGATTCTTCATTAATCCATTTTTTTAGATCAGTTCCATTTTTGCTATCTGTTACCAAATTTTTTTTGAATTCATTCAATTCTTTTACCCATTCGTTTATATCATCATCTGTAATTTTCAATTGTGGAGGAACAACCGTGTTTGATAATGTTGGTAGTAGTTTGTTAAAATTTGTGTTCAACGTAATTGCTTTCGGTGGTTGATATGATGGATTTTTGATTAAAGGGACCTGCTTTAAAATGGGATCAGCTCATCAAATGTTAGTCAAAATGTGACACGTCGTAATATGTAAGTAGAATACATACGTTTATCCGTATCATCCATATTTAATAGAAAATGAAGTTCTTGAGTGTGTGAAAGAGTGGGATAGCTAATAGATAACAGTGGTAACCTATGTTGTATTTATTTAAATGCGTGAGTAACGTGACTATGCACGTGCATGAATCTTAAATTTTAGAGTACATTTTATCACCATCGATGCCAGAATTCTCCAAAAAGCTGTGAAACACTTTCTTTATAAGGATGGAGTTACATAGTGATCATTTGTTGAACTAACACACATCTATTGGACATGTCGTTTCATTCATTTTCCATTAATTACAAAATTGGAAATAATCTATAATATTACATTTGATTCATACCATCTATACAATCCTGCTCTCCTCATACTAATTATCTTTATAATGACGTATTAAGATATATGCGTTTTCTTGTTTCAAATTACTTAATGAACGATATCCACCCTCTAATCTCATTAATAATCCTCCAAATGAAATATAAACGGACATTTTATCATTATTTTCACTACTCTCCTCAAATTTATATACTGTTCCATACATGACATAATCATAATCATCAGCTAACGATCTATCGTCCGGTTTTGGAGGTCTCCATGAACCATTTGATGTTATCATTGAACTTTCATTCCCCAATGATGAAGCTAAAGTTATTGTTAATGAGTCGTTCTCCTTTACCGGAAATAATTCACTATTTATATCTAATGTGATGTTTATATCTTTTGAAGTTGACGAGTTCCCCGTTATTCTGCAAACTTTGTTATATCTTCCAGAGTCAGTGGATTCTACCACAAACATATCCTCGAACAATATTCCTGACATTGTATGATATTATGATGTGTTATTGTTTGGTGCTTTGTATGGATATTATAAGTTAAGATGTATGTTGTATTAGTGCTGATGATCTTCTCTTGATATATTTCACATTTTAAATTAATTTTTTCTGTATAAAGTTCAAAGTGTTGTATACAGTACTCATGTACCAAAAATATTAAAAAGGTAAACACAAGTTTAAAATTAGCAGTTTAGGGAGAATACTCATAGATTCGATACTTCTTGAGAAATAGCTCTTCGAAGTCTTTTATAATTCGTCAAACATTATATTCTTCTTATTTTACAATAACATGAAAGTTCAGAATCAAACTAATAGTTACAGAAATCACTTTAAAGTTGTGCTTCTATTGTTAACCATTTTCACGATTACATATACAATATTCAACTCAAATATCTTAGATCTGAGATCAATTACGTTTTCCAAATTCAAGCAGTCAATTCCAAACTTTCAGTCGAATGAAATCACAGGATTCACAAATAAAAGAAACGATGATGAAAAATCTACAACTTCCATCAATAATACTTCATCTTCCAAATCCTCAACTAAAACTACAAATTCAAACACAAGTTCAGCAACCACCACAGCGGATTCCGATTCATCAGATGAATCCAAACCAACACCTATATACAACAGGTCATGGATGAGATTCATATTTGTCTTATTTGGATTTATATTTTTGAATCTTATAGCTATTTGCATTCATCACGTTTATATGAAAGTTACAAGATCCCACAACACGTATAGATCGTTCGAAGATGAAAAATCCCCATTTTGAAATTAAGGTCCTAAGTCAAACTTTAACAGCGAATGGCTATGATCGTCATCCCGCCTGGTTTCATTAGTGCTCAAAAGCTATACATAGAATGCTAGACATGAAAAGAATTCATTCTTTGTGTTAGGTCGGGTCTGACCGATTTGTAACACGAAATTCTTGATAGATTTACCTCGTACTAAATAGGAAATGTATAGTCGGTTAAATTTTTTTTTTTTTTCACTTGAATAGTAGCAATAAAATTTTATATATTAATAACTTTAGAAGACCAAAATAATGTAGAAATAGGAAAGATCTTACTTCAACAACTCATCAATATTTCAGTTCAATGGCCAAATTACCACCAATAACTACAAGAATTTTACAAATCACTTGTGCAATAATATGGTGTTTAGTTGCAGCTGGTCCAGTATTCGGTTACGCCGCATTAAAACCTATATTAATATCACAAGGTGTATATGAAAACGAATGTACAGGTTCAAAGTCAATAAATACCAAATGTGTCGAACAAGATTTATCATTAAATATGTTATTTACGGTTGCATGCTCAGTCACTAATATAAGTGCATTACCTGTGGGGTCAATATTAGATGCTTATGGACCTAAAATTAGTGGAATCATAGGTGCTATAATCTTAACTTTAGGTTCTTTAAGTTTAAAATATGCATCAAATATGGAGTATCTTGATGGTTATTTAATTGGTTATACCTTGTTGGCATTAGGAGGGCCATTTACTTTTATAAGTACTTTCCAACTAGCGAATAGCTTCCCCAGAAATTCAGGATTAATATTAGCTTTATTAACTGGAGCTTTTGATTCATCATCTGCATTATTTTTATTTTACAGAATTTATTATTTCAGTGTCAACAAAATTTCCATAAGTTCATTTTTCACTGGTTATCTTATAGTCCCATTTTTTATCTTTTTATGTCAATTAACAATTATGCCAAGTAGCTCATATAAGACTGTTGGCACATTAGCAAAGATTGCAGAAACTGGAATTGATGAGACAGGTAAACCGTTAGGACTCAGTAACGAAAGTGGAGATGCTGAAGGTGGGGATGAACATTATCAACCAACTATTACTGAAACTACTGCTTTGTTGATGAGAAGGCCATCTACCAACAGAAGAGAATCTACTATTTCGAGAGCATCTTTCAGTTCAATGAAATCATCTTATGAGCAAGAGGCAGATACAAAATTGATCAACTCAAGTGGTGGTGTATTTGGTGTATTACACGGTTACACTATCTCGGAGCAATTGAAATCGCCTTGGTTTTTATTAATGGTCACATTTACAACAATACAAATGTTACGTATTAATTTTTTTGTTGCAACTATTAAATCACAAGAAGTTTATTTATACAAAAGTGAAGAATTAGCAACAACCATAAATCATTTTTTCGACTTAGCATTACCATTGGGTGGTATAATTTCAATCCCATTTATTGGTTTGATTTTAGACAATTTGACTACATTGACTGTGTTATACATTCTTACAGGATTATCATTATTTATTGGAATAATGGGATTAGTTTCATGGTTGCCTGGAACTTATGCAGGAATAATTGTTTTGGTTATGTATAGGCCATTTTATTATACTGCAGTCTCAGATTTTTGTGCAAAAGTATTTGGGTATGATAATTTTGGTACAATCTATGGTACGATAATAGCCTTTAGTGGTATATGTAATATTTTGCAACAAGCAATGGATAAGTTAACTCAAGAATATTTTAGTGGAAACCCTACCCCTGTTAATTCGCTATTAGTGGTTTTAACTGCAATATTTGGTTGTTCATTAATTGGGTTTGTTAAGTCTCAAGAAAAAGACATAAGGAGAAGAAATTTAGAAATGGAAGCCGAAGAGGCAACTTATAGATCATTACCAACTTAGATTTTTTTTTCATCTTCAATATATTATTTATTCATTTAGATTCTTGTATATGTCAGTTCCTCTTACGTTTTCTTGTCGGGCCGGAATCAGTATCTAACGCAGTCAAGGGAGGTAAACAAGACACTTCTTGTACAGATTTTGTTTTCTCCATCGTAACATTGATATTCCTATCTCTCCCAACCTGTTGATTATCAAAAGTCAAAATTTCTTCTACACTTTTCATTTCTTTCTGTTCGTGGAAGCTTTATTCTCTTTCTCTATTTGTCTCCTTGAACCTTTCAATATTTCTAGATGACCAACTCTTCCTGCTATCAATTTCTCAGTACTTTTCATTAATTGACCTTGGTGGATCTTAGTTAACTTGATATTCTCTTTGGCTACTTGCTTCTTGGGCTTTATGATTTTGGGTGCAGCTTTTTTAGGATTTTGCTGTTTCTTTGTAACTCTACCTCCACTTGATTTAGACTTTAGTTTTAAATTTCCTTGCGCCATTTGGTTGTCAAGGTATTATTAATGTACCTTTGAACGATGAGATAAGAATTGAATGCGATTTTGGAGATAAATGTTTTACTTTTGTGTAAGATCTTAAAAAACTACACTATATTTGAAGTCTGGACCTACTTGCACATTATGAATCAACCTTACAAAAACATGATATAGTTCTATTGAGATATGAAAACTTAATTCAGGTATAGACTATAGAGTGGATTTGAACAGGTTATTCATTTGTACTATACTATCAATTGCAAAAGTTATATCACCATTTTTGTGTATTTGTTACATTTTCCGAGTCACATCGCATAATTTTTTGAAAAATTAAGACATTGAATCATTAAGTGGTCTTGTTAACTTTCTGATCTTAATTTGGAGTTCACTCACCAAAGAACCAAAATGAGTTCAAACTATCTCATACTACCAGGTCCAAAGGCCTTATCCAAATTTAGAGTTGCAAACTTAATACTGGAAGTGGAAAATAAAACAGGAAATAAAGTTGAAGTAGCTACTCAATATACTCATTATGTTTCTTTAAAAAAGCCATTAAATGAAAAACAATTGGAATTGTTGAAAATCCTACTTACTTATGACGATCCCATAGACCCGAATGATCAGTTGAGTCAAGAATTAGAACAGTTATCTACTGGATCAAAACAAAGCTCTGAATTTATTCAAATCATACCAAGACCAGGTACAATTTCTCCATGGTCTTCAAAAGCTACAGACATTGCACGAATTTGTGGATTAGGTGATTTCATTGAAAGAATTGAAAGAGGATTGTCGTTATTAATAAAGGGAGCAAAAGTTGATGGAGAATCTTTAACATCAGTATATGATAGAATGACTCAAAAGATATACTATGAAGTTCCAAAATACGATGAATTATTTGCTCATCATGATCCAAAACCTTTAGTTACGGTTGATATAAATGATTTAAAAGTTGCAAACAAAGAATTAGGATTAGCGTTGGATAAAGGAGAAATTGACTATTTAACAAATGCTTTCAATAATGTTATTGGTCGTAATCCTACTGATGTTGAATTATTTATGTTTGCACAAGTTAATTCAGAACATTGTCGTCATAAAATATTTAATGCTGATTGGACTATTGATGATCAACCAAAGGAAATGTCTTTGTTTAAAATGATTAGAAATACACATGAAAAGAATCCGAACTTTACAATTTCGGCATATTCAGACAATGCGGCTGTATTTGAAGGACCACAAGGTTATTTATTCACACCCGATTTTAAAACAAAACAATGGAAGTCAATAAAGGAATCAGTACATACTTTAGTTAAAGTAGAAACACACAATCATCCAACTGCAGTGTCTCCGTTCGCAGGTGCTGCAACAGGTTCTGGAGGTGAGATTAGAGACGAAGGTGCAGTTGGAAGAGGTTCAAAATCAAAAGCTGGTTTATCTGGTTTTTCAGTTTCTGACTTGAATATTCCAACCTTAAAACAACCATGGGAAAGAGATGTTGGTAAACCAAATCATATTGCAAGCTCATTAGATATAATGATTGAAGCACCTATTGGTTCAGCCGCATTCAATAATGAATTTGGTAGACCAGCTATAAATGGTTATTTTAGAACTTTAACTACGGAAGTTGAAAATAGTAAAGGGGAAACTGAAATTAGAGGTTTCCATAAACCAATTATGTTAGCTGGTGGTATGGGTGCTATAAGACCAGATTTAGCTTTGAAAAACAAAAAAATTACTCCAGGAGCAAAATTAATTGTTTTAGGTGGACAGTCTATGTTAATTGGATTAGGTGGTGGTGCTGCTTCATCAATAAGTTCTGGTGAAGGATCAGCAGATTTGGATTTTGCTTCCGTTCAAAGGGGTAATCCAGAAATTCAAAGAAGAGCACAACAAGTAATTGATGCTTGTGTTTCATTAGGTGGTGAAGGAAATCCAATTCAATCAATTCATGACGTTGGAGCTGGAGGTTTGAGTAATGCATTACCTGAATTAGTCCATGATAATGACTTAGGTGCAAAATTTGAATTAAGATCTATACTATCATTAGAGCCAGGTATGTCACCTATGGAAATTTGGTGTAATGAATCACAAGAAAGATACGTTCTTGGTGTTGCACCAGAAGATTTAGAAATGTTTGCCGAAATATGTAATCGTGAAAGAGCTCCATTTGCAGTTGTCGGTGAAGCAACCGAAGAGCAAAGATTGATTTTAACTGATTCTTTATTAAAATCTACTCCAATAGATTTAGATATGTCTGTTTTATTTGGAAAACCTCCGAAAATGTCAAGAGTTGCTAAGACTGATGATTTGACATTAAACAAATTTGATACCCAAAATTTGGATTTGAATGAGTCAATTGATAGAGTGTTACAATTACCTTCGGTTGGATCTAAGTCATTCCTTATTACCATTGGTGATAGATTCATTACTGGATTGGTTGATCGTGATCAAATGGTCGGACCATGGCAAGTTCCAGTTGCTGATGTTGGTGTGACAAATACTTCATTAGGTGAAACTATATTAAAAGCTGGGGAAGCTATGGCAATGGGTGAGAAACCTACATTAGCTTTGATATCAGCTAGTGCATCAGCAAAGATGTCTGTAGCTGAATCGCTTTTAAATATTTTTGCTGCTGACATTTCATCTTTAGAACAAGTTAAATTATCAGCTAATTGGATGTCTGCTGCTTCTCACCCAGGTGAAGGATCAAAACTTTATGAGGCGGTTCAAGCTATTGGTATGGATTTATGTCCTGATTTGGGTATATCGATTCCAGTTGGTAAAGATTCGATGTCTATGAAGATGAAATGGGATGATAAAGAAGTCACTGCTCCTTTAGCCTTAACAATTACGTCATTTGCTCCAGTTGATGATACCTCAAAAACATGGACACCTCAATTACAACCAATTAAAGATACTGTTCTAGTGCTAGTTGATTTGGCTGCCAAAAATAAAAAATCACTTGGAGGTTCAGCTTTGGCTCAAGTGTACAAACAAGTAGGTGATTCAGCCCCAACTGTTCATTCAAATGCCGTTTTAAAATCATTCTTACAAACATTGGTTGTATTACATAAACAATTTCCGGTATATGCTTATCATGATAGATCAGAAGGTGGGCTTTTAACTACTGTTCTAGAAATGGCATTTGCAGGTAGATGTGGATTAGATATAGCTTTGAGTGGAGAAGAAGATAAATTCACAGAACTATTCAATGAAGAGTTAGGTGCTGTTTTTCAAATCAAATTACATGATTTAATTAAATTCAAAGAAATTTTTAACGAAAACAATATTGATAATGAATTTATCAAAGTCATAGGAAAACCAACTTTTGGTGATCAATCGATCAATATATCATATAATGGTGCACCAATATATGCAAATACAAGAGGTCACTTACAAACATTATGGTCCAATACTTCTTATCATATACAAAAAATGAGAGATAATCCAGTAACTTCACAACAAGAATATGAATCAATATTGGATGATAAAGATCCAGGTATAACTTATCAAATAACATACAAACCAAATGAATTTAAAACTTACAAAAATAAACCAAAAGTTGCTATATTACGTGAACAAGGTGTAAATTCTCAACAAGAAATGGCTTGGTGTTTCCAACAAGCTGGATTTGATGTATATGATGTGACGATGTCTGATATATTAGGAGGAAGAGTTACATTAGATGAATTTGTTGGATTAGCTGCATGTGGTGGGTTCTCTTATGGTGATGTATTAGGTGCTGGTGCTGGTTGGGCAAAATCTGTTTTATTTAATGAAAAAGCAAGAATTGAATTCCAAAAATTTTTCCAAGAAAGAGATGATACTTTTGCATTTGGTGCTTGTAATGGTTGTCAATTTTTCAGTAGAATTGCTGAGTTGATTCCAGGTACTGATCATTGGCCAACATTTGAACGTAATTTTTCAGAACAATATGAAGCTAGATTTGTAATGGTTGAAGTTGATGATAAACCTAATAATAATTCAATATTTTTACAAAGTATGAAAGGTTCAAAATTACCAATTGCTGTAGCACATGGAGAAGGTAGAGCTCAATTTAAAACAAAAGAAGATGAAAAAGAATTTGATTTGGATGTTATACATTTTGTTGATAATTATGGAAATCCAACTCAAACTTATCCATTCAATCCTAATGGTTCACCAAGAGGTATTGCTGGTATTACTTCTAAGAACGGTAGAGTTTTAGCAATGATGCCTCATCCTGAAAGAGTTTGTCGTAAAGAAAGTAATTCATGGTACCCATTAACAGAAAGTGAAGATTGGAAAGGATATGGTCCATGGATAGAGTTGTTTAAATCTGCAAGAGAATGGGTTGGTGATGTATAATAAATAAGTATTGTAATAATATGTTAAGGCTGCAACTTCGCGCGCAAAGAAAATAAATTTTTAGTGTTTCAGAATGTTATTTTGTGTACTCTAGGGCTATAAACCTTAAAAGTATCTTATGCTACCAAATTGTATAGTGAAAAATTATCAACTGTCTAACAAATAGAATTTCAGTTCCTTTACAAACAATCTCATAGTTTATCTCAAAACCAACAACATCAACAACAATCAATAACAATGGTTAACGCAATCTTATCCAAAAAGAAGAAATTAGTAGCTGACGGTGTCTTCTACGCTGAATTAAATGAATTTTTCACCAGAGAATTAGCCGAACAAGGTTATGCTGGTGTTGAAGTTAGAAAAACTCCATCAAAATTAGAAGTTATTGTTAAAGCTTCAAATACTCAAGGTGTTTTAGGTGAACAAGGTAGAAGAATTCATGAATTAACTTCATTAATTGTTAAAAGATTCAAATTATCACCAGAAGGTATTGCTATTTATGCTGAAAGAGTTGAAGAAAGAGGTTTATCAGCTGCTGTTCAAGCTGAAGCTTTAAAAGCCAAATTATTAAATGGTTTACCAATCAGAAGAGCTGCTTATGGTGTTTTAAGATTTGCTATGGGTGCAGGTGCTAAAGGTGTTGAAGTTGTTATTTCAGGTAAATTAAGAGCTGCAAGAGCTAAATCACAAAAATATGCTGATGGTTTTATGATTCATTCAGGTCAACCAACTAATGATTTTATTGATATTGCTATTAGACATGTATTAATGAGACAAGGTGTTTTAGGTGTTAAAGTTAAAATTATGAAAGATCCAGCTGCTAATAGATTTGGTCCAAGAGCTTTACCAGATGCTGTTAAAATTGCTGAAGCTAAAGATGAAGATGAAGTTATTCCAGCTCCTTATGTTAAAAATTATAAACAAAAACCAGAAGAAGTTGAAGTTGAACAAACTGAAGTTGAAGTTACTGCTTAAATTTAGTTTATTGTATTTTAGTTTTTAATAAATTTTAATCTGACCTCCCAATAATTTACGCAAGGTGAATGTGATGTAAAACAAAACTCAAGTTTAGTGAGCTCGACTACAACGCTTTAACATGTCAATAGAATGGATTTTATGATTCTCAAATATTTTGTATATTATGAGACGTCTTAATTCGGTATTGACACCACTTTCTTTGAGTTCAGAGCATTGATTTTAGAACTTAAAACTTCAAATGTGAAATTGGCCCCCTCTCTTTTTTGGAGTGAAACTAATCTGATTTTGGGTCTCTCTGGATCTTTTGCTACAAACTAGTTCTCTAACACGCCAACAACTGATTTAAATTTGGATTTTATTCTCTTTAATTGAGAAAAGAGTATGTAGCTCAACCGTACAAGAATCAACGATTTACTCTGAGTATCTTGAGAGAGCTGGATATTAGAATTCAATTAGGTAAAGGAAAATCGGTTACCCATATCTCCTTAATCCCGAAGTATAATCAAATTATCAGCGGATCTAACAAGATGTAACACAAAATCAAAATATACGAGTCCCTAACTGTTATTAAATGACATCACATTATTTTAATTACTAAGCTTCTCTCTCTTATATTTGCCCCAGATTTTAGAGTGACGGAGATATATCTCCATATATTTTTATCTAGTCCCACATTTTATTCCTTATCTTTTAAAGATGATCAAAATAACAAATATCTAACCATTAGTACTTAAAAAACCATAAAATATTTATATAAATATTAAATTGATTTTCTAGCTACTAAATCTTTCATTTACTTTTTACTCAATCACTTTTATTCTAAATTAGATATAACAAAATATTACAATGAATTTTTTAATTTTATCATCAGATGTAAATGAACCATTTATTATACCAAATGTATCACCAGTATCATCACCAAAATTAATTGCAAGTAAAGAAATTGATAATACTTCTTCAATAATTACAAAACCAATAATAAGTAATACAACTAGTCTAACACCTTTAGTTCATATTGAAGATGATGACGAAAATGAAGAAAATAATAATTTAATATCAATGAGAAAATTATCAGATTTTGAATTAAATTAGTAAACTAACTATTTTAGTTATTTTGGTTAAGGATTACATATTTATTAGATTTTAAATGAGGTTAATGTTATAGATTTGGCTGAACAATGGTGGGTTTTTAGTTCTCGAATTTCGTTTTTATACATCATATCAATTTTTATTTTACTTTTAGTTTACATTTACGTATAGGGGTTAAATATACAAACATTCGAATTGAATCACTTTTAAATTCGGTTGATTTTGGGAAATTTGTTCTTGAACTCCATTTGCTCTTTCAATTTTCCAACTTGTCGTTGTATCTGCTTTTATTCATGATTTAGTTTCGATCAATTTTGTAACAAAATTATCTCAATTTGTTACATTTGCTCAAGCAATAATTTCAATTTGACTAGAACAAATAAATTCTTGCTCAACAAAGTAGACATAAAGTCAAAAACCCATCTTACTTTCATAACAACATGTAATTGATGTGGCGAAACAGTGCTGAAAGAAAGTACCAATGTTTGTTAGGGGTCGAATAAAATACATCAAACTACAATTTTGTGCGATATTATCGTCAATTTGAATTTGCAATATCGGACTTTAAATACTTCGTCTACATAAATAATCTCATAAAGCTATATCAAGAACTAAATTTTAAATTACTCTAAACTAATTCTACTTTAGATATTTCATACTTATTGAGCATATTCATGTAAAAAATCTAAAACTTTTTTAGCAATAAGTTGATACATTTCATCATTTTCAATAAATAAACTATGTCTACCTTCTTCAATTTGATCAAATACTTTGTTTATATTTGAAGGTAATAAATTAAAAAATTCTTCACTACCAATAATATCATTTATATAATCAGAAGTACCATGAATAATTAATAAAGAAATCAGTGAATCCCATTTTTTAACAAATTCAGGATTTAATAAATCTTGACCTCTTTTAAACATATCATTAAATTGAATTAATGAACCAATTAATTTTTTATCATGTTGAATAATATAATTTTTCCATCTTTCATTTGATGTTATAAAATCAAAATTTAATTTTGAATCTAATTTAAAATTTGGTAAAAATTTAGATACATAAGGTAATGCAATTCTTGATACAATATTTGGTTGAGATTTTGGATGTAATTTAATTAATGGACCACATGCAACAATTGATTTTATAAATTGTTTATATTTTCCTCTTATACCATAATTTAATATAATTCCACCACCCATTGAATGACCCATTAATATAAATTTTTCTTCTGGATTTTTTAAATTATCATGATTTAATTTAATAAAAAAATCTAAATCATCAAATGTATAAAATTCATTAGTTTCACCAATTTTTTTACCAGGTGAAGTTTCTCCTGCTCCTCTTTGATCAAAAAAGAAAATTTCATAACCAACTTGTGATAATCCATCAAAATGTTCAGTATAAACATTAGCTTGTTCTGCAAATCCATGAACATATATTATTTTACCTAAATATTTAACATTTTCTGGTACTTTCCATGTAACTGTTTTAAATTTTGCTCCATTATATTCAACATAATCAACTATGGCTTTTCCTTTTGGAGTGAATGGAATTGCTATTTCAGTTGTAGTTGCAGACATAATCGAAGTAGTTGGTTTGATGATCTGGTGAGTATATTAAATTATATTAAAGTAATGATGGTTGATATTAGAAGTGACTTGGTAACAGATAATAAGTAAATAAGGGATTTTTAATTTTTTTCCTGTTTACTTCAATTTATATTTTATTGTGGAGTAATTCACGTTAAAAGCATATGATATCGAGATACAAGTAGAAATCACAACAACTATCACCATTGAAAAGCAAAATACAATCAAGAGTTATGCGATTAGCTTCAAAGGCTGTAAGAATCTATCAAATTTCAAAGAGTTGAGTTTATCAAAGTTCTATTATTCAGACTTTTTTCTTATTTGTAATTTAGCCGTCAGCCTTTCCATCGTCTAATGGTTAGCACTCCATTTGCAATCCCAAAGGATCATCCTCTTTTGCTTCGAGTAGATGACTGTACAAAGACAAAGCATTTGATTCTGGCTAGGAAAAAGACCGACCCACACTTAACCTAATCTCTTGAAATTGATTGAAAACACTGAAAAAGAATAGGAAACTTTTCGGTTATTTTTGCCAATTGTTCAAAACTTCCGTAATAACTACAAACAGAAGCGCTCTAATTTCTGTATTCCATTCGATGAATCATGAGACATATGAAATCGCCAATGGTGTATTACATGTTGACAATTAAGTTTCATAGTTTTCTAATCCATAATAATAGATCGCGTATTAATTGAATCTCAATTTACAAGAACGGAAAAAAATATAAAATTTCTATTGAAGATTACAATTCCATTAATTACACAACTTTCAAATTCATCTTCCATAAACACAATCATAATCACAACTTAACACTCGATATGTTCCTTCAATTACTATCGTACGCTGGAGCAATAGTTGGATTTTTATTTCTAGTGCTATCAATAGCATCAGGTCTATATTATATATCAGAATTAGTTGAAGAACATACAGAACCAACAAAAAGATTTTTAACAAAATTAATATATTCAATAATTATTATATATATATTATTAATGATATTTGATTCATTTCCAATAAAATTATCAATATTTGCTATTTTTACTTATTATATTTATTTACAAAATTTAAAAAAATTTCCATATGTTGAATTAACAAGTCCCATATTTTTAAGTAGTGTTATTTTAGTTATAATAAATCATTTTTTATGGTTTAATTATTTTCATAATCCAAAAATTCCATCATTAGAAGAAAGATTAAAAACTGATTATAAACCACCAAAAATTCCAAATTTTATTGAAATTTGTTCATTTTTTGGTTTATTAATTTGGTTTGTTCCATTTGCTTTATTTGTAAGTTTAAGTGCTCATGATAATTTATTACCTCATCATAATCAATTAAAATCATCAGATGATGGTAAAAAGAAAAATAATGGATTAGCTAAAGTTGTTGTTGGAAATATACGAGAGTATATATATGCTATTAGTAGAAAATTAGGTTATGAATTAGATCCTCATCATGGATCAATTGTGTATTGAACCACCAATCAATAAAACATTATTAATTGCATTTTATAATTTATTTTATAAATTACTTTTCTATTTCTATTCTACTAATCTAATTTTCTAAAAATTTTTTAACTGGTGCTCCAATTTCTTCTAAACTTAATAAAAATGTATCATGACCATAATTACTTATATCTGTACCTAATTCAAAATATTCAATTTCTCCTGTTTTATTATAAGGATTTTCTAATAATACATCAGCAATTTCTCTTTGTTGCCATACTGGAAATAAAATATCTGATTCAACTCCAATTACTAATACATCTTTATTAGCTAATCTTTCTTGCATTCCTATTTTTAAATCTTCTAATGATTCTTCAACTGATAATTTTGGTTTTGAATTAGATTTTTCTTGATATGGTTCAATAGGTACAACTTCATAATCATCAGAATCATTTAATAATTGACCTTTATATTTTAATTCACTTTTTTGTCTATCTTTTTCAGCTTTTAATCTTGTACTTTTACTTAAATCAAATAAATCCATTGCTTTTGATACATAAAGCCAAGAATTTGCATCATATTCTAAACAAAATTTTTCACCAGCATGATCTAAATAAGTTTCAACTAAAAAATCTGGACATAAAGCTGGTGGTTTACTTTCATCTGCTCTATATCTACCAAATCTATATTCCCATTCTGGTCCTGATCTATAAGTAACTGTTGCAATTTCTCTTGCTAATTTCATTCCAACATGTGGTGGAATTTGATTATAATAAAATCCTCTATTCCAATTTGGATCACTCATTAAAACTTGTCTTTGAGTATGTCTTAATGCTATTGAATATGGATGAGATCTAGCACAACCACTTATACTTATAATTTTTTCAACTTCTTGTGGAAATTCCCATCCATATGCTAAACTTTGCATTCCTCCCATTGATGCACCAACTGATGCCTTAATTTTTTTAACATCAAATTCATCTCTAATTAATTCTCTTTGAGCTCTTACCATATCATTTACTGATAATATAGGAAATCTAGTTGCATATCTTTCATCATTTGCAGGATCAATTGATGATGGACCTGTAGAACCATAACATCCACCTAAAACATTTGTACAAACAACAAAATATTTATCAGTATCTATAAATTTCCCTGATCCAATGAAATTTTCCCACCATCCTGGTTTTGTATTATTTGGTTGTGATTTTGCATGACTTGAAGCAGATAATCCAGTATGAATTAATATTAAATTATCCCTTTTTGAATTTAATTTCCCCCATGTTTCATATGCAATTTCATATTCAGGTAAATATCCACCATAATCTAAAAAAATAGGTTTTTTAGATTTATAAGTTTGGAAACCAGTACGAACAAATCCATAACTTGGTTCAGGTCCAGATTGTAGACTTGAAGAATTTGTTGATGTGGTTGTTGTTGACTCTTGAGTTTTACCTTGTGATAATTGTTTATTTTTTAATTCTAATTTATCTAAACATGGGAAAGTTAATTGAGGATTTGAACCCTTTGGATCTGCTCTAGTTGATAAATGCCGTATTTTAATTGATGCAAAAAATTGTTTTGATAAAAATTTATTAAAATTTACATGATGTAGTAATAATTTGGATTTATACATTTTACTTGAATAATGCTCGTGGTTTAGTTTACGTTTGAGGTGAATATTTGAACGGTACAAAGCGTTGGTTGATTAATTTAATTCATTAGAAGGGGTTTTTAAAATGATTGACAAATATTATAAATTGATTAAAGTTTAAAAAGCAAGTTTCAATAAAACGTGACTTGCCTTATTGGGTAGTTGTTGCGGCTGTTTTGAGAAGCGCAATTTGAGTGTCATTTTTTATTTTTCGGAGTTTCAAGATTCTAAAACATGACATTGACTTGGAATTTATCGTATTTGACATAATAAATTAAGTTATTTATAGAATCATAGCTCTTAAAGTTATATTATTTTTATATTAACACCAACACCTAAATCATAACAAATGCTATGACAACTCCATTATTGAACAGGGTCAAACAAATTGGCTACAAAAACCCTAAACAATTGTGGAATTTAGTTTGTTTGTTATATCCAATTACATATGTTATATTAGTACCAGTATCTTTATATTCAACAAAATATAGTAAACAAATTTCTGAAATTTGGTTTGTTAAATTTTTAGAGAATTATATTGTTAGAAATTATATGATACTATGGTTTTCGATTTTATATTTTATTAATTTATTACAATTTCATAATTTACAAATATCAATATCATTAAAAGATCAATCAACTATTAAAAATTTTAAAATTTATGTAATAAATGTAATATGGTTGATAATTTTATTAGAATGGTTTTTTGGATCTCCAATATTTGAAAGAATAAGTATAGCATTAGGAGCATTTTGTTCAAAAACTGAATTTTATACTGAATATAAATGTTTGAAGGAAAATGGGAAATGGATAAATTTATTTGATTCTTCAAGTCATTATACTATGTTAATTTCAAATAGTTTATTAATTTGGAATTTAATTATACCTTTTATATCTACAAAATTATTAAAATATAAATCAAATGATCTTGAAGAAGCTGCCGGTTTTCAACAAGAAATTAATGATAATGATGATTCATATAATATAAAAAAATATATTGTATATTTATCAATTTTGTTTATTGTATTGTGGTACATCCTGTTTGTTATAACATCATTATTCTTTCATACAATTCTTGAAAAACTAGTTGGTTTAGTGTGTGGAATGACTATACCATTATTAATACAATTTATATAAGTCAAATTATAGATTATAGATTAAATAGAAAAAGTACTTTCAATCTAACATAAAAAAGTAGTAATTGTAAATGTCTATTCTATTAATTATAATTTAAGTAGTAGTTTTATGTCCTTCATGATGTATGAGTTATATACGCTAGTCTATTTGTCATTTAATAAATGTTACATAATATGAACTCGCATAATTAACGCAAATTTTATAACTTTAATTTTTGCAACTTAAATATTTAAAAAACTAAGATATGGAGGGCATTAATATCTCAAATCAAATAAAGGGAAGGCAATAAGCCATTTCATTATTCAAAGTTTCTGTAATTATTACTTTTCGCTTCATAATGTCAATTTCGACACCTTCATCATCAATTTCAACATCATCTTCATCTAAAATGAATTTATTATATTTGAAATTAACAAATGTTCATTGTAATGAATGTGAATTATCCATCAAAAGAATCATATCACATTTTTATAAATTAAATCAAATTGAAAATGATCAAATTGTTGAATCAAATTTAAGAGAATTAGTAACAAATAAAGAAATTTTTTATTATATTAATAAAGATGAAGTTAAATTATTTGGTAATGAATCTATTAATTTTAAAATTGATTTAAAAAAAATCATTAAAAGATTAGAAAATAATGGATTCAAAGTTATAAAATGGGATATTATGGAAAGAGGAGAAATTAAATTATCTTCTGAATTTGATATAAAAGATTTAGAAGCTGATAATCATGGAATTAGTAAAATTCATGATGGATTTTTTGATTTTTGGGGAATTTATCAAAAATTTATTAATAAAAAATCAACAAAGAATCATTTAAAATATTGTAAAGTTTGTCAAAATCAAAAAAGTTCTAATAATAGAAATGAAATAGAATCATCATCAGATCAATCTTCAATTGAAACAAAAGTTGAAATATCACAACAAGAATTTAGAGCTTCATTTTTAATAACTGGAATGACTTGTTCAGCTTGTGTTCATTCAGTTGATGATGCATTAAAATCATTATTTTCAGATTCAAAAAATAAATCAAATGATGAATCAAATTATTCAATTAATTTAATTCAACAATCAATTGTTGCAATTATACCAAATAAACAATTAATCAATCAAATTATAGATAAAGTTAATGATTTGGGTTTTGAATGTAAATTAATTGAAGTTTTACCAGTTCAAAGGTCGATCAATACTAAAATCACTGCATTAATAGGTGGAATGACTTGTGCAGCATGTGCAAATTCAATTGAATCAGCTGTAAAAAATTTACCATTTATATTAGAAAGTGGAATCAACAGTGTTACAAAAAATGCTCAATTTGTATTAGAAGATGATAATCAACATGAAAATATTTCAAAATTAAAAGAAACTGTTGAAGATTGTGGATTTGAATTTGAAATTTTAAAAATTGAAAAAATAAATTTTACAAGTGGTAAATTAAAACCAAGAACTATAAATTTAAAAATTGATGGAATGTTTTGTAATCATTGTCCTGAAATTATAACAAATTATTTATCTAATTTTGGTGATGCTATTATTATAAATGATCCAATTACTTTAAAACATCCATTTGTTAAATTTACTTATATTCCTAATCGTGATATTACAATTAGAAAAATTTTATTTGATTTAAATCATTTAAGAGATGATATAAATGATCAATATAAAATTACTGAAGAACCTGGATCTTTTACTTGTGAATTAGTTAAATCTGTTTCAATTGATGAACATATTAGAAAATTAGCTAAACGTGAATTAATGAATTTAACATTAAGATTAATATTAGCTACTGTTTTTGCAATTCCAACATTTATATTTGGTATAGTTGCAATGTCTTTACTATCGAAAACCCATCCTTTTAGAATTTGGGTAGAAGAACCCATATGGATAGGTAATACATCAAGAGATTCTTGGATTTTATTTATTTTAGCTACTCCAGTTTATTTTTTTGCAGCAGATACATTTCATAGAAAAGCTATAAAGGAAATTAAATCATTATGGTTTCATAAAAATTCATTTAAACAAAGATTATTTAAATTTGGATCAATGAATTTATTAATGAGTTTAGGTACTACTGTTGCTTATTTTGCAAGTATTGCTTTATTAATATTAAGTTCAAAACAACCCAAAAAAACTCATATGGGATTTCATACAACTTATTTTGATTCAGTTGTATTTTTAACATTTTTTTTATTAATTGGTAAATTATTACAAAGTTATTCAAAAACTAAAACAGCAGATGCTATTTCTCAATTAGGTGATTTGAAACAAAATGTTGCAACATTAATTGAACAAAATAATGAATCAGGTAGATTTGAAAATGATCAGGTAGTTGATTTAGAAATGCTTGAAGTTGGTGATTATATTAAAATCTCAACTGGTGAATCACCACCAGTTGATTGTGTTATAGTTGAAGGTAATTCCAATTTTGATGAAAGTGCATTAACTGGTGAATCAACTCCTGTTAAACATATAGAAGGTCATCAAATATTTTCAGGAACTGTTAATATTGGTAATAATTCAATAATTGCAAAAGTAACAAGTTTAGAAAGTGATTCATTATTAAGTCAAATTGTAAATACTGTAAGAGATGGTCAATTAAGAAAAGCTCCAATGGAAAGAACTGCTGATTTAATTACTGGTTATTTTGTTCCTATAATTATTTTTTTAGCAATTATTACTTGGATTATTTGGTTATCTTTAGGATTTTCAGGTTCATTACCTGATTCTTATCTTGATATAGATATTGGTGGTTGGACAGTTTGGTCATTAGAATTTGCTATAGCAGTATTTGTTATTGCATGTCCTTGTGGTATTGGTTTAGCTGCTCCTACTGCATTATTTGTTGGATCTGGATTAGCTGCAAAATATGGTATATTAGCTAAAGGTGGAGGTGTTGCATTTCAAGATGGGGCAAATATAAATATTGTTTGTTTTGATAAAACTGGTACTTTAACAAAAGGTGAAATGTCAGTTACTAATTATTCATTTGTTATTAAAGATCCAATCATAAAACAATTTTCATTACAAATTAGTAGAGATTTAGAAGTTGCTTCTAGTCATCCATTAGCCAAAGCTATTAAACTGTTTGTTGATGAATTGAGTGTTCAATCTAAAATTGAATTATTCGGTAACAAAATCCCACAAGTTGAAACAATTCCTGGACGTGGATTAAGTGGTAAAATAATTTATGAAACAGATGATAATACAAATTGGTCAGAATTAGATCCAATTGAAGCTATATTAGGTAATGAGAAACTAATGATTGAAAAAAATGTAACAATATCAGAACATGATCAAAATCTTTTAACAAAATGGAAATCTGAATGTAAATCAGTAATGTTAGTAGCATTAAAATGTCCAACATATTTTAAAGATTCAAACTATCATTTGATTTTCATGATGGCAGCAAGAGATCAAATTAGACCAGAAACTAAAAAAATTTTAAATTTTTTAAAATCTAAAAAATTTGAAACTTGGATGATAACAGGTGATAATAAATTAACTGCTAATGCAATAGCCGCAGAGATTGGTATTGAAAATGTTGTAAGTGAAGTATTACCAGATGAAAAAGAATCACAAATTAAAAGAATTAGACGATTAAAATTAACTAATAATAAAAAATGTGTTATTGCAATGGTTGGTGATGGAATTAATGATGCACCCGCATTAGCATCAGCTGATGTTGGTATTGCATTAAGTTCAGGTGCAGATTTAGCAGTAACATCAAGTGATTTTATATTATTAAATAAATTACATCCATTACTAAGTTTAATAACATTAATTGATTTATCAAGAAAAGTATTTCGTCGTATAAAATTTAATTTTGGTTGGAGTTTAATTTATAATATGATTGGTTTACCAATAGCTGCTGGTGTTATTTATCCTTATAATAATTCAAGATTAGATCCTGTTTGGGCAAGTGCTGCTATGGCTTTATCTTCAATTAGTGTTGTTTTAAGTTCTTTAGCTTTAAGATTATATAAACCAAAGATTAATGTTAAAGATTTTAAATTAGAGGATGATGAGTTGATAGTTCCAGTGGAAGAGTGAATTGGTATTCTTAGTTTTTAGGTTGGATAAGGTTGTACATTGCTTAACCTATATAAATGTTTTTTGTTTTGTAGTTCCTATTGCTTGAAAATGTTTTTATCAAATTGAACTATCATTACCGTTACATTATCCATAGTTGAATTATCAATAGCTAATTGACATAATTTTTTAGAAGTTTCACTAGTATTTAAACCTTTTGCAAAACATTGACTAACAAATTTACAAGCTTTTGCATCACTTAATACATCCCAAACTCCATCACATGCAATAATTAAAAATTCATCATCTTCATCTATTTTAGTTGATGTTGTAAAAGGTTTACCTAATACTAAATCTTTCATATAAGTATCACCTAAAGATCTAGTTACTGCTAATACTCCATTTACTCTATTTTTTAATATAAGACCTCCAGATTTTTCTATTCTATTTATTTCATTTGAATCTGAAGCTTTATGATCATATGATAATCTATATGGTTTACCTTTTCTACAAAGTATTATTCTTGAATCTCCAACATTTGAAGTATATAACATTCTTTTATGATTTTTTGTGGGTATAAAATCATATTTTTTATTTGAACTTTCTTGTAATGATTTTAAATTTGTTGAATCAATTAAACAATCATCTTCATTTTCACTTTCCCATCTTAATACTGCAACTGCAGCTGTACATCCTGATGTACCCGTACCATTTTTTTCTATTATATCATCAGCTTTTAAAAAACTTTTATATAAATGTTCCTTCATGTCGTATTTACCATTCAATGGTATACTTGAAGTTGATGATGTTGCACTTTCTGCTGATTGTAAAGAATTATTTGACATAGTTGAGTCAATACTTTCTCCATTTGAAGTCATTGATGATTCTGATTCCTTAGGTGAAGGAATATCCGTATTATTAATATCGTCAATTGGTGGTGAGTTTTCTTTACTACTCGTAGTAGTAGTAGATTGATCTTGCATCTTTAAATCTATTTCTTGTTCCAATAATGTATGTAAATTATTTCCACACCATCTTGCACAATCTTTTCCTGCATGACCATCAAATATTGCAAAATAACCCCAATCTACTCTTTCTGCAAAATTAGCAATATATGTATGTACATCTTCCATTTTGGATCTATATGTTGAGTTTTTATTTTCTGCTACTCCTACTTTAAAAGATAATCCTGCAAATGGATCAAAATTTGAAGATTGAGATAAATTCGATGCTGATGTCGTGGTTGAAATGGAATTTTCTTGTGATGTTTGTGAAGATGATGAAGAAGAAGAGGACAGGTTTGAATTCTTCAAGTTATGATTCTTGGGTGGAATATTGTATGAAATATTTGGTTGATCCATGGATGGACTATTCATATTTTCTGGGGCAATGTATCTACTTTCTTGTCGTTTAAATTTCGTGTCATCTATTGTTGATTGCTTATCATCCTTATTAAGTAAGTCCTGAGGTGAGGGACTCAATATTTCATTTTTATTTATTATATCCAGCATGATAATACACTGTTCCTAAAATTAGTAGATAGTGATCGTTATGAATTATTAGTCAATGTTTTTCTTCTGTAAAATAATATGATATTTATGTAGGTATTTATATAGAATAATGTGAATGATGCTTTTAACTCCGAATGTCTCAGATTTTATAAAATTTGTTTCAAATTCAATTCAACTAGATAAAGAGTATAAATTGTATGATAACCTAGCTGTTTGATAAATATTTTGGTATAAGTTCTCGATGTCGCAAAATTAAAGTTTTTGTTACACATATAAGTACAATGTCAAAAACTCGTATTTTAAGTCTTACGGAGTTCCTTTTAATTAAAATTTAATATAAGTCTAGAGCTTTAAATAATTAGCAATCCTGATATTATTCAACACTTTAGTGAATGAGTGTGAAAGCGTGTGACTACTACATACACATATGCCAAAAACCTAATATTGCATGAAGTAAAGATGATTGAAATGTTGAGTTAAACTTAATGCGAACCTAAATTCGGTAAATACGATTGAGAGAATGGATTTACGCATTTCAAGTTTTAGGCAGGCCTTAATTGAAGATTCATCAGTTCCTTCGGTGCTTTAATTTGTTTATGGTATTTCACAATTTTAGTCGTTTAAGTATTTTGTTTGATTGAAAATTATTCTTTGATGATGAGTTAGTTTTTAACAATAATTTATAACCGATATTTAATAACGGGTTAAGTTCTGAGTACAGCTTATTCACTTCGTCTTTTTTATTATATATTTCAAATGCATTATTTTTAATATGTGTGAGAATCTGGGGCTTTGCATAAGTAGTAAGTAGAAGATTAATTATTTCATAATCTTATAGTGTCAAGATTTTTCGGTCTTCAATGATGCCCCCATCCAATCAATTCTTTAACAACGTAGAATTGCCGTTAAATCTCTCTTTTCGAAGCTTTAATTTATAAAAATGATGCATTGCACTATGAATAACTGTTCATAATTACATTGATAATTAAATTTAAAGTGTGATGACGTTTGTCAATCAAAATAAGTAAAATCTTTAGATTATATGGGTATATAGGAATTTAAGTTTTTTATGCGTAAGAAGCGAAACCCGATTTATTTTATAAAAGATCCAGCCGCTTAAAAAAAATTAATTTTGAAACAAATTAATTAAAATTCATATATCCGGAACACAATCTTTTATAAAGCAATAAATGGGTATGGCTTAGTGGTTTATATTGTGTTTTTTACGATTCTTTATTAATTACTTTACACGGAACAGTTTTATAAGCTTCCTCATCCGACTATTTGAAATTACATTAACATCAAACATCAGTATTAAATTCATTTTTGTTTTATTGATTAAAATTAGAATCACATTATTATTATGTAATTATATTTGTACTACTACCAACAAGTCCGTAAATGTTTGTTTCTTTAAATTTAACAATAGTAATCAAATACTTTTATAAGTTGTTATACATAAATCTTCACTTTAGGTTGCGGACCTGAAGTCCATTTAATAAAATCTAATGAAGTACAGAAATATTAAGGCAAGTATTGTATTTACCTCTGCCTTTGCATTCCAATACTAACGCCTTCAAGGGTTTAGTAAAGTTCGCCTTCAAAACTACATATTACTACAATTATATTTATGCATCATAAAAAGAAAGATACTGTTGGAGTTCCTGTTACTTGTTACTGGTGTACCTTTTTTAAATGCAATGTTAGTTGTGAACAATATGATGATTTTTTTTTTATTATCATATCCCTTGTTACTTTTGCTAATTAAATTAATTCAAATATCTAACCTTTAAACATTAAATTTCAAATTTAGTATAAATCTTTAACTATATCTACATTTGATAATAAAAATCAGAATGAATTTGAAAAGAATTATTAATCAAATATTATAACTTTTACTTTAATCTATAGATCTTAACATTGTTATGGTAAATTGTAATAATGTTGGATATAATTCAGATACCGACTTGATTTTAAATATAAGTAATAAATTTACATTCAATAGTGAATCATCCAAAAAGCCTGATTTTGATGATACTAAAAATTCAAATCATAATAGTTCAATATATAAATTACCAAGTAATATACTATTACAAATTTGTTCACATCTACAACAAAATGATTTATTAAATTTAAGTTTATCAAGTAAAATTTGGTCATTCCCAGCTACAAATTCATTATATTCAAAAATAATAGTTCATGAAGATACAAGTGTTGTACAAACCATCAAAAAGGCAATTAATAAAGATCAAGACAATTATGGTTCATTAATATCAATAGCAGATTTTCAAAGATTATTATATTCAATTAATAATAATCCAAGTTTAGGAAGATTGATCAAAAATTTAATATTCAATGTAAGTGAAGAAACAATGAATTTATTAATTTTCACAACCAATTTATCAGTGGGTCCAGATCTTATATCATCAAATAACAATATTCCAAAAATTGATTCAACAGAATCAATGTCACCGGCAGCAACGGAAACGACTGTACCAATTTCACCTGCCTCTCAACATTCTTCCACATCATTATCATCATTACTTTCGTCCCATGGGTATGGAAACAACGATCATTCAATTAAACTTAATAGTTTAATTGCCCCTCATGTTCCAATAAGGTATTTTTTCCAAAATTCAAGTCAATTTCAAATTTCAAATGTCACAATGTTAAGTATATCAATAAGAGATTTATCACTAACAGATCCATTACTTTTAAATTTTCCTCATTTACAAAAATTAAAAATGAATTATGTTGATGATGAACAAGATGCAGTGAGTCTAAATATGTTTGGAATGGCTTTAGACCTTAATAATTCATTATCAAATTTAAGAGAGTTAGAATTTGTTGAACAAACAAGTAATGATAGACTATCTATGTTGAATGTTTTAAATAATTTATCAAGTTCAAATTGTATAAATTTACCAACTTGGGTATATTTTTTCCAATCCTTAAGTTCAGAGAGTTCAAGTAAATTGTTATTATTAGACTCATTAGCTATAGAAGGATATATTGGTAATAAATCTATAGAATGTATTGAACTTTTATCAAAGGCAATAGATTTATCATATTTAGCCAATTTACAATTAAAGATAATAGAAACAACTCATATAAATTCAATTCATAATGATTTTACAAACACATCAAATCAATTTTTAAATTTAATTACTTCAAAAACAACATCATTGGTAAGTTTAGCAATAAATCCAACTTTTGATTGTTTAAATTGTCAAACAAAATCAATTATACAAACTATTCAATTGAATTTAAAAAATCAATTAAAAAATTTATCAATAAAATTTGAATCACCAACTTTAGAAATTTCACAAATTATTAATGATACAATTTGTAAAAATCAACAAAATTTAGAAAGATTATTAGTGAATGATAAATCAACAAATTTATCTGATAGATCATTATTATTTAAATGTATAGATTCAAATCAATCATTATTAAATTTATATGATTATGGGTTAATTTATGAAAATTTAATTATAAATACTTTATTTGATGATGTTTGGTTACAAGATTTTTTAAAATTAGATGAAAATTTTATTATAAATGATCAAATGATATCTTTCATTTCAAAATCAAATCAAAGAGGTTTAAATGAATATCTTTGGTATTATTTACATTTTGCATTTAGTCCAGTTGTTTCAAGTAATTTTAAATTGGCTGGAAATCTACCAAATTTAAAAAATTTAAATGTTTTAGGATTACATTTAATAATTAATAATTCATCATCATCCACTAATAAAAAACAATATAAAAATTTAATTTATAATGATTTAAATTATCAAAGAGTATTAAAAGAAATTTTTTATGTTACTAATGGAAATTATATTTCTTCAGGTTTGACTTTTAAAAAATAAATTAGGATTTTTAAAAAAGATTATTCTGGTTATTGGGGGTTATATAAAATATTTTCAATTCATTTTGTCATTTATATTTTTGTATTACTATACATTTAATATGTCAGGGGTTATAGGTTTATAAATTATTTAGGAGAAATTTCATATAAAGAGCTTTGATTGTGTCGTCGATTTAAATTTACTTATTCTCAGAGATTTCATCTGTTGTAGAATCTTTTAGTCGTAACATCATGATGTTATTTGTAATTCATCGCATATACATTGTTTTCTAAATCTATATCTTATTAGTACTTAATACATCATCATTATTTTTAATCATATATTTCCATTGGTGGGATTCTATCAGTACTATAAAACCAATTATCATTATTCAATTCAACATCTAACCAATTAGTTGGAAAATAAACTAAATGCCCTTGTATTGCAGATAATAATTTTTCTGCTGTAGCTTTATCATATACAACATCAGCATTCATTATTCTTCTACGATTCACATAACCATTTTCCCTAATCTTACGAATTTTAGGTTGTTGATGTTGATAATGAGTATTTGATCGTGATCTTACTTTTTCATTTGAATCAGAAGAATTTCTAGTAGAATCGTATGCATTACCTTTAATTTCATCTTGTTTATTACTTTGATAATTGTCATTGATTTTGTCTTCTTCTATCTTTGCTTCGTCATCCTTAATTTTATCTAGTTTTGAATCAATCTTTTGTTCTGCTGCACCTGCAAACGAACTCATTTTACGACCTAACTTATGTCTAATCTTACTTTCATTTTCTTGCTTTTGTAACTCTTCTTTTGAAGGTGGAACTCTACCTAATAAACCGTACTCACTATCACCCTCATTTTCAAAATGGTGTTGAGCATCATTAGCCAAATGTATATCAGTTTTTTCACCATCTGTGCGATCTTTATATGGATTCAATACAAATCCGTCAGCTTCAGAAATTTGTCCTTTCATAAAATCACTTTGTAAATTTGTATAACGGGTATATTCAGACCATCTATCAACATAATTATCTGGTTGACAATGAAAAACCATTCTATATATAGCTGTATTTCTTTTTGCGTGCTCATTCCAAAGATATTCGTAAAAAAAGGGATCTAATGGATCTTCAAATTTGTAAGGGTCCATAAATTTGGAAACTTTTGCAGCAGGAGTAGTTACGTTTTCGAGAAGCTCTTTTATAGCTGGATCTGATAATGATGTTGTTTTTCTTTTGGTTTCTAAAATACTAATGTTAGAATCTGAAGATATTTCTTGATCTGATAATTGTGCAGTTTGACTTAAAGGTGGTAATCCGGTTTGAGTTCTTTTTTCATTTTCAACTTCTGCAAAATGTTGTTCTCTAGCTGCAACTCTTTGTAAATATGCAATTTTCTTTAATAATAACCACCTTTCTTTATTTCTTTCATCTATAATTTGTTCAGACTCTTCATCCATCTTATTAAACATTTCATAATCATTAGAATTTAAAAAATTCAAAACATCTTCAAGAACTGGCAAGAATGGTTTATTGTCATTTACTTCCATTGTTTTCAAGGCAACATCTTGCAAAAATTCGTCATTCTTGACTCTAGCAGTTGCAGCTAATATACTTTTATATTGATCTAAACCTTTTCCTGCAACGTCATCTTTATGTTCTTGATTACGTTGAACTCTACTATCATAAGAATGTTTTTTCTTGTCACGAACTCCCTTATTTGCTTCGAACGGACCGGTTCTATTATTAAACATTGTTGGAAGTTGCAAAGGTGCAGGTGTATCTACTTCTTCTCTTTCATAATTTATATCAACTATTTCAGCATCTAAACCATTTACTTTAATAAAACTAATATATCTGTCTGTTCCATTATGTTGTTTCAAAACTTCTCTTGAAGCAAGTTCAACCATTGCTGATGTAACCTTATAATTTTCGTTCAGAAATTGATTAGTTGCACAATTTAATCCTTTTGTTGTTTGAGCAAACTTTTTGATATTTGCAAATCTACGTTCTATTACATCAAAAACATCAACACTCACACCAAGATGTTCCCTCATCAACCTCATCCTTAACGTATGAGCAAATCTAGCAGCTTTGAACGGTTTACCATCCATTGTTGTGTCAATTGTTTCAGTATCTCTAATCACTGCGGCCACTTCAGAATCACGAACTCCTCTCATTGATCTTTCATTAATATTTGCACTACCAATAATAACAGCTCTATCATCTGCAATCATACATTTAGCATGGATGTACAATTGTTCAGTTACTAATGATCTTTGAGATCCAATACGACCCCATTTTCTTAATGAAAAAAATTGAATATAGTCATCTGGATCAATTCCTTTTCTTCTTAATTTTGCAAAAATTGATGTATCTCCTATGGAAATTGACATATATTGGCATTGCATTATAACTCTAACAGAAGAACCTTCGGCTTGATCAACTTGAGCTTCAAACCCAGGCATTAATGGGATTACAATGATAGCTTTCCATTTCGTTCCTTCCCTATGAGCTCTAATAATTCTGTCTACCAAAGCATCACCAATTCTATTTTTAATTTCTGTTTTATCTATTTCACATGAAGTAACAAAAAATTGATTTTCAATATAAACAAAATGCTCTGAATTTTCAATCAAACTTAAATATGCATTTTGAATACTTTGTTCATATCTTTGTAGACCTAACGACCAATTTCCAGAAGATCTTAATAATTGCATTTCACAAGTTCCAGAATATCCAGCTATCTTAGCGTCATCTGGTGTGAAATCTGGTGGAGGAATTAATAATGGGGTCAATCTACTAGGACGTTTTTGTCTTATCAAATAATTCCATCTTTGTACAAAATGTCTTGATAAATCTCTAGCTATTGAACCATAAGTAAACATATGTATATCATGCCATGGCATTCTTGGTGTAGTTTGTCTATTATACATAGAATTATACGGTTTTTCCAACTCAAAAAAATCTTTCACTCTAGGATTCGAATAATCTTTTCCAGGAAATATTTGAAATTTAGATAATATATCACCGTTGTATTCTGGATTCTTTTTTAGGTATTCAAAATCTAATTCAGAATCATCCGTTAAGGCATGATCAGCTGTATCATACCTTCCATAACATAAATCTATACCCCCCAAAAATGCATATGTTTGGTCAATTATACAAAGTTTCTCATGATGAGCCCAAAAAAAAGTATTTTGTAAAAGTTGATTAGGTGATCTTATGACATGAATATTTTCTTCATTTAAGGAAAGCAATGAATGTTTCGTGTATAAAGAATCTGTTGCAACCGTTGAACCAACGTTTCGATAAACAATGATGAAAATTTTGACACCTTCGGCTGCTTTTCTTTGTAACAAACGATCTATTCTATATTGTTGATTGCTACTTGCAGGTCTTCTTAAATATAATTCAGGCGATAACCACCAATCATGTATAAAAATTGTTTCTTTAGCCATTTCAATACAATTTGATACTGCCCAAAAATAATCTCTACCATCAACAAACCATTGTGCTGCACAATTCGTTCTAACGGGAGCAAACGAGTCAAATCTATGTTTGACACCCCATTCTGAGGCTTGCTGCATCTTCCTTAGTGATTTCAACCAAGCCAATTGCTCTCTACTTGAACCAGGATTAATAGTTAATTTTCTTTCCCTATTTTCAAGGTAAATCTTATAACCATGAAACAATTGACTGTGTTGGTGTATATGATTTTTAACATCTTCAACAGTAGTAAAATTGGGGTCTACTAAATTTTCCTCTTCGTTATCTTCCTTAAATGGATCATTTTTGGTATGAATTTTGAAATCCGTATCCAACAAGTATACTTCTAAAGGAGTGGTTGAGTTTATATCTGAAACATACATTATGTAACTATCTCTTACAAGCATCCACTTATCTGTTCTTCTATCATAGATCCCCTTCAAATCATCGGCTTTGAAATGGCCAACTCTCCAACCTTGAGAGCTAGCTGAGCTACTCACATGGATTAATCCCTGTTTACCTTGATAACCTCTTTCATAATTTAATAACGCAGAAAGTGGAGATAATTCAAAAAAAATGAATAACAAATTTGATATTGGTTTAAGGGAAACTTCCTCAATAAGTTTTCTTAAATAATCTTCAGCATTCCGTCTATATTCTGCATTTCTGTTTTGACGTAATTCAAGGGTTTCATGTTTGTCATAAGATACCACGGAAGTAATACTTCCAATACGCAGTCGAATTCTCGATATCCTTGATGAATTTGATTGTATAGAACGGTTATCAGTATCAGGAACTGTTAAATTAAGACTTGGCATATTAGATTTCATCTTATTTCTCTTTGACTTATTCAATTTCTTAACAGGTGGAAGTGGAAGTTTTGGAAGTTGAGTTTTGCCGCCTCCAAAATCTGTCTTGAATAATTCATATTTCAATTTTGCATGTAATAATGTTATATCTGCTGCAGTTTTCTGAACTGACCAAACCATTCTTTCAGCTCCAACTCCATATTCTAAATCAATTCTTAAAACTCTGTTTCTCGCATAATCATTCCCAGTGATATCAATGATTTTGAAACCCAATAAGTTTAAGAGTAGTGGAGCTCTAGAAATTCCTCGATCATCCTCTAATAAACAAGATGCCATTAATCCTAAAGAAGGACCTCCAAGTGATAATCCTGAAATAAGCTTTTGAGCTCTAAGTCCCGTCAGTCTATAAGAATTCTCCTCTTCGTCATCAAGACCAATGTTTGATCCATAAGTTGTAGGTCTTTGCTCATGTCTTTTCCTTTCACCAAACAATTTATTTTTGAAACCTTTTTGCTTTTGATCAGCTTTCACGTCTTGACTTGATTTATGAGAGTGGAATTGTGGTTGTTGTGGACCAACATTCAGTTGATCATCATGTAATGTGGATGTAGATTTAGGCATAAAATTTGGAATAAAACTCCCAAAAGTTTGTGACTTTGATAATGGTTTTCTTGTTCTTGGTGAGGCTGGTGTTGATAGATTGTTTGTCGAAAGATTGTTTGATTGTGATTCGTTGTCTGGCTGAGGTTTCAAATGGGTCATATTTGAAGTAATGTCTTGCAGTGGAGGTTGTTGTTGATAGTCATTATTATAGCCATTATTATAGTCATTATTGTCGTAATTATCAACATTATAATTATCTTCGTCTTCATCACTTTCATCTTCTCTACGTTCATTAGTATCTTCATATGGACTAAAAAATGATAACGGATTACCAATTATTTGAGTAGAATCTTCTCTTGGTACGTTTTTACGGTATGCTTTATTTTGATCATGTTTACTATCATTTGAAATGGATCTATATAACTTATCAAAGTCTGTCAGTTCCCTTGGTGGTTTATCATTTTCTAAATTATCATCTTCATGTGGATTCCTGAATATATGATGATGGTGTTGGTGATGGTGTTGTTCTTGTTGTTCTTGTTGTTGGTCTTGTTGTGAATTTGTTCCATTGGCATCAGGCATTACAAGTTTATATATATATGCTTGAGCAATAAATCTTCACACAGTTAATATAATCAACAACTAAAACTAAATTTGATAATGAGTTTTGAGTTGAAAAATTATATAATTTTGTCCAATTTGAAATGATGATAAGTAAGGGAATACTAAAATATTGGTGAAAATATTGAATTTAATTTAAATTATAACAAAATTGGATTTTGAAATTTAAATGAAAAATGTAAACAATATAGAGTCTGAGTATAACAAGAATTATAGTAATACGTATAACAAGAATTATAGTAATACGTAATAGATTGCACAAAACACCAATTGAGAGATATCTTAACGATCATAAGGTTACAAGCTTAGATATAATCAGTAATTTATCACCATAACATCGTGATATAAATAACAATTTGATAACCCATGTGTATCGATGTTGTAAAGAATTTTACATTAACACTACTTTATTCATTTGTTTCAAACTTTGAAATTTACATAAAGTACAATAAAATAAATAATACTTATTCATAATCTTATAAAGAAGTTACATACAAGAACAATCATTAGTTATAAGCTAATACTTATTTTAAATACCATTCCTCCCCATTTTAATCTTCAAGAAAACTTGTATCTAATCTTAATTTATGTCCTAACCATAATGCATTATCAGTATGATCTTTTAAATCGCCTTGACTTGTTCTTGGATGTATCAAAACTGATAATTTCCCATGATTTAATTGAAAGAATGGAACCAATTTAACAAACATTTCTGGAGTTTTAAAATCTAACTCCCACATATTTAAAGTATGAGGACCGATTGGTTTATCCCAAAATTTATAAACCCTTATATCACCTTTACTTATATCATCTGCAAATTCTTTTAATACTTTTTCTCTTAAATTATATGCAAATTCTCTATCTTTTGGATTATTATTATTCCAATATGTATGAATATCGTAAGATTTAATATCTCCATAAAATAAATTATCACTCATTTTGTTAAATTAATTTGAATATTGACTTATGTTTGAATATGACCAAAAAAAACTTGAGTTAAAAGTTATCAGAAAGTAATATATATATGATATGAAGATCTATTATCTATTGCTTTTGATTACATTTGATGATGAGATTAGTTCATGAATCATATTGTGTATTATGATTAATATAACGCAAAATTTCTAAGATTTGTCTAGTATTTAGTAAATGCGGCTAATTACTAATTTGATTACAAACCCTTGATTTTACATATAAAATAACGGAATGAGCTACACTAATAAAGCAATTGAGCATGCCTAACTTATATATGTCACTTGATAGTTGATTATAATCAGTACAAGAGCAGGCATATACAGCATAATTTAAACATCTTTCATTTGTATGTTAACATAATCACTTGGAGTACTTCTCCCATCACTTCCCAATTCAACTTCATTAGTATCTTCATTCAAAATGGCATTCTCTTCCAAAGATTCAGGATTATTATTCATCAACTTATGATATCGTAATCTCTCCTTTTTGGCAATTCCCTTGCGATAATTTTGATAAAGAACTGATAAAATCAAACCCAATAAACTTCCAAGTACATTGCAAACGATGTCGATTGGATCAAATATCCTCTTTTGATTCACAAAATGTTGAATGATTTCCAGGATTATTCCTCCTCCGATTGTACAAATAGTAAAAGTCAAATATCGAATTAATTTCAATGATTTGTATTGGGTATCAAAAATAAAATAAAATTCAATGGTTAAAATGCCAAAAGTTATGAAATGAACTATTTTGTCGTGAATAATTTGAATCAGTGAAAAACCTAGATATCCGGCTACGATAATGGTAATTATAAATGCTTAATTATTAGTTAGTCGAGATCATAAACCGATGCAATTAAGTTTTAGTTACATACCAAAAAGAACTGAATATCTGATCTTGACCATGCTGAAAAAAATGATGTTTCGTCAGTAAATCATGAAAATCAGAGTCTATCGGCTTGTTGAATAAGATAGTAAAGCTGTAGCAGTAGACTAGTTGTTAAAATTGAATAATACGTAATTAGCCTAAGTATTATGCGATAAAAAATAGATCAATCGATCTTTTTTGCAGCTACATGCCAATATTAATGAAAGATGTCTTATAGATCATGCCAGCGACTACCGCTTAATAGATATTTATCAATAGATTATTTAACAAAATCTATACCCCAAGGTCAACCTAAACTCAAAAGCTTAATCCATCAAGTTGATGTAAATTCACATTCAAATGATCACAATCACAAGATACGATCAAAGATAATAACTCCGAATATGCTTAATGACATTTTTCAAGATGAAGGATATGAAACATATAGTCAACGGCAAGTTGCAAAATCTCAACAATTTTTCAATAATTTGGAAGTTAATATAGACTGGACTTTGGCGGAGTTTAATGAAATCCCAGATGTTAAATACGAAATTTTGAAAACTGAGCAGGCAAGTAAGGGTCTAAATTCAAATAAAACGTTTGGGATAAAACCAGAGCTATTAAGAAATCTACCGGAAATTTTAGTCATGGGTCATACAAATGTAGGTAAATCTTCTTTAATTAATAATTTGTTAATCCCTAAAAAGTCGTTGAGTAAAAGTGATCAATTAGCGTATGTATCAGCAAAAGCAGGATTTACAAAAACATTAAATTGCTTTAGAATGTCGAATAAATTAAGACTTATAGATAGTCCCGGTTATGGGAGAAGAGGTATTGAAAAGCAAGGTGATATGATCATGAATTATATTGAGAGACGTCATCGTTTAAAGAAAGTCTTGTTATTGATTGATTCAATTGAAGGTGTTAGACATGAGGACAAGCATATCTTGGATTATCTTGTGGAGCTGGGTGTTTCTTTTGATATAGTGTTTACAAAAATGGATGAAGTTTTGAAAAAGTGTTTTAAAAATAACGTTTTTGGAACTGAAAATTATGACGATAAAGTTAAATCTGGTAATCAACATGTATTAGAGCATTATTATGATTTGATAGAAGATATAGGTGATTCGACAACGTCTCCAAGATATTTTTTCAATAATGCTCAAGTAAACAAATTCATCAATGAATTTCAAGGTTCAAAAGCAATCAGATGTAATATTTTAGATAGTTGCAATTTACTTTAAATTTTGAGTTGTTCTGAAACACTAATATACATTTATTAATAATGATCATAAAAGAAATAAACACTTTTCATTAACGACCACCTCTACCACCTCTAAATCCTCCTCTACTTGGTTTTGATATTCCACCACCTCTTCCGAATCCTCCACGACCGCCACCACGACCTCCTGAAAAGCCACCTCCACGACTTCCACCTCTACCTCCGCCTCTGGCTCCAAATCCACCACGACTGCCACCTCTTCCTCCTCTTCCTCCTCTTGCACTAGCACCTCCTGCTCCAGCTTTCTTTTTAGGTTTTGGTCCAAGTGATGGAGGTTTAGGCAAAAATCTTTCTAATGGTAACAATTTGTCTGGTCCTATGAAAAATTTATCTCCATCTTTGAATGATTCTGCTTTTACACCTTCACTAGGTTTTATAGTAAAAAATACTTCATTTAAAGGTCCCAATATTTCATCAACTTTACCAACTTGTGTTTTATTTTCTAAATATATTGGTGCATTGAAATATGGTATTTTAACATTTATAGAACGACACACTATATCTCCTTCACATGCTTGCATAAATGATCCCATTTCTAACACCGTATCTGGTGGTCCTTGTTGAAAATTATTTGGTCTTCCGCCAAATGATCCTCCACGTCCACCTCTAAATCCTCCTCTTCCTCTATTCATTTGGTTTTATTGTGAAATATATGAATTGATAATGAAGGTAAATGTTGAACTAATTTGGTTCAGTTCTAGGATGATATACTTGTTCAATCTGGGTTAATCGACCTACTTATTCATTAAGCTTCTCATCTTCTAAAAAAAATTCGTTTGGAAAATCAGTTTGAAGAGATTATGTAATACGAGCTGAGTATATTATGTAATAATGACCTTTAATCAAATGTCGTGCATTTTGTTCTCTCGAAACTGAACCAATATTGAATTCAATTTCATTCAAAGAGATAATAATAATAATCCAACTTTATAGAACCATTAATATAATCAATTGATTTCATCAATTTGAGTCAAAGCAAACATTCAATATAGATACTGGAACAACATCTCATTAATAGATTGATATCTACCTACTAAAATGAGTTCTTCACAACGTATGTTTCGATTGCCGCTACTTCCTTCAAATGATCAATTACTAACTAGTCAAATCTAGCCACACCCAGTTTCAAAGTAGGTCTCACTCCTGATGAAAAAGCTTTATACACTCAATTGTTTAAATCTTTGGATACTGAAAATACTGGTATAATCACTGGAGAAAAAGCAAGATCAACTTTTGAAAAATCTGGTTTACCTCCGGCTATATTAGGAGAGATATGGCAATTAGCTGATCAAAGTAATTTAGGATTTTTAAATCAATATAGTTTTTGCTATGCTATGAGATTGATTGGGTATACTCAATCAGGTCAACATCCTGTTCAAGGATTAGCTGATACTCCTGGCCCATTACCCAAATTTGCAAATATACAACAACCTCAACGTTTACTGTCACAATCTACTAATTCTTCATATTTATCAAGTCAACCAAATAATTCAATTCCTCAACTGGCTACTCCACAAGTTTCTTTGAAAAATATTAGTCAAGCTGATTATCAAAAGTTTTCACAATTGTTTGTTAAAACTGTTGGATCATATCAAGGTGAATTGGGCGGTGCACAAGCTAGAGATATATTTATGAAAGCTAGATTACCAACTTCAGTGTTGGGACAAATTTGGAGTTTGGTTGATAGAAATAATACAGGTAATTTGAATGTCGGTGCATTTGTCATTGCAATGCACTTAATTCAAGGCTTATTGAGTGGTCAAATTAAGCAATTACCTCCATTTTTACCAGAATCAATTTGGCAATCTGTAGAAAGTCAGTCACAATCACAACCACAACCACAATCTCGTTCATCACACCCATCACAAACTTATCAGCAACCTTCATCTCGTCAAAGCTCAGTAAGCTCACAACAAACAGCTATAAGACATCCAACAAGGGACGTATCAAATAATGAAGTATCCTCAAATGAATGGATTGCCACTCCTACAATGAAAGCTCAATACGATTCCATATTCGATAGTCTTGATAAAGAACATAAAGGACAATTAAATCCAGATCAAGTGGCTTCATTTTTAATGACTTCTAAATTAGACCAACAAGATTTGGCATCTATTTGGGACTTGGCGGATATTCAAAATACTGGTCTTTTTACTAAGTTAGAATTTGGAATTGCTTTGTTTTTGGTCAATAGAAAAGTCTCTGGACAGAGTTTACCTAATGTGATTCCTGACAGTTTGATCAATTCTTTGAAAACGTTCAACCAACCTTCACCACAACAGCAACAACAACAACAACAACAACAACAGCAACAAGCTAAACCCAGTGAGACAAAATCAGCTCCTCCATACAAATCAAAATCTTCGATTGATGACTTAGCTGATATATTTGGAAGTACATCTCCACAACCACCTGTTCCTTCGAAACAACATCAATTACAACAAAGATCATCCAGCAGCGACTTGACTCATGGGGATTTACCAAAAGTTCGTTCAACTTTAACTGGATCTTTTAAACCTACATCTACATTTGGTCAATCATTAATGCAACAACAATCTCCATTACCATCTTCATCACCAGCTATACCTGAAAGTAAAGAAGAAAGTTTATTAGGTGAGGATGTTCACGGACGAAAAGATTCTCAGACAACAGGTAATGAATCAGCCCCTGTGCCCAACATTCCTTCAGATTCTACTGGACAAAAGCAAATCAACTATGATGCGTTAAGATCAGTTCCACCACCACCAGCTAAAAAACAAACTGCCAGTCAAGAACCAAGAGCACCTGAGACTCATCAACAACCTCAGAATAATAATGATTTATTAGCTGATCCTAAACATTCCGCTCAATTATCTCAAGCTACATTGGATTTAGCAAATGTATCAAACCAAATAAATTCACTTAGAACGCAAACAACAAATCTTGATGAAAAGAAAACTAAAGTTGAAGAAGAACTTAAGAAAATACTCAACGCAAAAGCAGATTTTGAGAATAAATTAAAATTTTTAAGAACTTCATATGAAAATGAAGTCAAACAAGTAAAACAGGTTGAAGAAAGCTTATCTGTAGCTAAAGAAGAAACTGAGGCACTTAGGTCTGAAGCTTCAATTTCTGAAGCCAAACTTAATTCATTATCATCCCAATTACACAATAAACAAGTTGCTGTTGAAGAGTTACAAAAAGAAAACAATACTTTAAAGGAGAAATTAGGTGCTTTGAATGCTGAGACAGTTGAACTTGAAAAACAATTGGAAAATAAAAATTCTGACACTCAGGAACTTCAAAATAAACTTTCAGTGAAAAAATCTCAAGCTCAAGTTGTAATTGTTAAGAATGAAGATTTAAAATCCAAGATAGCTGAAATTGAGGCATTACATAAGCAATTGCAACAAGAAATTGATAGAGCTGAAAAGGAAAGATTGGAACAAGAAAATCATCAAAAAGAATTACAAAATAAACAAGTTGAATTAGAGAACAATAAACCTTCAAAAGCAAGTTCTAATTTTTCTGCATCTGGTATAGCCCTTGGTGCTGGAGCTGCTGTTGGTGCGGCAATTGGTGGTGTTGCTAATGCTGTTTCACATACATTAGGCGGATCAGAAGAACATGAGCATGAAACGCAATCAATATCCACCCTCGAACAACAAAACACAAATAATAAAAAAGATGTTGATGAATTGACTGAAGGAGTTAAAAACGTATCTACTAGTAACGAACCAATTGATAATGCTACAAATGCAACTGCTTCCTCCACTACCACCGATCATCCCAGTGAAACTGATACACCAATCACGTCACCAAGTAATTCAGAATTTCAATTTCCACAAGGTAATAATGCTGGTATAGCTGGTGGTATGGTTGGAATGCCAGGTGTTTTAGTTGGAGTTCAAAGAACTGAGTCATTAACTTCTAGTGTTCAAAATAATGCTGCATTATCTGTTAGAGATGATAATATTGATGTTTCAGATAGAGATACTATAGATCAAGCTCCAGAAGAAAGTCGTGAAAGTGATAAAGGATCATCATCTTTTGAAATGGTTAATTCAGAGGAAGCAAGATCTCCAGACAATGTTGAATTTCCACCCATAAGAGAACTTGAATATCAAGAAAGTGATTCCGAGGATGAGGATTCACAAAGATTTGATGATGCCAAAGATAATTTTAAATCACCTCAACAAGATACAACCGGTACAACTATAAAAGTTTCGGATGATGCTTTCAATGACCTTGTGCCAGCCACAGCTGAGACAAATGATAAAGATGACTTTTTCGATGAAAATTTCAATGATTTAGAGGTTGCTGCTCAAGATAATAATATAGAGGATGAATTTGATGATAAAAATTATGAATTGGGAGAAGAATTTACGAATTCTAATGCACCAAACTTTGAAGAAAAATCGAGAACTTTTGAAGGAGATTCTGGTGAGAATGATGAATGGGAGCAATTGTTTAGTGGATTTGGTAATGCTCAACCAATAGAACCAGAAATCTCACATGAAAAATTGACAGAAAATAAAAATTCTAATTCTGATCAAAAATTAGACAATTATGCAATTCAGGAATTAATTGGGATGGGATTTGATGAAAAAACTGCTATTGAAGCATTAAACAATCAAAATGGTGATTTAGAAGCTGCTACAAATTACTTATTGGACAATGCTTAGCCTAAAATTTATTAGTGTAGTAATATGTAGAAATTTAATCCTAGTTAATCAATTTTATTTTTTTTCAAAAATGTGGCTCGTTTTTATCGGAAGTTATACCAAAACGAGAAGATTACTCCAGATTACAAAATTGATCTCACGAAGGACCAATGAAACGATTGACTCAGGAAACGTATTTCCTCTAATAATTTTAGAGATAAGTGAATCATTCATCGGGACAAAATCGGTTGATGCAAGTAGGATATTAAAAATAGTTTGGATAATGGTTGATATAATTTAAATTCAAGTTCTGAGCCTTTGTTATGTACCACGGAAAGCTTCAAACCCGAGCCGAAATTTTGGGGCTACCAAAATTCTTATCTATTAAATTTGTATTGTTATTATGGCGTAAGATAATTAAGTTGTGGATTAGTAAGAATCAGCAGTTGTCATGTCAAAATCGGATGAGCTCGTGCTATTATAAATTGGAATCAATTTCCGATTTCAAATAGAACCCTTACATCTATTTCAAATTTTAAACTAAACTTTCAAATAATCATTCACAATGGCTCAAAGATTTGGTAATTTCGATATTCATTATAATAAAGATGTTGATGAAGTAGATGAAGATGGTGTTTTAATCATTAGTGAGAAGAATAGAAAACAAGCTAAATATCCTGACTTTTTACCAACATGGGATCCAAGACAAAAGTATCCTCCATTGAAATTTGAAAAACATATTGATCCTGCAACTAGAGCTGATCCAAATTTCCCAAACTTATTACCAAAAGATGGTTCTCAAACTGTTAAAAGAATCACACCTAAATTTGGCACAGAAATTGATGGTATTCAAATATCACAATTAAATGATGCTGGTAAAGATGAATTAGCCTTGTTATTAGCTCAAAGAAAAGTTTTGGTATTTAATGATCAAGATTTTGCAAGTAAAGGTCCAGGATTTGCAGTTAATTTTGGTAAATATTTTGGAAATTTACATATTCATCCAAGTAGTGGTTCACCAAAGGGATATCCTGAATTACATATCACCTATAGAAGACCAGAAAAGGGACAAGTCAATGATATATTTTTAGATCGTACTACACAAACAAGCTTTCATTCTGATGTTACATATGAAATTACACCTAGTAAATTTACTGTTTTCCAAGTTTTAGAAAGTGGTGATGGTGGAGATACTGTGTTTGCAGATACAGCCGAAGCTTATAGAAGATTATCCCCAGCTATGCAAAAAAGATTAGAAGGTTTACATGTTTTACACACTAGTCAAGATCAAGCTGCTAACGCTACTTATAACGGAGGAGTTGAAAGAAGAAAAGCTGTTTCCAATATTCATCCTTTAATTAGATTGGATCCTGTTACTAAAGAGAAATCAATCTATGTGAATAGAGCATTTGGTAGAAGAATCGTTGAATTGAAGAAAGAAGAAAGTGATTACTTATTGGATTTCTTGTACAACTTAATTGAAAGAAGTCATGATTTACAATTAAGACTTAACTGGGAAAGAGGATCTAGGAATAAGCTAATTTTTTTCCAAAACAACAGTGTTTCACATTCAGCAAATTTTGACACTGATGACGGTGTTGTGAGGCACGCTTTCCGTATTAGCTGCTTGGGTGAGAGGCCTATTGCTGATCTAGAGGACTTGAACAAAGAAGAATATACTCCTGGTGATTTAGAACAAGCTTTGAATCATATTAAACCAATTTAAAGAAAATTCAGCCTGGTGCTAAATTCAGATTTAGATATAGCTTAGTAATATACATAGTGAATAAAAGTTTATGGAAATTTAATATCTTAGTCTTTAAATTGAATCTAACTTTCCATCGCAGTCTTGAACTTATCTTCGTTTGAAGTTTCAAGTTAGTTTCCTTATATGCAGGAAGAAAATCCGGATAAATAAAATAATTTTGACAATAGCATTCTGCATTGAACTGACAATGCATACCGATACTTAGTACTACAATATAAAGTCTTAGAATACATCTTGATTAAGGAAGGCAAGATAGATTTACCTTAATAGGAAATAAATAAGTATAAAGCTTAGAAAAAAATTTTAAATTTAGATTATAATCAATAATCTAAACAAATTGAAATTATGAACTTGATTAATTGATGTGAGAACTAAACAATTTCATCAACGACGGAATATTGATTAGCTAATAAATATCGGATTAGATTGATTTGAAAATGAAAAATTAAATGGACTATTTTGATTTAGGCTAATTCATTTTCAAATGGTAAGATGAAACGAGCATCATAAATTCATTTATAGTACTTTTTGATCTAACAATTAAACCATATTTACTTTTGGGATCAATATCATCAAAATATATTCACCAAACTTTTTCTTTGAATACTTCTTTTTTTATTTCCTCTAATTAATTTTTGGGAAGAATGTTACCATATTTCTCTTATCTGAATGGAATTTTGAAATTAAAACCTTGTATCAAGTTGATACACTAAATATTGGTTTTCATTCTGATTTGATGTGAATTTTTTCTTATGCATCTGCATTGATATGGGCTTTTCTTTCCTTTATAACCTTTAATTACATCCTTTTCTCCTTTTCTCAAACTTTTATAGTACACCCTGCATGCATGTTAATTCTTTCAACAGAATGAATCATGAATAAATCAGTAGTGTAAATCAAACACTATGTTCATCAGCATGGTGCTGTATGCTATCACTCATTTCTTTCAAGTAAGAAATCATTGAAAAACATTCATCTTAAACATCCAACTTTGAGTTTTAATTAAATTGATATACGATCCAATTAGAGACTAAAATCGTAGGATCTGGAGGTTTCTTATTACCTGACGAATCCAAATATAATATATTGAGTAAATTAATTTGAGATTTATAAGCAGTCTCTTGATGATAATTCAATTCATTCAATAATCTCATCTAATCCATACTTATAAAATCACCCCAATAAAGTGATCCCCTCATTCTTTTTATCCATGACTTAAAATTTATCCAATAATTGGTTGTAAATCTTCATCATCAACAGAATCTAATCTAAACAAAAGAATTTGGAATAAAGCATCGGCCGATGTATAAATTTTCAATTTATCCATTACCTTCATATATGGATTATTCTTATGATAGATTATACAAGAGGATACTTTGGAACAAGCTTCAAGTCGTATCAAACCTATATAGGAAGAAGTTAGATTTTTAAGTGCAAATATATAAGAACTCTGAAGCTGGTTTTTTGTACATATCTGCAAAAAATAAAGTATGAAAGTAATGAACTATTGACTCTATTGTACAGTTTGCAACAGAAAATAGTAAATGAGTATCTAATTCATTCAATTTCAATAAACAGATTTGCAATATTTTTAAATGTCATGAAACTGTCATTGTCGTGCAATGTGATTCTTCACATGACATATATTTTGTGTCAAGTATCAAGTCGCGTCCTTATTCTTTTTCGAGTTTACATACCATTTAAAGTTAAGTTACATAATAAAAAAATATCCCAAATTGTATAATAAACAGCGAAATTCAAATAATAATTACCTTTCAAAAATATATTACAACTAAAACATAAATAATCATTTAAAAAAAATTTTTAATTTCTTTCTTTATGAATCATTTATTCAACTTTATAATAATATATCATGGATTTGAATTATAGATCTTATCAACAAGTTCTTAATATTGCTGTTAAACCAACTACAACTTCAACTTCAAATGTTTTAAATATTAAAAAATTAAATTCAACAAAAAAAATCACAAAGCCAAAAATAAAGAAAGATGAAAGTCAGATAAAAAGAAGAACTAAAACTGGTTGTTTTACATGTCGAAAAAGAAAGAAGAAATGTGATGAAGATAAAGTAAATGGTAAATGTCAAGCTTGTACTAGAAATTTCCTTCAATGTTGTTGGCCAGAACCAACACCTACTAAAGAAGGACCTAAAGAGTTGAGTGCAGAAACAAGGAAGTGTTCGGATAATGTATCAACTGTAAGATCAACTAAATGTGATATAAACTCATTATTGGCATCTCCAATCACTACAATAACACCTCCAGTTATAAAGAAACAAGAATTACCATCAACCAAACAACAAGAATCACATGAAAAACAAAAAATATCAGAAAAACAAAATCCATATCCAAGTCCTATTCAATCACCTGTTTCTTTATACAGTCATCCTAATAGTCCTAATAATGAAATTAGTTATATAAGTTTACCTCCGTTATATAATTTCAACTATAAATTACATGCTAAAGATAGTAATGTAAGAGGATCAAAAAATGAAAATGATGATAACACCAAGATTCAGAGTAAATCTAATGAACAAACCATTCCACAACCAAACAAAGTTGTTTCAGAAGAAAGTCGAACAAGATTCATCATAACAAGTTTTAATTCTCGAAAGGACTTGTGTGAAATTAATTGAATCGTTTATATTACAGGTTAGATTTTTTTTTTTTTCACTCGTTTAATTACTAAACGCGGCAAATTTTATTTTTCATGGGTAATTTTTTTCAACACAGTTCTTAATCAATAATTTTTCATACTCTTTATAGGGATTTATTTTAGTATAGTATATATCAGGTTAAATAAAATATTCACAAGGGTTAATAGATGAGATGTTGTAGTTCGAATATTCTTTGACTACCGTTACTTCCATAAACTTGCTCAAGTAAATTGCCGTTCTTTTTTAATTTTTTCTTTCAAATACTATTTCGAGCCATTTGAGTAAGCGCCACTTTTTACTCAACATACATAGAATAATAAAACAAAAAAGATCCACAATGTACTTTAAATGTCAAGTGAGATCGAAGAGAAATCTTAAAATTTCTTTTTTTTCGAAATGTAGTGGAGCATTATGTATGTAGATCAAATTGATAAATCGAATATTTAATGTTAGGGATTATATCAATTATAACAATTGTATGATCCAACATGAATATGTTGAACTATATTGTCGACTTACAGAGGTGAAATTATTTTCCACCCGTGTTGGATACTGTTACTTTGTAGCCCTTTGAACTGGCAAAAGCTGGGGAGGTCTTCCTCTCATTGTAACTCAGTGAACATGGACGATATTTTCTTGTTTCATGACACAACTTCTCAACAATTAAAACCTTATAAAATGCTTTGGATGATATTTTGGCCCCATGTGAATATCTATTTCATTCTTGGAAGTTGTACCTCCCAAATAAATTTTTCCATAACATTGCTATGTATTAAATTGAAATCTTAATCAATTTTCGTGCCAAATAATTAAATTCTCAGAAAAAACTAAAACTAGAACTTTATTTTGATGAAGTACCGATCCTGACTGCTTTGATTCAAACTAATGGATTCAAAAATATATAAATTTTTAATAGTTGTTGAAATTATCATTAGTGATGATACAATAATTTGTTCAGTTTATATAACTGGATATTGTGAATACTTAGGCTTCAGCAAATTCTGCTAAAATCACAAATCAAATTAATGCTTTGATCAAAGCTAATTTATTCTCACACGTATACGTCCAAATATATACATATATAAGAAACAAGAGTTAATGGATGTAGGATATTGCACTATTCATGCTTTTGTATGGTTGCAAAATCATTTGAACTTTTGTGTCATGTTACACGACAAAATAAAATTTAAAAAAATTTCAACTTCAATAATCGATTCATATGATATGAGATAATCATTACCTTAGCTAACAATCTAATCACAACAACACATCATGCCTGTAAAAGCTATAGCGACTAAATCAATATCGAGGAATGGAGTTGGAGCATTTATAAATCCATGTCATAAACTTACACTACAATATTGTAATTGGGGAGGATCATCACAAGGTTTAAGAACTATATTAACAAATGGAACAATAAATAAAATAGCAGAATCAAAACCACAAACAACGTTTGAAATTTTAAAAAGACTGGGTCATCCAAAATTAATATTTCATTATAATAATTCTAAAATTCAAGAAATTAATATAAAAAACTTAAAAACTAATGAAATTATAAATAAAATTAATGAATATTTACAAAGATCTGGAAATGATTTATTTAAATGTAATCATAAAGTTATATCTGAAAATCAATCTGTTAGAGGTATATGGTCACCATTACATGCACCAAAAGGTTATAGATATACCATTTAATTATAATAAAACTTGGATAGACTGTAAATAGGAAATGTTGTTCTTACAACAAAATTTTTAATGAACAAAATTAATGGATTGACTAGACTATGATCCCTCGACGAGCTCGGGATGATAAACCCATACCTCTAGACTTCCATTGAACGACAATCCCCAACAAATAAGCATTTGGAGACGGAACAGCCAAGGAAGAAGACGTATGAAGCATACATGGCTGTAATCAAGAACTTTGGCTTTTTGAACATATATTCAAGATAGTTTTTCTCCCCTCCGTTACGTGGTAAAGCAACTCCTAACTCACAATAAACCAATAAACCTGTAAAGGCGATCAAACTACCACACAATTGCAAGATGAGAGCTGTTCCAACACTGTTTGAAAGGGACAAGATAACGGATAAAGTGGAGATAAGGCTTCTTGTTCATGATTCTTCAAGCTTCAGTGAATTTCAAAGCTAGTAACTCACATGCCAGAATGATTAAATGCCCCACTGATTTCCAGCTGGTAGTTAACTGAACTTTCGAAGAATATCTTTTATTAAGAAACTAGATTTCTTCATTGCCAATATTATTTTAGCCCAAATGACAACTTTCAATTTTGTGTAACAACCGACTGGTTACGTTAAAAAAAACTTACTTTTCTAAACTACAAAAGTTATTACAAGAATGAGCTAATAACTTCTGCGATAAGCTTCTCAGAGTAAAAATGTTGAAAAGAGTACGCTCCTCTACACATGCTTGTCTCGTTTTTGAATTTTATATTCACTAAACCCATTGAATTAAAAACTTAACTAATATACAAGAGAATTAAAATAAAGTGACATGTTAATACTTTTACGAATTTACCTTTTGTGATTGAAGATGATAATGCTATGAGAAACATTTAATGAACAATTTCTCCACCATCTTGAATCTCAGAAGTAACATCAGCATCAATTGAATCTTTTGACACTTTATAAATTTTATTTCTCCAAAATCCATCATCACCAAGGATTTCTTTCGCTATCAATTTATAACCACCAAAGTATGGTAAAATTTTAACCCAAACAAGCCAATATGCAAATCCAATTCCAAAAACACCCCAAGTCACAACAGCATGAATCCAATATGGCATATCATTATATACTTTTTGACCACCTTGAGGTGGAATATATGGTGCAACAATTAAATATAATGAAGCAAGGAAAAAAAAGATGATTACTGGAACACTAGCTTTAATTGGGGGATTCCATTCTGCTTGACCTTTATATCTTTTATAATAAATGAAAAGTAGGCCACCAGCCACTGCAGTATTGACAACATTTAATGGATATGAAATTAAATTTAATATAAAATTATAAGCATCACCTGGTGGAGGAGCTAACATTGTAACAATACAAACAATCCAATGCTGGAACAAACCAACAAATGGAGTACCGAATGGTTTAGAAGTTGCAAAAAATCTTGAAAATGGTAAAGCACCTTCACGACCCAATTGTTGAATAATTCTACCTTGTGAAAAAATAACTGACATAACATTTGCCCAAGCTGATAATGCAACAAAAACTGAAGCAGCCTTTTCAGCTGTATCTCCAAAAGCATATTTGAAAAATGAAGCCGCAACAATTCTACCTGAACTAGCAATTTCTTCTTTTGGTACAACTGCAAAATATGCAATATAAACAAACATATAAATAATGGCTAAACCAATGAAAGCTGTAGGAGCAGCTACTCTCAATACTTTGTGTGGATTTTTTATTTCACCTAAAGCATAATTAGCATTTGAGTAACCAACATATGACCAAATAACATTATATAATGCATTGACAACTCCAAATCCTGTTGGTGCTGGACCACTAAATGCATTATGAAAATTACCAGTTGGCTGAAAGTTATTTGTTTTAATTCCCCCACCTAATGCAACCCAACCTGTTACTGAAATAAATAAAACTATTGCAATCTTAAATACCCCTAAAGCGTTAGCTAAAAATAAACCGGCTTTAACATTTATTGCATTTATCAAAAAAGCAAAAGTAATTATAGCAACACCAATACCTCTAGAATTCCATTGACCTGGTTCAACGCCAGCTGCGTTAAGGAGGTACTCAGCCACCACAAGTGAATTGCCAGCAGCCCAGCCAAGGAAGAAGACGTATGAAGCATACATGGCTGTAATCAAGAACTTTGGCTTTTTGAACATGTATTCAAGATAATTTTTTTCACCTCCGTTACGTGGTAGCGCAACTCCTAATTCACAATAAACCAATAATCCTGTTAGGGCGATCAAACTTCCACACAATTGCAAGATGAGAGCTGTTCCAACACTGTTTGAAAGGGACAAGATAACGGATAATGTGCTAAAGATTCCAGCTCCCAACATTCTATTGAGCATCAAGAACGAGGCAGAGACTATTCCTATTTCTTTAACATTATGGTCGGTTTGTATAACTGCAATTTCCTTTTCAGAATTAGAACTTAGTTGACTCTGGTTCTCGAAATTATCCTCTGGGACCTTCTCTGAGTTTGTTGAGCTCAGAAACTTATAGATATCTGAGAATCCCATTATAATAAGTTAAGCTATTGATAGATTTGTAGTTGATGGACGTGTTTTAGATACTTCGTGTTGATTTTTGACTTAAAAAAAATATGAAACTCAAAATTTTGTGTAACAACTCAATTAAGGGGTAGTGAAATGATATTTGATTTAGTAATTGAAATGTGAGTGATTGAAGTTAATGAAATGTTGTATGAAAATGAAAATTGGAATAATTGAGATTGTATTTATATATCAAATGAACTTGGTTGTAATTGAGAAAAAATGCGATGTAAATAATAAAAAAATTTTGAAACTAATTTCTTTTGTTTTAAATGTAACTTTTCTTAAATTTGTTACCTTGTTAAAAATTAAATCAAATTTAAATTGTGGCAGAAAAAATAAAAAAAAATAAAAAGAAAACGGTTACAGTTTAAAAGTTTAAATTTAGTAGGAGCATCGTAACACAAAAACATGGTGTTAAGAAAATAAAACGGCATTTCAAGAAATCGCCTTAATTACTACAACAGAAAAACATTTTCTCGTCCTATTTACCACAATAATTTATGCAAAGCAATTCAAGAGCCACCGTATAACAAAAATAAAATATTTAATTTTGAATAACGTTGTACTTTGCCATAGATTTATGGTCACAAGACTCTTGTTGAATGAATTGAAATATTGAAAATTGTTCATAAAGTTTGACAGATAGCTTCGGAAAAAATATAAGTAGTAACGAGAAGAGATAACCATCGGAAAATCTTTATTCGTACCTTTTATTTAATTCTCAATGGAGTAGAACGAGAGTGATTTGTTTAATATATAAATCTATAATTAGGCTCTTACTAACCGCTTTTCCTAATACAGACAAAAAATCTAAAACTGTGGTCACATGTTGTTACAAAATTTTTGGCATTTTAATAATTTTTTTTCTCCAGTCTAATTTTGTATTTAAATTGATTCTCTTATACTCTAGTTTTTAAAGGACAATATTTCAACTAATCGATCAGCATAACTTCATAAGTAAAGCTTAATGATGAAAAATTTTCTTCTCTTAAAATATTTGAGATCTGCGTCTCTCTCATACTCTTCTACGGATCATGCATTTAATTGCAAAACTGTGGAGGCCATAGGGTTCAATCAGGGCAATAATTGTTTTTTATTCACGGAGATATATATACGAAGGTAAATGTAGCGATGAGTTAGTTTCGTTGTCCGTATTGTTTGTCAATATGAATTCGATCTGGTCCGTACTTTTTTTAGATCTGAGATCTAGATTCGAGATCTGAGATCTGATGATTTTAGGCAAATAGAATTTTTCAAATCGTATAGTGTTGCAGAACTATTGGAATTCTGAATTTTATTTTTCAATATTTCAGGAATTACGTACTCCAGATTTAATTCTCTAAACTCCATGAACATATCCCACTGCCAAGAGAAAGTCTTACGGAGTATTTCTTATCAGCCAACCATTCTAGAGCATAGTCATTGTGGCTACTTGTACCAAGCAAATTACTTCAATTTTGATAACTGATTTTTATCTTGATGAAATAAAAGAGGAGTACGATGTATTTAGACTTAAACAACGTAAGTCAAAAGTGGAATCCTACTAGAGGTGCAACAAGATTTAGTAAAGTCTAGAACTAAACGAAATATTTGACGAAGAGCAACTTTTATTTTACGAGCGTGTCTCGAAAATCGTTATGCGACACTGATTGAGTGTTGTCATTTTTTTTTTTTTTTATAGTTTCGACATATATTTAATTAGTGTATATACTTACAAATGATGTCATACTACAACAACATATTTAGCCGACACATATATCATCAAGAGTTACAAATGAACTTAAAAGTAATAATATACATTGAAATCGTAAACTATATAAACGTACCGGTGTAAGAATCAAAAAAAGCAAAATTCGAAACCTAAAAGTAGATGGAACCAATGGTATAATGGAAATCTGAAATTTCAAGGAGTATAAGCAGGTGGAGGATCAAAAGTTTCACTATCTCTAACCATTGATCGAACAGGTGGTTGACTTGCAGAAGGTTGAGATCTTCTACTATGGCTAGAACCTTGTCTATTGTAATTTGTATGATTATTTTGTTGATGTGATGAAGATTTATTACTTTTATTATGAATTGGTTGATGAGGTGGTTGTGGTGATGACTGTTGATAATTTGCTCTAAATTGTTGTTGAGGACGAGGTCTTCTATATTGATTATTATTTTGATTTACTCTTCCTTTTGCATATTGAGATTGTGGTGGTGGTCCATGTGATTGTGAATTAAATGAAGCAGGATGACCTGGACGTGGATTATCTCGTCTATAACCATTTGTATGTTGTTGTTGTTGTAATCTATTATAAGTTTCAATTGAGTGTATTCTTGCTTTTTTCTTTTTCTTACGTTCTTGATGAGCTATTGCACCTATTGCTATTGCAGAACCTATGACAAACATTATTGATGTTGTTGAAAAAAAGTGTATGTGTGCTACTGACTAAGGAAATTATTATTTATTTATAGATTTGATAAATTTGTTCTTAAAAATGAGTGATAAGAAATAACCGACATACATAATATGTCATAGTCATTGCTAGAAAATCTGGGGAGGCACAGTAGAAGATGAAACATATCCGATCAGTCTATGAATCAGAATAGCCGTATTAACAACCTGTGGTTTATATTTACTTTATTTTATTTACTATATAATGTAATTTAAAACTTTTATTTACTCTACAAAAAAATCTCCCTCCAACTTTATCATCCAATTAATGATTTAATTTGATCATTTAATTTTACTAAATCATCTTTTAAACCAAATGTAAAAATAAATTTAGATAATTTATCATTTGAATGATTATTTAAATTTGGAATTTGTATAAAACAATTATTTTTTGAACGTAATTGATTAATTTTTGAACCTTGTGGACCAATAATTTTTGAAAATGAATTTGGTTTTGTTGTATATATCCATCCAATATAATTTTCATTTGATTGAAGTTTAGATAATTTTGATTTAATTATGGATAATACTTTATCAACTGATTCTTCTGATCCTTTTAATCTCCAAGGAATATTTAATTCATCAGCCCCCAAATTGAATTCTTCAATTGTAAATTTATAAGTTTCTTCTTCATTTTCAGGATATGCATTGTCTGAAGGAGTTGCAATACTTGAAGAAGATAATTTATTTGCTTGTCTTGTTAAATTTCCATGAGTTATATCTACTCCATAGTCAGATTTAAATTTTTTGAAAATTGCACCACGATCACTAATAAATGAATGAAGTTTTGATGGAATATCAATAGATTTTAACCAATCATCTTTTGTTAATTCTTCAATTCTTGATTTAACTTTTGTAATATTTTCTGGTAATCCATTAATTTTTATAATTGATGATTCATCATTTGGTCTTGGAATATCCAATGTTATATTGTATTCATTTTGTAAATTATGACGTATAATACCATTTGGTCCAATAATTAATCTATGTTTATCTTTTGATAATTCAATTTCTTCTGTTACTGAAGCTTCTTTTTCTTTTATAATTTTTTCAATTTGATTTATAATTTTATCAACTATTAATTTATCACCTTGTGATATAATTTCATTTGATCCTGATCCTTCATTTGGAATTGTGAGTAGTTTATGATATTTATGTCTTGGTAAATCTTCACCACCTGCTAATTTTATAATTTGTTTCATTGTTGAACCAGATTGTCCAACTAAATCACGATGATATTTTGGATCAACTTCAATTTTTCTAATTACAAAATGTTCAACTTCATTAATAATTTCATTAATTTTTAATTTTGCTTCTTTTAAAGCAGATTTTGAACCAATAATTTCAAGTTCAGTTTGTTCATCATTTGAAGAATCTCTTTTAAATTGATATTCAATACCTGTACCATCTGCAATATCTTTTATAGTATCACCATTTTTACCAATAACTCTTGCAATAGCTTTTGAAGGAATTTGTAAAATTTCTTTAAATCCATTTTCTTTTTCAAATTGATATAATTCTTTTAATTCTTCTTCTGCTTTTGCAACATTTTTTGAAGGTCCTTTTATGGTAACTTCATCTTTTGATTTTGGAGAATCAGCAAAACCATTACCATTTTCAAAGTCTGCTGAAGGAAATCTAATTTTAACATTATATTTATCTTGTAAACGATTAATATATTTACCTTGAGAACCAATCATTCTACGATGATATTGATTTTCAATTCTTAATTTAATTAAAGTTTCATCAGCCCATTTTTTTGTAATTTGTAAAATTTTAATTTTTGATTCTTCAACATTTTTTTTAATACCTTTTATGGTAATTTCTATTTTTTCTAAATTATCTTTATTATTTAATTCTGGTATATCTATTTTTATACCAAATTCATCACGTAATGATATAAGGTTGTTACCATTTTTACCAATTAATCTTGATATAACTTGTGATGGAATTTGAATTGTTGATGTATAGCCATCAGGATATTCTTTTAAATCATTTAATACTAATTCAATATCTTTTTGGACAGATGACACTGAATTTTTTAAACCATGGATGTATATTTCGTTTTCTGAGGTGGTAGTACCATTTGAATGTAATTTTACAATAACAGAATTTGGTTCAACTGAGGATAAGATTGATTTTAGGGTTGTACCTTTTGGTCCAGAAATATGATCTTGATCTTTTGAATCAATTGATATTGTAACTGATGATAAATTTGCAGCAAGTTCTCTTAATTTATTTAACTCTGTGTTGACTCTTTCAAATCCATCACTTGGAGTAGCAAAATCATCAAAATCTTCGGCTCCTTCCTGTTGATCTTCAACATTAAATAAAGTAATAACATTATCCAAAATAACATATTGAATCTTTTCATCTTTAACTAAACCCCCAATTGTTTCATCAACTTTATTTATCAAAAATGGTTCAATATCATCAATAATCTTAGTTTGATCTGGTTTAATATTATTAACTTGATTAACAATTGATTTTTTAGCAGTTTTAATTTTATTTTCATCACCATCAGAAATAATTTCAATTGGTATAGTATTTGCAATTGCTAATTCCTTTTTTGAAGGTACATTAATAACAACATCATTTGATTCAGCAATTGATTTAAAAATTCCAGTTTGATTTAAAAATAAAGCAACAGCTTTAACATGTTGTAAGTTACCCTTATGAGCTTTTGACATATCCAATATTTCAACTTTATATTTTGAAGTAACTTTTCTTGCTTCTTCTTGAGCTAATTTTATATTTTTTTTTTCACCAATAAATTTTACATTTGTTTCATTTTCTTTTGGTAATTCAATTAATACATTATTATGATTTAAAACATCATCAATTGGTAAAAATTGATGTTTTGTTTTTGGGATTGGAACTTCTTCAATAATAATTTTATCTTGTAATTTATCTAAAATTGATTTAATTTCAGATTTGACTTTCAAGACTAATTCACGCTCACCAACTAAAATTATTGAATTACGAGGAGATTTATAATCTGGAATTGAAAAATCAATTTCTTTATTATTTTCAACAATTGTATGTAAAGATTTTAAAGCAAATGGTTTAACTTTTTCACTTAAAACAATTTTTGTTGATAAATTTTTAGTTTCTTCTTTTACAATAGTTAAAATTTGATTTTTTGCACGTTTAGAACCTTCAATATCTCCATCAATAGTAACATAAACAATAGAATTAAACAAATCATCATCTTCCTCACCATCTTCTTCAGTTACTTCCTCATCATCACCAATTTCAATTTTAACTTCATTTTGTTGAATAATTGGTTTTAAAGTTTTACCACCTTGACCAATAATTTTTGATCTTAATTTTGAAGGAATTGAAAATTTAATTTTAACAGGTTTTGTTAATTTTTTAATAACTAATCTTTTTGCTAATTTAACATCTTCTAATTTCCCACTAATTAAAAAAGTTCTTTTCTTAGTATGTTGAGAAGTTGTACATTCAATATTTGTTTTTGTATCTTGCATTATATAAGTTAAAATTTTAATAAATTCTGGTCTTGTAACATTTAATTGATCTTCAACATCGAGGGAAAAAGCTTCTTGAATAGTTGAAGATTTTGATTTTTTGGTAAACCCATTAGTTGTACCACCATTCTTAGGTTTGGGAGTGGTTTGAGAAACTGGTGATTTCATTTTTGGACCCCAAGAAGAATTTGAAGGTGATGAATGATTTGAATCACCAGTAGAATTTCTTAAACCTAAAGCAGGAAATGCTTGTTCATCATTAATTGAAGGAGTTGAAGTAGAAGTTCTTGTTTTACCTTGTTCTTCAATTTCATCAATACTCCAATTTGAATCATCTGATTGTTCAGGACGACTCAAACGAGCAGCAATAATTTCAGCAGGTGTTGGCATAACTAAAAGATTAGGACAAATGGACAATGCTTATATGAATATAAACAGCTGGAAAAAGGTTGATTCGAATTGAGTAAGTTTGACTCTTATCTCTATTCAATACAATTGAAGTTGATTAGTGATTGTTGGTTGTAAAATCAAAATTTTGTATAAAAGAAGAAAAAACATTTCAAAAAAGTTGGAAAACTGTGAAAAATTACACAAAAGGGAAAGCTCGTAATTAATTAAATTAAACTATTGTTATTGCCTTAGACTTACCAAATGAAACGTAGTAGTTTAAAGAGAAACGTAACATCAAACATCTTTTAAATAAATAATTATATGCATTAAACGTTAATCATAACATCGTTCATCATCAATTTACACCAACTAAACCACTTTGATGAATTAAAAATGTCTTTGTAGAACTTGGTTTTTTAATTGATTGATTTTGAAATTTTTTATCAAAAGATAAAACTAAATCATTTAAAAAAGCATAACTTACAAATAAATCTTTTTCATTTAGGTTCTTATCATCTTTTATAAAAAATTCAACATTACTTATTGTACATAATTTTCCATTCCATTTATCAAAAGAATTTAAATCTGGTATACAATTTGATATATATTGTTTTTCAATTGTTGAATATTTGAAATCTTGTGTTATAAAGTCATAGTTGTTTATGGTAATATGTTGAGGAATTGATTTTGATATTTCAAGTGATGATGAAGTAGTTGATGATGTTGCTGAATTTATTGATTCTCTTCTATTCTCAAATATAGAATCTTCTTCAATAGATGTAGTTGAACTGAAAATGTCAGAATTAACTGAATCTTTAAAGCTTAAAAAATGTGATCTCTCCTCATGCACTTCATCCGAACTTGATGATATTGAATATCTACCATGATTTGCAGCTGCAGCAGTTGCGGCTAACAAAGCATTATTTCTATTTGAATATCTTGAAGGTATAGATTTCAATTTAGTTATAGTTCTAAATTCCAAAGGTAAACTTAAATCTTTACCAATTGATAAATTTCTAAACCAATTAATCATTGAATTAAAAGACCAAAATTGTAATAAAATTTGTTTATATTCAATTCTTAATCTTAAACAATTTTTATATTTAACTAATGATGAAGTTTGAATTGATGATGATAAATTTGTATCTTCTTTATACATTGCTGAAATTAATTGATTTAATGATGGAGCTTCACCAATTTGTAAATTATTTAAACTATAAGAATTTAATAATGTACCTTTTAGATTTTTGAATGTTGAAGTTTCGTTATCACTTGCTTCAAATAATAATCGATTATCTTTTAAAATATCATAATATTGACTTATATTTGATAGTATTTTTTTATTTTTATTGTTTTTTATTTTTGTTTTAAATTTATCAAAATTTGTTTGATTAAGTAATGATGAAGAAGATGATGATGAAAAAAATCCATTATTATTTGAATCTAGTAAGTTTATATTATTTCCTCCATAAGCATCACCTGCAAATATATCATCTAAATCATTATTATTTAAGTTACTAAAACTATTAAAATCAATTCCATTTTTAATTTTAAATTCATTATTAACATCAATTGTTAATTGATTTAAATTATTTAATTCAAAATATAAATTTATAATTAAATCTTTTAATTTTTTATCACATTTTAAATTATAAATATTTAATTGGGTTGAATTCATATGTAATAATACAGGTTTCCAAGATCTATTACTATTATTATAATGATATGGAGTATTGAATTCTATTTTTAATATTGCTAAACCATAATAGTTTAATGATGAATTATAATTAGGTAGTATTTCTGATGATTTTGAATATTCAGGTGGTAGTATAGTAGATGATGGATGTATATCTTTAATAGTCATTTTTATGTGAAAGCTCTTTATTCTGTGGATGGGGTGAGATTAAAATTTAATAGTAAGATCTACTCGAAAATGTTAGTAATGGTTGTTCTAAATAGTTGTGATGTGAGATGAAATGCATGAACTAAATGAATGCCGGATCTTCAAATTTTCAAATGCTATATCTTCATGAGTAAGTTGTTATGATAGTCAGTACAATGAAAATAATGAACACTATCTGATTAGGATTCATGATAGTATTTATATATTTTTATAATAAATTATTTTAAATTGTGGGGAAGGAAAAGAAAAAAAAAAAAAAGTTTTAATTTTAATTTTGTATTACTTTTTTGGTTGTAAAAAAAATTGATAGATAAACCCAACTAAGGTTGATGATGATTCTGATTTCAGGCTCGTATCAAGACTAAGTGAGGTCTGCGTATTGAATATCATTAATGTTGTTAAACTAACTGTAATCATTCTTTTGAGTAGGTTAGATGAAGATTTGAATTTAAATCTTATCTCTCCTTACTTTTTGACCTAGATTTGATATGATTGATATTGATTACAATAGTAGATCTGAGTGCTACTTTCTGAATATATGATTTTAGTCTTTCCTCTTGGTCTTCTTTTGCTTCTTTTTTTTTAGTTGACCTCTGTATTGTTCATGTATAATTTCACATCAAAATTGGTTTTATGATTTTTGAAAACATACTTCTATATATTCATTCCAGTGGTGGTTCTTCTAGATACTAGATTTAGTGGTTGAATAATACGTTGTTGAATGTACTTTATTGAAATAATAAGTTGATGTAATTTTGGTTGTAAAAAATACGGGTATATCGTTGTTTATATATTGATATAAAAATTGGTCATTTATTTAAAACTTTAAATAGATATTTACTAAAGTCGTACAAAATTAGACATATGTATAAAGTATTAAATTTAAAAATTAAACAATACAAATTTATACGCGTAAATACATAAAACAATTAACATTATTTAATGTGGGTTTTATCAATAATCATAGTTTATGTTAGTAATGGTATTCATGGTTAAGAGTATTGGAACTGTAACTTTCTCGAGAATCTTCGTGAAGATGTTCCTGATTCAAAGTTGAAGCTTGAATATTGAAGTCCCAACTTATGTCAAAAAAATAATATTAGTTTGCTAAATTAGATTAAATTAGCCATCTTGTAATTTTTCTTCTTTGTGTTTCTTGATATTTCATTACTTAAAATTATTTGCTATTTGTACTACATGATATAAAAAGTCTTACATCATAATTGTAAATAATATATAAAGCAATAAGAGGTATGAAAATAAAATGGCTTAAACCTTTCTATATTGTTTCAGACTGTCATATATGTCAGTAGCATTATTAACTCAATATGGCTTTAACATCAAAATATTCGGATCGAGGTTGTGTTTGACGCTTTGACGGTAAGAGTTTGAAAATAGTTTATGCCAAAAGAAGTTTTGATTATCTTTAGATAATTTTGAAAAAGTTTCTTTTAATATCACAAAGCATGTCAAATTAAATTAGATTTTTGATTTCGTAGACTATAGATTTCTTTATTCTTTTTCTTCTATTATAGTTTCAGATTCTATTTTGTACTCTATTCGTTTATATGGCAGATTATTAATCACTAAAACTTGATTGGTTGATGATCTTTGACTTGTTTCAATGAATATTTGATTGATTAGTGATTTCCTCATACTATTGATTTAACTTCGTCTGTATTGGGTTTCGTATATTAAATTACTATATTTAATAAACGTAAATGTAATAATCTTAATACATATACGTACTGAAATTTGTGACTTATGTATTTTCTTAGGCTAATTTGTTATTAATAATTTCTTGGTTAACTTAAAAAGTGTAGATTTCCGAAAAAAAGCAAAGAAATTTTAGAATAGATAGAGATTCGAAAAGGGTCTAGACTAATATGAAAATTAATTTATCTCATTATACGATATACTGAATTGACATACATTGCAATTTATTAGAAAGTTTCAAGGCTTGCCTCAAAGTAAACTAGGAAAACATTCTCGGTCATGTAATTCATAAAAAGATTTGAATATTTTCGGAAAAAAAAATATTGAATATCTTTAGATATGGTTTGTAATTTCAAGATACGATAAGATGTTAAACACCCGTAAAAATATGAAAAAAACCGCCGATATCACCTCTTGAAGTTAATCTTAGTAATCAAGAACTTATTGACTCACTTAAAATTCGATCTACTGGACCTAGTAACTCTGATTCTGGACATTTTAGAGTGGATTAGAGATCATAAGTTACTATCTCAAGTATACTTTCTCAATTTATCCGTAGAAAAAACTTCAAGTAAAACAAATTTCAAATAAAAAAGTAAGATATTTTTAAAGTCACTTATAAAAAGAAAGAAAGATTACAATGTAATGCATGTATCATTTGTACCTAGATTAGCTCATTTTATAGATCATCCAAATATATAAAAAAAATACCTTTCGATAGATTGGATTCGTCAAAATATTTTTTATCTACTTTGAATGATAATAACATTGCAAAAAAACAATTCATCAGAAGTAGTTGAAATCTCCCGGGGGCGAGTCGAACGCCCGATCCCAAGATTACAAATTATGGGAAAACATATTACAGTCTTGTGCTTTAAACCAACTAAGCTACCAGGAGTAATTTCTGGAAAAAAATTTTGCTGGATCTTTATATAGAATTAAAAGTTGTCTCATTTTACAAGTCGACACAGGGCGAGTTGCGGTCTTAAAGATGGAAAATAGTTCGAATTTATTTAGGTCGACGATTTTTTTATTTTTTATCAAATTTTGAAAGGCAACTCCTCCTTACATGTTTTGCAAAATTATATACTCAGTTTGTTACTACACTTCACATTGGACTACTCAACAGGTTGATTTAATTTTGGTAATATGGATTCACTAGATTTATTTGAATTGAGAAAATTTCAGATTTAAATCCAACAATACCTGATTAAATTGAGTTATTTTACTAGTTGCCATCAATACCAATTTCATTTCAAACATAAGAAACTTTGGATCTTTAATTTAGATCAATAAATTAACAAGTCAGGAATATAAGAAATTCAAGTAGTTGATGAAAGCCCGAATGAAAGAAATTAACAATTTTCAAGATAACTGATTTCAGTGATCAAATCAGAAGGAAGTATCGAATTCAGATAACGCATCTAATGATCTTAGTACCCTAGATGATGAAGGTCTTTTATTATTAATTAGAGTATTGAAGTGAGTTTTGATCTGTTTTAACCATTTAGATTTTAAGAAGATTTAAACATGTTTTGCTTGGATCAAAAAGTTTTTTCAAAAACGGATCATAAGTCTCTTTAATGTTTTTAATTAACTAATACAAAAATTAAGTCTCCATCGTCAAGATTGTTAAGATTGCTAGGTGTGTTATCGGAATTCGATGAAGATTCTTTGATATCAAAGATTATCTAAGTTTAGTCATTCATGGTACGACCTAATATCATCAACTTTTTCAATCATCAAAACCATTGATATAATTGCATTTAAAGGAATATGTTGCAAAACATTATTTATGTTCATTTGATATTTTGAGCTTGTATCATAATCAGGGTCGTCATCTTTATCTAAATTTGAGTTTCCAATATTAATGCATTTAGAACATTGGATGATAATAGGGGACTTTATCAAAAGTTTATACATCTATTGGGTACTTAAACATAATTAAAGATAACTGATCCAGATTTCGTTACAAGTGACAGTGCCAGTTTTAAGTTTTGAGAAAATTAATATCGATCCAACAAATATTCAAATGATGTTAACAATAATATATAAGGATATTTGTTTTGGTTTTCAACTATTGAGTCATTTTCCATATCAGCAAAAAACAAACAAGGTTTTGATTCTTCGAGAATTCATTAGTTTTCATTCAAATTTTCTTCTAGTTAATTGAACGAAATTGAAGAATGAATCTGTTCGAAAATTTTTAGCGTACAGATGATAAGTGACACATGCTTTTAACTTTTTCAGCTAATAGCAGTTTCATCCAAATTCACTAAAAATTCATGTTCATGAAGTATATTGTGATGCTGATTGGGTGTTCAAATTATAAGGATAGAAAGTAGCTATTATTAGCTGGAAGAGCAAAAAGCATGTAATTGTAGTCTTGTTCATTAGCTGAAGCTAAATATATGGTAATGGCTAAAACACCAAAGGAAGTAATTTGGATATCCCAACTATAGGATCAAAGTGATATGGAAGGTGGATCATAATTAATGGAGTTAATTTGTCAGCAATTACCTTAGTTGATCATCAAGTCTCACCATCGAGGGACTAAGCATAATTTGCATTACGCTCCAGATAGAAATTGAAATTATAGCCTAATACTTTTTTAACTTGACTAGTTTATAAATAAAGCCAGATCTCAACAATCTCGTAAATGAGTCTATATCATTACCTTGATTTCCATTTATCATTAAATATGAATCTAGATTGTAATAATTGTGATAATTGTAATAAGATGAATCGAGTTGTTTCAAAAAGAAACAAGATTTAGGTAAGGAAAAAGCGGAATCAAATATTAAAATAAACAATAATACTGAAACATTTTAAAGATGTAACAGTAAATACCGTATATAAAATCTCGCTTACTTACTTTTTTAGTCTCAAACAGTAGTTTCGGTTGTTAAATTTTTCAAATCAAGGGATTTTTCAATTTGAGTATACTAACCTTTAAAACTATAATTATTACATCTACCCCATATTTCAAAATCTCAGTATTTAATTGAAATAACGGTTATTAATTATTTAAAGTTTTTAATTTTAGTCTAAGTCTAGTTTTAATAAATGACATTGTTTTTGAGTTTAGTATCAAGATTTATAATTGTGAGCCTTGACTGTTAATCTGGGGATACTTTTGTATTACTAGATTTGATATTTTAAGTTAGTCATCCTTTGGTTTTGTATTAGTATGATTTATTCGGTTATTTTCAACCTATCAATTGAAATAGATTTTTATTTAAATAGTAAGCATTACTATAGGTGTTTGTGTAACTTAGTTTTAAATTTTCTTTTTACCCCAGATTTTATTTTATTTTCGGACATTATATTAAGCAAAAGAAAGTTTGACTAATTAGGTAAAATTTGAGTACTAAAAAAGTGTCTGCATTTAGGTTCTTATTCTCCGAGAATTTTAATTTTTATAAATTCCTCTTTATTAAATTATATGGATAGGCATAAGATTTCAAGGGATAATCTTTCATGATTAGATTTCCAGATTTGGTGTAGATTGTTCGAAGTAGGTTCATAGATCATTTCGAGAGATTTAATTTATTGATTCTGGCTCAGTTATATTTTTTTTTTGTCCCTCTAAACTTTTTGTACCTACGCCGTTAACGTCCCTGAAAAAAAAGAATTCTGACTCTGTGTGTAGTAGGAACAATTGAGACGAATAGCTTTGAAAAATTTGAAATATTCAATCAACGTTTAGGAGCAAGTCTATTACTGATTCGAATGATGGTCATTTATAAAAATAAGAATTACTTAAAAAGATTTACAAGCTTGATCTATTCTGGAAACTCAAAAAAGTAAAAAAATAAACGTTTTCTTCTGTAAATTTAAACATAAATTTCCTTTATAGTCTTTTAAAAAAATTTCGGAGTTTTTTAAAATATTGATTTCATACGTTTGGTTTGAAATTAAAATTGATAATCAATGACTTTTACATTATTCATATTTCCACACATGTCTGCTTCTATTGTATTTATACAGGTTTTTAGCAAATGATCTGCCACATTAAAGAATGGTAACTGACTTAAAAAGATATGCATTACTCTTCTTTTCTTTTTAAAGTATGTTAATTATTTTAATTGATCAACAGCAATAAAAGGAGGGGAGTGGTATAAAAATAAAAATTCGTAAATCTATATTAAGATAATCCAACAATTCAAACATTCAACTAACAACAGAACAAGATTTTGAATAATTGCTACATTCGAGATTATTAGTATAGTTATCTTACTCATTTACCAAACTATTAATTCGGTTGTTAAAGGGTTTATTTTTTTGAAGTTTCAGGGATACAATCCATATAGTAAATAAGTCAATAATAAATTATTATAATTTCAAACAATTGTTATTACGACTTAGTAGTCTTTTTCTCAAACAAACAAAGGTCAAGAAATAGTTCATTTACAGAATTAACAATCAAATCAAAGTTTAATAAAAGCTCTATATATAGATTTCTATACAATGCAAAGAACTCAACAGATCCAAGACAATACAATTACAATACAATAGAAATTTATTAATTACATCACACAATAAATTATCTCAACGTTGAGATATAAGTTTAGTTCTTGTAATGTTCAACCTGTCAACTAAAGTGAATTGTTACCCAATTAAGCCATTCCAATTGTATTTGATTATATCCTATTTTACAATTGTATATTTAAAATTTGGCTCACGTTCTCAAGTCAACCAAAAGTACTTGTATCCCAAAGATCTAAACACTCTGTTACGTTATAACAAAATTCAATGAATTAATGGAAACACCTGCTCTGCTGGTGAAGCTGTGAGCTGTACATATCCTGTGTTTCTTGACAAACTATCCTTGATTAACAAATTGTTTCAAATATTTTGGTAAAGTAAATATAAAACAAGTCATTTAAATTTAGAAATTAACAACATTCAGACATCAGACATTTGCGTAATTTTTTGTTAGAGTTATCTTTCTTGTTTTATTGAAATAAGCTACCAGCTGTATTCTGTGTCTGTTTTTTATGTTAATTTATTAATATTATGTCTACAATTTTAATAATTAAATTTTCAGTCTTTTTTTATTTTGTTTTTTTTTATATTTTAAATTTTGTTCAACAATTATTTTTTTTATATATATAAAAATTTTAATCATTCAATAAGTTTATCAAATTTATTTCACCAAATTTTTGTTAAAACAACTACATCTTTCCTTTAGTCAAGTTGTTCTTCCATATTCATCATTCATCATTCATTTCTTTCCTTAAGAATTATTCATAGAGTTATAAGTCAAAATCTCATTAGTTTTATGTTAATATTATAAAACCCTTATCGAATTATAGATATTCCATTTACAATTTTTTCTTTTCTATCTTGTATTAATATTTAACAACAGCATAGTTTCCAACCATCTTCAACATACACTTGATAAAGAGATTAAAAAATGAACATGCAACGATCTATATCAATAAATTCAAATTCATCACCACCTATACTTGAAAATTCAACATCATCATTAAATTTTACAACACCTATTGCAACTCAACCAATACCTAAAAAATCACAACAAATTAGAACTGATAAACCAAGACCTCATGTTTGTGCTGTTTGTACTAGAGCATTTGCAAGATTAGAACATTTAAAAAGACATGAAAGAGCTCATACAAATGAAAAACCTTATCAATGTGCAGCTTGTGGTAGATGTTTTGCAAGAAGAGATTTAGTTTTAAGACATCAACAAAAATTACATACAAATTTACCAAATATAATGAGAAGAGGTTCATCAAAAGATCAAGATATAAATGAACATATAAATGTTTTACATAATAATACAGATGCAAATGCTCCTTTACCAAATGGTGTTATGCCAATACCTGATGAACCAATAGTTAAAAATTCATCATCAAAAAATACAACACCTCAATTTAGAACAGCATTATTTGGTAGTGTTGGAGAGAAACAAGAAGAAAATTCAACTCAACTGCCACAACCACAACCACAACCAACAATGGGTGTATCACCAATAACATCATCAAATTCTCCACGTCCAAGTATTACGTTACATAGTAGTACTCATAGAAATAGTGTTTCATTTAATCAACCAAAGGCTATACCAATGTCAAGACAAAATTCTGTTAAAATGAGTAGAAGAAAATCTTCACAACATCAAATAAAACAAGAATTATCACCAGAATCAGATTCTCCAAGAAGGAAAAAATCTTTAATTCAAAATAATTCTAATGCAAACTCAACTCCTTTAGAATTTAGTACTATACCATCACATTTATTAAATAATTATAGACATGCATCTTATTCAGCAGCTTCTGGGATTTCATATACTACTATAAAGGATGCTATACAAATTCAAGAAAATAATATTAATTTCACAGATTCTGCACCTACTCATGTTGAATTTGGTACACCTCCATTAGGTCCACAAAGTGAAGATTATCATAAAATTATGGGAATGACTGATTTAATGGATTGGGGTAATATAGATACATTAGATTTAGGTGAAGATGATAAAAATGCATTAAGACAAAAATCTTTAAAAAATTTACATGATTTTTTTACTGACGGTTTAAAGAAAGTAAATAATTTGAGTAATAATGATATACAACAAAGAAATGGATCAGTTTCAATGCAACAAACTCAAAGTATGCCACAACATAGAAATACCATATTTGAGATTGAAGACTCTTTAGATAATCAAGCTTTTTCCAATAATTTACAACAAAATTCGGGGATACCTCCACCACCATCAATAAATCAAATACAACCACAACCAGCAAAACAGAATCTACTGCCACAATCAAATCAAGGTTCAATCTCATCAGCTGGAAGTATAGATCCTCAACAATTAAGTAATAAAATGATAAATTCAAATAAAAGATCAAGATCAAGTATGGAAAATGGTGGTACACCACAAGGTAGTAGTGTTAATGGAACATCTAATGATAGTAGTGATTGGATTAAAGATTTAGTTGGACAATCATTAGATATGAATTTAAATTTTAGTGCAAATACAAGTTTTGATGATTTAAAAGGATATTTTCAAAATAGTAAAAGTATTGAATCAAAGGGAAATTTCCCCAAAAAGCAAGCTCAAGATTTTATGCAACAATTATTAGCAGGGTCTAATCCTAATAATGGAGCAATAAATTTAGACACCAATATAAATTATTCAATAGAATTTCCAGCAAATTTTTATAGTAATGAATCAAGTTTAATTGTTCATGAAACAAGACAAAAAATGTTAGAAATGAGTAATATGAATGATAATGAATTTCCAAGTTTAGAAAATTTAAAATATTATACTCAACTTTATGAATTTGGTTTTAATAAATATTTTTCTTTTATTCATTTACCTTCATTAAAAAGTTTAAGAGGTCAAAATTTTGAGATTATCCCATTATTATCAGCTATAGCAGCTATTGGTTCATTATATTCTTATAATAATCATGATGCATTATTATTATTTAATTTATCAAAATTTCAAATTCAAAATTTTTTTGAAAAAGAATTAACTGCAGATAATTTACAATTTAAAAAAATTCCATTAATGGCTCATCAATGTCTTGTTTTACATATAATGATATCTTTATTTTTTAATGAACCAAATATGATTGATATAACTTCTAGACAAATTAAATCAATGATTAGATTAATTCAATCAACTCATTTTAATGAACCTTTAGAACATACTATAATTCCTCCTCCACAAGTTCCACAAGGTATAACAACTGATGAAACAAAACAAATTATACAACATAATTATGATTATTTTATAATGGCTCAATCAAGAATTAGAACATTACATTTATTTTATATTTTACAAATCTTTAGATCTTCAATGACTGGTCAACCAATATTATTTAGTTCAAATCAATTAAAAAATGGTTCAAGTTGTATTGATGATAAATTATGGTGGAGTTCAAGTGCAACGAGTTGGTATGCAACAGTTTGTAAAACAAATCCTCCAAATTGGTCAATTATAGAATTAAGTAATGGTCAACTGGTTGATTCATTTACAAATTATTTAACAAATCCTTATTTAGCTCCACATATTCCTATAAAGAACTTATTAATATTTTTATTAAATATTCATGAACAATTAGAAAATGAACAAAATCAAATGAATTTTATAAATTGGAATCTTGAAAAAAGATCAAAATTTGAAAAAATGATAAATAGTTGGGAAATTTTATTCAACAAGAATTATGGATCATTATATATAACAACAGAAAATAGAAATGAAATGATTAGAACTCCAGATTTAAAATTAATAATCCCCCTTTATAATATGTTAAAATTAAAATTTCATATAAATTATAACTCAATTATAACTTATATGTTACAAAAAAATTATAATTTAATGAATAAAGAATTAGATTTAATGGATTATAAAGAATCAAATTATAATGTATTAAGTAAAAATATTTCATCATGTTGTGAAATTTTAAAAGTTTGGATTCATACAACAGAAATTATAAGTTTTGATGTTAGAGAAACAGCAGTTAGAACTCCTGTATTTTTATGTTGTACTATATTTATAAGTATATTAATTTTAGCTACATATCTTGATTTTATTGAACAACAATGTAATAGAAGAGATGTTTCAAATCAAGAATTATTAGATTGGTTTAAATGTTCCAAAATATTAATTAGAATTGATAAAATTTTAAATACAAGTGTTAAATCTGTTTATTCAGATGTTTTAACAAAAGATATGAATGATTTACAAAATTTTCAAATAACTGAAGAATCTATAAAGAAATTAAAAAGCTTTAGTGAAGAAAGATCTATTTATGATGATAATATAGCAAAAAATTTAAATTTAGAATTTAATAAAAATCAAGTTATAAAATTAAATAAAGAAATTAATAATTTAATTTTAAATTTTAATTTATCAAGAAGATATTTTTATATTGGTATTAGAATATTAGCTGATGCGCCTGTTTGGCCTGCTTCAATGGGATTTGCTGAAGCTTTACAATTTAGAGCAAGTTATTTAAATCAAAGAGGTACAACTTATTAATGAAGAGATGAGATATGAGTGTAATAGATACAATATAATGAATGATGATTATTTAACATATTACTTTGCATTTTCTAAATTCAATAAATAACTCTAAATCAAACCCAACAATTCTAACATATATTCTAATAAAAACCTTGATCTTTTAAATATGAAACAATTTGTTCAATGGTAACATTTAAATCTTTATTTAATTTAAATTCATTATTTGATTTTTCAGTGGTTGCTGAACCATTACCATTTTCAATTGATACAGAATTAACAACTACTGAATTATCATTACCAACTAAATTAATAATATTATTTTCTAATTTTTTTGATACAGTTGTTAATATAACTCCACTACCAGATTTAACTAATTCATTAATTAAAAATTCATCAAATTTATTTAAGTTATCATCTAATTTTATAATTCTTCTTTCTCCATTAAATTGATTAAGAGTACTTTGTAAAGCAAAACTTAAATATTGACCTAATTTATCATTATTTTCAATAACAATAATAAAACCTTGTTTAAATCTTGGAGGATTTGTTTCTCTTAAAATTTTAACAACTTCAGGATAAGAAAACCATTCAGGAATTAAATCACCAGTTCTTAATTTATTTCTTAATTCTGTTCCTGAAATATTTGAAGTTTTAACTTTTGTTGTATCAATTGTATCAATTGGTGCATATCTATCTTCATCAGGTAAATAAGTAACCATTCTAAATGGAACAATTTTAATTTCTATTTCATCTTGATAATTTTTTAATAAATCTTGTGCATCATATGGACCATAAAAATCTACACCTTTTGAATTTTTTCCAGGACCTGCATGATCTCTACCAACAATAAAATGATCAACACCATAATTAGTTCTAATTAATGCATGCCATAAAGCTTCTCTATCACCACCCATTCTCATAGCTAATGGTAATAAAGATAATGAAGCTAATCCTTCAGGGAATGTTTCTAAAATAGTTTTATAAACTTTAACTCTTGTATGATGATCAATATCTCCTGGTTTTGTTAATCCAACAACAGGATGAATTAAAATATGAGAACCTTCACCAATATCATTAGCAGCTCTAATAGTTAATTCTCTATGAGCTCTATGCATTGGATTTCTAGTTTGAAAAGCAACAATTTTATCTTGTGACCAACCTTTTGATTCAAATTCATTTCTTAATTCAAGTGGGGTTTTTCTTAAATTTATATAATCATAATGTTTTGGATAATTTATACCTTGTAATGAACCACCTAAATAAATTTCATTTGTTTGTTCATTTAAATATTTTATTGAAGGATGTTCTGGATCACCTCTAAAAACTTTTTCAGCTTCTATTGTTTTATTTGGTTTATAAATTGATTCAATAGTTAATATAGCTAATGGATTTTCATCTCTTAAATCAATTAATGCAATTTTATCACCAATTTTTAAATTTGATGCATATTCTTCAGTAACATCTAATGTAATTGGAATTGGCCATAATAAACCTTTACCATTTGATCCAATTTTAGTTTTTAATCTTAAATTTGAAACAACTTCATTATAATCATCTTCATTTAAAAATCCATCTAATGGAGAAAATCCACCATTTAATATTAATTCTAAATCACATAATTGTCTTGAAGTTAATTTTAAATTTGGAATTGTGGATGCTTCTTTAATTAAATCTGATTTAATTGATTCATCTCTTTTAACTAAATCATTTAATTTACCACCATGAGGTTTTGAAATAGGCATGTTTAATTGTTATGAAAGTGAACTAAAGTGAAAAGTTAAAGTGAAATAAAACTTGTTTAAAGAATGTATATGATTTTAAAAATTTATTTTGAAAAATTTCAAACTTGTGGTCAATTCAATTTTTATTTGTATTATTCATTTGCAGCAATTTGAAATATGTACAATTTATTAATTAAATTTTTTTATTTTTTTTTTCATGAAAAGTTTCTCACTGCACGTGACTGTGAGTGTTTCTTACGTAATATGTTATGTAATACAATACATACACATTTATTAGTAGAAGAGTCTCACTATGTCGGATATTTTGGTTGCAAAAATATTGTCACCAAACTCTTTAAATTCGAAAGTGGTCGTTATATCAATGGATCAATTCAATTTCATGGTTTTGGAGTTGATTCAATCACTCAGTTATCCTTTAGTATTTCACATTCTCACTTTCAACACATGATTTGAAAAAAAATGGTGGCATTTTGAAACACTCAAGAAAATTTCTTGACTTTAATTAAAGTTTAAGTATTGATCAACAACTGTAATTATATTAGTTGATCACCTCATATTGATCTATTGAAATGAATTTTTGTGTGGTGTTTGTTTGAAAGGGTTTTCCTGTCTACCAAGCTCTATGAATGGTATCAGTTTAACAAATCAAACTGATAAGCCTTGTAAGTTCAAATAAATTCAACTGTAAAATATTTTATTGACGATAGTTCCAGTTTGTGCTCCATAGCTTACATTTGTTTCACTGATTTAGTACTTGTAGGAGATCAATACATTATTAGAATGATAATAATATATCAATTTATGATCCATCTTAAACGTAATTAATAATGCTGTCAAAAAATATAAATCGTAGATAAGAGATAATAATCGAAAATTTTGATTTACAATTAAATAAATTTTGAGACCAAATTTTTATAAAACAATTTTCAAATATTTTGGTCTTTGAAAAGTGGAGAATTGACTAGAGTCAAATTAACATAAACAACTACAACTCCCTCCAAATAACTCTACAAATATATCTATTTCATAATTCACTAAAAAGGAAAAAACCAAAAGTCCGAATGATTTATTGTAAAGATTATGATGTCTTCAAATATGCCCTTATTTCAATATTACAACATCCGTACCGCAGCACAAAAAAAGTCTTAGATATCAGTTATAGTTTTGTGAGTAAAATGAATTGAGGGTAGAATTATACTTACAGAAATCGATGTGGGGGACACTCTGATTTGTGGAGGAGACCAGTTCAAACTAAAATTTTAAATGACAACGTAGCAGTTCAATGATACATAACCAATTACTAAATGAAGTAGTTATTTGAATTTTTCGAATAAACTTTATAAATGTTAAAGCATGTTATAAACAATTCAAATGAAACGAAATAATTGGCTTATAAACTAGATGATGATCGATGCTAAAATTTTAATTAAATTTCTATTAAAAGTCGGAAATTAATTTGGGCCGATTTCGCAAAGTAAACTCGGATTATGCATTAATTTAATTTTCTTTGAATCAGCTTTTCATAATTACTACTTGAGACAACTCGCCGATCTGAACCATTCAATTCGAAAAGTTTAAGTTGGATGAGATTGTCTTTATATATACCAGGCTTTATTTAACGAAAATATTATTGCTGTTGTTTCATTTACATATACTGATTTTGTAAGACTACTTGAAAAATAAACCTGCATAGAAACCCCTCTTTTTGTATAGAAAAAGCGTGAGACAGATCCGATGAATAGCGAATAAAATTCATGATCTCAACAAAGTATCAATCGTTTAGTACAGTTCGAGCTGATTTAAGAGAGATATGAAGATCAATTGACTTTTGTAGGCTGATGTAGATATTTAATTCTCAATAGTTCAACATCATGCTTACCCTATTTCCACCTAACTTTAGGTCATTGCGTTAAATTGTAACAGTAGACTACTAACTCATAGAATAAAATAGCAAATCTATTTTGTTGAACAATTAAGTTCTAATTTTTTTACTAATAATTTATGTAAATTTTTGTACTTCATTTATTTTGAAATATATAATTTATTTAATTCCCTAATTTTTTTTCTTTCAAGATTGAATCATAATTTTTCAACCTTTGAATTAATCTTGTTAATCAATTGAATATATCTGAAAACTAATTTAATCAATTTAATAGAATGTCTGCTCCATCAGAACCAAAGTATGTAATTTAAAAGGAGTAAAAAGAAGTGATTAGTCAATTCATCATTTCCACAAGGAAAAAAAGATAGTCCGAAAATTCCCAAAAATGTTTAGAATCCAATTAGTCCTTCAATCAATTGGTATGATGAACCCAAAGCTATTAAGTGAATTAAGTAAGAATATCAATTCATGACCTTTTCAATCAATCAATCAATCAACACATGGGTTTATAATAAAAAAATCCCTAAAAAGCAAAATTAGTGAGGAAAAAAACTTCAATCGTTGACCCGAAAAAAAAAAAAAACTAAAAATTAAAGTTATACCGAATATAAAAAATGACAAAGAATTATAAATATCAATGAATTATTCTTATTTAGAATCGTCTCCACATTTCAAATAATTTTTTTTTTCATCAAAAGCACCATAATTAGTCAAATTTAAATTCTACAGTCCAATTCAGTTTCATATGACCTATTAACTTTAAAAAATACCACCTAATATATATATCATGTCATCTAATAGAGCTATTTCAAGACTATCTTCAATTTCTAATCATTTATTATCAAAAACCAATACTAACGGTACAATTCCTAGAGGTGATATCGGTTTAATCGGTTTAGCCGTTATGGGTCAAAATTTGATCTTAAATGCTGCTGATCATGGTTATACTGTAGTTGCTTATAATAGAACTACTTCAAAAGTTGATCATTTTTTAGCAAATGAAGCTAAAGGTAAATCAATTATTGGTGTTCATTCAGTTAAAGAATTAGTTGAAAATTTAAAAAGACCAAGAAGAATAATGTTATTAGTTAAAGCTGGTGATGCAGTTGATAATTTCATTGGTCAATTATTACCATATTTAGATAAAGGAGATATAATTATTGATGGTGGTAATTCACATTTCCCAGATTCAAATAGAAGATTTGAAGAATTAAAAGCAAAAGGAATATTATTTGTTGGTTCAGGTGTTTCAGGTGGTGAAGAAGGTGCTAGAACTGGTCCTTCATTAATGCCAGGTGGAAATGAAGAAGCTTGGCCACATATTAAAAATATTTTCCAAGATATTGCTGCTAAATCAGATGGTGAACCATGTTGTGATTGGGTTGGTGATGCAGGAGCTGGTCATTATGTTAAAATGGTTCATAATGGTATTGAATATGGTGATATGCAATTGATTTGTGAAGCTTATGATGTTTTAAAAAGAGTTGGTAAATTTACTGATAAAGAATGTGCTGATGTTTTCACTAAATGGAATACAGGTGTTTTAGATTCTTTCTTAATTGAAATTACAAGAGATATTTTAAAATTTGATGATCCAACTGATGGTCAACCAGTTGTTGAAAAAATTTTGGATACTGCTGGTCAAAAAGGTACAGGTAAATGGACTGCTGTTAACGCTTTAGATTTAGGTGTTCCAGTTACTTTAATTGGTGAAGCTGTTTTTGCAAGATGTCTTTCAGCATTAAAAGCTGAAAGAGTTAAAGCTTCAAAAATTTTAGATGGTCCAGAAGTTACTAAATCACCAATTGATGAAAAAGATAGACAAAAATTTGTTGATGATTTAGAACAAGCTTTATATGCTTCAAAAATTATTTCATATGCTCAAGGTTTCATGTTAATGAATCAAGCTGCTAAAGATTATAACTGGAAATTAAATAATGCTGGTATTGCTTTAATGTGGAGAGGTGGATGTATTATTAGATCAGTTTTCTTAAAAGAAATTACTGCTGCTTATAGAGAAAATCCAAACTTAGATAATTTATTATTCCATCCTTTCTTTAAAGATGCTATAACTAAAGCTCAAACTGGTTGGAGATCAGCTGTATCTCATGCTATTACTTGGGGTGTTCCAACACCAGCTTTTTCAACTGCTTTAGCATTTTATGATGGTTTAAGATCTGAAAAATTACCAGCTAATTTATTACAAGCTCAAAGAGATTATTTCGGTGCTCATACTTTCCAAGTTGCTCCAGGTAAAGAAACTAAATTCTTACCAGCTGGTCAATGGGTTCATGTTAATTGGACTGGTAAAGGTGGTAATGTTTCAGCTTCTACTTATGATGCTTAATTGTAACTAGATATAGTATTGTATAAAAATTTAAGAACAATTTTTAATAATTAAGTTCCGTTGTAACAATTTAGTTTATTCTTTGAGGACTCGTGTCTTTTCTGCTTCTTGTCTATGAATAGAAATAATAAAAGAAAGTTATACGAATAATTAGATTCTTCGTAATTACAACAAAATTGGGTAGAAGTATGAGTTCACAAAGATAACAAATTCACAAAGGCAACAAAAGAACACACAAGATTTGTTTTCTAGATCAAAGAGACAATACAAAATAAGATGCTAGTGGTGTGAATCAATTTAGAAAATGCATTTAATTAAAGGCAGTCAATTGTTTTTGAAAAAGAAAAAGAAAATAAGCGGCGCTTATTTCCGAATATGTATTTTCCGACTTATCTTATCAAACGAAAATCTGTCACAAAACGGAAAAATAGTAGAGAAAAAAATAATTGAAGTCATATAATCTTCACATTGATTAACGGAATTTTTTCAACAACTTAACATCTAGTTGTTTTAGATAAGCTCATGCACAGTTTCAAAAATGATAGAGAATAGACAAGGTGAAGTTTAACTTTGTATAAATATAACTGAATTTGAAATGATTTCAGTTTATGTTTTGGAGTGAGTTCCAATAGCGCAGGGCATAACTAGTATATTTATCATTCAAGTATAAGATATAAATAAACCAAGCACTTTGAATTATATCAAACACAGAATACAAACATGTCACAATCTACAGATGATACTAAATCTCAGAGCTCAATTTTAAGAAATGAAAAATTTGATGAAGTTCATATCATTACATCATCGATCAATAAGATAGATATAGATTCAGATAATCTTAAAGGATTTGAATTATATGAAAAAGGTCAAGATCTTTACAAAGGTGATGAATTCGATGAAGAAGAAAAGAAGTCATATTCAAAAGTTTTGAGGAAAGTAGATACTAGACTTCTTCCTTTATTATGTGTTACTTATACTTTACAATTTTTGGACAAATTATCATTAAATTATGCTGCCGCATACGGTTTAAAAGAGGATTTGAATCTAACAGGGAACAGATATTCTTGGTGTGCTGCAATATTTAATTTTGGATATTTATTTTGGGCAATACCTGGAAATTATTTAATTCAAAGATTTCCAGTTGGTAAATATACTGGGTTTATGTTATTTTCTTGGTCAATCATATTAATTGGACACGTTGGATTAAAGAATTATGGTGGTGCTTTAGTTATAAGATTTATTTTGGGAATGTTTGAAGCAAGTATATCTCCAAGTTGTATGGCCTTATGTGGGATGTTTTATACAACCAAACAGTCGCCTTTGCGACAAAATATCTTTTTAAGCTTCAATGGATGGGCTACAATCATAGGGGCGTTGCTTAGCTTCGGTTTAGGTCATGCTGAAAATTCTAGTTTACCTTCATGGAAATTAATTTTTTTGGTAATAGGTTTATTAAACTTTGTTTGGTCAATAATTTTCACTTGGCTTTGTCCGAATTCACCAGAAACTGCTAAATTTTTAACTGAGGAAGAGAAGATTGTATTAATTAAACACATAGCTAAAAACAATCAAGGTATGAAAGACCATAAATTCAAAATACATCAAGCTTTAGAAGCATTAAAAGACTTAAATGTGTTAATGCTTGCTGCGATTGGTTTAGCTAGTGGAGTTATTAATGGTGGATCATCTAACTTTGCTTCAACTTTAATAAAGGGATTTGGATTCAATGGTATAACTACTTCGGCATTACAATTGCCTTTGGGTGCAATAGAGGTAATTTTCGTTCTTGTTGCAGGTATAATTACTTTCACTATTAAAAACACGAGATTATATGTATTGTTTGGGTCTTGCATAGCTCCTTTAGGTGGATTAATTGGATTATATGTTATTCCATTAGAACATAAATGGAACTTAGTAGCCTGTGCATGGTTTATGTATATAATCGGCGTTGTAGTGGTCTCATGCTTCAATTTATTAACCAACAACGTGGCTGGGACGTCCAAAAAGACTGTATCAAACGGATTATTTTTTTTGTTTTATGCAACAGGGAATATCATTGGAGCTAACATATTCTATGCGCGTCAAGCACCAAGATATGAATCAGGTATTTTGGGTTTATTAATCTCATATGTTGGAATAATGGTCTTATCTATATTGATAAGGTTGTTATTAATGAAAAGAAATAATGATAGAAATAAATTGGCAGGACAACAAACTGAAGAACAAGCTCAACAAGCAATATTAAATGGGTTTAAAGGTATGACTGATTTTGAAAATAAAGGGTTTAGATATGCTTTGTAATGAATATAAATTATATCATATTAGTTTCTTAAGTTCACTATAAATTCGATTACATCTCGTCTATGCTAAAGTTTTGTACAAATTTTTGAGTGGACAGTTGGATAAGTGGATAATTATAAAATAAAAGAGCCCGGGGCTTTTCGTTGTTTAAAAATTCACTTCAATCTGGCTCAAGAGGTACAAACTGGTGATTGGGTTGACAAGTATGCTGTTTTCTAAAAAGTCAGTTTCTGTAGTTTTACTTATAGCTATTAATTAAGTTCATCCATTGAGGATCAGGAAATAATAGGCAATTGAATCCATGTTGGACCATCAATTGTTGGAACTAATGAATTGAGTGTTCCATATGACATTAACGAACTCGTTGAAAAGTCTGCGAATGAATAAGTACAACATACTTGATTTTAATAATGGTATTTATCAAAGCTTTGAAAGGTAACAAAGACTGCTGCTGAGAAAAATGAGTTTGGTGAAGTATTTAGTCTCCCTAGACTTTGAATATTTAGAATATAACATAGACCTTATAAATATAGAATTTAGATTTTGTGTAATATTTCATCAAACTCCAGAAATTTTTGATCTGTACCTTAATATTTATAGCAATTTAAAAATTAAGCTTCATTAATGGTTATAATAATTAAAAAATGACTTTTCTTGATCATTGTCATTGCCCCTTTGATTGGATATAAGAATTGAAAGAATTGATATATTTTAGAAAACACTTCCTCTTGAATCAATCAAATCAAATTCAAATTTCATCATGCAACAAGCATTTTCAAAATTAAAATTGAAAAGTAAAGGTAATGATGTACCTCAAGCAGATCCAGCCGTTACTGCCGGACAACCACCAAGTACAAAACAAATTTATCAATCAAGATTGAATTATGGAGTAAATTTTGGATCAAGTTTTGTTTTAGAAAAATGGATTTTTAGTGATTTATTTTCCGAAACTAAAGGTGATACAGAATTAGATGCAGTTTCATCCTTAGTTGATAAAAATGGAATTAATGATACTAAATCTAAATTTGAGAATCATTGGAATAATTATATTACTGATGATGATTGGAAATGGTTAGTTGATCATCAAGTTACTTCAATTAGATTACCAATTGGTTATTGGGATGTTGATGGAGGTAACTTTACTTCTGGTTTTAAGTTTGAAAAATATAAAGGGGTTTATGTAAATGCTTGGTCAATTATTAAAAAAAAATATATTGAACCTGCTTTAAAAAATCAAATATCAATTATAATTGATATTCATGGTTTACCAGGTGGTGCCAATAATTCTGGTCATTCAGGTGAATCAGGTTCAAAGGGAGATTTTTGGAGTGATAATAAAGCACAAGTAGCTATGGCTAAAATGCTGGCATGGATTGCAAATGATTTAAAAGGTTATGAAAATATAGCTGGAATTCAATTAGATAATGAAGCTGAATTTGCCGATCCTGCTAAAAAGCAGAGTACATATTATGCAGCAGCTGCAACAGAAATTAGAAAAAATGATAAATCTATTCCAATTGTTATTTCAGATGGTTGGTGGCCAGATCAATGGGTGAAATGGATTCAAGGAGAACAAGGTGATGATGGATATATTGGATTTGTTGTTGATGACCATGTGTACAGATGTTTTTCAGATTCAGATAAAAACAAATCAGCTGATCAAATTATAAATGATTTAAATGGTGATGTTTTAACTAATTTAACAGATAATGGTAAAGGAGTTGATTTCATAATTGGAGAATGGTCATGTGTATTGGATCAACAAACTTGGGATAAAACTAAAGGTAATAGAGATGAATTAGTTGTAAAATATGGTCAAACTGAATTAGATATTTTTGATAAACGTTCATCTGGATCATATTTTTGGACTTATAAATTTCAATCTGGAAATGGAGATGAATGGGATTTTAAAACTATGACTGATAAAGGAGCATTAAAACCACCTCAAAAACCTCAAAATCAACCATCAGATGATCAATTAAAACAATCTTTGGATAATGCTTATAATAATCATGTTAATTATTGGAATAAACAAGATCCAAATGGTAAATATCAACCAGAATTATTTAAAGATGGTTTTGATATAGCTTGGAAAGATGCTGATTCATTTGCTAAATTTAATGGATCAAGAATTGGTAGAAAAGAAGCTTTAAAAAGATCTAGATTATTAGAAACTATTAAATCTAAAGGTGCATCTAATTATCTTTGGGAATGGGAACAAGGGTATGATGAAGGTTTAAAAGAATTTTATAACACAACTTTATAATTTTGAATAATATATTGAATTAGAAAAAATGTCATTTTGAAAATTACCCCAGACTTTTAGTTCAAACATTCTTTTAAATCGTGCTATAAAGACAAACATTGTATTATATGTTGTTTTATATTCAAATTACCCCAGAATTATGGTTTGAAAAACTCTTTTAAACTAAGCTATAATTACAATATTTGACAAATGCCGTTCGTATGTTGTTTAAAGCAAATATACACAAAACGTTTTAAGCCAAAGATGGGGTTACACTTCTAAGAATTTCGGACTTTCATTTCTATTCCTTTTAATTATTTCTTGTTTACGTGAGTCGTGAATTCAAGATCAAACGTTTTTCACATTTATTTGTACGTTTGATTTATCGTGTTGTTAGAACGTCTATTCCGCCAGTAGTTTTTGGATAACATGTTAAATTAGTGAGCTCGCTATGATTTTCCCAATTAATTTTACTGAGGGAACGGATTAATTAAATTTTTTAAACTTTTTCGGGAAAACCTGAGAATTATTTTAATTTTTAATTTTTTCTTTCAAATGCCTAATTGAAAATTTTCTAATGATAAGTACATTACTTTAAGAATTACCCACTCTATGCTTTAAAGATTACATTTATTTTTGTTGAATTTTGTAATCGAATATAAGATAATCGCTAAAAAGACCCTCTCATACAGATTTAATTTTTTTCATTTCCATTTTCATTTTACACTGACTGATCGCACCGCCTAAGAGTTATCGAATTTAAGAGACATATGAGTAATCTTTTTAATCTCAAATTAGATATAAATTTAGTCTCAAGTCTAATCAAAAGTCACGTTTCAACGAGTGTTGAACAGTACAGATTGTGGTGTAAATTACGAATTACAAATTATCGTAACCTAAATCTTGAACTAACAACTATTGAGATATGTGAACCTGATTGAAGATGAGGAGATGAACAGATATGTTTCGTGATACATTCCATTAAGGCAAACACAATCTGAAAATAGTAATATTAACAGAAGATGAAAAATTGCTGCATAAAATGTTAAATATTGCTAGATTGTTAATTCTTCAATAAAGATTATACCGTTTCTTTTGTTATAATAGGTGAAAAATTAATTAAATTTGAGATAAGAGATTATGCAGTACTTAATTTAAGATCAAGGCTAAAAAAATTAATGGGAACCGCATTATCACTGATTCTGAATTATGCAATATATATATTTAAATATCTTCAATAATCATCATGTTTAGTATAATTTTGAATAAATTGAATTCATTAACCATCATTCAAATCAACGATGGGTATAAAAGATAATTTAGCCAAAATTGGTGTAACTAAGAAAGAAATTTATCGTGGTTCATCTGCAAATTTAAGTTTGGCAATTTCAAATTCAAAAATAGTTGAAGTTAATGAAAAAAATGGAAAAATTTTATCAAGAGAAAATTCAAGAGATACTGCTGAAACATTTAAACCTGAGACTTTGGAAAGAGGATTAAAATCAAGACATGCTCAATTAATTGCAATTGGAGGTGCTATTGGTACTGGTCTTTTTGTTGGTTCAAGTATCACTTTAACTACTTGTGGTCCTGCTAGTTTATTTTTATCTTTTATTTTACTTGGATCAGTTGTTTATTTTGTCACTACACAGCTTCTTGCAATGACTGTTTTTTTACCTTTACCAGGTAATGGACCTTTGGCTTTTATTAATGATTTTTTATCACCAAGTTTCGGATTTTGTCTTGGATTCAATTATTTTTATGCATTTGCAATACTAGTTGCTGCAGAAGTAAGTGTTTGTTCGTTGATTGTTGGTTATTGGAATGACAAGATTTCTCCTGCCGTCTGGATCACTATCTTCCTTGCTGTAATTATTTTTTCGAATTTTTCACCAGTTCATTATTTTGGTGAAATGGAATTTGTGGCTGCTTCAATTAAATTGATAGCATTAACAGGATTAATAATTTTGAGTATAGTTCTATTCTTTGGCGGGGGTCCAAATCAGCATGGAGTATTGGGTTTTAGATATTGGAAACATTCTCCATTTAAAGAACATTTAACTAAAGGTTCAACAGGAAGGTTTTTAGGTTTATGGACCGCTATTATTAAATCAGGGTTTGCTTATATTACTAGTCCCGAATTACTTTCAACTACTGCTGGAGAAACTGTTGATCCAAGAAGAAATGGTATAAAAGCTGCTCGTCGTTTCATTTTTAGATTAGTGTTTTTCTATGGAGCTGGATCATTAGCTATTGGATGCATAGTTAGTTCAACAGATAAACATTTATTTGGTGGTGCATCAGATGCAAGTGGTTCACCATTTGTCGTTGCAATTAAAAATGCAGGTATTCCCGTGCTTGATCACATTATAAATGCTGTTATTTTAACTTCAGCTTTATCTGCAGGTAATTCATTCCTTTATTCAGCATCAAGAACATTGTTTTCAATGGCACAACGTGGTAAAGCACCTAGATTTTTCAGTAATGTCAATAGATTTGGTGTTCCATATTATTCAGTTGGTGCAGCATCACTTTTTGGATTTTTAGCCTATTTAAATGTATCATCTACATCTGCTAATGTATTTAATTGGTTATCAAATATATCAACCATATCAGGATTTATTGGATGGATTGCTATTTCTTTTGCTTTCCTTAGATGGAGAAAAGCTATTGCGTTCCATGGTCTCACTGATAGAATTCCATATAAACCATTTGGTCAACCTTTTGGTGCTTGGTATGTTATAGTCTTCATGTCATTAATAACAATTACAAATGGTTATGCTGTCTTCTTTGATTTTAACGGAGCTGATTTTGTTGCTGCTTATATCACTTTACCAATTCTTGTTGTTTTATATTGTGGACATCTTATTTACTCAAAATTAAAAAATCATAGTATAGCCTTTTTAACACCAATAGAGGATATTGATTTGGTAACTAATCTAGATTTGATCGAAGAGGAAGAACAAAATTACGAAGTTCGTGAGCCTAAAAACTTTTTACAAAAACTTTGGTACTGGATAGCTTAGAATTGATAAAGTTTGTCGCGTGTTTGATGTATAAATATAATATTTTGTTTCATCTTTAGTTCTTTTTTCTCTATTTAAACCTAGCGTTTCATGATTAATTTTGTGTCAATTTTAGTTTGAAGTATGTGGATCATCAAATGAAGCTATCATTGCACACATTTTCTGATTGATTCATGCCTGTCTTTTTACTAATCAGAACTTATTCACAGAAGCAAAATGGAGCGGAATTCTTTGAGGCTTTTATTCGAATTGAATTACGATTTTTTAAACAAACAGAGTAAAGTTCGAAACTTATGGCCCCTCTGCATGACTGAGCTTAATCAGAAAGAGTAGCACTTCCAACAACGCAATCCTCGACGGAATGCATAAGCTGAATGTTGAACCAATTCCATGATCTGTTTAGCTTCATTTTTTGTTTGTCTACAATATGAAGATTATGAAATCACAAAATTTACACAAAACCTGGCGACATCTCATTTAAAGAATTGAAAAAAAATCCATCATCATTACATCAAATACTATCAGTAAACCAACTAAGACTACCACATCATGTCCAGCTTAGCTTCTCAGCTTAAACAAATCAATGAGAAGACTTCTTCTATAGCCTTAAATAGGCAACAGAGGTCAAAAATCCATTCACGTTCTTTGATATTTGACCCCAAAACTGCATCAACTCAGGATTATGATTATATTTATGAAATAGCTCTTGAAGGGTTGGATGAATTGTCTTCGTTAGATTCAAGGTTCAACAAATTTAAATTATCATTATTCAATCCAGACTCAATAAATTTGGACCGAAACGTACAAACTGAAGATACAATCAAGCAATTAAATTTAAATATAAATGCATTTTTCACATTACTCGGACCATACTATTCCTTCAATTGTGCATTAACAGCAAGTGAATGGTTGATTAGAAGATTTCAAGCAAACATTCACAACGCTGAATACCTAATTTTAAGTTCATTACCATATTATCATGATGCCGTGTTGGTAAAAATTTTGAATGTTATTCCCAAACAAAATATACCTCCCATTTTTCAATGGTTGTCAAATTTCAAAGATCAGTTAAAAAATCCAACATCGCAATCAATATTTAAAGTTTTCTTTGGTGACGAAGCATTATTCAAATTTTATTCATCATTTTTCAATGATCAAATTGAAAATCATACCATTTATAAAGAGCAGTTGGTATTTTATTTATCTATTACTATACAAATCATGGCAGCACTGAAAAGAATTAATGATTTGATACCCGAAATTTTGAAAACTGTGCAGCTACTTTTATCCCAAACAGAGGGTGTTTACTATTCCATTACAGAGTTGAAATTAACAGCATTTTCGATTCTTTCAGTTCTTTCGTCGGTTGCACCTTTAAAAGCTGACATTATAGACTCATTAATTCAATTAGTTATGCAAGACTTAACATTGTTGAAACCTACAATCACATTACTTGTTCAATTATACAACAACGACGATGCTGATTCACAGTTTTTAAAGAATTTAAAAATAACTCCAGAATTGATTAATGTTTTAAAAGAACTTCAAAATTCAAATTTCCAATTGAATAATTTCGTTTGTAAGTTGTACAAAGAAAATTCCAATCCTGAGTTGATACAATTCGTGGATTTGAACAACGAGTCAACATACAAAAGCATAGCTGATTCTACGATACAACACATTATTAGCACAGCAGATGATTCTTTTGCAGACGTAGTGAAGAATTTATCAAAAAACAATTTATTTCCTGACATCTTGAAAAAACACAGTTTGAGTATAAATGAATTGGAATTAAAAGTTCAAACTACATTGACGAACATAGACCAACAAGCGGATGAATTGCTAGAACCAGAGGAAGAAACTGAAAATAAAGAGATTGGCTCATTTGATTTTCCACAAACCACAACTTCAAACTATTTATCAAACGAAAGCGATTTTAATGATATATCAACACTATTGGTGAAATTTTCCAATTTGTCCAAAGGAACTGTTTCTTCTTTGTCATTTTTTTCGCACAAAGTATTCGGGCTGTTAGAAACGGCCACGTCATTTTTTCTACGTGTTGCATACACTCCTTCCATACCACTCATTGTTAGAATAAACTCAATCAAGCTTATAAATTCAAAAATTAAAGAAAGTTCTGATGGAAAGACGGATTACTATCTATTACTCCCTTTGTTATTATTAGGATTGAATGAAAAACAAAAAAGTTTACGTCAAGCAACATCACAATTAATAAAAACTATTGAGAATATTACCATATCAAATCATACGGATAAAAAGAAAAAAACCGAATTTTTCATGGAAAATGAAATTTATGGATCAGGAGAAAAAAAATTGATTTCTCCGCAAGATGCAAAAACTTTATTGGAAACGATCAAATTAGATGATGTTATTTTTGATCATAATCAATTCAAGAATTTATTAACAAACATTTTTCAAATCAAAATTGGTAGAAAAAATTTGGGATCGGTGTACAAAACCTTTATTCTTTCACAATTGACACTTCCTTTACCATTAGTTTTCAAAATTCATGCATGGTCTTTAACAGAAGAAAGAACTAGTTTTTGGAATGATGTAAATGCATATTTTACTACGAGACCAAATTGGGAAGCACAAGCTATAGCTGCAGGTATTTTAATTTCTTCCGTCGATAACGCCATAATTAATCTAGTTGGTGGTGAGACCAATACTGAGCAAGCCGACAAAGATGCCGAATGGATTGCTAAAGGATTAGAATCTCAAATTGCTGCTAAAGTCGATCAAAGAATTTTAGAAATTTTTCATTATTTTAAAACTTTGGAAACACAACTATTAATAGTCAACAAGCTTATTGAACTTTTGATAAATGATGAATATGTAAGTTTCGATCCAATGGCCACTTTGCAACTGTTACCACTAAGTTTTGATTTATTTTTACAAGCTTTAAATAATGTTCAAATTGGAGATATGCCAGAGCAAGGATTAGTTAAAAGAAGGAGAAGATCTTCGAATTCAACAAGACAAGCTATGGCGAAAGAGGATATGAATTCTCTTGCATCATCACATATTAGAAAATTAGCTATATTACTAGAGATTTTAGAAAAGAATTTGAGATCCAATCCAGAACTTGCTCAACCTAAATTACTTAAAGTATTGTTCAAAATATTGACAGATTTGTACTATTTAGGCAATGACGGAAATTTACCTATTCTATATAATCAAGAACTTCTAGCTACTTGTATGTTATTAACCATTGGACAATTGAAAAACAATCATCATAAATTTGATTCAAACTCAATTAGGGCAGATTTGATAGTAAATTCTATAAGAAATAGTTCATCACCACAAATTCAAAACAAGCTTTTATTGGTTGTATCTGAATTAGCTGCATTATCCCCAGAAATTATATTACATTCAGTGATGCCGATTTTCACTTTCATGGGTGCTCATACTATCAGACAAGATGATGAGTTTTCAAATAAAGCATTACAACAAACTATTGCTAAAGTTATTCCAGCTTTGGCTAAAAACTCCGAATCAATTACAACAGAAGTTGAATTTTTATTAGCAAGTTTTACTGCAGCTTTTCAACATATTCCAAAACACCGTAGAGTTAAAATTTTTGTTGCTTTAACTGAAACATTGGGTCCTGCAAATTCTATGCACATTATTTTGTTTTTATTAGCATTAAAGAAATCAGAAGCTGTGTTAGATTTTGTTGAACTTTATTTGAGGTCATTTTCTGCCGAGGATCAATTGATTGGAATTGCAAATTTTACTAAATTGATTAAGGAATTACCAACTCAATTAGAATTGAACTCAGCTGAGTATGAAACATTAAAAGCTAGACCAGTCTTTGGAAATTCAATTGTTACACTTACCAATGAGCAACTTTTAGATTCAAGGTTTTCAATTTTAGAATTTTTAAATACGACTTTACGTTTGGATTCAACAATGGATGCCTCATCATTAAAAAGTAAGGTTGCTATTGCATTAGAAGAAAAGAAACCAATTATGGGAGAATTAAGAGAATTGACTACTTTTGCATTGAGTGAACTTGAAGTATTTGCAGCTAATCTTAAAATTTCAAACGAATTGTATAAATTATTAAGTAATTTGCTTGATTTGTTGCCATTACCAGATTTTGTTGATTCGGTCATTGAATTTTTAGATGTTGATATATTAAGTGATAATACTTCGATTAATGTTGCTAAGAATTATGCTATACTAGCTGCTAGAAAGTTTGAAACCTTATCGAAAAGTTTGATCCTGAAGGAGACAGTGAACAAATTATTAGATGTCTTATTAAAAGGTATCAAAAAGAATCTAGATCCTGAATTACAACAATCATATTTAGATACATTTGCAATAGTGGCACATAAATTCGGAGAAGTGGACATGAGTTCATTGAACATTTTAACCACAGATTGTGGTTTGTTAAATGATAAAGAAGAGGTTGTTATTTCTGCTATTAGTGCAATTATTAGTATTGTTAACATATATGGAGTTAAAACTCTTGGGTTGTTTCCCAAAATTATTCCACCAGCATTGAAAATTTGGGAAAAGTCTGACAGTTTAACACAAGAATCAATTCTACTTTTATTGTCATGTTACATAAAGAAAATACCCGCTTTTATGGTTACTACATTAGACTCCATTTTGGTTACTATTTTAAATAGTGAAACCGATATGAAAGCACCTGTGTTACAATTAATCATTGATCATATGGATACAGGAATGGTTTTGAAATCACTTTGTAACGTCTGGACAAAAATATATACTAATGCTGCAAATATTGGACATTATTTGAACACAATGCAAAAGGCTATAGATAAATTAGATAAAAAAACTGCTACTCAACAAGGCTCTATGTTTATGAAATGGTTAATTAATGCTTTTGAATTTAGACAAATATCTGAATTTGATCAAAATGCAATTGGTAGGATTGAAAGTTCAGTTCATTCATGTGCTATATCATACGTTATGAAATTGAATGATAAAAGTTTCCGTCCTTTGTTTGCTAACTTGGTTCGTTGGGCAACAGATGGGGAAGGAAGTTCAGTGAAAATTGATTTAACATCTAGATTATTATCTTTTTACAAGTTTTTCAACAAATTACAAGAACAATTAAAAAGTATTGTTACATCTTATTATTCTTATGTAATGGATGCTACTACTACTTCACTTAAAGAAAATGCATATGGAGATGTTAGTCTTCGAAGATTAATTTTAATTTCACTTTCATCTTCATTTAATTATGATCAAGACGAATATTGGTCTCAACAAGGTAGATTCGATAGTATTTGTCAACCATTAATATCACAATTAAAAACCATTGAAGATTCAATTGGTAAATATTTAGTTAAAGCAATTGCAGCGTTGGTGTCAGACGTTACATCAAATGAATACAACGAAATAGTATTAAAAGAATTACTTCAATATGTTTCGTATGACAATGAGAATTCATCAAAAACTAAAATTTGGACTATAAAATCATTAAAATTAATTTTTCAAAAAATGGGAGAACAATGGTTACCATATTTGCCAACACTAGTACCACATATTGCTGAATTATTAGAAGACGATGATGAAGCTGTTGAATTAGAAGTCAGAGAAGGTTTAGTTCGTGGTATCGAAAAAGTTTTAGGAGAACCTTTAGATAGGTACTTAAATTAGTTAGTCTCTGTATAGGTTAGATTAAAAAATATGAAAAATATATTGGTAATTACACTACCAAGTGTTTTATTTGATTTTCCATTTACTTCTTGGAAAAAAAAATTAGGACCATAGGTTCCACACAAATCATTAATCCAATTCAACAAAACAACAAGAAATGGTATGTGCAATTTTCTCTGTCAGATCATGAAACTCTACTTACTAACTTTTTAATCTTTAGTCATCATTATTAAAATCAGCTCAAGCTTTAAAACCATTGTTTGACAGAGTTTTAGTTCAAAGATTAAAACCAGCTACTAAAACTGCAAGTGGTCTTTACATCCCAGAGAAAAATCAAGAAAAACTCAATCAAGCTACAGTAATATCAGTTGGTCCTGGAATGACCAATACAACTACAGGAGAAGTCATTCCTGTGTCAGTTCAAACAGGAGATAAAGTACTTTTACCAGCATATGGAGGAAACCCAATAAAAGTTGGAGAAGAAGAATATTTGTTGTTCACTGATAAGGAAATATTAGCCAAAATTGAAGAATAAACGATCTGATAGAATAAATTAATGGTAAATAGGTTAATAATTTGATAGTTCTTGTAAATATTTAAAATCAATACATGTAAAATTTGAATTTATGAAAGTCAAGCATAAAGTCAAACAAAATAAGATACTGAATTAATGAGCAAAATCGATTTGTAAAGAGAAGATTTCATAAGAGAAGATCCGTTGCTGAAAGTTTTATACCTATTTGTTAAATTCATGATGTGCTAATCATTTATCGTAAGCTACCACATCTCCGAGAAAATCTATTATTTTTATACAATAATTTTTCACCTAAAACTTAATTTTTTTTTAGATTTCTTCTTCTTTTTCTTCTTTAACGCAAAATTCACGGCCATTCACAACTTCAAAGCATTCTTTAGAGGTTGAATCCATTTTGGCATTCTTGACCCATGACCAATATGAATATTGTTGTAAAAGTTGACTTCTTTGGAAGTTTTTTTTTTCGTGATGGACCGGAGAATAATTTTATCATTGATCTTGGGTGCAGCATCTCATGAGTTAAGTGAACTTATACTTCATTTCTAAGGATTTTGCCTTCGTGCGTCCGTATGGGAGATGGTGCAAGGATCAGTGATACATTTTTCTTGTAAATGAAAATCACTCTTTATTTTGTAGCTGGTTGTTCAAAATGATAGACCTAAGAAAAAAAAATGGATGCACCGTATTGCATCAATTGAAAAATAAAATTTACGTTTCTTCTAAATTGTCACGAGCTTGAAAATCATCAATGATATAGATGTCAACATTTAATGCAGTGTCTAATTGCTATTTATTTCCTTATTAGCTTGACATTAGCTTCCTCCAATTGTTCCCATATTAGTGACCAAGCTTTTCCATGTGAGTTTATCAAAGAGAATTGTCAAAGTGATGGTTTTATCAACTATTATAAGTTATATTATTGTAACAATTCAACCATATTTCCCTTGATAATATGTTTACTTATATCATTCATTGCACTTGGAATGACGGCACTGGAGTATTTGTGTCCCAATCTTCATACAATTTCAAAGTCATTTTTGAAAATACCTGATAATTTAGCTGGATTGACGATTTTAGCATTTGGAAACAGTGCCCCAGATATATTTAGTACTTATGAAGCAATGAAGATGAAAGAAACAAATTTAGCATTAGCGGAATTGATTGGAGCTTCCTTTTTTGTATCCACATGTGTAATTGGATGCATAGGAGTTGTTAAACCTTTCGAAGTGCCACAATATTTATTTGGTAAAGACGTGGTTATGTACATTTTAGTGTATTTAGTGATCACATTTAATTTGATAACCAAAAGTTTGAATTGGAAGTCTTGTTTGGTTTTAATTTTATTGTATTTAACGTACGTTTCAATTGCAATTATAGCTCATCAAAGAAAGAAATCAAGAATGGCAGCTATTTTGAGGGACCATAGATCTAGGGGGATTTTTGAAGATTTAGATGATGAAATTTACGGAGATGAAACTTCTAGATTACCAACCATTGAAGATATTGAGTTACATCATGATTATGAAATTGATAGTGGAGTATATGGAATAAGCAAATTGATAAAAGACTTGTCTAATCATTCAAATTTAGTTGGTACAGTTCAGCTTGAGACGGATGAAGTTGAAATTAAAGAGGTTAGTTCAGAAAGTTTTTACAAGATTTTTTGTCCACAATTACTTGAAGACATTCCTTTACCACGAAAAGTTGTGCTTAGTTTACTTCTTCCAATTACAATAGTACTCAAACTAACGATACCTGTTTCCGGAGAACTTGATAAATTATTGGTAATTCAGACATTCTTGGGAACAAATTTTTTCATTTGCAATCTAAATATATCATTGAAGATAAAATTGATACTTTGGGCTTTGAGTATCCCTTTCACATTCTTGATACATAAGATAGACAAGTTGAAACCTGAAGTGATGGAATATTTTAAGACAATATTTGGAACCATAATTTCAATTACATATATATCATTTATCGCTACAGAAATTATCAGCATTCTACGTGTTATTTCAACTGTTTGCAATTTGAGTGATGATTTGTTGGGAATAACTTTATTTGCGTTAGGAAATTCAATTGGTGATTTTATAACAAATTATACTATGGCTCAATTGGGATTTCCTATAATGGCATTCGCGGCATGTTTTGGTGGACCTTTATTAGCACTATGTTCATTTGGATTTAGTGGTCTTATTGTTGGAGGAACTCATGAATTAGAGTTCACAGAAATTTTGATAGTAGGAATAACAGCCATTTTTCTCAATATGATTGCCTTATGTGTCATGATCCCCAAGAATAATTGGCAGTTGGATGAGAGAATCGGTAAGATTTTAGTATTAAATTGGGTTGTAACATGTATGTTTTGTATACTTATTGAATTTCTATAGACTTTGAATACCTTAGATTTGCGATAAAATAAATTCTTTTTTGTTCTTTTTACTGTTTTCTTATCTGATTGTAAATTGAGTTTGCAACTCGTATATGAACACGTTGAAAAGATTAGACGATGAGACAATTAATCAGCTAAAATATCATTTAAATTACAATTCAATAGGTGCTATATTAGAGGATTTGATCAAATTGAGTATTAAATCAAATTCTCGTAAAATTAATATCAAGTTAGATTTATCGTCTTTATCAACATTCCTACAAAATGATGGAAATGGTTTCACACCAGAGCAGTTAGAAAGGCAAAATCATTTGTTTGGAGCCATATCCAATGTGTCAATCATATCGAAATGTTCTGATTATAAATGTCCATACATGGTTAATGGATCGAGTGCACAATTATTTGATGTAAAGACATTGGAAAGAAGTTATTTCAAACCAACTACATTGGAAAAGCATGGTACGATCTATATTATTAATAACATTTTCAATACGTTACCTGTAAGAAAGGAGCAAATGAAAACAACATCCACTTTCAAAATATTAAATAACATTAAATTATCATTCTTGAAATCATTGATTGAAACCGAAAACGTTACTGTGTCGTTCCTGTTATACAATCCACAGCGTCTCAAATTTGAAGAGCAAGTTGTGGTCAATTTAAAGGAACGAAGTTTAAGACAATTAATGAAGAGTTTGTTTGAATTAGAAGGTTTTAAAAGCATTAGAGCGGAGTTCAAAAATCATAGATTTGAAGGAATAATTGGATTGAACCCCATAAATTCTAAAAGTCACCAATATATATTCATCAACGGGGTATTGGCATCAATGGAAAAAGATATATCAAACAAGTTGAATGAAATATTTAATGATTTCACAGAAGTCGTTACCCCGACTAAAACAACAGGAAGACCTTTTCATAAATTTCCAGTCTTTCTTATATACATCTCAAGTGACAAAAAGGAAATTCCAAATGATTCTTATACATGGGAAGTTATTGTACATATTTTGACCAAAATTTTTCAAAAATTTGTAAGCATTGGTGAAAAGAGGAAACTTGATGAAGAATTGGTATTACTGCCAATAAAAAAATCCAAAACGGACAAGTTCTTACTATCAACTAATGCAAGGTTAGGAGATTCGAAACCAGAGGAAGTTGAAGGTTTGTTAAGTATTCATAAATCCGATGTCAAAGTTCCAAATTTGAACTTAAAAAAGCCACCTCCAATTCACATTTGCCATTGTCACGATCATTCTGAACCACAACAAACGAAGCAGGTAGATTTAACCTTTGGCAACTATAGGATTATCAGACAAATTGATAAAAAATTTATATTATTACTTTTGGATAGTAAGTTGGTAATTTTAGATCAACATGCAAGCGATGAGAGAGTGAAAGTGGAAGAGCTTATGAAAGAGTACATATCGACTTTGAATAGACCTAGTTTGAGATTAGCTACACCAATCCCTATTTTAATAAGTAAAGATGAAAAAGTTTTGCTTAATCAATATAAAGAAAATTTTGAATTATTTGGTATCATATATCATCTTGATGAGGATTTAAAAGTTTATGTTACTTATTTGCCAGAGATTTTGATAACGAAGTGCACTGAAGATTGGGAATTTTTGAAAAATGTTATACTACAACATGGGTACGATTTACAAAATAATTCAAAATTAGTCAAGTTCGATATGACAAATTGGTTCCAGTCATTTCATAATGTACCTAGAATAATTACAGAGATCATAAATTCAAAAGCTTGTCGTTCTGCTATCATGTTTGGGGATGAATTAGACCAAGAAGAAATCACCACATTGATTGAGAGATTGAGTAAATGTAAATTACCATTTCAATGTGCTCATGGAAGACCATCCATAATCCCATTAGCTAGTATAAAATGAATAAAAAATGTTTCGAAAACTTTTTTGAACCTTATTATTAATTATCTATTATACATATCGTCAATACAATCTTATTATCTAATGTACAAGTCGTAAATATCATCCTATTGGCAAAGCCTCTGAACTAAACATTATTTCATCTAAACTTTTTAACTCCCCTTTCATCTCTATCAAATTTATCTAGCTTCAAATTGTACCATTCTTCTAGTTCTTGCTTTATATATTACACGATGACCACATTCTTTACATCTAATGGCGTCATTTTTACCTAATGAAAATGAAGCAGCACATTGTGCACAATTATATTTAACACCTAATGATTTACTTGTGACTTGAGCTGATGCAGCATGTGATATTGATGTTGGAATAGCAAATCCTTCTCTAGTTGGTGATGACATTTGATTGAATAGTTAGGATAATGTGATGTTTCAAATTTAATTTTTTTTTTATTTTTTTTTTGTAGGTAATTATCATTAGATATTGAAAATTGGTAAAATTAATATAAACACACAACTAGATAAAATGATATGATATGATATCTTTGAAAGAGACTATTTCAAGACTTGGTAGGACAGTGAAACTGATAGAATCAATACGGCAGAATGTATCGAAAAATCAAAGATTGAGAAGTACCGAAATTGATGGAAAAGAAGTAACACGACGACCATCACTGATCATTTATTCAAAGTCAACTTTCATACCTGATAGAGAATTTAAAAATCAAAGATCTTCAACTAAATTATATCAAGAATTTTTGAAACCATTAAATTTAGAAAATTTGAAAAGTTTTGAAGATGAGAAAAAGGAATTTGACGTTGAAAGTTCTAGGAGAAATTGGCGTAAGAGAAAATCTACAGCTTTGAGTGATCAATTAGATATATATTTAGAAAATAGACAACTATTTCAAAATATGTTGAATTACTTGATTGAGATTACCCCGACCCATTTAAAAAATGTTAAAAATATCACCTATAATCAGCACATAATTACTCAAGAACATCAAAAGCATTCAAAAATTCAACATAATATTGATTGTTTCACAGAAATTCCTAAAATACCCAATCCTTTAACTAAAGAGGGTTTTGAATGGTACATTTATAGTTTAACCCATAAAAGATATCATTATCTTAATCTGTCAAGTTTAAAATCTGGAATTATTCCAAAAATATTATTATATACTCATAAGTTAGATTGTGAAAAATTTAAACCTTTTAGATCAACTATAACTTTTAATTATTTAATAAAATATTTTGGATTTGATAAAAATCAAAGTTTATTTGCAAGGGAATTACTATTGGTGATGAATAAAGAAGGACATTTAATAAATGAAGAAACTATTAATATTTTATTGAAAATTGTTTCAAAACAATCAAAAATTAGATCTAATTCAAATAGTTTTGCATCAGTCATAAAATATTTAAAACTAGGTCAACTGTTAGGAGTTGATATTAATCTTGATACATGGACTAGAATTTATGACACGATTGGAAATTTACATTTAAAAGAACAATATTTAGAGACTATACAAAACACAAAATTACCTATAACTAGATCATTAGTATTAAGAATATTAGATGATTTTATGAATGTCACAAAAGATACAAAAGAAGTTGAATATTTTATTGAAAATGATTTAAATTATAAAGATTGGCAAACTGATGAATTGATTAAAAATAAGATAATTTTTCATAAAGCTAAAAATGGAGATACCTCATCTTTTATAAATGATGATTATGCTCTAAAATTTTTATTACAAGGAATCATGAACGATAAATCATTAGAGCCTAAATCACCAAGGATATTCCAACATTTCTGCAAAAATTCAAATTTACATTCAACACCCAAAATATTACAAACATACACTTTATTAATTAAACAATTAATTGATGAATTTAATGATATTCACCATCTTGAAAAATTAACATTCTTAATACGAGGGTTGATTCATGATGCAACAAATGCACTAAATATCCCCACGACAGTAATACGATACAAAGAAGAAGATGAAGAAACTTTTAAAGAAACTATACCTGAAAACTACAAAATTATAGCAAGACAAACAAAAGATAGATTAATTAAATTACAAGCTTCAATTCAATATATAAATTCAAAAGTTCCTGATTCCAATTTAAAAAATCCTTGGAAACCCTTCACAACTACTGAGGCATCAGAATGGAATAAATTGAAGAATGAGAGTATGAAAAACTTGGTGTTTGATGTTGAAACAGAGCTAAATTTAAGCAAAAAAATTCAATTCAAAGATTTAAACTTGTTAATAAACAAGATTAAAACAAAATCAGCCAAATCAAGACAAAGACAAGATAATGAAATATCAAAAATTGGACTTGAAAATTATGTTAAAAAATGTATGATTGAACGAAATTTAATTGATGATATTGATGAAACTGAATAGAGATATAAATAGTAATGCCATTATCGTTACGGATGTTGTAGTTTATACGAAAAAACTTTCGAATTCTCTTGATCTCAAGCAAAATTTTTACTGATGATATAGTTACGTATGAAAGTCCGTATGTAAGGTGAGCATCTAAGACATTGTGCTTGAGCTCTTGGAACTTAATATGTTGGGTTAATGAATAAAATTTTTCGTGCAATTCACACGTTGGTATAAATATGAATAGTGAATTAACATCACGGAATTAACCCTTAATAAAAACGGATAAAAGAGCTTTGTTCCCGATATAAAGGGTCTAAGATAAAGTTTTCAGGAAAGATTGAAAAACGTTTGTGTTTCCAATATTTTTATTACTGACATCATATTAGAGTTTAATTTAACAACAGTCTTTGTTGTTTGAGGCGAATTTGAACTTGCCGTTCTTCATAAAAGAATTTTTTAAGTATTTTATATTTTCTCAAGGAATTTGAGTCTATATGAAATTAATCAGTTCACTCTTCAGTCTAACACACATTTTATCAATTTCTTTTGTAGTGGGGGCTTTCTAAAAGTTGACAGAAAGTGGGTGCGTTAATTAATAACGTGAAAACCGTTTGGAAATGTTCTTGAAAATACAAACCATTTTGTTCCATCAATCGGATTTAAATTAGTTACTTAAAAATAAATCAACAAAAAGATCGCAATTATTTTGTATTGTTTGTGTAACGTTCTGATGCATAATTTTTTAACTTGAATTGACCATTTGTGATACAATAGAAGGATAATCCTTGAATAGATAATAGATTGAAACTTTTAAGAAGTTGAAGTTCCCGATTTATCCTACTCTGAAACGTAATTTGAATTACATTCAAACATATATACGTGCGTATATATATTTATCCTAACAAGATCTTTTTATGACTATATTGGGTAATCTACCCTTAAACTTGTTTCTTCCGATAGAACCCATTGGAAGAAATGTTTATACACACAATCTTTCTTGACGCTTCTTTTTAATTGTTTACGTCTTTCGCAATAAATTTACAGCTTTGTGTTTCTGATTCAAGACTTTTTTTGTAATCAAATCCACCACTTGATGAAAATGATTGCTACATTAGTGTAAAAGATTACTTCATTCAATTAATGTATAGAATTTTAAGATAAGTGTAATTATACGATGCAAGTAATTGCAAATTGTATGAATTTTTTGATTGTTTTAAGAATGGTTAAGTTTGCTTTGAATATCTTTTTATTCTGTATTTAGTATACTTTTAACTTAAATAAATAATTTAATTGCTTCTTTACTCCTTAGACTTTGTCTCAAAATTATTCGAAATTTAAAACAAGAACTTAAAATGAAAAATTTTCAAGCTATTCAATGAGATGAAATCAAACATGTGATGATATTTTACATTACTGTATCATCTTGATACAGTAATTCATGTATTAAAAAGCAGGAACTCCGAATGATGTAAAATTTTTAAATCATTATCTTTCAAACAAAAGTTTGTGTAATAAAACTTTGTTTTGTTTACTATAGTAACTTTGTGTAAGTTTTATCTCGAGATTTTACTTTACGTTATCTTTTAAATTTTTTTTTACAAAATGAGGATTATCAAATTCTATATGGCTTATCAAACAGGATTCACTACTATATTTCCGGTGTGGATGTACTGGGTATAACATCGGTTACCATTTGCACCGAGATTACTATCTTTTATCTTGACTACTAACCTGAATAAAAACCTCATGTGTTGAATGCTACGATAATGCTACAATAAACAAAAATACTTCATTAAAAACTCCTGTTAAAGTTAGAATGAAAACCTCAACTAAAATTAGCTTTTCTTTTCGAGATTGAGTAGTCGTAGAAAATTCTAAATCAAGTTCAAAACACACTTACGAGTCTATTGAGTAGTAATTAATCTCTCGAGTTAGTTATATAATAAATTATTTTATTTTGATAAGCTTTCACCATTATTCATTTAAATTTGTAAATCAAATTAAGTTTTTAAAGGGACCTCCTCCGCCTTAATTGAAAAATGTTCAAGTTGTTGATGATTTTGAATTCTTTTGTAGTGATCTCAAGATATGGAAAGAGAAATTGAAAAGAATCTTCTCTAATAGTAAGTAGTCTAGTAGATTACTTAGATTTTGTACCACTTCTTTGAAAAGAAAGATTAATAATTTAACATGCTTCATCAAAACGGAAAGTATAATTACTTAAATAATTAATTTGTAGAAGAATATGACTTTGAAATCAGGATATTCACATCTCAAAAGAGAATGCTGTCTACTAGTGGAATAGTTGTGTAGAATTCACCAGAACAAAAACCGGTTAATAACAATAGAGTATACTTGATCATAAAATTCATAACTTTACTCTGAAAGTTCCTGACCCCTTGTGTTGATATTTAATCTCTGATTATTTTTTATAATAATATCCCTCGATGTTAAATTTCTTAATTAATTTTTGTACTTAATTAAAGTACTTCTTTTAATAGAAAGAGTAAACAAAAGATAATAATACAATAGGAATAGAATAATATGATTAAGTTAAAGATGTAAGTAATCTTAAATAATAGGTAATAAGTAGATAATTTAATCATATGTATTTATTCATGGACTATTGTAAGTATTATGCAAAAGATTTCCTTAAAATTTCACTTCTTATTTAATTATTATAAGAATTTTCATATATAATCTCTTCTTATACCACTTTCCTTTTTTATTTAATTTCTATACTGATTTGAGAAAAAGTATCATACTTAATCGAAATTCTTATTTCGTAAAGGAATTTAGTCTACTATAGCTTCTACTAGTTAATAGTATTAGTTCAAATTAATTATTTCATTTTCAATCGTTCAATTTATCACATTCCCACATATTCATCATTCTTCCTCGACAAGAAGTTGTTCATAATTTTCATAATAAACTTTTCTTTTTTTGATTCATTTAACTAGATTTAGATCTAAAGTAACTCCACATAATAAACTTAATATCGGAGATTTCAATTTATTAGCAGGGGAATTAGACTTTTTACTTAAAACGTGTGGATTAAACAATAGCACATACCAAATAGTTTAATTTAGAACTCACGAACTTTCAAGCAAAGTTGATATATCATTTTAAATCCATCATTTATATCACATCAATATTCATCTTTCCATCATAGTTGAAAGTTTTTTCAGTACCTCAATATAGATGTTTTCTTCATTGATACCATCTAATAAAAATATTCATACACAAAATCCGCTACCTAAAAATTTAAATTATCATTACATCATATTTTCATTAATACTTTTCAACTTCATAAATTTAACAAATGGATTAAGTTTAACTTATTGTTCAGAAGAAAATTTATCAAATTCAGATTCAACTTATAATCAATATAATTCAAATGGATTTTGTCATGATCATTGTAATAGTCAAGGATTCGCAGTTGCAATAGTAAGTTCTTATAATTGTTGGTGTTCAAATAATGTACCAAAATCAACTGTTGATTTAAATAAATGTTATATTGGATGTCCTGGTTACCCCGATCAAGAAAGTTGTGGTGGTGATGGGTTTTATGGTTATGTTATAATAAATAAACCAAGTGCTACAATAGATAATGATGATCAGAATGAAACAAGTAGTGAAACAAAATCATCATCTAAAACTAATACTCCAACCACCACTTCATCATCCAGTACATCAACTACCTCTCCAACAACAACATCAAAAACTTCATCAACATCATCAACTTCAACGTCCTCAACACAAACACAAACACCAACCACATTAATTACAAAAACAACTCAAGTAACACAAGTTCATCTGTCAAGTGATGTAGTAAAAGTAACTGAATATTATACTGTCACTCCAACACCTTCAACAACTTCCACATCAAGCTCAAGCTCTTCATCCTCATCTTCAACAGAAATTCAAACTACAACCAAGATAGAACCGTCAACTGTGTATTCAGTAATGACAGTTAATGGAACTCAATCAGAACAACAAGTAAGTACTATGTATATAACTCAAATTTTAAATGCTACAGGTTCATCTACATCCACAATGTCTCCATCAACAACAAATATAAATACAAATTCAGCAATATCATCATCAGTAGTTGCTGCTGGAGCATCAAACACATCTGATTCATTACAATCATTATCATCATCTACATCTTCATCTTCTGAATCAAGCGAGGGTGCAGGATCATTGGAAAATAACAACAACAATAATAACAATTCAAATAAAGATGCATTTTTTTCAGATAAAGGGAAAGTAGCAGGTACATTTACAGCAGTAGGAGTAGTAATTTTAGGTATTGTATCAGCAATATTTTATTGTTGTTGTTGTGGAGCATGTGGAAAAAGATCAAATTCAGATGATAATGATGGATATACAGATGAAGAAAATCAATATTCTGAAAATTCATCAGCAAATAATGATTATTATGGAGCATTAGGTGGTAAAAATATGTCATCAGAAAAAAATGGTTATATATTAAATGAAAAAAATCTTAATAATAACCCAAGTAATAATCCTCATCAACAAATGGCTTACGGTAGTAAACATTCAAGTTTTAGTTCATTGAAAAGAGATAATTCAAGTAAAACATTATTTTCATTATTTATGAATAATAACCACAATAATAATGATGAAAAAGATCATAATCAAAATATGGGAAGTACAGGAGGAGCAGGAATAAATAGAAATTTATCAAGAAAAAAATTAATGAGTAGAAGAAATAGTTCAAAAGATATAAACTATGGACATCATAGAAGTGGATCAGGAAGTTATGAAGGATCAGATGATGGATTAGGAGGAATAATGTTTCCAATAGATGAATTAGATAATAAATTAGATCCAGGTACAATGTTTTTAAATAATAATAATAGTAATTTTTCAAATAATTCCGTTAATGATGATATGAATTATTCAAGAAAATTAAAAATTACAAATCCTGATAATAATTAACCTAATACTTATAAATTGCATTCGTTCATTTAATTTGATAATCCATTAGTATACATACTTTCATTCATTCAATTATTCAATTAATTCATCAGTATATATTCATTCATTCATTCCATTGTTTTAACATTTAAATTTTTACGTTCATTTTGCATTCAATTTTTTTAATAAAGTCATTCATTTACATTAACATTAATAATAACCATTAACCAACCATTCATCACATCATAATAATAACGTTGCATTCAATTCAAATTTTTTATTACATTATTTCCAGTTTTATTTTGATTTTATATAGTATCTTTTAGAAATCTATATATAGTTAAACTTTTAGGTTTGATATTCCTTCAGACTAAGTCAATAAACAGTTAATATCATTGTCTTTACTTAACATAAAAACATTCATGCTCTTAATTAAACAGGGTGCCAAAAATTCAATTTTTGAGATTATTTAATTTAAGAGTATGAATTAAAATCTAACTAAGATGTAAGCTTTTACGCTATAAAAAATATTAATCAAATCAGTCGTAATCATTAAAATTATGCAATTTACTCTATTTAGGTAATTTAGATTTATTTTCATAATGAGGTTGAATTTCATAAGCGTTAGGTGAAGAATTTGATTTTAATTGTTGATTAGTCTTTTTTTCATTACCATTACTCTTTTCATCATTTTCACTTTCATCACTTGAATCAGAACTACTATCTGAACTTGAATGATTACAATGATGTTCATCATCTTTTAATAATTCATCAAATGATTTATTTGGATGAAATATACAACAAATTTTTGTTTTTTTTTTATTCATATTTTCATTATCTATTACATCTTCTTGCCATTTAACTTTTGGTTTTTTCTTCTTCTTGTGTTGTTTTTGTTGTTGATTTTGATTAAGTTTTAGTATTGGTTGAACTTGATTTGATGTTGATTGTATTTCTTCATCAGATGTTATTTCTTCTTCTTCTTCGTTGTCTTGATCTATCGAAACTTCTCTTGTTGGTCTTAATCGTAGTATATTCTGTTCTTGTACTTGTGTTCTAGAACCTGATCCATTTTGATGTGACATATCTATAGTATGATTATGTATTATAAGATTGAAGAATGGCTGAAACTTTGTTTGCTTTATAGATTTGTAATTTGATTTTATTATTGAGTTTTGTGTCTTAGTTTGGAAAGTCAAAAAATTTGAGTGTGAGATAAAATTTGTGTCGTAAAATAAATGTTATAGTTTTTGATTTTGCGCTATGTTCCATGTTTCAGGTTTCAACCTCTCTTCAGCTTAAATATTTGAACTCTGATAATCAGAGATAAACTTTTCAACTGATTAGAAAATAAGTAAAAGTCAAACTGCAAAACAGAAAGAGAATTAAGTAGATGCACATAATCATTTTAGCGGTGGTAGTGGCATTAGATATGAAGATTTGCAAGTTAGTTTTTATCAGATTTTGCAGCATAATAAAATAAAATGGAAAATCTCAAAAAATAATACTCATACATATCGTACCCAAAAATACATAGATCAACAAGTATAACAAAGGCAAATGTCAAAAAAGTCAACTTTCCTATTACTTCTATTGGTGATAGTTGGGAAAGTAGTATCAAATAACCTAGATGAGAAACATAAATTAATTTTAAATTCCGGAACTCAACAAACTTACTTGAAAGATGAAGAATCACCAGTACCAAAACCAAATAATTCAAAATGGCAAGAAATAATGGAATTTTCAAATTCAAAAAAATTAAAAGAAGATTTACCAAGTGAAAAATATTTTTTAGCAAATGTTAAACATTGTAATTTACCTGATGAATTTACAAATGAAGAAACATGTTATGATAACACTGACAAACAAGAAGATATTTTAAATAATGAAATTGAAAAGCAAAATGAAAATGAAGATGAACATAAACATGATACGGAATATGATAAAACAATTAATTTTGAAGTTGCAAATATAAAAGATGATGATACAACAAACAATCCAACCGATAATTTACCTAGTGAAGATACTGTTTCACCTATAAAAAATAATAATTCACCATTTGAAGCTCAAGGTACAAGAATTGATAAAGAAAAAGATACAGAGGGTTGGGAATTAAATGCAGGAGTATTTGTAGAAAAAGCAATATCAAAAAATTCAAAATTAGAAATAAGTTCAAGTGATGATGATGATGATGGTAAAGATTCAAGTAGTGATGAAGAATTTGATTGGTGGGGTAAAAAAAAGGGAATGAGAAGAAATAAATTTTTTAAATTAAATATTGATGATCGATTAAATGGTTATTTAAACTTTTCATCAAATTCTGGTGATGTTAATTATCCATTTAATGATTCTTTAATTGTTGGAAATCCAAATTTTATTAATGGTGATGTTATTATTAATCAAATTGATTCCGAAAATTTAATTGAAAAAGATTTTAAAAATTTAAAAGAAATATCATCTGAAATTGAAGAAGCTGAAACTTCAAAAAATGGTTGTGTTGGTAAGTATAATCAAGTTTTACTGATTATATATTTGTTTCTTGTCTCGTACTTGACGTTTCTAAGTTGAAATGTGAACTGAAATTGTTGTTTCATAATTGTGTCAAAAAATATATATACCAGTCAAGGTACATTTCTAAACCTGAGTTTTCTCAAATTCCTGAAATTCTAGTTAAAACAGATCTCTAAGCTCTTTTTATGAACTTGTCGGAAATTTGCATTTGTTTCAAGACCTTCGCAGTTGATAAAAGAAAGCAGTTTAATGTTTCAAATTCGGATAATTTTTCACAGAAGTAATGATATAGGAAAGAAATGGAAACGGTTGTTGGTTATGAAACTTGAATATCCTTATTGATTTCTTTTTTTATCAAAAATTTAACACGAACAACATATTCGAGTGTGGAAAAGCATGAGGCAAGTAAAAATACATATTATTTTACCTGCCTAAACATCTTTAAAAACTTATGATATAGTTGAAAGAAGGTTAATTAGCGATAACATATAAAAGTTCATGATTGTTTCTTAAAATCTTATGTTTAATGTCTCCAGTAACTTTCAATCTGTTTTAGTACAATAAAATTAATGTAACCATTAACTTACTCTATTGCTTTGTGATTTCAAAACTTCGTATATTATTTTGTTCTCCATCTTTTGTTCTTCTACACACCTTGTCCAATTTGATATATATACACCCCATCTACCATATAATCCTACAATAAGTAAAAGAAATGAAATCTTAGATTGATTAATTTCACTATTTTGTCAAGCTTTATTTATAGAATTATGACAAATATTATATAAGTCTATCAAATTCTTGTTCTTATTCTTTTCTTCCCTTTTCTTACTTATATGTTTCCTTCGTTATGTATTTGTAAATTGGTATTTAAATGTATATTGATTTTTTTCTTGGTGATATATCTTGAATTGTGGATTGAGATCTCTTGAGAAATGCTTATATTTTCCAAGTATAATTATCGAAATTGAATTCTAGTGATCAGACTAAAATAATAGAATATATTGATGCTTGACAAGTATAAGAAAGGTTCTATCAATCAATTGATTGATGTTATAACTTGAAAACTATATTTATATAAAATTAGAGTTGAAAAGTGATAAAGCGTATTGCACTACTTACGTCATAGATGTCAAAATAAAAATTATAATAATGTGTTTCAGAAAGTTTTTATACAAGCTCATATGATTAAAGATTCAATTTAAGTCAAGGTTGAAATGCAAGTTGATGCAATGATCGGGACCAAAAGGATGGATAATTCAAAGTATTCTTTATTCTCATGTTTTTTCGTTTATATTTATTGTCTTAAATACTTTTTTGCCTAACCATAACTGGCTTCGTAAATAAATAAATTAATTATGGTAAGAGACAATCTTTAAAATCTTGCATATTGTTAAACTTCTTACTTTAAGACGAACAATAGTGCGGAGTAATCAATTTAATTATAATAGAAATTACGAATTATCATAATATTAAACATGAAACTTCTCTTGATTTAGTTGTTCAAAACGAATATTTGCTATAATCTTGCCAATTTCAAAAGCGAACCAAAGATGATTTTGGAGCACTATTACTTTTTTTTCTTAACACTATTCTATTTTAAATGATGTAATTATCAAATTTGGATCAATAATTGAATGAATTATAATAATAGAATAGTAATAAAGTTTATATAAGATTATTCTCCACGATTAACTAATTCAAGCAAAAACTGAAAAATCAATCTTAAAGTTCATCGATCGTAAATGCAATCTCTGATCATCAATATTGAGGGTATTACTATGTTTTGTTTTCCTCTTTCTAGATTGTGAGGCTATGATCTTAATTTAACCGAAAAAAAAATATACAACGTGATGATACAAAATTTATCCGATAAAATTAATTTAGTCTAAACAAAAAAATTTAGTACAAGTTGGTAGCCACACCGCGAACCAAGAAAAAAAAAACTTTTTTTTTTCACACCAAAATACACGCCCTACCACTTTTAAATTTAAGTATTTGCCAAGAATACTTATCAGTAGAAACTACTACTACTACTACTACAAGAAAAAAGTATAATCTTTTTAAAGTCATTGAGCTAGCACTAACTTAAACTAAGTCGGTGGTCTATCTCACCCATTCGACCAATGGTTGACTCGTTCTCTTGCGCTAGACCATGAAACTGGCTTCATTCTTCCTTTATTTTCCTTTATAACTTATTTACTAAATTAAGTCTTCTATATAATTCACAACTTGAATACTTAAAAAATTTATTCGTAATTCTCATCTAAAATTTTTTAATCTTAATTCAAGGCTATACTAGTTGACGTTGTACTTACTCAAATTGTTATTTATCTGATGAAAATTGAGTTGAAACTTCGATCCATTCTGCTGATTCAATTGTTCAAGTCAATACTCTACTGTCTCGTTTGATCAGCTCACAGTTCCTCCAAAGGAATAAAACCCATACTACAAGTAATGTAACTAACTCAAACCCAATGATACTTTAAACTATTTAAACTTAAAATTTATTAAGGTAAGGTGATTTTATTATTACTTAAGTACTCTAGTCCTATTGTATTGTAAGATAATATTGTTTTGGTTAGTGTGTGTGTATAATCTATTTATTTTTCTTGGCCCTGGTTCCTGTATATAAAACATAGTCAATCAAAGTATAAAAATTAAATTAAATTTCCCTTTTTTTTATTTTTGTTTCTTTATAAATTTTTTTTTAATTTTGTCTCTCTCTAACTTATTATCTATCTTATCAATCAAAACCAATATATCAATCATCAACAAATCTACAACTACAAAGTAAACTACTTATCTAAAGATACACTAAATCAAAGGAACATACTAAAATTAGAAGAGTCAAAAATGAATTATAATATACATCCAGTTTCATATTTAAATGCGAACCAATATAATCAACATAATAATGGTAATAATCAACAATCATCACAACAACAGCAACAACAATCATTACATCCACATCGTCAACAACAACATACATCATTAGCTGCACAACAAAGAGGTCAAGGAGGACAATCTCATACTAGTAGTGTAATTAAAAAATCACCATCAGCTGATTTAGAAATTGATAATGTTACTTCACCATCTTCAATAACTTCATCACATTCTCCAAGAACTAATAATGTTAATGGATCACCTCATTCTTCTTTTACTTCACATTCATTAGCTAATTCCCCAATTGATACAACTAAGAATAAATTACCACCTTCGATAACTCAAGTTGAAAATGTAAATGAATCAAATAATAATACAAATACTGCCACTCAATCACATCAACAACATCAGCAAAAACAACCTCAATTAAGTGTTCCACCAGCTGTTTCACAACAACCAACCCAATTACATCCAAGTTTAAACCATATTTACAATAATCATTCATATTATCAACCACAAGCTCCAATTTCAAAATATCAGCAACAACCAACTGCCTATCAAGAATTAACAAATGATCATTTCCATCAAAGTTATTTAGGATCTACTGGTGTTCATTTACCAGGTCATTTACAACAACTGATACAACATCAACACCAACAACAGCAGCAACAAGATCCTTCTTCATCAGCTTTAAATGCTTATTCCAATCAAAAACCAGCTAAAAAAACATATAAAAAGATTAGAGAAGAAGATTTAAGAGGTCCTTTCAAATGTTTATGGGGTGATTGTAATATAATTTTTGATACTCCAGAAATTTTATATGATCATTTATGTGATGATCATGTTGGTAGAAAATCTTCAAATAATTTAAGTTTAACTTGTTATTGGGAAAAATGTGGTACAACTACTGTTAAAAGAGATCATATTACATCTCATTTAAGAGTTCATGTTCCTTTAAAACCTTTCCATTGTGATATATGTCCAAAATCTTTTAAAAGACCTCAAGATTTGAAAAAACATTCTAAAATTCATGCAGATGATAACCCTAAAAAATTAAAGAAAGCTCAAAAGCAATTATTAAAACAACAACAAAAAGAAGCAAAACAAAGACAAAAATTAACTAAAAATCATAGTGAATTATCTTATTATAACGGTATTGAAAATGAATCAAGAAAAAGAGGTTTAGATCATAATTCTCATAATGCTTATGTTGTTAATAGTATATTGAATGATTTTAATTTCCAACCAATGTCTCATGCTAATGGTTATCAACAACAACAACACCAAGCTATACAATCTGATGCTAAAAGAATGAAACCAAACTCTGAATATAATATGGATATGTTCAATAGATTGAATCATTTAGATGATCAATTACACCATCATCAACCACAACAAACACAACAACCACTTCATTATCATCCAACATATACAAATTCAGCTAATAATTCTAATATATATGAAGCTGAAAAATTCTTTAATTCTTTATCAAATTCAATTGATATGCAATATCAAAACTTATCTTCACAATATCATCATCAACATCAACATCAACATCAAACTCAACAACCAACAGCACCACAACAACAACAACAACATTCATCTACATCGAATTCAACTTCATCATCATTATATCCATCATTACCTACATTATCAAATACTACTGGTAGTTCAATATCAAAAGATATATTGGGTACTTCAACAACTGGTTCAACTACTACTGGTCATTCAAGTTATTTATCATCTTATCCACAAATTAATAGACCAATTGGTTATAATTTATCTTATGGTTCACAACAATCACATGCAGGTATGGAATATAACGGTGTTTCAGTATATCAAAAGACTGGTCAAAAACTAAATGAAGATGATGAAGAAGAAAATGAAGAAGAAGAAGAAGAAGAAGAAGAAGATGTTACATCAGAATCAGAATCAGAATCAGAATCAGAATTATCCTCATCAGAAGAAGAAGAAGAAGAAATTGATTTCTTATTCAATAACTTAACAATAAAAGATTCACAAATTGAAAAAGAAGAAGATATTATAATAAATGGTTATAATTTAAAAGATGTGTTAAAACATAAAGAAATGATTTCATATATTTTATTAGTATTAAAAGAAGAACAATTAAAGTTAGAAAAAAATAATAATAATACTAAAGAAATTAATGAACTTAATGATAATGATGTAAATGAAAATAAAATTGGTGGTGAATCTAAATTATATCCTACTATAACTGCTTTTTAGTTCTTTTTATATAATAAAATATATCGTGTGTTTTTATTAATTTTAAATATAAATTTTATGTGTCGTACTTAACTTTTTTAACTTGTAGCTTTTTCGTTCAATTTCATGAACATTACATTTGAAAATGTCTTTATTAAAGTATATTCAAAAACATGTCAATAAAAGATGTATCGTATATTCCCTGTAGATTGCTTATAAATCTAAATTACAGTCTATTAATCACTAAAAAATTGATACTATTTACATATTTAGTCAGTTTCAGGTAGGTGTTAAAGCATTTCCATTCTTTCTACTCTATAGCTTCTATAATCATTCCACCACCTAATACTTGATTACCTTTATATAATATACCACCTTGACCAGGAGCAACAGCTCTAACTTTTTCTACAAGTTCAACCACAAACGAATTATCATTTTCGAAAAATTCAATTTTTTCAATTCCAATAGGTTTAGATAATGAATGATATTGAAATTGAATTTCCAGTGGTTTAAATTTTTCAATTTTATTTAAATCATATACCCAATCATTATTTATAATTTTAAATCTTTTTTTAAATAAATTTGGATTATCATGACCTTTTACAATTACTATTTCATTAGTGGTTGGTTTTTTTTCAGAAATAAACCAAGTTCCTTTGTAGTTAGGATCACCTTGAGGCATTGAAATACTCAGTTTTTGACCAATTGTACCATGCCATAACCCAAAATGTTTACCCCAAATTTTACCATCTTCTGTTATTATATTTCCTGGATTTGGTTCAATATATTCATTTAAAAAATTTGAAAATTTTTTTGTGGTGGGATTTACAAAACATAAACCTTGAGAATCTGGTTTTTTTGAAACATGTAAATTATAATGGGAAGCTAATTTTCTTGTTTCTGATTTTAAATTATGACCTAATGGTAATATAATTTTTGATAAATTTTGAGAGGGAATTGAAGATAAATAATATGATTGATCTTTTTTTGTACTTAAACCTCTTAATAAATGAAATTCATTATCTAGTTTCATAATTCTTGCATAATGACCAGTAATTAACCACCAATTTTCTTTTTCATTTTTAAATTTTTCAGTTAGATAGTCAATTAATTTACCAAATTTAACAAATTTATTACATGAAATATCAGGATTTGGAGTTAAACCAATTTTATAATTTTCAATCATTGGATTAAATACTTTATCCCAATAATTAAATTCAAAATTAATTCTTTCACTATTTATACCTAATTGATTACAAATTATTTGAACATCTTTCCAATCTCTTTCTGTGCATGATGATGATTGTGACCAATTTGACATATATATTCCTGTTATATTTTGTTTGGGATATTTTGAAGCATATAATGCTGCACATACTGATGAATCTACTCCTGATGACATTGCTATTATGATTTTATCATTTGGTTTTGGTTCTGGTTGGATATATGATGATGAGATGATATTTAATTCTTCTTCATTAGTTGAATCATTTGTTATGTTGATTTCTTTTTGTTTTGGATAGTATGGTGTTGGTTGAATATGATTATATCGTTTAGGAATCCATCTTTGTCGTAGTATTCTTTTAATCATGTGGTGGTGATATCTATTTGGATCGTATATGATGACGCATGTATGTAAGATTTGAAATTTTTCAAATCCCGATTTGGTAGCTAGACTTGATCTAAATGTGAACCTTACAAGTTCAATCAATTAAGGCTTGTCAAAACATATATTTAAAGTCCAATTTATCATGAAAAGAATCTCAATGTAATACGATGATAAAACGTCAAAAGCTCTTGGAGATGTATTCTCGATGTGTTCTTACGCGGTTTAGCGTTCTACCGTTTTTAAGGATTTTCACAATTCCGTCAGATTTGAAAATGGGATATTTTTTTTTCAGATCGACTCCGCAGAAACAGTCCGAGATTAATTTAGTTACAACATATATATCCAAAATATAATTTAAAAAACTTACTTTGAAAGATGTCATCATTAAGAATGCCATTGAAATATCTAGATAATGCTAAAAAGATCCTATGTATAGGACGTAATTATGCAGCACATATTAAAGAATTAAATTCAGCACAACCACAACAACCATTTTTTTTTTTAAAACCAAGTTCGTCAATTTTAAAACCAAATAATGGACCATTTTTAATACCTAAGGGAGTAATTGTACATCATGAAGTTGAATTAGCTTTTATATTAAATAAAGAATTAAAAAATTTACCAGATTCATTTTCTCCGGAAGAAGCTTTAGATGCTATAGATGGATATGCATTAACTATTGATATGACTGCTCGTAATGTACAAAATGAAGCAAAAGCAAAAGGATTACCTTGGTCAATTGGAAAAGGTTTTGATACTTTTTTACCAGTTTCAAATTTTATTCCAAAATCTGAAATTCCAGATCCTTATAATGTTGATTTAAAATTAAGTATAAATGGAGAAACTAAACAAGAAGATAATACAAATTTAATGATTTTTCCAATACATAAAATTTTAAGTTCAATGTCAAATATAATGACTTTGGAAAAGGGCGATTTGATTTTAACTGGTACACCAAAGGGAGTTGGACCAATTGTTGATGGAGATACAGTTGATGCTACTTTATCAGTTGATGGTAAAGAAATTGCAAGAATTGATATAAAAGCTGAAACAAAACCAGGGTTCTATGAATATAAAGAGACTTAGAACACGTTACGAAAATTATAGACACTTTAAAGTACTTTATCAATCTATGCATTATAATACGTTTTAAATAAATATACCATCTATAGGTGGTTGAAATTGTCTAATTATAATATTTGCTTCACTCATAACTTTATGACTTTCTGCATCCATTGAATAACTTTGGGCATAAACAACTTCTTTTATCCCACTTTGAACAATCTTTATTGAACATGTTAAACAAGGACAAGTATTACAATATAATACACTTTCATCTCGTATTCTATCTCTACCTGCTTCTAATAATGCATTTTCTTCAGCATGTAAACATAAACAAGTTGATAATGATGCTCCTGATCCATGTCCCTTGTTACATCTTTTACATCCACCTTGATTACAATTTGTTAAATGTCTCGGAGTACCATTATAACCAGTTGCAACAACTCTATTTTCTCTAACTATTACACATCCTACTCTTCTTTTCATACAATTGGATCTTAAGGCTGCTAAATCCGCTAATCTCATAAAATAAGAATCCCAAGATGGTCTCAATCTTGAAGGATCTAATAAATTTAATTCTGATAATTTTATAAATAAATCTTTTATTGAAGTTGAAGTATTTATAATTTTAATTTGTGCTTGATTATTGATTTCCAATAATGGAGAATCACTATTAAATAAAAGTTCATCATTATGTCGTATAAAGTCTTCAATATCTTGTTTTTTGGATCTCTTAAATCTTAAGTGTGTTGGAGCATCGGTTGAAATATGTAAAAAAAATGGTCTTTTTTGTAAAGCTTTTAACATTGTTAAATCTTCTATATGAGTAATTACATAATTTTCTCTCCAATTTAAAGTAACAAATTCTAATAAAGAATCTAATGTTGTGAAAGTTTTATAATTTTCCATTCTTGAATAATATTTTATAACTAGTTGTTCCATTTCTTGATTTAATTCTTCTGACTCAGGCGTATCCACCATTATATGACCATTTGTATGATTTTGTTCTTCATTATGTTCATACTTTAATAATTTAAACCCTTGAAATGTTAAATACCTAGCTACTTCAGTTTTACCGGAGCTCAATGTCCCAGATATCCCAACTAACATTTGTTTTGAGTTTGAGATATATTCTTAATTAGAGACCAAATTGATGATTGCAAAAGAAATAAATTTATGCATCTAAATTAACGCGTTTATTAAGTCGCGAAAATAGAAACTAGAAATACTTTTTTACAAAGGCAGGAACGAATCTGAAATGCGTCAAAACTACATGTTTGGGAGATTCAGCTAAAATATAAATTCTGAATAATAGAGTACCCATCAATCACTTATAAATCAAGTTTACTAGTTTGATAATGAACGTTATTTGTATGGAAAGATTTTAAAAATAACAAATATTTATTGTGTTGCTTGACATTGAAATACTCTTCTTTACCTTAGAATTGCTCGAAAAATTGCCCCAGATTTTTTCAATTCTCTCTTAATTGTCCGAACCCCGACTTTATTTTACTATCGCTATATCAAATGAAATGATACTAATACAACAACTACTACTAACACTTTATCTTATTATTTCAGTCAATTGTTTAAATCATTCTGAAGGATATTGTAATACTTTTGGAAATTGTGGTAAAAAGTCAGTATTTGGTAAACAACTTCCATGTTCAAATTTCGTTAAATCTGTAAAACCAACTCAAGAATCTCAAGATAAATTACAACAAATATGTGGGAAAACATTTGATTTTGTATGTTGTTCACCAGAACAAATTGATGAATTAGAATCAAATTTAAAACGAGTAGATCCAATTTTATCGTCTTGTCCAGCATGTCATAAAAATTTTTATGATTTCTTTTGTGAATTTAGTTGTTCACCAAATGAATCTCAATTTGTTGAAATTGTTAAAACTGAAAATGCAAAAGATACAGGTAAAGAAATTGTAACAGAAATAAATCAATATGTATCTCCTAAATTAGCTAAAAAGTTTTACGATTCATGTAAAAATGTTAAATTTCTGGCTACAAATGGATTTGCAATGGATTTAATTGGAGGTGGAGCTAAAAATTATTCACAATTTTTGAAATTTTTAGGTGATGAAAAACCATTATTGGGTGGATCACCTTATCAAATCAATTTTAAATATGAAATATCATCAGATGAATCAGAGTTGAAATTAAGAGATGATATAATGTATGATTGTAATGATGAAAAATATAAATGTTCATGTACAGATTGTGAATCTTCATGTCCTAAATTACCAAATATTAGGAACTTGAATAAAAAATGTAAAATTGGAATATTGCCTTGTTTTTCATTTTCTGTCTTGATTGTATTGATAGTATTAATTGCCTTATTAGGTGGATATCATGTTTATTTGGCAAAGATTAGAAGAGAAAGACGTACTTCATGTCATGATGACGATGATGATTTAGATGAAATGATAAGTCCATCTTATTATGTTACACTTAAACAGCCGATAATTCATTCATTTTCTGAAAATTTGAATTCACAAATTGAAAAAATGTTTGAAAACATAGGAAAATTTTGTTCTACATATCCTGGTATTTCAATTGGAAGTAGTTTATTAATTGCAATATTATTATCTTTGGGTATGTTCAATCTAAATTTAGAAACAGATCCTATCAATTTATGGGTAAGTCCAAAAGAACCAGCTTATTTAAATCAAAAATACTTTGAATCTGAATTTGGAGAATGGTTTAGAATTGAACAGGTAATCGTAAGCACTAAAAATCAAGAACCTATTTTTAATTGGAGAACAATCAAATGGTGGTTTGAAGAAGAACAAAAAATTAATAATGAAGAATTATCTGAAATTTGTTTCAAACCATTAGAAGAGACATGTGCAATTGAATCTTTTACTCAATATTTTCATGGTGATTTGAATGAATTGAATGAACAAAATTGGGAAAGTAAATTACAAAGCTGTTCTGATTCTCCAATCAATTGTTTACCAACGTTTCAACAACCTTTGAAACCGACATTGTTATTTGACAATAATGATATACGGGAAGCAACAGCATTTACAGTCACAGTTTTGGTAAACAATAATAAGCACAATAATCTGTTGGCTATAGATTATGAACATAAGTTTCAAAAATGGGCAAAACATCTTCAAGAGAATGAATTAGGATTAACTGTTGCATTTAGTACTGAAGTTTCATTAACTGAAGAACTTAATCAATCTTCTAATACTGACGTTAGAATTGTTGTTATTTCTTACATAGTAATGTTCATTTATGCTTCATTAGCACTTGGTGGTAAATTACCAAATAGATCAATACAATCATTAGTGAAAACTAGATTTACTTTAGGATTAAGTGGTATTATTATAATCTTATTATCAGTAACTTCATCAGTTGGATTTTTTTCTATCATTGGACTCAAATCAACTTTGATTATCGCAGAGGTTATTCCTTTCCTCATTTTAGCTATTGGTATTGATAATATTTTTTTAATTGTACATGAATTACATAAAATCACAGAAACTGAACCAAAACTAGATTTAAAAATTCGAATATCAAGGTCTTTAAAAACTATAGGTCCATCATGTTTGATAAGTGCTGTTTTACAAGTATCTATGTTTTTATTGGCATCAACTGTTGATATGCCAGCAGTTAAGAATTTTGCAATTTATAGTGCAGGCGCTATAATAGTTAATTTTGTTTTACAAATGACTTGTTTTATTGGGTTATTGACTTTAGATCAAAAAAGAATTGAAGATGGTAGAGTTGATTGTGCACCATGGATGAGGATTGCTCCAATTAGATTGGAAGAAGATTTGGATACTGATAATAAACATTTGGAATATAATTTTTCATCTTACATTAAGAATAAATATGCTCCATGGCTTTTGGGTAAAACTGTTAGACCTAAAGTATTGACTATTTTCATATTATGGGCAGGTATATCATTAAGTTTATTTCCAAACATTCAATTTGGATTAGATCAAAGATTAGCAATGCCAAAAAATTCATATTTAATCAATTATTTTGACTCGGTATATGATTATTTCAATACTGGCCCACCTGTATTCTTTGTTGTTAAAGATTTAGATGTTAAAGAAAGAGCAAATCAACAAGAATTATGTGGTAGATTTTCAACTTGTGAGAAATATTCATTAGCTAATATATTAGAACAGGAATTTAAAAGATCAAAAAAATCAATGATTGCTGAACCAACAAGTAATTGGTTAGATGATTTTTTAACTTGGTTGAATCCTGATTTAGATCAATGTTGTAGATTTAAAAAATCAAGTTTGGTCTTTGACAATAACAACAATGAACCAGAATTTTGTCCACCATACGCTCCTGATCGTCAATGTCAATCATGTTATGATAAACATGACCCACCATATAATCCAGATATGAAAGGATTTCCTCAAGGTGAAGAATTTATGTTTTACTTTAATCAATGGATACAAGAACCTAGTGATCCATGTCCATTAGGTGGTAAAGCACCATATTCAAATAGTATATCAAGAAATTCAACAAATATAAAATCAAGTTATTTTAGAACATCACATACTCCATTAAGATCTCAAGATGAATTTATATCAGCTTATAAAAATTCAATTAGAATAGTTGAAGAAATTAAAAATTATACCGGTCTTGATTTATTTAGTTGGTCACCATTTTATATCTTTTTTGTACAATATTTAAATATCATTAGTTTAACATTCACTTTAATTATTGGTGCATTATTATTAATTTGGATTGTTTGTTCATTATTATTAGGTTCAATAAGAGCATCAACTTTAATGATTATTACTATTATTTCAATAATGATAAATATTGGTGGTGTTTTAGCTATTTGGGGAATATCATTAAATGCAATAACATTAGTAAATTTAATAATATGTTGTGGATTAGCGGTAGAATTCACAATACATTTAACAAGAGCTTATGTTATAGAGACTTTTTCAACAGAAGATATTCAAAGACAAGGAATTGTAAATAAAAATCATCAAAAAGCTTTTAATTCATTAGTTAAAGTTGGTGGTTCAATATTAGGTGGTATTACATTAACTAAATTTATTGGTATTTCAATTTTAGCATTTACAAGATCAACAATTTTTGAAGTATATTATTTTAGAATGTGGTTTTCATTAATTATTGTTGCTGTATTACATTCCTTGGTTTTGTTGCCAGTTTTATTAAGTTTTTGATATGGTGAGTTCAAATTCATAATCAGGTTGTATAGCCGTTTATCATTTATTAGTTCTGCTTTTCATTTACATAGAATATGAAACAAATACATTTTGTAACCAAAAACTTAAAATTCTCGTTACAAAAGTAAGTCTTTTGTTAACTAGTGCGGTATGGATGTCTGTTGCTTATTGTAAGGTGAGTTTTGTATCAAACTAATTTACGATCACACATTTCCTAATTCGTTTAAATACTTGCTAAATTGAGTTAGAAAAATTCACCCCACTAAAACAACAAATGAAAAAGAGCAGTGAGCTACCACATTAACTAGTTATTTTTAAAATAGTTACGTAGACTTGTAATCGATTGAAGCAACCCTAGAAGTAAAGATAATTGTTGAGACTTTTGAAAAACATAAGTTTCATTTGGACCGTTTAAGCTTTGCAACGGGCCATACGTTTCTGAAATGTAGTATCTAAGACATTGTCCTCCAATCTTTGTACAATTACTAATTCAGTAGCTTGTTCTTTATTTGGCATAGTTTCGAGCAAATTAAGCTAAATTTCTGATTGCATCACAAAACTTAAATACTTTGCTACAAATGAGACTAATAATTAACGAAGCAATGTTCAGTATAGCTTGAATAAATCACAATTGTTGGACCATGATTGAGCTTATTGAGTTGAATAATCATCGGAAGTGATGAATCAAGCATTATTATAATTGTAATAATGTTAATCCTATTCAAGTAATTGTAAACAAAGAGATACGATTGATTTGATATAATAGTTTATTATATTTTGATCTTGAAAAACCTCATAGTATTAATATTTATATCATTCAATCAACTAATTTAATGACCATTTAAACTGTATTAGTATTCGAATACTTTTGTTCTAAATTTATTTTTTCCTTCCTTTTCTTAATAGTCTGATATTAAACGCTAAGTAATTTATTTACTGAAATAAAAAAAACGAAATAAAACCAGACAAACAATACTTCTTACATTTTTTTTTTTTTAATTGTTATAATAATTACAAATTAATCTTACTTAAGATAACATTAATCAATACCATCGCACATGTCGGTTCATTATGAGTTTAAATGGTATGTACTGATAGGAGCCTGACTCAATTCAATTGAGTGGGTAACAAAGTTTCAATTTACCTTGACGGATATATCAATTTTAAAGAAAAAGAATGGGGAGAAGAAACGGCTGGCTCATAATTTTTGGTTGAGCAGCACTAGTACAACTAACTTTGAGAACATGGAGACCCAAGTCATTAGCATTGAGCTAGTTGGTAATATATCCTTGTTCAATTGACAATTCAGCAGCATCAATTGACGAGTTAAGTCAGGTAGTGGCTCTAATCCACAATTTAATTCAATTTCAAATACTAACGTCATTGAATTTTAGGCCAAAGGGTCCAGAAGATGTTATTGTTACAGGTACTTTTGATAATTGGTCTCAATCATTACCATTAGTTAAACAAGTCGATGGGTCATTTTCAATTCAAGTTCCATTACCACCAAAAAAGGAAACTATATTCTATAAATATGTTGTTGATGGAAAATGGGAAGTTAATCCAGATGAAAAAATTACAAAAGATTTTGAAGGAAATGATAATAATATTTTAGAAGCTGAGGATTTGGTTGATTTATTAGTTGTGCCGGGGGCTTTGATTCCTGAATCTGGTTTAAAAACTAAAACTGTAAACCATGATAACGAACTAAAAGATGATTTAAAAACTACTGTATTACCAAAAGAAGAACCCCATCATTCTACTATTAGTGGTGAACCAGGTATTTATGTTCCAAGAGGTAATGATGACGTTTCAGCATTTGAGAATTACGAAGATACAGATGCAAGAGCAAAAGAATTAAATGCAAATGTTAGTGAGGTTGGAACTGCTAATGCCCCAACAACCAATGAGCAAAATCAATTCTCATCACGTGAAACCGAATCAACACCAGCCACTTCAGCAGCTCCAATATTAATTGCAGAATCTACTGCTATTGCTGATCCAGCTACAGGAATTTTACTTGAAGGAACTGAAATCACAGAAGTTATTCCAGAAACAGAAGACATTAAACCTGATTCCACTTTAACCGATTCAAGTGTAACAGCATCATCAGCCGCAGGATTAACTCCAGAAGAAAAGGAAAAACAAAAGAAGAAAGTCAAAAGAACTAAATACAAAGCGAAAAAGAAAGCCAAAGCAGCTGCGTTAGCCAATGGAACTACCCCAACCGGAGCAGAAGATGAAATTGAAGAAGTTGATGTTGAAGATGATGATGAAGAATTAAGTCCAGAATCAGAACCAGTATTAATAGCTACTGGTAATGATGAAACTAGTGCAGATTATCTTGGAGCTCAACCCAAAGTAACTGAAAAAGAATTAGCAAAAGAATCTAAAGAAAATACAGAATTGAATAAAGATGTTCGTGAAGAATTTGAAGATCCAAAGGAAAACGATCATTCAACTGCTAAAGCTTTAGGTGCTGCTGCCTTAGGAGGTGCTGGTGGTGCTGGTTTAGGATCAGCATTAGCACCTGATACTACTGCTGATGCTCAAAAAGATAATGTACATGGTCCATTCTCAACTTCAAAAGAGGCAAGAAATTCGATATCACCAGAGCAAGCCAAAAAACCATCTTTAGTTGATGGAGTTGTTGATGATAAACATCCAAAGACATTAGATCCAAAAGCTGGCTCTCAAGCACCAGCTGCTGGTACAACTGCACCATCCACATTGGCATCAACACCAGTCGTACCTCCTGTCACAGGATCAAACATAGATGCTGGTGAAGGAAAAGAAGTCAATGCTTCACCTGTTGCCAAAGGTCAAGTTCCAACTTCAGCTGACAATCAAGAAGAAGAAATTATTATTGCACAAGGTAATAAAAAAGATATTCTTGCAGCTGTTGAAGCTACAGAAGGTCCAAATGTTGAACTTGAAGAAATAAAACCATCAAAATCTGAACAAGAAAAATTAACGAAAGAAGCTCAATTAGCTGCTCAAGTTGATGGCCCTATAACAATTGAACAAGTCACAGTGCCAGAAGCTCAAGTTCATCCTACTACTGCAGCTACAAAAACAACACCAACCAAAGCTGAAGGAACCACCCCAGCAACTAAAGAGTCAAAAGCTTCATCAGTACCAATCAAATCAAAATCTAGCAAAACACCAGCTAAAGAGTCTTCCACAAAAAAACCAACAGATACCAAAAAGACTGCTGCTAATGGTAAAAAAGCGGAAGAAAAGAAAGGTTTTAGAACCTTTTTGAAAAAAGTCTTCTCTTAATCTTCATAATCTTCAAATAACATTTTAATTTACTTATTTCTACTTTAATATTTTTTTTATCTGTCATTATTAAATAAAGTAATAATATAACTTAATATACTTCATTATAACTTGAATTAATACTCAATTGATTATCGAGATCCTTTGCGTGCACTTTGTTCAGGAAAATTAAAGTCAAAACACGATGCAAAATAAAATATCCAAAAAAAAATTATTTGTTAGTGCTTGCCACTTCTTTTCTCAACATATCAAATACCATACAAGATGGAAAATCAACCTACAAAACAATTATTTGTTAGACCAATTCCTTATGGAACTTCAGAAGATGAAGTAAGAGATTTTTTTAATGAAGTTGCTCCAGTTACTGATATTAGATTAATGGAATCTTATGCATTTGTTGGATTTGAAAATGAAGATGATGCAGGAAAAGCTTTAGATGAATTAAATTCTCAAATTTTTAAACAAGAACCTTTACAAATTGAATTTGCTAAAGAAAGGAAAGAAGATACAAGAGGTAAATATAGATTAAAAATTACTGGATTACCTGATAATGTTGCTTGGCAAGATATTAAAGATTTTGTTAGAGATAAAACTTCAAAAGAACCAAATTATGTTAAAGTTTTTAGAGATTATGAAACTGGTGAAAATAGATGTACTATGCAATTTGAAAGTGCTGAAGATTTAGAAGAAGCTATTCCATTATTAGATAAAACTGATTATAATGGTGTTGAAGTTGGTGCAGAAGAAGATACTTCACCTTATTTCCCACCAAGAAGAGGAGGTTTCAGAGGTGGATTCAGAGGTAGAGGTGGATATGATGGTGGATTCAGAGGTAGAGGTGGTTATGATGGTGGATTCAGAGGTAGAGGTGGATATGGTGACAGAGGAGGATTCAGAGGAAGAGGTGGATTCGATAGAGGAGGATTTAGAGGTGGAAGAGGGGGCTTTGGAGATAGAGGAGGATTCAGAGGTGGAAGAGGAGGTTACGGAGATAGAGGTGGATTCAGAGGAGGTAGAGGTGGCTACGATAGAGGTGGAAGAGGAGGCTATGATAGAGGTTATGACAGAGGAGACAGTTATGGTGATAGACAAGGATCTTATAACAGAGAAAGATCACCAACTCGTTTTTAGAGATCTTAGTCAGATGTGATATGTTGAATAGTTTAAGATTTGGGATCATAATAAAATTTAAGTAGTGAAATGGATCAAAAGAATTTTAAAAGAAAATGTTTTTTGTTTATTTTTTATTGGAATATTTGTATTAGTCAAAAAAAGAGAAAAAATTTATATGTATTGAGAAATAGAATGTAACAGAGTAAATGATGGAGAGAAATTGGAAGTGAAGTGAACGTTTTATTGAATCTTGGAGTGGAGTATTTTGTTTTCTAAAAATTTTGAATTATTTTTAATCATCATGAACCTTATTTTGAGTACTTTTGGGATTAATCATTAATTTTCCTGTTTATTGAGTCCTTATCGATAGGTACTATCAGACATAGCAATCTTTTGATTTTTTGAGTCTTGTTAAAAAGGTTAATACGAGATTTGATACTTGACGTATCAATCATTTCGTTTACTTTTTTGGCAAATTTGAAAAATTAAAAAAAGCTGTTAAACTTTCATGAATATTTCCGATCTATGTGCACCATAAATATCATCATGTTTGCCCCAATTTCCAGTTAATAATGTAAAACCAATATCCCAAATTACGAAATAATCAATTAACAATTTAGTTTGTGACATGGACAATAATTCATCTTGTAGTGATTGAACAATTATAATTGAAGTGTTCTTATCAATGTTTGGTTTTTTAAGTAAATTTATAGATTCATCTGCTTCATCAAGTTTGGAAAATGCGTCATTAACGAACGATATATAAGATGGATATTCATTTAATAATTCTTCTATATCGTAAATTCCATCAAGAAATTTAATTGAGTTGAAATGAATTGGAGATTTTCGATCATGTAAATGCTGAATTAATTGTAGACAAATCGTGGCGCCTACTGAATAACCCATTAGATGAATTTTTTTATATTTGTAATTAAAATGAATGTAGCTTAATGCCGTATACACGTCCAAGTAATGATCTGGGTGTTTGACTTCTGGTGATAGTCTATAATTTATTCCAATAAATGTTGCTTGAGGATTGTTTTCAGCAACAGTTTTTAATTCATCGTATGTATTATTGGGATCTCTCCAAGCTCCTCCGTGAATGTAGATAAACGTGTTTTCATTATTGTCACTGTAGTTCCATACTTTTATCTTTTGTAGTTCGTGATCTCCATATTCATAAACTGACATTCTTTATCACTTGATGTTTGATACTAATGATATTTAAAGTCGTGTTTTGGATAATCTGGTATCACTTTGTTTGTGTCTTAGCATTAAAAAAAAAAATTGTGAAATGAAAAATTTGTGTGAATAGAATTGATCTAATACAACATCATTAATCTACATTAATCTTCATCGTACTGAATATAAGTACTCAAACATACATATATATTTATAATAAAAATATGTCAACTGCGTTGGAGTCTTGGGCAGATGCAGGTGATGAATTTTCTGCACCAGCTGATATCATAAACAATCCAGATGGAACTAAAACGGTAATAACATTCAGAACAAATCAAGATGGTAAAAAAGTTAAAATAACTCAAAGAATAAAAGAAGTAAAAGTACAGGAAAGAGTTCACCCTTTAATTGCTCAACGTAAAAATTGGTCAAAATATGGGAAAGAAAAAAATAAACCTGCTGGACCAGATACAAGTACTACACAATTAGGTGAAAAAGTTGAATTAAAATTAGGATTATCATGGAAACAAATTGAAAAACAAGAAGAAGAAGATAAAGCTCAAGAAAGAGCAAGTAAAATTTCAGTACAAACTATTAAATGTAGAGTTTGTGGTGGAGATCATTATACAACAAAATGTCCATTCAGGGATACTTTAGGAGCAACAACTGCAACAGGAACTCCAGAACCAGAAGGAGAAACAAAAGAAGATACACCAGGAAGATATATACCAAGACATTTAAGACCAGATGCAAATGGTAATATACCAAACAAAGAATTAAGAGATGATTCAACAACTTTAAAAGTTTCACAATTAAATAATTTTGTTGATGAAGATATGTTAAGAAATGAATTATTTGCAAGATTTGCACCATTACAAAGAGTTACAGTTGTTAGAAATAGAGAAACTGGTGAAAGTAGAGGTTTTGCTTATGTTAGTTTTATAACTGAAGAAATGGCACAAAAGGCTTTAGATTTATTAAATGGGAAAGGTTATCATTCATTAATTTTACATTTAGAGTGGTCTAAGAAGAAGAAAACTTAAATGTGAGTGAAGAGTATGATCATGATGTATCGAAAATTGTGTAATTGTATACTAGTCGAACAAATATTACTAAAATTTAGTCATTCGTAGCTTAATCAATACATTTCTAGCTTATCCTCTTGCATAATTATCCGCCACTTTTAAAACACAGGCCATAGACACCTTCTTTACTCGAGTAGTTAAATCCTTTTACGAATATTACAAAGAATAATAATTTTGCGCAGTGATTCAGTCATTATATTTACGGGGGTTACAATAAGTTAGCTAAGCCCGAACGTTATAAAATTTTACTTCGTATCGGATTTTTGATTTCTTTAGGATAACGGAAGTATTAACTTGAGTTTTTTCTAATCAATTTCGGTGATAAAATAATTTGTCACAATACTGAATAATTTTCTCTCGTTTAAAGAACTGATTTACGGAGTTTAAGTAAGTTTCATTTTAATAATGAAACTTATGGTGAATGATTAGAAATGAGATGACATTGTTTTGGTCCGAATAAGGACTCAATGTCTAAGAAATCCGTTTCAGTAATTGCTAAAATCCCAAGAAGAAAGATTGAAGGAAATGTAGAAGTAAAAGTAATTTGGTAGGAACGGAAAGAAAGAGAGCAAAGTAAGAAAAATTAAATATAGATTATTTCATTTATATTAATAGATATATATAGTGTATGAAAAAGTTTAAAAATAGATATACACACACACTAATTGAAATACTCCATTTTTTATATATAATTAAATTAGACATCATTCATTTCACTATACATCTTTCAAATTTATCTATAAAGTGATCTATATCATTTCATTACAATATCGAACTCAAATTTTGAATACAGATAAGTCGGAACTTGCTAATTTAATCTAAACGACAATAGACTAATTGAAAAATTAAAGTTTTAAAGTTTTATTCGATTTTCCTTTTTATTATTCAATTTTAATTCTAATTTCAAGTTGTTTGATCCTCTTGGCTGCAAGTGAATTGAAATAGTTACTTCATTATAGAAGTAGAAGAAGAAGAAGTTTGGCAAATTACAATCGGGATAGTAAAGTATAATAGTACTCGAAAACTTTTTGGTTTTGGGAATTCATTTATCAATTAGGAGGAGTATTTGTATAAAGAATGGTTCATTCAATAAGTCTGTCTCCGTCATCATCTACAATTGGCTCACCAAAAAGTAAAAAGAATGGATTTTTTAATAAACTAATCAAGAAAAAAGATAATCCGTCAAGAAATTCATCAATAAATGGAAGTAGTAATAGTAATACTACAGCAAATACATCAACTGAAAAATTACAAAAAGTCTTTACTCATGGAAGTAGTCGGAGTAGTCGAAAAAGAGACCTAAGTGAAGGAAGAGGTATAGAAGGTGATAATGATTCATACATATATAATGATGAGGATGGAGATGTAAATACTATGATGGATTATGATTCAGATTTATCATCCGCTGGGTCCCTTGGTAGATCACTTTCAGTATCAAGTAGAGTAAAATCAAATACAAAATTTGGAAATTATGAGAATCATAGAGTTGATGAAAGAGTATCATTCCCAAGTGTTGATGAAACTTTATTTTATTCAGATTTACCAACTTTAAATTTAAGAGAAGATGAAGAACCTCCTTGGGTTGGATTAACTTATGAATCATTCTTAACTCCAAAATATGTTAAAGTTTCAAGAAGAAATAAACAAAGTCCCAGACTGTTGAATCATTTATTTTTAGCTCAAGAATTAAATGTTGAATCAGAACTGAATGATGATGATTCAAGAAATGGAGAAATTTATACAATGAGTTTTAGTAAAGATGGGAAATATTTAGCATGTGCAGGGAGAGATGCAATTTTAAGAGTTTATAAAGTTATATCTTCACCATTAGCAAGATTAGAATATAATCAAAATGAAAAAAATTTAGGAGGTGTAGGAGGTAAAGAAGTTCCACGAAGTAATAAGAGAGATTTTGTATTTGATCCGGCACCTGTTTTCCATACAACACCTTCGGAATATAAAGGTCATACAAGAAGTATATTATCATTAGCATGGAGTAAAAATAATTTTATAATTACGGGAAGTATGGATAAAACTGTTAAATTATGGCATGTCGATAGACCAAATTGTTTACAAACGTTTCAACATGAAGATTTTGTTACAGCAGTTGAATTTCATCCATTAGATGACAGATTCTTTTTAAGTGGTTCATTAGATAATGATGTTAGATTATGGTCAATTTTAGAAAAAAGTGTATCATTTAGTAGAAACTTGGGGGAGGATGTATTAATTACTGCATTAGCATTTTCACCAGATGGTTTGAATTGTATTGTTGGTGGGTTTAATGGGTCTGTGTTTATATTGGAGACTAAAGGATTACATATAGTAAACAGAGTTGAGATTAAAGAAAGATCAATTGCTCATCCATTTCATGATAAATCTAATGGTAATAAAATCACTGGTATACAAGTATTTGAAAATCCTTTGAAGAAAAATTCAACTGATTTAGAAAAATGGACTGTGTTGATAACTACTAATGATTCGAAAGTTAGAATGATCAGCACTGACAAGAAAAAACTTATAACTAGATTCAGAGGATTGACCAACAATTCTTCATCAATTGCTGCATCAAGTAGTGATGATCACAAATATATCATATCGGGTTCAGAAGATCATTATTGTTATGTATGGGAGAACAACAATAGCATTATCAATAATAAATTAAGACAATCACTTAGAGATTTTGTTATAGATGGTAAACAACAAATTAATGACTTTCATCATAAATATGAAAAATATACTAGACTTATTCATTCAAACAAATTCTTGGGTAAATTATTAGAAGATGATGATAAACAAGATTATATTTCAAATGAAAATAATAGTTATTCATGTTTCCATGCTCATCATTCAAGATGTAATGTTGCTATTTTTGCACCAGAATCAACTAAAAATTCATTACAATTATCTGATGATTTAGTATTTGATTTATATAAAAGAGGTCAAGCTTGTAGAATGGATCCTTCTAAATGTTGTTGCCCTAATGCAAAAGATCATAAACATGAAGAAAATAATGGAACTGGTGATATAATAGTTACAACTGATCAATATGGTTTGATTAGAGTATTTAGACAAGATATTGCTTGGTCAATTAGATCACAATTTATCGAAGTGCATAAAAAATGTCAAGCTCATAGAAATGACCAACATCAACAATGTATACAAGATGGAAAACCAATTTTAAGAAATAAATCAAATGGTGATGGACCAAGCCCTACTAGAGGAGGCTTTGAAACTTCAAAATCAATCAAACCAATACTTTCTTCTAAAATTTCAAGTCCTTCTCATACTTTTACAAATTATACTTATAGTCCACCACCACAAAATAATATTTCACCAATTAATATTAAAGTTGATGATTTAGGAGGAGTTTATTCATCACCTCAAAATAATATTAGTCAACTGACTTTAAATGCTGTGCCTAATGAACATGCACAACAATTTGAAAGAGGTGAACAATTTCCACCAGTTAATAGTCAACTTGATTTAACAAATGGAGAAGCTCAAGCTCAAGCTCAACCACAAGTTCAGCCACAACCACAACCATTACGGTTTGAATCTACTGATAGAGGTAGAATGAATTAATGAAATTGTTTTTCCTATTCATGTCACGAAATTTACATCTTTTTTCAAAATTTTTTAGTTCTTTATTCATTATATAGTACAATTTTTATTAGAGGTTATTTATTGAGATATACTTATAATTTTGTATAAAATTTTTTCAACACTCTCTATTCTCAACTAACCTGACCAAAAAGTATATTCTTTTGGTTTACTCACACTTAATGGTATTCCTGTATTTTCATTTGTATCAATAGCTGAATCAATTTGCATATTATCTTCATTTATAATAGTTGGTTCTTTATTAGTTGAATTATTATTTAATCCATTATTTAATTCAAATATTTTACTTGGTTCTAATAAATCATTTAGTATTTCTTTTAATTCAGGTTTTTCCTTTTTTAATTTTTCAATTTTATCAATCATAGTCCACCTTTCTAATAAATTTTTTTGTCTTTCTTTATTTAATTGATTTGTAACTTCAATTAAAGTATCCTGTACATCATTTATTTTATTTAATTTTATATTTACTTTTTCAACTGTTAATTCCACTATTTGATCAATTAAATTGGTTTGTTCTTCTATTGAATTCGATTTATTAATTGATGCGTTTGATTGTATAAGTTCTGTTCCATCTTTTGATTCTATTAATTTTTGTACAACTTCTTCAATCAACAGTCTTTTATCAAATTTTGGTTCATCTTTAACTAATTTAGTTAAAAATTGATCTTCTATAGGTAATTGTAAAAATTTTTTTAAACAATGTTCTCTACTTTTGGTTCCAACATGTTCACTGATTTTATCCCATTGACCATTTGTATTAATATTCATTTTGATATTTGAGGTTACAGTTGGATCATGAGTTCCATACATTTCAATACCTTCTAAAAGTAAAAGAGTTTCTTGTTCAGTCCAATTTTTAGAATCTTCTAATTTTTTTAATTGAACAAAATCTGATGAATTAAAATTCAGTGGGAATAAACCTTGATCATAACATATTGAACATAATATACTTATATTATTTGAATTTTGATTATATGAATATGATTTTATTTTTAAATTATGATATCTTACTTCAGTAGTATCTTTCCCACATACACTACATGAATAATGAGCAGAACTTTGTGGTTTAAAATCAAATTTTTTCTCTCCAGTTTGATAAATATCTCTTCTTATTTCCATATTAAATTCAATTGGTTGATCTTTTTCTATTGTGGTTTTAGTTTCATTATTTGTAATCACTTCTGCATCTTCAGGTAAATAAGGTATTATATTATCTGGTGCATCTAAATTTATTTGAAAATGCCCAGTAAATTTTGGACCTAATAATGATGGTTTGGTTTTTGGATCTATTTGATAATTTATTAACCCCCATTTTTCTAAAAATTGATGAATTCTAATAATATTTGTAACATCACCAGATAATGATCTTCTCGCACTAGTTATAGTTAAATATTCTTTAGGATTTAATCTAAATGTATTCACCAAAAAATCACGAATATATTTATAAGTGTTTGGAGTTTTATAAATAGCTGCATCATCGAAAAAATCCGGAAATGATTTTTTTTCAATTTGATGGATTTTAGTTAAATCAAACCATTTAGCGAATGTTGGAATTATTATATGTTGTGATTGTTCCGCTAAATATTGTTGTGCTTTTTCTTGAAATTCTTGTTGTAATTTTGTTAAATCTATTTCTGGTGTTGGTTCTTCAACTTTGACTTCCTCAGTGGTAGTTTTTATCACATTTTCTAAATCATCTTGTATTGGTGTCGGACTCGGTTCTACTGCTGGTGATTCATTTGACATGTTGTATATGATTTATGAAATTTTTTCGAATAATTTCTGTGTTTATATATTATCGGTATTATTAGTTTGTTTATGATTAATTATGATTTTCTTCATCTTCAATGAAATTTATTTTTTCTGCTGTTCAATTATTGAGTCAAGTTACACTACTTTTGAATGCTCTCTGTCTTCATTATATGTATAGACACAATAATCAATGTTTCTGCTGTCAGTTTCTCTCAAGCAACTACGATAGAGGGGTCAATCGACAACCAGATGCTTGATAGAAGGAATAATTGTTAGAGTCAAATCAAAATACGACTGATTTTGAAAACTTGATCACTATAGTTTAAAAAGAAAATTGCGCTACCAACTTCTACTCTTTTTTTCTAAATCAAACATAAACAACGCGTCTGTTATAGATAATTATTTTACAACCACTTTTATATTAGATTTAATTCTTTACAACTCAGTACATATTCACAATTATGGTCGTAACTAGATCAAAGCGAACAAGAAAAGAAGTTCTGTATAAGGATGTTAGTGACGCAGAGGATGGTTCAACCTCACCATCAACTGAAACCAATAGAGTAGAACAAGTTGCAGCAACACCAACAGCAACAACAACAACAACACCAGCAAAAACAAAGACTAAAACAAAAACCAATACCAATAACAAAAATAAACGTCGTAAAGTACAGCCTTCAACATTAGAAGAAGATTTTGAAGAGAATCCATTATTTTTAGCATGTTCAAATGAAGAAGTTAATATATATGATTTAGCACAAGAATGGATTGAATCATATGAAGAAGAAACTTTACCAAATTTAAAAAATTTTACAAATTTAATGAATTTAATATTAAGAAGTTGTGGATCTTTACATTTATTTCAACCTCATGATCTTTTAAATTTAGATAGTTCGGAACAAACAATTGAAGAAATTACAATGATTTTTAGTAATCAATCAACTCATAAATTTGCTTTTAAATTAGTTCCAATTTTTAAAAAAAATGTTATTGAATTATTTAAAAAAATTATTGAAATTTCTCATGAAAGAGGTATATTATATGGTACTGATGAATTAATGAATTATTTAATTACATGGATTACAAATTTAACTAAATCAAGTATTAGATCATTACGTTATACATCAACAGAAATTGCATTAGTCATATTATTACAATTTAGTACAATTTCACAATCAATTGATAAAAATTTAGAAAGATCTAAACAACATTTGATTAAAAATAAACAAAAATCAAGAGCTAAAACTATTCAAAATACTATTGATAATTTTGAAGATCATATACAAAAACTTGATGAATATTTTGATGATTTAAGTGAAGTTATTGGAAGTAGATATAAAGATGTTGATCCATCTATTAGATCTATTGTTGTTAAAAATTTAATTGAAGCAATGATTGAATATCCATCATATTTTTGTCAAAGTGGTTATTTAAAATATTGTGGATGGTTATTAAGTGATACTAATAATAATGTAAGAAAAGAAATTACCAAGAATTTAGCTAAACTATTTAGATCAAGTCATTCAAAAGAAGAATCAGTTCAAAATCTTACACCTTTCACTCAGAAATTTAAATTATTATTAATTAATATGTCTCAAATCGATAATGATGCACAAGTTAGATTAAATTGTTATACTATATTAATTGATACGATGAAATTAAATTTATTAGATGATGAAAATAAAATTCAAATAGTTACTGGTTTCCCATTTGAATCAAAATCATCTAAAGAAATTACTGAAGCTATTAAATTTTTAAAATTATATATTGATCAAGAAAATGATTCAGTTTTGGAAAATTCTATTGTATTAGATTCAAATCAATTTAAATTAGATGAAATTGAATTAAAAGAATTAATAAAAATTAAAACATTAATATCTGTATTAAAACCAATTAGTGATAAAGATTTGAATATAATTTTTAAAGAAATGAATGATGTAACTGATGTTAAATATATGGTTAAATATTTATTAGCTGATATTGATACTATTACAGCTACAACAAATGAAGAAGACGAAGAAGTATCAAATGAAGATATCGAAACTGCAAAAAAATTAATTGAATTAACAGAAAATGAAAAATTATTAATTTTAAAATTAATAAATTCAACATTTCAACAAAATCCAACATTTATAATAAATAATTTACCAAATTTACAAAAATTTATTTCAAAATCAAAAGAAAGATCAAGAGTTTTCATTGAATTATATCCTTTAATAACATCATGTTTTAAATCTTTTTCAACTGAACATATTGATAAATATATTGAAATTTTAAATAAAGATATTGAAGATTTAATTCAATTGGAAGAAAATACAGATTTAGATAATGATGAAAAGGAAAAAGATTATTTAAAATTAATTTCAAATTATCTTGATTTTAAAATTATTGCTTCTGTATTTGTTTCATATATGAATATACCTTTCTTGATTCAAAGGCAATTATTAAAATTGTTTATAATTAAGGAAAAACAATTAGCTAAATATTTAAAAATAAAATTGAATTCTGGGGTTGATATAGTTGGAGTTGATAGAGCTGATGAGGATGAAGAAGAAGAAGAAGAAAACCAAGAAGAAACTAATACAAGTAACATTGATCAAGATAATGATGATGATAATGAAGAAATTGTCGAAGATGAAGAAAACCAATCTCAAGATACAGGTGAAAACATCAATGAATCAAATAAAGATAATAATCCTCTAGAAATTGAAACAAAACAAAAGATGTGGGAATTAGAAAAACAATTAGCTTTATATTATATGAAATTAATTGAATCAAAAAATTTATTGGATGAAGAAATAATTGAAAGATTAAATAGAAATATTGAATTATTTGATACTTTAAAATTAATTAAAAACAAAATAGGTCAATAGTGTAATAGTTTTGAGTTAGTACTGATTGATTATTAAGATTTTTTGAAATGGTGTAAATAAAGCTTCTTTTAATTTTATAGAAAAAACGTTCTGACTCTAAATTACATCAAAAGATAAACATGAGAAATTAAATTAGCCAACAAAGAATCAAGCTTTCAGCATTAATCAACCTAATAAGCCACTACCATTTCTTTCAAAATCAAACTATAAATTAATAGGAGTTAGGTTAGTAGCTTGTTAGAAGAAAAATCGAAAATTAGTCAAAAAGTTTACTAAAGATAGGGTAAGTGTGGATAATTTTTTGGTAAAAGGTGGAAAATTTACTAATTTAAAACTATAAATTAATTTTCTAGAATGAAAAATTCGGCTTTAGTTGATATAATAGAGTAAATATTATTCGTATATTTTCTATTTGCAAATTCAAAATTTGATTATATTTGAGGATAGTGGGTGGAAAATGGGAGAGGTGGTAAGTAACAAACTTAAAAACTTTCGAGTAAGCATATCTTCTCATGAGATTTGAAATCTTAAATTACCGTATTGTATGGTTGAAAGATTTAAAGTTTAAAGTTAAGTGATTCTAATACGTCATGTTGCATTGCATACATACAAAAACTTTAAAGCTTTAAATAACTTTAAAAACTTTAAAACTTCAAAACTTTAAAACTTTAAAACTTTAAAACTTTAATAAAGATATTTTTGGTGTCTTTGTGTAGAATTCTCATACATTAGAAAAATATATGCACATTTAAAAAAGCGGAAGTTCAATTCCATTTACTTTTTATCGAAATTATGTTGAAGATAGCACAAATAATTTAGTTTGAAAACTTTAAAACTTTAACCTCAGTGGAATTTCATTTCACTTGAGTGAATTTGGTTGCGGACAATTGTTCTTATTGAGTAAAAAAGAAAGGGAAATGTTTAAAATTTTAAATCTAAACTTTTTTTCGATATTTTTCTTATGCAGTGGCTAGATCAAAATATTTCATTTACGAATATTTTATATCTTGTTTTTAATTGCATTTTAGTTTGAATAAGTTTTAGATATTGGTTTAGTTTTTTTTAGATTAAGTTAGGTTAGGTGAAGACTAATTCAATAATATATAGTTGCAATGAAACTAATTTGATTAAAATTGAATGAAAAGTGATTAAGTCAAGTAATATATATAACTAGAGCTCGAATCAAACAAGGGGTATGGATAATTTTAAGTCTCAAAAATCAAGGATACTTTTTTTTTATTTCCTCTATCGAATGTGGAAATATTTTTATTACAAATTCCGCCTGGTCATATAAAAACTTTAAAACTTTAAAACTTTAAATTTAAGAATTTAAGGTTTTTTAAAAACAAATATCTAACGGATGAAAAAAGGTAAAGTTTAACTTAAAAAAACAAAATAAAAATCGTACCATTTAAATCAAAATATTTTGGTTTGAAACTTATATCTCACACTCGTATATGAAACCAAATTCATAATCTTTGATATTGTTCTTATTTTTTTTTTTGGCTTGGTTTAGTATTTTGTTAAATGCTTAGTTTTGATTATGCTTTACTTGACAACGATATAGTGTACATTAACTTGCTGGGTTCAATATGAAGGTTTAAAATAAAGAATTATAAATGTATCAGAATGGCTCAATTTGTTTTGAAATCTCTCACCTACTTTGTTTCCAAAAATAATTTATTTTTATTTAAAGTATTTTGTATCATTATTTCCACCCCCTTTTTAAAAAAAAAAAATTAAAATAAAAAAAAAAATAAAAAAAAAAGATAATGTTTCACATTTCTTAATACATAAATTTCAGATACTTTTAAGTAAGTACCTGATTTTTGTAATCTGAAACTTGAACAACAAAAGAAAATGTTTCAAAAATTTTGTTTAGATTGTTGGTCTAGCAACGGACTATTCAAGGTCTTTCACGGATTCTCTCATAATAGTCGTTTCTCATACCATTCGCTTTACTTCGTAACAAATCAATGTACTTTACTAGGGGGCCAATATTTTTATTATAAAAAATTGGGGGTGTTTTTTAGATTTTTTTTCAAATCTAAGCAAAGCAGCTACGCCTTTTTTTCAGAGTAGATTAAAGCTTTTTTATATTTTTTTTGACATTGACGAAAATCTATATAAGTACATGTTCTTCATTTTTAAAATTCAATAATGATTGACTTTTTAAAAAGTAGCAAATTCTGCATTGAGAGGGGTACTTTAATTTTATCTTTAATTTGAAACTATATTAATAATCTCTCAGTTCTTATTTTATTCAATTTTAATTTGAGATGTTTTCAGTCACCGTTAAAAATAATTTAATGCCGATGTCAGTTTTAGATTGTTGTATTTTCTTAGGCTATACTAAAATTGTACAAATAAAATCTTAGAAGTAGATTTTGTTAGTGAAAGAAATTCGTAATTTAAAATTGAAGACTTTTTAGTATTATTTATTGATAAAAAATATAGATATAAGTCGAAAAAACTAATCAAATCATGGTGTAATTTTTTATTTAACCTTATGCAATTTATATTCAATATGAAATTCAAATGGTTGTTTCAAAAATTAACTCACTTGGATTTAAATTTAAAGATTTAAGGTTCTTAATTTAATTATGTCTCACTAAATAAAATCATTTTATTTTAACTGTATGTGCGTTTTGTACGTATATTTGTTTTAAAGTATGTAAGTACAATCAGTTACGTAACTGATAACTGATAAATTGTATGACAATAAAAACCTTAAAACTTTAATTCTTACCTGAGATATCAATTGATTTGTTAAATATCTTAAAAATTTGCATTCCAAAAGCATTGAGCACAACACTGATAATTCACCGTATTACAATTATTTAATCTCTCTATCTACTACATTTTTAGGAATATTGTTTAAATTTTTTTAGTCTCTTAGTTAAAAACCGTGTAAATCTGATTAAATTTTTAATTTTGGAATGAAATTTTTCTCTAAATCAATAAAAATTTCAGGTCTAAATTTATTTAAAAATATAAAAATTAATTTCAACTCTTACTTGTTATGTATTAGAAGTCAGTTTAGTGAAAATATAGATAATTAAGATTCCCTTTAATTTTGGATTGCCACTGGTACATCTCCACAAGATTTACTAAAAAATTAAGTATACCGCTTGTATGAACAGCAAAATTAATTCACCACTGATTTAGATCTAAACATCAAGGAAATGATATGAAATTTCACCTTTTACCATATGGATAAATGATATTTATCAATTAGTTTGTATCTCAAAACTTATTTGTACCTATTAAGCGAAAACGGGGGGTTTTTTTTTTGTAAAGAAAAAAATAACTTTTTGTATTTCAAATCATACGAAAAATAAAATAGCCTTTAGGCTAGTTAAGAATTATTGTGTTTCATAAATTAATCTAAAATTATAGGTAAAGGAAATGTACCACCACTCATAAATGTACACTTCCTGTATTTTCCTTGAGTATTAGATAGGTCTATGGTCTAAAATTTTATTAGGTAGAACCTCCAAATTTTTATAATAAATTTTAGTTTTATTTTTTATTTTATTTTATTTTATTTTATTTTTAATTTTTATTTTATTATTATTATTTTTATTATAATACCTTTAATATGTGTGAACTAATTGTTAATGTATACACTATGTGTATTACAAATAAAGTTCCTGATAGTATTGGGTAGTGAGAGAAGTTCAACTCGTTCAACAAATAAACTTCGAATATAAATGTTAAATGAAAAATCATACATTTTTACAAAAAAACTTTTTACCTTCTAGTTATCTTTCAGTTGATTCTTCTTTTAATTAAATTCAATTTCAATACTGAACAATTCTTTCATTCACCTTAACTTACTAAATTAAAATTAAATTAATTTTTACACTACATTAAGAAAACTAATTTAACTAATTAACTAAGACACTTAACACCCTAATAACAAATTTCCACTAATTATCTTATTTCCACTTTGTTCATTTCAATTGAATGAAATAATCAAATATAAAAAAGTATTTGGATATATCCATCTTTAAATAGAATTCTATTTCTTATTCACTTTTCAATAAAAATAATAAAAAGTTCAAAGAGACTACAAAAAAAAAAAAAAAAAAAAAAATCTGAAAGACCTTCTGGATTTGTGTGTTTGCTCAATTCTATTTTTCAACTAAACTATTAAAAATAACTACTTTGTTCACACACCACCATATATTAACCTTCAAAATCTTCGGCCTTTTCATCAACGAGATTCATATTCGAAAAACAACAACCAATATTTGAATAAATGATTCCATGAATTTATCAGAACTCAATGAAAAATCTGTACCTATCCTGAATATTATTAATAACTCTGAGAATAATACAAATGAAAATAATGAAATTTCATCAATTAATCAAATTAATTCATCATCTCCTACATCAAATTTAACACCAGGTTCTACTAATACCAACTTGACTAATAAGATTAATAACAATGACCATATGGAAGAACATAGGTCAAATCAAACCACAATTCCAAGACCTACATTACCTTCATTTCAACAATTAACATCATCACGTCATTCATCAATAAAATCAATAATTGATGAAGATATAAAAAATACAAGTAATAATAATCAAAATCACAACAATACTCCATCTACTTTATTAATACCGTCAAATAATTCAAATTCAATTATTAATTCAAGTCAATTATTATCACCTCAACCTCAACAATATCAACAACAATCGCATTCAATGACTAATCAACATAGTAATCCTAGTCTATCTTCGTCATATCATTCATCTTATTCATCCCTACCGCCTGTTTTACATCACAATCAACAACAACCACAACCAATTCAACATCGACAACTACAGCCACTACTACAACAACAACCACCACAACAGCAACAACAGCATATACTAAGGAATGATTCAGGAATACTACCTCATAACAGACCTATTGAAGATATATCTAGAGCAGACTTAAATAGAAATACAGATTCACCGCATACTCCATCTTCAATATCTTCCATATTATCACCATCAACAGTATCTTCTCCATCACAACAAAACAACAGTAGTAATAATAACAATAATAAACATAGATTACCAAGGAAATATTTTTGTAAAACTTGTAATCAAGGATTTACAAGAAAACATAATATGGTAAGTCATGAATTAATTCATTCATCATTAAAACCTCATATTTGTAATATATGTAATTTAAAATTTAGAAGAATTCATGATTTAAAAAGACATGAAAAATTACATACTGGTGAAAAACCTTTTATTTGTGATAAATGTTCAAGAAGATTTGCAAGACCTGATGCTTTAACAAGACATCAAAATTCTGCTAATGCTTGTTCTGGAGTTAATATTAATAATAACAATAATAATAATAATAATGAAATAAATTCAAATGATTTAAATTCAAATTTCAATTCAAATTCAAGTACAACAATTGATGGATCAAATATTAATCATCATAATTATAATAATAGCAACAGTAACAGTAATAATGAAGATAGTAACAGTTCTACTCCTCAAAGACCAGTATTAGCTGTAAATCAAAACCCAAATCCTAGTGAGAGCGGTGGAAGTGGTAGTGGTAGTGGTAGTAATAATGATTTATCAGCATCAGCTTCATCATCAGCAACAATGACAGAAAGTGGTGGATCATCTCAATTTAGTTCAAATGGTTATCAAGAATCAAGTAGTGGAGGTTCAAATATGTCAATTGGAATACCAACTTTAAAAACAATTGGATTAACTCCCAAGGATTTAAATTCTAATAGAAAAAAAAGTAGTATATCATCAAATTCAAAAGATAGAAATTTAAGTTTATCAAGTGTTGATGAAAATCCTCCTCCTCAAATTTATATAAATCCTGATTTTACAAATTTTAATAATCAACAACCAAGTCAATCTATAATTCCAATTCAAAATAATTTACATAATTGGCAAATTGGAGTTAGAAAATCTTTACAATTAAATAATCAACAACAATTACCTTCAAATGCTTTACCTCCACCATCATCGACGGGTATATCAAATCAATCTCAACAACAATTACTGCAATCGCAACAACCGCAACAACCGCAACAACCGCAACAACCGCAACTGCAAATGCATCACAATCAACATTTTCAACAACACCAACCGCAACACCAACAACATCAACAACAACAACACCTACAGCAGAATCCGCAGCATCTGCACCAAACACATCAACGTCAACAACAACAGCAATTGCAGCAACATCAGCAACAACAACATGAACAACATCACCAACAACAACAACAATTCCAACATCACCAACATCAACCACAGCAACAACTTTTCACACAACAGCAACATGCTCAACATTTACAACAACAACCAACATCATCATCATCCAATTCTAATAACATACCCCCAATAAATTCAATATATCCAATTAGTTTTAACCCTTTTTCATCATCATCAACAAATCAATCAAATAATTCATTACCTTCAATTTTACAAACTTTTCCTATACCACCACTATCTAATAATCCTTCATTTTCGAATCATCAAACACAATTTCAACAACAGCAACAGCCGCCGCAGCAGCAACATCAACAACAGCAACAATTTCAACAACAGCAACAACATCAGCAAACACAGCAAATGCAACATTCACATCTGCAACAAATACATCCTCAAATCAAACAAGAAGTATTACCACCATCAATATCATATAATTTATCTGGTAGAACTCCATTATCATTAATTCCTTCAAAACATTCAGTCTCAAATGATTCAATTTTAAATAAAGAAGATCAGCCTCAACCTCAACCACAACCTCAATCTCAATCTCAATCTCAATCTCAATCTCAAACTTCAAATCAACCCACAATTTCACCATCACAAATTCATGAAATAAAAAAAGTGGAACAACAATCGAAACTCCATCAATTTCCTTTTCCTCCTCAAATGACAAGAGGTACTCAAACTAAATCAAATGAAACAGAAGGAGAAGAACATTTGAAGAGATAAAGTCTATGAGACAAGATGTAGGGATAGCCTTAGTGTAGAGAAGACTAATATGACTGCAAAAATAGATCGAGGTGTTTGGAGAAGAGATCACAGATTGATATGACTGCAAGAATAAATCAACTAAAGCAACTAATTTAATCAATACAACTAATACTTAAATACTGGGTTTTAAAAGCAGAAAATAAAAAAACTAGAAAATTGTTACAACTTTCAAAAATAAAATTCATTTCAAGAGATCAAATAAGAAAAACTAAATATAAATTGAATCAAAATAATATTATTATTTATGTCGATTAGTATCCTCATCTAAAATTTTATGGTGTTTGTTTACTACTTTACATAATTAAAATAAAAAAATCAATTCATTTGTTATTATTATTCTTACTTTCCTGCTTACATTACTTACTTTATATTTTATTTCATATGTGTATATTTTAAAAAATTTTTATAATAATAATTTAATTTATGTTAGATTGTCCAATTAAATCGTAACATGTATTTAGTTTTTTTTTCTTTTTTTTGAAATCTATTTAAGCTTAGGCTGAGTAATTTAAATTTAGTGAGGTTATGGTTTATGGCGTATTAAGATTTGTGGATAGTGAAAAATTTTAAGAAAAACTTTGTGGAAATTTATTGGTTAAAAGGCTGTATGTATATTTTATTACATGTTATATCATACATTAAATATATAATATATTGTGGAGTTTTAAATTACGCAAGTTGCAGCGAATTGAAAATTGAAAATCACTTCAGTATTTTTAAAACATTATGCATTTTTGTATTATATGAATCAAGTGTTTAAAATAATTGTTCATAATTCATACCTAAGTCATAAATTTCATTGGATCAAATTTCACCCTCAAGTACAGTGTGATTGAGTAAAAGCTCTTATTATCGTAAGGTTTCTTAAATTAGCCACGACTCAAGACTTAACTCTTTCCCAAATTGATTGATACTACTAGGCTATTATTGAATAAATAATAATAATAAAATCAACCGGTAGTGTGCATTTGCTCAAATAAAAGATAAGATAACAATTAATAAATAATCTTTGTGTTCTTTCAGTTAATTTGAAAGTAAATCTATAGACTATAAGCTAACGTTTATTTCCTCACAACCATATAATCATTACAATTTAAAATTAGTTTCCATGATTAGTTTAGTTTATACTAATCACTTAGTTTAGAGGCTTGTTTTTATTGTAAGTTTAGTGAAGAATATTGATTAGTTGACATGTTTCATTTCCCCCAATTTATGTTCCTATCTTATTATCACACAATATTAATTAATTAATTAACCCCCTTAATTGATTCCTTTATCCCTTGTTATATAAACACAATTTAATACCTTACTACGAAGTATATAACTTGGATTAAAGACATGATTGGTTACTTCTTACTAAACTCAACATAGCTTTATCATTCTCTTCATCAAAGAGTACTCACAGTTTTGTATTTACACTAGATGCAATATTCTTACAATTAATGTTCCATACATTATTTTATTCTTTATCTTATCTTTTTCCTTAAAAATTTATAACTTACAAAAAAATAGAAAGTAACAATCATTAAAAAAAAAATACAATCAACACTTTATTTTTTTATTTGAAAGCAACATCTTGATAACCATCAGACAAGAGAGTTTGAATCAATCATCAAAACCGCGTAGTAAAGTATACTCATCTAAATTGAAAATATCCCTTGATCCCCACAGTTATACACCATGAAATCAAAAAGTAACACGAAATCAAATTCAAGTAAACCTGAAGAGAAAAGCAACATTAAAAAATCAACCACAGGTAATAATAATCATTCAGTTGATGAGGATTGGTCAATAATATCATCATCATCTGATTTCGATGATGAAAGATCTACAACTAGTTCAACTGATCAACAATATAAAAATAATTTTGATCCAATTCAAGAAGGCGAAGATAATGAAGGAATTAACCACTCTAAAAATTTGACAGATTCATTTGATCAATCAATTTTGAAAGTACCTAAATTGATTGCGGGACAAAAAGATCATCAATTTATAAAACAAAGTTCAATATCTTCATCACCTAGAATTAACTCCGTGTCAAGTATTTCCGATTCTATAACAAGTTCAAATTCAAATTCAGCTTCGGCTCTTAATGAAGAATTGTCAAATTCAATTAATGTTGGATCAAAAATTAAATTTTTTGAAAATTTAAATAATTTTAATGAATCAATTAAACAAAAATCAAATGAATTTTATTCAAATTTTGCTAAAATTAAAATTGATCAATTAAATAAATATATTTATGATCAGCATTCAATTCAGGGTGGGGTTGTTGAAGATGGAGTAAAATTAGATCAAGAATTGACACAACCTACTAAAGAAAATCTGGAAGTTCAAAGTGAAAAGAAATCACCACTTGATGAAACTGATTTGGATGATACTATTGAATTAGTTAAATCAATTGATAAATATCATGAAAGTCAATTATTAAAATATGAACAAGAACAAAACCAAAACCAAATCAGAAAATTGAATAAACCTAGAAGAATTCCTGAAATTAAAACTCCACTTGGTGTAAAAATACTTAGTGCAATAGGTAATTTTTTAGAATCAAATTCAGATTATCTTTATTATTATTTATTTGTATTTCTTGTTGGATTAATTCCCACCATTTATTTAGTAAATAATTATTTAATCCAACCAACACCAACAATTATAATTAAACCACCTACACTAAATGATAAAATTATAAATTACTGGAATAATTTGATTTATGAAGAAACTGAATTATCAAATAATAATCAATATGGAGGATTTTTTGGATTATATAAAGAACCCAAAAAATTTATAAAAGTTAATAGATTTTCAAAAGTGGGTGAAAGTTTGAAAACACATTTTCAAAAAGATTTTTTAAAGTTAAAGAATGTTGGAAAAGAGGTTGATAAATTTGTGTTAACTAATATCGCACCAAATTTTCAAAAATTAATAATAAAAACTGAAAATGGATTATTATTAACTACAAAAAATTTAAAAATTTGGAGTAAACAATTTGAAGATTTCAGTGGAGTAGAATTTAAAAAATTTGAAAATATATCCAAAAATACATTCAATTGGTTATCAAAGAATAGTAAAGATTTGTTTAATCAAAGAGGAGAATTTTGTGATAAATCTAGAGAATTTTTAAATAATGGTTCAAAATATTTTGAAATATTTTTAAATAATGCAAATAAAGGTTCCAAAACATTATTTAATTTTTCTAAAAATTTAATACAAGATGAAAAAGAAAATTTAAAATCATTTGTTAAAAATATTCATAAATCAAGTTATAAAATTAATCAATTTTGTTCAAAAGAATACTTAAATTTTAAATATTTAGTAAATGAATATTCACCAAAGTTTCATAATTTTATAAAACAAGAATCATCATTTATATATAATAGATCAGTGGTCTTTAAATCTTTTGTTCATAAATGGGTTGTGGATAATTTTAATGGGAAATTCTCTGAGTCGATGGCGAGAGATAATAATAGTGTTATTTACCTATAAAATGAGAAAACAATGAAGCTTCACCTCAGAATTTGAATAAAGAAGTACTTTATTCAATTTCTTCAAGAGGTTTTAAGGTTGTAAATGTTGCTTTGGTGGTATTCCTTTTGATTCTAATTTATATTTTTGTTCAGTTTTTGTTTCTTATTTGATATCGTTGGTGAAGGAGATTACTTTTTTTTAGTTTTGGTTTTTATTCTGCTGTTTTTTAGTTATTGATTGATTTGCTTTTGATATTATAAATTTATATAGGTTGTTTTAGTTATTCTTTGAATGAATAATGATAATTTGATCATGATTTAAGTAATTCGATAAAATGTTAACAAAGTTATTAAGCGGTATTTGGTGGTAATTGTTCTATTACAAAAGTAGTGTATTTTAGTAATAGAATTTTAATGTTGAAAATCAAAAACTCCATTTTTACAAAAACAAAAGTTGCAACAAAGGTTTTTACAACCAGAACTTTATCAAAGAATATACAATCAAATATACACCAATCAATAATAAATAAAGATGGGTATGTCTTATTATGTGGACAACTTTCTGTCAGCTCAATTCTGAATCATTTTACTAACTTTAAGATTAAGGTATTCCGAAATTTTTCAAATTTATATCGGAGAGATGGCCATTAATTTCACAATTAATTGATGAAAATCAAATTCCAGAATTTGATAATTTGTATCTTGATATGAATTCAATTTTACATACATGTACTCATTCAAATGATGGATCAATAACAAGATTATCTGATGATCAAATGTATGCAGCAATCTTTAATTATATTGAACATTTATTTAGTATAATAAAACCTCAAAAAACATTTTATATGGCTATTGATGGTGTAGCACCAAGAGCTAAAATGAATCAACAAAGAGCAAGAAGATTTAGAACTGCATATGAAGCAGAATTAAATTTAAAAAAAGCTATAGAAAATGGAGAAGATATTCCTAAGGAAGATCCATTTGATTCAAATTCTATTACTCCTGGTACTGAATTTATGTCAAAATTAACTGAAAATTTAAAATATTTTATACATAAAAAAATAACAGAAGATTCTCAATGGGCAAATATTGAAATTATATTAAGTGGTCATGAAGTACCAGGAGAAGGTGAACATAAAATTATGGAATTTATAAGATCTATACGAACTCAACCAGATTATGATCCAAATTTAAGACATTGTATATATGGATTAGATGCAGATTTAATAATGTTAGGATTAGTAAGTCATGATCCTCATTTTGCTTTATTAAGAGAAGAAGTTAAATTTGGTAATAAATCACAATCTTCTGGTCCAAAAGATGTTACAGAAACTAATTTTTTTCTTTTACATTTAAGTTTATTAAGAGAATATTTAGCATTAGAATTTAAAGAAATTGAAGATGAATTATCATTTGAATATGATTTTGAAAGAATTTTGGATGATTTTATATTAATTATGTATGTTATTGGTAATGATTTTTTACCACATTTACCAGATTTACATATAAATAAAGGAGCATTTCCCCTTTTGTTATCAACTTTTAAACAAACTTTAGTACAATCAGATGGTTATATGAATGAAGATGGTAAAATAAATTTAAAAAGATTAAATATTTGGGTTCATCATTTATCAGAATTTGAATTTGAAAATTTTGAAGAAAAAGAAGTTGATATTGAATGGTTTAATAAAAAATTAGAAGATGTTTCCATTACGGGAGATAAAAAAAGGAAAAAAATTGGTAAATTATTAATTTTAAAAGATCAAAAAAAATTAGTTGGATCTATAAAACCTTGGCTTATGGAAGTTTCAAGTCAACCATTGGCAACTATTATTGAACAAGCTAATAATGAAAATTTACCAACTTTAAAATTAAATAAAGAAGATGTTGAAAAAAATTTAGAATTTATAAAAGAATTTGCTTTACAAGCTGGATTTTTAATAATTCATTCAAAATCTGAAGATACTTATGTAGCTAAATTAGATGTTGATGGATTACCATCTATAGAATCAAATGAAGATTATGAAGAAAGAATAAATGAAGTCCGTAAAACAATAAAAAATTATCAATCAGCAAATTTAATTGAAAGTGAAGATATTTTAAATGATACAAAAGAAGTTTATCAAAAAAAATTTAAAAATTGGAAAAATGAATATTATGAAGAAAAATTAAATTTTAGTATTGATGATACTGAAAAATTAACTGAAATGACTGAACATTATATAGAAGGTTTACAATGGGTATTATATTATTATTATCGTGGTTGTCCTTCATGGAATTGGTATTATAGATATCATTATGCACCAAGAATTTCAGATATTTCAGTTGGTTTAGAAGCTTTAATAAATAAAGGAGTAGATTTAAAATATGATCCATCACATCCTTTTAAACCTTTTGAACAATTAATGGCTGTTTTACCAGCAAGATCAAGAAAATTGATGCCCAATGTATATAGACCTTTAATGATTGATGAAAAATCACCAATAAAACAATTTTATCCAGATGAAGTTGATGTTGATTTAAATGGTAAAACTGCATCATGGGAAGCAGTTGTATTATTAGATTTTGTTGATGAAAATAAATTAATTGAAGCTTTAAAACCAATAGAATCAAAATTAACACCAGAAGAAACTAAAAGAAATTCATATGGTTATAATGTTAAATTTATACATAATCCACAAATTGATAAAGTTTTTTCATCACCATTACCTGGTTTTTTCCATGATATTGAACATGATAAATGTTATGAAGAAAGATATGAATTAATTAAAACAGATGATTATAGAATTGGGAAAATAGAAGGAGCTAGAACAGGAACTGATTTATCAGCTGGTTTTCCAACTTTAAAATCAATTTCATTTACAAATGAATTAGCTCAAAATGAAATTAAAGTTTTTAATTATTCTTCAAAATCAGAATCAATGATTTTAAATATTGAAAATATATGGTCTGATTTATCAGTTAAACAATTTGCTCAATCTTTTGTTGGTAGATTGGTTTATAGCAATTGGCCATTTTTAAGAGAATGTAAAGTTGTTAAAGTAGTAGATGAAGAAAACAAATATGAAACTTTTAGAAATGAAAAGGGATTTAAAAGTGTTAAATCTTATGAAGTTACTGCAGAAGACCGCAAACAATTTAAATCTGAAATTTCAAATTTAAATTATATTTGGGATAAAACTAAAGGTGTAAAATTAGGTCCAATTGATGTATTATTATATGTACAACCTGTTAATGGTCTTATAAGAAATGCAAAAGGTGCATATGTTAAAACTTTTTCAAAAGATATTGAAATTCATCCACTTCAATTAATTGTTAAAGAAGTTACTCATAAAGATCAAAGATTTGCTACAAGACCTCCATTACCTATTGAAGAAGAATTTCCAATAAATTCTCAAGTCACTTTCCTTGGTGATATGGGTTATGGTGCTCCTGCTCAAGTTGTTGGTTATAATGGTGATAAATTAAGTATAAAAATTTCAAAAATTTCTTCAGTAGCTGAACCAAATGTTGGAAAAAGAAGATTATATACTGAATCAAAAGAAATACAATATATCCCTGCCTATGACGTTGCTAAAACTTTAAGAATAGATCCATTATTATTATCCAAAATAACAAGTCAATTTATGATTCAAGGACCAGATAAAAAAATAAATATTGGTTTAGAATTAAAATTTGAAAGTAAAAGACAAAAAGTTTTAGGTTATACAAGAAAATCATATAATGGGAAATTTTGGGAATTTTCACCATTAGCTATAAATTTAATTAATAATTATAAGAATAAATTCCCTAAATTATTTAAAAATTTATCAACAATTCAAGGTTCTGAAATTCCAAAATTATCAACCGTTTCAGATAAAGAAGAAATTCAACAAGTTAAAAAATGGTTAAAAGAAGTTAAAGAAGAATTAATTCTTGTATCTTTAGAAAGTCAATCATTAACAAAATTTAGTTTTGCAGCAATAGAACAATATATGGAAAATTATATTTTAAATGAAATTCCATATATAAATAAAGATATTAGAGGAGTTCCAAGAAATGCTATATTAAATGCAAGTGAATCTTATCAATTATTAAGTGAACAAAAATTTGAATTAGGTGATAGAGTTTTATATGTTCAAGATTTTGGTAAAGTTCCAATTTTATCAAAGGGAACAGTTGCTTCAATTTTTACAGTTGGTTCAAAAACTTCATTAGGTGTTATATTTGATTTACCTCAATTAAGTGGTAATACAATGAATGGTAAATTAAAAACTAATCGTGGTTTAATGATTGATTCATCATTAGTTTTAAATTTAACAAATAAACAATTTGTTTATCATTCAAAAGCTTCAAAAATAAGAAAACCAATGACTGAAGAAGAAAAAATTGCTAAAATTAAACAACAACAACAACAACGTCAACAACAATTTCAAAGTCGTCATCAACCTCAGTATCAATCTAATAATCAAACTCAACATCAATCAAATCGTCAAACTCAAACAAATGGGGCATCCAATTCGAAACCAGCTAAGATCTTACCAAGAGTTAATAAGAAAGAAGAAAATAAACCTAAAAATGCAGAACAATCTTCATCTGTGAAGGATAAAGAGTCGCTGGCACAGGAAGATTCAAAAGCCAATGCAAGTAATAAATTATTATCTTTGTTGAAAAAAGATTCTCGTAAGAATTCTACAAATGATGAAGACAATGTAGACGAAAAATCCGATGAAACAAATTTGAATAATAATGCAATTAAACTGGTTTATAACCAAATTTATTCTAATGTTATGAATCCAAATTATCCACCACAACAACCACAACAATCACATCCTTATCAATTTCAACAACAACAACAACAATTTCCTCCACAATTTCAACAACAACAATTTCCTCCACAATTTCAAAATCAACAATATATTCATGAAAACATAAATGTTGGTCAACATAATAATGGCAAAAGTCATCAAAGCAACTCAACTGAATCTAAAAAAGAACCAAGTGTGTTTGACAGATTCTTATTGAATGCTAGAAAAGCTGAAGAAAAAGTTAAAGAAGAAGTTGAAAAAGCTGGTGAAAAAGTCGAAGAGACAATTGATAAAAAAGATGATGAATAATCAGACTAAATCGGGGTCAAACGATCAAAAACAAATTACTTATAAGTCCATGGATCACTATATCTATTTACAAGTATTATATACATGCTCTAATGTACAATTCATAAATTATTTTACTTTTCGTTAAATCATCTCATTGAAATTACTTTCAGTCATTTCAAGTACTACTCTTTTCAAGTTCTACTCTCTCTATTCATTTACCTTCTGATCTGTTGTCTTTATTTTAGTTTCTTTATCACCAGGTAAATTAACTAAACCTAAAGTATCCCATTCACTTTTTTCCATTAATTGATTATCCATCCTACATTTCAAATAATCTTTAGCTAATATTCTACAATTTGGAGCATTTTTATTTTCAGTAAATTTCATACATTTTAGATATTTTAACATTTGTTCTTTACATTCTCCATCATGATCTAATGGAAATGAACCTCTTTCTGGTGGTGTTGGTGTCCAAGTCCTAAAATTTCCTCCTATTAAATTCTGAGTTAGTTGCTACATCAAGATTCCAGATTAGAATTAGTAAGTCAACATACCTGGTGCTCCACTAGCCATTAATGATTTTACAAAACTTTTAGTGTGATCTTATATTTCTTACATTTTTCGTACCACTTTTTTTAACAGTCAAATATAAATCCCATTTTTGTGTCACTTTTCAGTCTATTCAAAAAGTAAAAATACAAAGTCAAACACTCAATTGTAAAGATAGAAATAAACCTCCAACTAGTGTAATAAATTTCTGATAGTATACAGCTGATTAGATAGATATTTAAGATTATTAGATATAAAACGAGTTAAAAATTATATGTATTCATGAGTTACTAAAAATAAGAAAGACAAGCAACGAGTTATAACTCTCCAAGTTAAAAACAAATTTGTAACAATCTCTCAAAGATAGTTACGAAAATCTAGAATGAAAATCCTAAACTAATTTCAGTTTTTAAGATATCGCCTAATTGTTTGACCAAATCGAAAGTACCTTCACCTTCAGTTAATCCTAATTCAATAGCTTCAGTTTTGTTGATTTGTAAAATATCTAAAAGGTTCAAGTATCCTGATTTATCAGCTGTAATTTTACCAGTTAATAATGCACTAATAGCTTCTAAAATTAATTCTTTCTTGATTTTGATAAGTTCAAGAATAGCACCTAAGTCTCTTTTATCTTTACCATATGAAAATCCTAAGCTGATTTCAGTTTGTAAAATATCTCCTAATTGTTTAACTAAATCGAATGTACCTTTACCTTCAGTTAATCCTAATTCAATAGCTTCAGTTTTATTAATTTGTAATATATCTAAAAGGTTTAAGTATCCAGATTTGTCAGCAGTAATTTTACCAGTTAATAATGCACTAATAGCTTCTAAAATTAATTCTTTTTTGATTTTAATGAGTTCAAGAATAGCACCTAAGTCTCTTTTGCTGTATGAAAATCCTAAACTAATTTCAGTTTGTAAGATATCACCTAATTGTTTGACTAAGTCAAAAGTACCTTTACCTTCAGTTAATCCTAATTCAATAGCTTCAGTTTTGTTGATTTGTAAAATGTCTAAAAGATTTAAGTATCCAGATTTGTCAGCAGTAATTTTACCAGTTAACAATGCACTGATAGCTTCTAAAATTAATTCCTTTTTGATTTTAATGAGTTCAAGAATAGCACCTAAGTCTCTTTTGCTGTATGAAAATCCTAAGCTAATTTCAGTTTGTAAAATATCTCCTAATTGTTTAACTAAGTCAAAAGTACCTTTACCTTCAGTTAATCCTAATTCAATAGCTTCAGTTTTGTTAATTTGTAAAATATCTAAAAGATTTAAGTATCCAGATTTGTCAGCTGTAATTTTACCAGTTAATAAAGCACTGATAGCTTCTAAAATTAATTCTTTTTTGATTTTAATGAGTTCAAGAACAGCACCTAAGTCTCTTTTACCGTATGAAAATCCTAAACTGATTTCAGTTTGTAAAATGTCACCTAATTGTTTAACTAAGTCAAAAGTACCTTTACCTTCAGTTAATCCTAATTCAATAGCTTCAGTTTTGTTAATTTGTAAAATATCTAAAAGATTTAAGTATCCAGATTTGTCAGCTGTAATTTTACCAGTTAATAAAGCACTGATAGCTTCTAAAATTAATTCTTTTTTGATTTTAATGAGTTCAAGAACAGCACCTAAGTCTCTTTTACCGTATGAAAATCCTAAACTGATTTCAGTTTGTAAAATGTCACCTAATTGTTTAACTAAGTCAAAAGTACCTTTACCTTCAGTTAATCCTAATTCAATAGCTTCAGTTTTGTTGATTTGTAAAATATCTAAAAGATTTAAGTAACCAGATTTATCAGCAGTGATTTTACCAGTTAATAAAGCACTAATAGCTTCTAAAATTAATTCCTTTTTGATTTTGATGAGTTCAAGAACAGCACCCAAGTCTCTTTTACCATATGAAAATCCTAAACTGATTTCAGTTTGTAAAATATCTCCCAATTGTTTAACTAAGTCAAAAGTACCTTTACCTTCAGTTAATCCTAATTCAATAGCTTCAGTTTTGTTGATTTGTAAAATATCTAAAAGATTTAAGTATCCAGATTTATCAGCAATGATTTTACCAGTTAATAAGGCACTGATAGCTTCTAAAATTAATTCTTTTTTAATTTTAATAAGTTCAAGAATAGCACCTAAATCTCTCTTGTCATTGTTTGATTCATGAGCGTTTGCAAGATCATTTAATTTCTCAACAACGGTGGAAATCTTTTCACCTTCGAATAAACCTAATTCATTAGCTGATGTTGAGTCAATGCCCAAAATGTTTAATAAGTCGTTATATGATTGACCTGTTAATACTCCATTTTCTTGTTGGTAGTCATAAACTGGTACAATGGAAGCTTGTGTAACTAAAGCAAAAGAAGTAAAAGTTGCAATGGTTGAAAATTTCATTTTTGATTCTTGGTTTAGTTGATATTATTTTGAAATACAATTCATGAACTCAAAAACTTGGTGATATCAGGATCTATTTATAATAGGCTGACTGGAAGGAGACTTTCATTTGACAATTTAAATCCCTTTCAGAGCCACAAAGATCATCTGCTAACTTATGGCTCTTTCGTTATTGGGGAGTCAAGGTGTGCACATACAAAGTTTTCCACGTTTTCGTTGTTATGGTAATATGGTTATAGTATAAAACAAACAAAACAATGATTTTCATAATTAGATCTACCACCAAAGTCAAATAACTATTAATAAATTAATTTTTGAATACAATTGTATTATATTAATTGGTAAAATCTTCTTATGAATTAATTGATTGAATTTAACTCTAATTGCATATGTAATTCAAGATTGTTTTAAACCTTCTGTAAACAAATTTGCTTCATTTTATTCTATTATAGCATATTTTGAGCACAAAAGTTTATTGAAACCAAAACTAATGAATCACAATTGCAAATCTGAACGTATTTTGAACTAGCCCGTGTTAGCAGTCAGCAAATAATGTAGCTAGCAGGAGCTTCAGCATGTGCTTCAAATCATGTGTATATAATATTGTGGTTTTTAATTGGTTATATTTTTGATTGTCCTTTATATTTTTGAAATTAAAATTAATCTTTTTAATCAATCTTGTATTATACGAATTGCTTCTAGAATCTTACATTATTAAACACCATAATTACACAGTTGATTTTTAGCTAAATTTGAACAATTAATAAACAAATATGTGAAGAACAATTGAACAACAATTGAACAATACCAAATTAATTAGATGAAATTATTATGGTAGATCTTTAAACGCGTAGATCTTTTCTTTTTTATTTAATTTTTACTACTATGGTACTGTACTGTTCTGTACGAGAAAAGAACGAAAAAAAAAACGCATGAGCGGATTTATTTGTTCTATTACATAAAAAATAATATTATCTTGTAAATCATGGGAATAAAACAGTAAAGAAAACAACAAATTTTGAGTGTACAATGGATGATTCAATATAGTCTATAGATCAAATTCTTTAGTTGGTAAATACTGAGGTCAAGAAACGTACTAGGCTCTCTCCAATATATCCACATTTTACAATGGAGATAGCAAATTAAAAAGGTAAAGAGTTTAAGCTACAATAATGAAAGATGGGGTCTCTTAGACTTCTATAAAACTTGCTGTGTGACATTGTGACTATTGGCACAATAACAATGAACAGTTAGTAAAAAAATTGAGTTAGATTCAAGTTTAATAATTATTTACCACCGTTTGATTGTTCTGTTATTAATTGAACGTTAAATCGAAGAGTCAAATCCACGTAAATTAATTTAATTGGATATTCTTTGTTCTAATTGAATCCCTTGAACATTGTGGTTTACATTTGTGATTGCTAGGCTTTGGTAACAAAACCCTATTAATAAGTTTGTTGCAAGGATTATTATGAACTTCATTGGTTAGTAAGAAGTTAAAAAAACTTTCGTGTTTGGCAATCTGCCCATGAATCTATTATCGAATTATGAACTCCGTAAACAGGTAAGAGATCTACGCTTTTCTTTGGTTTTTTCAATTGAGGAGGTTAATGTAGACGAATTATGTAGACTGAGAGGATCTAAGAGTTAGCCAATTTATTTATCCCTGGACTCTGGTAATTGAGATGTAATTACGCCACGGAACATAAAGTTAAGACAATAGAATTCATTTTGCAATTATAAATTAAGATACAAAGACAAAGCAAGCTAAATTATATAAACACAATTAGTACAGAAAAAACCACAATAACAACTGTATGGGTTATTAGTATAATAAGTAAGCCCTGACGGATTTCCCCGTTAAAAATATGAATAAAAATTTCAACTAAACTCCTTGATTTCATTTAATTGAGTCTCAAAATTGTGGACATTTAATTAGTCAATGTAATACTAATAACAAACAATATACACCCTGTACTTGTTATTGATTTTGACATCATTTATGTTTCACTTTTAAGAAGCTCATAACTTTAATTACGAGTTGTATACGTTGAGAAAAAGTTGACATCATAAACGTTTGTTAATTATATAACTTAACTTTTTTAGTTGATAATTTCATCGGTAGTACAAAAACATCAACTTTAACTCGAATTTAACATCCGTACTCACATACTCAATGATTATTGTAGAATTAAGGGGTAGAATTGAATTTATTTTGCAACAAATTTGATGGTTTTTCAATTTCCAGGCAAGTATTGATTTTTATTTTTTTAAAAAGTTAGCGGAGACCAAAGGTGAAAAGCAGCAAAATATTATTGAAATACGTAGTCATATTCAAATCATAATGAGATATCATCAGTCCAAATAACACGATTGCTAAACCAATGAAAGTAAAAAATGTTCGAAAAAGTAATCGGTAGAATCTAGTTCCATGTGAATGTAATAGTACCGAAAGTTCCCATGAATTTTTGATTTTACTCTATTATAGTCACAAAGACTGTATAGAAATTCATAGCAATAATTGTACAAATTCATTCGAAAACAATAAGGAAAAAGTTAACACAATTGTGGATATTTACACTAACTCCAAACAACTAGTAAGTACAGTAATAGTTAGAAATCAATATATTACATATATTTTTTTTAAAACAAAATTTTATAAAATTGTGAAGGCAACGTTAGCTTCGAAATTAAATCGACGAAAAAAGAAAAAATAAAGGAGTCTTTTCAAAAAACAATCCTTTCAAACATCAAACAAGATTCTTAAGCACCAACCAATGAAGCGATGATTCTTGCAATTTGTCCAACGTATCCTAAAAGGGTTCCACCTTCTTGAAGTCCAAATGCAGCAGCTTGAGCAGCGTCAATACCTAAGGTAGCAAGTAATTTTGCAAAATCAATAACTGAAGTACCAAAATCTCCGTTTAATAAATCTGCAATGGCTTGATTTAATTGAGCAACAGGAATATTGACATCAGGAAATGAATCTCTTTTCAAAATACCAGATACTGAAGCAATAATTTGACCGAGTTGTCCAACGTATTGTAAAAGAGTTTCACCTTCATGTAATCCAAATTCAGCAGCTTGGACAGCATCAATACCAAGAGTAGCAAGTAATTTTCCAAAATCAATAACTGAACTTCCAAAACTTCCATTTAATAATTCTGAAATAGCTTGATTTAATAATTCAACAGGAATATTAATGTCTGGGAATGAATCTCTTTTTCTTAATTGTAAAAGTGAAGCTTCATGAGTAATAATTGAACCAAGTTGAGCAACGTATCCTAAAAGGGTTCCACCTTCTTGAAGTCCAAATGCAGCAGCTTCAGCAGCATCAATACCTAATGTAGCAAGTAATTGACCAAAATCAATAGCAGATCCAACAATGTTATAGTTTAATAAGTCTGAAATAGCTTTATTTAATAATTCAATTGGGATAGTAATGTTTGGGAAATCTCTAGTTGAAATATCAACTTTATCTCTTTTAGTTGCTGATTGAAGAGCTGAAGCTTCATGAGTAATGATTGAACCAAGTTGAGCAACAAATCCCAAAAGAGTTTCACCTTCATGTAATCCAAATTCAGCAGCTTGAACAGCATCAATACCTAATGTAGCAAGTAATTCAGCAAAATCAACAGCTGATCCAATAATATTACCACTTAATAAATCTGCAATAGCTTTATTTAATTGTTCAATTGGAATTGTAATATTTGGAAATCCTCTTTCAAATAAAACAGCATTAGTAGATGGACCTTTGAAAGAAGTAATTGGTTCAGCATCTTTTTTAACTTTCACTTGAACTGAATTACCAACTGGAGTATAAATTGCAGCAGCTTCTGTACAAGCAACGAATGCAGCAACAGCGATTGTAAAAAATTTCATTTTATAATTGAATTGAAGTTTAATTGATTCAGTTAAAGTTGTATTAGTGAGTTTATTGGTTATTTGAAATTTTTTTTGAAAAATCCTAGAATTATTTGGCTATATTTATAATTTTTGATTTGCAAATGATTTTCGAATATTATTTTAAAATTCTTAACAAAGTTTAAATTAATTACATGAAAATCGTTTTCTTTCAACACATGTACCTTTTACATACTTAAATTCAATTGTAAATCCTTGATCCTTTGACGGATATTAACAATGGGATCTTATTTTGAATTAACTTTCTTTAAAATTTGGTGATATTTTCCACACTGTTCATCATGTTTCAGGGAACATAACGCAATTACAAAACTGTCCTTCTTCTTTAAGCCATAATATCAGTTACGTTTTCAACTTAATTAAGCAGTGGATATTTGAAATTCTCACAAAAAATCAAAAATTTAACCTTCCTTCCACATTCAAATTTTTGGGAATTTATGAAAATCATTTGATGTATTGCTTATGCAAGTAATTAACAATGAAAAATTTCAGCTGAAAATTCCAAATCCTAACACCTTATCAATAACTATCATATTGGTCTTCATATTATTACTTTTGTGATTCAACGGTCATTAAATCAATTAACTTCGTCAATCCATCAATTGTTCGAAAATACGTTGAAATGCCGAATTTGAAATATCCACACGTTTCACCTTGTTACCTTCTGAATCAAACACATTATCATCTTTCATTTGTCTCCACCACAATAGTTATACTGCATAATATAATTCCATCTTAACCTTTGTAGTAATGTATATGTATCATTTCTGTTATTTAAAGTGCTTGTAAACTTAAAAAAAAATAAATTATAAATAAAACTTATCAAGGTTATCAAGTCAGTAAAAATTGTTCCGCACACGCTTTTGAAACCGTCTAAAAAAATTGCAAAAAGCCACTTAAAACAACCAATACTTTATGAAATTTGAGGCAGATTGAAGCTTTATCGCAAAACTTTATCAGCGAGTAAGGTTACTTAGCGCAAAATTATTGATATCAAAGAGTATGAGCAAATTGAGATAGTACATTTTGGATTTTTGTAATTTTTTCTATATTAAAGGCATATTTTATTTGTTGATTAAACTATGAATGTCATTTTGTATGATTCAGCACGTTTCAGGACAGATGAAAATGCCATCAAGAACTAGAATTAGTGATTGCATCCACATGTTGCAAACATAAAACTCCTTGAAAGTTTAGTCAACGTTTCTAGGTGTAGTGTTGATGTGTTGAGTTTCTTTTTATTTGTCAAAATTTCATACCTATAATTATTGAACTAAAATGGAAATCAAATTAAATATGCATTCAATTAATTTGACTAATAAGGATAGAAAACGTTATAATTTAATAAATTATACATATACTGAAATGCAACTTTCGGATACACTTTTATGAGTTAATTATGCTAGACATAATTAGTTTCTTTTTGTAATGTAAATGCAAATCAAATTGTGTTTGCTGAGTATTAAATAGAAATCCTATCTCGGAGCATAAGATTGATAATAAGTTGATTTGATTCTATTTCCTACGGTGCGTTTCATTTAGTTCTGATACGTAAGGTACTAAAAATTAGAATTTTGGGTTTTGTAACCTTCTAACCTTCACCACGAGAATTTAAAAAATCTATTCTTCAAATTCAACAATAAGTCTCCTATATCATTTCCTTCGTCAATTTTTATTTTCTGTTGCTTTTAATTTCTTTTTCTACAATTACATGCTTTATGAAAGTTATTGATAACCTCATTGAATTATTTGAGGTATTTCAATCAATACTTAATAATTGAAAAACCGGTAAAACGCACAAAGTCCTAAATTCAAATAACAATTGTGTCAATTATATCAAGTATTGATAAAGTTACATTGTAAATTTTAAAAAATATCGAAATATAATTCAATACTCATATACTGACTAAAAACGATCTAAAAATATAATTGTTCCAGTAAGATTCAAATCTAAAAGAACTTGGCAACGTTTTTACCATCATATTAAAAGTGTGGAATTGGAACAGTGGTTAACAACCATTTTAGAATAGTTCTAGCTCTTTCATCCTTGCGTTTTCAAAAAATGATTTACAAATAGTACAAATTAAAAGTTTTCCTCATCCTCTCTTCAACTTTTGCGCTAATTTTCGTTAGAAGTTGCACAATTATGACAAGGCGCTTATATATCCAATGGAAACGGATAAATGTTAATTAGACATAATAAATAATTGATGCGAAATGGTATCAACCATTAAAAATGTAAATCAAATTCATACATAGGAGAAAATTTAATATTGAAAATCAATAGGAAGTTCATTTCTTTCTGCATGAGCAATACAGGAGATAAATTGAATGCGTTTATAGATTACCCTATAGTAAATTTACTTAACTGAATACATACAAAACATGGCTTTTTCTTTTTCTTTCTTTTTTATAAATTTCCACTTTGATTGAAATCCCCCTGGATTTTAAATCATCCGATTCGATGAAGGGGGAAAGATATTGAAAAATAAAAATGAGGCGTTTTAAAATTTACTCTAACTCTTTCAAACTAAGAAAACAAAAACACAAGTGGTTACGATTTAATGAGTGACTGTTAGTTCACAATTGTTTATTTGAATTGTTTGTTCTGATTGTTTAGTTTAATTGTTTTTGTTATTATCGGCATTTGCTGAATGAGCCAATACTGGTCTGAACTCAGTAAATATCACAATAATTTATTAATTAAATAGTAAGTAAGTAAGGAGTAAGAAATCCAAAAAGCGTCTATGTTTCCACGGAACTGCTGATTTTTGAAATTATGGGTTTTCAAAATTTTGAATTAGTCAAAATGGGGGTTTTAAGCAATTTCTTCAAATTTTATAGAATTCAAAAAATTTTTTGATTCTTATTAAACTGACGATCAGGTTTGTTTGATTCATAACCAGAGTCTTGATATAATCTAGACCTACGTGAGACAATCTTTATTTTATTCTTGGCGATACAACGCTTCTAATTAGCATAGTTTACTCAATCTTCATTCCAAGTCCATAATTTTAAAATTTCCTTCCCAAGACTTCAAATAAAATTCAATTTGTTATAAAAGGTTGCAGAAAGATGTAAACATATCATTGCTTTTATGACTGTAATTCATCCAATATTTTCAACCCTTTGGATAGCTTGATTCGCTTGACTCAATTTGTTTCTAAGTTCACAATTACAAGTTTTCCTTTAAGTCATCCAATAAAAATCAAATAAAAATTAAGAGGGAATGTAAACATATCATCATTTGTATGATTTCAACTTCATCCAGTATTTTCAAAACAATCCGTCATTTTATTAAAAGCTTGTTTGTTTTACCTAGTATTAGTCATCCATTCTTGGAGTTTTATTTCAAATACTAAAATGTTTCATTAAACAACTAATTTCTCATCCATATTTGGAGTTTTGTTTCAACTACTAAAATGTTTCATTTAAACAACTGATTTGCTATCCATATTCGGAATTTTGTTCCAACTCCTGAAATGTATTTATTAAATAATTGATGCAAGCTTGGGTGTGAGATGAGTTTTCATAAATTCATATTGGAAAATAGTATGAATATATATGAGGCTGAAGATCAAGTTAAAAAAGTTGAGGATCATAATCAAAAGTGGTTCCTAAAAAGTTGAATAGCAAATTAAAAGTGGTTGCCAAAATTATAGGACCAAGTTGAAAATGGTTGCCAAATTCTTGGAATCAAATTAAAAATGGTTGCTAAAAAATTGAAGATAAAATTAAAGTTGGTTGCAAAAAGTTGAGAATCAAATTAAATGTGGTTGCAAAAAGTCGAGGATTAAATTAAAAAGTGGTTGCAAAAATTTGAAGAACAAATTAAAAGTGGTTGCAAAAAATTGGGGGTAATCTCAATCAAACATGGACAAAGTATGATTTGATCATTAACATGATGAATTCTCAACTTGTATTTGGAAGTTTAGAGAATTTACTTACTTCGAATTGATAAGAATTGATAATCAATAAAGATTTTGAATAAAATTTCAACTTCTATTAATCGATCGAGTGATTGAAATACAATATTGAAGGAGTTATATTTTAATTTCGTCTAGATTTTGAATATTGCACACATTAACTTTATTTTAGAGGTAACATCAATTAGAATATAAGTGGTCGACTCCTTTAATATTAACTTGTTATGGTAAAAATGGTAGTATTTATTCAAGTCAAAAACTTAACAAAGCAGTAGTGAATTTAAATAAAAGTTATATAATTCGAGAGCCTCGACTTTTCAATGATCAAAATATACGAATGGAAACAAATACATCAACGTTGCGATATATTGACAATCCTTATGTATTTAAAATTATATTATGAGACTCACAATGACAAGCTTTTGAAGCAAAATAAGTATCTAGATAAAAATGTGTGTATATTTTTAGAGATAGGACTTTTAGAACAACTAATTGAACTTCATATTACAAGTAAAGTATAATATAGATATTATTTTAGCGGAAGATCCTACCTCTACAAAATGAGTTTTTTATTTTTGTCATGCTTCGCAAATTGAATTTTTGGTTTTAAAAAAGTATCGATTATGAAAATAAAAACTGGTTGCAAAAATTATCCATAATGGTTAAGTTTCAGATTATTAAAATTCAACGACTGGTAGCAGGACCAAAAATTTCATAAACAATTTGTTCCGTTTCGGAATAATTGAGACTTTTCGAAAAGTGGAGTAAAACAAAAAAGATAAGTCCTAAATTGTCCGAGAAAAAAACTGACTTTGATTAATGTTACCACAATTGATAAGTATTATAATTAAAGTTTTGACTTATCTGATGAACTTAAGTTCTCAAAGATTTGGACCTCGAGACAGATCATTAATTCTGGACATTAGATGGAATAACTTTTTACGAGAACCAATAAACTTCGTTGAAGATGATTATTATAAAATTTTAATGTGGGGGAGGGGTGCGGATCAATGGATAAGAGTTAGAAAATTGGTTGCAAAAAAAATATTTTGAATCAATATTCTAAAATGTCGTATTTGCAATAAAAAAAAACTTATTGAATCATTGAAAGTTTAATTGATTTCTTTTTTTATTTAGCCTAATGATTCAATCATATGAAGATTGTATAAATAAAAAGAGTGATCTCAGAGCCGATTGGCGACGACCAATAGCGAAGTAGGCTGTTGAGGAGTCGAATAAACAAGTAATAACCGCTTAAACTCAAAGTCAAGACTATCCATAATATTTGTTTATAATTATATTATATAACCTTCAATAGTATGCAACAATATAATACAGTAACTTCGGTTATTAATATATTTTTTTTATTTAATCGCTCAATAATATTTCAAAACAATTAAATGTAACAATTTGGTCCCAAAATCTAATAACTTATTCATTAACTTCACATGAACTGATATGAAAACCAGTAAGGATACTTTGTATCACATCTCATACGCGTCTGATAAACCTAATACCGGAGTTTTAAATTAATCGAGATTATCATTGAATATTCTATTCTGAAAACTGGCTTCAGTTGAATTGTAAAAATGTTGTTTATGAGATGGTTTTTACTGAAAACAGGGTCTAAGTTGCACCAAATACTAATGTCACTTCGTTTGACAAATTCTATATCTATTTACAATTAAAAAATAAAATTGATTGTAAAATCATATTTCTGTTCTTCAGTTATTTCTTTTTTCGCCTATGTCATTTCTTTACTCCAGATTTTCAAGAATCACGGTCAAAAAGAAAAATATTGCGACATAATTGTTTCTTCAGAAGAGATTTTTATCCAAAAGAATAGATCAAGAATTGAGAATTGGAGACAATAGTACTTGATAGTTTAGTTCCATACAACCCATAACTTTATGCAAAGCAATGAAAGACCTCTTTGATCAAACCTAAATGTACAGTTCGATATAGTTTATTCGTAGTCTGTCTTATTAAGGACATCAAAATAACACGTCTTGACTATATGATCTATTCCATTGATCCAGTGATTATTATTAAAACTCCAGGGCGGAAGTTTTGTTAGATTTTGTCACAAGACCGTAGTAAAATTTAGTAACTTTAGTACGAATGGAAGTGAGAGAGTAAAAATAATAATATTAGTACGACATTCACTACTACTAAACCATCACCATTTAAATAAATAAAATTTATAAACGAATTAAAGTTTTAAAAATAAAAAATAAATTTTTCAACGAATTAAAAAAAAAAAGAATAAACAAAAAATTTTTATATCTATTTAATCAAAGCAGTATCTTTTAGATGAATTATTAGTTTCAAATAGAATTTATAAAGCACAACAAGTAACAACACTTGTTTTCCAAACATATACAGACTCATTAGATACAGTTCACTTCAATTTTTCAATTCATATCAAAAACTTTTACAACATATTTTTTTTTGCATCTTAATACAATTTAATACATAGAGATATATAACAAAAAACTGAACATAGTATAGATATACAAATACAACTACACAATGTCATTAACTTCACCTACTTCAGAGAGTAAACAAATTAAAGCTATAGAAATTTTTAATGATTTTGCAACTATTGGTTTAAATCAAGAAAAAATATTAACATTACCTGATTTTATAAATATTTTATCACCTTTTCAAACTGATATACCAAAATCAACTTTTTCACTATTATATTTAATAGCAGATACTGAAAAAAAGGGTTTCGTAAATGAATCAAATTGGTTAAATTTTATAAATACTTTAACTTCAACTGATGGTGAATATAAATTATTATATAAATTTTTATCAAATTCAAATACTATAAATTCAAAAATAAGTTATAGTCAATGTGTTGATATTTTAAATAAATTAAATACATCAATAGATCCAAAATATCAACAAAAATTAATAAAATTAAATTGGATTTATTTCCCAAAATTTTTTGAACCTCAAGGTTTTATTGAATTTAATGATTTTGTTACTTTAATAAGTTATTTACCAGTAACTAAACTAATTGGAAGTTTTGATGTTGCAGCAAATAAAAGTAAGACAGTAAACAGTGAACAATTAATTAATTTATTAACATCAAATTTAAATCATAAATTATCAAATAAATTAAAAAGTAATTTACATAATGTAACTGGATTTTTTGATAATAAAAGTTCTTATTCATTATCAAATGTATTATTTATATATGATACTTTAAGTAAAGTTGATTTAATTAATGAAGTTATAGTAAATACTCCACCAACAAATAAAGAAAAAGATGATATTATTATAAATAAACAAGATTTATATAATCATTTAAATGATCCTTTATTAAGATCTGCAAATTTTAAATCAGTAAGTACATTAGAATTAGATTTATTATTTTATTTAATTAATCAAAAATCTGGTGATAATATATCAAGAAAACAAATGGTTTCATTTTTAAATCCAAATTTTAATAATAATTTAAGTTCTATAGGACCAATATTTGAACATCCTCAAAGTTCTTATTCAACTTCTCAACCAAGTGATAATTTTTCTTTATGGCCAATTTATGATTCATTATATTCATTCTTTTTAGGTTCAATTGCTGGATGTATTGGTGCAACAGCTGTTTATCCAATAGATTTAGTTAAAACAAGAATGCAAGCTCAAAAACATAAAGCATTATATGATAATTCAATAGATTGTTTTAAAAAAATTTTAAGAGCTGAAGGTTTTAAAGGTTTATATTCAGGTTTAGGAGCTCAATTAGTTGGTGTAGCACCAGAAAAAGCTATTAAATTAACAGTTAATGATTTAGTACGTAAAATTGGTACAGAAGAAGATGGTAAAATTACAATGAAATGGGAAATTTTAGCAGGTATGTCAGCAGGAGCATGTCAAGTTATTTTCACGAATCCTTTAGAAATTGTTAAAATTAGATTACAAATGCAAGGTAATACTAAAAATTTATCAAAATCTGGTGAAATACCAATAAAACATTTAACTGCTTCACAAATTGTAAAACATTTAGGTATAAAAGGTTTATATAAAGGTGCTACGGCATGTCTTTTAAGAGATGTACCATTTTCTGCAATATATTTCCCAACTTATGCAAATTTAAAAAAATATATGTTTGGATTTGATCCAAATGATGTAACAAAAAAGCATAAATTATCAACTTGGCAATTATTAGTAGCAGGTGCATTAGCAGGTGCACCAGCAGCATTTTTCACAACTCCAGCAGATGTAATAAAAACAAGATTACAAGTTGCTGGTAAAAAGAATGATATAAAATATAAAGGTATATTAGATTGTGGTTTAGCAATTTTCAAAACTGAAGGTTTTACAGCATTTTTTAAAGGTTCATTAGCAAGAGTATTTAGATCATCACCACAATTTGGTTTTACATTAGCTTCATATGAAGTATTACAAAATTTATTCCCATTACATCAACCAATAACAAAAGAATCTAATTTTAAAGCAATAAGTGGTTATCCAGGAGTTTATAATTTAACAAATGATCAAGTTTATAAATCTCAAGAAAATGAAGATAGATTAATTCATTTAAATAAATCAGAAATTAACCCTAATTCAACATCAACAACATCAACAATTCAAGATCAAAATAAATTAATTAAATTACCTGCTTCTTATATATATAAATCTCAAGATTCAATTAAATTATTATTAGATATAGATTATAAATTTGGTAATTTTAATTATCAAAGTTATTTAAATTATATCCAAAAGAAGTAAATAGTATAATGAAAATTGATGGATGGACTTATTGGTGATGAAAAGAAATGAAGAGACAATTTGAATATTTTGAATTTTGATACAAATAGTTTTATAGATTTTTATTATAAAAGTAAATTACAATACAGTTTGTATAGATTTTAAAGAATAAAGTAATGAATGTTATATAACAAGTTATGTATAATTATAGTAGTTGTAAATGTCAATAATTAAAAGAGCGAGATTCTAATTTTTGTTTGCACAAATTTCAAACAAAATATTAGATCCAGATTTTCTTTTCAATTTGATAGAGTTGACTTCAAAACCTAAAACTACAAAAATGTATCAATTAAATCAATCATGGGTTATAATATAGCAATGGTGACGGATTTTTTTTATCCACAACCTGGAGGAGTAGAATTTCATGTATATCATCTTTCACAAAAATTAATTGATTTAGGTCATTCAGTTATAATAATAACTCATAATTATAATGAAAGAAATGGTATAAGATATTTAACAAATGGTTTGAAAATTTATTATGTACCATTTTGGGTATTATATAGATCATCAAGTTTTCCAACTGTTTTTTCAGCTTTTTCTATATTAAGAAATATTTTTATACGTGAACAAATTGATATTATACATGGTCATGGATCATTAAGTACTCTTGGTCATGAAGCTATATTACACGGTAGAACAATGGGTTTAAAAACTGTTTTTACCGATCATTCATTATTTGGATTTGCTGATTTTGGATCAATTTGGGGAAACAAAGTTTTAAAATTTGCAATAAGTGATGTTGGACATGTAATATGTGTAAGTCATACATGTAAAGAAAATACTGTATTAAGAGCAAGTCTTGAACCATGGAAAGTAAGTGTTATTCCAAATGCTGTTATACTGAAAGATTTTCAACCAGATTATAATAAAGTTAAAAAAAATGATGAAATTACAATTGTTGTTATAACAAGATTATTTCCAAATAAAGGAGCAGATTTATTAAATGCTATAATCCCCAAAATTTGTTTAGCTAATTCAAAAGTAAAATTTATCATAGCAGGTGATGGACCAAAATTTTTAGATTTAGAACAAATGAGAGAAAAATATTTTTTACAAGAAAGAGTTCAACTAATAGGTGCAATAAAACATGAAGAAGTTAGAGATGTTATGGTTAAAGGAGATATTTATTTACATCCTTCATTAACTGAAGCATTTGGAACTGTTATTGTTGAAGCAGCTTCATGTGGATTATATGTAGTAACTACAAAAGTTGGAGGTATTCCTGAAGTTTTACCTTCTAATATGACAAGTTTTGCAGAACCAGAAGAAAATTCATTAATTGAAACTACTTTATTAGCTATAAATAAATTAACTACAGGTGAAATAGATACTACTCAATATCATGAAAAAATTGCTAAAATGTATAGTTGGCAAAATATAGCTAAAAGAACTGAAACCGTTTATGATTCGTTAGATTTGGATGATTTGAATGAACCTTTGTTAGACAGATTAAGTAAATATTATTGTTGCGGAGTGATTGCTGGTAAATTATACGTTTTGGTTGTAATAATTGATATTTTCATATTTTTGGTTTTGGAATGGTTGTACCCCAGGGAACACATTGATTTAGCAACTAAGTGGAGGCTGAAGAAGAGTAGCAGGAAACTAGATTTGATTTCTTAGATTTATAAATTTCAAATTGTTCTTCAATACATGCATTGATATATCTTGGTGTGACTTTTTTATGGGCCCAATCATTGGTAGGGTTGACCTTTACTGATGTTGTGAATTCTACAATTTTTCTAATGTCTTTGCCCAACACTTGTAATGGTGAAACATAATTCCATGTCTTGGACGTATCGATAGGATCAAGTCCAGACAAATCTTCAACGTAGTTAGTGGTAACTTTCCTCTTTAAATCCATTAGTTTTTCGAACTTTCTCATTTTTTCATTGTATTCCTTTTGCGCTTCTATTGAATCAAAGTTCTTATTTTGAAATAAAAATTGATCTTCTATTGAATTTAACTCACGCTTTAGGTGCTGATTATCTGTTGTCAAATTATTGATAGTGTCCAACTGAATTTTTGATTCTTCCATTGATTTCGCTAGTTGGGTTTCCAACTCATGAATTTTGGTCTTAGTTTGTTTTGTGAATAATTTCATATTCTGTTGTAAAATAGCTATGTTGAGGTTCAAATCTGCTATTTCTTTATCCTTCTCTAAAAGCAATGGTTCATGTGAATTCAAATCCGAAGATTCAGGTAGGATCTCAATATCATACAATGATTTTAGTGCATTTGGTGATTCCTGCGTTTGTATTTCAAAATTCTCGAAAGAATTTTCAATCGAGTTAAGCTTTGTCTTCAATTCTTGATCATTCGCATTGCTAATCCTCAATCGTTGAAATTCAAATAGATTGAGATATTTGTCATAAGGGAAAACAGCAATAAAGTTTTGCTCAGTTTTTAATTTAACATTCAATTCACTTAACACTCTATGCAAAGATGGTAATTCTGGAGCGGTTCCAGCATAATCTAGCACAACGTCAATTAATGACTGTATCTGCTTCAACAAGTAAAACAGCTTTAAGTTTAACTGCTTGTCGTTATCGGCTAATTTTTTAATAGCACTATTGCTCTCTTCAAGTAACGCCTCAAACATTTGATCACATTGTGAAGTTTTAATCAATAACGTCTCAGTCAAAGGTACAATGTGGCTTCTAAATTCCATAGCTATGGTTTTCACGAATTCAACGTTCACATTGTTGTAATTGTATTCTAGAAGTTTGATAATCATTTCAATTACACTTTTGATGGTATTGTAACCCAGTGAATATGATGATGGAATTTTGTCAACGATTGTGCTCACAAATAAGAGTTGAAATTTCAAGTCAAACACAAGATCAACGTAATCTTTATCCAAAAGACTCAAATTCTTACTGTCGGTTCTTAAAATTTGTAAGTCTAATTTCTTTTTCAATAAACTCAACTCAATCTCAAGGTTTGAATTTTCAATTTCTGAATTTTTCAATTGCATTTTAAGTTGATCGACTTTGATAGTGTTGTCTGAATCATCTTTACGTTTCCGTGATTCCGCTAGCTGTCTTTCCAAATTCAAAGTTTTAATTTGATTTTCATCGAACGAATTTCTTAGGGCACTCAACTCCTGCATCAAGTCCATCTCATTAGATCTCGAATCTGCCTCAATCTTTGCATTCAATTCGTGTAATTCTGTTAACTCGTCTATGTTTTTTTGTAGTTTTTTGACAGTTTTCACCAATTCTTCATTCTCCATTGACAATCGATCTGTAATTTTTTCAAGCTCTGAATATGATTCTATTCTTTCTCTCAAATCATTTATCGTTCGATCTTTCTCAGCCAGACTCTCGAGAGTGGAATTGTAACTTGTTAAGTTTGATTCAAGTGAATCAATTTTCTCAGATTTCAAAATAATTTCTAGTTTCAATTTCCGTATCGATTCTTCATTTACTTTGTCTTTTTCAAGAACCTCCTTGATCTCATTTGCCGTAAATTCACCCACATCTAAGTTTTTTAATTCGCGTTCTAACTCATGACTTATGTCCAACTCCTCTTTTACAACTGCAAATTCTTCTTGTAACGACTGATACTTTGCACTCAACTCCTCCACTTTTCGCTCTAATGACAATTTAGTATTTTGAAGGTATTCATTGTCAATTCTAGACATATCCAAACGAGACTCCGTCTCATGAAATTCTTTAATTTTCATTTCAAGGGCATCGTTAAGCTTAGTAAACTTATCCTTGTATTGCTTGTTTTCTTTAATCAAGTTCTCAAGTTTCATCTGCCAATTTTCATTTGCAACCGAAATCATACTTTCCCTCACAAACACTCCATACAAACCTTCTTTTGAGCATTCAAAATACTTAACTCCTTGAATAGAACCATCATTCTTCCCATTTGGATGATTCAATTCAATGCCATACCATTTGCCTGGTGCAAACTTTGTGGATCCTATAAACCTGATCGTACCAACTTCATCCTTGACTTTCACCAAATCTCCCACATTATGATCCATCTACTACTGGAGTGGTTGCTGTGAGTTCTTGAAATATCAAAATTGTTTATTTATTGAATGGTGGAACTTCTAGTTCAAATTCTAACATACCAGATACGCGTTAAATTATTAGAAAAAATAAATCCACAAAATCTTTTTGTTTCATACAACTTCATTTATTTAATCATTCATCAACCAACAATGTTCAATCGAGGGGAGAGGAAGACCTCATTAGGAACAACATCAAATACAAGTATAAGCAATGGTATAAGCCCGCCCAAAAGGGGATATTCAAATTCACCAAGTAATAATAATAATAATAATAATAACAACAATAATATAAACTTAAAACTAGAATTACTAGAGGATCAAAAAGAAGAAATCAGGGAAGCATTTCAATTGTTTGATATGAATGGTGACGGTTGTTTGGATTATCATGAAACTAAAGTTGCTTTTAGAGCTTTGGGATTTGAATTGACTAAACGTGAAGTTTTGGATATAATACATGAATATGATACCGATGATACAAATTTGATAACGTATGACAATTTTTATAAAACAGTAGGAGAAATGATAGTGAAAAGGGACCCATTAGATGAAATCCGTCGTGCTTTCAAACTTTTTGACGTTGATGGAACTGGTAAAATAAGCGTTAGAAATTTAAGAAAAATTTCAAAAGATGTTGGTGAAAACTTGAGTGATGAAGATTTGCAGGCAATGATTGATGAATTTGATTTGGATGAGGATGGAGAAAGTATGTAAATTTCGTGTTGAAGATGTCTATGAAACAAATACTAACAAAGTTATTTTAGTAAATGAAGAAGAGTTTATCAGAATTTGCACCGAATAATTGCAAGCTTGATGACCAAGACCCACTTATAACATATATAACCTAGGATTGTACTATATTGATTGAATGTAACTTTTAAACATGAAATTTTTAATTCAACTCTTGTTCCTCTAAATCAGTGTTATCCAAAATCAGATTGGTAGCCACTTGTTTTTCAAATTGTGTTTGAAAAATTTTAGCTAACACACCTAATCCAATACCAAGTCACATTTCTCAACCAACATATCATGTCTTGGGTTGTATCTCGTTCTCGTTTTAAACGAGATATTAACAAATTACCAAACCATTTGAAACAACATTGGATAAAACAACAAGAAATAACGGCATTACCAACATTCAAAGGATTTTTCCCACAAAGATTACCAAAATCACAACAGAAAACAAGATTTGAAGCAGGTATCACAGAAGGGGATTTAGCATATGTGACAGAGGGACCTCATAAGGGTAAAATTGTTGAAGTCTTGACTTATAGTCCTGAATTTGATTCTGTTTCATTGAGTAATATATCGACTAAAAAGTTATTACCAAAACCATTCTGGCCAGAAGGTCATACGTCACATGTCTTTGATTTTCCTGATTATATACCAAGAAGTAAAGTAAGAGTAGTGGGAAAACAGAAAGATGAGGAAACAGGGAAAATATCGTATATCGTTGCAGAAGGAATTCAAATGAAAGATTCATATTATGATGACAGATATAAGAAACATATACCAAGAAGATTTATCAAATACCATGATCAATACGAGTTACCATGGCCAAACCCACCAAAGATCAACGATGGGGTCTTGTCAACTCCTGAAAATGTTGTACTTGAAAGAACTTTTGAATTCAATACCATTGGAAAATCATCAATACCGAAGCAGTTAGTAAATCAATTACGTAATCCATATAGTAAATTCAAAAAGAGAACATTGGATGGTTTACAGGTTGCAAAATTAAATGGACCAGAAATGCCTTTAACAATTGAACAAAAAATTTGGCTAGCCAAACAAGCTGAAAGTCCGAAGAAAAAATTATATCCATTATCTAATGAAGTTAAAGAATTTATTGGTTCTAAGATGGCTGATCATATGAATAAGATTGAAAGTCCCGAGTTGCGTCATCATTTAGAAATTTTATCTAATGTCAAAATACCCGATTATCAAAAAACCTTGAACTTAATTGAAGAAACAGCTAAAGAGGAAAAAAGCCAAAATATAACGAACTAGAGATGAATTTTAAATTTGTAAATAGTATGGTAGATTATTGTATTATAATTTTTCATAATCCAATTTACCTTCTAATTTTTTATTATCTGCGACTTTTCTTACAGCTTTCATTAAATCATTTTGTATGATATAATCTCTATCATCTCTTATAGCAAAAAATCCTGCTTCCGTCACTACATTCCTTATATCAGCTCCATTAAATCCATCACTCATTTTAACTGCAGCTTCAAAATCAAATTCACCTTGTTTTGAAATTTTAGCTGTATGAATTTTAAAAATTTCTAATCTACCTGCTTCATTTGGTAACGGTATTTCGATTTTTCTATCTAATCTACCAGCCCTTAGCAAAGCTGGATCTAATGTATCAGGTCTATTAGTTGCCATAATGATTTTTGTTTGTCCTAAAGTATCGAACCCATCCATTTGATTTAATAATTCCATTAATGTTCTTTGAATTTCACGATCCGCAGAAGTACCTTCACTAAATCTACGACCACCAATTGCATCAACTTCATCCATAAATATAATACATGGCTCATGCTCTTTTGCATAAGCAAACATTTCTCTAATTAATCTAGCACTTTCACCAATATATTTATCAACTATACCTGAAGCTGGTGAGAATATGAAGTTTGCTCCAATTGTTGCTGCAACAGCTTTTGCTAATAAAGTTTTACCAGTTCCTGGAGGACCATATAATAATACACCTTTTGGTGGTTTTATACCGACTCTAATGAAAAGTTCTGGATTTTTCAATGGTAATTCAATAACTTCACGTAATTCCCTGACTTGCTCAGTTAATCCACCTATACCATTAAATGAAATTTCACCCGGTTCAAAAGTTGTCATATTATACACTAATGGATCAACTTCCCTTGGTAAGATTCTCATTATAGTCAATGTTGTCATGTCTAATGATACTCTAACACCATTTTTCAAATTTTCTTTCTTTATAGTATTTCGACATCCTACTATATAACGTGGTCCACTAGATGCTTTCACAATAAACCTTTCATCATCTAATTGTTTCAATACTTCACCAATTATTTGGCCAACAGATTGTAAAGCCTTTATATCATTTTCAGTTTTATCATAATCTTTTTCTAAATCTCGTATACTCAATCTTAAATCTTTTAATCTTGAATCCCATTTTCTATGTTCCAATAATTTATCTTTAAATTTCAGAAGTGCTCTTTCTCTTTCAGGATCAGTTGGTTCTGATGGTTTTGATTCACTACTTTCATTTTGTTGTTCTTGTTCTGCATTGTTGGAATTGTTGGCATTGTTGGCATTGTTGGCATTGTTATTGTTTGATGATTGATCAGCATTTAATGCTTGCAAAAGAGGGTCGTTTTCATCAGCACTCATTATCAATTAACTCAAATGAATGAATATGTAGTGTTGATATTAATTGAAAATCAATTTCGTTTGTTAGTGGCAATTCTCAAGTTTTGAAAAAGAGTCCATTCTCACAATACAGGACTAAAAAATTGGTAGCCATAATTACATCGTTATTTTTTTCAGATCTGTTTCAAATTTCTAGTTCATTTTAAGATCATTAGTCACTTCAATAATGGAGTTTACTGCTGTTATATTTTGTGGTCATGGTAATGCACTCACTCCATTTTCCAAAACTAGGGCAACTGGTATACCGAAAGCGTTGTTACCAATTGCAAACAAGCCAATGATAACCTATGTTTTAGACTGGTGTCAAAGTGCATTTTTCAATAAGATAATCATATTAAGTCAAAAAGAAGAGGAAGAAGAACTAGGGAAATTGATTGAAAATTATAAATTTCAAAAGAAAAAAGAATTAGCCAATACGGATGAATCTGATGTTTATGAAACCCCAATCGAAATTTTTCTGAATAGTTGTGAAAATAGTGGAGAGGTATTTTATAAACTACTAAAAGATTCTAAGTTTAAATCATCAACTGATAATTTCATAGCATTACCATGTGATTTGATAACAAATTTACCTCCACAAGTTATAATAGAAAGATTTAGAAATAAAAGAGAAGAAGATCTTGGAATAATTGTATCATATAAAAATCAATTAGATATTGAAGATAAAAAACTGAAAATATTTGGAAAATCATATACGATATATTCAAATGAAGAAGATTCAAGCTTTTTGGATCTTTATAGTAAAGAGGAAGTAGATCAAAATAAAATTTTACAAATTAGAATGCAAATGTGTCAAAGATTTCCAAATTCAACTTTAAGTACAAAGTTGTTGAACAGTGGGATTTTTTTGGGTTCTAAGAAAATATTTGATATAATAGATGAGGAACATACTAAATTTAATGAATCATATTTTGAGAAACGAAATTTCCAAAAATTTATTCGTGACCTAGCAAGGAGATCATGGAAACATTCTAGTTTAAAAGAATCAATTGGGTTCTTGGAAGTACCGTCTCAAGCTACATTTTTTAGAGTCAATAAATTACAAGTATGGATAGAAGCAAATCGATATTTCATGAAACAACAGGCGATGACCAAAGGTCAATCACATCAACAAAATAATCAAAAAGATAAATCAACAGCACATGTAGGGAATGATTCTACTGTAGGTGAAAATACAACTCTTGGAGAAAAAACTAATATCAAAAGAAGTGTAATAGGCTCAAATTGCAAAATAGGGAATAAAGTTAAAATAACAGGATCTCTCATATTAGACAACACTATAATTGAAGATGATGTTCAACTAGATAATTGTATTATTGGACATGACGTGATAATTCATTCAAAATCAAAACTAATCAATTGTAACGTAGAATCTACTAATGAGGTACCATCTGGAACACAATCAAAAGGTGATACATTATTATGTTTAAGTTTAGAGAATCTTGAAGATGGTGAAAGTGAAGAAGAATTTGTGTTAAGAGAAGGTCCACTTAGTGATTCTAGTTCTGAAGAAGAGGACACAGATGAAAGCGAGGATGAGAGTGAATTTGAAGATGAATATACTGGAAATGACGATGGTTTATTTGATTATTAAACAAAACTAAATGCCAAAAAGTATCATCAATATAGTCATTAGTATAGGTATTCATAGAGAAAATCAATTTATGTATAAGTCGTTAATCTCATTAAAAAAATATGCTAAATTTACTTGTCTTGCACTGTCTTTAATTTTTCTTTTTCTTTTTCTTAGCTGGGCTAATACTTGAATCTTTAAATATTTTAACTCTTTTATTATCATCAGTTTCACTTTCACTTGATTCTCCCGATGAATATAATTTTTTATAATATTGTTGTTGTAATTTAGTTTTCTTTAATACTGGATTACGTTGTGATTGATTATGTTGAACTGAAATAGGAGGAATACTAGGTTTAAAAGATGCAGTAGTATCAGAATTAAATTGAAATACAAAATCACTGGGTATTTTAGAATCTTCTAATGTTGTTTTTTGTTGTCGTATAGTAGTTGATGATGAATTTTTAGTTAATTCTGCTCTTCTTGTTAATGCCCAATTTTCAACATCTTCATTGTTTGTTATAATATCCAATAAATCGTCAATACATTGTAAATAACCTTTTTCTTGTGATGATGAATGTGAAATTTGCCCCAATTTATATAACGAAGCAACTGATCTAGCGGCACTAGCAAAATCGAGTTTTACAGCTGATTTTTGAGATTCATTTGATGATGAAGTTAATGAACTATTGTATAAAGATGCTACAGCTTTGGCTGCGTCTTTAAAATGTGTTGTAAGTTCCAGGCTAATGTCGGAAGAAGAAGTGGATGATGTTGATGATTGCGAAGTTGATGGCGGATGAGACTCTTCTGGTTTCTTTTGTCTCAGTATTGGTTTCAGATGTGGTAAAGTATTTGATAAATTAGATAAGTCCATATTGTTGATTTGTTTAAGTCATGCAAATGTTTGTTGAGTGTTCTTGTTATGTTACTGATAATTTTTATTTCTTGTGATGTAATGAAGATCAAATCTTTATTTCAATTTAAAAAAGCGAGGAGTAGATTTAAAGTGTAAATTAGAATAAGATTAATAGTAAAACCAACCCAGAAAAAACGAGCAGTTGGTTCAGTTAGTTCTTATACAACCCGTTGCACAGGTCTACTCGAAGATCTGTTGCTCCCAAAAGAAGTTTTCTTCACATTCCTTCCTACTTTCATCTTGTACTTGTGATAGATAAAGAAAAGCTCGTAAATATAATATTTATTTTTCCTGACACAACAATCATTAAATATTGAGATCTAGCCTACAACCAAATCACATCTTTACTAAATTACTTCGTTACATGGTAGAATCAACTTTAATATATAGATACGATGGTATGTTAGGAAAATTAGTATTTTCTAGCAATTCAATTTACTAACTAAATGTTTCAAGCACTCCCGTTATGTGGATCAGTTGATGATGACAATGATACAAATTCACAATCATTATTAGATCAAAAGAAGAAATGTAAAATATTAATAAGTAGAATAACTCCCAATTCAGAACCTCAAGCAACTATAGAATCAGGAGATTATAATATTCATTATTTAATTTCTCAAAATATTATATATTTATGTATATGTAAAAGAACATATCCTAGAAAATTAGCATTTTCATATTTAAATGAAATATCAAATGAATTTTATAATAGTCATGGTATTGAAGCATTAAATCCTCAAGCAAGACCATTTGGTTTTTCATCATTTGATAATTTTTTAATAAAAACTAAAAAAATTTATCAAGATCAAAGAGCTCAATCAAATTTAGATAAATTAAATAATGATTTAGCTGATGTTAAAAAAGTTATGACAAAAAATATAGAAGATTTATTATATAGAGGTGATTCATTAGATAAAATGAGTGATTTATCAAGTTCTTTAAAACAAGATTCTTTAAAATATAGAAGAAGAGCTCAAAGAATTAATTTAGAAGCTTTAATTAAGCAATATATTCCTATAATTGGTGTGGGTTTAATATTTCTATTTATGTGTTATTATTTATTAAGAAGGTGAATATGAATACACGTTAAGTAAATATGAACTTTGAATTGTTGTAGTGCTCGTTTAATCAATTGATAATGTTCATGATAATTATTATCTTTTTTTCTTTGCAACCACTAAACTCAATTATATCTTTATGTCAATGGATAGACCGAAATTGTTAAAAATAGCGACAAAATCGACTAGTCTACTTCCAAAAGCATCCAATTCTCAAGTACAATCTACAACAGAAGCAACAACTGCAATCAATTATGAAAATGTCAATCTGGAGATCCAATCTATAAGAAATGTATCACCATTAACACAAGCAGATAATTCAAGTATTACATCAGAACTTTATCTTTCAGAATATATAGAAGATTTACCATTACCAAATTCAATACGGCAACGTCAATTAAATAAAAATGGTGGTATCATATCTTACACTGATTTATACAATAATAATGAAGAAGAAGTAATAAACAAAGAAGAATATTTTAACACACATGTTGCAATATCCAAAACTAACGACGATAATGAATTTCGTAGTAAATTAAAGCATTTTTTCATTTTTTCAACTGCTGGAAAACCAATATATTCAATGAATGGATCAGAAGATGTTATAATTGGATATATGGGAATATTAACAACAATTTTATCAACATTTCAAGAAAACCTACAAGAAAATTTAAATGTTATTCAATTAGGTAATGAATTGAAATTAATTGCATTAAATAAAGCTCCTATTGTTTTAGTTGCTATATCAAAACTTTCTCATGAAACTGAAAATTTTATAAAAGATCAATTAGAAATATTATACAATTATATATTAAGTATATTATCTAAACCAACTATTGATAAACAATTCCATAATAGATTAAATTATGATTTAAGAAGAGTTCTTAATCCTCTTGATTTTGAAAATTTAGATAAATTAAGTATTCAATTAACATATGGTTTAGAAGGTGGTTTTGAATTATATTTATCAAAACTATTACAAGCTCGTCAAAGTTTTAGAATTAAATATACTTTAAGAACCAAAATGAAAAAATTATTAAAAAATTTTAAAGATGAAGATTTATTATTTACTATATTAGCTAAATCTAATATTATATTAGAAATTATAAATCATAAAATTCATGAATTAATTAATGAAGATTTAGAAATGTTAATATTTATTGTAAATTCACTGAAAATTGAAGGTGAAGATTTATGGATGCCATTATGTATGCCAAACTTTAATAAAAATGGATTTCTTTATATATTTGTTAGATCATGGAATAATTTAATTTTAATATTAATAAGTGGAAACAAGAATTCATTTTATAAACTCAAGAATTTAGCAAATGAAATTTTCAATAAAATTCAAACAACTCAAAATCAAGAATTATGGAAAAATTATCAAACTGATTTATTAACTCCATTATCATCATCTATACCATTTGTTGTAAAACATTTTATTTATGTAAATAAAACCCTAAACCAATTTATAACAAGTGAATTTCCCCAAAATGATAATGATCAAATATTACAAATGATAAAATATTATACAACATTAAAAAATAATAAATCAAATTTAAAAACTTCCAAAGACTCAAAATTAAATTATAAAAAATTATCATATTTAAAATGGGAAAATATTATTGGTATAATGATAAGTGATAATTTTTATGAATTTTATTGTTTAACTGATTCAAACTTAGATTCAAAAAAATTAATTGAATTAAGTTTATCAATTATAAATTGGTGTAAACAAAATAAATTAAGATTATTTATTACTTAAGGATTTGTTTTTCATAAGCTTTAAATTTTTCATGTAATTTATCAATATATAATTTATGTAATTTTTCTAATTGTGTCAATTGTTTATTTTCTAAATCTGTAATTTTATGATTTTTTAAATTTGATTGAAATTTAGATCTTGTATCACCTCTTATACTTGTTAAAGAATTGGTCTTGTTATTTTTTAATTTATCAAATAATTCTTTTAATTGTTTTAAATTTTGTTGTTTTGTTTCTGATGTTATTGGAGGTAATGGAATTTTTATATTAAATTTATTTGATGGATCTATAGTTCCACTCATATTTAATCCAGATCCAATTATTGCATTAATTAAAGATTGACCATTTGATGGATCAAACATTGTAACTATAAAATTTCTTCCCTTTATTGAAGTTTGAGCAATAGTATTAAACTGAACTTCTTCAACATCTTTTTGATTTCCAATATTTACAATTAAATTATCAAAAATTTTAGGATTTAATTTTCCTAATTTTATTTCATTTGCTTGTTTTTCAAATTTTGTTAGAATTTTTTCAAATTTCGATTCAACTGTTGGGAAATCTATTGTTGGAGTTATTATTTCTTCAGCAGCTTCTGCTTGAATTTTTTCATCTTGTTTTTGAAGTTTTTGTTTTGTTGATTTTTTTTTAAGAAGAATGGGTGAAGTATTGAAAAATCTTGGTTTTAGTATATAGTTGGATCTTATAGGATTAGATTTTAGTATAAATTTTTGAATAGATAGCCGAAACATGTTTTAGTTCGATTTGTAGTAGATAGAGTGAGATCTTGGAGATTCAAACATTTTAAGTTTTTCAGAAATTTTTCAGATTTTTCAATTTTTCTTCTCACACGATTCTTTATTAGGCTATAAAGATTCTAATAATCTTATACAATTAGTTGCTTCTCTACCTATATCACCACCTTCTTTTGTTAAATTATTTAGGTTCTTAATCATTTTCTCTTTAAAGAATTCATTCATTATATTTTTTCTTGTTTCTATATCTTCTGTTGTCATTGAATCTAAGTTTTCAATATTATTCATTGAATTATTTGAAATTTCATTTATATATAGTTTTAATGGAGCAAATACTTGAGGAGTTGTTGGTAATAGATATTTATAACTTTGAGGATGTATTGTAATTTGACTTAAATGTATATTATCTTGTTTTGATGTTTCTTCAGTTAATGTTGATTGTAAAAATTTAGTTATTGTTTGAATATGATCAATTCTTGCCCTTTTTGAATTTTCTCCAAGCAATATAGAAGAACTTGAATTTATTGATACACTTTTTGATTTTGAATCATTTAGCAAGGACCAACTCATTAATATAAAAAAATTTTTCATTATCTTAACGAAATACAGTTTTAAATCTGAATATTCATTTAACAATGCTAAAAATTTTGTACTTGTATTCCTTATATCTGGTTGAATATGAGTCATTGCTGATATTATAAATAAAATTATTGTACGCTTGTGTAAATCAAGTAGGCCAGGTTGATTTTCTCCACATTTTTTTAATAAATTTAATAATTCTAATCTAACTTGTTTTGATTCATCTAATATTAATGGTACAACACTTGTTATAATTTGTTTATATTGTGATGGATTAGATGGTAAATTTTGAGTTATATTTATTAATATTTCTTTTCTTGTAGTTGAAGAATGATGTTTTGTTAATGATAATTGATGTGAAAGATCCTTTGAATGAACTGTAATTATGGATTGACCAGGTAATGATATAGTTTTAGATTTAAATGAAGTATCTGTATAATTATCAGGCTTTTGAGCAGTTTTACCTACTTTTAATTTAGCCTTTTTGAAGTCCTTTTGTTTTTCTTTTTGTTTTCTTTTGGATCCCATTTTGGTTACAAGATGAGATCAAAATATGAAACTTCAATTCGTAAAAATAAAAATAATAAAATAAATATCAACAGTTTCAAATTTACAACCAAATGTCATCATCTTTTGGATTGACTTTTGAACATGAGAATCTACTACTGTCATTGTCATTAGATGATAAACCTAATGGTGGGTTTAGATCCCAAGATGATGTTGATGCTATGGATATAGACGATCCAATGGATATTGATGATGAAACAGAAATTGAAGAGGAAAGTATCAATGAGGTTGAAAAAGAAGAAGAAAATGAAACAAAACAACAGGATCATAATTTATTGGCTTTAATCTCACCAACTATGCTTGGAGCAAAACTTGCTGTACATAAACCAAAATTATTAATGCCACCATCACCAACACCTAAAATAGTTAAAAGTAGAAAACCTTCAATAGATTATGAATTTGATACAAGTTCATATCGACCGTTAAGGAATATTTCACCGAGTGTTGAACAAAACTCATTCATAACAAAAAGAAATAACACAACATATCAAACTTCACCAGATTTACAAATGTTTTTATCATCAACTAATAATAAGAATGAACCTAGCACCACTATACATCATCATCATTATTATGGATCGTCACCCAAGGACACATATTTAGAAGAATTAAAACTACAGCGACATCAACAAAAATTAGAAATTGAAAAATATTTAGAAATTCAAGATCATCAAAAAAGATTAGAATTATACAGGAACAAAAATTTCCTAAGTTTACCATCACCATGGAAAACAAATATTCATCCAATTGAAAAAATTCCATATTTAATATCATCATATTTACAATTATTTTTAAATTTTATAATATCATTATATTTAATATATTTAATTTATTATATTGCCATAACTATAAAATCAGATATTAATCATAAAATTAATTTACAAAAACAAAATTTACAATATCAAATTGAAATATGTACAAAAGAATATTATGAAAATCAATGTAATGTACCAGAATTTTATAATTTACCAATATTAAAAAAAAAATGTTTAATGTTTGAAAAATGTATGAAACAAAATCCAAATTCTTTAGGTAATTTATCTTTAATAAATGCTCAAATATTTGGAATGTTATTAAATTCATTAATTGAACCTTTAGGATTTAAATTTTTTTTATTTATTTTATGGTGTGGTATTGTTATATTTGGTTGTAATTTTTTATTTGGTTATATTAGAGCTAAAACTTATTATGGTGGACAAATTGAATTGGACTAATAGGAGTGAACGTTGATTCTTTACAAGCTATGATAAATAGAGATATTTTGCATGTGGGTTAAATTAGATAGAAACAATTGAAATAAAAGTCTTTTGTAGTCACTTTTGTCACTTACTTTCATATACCTTTTGATTTTGATGGTCACATTCTAAGGATATAAGTCGTAATCCAAACGATGTGTGGAATACTAACGTTTAGATCTTTGATTAACCTATTGTTCTGGAGATAAACAGCAGAAATTAATTTTTGAGTTACAAAATCATAATATAAAACATCTAAAAAAGATAATGTAGACTAAATAATTTCTAGTTTCAGGATTACCAAGAATAAGAAAATAATAAATTTTATCAATTTGCGGCCGAATATGTAGTTCAGTACAAAGCCGTTTATTTGAAACCCTTGTGAAATCGAACAGTTAAATGGTTCGGACTGAAATGAAAATGATTTCTTATAGATTCTACTCCCTCAAAAAAATTGTTAAAGATAATTTATTTTTCCGCTATTTATTCAACCAATAAATCCGAGATTCTTTTTTATAATATTTGGCCTATCGATAAAATAAAGCAAAGTAGGAGAATGTCGATCAAAATCGTTTGATTCTTCTTGCAAACTTAGACGATTGAAGAACACACAATTGTTAAAAGACTCTAGAAACAAGTATAGGTCAAAGATTGTAAATCAACCGTATAGTTCGGAAACTCAACAATTTATCTGTCTTAAAATAAGCCTGGTAAATTAATATTTTCCTTCAAGATTTCATTAAGCTTCATCAAATATTTCATCCATCCCTTATGATTTAGTAATCCCTCAAAACTTTAAAATTGTGCTTAATTAGGTTGTATCATATATTGTCTAAAAATACAATTAATGATCTAGATGAAAGTATAGATGGAAATAAAGTAAAATTTTCCATATTTATTTTGTGTAACTACTTTCGGATATAAACATTGTAAGGCTAAAAAGTTGATTAAGCGATGATATTTATTTCAATACAACAATAAGCAAAGTTGAATATAAATTATAATTAACTTCCTAAATATTTATATATATTTTTTATTAGCCAGTCTCTTTGTCAAATTAAATTTGATCCTTTCAATTGACAGTGAAAACCAATACCTATTCAACTACCTATTCGTCTAATCAACTTGAAATCTTCATAGACAGTTTTTCTTTAAATCAGAGTGTCAAAAAAATAGAAAATGGGACTATTTTTCACTTCTCAAGAAGAAGAATCTCAATTAAGAGAAATTATCTACTGGAACTTTAAAAAATCCTTGAATTTGACTAGCATGTAAATCCATAGTTATAACATGATTACATCCTGCAACTTGTAATAAATTTGCAATTAATTTTGCAGTTATTGGAGCTCTTGATTTATCTTTTTTATCTTGTCTAGCATATGGGAAATTTGGAATAACAACAGTTATACGTCTTGCACTTGCAATTCTACATGCATTTATAATAAATAATAATTCCATTAAAAAATCATTTATACTATCTTCTCCACACCCAGTTTGAATAATATAAACATCTTCATCTCTTACTGATTCTCCTACTGCTACTGCTGTTTCAGTATTTGTATATTGAAAAGCACCAATTTTAGCTATATTTATACCTAATTTAGATGCAATTTTTTCACATAAATCAACGTGAGAATTTCCAGCTATTAGTTTTATGGCATTTGGCTGTCTTGCGTGCATTATAGTTGATTATGGATAGGTTCTATTTGAGTTTGGTTGTAGAGATAGCATCAAAAAAAATCAGTTTTGTGATTTCAAATCTGAAAAATGATGCGTTTCTGGAAATGAGAGAGGCATTAGATACGAATAAATGTGAAAGTCTTAAGATAAACTCAAATAAAAGAGATCTCAGACTTCAAGTATTGCATATATTGAATTAAAGCAAATGCATTAGTCAGATTTCATCAAAATTACAAGATTTTTGTTAAATAGCAGACAATTTAGCTGGAGTAAGATTTGTATATTGGGTACCTTAGATCGCTAATTTTATTCAAAGTTTGGTCAAAATGCTCAGTCAAAGTTAGGTAAAAAAGCTCGGTAGCTTTGGGTCATACTAAAGTACAATTTATTTGTCTTTCAACAATTTTGCCTAAAAATAGCTTCAATGGCGCAGTTGGCAACGCATCTGACTTGTACTAAAATTGTAATCAGAAGATCACCAGTTCGACTCTGGTTTGAAGCATTTTTTAGAAATGTAAGTGTAATTTTTTTAAATTACCCTTCAAAGATATCAATCGCTCATTAAGTTCTTTCAGCCAAATAATCGTTGTTAAAAGTGTCATTTAATGAAATAATCTTTCATCCACGAAGTACTTTTTTGCATCCACATAAATTACCCCTTAAGACTTCCAAAAGGAAACTTTGTTAATTTTTAAAATAAATTATGAATAATGATGATGAGTATTTTTTTAAAGACCTGGCAAAAGCTTTGATTTCCTTAATGGTAAATTCAAGCCATTTTCTCCAACGAGGCAAGCCGTGGGGTTATTTTAGTTGGAAATTCTTTTGCACGCAGATTCTCAAGTTCTTTGATTTTATTCTAAATCTTTCAAAATATATTCATATTCAATGAAAATTTTATTGTTAGTAACTTTCTTCATGTTCCACTCAGCTAAAGTCTCATGATTCAACTTGATCGATAAATCCACCATCACCATCTACCTTTTTTTATAACAAAAGCTTTATCTCTTTAAGTTTAAAATTTCGGCTTTTTGTTTAGGCCGAAACAAATCTAACAGTCCAAAAGTAACTTACGTAAGCTATTGTTACAAAATTACGTAACACAATAATAACTTTAAATTCAAAAGATTAATCATATCAACCACCATAATTTATAACACCACCACCAAAATCTTTGAATGTCTTATAACAAAAACAACCGTATAAATCTATGATATATATACAACAATAAATGGAATTACAAGAATCAGATAATACAAAAAGAACAAAAGTTTCAAAAGCTTGTGATTATTGTAAAAAAAGAAAATTTAAATGTAATGGTATACCTCCATGTGAATTATGTTTGAAAAAGGGAATTGAATGTTCATTTAGTATAATAGATAGAAGAACTATTAGAAGGAAAAATAAAAAAAGAACAGTTAAACCAAAACCAATAGAAGTTGTAGGTGAATCATCATCCTCATCATCTCCAATTAATAAAAATTCAAATTCAACAATTCAACAATCTAAAACTTTAACAAATATTAATTCAAAATTTGTACATAAAATTGTTAAAGATGATAACCATATAGATAAAAATACTTTAACAATATTAAAACAAAAAAGTAAATTACCAATTAGATTTCAACCTTTAACTATATTTCCATTACATAAAGTTGATGAGAATGAAAATAGTAATATCTCCACTAAAACTCCCACTCCTACTGCAGAAACAAATAACGAATTAATAAATGATACATCAAATCAAGACAATATGACTGAAACTTCCAATACTATAACCACCACTCGAAAGTCTATATTAGAAGAAGAGATTGAAAAACCTAATGTTTTATATGATGCGGGTGGTAATTTAAGATATGTTGGAGAATCATCACCATTATCATTTTTATTTGAATGTAGAAATATTTTTAATAAGTTTATTGGTAAATCATCTTTTACATCAGAAAAAGATTCTTTAGAAATTTTTGATAATCAAGAAGAAGTTTTAGAAATTGTTCAAGTTGCTTTACCAAATAGAGATTGTATGAAAAAAATATTGGAATTATATCATATTCATATAAATCAAGTTTGTTATATATTAGATTTAAAATATTTTGAAAAAGAAATTATTGAACCAATTTATGATAATTATGGAGATTGTTCAATTAGTCAGATCGCTTTAATTAATTTAGTTATTGCAGTTGGATTATTATATGCTGAAAGATCTCAAGATCCCATATTAAAAGATTTAGAATCTTCTCAAATGAAATCTTCTGCATATTTTGAATATGGTATATTTTTAACAAAAAAATATATGAGTGTTGGGAAATTATGGATAACTGAAGCATTTGCTATAGCATCATGTTATTATCAATCAAAACTGCAAAGAAATACTGGTTGGATTATGATTGGAACTGCTATAAGAAATGCTCAAGCTTTAGGATTACATAGAAAATATATTAATGAATCATTTAAAAATAAAGCATATGTACGTCATAGAAGAAAATTATTTAAAAGTTTATATATTATGGATAGAATTACTTCAGTATTATTAGGACGTCCATTAATTATAGATGATTATGATTGGGATGATTATGATTCATCAGATATTTATGAACTTGATGAAAATGGTAATAAAATAAATAATATTTATCTTGAAGCAATGGAACAAACTTGTAAAGTTGCCAAAATTATAAGTAAAATTATAAGAGGTTTTTATCTTGATGGTATTATTAATCCTTATAAAGCTGAAAAATTAGCAATTGAATTAAGATTATTTTCATTAAATTTACCAGAAAATTTACAAATTGATAAAGTTATTGATTATGATGATAAAGTTATAGATGGTTCAAAAGATAATAAAATTCCTTTATTATTAATTCATTTATCTCAATTATATGCTATAACATTATTATCAAGACCATTTTTTATGTATGTTATATTTTTTCAAAAAAAATTTAAATTAAAAAAAAAAATTAAAACAAGACAAGAAATTTCAATTTGTAATTTTTGTAAAGCAACAGTAAAAGCATCAAGTTTAACAATTCAATTATTATATTCTTATATAAATTATACAAGAGATGTATTACAAAGAGTAGAATCTCAAGGTTTAACTCATGCATGTTTTATGGCTTCATTAATTATTGGTTTATCAATATTATATTTAGAAAATTATGAATCAGGAATTTATGAAGGTGTAGATTCATCAATTCAAATGAAATTAATTAATAAATCAAAAGATGTTTTTCAATTTTATTCTTCAACAAATCCAATGTCTTCTAGATTTTTAGTTATTATTAATCAAATGCAAAAAGCTTTAATGAATAAATATAAAATTGATATTAATGGTGAGAAGATTAAAAAACAATCAAAACAACCACATAATGTGTCCAAATCATTATCCCAGGAGATGAAACAATCACAATCACAACAAGAAGAACAAGAGCAACAACGTCAACGACCAAATGAAAAACAACAACAACAACAACAACAACAACAACAGCAAGAACAAGAACGACAACACCAACAACCACTGGAACAACAACAAGGATCTCAACAACACCAATATCTCCAACAACAACTCAAACCTGATCCATCACCATTATTTACAGATCAATTAATGCCAACACAAACTCCACAAGGTCATAGTTTTAATAAAGATTATGATGAATTTATTGATAATTTTGGTACTTTATTACCAATGGCAACAATGAAACAAAATTTAACAAATGACAATAATGTAATGAAATATTTTCCACCAACAAATCAAAATTCAAATGGAAGTAATAATCGTAATGTTAATATTGGAAATAATATTGAACTGAATTTTAATAATGGTGGAAACTTTGGGTATAATCTGTCAATTATTCAACAACAACAACAACAACAATCACAACAAGGACAAGGACAAGCTCAACCATACCAGCAACAACAACCGCGGCTACCACAACAAACCCAACCACAACTTCCACCACCACAACAACAATCTCAACAACAACAACAACAACAACAATATAATCCTTTAAAATATCAAGAATATCCTCAAAATTTTCAACAAATGTATAGAGATAATTCAATATCAAGTTCAACAAGTGAAGTATTAGATGAATTTATGTATAATATTGGATTAAATGAAGTACTTTATGATGCAAAAGTTTAGAATCTAATTTAGAAAGGATTGAGTTTAAGTTTTTTTTTCAATTTTAAGCATAAAAGTTTGGGAAACACGGTTATCGATATTCAAAGAATCTAAATGTAAAAGGGATATATAATTTAGTAGAGTAAACAGTCAGAATCAAAGAACAAAAAGTTTAACGAATAGACCAATGAAAAATAAATAATAATGATACAAAATTTGAAAGTTCAATCCTTTATACATTAATGATATTATTACATTTATATACTGTTACATCTTTAACTTTTTCTTTAAATTTAACATAAACCAACAAACCTACTTTAACTCCCTCTTATCCACAAAATCCAAATCCTCTTACTTCTTTAAACTATCAGATACCTAATTTTAATTCATTATCAATAATAAATTTTTTAATATTTGATAAATTAAAACTTAATTTTTTTAAAATTGAAATTTTTAAATTTAAATCATATAAATAATTTAATAAAATTTCTCCAATTTTTAAAATATATAATGTATTTTCAAGTGATGAGGAGTTTGTGGTGTTGGTGGTATGATTAAATAAGAATAAGTTTGTTAGATTATCATTATTTCTTTCATTTATAATGCCTGCATTATTTTGATAATAATTATTGGTGGTGGTTGTAGAATTACCGGTATATCTTTCAATTAATTGATTTTTGATTTGTTCCATTAAATTTAAGACTTCTTGATTTTTTAAATTTAATTCATATAATAAATTATCATTTTCAATTTGATTACTATTAATATTGGTTGAGTTGTTATTTTTATTTCTTTTAATTGAATAAATTGAAAACATTGATAATATAATAAAAATATGATATAAAACTTGTGAATGTATAAGATTATTTGTTGGATTAAATTCATTTGTATATTCAAATTCAATCATTTTATTAAATTCTTTATTATTATTTAAATATTCAATATTATTATCAAGATATCCAAAATCTGTATCAAATATTGAATCATCTTTAGTAGTGGAGTTATTTTCATTAGTGTTAGGAGTAAAATTATTAACTTTAAATAATAAAACTTTTAAAATAATTAAACAACAATCAATAACTTGTAAATAATTTAAATCATTATTATCACCAAAAGAATTATTTGAATTATTAAAATTATCTTTAAATAATAAGTCAAAATAATTTTCAATTTCATCATAATTTTTAAGCCAACATTGAGCTTTTATAGATTTTAAATCTAATATTGAAGTAATTTTTGTAAAATTTATTAATAAAACATAATCAATTTTTTCAACATCTTTAATTTGGTTTTTACCATGTACTAAATCATGTGATTGATTTTTTGGATAATAATTTGTAATTTCATTTAAAATTTTAAAAATATTTAATTTAAAATTAATTTCTTTAAATTGTTTTATTTCATAAAATCCATGAATTAATGAATTGAAACCAAATTTACTTAAATTATTTATTTTAAAATTCATTGATTTATTTGATGTAATATTAATTAATAAATCTTTAAAATTAATTTTTTCCAGTTTTAAATAATAATCTAGGGATTGACTGTTATTATTTAATTGATTATTATTTTCTTGAAATTCTTGAAAATTTTTAAAATTCCATAAATATTCATCTTTTAAATTTGGTACAATTAAATGATTTAAATCATTTACTGATAATGTTAATGGAACATTATACATCATATATAAAAAATTTGTAATTCTATAAATTATAAATATTATTCTAATTTGCAGTTGTAAATTTATATGATTTTTAAACTTAATTTCATCATTAAAATTATTTGAAAATAATGATGATGAAGGGATGTCTTCATTTTGTATTTCAAGTGAAGAATTTAATAATTTTTTATAAATAATTTCATCTTCTCCATGTATTGAAAATAAAATTTCTTTTGAATCTTTTATTGAAGTTTTAACTAATGAATTTAATGCACTTAATTGTCTCATAACAATATAAACATTATTAACATTTTCTGAAAATAATCCATAAATAACAGATAATGTTAATGATTGAATTAACCATAATGGATTAATCGATGATACAATTTTTTTTTCAACTATATTTTTTCTACTTTCTAAATATATATGAATAGCTCTTCTTGAACCTTCATAAAGGTGTTCAGAATCATTTTTATTATTTGCTAATAATGCCCCAATTGTAGCAATTAATAATGGTAAACAAACTCTTGCACTTTCATTATTTTCAATTTCATCTGATGTCATATTCATAATTTCATATTCATTTAATTTTGATATATGTATAAAAGGATAATGTGATAAAAAATCTTTTATAAAAAATGATAAATATAATTCTAATTTTTCATTTGATGGTATAATTGGTGTTGTTATACCATTTATTGGATATTTATTTAATGCTCTATTTATTAATTGTCTCATATGATTTGTAAATAATTTATTCTTGGAGTAATTACTTAATTTTATTTTATTTAATGAGATTTGATTTATTATATCATTATTTTGTGATGAATTTTCTAAATTAATTAATTGATTATGATCTATAGTATGTTCAAAATTTTGACTTATATTTGAACTAAAATTTAATTGATTTAATTTTGTTGGTGATTTTAAATTTGGTGAATTTGTATCCATACCTGATGAATTTCCTGATGGATTATCTCCATAAAATGAATAACCTCCAGGCATAAATTTACTATTTACATCTATTTCATGAGTTAAATTATCAATATCATTTAAGAAATTTAAATCAACATCATCAACCTCCATTTGTTGATTATTATTATTATCATTCAGTATAGATTCAAATGGTTCTTGTTCTTGTTTTATAGGAGTTAAAACTCTAAAATGTGAAGATGATGATGTTGTTATTGATGGATCTTCAATTCCTAAAGTCATATCTAGCATATTTTCAGGAATATCATAAAATGAATAACCATTATCAAAACTTTGTTGAGTTTGATATGATTGATAATTTTGAGGTTGATTTTGATTTTGATTTTGGTTGTTATGTTGATGCTGAGGTTGAGGTTGAGACTGAGATTGATTTTGGTTCAAATTTTGATGTTCATGTTGATGTTGATGTAGTTGCTGTTGTTGTAATGGTTGAAAATTTTGTTGTTGTATCATATTTTGATGAGCAGTTACACCATTTTGAATTTCTTGATTTGTTAAAGTTACAGTTGGCATCATATAAGAATTCCCATCATAATTTGAATTTAAAGAATTTATACTATCAGATTGATTCATTACAGTAAAATTTGATGATTGATTTGAAAAAGATCCATGATGACTTACATTTACAGGAGGAGTTGGATAATCATTATTGCTATTTGATAATTGAAAAGATGGTCGATGATTTAATTTCATAAAATTTGAATTTTCTGATAAACCAGGTATTGAAGTTAAACTATTTAACCAATTAATTTCATCATTATTATTTGTTGGTTGTAATTGAGGAGTTGAAAATTCAACATTATCAGATTGAGGATAAATATCATTAAATTCTTGAACATTTATTGCATAATTAGGACCAGATTGAGCAGAAAATGAAGCACCTCTCATTCTTCTAGTTGGTGTTATAGTTATTCCAGACATTGTTGAATCAGTTGTTTTTTTCCTTTCTAGGATATGTCTTTGTAATGAAGCATTTGTTGAATTTTTTCTAGTTGTAGTATTTGATGATGATGTTGATGATGAATTGTTTATTGACGGTTTTTTTGAAGTTTTCAGTATTTTTGAATTTGATGTATCAGGTTTTGAATTATTGAATAAATCTAGATTAAATTCAACAGGATCTTGTTTAACGTTATTAATTGTTGGTTCAGAACTTTTTTGTTTCGTTTTTTCCTTTTTATCATTAACTTTTTTATTTGTTTGTTGTTTCTCTGATGATTCTTTTTCCTTGTCATCTTCAATTGCTACTTCCTCCTGCCTCTCCTCTTCCTCATCTCCTTCTTCTTCTCCATCTTCTTTTGGTTTTATAGATTTTCTTCTTAATCTTGTTATAGCATCAGTACAACCAGCATGTAATTTTTGAGCATGTCTTAATAATAAATCTCTTCTACTAAATTTTCTTTGACAAACTCCACAACTAAAAGGTTTTTCTTTTGTATGAGATCTTTCATGTCTTCTTAAATGTTCTAATCTTGCAAAAGCTCTTGTACAAACTTGACAAACAAATAATCTTGGTTTACCAGAAGGAGTTGTACCATAAGCAGTTAATTCAACTGGTATATTTTTAATTTTTTTAGCAGATGCAGTTATCCCATTTTTAGCGGATGATGATGATGATGATGATGATTTAGGTGATGTGTCTTTTGTATTGGGTTTATCATTGCTATTGGTATTAGTGTTATTATGCTCATTATTTGTTATATTTTCATTCATATTAACATTATTGTTGTTATTATTATTATTATTGTTATTCATTGAAATTGTATTTTTAAAGACCCATTAAAATTTGTTTATTATGCACACAAATTGTTAGTGATGTGATATATAGTAAGAGAATGGTATTAGATAGTAGTGATAGTGAGTTTCAACTGATAGATTGGTTATAGAAACAATGTTGGTAGTGATAGTTAGTATTTATTGGTTGATATAAATTGGTTGTAAATAAATTTGAATAAAAAAAATGAAGTCATAAAATTTTAAGACAACGCTTTTATTTTTTTTTGTTTTTATTGTCTCGGATATTAAATTTTAGTGTCAAATTAAATCTTGTTGAGTTAAGGAATGGGCTATTGACTAATGATTCAATTTGATATATGAAAGTATCATAAGATAATGATTGAAGATAGCGGTAGGATCTCAGTTTGATTAAGTAGGATTGACTTAAGAAAGTATTGTTTTGATTGTAAGAAAAAAAAAATTGTATCTTCTTCTGATGAAAATTTTCTAAATAGAAAAAAATAATTTAATAGAAGTTAGAGTTAAATATTTACGTGAGTTGATTTAGCTTATAAAAGTCTGGGGTACAGTGTTAAAATAATAATACATATGAGGAACTTTATTATCATTACTTCAAAAAGCCAGTTAATTACAATAACAAGTTGAGTGTGTAGACGAGTTCTCTGGGTCAAAAATTCGAAATATATGAGTCAAGTACTATGAACATTAGTGACGAAATTTAAACAAGAATGACCTAGTAATTAGGCTATTACTAAAACAACATATGTAGAAGAGATTATAGAGAGAAGTAGTATTAGTAGAAGTTTATATTTAGTCTGGCCATTTAGCTTATAAGTTTCTATTTTGTCTGTCTGAACTAGTACTAATAATCTACTTATCGGCTAAAAAAATTTGTCTAAGTTTTTAATAGAATTCTAATTTTGAATTGTGGGGTCAGTCAGACATTTTTTCAAAAACTCCAAGGTAGTGTACTACTCTACAGATTGGAATCACCAAATCAAAATCATAGTGTAAATTATAGTGGCAACTAGCTGTCTTAAAACATTGAGCTTTATTACCTAGTCTTGGTTATTAGTGTACGTCTCTTGTTCATTTGTTATAGACTTACGGAGCTCAACATTATTATTATAAAAACTCCGAAATTTTTTTTCTCTGGGGTAAGATCTGCTACCAAATTTTAGATCTTAATTTTATTGTTATTGTACACATACAGACACTATTTCATTTTCACTAACTTCATATATGAAGAACAATAGAAATGAGATGAATTATTGATATCATGTGAAAGTTTCGTTGCCCAATTGTATTTGTCTTTGTTAAAACTGGGTTGTAATCACATGTATCATCAATTGCTTTGTATTGGGTAAATAACAAGTAGAAATGGAAAGAAAGTATTTGCAATATAAAAAACTAAAGAAATTTGTATGTATTTAAAAATAAGTATAACTTATCATCATATATAACAAACATATATATTTATAATATCTAGATTGAATTAAAAAAAAAAGACAAACCATCAAAATTGAATTTCATAATGGGTGAAAAACCAGGTATAATGTACTAATTCATACTATCAAAGTATGGTATCCATTACCAAATGATTAAATCTTCTTTTCATCATCTTTATCATCATCATCATAATCATTATTTGAATTTCTACGATCATTATTTTGTTGTTTAGTATCCTGTCTCATAATGTCTTCAACAAATTCAATACTTGGTTTATTTTTTTCTAAATCATATTGAATATGATTAAATCCTGTATTACCAATTCTTGAATTTGTATATTTAATTTTATGAATTTGTGAATGATCAGGAATTAATTTATTACATCTTCTTAAATTATACCAAGGTAATGTGAAAATTTCTTCAATTGATTCTAATGATCTACCTTTTAATTCAGGTAAAAAGAAACCCCAAACTAATGATATAGCTAATACTCCTACAAAAAAATAAAAAGCTCCATATGGTTTCATTGCAATCATCATTTTTGGTAATGCTTTTGAATTACCATATTGATTTGCAAAATGTAATGTCATAACTAATGATTGAGCAAATGATCTAATTCCCAATGGGAAAATTTCACCACCAATTAAATATTGAATTGAATTGAAACCAACTGTCCAAAAAGTACCACTTAAGAATATAGCTGCTAATGCTCCTGTACTTGCCCTCTTTGCGGCTCCAGTAATAACAGCACCATCATCAGCAGCTTGTGGAACAATAGTTAAAAATATAGCATAATATAACATACAACATAATTGACCAGATATACCAATATATAATGCTTTCTTTCTACCCAAGATATCTATAACAAAAAATGCAGATAAATAAGCTGAAACAAATTTAACAACTCCTAAAACTGCAGACATTTTTAATTTACCAATACCTTCAACACCAACTAATGCAAATAATTCAGAAGCATATATAGTAACAGCATTTGCTCCAGACCATTGACCTAATAATTGAGTTGCACCACCAATACATAAAAATCTATATAATATACTTTTATTTGTAAAAATTTGTTTAAAATTATTTAAAATTGAAGAATTTTTTGTAGCTTCTTTTTCATTCATAACTTGTTCATTTATATCACTTATTTCAGCAATAATATATGGATGATCATTTGGTAAATTTCTTAATTTTGATAATTTTTTTATAGCTAATTCTGATTTATTTATTTTTAATAACCATCTTGGACTTTCAATACAACAAAAAAATGATGATATAAAAATCATAACACTGAAAATTATTTTTAATAAAAGGGTAACTCTCCATTGCCAATTATTTATTGAACCATCTTGGTTGGTGGTTGATATATGTAAAGCAGAACCATAATTTATAAAATATCCCAACATTATACCTAAATATACAGCACCTGCAAATATACAATTAGCCATACCACGTATTGGACTTGGAGCAACTTCAGACATATAAACAGGACCAATTGATGTTGTTTGTCCAATAGCTAAACCTTCAATTAATCTACCAGCATATAATTGACCAACAGAATTTGAAGTAATTTGAATTAATGCACCAACTAACCATATAATACAAACAATTTGAGTTGCTCTAATTCTACCAAAATAATCAACTGATTTCATTGCTATAATTGTACCACCAATTGAACCTAATTGAACCATTGAAGTAATATTTGATTTTAAATTAGCTAATTGATCTTTTGTCTTTGTTGGATCTTTTAAACCAAATTTTGCAATATATGAAGGTAATGCAATATTTCCCGATATTGTACCTTCATCAATACCTCTTCCAGCACCTAATATACCAAATATTAATATACTTAAATATAATTTATAATTTAATATTTGTGGTGGATGATCTGATGTATCTACTGTGAATCTAAATCTACTCCAAAATGATGATTTTTCTTTCAGTGGTTGTGGTGATATTTGTGAAGATAATGATGATTCATATTTATCTTGTAAATAAGGTGAAGTTGAAGAATTATTATCTTCTATTCTGTTGTTGTTGGTATTATTATTATTAACTGAATGAATTGATGTGATTTCATCATTCTTATTATTGACAACTGACATATTTTATTTTCTTAATAGCCAAGTAGATCTTAAGTTAATCTTCTTCTTCTTCGTAAAATAGAATAAGCGAGTTCGTTCTTAGTAAGGGTTGAATCGATATCAAAATGAAAAATCAAGAAAAATTTTTGGTTTCAGAAAATAAATAAATTATTAAATTAATTGAAAAAGAAGAGTTCTTTTTATATATAAATTTTTTAAGGAAAGTATTGAGAACTGAAGAAGCAAAGAAGGAGGGGGGATGCAATGTAAAAGCAGTAGTTTTAAGCCTGTTTAATTAAGGTTGTTGTTACATTAATTATGTTTTGTTATTTTTATCTTACTGTAATTTGCAGCCTATTTTTTTATTTTTTATTTTTTATTTTTGAAACTTAAAACAAAACAATCACAATATGAAAAGTAGAGTACAAAAATACCTATAATTAATTCATTCCACATATTTTTCAACCAACATGTCTTCTTCTTAACAAGTGGTACATATCACTCCCCCGGAGTATGTTCATATACATTCTATCTATTCATTAAGTGATAACATACGTTTGATACACCACTAAGAATTTTGTTGAGTTTTATTTTGACATTTAAAACATTGAAACAAAAAGGCTAAGAAAAAATAACATATGAAACACCACAAGATCTCAAAATCTATAATAATGGTGATGGGAATGAAATGAAATGAGCAAATATAAACTTTTGAAAATCAATCAGGTCATTTAACTTAGTTTATTCTATTGTTTCGTTTAAAGTATTTTTAAAATAATAGTAAAGTGGGGAACAATAAACTTTCTCTATATGCTCATGTTTCAAATTAAAATATTTTCAGAAATGTATAATGAGTTATGTATAATGAGTTGTTGTTAATACAGAATTATTGCGTTTTTGTTCATTTTTACATTTATTTTTGACGAAGACTTGAAATTGTGTTTCCATGAACAAGTCAAATGTAGATAATTTGAAAAACTTTGATCTTGTTTAATATTTGATTTAACAATATTTTTTTCAGCCTTCTGTAACAGTTTTTTATTTTTGCTCTTTTTGTAGATAATGAAAAGAATAGAATTGCTTTCAATATTGATTTTAGCCTCGTTATGGCTTTATTTTCTCATATTCAAGTCAATATTTGATAAACAGAGTGAACCAATGTTGCTTCTAAGATTTCTTATTTATTACTTTATAACTGCATAAAATTTTATTACCAGCCGGTTAAATATTTAAAAATATTCTTTTAATTTGAAAAACTTTAAAAATCAAAGCCTTATGAAATAAACATGTCAAACACAAAAATGGAATTATTATTATAAAACTGTACGTCTTTCTATCCCCCCGGTTCAATATGTAATATGGTTAGTTTTTATAACTCGAAAGTTATTCAATGAACATTTCGTTAAAAAAATTTTGATTTTTAATCGATTCTGCTTCTGTTTTGGAATTTAAAGAAATTAAATAAAAAGTGGGGTGCTTACAAAGAGTTAAGAATCTATAATTAATTAATAATCTCGTTACTTGTATTGGTTTATCAATTTTAATTAGAATCATTATTGGAAAAACACTCAGTCTATTACTGTGTTAAAACGTTTTTTACGATAAGAATATTATCCCTATTTCTTACTTATTTTTGCATTTTTACGAAGGAGGTTTATTCCGAATGTTGATCCTTTTTTGAATTTTTCCATTTACTCTTATTCTCTCAGACTTCTGTTTAATTGAGAACATCTTACTTGGGTTATCATCGTCAAAATTAATGATCATTCGAGTTTTAATTCTTTTAGAAAAACAAACCAAAAGAACAATAAGAATAACAAACAAAGGAAAATTAGCAAGCGAAAGTCTAAGAAACTATGAAGAACAAAAGGCCCCCAGAAGATCTCATTCTATTTTTTGAATTTTGATTGTTAATTGAACAATACTATTAGTCCCTAAGTATATTTTTAACCAAACCATAAAGAAATCTGATTGTCTTTTTTTCTGGGGTAAATTAATTCATTGTATCTTAAGTCCAAAGGTACTAATGAAAAAATATGTTGAGATTAAAGATTTCAATATAGATTTCAGCCTTCCAATAACTGTTATAATTATATTTTCAAACGATATTCACCGGTCAGAATGTACTTGTACGTTTTAATTGACTTCTTTGTACTTGACTAATGGAATACACAAGTTGAGACAAGTTGAGTTTCTTCTCCTCTTTTTTATTTCAATTTTTTGTGTTGATTAACCAATTCTTTCTCGAGATTTTGGTTATGAAACCATAGGTATATCTACTTATTATGAATATATGCATTATGGAGAGATTATATATTAATTCAAATCGCGTCTTAAAAATTTACAATAATGGTTATGTACTTTTTGAGATATCATCTCATTATTTTCGATCAATGAAAGTATTATTAAGTTTTAAAGATATCATTATAGAAGAAGCATTCAACTTAGATCTTCATAGACTCAACTATCGATCTAAGCTGTCATTGAAATCTCGATTTAGTATATCTATTAATTAGACATCATCTATAGATTTCAATTAACAAATTAGGCTAAATATATCATATTTAATAAATTGAATTAAAGTTTTTTAATAATATGAAATAATAAATTCATAAAAATCATTAAATCTTAAAATCTTAAAATCTGAACTTTAAATTTATTTAACTTCCCTTCAAATGAAGATTAAAGATCGAATGAAAAAGTTATTCTTCAATTCGAAAAATGGTATTAGAAATTCTATTTCATTTCATATCATTTTTTAACCACATGTTCTCTGCTTACTATTAAAGTTTTTGCTCCAAGAATTATATGCAATATGCAATGTATGTAAGTAAGTAAGAATGCAAGGTTCGAAATTTTTTGTAATTTATTCACCGTAGAAATTGACAGAATGTGGGGAAAAAAAATATTAACAAAGATCAATTACTACAGTCTCAAATCGAACATTAACTATTAAATTCTTTTCTTTATTGATTGATCTCCTACTACAAAAAATTAAAATGTAAATGTTTAATACCTTCTATAAACCACTTAACAAAGAAATAACAATTCACTTCATTAGTTGACTTTTCTTGTTTCTGTTTCGACTATGCTTGGATTGTACTACTTTATATTCAGTTTTTCCATTAAATTTGGTTGTTTGATAGTAATTTGTGATTGTAGTTGTAATTATATTTGTATTGTGTAATTTGTAATTGGAATAGTTAGTTGATCTACTTACTGAATATGTAGCTGTAAAGTAAAACGCATTTTTTTAACAATAATCAAACCAATACTCTAGGCTGAAAATATTCAAATTTAATTTGAAACGTTTTTGCAGTATGTTCAGAACAAATTCAACAAATTCATGTTTAATCGGTTGAATTCGGTTTGATTTGATGTCTTTCTAAGGGGCGTTGATTTCATTAACTAATGTCATTTTTGGATTTTATGAGTATATTTCAAATGGAATTGAGGGGATAAATCCTGGAAATTATCGGAGAGTTGATTTTGAGATAAAGTGATGCTTTGAACTTTATTTGAAATTGACTTACATTTGGGGTTAAAAGATGTTTCAGTTTGGGGTTGCTATTGACTTAATTTGAATTGATTTGTATTGGGGTTGAAATTGAATTAGTTTGGGACTGACACGTTTTGTTTGGGGTTGGAATCAATCAAATTCAGGTTGTCGTTAAATTTATCTAGACTCATGCGTGGAGTGGGTTTAATTTTAATTCAAAAATCCTAGTTTTATCAACTGTTTCATAAACTTGCTTTTTTATATTCAACAAGTAGTTTTATTTGATTAAAATTCAATCAACTTATTTGATTCCTAAACCAACTCATTCATATGTTTTTGAGATGGGACTATGTTCTTTAAAAAGTTTGTTCTAACCCCTTTTCAAGTTAGGATTTTTAATTTTTTGCATTAGTTGATATTTGCTTGATTATCTTTTGCAACAATTGCAACCACAAAGGGTATCAGCAGAAATTTTATCTCCGACTTCTCGATATCTACTCCAACTTGAAGACTTTGAAGACCTTTTCTCAAACTGTTCTTGGTTTATGGATTGTCTCAATATCATTCACTTGCTCTATTTATCAAATACTCCATTAACTTTCACATTGTCAACCAAGATGACTGTGATTTATTACACGATCTAATTAATAACACATATTTCTAAGCCCAAAAAAGGAAATCTTCAATTATAAATCATAAGCATTTGTATTTATTCAATTGGATTTAAAATGAACTTTACCTCTATATCACCAACATCATTATTAGTATTATTATCATAATTCCTCAACTTAATTTTTACCAAAAAAATGCAATTCCAAAAAGTGAAAGAGATTTTGTGAGTCCAATAATGACAAATAAATAAAAATTAAAGACAAAATTTGGAGATTCATTATTATATTGAAAATTATTATTTGAATCAATTTCCACTTTATTTGACATCTTTTGTGGAATGAATAATATTTTTATAAATTTGATAAGTAAATAAAAGTTGATGATATTTGAGTTTATAAGGAAGATATAAATCTTAGGTTGAAAAATAAAAAACAAATTTTAATTAATGAATGAATTGTTTTTAGAATAGATTCTTTGAAATCCGTGCTAACTAAAGTGTTTGATTAGAATGACTATTGAAATACTTTTAATGTTATAATAAGTTGAATCTTTTTCTTTTATCATCATCATCATCATTTGATTCCTCAAGTCAATTTTCTACCCAAAAAATGCAATCCCGAGGAATATAAAAGCTAACAGGAGTACAAACAATATAAATAAACAATAGATTTTAGCATGTTTTCTACGTAGTTCATCATTATATGGATCATTATTATATTGATCATTACTATTTGTTTGTGATTCTTCTTCTTTAGGTGACATCTTTGGTTGAATAGAAATTTCTATTTTAAAGGAATTCATCAGTTTTGATTTTTTAATTAATTCTAGTATATTTGGAGTTGTTATAAGAACAGAATGAAAGTGGAGGTTGGAAACTTATGAGGTTGAAAGTATCAAGTTTCATGAATTCATAGCTACATATAAGAATTGAAGTCAATTCACGTTCTCATTCAAGTCAACAATTTGAACAAACAGTTGAAACTTGAGCCGTTTGATGATACAGCTCAAGTCTTGGAGGATGAAATAATGTAATTCACGTGTGGCCGTCAACACGTCCGATCGGATTCAGCTTTATTTGTTTCTAAAATTTGGAAACAATAAAAATGTTATATAATACATAAGCCATAAATTTAGTTCGAATAGCTCGAATTGTCAAAATACATCTGGTAAAACTTTAGGTCCTCAAGCATTTGATAGGTAATGACTGTGAATACAAGGGTCATCGTTCAAGAGATTCAAATGTTTGTATAAATATACTCATTAGGTCCAACTGAACAAATACAATCATTAATTCCAACTCAACAATACAATTCATTTGGTCTAATTGAACATTATTCTCATTCAAAGTCATAATTACAAAACAACTAAAATTTTATAATGAATTTATTTCAAACTTTAGTCATCTCAATTTGCTTAGTTGCATTTTTGGTTTTACTATTGAAAAGTTGGAGAAAGTCTCCTCTTGGAGCTGGTCTTGCTGTTTTAAAAACCGTGGAAAAAGGTGCAGAAATTGTTACTTTTGTTGCTTGTGGTAAGAATCTTTTAGTATCTTCCCAAGGTTTGCTTACACCGTCTTGTTTGGCTGCTAGTACTATATGGTTAGGGTTATCTGCAATTAGGGGTGGTGTGGAAAAGGCTGGTGATAATTTGTTTGGTACCAAAATATCTCAAAAGACTTGAAATCGAGAGAAACCCAAGATTTAAATTTATTTCTGATACACCTTTATCAATTGATCAAATTAATTTACATCAACACGTTGATTATTGTTGGGAAATTCCTTGGCCGGTTGCTTTAATTGGACCTAGATTACACTGGTAGAAACACATCAACCGTTGAATAAGATACAGGAAATGGTACTCTGTTAGTGTTTACGGGATGCTTCTTTGCAAAGTCATATTGAACATGTTGGTAAATCTGAAAATGAATTAAATAGAAGAGAAGATGAATATTTAAATCTTTTACCTTTACACTTATTAATGAAGGTAGGGGAGATATTTTATCAATTGATGGTAAATTACCAACTTATTGATTGAATTACTGTCATTGCCTTTTAGTTACTAACTGTGATAAGAGGTCTTTTATAGTATATAAGAAAGTATGCAGTATGGTAGTAATATACATATGTGACAAATGATTTGATTTCTTTAAAAATTATTTTGTTTTCATTTAATTATAGTCTCAAAATTACCCCAATCTATCCACCTGAAGTATGATTTGTAGTTTTCCCATTATACTGAGCTCATAATTTAAAACAATGTTTTGCATTGGCCTTAACAAAATGTGAGGAGAAACATACCCTCTCATGCTTGATCAAATTAAGAATTCTAATCAATGTTACGGTCAAAAACGAAATAGAAATATATGATACAAATTGTACAACAATATATTTATTACATTAACTATACAATGATTCATTAAAAACTATGGTAACCTATTATTATTTAAATTTTAAGTTTTTAATTTCTAGCTTTTTTGATTTTGGGCCTTTCATCATTAATTGATCTTTTTCTTTCAAAAATTGATGTTTCTAAAGTATTTGTACCTAATGAAGACGAAGCAGTATTTGATAATAAAGCAGCATTTGCAGCATCTGCTGATTTTCTTGCTTCTGTTTTAGCAATAGTTGGTCTTTTTACAAGTAATGGTTGTTCTGAAGTAGGTTGTTCAATGCTTGTAGGTTTAATAACTTGATCCTTTGTTGTATTTGTAATTGTATTTGTATTTGCATTGATAAGATTTTGTGGCGCGGGAATCTCTTGAATTTTTGGTAATAATTCTGGTTTTGATTGAGTTGATGTTTGTGATACAGCTACTTGGATAGGCTGAGGTACTGGTTCAGTTTCAATTACCTCCTTTGTTTGAACGACTGCCGCAGTTTGAATATTCACTTGAAGTTGAGGTTCAGATTGAGATTCCACTTGTGGTTGAGCTTGAACTTGAGATTGAGGTTGAGATTGAGATTGAGGTTGAGGTTGAGGTTGAGGTTGAGGTTGAAGTTGTGGTTGAGCTTGAATTTGAGTTTGAGGCGCAGATTGAGGTTGAAGTTCAGATTGAGACTGGGGTTGAAATTGAGGTTGAGGTTGAGATTGAGGTTGTAGCTGACCTTGACGCTCCGATCCTGATTGAGATTGCGGTTGGGTTTGAGTAATTGAATGCTGAGTAGTAGCAGATTGTGAGATTGTAGGTTGTGTATTTGGTCTTACAGTCTGTGAAATCAGTTGTGGTTGTGGGCTAGGATTAGTTGTAGCCCTAACGTACTTATTGGAAGCATTCGACACGACATTTTTGGCTGGAGAAGCAGGAACATTACTTGTATCTGAAACGCTAGGAGTTAAGTTTGATTTAATAGTTTCTGAGCCATTGGTCGTATTGGTATTTTTAAATGTTTGCAGGTTTGTCGTTGAAGCAAATGAATTGAGGGGTTGGGGCCTAGAATTAATTGGAGCTGGTGTAGGTGTAACATTAACTGATGATGCTTGAGTCTGTTGAGTTGATTGGGATTGAGTTCGTGGTGGAAGTTGAGGTTGAGTTGAAAATTGATTTTGAGGTGGGTTTTGAGTTGGAAATTGTGGAGCGCTTTTAGCTCTAGCTTCAGATTCAAATTTATCAATTTTTCTATTCAAAATCTTCATTTTAAATTCAAATTTTTTTTCAACTTCTTGCCTAATTTTTTCTTTTTCAACTTCTAATTTTGAATGATATGATTTGGTTTCCTCTTCTAATTTTTTCGTTAATTCATCAATTTTCTTTTGAGATGAATCTCCATTGACTAAAGTTGAGCGAAGTTGTTGTATTTCGTTTTCAAACTGTGCTTTTAAACTAGCTTCTAATGATGATAATTTATTTTGTAATTCATCTTTTTCTGTAATAGCAGCAGCCAATTTATCAGCGGAAGCTTTAGTCAATTCTTCAATTTGATTTTTCAATGATTTTTTATCTTCTTCTTTAGCATCAATTTCTTTTCTCATAGACAATATTCTTTCATTTGCTTTGGTTTTTAATTTCTCCATTTGCTCTTGCATTTTCAAAATTTCTGGACTTGGACCTTTTGATGTATTTGATGCTTTACCAGATGATATAGCTTTTAACCTGGTATTTTCTTCAGTCAATAATTTTAATCTCTGTTGATCAAAACTCAATTGTGAATTCAGATTATTTGAGTTTTGTTTAATCGAGTTCAATTCATTTTGAATTTTTGTTAATTCAGTTTTCAATTTTGTAATTTCTTGAGATTTTTTATTCAGTTCATGAGTTAAACCAGCATTTGCTTGTTTAATTGTTTTAATTTGATCTAATTGTTCACTTAATAAAGCTTGCTCTTTATCATTGTTGGTAACACTCAAGGATTGATTTGGTGATGAGTCATCACTAACTTTACTAGCTTCAATTAGCCTATTTTTTAAGCTAGAATTTTCTTCTTCTAGGGTAGATAATTTAAAATCAACACTCTCTTTTTCACGGCGATAATACTCAAGTATTTGTTTAAGATCATCTGAACCATCAGCACTTTCACGGTTTGTATTTGATAATTCCAATTGATTTAATAAAAGTTTATTTTGATTTTCCAACTCACTAATTTTTTTGTCCAATATGGATTTTTCAGTTTCAAAATTTGCTTTATTAGTATCCATTTCATCCTCAATCTGTTTTATTCTATCATTTTGAGTTTTCAACTCTTTAATTGTTTTCTCATTTTCTTCAGCTTGAGTTTTCAAAGTTTCAATTTGTTGAGTTAATGGTTGGTTCTTACTTGACTCATCTTGTAACTTTTGTTGTAAAACATTAGCAATATTCTTCTCATTGGTTAGACTACTATTGAGATTTTTGAGTCGCTCTTGATATATTTTTTCATTACCATCAGCTTTTTCCAATTTTTCAGACATTTCTTTCATTTTATTTTCAATCTCACCAATTTGACGCTCAGCTGCCAATATTTTTTCCTCTTTAGTATCAATATCTGCTGTTAATTTAACTACTTTCTCTTCCACAACCTTGTTTGCATCAACTTGAACTTTCATTTTTTCTTCAAAACTATCTTTATCTATTTTAAAAGCTTTATTTGCCTCAACCAATAAGTCTTCTTTCGATTGAATTATTTCTGTTAACTGGGTTATACGGTTTTTACTATTCAATAAATCTGTATTCAATTTTTCAATTTCAGGAGCCGTTAAATCTGTCAATACTGATTTTTTAAGTTGTTCAATCAATTTTTCTTTGTTCATCAAATCATTTTTATATTGCAACAATTGAGTAGCTAATTCATTTATTTGTTCCAAATTGGTATTCTGTGCTTTGAATGACATCTCCGATTGACTCAATAAAATTTGAATTTTTTCTTCCTTTTCATTTACCTTGGATTGTATTGATTTAATTGCTTCATTCGATTCATTGATTTGATTTGTTAAATTAATTATTGTTAAATTCTTATCTCTAAGCATGTTTTGCAAGTTTTCATTTGTATCGTTGACTTTTGCTTTGTCTTCTCTTAATGAAGATATTTCTTGTTTCAATGTCGTATTGATTTCTTTATTGAACTCTTTTTCTTGAGTGAGTGATGAATTCAACAACCGGAGTTCAGATAATTGTAATTCTAATTCTTGACACCTCTGAGTTTTCTCATTCAAATGATTTTCGAATGTATCATATCTTTTCTTAATATGGTTTAAATCTAATTTGATTTGATCTTTTTCAGTTACTGCGGAAGCTACTTCTTTCTGACTAGATTGCAATTTGGTTTCGAGGAATTCAGATGATTTTTGTGTTAATGATAATTGGGAAGCAAGTTCTATTTTTTCTCTAGTAATTCTTTCAATATCTCTGTTTAAGTTTTCAATTGATTTAGCAGATTCCGCTTTTACTTTCTTTAATACTTTTTCAAATTCTTGATCATTACCATGTGCTTCTGCTATTGATTTATTCGAATCAGCACCATTTGCCAATTTGTCGTTAAACCTTTTGAGTGCATCTCTTTCTTTTGTAACAGCATTCAATTTGATGGTGACTTTTTCCAATTCTGCATCGAGAGATAAAATAGCATCCTCAGCTTCATCTATTGCCGTTGATTCTATATTGTCATTTTCTTGTTCGAAATTCTCCAATCTTTTCGTCAATTGTCTTACAGTCGAAAACAATTCCTGATTTTTATCAAATAATTCTTTTACATTTTTAAAAATCAATAGTCTATCTCGAAGTAATATATCGGATTGTGATTCATTCACATCATCAAAATTTCCTGTACTTGCCAATATTTTTTCTATATAATTCTTTTCCGCTAATGATAAAGGCTCTTGATTATTTTCTTTGATTTGTGAATGTATTAGGAAATAACACAATTGTCGCCCTAAATCTTGTATTGTTTTTTTCATGCTTGTAATTTCATTTTCGTTGTCTACTACTCTTGACCTTAATCTTTTACAATCCTTTTCGATATCTAATTTCTCAGAACGAAGTGTATCAACCGTAGTTTGCATTTCCGTTAGACTTGATTCATAAAATGTTATTTGATCTCTATAATTTGCCATTGCTGGTTTTTTTGAATCTAACTCAACTACGAATGCTTCCAATTGTCTTTCAGTATCTTCTTTCTGTGACCTTTCTATTGCTAATTGTTTTTTAATATGATTGTATTCCGTATATAAATCAGTTAGTGATATTCCAACTTCATCGATTGTACCATTTGATGGAAATTCCAATTTTGAGTCTAAAGCAGATTTTAATCTTTCAACTTTTTCATTTAACTCCAGAATTTCTGAGTTTTGAAATGCTACCGTCAGCTGTAGACTTGTTATTGATTGGTCAGATTTGATTTTGAGATCATCTGAGTAAGCCTCCAATTGTTCAATTCTATCTTGACGTTGATCACTCTGAATTTTCGTAAGTTCTAGTAGTTCTTTTGTGGCACTAGCTTCCTTTGAATATTTATTTTCAATAGCTTTTGATTTTTTCTCTAATTCCAAAAATTTGTTGGTTTGAGTCTCCAATGATTTATTTAATTCGTTTATTATTTTTTGTTGATTTTGATAAGATAATTCTAATTTCTGTGCTTTATGCTCCAAATCAGATGTCTCGGTATCATTCCTAAGTCTATCCGACTCATGCTTCTTCATTAAATTGGATATTTTAATTTGAGAAGACTCAAGTTCTTTATTTAACCAGTCTTTTTGATTTTGTAAATAATTTATTTCATTTTGAGCCTTTGTTAGTTCGAGTTTGTTATTAAATCTTTCATTTTCTGATTTATTATATTGTGATATTAGTTGGTTTATCTTCTTACTTTGTTCCACATTAATTGTTGATGCTTCTTCTATTTTTTGTAAATATTTAACTTCCATTTGACTCTGATTTTCTTTCAAATCCCTAATTTCAGCATTCTTTACTTCTTCTGATTTTTTAATTTCAGCAAGTTTTAAATCTAATTTGTTTTGAATTTCTTTGAATCGTTTTTCATCTTCAATATGTTGTAACATGATGTTTGAATTTTCCTTTTCAAATGTCAGCTGAACTTTGCTCAAGTCCGACAATTGCTGCCTCAATCCTTTTATAATAGTCGAGCTCAGTTCTGCTTCATTTTTCAATCTTTCATTTTTAGACATTATACTTTCAAACTCTCTGGCTAAAGATGCTATCAGTTTTATCGCAGCTTTATCCTTTATTGCAGATATCTTCGAATTGAGTCCTAAAGTTTTTGCAATATATTTTGAATCTTCATCCAAACTTACAGATTCTGATAAAATATTATTTCGAAATGGTGAACTTGCAACTATCGCTGTTGAATCTTCCATATGATGGTTCTCAATATTATCTTCAGCCACTTCAAAAAGTTTTGGAGTCACTATTAAATCTTGGTCTTTCAAAGGTGGTAGTGATTTGGACGGCGTGGTATATTGTTTATCATTCAGTGAAGGTTGCAAAAATGAAGTATGAGGATCTTCTTGTATCATCAGATCGTCCCCAGTTTCGAGAATCAGATTCTCCTTATTATCTTCTTCTACAACTTGGACCTTGGCTTTCCCAGATTCTGGAGGTTGATTTGTTTGTTGTGATTGATTTTCATTTTCCTCAATGGCTGGTGAACCTTGTGACTGATTGGTGATTGGTTCCACATCAATTTGTTTTGTATCCAAATTTTGAGTATCATCTGTTTGTTTGTGTTCTATATTATTACCCGATTGAGTGTCATCACCCATACTTGATAATTGGGTCTTATTAGTTGAATAACTTCGTTTGATTGAGTAGATTCAAGGTATTGTGTGCTAATACTCGTCTTCAATAAGTTTGTAATGTCACAAAACACTGTTTATTTGAAGATGACTTAGATTTCGCGACAGAGAGTGAAATTTCAAAACAGAAGTGAATCATATCTAATTTAACGGTACCAAAAGGTGTTGCCAACACCTTAACGACTACGATGCAAACCAATTTAGTAATACCTGCGAAAGAAATTGCAGTAAAATTGAGGGTTCTTTGTCAAAATTTTAATCTTCTCATAGAAATTTTAAAAATGAGCTACACATACAAGAACAAGTTATACTACCCAAGGGTTCTGAACTGAGCAAAGTAGTAATCGAAACTTCAAATCAATGCATCATCATACGGCTTTACACTCCACATCTACACTTAGCTCTTACAAGCAAGTACATCATGAGAAATTTTGAAAGTGTCAGTGACGTATTTGAAGTCGTGAAAAATAATCTTTGGCAAAAAAAAGTAGGGTGCTAGCCCTATATGATTATATTTGCCACTATTGTGACACGTGACTGTATGATACTTTTAAAATAATGAAAAACAAAAATTGCATTTCAAATTTCAAATGTAGTTAACATCCATTAATCACATACATACATACCAACCATGATTGAACCATCCTTAAAAGCTTTGGCTTCTAAATACAATTGTGAGAAATCCATTTGCCGTAAATGTTACGCTAGATTACCACCAAGAGCAACTAACTGTCGTAAGAGAAAATGTGGTCACACTAATCAATTAAGACCAAAGAAAAAATTAAAGTAGATGATATGGGACTCCTTCACGACTTTAAAGCAATGTATAATGTTGTTGTTTATCAAATATTAAGATTAAGAGAAATTTTGAATATATCGAATTATTGGAAGATAGAGCATATGATAAAGATTTATTTTTGATCTTACATACTTGGGGATTACTATATAAAAAACAATTTGCATTAATGATCAACATTCTTGAAGAGATGGAGGATTATAGAAAACAAATTATGATAGCTTTAATTTTATACGTTTAATAAAAAATTCATGTTATACTTATAGTTAGATTTTGGGATTTTGACGAATTATCTATAGTTCGAAGATCCCATCAAGCCAATCTTGGATCTTTCAATTATTGAGTTAATTTCTATAAATCTCTGTCTTTAATATTTTGCTCTTATGATTTCATCGACAGTGTCAAAAAATCTTGTTTGTGTATAAGATCGGATTTATGTTTAAAATTCCGGAGAAATTTATATTTATATCAGAGATAACATCATGTAATTGAATTTGCATCAAGTGATTTATGAGACTATTCACAATTACAAGATGCTTTTCTATCACTTCTAGGCTACAAGCCACTCCTTTCAAAATCGCCATCATTGGAACAGGTCCAGGAGGGTTTTATACTGGTCACCATTTACTAAATAAATCAAGTTCAGACAAACAAATTCACTTAGATTTTTTTGAAAAATTACCAACACCATTTGGATTAAGTAGATATGGAGTTGCTCCCGATCATCCTGAAGTCAAGAACTGTGAAAGTTTTATGAATGATTTAATGAAAGACCATGGTCCTCAACTGAATAGTAAAAATAGAGTTAGATTCCTTGGAAATATAGAAATTGGTAAAGATCTTAGTCTAAAGGATTTGGAAGAACATTATAATTCAATTGTATTAGCTTATGGTTGTACTGCTAGTGACAACAAACTCAAAATACCCGGATCAGACCTACCAGGAGTTATATCTGCTAGACAATTTGTCAATTGGTATAATGGTCATCCTGATTGCTATGAAAAAGGGAACGAGTATGTACCACCCGCTTTGGATAAAATTAAAGATGTTACAATCATTGGGAACGGAAATGTTGCATTAGATGTTGCTAGAATCTTATTAGCTCAACCAAAAAAACATTGGTATCCAACAGATATATCTGTTGAAGCAGAAAAATTATTGACTAAAAGTTCTGTCAAAAATGTAAATATTGTAGCGAGGAGAGGAATATTGGCATCCGCTTTTTCAAATAAAGAAATAAGGGAATTATTTGAATTAAAAGATGCTAAATTCAAACCAATAGAGGAAGGATTGTTGGAATCAGTATCAACACAAAACCTTGGTAGAGTCGATAAGAGAAGGATTGGATTACTTGAAAAATATAATAAACCAATAAAATCGTTGACTCCAGAAGATCGTACATGGTCACTACAATATTACAAAAGTCCTGTTGAATTTATCGCTAATGAAGAGGGAAACATTTCAGAAACTAAATGCGTTGTGAATAAACCTATCAATGATCCACTTCTACCAGGAAGAGTAGAAGCGACAGATGAATATGTTAGCATAAAGAATGATTTGGTAATTTTATCCATAGGGTATCAAGGAACTCCAATAAAAGGCTTTGAAGATATTGGTATATGCTTTAAAAACAATAAACTCCATAATCAGCACGGCAGAGTACTTTCTACTATTACTGAAGACCAAAACGATGTAAATAAAACATTTAAACGAGGATGGTATACTTCAGGTTGGATCAAAAATGGTCCAAAAGGTGTTATTGCTGTTACGATGATGGATTCATTTGATACTGGAGACAAAATATTGGAAGATTTATCAAATGGTATACATTTAGAGATTGATCCAAATAAGGATGTACTAGATAAATTGAAAGATAAAGATATAGTTTACTGGGATAATTGGGAAAATTTAAATAAATACGAATTAAAAAAAGGTGAAGAAATGGGTAAAAGTAGATTCAAAGTTTGTGAAAAGGATAAAATGTTAGATATTTGTAAATAAATTAAATTATTACTTCATTGATTACCTTGACAATTTGTGATTTTTCTAAAATAATGCGTGTGCTCGAATTTTCCTAATTTATTGGGCCAAAAAAATGATGGTTTCACTTTAAATTCTTTTAATCCAAAATCTCTTTTGCTTAAGGAACTAGAATCCCTTTTGGTCAATAAACCAGAATGACACATTCCACGTCGATCTAGATCACATTCTTCATGTGGTAAATCTTTCTTATCTATGAAATACTCGTATCCGGCATGTGCAAACATAGGAGGTAAAGACGGTACAATATCATGTCTATGAACTACTCTAATGAAACCTCTAGTAAAATCATGACAATTATCAATTTGTTTTGCAACTTCCTCAGTATCAAATACATCATCCATAAAGTTACAAAATTCTTCATTTCCAACTTTTGGACCTCCAAAGGTAACAACTAATGGATCATAACCTAATAACAAGAATTCAATCCCACTCATGACAGTGAATGCAGCACCTAATGAATGACCTATAATTAAAAACAGATATGTCGGAAATTTCTCCTTCATTTTGATCCCAGCGCTTATAATAGCACCAGAATTGTCTTTCAAAAAATTATAAAACCCACGATGAACTTTACAATTAACACATTCAGTTGTAATGTATGGTTCTCCATCTTTGAAATCTTTATCAAAAACTATTGGTTCATAAGGACATGGAAAAAAATTTAAATCTGTAACCCAATCTCTTCTTGAAGCGGATCCTCTAAACACTAGTATAATAGTTTTTCGTTTATGATCAACTGCATAAAAACCTGTACCTACCTCATTTAAAGTGTTGAAATCAAAAATACGAATAATTTCAACATCTTTCAAAACTGAATTTTGACATGCTTCCAATGGACAATTTGTATTTGGATCACTCAAAACTCCAGTTGATAAGCCCTTAGTTACGCAATACCCAACTGATGCCAAGTTAGCAAATTGCTCCAATTTTGAGAAATCTTTGGACCCATTAGACTTCTCACATGATTTACAACAACTTAATGATATGACTATTAAAATAATTAATGCTAACCTGATCATCATCCATAATGAAACAGTTGAAATTAATGAGTAAGATTTGTAAGTTTATGATTCAAAATCGAAAAATTATTGCCATTATCAATCAAGACCTTTTTATGTTATGCACATCTCGATTCCTGATGTAATTTATTACATTTTACACAACAATAATATAAACCACAAGAAGGACATCTTGAATAATTTGATTTTGATCCACAAATACAACAAAGTCTTAATTTTGGTCTTGATCTTTCCAGTTTTGTTGATTTTGGGTTATTAAAATCAATTAAATCAACAAATTGAAAATTTGATGAAAGTATAGTATTAATTGATATTAAATTTCTTTCTTCTTCAAAATACAGATTTAAATTTCTTCTAGCAGCTAATATTCTTTTTGTTGCAGGTGTATTACCTAGCCTTGATTTTTGTGCTAATCTTTTATTTCCAACTGAATGAATACTTGTGTAAACAAAATTTTTAGGCAATTCGAATCCTTTTGTAGATGTTTCTTGATTTAACTCATTTAATCTTTTTTGTACTAATTTTTCTAATTGAATCTGTTGAACTGATTTTGATGGACCCGAATTTTTTGGATCGTTATTTGCCAGGGTTTGTGCATTGAATAATTGATTTAAGTTATAATTAACTTTGGTTCTTCCCTTTTTATTAACTGGACCATCCCCACTCTCATTAAGTTGATGTTTGTTGCTATTCAATGACCTCGCTGTGAGGTTTATGGACGAACTGAAGTATACGGTTGTTGCATTAGAGGTGGTAGATTTTGGTACCTCTTCTACTAACATTGTTTGTAGATAATGATTTAAGATTTATTTTTTTACAAAATTAAATTGAAGTAGATTTAAATAAACTTGAGTTGAGGCAAACTCTACGAACAATTTACAATAAAGGCAATATAAACTTCTAACATAACATAAATCATATTTATTTACAAGAATCATTAAATGTCGTTACTTTCAATCTACCAAAAAATGTATCTATCCCCATATTATTTGAAATTTAAATTATTATTTTCCCAGCTCTTTTAATCCTTCTTGCATTTCTTCATGACTAAATGGTTCATCCTCTCTAGCTTTATCTAACATTGGTTTAATACCTTGTTTGGCTAAATTTGCATTTATACAAGTAATATAATTATCCCAAAATTCAGTACATTCATTTTCAATAGATTTACCTTTTAAAAATTTCTCTGTATACCATTTATTAAAACAATCATCATATTCAGTTTTAGCTGGAGTACATTCAGGTGCAAACGATACAGACATTATATTTCCCATAACCTATTGTAGAAACTGAAATTTGGTGAATTACATTGGATTCATTTTCACTTCCGAAGATTCAATTTAAAGATGGAGAAGTATCGAAAAGTCGTGTAAAACACGTTACAATATTATCACGGAAAATTCAAAACAAACACACTTAAATATAACCATTGAAGATAACAACTTATAGAATTCATTAGATTTAAAAAGAAGTTTCAATGAAAAGGCTATCAATTGCTCCCCCTTCATCACGAAGAAAATCTACTTTTTTATCACTGGAAGATTACAATGCTCGAAAAGTATTAGAACAATTAGATCAAGATACCACATTAATTTTACAAGAAATAGATAAAAATATATCAAGAGCAAATGCTATTATTAATGATAAATTAAAACCTGTATTACAAGAATATGGAGTAGAAAGTTTAAAAGTATGGAATAATACAAGTTTTTGGAAGAAATTTTTTGAACAATCTGCAAATGTTGAATTAAATAGTTATGAAACTCCAATTGATGAAGTTCAAACGAATATATTGTCCGATAAAGATCAAGAGGAAGAAATAATTGATATTCAACAACCCAAAAATACAACTTTATTAAACTCAAAGAGAACAAATTTAAGACATATAACAGAAGAAGATACTGCTACTTGGTCGACTGAACAGAAAAATTCAAGCTACAAACAAGTTACATCATCTACACCACAAAGAACTACAAGATTTCAAATATCACCACAAAGATCTACCCGATTTGCTTCTTCATCAATACCGTCTACAAGAAATTTTAAACTATCTGACAATATCAATTTACAACCTCCAACATCAAATTCAAATTCTAGATTATCACCATCATCATCAAGACGTTCTCCACAAAGAGTATCAACTATACGTCAATCATTAGATGCATATCATAGAATAAGTATATCCCCCAAAAAAATAAAAACTCCAGTTTCAGCAAGACGTACATCTATAATTCAAAATATCTTAAATTCATCTCCTACTTTACCTTCGGTACCCATATTGAAATCAGATATTGTTGAACAAACAACATCACCACATTCAAATCAACAATTTCAATCTCTGCTGCAACAACAACAACAACCACAACAACTTCAAAAATTCCCCAATACTCAAAGATATAGTTCTACTCCACAAAGAATGCCTCAAGAAGATGATTATCATCTAGATCCACCACATGTACAACAACCACTACCGCAACAGCATAGTGATTCAAGTGATGAGCCATTACCAGAATTGAGTACATCAATTGTTTTCACAAGTAGTGGTAATAGAAAACGAAATAGAGATGAAGATAATGTATTTTTAGAAAAAGATAATAATAATAATAGTAGTCACTCAAAATCCTTATCACAAATTTTTAATGAAAGTTTAAATAAATTGAGGAAAGGAGATAATAATAAAAATAATGAATCAGACGACGTATTGAATCAAGATCAAGGAGAACAAACAGGTGAATTTAGAGAAGAAATTTTGGAAGTTTCTGATAGTTTAGGTCCTTTCAAAAATAGATGGGAAAAATTAACAAATTTAGAAAATTAAGGTTTTGAATCAAAATTCATTAGAAGATTTAAAGTCTTAGTTTTTGTATACATGAAATCCATGATCCAACTTTAATTTTCTTATCCCTTAATTCATATATACCACCTTATAATAAGAGGGGTAAATGAACTTTGATTGCTCTGACTGTATACGTAGTACTGTTCGTGGAAACATTGAACTTTGATGAAGTAGTAATTCGCTAAACAATAACACCCTAAGTATACAAACCAGCTAAACCAAATATATGCTAAAAAGATAATCGTAAAATAAAAGATCTACAGTCTGACAAATCTGTTACAGATTAAACATTTAAGACAAAATATTACTTTATTATAAAAATAATGACAAATCCTTGAACTATTATTGGCTAATTTTAAAAATATTTTACTTTAAACTTTTTAAAACTTATGATTTATATATAGTTTTGTGTGATGTTTTTCATACAAAGTGCTGCAAATTTTAAAGTTGCAAAAAACAGAAAAGAAACGATGCAAAGTATATAAATCAATCGATGGAACTATAACTTTCCCTGTATTTTAATATCTTTTTCAGGATTAAATTTTACTTTCAAAAAAACTTATAGCTACTAAATAAAAACAACAAAAATGGTTTGTTCAGCTAGTCAATGTATATGTGCTCAAAAATCAACTTGTTCATGTGGTTCAAGACCAGCATTACAATGTAATTGTGAAAGACAAAATATTGAAAATAAATTACCTGATTTAGAAGATGCTTGTTCTTGTGGTAAAAGATTAAAAAATGAATGTACTTGTGGTATGAAATCTATTTGTGATGGTCATAGAGATGAAGAAATTGATTTTACTGAATTAAAATAATGAGAAACAAAATTCGATTGGATGGAGGTATTTGAAGGGTCGGGAATATGAATTTCAATTTATATGTTATATAATTTTATACTTAATTTAATAATACTGCTATGTTTGAAATAATTTTTTATTTGTATATTTTATATTCATTTTTTTTTTTTCATCGCATAGGTTATACATGCAATATTTGATGCAAATAATCTACAAAAAAAAATAGTTGCGAGTCATTGGAATTAGTACAAAACAATCTTAATAAGTACGTTCAGGTATAGAGTGAGTCAGTGATTGTTTTGAACGATATGGAAATGAGTTTTTACGCGAGTATTGGCAAAGTTTTAGAGAAAGTAAGATTGTTGCCCCATTGATCGACCAAACTTAGTACATACCTTTAAAATTTATTTGTATGAAACGGGGTCAAATTGTACACTATCTATTAAATCTAAAAGTATTTTTAACAAAATTTGTCCCAGATAGTTTAGTGGCTAGAATTACCGTTTGTCGCATGGTAGACCAGGGTTCAATTCCCTGTCTGGGAGCTATAATTCGCCAATCCAATTTTTTTTAAGTATTTATGTTTCAATTTTATGAGAAGTTAATATTTAGAGGGACACTTTTTATTGTTTGATTCTAAATCCAACACCTCCAAATTTTTGATCAAGTTCAAAAGACTTTTTTTTTTAAAACGGATTTCATTACCATTCTAGGCAAATCAATTTGTAAAAATAGATAATTTAATCGAGGCTTTGAGTACTTGAATCGTATCTGCAATTAATCGAAAACTAATGATTTGTATGTACATAAAAGAAAGCGGATACAAATCTTTTCATATTCATATAATTCCATCTCTAACAGAATTAATTGTATCTAATTTTACGATAAAAATTGGGTCTCATTCATTTCGTCTATTAAAAATTTTTTGATCGTAAAGACATCCCATTTTCACTTGGACATTCCCCTCTAGCATTATTATCTAGACCATATCAATGAAGTTTAAGAACCATTATTCAGCTAAGGAGTAGCAAGACTGATCAAGCTGATGTAAGAGTGTCACAAGATATATCGACCGATAATTCATCAGTAATGAATAAATTAAACTGAATGTAAGATTACCTAAATGTTAGTATGAACTGATTTATTTTAACTATATAAGGCAAATCTTGCGGCGGTCTGTCGATCAACCTAATAGTGTATTTGTTTCAAATATATGTATTCGTTAATTAACGAATAAAATTACGAATGAATAACCAGATGATATGAATGTTTTGTTGTATATGTCTATTTCTCAATCTAATTTATCACAAGGTTAATGAGCATTAATCCTAGTAAATTGTTTGGAAATTTCATAGAACCGATCTAATTACTTGAATAGATCAAAATTTAAAGTTGTGGAAAATTTAAATTTAAAATAAAAAAAAAAAGAAATCAAAAAGTTTTGAAATATTTTTTTTCTTCTTTTTTAGAATAAATATCCGAAAAGATATGGAGATACATTAAGTATGAGATAAAAAGATATCGATAATACACATTGAACACCTGAATCAGTAGTTGATATCTGTTTCACCTTATACTAATTGAACTGATTGACTCCTTCCTTATCTATATTGAAGCTTTTTTTTTAAAATTCCTGATTCTACTATGCAATTCAAACTGAATATGAACAATTAAAGTAAAATAATCCGAAAATACAAGAATATTGGTACATGATTGATCATTTAAAATTGTATAATTTTCTTTTCAGTGTTGATTGACCGTCCAATCCTTTAACTCTCACACTATAGCTAACACTAGTATTAAAAATAATCAAGAAAAACTTTTCACTTATAGCCAGTAATTGTTAGTAGTCTGTCTATATAAGTAGTAGTACAAAATCTAAAACAGTTTAGATTTTGTGTCAAATGAACGCAAATTTTTTATGTTAATAAGTTGAAATATAAATACGTCATAACTTTAAATCTACTCAAGAAAATCTTTTTGGTTACAAGATATCAACAACAAGTTAAGAAAACATTGAATAGTGGTAGGAAACGTAGTCCATAATAAGCAATAGAGAATGGAATAACTGATATAGAGTTGAAATTAAATAAGGGTTGAGGCGGATCGGGATATTGAAATGTTGATTAAATTTATATCGCTGATCTTATCTGTTACTTTTGGAAAAATTAAACCATCTCATGTAAAAACTAGAAGGATCAGATAAAAGTATTAAGGATCTCTCCTGAACTTCTTCTTTTACTTTAAATAAATACATCTATTCGGCTTATTTGAGATTTTAGATTTACGTTAATTTCTTTTAATATCGTATGTTAGCAATAGTAATTTATAATGTAAGAAATTATTTGGAACGCCTTTTGTATCATTATTAAAAACTATTCTTGTTTTACTTTACTAATATGGTAGACTCCGTACGTAATTGATAATAGAAAAATTCCTTTTTTTTATGTAAATACTTACTTACTGTAAGATGGTTTAAAATATTAATGGACCCGTTATTGTTCTATTATCAATTTTCTTCTTAATAATATTTTTCAATACTCTTTGTAAGATTTTATGGGGGAATTATACAAAAGGAATTTTTACTTGAAAATTTTTAAACAAATCCTAAGTATTGTTTTAAATCTTGATTTTGTTTATTTATATCTCTTGATATCTCCAGATTTACTTTTGTATGATTTTTCATATTTTTTGTAGTTTGTATTTATTTTTGCAATTCAACAACAACTTTCATTAACCCACTATCATTAACCACTTAACTTGAAGTTTCAACTATATTATTTATGAGAACTTATTCAATAAATAATAAATACTTTAGACTTACATAATCTTAGATATTTATAACTTTCCATCATCACCATCTATATATATTCATAGTTTTTCATCATGTGGTTTACAAATAGTAATAAAGAAAAAGATTCAAAAGAACAATTTGCAACTACTGAAGATTTTACAAATACTTCATCAAATAATTCAATATCTTTACAATCATCAAAACCCCCCATTGCCAAACAAGATGTTAGCAGAACTCAAAGAAAATTACATAATAGACATATTCAATTAATTGCAATTGGAGGATCAATAGGTACAGGATTATATGTTACTATTGGAACAACAGGTTTAGTAAATGGTGGACCATTAGGTTTATTATTATCTTATTGTATATCAACATTATTAACTTTATTGTTAACAACAGCGATGGGAGAAATAGTATGTTATGCACCATTTGATTCACCATTTTTAAATATGGCAGGTAGAGTTGTTGATGAATCATTTGAAGTGGCTGCATCAGTAAATTTTTGGTTAATGCAAGCATTATATGTACCATTTGAAATTACTGCAGTTAATACAATTATACATTTTTGGAGAGATGATTATTCACCAGCTATAACATTATGTATACAAATTGCAATATATGCTGCAATAAATCTTTATGCAGTTAGAATATTTGGAGAATTTGAATTTGCTTGTTCTTTATTAAAACTATTATTATGTATTGGTTTAATTATTTTTACAATAGTTTCAATGTGTGGTGGTGTAAAAGGTCAAAGTGCTTTTGGATTTCAAAATTGGCATTATGGATTATTTGCAACTAATTATGCAACTGGAAGATTAGGACAATTTCAAGGATTTTTAACAAGTTTAAGAATGTCAAGTTCTTTTACTTGTGTTGGAAGTGAATATTTAAGTATGACTGCTGGAGAAGCAGTAAACCCAAGAAAAACATTACCAATTGCTTATAGAACTGTCTTATATAGATTAGTTGTATTTTATATTGGTGGTGCATTATGTGTTTCAATCTTGGTTAGATATAATGATCCTGGTTATGTTAATGCTGCTTCAAATTCAGGTAGTAGTCCATATGTATATGCAGCAAGGAATTTAGGTATAAATGCATTACCAGATATCATAAATGCAGTTGTTTTAACATCAGCTTTTAGTGCTGGATGTAGTTATACTTACACATCATCAAGATCAATGTATAATTTAGCTTTAAAAGGTTATATACCAAAATTTTTTAAAATTTGTACATCAAGAGGAATTCCCATTTATTGTGTATTTGTATCAATATGTTTTTCATTATTATCATTATTACAATTAAGTAGTTCAAGTGCAAAAGTTTTAAATTATATGGTTAATTTATGTACTGGATCTCAATTATTAAATTATGGATTTATGTGTATTATTTATATTGGATTTTACAGAGCAACAAAAGCTCAAGGTATAGATAGATCAAGTTTTACATATAGATCTTGGTTTCAACCATATTCAATATATTTTGTTACAATAATTTATTGGTGTATTATTGGTATATTAGGTTATCCAGTATTTATGCCAGGTAATTGGTCAACTGATGATTTTTTATTTAGTTATGTTATGATATTTGTTTCATTAGCGGTGTTTTTAAGTTGGAAAATTATCAAAAGAACAAAATTTATAAAACCAATTGATGCTGATTTAACTTCAGGTTTAGATGAAATTGAAGCTCATGAATTTGAATATTATCAAAATTTAAAATCAAAAAATGGTAAAGAAGGTGATGAAGAAAGTGATTTAGAAGAAAAAAGAAGTATTTTTAAAAGAATCATGGATTGGCTCTTTTAAATTCATGGTGAGGAGAAGAAGCTTAAAGGTTGAATGTGTATTTATATTTTTATTTCGTTTGATAGATTATTTGTATTGTTTTATTGTATAATAGATTTGCATTATTATTATGTTAAATTAATTTTGGTTGCGAAAAAAAAAAAGAAATTGTTGCAAAACAAAACGCGTTTAAAGTTGCAATTTGAATCAATTGATTCACTCTAACATGAAACAAATTCACAACACACTGTAAACAAAATTCAAACAACCCTCAAACTGATTCGTTATCTCTCATATTTTATATTTTATTAAAACTCCTATACAAATAACCTATAAACTCTTCCCAAGATATCTATAACCATTCCCAAGTAATATCAATTCTACCTAAACTTTGATCAGCTAATTTTGAAAAAGCAGTAGGTGAAAAATCTAAATCATTATAAGCACAACCTTCACATCTATCAACAACAGTAACATCAACAGAATTTCCATTATAATAAGCTCTTATTTTTTTATTACATAATGGATTATTATTTGGATTATTACCAATATTTTTTGAATCATATAATTCATGAGATATTGCTATTATATAATCTGAATCATCATGATAACTTCCACATGCTCCTAATCCTGGGGTATAAAATGTTCCTTCACCTGAAAAAGTTGATCCTCCAGTTGGTTGAGATGTGGATGTTGATGATGAAGATGATGTAGATGTTGGTGAAGAAGAAGTTGTTGGGTTAGTTGCAATTGAAATAGGTGTTGTTGAAGTTAAAGAAGTAGTCAAACCACCAAGAATTACTGATGTACTTGGAGCTAAAGTGGCTAATGAAGAAATTGTAGTATCTGGTTCTTCTACTCCTTGAGTTTGAGCTTGATTTTGAATTTGATTTTCTGGAGTATGAGTAACACCTGATTGATCAACTATAACAGTAGTATAAGCAGTAACAGTTATAACTGCTGGAGCTGGAGCAGCTTGAATAAGATTAAATAAAGCTGAAGTAGCTAATAAAAAAGTTGATGAATATTTCATTTTATTTGATCTATAATTTAATGAGTGTGAGTGATATAATGAATGTAATACTTTGTAGAGTATGTTTCAACAATGAATGTAATGAATGAAAATTGTAATAATGAAAGTAGTATTAGTTGGTGTAAGAAAAGGAATGGATAATTGAATATACAATTAATGAGTGAATAAAGTGAGTTAGTTAGTTAAGGAATGAATGAGTGTAGTTGAATTAGTTAGTTAACTTTTTATAAAACTGAAAAAAAAAATTATAAAACTACTAAAAGTAGAAATAATTTCATTAATTTATATAATTATTAACCCACTTTTTAAAGTAACACATACGCACAAGGGTAAGAAATTGAAAAACACTGAGTAAGATGAAAAAATGAAACGATACACAAATATGAAACAATAATAATACTTTTCTCCTTAAATTTCTTATGGTATTATTTATTTATTTGTGTTTGCAAAATTGAATAATCAACGTTGTTACGTTTCAGAATAATTAGGAGTGAAAAATTCAATAGTAACGTAACACATTAGAATTAAATGTTAAAAATGATGTAATAAAGAAACATGCACCACGTTAGATTGAACCATGTGGATATTGACATACATTTCATAGCGTAAGATACTTTTCGTATTGTAAACTTGAAATTGTAACGTATATTATTATTGTGTTTTGTTATGGTACCATTTTCTTCCTCCCCCCTTATTTTTATTTTTGTTACACTAAATCCTTTTTAAGATAAAATTTTTATTCAAATAGAAGGAGGTCCAGCCATTTTTATTTTGATAAACAACAACATCAAAATATTATCTTTCATTCTCTCAATCTAGTGACAAACGGTCTATAATTGGTACTCCAATGATGTAATTCACAGAAGAATAAAGACTATATTTCTTTCAGCAATGAATTTTTTGTTGATGGGATATCCTGTTTAATTTTAACGCGAGATTTACGAATTTTATTTTTTACTTTTTTAAGTTAATTAATTAGTACGCATAAACACATTACCAATACTAGAGGTTTGTCTAGGCTTACGTCGAAACGTCGAAACTGACCTTTAATAAGTTTATAAATTAACGAGATTTTCGTGTTAATTGAAGTTGTAATTAACAACCAATAAAAGGTACTACACTTGAAACTAACTCAGTGATGGTAAAAGATCTAGATTCAAAATCGAAAAAGACTACATATTTTTCAAAAATATAGACTATTTATTTGTAAATTATGCACATTACTTTTATTTAAATATACATTTATATGTATACTATAAGTGTCATTAATCTATACATCTATCAGAAAATACCGTTTCTAATTGATTAAATAACCATTTACTTTGAAAAGAAGTTAAACCAATAGTTTTTGCTCTTAATCTCATATTTCTATCATCAGTAATTAATATACAATATTTAAATAATTTTGCCATTCTTGAATTTAAAATTTGTGGTTCTTTTTTTATAAATTCTATTGATGATGATTGATTTTGATTTATCAATGGTGAATTGTTTTTTAGATAATTTTGTTGTGATTGTTGTTGTGGAGTGATTAATGATGGATTATTTGGATTCATCGTATTATTATTGTTATATTGACTTGAAATAGGATTTGTACTATATTGATGATTCAATAATAATTGATTTTGAATATCATTATTATTAAAATTACTATTATTTGAATAATAATAACTATTATTATTATTATTATTTTTTGTAAATGGTGATAATTTTAAATTTAAACCTTTCATAAATCTTTTACCAATTTCATCATGTTCATTAACTGCATGTAATATAGTTTCATCAACATTTGATCTCCAATTTGAATTATTTTCAAATTCTAAAGTTTCATTTATATCTGATGCTATTGTTCCATCAAATCTTAAAGGAATAATTTCTCTTGTTAAATATAATTCTCTTATTATTATAACTGATCTTGTTGCTGCATCTGCTATTGTTGCTTCAGAAGATTTTCTTAAAGCTCTTAATTCTTGAAATACAATTAATGGTATTGAAATTTTTAATATACCATTTCTAACACATTTAAAAATTCTACCACAATGTTTTAACCATATATTTGTATCTAATGTAATTTGTGTTATATTTGAATCAATTTTATCACCAAAATTTCCTTCAATTTCTTCATTATTTAAATTACCTAATGATAATGGATCTGTTGGTGTACCAATAAAACTGTCATTATAAAATTCACCATTTCCATTTGCATGATTTAATTGTTGTTGAAGTTGTTGTTGTTGATGATGATTATGATTATGATGATGATTTTGTTGATGTCTTGTATATGCATTTGAATCATAATCTTCTTCATATGGTATATCATCTTCATCTTCTTCTTCTTCTTCATCTTCTTCATCATCAACATCATCTACTTCTTCTCCTTCATCTACATCATCTTCTTCAACTCCATCATGTTCTTCATCATCATCTATTATATCATCTTCTAATTCTAAATTTTCATCTTCATATAAATGACTATCCAATCCTCCAAACCATAATTCATCTTTTTGTATTGATGTTAAAGTATTATTTGTTTCATTAGTTATATTTTCTGGTGATATAGGTTGGATAAAATTATTACTTTGAAATCTATTATCATTTAAAAATTCTTCAGCAAATGGTCCAATTATTGATTTATTATATAATGATTTATTAAATTTAAATTCATTATTTGTTCTAATTAATCCAAAATCATAATTATCTGCTATTGTTCTTGCTAATAATATAATTCTAACAATTCTTTCATCATTATCATTTTCTAATTGATTTTTCAGTTTTTGATCATAATTATCACTTGACATATTTAATATTGGATAAGTACCACAAATTGGTAAATCAAATATATTATTATTTTTAACACCTGCATCATCTAAATCAATATAATCATTTTTTTCATTTATAAAATCAAACCATAACGTACCCCAACATTTCCAAACTTCTGGTAAAAATTCATTTTCACAAAACCATGATATATAAGGTAACTGTAAATATTGAGTATAAATTGAACATAATTTTGGACTATTTTTTATAAATGATAATAAAGAATTTAAATAATTAATTAATGATTCCCATGGAAATAAATTTTTAAATAACCAATAAATCATTGGTTGTGATATAACATATTTTTTAGTTGCTTCACCAATACTTATTAAAAAATATAACCATACTATAACATGACCTGTTGAAGCTTGTTTTGGACCAACTAAATAATGATTTAAAATTCTCATTGATAATTCTAAAACAGATTTATTAATAAATTGAAGACTATAAAACCAATCATAATTATGTAAATGTGCAGCAATAACTGATTGTCCATCAATACCTCCTGATCCTAAATTTGATAATATAACTTCTTCTGATTGTGAAACACTTCTTGATTTTCTTTTACGATCTTTTTTATCTTTTCTTTCTTTTAATGCTTCAGGTAATTCAAATAATTTTGCAAATGGATTTTTTGCATCTCCAAATCCAATTAAATGATTAATATTTGATATTGCAAATAATGAACCTTTATTAAACCAAAAATTCATTTTTTCTAATGTATTTGAAGCTGATGGTTGTTGTTGTTGAGAATGTTGTTGTTGTTGTAATTGTAATTGTTGTTTATATTGTTGATCAACATTACCACTATACATTTCTCTTGTAAAAAAATTATAACCATTTGAATCTGAACCAAATGTTAATCCATATCTTGTTACTAATTCTATACCATATTGTAATTGAGCATCATGAATATTTTCAACTGATGTACCTTCACTATTTCTACCATTATATATACTTAATAATACTTTATGAATTTTTATAAAATCAATTATTGGTAATTCTAATAATGATAATATATTTCTTTGAGTACATATATTTTCAACAACTAATCTAAGATAATGTTGAGTTGGAACAAATGGATCTCGACAAGTAACAGATTTACTTATATTAACTAATGCATCTAAATTATCTTGTTGTACTGTACACATATGATAATAAATTTTTCCATGACCATATAAAGTTTTCATTGAAGTCGAATACCAGTATTCTGCACTTATTTTCCAATCAATAAATTTTGACAGATATAATGCAATAGCCATTCTTGATAAATCACCTAATTTTTCAGACCACCAACCTTCCATTTCTAAAATTGGATCAGTTAAATTAGATATTATATTAAAACAATGTGATATAAAACATGAACAAATTTCATGATCTGGGAAAATCCCCATTATATTTTTTAAAACTTCTAAAAATCCTACAATTCCATATACCCACATTCTTCTTGGAATTTTATATAATTCAACAATATTTTTACCTGTTTTGAATTGTGTTTGATTTGATGATGGTTTTAGTGATGTTACTAAAAAATCATAATAATTGTCTAATAATGTAATGTTATGATGATATACTGTCCATAAATCATTTGATAATTCTGAAGTTCTTGTTGATTGTGAAGTTAACGATGAATTTGAATTTAATGAACTCGATAAATTTTGATTTAACATTTGATTTCCATAAACTAAACTTGGATTAGAATTTGTTGTTAGTTGATTTATTTTTATAGTGATTTCTATGCAATTTTTTTGAACAACTTCTTCATAGTTGACTATATTTTTATAAGTTTCTTTTAGTTTGGTAGCTAATTGTTGTTCTTCATCCGACATGGCCCTCTGTTGTTGTTGCAGTTGTGAAGTGGTATTGGAATGTGGTTGTGTTTGCGGTTGTTGAGACTCTAGATTCGATTGATTTTGTATGTGCTGTTGTGATTGTCGCTGTTGCTGCTGCTGCTGCTGTTGTTGTTGTTGTTTCTGTTGCTGAGTGTAGTTAGATACAGGCTTAGATTCGATATCTTGTGCTATCAGATCCACCACAGGGTTGCTATCTGACAGATCTGAGTTATTTTGATTTGATAAATGAGATAAATGATTAACATTTGGACTTGATGGAACTTCATATGATGAAGGAGTTGGAGTTTTCATGTGAGTAAATGCATTTTTTCGAATATTAGATCGAAGTTGTTGTGGTTGCGGTTGTGGTTGTGGTTGTGATTGTGGTGGTACCTGTGGTTGTATATTTTGATTAGATAAGTTTGAATTGGAATTATATCTTAAATGCTGAGGCGTTGCCGGTGAATTTAGTAATGAATGATTAGTCTTGTTATTATTATTATTATTTGGATGTACATTCCCTGTATTTGAAGTAAAAGGATATTCTTGTAATCCTTGCATTCTCAAGGGGGAAGATATTTGAGATGGCTGATGCTGTTGAAAATGTTGTGGATAATATTGAGATTGTTTGTGTGAATCATAGGCCATTTGTTTAATTCACTGGAAGAATAAGAAAACAAATATTTTGTAGCAAATGAAATATAATCTCCAGTATGTATTATCTCAATATTTTGATTTAAAATGTACTGATTGGAATGCAAAATAGATTAATATATCCAATACGAAATTGGAAAAATGAATTGTGAACTTGAAAGATGCAATGGATGACTGAAAATACTGTTTTAAGGATAGTTATTTAACAAAGTGAAAAGTTTATTTGATACTTAGCTTTCAAGAATAAGAAATGATGATGTAGTAAATAAGTAGGAACAAATGCCTTGTGATTAGCTAATGAGAATGATTAAATGGATGATGAATATCTTGTTACCAAATTGTCTTAAACTTATGGTTGTAAAGTTGTCGATTTGAGATTTTTAATTTGATTTTTCTTCTCTTTTTTTTTCTTCAATTTTCAGATAGAATAATCAAACAATCTTATAAAAGAGAGAGAGAGAGAGAGAGATAGAGAGATTTATTTATAGTATTGTCACATTCCATGGATGGGATCTTAGAGATTGTTCGCCAATTCTTCATCATTTCATATTTGTTCTTTGGTATTTTGGGACAAATATGTTCTAAACTTGCGCTATCGATTGGATCTGATTTGAAACAGATCTGATCAAGCTAATATTTAATGTAACAAAGTTGAAACACTAGTAAGAGAAAAAAACATGATCTCTCAAATGTTTAGGATGCAAGAAAATGACGAACAAACTCTCTTCAATGTTTAGGTAGAGTAAGAATAATGAGCTTAAGTAATCCAATTCCGCTGGAGTTTGGTGGATTTATTCAAGTGAAAACGATTTGAGCCGATAAATTTGTTACTGAATGGAGATATTCTGATTTAAGAAATGTTCGGTGGAGATTAGGTGATAGCTTAATGAGTAATACAATTTACTAAGTTATTACTTACTGATCAACAGGATATGAGAGTTCAATTGTTCAAAAATCGTTCCTTTTACATAAATCGTAAAACTACCATTTCTTTCTTGCTTATTTTCAATGATGTCGTTCGTTCTGGAATAGCTCAACAATTTTAAATTAAACATCTCATGCTTAATGATATCTAAGTTCAAATAATTTTATCGTATATGCAATTATAAATTTAATTCCAATTTATTCTAACAACATTAAGATCAAAAATTGGAGAATTTAAAATTTCCAAATTTTGTATCACTAAGATCAAGTCTTTTAAAATTGAAGGAAGTTCTTACAAATATAAGTCGGATATTTGGTAAGTAATTCTATTCGATGTAAAAAGTATCTTGAAGTAGGATATTATGATTCATTTTCCCGGATAAAAAAAACATTTAAGTATAAGTGTAATTATAGTGAGCGATATTTTGTGGTTTAATGATTTGTGGCTATACTTTAATTAAAATAATATGAGTGAAAGACGAAAAGCCATTCAAATTGAAGAATACTAAGAGTAATATCTTCGAATACTTTCAAACCGTTAATCAGATCGATCGGTTTGGGATCTATAAATCATCTTATAAAACTCAAAATCATGAGATCTAATTCAAATCTTAAATTTAAAACTTTAAGCTTTATGGAATTAAACGCATTACGTCAACTTTATATCAGATCTTTTTGATCTTGATGTCTAGTTATAAATTGAGATTCACGACACGACACTGATTTGAATTCGGTTAGAAGATAATAGTAAGTAGATGATTCATCTTCGCTTAATCAACTTGATTTTACTCCACAAATTATTATCAAATAACAACAACACCCAAACTCAAATCAAATTGGTATTTAAAATATTTAGATCAATGACAAGCCGAGCTATATAACCAGCGTTCATACTAACTCAATTTCAAACCTCAAAGCTAAACCACAAAAAAAAGAAAGACAAATGGCAAGACTATCAGGTTTACAAAAAGAAGTATTACACCTATACAAAAATTGTCTTCGACAAACATATAAGAAACCTCAAAATAGTCAAATCCATTGGAGAAATTTTACAAAAGAAGAATTTCATAAATATAAAAATTTACCAAAAAAGCAATTCAACACAATTGAACATTTATTAAGAGTTGGTTATAAAAAATTAGAAATGTATCTGAATCCTCAAATTAAAGATATTCATTAATTCTTAGTCATTATTTATTTATTGAAACGTTATTATATTATTTATTACAAAAGGAAGTGGTAGAAGTTGAAGAAAGATGAACAACGTTTGTACGTATTTATCTAATCTAATAGAAATCCAATCATGATTTTATATATTATTATGGAAAAGAAAATTCAAACTAAAAGTCTAATAAATTATTTATTTTATGATGTCTATGAAAAAATTAGATTTGATTCATTGAATAATAATTCAATTGAATCATTTCTAAATCCCATATCAGTTAATTCTTTTTCTCCTGTTTTATCTCTTATTAAAGTTGGAGCAAAAACAACACTTAAATTTTTAAAATTCATTCTATTTTCATTATTTTGTGAATTTATTTTATGTAGGTGATTACATAACTCTTTCAAGACTTTTTGATTTGTTAATGGTAAATTACTAATGGCAGTTTTTAATAATTTTATTTTTTCTTCTTTTGATAGGTGTTGTTGTTGAGATATTGATATGAATTCTTCATATTTTATATATGGTATTACAGGATCTGGTAATTTTCTTAAATATCTTTTTAATGCAGAAGTTATTGCATGAATATCTCCATTTGATAAAATTTCTTCAAGTTTCGACATTCTTTTTTCATCAATTTCTCCCTTTTGTTTATATAAACTTGAAAATTCATTTTCAATTGATACTATAAGAGAATTCCCACCTGATATTCTATATATTCCTTCTTGATTTATACCTCTTGATTCAACTTCTTTTATACATCTTGTTATTATTATGGGGATTAAATTTTTTTCATATTCAGCACGTTCAGTTAATGTAGATTGGAACAATTGTGAGCCATCATTATGACGTGGTTGATCTTGGTGGTGTTGTTGATGTTGATGTTGTTGTTGTGATTGATCGTAATTACTATTATTATTACCATTTAAAAAAGAATCTAGAAAATTGGATGAAATAGATTTTGTGAATTTATTATTATTATTGTTGTTGTTATTGTTGTTATTTTGATTATGATTCCCATTACTTCCATTACTTGGAACTCTTAAACCTTGAGAAGAAAAACTATTCGGAATTCTTGAATTCTGATTTGAATTTGCAAAATTATTTTCATTATTTGATGAAGTAGTAGTTACAACTTGAGGCATTCCAATTTTAGGTCTTCTCCAAAATTTTAATCTTGTGGCTTTATGAGTTTGTTCATCTTCTTGTGGTTGTTGTTGTTGTTGCTGTTGTTGAGAATTTTGTTGATATTGATTCTGTTGTTGTTGAGTTTGATGAGATTGTTGATGATTTTGATAATGATAATCTGGATCTTTCATTGGTGAAGATGTACTAAAACTACTCGCATTAGTAACTGTTGTAATATCATTATTAAAAGAATCAATTTCAGTACTTGATGATCTATTTAATCTTGATGCTTCAAATTGTTTATTTTGTTCCAATAATTGATTATTTTCACTAACTAAGCTTTCTTTCTTACTTTCCAAATCTTTTATTTCTGATACTAAATTATCATATTTAATCAGTTCAGTTGTAATTTTTGATTGTATATTTTTTAATTGATCAGATAATTTTAATTTATCATTTTTTAATTTTTTAACATCTTGTTCATATAAATTTTTTTCATTAATTAATTTTGAAATTTCTTGTTTTATTGCTTTTAAATCATAAGGATCATTTGAACTATCAAAAAACATCATTGTTGAATCTGATGTCAGTCTTCCATGACTTGGAGAGTATTTTGATTGTTGTTGTTGTTGTTGTAAGTGCTGTTGATGCTGTTGCTGTTGTTGTTGTTGTAATGCATGATAGTAACCACTTCCATTGTTATTGGTACTTACACCATTGTTTTGATTACTAGCTCCATTTGATATAGAACCATCTGAAATATGACGTGAATGACCTCTAGCTGCATTAAGTTCTTCTCTTGGTGATTTGAATATCAGAAATTTAGATTGACTTCCACCAGAAACAGATCTTTTATGAGTTAAACTTCTCAATACTGATGCAGTACGAGATAATGAGCTTTGTTGTTGTTGATGCTCTTGTTGTTGTGCAGGCAGTTGTTGAATTTTTTGTTCATCTTCCAATTTTGTTACTGCTGGTGTTACATTACCAATATTTCTCATTGGTGATTTCATAGGTGGTTGATCATCAAATATTTTACGATTATCATCAATTTGTTGTTGTTTAATTATATGATCTTCATAATTTACACCTTCTAATCCTAAACCATGAGGTATTGATTCATCAAATTTGAATTTTTTAGGAGTATTTGAAGAATTTTGTCTTTTTGTTGGTGTATTTGGTAATGGTAATTTAGGAGGTGGTGATGATAATGAAATACTTGCATTTTCTCTTGATTTTGATTTTTGTTGTGGTGTACTTAGATTTTGTATAATATCATCACTTAATTCATCCGTTATAATATCATCATTAGTTTCGACAACTCTAGCTTGTCTATTAGCTTTAGCAAATGGAGATGAACAATTCGATCTAGAGGTTTCTTCAACAGTTAATGTTTGTGGTTTTAAATTGTCATTATTATGACTTGAACTTCTACTAAGTAATGTCCCTGGAGAATCAACCATTGGTGATCTTATATTTGCATTATGAAATTCATTATCATGAAAGTTATTTGGTGATAAAATGAAATAGTTTTTATTTGATTTTGGATCAGTGTCTTTTCTATGAGTTTGGTTTTGTTGTATTTGTTCTTTTGGAGTAACATCAATTGGTGGTTCTAGAGTTTCTTTTCCATTAGGTGAATTAAAATTAATTGTTCTATCATCATTCATTTCATCCAGTCCTGGTGTTTTTATAGGATTATCAACCCTAGGTGTATAAAATCCATTACTAACTTTTGATCTAGAATTTTTATTCCTTAATGATGTTTCAGCTTTAATTGTATTTTCATTTGAATCTGAATCAGAACTATTTTGTACTTCTTCAATTGAAAAATCATTATCAATATGTAAAATTGAAGCAGAATTTGGTTTACTTAATGAATTTTCATTAACGGAATTTGTATAGAAAGATTCTGGTGAATCTCTTTGAATTGATGAATGTTTTGAAAGTAATGTTTCTTGAGAATTTAATATGTTTCGATTTTCATTTAATTTATTTGGAGAAATTGGATTATGTGAACGTGGTGGAGGTGCAGGTAAATTTTTATTTTTATGTGAAGTTAATGAATTTGTAGAATCATTTTGATTTTGATCATAAAAGCTAGAATTTGAAGCACTATTATTATTATTAGTCATATAAGATTGAATTAAACTGTTTCTTGAACTATTGGCAGATTGTAAATGTCTTTTATTTTGATCTTCATATTGTCTTTGTTGTTGTTGTTGTTGTTGTAATTGTTGTTCTCTTTCTTCTTTTTCCTTCTCTAATTGAGCTTGTTTTTGTTGTAACATAGCTAAATGTTTCTTTTTTGCATCATATTTCTTCTTTTTAGCCATTAATTTTTCATGACAATCCATACAAAATAAACCTTTTGAAGTTCTTGCATATCTTAAATCTTCAATTTTATTTTTACATGATCTACATTTAAAACAATTTGAACAATAAGCTTGATCACCAGTTAATATAGCTAAATCATCAATTTTTCTATTACATTGTTTACAATTATATGAACAATTTGAACAAATTAAATTTCCATTACCTAATACTAAAAAATTTGAATTACAACCTAATGAAGTATTACATTTTGAACAATTAAAACAATCAATATGCCATCTATCTTCACCTAATTCATAAGCATGACCTTCAATTATTAATTGATTACATTTTTTACAAATCTCTCTTGATCCTAATGAAGAATCTAGATTTGATTTAGGGTTTGAATTTGTATTAGATATAGGTGTAGGAATATTGGAAGATTGATGAAGATTTGAATTTGGAGTTATAACTTCAGACATGATAAATTAATTTCGTTAAATAGAATGATCTAGTTGATTTGTTATCTTAAAAGAAGGAAGTACAAAAGTTTGTTTCTAGGTGAATGAATATGATTATTTAAACTTTAATATAGAATGATATATAAATTGTTTAAAAGTATATTTATTGTAATTTTGAGTTTTATATTGGGATCTATGTTATAATATAAATTTGATTGTCTAAAAGTCGGTAAAAAATAAAAAGAATGATAATATAATAATGTTTAATAAATAATGATAAATGTTTGTTTCTAAGTTGAACGAAATGATTTAATTCATAAGTTTGATTGAATAGACATATGTATAGCTAGATAGGAATGAATTTAACTGGATTGTTGAAGAATTGTGGTTGGTTATTGTATAGAATAAATTTGTCAAACTCTCTTGTAATAAATTAGAATTTTATTTCTATGTATTATTTTTTATTATCAACACTCAATAAAAAATTTATTTTAAGTAACAAGTAAGAATTTTATAATTAAGTATTATAATTGATTAGTATTAGACATAGTACTTAATATAGTAAATAATCATATGTACGATATAATAGAGCATTAACTAGTTCAGACAAGGATAATGAATTTTATAATTTATCTATAGATTTTGCAATTGTGTTTAATATTAGATACTAAATTGTGTAGGTAGAAACTGGGATCAAAATTCTCATTGATCTAGCTATTGAAGTGATCGAGAGAGAGAGTAAGAGCGGGAGATAACTTGTTAAGGAACGAGTAACAAGAAGAATGATTTACATTAATTCTTAATTGTAAAATCAAAATCTTATGCCGTGTACAGTAACATTAATCAAACTCAACAACCCAAAGAAACGTTTCTTCATCAATATATCAAAAATTTTTGAATGAATCAATTAAAAATTATTGATCGACCGCCCTTGGCACTTTATATAATTTATCACATTCATGTTCGTACTAAATATTTAAGTAGGCTAAGTTTAAATTTCTTCGACGTATGTTCAACCTTTTTAACCCTTTTGAGATTTAATTACCTAAAAAAGGTTAAATTAAATTATTATCTTAAAACTATACTTACACAAACTAGTCTACTTAAAATTCGGTATTTCGTAGTTATAAACATAGTAATGCTTTATTGAATCATTGCCTCAGGTTAACATACTCTTCAGATCATTTTGCTTAAAGCTAAATGAGAATCAAACTATCTGAACCTATTCCGAAATGTACTTCAATATCTATAGATATTAAAGACTTGAATCAAGTAATAAAATGCAAGAATAATTACACAAAATCAATTCATGTACCGAAATTCCATACTAACAAATAAATAATGTTTCAGATCTATGCTCTATACTTTAACGAAACAATAAGGTTGAGAGCGTGAAATTTGAAGGAGATTAGTTTCATGCACTCTTCAGCAGTACGGGAGTGGTTCAAACAAGTAATAAAACTTTGTAAAAATGGGATAGTAAAACTTTTATTAATTACATGATAAATTTATAGACAGGTATATACAATAAATTCCTTTTTTTTACAATTCTTCAGCAGTTAAATCCTTTTTAATTTTAAATGGTTTGCCTCTCCAATCAATTTCATGACCAATCATTGCAATAATCCATATGGGTAATGCCAAAATTTCTCTTAATAACCAAATTTTAAACCAATTTAAAAATTCAACGGGTGAAAAAATATTAAGAATTGGAAATTTTTCAATCCATTTTGGTAAATAAATTATATTGTTTGTTGATTTTATATGATTATTTAAAATTCTATATTGAATTAAATCTGTAATACACCATATAATCATATGAACCAAAAAAAAATTTATTGAAAACCATTTTTTCCAAAATAATGTTGAAATTGCAAAATTTCCATATATTCCACAAATAATTGATTCAGTAGTTGGTTCAATTAATGTTGCTAATAAAACCATATATTTTCTAACTCTTAACCATCTAACTCTTCTTTTAATATAATCAGTTATTGAATTATTTGAAGAATTTAAAGGTTGTATAACTAAATCTCTTGTTAATCCTGTTCTACCATTACAATTTTCCCATAATGCAATACCAATCATATTATCTTCTCCAATATATCTTGAAAAAAATTTTATTGAATGACCAATACCTAAATTTGAAAAATATGAAGCACTTTTTTTAACTAATGAATCTTTAAAAAATTCAGAATTTTTATAAGGTATTAATTTAATTGATTGATCTAAATCTGATTTTCTATAAATATTTGATTTACCATTTACACATGGTGCAATTGATAAATTATTTAATGATATATAGAATTTTGAATGTGATGTATGTAAAAACATTTCATCTAATTTTGCACCAATTGATTTATTATTTGATGATTTTGAAGGTTTGGATTTTCCAGGTGAATTATATTTAGATGAACTTAATTTTCTTTTTATTAATTGTGAATTTGTTGAATTATCTGAACAATCATCTTCAGATTGAATTGGAGTAACACTACTTTCAAGATCCCTTAACATGATTTCATCTTTTTGATCATTTACCCCTATACTATTCAAACTATTTAAATCACAACATATTGCTAAAGGAACATGATGAACTAATTTAACTGGTCTTTTGGCGCTGACTTTTCTACCATTATTTAAATTTGAATTTAATGTTATAATTGAATTACTTAAAATATTTGAACTTGTCCATACATTACTATCTAATATCCATAATATATCATATTTTGCTTTTAAAAATCCTTTACTTAAATTATTTACTTTTGGATTTGGACCAAAATGATCAGAACTTGTTTCAGTTTTATAATTAAAATTTTCACTAATTAAAATTTCTGAATCAATTGTTGGATACTTCGATATCAATTTTTTTATTAATGGAATACTTGAATCTTTTGGATTATCAATACAAAATAATAATTGAATTTTCGATTTTGGATAATTTTGTAAAAAAGATGATTCTAAACATGAATTCATTTCTGGATCAATTCCCTTTATAGGTCGTATTATAGTGACTCCCTCTAATGTGTTATCATCTTCCTCTTCATTACTTAGACTCGTGTTTGTATTGTTTGGATCAGATAGTAGAACGCGATGTCTAAATTTTAATAGTATTTCAAAGAATCCACTATATGCTGCTATTAAAATTATGATATATAGTATGAGACAAAAGATAGCACAACCATATCTGAACACAGATATTTCACTCATAAACTAAGCTTTTGAATTGGAGAGTTAGTTGGATATGATGGTTGCTTGAATTTTGACTTGACTTGACTCAAGGTATTAACTGATTTAATCTCTTGCATGTTTACGAAGATTTTTTTTTTCTATTAGAGAGATCTCATTAAGAGCCGATATTGTACTACTAAACGGACAACTCTATAATTCTTAAGTAAATAGAATTTATCTTTGTCTTGAAGATGTAGATCCAGATATTGATTGCCTTCAGTGTTTGTTCAGAAAATTTGATCTTTAATGTATTAATCTAATTTAGCGTAGAGTTTCGATTACCTTGAAAATTTTGATGCATAAGCTTATTAAAAAAAAAAAATCTTATTCTTAAAACGAACTCATTGATTCTCAAATATGTATTGCTCATTGATATTCCCGACTCAAGTTTTCTTGACTATAGATAGGCATCAGTTACCCAAGCTTTATCTTTTTCTTTGCCTTCATTATTTTTTGGTAGATTTTTTCAAAATTTATTTGAACTGAAACTGGTGAAAAAATATTTAACTTTTGCAACGAATAATGATGAATCGGAATTATTCTCTACTCTATTCGAATCTATGCACTAACTTTCACAAAAGAAGCATAAGTAGAAATCGAGTTAAGTTTACCAGTTCATGTAACACACATTGCAAGTACAACTAATAAGACAACTCGGTGTTGATAAAATAATTTATTATTTTTTGTCAAAATTTGACTTCCCCAGATTTTATTTCTTAAAATGTAAACAAGTTCGGACTTTTAAGAAAATTATATGAGATAAAGTTTATCGATTTTTGTTCAATTTCTTTATACCAGCACTAACTCTGGTGGAGAACACCACTTGGAAGAAGTGTATGAGCCACAGAATTAAACTGTAACCAGTGAACTGTTGTTTGAAGCGGCCGAAGTTCCCTGTACCTACATATTTTATCTTTTTCCATGGTTAATTTATATCCTTTACATACATGGTCAGATAAAAACGGTTGAAACGCAGCACTAAGTGGCCATGATCAGGTTTTAATGCGATATACATATACAGTGTAGAATAAAGGGACCAAAATATGTATTAAACACCACGGACTAATTATGATCCATTATTGTTTTGTGGTTATAAAGAATCATTAAATTTTTCAAATTACGAATGTCATCGGTATTTACCCTCGGTAAAATATTTTATTGTCACATACAAATTATTTTATTAGTTTCACTGTTACATCCATACCACAATACTTAATGTATATTTTTTGTGCCACCAAAGAATATGAAATAAATTCTATGGGGTTGAAAATTACACAAATATCCAATAATATTAAACTATTTAATATACCAAGTATATATAGACAAAAAACTTCTTCTATCAAAAAATTTAGGAGAATTTTACCAGATATTTTACATCAAACGATTATATAAAATCTATTCTACACTCATTTTTACATTCATTTTAACATATTCTCATAGAAATCAGATTTTAATTTAAATTTCAAACTTTCATATTCAAAACATAGAGTAAAAGAAAAAAGTTTGAAAATTCAAAATTATAATCAATTGATTTTATAAAAAAATACTATGTTCAAATTTAAATTACCAAAAAATCAATTATTATCATTAAATCAAATTAATTCAACTACAAAAATGCCAATTTTAAATATAACAAAACCTTTTAGTTCATCAAATGCTAAAGGAACTACATATAAATTACAATCAGAATTACCAAAATTACCAGTTCCAGAATTACAAGAAACTGCTTCAAAATATATAAAAACAATTGAACCATTTTTAAATTCAAAACAATTAGCTGATTCAAAAGCTAAAATTGAAGAATTTATACAACCTGGAGGAATTGGTGAAGAATTACAAAAAAGATTAAATTCATTTGCTAAAGGAAAAGATAATTGGTTAGCTGAATTTTGGGATGATTATGCTTATATGTCATATAGAGATCCAGTTGTACCTTTTGTTTCTTACTTTTTTTCACATAAAGATTTAAAAAATATTATTGGACAAGATCAATTATTAAAAGCTACTTTAATTGCTTATTATACTATAGAATTTGCTGAAAAAGTTCAAAATGAAACTTTAGAACCAGAAGTTATAAAAGGAAATCCATTTTGTATGAATGCTTTTAAATATATGTTTAATAATTCAAGAGTTCCAGCTGAAGGTTCAGATATTACTCAACATTATGATCCTTTAGAAAATCAATTTTTTATAGTTATTTACAAGAATAATTTTTATAAAGTTCCAACTCATAATTCCAAAGGTGAAAAATTATCAAAAGGTGAAATTTATAGTTATTTACAACAAATTAAAAATGATCCAACTCCAAAATCATTACCAATTGGTTCATTAACTTCATTAAATAGAGATGAATGGTTATCTGCTTATAATAATTTATTAAAATCTCCAATTAATGAAGCTTCATTAACTGATATTTTTGCATCAGCTTTTGTTATTTGTTTAGATGATAATGTTCCAGTTACAATTGAAGAAAAATCTAAAAATTCATGGCATGGAGATGGTCAAAATAGATTTTTTGATAAACCTTTAGAATTTTTTATTAGTGCTAATGGTAATTCTGGATTTTTAGGTGAACATTCAAGAATGGATGCTACACCAACTGTTCAAATGAATAATACTATTTTAAAACAAATTTCTCAAACTAATCCTGAAGAATTAATTCAAGAAATTTCTTCAGTTACTCCAAAAGTTGGTAAAGCTGATATTTTATCATTTGATATAAATCCAACTACAAGATCTAATATTGCTTCAGCTATTTTAAAATTTAATGAAACTATTGCTGCTCATGATGAAGAAATTTTCCAACATTATGGTTATGGTAAAGGTTTAATTAAAAAATTTAAATGTTCACCAGATGCTTATGTTCAAATGTTAATGCAATTAGCTTATTATAAATTAACTGGTAAAGTTAGACCAACTTATGAATCTGCTGCTACACGTAAATTTTTAAAAGGAAGAACAGAAACTGGTAGAACTGTATCAATTGAATCTAAAAAATTTGTTGAAACTTGGACAAACCCAGATGCAACTATTGAAGAAAAAGTCGCTACTTTCCAAGATGCAACAAAACAACATGTTGCATATTTATCACAAGCTGCTGATGGTAAAGGTGTTGATCGTCATTTATTTGGTTTAAAATCAATGTTACAACCAGGAGAACCAATACCTGAAATTTTCACTGATCCAATTTTTAGTTATTCACAAACTTGGTATATTAGTTCTTCACAAGTTCCATCAGAATATTTCCAATCTTGGGGTTGGTCACAAGTTATTGATGATGGATTTGGTTTAGCTTATTTAATTAATAATGATTGGATTCATGTTCATATTTCATGTAAAAAAGGTAATGGTTTAAGTTCTGATAAATTAAAATGGTTTTTGGTTGATAGTGCTAATGAAATGCAAGATGTTTTAGTTAAAGGTTTATTAGGTGATAAAGCTAAATTATAGACAAATTTATATATTATATATAAAAGTGATAAAAGTAATTATATAGTCAATTAAGACAATAAACAAGTAAGAAATTAATAAAATAGTGTAATTTTTTGAGTATCTCTTGAATTCGTACTCTTGTTGAATGGATTATCAATACTCTAATACTCTTTTATCTTGATGAAGTTTTTGGTTGTCAAAAAATTCAAATCTTTTGCAACACATTTTTAAAAAATTCAAAATTTGTAAAAAAAATTGCAACACTGAATTAATTTCAAGTCTAACATCTCATTTTTAAAATTTTCACCAACTAATCATACTTGAAGGCGTTCCAATACCATAGTCATTCATTTTCAAAATTAATTAAACTTGAAACATATGCAAGTTCAACTAATACAATCTATGCAACATTTATTAAAATGTAAGTACTTAATTTAAAGAAAGAGTTATAATATTTTTAGTTACACAACAATATGAAATTAACTTATCTAAAGTTGTGGATATTCGGATTTTGTCTTAATTAAAAACGTTTGATTGTTGAACGTTTTGTGGATACACACTGTATTACGAGATCCGTTTGTTTGAATCAAGGTACGGTTTACTTTTGAAAAGAGGGGGATAAGTTAAACAGCTATACGCGTCTTGAATTTTGTTATAGATTTTGGAGAAAACTACAACTTGTTATCTTCACGGTCTTAGTTAAGCTTTTATGGATTAGTGTTTGAAACAATAAACTTCAAATATAATAATTTTTACAAATTAATAATATGGTTTGAACCAAAAAATTTTTCTTACGAATCATGCCGTTGTTAGTTAATGATTTGTAGATCATTGGATTTATTATAATTGAGACATTGAATAATTTTTAGGTTACGCAAAGATTAATTAACTACATTGACACAAAAGATACGGTTTGAAAGTAGATCTTGGAGAAGTGGTAGATGATGATTCATTTTGTATTTTAGAACAAAAATTTTGGACTGAGTTTGAGACATGTGATTTAAATTAGTTCTGGTTCATGTCGATGTTTTCAATCTACGAGATAAAGGGAGTTTTTGATGATTATAATGAGAGACAGTTGCTTCAATTCAGATAATCAAGAAAAGGATGATTCCAATAACCATCAAGCTATGGTATTGATGAGAATTTAATTTAAAGTATTTATTTGCCACATTTATTGATTTTTTTTGTTGGTTAACTAGTAAAAAGAATTATCAAATTAGCACCTACGTTGAAATTTATTCTACCCAACAAACGTCACCAATAATTGACTTGATTCATATCGGAGTTGTTTATTGAAGTCACTCATACTTGGGAGTTGTAATAATCAACTTAGGGCTAAACGAGATCTGTTTTTGCAATTGGTTATGAGTTAATGAAAATAGTACAAACTACTAACAAATTAATGTTTACACAAAACCTCGGGGGACAAATAGGGTAATTTAATTGAACTGTTTTGAAAACAAAAATGTATAATGGATTAAAGTACCTTAATAATATTAATATCAACAAAACAAAAAATTATTATAATTACAAATTTAAAGTTTAAATCGTCATGGGATTATCGAGATCTTTCAAACGGAACTAAATTTCATGAGATTACATTACAACCAAAATTTTATTAGTTAAAGGAGATTCCGAAGCCTTGGTTGTACAGTAATGATTTCAATAAATTGGTGATTAGTATCTTAAATATAAATTAAATAAATTATTTAGCCCCCATCAGATCAAACGAAAAAATAAAAAAATAAATAAAAAAAACTTTATAACTTACACAAAATCAAATTGATAAAATTATATAATAAAAGTTCCTGAAATTAAAAATCATTAAATATTATATAAATATCCTTATAACCAAATTTATTTTTGAAATTTTTATGAAGAAGATTGGATATAATTTACAATCAAGTTATTATCAAACTTTCAATCAGACAACCTAACATTTTCATTATTCACAACCACAACAACTAAGCAAACTTCGCGTATTTTATTTTTAGTTTAAATCAACAAACTGATTTTTGTTTTCATTTTTGGTTTCTTTTTTTTGAATTAGATCAGTTTTCCAATCACACCGCCATCATACAAAAAGAATCAAAGAACATATTAGAAAAGTTAAGCAACAAATTATTCAAATACCTTCTATATTAGTTAATCAAATTCAAACAACAATAGTTAAATCTGTGATTATCATATTGCTTCAGTTTGTGTATCAAATTTTTTAATTTAAGCTATCAAACTTTAAAAAAAAAATTAAATTTTTTTTTAATTTAAAAAAATCGATCAATTTTAAAAAATCAAATTATTTTACGATTTTTTTATCAAATTCATTTAAATTTGAAAGTTCATCCACTATTTCATCATTTGCATATTTTGTTGTTGTCTGTTTTTTTATTTTTCATTTTCATTTATCATTAATCACAATCATAAATAATTATTTGTCATTTCAATTCAACTTTAATATTATCCAATTTTGTCATATTTTTGTTATCATTAATTCACTAACTTACAACCTATTGTCTCAAGTTTCAATTTAATAATTATTTAATTAATCATTTTATTGATATATTCAACGTATGCAATAAACATTTATTCAACTCAAGAATCATATCACATTGGAGTCCATCTTTGTTTATCAATCAAGTATCTATTTAATACTTCAATTTAGAGATAATTAAATTCATATATTCTACAATTTTTAACATATCATTACATTTACTTCATGCATTCATACAATAAAAAATGTCGAATCCTCCTCATAGAAGTCATAAACGGCAAAAATCATCAGTACTGAATCAAAGTTTTTATTTTAATCAACCTACAAATCAATCTGAATCTGCACAATATACATCATCAACTTCATACAGACAAGATCCACCACAACAACAGCAGCAACAACAACATGATCAACCACTTGAAGAACTGTCAGAATCTCAACAAACGTCATTATTACCATCAGTAGATCAATTACCACAACTGCATACAGTAAATGAAGATTTTTATTCGAATTTTTCCACTAGAATTCATCCAAGATCAAATCCAACACCCCAACATGAAATCAAATTGCATTCTTCATCATTGAAAAGAGGTGCTAATGTAGCATTTGAATCATCTCAAAATTTATCAAATACTACTCCAACTCCAACAAATTCAACTTATTATCCACAAGGTTCTAATTATCAAGATCCTAATCAATTTTTGCAACATCAACAATATCAACCTTTTCCTCAAATTGCTCAACCATCTTATTATCAGCATCCACCTCCATCATTTGCTCCACCTACATCTAGTTTTTCAGGATCAGTTTCAAGTAATATCAATACTCCACCAATAATTGGACCTTCAAATTTCAATTCTTCAATACCACAATCGCATTCTAATTTTCAAGCATCAGACAACTCAACAAGTTATCCATTTCAAACTAATTATAATAGTGCATACTTTCCCAACGTTGGTAATAAAGTTCAAAGTGTTTATTCTACTCCAGCATATTTAAGATCAAATACACCACAACAATATTCAAATTTAGCATCTTCAACTATTGCATCTAATCCAACAGCATCTGCATCTGCATCTGCATCTGCATCAAGACAACCAATAAATCATAGTAAAAATAATTTATCAATTTCATCTCATTTAACTTTATTTACATTAGGTAGTCAGTCAGACAATCATTCATCAGACCTTCCAAAAAATAGAGATTTATCACAACAACCTGCTCAATCAGCATCAAATCTAATTCCATCAGATCAACCAACTCAAGCTATTCATCCAATTCAACCAGTTCAACCAATATCACAACCATTACAACAACAATCAAATTCAGTCTTAGAGTCATTACTTTCTGAACTTATACACGTTGATGGATCAAATATAAATATTTATTTACTTTCTGCAATCTACAAAATCAATATGCCATTTCCTTTAGATGATTTTTATAATTTATTATATAATGATGATGCAAATAAATCATTTGTTAGTAATTTCAATTTTTCACAAAAAATGGATAAAACTCCAATAACATCACAAATTTCTTCAACTTATGTTCATATTGTAACTGAAATATTAAATACTTTTAAAGATCCAAATTTATTATTAGAATATTTTCCAGATCATGAAGATAAAGAAAATAAATTTGGTACAATTAATTATCATGAATTATTAAGAACATTTTTAGCTATTAAAATCTTACATGATATGATGATTCAATTACCATTAACAAGTGATGAAGATCCTCAAGATTATACAATTCCAAGATTATCATTATATAAAACTTATTTTATTATTTGTCAAAAATTAATTGCATCATATCCAAGTTCAAGTAATACAACAAATGAACAACAAAAATTAATTTTAGGTCAATCAAAATTAGGTAAATTAATTAAATTAGTATATCCAAATTTATTAATTAAAAGATTAGGTAGTAGAGGTGAATCTAAATATAATTATCTTGGAGTTATGTGGAATGAACATATTATTGATGATACTTTTAAAAAATTATGTGAAGATTATGATATACCAGAATTAATGGATTTATTTAGTAGTGAAAATTCAACAAATCCTTTTATGATTCAACAAAGAAATTTATCAATTGAATCATCTTCATCAAATATTACAACAAATACTCCAAAAAAATCTCATCATCGTAGAAATTCATCAAAACTGAAAATTAAACTTTCAAATATTTTAGAACCATCTACTACAGAACTGGGACAAATTGGATCATCTTCATCTAATAAGCAAAAAACAAAATCAATTTCAACACCAAGATTATCATTCATAAAATCAAATTCATTATATCCTAATACTACAAATTTTACAATACTTCGAAATTTTCAACAAGAAGAAAACTGGTTTTCCTTATTGTTGAAAAAGCTTTATGAAAGTAAACCTCAATTAGATAAAGAATTAATTAAACTGTTTTTACTAACAAATTCTAATTTATTGGTTAAAACTGATTTATTAAATAATCTCATTAATTCATTTATTAAACCATTACTGGTCAATCAATATGATGAAATTAAAAACATTGATTTAAATTTATATTTAATCTTAATTTTAGAATTAGTACCTCATTTATTATTAATCAAACCATCAACTGATTTAGAATTTTTAAAAAATTTAAGAATTAATTTATTATATTTAATTAATAATTTTAATTCAGAAATTAAAACTATAGATTCAAATTTATTTCCAATTAATAATTCAACTATTTTTTTAATCATATTAAAGAAGTTAATGAATTTAAATGATTTATTAATAACTTTTATAAAATTATTAAATTTAAAATCTACAAATATATTAATGTCAAAAGATATTGAAAATTTTCTGAAAACTAATTCATTACCAATAACTAATCCATCAACAATTAAATTAGATTCAACTATACCTCAAACAGATGATGATTCAACAAATCAATTATTTTTTAATATAACTCCATTAAATGATTTAGAATTCAATTTTCAAAAAGATATATTAACAAATGATTTAATTTATACATTAGTTGGTTTTAATTATGATCCATTATTAAATAATGAAATAAAATCTTCAATTTCAATAAATTTTATAACTGAAGAAATAAATATAATTGATGAATTTTTTAAAAATGATTTATTAAAATTTTTAAATTCAAATTCAAATCATTTAAACTCTGGTAGTGAAATGATTAATCAAAAAAATAAATATTATAATTATAATTTAAATCCAACTAATACTTCATCTCCAACAATTTTAAATAATCCAAGTTTAGATATTCATTTAGATCATTTACATTCTTCTTCATCAAGTGAAACCTTATTAAATCCAACTAATGTTACTTCAACTTCTTCATCAGGTTTATTTAATAGATCAAAACCTATAAATACACAACCTTCAGCACCAGCTCAACCACAACAACAACAACCACCACACCCACAACCAACAACAACAACTTCTTCATCAGTCTTATCACCATCAGAAAGTTCAAGATTAATTTCATTATTTCAATTAATTGATGAAAAATTATTATCAAATCATTTTAAATCAAAATATCCAATATTAATATTTAATAATTATTTATCTTATATTTTAAATGATATTTTAAAATATATTTTTTTAAATCAACAACAACTGCAAAATATTGAATTATCAAGAAGAACTGTTGATGAAGAAGAAGAAGCACCGTCAACAGATAAAGAAAAATCATCTTCATCAGCAAATAAACTTAGTGGTGGTGATTCAAATAATAGTTTCGGAGCATGGTGGGTTTTTAATTCTTTAGTTCAAGAATATTTAAATTTAATTGGAGAAATTGTTGGATTAAATGAAAGTCTTTAAATAAACATTATTGGTTTATTGGTAATGGTGAAGAGGAGATTAACAAATTATTGCATTTTTTCAAATTTTGGATGCATAGTAAGTATTGATTACGAACTTATACCCAAATTTAGCATTAAAAAAACTATTCAATTCTTTACTTAGAATTAAATTTCAAAACTATATAATACCTTTTTAAATAATTACTATTAATAATTAATGATATCTTCAATTCTTAATGCTAATATTCTGTAGAAGTAAGTAAGTTTTATAATCTCATGGTTATTAATTACTACTTTGTAATTTCACCTACCATTTACATCCCCCATTTTTCTAAAAAGTTAGAATGCTTTAGTAGAAAGTTCAATGCTATAATAGAATTACGTTTATCTCGATTATTGTTATCTACCGTTTCAAATCCCGAAGAGCAGGACGTGTTTTGTGTGTTGTAAATCGGTCATAGTGGTTTCGGAGTTCTTGAAATATAATAAAAAGTGCAGAACTATTAACGATGTAAGAAAATTTCGATCTTGAGCAATACCTTGCAGGTCAACTATAAACATTATGAGAAAGATACTCAATAATTCAATTTTGCAAATTAGGAGAAAATTTAAAAAAGAAGTTGCAAAAACTTGCTTTTCCGACCCCCTAATATTTTGTGTTTCATAGATTGTTAGAGAATAAATAATTTATAAATTTCAAATATAATTAGTAAGCGAATTTATTTAACAATTACTTAATAAACCACAGTTTATCTACTATTTATATTAATCATTTATACCTTAAATCCTTGTTTTTTCACATTTTATATCAATTTCTACCATATTATCAGAAATAGATACATCAATTTCCTCAATTGATTAACAATTTAATTTAAAATTCACCCGAAATAATTCATTATGTCCTTACCAATTAAATTATATACTTTTGGAACTCCAAACGGATTTAAAGCAAGTATTATATTAGAATTATTAGGTTTAAAATATGATGTTATAAGTGTTGATATAACAAAAAATGAAAGTAAATCAGATTGGTTTGAAAAATTAAATCCAAATGGTAGAATTCCAACAATTGAAGATCCAAATTTTAAAGGAGGAGAAGGAAAAGGAGAACCTTTGGTATTAAGTCAAACTGGTGCTATATTACAATATTTAGTTGATACTTATGATAAAGATCATAAATATAGTTATCCATTTGGTACAAAAGATTATTATAAAACTTTAGAATATTTAATATTTCAAGTTTCTGAAAATGGTCCAATTCAAGGTCAAGCAAATCATTTTGTTTTATTTTCCAAGGAAAAACATCCTTATGCTATAAATAGATATTTAACAGATACCAAAAGAATTTATGGAGTTTATGAAGATATTTTAAGTAGAAATAAAGAAAATGATTCAAAATATTTAGTTGGTGATCGCTATACGGTTGCCGATATTGCGCTATTCGGATGGAGCAACAGTTTAAAGAAATTAGATATTGATATTCATGATTGGCCATTATTAGGTAAATGGTTTGATTCATTAAGTTCTTTACCAGCTGTTCAAAAAGGTTTAAAAGTTCCAGCTCCAAAACAATAAATTTGAAGAGAGAAAAAATAATTCCTCAGAGCCTTGAATGAAAGATTAGTTACATCTTAATAAAAGTTTATTCCATCTTTGGACTCAAATCGACCATATCGTTAGTGACTAAATCTCTCCACTTTACTCGTCAATATGTTTCTCACGTTAGCATGAAAGCCAACAACCGCATTGACAAAAATGTCAGACTGTCAAGTTCGGCTTGATATTGAAAGTTTTATTAAGCGTAAGAGTTGGAGTTGAATACACGCGTAAGTCACACTCGAAGATTAATTTTCCCCCTTGAACTTGATTAGTAAATGAAGAATTATAGTTAAAATTGAAAAGTTATAAAATTAAGATCCTGCTTAACTATTTAAAATAAAAAATATATAATTATTTTTCCAAATAAATATAAATAAATGCTAATCAGTAAGAATTGTAATGCCAAAGATAAAAATTCAATATACCAACGATTTCTTTCAAGTTCTAATTGTAACCAATAGTAATTTATACATCGATTTTTATTATTATTTAGCTGTTGATAATTTAAATATTTTGAATTAATTTTATTGATATAAGTTGTATAATTTAAATAAGGTTTTGTTTCAATTTCTTCTTGTTCTTCTAATGATGCTAAGTATTGATTTAATTGTGATTTAAATTTGATTGTAGGTGTGACATTATTTGTTATTGATGAATATTGTGGAGGTTTGATTTTTGGAATTGACGATCGTCTTGGGTTAATCAATGTTGAATTATAATTTAACAAGGTTGTTGATTCCTCGAGTGTTTCTTTAAGTTTTTCACTTTGACATATGTCTTCCTCTTTCTCTTCTCTTTCTATTTCATCATTACTCAAACATTTTTCATTTATAATTACTGAATCAGATTTGATCATTAATGTTGGATCATAATCAACAAATGATTTTTCTGGAAACTCTATATATTCAACAGTTGTTTCTATTGAATTTTTAGATATAGTTCTATAAGGTTTAATCTCATTTTCTTTAACAACTATAGTAGCTATTTCAATATCATCATTTGAATGTTTTTTAAATTTTGATTTAATTTTATTATTTTTATTTTTAATTTTGATTATAATTTTACCTTTTAGTTTTATTAATTTGATTTTGATATTTTTGAATCTTTTATTGGGTTTTATCATATTTTCCTTTTCATATTTTATTACAGTTGTTGTCATATTGAATAATAATACATGAGCCACAAATCAGGTACAATATGCAAATAATTTTTGTGATCTCACTGTAAAATTCAAAAAAGATTGATGTATTGAAATGGTGGTTTTAATGGGATGGTGTATATAAACAAAAGTTAGTTGAACATGAAAGTTGTGTTATTCTCAAGGTAGTAAGGTATACAATCTAAATGAATGATATAGTAAATATGTGTTGAAATTATGGTTAAATTAATAAAAATATTTTTTTTTTTTTATTTTTTGTTCTGATAATATTTAAAGAGTTATCTGATAACAAATTCTTCGATTTTAGAGTAATAAAGTATCCAAAGATACAACATGTATTTATATTCAAATCAAGATATTGAATAAATCGTAAAACTCAGCATTAACAAAGTTACTTCGAGGTTTGCTCTACTAAAGTACAACAAAGGAAATTGAATCAAATAATTGTTGTTACTTGTCAATAGTTTAATTCAAAATTTAAAGTTACATCTTTCTCCTATTTTCTATATTTTTCATTCTTACAAATCTCTGATACAACTGTTGCACATTCCCTCGAGCTTTTCGTATAAACTATGCGACTTCTCGACCCACCTTGAAATAGCCACCTGATTTTTATTCGGAACTATCTCATTTTCGAACAAATTAAAAGTTAAACTCGTACCATTTTTGCGTCACAAATTTTAAGAGCTACTAGCTAGATTTATACCCAAATGCTAGTTTTTGCTCTTATGGCCAAGTTGGCTAAGGCACCTCACTTGTATAATAAAATATTGTCAGTGGTAATGAGGAGATCGCAGGTTCGAATCCTGCTGAGAGCATCATAAAAGTTTTCAATTTGTTTTTTTTCATTTCATGACCAAATGTTTATTTTTTTTTTTACTTTATTCAACATATAGATTTACATTTTTGATTTTTCAGAATCAATTATTCATTAAAGTAGTAGTCTAGATTAGTAGTCAAGCTTGCTTTTGTTGTTTTTTCAAAACTCATTGTTTATTAAATTAGTGATCTAGCTTGATAGTAAAGAAAAAAGTTAGTTCATAGAAGAGACTTATACTGTTGGCATGGATTCGTATTAAATAAAAAATTCTATTAATTCAACTATCTGCTTCTGCATATGCAAAACATCTCTCTACACTAACAGCATTATTACCCCACCAATGAGGCATTGGTATCAGTTTACCAGATGCAAAAATTATAAAAATTAATAAAACTGCTAAATTATAACCAGTATCAATAGCAGCAGCTAATAAATAATTATATTTTTTCCAAGTTAAATGTTTATAACGATAAAAATAAAACATTGTTATTGTACCACCAATAAATTGTGATAAATAACCTGTTGATATATTACCATAAAAATTTGCCATTGTTGAAAAAAAAACAGTTGTATTCCATAATCTAAATTTTAAAAATGATTTAGGGAATAATTTATGTAATGTGAAAAATAATACTGGAGCTAATGCACCAACTAAAAATCCATATGGTAAAACAGGATATAATTTAAACATTCTTGCTGGTCCTAATACAACATATTGAATTGCAGTAGTTTGATAAGATGAAATTGATTGACCTGTCCAAATATTTGAAGGATCTTTTAATGTTCCATCTAAATATTGCTTTTTTGAAGAAACAACCCATTTAAAAGCAGCATAATTAATGGGAACTCCTAAAATTTCACCAAATATTTGTGATATGAAAACAGCTTTTGGTGGTAATTGCATATAATGACCAATTTTTTGATCATTTAAAATATATTGACATCTATAAAATAAATCACCAGCTAAAGCGCCATATACAGTAGCTCCTGCTGGATGTCTTTTTGATCTAGTTTGTATCATATAACCATATATTAATTCATTAAAAGTACCAATAGGTAATTGGAAATTAGTAAGTGCATAAAGCCAACATAATGGAGTAACTATAACAACACCAAAAGCTAATGCAACAAAAAGACACCACCATGGCATAAATAAACTATCAGTTGCAAATATAACTAATAAAGTTATAAAACAAGAACCAAATAAAATTGCAAACCAATATAAAGGAACATCTTTATAAACAGATTGTCTTTTATTTAATCTATCATTATATTGTTGAAAAAGTGAACCATTAGATTTAAAAGATGCTTTAATTTTTCCAAAAGATTTCAGTAAACTTTTATAACCAAATAAAACAACCCAAACAAAACCCGAAACATAAGCTGCAAAATCAAAAAACATATTCCAACATCTTTGAGCTCCCATTCTAACTGGTCCTAATTCTTCATATTTTGTTTCATTTAATTGAAAATCTGGAGTTAAAATAGAAGTATATGGATATTTAGTACCATTTGATAAAAATAAACTATTTGACATTAAACCAGCTTTAAAATTAGATAAATTTCCAAATTTTACCGATGGAATTAAAATCCATGCAGCAATAACATAAGCAATAAATTGAATAACTTGAATAAAATAAGGATTAATCATAATACTACTTGTTATATTTGCCCAATCACCAGTTAATGTTAAAATACCAGCACCACCTAATCCACTTCCTAAAAATGTTGCTTTATAATTTCTACTTCCACAATAACATATAATTGAAATTGAAGTTAATAAAGGCATAACATATTCTGGTAAAAAATGATAAATTGTAACTCCAATAATAACCCAAAAAAATACTTTCATTAATTTATTACCATTACCAATATCATCATCTGATTTTTTTTGAGTATTAAATAAATTTACTTGCATTAAAGCTGAAGGAAAAGTATATTGAGGATCATAAATTAAAAAATTTCTTGCAATACCTGCATAACTATAACCCAAGAACACAATTGACCACATAAAAAATAAAGCAACTGCTGGATTAACTTTTTGATTATAATATATTTCTGAAAGACTTAGGGAATTTAAACCTAATGATCCAGTAGCTCCAGATGAAGCAGTTAAAACAATCATTGCTGTATGTTTAATAGTATGTTCTTTTCCATCATTTAATAAAATTTTATATTTACCAAATCCAATAGATTTTTTAGGTAATACTCTTGATAACCATTTTCCAACATAATGTGAAGCAATTTGTACAAAAAATATTGAATATGCTGCTGAAGTTGTACGATATGAATTCATTGTATCTATAAATGCACCAGGTACAATAAATATAATACTTAATATAACATATCTAACAGTAAATATTTCTTTTAATGATATTGGATCATCTTCTAATGTAACAACATCTCTTACAACTCTCGGTATATCTTTTAAATCTGGTTCTAGTTCTTCAACAAGACTTTCATTATCTGTAGTGGTAGATGATGAATCTTCAATCTCCTTTATAGGAGTAGTTTTCTCTACTTCCAAGACTTTTTGATTACTTTCTTGATCTTTTGACATATTAATGATTAACGAAATTCATTGGAAACTCTTTAAGAGATGACATGATGGACCTTATATAGGATCTTCAATTAGATCTATTCAAATGCATAACCACCAATTGTTATAACGGAATTGTTATATGATGCACATATTAACCAATTTTAAAGTTCCTAATTTGAAGTAAATGCCTCTAATCGATATCTCACGTGAAACAATTAAGCGCAAACCTATGAGATATTGTGATACATCTCATCAGATCTTATTTCTTTTTATTAGTATAGATTTCGGAATAATTTTACTAGTTAAGTATGTACAAAAGAAATTTAAGCATAAATAATATGTCAAATTATTCGATGCGAGATTATACGGCTTAAAACTTCAATAAGTTAGTATGCCACCACCGTAAAATTTTCTTGTGGCTTTATTAGCGGCAATTTTATATTAATAGTAACTAGTCCTAGTACTAGTACTACCTGCTTACAATTCAACGGACTTTGAAACTTGATTATAAATATAAATGTACATGAATTAGATCTTCTTATATACTTAAATTAAACCATTTTGATACTATATATACTAATGTAACACCGAAATAACCGAACCCTAGACCAACTAATTTTTCTAATATTGAATGGAAATATACATTTGTCATTAATAACATAAACCACCAAAGTCCAATTAATGAGATTGTTGCAATTTCAACTATTGTTTGAACTAATGTTAATGGTTCAATTTTCTTTTTTTTAATTAATTTTATATCATTTATTAACTGTACCCAATTAATATAATTTTCAATTTCAAAAAATAAATATATTGATGCTTGAACCAATAAAAAGACATGACCAGATGGATCATGGCCTCCACTCCATTTACCTTTAATTTTTCTACAATGATATGATGAAATTGATGAACTTTTCCAAATCAATGTTTCTAAATCTTGCATAAATGTTTGATGTATTGAAGCAGCAGCAGTTGGTGTTTCTAATTGACATACTCCACCGGTAAATACAAATACTTTATCCATTATTGGTAATCCAAAACACCATTGAGTAAATAAAATCCACCATATTGTTAATATAAAATATCTAATGACTCCATTTAAGATAACTTTTTGTTTATTTATTGATTTCGGTATTATTATAAATGCATAGAATAAAACTATAAGTAAAGTAGTCCATCCCCAACCTCTTTTAACAAAAAATTGATTAAAAAAATTTCCCTTTTGATTGTAATAATTGTATACTTCTTCAATTGGTGAACCAAAATGAATTAATCTACTTAGGAAAAAATTCAATAAAAATGATCCAATAAATAAAGTTTCAATTATTGATATATGATATAATGATTTGAGTTTACTATTTAAGTTTTGTAGTTTCATATGATGTTCATCGTATATTGTTGGTTCCATCTCTAATTGCCACGCAATAGAATAATGAAATATGAAAAGTTGTATGGAAATTTATTTCTACGCGCGGTTTAAAGTATCACCAATATTTCTTCACTCATTAAAAATTTCATTACAGTAATACTAATAATCTATACATCTACTTTACTAGCAGCAAATTTTATAATTGGACCCATACATTTATTTTTAGGATATATTGAACCCATTAATGGTACAACATTACAACCAATAGCAACTTTTGCTTCTTCAGTTGTAGGACCAAAATCTATAAATGATACATTTTCCCTTAAACCAATTTTAATAACTTCTTGCATCATTACAAAATAAGCTTTATATTTTTTACTTATTTCATGATTTAAACCTTGAATATCTGAAGTCATTGTTTCACCTAATCTAAATATAACACAAGATGCTATAATTTCATCACCAACTTTTAAAAATAATAAAGATCTATATTTCTGATCATTTGAATAATTACCTAAATTATATATAAATTCCCAATCTGGTTGTAATAACTGTGAAGACTGACCATTTGATTGTCTTGAATTTGCTATATAATCATTCATTATTATAATTTCTTGACAATTTTCAAAATTAAAATTATTTGATTCAATGACTTGTCCATTAGCTAATTTAAATGAATTTTCTTGATTTCTATATTTTATAGATTTGAAAAATTCAGTACTGGTTTGATTTAGGTAGGGTCTTAGATCTATTATATGACTATTTGGTAAATTTATTTTTATCCATCCTGAGTAATCAACTCCTGCTTCAAATGTTGCATCTTTATAAGTTGGATCTAATAATACAGTACATTTTTCATTATGTTTATTCCATTCAGATATAGCATAAAGCACACTCGCACTTCTTGCTATAGGTTTTTTAGTACTTGAGCAATAAAAAGTTGATCTTCTAAATGGCCAATGGAAACCTAATAATCCAAATTTTATACATAATATTGGGAATTTTGAATTTTTACCAAAAATTTTATTAATTTTTTTACCTATCCAACCAGGAATTCTTTCACTTAAATCAAATTCTTCAATTATTGTTAATAATACCAAAGCTTGAGTATTCATTAATTCTTGATAAAATTTTTCAGTATTATTTTCAAGTGATTGTAAATCCATTGCTTGTTTATGTTGTTTACTCTTTTTAGCTAATTTTTTTAATTGATTTTTACTTAATGGTTTAAATTCATCTTCAAGACTTTGTATTGATATATCTGCACTTGTTAATGTTGGAGCATTTAAAAATAATAATGATTCTTGATCTAATTCTTCAAATGCTGTATTCATTTTCTTTTTGGAATCATGATGATTATATAATGTATCTCCACTTACATTTGATTTTATAGGATGTAAATTATTTTCATTCTTTTCCCTTATATTTTGTTGTACTACTTGTTTTTCTGTTTTATTATAAACTCTTAAAACTTTACATTTCATTCCTGGTAAATCAGCATGTACATAATTTTCCATTAATGATATAACATTATCACCTGATATACCTGCATTATATTTTTTGTTTAAATCAATTAATTTACTCCAACCTTGTTTTTGATGTTGGTTTAAAGAACATAAATCATATTCTTCAACTTCATAATGATTAGTTAAAGTTCTTAATCTAAAAAATCTTGTGCATAAAAATTCCAAGATAGATATACCAACAGCACAACCAAATAAAATTGGTAAACTTATTGGAATTTCATTTAATCCTGCTACTGGTTGATAATCAAATTTAACACTTGTTATTGCAGTACAAGCAATAAATAATAATCCAATAAAACATAATAATAAATCATAAGCAAAAATTAATTTACCAATTAATTCATTTAATCTATTTCTTTCATTAACTAATAAAGTTATTGATGCTCCCATTATACTTTGACCAATCATAAATGCTCCAGTTAAAATAAACATATTGTGTAATCTTTTTGCGGGACCATCAGTTGATAAATTTATAATATCTATATTAATTTGTATAATACTTATACTTATTAAAATTTGTATAAAATTACAACTTGCAAATAATAAATAAACTGATGAAATATTTGTACTCCACCAAATACTTAATAAAGCACAATTAAATAATAAAGCAATTAAACATATAATTAAATAACAAATTCTTTCATTTGCACTTAAATTTAAAATTTGAACTTGTTCATAATTTAAATCCAAAGGATTTGAAGCTTTGCCTGATGATAATTTAACAACATTTAAAATACACATAACTAATAAAAACAACCACACCACCTTTTTTAAAATTTTATCAATAAACCAATAAGTCCATTTTTTCCATTTTTTATTAATTTTAATTTGATTATATAAAAATTTTTGATATATAACAATTAAAAATATAAATAAATCTGAAAATATACAACATATTGATATAATATTTATATAATGATAATTTTTTGATAATTTTGAATAAAGGATTGTATCTGCTAAATTAAATGTGAAAGAATATATTACTATTGATATTGGATCATAAATCCATTTTATATTTGGTTTTATTGATTTGAATTTTTGAAAATTATATTTTGATTTTGTTATTGCTTTTTCTTGTGTCATGTATGATGTAATTTTGTATTTGATTTGTTAAAGAAGATCTGATGATGAATGATTTGTTGAAGAAGGGAATGATATTGTTTTATTAGCCCCAGTTTGAATATATATTTGATTCTAAATGCTTTTATTGAATTGATTTATTAGAAATCAAAATTTTGCAATTTCGGAGTAAGCTTTTGAGTTGCCGATGTCCGTATATTTTGTGATTTATTTGTGTATTGATCTTTTAAGGAAAGTTTATTATGTTAATGTAAAATGTAGTAGAAGTTTGATCAAAACAGTAGATTGATTTGTCAAATAATGTGAATTTCAGTATATAAATAAAATTATCATGTAAAAAAGAAATCAATGAGCTTATATATAAATAATGATTAATATTCTAAATATTTAGTAATGATGTTTTATATTATGTATAAAATGTTAACTTATTTTGAAAATGTAAAACAACTTAAATTTAAAAAAAAACGAATACCGCTTAAGTAATAAAAAATAATTAAAATTAGAAACAAAATCAAATACACAACATTTAGATTATCAAATTAACTATTTTTAAAACTCCCAGGTGTTTGGTTTCATTTCTTTTTCAACACATGGCTCTATTTATAGGAAGTTGTATTAAAAATTCGTTTTTCGTTAGTTTAGTTCAAGAAAATGCGGACATAACGATTCATATTCAAATATAGTTCATTTCTATTTGATATGACCTTTAAGCGTTTTGTGCACTTGGTTTCTAAAACAAAAGTTACTTATATTGGTAGTAAATTAAGAGTAAGGGAGAAAGTTTTTAAAGCGTGTTTTGTATCTTTTGTTTGATTATTGGGTTGAAATATTTAAATATCTGCCGATGCTTACTTTATAAGAAAGGTACAAGTGAAAACGTATGATAATACCAGTAAAGTCGATATAACGAATCTAAATTGAGTTTTGAGGAATCAAAGAATAATCCGAACAGTGTAAAAATGGCGTATTTTTCAATTACTTAAAATTGAAATCACCGAGAATATATTGAATAAAATCCGAAAAGCCAGCACTCTTTCTCAACAACTTTTGAATAAACTAAAAATAGTTGAAATTATTCTACTTATAAATAGTTTTAGTTTGGGTTTAAGAAAATACTTTGAATGGTTTAAAATAAATTCATCAATCATAAGTTATAATTGTGTTGTCTATTAATAGATCGGATCTAAAAATTGTATTGCAAATTTTAAAAAATCGCGCATATAAAAATTGACTCTATTATAATCTTAAGTGTCTTTTTTATTAATCAAATATAAAGTACCAGTGACTCAAATAAATCTATAGGGGAAATAAAAACGAAACCCTTTGAGTATTGATAAATAACTGCTTAAACATTTGAAAAAAGGGATAAATTGAAGATCTACGTTTGGGGATATTCTTATCCTGATTCTTCATACATCTTTATATAATACTTAAAGCCTGATATTATATTAGTAAGGAAAAGAAAAGATTAAACAAATATATTAAACCTACTTCTATAAAACTCGAAATTTACTAAGCATTAAAATTAACAGAAAACACATGAAATATTTCGAACCTTATTTTGAAAACAATCAAATTATTTTAAGACAACTTTGAGGAACAGTGATTCGATCTATTTTTAAACAAAAAAGCCACCTTTCGAGATTTGAAGAAATAAAAGTAATGTGAATATGTTTCAAACACTTTTAATTACTTTTTGTTGAATTACTTACATTCTGCGTCCGTATGGACGTTTGTAAATGAAAATTTCAAATTGTCAACGCAATCTTCAGTTCAGTCCATACGTTTTACAATAAAATTCTTGTTTCGAAAAATTAATCAGAATATCACTGAAAATAAGCCTTGTTCTAGTTTTATTTGAAAAAATTATATAAACACATTGAAAATTTTTAATGTCCCTATTTTGAAATAATTTATAAACATCAGCACTCATACTACGAAAGGTAAAGATTATCGAGGTTATTCTTCTCCACCATTCCGTAATCAATTAAGTTTTTCGTACTTTTTGACTAAGGCAAACTAATCTTATATTAGAATTTTACACTCCGCCTCGAGATTTTTTAATCCTATCTTCAAATATGTCGAACGTCTTGTTTTCATATAGTTGAGCTATATTGTAAGTGATTTTTTTCCTTTTTATTATAACACGTTTCAGGGGTAAGATTTTGAAGATTATTAATTATTTGATGCAATTATCTTTAAATTTACTTTTGCATTTGACAAATATTCATAGTAGTAATCATTTTAATTTTAGCGTAGAGAGCATTCACATGGAAGAGGGCAGTTTTCAGGAGTTGATTTCCCCTTGTTGTATTGTGCATCATTAGGGATAAATGTAGAAGCAAGATAAAGATGTATTAATTATTGCATCGCGCCGGAGCTGTAGATCTGAATAAAAAATTTTATAATATTTGCTAATCTGCAAAAAAATAAACAGTAGTGTGAGTACTAACGTGAAATAAAAAATTCTTGAATGAAAATTGAAAGTAGTACTTTTCATAATCATAACCTTATGTATATATGTGTTTTGAGTTTCAAGCATTGATCCATGTTTCATGTTTCATGTTTCATGGTTCATGTTTCAAGTTTCATGTTTCAAGTTTCATGTTTCAAGTTTCATGTTTCAAGAGCCAAGAAAAATAATTACAATTTTTTACGATGATTAAACAATAAAGTGATAGATATTTTAGGTTTTGTATCAGAAATAAAAAAAACAATAATTACGACCACCATTTGACCAAGATGTAGGTATATTCTCATAGGTCAGGTTTTCAAATTCAAAACCTAAGTTTTGTTTTTGATTCTAAACTTTGATAACAGTAAATTGACATTACTGATCACTGATTTAGTTTTTTTTGTATAGATCTAGTGTGTAGATTTTGTGTAATTTATCTGCATCATGACGATTTATCAAGAAATATAGAAATATCCAAAAAGTTTCAGTCAAATGCTTGCAACGGCTCTGCTTTTGATTGAAGCAAAAACATTTCAGGCTTGAGTTAATGGTTCGATTTCACGACTTAAACAATTGATGAAGTCTGGTGTGAATCATGTAATATTTAATACCTAAAGAAGTCCATTTTAGAGCCAAATACTAAATTTTGAAATTCAAAAAGTCGTAAACACGATGAATCTTTCATCTAGTAACTTTCAGACAAGAATTTAGTGTATCCAACTAGCTTTGATGCTTAAAATTTCAAAATTCACAGCTATAATTAGAAATCAACGAGATTTACCTCAACAAGCTGAAAGTCCCAAAAAAGCGCGCGAAATGCTTTTCATCAGTTTGATTTCCGAATTCAATTAGTAACAAAATAACTTGACTCTTCCTACTCAACCCACCTACCAACCAACACAACTACGTCAAGTCTAAAGTCATGTCAGAGATAGACCAACCAGCACTTACACTACAGACAAATGAAAACAATGCACAACAAGAAAAAGAATATACAGAATTAATCAATTCACTACCGTCAAGATGGGAAATTGAATTAGAATTTGTTCAATCATTAAGTAATCTTCCATATGTAAGTTATTTAGCTCAAAATAATTATTTAAAAGATGAAAATTTTATAAATTATTTAAAATATTTACAATATTGGAATAATCCAAATTATTCAAGGTTTTTAGTTTATCCAAATTGTTTACATATTTTAAATTTATTACAACTGGAAGAATTTAGAATTAATATAGTTAATCCTGATGTTATGAATGTATTAATGAATGATATGGTTAAAAGATGGCAAAATGATGATAAAAATGGAGTTGAATTGGCAGAAGATGGGAAAGACTAGCTGTGTTTTTTAGTTACGAATAATGAGCTAATGCAATGATTCAAAATTTAAAAAGGATTTAACACTTTGAGATCTTATCAATGAAAATGGAAGAACTTACTATCACTTCCAGTAAATTAGAGTCGTGATTGATCATGGAAATTGACAGCATTTGCAACGTTCTCACGGGTAAATCTAGGCAAATGTTTTACCATGCCGTTCACGGATGAGACTAAAGGATATGCCAAAAGCTGGCATGATGTATGAATTTTGTAAAATGAAGTTGGTTAGAGTAAGAGTCGTTGCTTAGATTTCTTAAATGCTAAATTTTGAAGTGTTCTATGGGAAACTGTTTATTTATCAGAGTGCTTCATAATTCTATTTGTCAATATATCAATGTAATAGTTAATAGAAGAATCACTCTCTATTTGCATTTATTTAAAAATCTTTCGATTCTGGCATCTGTAAATTCTGGCGCATCTGTAGTTTCTAACTCTTGTAAATTTTGGTTGTCATATTATGAAAATCAAACGCGTTAATTAAAATCGTAAACAAAAAATAATTATCATCATATTTTACAACCAATACTACAACATGACAACACCACAAAGAAATGCTCAATCCGCATCCACACGAGATACAGCACTAACTCAAGAATTATCACAACTACGCAAAATAAACAGCATACTATCGTCGTTTTCCACAACAATCGATAAAGTACATAACGATCTCATATTATTTAATAATGGAACATCAAATGCAATGATAATGATGCAGAAATGGAGTAATATAATATCACAAGCAAGTTTTACTCAAGAGATGTTAAACAATACGGATTGGTTACCAGAAGATGAAGATGAAGAAAATCAAGATCAAGAATATTTTAATGAAATTAATGATAAAAATGATGATGATGAAATAGAATTATTATCAAGAAAACTTATGAATTATGAAAGTGAAAATTTAATATTAAATAAAAAAATTGAAAAAGAACTTGAAAATAAAAAAGAAAAGATGAAAAAAATTGAAGAAATTGCTAATAAAAGGAAAAGAGAATTAGGTTTAATTGGTAATAGAAATAAAATACCAAAACGATGGTGAGATTCAATTATTTCAGTTCTACATTTGTATTATTATTAATTATAAATATTCATTATTAAAACGTATTATTATTACTACAAATTCCTTTCTAATTTTTCAATATACTAGTAATTAAATCATTAGCATCAACTGAATCACCTTCTTTAATTAATAAATCACCAACTACACCACTAACTGGTGCACTTATAACCATTTCCATTTTCATTGCAGATAAAACAGCAATTGGATCTCCCTTTTTAACTTCTTGATGTTTATGAGTTCTAACTTCAATAACAACACCTGCCATAGGAGCACCAACATCATTTGGTTGTGAAGCTTTTGGTCTTGTTTTAGTTTCAACTGATGCCTTTTTATCTTCAACTGTAACTGATCTCATTTCACCATTTAATTCAAAAAATACTTCTCTTGTACCTGTTTTTTCTGATATTTCACCAATAGCTAATAATTTTATAATTAATGTTTTACCTTGTTCAATATCAACTATAATTTCTTCTCCAACATTTGCAGGTTTTAAAAAATATCTTGTTGGTAATACTGATAAATCACCATATTTTTCAGATTGTTTTTTAAAAGCTTCATAAACTTTTGGATACATTACATAAGATGCAATATCACATTCATCTATATCTCCATATCTTGAAACTAATTCCTTTTTTATAGAATCAAAATCTGTTGGTGGTAATGTTAATCCTGGTCTTTTTTCTAATTTTTGACGTTTATTACTTAACATATTTGTTCTTAAAGGTTCTGGGAATCCTCCATATGGTTTTCCCATAAGACCTTCCATAAAATCTAAAACTGAATCTGGGAAATCTAATTCAGAAGCTAATCTATTAACATCTTCTTCTGTTAAATTATTACTAACCATAAATTGAGCTAAATCTCCAACAACTTTTGAAGTTGGTGTAACTTTAACTAAATCACCTAAAATTTTATTTGCAATCTTATAAGTTTCTTTGGTTTGTAACCATTTAGTTCCTAAACCTAATTGTTGAGCTTGGAATAATAAATTAGTTAATTGACCTCCTGGAATTTCATGTGAATAAACTTCTGGATCTGGTCCTTTCAAATCAGCTTCAAAACATGAATATAATAATCTCATTTGTTGCCAATAAGTATCTAATTCTCGAACTAATGATTCTGATAATCCAGTATTTATTGATCCCTCAAATGATGCTAATATAGCTGATATTGATGGTTGTGAAGTCATTCCAGACATAGAATTTGTTGCAGCATCAACAACATCTGCACCTGCTTTAGCACATTCAGTCATTGATGCAACACCAGTACCTGCTGAATCATGAGTATGAACATGAATTGGTAAATCTGGATAACGTTCTCTAATTTTACCAACTAATAATTTAGCAGCTGCTGGTTTTAAAGTACCTGCCATATCTTTTATACCAAGGAAATGAGTACCCATTTTAACAATTTCATCAACTGTTCTAAGGTAGTATTCTAAATTATATTTTTTACCTGGTTTTAACATATCACCTGAATAACAAACAGTTGCTTCAACTACACCACCTGCTTTTTTAACTGCATCAATACCAACTTTTAATTGTTCTAAATCATTTAATGCATCAAAAACTCTAAAAATATCAACTCCATTATCTTTAGCTTCTTTAACAAATTGATCAATTGCATTATCTGGTAATGATGAATATGCAACACCATTAGCACCTCTTAATAACATTTGGAAAGGAATATTTGGTACTAAAGCTCTTAATTTTCTTAATCTTTCCCATGGATCTTCGTATAAAAATCTCATACAAACATCAAAAGTTGCACCACCCCAACATTCTAATGAGAAAGCACCATTTAAAGCAAATGCAGTTGTTGGAGCAATATTTAATAAATCAATAGTTCTAACTCTTGTAGCTAATAATGATTGATGAGCATCTCTCCATGTAGTATCAGTTAATAATGTACCATTAAATTGTCTAACTTTTTTAGCAAATGCTTCTGGACCTTCTTCTAATAATACTTGTCTCCAACCTCTTGGTGGTGGAGTATGTTGAACATCAATTGCAATACCTGTTTTTGGATCATGTAAAACTGGAATTAAAGCTTCTGTATCTAATTTTGGGAAACCAATTTGACCTTTAATAGATGAACCATTAACATAAAGATCAGCTAAATAAGATAATAATTTAGTAGCTCTATTTTGTGAACTAATCATTTGAAATAATGAAGGAGTATCATCAATAAAAGTTGTCCAACAATCACCTTTTATAAAAGTATCATTAGTTAATAATGCTAATAAAAATGGAATATTAGTTTTAACACCTCTAATTCTAAATTCAATTAATGCTCTTATCATTTTTCTTCTTGCTATTTCAAAAGTTGTACCAGAACATGAACATTTAACCAACATGGAATCATAATGTGGTGAAATGATTGAACCAGCAAATCCATTACCACCATCTAATCTAACACCATTACCACCTGCAGATCTATAAACTTCAATTTTACCTGTATCTGGTTGAAAAGATTTTGCAGGATCTTCAGTAGTAATTCTACATTGAATTGCAAATCCTCTTGTTGTAATTTTATCTTGTAATAAACCTAATTGTTGTAATGAAGCACCTGCAGCAATTTGAATTTGAGCAGCAACAATATCAACTCCTGTAATTTCTTCGGTAATAGTATGTTCAACTTGAATTCTTGGATTAATTTCAATAAAATAATGTCTATTTTGTTCATCTACTAAAAATTCAGCAGTTCCAGCATTTCTATAATTTGCACTTTTAGCTAATCTAACAGCATCTGTTAAAATTGCATTTCTAACAGATTTTGGTAAATTTTTTGCAGGTGCAATTTCAACAACTTTTTGATGTCTTCTTTGAACTGAACAATCTCTTTCAAATAAATGAATAACATTACCATAATTATCAGCTAATAATTGAACTTCAATATGTTTTGGTTTATCTAAAAATCTTTCAATAAAACATGTACCATTACCAAAAGCTGTTTTAGCTTCAGAAGTAGCTCTTTTAAAAGCATCTGCAATATCATCACCTTCACGTACAACTCTCATACCTCTACCACCACCACCAAATGCAGCTTTAATAATCACAGGTAATCCATATTTATCAACAAATTTTTGAGCATCTTCAACATTATCAATTGGACCTGGAGTACCAGGAACAACAGGTACATCATTTTCAATAGCTAAAGTTCTTGCACTAACTTTATCACCAACAGCATCAATTGTTTTATAAGAAGGACCAATCCAAATTATACCATTTTCTTCAACTTTTTTAGCAAATTCACTATTTTCTGATAAAAATCCATAACCAGGGTGTATCATATTAACATTATGTTTTTTAGCAATATCTATAATTTCATCAATTTGTAAATAAGCGCCTACGGGAGTAAATTGACCTTTTTTACCAATAACATAACTTTCATCAGCTTTTAATCTATGCATTGATAATCTATCTTCATGAGAATATATAGCAACTGTTTGCATTGATAATTCATGAGCAGTTCTAAAAATTCTTATTGGAATTTCACCTCTATTTGCTACTAATATTTTATTCATTTGACCTAAAACTGTTGAATCTCTTCTCATTTGATTTATTTTACCATTTTGGGTATTTGTTGATTGAATTGAAGTCATGATGTGATAATGGGGATAGGGATGGTATTAGATGAGAAGAAAAGAAAAGTGAAGAAAACTAAATTGATTAAAGGGACTTTAATTTCAAATTGAGAATAAGGATGGTAAATTGAATTGAATTATATAAACTTTTTGAATTATTCAAAATTAGAAAGTTTAATTAAAAATTTCTTTGATAACAATTAATTAAATTAAATTGATGGTTTAGTTGTGTATATAATGATATAAATTGATGTAATAAAATATATAAATAACCGCAAAGAAAATATAAAAGTAATACAAAATTATACTCCGAAATTCACAAAACCAAAGATTATGGTTAGCTTGGAGATGGAACTAAATTGCAAATGAGTCAACCAGTAAAGTTCAGGGTTACAGTAATCAGAAAATTTAAGTGATAACTTCACATTCCAAAACCTCTTTGGATCACAAGATCTAATTCATGATTTTATAAACTCATCTGGAAATTGAAATTGCTGATCTGCTTTAATTGTTTCAAAGATAAGAGATACTATTCAAAGAAATTTTAAAAAATATAAGTAATCTCGATAATCGATGGAATGCAGATTGACTTAAAAATTGAACAATAATCTAGATTGGAAACGGGCCTAGGATTTAAATCTAAGTGCCCTATATTTTTGAACAACAAACAAGTTGTAACTACTAGCTTCATGCTAAGTCAAAACATGCAATGTAAGAGAATTGAATTAACAATTTGAATTGCGAATGTTTATAGCGCTATACTGATTGTAACGTAAGGAGAAAATCAAATTGTTTGATGTTTAACTCTCACTTTAAGATTGAATAGATTTGACTCATAATAACCTCGATCCCCAGGATGAAGCAACAGTTAAGTGTTATGAAACTTGGACTAAAATAACAAGTAATGAGAGCTACATAGACTAAATACCAATTGCTCGTACCCTAGGGCTTTGTTTTTGAATTTGATAATTAATTCGGAAATTAAAGTGCGTTTGAGATTGAAACTTTATTTTTATTTTTTGCAACTAAACAAACCGGTTATACAACTCCGGCTATTGTGTCGATTGAACAAACTATTACGTAGCACTAACGTCTTTGTAAGACTACTGTTGAAACTACTCTAGCTATAACGTTTTAGATCATTGTTTAGAGTATTGATGAATGTTCAATAAATGTATAATGTATCTTGTGAACAATTATCATAGGATCTAAAAAAGTTCGTAACAAATTTGAAAAAAAACCGAGCTTTAATTTACAATCATTCGTATACTTAACTCTAACATAATTTCCAGTCTTAACTTTTACGTATACATTGAGTATACATATTCATTCTTAATGGCGCGATTGTTAATGGAACCCATGAATATCAATGGTCCCAAAAGGTGGATAAAGATGTCAATATTCCGTTACCTTTGGATATGATTTTAAATAAAAGTATTGCGGTTGAGATGTAATATTTTTCAGGATATGGTTTACCTACTTAATATATTATTAATTAACCAAACTATAATTTAATTGGTTAAAGATAAAAATTTAATTATAAAACGTTTTAATTTAAAACACAAAACTCTAACTATTGAATAATAAGGAATTCTCGCATTTATACCGAAAGTCGTGGAATAAGGAAAATAGTAATGGTACGACTTTTGACAAATTTTACTTTCTCGACAAAAAAAAAAGAATATAAAACGGAAGCAAAAGTTCAGAAAATTTTAAAAATTTTTTTAGAAGTTAAGGCTCATGATGTCAATGTAGTTTAGGTGAAAAAAACATTGAAAGTGTCGGCAATAGTTATATAGCCTATACTACACTATTCATAAATTTTTCTCTGTGGGTTTATGGATAGCAGCAAATCATAATTGTTTTATCAACAAGTTACAATAGTTTCAATTTTCAATAATTGTTCGCTAAATTTCAATATACATATAAGTCAAGAGAGATTGTCTCAAATTCCAAACAAAGTCTAATAATAGTTCAACAATGACATACACACATATAACACCGATTTTACAAACAGATTAAAAACCGATTATACTTTAAATCAATATACCATATCGCGCATAGTAAGACGTAAGTTCCAAAGGGTTTCCAAGGTTTAGAAAGGTTACAAAGGTTTATCAAATGTTATTTCCAAAAGGTGAAAAATAGTATAAAAGTCAAATATAAGGGACCACCAAGTATAGACAAAAAAGGATAAGGATAAATTATTCGAATACATATAAAAGAATATTGATAATTAATTACAAGTTTATTAGAAAGAAGCTTTTTATTATTTGTTAAAATAACAAAATTAAAGACATGAATATTAATTTATTCATGGTTCAAACAACAACAACAACAAACAACAACAAACAAACAACAAAAAACAAAGAACCACACAAAATGGGTTTTGGTAGTTTTCTTGATTAAAGTGTTGGTTCATTATTTGTGTTTTCTATTTTCTGAGATGTTTTCTAAGGGTTTTCTGGATTTGTTTTTTTTTTTTTAAGGATCATTCTTTGCTGATCGGTATTACATATATAATTAAATAGCCGAAGTCAATATGAAGTTCCAATTTTTTTTTTCAAAATACAAGCATATTTGATTGTAGAAACATCTCTAGAGGTATGAAAGTAAAATGGTGTATTCAACATTGGAAATTCTATAAAAAGTCGCACATTTGCCACTACCTAACGACTTTTACATACGGTATTAGCTTATGGAAGTAAGACAATATGTCGAAGCAATTACATTCACCACAATAGACTTATTAAAAATCATTTCTTGCGGTAATCCTTTTGCTGTATGGATTAGCTCATTCACTGGGTTTTTAAATCCGACTAAAATATAATATTTCTTCACTGTGGTCCGACGAGATAAAATTTTCTACCCCTAAATTTATTATAATTTAATTACAGTTGTTAAGTAGTAAAGAGGGGATGAGAGATAGAATAATAAGGAACAAATACAAATGAACAATAAAGTAGGGTTACAAAGCGCGAGATAAGGTGAATTATGAAATTATAGATTTGTCATACATATGGAAAAAAAAAAAACTTAAGATCCCATTTGTCCTGATAAAGTAGGACAATTTTTTTTTTTCCATTGTAGATCAGAAATCAGACCATACATAACAATTAATTTTAAGGTTAAGAGGCAAGAAAGTTTTCTATTGTTCTATCTTAATAATAATTTTTCAAATTATTATATAGAAAAGAAAATTCTTTTTGATTAGTAACAAAACATGGGGTTACTAGCAAAATTAAAATTAACTTGTGATTTATTTGTAAGAGAAATTTTTTTTTTATTTTTTTTTCACTTTATCATAATAAAATAATTTTTCAAAATCTTAAATTATTTAAATATCAAAAAATTTCAGTCATTTTAGATTCTCTATATTTTTCAACTCTTTCTTTAACCTACTTTTCTATCAAATATCAAATTCTTAAAGTTAGGCTCATAAGATGATTTCAAGATCAATTCAAATTACTAAAAAATCAATAAACACAACCTCAATAAAACAATTTTCAAAAATTTCAAATTTAAAAAATACAATTCAATCACAATCAGATGCATCATCAACAATTCAAAATCAACAATCATCATCAGAAATCCAAGAACAACCTCAATTACAACAACAACAAGAAAATTTAGGTTCTTTTAAATCTTTTGCTGAATATAGATTAAAAGTTCAAAATCAATCACCATTAGCTGTTAGATCAAAAGATTTTAATGCTAATTTAAGACAAGCACAACATTAAAAAATTTTGTGAATTAGTTGCATTATTTTAAAGGTTGGTTTTATCTTTTTGAGGATGGTTTTATGATGTCAATCATGACAGATGACAGATGATTTACGTTGTACGGGTATAATGTTTAGATGATATTTTAGAATTTGCTTTTTCATTTTATTTTACAGTTGTTATGGTACTGAACTTGAGGTTTAGTTAGAGAGTTATAAAAACATTTGAATACAAAAATTTAGTTCTTTTTTAATCATTCGTTGTAGAGAACATTTTGTTGAAGCTTTTTGTAAGAACATCTGATACTGTTCAAGAGTTAGAGTTATAAATTAAACGCTTATTACCGAATTTAGCGCGTGCGGATTTAATTTCTGACAAACATCATTTCAAAATCTGTCAATCCCAGTTAAAATTTAAGTCGGCTTTCTAGAGCTACTAAGGGATTGAATACAGAGTATAATAATATTTTTTCAGTTTCAAAGTGTGGTTTCAATATTTTTTAGACTTCACTTATACTAGGTACTAGGTACAACGTTTAAACGGTTATGAACTAATTTTTAACAATAATAAAAAGATTATTAATATAAAGCAATTTTTAAAATTTACAAAATGTGGCCACAGTCCTTAAATTTGAAAATTTTGAAGAATACATATAAAATACCTTTTTTTTCTTCAATTTCTTGCTCTTGAGATGACAAGTTCGTAAGAGAATAATCAAGAATATCAAACTATGGTCTCACTGCTAGTATACAAATAGAACAATCTTTTCCAATCTCTTTTATTGAATGTTTATAGTTACTTTAATATCAAATAGATAACGCAAAAATATAATTCCGATCAGTTTACGAGCTGATCACGTGCGATTATATACATTTCTATAACAAAATAATATAGTAACAAAGTAAATGATTTAATAGAATAAACAGAAGTTAGAATTCAAAAGATTTCAACTTTTATAAAGTTAATTCTATTAATATATACTTAGATATTACATTCAAAAACTATTTGAAGGAAAATATTGAACAACTCAAAAATTTTATGCTACTAGGAATTCATTTCATATAACAAATAGATAAATCAAATCATTTAATTGCAAAATAATATGACTGAGGAGTTAACATCTTCAGCTTTACTAGAACAACTAGTTTATATTGATAATTATATAAATGGAGCATCATCATCTAATGAAAATAATAGTTCAAATGCTACTCCAAATGTTGATGTTGATGGACAATTAAGTTTAGATTTAGCTGCTTTTGCAGATGATTCATTTATATTTCCTGATGAAGATAAACCAAAATTATATGATGATGATGATAATGAAGGAGATGAAGATGATGAAGAATTACATAAAACTCAAATTAATGGAAATCAACATAATGATTTAAAAGGTTGGAATATAAATGAATTTAATGCAAGTTATTTAATGCAAAATTTAAAAACAGAACATAATCAACATAATGATATAATTCTGGGAAGTAGTAAAGATATAAATAATAATCAAGATATTTTTAAAGATCGACAATTTGAAAATACAACTAATGAAGAAATAACATCAACTTTTTCACCATTAACTAATTTACCTAAATTTCCTGTACCACCAGGTGCAAAATCTTCTTTAGAAAGTGCAGGATTATCACAAAAACAAATTGATTTATTAAGTGCTTTAGTTGCACAACATCAAAATAGTTTAGGTAAACCAATACCTAATGAAGAGCAACAACAACAAGAAGAAGAAAATAATCACTATCAATTTAATCATAATGTACCTATAACTCCAACTTTAACTTCAATACCCAATAATAATTCAGATATACATTCAATTCAATCACACCCAAATCAAATCCAACGTCATGATTCAACTTCTAGTATACATCATAATTCACAAATACCTGCACAACAACATTTAGAATTATCACATCATCAAAATCAACATCAGCCGCGTAATTCACAACATATTGAATCACAAATAAATTTACAAGGAACCTCCCAAATGTCATTTATAAATCCTCCGTCAATAAACAACAATAATGTTAATAGTTCTACTTTCACAAATAGTAATAATTTAAATAATCAATTTAATTTAACATCAAATCAATTTAATCATACATCATCATCAACATTATCAACATCATCAAATATGTCAAGTCCAGATGCAGCAGAATTAGATAAAAAAAGAAGAAATACCGCTGCTTCAGCTCGTTTTAGAATTAAAAAAAAAATGAAAGAACAACAAATGGAAAATAAAATAAATTCTTTACAGGATTTAATATCAAATTTAGAAAATAAATTAATGAATTTAGAAATGGAAAATAAATTATTAAGAAATTTAATTATTGAAAAAGGTAGTCAAGAATCTGATGATGAATTAAAAAAATTAAAAGAAAAAGCTAAAATGGGATTTAATTAGAAGATTTAAATGAAATATTTTGGTTCAGTCTTCTCTTTTGATATATGAATTGATGAATAAATGATTTATATGATTAATATGATTTGTATGGTTTGTATGATGAATTATATGATTTGTATGAAATATTAATGTATAACCCAAAATTTTACGAATAAAATGGTTTTTCAATACGCATAATTTTAGACTCTAAAACTTGTAAAGCATGAACAAAGCGAAGCAGACTTTATTAATCCAATGTTTCTTGATTTTGGAATTGTTAAAGGTTTTTTCATTACCACTACAATCATTTCGTCCTTCAAGGTTATTTATTTCATAGTTCATGTAACAATGAAACATTGCCTTTTTTCAATTATATAGTTACCGATTACTACTTGTTCTTTGAACTTTTAAATGAGGTACATTTTGTGTTACTTTTAATTTTTCTCATTTGTTTCATATATGTATGGAAAAAGAAGTAGTTATAAAATTCGCCTCAGCCGTAAGCGAATAGAGATTTAAAGAATCCTAGGCTAACAAGAGCTGAATTTGGTCATATACTAGTATACTAGGTAGCAAGCTCTTGGATATGACAGGAATAAAACATAGCTTACTTATCATAAATTATTATTATTATTCTATGCTCAATGTATAATCGTAAAGGGGGTTTACTTGTTGAGTACTTATATGCACTACTTGGATAAAAAAAAAAAACTTTATTTTAATTTTTCAGGTTTATTTCCTAACCCCCTTTTTTCAAATTTTTTTACTTTTCATTTGAATTATTCGTACATGTCAACAAAGACATTGGGCTACAACGGTTCCATAATGGAAAATTTGATAATCTTTTCAGCTAATACCGATCTTTGACACTGTCATTTATCATCGACTCTTGTTGTGAATTTTGAAACCCGCTCGTCATAATACCAAAAATGATCTGCATTTTTATTTTTTTAAGTTTAAAACTTTTAAGTCCAGAATAATATACGAAGCAATTTAAAATGAAATTAAAATATTTGGAAGTATAAGGAACTATAGATAAATGAGATACAAGACATAACGTATAAGAAGGTATAGAACAATCAACCGAGATTTGAACTTGAAGTAGACTTTTTCCCCTGAGAGATGAGTAATTGTAATTCCCAAAATTTAACAATTTCAAAGCCATCACCAGTTCTATTGAAGCTTGAAGAATGATAGTAAGAAATCAGTAAAAGTTATTAGTATAGTTCAAGTAACGATGAAACAAAAACAAAACTCAACCAAGTTATACGTCCAATTTTTTCAATAACAATATCAAGCTTTTTTCATAAAAGCGTAAAATAATATTTTTTTTCTTTTTTTGTATATTATTGTTAATTATTTTTTAATTCATTTTATTGGGTGAAGCAAATGGATCAATGAATACAGATGAATTGATGTCTCTATCATTTTCGAAATGTAATCGATTCCGTTGGGAAGGATTTGGTGATACTGTATGAAATCCCAGAACGACTTGATTCATGGATAAATTTTGATTTCCTTCGTATGAACAGATTAAAAATTAATTAATTATTGTTACGCGTAACAACTTAATTTCACAAATATAATTCAAGATGAGAGGTTGACTGGTGTTTGAACAAACTCTACACGTCTAAAAGAAACATGTATTCTTTAGATATTACATCAATGAATTGAACTAAGACATCAAGAGTTTCCAGTTAGTGTTTGAGGTAATTTGGATTTCCTGTAAGCTATTAGGAACTTTATCTTTGTTGTACATTTTTCTCTATCTCATTCTTAGCATTAACCGGCTTACCTTGATTCATTATATTTGTCAAAGACTAATGAGTTTGAAGCGATGCTGAATGGTTAAGATTAAGTGCTATTCAGAAGTGTTATTTTTCCGAAACAGTCATACAAGTCATCTCGACGTGGAACGGCCCTACCGGTCGACGAATTGAAGAGTAATTCTTTAGGTAAGACCTGCTACTCCCTATCCTGAAATTTTGAATTTTGATCAACATATTATCTGTTTAAAACACATAGAATTAGTTCTGGGGTTGTTCCTCTGAGAAAGATCTGAAACAAAGCCGAGAGATAGTAGTAAGAAGAAATGTGTAAATGGTAAGTTGATAAGCTGAACCTGAATAATTACTATTTTTGTATGTATAAAGTGTATATTATTATTAATTACATTGTATATGTATACTAATTAAAATATACTGTATTATTAAATTACTCCCATAAATTAAAATTAACCATAAAATTTTTTATCATCAAAATTTTTTCTCACTTTAATTTTTTTTATTTTTTTTTATTTTATTTATTTATTTTTTATTATTCATTACCACTCAACAACTCAATTTTATTAAAACACCCATAACTATCAATCAATCAATCAATTTTAATAAGCATACACACATCAACCACCACCAAAAGTACATTCACGATTTCACAGGTGTCATAAAAGTATTCAATAGTTTCTATTTAATCAATTTTGAAAAATGGTTGCCACAAGAAGATCTGGAGGTCAACATGTTGATGTTGAATTAAGTAACAATGGTAAAGAATTAAAAAAAGTTATTCCAATTCAACAACAAAGAGAACAACTTAGACAAGAAGATGAAGATGCTTATATTGAACAACCACCAAAGAAAAAGGAAACTAGAGGAAGAAAAAAGAAAGTTGTAACTGAAGCTTTAAAAAATGGAACAACAACAACAACACAATCAACAACAACTCCATCAAAACAAACAACCAATAAATCACCTAATGTTAAAAAAGTTGAAACCAGAGGGAGAAAAAGAAAAATTCCTATTGACGGTTCATTACAACAACAACCACCTCAACTGTTGAAAGTTCAAGCGTTAAATAATAATGCTGCTGCTGCTGCTGCAGCTGCCGCTGCCGCTGCCGCTGCTACAAGTTCTGGTGCAACGGTTTCAACTAAACATCATATTAATCATTTATTAACTAATGATTCTCCACCACCATTAGCTACTTTTCATAATCCAAATCCTCAAATTATTTATCAACAATCAACAAATGCAAATAATAGTTATGAAAGAAGTACTTCTCCAGCGATTACAGCCAATCAAATGTATGAAAATCAACAATTACAACAACAACAATATCAACTTCAACAACAACAACAACATCATCAATATCATCAAGCTCAACAATACGCTTTACAACAACAACAACAACAATTTCAACAACAACCACAACCACAATTTCAACAGGTACCACCACCACCACAACAACAAGGATTACCAAATCAAATTCATTATCAACAACATGATATAATCAATAATTCTATCAATTCAGATAATATTATTCCTAATACTGTTGATCCAAAAACTCAAGGTCGTATTCCAATCACATCAATTATTTCACAAAAAATCGATTTAACTGAAGAAGATATTCCTTATATGATTGATGAAGAAGAATATGCTTTAGAAAATGGGAAATTTCCAAAAAGAAGATATCGTGTTGATCGTGATAATATTAAAATTAATAAAAGAATTATGTCACAAGATACTGAAGATGTTATTAAAATGTTTAAAAAATTTGATGATGAAATTTTAACAAATGATGAAGCAAGACAAAGATTATTATCATTAGGTTTTGAAACAAGAAAAAGATATATTACAACTTTTAAACATTATATTAGATTTTGTTGTAAAAAAAAATTAGATAATTTTTTTGTTACTGGAGAATTAATGAAAGAATTTTATGAAGAACAATTTGCTTTAAGTAGTTCTTCAAAACCAGTTATTAGATTAAGAAAAATGGATCCTGCTTTTTCAAAATTACAAGAAATTAATTTTTTAGTTTATCATTTAGCAAATAAAGAAATTCCAAATAGACATATCGCTTTAGAATATTTAGTTTATAAGGAATTAGGAAAAGATCCATCATCATCTTCATCATCAGTTGATGATATTTCTTCATCAAATAACCAGGAATCATCAAGAAGAAGAAAAATTAATGATGTTTCAACCCCTGTCGCTACCACTCAAAAAAGACAAAGGGGTAGAAAACCAAAAGAATCATCAACTTCAATTGAATTAGATCATAATATTGATGATAATTTAGATGAAGAACCACAACAAATTAATGTACAACAACCACAACAACAACAAGATGTTACACAATATCCTAAAAAGATTACAAAAAAAAACATTGAAGATATAAGAAGAGTATGGTCAGAAGTTCAACAAAAAATTTATCAAGCAGTTGATGAATCAATTGATGTAGATCCAGCTTTTGCAACAAAATTACAATCAATAGTTAATTCAAATTTAACAAAATTTGATATTGAATTAAATGGTCAAAAACCAAAATCTCATTTACCACAAGTAACATCACTGGGAATTCCAATTATTGATTTTAAAAATTTAAATACAGTTTATGAAATATTAGAAGAATGGTATAAAATAAATCCATCAATTGAATTTAGATTAAAAAATTATGGAGAAGAATGGATAAGAGATGAATTTGAATATAATACATTTATTGAAAGAAAAAGTATTATAAATTTTATTGAAAGATTAAGTAAAGAAACAAAAATTGATAAATATATTTTAGCAAATGATTGTGATTTATATATTAGAGATAAATCTATTTTGGATGAATTTATAAGTGAAATTGAATTAGAAGAAGATGAATTATTTAAAAGAGTCTTACGTTATAGACAAAGAAGAAATTAGAATTTCATCACCTTTTAAATTTAAGTTTATGGATTGTGGTATTGTCGTTGTGGTTACATTATTGTCTAAAGCTTTCTATTCAATTTCTGTTATTTTGCTTAATATTTAATATTCTTTTTTTAATTATTGCTTCTAGTTTATAGGTTAATGTTTAATATATTCTAATTATGGTTTAATAAAATGATATTCTCAGATTTAAGTTCACTTTAATATTATTGGAGAGAGTTTCAACTAATCGTAATTGAGCAATAACTACCCTGAACACTATAAATATTCAGTTCAATCACTTTATGTGTTGCGCTAATACAATCATCTACCCATAATTGTTTTAAGCTGAGCACTTGGCAAGCTATAATATAAAAATTAAGAAATCTGTATTTGTCAACGCTTCTGTAAACACATTTTCAATCATAGACTACATTTTTTTACAAAGTATTCGGTAAATTTATATAAGTTTCTGGAGAGACTTCAGGTCTAAGGGTTGGTTCGAATTCTTGTTCAGCATTGTAAGTCTTTCTAAAATTTGAAGTTATCTAAATGAAGAAGATTTTAGAAAGTGTACTACAATAAATTAAAATTAGATTCATAAGAATTATTAATTTGCATTCAATTTTTGCTTTAAATTTAGTTTTCTAGAAGTTCATCAATATCTACCTCCCCTATATTGACACTGAACACAGCTTTTGAATCATAAGTTGTTACCAGTGCATAGCCGGTATTTCCAGTACCTACTAGTTTTAAAAATAGCTCTTTTAATTCGTCTGCTCCATTTGGTTTCTGCAGTGCAGTCACTTTTTCCAAAAGTAAGGTTTTCAATTTGATACAATTTTTCAATTCCAAGCAAGTTAAATCTTCAATCTTGTCATGAGATAATCTTAGAAATTCTAAAGTTGATGGAAACTTTTGAATGACCAACATTGAATAGGTGATTTCATTGTCTGCAAGATACAAACGTTTTAATTGATTCAAACTACTGAACTCACCTTTTATTTGTAGTAACTTTAATCTCATGATTGTAAAGAACAAGGAAAATTGTTCAAATCTATCTCTTTAATACTCAACCCTGACAAGGTCAAATCCTTTAATGTTGTACAGCCTCGTATACAAATTTGAGAAGGAAGCTGAATTGTGTTATTCGAGTTAATAACAATCGGAACTTCTGGGATTCGATAGGAGGATTTACCTAAATTCAAATGTGTAATAGTAGATATATCAATTTGTAATATTTTAGTCACTTCAAATACTTTCCTCTTTTTATTTGAGTACTCGCTAGTTCCTTCAAAAACATTAATTTCATCTAATAAGAAACAAGATGGATCGAGCCTTTCATCTTTAATGTCAGGTGCAACCAAAGCGTTCCAAGTGACGTCAAAATGATTTAAATTTCTTAACTGCTTTAAATTTATTTGAAAAATATTCGATAAAATGTTACATGAGAAGTCAAAATGCTGTATGTTGGGAAAATTTAAGGACTTATTAACCTCCAATAATTCACAAAATTCAATTTTGAGTTTTAACATATTTTTTGGTAATGAGGTGAAAAGATGGCATAGATCAATGTTTTTAATATCACTAAGCTCTAAAGTATTGAGGAATTTGAAGCAAAGGTCACTTTCCAACTCAATCATATAAGACCCATTAATTTTCAAAATTTTTGTATTCGAGGGAAGTTTAAAATTGGATCCAAAAAGAAATGACTCTCCATCTCTTGTGAAGTCTGACAATTCAAATTCATTGGTCGATCCTTGTTTCACAGAGTCATACAATTCAGTAATCTCGTCTCGACTGTAACAAATATTTAATACCAAAGTTTCTAATGACTGAGGAAAAGAACACTTGATAATTTCAAATAAATTTTCACATTCAAAGATCTCAATGTACTTCAAAACATTGTAGATCTTCAAGTTTCCCAAAGTTTTAAATTCACACCAGCTAAGTTTAATGGTTTTAACAGTTCTAGATAATTGGATATCTTCCAACGACTCCACCCCTAACAAATTCAAGCATTCAAAATATTCAAGACACTGCAATTCAATAAAATCCATATCAAATTTATCTTCACAATCAATGTCTATCGTCAATTTTTTTAAAGATACAGGAAAGTTATCCACAAAATTATAGTCATAAACAGTCGACAAAATCTTTATATTGCTGAATTGAATAGCTTGTAAATAAGCTTGAAATGCATCTATACCACAATCAATCATTGGAGCCAATGGATCATCTTTTGACAAATGAATCCCCACCACATTGAGTTTTTTTAAAATCAAGTCCAATTGAACATTCATACGATCTGTAACTAAGATTTCAAATTCAGCATGACAATATTGATTCATATTTTCAATTTCAAAAGCTAATTCATCTTCTGAGTCCGGGAATTCATCGTCTGACATTAATAATTCATACAACTTGTTTGCTTCAACGATTATTTTAGAAGGTTTAAAATTGTATACTTCATATAGTGCTTTTAAATCTTTTAATGATCCATCAGGGGGTATTGTCATGCAATAAACAAGTTGAAATTTAAAATACCTTGCTTGTAAAGCATATTTTTGTAAAATTGGGATTGTGATTAATTCTTCAATTTGTGAATTATCATTGATATATTTGATGATTAAAACCAATAATTCATCCGGTAATTTGAGGAATAGTTCCATCTTTTTATCTAATCATGAAATTTATAAGGTATAGTAGTTTGTTTTGATGATTGTGATTGTAAGTGGTTTGATGAATTTGTTGTATTGTTTGCCTCCCCTTTCTTTCGATATTTATCAAATTAAATTCTAGACGTGTATCATCGACTCGCTACCATACGACGTTTCAGAATTTTGTCGTCTAATTTAAGGTGAACCAAATAATCAAAAAAGCCAACTTCAAAGGACATAAAAAGATTCCGAATACATTGAAAAGTCGGGTCTCATCCATATCATAAGCAGTGATAGACTTCTAGTTAATTTGAGCTTTTATGTGGAAAGATTCAAACTACTTTATTTCCTAATTGATTTTAGCAATTCTAAGGTTAATTCTCTTGCTCTTACTCACAATTTTACTCAAAATAAAAGTTTTTTTACTAACAACTCAACTCAGAATAGAAGTTTCTCTTCCTCTGTCATATCACCTTCAATTTTGAGAAGAAGATCTAGCGACTTTCTGGGATTTAAAAAAGAAAATCTAGTTGAATTTCTTGAAAGTGTCACGCAATCCATTTAGGAATAGTTGATTTTCAACAATTAAAGTAGATTTCCTTTCCGATTTTGTATTGATATCATGAACTGGATTATGATACTTCAAAAGAATTTGTGGTAGTACCTTATCAAGTCATTTGTTTTGTCTTCAACTTAAAGAATCTGATGAAAATCTAAAATTACGTGTTCTAACTAATCATCTCCGTCTGATTACAACAATGTTTTATCCTAGTATATTCTACTTGCGTATCACGTTGAAAGTTTAACTGACTTGGCTGGGATTCTTTTCGGAAAATGTTAGATTAACCACTTCTCCAATCCTTTACGATGATGAATTTGCTCATTACCTTTGGTTTAAACGTATTTCAGTGTGAGTTTAAGTTGTAAATGTTATGATCTGCAAGCCTGTGAATAGTTTTAGTTATTGTTGACTTTCAGTTACTATTTTGAAACCAACTTGTTTATTGTATTCACAAATCTTATCATATTTCATAATAAACCTACTTATACAATGTCGAAATGTTTCAAAAACTGTGAATGTCTTATTTAAAAGCGTTACATGCTTGTTGTTTTATTAATTTATTCATCTTGCAGAATTGGATCTATGATAAGCTTCATTCAACTTTGTTTCTTAAATTTGTCGAACCTTCGATTACACAAAAGAAAAATTCCACGGAACATAAACTTGAGCCTTTTTTTAAGCAACAAATAGTCAAATTAGTATCACCAACAAATTAGAAATCATGTTAAGAAAAGACGATTTCAGGTATAGTAGAGTTGTTTATGATTATGCACTGACCATAAGACTCACTTCTTTTCATTAAGAATGACAACTACTTAAAGGTTTATAAATTTTCATTCCACGGTTTTTTTTTTTCAAATCATGATGAAGTTGAAGAACCAAAATCATCAGTATTTGAAGTTAAGAGCATAGAGTAAATGAATGCATTGATTGCAAAACAAGCAATTGCCATAAGAAGTTTTGCAGATCAACATGTTGGTGTTGAATAAAGTAAAAACAGTAAAGAAAAAGGTAAATCCTATTTCACAACAGAATGAACAACTTGGACAAGAAGATGAAGATGCCTATATTAACACCACCAAAAAAAAAGGAAATAAGGTGTAGAATAAGGAAGAACATCAACAACAACTACAACAGCAGCATCCTATCAAAGCAATTCGCTACTAATACACCGCCGGTCATAAAGAAGTTGAAACTGGAGTCTGAAGAAGAAAAATACCTATGGATAATTAGTTCATTTCTAAAAATAGAAGCTTCTAGTCACAATACTGCGGCTGCCGGAACTGGGTCAACTGTTTTAACTAAATAACCTCACATCTATCATCTATTAATAAATGAATCTTCACGTCAATTGACTACTTCTGAATATCCAACTTCTCAAATCATGTATCAACGATCAACAAATACGAATAATAGTTACGAAAAAAGTAGCTATAATAGTCAATTAAATACATGGAAATCAATTACCACAACAACAATATTAGCCTCAACGACAACAACAACAACAGAAACACCAACAATATCACTAAGCTCACAATACGTTTTACGACAACAACAATTTAAGAAACAACTACAACCACATTTCCAAAAGTACCACTACCGCAACAACAACAATAATTAATACCAAACCAAATTTATTATCAACAACATGATATAACTAATAGTTTAATTAATTACTATTCCTAATGCTGTTGATCCAAAAACTTAAGATCGTATTCCTATCACATCAGTTATTTCACAAAAAATCGATTTCATTGAAGAGGATATACCTTATATGATTGATGAAGAAGAATAAAATGGTAAATTTTCAAAAAGAAGATATATAACAGTTGATCGTGATAACATCAAAATTAACAAAAATTAAGGTTCACAATACTGGAGATGTTCTAGAAGTGTTTAAAAAATTTGTTGATGAAATTTTATCAAATGATGAAACAAAAAGAAGTTTGTAAACATTAGGTTTTGAAACAAGAAAAAGACACATTACACCAATTAAACGTTATTTTAGATTTGGTAATGAAAAGAATTAGAGAATACTTTCTGTAACTGAAGCATAAAGATAAACAGTTTGCATTAAGTAGTTCTTCAATCCCATTTATAAGATGAAAAAAAATGGATCCTGCTGTATCAAAATTGTAAGAAATTCATCACTTATTAAATGAAGCAATTCCAAATGAAATATTGACTTGAAGTTTTGGCTTATAAAGAAAGATCCACTATTCCTATGATTGTCAACATGAAGTCAAACATACGCTTTGTTATTTTACATTTTCTGTAGAGAATAGAAGTAAAAGAAGCTTTTGGAGATTTGCTTCGATATCCTGTTCAATAGTTCAAATCTTTCTAGAAATTTGAAGCTGTAGCCATAATGAGTTTTCTAAAAGGTGTACTACAATCACTTGAGAGTAGACTCATAAGAACTATTAATTGGAATTCATTTCTGCTTTAAAATTTAACGTTGCACTCTAAAGAAACCCTCTAAGATCTTCCGTTCCATTAATGACACTGAACACAATCGTTGATTCATAGGTTGTAACAAGCGCACGGCTAGAACGTCCAGTACCAACTAACTTAATAAAAAGCTCTTTTAATTCATTTGCTCCATTTGGATTCTGCAGGCTAGTAACATTTTCTAAATCTAAAAACCTCAAATTGACACAATTGTTTATTTTCAAGCATGTTAAATCTTCAATCTCATTTCCAGATAATTTTAGGGCCCTCAAAGTAGATGGGAAGTTTTGAGCGACCAACATTGAGTGGGTGATATCATTGTATGCTAGATTCAACTCTATCAATTGATTTAGACGACTGAACTCGCCTTTTATTTGTAGTAACTCTAATCCCGTGATTGTGACATCTCTTAAAGAACTAGGGAATTTGTTCAAATCTATCACTCGAATACTCAATCCTGACAATGTCAAAACCTTTAATATTATACAGCCTTGAATATTAATTTGAGAAGGAAGTTGAATTGTGGTATTCGAGTCATTAATGGCCAGATTCTTCGAGATACCAGTATAGGATCTACTAAAATCCAAATGTGTGATACTAGCTAAGTCAATGTGCAATGTTTCAGTCACTCCACATACTTTCCGCTTTTTATTTGAGTTTTCGATGGTTCCTTCAAAAACATTAAACTCATTTATTAAAAACCGAATTGGATCGAACCTTATCAGTTTATTTCCAGGCGCAACCAAAGTGTTCCCTGTGACCACAAATAAATTTAAATGTTTCAATTGCTTCAAGTTTATTTGGAAAATATTCGATATTTTGTTGCATACAAAATAAATTTGCTGTATATTGGGATGATATAAACACTTATCAGCCTCTAATAATTCACAACGGGTAATGTCTAGTTTTATCATATTTTCTGGTAATGAAGCAAAAAGCTTGTTAAGTTCAATGTTCTTGATTCCAAATAGATTTAAAGTGTGAAGGGTTTTCAAGCAAAGGTTTTTTCCCAACTCTATCGTACCATCGTACCCAGTAATCTCCAAAATTTTTGTAGTCGAGGGAAGTTTGAAATTGGATCCAAAAAGTAAAGAGTGTCCATCACTGCTGAAGTCTGATAGTTCATAATCTTTGTTTAATTCTAGCTTCACGGAACCATGCAACTCTCTGATCATATTTTGACGGTAAGAAGGATTTAATACCAAGGTTTCTAATGACTTAGGAAAGGAACACTTAATCATTTCAAATAAATCTTCACAATCATGAATTTCAATGCACCTCAAAAAATTGTAGGTCTTCAAGTTTCCCAAAGTTTTAAATTCACAACAGCTAAGCTTAATGGTTTTAACAGTCCTAGATAATTGTATATCTTCCAACGATTCCACTCCAGACATATACTCGCAATCAAAATATTCGAGACATTGCAATTCACTAAAGTTCATATCAAATTTTCCTTCACAGTCAATATCTATTGTCAATTTCCTTAAAGATGTAGGAAATTTATCCACAAAATTATAGGCATAAACAGTTGATAGAATTTTTATACTGCTAAATTGAATAGCTTGTAAATAAGTCTGAAATGCTTCGATATCACTTGAAGTTATTGGCTCCAATTCTTCAGATTTTGATAAATGGATCCCCACCACATTGACTTCTCTCAAAATCAGTTCCAATTGAACATTCATACGGTCTGTAATTAAGATCTCAAATTCAGCATGACGGTATTGATTCATATTTTCAATTTCAAAAAAAAATTCTGCTTGTGAGTCTGCAGGTTCCTCTTGTGACTTCAATAGTTCGTACATTTTATTTGCTTCAATAATTATTTTTGAAGGTTGAAAATTGTAGACCTCATATAGTGCTTTCAAATGATTTATTGATCCATCAGATGGGATTAGCATAAAATTATCAAGTTGATATTTGAAATACCTTGCCTGTAAGGCATAATTTTGTAATGCTGGAATTGAGATTAGTTCTTCAATTTTTGACCTGTCATTGATATATTTGATGATTAGAACCAATAATTCATCTGGTAATTTAAGAAATAGATCCATCTATCCTTCTGATAATGAATTTGTATGAGTACTAATGGATATTTTGATGAATGTGATTGTAAGTGCTTTGATGAAATGTGTTGTATTGTCCCCTCTAATTTCCATCAATAATTATAAAAATTTATTTTTAGACGTGTACTATCGGCAAGCTACCATATGACGTTTCAGAATTTTATCGTCTAATTTGGGGTGAACCAAAGAATCAAAACAACCAACTTCAATCGACATAATATAGGGCATAATCCAGACCAGTAATCGTTCTTCTATTTGTAATGAGTTTGTAAGTGAAAAGGATCCAAAATAGCTAAGTTTTCTAATTACTTCGGCATTTCTCAGGTTATGTTCTCGCGTGTCTATTGACAAGTCTACTCTTTTATGAAATTTCTGACAGAAGTTTCATTTGTCATATCACTTCTATCTTAGAGAAAACTTCTAGCAAATATTTTAAAAGTGTCATTCGATCAGATAATAATAGTTGCATTTCAATTAATTAAGTAAGTAAGATTTAGCCTAGATTTTCATGTAGCATTTTGTACCGAATCTTGAGACTACTTATACCAATGAAGCATTTAATTATGCGGTTGTTTTAGACTACTCCGATTATTCGTGACATTTGAACATAATATTTATCTCTAATTGAATAATATTTCATACTTATCATTATTAAAAACAATCATTTCTTATTCTAGAATTCGATATAGTATTTAAATTGAATTGTGAAACTTCTATAGGAAATTGTGATAATTGTTTAGCTAGATACCTGTTCTAACTTCAAGTTAATCAAATTCAGCCAATTAAAAATTGAATTTAGGTGACTAATACTATTCTAGTGATTCCAGTGATTCTAGTAAATATTTCAAAACAACCTAATTGCATATAACGTTGACCTCTTAAATGAATTCGCTGAAATCATTTTTTGCCTAGATATACGAAACTAGTCATCCCTTCAATCCTTTGATTTGATGGAGTTTTCTATTAACTTTTGGTTTAAAAGTTCATTAATTAGTTGAAATTAAAAGATTCTTGGTCAGCTGGATGAATAAAATTTTTGGTATGAACAAAATTTGGAATCGTTTCTCTTCAAAATTCATGAATAAGGATCAGTCTCTTGCTGTTACATAATCTCCTAGCCGTATGATGGCTTTATCCAAATATTGACTTTCAGTAACTAACACTGACTTGTTCAGTTCATTAAAGAGTATATAATAACACACAATAAACCTAATTATATCATGCTCAAATTTTACCTCAGACTTAAGTATGAACTGGTTGTGGTCGTTGCATGCTTGATGTGTTGATGGTTAATTGTATGATCTGGATTTGGATCTGTTGATAATGATAAAATTTTATTCAGCTTTATTGTTCGAATTCTCGAAGACTTCGATGTCACAAAAACAATTTCCACGGAACACAAGCTTAAGAAGTTTCATGCTACTAGTGGTCAAATATACCAACAATTATTCACATAGCCTTAGAGTATATCAAAGCGCTCTATAATAATTTAGAGCTTGAATTACAGTAGATATTTAGTTCAAGTTTTAATCTATCTCACTTCAAGATTTTGGATTCAATGAAAATCTGGGGTTCGAAATAATGTTGCTAACATCGAATTAAATGTATCAATTCGCATATTTTACAAATAAAATACAAAATGTTCTCGCGAGCCACCTCGAAGATCAGATCTACACTTTCTGCTCCTTTGATAAGATGCTTGATAAGGCTAGGTGCTTATTCAAAGCAAAACCTCTGCTAATTTTGTTTGAAAGACTTTTTGTGGAACAAATTTTTATACGCGTAAGAATAAATGAAAGAACATTTGTAAGTTCATTCACTACACTTCTAATATGACTATTCCGATAGATTACAATCATGGAACAATATATTTGAAAAAATACAAAATTTAAAAGGAGTTTAGAAGAAACTATAGGTTTTATCTCGAACCCTTTTCATAAGCCTTTCAGTAATGACAGAATATTCAATCTGAAACAAGATTTGACAGTACCAAGAAAAAAAGAAAAATTAAGTTCATCATGTTTTACGAGATTTGAAAATCGAAGTAGAACTCAAATAAAGGTTTAGTTGTGTCAATTTAAATGTATATAATAGATGAATTTGTGGTATTATTTTTAAAGGCATATCTTTTAGCAAAATTTTTGACTAAAATAATTCTAATTGTGGGGAAGAATAACTTGCATCTTAGTGTTATCTTGCAAAATAACTCAGTATTTACTTTTGACCCATGATAAAATTCGTAAACTTAGTAATACATTAATTAAAAAGCGAATCAAACCCAACAAATTCAGTTGAAATAGGAAGTATGTAACTTACTAACATAATGTTAAAGTTTGCAGGTTATTCCTCTTTTACTCACCAGATTATTTATTCTTTTATTTCTCACTTGGTTATGGCTAACATTTAATTTTAACTCATTATGCATTAATCTCGAATAAAATTTAAATCTTTTATTATTCCGTCCCCACCTCTTGATTAGAAATGGCTCTATTCATCACTCTAAAACAGAGATACAGATATTTCTTCTGTAGCTTATTTAATTGTTACATTTTTCTGATTTTGCTTTAATTTTTATCCGTTTACCAATCAAACTTGAGTTGCTATATAACATTAAAAAGTGGGGAGATTAGGAATTCTTGTAACTCGGTTTTGTTACTAATTTTCGGGTTTATTATTTTGAAACTTTTGAAAAAGATGAACTGAAGTATGTAAATTCATTTAAGTTGATGTATGATTAGAAATATAAATAATCTGTTTTTATTTATATAAAAGCTTTCTAGATTCCTAATATTATGATTTATATGATGTTAAGGATTATTTCAAGTAATAAAATTATTGTTTCCTATTGTGATTTCACTTAATAATTATCAATGCCGGAATCAATACATACAATGAGTTCCAAAGCTGCAAAAGAGCACAATAAACATATCATCCAACCACCATCATTTACTACAAAAGCCATCAAAAATTATTTCAAAACTAGAATAACTTCATTGTGGGTGGGCAAAAAAGAATGGTCAAAATATACTTGGTATGAAATATTAAATCCTTTCCCTCCTTTACTCGAGATGAACTTACATCAATGGAATTTTTTTTTTATGGGAGCTGGTTATTGGACTTTAGATGCTCTTGATTTTTTTATAACTACATTGAATGTCACTGATATAAGTGAGAGTTTAGGTAAATCAAAAAAAGATATTACGTGGGGTATTACTCTTGTTCTTATGTTCAGAACCCTTGGTGCAATTATCTTTGGTTTGATTGGAGACAGATATGGTAGGAAGTGGCCCTTCATTGTTAATTTGGTTTTATTATGTGCAATTCAGATTGGAACAGGATTTGTTAAGACCTATAGTCAATTTTTAGCTGTAAGAGCAATATTTGGAATTTGCATGGGAGGAGTTTTTGGTGTGCTGTTAGCAGAAGCTATATCTGATGCTCCTGCTAGTGCTCGTGGTATTTTACTGGGAGCTTTCCAAAGTTGTTACAGTTTGGGATTTTTGATATCAACTGTCTTCCAGAGAGCATTTGAAAAGACTAAACACACTTGGCAAAATATGTTTTTTTTTTCGGCAGGATTATCATTTATTTTCATAGTTTGGAGATTATTTAATCCAGAAACAGATAGTTATCAACGTCAAAAAGAGAGATTCCTGAAGAATGCAAATGCTAAAAACTCTAAATGGGCTGAATTTAAATCATCTGCTGGAAAAGCTTTAAAGTCCTACTGGTTAATTATCATATATCTAGTTATAATGATGCTGGGATTTAATTTCTCAAGTCATGGAAGTCAAGACCTTTACCCCACAATGTTGAGCGCTCAATATGGTTATGGCCCGAATAGAATTACCGTTGTCAACGTTTGTGCAAATTTGGGAGCAATAGCTGGTGGTATTGCTGTTTCTCATCTATCTAATTTTATTGGTAGAAGAACAGCTATTATGTGTGGAAATATTTTGGCAGGAGCTTTTATTTATCCTTGGGCTTTCAAACCTATGTGGATAACTGCTTTCATGATGCAATTTGGTATACAAGGAGCTTGGGGAGTTGTTCCCATTCATTTATCAGAATTATCGCCTCCTCAATTCAAAGCTTTTGTAACTGGTGTAGCATACCAATTAGGAAATTTAGTAAGTTCAGCTAGTTCAACCATTGAAGCAACAATTGAAGAAAGTTTACATGATTATGGTAGAACAATGGCAATTTTTGTTGGTGCTGTTGTTGCTTTCTTATTTTGCACTGTTTTATTAGGACCTGAAAATAGACATGCAAGTTTATCTGTTGAAAGAGATGATGAATATAGTATATTTGAAGTTGATGATGATGAAGAGGACGAAGAGAACGAATCTAAGTTAGATGATAAAATTGATGACATAACTTTCGAAAAACCTGAAGTTGAACATAAAGCCTGATATGAATTAGAATATATATAGAGGCTAATACGAATAAATATTAAATGTGGTAATTTCTTTTTGCAGCCATTTCTATTTTTATTTCATCTTCTTTGTGGTAGTTAATAAAACGTAACACAAAATCTAATCTTTTTATTTTTTTTCTTATTTTCTGGAGTGTGTTTAATTTTCCGAATCCAAAATCTCGATCTAAAATGATTGCATAACATTAACTCAGTTTTATTGATAAATTATCCATATCTCAAAGCAACACATAACAATCATTCTTCATGTTTATCTACAATAATAGTAAATTTTATCAATCATGAGTATATGGTCGGTGATTGAGACCATTCTGACGGTTATAATCACCTTTTTCACCATCTTGTATTTCATATGTTCATTTGAAGAGTATCTAGAACGAAAAGAAAGATTATCACAAAAACCACCACCATCATATACACCACGTATTGATCCAAAACAAAATAACGTCATAACTCATGATGGAAGAATTTATGGTAGTTCAACCAATTATTTAGTGGCTGGGTCAGGTAATAACACTTATTTTTTACTGGGACAAACTTCTTTCAATCATAGACTGAATGGTGGATCAAATGAGATTAATTCAAGTCCAATTGATGAGGATAATTTAACGAAAAGATCAAAGATTAAAAGAAAAATTTATTCGAAATGGAATAGATTGTTTCGTAGGGAAAAATACGAAGTTTTAGGTGCTGCAAACATTGAAGAAATTCACAATAGCAACTTAGATTTGGGATCAAACTTTGGTTTACCGCCTCCTTATAGTGTTTACAATGTTAAAGATGAAATTGTCGCAGGTTCCTCAAGTTAAGTCTATCCTGATTTATGATGAAAATAATTTAGGAAAAGATTGATATTACAGTTCCAACGTGTTTATTACGATCAATGCAAATTAAGATAAAAGGTAGTAAGTTTTCAAGAATTTCACATTTAGACCACCTATTAGAATCGAAATACAATCTTATTTGTTCTTTCATTAATTAAGTTAACTTTTTTCATAATGCTAAGAATTATAAACTATTACCAACAAACTTGTTTAATTTTTTCGAAACTACAACCTCATATGTATCACAATCATCTAGTTTGTTGTGACCCCAAGCTAATAATTTGGCCCCAAGCTAATAATTTGAAAAGTAATAGGGTGAATATCTTATAATAGTTTTTTCAATTATGAACTTGAAAGTTATAAATATTTATAACCTGACTCTACTTGAGAGAGGTTTTGCCAACATGAATTAGACATAGAAAAATAAATTTGAGATTTGTTTATGAAGTTTTTTTTCAAGGGATCAAGTATATTAGTTGAGCAAATTAAAACTTAAGGCATACTTATAAATTTCATTGAATTGTGAGAGTGTGTATTTTGTGTATTTGTTGAAAAAAATATACAGTATAAAAAACCGAAATAAACCGTCCTTCCTAATCAAACAAATTTTGATCACGATACAGAACTATTTTAAACGAAACAGACTTAAAACACAAAAAAAAGTTGAGTTACTGAAATACATAAGAAAAAGTTAATATGAAATTTAATTTTGAAAAGTAATTAATTCGATAAGTTAAACTTATAAGACTAATCCAATAGCAGCAAATGCAACAGCTAATGAGCCTGCTTTGTAATTAGCTGCTACACCTTCATAAGAAGTGACACTTGGTGGGGCAGCTGGTGTTTCTACTGCTGGAGGAGCTTCAGGAGCTGGTGGAGCTGGAGGAGCTGGAGGAGCTGGAGGTGCTGGAGGAGCTGGAGGAGCTGGAGGTGCTGGAGGTGCTTCAGGAGCTGGTGGTGCTGGAGGAGCTGGAGGAGCTTCAGGAGCTGGTGGAGCTTCAGGTGCTGGTGGTGCTGGAGGAGCTGGTGGTGCTTCAGGAGCTGGTGGTGCTTCAGGTGCTGGTGGAGCAGGAGCTGGAGGAGCTGGAGGAGCTGGTGATTCAGTTGGGATTGGTTCTGGAGCAACCGGTTCAGTTGGTTTAGGTGGGGCTGGAATTGGGGATTCTACTGATTTGGAAGTAGGAGATGGACTTGGAGCTGGCGACTTGGAAGTTTTTGGTGATGGAATAGGGGTTGGTACTGTTGTAGTCTCTTTTTGAACATGTGGTACAGTAACCCAACCTGTTTTTGTTATAGTTACTTCGGATTTCAAACATGATGTATCACAAACAGTTAATGTTAACGTTGTTGGTTCTGGACACCAGGTGGAATACACGGTTACAGTTTTATTTGACTCACTAGTTTTTGATGAGGATAAGGTTGTTTCAGGAGTTGTTTCAGGAGTTGTTTCAGGAGTTGTTTCAGGAGTTGTTTCAGGAGTTGTTTCAGGAGTTGTTTCAGGAGTTGTTTCAGGAGTTGTTTCAGGGGTTGGTTTAGGAGTTGGTTTAGGAGTTGGTTTATGAGTTGGTTTATGAGTTGGTTTATGAGTTGGTTTATGAGTTGGTTTAGGAGATGATTTCAGTTCTGAAGATTTAGATCTTTTTCCCGGTTGTTCTCCTACTATTTTAGCCTTAATTGTTATTGGTACAGCACCTTTACCACCTTTTTTGACAACTGCGTGAACATTCTTTGAATGTCCATAAGGATCATCAACATTCAATGCCGCAAAAAGTTTATTTGACCCAGGGAAAGTAACATCACCATCGTCATCAATTTCAACAGATAATGGTTCTTGAGCAACAGTTAAAGCTAAGAATTTACCCTCGAAAGCTAAAACTTGTGGTGCAGGTGGTTGAGTGTTTAATTCAATAAATACAGTTTTTGATTCATCATTATATTGTAAAGTTTGAGCAGCACCTAAAAAGAAATAATTTATACCTGCACCTTCATGAGTTGAATATAAACCAGAACCATTTATATCATCATCATCTGAAACAGCAAACAATTGAACTTGTTTGATAGCAGCTAATGCTGAGGTAGATAATGATAAAATTATTGCAGCTGAAAAAAATCTCATTATATTGAATTGTAAGCGAGTGACTTGGTTATTGATTTAATGAACTTGCAAAATGGAAGTTAAAATTTAAGAAAGTAAGCACCTATTTATGTACTTTGATTTACAAATTTTGCAAAACATTTTAAGGTAACTACTAAACTTGTTTCAATCTTTAAAAGAAGAGTCACACAAATTTAAAACCTAGAAAGTAATATTAAAACAAACTTCGAAAATGAAAAGTCTAAGTTTGATGTGCATATACATATCATTGAACTTGATTTCCTTCAAGCGTGTAATTTGATTTATCTCTTCGATTATACAGACATTTGTCTGCATAAGTATCAAGAATTTCTACTTTACTTTCCCAATTGATTTTAAATAATCTTGCAAGGCAAGTTTCATGAAGCAAAAAAAGTAATAATATGCAGGCCAGTTTAGGAAATATTCAATTGCAAAATAATAATTTCTTATTTTGACCATTACAACATTTTCATTCTCAAGATAAAAAGACGTCTTTGATTGAGCTATGTTAAAGTCTCATACTAAGACGCAGTTCTTAAACCACAATGTTATCCCAATGTCTTGGTCAACTCTTCTTGACACTTACGAGCTTTTCAAATCAATGCAAGTTGCAAAAAAATGCTTCTCAGAATTTATTACTGCTGCTTTCACTAAAGACTCATGTCATTTATGCTTTTAGATACATCAGATCTGAGTCAATGCAATTTATTGAACAGATTCTATGATTGTTCTTTCACAATTCATAAATTAGATAGTTGTACCCGTATCGGAGGCCGTAGAAAGAATCTATCAGATTCAAAATATATGTAAACTTAAAACGGGACTAACCGAGCACGCATTCAACAGTACTTCATAATAATCTTTTGAATTGGAGGAAGTGTAAGGAAGTTTTATAATGTTTAATTCAACACTTATTTTAACATCTGCATGAGATGGTTAATTCGTCGTGGGTGCAAGTCTCTGTGACTTTGCCTTTTGAAGCTGGTAGAGTTAGCTGCTACATTAATTTTCACCACCAAGTTGGGGATTGTTGGTCGATTTAAAAAAGATCCTTGGTGTTTCTGCTAAATCTAAACGTTCAAAGAAAACAAAAATCAAATATCAATACTTGTTTAATAAACTATGTAATGTACTTTTAATATAATGTTCTCTAATATCAGTCCAGTTGCTAATAGTCTCAAATTAATTTTGTCCTTTCAATTTCATAAGTAGCAACTACTGGTCTATGATCCGAAAAATGGAAACCTTTATAATAATTACTTAAAATACCAAATTGTTTCAACTCAATACTATAATATTGATGATGGTTTAAATTATAATAATTAATGTCACTTTCTTGATTTAATAGTGAATTTGGATAATGTGGTTTCGTGAAATAAGGAGACCAAATGTAATCAATTATCGAAACAGGTTCCTTCTTCACATCAAATCCAGTAAAAGTTGATTCGTGACCATAAGAATATCTTGGATTAATCAAAATTCTACTATCTTTGAATCCAGCTGCAGTTAAAATAGCATATGGTTCATCCTTTGGCTCAGTGTTAAAGTCACCACACAAAAAGGAAGGATAATTATTATAATTTTCCATTTTATCAACTATTAACTTTGAACTTTCTCTTCTGGCTGCTATACCACGATGATCATAATGTGTATTGAAAACATTGAATTTTATCAACGGGTTGAGCTTACTCTGGAAAGAAACCATTGTTACTATCCTCTCTAATGCTGCGTCCCAACCTTTGCTTGGAAATGAAGGTGTTGGACTTAACCAAAATGTAGTGTTTTCTAGTACAAAAAAGTCTTTGGTTTTGAATAATATGGGAGCGAATTCACCAGCTTTTACACCGTCAGTTCTACCAACACCATAATACGACCATTCATCGTTATCATTTGCATTTAATCCATTTAATATATCATTTAATTGGTTATATAAAACCTCTTGTAAACATATAACATTAGCGTGACCAATTGCTGTATTAAATTCCATTGAATTTATACTTTGAATACCACGTTTTGACCATGGTTTTTCATGTGGATCTGGATATTTAAAATTATCAAATCTAATGTTGTTTGTATATAATCTCAATGTCAATGATGGTCCTAATAATGAATTCGTCGAAGTCATTGGGATTTGACTATTGTAAAATTTATATATTATCAAAATTAATAATATGGATGGTATAAGGAAATATTTGAATCTTTTAGTAGTAGTACTTATAATGTTTGGTTGTTTTTTGACAACAACGCTTTTCCAAGGCTGTAATGCACTTGTCTCATCCATGATTTGTAGATTATTGGTCTTTACTTTTAAGTTTTATAGTTTGTCGTAATTTGAGATTTCTTTTAATTTTGTTTGCGTTCTTCAAAATATTTTATAAAATCTGGGGTTTCTTTTTGTGTAAATTAAGGGTTAAGGGTTAAGGGGTAATTATAATAATAATTTCTAGGGCGTAATTCATTATATCTATACAAAATCTAATTTACTCTTTTTCGAATGGTTTGATCATCTTTTGAAATCTTTTCATTTTGGACTTCTTCAAGAATTTCAATCTTGTTACTCTTGACTCCATTATTTAAAATCATTATTTTATCACCATCTTCAAATTCTTTTCTTACTTCATTGGTGGTTGTACTCCAAGAGGCTAATAAGAAAAGAACAACACTTCCAATTCCAAAACCTACAGTGAAAAGCATCAAAAGTAATGTTCCATACACAACAACCTGCAAAGGTTGGTTTAAAATTAAATTGACCGGATTCAACATAAACTCGAAATAAAAGTCTTTGAAGTCCAAATATTGTTTCCAAGCAAACAACCTTAAAAATATCAAAAATTGTGAGAAAGTGGTCATTTCTTCGTCATTTAAAATGTCTTCAAAGTTTCTAGGTGGTGGTTTTGGTTCATTCTTTATTTTGGGTTTATTTTGCTTTTTATTTTGATATTCCAATTCTAGTTTTGTTTTAAATGTTGAATTACCAATTAATTCTGCTTCATCAATTGAATTACCTAAGTATATATTATCAAAAAGCACCTCTCCGTCCATATTCCATAAATCAAATCCAATACCACCTATAGATTTATCTAATTGACTTGGATTAGACAATTCGTAATAGTTGGGATTTGGAATTGTTCTAGGTTTCCATTTGCCTTGAAAATTTGGATTTTTGATATCTGGGGGAAACCAAGGTCCTTTATAATTCTCATTTACGATTAATGGTGCTTTCCAAGGGCCACAACCGGATTCACATTGAGGATTTACTATTAATGGCGGCTTCCAATCATCAGATGCATCTTTTGGTTTGATAGCTTTTGGATCTGGAATATATCTTGGAGCGGATTCATCCCAATCGTCAGGTTTTTTTTGTGTTGGATCTGGTATTTGTGGTGATTGATGTAATTTTTCATAATCAGGTGGTGGTCTTACATTTGAGTCAGGAATATATTCACGATCGTCCCAATCCCTTGGTTTTGAATCATTTTCATCAATTATTTCTTTTGGAGGATTTATAGATGGTGAAAACAATGTATCATCTTGGATAAAATTTCCAGCCACTGCAACTTCTCCATTAATTCTTACCTCAAAATCCTGATTAGGTTTTAAAATCAATGTATATAGATTACTTAGGTCATTGTACCTTGCCATTGGAGGATTTTGTAGGATTTTTTCTTCTATAATCCCTGTTGGTAAGAGCTTTCGTATTATGAATTGTACCTTATTTTCGCTACCACATTTATCTGGACCAAACATAATTTGATAAGGTGTTTCCGAGTTGAAAAAATGGTAATTATTTGAATTATCTAATAGTTTAATATAAGCTCCTCCACAATCTAATCCGTTTTGTAATTTTACTTCATACTGAATTATTAAATCTTTATTTTCATTGCTTATCGTGTGTGGTAATTTATAAGAAATTGCATAATGTGCAGCTTTTGATTTCAAAACCAATCCTTGATCTTGTTCAAACCCAGGGTGTTTGAAAGGCGCTTCAATTGCCCATTTCCCAGTATATTCTATTATTTCATCTCTGCCCTCATCATATTTTTTAGATCTTGAAACTTTCCATGGTGAGTTTGATAATGATGTGTAATCAAATTGTTCAAAGATTGATGATGGATTTAATTTTGATTTGTCAAACGGTTCAAATTTTATACATTGAACTGAAGCTAGTAGTATTATCAAACTGAACAATATCATTAGCTTTGAAAAATCGTAGAAGATATTAATATTTTAGTTAATCACTTGAAAATATCTTTCAGTGAGTTGTCGTAAAATTTGTAATGTCAAGACATGTTAAACTTATCAGATAATAATTTTAGGTTTTCATAATATTACTCTGAATATTATATTTCAAATTACTATAAATAACTCCATTTGTTTACCACGATGAGTATATGACAATGGGTAAAATTACCAGAGTAAGAACAGGTTGCTGGACCTGTAAAAAGAGGTATGTTGAGAAATTCAAGTCTCAATAGTTCAGTCAACTAACAACATTAGACATCGGAAATGTGATGAAACTAAACCTGCTTGTAACAATTGTAAAAGTACAGGAAGGGAATGTGAAGGTTATGATATAAGATTATCATTTGATTTTTTCCATGAAGGTCAACTGAGTAGGAAAAGAAGAAAATTGGATGCTAAAAAGCAACAAATAGAACCACAAACACCTGCGGTATCTTCTCCAAATTCAATTCAATCTTTGTTAAACGATCAAGATGCTGATATAAATAATAAGACGCCTAGTCCGGCAACTGCGAGTACCAATTTGAATCAGTTTAGCAGTGCATTATTTGAAGATTTACAGTCATTACTATCATCATCAGCATCATTTAATAAGTCAAATTTACCTACAAATATGGAGGAATTAACACCAACTAATCCTGCAGAATTATTCAATTTCGATTTTCAAATAATTGACTTTATTGATAAATCGCAAATATTTGATGAGAATCATAAATTTTTATTAAACAATATGGATCCGAAACATAATGATATGATTACAGCTTCAGATACTTCAACGTTATTCGAAATGAGTCATCAAGAAGAAAATATGATGTTGAAACATTTCTTTAATAAATTATTACCATTACTTGATGGACATCCAAAGTCTCCATGGCCAGATTTAGCTTTAAAATATTGCGATTTCAATATTGCAAGGAGTTGTTTTATTTCATTAGCCTGTATTCATATGTATGAAAGCCGTGCTGGAGGGAATGAATTATATCAAAAGGGGGTAGCTCATATCAATAACACAATGAATCATTTAATTCGATATATTAGAGAAAATTCAGGTAAAATAAATAATGAAAATGATGAAAATGCACTGAAAAAATATATAAGTTATTTTGTAATTTTGGTGCTTATGAATGTTCATATATTATTTGCAGTTCTTGAAAAAGGTAAAAGTTCAATAGCAAGAGAATTTTTCAAAATATTTGCAGGTATTTGTAAGGATCAAAAATTTTATGATGATATATTAATGACAAGTGATAAAAGAAGATCCTTAGCTGTGGTATTGAGTTGGTATGATACTGTTAGTGCTGTAGTCTCCCCGGATTGTCGATTGCCATATTGTCTACCTCATTGGTATGGAACAGCTAATGATACTATCTCATCTTCTAAAATGATGGGTTGTCCTGGAGAAGTATTTGCGGCCATGTCAGAAGTTTGTATATTGCGGAATAAAAAGTACAATAATCAATTGACAGCTGAAGATGCAACTATGTCGTATGACAGAGTAAAATATACATTAATGAATTATCGTGATTATGTTTCAGCTTATGATCAAGATAGTAAAGAGATTTACATAAATAGGATGAAATGTGGATTATGCTGGTCACTAGCAGTATGGGTAACTTTGAACAGGGTAGTTGAGCCTGTTAATTTCATTGAACTGAATCAAAAGTTACTGGATGAGTTTATTGCAACGTATAATGAGTTAGACCCAAAATCCCCTATAGTAACTCAAATGGTATGGCCATTGTATGCAATTGGTTGTGAATGTAAATCTGAAACTGAAAAAACTAACTTGATAAGGTTTATGGATAATCTTTACGAAAATACTAAAATGGGTACAACTGTTTCGATGAAAGAGATAGTACTTAAAGTTTGGGAGTTAAATATATCACAAGAAGAATATCTCACTGAATGGCTAGGTCCAAAAGGAATTGACTATTTACCATTATAAGATGTGACTTGTACTGTTCTACATAACCATCATGCTTCGGTATATACTTAAATTAATGCTATCCTGTATATAACTCATACTATCGCTGTTTAGTTAGCTCTTCACGTTTTTAATTTTTTCAACAAAACAAAAATTTTTTCTCTTCTTTTTCAATTCATTTCATTTAAATCAAGTCAATTTCCATATAAATATAGTTCAAAAATGTCATTCTCAGACTTCTCAAAAGTTGAATCAATCAAATCTTTAAACGATTTTTTGGCCGATAAATCATACATTGATGGGTATGTCCTTAATTAGAAATCAATTGCTTCGAAAATTAAAAGAAAGAGATCAAGTGTAATTATTCAAAATGGGGTGAATCAAATTTTCATCTCAACTATATAATTCAATTGCATTGGTGTTTTATAATGATGAACTTAATCTTTGGTCCGTGTTTATGAGGTGGCCTCAAGACCCACCGTATGAGTGACAAAGAAGATTTAAATCTATTATCTGATAAATAAAAAATAACCAATATCAATGTCTCTACAAGAAAAAAAGAGATACAATCTAAGCAATTGTCGAGTTATCGAACGTCATCATACTAACAAAATTTCCTAGTTCAAAACCAACTCAAGCTGATGTAACCACTTATAAAGCTTTCCAAAAAGAATATCCAAACTTCACAAGATGGTTCAATCACATTGCTTCATTCACTGAAGAATTCCATGACTTACCAGCTGGTAATGCTCCAGCTGCTTCAAAATCAGCTTCTGCCCCAGCCGCTTCTGCTGCTGCTGAAGAAGATGAAGATGATGTTGATTTATTCGGATCAGATGATGATGATGTTGATGAAGAAGCTGAAAAATTAAAACAACAAAGATTAGCTGAATATGCTGCTAAAAAAGCTGCTAAAGGTCCAAAACCAGCTGCTAAATCTATTGTTACTTTAGACGTTAAACCATGGGATGATGAAACTGATTTAGAAGAATTATTAGCCAACTTAAAAGCTGTTGAAATGGAAGGTTTAACTTGGGGTGCTCATCAATGGATTCCAGTTGGTTATGGTATTAAAAAATTACAAATTAACTTAGTTGTTGAAGATGCTTTAGTTTCATTAGATGAATTACAAGCTGCTATTGAAGAAGATGAAGATCATGTTCAATCTACTGATATTGCTGCTATGCAAAAATTATAAGTTTTATTGATTGGATCTATTCTTTTTACATACTTTAATATATTAACGACTTGGTGATTTTGTATTAATTATTTAAATTTTTACTTAAATCTATTTAAATTTCCAATAAAATCCCTCGAAATTCGCATAACATCTGAATTCATTACTAAGACCGTTTTTATGTTCTGGTAAAAAATCTGTCATCTTTGTGTCAGGATAATTCTTTAAAACAACTTCATGCATTCTTTCACCAGTTGATGATATTAATTTATATTTTAAATCTCCTGATTTAGTTTTTGAAGTTTTGTCTTTAACTAATAAATTTTTAGCTGATTCTGCACTTTTTGTTTGACATTCTTCTTCAAGAAAAGGAGGATCTATTAGTAATCTATGACATTTATTTCTTAAATGAGATGGGATATCATTTGGTTTATTATAATCATAAACACTAAAATGTTCATTACCTGCTAAAACTTTAAATCTTGGATCATACTCTAATAAGTATATATGTTTTGTCGGTACTTCATCTTGGGGTAATTGTTTTATTGCAGCATATACAGAAGGAGCAGATGCTATAACCACAACAGTATCTTCATCAGCACCTTCTAATAATGCTTTCCCTAGTATCATTGCAGTTTCATCTGAGTACCAAAATTGAGATAATTGCCAATCTTCTTTAAAATCATCAATAGTTATATTCTTTGGTGCTTGTTGTTGATCAAATTTATCTTCTGATTCTTGATATAATTGTTCAAATTTTTCTAATCTTGTTTTCTCTTCAGTTTTAAACTCTTGTAATGCCGCTAAAGCATGAGCTGATAAAGTTATTGGTTCATCATCATCAAACTCGCTCATTTTTCAAATATAAGTATTTGGTTGTAAAGTTGGTTGCAAAATGAATGAGTGATACAAAATAAAAAAATTTATCTTTTAGTTTGTTTTTGTTTACATATAACTTTCGTACAAACAAGTCATTTCATGATCACACTCAATACATCAATTCAATTCATCACACAACTAATAGACTAGTGAAATAACTTATCTTCTGTTGACTTATCAATGTCGCAGTTTCCTTATACTCCTTTTGAAATTGCTGCTTTTGTAGCTGAAAAACTATCATTTTCTGGTTTCAAAGGACTACTATTAACAGAATTATGGAGTTTTATACAAGAAAAATTCAATCAAGAATTAGAATTAGATGATTTTCAAAAACAAATTATATGGAATTGGTTGTTTTTTGAATTAAGAGATGGTAAAAATAATGATGAAGATATTAAATTTTATATAACATATGATAAAGATCCTGTAACTATTGAATCAAGTTTTGAATCATTTTTAAATAAACAAGAAAATCCTGAAAATTTAAGAGTTTTACCAACTGATGAAACTCAAGTATCATTTTTAACTGGTGTATCAAATAATAAAAAATATATATCAACTTTAGGAGCATTTCCTTATCAATTATTACAAGAAATTGCAAGACATGGATCAAAAGGAACTTGGGCATCTGATTTAACTTATGCAACAGGTCAAGATAATAGATCAATGACTGGTCGTTTGAATAAATTAGAAGAAGCTGGACTTATAACTAAAGAATCTAAATTTTATACCGAAAAAAATCATCATAGTACATGGGTAGTACATTATAAATTTGCAGGATCAACTGGTTTAAATAATGAAATTGAAGATAATTCAAGTAGATCTCCAACAAAATTAAAAGAATTTATAATGAATAAATTAAAAGAAGCAGAAAATAATATTAGAATATTTAGAGATTTAAAAGTTGAAATGAATATGCATAAAACTCATCATTGTTCAAAATTATTTGGAGCAGTTACTGAAAAATTAGTTGATCGTGGATATATTGAAAGAATAAATGTTGCTGATCAAGATCAACCAGGTAGACATCTATATGCTTTAAGAATGTTAAAAGAATTACCTACTCAAAATCAAGATGATATTACTGAAACTTTAGAAGTATTGAAACAAAGTGAAGAAATAAATAATGAATTTGATGAAGAACAAGAGGATGAAGAAAATTCTACTGTTGTTACATTTACTGATTTATTTCCAATACAAACTCAAATGTTTTATACAATAAAATCTTCTGGTAAATATGGTATAACTGCTAAGAATGCACTTACTCAACTATTAGGTGGAAATAAACATAAAATTTGTTCAAGACTTTTGGAATTAGATGTTGGATATCTTTTAAAAGATGGTAAATTAGAACCATTGGTTGATTATCCTGAAGAAGATATGAGAACTGCACTTGTTAAACAAAGTGAATCTGAAGGTAAAGTTAAATTTTATAGATATTATGCTAAAGAAAATAATAATGGTCCGTTGATGAAAACACATAAGAAGACAAGAACTGAGAAAGTTGAATTGAGAGGAACACTACAGGAATTGGAAAAGAAACATTTTCAAAAACTTGAATCAACGGTCCCTGGTGCATTATTACCAATACCTGAATTCATTAAACCAAATACTGATTCGAAACCCCAAGTTGAAACTAAAGTTAACAAGAGTACTGATTCAAAACCCAAGAAGGAAACAAAAGTTAAAAAAAGTAAAAAGAATGCATCTGCTGAGACTATAGAAGATTCAGAAATTTCAAATGAAACCAAGAAGGAAACAAGAGGCAGAAAAAGAAAAAATGCATCTGTTGAAACGACTGAAGATCCAGAAATTTCTAATGAAACCAAGAAGGAAACAAGAGGCAGAAAAAGAAAAGAAAAGGCATCTGTTGACACGACGGAAAATCCAGAAGTTTCAAATAAACCCACTAAACGGAAAAAAACCAAAAGACCAGTGGATGTTGATGATAAAGTTGAAAAAGTAGAAGAGCAACCAAGAAAAAGACCAAAACGTACAACAAAAAAATCAAAAGTAATTACGGTTGAAGATGAAGATTTAGATTTGGACAAGAATGATGAGGATTTAGATTTAGATAAAAATGATGAAGAGTTTAAATTAGATGAAAATGAAAAAGTTAGCTCCAAAGAAGTTCCAAAAAATTCATCACCAGAAAATGTGGAAAATGGAGAAACCATAGATGATATTGAAAGTACAACTGAGCCAACCTCAGATCTTGTGAAACCAGAACCACCATTACCATTAGATACATCAACAACCATCGAACCAGAACTTAATACCGAAAATGCTGAATCCACTGATATAAAAAGTAACAATATGCAAGATTCAACCAATTCATATACTCCAAAACTTAAAAATACAATTAATACTAAACCAAGATCATTTAAACAAGAAAATTCAAAATTAAAAACTTCAGATATTACAAGTGATTTTAGAAGAGAAAAATTTATTGAATTAATTAAAGAATTAGGTGGGATAACATTTACAAGTGCAAAATTATCAAGAGAATTATCAAAAAAATTAAATCCACCAATTGAACCAGATCAAAAAACTATATCAAGAGATTTAAAAAAATTAAAAGATGAAGGTAAATTAGAAATTCAAGCGTTTACAACATTACAATATAATAGAGAAATTAAAAGAAATTTAATTATTTTAACTATACCTGAATTTAAACCAAGTGATTCAAAAATTGAAGAATTTAAAAAAAGAAGTTTAAATGATTCCATAAGAAAAGAAAGAAAAGAATTAAAAATTCCAAAAGTTGATGAATCTTATGTTTTATTAAATTCAAAAGAAAATTTGAAAAGGAATGGAAGTAGATTAGATTCATTAGATGTTTCAAAAGTTGCAAAAGTTAATAAAAACACGAAAAAGCAAAATCCAAAAGATAATATGAATGAATTTGAAGCTTTTATATCTGGTGAACCAATTTATGAAAATTTAGAAAATTTTGAAGCTGGAATTATATCAAAAGGGAATAATAAATCAACACAACGAGCTAAGGCTAGAGAACAACAAAGATTACAAAATGCAATGCTTGATAATTATCCAACTCAATTTGAATTAGATGATGCAACATCGTTATTTAGATCAATATGTATATGTAAAACATTTGATAAAATTTCAATTGATTTTGAAGAAATTGCAAAAACTTTTAATGTTACAAATATAAAAACAATAAAAAGGTTATGGACATCAATAAGAAGACAAATTGGTGGGATGTCAGCAATAAATAAAGGCATTGAAGATTTTGAAAAAATTGTAAGCAAGGGAATAAATGAAGGTATAGTAAGATTAAAACATCTTAAAAAAATTGAATTGCCATTTTTTTTACATCTTTGGTCAAATTCAGATGCTTCAAAAATTGAAATTAAAGATAAAAAACCATTATATAATTCAATGAAAGAAAATATGAAAATTTATAAAAGAAAACAATATCATGAAAATTTTAATTCAATATTTGATCAAATTGAAAATGAATCAATGAAACAAAAAGAAGAAATATTAGTAAATACTCCTTTTTATATTAAAAAGAAAGATGCAAAAGATTTAAAACCAAATCCATTAGATGAAATAAAATCAACTATAAAATCAATTATAAGATACGCAGAACAAGAAGAATTAAATAAATATGAAAATATTTTAAGTAAATTTGATTCCAAAGATGTTGCAGAATCTTATAAACAATTATTAGAAGATGGAGAAATTATGAATTTAAATGAAGAAAATAATGATACAACAATAAATAAATTAAGAATTACAGAAAAATGTTATAATGGATTGTTATCAAATCAACTAATTAATCAGTTTTTTAAAGAATCATCACATTTTGAAGACAAGATTAATGATATTATATTACAAAAAAAGGGATTAATTATATCACCACTTATAGAAGAAGGTTCATTAGCTAAATTTATAAATCTAATTATTCATAATAAAATTTCAATTATGCATATTGATAAAAAATCTGATTATTTTGGTTATGAATCAAGATCAATGGATAAAGGTCAATTAGATTGTGATTTAATAACTTTTAAAAAGAAAGAAGAAGGAAGTGAAGCAGTAGAAGAAAATGAATCAATTAAAAATATTCCAGTACCTTTAAATCAACCATGTTCTTATTTATGGATAGATATAAATGGTTCAATTGATGTGGATTTATGGAAACAAATTTTATCAACTATTTTATATATTATAAATTTTCATCCTGGTATTACAAAACTGATAATTTATAATAAATTAAAATATTTAATTACTATTAGTGAATTTGAAATTGTATTAAATTGGTTAATTAAATCTAATGTTTTAAAAGTTGAGGGATCTGGTATTTGGATTAAGTCTAATTTTTTAAATATTTTAGGTAGTGAATAAATGAAATAAAAAGTTTATGATTCGTTTTAAATCTGCATGTTTAATCAGTGTGAGCGTGAGGGTTATTTTTAAATTGGTATTTTTATCAAAATTTGAGGGTGAAATTTTACGTTTCAGATTTATATTTTTGTACAAAAAAGTTAAAACAAAATATTATAATTCAACAAATCTTAAATCTCCATAGTAAATTTCTTGTGATAATCTCAGATAAGCTAACTCTAATTAACAACTAATGGTTTTTGTTAGTATATACGCGTAAAAAACTATTCTGAAACAACTAATTTCATACTATTTCTTGGACCAAAGGCGATCATAATTAATTATAATCGTCTATTGAAACATATTTATTATGTATAATATTATATATGTATTGTATGTTATTATGTGTTATATATTATAATTATAATTTAAGGGTAAATCATAGTATTAATATGCAGGTACTACTATAATTTAGTTTTGTATATAAAATTCTCTCTCTCTCTATTGTCTTTTTTTTTTCAATGAAATTTCCTTAATCAATAAATTGTGTATATCTTTTAATCATATAGGTTATCAATCAATTATTATCTATCAACAACAACCTACACAACAAATCACTTATCAACACGCAAGATATACACATCAATCAATCAACTTAACAATCAACTTAAATCAACTTCATAAATTCAATTAACTTTATCAATTGAAGTTCATTCTTTTTGGTGTTTCAGTTTCATAACTTATATTTAATTTCAAGTGGATTTAAATATTTATCATCAAATTAGCATCAACTTACATATAATTTTCAAATTTTTACCCATCTTTCACCTTTATATGCAAACTTAGATATTCAATTTCATTAACTAGTTAATTAAAATGAGTTCAAGATCAGATAGAGGTAGAGGTGGTAGAGGTGGTTCAAATGGATCAGGTAGAGGTGGCAGAGGTGGTTCAAATGGTGGACGTGGTGGCGGCAGTTTCAGTGGTGGTAGAGGTGGTGGTTCTGGTGGTGGTGGTAGAGGTAGAGGTGGTGATAGAGGAGGAAGAGGTGGTGGTAGAGGTGGTAGAGGAGGAGCTGGTGGTGGATCAAGTTTACAAAAAATTGGTAATATTAATGTTAAATTTGATGAAAAAGCTGCTAATTTAAATGCTTTACCAGCTATTCAATCATTTGAAAAAACTTATGCTGATAAAATTAAAAATGATCCTCATCAAATTTTATTAAGAAGAGATTATGGTTCAATTGGTATTCCTGTTGATGTTGGTACTAATTATTTAAAATATAATGTTGCTGGTTTAAAATTATATCTTTATAATGTTGATTTTACTGATAAAGAAGATGCTAATTCAAAAAAATCAAAAAATGGTAAAGAAGGTGGTAAACAAATTAAACCAAAATTAACTATTAAACAAGCAATGTTTGATTATATTTTAAATGAAGAACCTTTTAAAAGTAAAAGATCTCAAATTTATTATAGAGATTATAATATGATGTATTCAAGTTCCCCATTACCAATTGAAGATGTTGTTATTTTCCCAATTAAAGATAAAGGTTTAAATGTTAAAATTCAACATGTTAAAAGTTTAAATTTTAATGATTTAATTAAATTTACTACATTAAAAAATTATACAAAAGATTTCCAAGATGTAGCAGAATATACAAATGCTTTAATTGCAGTTATTGGTTCAAAAGCTTTAGAAAATGAAAAAGTTGTTGGTTTAGGTGCTAATAAATTCTTTTTATTTGATAAAAATACTCCAGTTGAAGATTTCCAACAAGGTTTAAATATTGCTTTAGGTACTTTTGTTTCAGTTAGATGTTCATTTGATAGTGTTAGAGTTAATATGAATCCAACTCCTGCTATATTTTATAAAGCATTTTTACCAAATGGTGATCCAATGAGTGTTGTTGAATTAGTTCAAGATTATTTACAAATTGATGGTACTCCAGGTATTAATGATTTTAAAAAAGTTCAATATTTTTTAAAAGGTGTTAAAATTTATAGAAGTTATTTAAAAAAAATTAGTGGTAAAGCTATTCAAGGTTTTAATTTTGATAAAAATTCAAATACTTTAACTTTTGAAGAAAATGGTAAAGAAACTAATGTTACTAAATATTTTGCTGAAAGATGGGGAATTAAATTAAAATATCCTACATTACCATTAGTTAAAATTGGTCCAACTGCTTTTTTACCAATGGAAATTGCTTATATTGTACCAAATCAACAATATAAAGGTGAAGTTTGGGATACAAGAACTTTAATTAGATTAACTGCTTTAAGACCTTTAGATAAAGCTAAATTAATTAGTCAAGCTAATGAAAATGTTTTTAATAAAGTTGATTATGGTAAAATTGATTCTGGTTTTACAAAAGTTCCTTCAAGAGTTTTAAGTGCTCCAGTTATTGAATATAAATCTAAAAAAGTTATTTATAAAGAAGAAAGTTATAATGGTAAAAATGAAACTAAAAAAGGTAATTGGAATTTAGAAAATGTTCAATTTGTTGAATCTCCAAAATCTAAAAATAAATATACTTTTGGTGTTTTATTATTAAAAAATAGATATGTTGAAAGAAAATTAGGTGATTTAAAAGATGCTTTTTTACAATTTTTTACTGAAATTAATAGATTAGGTATTAAAAATGATGTTGAAAAATTTAAACAATATTCAGTTGATCTTGAAGATCGTAGTGTTGCTACTGAAGAAGGTTTAGAAGCAAGTTTAAATAATATTTTAAAAAAAGCAAAAGTTCAAGATAAAGTTGATTATATGATGGTTGTTTTACCAAAAAAAGATACTACTTATTATAGAGCTGTTAAAAGATCAAGTGATTTAACTGTTGGTATTATTAATAGTTGTGTCGTTATTGATACTTTTGCTAAAAAAAGATTTGATAGATTTGATGTTGGATTATTTGCTCAAGTTGCTATGAAAGTTAATTTAAAATTAGGTGGTTCAAATCATAAATTATCAGCTCAAGATAGTGTTGGATTATTTGATGAACAAAAAGTTCCTGTTTTTATACTTGGTGCTGATGTTACTCATCCTACTGGTCAACAAAATTCAGAATCTGTTTCAGTTGCTTCAGTTGTTGGTAGTGAAGATGGTATTTTTAATAAATTTCCTGGTTCTGTTAGAATTCAACCTGGTGGTCAAGAAGTTATATCAGATATTAAAACAATGGTTATTGAAAGTTTAGAAAATTTCCATAAAAAAGTTGGTAAATTACCTTCAAAAGTTTTATTTTATCGTGATGGTGTTTCAGAAGGTCAATATTATACTGTTTTACAACAAGAATTAACTCATGTTAAAGCTGCTTTTACTGAATATGCTAATCTTAAAAATATTAAAAATTATAAACCAAAAATTACTTTTATGATTGTTGTTAAAAGACATCAAACAAGATTTATTCCATTAGAAAAAAATGCTGCTAATTCTCAGAAAAAGGAAGTTGCTGTTACATCAAATGATAATGTTATTCCAGGTACTGTTGTTGATAAAGATATTACATCAATTGCATTTTTTGATTTTTATATTCAATCTCAACAAGCATTACAAGGTACTGGTATTCCTGCTCATTATTATGTTTTACATGATGAAAATGGTTATAAATCAGATGAAATTCAAAAAATCACTTATAATTTATGTCATACTTTTGGTAGAGCTACAAAATCTGTTAAAGTTGTTCCAGCTGCTTATTATGCTGATTTATTATGTACAAGAGGTAGATGTTATGTTGGTGCAGCAATGAAACCTACTCGTGGAAATATTATGGATATTTATAAAAAGAAATTAGGTGATAATGTTGCTCAAAATATTAAAAATACTATGTTCTACATTTAAGTTTTAGCAAGTGATTAGTTGAATTCAGTTCTTGAAGAAAACGAAATAAAAAAAAAAAATGAAGATTAATATTTATGAAATTGTTTATGGTGTTGCTTAAGAAGTTGCTAATAAGTTGCTTATGAAGTTGCTGATGATGCTACTTAATTTTCCTCTCTTTTTTTATCTTTTTTACATAATTTAATCAAGTATTTTTTGAATACTTTGATTTAAAGAAAAATATATAATTATTATAAAAAATCTATACCTCCTATTAAATCTTTATAATAATGTTCTTAATAATAAGCTCCACGACCAGCGTATTCATTATTACCATTATTAATATTTTCAAAATTATCATCATTATTCAATGGATTATAAGGTTCAATTTTTGAAATCGGAATTTTACAACCAATTGGCCATTTTGAATCTTTTTCAATTGATGACCAATGAATAATATTATCAAATTGTAAAGTATTATTTTCTGATAAAAATTTTATATTTAATTTTATTAATTGATCATATAAATATGATAAATCATTTAATATTATACCTGATTTATCATTAAATGAAGATTTATTTAAATTTAATGTTGAAATTGAATTTAAATTTGATAAAATAGCATCATTTTTTCTTGAATTTAATTTATTCTTGAATTTTTGTAATGTTATTTTTTTATTTAATAATGATGATTGTGGTTCAAGATTTGTTTTACTTTGTAATGAAATTAAACTATATTGAATTAATCCTAATGCATTGCCTAATTTATTTTCTTTATAATTTTGTAAAGCTAGGAAAAATCCAGCATATGAATTTGTATATTTTTTAAAAATATTTAAATATTCATCCCAATCTGTATAATTTAAATTTATTATACCAATTTTGCTTTCTGATGAAATTTTAAAAGAAGTTTGAAAATCATTTAAAATATTTAAAATTATATTTAATTCATTCATACAATAAATTGCAACTTTTGTTAATGTTATATTATTTTCTGTTTTTATATCTTGATTTTTATTCATTAAATATCTATTTATCCATAAAAATTTTGATAATATTGACATTTGTATAGATATATCACTTATTTTTTTAACAAATGAAATTAACATTGGATTAATTTCAACACTACCTTCATTTAAGCTTGTGGAGTTTTCTGATTGTAAAATTTCAGCATATAACATTATTGATATTGAATTTTTATAAAGTTTTGTTATTGTTTTCCAATTTTCATTATAATCTTCTGGTTTTTCAGGTGGTTCAATTTCTTTATCTATTGTCTCGTTAATTAAATGTGAAGCAATTCTGTTATATATAAGTGAAATTGAAATTAATGTTAAAATTATTTCATTAAGTAAACTCCATGAAAATGATTTTGAATTTTTATTTTTGAAAATATTGGTTTTTGAATTTGCATGACTAACATTACTCCACGGTATATTTGTACTAATTATTGTATTTGATAAACCCATTGTTTGTGAATGTTTGATTAGTAATTTTAAATATTCTTCTAAACTTAAAACATATCTTATAGATTCATTGTATGATGATAATTGAGGTACCAATAAGGACGCTCTTTGAGTTATAATTTCACTAGATAAATTTGTTGGATTGGTCAATTGAGTCGGTAATGGTGGTGTGTTTGGTAAAACAATCATTTCGAGTTGAAATTGAAGTCACTTGCTGAAATATTTCTGATTGTAACGTTGATGTAAACATTGTCTCAGATTTTGGTTCTATAAAATAATTCAGACATTGTCCAAAATTTATTTAGTCGCAAATCATTTTTATCAGACATAATAAATAAAGCCGCTCTACTTCAATTCTGGTGACACGCTAATGAAATATTTAAAATCATTTGGACTAGTTAATAATCAAAATTCCCAATAACATTATAAAGTAACCATGCTGGATGTTGATCCCAGGGCGAGTCAGAACTATAAAGATGATAAATTTGGAATAGTCATTGACTCAGGATCATCAGGTTCACGAATACAAATTTATAAATGGAAGGATCCAAAGACTCTATCAAAATCTTCAGATCCAGAAATACTTCAATCACCACCAAAAATTACTCAAGAAAAACATTGGACCAAAAAAATAAGTCCTGGTATATCAACTTATAATTCAAATAAAAAAATTAAACAAATATGGTCAAATCATTATTCAGAATTAATGAGATTTGCTGAAGAAATTATACCGGCTGGAAAACATTCTGAAACTCCTGTATTTGTATTAAGTACGGCTGGTATGAGATTACTTCCTAAAAAGACTCAAAATAAAATATTATCTGAAACTTGTTCAAGTATAAGACGAAATACAAATTTTTTATTACCCAATTGTGATAATTTCGTACAAATAATAGATGGTTCAACAGAAGGAATTTACGGTTGGTTAGGTCTAAATTATTTAATGGGACAATTCAAAAATTATGATTCAAAATCATCAATACATGAATCAATAGGTTTTATGGATATGGGAGGTGCATCAACTCAAATTGCATTTGTTCCTTCATCTGAAGATCAAATAAAAAAACATAATAATGATTTATCAAAAGTATTATTGAGGAATATAAATGGTCAAACTCAAACTTGGGATGTTTTTGTTGCTACATGGTTAGGATTTGGTGCAAATGAAGCAAGAAGAAGATTTATTCAACAATTGGTGAATTTAGCATTAGTAAATGAAGAATTACAAGGAAATTTGAATGATCCATGTTTACCCAAAGGTGCAACTTTAGATTATGAATATGAAGGTAACACTTACAAAATAAACGGTGTTGGTAATTACGAAATGTGTATTAAATCAATATATCCACTATTGATGAAGAGTATACCATGTGATGATGAACCTTGTTTATTTAATGGTATTCATGGACCTAAACTTGATTTTGAAAAAGATAAATTTGTTGGTATATCTGAATATTGGTACACTGCTAATGACATTTTCCATAGTGGTGGTGAGTATGATTACAAAGGTTTTAATGTTAAAGTTAAAGAATATTGTGAAAGTCAATGGGATAATATTTTACAAAATTCAAAAAATGGTGATTATTCGGGACTTGACCCTGATAAATTTTTAAAAGATGCATGTTTCAAGGCAAGTTGGGTGATGAACATTTTACATGAAGGATTTGAGTTACCGAGGATTGGATTTGAATTAAATTCAGATAAAGAACAAGATCAAGATTCTCAAAATATCACAAATAAACATATTCCTTTCAAATCTGCAGACTCTGTAGAAGGTGAAGAATTATCATGGACATTGGGTAAAATACTATTATTTGCATCATCACAAATTGAACCAGCTGATAACAAAAATTCATTAGATATTGGTATTTTTCCGAGTGAAATTTCAGGTAAATCATTTGTACCAGGAGGTTTAATAAAAGGTGGTAATAGTAATTCAATTGATGATGATAGTGATGATGAAAAAGACGGTACTTTAGGTCATTTTATTTATTCAATGATTTTTTTCTTTTTATTAGCATTTTTTATTTATTCATTTGGATTAAAACATTTTGGAAGATGGAATGGGAAAATAAAAAAAATTCATGTCCCCATTGAAATTAGAAGAAGAGCAAATTATGTTATTTCAAAATTGCCGGGGTTAGAAAATTTGGCAAACAATTTTAACATGTATCAACAAATGGAGAATAGTTATACTTTGGAAGAAGGCGTTGGTTCTAGTCCTTCGGTAGATTCTTCACCAAAACAAAATCCCGGTAATTCTTCTGTATTAAGAACAAGACTGGCAATTGGATTAGATGAAGGTTATGATGATCAGCTGGCTGGTACAAATGGAAAAATAAAACCTTTTAGTCCTAGAGTAAATAATTTTTTGAACAAACCATTTGTGATACCAAAGAAAAATTCATTTTATCAGGTTTCGGAGAATAATAGCAGAGAATCATTGTCACGAACTGTTAGTAATCCTTCACTAACAAGATCTAAGATGCCGTAGATAAAATAGATTAGTGTTTCCATAACATAATAATAGATTTAATATAGATTGAATATAGATCTGTTCATTCATCAAATATTTGTTTTTACTCTTTAAGATTTCTTGCCTTCATCACTTAAGAGCTATTTATTATCATGATTTACAAAACAATTACAATATCAACTTGGCTATTTATTTCCATACAAGTCCATTCAGCAATTTTACCATTCAAGGATTCAATAGAAATAGCTTTTACACCAGAAGATGTCAAAAAAACCACAGATTACGTATTATGGAAAGTACCTGCAGTTAAAAATAATTTCAAAACTACGGTTAAACAACATTTGTTGAATCGATTACTTTCAAAAGACTTACAAGAAATGCCTGTGAATTTTCCACCTAACGCATCACCTCAACCTACCGTAAACGAACCAAATAATGGTGAAGTTCAAATGAATGACAACCAACTAATACATCCACTACAAGCTTTGGCCCCAACAGATGCAATGATTGAATTAGAATTACAAAAACCTAGAGGTGTATTAGGTTCAATTTTAAAAGGTCCAATTCCAGACGACAAACCCAAAGCAAAAATCAGATACGTTAAACCTGAACCTGAAAAAGCAGAAGAGACAGGTACAAATTCAAATGATATGGAGAATGATCAAGTAATTGGGATAGCAAAATTACCTGTCGATGAACATATAGGATATCTGAAGCCGAAACTAGTTAAGAACAGAAAACATAATTTTGAAAAAGGTATAATTCCTACTCCCACAGTGACTTTAGATGATTTTGATAATGATGCAACTGAAGCTGTGCCTGAAAAAGATCCTTTTTATGATGAATAGTAGTGTTAAATTAGAACTAGAAAAAATGATTGCAAAATGAATAATTAAATAAAGTAATGTTTCATATTTTTGTGTAACATAATTTATTTTTCTCTTCTCATTACGAATTTAAGCATCTCATTTATTTAGATTTGAATTGTATTCATACCATTAAGCTACAAATATCAATAGATTACTCGACAAATAACCATGAGAGTGAAAAAGCCAACTTCTAAAAGGGTAACAACCCGTATGAGAGAAGGTATAAAGAAAAAAGCTGCAGCAAAAAGAAGAAAAGATAAAAAACTAGCCAAAAAAGATGTAACATGGAAATCAAGACATAGAAAAGATCCAGGTATACCTTCAAGTTTCCCATATAAAGATCAAATAATAACAGAATTGGAAGAGAATAGAAGGGTAGATAAGGAAAGAAAGGAAGAATTAAAATTACAAAGACAAAGAGAGAAAGAAGAAGCTTTAGCGAGAGGAGAAGAAGTAGATGATGATATTGAAGAAGATGATGAAGAATTGGAGGATGGAGATGATGGAGCAAATGGTTTAGCAGCATTATTGGAATCTGCGCAACAAGCTGCAAAAGAATACAATGGCGAAGAAGATGAAGAGGATGATGAAATGATTGATTCAGAAGAGGATGTTGAAATTCAAATAAGTGATGTTGAAGATGATGAAGATACTGGAGACTTGGAAAAATCAAGGAAATCATATGATAAAATATTCAAAAGTGTTGTAGATGCATCAGATGTCATACTATATGTTTTAGATGCTAGAGATCCAGAAGCAACTAGATCAAAGAAAGTTGAACAAGCAGTATTACAAAATCCAGGTAAAAGACTTTTATTAATACTAAATAAAGTTGACTTAATACCTGCTGAAGCATTAAATCAATGGCTTAACTTTTTGCAATCATCTTTTCCAACCATACCAGTGAAAGCTTCACCAGGTGCTACAAATTCCACTTCATTTAATAAGAATTTAACAGGTGCAGCTACTGCTGATTCATTGTTAAAAGCTTTAAAAAGTTATGCAAATAAATCTAATTTAAAAAGATCCATTATAGTGGGGGTGATAGGTTATCCAAATGTTGGTAAATCATCAATAATTAATGCATTAACTAAAAGACATAATAATAACTCCAAGGCTTGTCCAGTTGGAAATCAAGCTGGTGTAACTACTTCATTAAGAGAAGTTAAAATAGACAATAAATTAAAAATATTAGATTCACCTGGTATAGTATTTCCAGATGAAGTTACAAACAAGAAACAAACGAAACAACAACAATTGGCTAAATTAACATTACTATCTGCGATCCCACCTAAACTGATAAATGATCCAACTACTGCTGTACAATTACTATTGAAGAAATTTTCAAATAATGCCGAAATGGCTGACGGATTAAAAAAATATTATGATTTACCTCCATTACCATCATCTGATCTTAATGAATTTACAAAACATTTTCTCATACATATAGCTAGAACAAAAGGTAGATTAGGAAAAGGAGGTATACCAAATTTAGAATCAGCTGCTATGTCAGTTATAAACGATTGGAGAGATGGAAGACTTATAGGATGGACATTACCAAAATCATCTAAAGCGTCATTAACTGAAACTGTTGATTTGAACGCTCCGAAAAGTTTATTAAGAGGGGAAAAAGAACCACCAAAAGTTGAACAAACTACTATTGTTAGCACATGGGCTAAAGAATTCGATTTGGATGGTTTGTTAGGGGATAATTTTGGTGTCGAGTAAATGTATTTGTACGGTAAAATATATTCATTCTTTTTAAATAGTTATGAAAACTATAATCTCTCACAAAATCATTTGTGCTGCAAAATTGCAAAAGCGCGTTTGTTTTCAACTCTATTTCTAAAGAACAATCATTAATTCTTACAACAAACAACAATCTCAACAATCTCAATCATAGATCTTCCGTAGTGTTATGGCTGATATCAATGATGAAAGTTGGGACTTTCTGGATGATGACAAAATAATTGAAGCGGTAGTTAACAATACAAAATCATCAAAACCTTTGACTTTGAAAAAGTATTTACAACAACAAGATAATCACGCTACTACCAAAACTTCTCCATCAGTATCCAAAATCACAATCCCTACTCATCATGAAATGGACTTCAATGAATTAAAAACATACATATATCCTACAAATTTTGAAGTTAGAGATTATCAATACAATATAGTAAGAAAAGCATTTTATGATAATTTATTAGTTGCATTACCTACTGGTTTAGGTAAAACATTTATAGCATCAACAGTAATGTTAAATTTTCTACGATGGTTTCCAAATTCCAAGATTATTTTCATGGCACCTACTAAGCCGTTAGTAGCTCAACAAATCAAGGCATGTTGTTCAATTACAGGCATATCAAGTTCAAAAGTTGCAATTTTATTAGATAAAACAAGGAAAAATAGAGAAGAAATATGGAATTCACGTCAAGTTTTTTTCACTACACCCCAAGTTGTTGAGAACGATCTAGCTTCTGGAGTTGTTGATCCGAAATCAATTGTTTTATTGGTTATTGATGAAGCACATCGAGCAAGAGGAAATTATTCGTACAATAATGTGGTAACTTTTTTGAGAAGATTTAATGATTCTTTCAGGACATTAGCGTTAACAGCAACACCTGCTGCTGACGTTGAAGGAGTCCAAGACGTGATTGATAACTTAAAGATATCAAAAGTGGAAGTTAGAACTGAAGAAAGTATTGATATAGTCAAATATATGAAGAAGAAAAAGATAAGCAGACGTGTACTAGAAATTTCTCCAGAAATCAAAGAATGCATTGATTATTTGGCCTCCGCGATTGAACCCGTTTTGAAGACAGCTAATGAGAAAGGATTAATCGACACACAGGATCCTACAAAAATCAATCATTTTAGATGTATGGATGCAGCTAGAAAATTAACAATGAATAAATCTATACCTGAGGGGATTAAATGGGCAAATTATTTCATGTTACAGCTACTTGGAGTTGTTGGTCAATGTTATAGAAGATTAAACATATATGGTGTCAATTCATTTTTCAGTTATTTTACAGAGAAACATTCTGAATTCACTACAAAATGGAAGAAAAAGAAATCAAAAAACAAACTAAGTGCTGACTTTTACTTTAACGATTCAATTGAAAAACTTCTTGAAAGAAAAGATGAGATACTTTCAAACGGTGCCTATAGTCATCCTAAAATAGAAGCTTTAATGGTAGAATTGGAAGATTTTTTCAAAGATCGAGTAGATCCAACTTCAAGAGTTATTATTTTTACAGAATATCGTGAATCTGCATTAGAAGTTGTCAAGAGTATTGAAAAAGTTGGAGGAGATTTAAAACCTCACATTTTCATTGGTCAAGCTAAAGAAAAAGAGAAGTTTGATGAAGAAAATTACGGTAAAAAGAAGGGATCAAAGAAAAAGAAAGACAAAGATGAATCAAGAACTTCCGAAAGAACTAGTTCTGAGAATGCTCAAGTTAGTGGTATGAATCAGAAACTTCAAAAAGAAATTATTAAAAAATTTAAGAAAGGTGAGTATAATATTTTGGTGGCAACATCCATTGGAGAAGAAGGGTTAGATATAGGTGAAGTTGATTTGATAATTTGTTATGACTCCACTGCGTCACCAATTAAAAACATACAACGAATGGGTAGAACTGGTCGTAAAAGAGATGGTAAGGTACTTTTATTGTTTTCCAGTAATGAAGAATCTAAATTTGATAAAGCAATGGCAGGATATGAATACATTCAAAGTCATATAATGAAGGGTGATTTAATAACATTATGTCAACAAAATAGAATCATACCAGATCATTTCTCACCAGCAGTTGTTGAAAAATATATTGAAATACCAGAAGAAAATATTGAATTGAAACAAGAAGACGATGAAGATGAAATTATTAGAATAGCAACTCAATATATGTTGGGAAGTACACCTAAAAAATCAAATAAACGACAGCCAATACAAAAACGTCAAAAGAGATTTTTCATGCCAGATAATGTTGAAACGGGTTTTCAGAATGTTTCAGATATGTTGAAGAAAGCAAGTCCGGAAAGCTCCACTGACATTGAAAATGTTTCTGACATGTTGAAGAAAACAAGTCCCGAAAGTTCCACTAGCATTACTAAAACTGCTAGAGGCCATGACCTTTTTGATGGATCTCTGGATTTTGATAGTGATATTGACCTTACAGTTGAAAATAGCTTTCGCAAACCAATACCTCCAGACAATTCGAAGAATCTTCCAATTCAAAAGCGTCAGCTCATTGAATCAAGTGGTGATGAAGATGAAATCAAACGTGAAAACACACCAGAAACATCAGTTATTCATGATGTTGATGCTGATTTGAAAAGCAATAGCTCGAGCCATCAACCTGACACATTTGAATTTAGTGATGATGACTTGGAAATTTTACAAGTCATAGAAACTCCAAATAAGAAATTAGACGAAAAAACGAAAATCAAGCAACCATCTATTATCAAATTGGAAGAGAAAAAGAAAATCAAACAACCATCCACTGATACATCGCTCAACGAGGAACCCAAAATCAAAAAACCGAAAATTGAAAAATTACCAACAAAAAATAATTTGATTGAAAAACATGGATCGCATAATGAGTCAAAACGTAAAGAACCGCCACTCACAGTCAAGAACAAATCACTTGGGATTAAAAGACCTAAAAATTCAGATATTCTACTGAAGTTGAAGCAACACTCCGATAAGCATGTGTCAAAAATTAGGAATATAAGTTTAGGATTGCAGAAACCAGTCCCCATCAATACAAAACAAGATGCTATAGAAATTGAAGATGATCTTGATGATGATTTAGATGAGGTAATAGCCCATTATATTTGAAATTTTGCAACTAATTATAGAAGAGCTTATATACAGGACTCGAGTTCATTCTCTGTTTTGATGATATAAATAATTCTCAACCAAATTGATTTTTTTTTCTTTCTGTTTTCCCTTTTCTTTCCTTTCCTCATCTTTATGCAGGGGCATTACGTGTTTCAGTGAGGATTAGTCCGAGATCATGTTTTTGCTGGTTGAAAACTTTAAACCTGACAGCTTCTTAATTTTCTTTATCCTTTTGGAGTTGAAAATTAAGGGAATTTTTGGAAACTTTTTTTTAATTATTGATATATTTCATTTCATGGAAGCATTCATCAATCAATCTAATTGGTTCGATGAGTTTCAGATATACAATAAACAAAACTTTTATTTTTAGGTGTTGAAGTAGTGATTGTCATTACCAATATGTAAAAATCGTATGGATCATCAAGTTAGATTAGCCTTGTACCTCGCTCGGTTTAGTGTTCTTTCAGTATTGTTGTTAAATCTTGAGCTGGATACTTTTTTGAATATCTAATTTGAATTAAGTAATAGGCAATATTGAATTTAAAGATTTCCTTTGAGTGCGATGACACCAAGGCTATTTAGCTGGATGGTGTCATTTGTAATTATAAATCTTTACATTTCACGTCTCTCTATGAAGCTTCGTAATTTTAGATCGATTTGGTTGAAAAATTTAAGTACAATTTTTTTTTATTGCGTTTGAATAATCAGTGCAAGACTTGAGTTAACTTCTTCTTATACAAACTTCAAACTCTCCACAATGTTTAAAAAGTTTTCAAAGGATGACATCCATTCACGTTCGAATATAAAGTCTTCAGTTCAAAGAGGATTAAGATCAAATTTTGTAAATACATATCCAGATTTGGAGAATGCAATTGATAATATTATACCCAAAAAATCTCAACTTATATTAATAAAATGTGAAGATAAGATTCAATTATATTCAGTAAACAAATCAGAAATACCAACGGATCCAGAATCCAATGAAGAACCTGATCAAGAAGGTTCAGAAATCATATTATTTCAACATTTCACTGATATAATACCTACTTTAAAAACTGTACATAAATTTCCAGAATTATTTCCAAAAGTTCAAGTTGATAAAGGAGCTATTAAATTTGTACTAGGTGGAGCAAATATTATGTGTCCTGGTTTAACTTCCAAAGGAGCTAAATTACCGGAAGAAAATTGGGAAGAAGGTAAAATAGTTACAGTTTATGCAGAAAATAAAGAAAATGCATTAGCTATTGGAAAATTAGTTATGAGTACTGATGATATAAAGAGTAAAAACAAAGGTATTGGGATTGAATTGATACATTATTTGGGTGATGGATTATGGACTCATGAGGAATGATTGATATAGATGTTTTAAGTTAATGATATATAGATGTTTTGATTATCATGTAATGAATAATCATCTAATGTCCCGAGATAATTTTCTATCTCAAATTGCTTTGCATAACTTGTACCTTCGTTTATGTAGTAGAAAATTTTGAATTGAAGTATTGATAAATCTTGCAACTTCTTTGAGATCAAACCTTTGAACCTTTGAATGGATGTTGACTTTAAAAACATTGATGAGAAGATTGATACATCTTCATTTAGATATTTGATTTGCAAATTGATCCAAGGTTTGCTGCTTGGGGAAACATGAACTTCTTCAATTTTATTATACTTCAGAAGCAACTGATTCCATCTTTTTTGATTCCTGATTTTAATTGAGTTGGATTGAACTTTTGAAATAAAATATAATTCAGCATCTTCAATTTCATTTTTTGATAAAACGGCACCATTCAATTTTGTAAGACCATTAAATCTACCAATTAATTCCATTGTCATATCATCAATTGACATATTGTCAAATACAGGATTATGATTTATCCTTAGCTCTTCCAAATTTGGCGTGGTTGTACTTAGATTATCTATCTCCTCCCAACTACTTAATTTATTATTTCTTAAATCAAGTGCATTATATAGTATGATTGATTGGGGATTAACTTCAGCGATTTGATTATGTGATAAGTTCAATGCAGATAGATTCAAAACCGGGATTGAAGTCAATTGATTGTAGGAAAAGTCTAACAATGACAAATGTTGAGTTTCTAATTTAGTGATGTCTTCATCTCTAAAACAATTCCCTAACAAATTGAGTGTTTGTAAACTTGGGAAGCTAAGAATTAGTCGATTGATCTGTTGGATAGATAAAAAAGTAGATCCAAGCTTTAAGCTCACAATTGAATTAAATTTCGTACTGTCATTAAGTCCTTGATTGAATCTATTATGATTGAGATCCAAATGTTCCAAATTAGGAAAAATATTAAGAATCTTGAAAACCTCATGTACATCAGTGAATAAATTTGAAGATAAATCTAAGTATTTCATTTTTTCAAATGTTTCTTGAAATTGATCAATGTCATCACCAGCTTTATAAATTTGATCATGATCTAATGTTAAACTTTCAAAAGTGTTAAAGTTGATTTTGTCTAATCCAACTTCTTCAACTTCTTTAGTCCCAATCTTCAAGTTTTGCTCTTCATATTCAACACTCAAATAGTTGTCTTTGATTACCTCAGTAAACAGTTTTCTACCATGTGAAATCTTAGAGTTTGTAGACTTGATGAAAGATCCAGCATTAAATACCTTTGGTTCGAAATATTTAACATTATTCAATTCTCCATTATTTTTACCCTTGCTTGGATCATCCCATTCGACTCCGTATGCTATAGTATCTAGACCCCATTGCGGTATTTGACCAATATATAATATTGTAAATATCTCTTTATCTTTTGTTTCTAGTCTGTCATATATATTGTACATAAATTGGTGAATGATAGTGATAGTATTTAGTAGCTATCGATTTGATTACACAATAAACTTTTCCTACACTGTATAAAATTGATATTTGTTTCTTCGTTCCAATTATTCAACCAATCTTATCACAGAGAAGGAAACAATTATAAAGAGCAGGATCTTGATGTTTGATAGCTAAAAAATTACACAACTATTTAATTTGGATCAGGGTAGCCAACAATTTTACAAATAATTTCAATTTTCAAATCACTTTCTGCTTTAAATTTTTTATATTCTTTAATCCAATAGCTAATAGGATCAAATTGTTTAAAATGTGATTTCAGATTATTAGTCACACCATTACCCAACATATCATCATCATCATCATTATCATCAAGAAATTGATTATTTTCCAAATAATTTTGAATAGAATGCAATAATTTTTGATTGGTTTTAGTTTCACTCCAATCACAAATTAAATCCGGTTGATGTAAATAATTATAATCTGAAATTAAAACAAACAAGTTTCTAACTTCAAAAAAGAATGAAATTACTCTTAAATCATTTGGATCATATTTGACTAAGAAATTTAAAATCAAATCATAATGTTCTCCAATATAAAGATCATCTTCGTCTAATAATGCAACACTTGATAAATAACATTTTAAAGCTAAATCATGGAAATTAGTTGAAGATGATTTTAATAATGATTTTTTAATCTTTGATGTATTAATTTCATAATCATGTATATTTTGAGCAATTTCTCCCATGGTCTTATATTTTAAACTTATATTAATTGGAATTTTTGCAAGCTTTTCATAAATCAACTCATATTCTTTTCTTGTAAGACTAGGTAATTTAGATTGACAAATATATTTCAAAAACATAACTTTATTATAAGAATCTTCATTATTTTGATTATTACTGATTTCAAAATCATTGAAATAATTATATGCATCTTTATATTCGTGTCTTAACATTGATATAAAACCTTTAATGATTTTAATTTGATCCATCAATATATGCAAGTTTTGAGTGGTTATACCATTATTATTTAAGCTGCTTGGATGGCTATTACTAAAGACTGAAACTTTTCTCTTGGGTTGAATAGTTAAACGTTCACAAAATTTGTTCAAATTTGGTTCCATTTTCAACAATTGTAGATAACTTTCTGTTGGTCCAAATATAAAAATTGAATTAATGATATTTCTAACTATTTGATAAAATTTATCTTGTTGATATTGTTGTAGAAGTTTTTCAGATTGAGTTATTTTTTGAATAATCAAACGACATTTACCTAAAAAAGTACTACTTTCAGATTGAATGTTTGGCGGGATACTCATGATTTGATCTTCAAATGATTGAATTTTTATTTGTCTATTGGTAGAATTGTTAGTAATTAGTCCTAATAAATTTTTTGCAACCATTTTCTCGTTTGTTTCAATAAGATATACATACTGATTATTCATTTTTGATTGTTCAATTCTTTCCAAAACTAAAGTATGCAATTCGATAACATCTTTCTTCATCCTATCGAAATCATCTGGTGTAATTAAATTTTGTCTTGATAAATCCAAATATTCACCAATACAAGATAAAGCATCATTAGTCATTCTTAAATCAGCAAAAGTAAAAGCTAATACTTTTAAAAAATCTTTTCTTTTTTGTTCAGTTGGTGCCATATAAATTGCAAATCCCAATTCTCTAAGAGCTGAAGAAACTCTTCCATAATGAATCATTGAACAACCTATAATTAAATGGAAAACAGGTGGTATTAATTTCATTTTACCTATTTTAGGTAATAAGAACATAATTTGCATAAAGTTATTTTCATCATAAAGTCTTTTTAATTCATTATATGTTTGATTTAAGTCATTATCTAAATTTGATTTTATAGTTCTTGGATTTTTATCTTCTATATCGATTGTTTCAACAATATTATTTTGATACTTATTATAATTCTTATTTTGTTGAGCATGTTCACCAATTATAGTCAATTCATCATGTGTAATATGATCTTGATCTTGACCATAGTTTTTGAGATCAATGTATATTTGTGGATGTTCCATTATGTCTAATGATTGAAATGAGTCTCGAAATGTTCTTGAACTTTTGGTTGTGAAAAAAAATATATGCAATTTTGGTTGTAAAAAAGATTATGTAATTTTGTATTGAATAATTTGATTATTTTGCAGCATAACAAAAATAGCACTCATGGTAGCAAATGTTGATGTAAGATTAAGCGAATGTTAGATCGGATAAAAACCAAGATAATAGAGATTTTTCATTTCAGCTCAAAGAGGATTTTATTACAACTGTAATAAGCATTATTATGACTTTACTTTATTTATTTTGTTCCTTATACGTTTTAGAGCCAAATTTCTCTCACATACATGGGGTGTAGAAAGGCAAACATTCAAAGGTGGGGATTATAAATCCTCTTTTGTTCCAACAGCTGCAAATCCGATATTAGTCGGTATTTTAGGTGTTTAATACAAGTACTAAGTAATTAGAGACATGAGATAATAAGTATTGCGGCATGGATGTTTTATTGTTCTGAATTAAGGGGTTAGACATGTTTCATATAACAAGGGGGATTATCGATTTTGAGTTTTGTCATTTAAAGTTTGTGATTTTTGATTTTTGAATTGTCCTAGATATCAATAACAACACTCTATTTAAGTTAGACTTTTGTTGTCAAGTAGGAACCGGTAAAATTTGAAAAAAGTGAAAAGTTTGTGTTTACTGCAAATTGGAGTTTGCTAATTTTTGCTGCAAAATATCACTCATTGGCTAGACCATCTCATCTTTAAACACTATTCATCAACAAATGACAGCTAAAAAGTCAATCAGGGCAGAATCATACATTTAGTTTCGATAGTTTTAGAAAGTACAAAATTTTGAAAGTGTTGGGTAGAATGCCTTTTCTAAGGATTTCAACGACTTTCAAAAAACGTTTGATTAATGCACTTTAAATTCAAGATAAAACAGGAGTCAATTCAGCCTTTCAAAATGAATGAAGTAGTGTTGAGGGTTGTACCAAAGAGAGCTACTGGTTGAAAGACTTGAAAATTCTTAACTATAAATGACTACATTGACTAAGCAATCATTGTAGCAATCATTAAAAATCTTAGTTCCTTTGAGTGCAAACCAAACTGTTTGTAATTCAACTGCTAAAGTTTATACTATGAACTTCAAACTGCTAAATGTCTGTATTAATGAAGTTTCTGTTTATAATCTTTTCAACGGATTTATGCAATACATTAGTGGGAAAAAGATTAAACAAGATCGATTTCATTCTATTGATGTATCTCTATTCACAATTTTTTTTTGATTATGAAACCTTACCCAAGACAAAAGTATGAACAATTGTGGGGTAGCTTCAATATTTAATTCTTTCCAGGTTTACCTTTTACATCACTCAATGATTAGGATGCTATGTAGTAACTTGTTGGTAAGTTGTGATTAACAACTATACTTTAGCTTCCCAAAAGCTACCAGCTGGGTATTTCAATTTTGTTAACTGTAAATCTGTTAATAAAATCTTTAATTTTCTAACATTTTTCAATCTATGATTGTTATCAAAATTACATACATTATCTAACTTACAATCAGATTCATACATAATCATATGATTGATTTACTTTGATATCACTCATCGGAATTTGTACAACACACCATAATAGATACATCAGTCAGTATAGTATAAAACATCTTCATAAATTTGTTTCAATTTTTCATTTAACAATCAAGATCATCCATAATCATTTATCATAGATCAATTCTCTCTTAAAAGAGTTACAAAAGATGGCAACATCAACATCTCAAAGAAATTCAGCTGATCTATCACAAACTCATAATAATTCACCAAGTCCATTAATTTTTCAATATAATCCATTAACAAAAAGAAAAATTTTAAATTCATATGAAATTATAAAAGAAATTGGTAGAGGAGAACATGGTAAAGTTAAATTAGCTCAAGATTTGATAAATAAAAGAAGAGTTGCTATAAAAGTGATTAATAGAAAGAATAAAAAAGATAGACCATCATTAAAATTCAGAAGAGATTCTTCATCACCTATTAAAAATGATTATGAAACTAAAATAAAAAGAGAAATTGCAATAATGAAAAAATTAAATCATAAAAATATTGTAAAATTATATGAAGTATTAGATGATTTTAGTTCTTCAAAAATTTATCTTGTTTTGGAATATATGGGTAGAGGAGAAATTAAATGGAAAAATTTAAATTCAACTTCGAACTCCAATTCAACTTCAAATTCTAATGACATAAACCATGACAATTGTAACAATAGTTACAATAATTCAGATAACATACCATGTTGTAAAAATGATCACGGTAATATTAAAGCTTATGATCAGGAAAGTTTACTATCAGATGTTTATTCACCTAATTTAACTTTTAAAACTTCAAGAAAAATATTCAGAGATGTATTAAATGGATTACAATATTTACACTCGGTAGGTATAATTCATAGAGATATAAAACCTGCAAATTTATTAGTCTCTGAAAACAATGTTGTTAAAATAAGTGATTTTGGAGTCTCATTTGCATCGTCATTAGTTGATGAAGAGGATAATTTATCTGGAAGCGAGTTGGACTTAGCTAAAACTGCTGGAACCCCTGCATTTTTTGCACCGGAATTATGTCATATTGGTGCTGAGGAGAAACCTAAAATAAACTATAAGATTGATATTTGGGCTTTAGGTATAACTTTATATTGTTTGTTATTTGGTAAAGTTCCATTTAATGCTGATTCAGAATATGAATTATTTAATGTTATTGTTAAAAACCCAGTTGAATTTCCAAAGGACATTAATTCATTCAATTCACCTGGTAATGTTTCAGAAGAAGAATTTGAATTAGCGAAAGACTTATTATCGAAAATGCTACAAAAGGATAGTTCGAAAAGAATAACCATAAAAGAAATAAAAGAACATCCTTTCACTTTAATGGATCTAGAAGATGATATCGAGGGATTACATGAGCTTCTTGATATGAATAATGAAGAACCCATAGATTTCACATTAGATGATAAAGATCTTTTTAAAGATGAAGCTGAAGATGCAATAATTGGAGTAGGAACAAGAATTAAACGAAGTTTAGTAAAAGCCATAAAAGCAGGTGGTTTCAAGGATTCGGAAATTAAAAGCAAATTTTCTTCTTTACAAATGGAACATTCTAAAAGTGGATCAAGTGATGAATCTTCTTCAAGTTATTCGAATTTTAATTCAAGCAATAAATTAAATAATTTGGAAAATAATCATTCGATGATTTTATCTGAACAACCAATTTCTCCATTAAGTACAGCAACTGTTACTAGACATGGTTCGGAATTGAATTATACACCATCAAATTTATCCCATCAACAATCACAATCACAATCACAATCATTTTCACAACTACAGCAACAACAAAATCCATCATTACCCTCACAATATCCGAGCCATCCACAAATTCCACCAAAAAGACCTTCTTTTTCTCTTGCTGGTTCAAGAGACGGGAAAAGTTTGTTACATGACATGATTGATTCTCAAAGTGGTACACCAAGTAGAAGAGGTAGTGGAGCTGGTATCCCAATTGTAGAAGCACCTCAAATTGAAACTAAAAGAAATGTCGGTGGTAATTTATATTTGAAAAATCAATCAATTGTTGATACATTCAAAGACATTCAACAACAAGATGATAAAAGAAGACGATCAAGTTTATTTTCTCAAATCAATTCAAACAAAGGTTCGATATCTCATGAAACCTCACAATCACATGAAAAATCTCATCAACCACAACTGTCTAATCAATTTCAACTACAAGCTCAACCACAACCATTGTCTCCAAAAGAACCCACTATTGCAACTCCTATACCCGTTCCTGCAGTTAAGTCAAATTTTCAATTCATCAATGAAGAATACATAAAGAATCCTGCTAATCCTAAATCCAATGAATCAGAATTTTCTCCTAAAGGAGATACTGGACGTAATTTACTACCAACACATCATATTGATGATGCAATCGATACATCATTCATGTCATTACCTTTAACTGAAAGTTTTGCATCACTAGATAGTATCAACGATGATTATTTGAATTTAAAGTATAAAGAATTTGCAAGTCAAGATCAAATTGTTTTCAGAAGGAAATCTAGTTCAAGTGCTAATAATAACAATTTTGAGCAAAGATTAAAAAATTTCAATATAGGAGATTCAATGCAAAGTAGGAAACCAAAAGATGACACAGTTATTGCACCTGGTTTAGTATTAGCAAGACAATCAAGTTCTGATTCATACTCATCATATTCAACAGGGTCAGATTCACCAGATATTAAAGAACGTAAAGATGAAGAAGAAGATGAAGAAGATGAAGATTCAGATGAAGAAAATTTAACATTAGCTTTCCACTCTAAAATAAATCCTCCTGGAAGACCACCATTTTTGTCATATGGACAAAGAGCAAAATCTCATGATTCACATTTACCTTATTTGTTAAGTCCAGTTCAAAGAGGCAATGACGTAACACCAATAATCTTTCATGCTGGGTCTCCGGAATTTGAAGATGTACCACTGGGTTTGCTAGATGCTCAACGCTCACAAAATGGAACGGCAAATGCGACCAAGATAGTAGCATCAAGTAAGAATGGAGCTATATCTAACTTAGGATCTACAACCACAACTACAACAAATAACACAACGACAACAATGGGTCAAGAGACTATCACCATAAACAATCCAACAGCAGCAGAACCTAGTTTGGAAAGCATTTCCATTACCAGAACTGAGGCATCATCAAAACCACCCATTAAAAACAACAAATCTTCTAAACAACTTTTAAGAGAGAATATTTTCAATTACCAGTTCAACAATCATTACAATAAAGCTCCCATTTACCATCCTTTCCCAACATCACATCATCTAGATAATGATCAAGAAGAAATTATAATAAATTCAGTTGAAAAATTTAAAAATAATAGACCTCAATTTTTTAGATCTAATTCTGTTGCTGTTGGAGTATTACAACATACTTCTGATGATGTTGTTGAAAACATGATTGAAGAAAGAAAAGACTCAAAGAATGGAGCTACTTGATAAAATAAGAGGGTTCAAAACATTGCATTATTTACATTTATATTTTTTCTTTCTTTTTTTGTTTTATAGCATTGAATATACACATATGTAACCGCTATATATTAGTTCCTTGAATTTTAGAACTTGATGGAAGACCATATACTTTTATATCAAATGTCTGATCCACTAACTCTGATTTATCACTTGTAGCTAAAAAATTAATAGAATTTTGTCTCATGAATTTGGTAATCTTATTCTTGTAACGAGTTATACTTTCTATTGGGTTCACCAAAAATGCATTTAGTCTGGAATTGGGTTGTGGAGTTGAGAACATTGCACAAGTGGTCCATTCTGTTGTTGCTGCAAAGGAAGATTCAGTATAAACTAGTGTGGGAAACGATTCTAAAGGTTTTATTTCAGTTGGTCTTTGCAAGTTGAATTTTTTGAGTCGTGGTTGTGGCGTTGGCAATTTATTTAAAATGTAATTTAGCATTTGTTTTAATGTTAGAATAATTTTATATGATCAATTTAGTTATCAATGATTGTTCTCCTCATCTTTGGTAGAAATGTGGCAAACTCTACTAACATCTAATTCTAGTTACATCCAGATCTGTTTTCACCTAAGCAAAAAACGAGGTTATGCTAAATCTGGTACAGGGCTTTTAAGATACTTTGAGTCCTTTTTAGTTTTTAAATTTTTTGCAACTTAAATCTGGCTGATTGTTTCAGAATTTTAAGTCGCATATTCTAGTCAGACAATATTATTTCCGTTTTATGAGAAGTATTCATGAAGTTACAATTTTCAAACTATCGATCATGATATGAAAGATGTTTTAATTTTACATATTGGAGCAGGATGTCATTCAGTATCGAAGAATAAACGTTATGCTAAACTAATTAAAGATGCCCTAGGTCAAAAGACTTTGTTAGAAACAATTGATATATTGGAGAAAAGTCCATTAACTAATACAGGATATGGCTCAAATTTGAACATTTTGGGAATGATAGAGATAGATTCAAGTTTTATCAAGAGTAATGGACGGATGGGTTCAATAACAGGCTTAAGCATTGATTGTCCTACTAAAGAAATGTTTAGAATTTTTAATGAAATTGACGAAATTTACTCGAGTGACAAATTTGGTAATGATCTATTGAAACCTGTTACTTTAAATGCCACCAGTTTGAAATCTTTAATGAATATTAATGACTCATCCAATTTAGATTATGGCCCAAATCGAGAGATCTATAATTCATACAAAAATTCTCATGAATTTATCAAAAGTAATATTCCAACTCAGGACACAATTGGTGTAATATCAATAAAAGATAATGATACCATCATCACAGCTTCATCAGGTGGAAATTTTTTAAAACTACCGGGCCGTATTGGCTGTGCTGGAATTATTGGAGCTTCCATTAGTTTTAAAAAATTTGTAAATGATAGTTTAGAAATTAGTTGTATGTGTTCAGGTAATGGGGAACAAATAATTCAACATAGTCTAGCTGTACAATTAATTAGTGCCATTCAACAAATGAATGAGTCTGACTATGGTGTAAGGTTAAATCAATTTATATTGAACTTAGATTCTGAGTTTTATTGTGGATTCATCATACTCATTAACAATCTCGATAGTAACAGGATTCAATTGTTATATGGTCATACCACTGAATCATTTCATTTTGGTTATAAAGTCAATGATGATACAAGAGCTATTTTAAGTTTTAATGAATCACCTGGAAAGTTTACTTTCGGAGAATATAATTTTTAGAAAGTTAAATACTACAAATATTAATGAATTCTTTAAACGTTTTGTACATATTATGTATTTTTTTTGATCATTATATAACACATACATGAAATTATAAGTTTCAACTCCCAATCTCTATATCCAAATCAACCTAAACTTATTTAACGAGAAGTAGCTTTAACTTTTTGGAATGAACCTTTGGCACCTTGTTTTGAAACAACTGAAGCACCTGAAGCAGCAGCTTTAGCTTTTTCAGCTTTTCTGGCAGCTTTAGCAGCTTTTTTACTTTCTTTATCTTTAGCTAATTTAGAATCTCTAGCAGCTTTTCTATCAGATGGTTTTTGTGATCTTCTTTCTTTGATTAATTCTAATGAAGCACCAACAATAGCTCTTTGATGTTTAACGGTCTTTCTGGTTCTCTTTTTTGAAGTTTCTTCTGAAATACCTTTTTTGTGATGTCTTCTATATAAAACAGTCCATGAAATTCTTCTTGGGTTTTTTCTTTGATGGAATAATGAGGCAGATTTTGATGATTGGAATCTGAAAATTTTTGAATCTCCTCTAACAAATAAGGTACCTCTACCTGGGTAAATTTTAGAACCTGAAAAGGAATCAACTTCGATCTTCATTCTATAAAACAAAATTGTTAGTATAAATAACGACTAATAAACTTTACAATCCTGCATTCCATGAGTTGGATTATAATACGATTTATGGCATTTAACTCAAAGTTCTTTAAATTCGATTATACGTATTGGAAATGTCCAATAAAAAAATTACATAAGTCGGCGGTTTGACATGAGGAACAGGAATCCTAATTGTATTTTGTATTGACAATGTGATTAGGGTATATGAATTTTTAATCTATTATTCCATGATATATTGATCCTAAATTTCACCATAACGCTTGTGACAAATTCTCTCCATTCTCTGATCTCATTATCTTTGAGTCCTTCGATTATGCCTGGATTGTATATGGGCGAATAAACATACTTGAGTTTACTTGGTTAATTGATTGATTAAGGCTAGTTCCAAACTTTTCAAAATGTAATTTTTGTTAGTATGGTTAATTTTTTTCGTCATAATACTTTGTTAGTGAGAAAACATATTTTTTAAACCCTAACATTAAAATTTTACACGTGACGAACTTTTTATCATCTCTCACTTTTCTACTGACAAAATTATTTTTCAGTTGTAAACCATTCATATTTTGAACCTTTTCTTTCATTACACCAAGACCGGAGTGAAATATATATATAATACACAGAGATGGTCCGTATAATTTAATAACCAACGTTAATGATGATTTGTTGAGGGATACATATATCAATTAAAATCTGGAGTTGGGAGATGTTTTCAAATAAGTTATTTGGATTATGATCTGTATGTGACAATTCGTAAAAGGTTGTTATTTTCAAGAGTCTAATACAGTTATTCCCTTCTTTTTGAAAATAAATCAATAGATTATCATTATAAGTTACGTTTGAATCAAGTTCCACATACTAACTCATTTGTTCAGGCCCCAAAATCAAACAAAAACCAAGAAAACATCAACTCAAAATTAGCTTTAACCATTAAATCAGGTAAATACACCTTAGGTTACAAGTCAGTTGTTAAATCATTAAGAACTGGTAAAGCAAAATTAATTGTTATTGCTGCTAATACTCCAGTCTTAAGAAAATCTGAATTAGAATATTACGCTATGTTATCAAAAACTAGAGTTTATTATTTCCAAGGTGGTAACAATGAATTAGGTACTGTTTGTGGTAAATTATTCAGAGTTGGTACTTTATCTATCTTAGATGCTGGTGATTCAGATATTTTAACTTCTGTTTAAATTTAATAATAATATTTTTCATTAATTATTCATTTAATTAGTGTTCTACATAATCTATAAATAAAAATTTAATAAACTGTATTATTATTTTATTCAAAAATAGAGCTCGTGAACAACATTACCCTCTATGACTTGACTAAATGGGAGACCAGCTCTCTTTCATCTAACTTGTTTCTTGTCTTTTCTCCAATACATTTTCTAAACGATGGATTTCTTCTTCTTCAGCATTTATTAATTCTTGCAAATCAATGAGACTGTCAGACCTTGAATCATTCATTGCATCTTGTATTATAGCGATCTCATCTTCAATTTCCTCAATTTCATTCACAGAATTCAAATAATTTTCTTTCAATATTTCACATTTATCTTTTATACTTTGATAATTTAAAATTAAATCTGGATATTCATTTATTGTTTGAATTAATTCATTTATTTGATTTTCTAAAGTTTCTGATCCAAAATTAATCGTGAAGAATGTACTTCCCTTGTTCTGTTCATGTAAGTCATTTGTATATAGCTCAGGTACTCTTACCATTGGTTTGTCGTATTCATTTTCATAATCATCATTTATATCTAGTATTTCATCTCCTGGTAAGATTTCTTTGTAAATGGATTTTCCATCAATTCTTTCAATTATCGGATCTTCTCCAATCGTGTTCGTGTCGTAAAATTTACCTAAATTCTTATTTTGATTAATGTGAAAATTTTTATGAACTACTCTATATAGTTGTCTTTCATCAGGCGTAGAATCTTGTAAAAAAGATGTTGGTGTTTCATTAATAATTGAGTTTGTGAACATTCCCTGATCTTGAAAATAATATGAGTTTAAAAGTTTCGTTCCATCTTCTATCCTTTTCAATTGTTCATCTAGTAGTGTCATATTGTTCTTATCTTGGAAGTTAAGGGTGATATAACTTGAATTAGTGAGGTAGTTTAAATCGATGTTTTTTGTTTATGTTTCAGATTTAAAAATACAAGAGAATATTGCCGCACAAAATACTCAATTAGGCAACAAAAATATCTCATTTTTCATTTCGAGAGATCAATCTAATATAACACCTTCAAACAGCATTATATAATAGAATGACAGTGGATCTAGATAGGAATTTGAAACCTGGAAAATACCATTACATAGCATTAGGATTAGAAGGATCAGCAAACAAATTAGGAGTAGGTGTAATCAAACACAAAAAAGGTGAATTAACATCATCAAATCATGCAGAAGTTTTATCAAATATACGAGACACATACATAACTCCACCAGGAGAAGGGTTTTTACCAAGAGACACGGCAAGGCATCATAGAAATTGGGTTGTTAGAGTAATAAAAAGAGCATTAGCTACTGCAAAAATAAAGGGAACTGATATTGATTGTATTTGTTTTACTCAAGGACCAGGAATGGGAGCACCATTACAAAGTGTTGTTATAGCAGCAAGAACATTAGCTCAGCTATGGTCTATACCATTAGTTGGTGTCAATCATTGTGTGGGGCACATTGAAATGGGAAGAGAAATCACAGGTGCATTAAATCCTGTAGTGTTATATGTAAGTGGTGGTAACACTCAAGTTATAGCGTATTCTAAACAAAGATATAGAATATTTGGAGAAACGTTAGATATAGCAATAGGGAATTGTCTTGATAGATTTGCAAGAACTTTGAAAATCCCCAATGAGCCAGCACCAGGTTATAATATTGAACAATTGGCTAAAAAGGGGAAAAAATTAGTTAATTTACCATATACTGTTAAGGGGATGGACTTGTCCATGTCTGGAATACTAGCTTATATTGACAATATAGCGAAGGATTTATTTAATGGTAAAAAATCCAAATTAGTCATAGATGAAGAGACGGGTGAATTAATAACTCCGGAAGATCTTTGTTTTTCACTACAAGAAATTTTATTCAGTATGTTAGTTGAAATCACAGAAAGAGCTTTAGCACATGTAGATAGTAATCAAGTTTTAATTGTTGGAGGTGTTGGTTCAAATAAGAGATTACAAGAAATGATGAAATTAATGATTGAAGATCGTAAAAATGGACAAATCTTTGCAACTGATGAAAGATTTTGTATTGATAATGGAATAATGATTGCACATGCTGGTCTATTACAATATAGAATGGGAGATACTAATGAATTGAAAGATACCGTTTGTACTCAAAGATTTAGAACTGATGAAGTCTTTGTAAAGTGGAGAGATGACTAAATGATTTGAGTATTTCAATATAGATATTGCATAAAATCTTAACAAAGCGTTAGAGCTGTAGAATATCTTCGATCCTCGATTTTGGAGCAATTTTTTTCAATTTCGTTAAATATGCGATCGTATATTAATTAATTTTTTAAAAGACAAATTGATCCAGCAAAAACTCAAATCTTTTTGTCAGATACGGAATTGACATAATAAGTATTCAAAATCTCATTCACGTAATCGTTATTTGTCCATTTGATTGATTTATCTCCACTCGGTAGTGGGTCTTGTTGGTGGACTATTTTTTCACAAGAACGCAATAGACTTGCTAACTTTCTAACTCTAGTGCCGTCCCATTTTGAAGCAGATGAGTAATCATAAGATATCGCATTGTTCAAACTCTTCTCATCCAAATACTCAATAGTAGCATACGAATATCTATCATCGTGATCATTTATGACCAAGCTCTTAATCGGACCAAATAATGACATAATTTCAATCAAAATATCTTCAGAGACGTTTAAATTTGGTTTAAACTTATACTTAAGTCTTGCTGAGAATGAATCAGGAGTTTGAATTTTGTAATTTTTGAAATCAACGAAATCCGATAATGGTAAATTATGTACTGTTGTAGTAACTGTATCATGAGTTGTATGAGCCAATTTTGAAGTTTCATGTATTCGCCTCCTTTTCAATCCATCTTCTCTTAATTGATCTAAATTTTGAAATTTTGATCTATTTTGTCTTTCATTTAAATTTTTTGATTCATTTGATAATAAATCATTTTGAAATTTAAGAATCAATTCATTCAATTTTGATGAATTTGCAAGTTTTTGATTCTTTAAATCAATTAAAGAATCATATTGTTGTTTTAATTCTGGAGTTGATAAGATTTGAAAACTTGTTAAAATCAATTCAAATTTATTGTCAGAGTTTTGATTTTGTTGTTTATCTGGATGATGTATTAATGCTTGCTTCTTGTATGCATCACGAATTTCTTGTGAGGTGATGAATAATCGCTCAGTGGATGAATTGATTGATAAATCTAGTACTTTGTATAAATCTATGTCATCTTTGATTATCTTTGGGATCAATTTATCCATTAATTTGCAGTATGATAAACTTATACTCAATAATTATTTTTCTTAAACAATAATAATTTGGCTGCAACTTTCAAATACGACAACAAAATGCATTTAAAGTGCTTTTAGAAACAAGTTGATAGAGTATCTCACCGTACTACAAGTTTTGCTCTAAATTTTTTTCAAAACTTTTATTTCGTTTAATTAAAAAAAGTAAGTCTATTATGTCTTTTTAAAGCTATAAACAAAATGTGGTAAATATGAGTGAAGTCGATAGGTTGTTAGTTGCAAAAATCCTAATGATAATGACTTTACATTTCCTTTATCCCTTTTTCACTCCATTAATGTCCATATCAGATTATTTTTTTATCATTTTTTTCATTAAGCTTTCACAGTTCTTAAACCATGATTTGATCTGAAAATAGCATCTCCTTCACTATACCCTCTTCCTAATCCAAATCCAATACCCAACCATACTGGCCATTGTCTTCTTCTAAAAAACAATATAGAAGCTAATACACCACCTCCAAAACCTAATCCAGTTTTAATTAAAGTATTTGATAATACTACATCCCATTTATCATTTAATAAATTTTGTGATGAAGTTGGTATGATTTTTTGTGCGGTTTCTTTTTGCTGTTGTGTTGTTGTGGATGACATTGTAGTTAAATATATTTATCTATGTGCAATTGTAGGTAGGTGTTTGTTTTATGGGTAAACGCTAGTATTTTGATGTGATTTATTATTTGGGTTACAGATAAGTTTTTGTTCTTTGTAAAAATGCAATTGATCTGATTGATGCAATATGTGAGTTATTTTATTAGCAAGTTATGCAAGTTGAGTACTAGTTGTTCTTCAAAAGTAGTAATGTGTTCCAATTGCTTCGGTTCTTGATGTTTCAACGCTATTTTTCAACTTCTCTCTTTAACATTGAATTTTCATAGAAATAATATTTTCGTGCATTTTGGTTGGTTATAAAATGGAAAATAAAGCTACCACATGACTTGTAAATATCGTGTGGTCTTTAAATCTACAACTATTCCTCATAAATTTACATGTCTACATGTCTACATTTCTCTAATGCTATAAACTTATAGTTCATTACTTTTATAATTACACACCTACCTACCTAACCTTTAAATAAAACAAATTCAATAATGCTATCAATTTTCATTGTCTCTATAACTACCCACAAAATGTCTTTAATTTTAAAAATTCGTATTCATCATTCTCCTTACATCACTTTTTCTATTACCAGGTAAAAGATCATTTTCAGGACCATTTAAATCACTATGACCAAAATTATATAAATGATTTGAATTTGGATTTGAAGGTAATGAACCAGCTGGTTTAAATTTTCTAGTTTTTGTTATTTCTGTTACTGGGTTCAACATTACTACTGATGATCTTGCTAATTGTGTTGCTGATGGAACTGTAGTATGTTGATGTTGTTGTGGTTGTTGTTGATGAGGGAAATAATCTCCTTGTTGAGAATGTTGATAAAGTTGTGGACTTTGATTTTGAAAAGAAGCTTGTGATTGCAATGTAGGTGAATTGATTGGTGATGTCCAAACTCCATCATTTTCAATAGGGACAAATGGTTGTTTACCTATTGGAGGTGACATTACAGTTTGATTTTTATGATGAGGTGTAAAATCAGTATATGTTTCAAGAGTTGATTTTCTTAAATCAGCTGGATGACGTAATTTTTGTAAAGGAGGTAATGGACGATTTGGTCTTCTTTGTTGTTGTTGTCTTTGATAATAATCATATTGTTCTTGTTGATAATATTGATATAATTGTGGATCAACTGGAGAACCATATTCTTGTTGATATTGTTGATTGAATTGATGATAATATTGTTGTTGTAATTGTTGTTGATATTGTTGTTGTTGGTATTGTTGATATTGTTGGGCTTCTTCTGAATCGATATAAACAGATGATGTATTACTATATCTTTTATCATAACTTGCATCTATTGCTAATTGATCATTAATCTTTTGAGGTAATGGATAATTCTCATCAATCTCAAATGATCTTGATGCTTCACCATTTTCATTATTATCTTTATCATAACTTGCATCTATTGCTAATTGATCATTAATCTTTTGAGGTAATGGATAATTCTCATCAATCTCAAATGATCTTGATGCTTCACCATTTTCATTATTATCTTTATCAAAATATACTTTATATACAGATTTCATTCTTTTGATTTCTTCTTGTTGTTGTGGGGTTAAATTATCCAATTCTTCGTCTTCATCTTCATTATCTGAATCATTTTTCAATAAATTAAAAGCTGACATTCTTGGTGATTTACTAATAGGTTTAGATTGTTTTGAATCATTATTGAAATCGAAATCTTCATCGTCATCTCCTAAACTTCTTTGTTCTTGCTCTTGTTGTTGTTGTTGTTGATTTTTATCATGTTTGATCACTGTATCCAAAGTAGTGTCCTTTGTATGATGAATCTTTTCATCTTCATCAAATGGAGATTCATCTGAACTTGTATGAACTTCAGTAGTATCATTGACATTATCATTTACTTTCTCATCTTCATCATCTTGATCATGTATTACAATTTGAGGTATTGCTTTATTTATTGCCATATCCGATTCATTTTCATAAGTTACACCATATGAAGTCTCTCCTGTTGGTGATATTATTCCACTATCATCTGATCCAAAATCTTCTTCAACAACATTAGATACATCTGGTGCTCCAGCATGTTGTAAATCAGGATCAGATTCATTCGGTATATTAGTATATTGTTTACCTTGAACTTTTTTCATAGGACTTATTTGAGAACTTGGATTTCTTGAATGAGATTTTGATTGAGTTCTTGAATGATTTCTTGAATTAATATTTGAATTTGATTTCATTAAATTGTCTAATGTTGCAGAATTTGATCTTGTCCTGATACTAGTAGAAACTCTATAACCTTGAGAATCACCTAAATTTTTACCATATTCATCTAAAGATAATTTAGAACCTGTTTGATGTTGATAAGGAAGTACAAAACTATCTAAATAAGGATCTTGACTTTTATTACCAAAATTATTAAAACTATAATTATCATTATTTCTTTCAGATATATTATAATTCACATAACCTTTATTAATTTGTTCCATTGGATATCTTGCTGAATTTCTATTATGAAATGGATTTTCATCATCTTTACTATAATGTTTAATATTAAAATCAGGTAATGCAGTACCATCACCATTTTCATAAAAATCAGGATCTTTATCCATTTCTTCCTTTTTATTCTTACGATAATTTTTATAAACAAAAAATCCCAATACACATAATATAGCTACAATTGGTAAAACAATTGATAATGCAATAGTAAGACTATTATCACTAACTGGTTTTTCACATTGATCATCTTTTGGATGATCTTTACAATAATCTGAACTACTTTCACTATCATCAGAAGTTTTTGAAGCTCTTTCAAAAATATCAACACTAGGAGTTATATGATTATGAAAATACATTTGTTGAGTTTTAGTTGGATAGTGAGATCTATGATTTAATAAATAGGATTTTTGAACGAATGACTAAAGTTAATTTTTGATTTGAATACTAAAAGATTTATGGTTTGACAATCGGAATTCTATCTCTATCAATGTTTTGAGTCTGTGAATGAATACCTAAGAATACAATTGTGTAAATTATACGAATTTAAGTTCTTCTCTTGGATTTTTAAAAAATTGATAAAATGGTCGAGTAAATCTCGTAAATAATAAAATTTCTTTGCCCAAATTTCTTTTTCACAATTTATAAGATAATATTAATAATTATAATATAGTAAAAGCTATTCAGCAATGTCTTACCTACTCTATCTTACTTATTTTCAACAGTCGATGGGATGAATATCTGGTGATATAGTAGTATGATTTCAAATTAACAGACTGATTTATTGTGATAGTTGTTGTGTAAAAATTTTAATTTGAGATAATAAATTTTTAAAATTATAAAAAATTAAATTTCTCGTGTTTATTTATTTACTAAATAATTATACACAGTATACATGTTATATACAGTATTTACTATGTATGTCACAAAATTTATTAATAAATCAAGACGCGTTAAATATTTGATGATTAAATTATGCACAATACGAGTGATTGGTCAATTGTTTCAGTTAAACAGAAAACCAGCATTGCCAATCTATTGATATATCTGTTGCCCTAATGTGAATTACTGTTAGCAAAACGTGAGACTAACATGATCTTTCTTGTTTTCATATTTGTTATGTGGAATTTGATTAGTACGTCCTATCACTTAGATGTGCATCCATCATAACTAATGACGCATGTAAATTGCACCTTACTAATGACCGGTAATGTTGAAAATTCACTCCATTAGTTGAAGAATTTTGAATAGCACAAATTTTCTCATCTTTTTGGTCTGAAGTTTAAATTTAAGCTTCTCCACGATGGTATCAAATCTGACTAACTTACCAGAAACCATAAAGTCTTGTAACATTAAATAATTAAAGGTGTTGTTTTAATCCGATTTGTAATTTCAAGGAATGCTTATTTCTAGGTAATAACAGTTTTAATTTGGAACGATTTCAAATTATGTCTTTGTTCGACTTTGAGAACACCAATTTGTAAACACATTCAAAACTTAATTTCTAAACCAGATTTTTGAGAACCAATTTTAGAAGTTGCTGAAAAATGAAACGATTATAACTCTTTATGGCATCTTTTAGCAAATTCTGAATTTCATTATCATTATTCTCAAGTTTCACAGTTCTTCTTAGTGCAAAGTGCATCCATCTATCGATGAAAAGAGTATTGAATGTTTGTTTACACTTACCGACCTAAAACGTAATGTATGAAATCATAAATTTGATAGGTTTATGCAACCAGGTGTTCAGAATACCACCTAAGTTTGAAAACTTACCTCTTAAGTTTACGAGTTTTATGTAAGCTTGTATTTAGATCTATCTGCGTTTGTACTTGAGCAGCACCACGAAGAACTAAAAACACAGTTCTCGACTGTTGTATAAGTCCTTCAGTCGGTCATATGGTTTAAATTGCACCTATTGTAAAAAAGATATGGCTATTTTCAGACATTGAAATTTTATTACATTATAAAAAAAAAATATGAAACAAGGAAAATACGACAAGTTTTAGCGCCTTTGCGTGTAGATTTGCACTAAAAAGTTTTTTATATAAAAATCAGAATTGTGATTACATCACATTATCAACACAGTTTCGTTTAAACTATGACTCCCAAATCTGACTCAGATTATATTCAACTTGATACAAGACCTCCCAGTTATAAAAAAAATCAACACATTGAAGCAATTAAATTAGATGTAACTAAAGCAAATAAGGATCAATCATCATCAAATTTAAAACCAAGTATCTGGGGTGATGTGATATATTGCACGCTTACAGCAATAATTTTATTCATATTCTCAGTGAATTTGATGTATTTACCCAATTTTTTTAGGTTTATAGGATTTTTTATGCTTCCTTATAGTATATTTCTTGGTATTTTAGTAAATGGAATTATTGTGTTTCGTGTTGAAGATAAAATTGGAACTGCACCGTTTTTTAAATTACTTGAAATTTGTATGTTGTTTATTTTTGTATTGCTGTTAGTATTAACAAAGATTATTCTATTTTTCCAATTGATGAATAATTTTCAAAAAAGAATGAATATTTGTAACAAAGTGTGAACGAGATTCAATAAAATGGTCATGGTGCTTGATCTATTATATAACCTTGGATTATAGGATATTTAAATTCTGTGCCCAATATACATGTAAGATATGGTTTTTTTGACTTAAAAGTATTCATTCACTTTGTGATATTTAGAAAGTTGTAAGGAGATGCTGAATTAATCAATCGCTGTTTAGATTTGGGCGTTCGGAAAATTCACGAAAGGTTCAAACTTTATTTAGTCTATATAGGTTGATTAAACTTGAATAGAAAATTCACCGATTTCTTTAATCGACTAGATCTATTCTGATTTTCATGTGTACATTGTCATACAAATTACATTCAGAAAATACAGCACATTCTTACGGTGCCAACAAAATGTGAATGTTGAATAAAGTTGAAAATTGTTCAGTTAAAAGGATGCCAGGAACAGGCATGTTTGGCCACTTCAACCTCAAACTAAATCACAAAATTTTCAAAACTAATTGAAAGCAAGAGTAGAGATTGAAAAGACTATACTTTGCAATATTCTGAATGTACTTTGTGTGAGCAAGATTGATTGAGCCCATCTTTTCACTAAAGTACCTTCGATAGTAATATAGTTTACTCTGAATGTTCCATGCTTGGATCTTCAGGTGAACCAGTTATGGAAACACAAAATTTTTTGATTTAGGTTAAAGTTAATAAAAAAGTCAACTTTCAAGTTGAACTAGCTTATACTATTGTATTTTGTTAAAGCAAGTAATTGATATTTTGTATATTCAAAGGTGTTTGCCAGCGTCGAAATATATGTGTAGGCTGTTTCGTCATATTAAATATCTACAGTTTTGTACAACCAAAATAAAATCTTAACTGTTAAAATACCAATTGAAGGATAAATGTAGACTAGAGGGACAATTGAAGTAATGTAAATTGATCATTTTAAACAAGTAAATGAAAGGTTTGATCATTTAAGATTTGAAAGTCTACAACAAATTAGATCATTATAATAACTTTAAATATTAAATAACACGTTAATTAAATTTCAACTATTTAACTAAACTTTCTATAAAATCACAATTTATCTAATATGTATTTTTTTCAAAGCTGCTAAAAGCCCAGATAAATTACCAGTTTGCATTTGTTCAAATAATTCAATTCTATAAGGAGAATCATTTAAATGATCAACTATTGATTTTCTAATATCATCAACCATTGAACCATGAGCACAAGTAGCAATACCTAAAGGACCATTTGTTTCTTTAATTTCTTCAGAAACAATTTCATAAAAATTTGGTTTATCTTCTCTAAATTCAATATTATTCAATTGTTTTTTTACTTGAAGGATATAATTATTATTTTTTTCATTTGATATATCAGAATCCAGTTTTTTTTCTTGTTCTTCTTCTTGTTCTAATTCATCATCTGTAAAATCAGTTGTTATTGGTTCAGTCAATCCTAAATGTGGTTGAGTAACATATATTATAATTTCAATTGAATTATTATTATTTGAATATTGTTGTAATTTAATTAATTCCTGATAAAACCATTCTAAGGAAGCATAATGTCTTATAACCCAATATAATTTTATTGTTTTTTTATCTAAATCATTTGAATGTTTAATAATATCAATTGCTTCATAATAAATTCCTGGTATACCATTACCACCTGCAATAAAAATTGAATTTTCAAATTTATTTATTGGTATTGGATTACCATAAGGACCTTCAATTGTAACTTTTATAGAAGCTTTTTGATCTGGTTGTTTTTGTAAATAACCATATAATCCATGAGTCATACCACCTTTAACTTTTAAATAAAATGTTATAGTATTTTCATTTTCAATTGAATCAATAATTGTAAAAGGATGAGATTGCCAAAAACATGTTGGTCTTAAAAAATGTATAAAAGCATGACAACCTGGGAATGGTTTCCAATATTTTGGTCTTTTTACTGAAACTTTAATAGTTTCATTTGCAATTAATTGAACTTGAGCAGTATGAATTCCAAATATTATTAATCTTGAAATTCTAACAACTCTATCAAATACCCAAATTGCAGAAGCACAATACATCCATTGATCTAAATTTTGATCTCCAGTATGAATCCATAATCCAGCAATTGCAAAAACAGCTAAAATGATATGAAATAATAAAAATAATTCATAATTTGTTCTTCTAAAAATCATTAAAGCTTGAAAATTCATTAAACCAAAACACACTAATGCAACTGTACCCCATCTTACATAAGCTTGTAAAAATCTTAAATTATATTTTCCAATACCTCTACCATTATAAGTCATACCAACTCCATGAACAATACTAATTAAAAACACTACTCTACCAATCCATTTATGAAAGAAAATAAATCTTGAATAAGGGAAACCAGTAATCCATTGCATAAAATTATTTCTACCAGCAAATAAAATTAATAAAGGCATTTGCCAAATAACAATAATACCAGTTCTATCAGCAATTTTTCTACCCATTTCATTCCATTTTTGAGGCCATATTGAATTTGGAGAAACATGATGATAATTTGAACAACAAAATACAATAGCCATAACAATCCAACCAAACATTATTAAAGTTTCTAATCTTGTTGGAAATAATATATGAATATGATTTATTAAAGTTTTATGATGAGCATGAGTCTTTTTAAATAATGCAGGTAATGTAATATATGATCTAAACCTATTTATAAATGAACCTTTTAATGATTTTATAAAATTTGGTGAAATAAAATAAATTAAATTTATGATACTTGCAATTAAAACTATACCGATCCAATATAACATCAAAGACATACCAAACCAATGAGCATAATTATAATTATACCATCTTGTTGTAACTGAATCATAAGCTGCTAATATCTTTTTTTGTGGTATTAATACTGGTTTATAATATGGTTTTGTCTTATTAAAAGATTTATCTTCCGTGACATTAACAAAACCAAATTCAGTAGCATTATGGAAAGCTTGTAAATATTGATCTTCAGTTAAATTAAATTTTTTACAACTTTTTAAAAAAAATTTTCTACTATTTTTGTTTTTCTTCTGATCTAATAATTCAATACATTGAGCCATTGTACCTAAAGCAGGTTGATTTTTAATTTTACAATATCCTATTTTTGATTCAGCAGTAACATTTGTAAAAAAATTTGCTGTTTTTCCAATTAATCCTTGACATGCTTGTACTGGGAAATTTGATTCAAATTTATTTGCTTTATATATTTGAAAATCACTTTTAACAAATGTTGAAAATGTTATAAATATTATAAGTATTAGTTGTGAAAATGTATGTTTGAGATATACCATTACTTATGTTTCAAGATTTCTTTGGAATTGAGTATTAATCTTTATGGTAATTTGTTCTTGTGTTTGGTATAATTGAATTGAGGATTTAAATTGATTTTGATTGAGGGGTGGTGAATGAAGTATTTGAAACACTGAAACAAATAAAAAATAAAAATAAATAATGAAACAAAAGATTTACGTAGCACTTTCCTTCGAAATTGAATTTACTTTTCAAGAGATCTATAAACATATTTATATTATGAAGAGAGAGATCTGTTGAGAATTCGAGAATAATGTAAATCAAAAGATTGTAGTGCCTTATATTGAAATGAAAAGGTAAAAAAAAACAATGTAAATTTAAAGTAAGTTACATATGTCTATTGTTATCGTTTTGTGTATTTGTGTATTTGTGGTTAGATATTTTTAAATTAAATTTTAGAAATTGTACTTCTTATTTAAGTTGGCTTAGTTTATTATGAAGAAGTTTATCTTAACCATCAATTCAAATTGAATTTCATTTTGATTTTATTTGAGTTTCAATTTCAATTCCTTTTTTTTCTTGTTAAGTAAGTACCTCACGTTTCATATAGCAAAGTGGGCTATAGAGCAAGTATGTTCCAGTCTTAATGTTATAAGAAAAACTTATTATTTTTCTAGATCCAAAAGTTTTGAAACGTTTAAAGAAAGAAGATCAAACTCTAGATTTAAAAAATTTATAGAACCAATTGAAGCTTTTTAAATTATAATGTTAAAACATACATACATAACAATTGAAACAATATATGTTTTTTTCTTTACACAATCAAATTTTTACTACTCACATACTTCCCTAATTAAATTTTTTTATCAATTTGATCAACTTACACAATTATAATTGTGAACAATAACTTACTTTACTTTACTTAATTTAACAATAAGATGTAGTATGTAGACAAATTATCCAATCAAAGAAATTTAAATGAAAACTTTTCAAATGAATTTTACCTAAAATCGGAATAAATTTTCAATTCCAATATTATAAACCAATTTTTAAAATTCTAAATTTTACTTTAAGGATGAGGCTATATCTACGTAAGATCAATGAAAACCTAGTTTACCAACCGTTTATGATAACAATTTTTCTTATCAAAGACTTGAAACTAAGTGAATGTTAAAATGATTAAAATAATATCCTGAAATTTTGACAGAAGAATTAAATCAAAAAAATTTTCTTGGTAATTCAAATTTCAAGGGGGTTTCAATGAACTAAGTTGTTGTAGATGTGTTACGTCAAATTAATTTTTGATTGAACTTTGTATTGTCATAGAAATAATTCTAACCTACTAATTTATGCATTATGTATGAATTAACTTATTGACTTACGAAACCGTTAAAAACTTTTGTCACTTTAGTTAAAATAGGACAGCCATTAAATAAGATTAAGTTGTTTAACAGTAGCAATATAATTACAGCTAAAATATGTTACATACTCAACTACTTTTCATTTTGGTTATGTAAAATTTAGATAACTAATAATATTTTGTTGAAACAATAATTAGTAAAATACTAAAATCTAATACAAAATTGAAAAATTAAAAATTAAAAAAAACAATAGATTTGGTGATAGTAAAATATAGTATTAATAATCTTACTAAGCGATTTTCTTGATTATATAAGAATTATTATACAATCTATGAATGGCGGAGTTCTTTTTAATTGAACTTATAGACATGAAACAGATCATGATAGCAAATCTCAGGGGATAAAAGAATATCCATTAATATATCTTGGTTAAAGGGTACATCATCAATATCCCTTCTTATTTTTTTAATTTGATGAAATTTAAATTATAATTTTAAATTGGTTTTGAAAAAATTTTTAATGAAAGATTAAGCTGAATATGGTAGCATAATACACATACATAATTAAACTAACAATTTTTTATCAGATTAATCTATTTATTCATTTAAGTGTAATCTTTTATATACAATAATTTATATGAATTGTTGATCTTTTATAACAATATCAAATAGATAAAAAATAGGCTTAAAATTCATAATACACACAAATTCAAACCTTCGATAGTTTTTATTTATAAATTATCTAATTGGTTTAAATGGCTAGTTGAAAATTCAATTACAAACCATGAAATAGTTTTTTAACTGCTTTTTGAAGCTGTAAATTGTATAGGAGTTTTTATTCGTAGATTCATTAGTACAGGAGTTAGACTTAGTAGATTGATAAAACTACACTTATCAGGATAATATAGTCAATTATTTCATTTGTTGAATTCACATCTACAATTACATTAGTTTTAATTGGGTATGTATATAAGTTTAATGAGTTATGGACAAATGCTTAAAGCTTAAAATTTATTGTTCAACAAAAATTTGATCTACATCATTATATGTCTCAAATACTGAAACTTTTATCAATCTAGACTAATGTTAATTTATTGATGTACAGTACATATGTTTCATTAAGTCAATATTTTGTGTTTAATCATTTTCTACTAGCCCTGATGAATTTAACACGAGAGAAGTATTACACGGCAATAAATTTTATTGCGCAAATTCAAATGCATCATGTTTACGTAGGTACTGTCCTAATTTTATATTTGTACTTTCATATTAATTAAATTAATGAATTAATCAAAAGTATAAAGTTAATTTAATTCGGACTGGTTTCGTATTAATTTAATTATTTTACATTATCATCATTGGCTAGAATTTATTCATAAGTTTTATGACCATTTATTCAAATCCACCATTTCTATTACAGCTTGCAATTACTCAAATTGTGCTACTTTTTATATCAACTCCTGCACTAACCCTTGCCTAAAGGTTTCACTCCTAAATTTTGACATTAAACTGTTTTCCGTTTAAGCTATAACTAAATTTATCCGATCTTACAGTACATTTCTTGGCAATATAATTATACAATGCTTGTTTTGACGATAATGTTCTATTGTATATATACCCATTCAAAAACATGTAACATATTGTAGGTGCAAAGATTGAACAATAAGAGATAGGGTGAGATTGTTAGATCGTGTGAGTATTGTTGTTATTGTTCCAAAACTTAATATTTATCAAGTAAATCTGATGTTCTATAATTCCTTATCTTAAAGATCTTTTTTATCAGATGAGATTTTACTCGTAAGGGATTAAAATTAAATTAAAATTAAACACTAAAATCCAAATAAGAAGACATGAAGAATCACAAAAAGTTTAGTCATAAATGCATTGAAAACTAGAATGTTACCTTTTACTGAAAACTAAAAGTATCGATCCGTATAAGATTATATCTCAAGAAAAACCACTTGAAAATTATACGATATAAAACTTTTAGCCTTTAAACTCTCAAGCAATTGGCACTTAGCTTTGTGAAAGGGTGCACGTTTGACACATTTTTAACTTGAATATACGAGCATATGAAATCTAATTGGAACCTTTTTTCATTCCTTGGCTAGGTTGAATGGTAATTTATGCTGGTCAAAGCGATTCAAACTATAATGTACGTAATTTAACCGTCACAAATCGAATTTTTATTTTGACCCGATCATTACAATTCACAAGATACACCCATTAAATTACAGCATTTTCCATCATGTTACATCCGGTAGAATCCTATCATACATTACCTTGAGCTAAAATTAGAGTTTAAAAATGTAAAAAACGAACTCAAATTGAACCCCATGTTTTTAAATAGTTTTAAAATTCTATTTCCTAAATTTTAGTCCAATTATAGGTTTAAATAATTAGAGCTGTTTGACGTTTCGATTTTTATTGCCAGGAAAATACTATTAAATGTGTCAAAATATGTTGAGTTTACGTTATGAGCTTGTTTGATGTAAGAACTGTAGTAATTGCTTGTTTCCTGTTTCAGGTGTTTTGAGACTTGTTTAATCGGTATTTTTGGCAAGGAGAGTAGTAACAATATTTCAAAACTCTTACGGATGAACCTCAAGATTTTTCTTGAGGTCCTGCAACTGACATATACAATCATTAAAATTTAAACTAAATACATGAGATCTATTTACAAATAATTATCATCTTCGTTCTTTTTAGATTCTCCAAATTCCCTCATTACCACAATTAAAAGACTTCCAGTTGAAACAAATTCATCAAACTAATTCAGCTTTAAATTCAACTTTCCCAATTGGAACCGCAGCTAGTTCACCATCAGAATAAGCAGCTTTAAAAAATGAATAATGTAAAACAATATCATCAATACTTCTCATTCCAGGATCTTTTGCAAAATCAGGATCAATAAAAAAAAATACTGGCATATCAACTTCTTCACCAGCACTTAATCTTTGTTCTTCAAAACAAAAACATTGAATTTTATTAAAATATGCTGCTGCATTTTCAGGAGTTATGGAATAAGTTGCCATTCCTATAATATCTTCTTTACTTAAATTTTTAGCTCTATAAAATGCTAAAGCAGTTTCTCCTGGTACTATATAAACTTCTCTTTGTAATGGAGTAAATTTCCATGGTAAAATTCCTGAAGATTGACAAGTAAATTGAACTCTTATTCTTTTATTTGTATCTACTGGAATTAATTTATCAGGAGTAAATTTTGTTGAATCTGTTATTGGTATACCACCCCATCCTGTTCTTTGACATATTGCTCTATATATTGGAACAGCTGAAAATGCTAATGCTAAAAATAATATTGCTATTGATGCTGAATAATATGTAGCTGTTCTATTTCTAAATTTTTGTCTTTCTTCTCTATCTTTTATTAATTTGTTTAATCGGTTTCTCTCATTTTCTAATTTCATTTGATCTTGATTTTGATTGAATATAAATGATTTGGTTTGAAAACTTCTAAATTTTATGAACAATGGTATGGAGTTATTGAGTGATTGATTTCGTTTTAATGTTTGTGATATTAATGATTTTGATAATAGTGATGAGCATCGTATTGATCTTACGGGACTATGTAGTATTCTTATCCCTAGCATCTTGTCTTTAATGTGTAGTTTAAAATCAGTTGATAATTTAATCAATCCGTATTTTTTTTCAGTGATAATATTAATCTGCACATCAAAAATTTAGAACATCATTTGCAACACAACAATTCATACACAACTACTGACGAAAGAGAATGCTACGATCAACAAGGATACTAAGTACGAGACCCATAGCTGCCACTAAGCTTTTAAATCCAAATAAAAAATACTCAATAATAATAGATCAACAATCACAACTTCCTCAAAAACCAAAATTATCACAATTTAAATATGCAATATTTAATACATTGGTAATTTCTTTGGGATCATATTTAGGATTACATATTATATGGACAAATTTAGAATATAAAGATGTTGAAAAGAAATTAATTGAAAAATCTGACAAATTAGAAAATGAAATTAAAGATTTAATTGAATTGAAAAATCAAGAAGTTGTTAAACTGAAAGAAAATAGTTGGAAATCTTGGTTTAGATTTTGGTGAATTTTGAGTAATTGATTGGATTTGGATAGTCGTTTCTATTACTTTGAGGATATGTTCAAATAATAGGAGGAAGATTGAATAAACTTAGAGGAGCTGGTCAAACAAAGTGTTCATCTAAGGCGTACCTTGCTTAAAAACGACAGCAAAGAATAAGGAGTTCTACCGAGTATCACAAGTTTATTTCTTCATAATTATAGAATTCAATTCAGTTTTGCATAATATATTAAACTTCACTAACTAAGATTATCTAATTATAAACTTTTTTAAAAGCTTGATCAAAATCTTCAATAATATCATCTATAAATTCAGTACCAACAGAAATTCTAATTAATCCCTTTGTAACACCAGCAGCTTTTTTTTCTTCTTCACTTAATTGTTGATGAGTAGTATAATAAGGAGCAATAACTAAAGTTTTAGAATCTCCAACATTTGCTAAATTTAAAGCAATTTTTAAATTATCAACAACTTTTGGTGAAGCTTCATCAAATGGATTTTCTGGTTTTTCTTTTAAATCTTTAACTTCAATAGCTAAAACACTACCAAAATATTTTGCATCATTATTTAAATATTTTTTTGCTAATTCATGAGTTTCATGTGATGGTAAACCTAAATAACTAATTGATTTAACATTTGGATTTTTTTCAAACCATTTTGCTAATTTTAAAGCATTATCACTTTGTCTTTCAACTCTTAAACTTAAAGTTTCTAAACCTTGTAATAATAAAAATGAAGCAAATGGATTTAATGCAGGACCTAAATCACGTAATAATTCAATTCTTAAATGTCCAATATAAGCTGCTTTACCTAATGCATCATTTAAAATTAATCCATGATAACCTTCAGAAGGTTTTGAAAATTGTGGATATTTTTCTGGATATTGAGTCCATGGAAAATTTCCTGAATCAATAACTGCTCCTGCAATAGTTGTACCATGACCTCCAATCCATTTAGTAGCTGAATGAGTAACAATATCTGCACCATGAGCAATTGGATTAATTAAAAATCCACCTGCACCAAAAGTATTATCAACTACAACTGGTAAACCATTATCATGAGCTAATTTAACAATTTTTTCAAAATCAGGAACATTAAAAGCTGGATTACCAATACTTTCTAAATATATAGCTCTTGTATTTTCATCAATTAATTTTTTAAAATCTTCAACATTATTACCATTAACAAATCTTGTTTCAATTCCTAATCTTTTAAAAGCAACTTTAAATTGATTATAAGTTCCTCCATATAAATATGAAGTACTAATAATATTATGACCAGCATGAGCTAATCCACCAATTGCTAATAATTGAGCAGCTTGTCCAGAAGAAGTAGCTAATGCTCCAATTCCACCTTCTAATTCAGCTAATCTATTTTCAAATACTCCAACTGAAGGATTATTAATTCTACTATAAATAAAACCATCTTTTTCTAAACCAAATAATTGAGCACCTTCATGAGAATCTTCAAATTGTGATGAAGTTGATAAATAAACTGGATATGAACATGGATTATGAGTAACTTTTTCACGACCAGCGTGTAATTGTAAAGTATCGTAATGAGATGGCATTTTTATTGAGTTGTTGTTATGGATGATTCAATTGAATTAGAAATTGAGAAAACACGTTTAGTATTTATGTTGAAAAATTATAATTTTATAAATTGTGGCTCCACAATTAAAATTTTCTCACATAATAATTATTTTAATTACTTATGCATAAAGAAGTAAAATTATGACAATTGGATATATAGGTGAAACGGAGACTTTGAATCTACCCAAGAAATTTAGCAGCTGTGGTAAACCTAAGGGTTCTCTTTTCGAGTGTGAGTCTTGTAACTATATTCTTGAAATTTATTCATTTGTCTTTTTGCAATACATCGATACTGAATTTTATGCTTACTTTATGCAATATTTTCGTAATAAAATTGGACCAAACAAAAGAAAATGTGTTTCGGGTGAAAATTAAGGTGACCCGAGACAAATAAATAATATTGTTTAGTGGTATAAAACCAGTCTGTTACCACGAATAACGTAAATGCACTCCAATCAATAGTGATATCAATGCCATTATGCATCGATGTCAAACAATAATGAAAGGTTAGGTTTGCAAATTCATGTCTGCGGTACGGATGTTAGTAAATGATCGGATTTATGCACCAATTCAAAAATTATCGGAGTTGTGAAATTTACAGATCAAAAAAGTAAAAAATGTAAACACTAAGAATCTGAAACGAATCTTAAAATTTTATGATTGAGTTACACCATTTCAATGGCAAATATATATCAATGTCAAGGTACTACTCAAAAAGGATATAGATGTAAGAAAACAGTATCAATACCACAAGGTTATTGTATACATCATAACAAACAACAAGCACAACAACATGTACCTGGAACTTTTTCATCCACAAGACCAAATAAAGGTTATATATATTTATATACAATGAATAATTTTATAAATCCACCATCAAATTGGTCATTTAAAGTTAAAAATATACCAAATACAAGTACCAAAGATAAAGATAAATGGATTAATTTTAAAAGTAGGAAATCACCATATATTTTAATAAAAATTGGAATGACTACTCAATTACCTAATATTAGAATTAAACAATGGGAAATGAAATGTGGTCATGATTTAATTAATATAGGTCCTAAAAATGAGAATTTAATAAAGAATAAGAATTTTTTAGAAAGATTTTTATGTTTAAGTATAGAAGACAGAGAAGAAATAAATTATAATAGATTTAAAAATGATGGATTTTATTGTGAAGAAAATTTAAAATTAATTGAGTCAACTATACATCAAAAACTTCGACGAAAATATGGTAAAGGTGATGTATATTGTAGTGGATGTTTACAAGATCAAGAAAAAATTAAAGATAAACAATCACCTTTCAAAACAAATTATAATGTACATATTGAATGGTTTCTAATACCAAAAAGTGATTTAAGAGAAGTTCATAAATTAATAGATTGTACATGTAGATCAATTGGATGATTTAAAAAAATAAACAAATAAGCTTAAGCTTCAATTTTTTTTAGCTACTTAATAATACATTATATATAAATATACTTTTAATCTCCTTTTTTTAATAATCCTAAGTATTCATATAAGTTGATGGATCAACACCTTCTTCTGGGAATTCAGTAATTTTAACATCAAATCTACTTTGAATTTTTTCCAATACTTCTTCATCTTCTTTATTTGATACAAATGATATACCTAAACCTTTTGTACCAAATCTACCTGCTCTACCAACTCTATGTAAATATTGATCAGCTTCATTTGGTAAATCATAATTAATAGCTAAATTAATTCTTTCAATATCAATACCTCTTCCAAATACATCAGTTGAAACACAAATTCTTTTATTAAATTCTTTAAATGATCTATATCTTTCAATTCTTTCTTCTTGTGGTAAACCTGAATGTACAGCAATTGATGGAAAATTACAAGCACATAATAATTTATTTAATTCATTTGCTCTTTGAGTTGATTTAACAAATATAATAACTTGATTAAATTCTAATGAATCTAATAAATCTGATAATTTTCTATTTTTTTCTTTTTCTTCTAATTTAATATAATATTGTTGTAAACCATGTAAAGTTAATTTAGCTTCATCATCAACATATATTTCTAAAGGATTTTGCATAAATTTTTTACATACAGGACGAATATCTTGTGATAAAGTTGCAGAAAACATCATAACTTGTTTTTGATGTGGAGTAGCTCTAAAAATATCTTGAACATCTCTTCTCATATCAATTGATTCTAATACTTTATCACATTCATCAATAACAAATGATTTAACATTATTTAATCTTATTGCTTTTTCATTAACTAAAGCATGTAATCTACCTGGTGTAGCAACTACAATATGAGGACAAGTATCTTTATTTTTTAATTTTTCAACATCTCTTTTCATTGGAGTACCTCCATAAAATACATCAGTTTTAACATCTGGCATATATTTTGAAAATCTTGCATATTCATTTCTAATTTGATATGCTAATTCTCTAGTATGACATATAACTAATGTTGAAATTTCACCTGGAATAGGATCTAATTGTTGTAAAGTAGATAAAACAAATACAGCAGTTTTACCTAAACCAGATTTAGCTTGACATAATACATCAGTTCCTAAAATAGATTGAGGAATACAAACTTGTTGAACTTCTGAAGGATGTTCAAACCCACAATCTCCAATTGCTCTTAATAATTCTGGTTTTAATAAAAAATCTCTAAAACCAGTTGCATGAATTCCAACATATGAACCTTTTTTATCAGCGTCATTAGATGTTTCATCAGCAGCTTGAGTTGTAGTTGGTACTGCAATCTCTTCTGAGTCTGAATAATCTAATAACTCTTCTTGATTCTCGTGGGACATCTTAGTTGAATTTGGGATGTATTGGTTATTTAACTAGTTACTAAGTTGTTGTTTTTGTATTTCAGCGTGTATTTTTTTTTTAACTTTAACTGTCGAAATTTTTCAGACTGGTAGTGCGTCACTCAATTTATTTTTGCATTTCCATGACAATACTTAATTCGAGACACAAGGTTTGAGTTGGATCAAGATCATCTTTACCCCAAAACACTAACAAAATGTTAAGAAGAAGTTTAGTATTTAGATCAAATGCATTAATACTATCAAGATCGTTTACAAAAACCACTCCAAAATTATTTTTCAATAACAAAGCTCCATCAAAAGAAGAACAAGATGCAGCATTTGGTAAAATCAAAAAAGTATTACTGGAACATCCAGAATTAATGCAATTAACTGTTGAATTTAAAGAAATTTTAGATAAAAAGGGATTATTATCAACCGGTAAACCTTCAATAACTCAAATGATGAAATTATTAGCTGATAAAGAAGTAAGAGAACATGGAGCTAAATTAAAAAACTTTTTAGATTCAAAAGATACTGGTTTAACACAAGATGAATTGGCAACTATAACTGGAGCATATATGTTTCAAGGTAAGGATATCAAGTAAATAGAAATAAAATCACTGGTGATTCATTTGTAAATAGATAATTTTAGCATAATCATAGTTAACTCCACTAATGAAAGTTTTTGTATGTAGAATATCTTTTTTCTTTATCTCATTACGGATCTAACAATTAAAAAAAAAAATTATGCAGTAGTAAAGTTCTACTCTATAAGTCTCTCATTTAAAACCATCATTAATGGGAGTTCCAGCATTATTTAGATGGTTATCTAGGAAATATCCCAAAATCATTTCACCAGTAATTGAAGAAGATGAATATGAAATAGGAGGAGCAAAATATGAAGATCCAAATCCAAATGGAGAAATTGATAATTTATATTTAGATATGAATGGTATAGTTCATCCATGTTCTCATCCTGAACATAAAAGACCACCAGAAACAGAAGATGAAATGTTTTTAGATATTTTCACATATACTGATAGAGTTTTAATGATGGCTCGACCTAGAAAAGTTTTAATGATTGCAGTTGATGGAGTTGCACCAAGGGCTAAAATGAATCAACAAAGAGCAAGAAGATTTAGATCTGCTCAAGATGCAAAATTTAAAGAAGAAGCAATAGAGAAAGAAATTCAACAAAAAGAAGCTAGAGGAGAAATTATAAATGATTCAGTTAAAAAGAAACAATGGGATTCTAATGCTATTACACCAGGTACTCCATTTATGGATAGATTAGCAGAAGCATTAAGATATTGGGTTGCATATAAATTAAGTAATGATCCTGGTTGGGCTAATTTACAAGTTATTATATCTGATGCTACAGTACCAGGTGAAGGTGAACATAAATTAATGGCATTTATAAGATCACAAAGAGCTGATCCACAATATAATCCAAATACAAAACATTGTATATATGGATTAGATGCAGATTTAATCTTTTTAGGATTAGCAACACATGAACCACATTTTAGAGTATTAAGAGAAGATGTTTTTGCAAATCAAGAAAAACATATGACTGTTTCTGATCATGTTGCAATGACTAAAGATCAAGCTACTCAAATAGAAGCAAGAGATAAAAGAAAACCATTTTTATGGTTACATGTTAATGTACTACGAGAGTATTTAGAAATTGAATTATATAATCCACAAACTTCTTTCCCATTTGATTTAGAAAGAGCTATAGATGATTGGGTTTTTATTTGTTTTTTCGCAGGAAATGATTTTTTACCTCATTTACCAAGTTTAGATGTTAGAGATAATGGTATTGATACTTTAGTAAATTGTTGGAAAAAATGTGTACCTAGATTACGAGATTATGTTACATGTGATGGAAAATTGAATTTAGAAAGTGTTGAAGTATTATTGAAGGATTTGGCTATACGAGAAGATGAAATTTTTAAAAACAGACGTCAAGTTGAAAGGAGGAAAGAAGAAAATCGAAAAAGAAGAAAATTAGCTGAGGAACAAGATAAAGCTTTGAAAAATGTTTATATGTCACAAGTATCGAAAGGTAAAGACAAGGCTCCAATGGCTGCAGATATTAATATGCCATTGATGGATACAAGTGGTAAAAATGTCGAAGGTTATGCTCAATTAAGTAATAAAGATATTGTTAATAATAGAGATACAATAACGTTAGCTGGTATGGCCAATAATGATGCTGCTGCTGCATTGAAAAAACTTATTGATTCCAAAAAACAATTGAAAGAGGAAACTCCGGAAACAAGCACGGCTAGTAATACTGATGTCGATGATATACCCAAGAAAAGATCATTTGAGGAAGCTGAAGAAGAGGGTGATAATATAAGATTACATGAACCAGGATATCAAAAGAGATATTATGAAACCAAATTTCATTGTAGGACAGATGAAGAAATTGAAAAAACAAGAAGAGAAGTGGTTAAAAGTTATATTGAAGGTATTTCATGGGTTGCTCAATATTATTATCAAGCATGTCCTTCGTGGACTTGGTTTTATCCTTATCATTATGCTCCATTCGCAGCTGATATGACTGATTTACATGATTTGTTTCCAGAAGGTGTTAAATTTAAATTAGGTAAACCATTTAGACCATATGAACAATTAATGTCTGTTTTACCAGCAGCTTCAAGTCATGCATTACCTGAAGTATTTCATGATTTAATGAAAAATCCAGATAGTGAAATTATTGAATTTTATCCTGAAGAATTTGAAATTGATATGAATGGTAAAAAAATGAGTTGGCAAGGTATTCCTTTATTACCATTTATTGATGAAACAAGATTATTAAAAGCAGTTCAAGGTAAATATATAGAATTAACTGAATATGAAGAAAAAAGAAATACAAATAAAGAAGCTGAATTATTTATATCAAATCAAAATAAAAATTATAAAAAATTTGTTGAAGCATTTTATGAAGATCTGATGGAGTCATTAAATTTTAAATTTGCAAGATCAGGTTTAGCTGGAATTGCAATTAAATATTCTAATTTTACATTAGAAGGATATTTTAAATTTCCTTTAAAAGAAGGTAATATGCCAAATGTAGATCATAGAGATTATTTACAAATTGTATATCAATTTCCTGAAAAAAAGAAAGGTAAATCAATGTTATTGAATGGGTTTATACTGTCAGCTCCAGCTTTAACTAGTGCTGATAAAAATGAAATTATTTATAAATTATCATCTGGAGATAATAGAAGTGCAGGTCACTTTAAAAATAATAATAATATTAAAAATAATGATTATGTTAATACTGGACCAATTGGTAAAGAAATTTATAAAGTTTATGGTATGAGAAGAGGTGGGTATAGATCACAAGTACAATCATTGAAAGATAAAAATAATAATTTTCTGTATAATGGTCAAAATTTACCAAAAAGACCACCACAACAAAACTATCAACAACCGTATCAACAAAATCAATATCCACCACAACAATACCCACAACAACAATATTCTCAACAATATCCACAACAACAATATTATCAACAACAACATTATTCACAAAATCATTATCAAGCATACCCACAACAACTGTATAACAATACTTATCAAAATTATAATTCTGGACAAAACGCACCTCCAAGAACAAATGGATATTTGCCACCTAAAAATAGAAATGGTTATAATGCGTATAATGGAAACAATTACAATGGAAACAGTTATAATAGAAATGGTTATAGGAGTTAATTTTCTTCTAATGTATTTATTAAATATGTCTATGTATTAATGTATTATATATAAATTTGTATCACTCGAAGTTTTAATTTTTATTTTATGATTCTCTGTCTCTGGTAAAGCTATTATACTTCCATCAAGGCAAAATCTTCTTTGTATTAAATCTTTTGAAAATAAAATATCTAATTCTAATTTATCATCTTTATAAATTTTTTTATAAATTACATTTGAATTTTTTATATGTGAACCTTTGTCATATACTTGCATCATTACCTCCATAATATCAATTCCAGTTTTAAAAGCAATTAGATATAATTCATCTTTTAAAATATTTCCATTTGGAGAAATTTCAAAAGTTGGTTCAAATTTTTCAGCTGAAGTTAAAACAAAATATGCAAATGGACCTTCTACAATCTCATCATTAATTTTCAAATTTGCTTCATATTTTTGCTCTTTTTCTAAATTTTGTTTAGCTGCAATTTGAAATCTTTGTAACCCATGTTTCCTCAATTCTTGTGTATCACTATCTGCAACTAAACTTGCATGAAATGCCCATGAAAACACAACTAGAAATTTTAATGGTTGATTAATTTTATCCTTGGGTTTATCTTGAACTAAATAATATGAATTTGATGGTAATTCTACTTCATATGTGAACAAGGGAGATATTTTTTCAGAAATTAATAAATGAGCCACAGCTTGTATTTGAGATGTTAAACCTAATGATAATGCCAAACTATTCCCAGTGCCAGAAGGAATGGGATAAATATTTATATGTTCTTTGTATTTTAAATTGTTAACAAACTCATTTATTGATGTATCTCCACTAAGAAATATAATTGTTGAATTTGGTGTGTTGAAAGTTGAAGCAAATTCATTTATTGTATCTGCATTTTTAGTTTGAATGTAATTGTATTCAATTTCCAATGTCAGAAATAAAGGTTTGATAATTTCTGTATATAAATTTAAGTCTTCTCTTCCTGAACCTGAATTAACTGAATCAATTATGTAAACATTATTTTTCAAAAATTCTGGAATTGATTTAATTAATGTGTCTTCATTTGAATTTGGTGAATTTGTTACATTAAATCGAAATGTTGAATCTTCTTTTTGTTCCAATTCTATTCTTAAACTCTTAGGTTCATAGTATAATGAGTAATTTGTCTCTTTACTCATTTGGTATACGCTTGAAGGAGTATGGTTGGTAATATGAGTCAAATAATTATGATAATTTACATGGATTAGTAATTTATATTGTAAATAGAGTAAATAGATATTCGGATTTAAGATTAGGTTAAGCCGCATTTACGTCGTTTATTCTGATTTTGTGTAGAAAATGATTCTACTTAATAAATTGACAAAATTCTCAAAATATGAGTGAAAATTGGAAAAGTTGATATCAAAGTACTGAAGTACTCGAAATAAATAAAAGTAGGAGGATTAATCAAGCAATAGTCAAACCAATTTTTTAAACGGAGTACTTTTTAACAATTTTTCCCTATTTAACTTCAAGCCAATGATTTGGTCTTACAAGGTACCTATTTCATATTTCTGAATAATAACTGTGACATGTCTGAAGCATATTAAACACCAGTGTTAGTTCCATCAACTCTACTCAATATATTCTAAGAAATGAATTGGGGTAATCATTTTTAATGTTGTTTCAGATTTATCTTTTCGATTAGTACATGTAATTGATTTTGTGTAATTTTTCACTCATCTCAATACTTAGTAAAAGAGAGAGAAGAACTGTATTATTGTACTGTTGTTATACATACTCGAACAAACTCATTAAATCAACTCAACACATTAGTTTACTCCAAATATTAGACTAGAAACTAAGTAGAATATCATGGATGAAAATGAGACTATTAAGCTTAATTTAAATCAAGTCAAAGAAGCGTATCATACATTCAAATCACATTATTCAGAAAAGAATATACCAAAACTAGTTGAATTTGATTCAAATTTAACCATAAATGAGAATTTAAATCATATATCATTATTTGCATTGCATAATCCATTACTTGCATATTATTGTTATAAACCTATATTTTTAGAATTAATAGCGAGATGGATTCAATATCCTAATTTATTTGAACAAGATTCATCAACAACTTCTGGATCAATAATACTATCATCATTATCACAATTATTAGGTATATCAAATGAATATTTAAACTTATTTGAATTATTTTTACAAAAATCAAATTTTAATACTATCCAACCAAGGGAAATAGATTCAATTTTATTAGCATATTTTCGTTTATTACATTTTGATTGTAATAGATTTAAACATTATATCAACCCAAATATAATATATAAAATTTTAGAAGAGAATGAACTGAAAGTTTCGAAATATTTAGCCATCCAAATAATTACCATGTACATACTGGCATCAGAACAAGTTCGAAATAATATGTTGAAGAAATATAATATTGGGGAAGAAATATATTCACAAAATTCTTTATTAAATTATTATTTTTTACCATTAGAAGAAGCAAAAAGATTATCAAATTTTCATAACCTACCACACTTGAAATTAACAAATTTTTCAAATATTTTGGAAATTCCAATCTCCGATATATCAACAACATTATTAGCACCTGTTTGTGGAATATTAATACCAAAATTAAATGGAGGAAATACAAAACAAAACATAAAATTTGTACCTACCAAAAATTCAGTTAAAAGTTTGAAAAAATTAGCTCATAATATACAATTAAATAAACCTGTTATGTTAGTTGGAAATGCTGGATCTGGGAAAACTTTTTTAATAAATAAATTAGCTGATGATTTATCTTATACAGATTCAATTGTTAAAATTCATTTAGGAGAACAAACTGATGCAAAATTATTACTTGGAACTTATACTTCTGGAGAAAAACCAGGGACATTTCAATGGAATACTGGAGTATTGACATCAGCTGTGAAGGAAGGTAAATGGGTTTTAATTGAAGATATAGATAAAGCACCTACTGAAATTCTTTCAATTATTTTAACATTATTAGAGAAAAGAACTTTAACTATTCCATCAAGAGGTGAAGTTATTGAAGCTAAAAATGGATTTCAATTATTTTCGACAGTTAGAACTGATAAAAAATTTGGTGTACCAGATATCATTGGATCAAGATTTTGGGAAATTATTGAAATACTACTGCCAAATGAAAAAGAATTAAAGCATATTTTAGAAGTTAAATTTCCAAGATTACAAAGTTATTTAGATCCTATATTAAGATGTTATTATGAAGTTTTACGATTTTACGATTTAAAAGCATTTATTACCTTAAATAAAGGAAGTCTTCCAAGAATCATATCAACAAAAGATTTAATGAAATTTTGTTCCAGATGTGAATTATTATTTGAAAATCAATCTGATTTGATTGATGTTTCTATTTATGATGATGTATTTGCTGAAGCTGTTTCATGTTTTGGTAGTGCTATTGTTGAACCTAATGCATTAGAACAATTAGCAAAATTTATTGGAGAAAAATTGGAAATTCCTTCATCTCGAATTAATTTATTTTTATCCAAACATGCACCAGTTTATCAAAATGAATCTGAATATTTAAAAGTTGGTCGAGCTGTTTTAAGGAAATCCATAAATCACAAAAAATCCGAATCATCATCATTCGCAAGAACTAATCATGCACTTCATTTAATGGAACAAATCGGAGTAGGTATAAAAATGGCCGAACCTTTATTACTTGTTGGTGAAACTGGTACAGGTAAAACAACAATAGTTCAACAAATTGCCAAAATACTACATAAAAATTTAACTGTTATTAACGTTTCTCAACAAACAGAAGCTGGTGATCTCTTAGGTGGTTATAAACCAATCAATTCAAAAACTTTAGCTATAAATGTTCAAGAAGTATTTGAAAAATTATTTTTAGCGACTTTTTCAGAGAAAAAAAATGAAAGATTCAATAAAATTTTATCTAAATGTTTTAATAATAATCAATGGAAAAATGTAGCTCGATTGTGGAGTGAGGCACAAAAACTGGCCATAGATATATTAATGAAACAGCCAATGGATGATGAACCAAGAAAGAAAAGGAAAACTGATAAAACCTTTTTATTACAAAAATGGAATGAATTTAAAAAGCTTTTGGAGGACTTTGAAGTTCGTACAACTTCAGAACATTCATTTGTTTTCGATTTTGTTGAAGGGTCATTAGTAAAAGCGGTAAGAAATGGTGATTGGCTTTTACTTGATGAAATTAATTTAGCAAGTTCAGATACTTTAGAAAGTATTGCTGATTTATTAAGTGAAACTACAGATCAAAGATCAATTCTTTTATCAGAAAGAGGTGATACTGAACCAGTAAAAGCTCATCCTGAATTTAGAATTTTTGGTTGTATGAATCCATCAACTGATGTTGGTAAGAGAGATTTACCTGTAAGTATTCGATCAAGATTTACTGAAATTTATATACACTCACCAGATAGAGATTTACAAGATTTGTTAAAGATTATTGATAAGTATGTTGGTAGATTTTCAATTGGGGATGAATGGGTTGTCAATGATATTGCTGAACTATATTTGAAAGCTAAAGCATTATCAGAACTGAATAAAATTGTTGATGGAGCTAATCAAAGACCACATTTCAGTATTCGTACATTAACAAGAACTTTGATATACGTATGTGATATTATTCCAACATATGGACTAAGGAGATCATTATATGAAGGATTTTCAATGACATTCTTGACATTATTAGATATTAAATCAGAAGAAATATTGAAACCTGAGATTATAAAATATACAATTGGTAAATTAAAAAATATGAAATCTGTTATGAGTCAAATACCATCTCCTCCTAATCTGGCTCTGGTTCAATTTAAACATTATTGGTTGAAACATGGACCTAATGAAATAATACCACAGCCTAATTATATTATAACACCATTTGTTGAAAAAAATTTATTAAATTTAGTTAGAGCTACAGCTGGTAGGAGATTTCCTGTTTTAATTCAAGGTCCAACTTCTGCAGGTAAAACATCAATGATTAATTATTTGGCAAATATAACTGGACACAAATTTGTTCGTATAAATAATCATGAGCATACAGATTTACAAGAGTATCTAGGTACTTACGTCAGTGATACATCGGGAAAATTGGTTTTTCAAGAAGGTGTATTAGTTGAAGCTTTAAGAAAAGGTTATTGGATTGTTTTAGATGAATTGAATCTTGCACCAACTGATGTATTAGAAGCTTTAAATCGTTTATTAGATGATAATAGAGAATTATTAATACCTGAAACACAAGAAGTTATAAAACCTCATCCAGATTTTATGTTATTTGCTACTCAAAATCCTCCTGGTTTATATGGTGGTAGAAAAGTTTTATCAAGAGCTTTTCGAAATAGATTTTTAGAACTTCATTTTGATGATATACCACAAGATGAATTGGAAATAATTTTAAAACAAAGATGTCAAATTGCTCCAAGTTATGCTAAAAAAATAGTTGATGTTTATAAGCAATTGACATTTCAACGTCAATCTACAAGATTATTTGAACAAAAAAATTCATTTGCTACTTTGAGAGATTTATTCAGATGGGCACAAAGAGATGCAGTTGGATATGAAGAATTAGCAATTAATGGATATATGCTTTTAGCTGAGAGAGTTAGAAAGAAGGATGAAAAGTTGGCTGTTAAAGAAACCATTGAAAAAGTAATGAAAGTTAAACTAGATACGGATTCATATTATGATAATTTTAATATAGACGCACTTATTGAAAGCGATACTACTGTTGTTTGGACAAAAGCGATGAGACGTTTAGCAATTTTAGTTTTGGCATCTATTAAGAATAAAGAACCAATATTGTTAGTTGGAGAAACAGGTTGTGGGAAGACTACTATATGTCAAGTCATTGCTGATTTTTATAAAAAACAATTAATAGCTGTCAATGCTCATCAAAACACTGAAACTGGTGATTTATTAGGTAGTCAAAGACCAATTAGAAATAAAGCTAACATAAAAGAAGAATTAAGAGCTGAAATTTTGACTTATTTAAATAAAACTGATAATTTGTCATCGCTTGATGTTCTTATAAGTGAATATAAAAATACTGGAACTATGGTAGACACTATTGAAGATCTCATAAAGTTAAATTCAGTATTATTTGAATGGTTAGATGGTCCACTAGTTATAGCCATGAAAACAGGTAATTTTTTCTTACTAGATGAAATTTCATTAGCTGATGATTCTGTTTTAGAAAGATTAAATTCTGTATTGGAACCAGAAAGAAGTTTATTACTTGCTGAAAAAGGTAGTGAAGATGCTTTTATTGTTGCAGAAGATGGGTTTAGATTTTTTGCTACAATGAATCCAGGTGGTGATTACGGGAAAAAAGAATTATCACCAGCTTTAAGAAATAGATTCACTGAAATTTGGGTTCCTTCTATGGAAAACTTCGAGGATGTTCATCAAATAGTTGAATCAAGGCTTAGTGAGAGGCAATTAACTGATTCTATTGTTGATTTTTCAAAATGGTTTGCAATGGAATTTGGAGGAGGAAGTACAGATAATGGCGTTATATCTTTGAGAGACATATTAGCGTGGGTTGAATTTATTAATTCTTGTAATTATTTGGATCCTAAAGTTGCATTTTTACATGGTGCTTTAATGGTATTTATTGATGCATTGGGAACAAATAACACTGCATACCTTGCTGAAAATGTCGATATTCTCGAACAAAATAAATCAAAATGCATTGAATTTTTGAAAAGTGATATTGAAGTTTCCAATTTTAAAATTCAAATAGATGATAAATTTTTCAATGCTGGTCATTTTCAAATTTCTATCAAAAGTACTGCTGCAGCTCAACAATCTTTCAGTTTAAATGCACCAACTACGGCGAAGAATGCTATGAAGGTTGTTAGAGCAATGCAAGTAAATAAACCAATCTTGTTAGAAGGTAGTCCGGGTGTTGGTAAAACTAGTTTAATTACAGCTTTGGCTTCAGCTACTGGTAATAATTTGATACGTATAAATTTATCAGAGCAAACTGATTTAGTTGATTTATTTGGTTCTGATTCTCCAACTGCAAATGGAAAAGCTGGTGAATTTTCATGGAGAGATGCACCATTTTTAAGAGCTATGCAAAAAGGTGAATGGGTTTTACTTGATGAAATGAATCTTGCTTCACAATCAATTTTAGAAGGATTAAATGCTTGTTTGGATCATAGAGGTGAAGCTTATATTCCAGAATTGGATAAATCATTTAAGAAACACCCAGATTTTAGAATCTTTGCAGCTCAGAACCCACAATATCAAGGTGGAGGAAGAAAAGGTTTACCTAAATCATTTGTCAATCGTTTTAGTGTGGTTTACGTGGAAACATTAAAAGCTGAAGATCTTCAATTTATTTTATCATATTTATATCCTTCGGTTGAAGCAGCTGAATCGGTAAACTTAATTGAATTTATATCAGAAATTGAAGATCAAATTGTTCAAAAAAAATTATGGGGTCATCAAGGAAGTCCATGGGAATTTAATTTAAGAGATTCATTAAGATGGCTAAGTTTATATACAAATAAAAATTTGAAACTTAATATCGAGTTGGCTGATTTTCTTGATATGGTAATTTTGCAAAGATTTAGGAATAAGGAAGATCAAGAAAGGGCTTTAAATTTATTTGCAAAAATATTTGGCTCAACACCAAAACAAGAAAATTATTTTAAGTTGACAGACTTGTATATTCAGATTGGTTCTGCCCTTGCAAAGAGGAATGAATATCAACAATTTTACAATGAAAAATTATTACCGTTGCAATGTAATTACAAAATTATGGAAACGATGATAAGATGTATTGCAAATAATTTACCAATAATATTAACTGGTCCTTCAAATTCTGGTAAGACTAGTATTATTCGTTACATGGCTAATATTTATGGTGCAAAATTGGATGAGTTTTCAATGAATAGTGAAATTGATTCAATGGACATATTAGGTGGTTATGAACAGTATGATTTGTCTAGAGAATTGCATAAACTTTTGCAAAAAATAGAAATTGAAATGAATGAGATTGTAATTAAAATGCATGATGAATCTGATAAAGCATTATTTGTTTTAAATTTAATTCCGACGGTTGAATTAGAGTCATATGAGAAATTGCATGGTCATCTTGAAAATTTGGTAGACCCAGATACATTTGAAGCATCAAAATTATTGGTTAAAAAATTGAATGAACCAAACTCATTGAAATTTGAATGGTTTGATGGTTTACTTGTACAAGCAGTTGAAAAGGGTCATTGGTTAATTTTAGACAATGCAAATTTGTGTCCTCCATCAGTATTGGATAGGTTAAACTCATTACTTGAAACTAATGGAACATTAATAATTAATGAATGTACTTTGGCAAATGGTGAACCAAGAGTTTTAATTCCACATCCAAACTTTAGGTTATTTTTAACAGTGGACTTTAGATTTGGTGAATTATCAAGAGCAATGAGAAATAGAGGTATAGAAGTTTACATGGACCTGTTGGAAGATAGAATGACTTTGTATGATAAAAAACAAGTAGAATTGCTCACCACATCTAGTTATGGTTTTGAAAGATTTTCGGATTTACAAGATTATAGTATGATCGATGATGTGATAAATAATGGATCAAAAACAATAAGCTCTACTCTAGGAGTCTTATCTAAAGCTGGTATTGATTGGGAAAATTTTATTTTGAAATCAGAAGAATTTACAAGTGGTGATAAACTTCTGGTTGAAAGAGTTGTGGAGGTCAATTCTGTAATAAACAAATTTGATTTAAATTTGAAAAGGTTTTATGACAATTCAAATTTAATTGCGAATGAAATATTGAATGAAGATGTTGAATTTAAAAAATTTCAATCATTGCATCCATTGATTAACATATCCATTTTGTCGTCAATAATCCCTAATTTTCCATTAACCCCTACTTGTGAATCAACTATGCTTTTTGAAGTTATAAATTTAGTGAAAGATTTTGGAAAAACTATAGCTACTATAGAGGAAAGATGTATGATCAAAAAAGTTGAAGACTTAACCTATATTGAAAAATCTGCTGCAATTGCTGGTGGAAGAAATCTTAAATCTAATCCTAAAATAGACTTGTATACGGTTGCTCAAACTGTTTTACAATTTGTTGTCGGTTCCATCACAGAGACTGAATTATTAAGTAAACCTATTTACACTCCTTTATTTGAATTAATCAATATGAACCAAGTTTTAATTCAAGAACAGAATGAAGCCAAAATCAGAGTTTTTCAAGATTTGATAACTACTTGGTGTGAGAAAAATAATGCCAATGATTTGATAAAAAAACTCAACTTTTTTGGTGAAAAATTAATGTTGTCAACTGGTTTGTCAATGAATTATATATGGGAATATTTTAGAGGCGATTATCCACAGTCTTTACAAGGTTGGGAAAATTTACAAGTAATTATTTCATTGATGCAAGATTTTGATTATGTTTCAAAACAACAAAGAAATGATGTTACTCCACTTGCTTTGTTATTTAAAGAGTTATATAAGTCAATTATTAACAATGATTTTGATGAATCAGAGTTGAGAGATACTTTGGTGAAAGTTCAAGAGGAATTGAGTAAGTTAAAGAATAGAAAATCAAAGGCAAATGTATTTGAAGAAGACTTTACATTTATTAGTGATTTTGTTGAAAATGAAAAAGATTTGTTGAAACTTTACATATTTATTAAAAGACCTTTAATTTCACTTATTGCAAACAATACTTTCAAACCTTATCCTATTGTTTTGAAAAATGTATCGCAAAATTCATCACAGGTTCAAGCTTTATTTACCAGTTTGTTATTCAGTTCCACGATTGAAAAGTGCTATCAAATATTTAGTAGTCCTGCAAATCAAGTCAAAGAAACACTTTCAGATCTAAGTCAACTTAATTCTACGATGATTGATCAATCAAACTTGATTTTGTCGAATCAAAAGGAGAAATTTTCGAGTTTATTATTACGTTGGACTGATGAAGTTTATCTTGCACATCCTGAATTGAATTCAAATATAAGCAAGCAATATTTAATGCTGGCTGTTACTTTAGCAAAAGATCGGGAAAGTTTATTCGACTTAGGAAAATCTTGGATTTTGTTTTCACTTGGCCTCATTCAATTGTATTTACCAAATGGTCCAAATGATCCTGCTATTAAAGAATACGTCATTGCTGAAATTTATTCCGCTTATATGTCACATGTTAGTGAAATAAAGTCTTCATTTAAAAACGCTAGAGAAGTTATCAAAGGAGACGAGATTACATTTTTAGAATCAACTTTGAATCAACTTGATCAGCCAGCTCCTGTAAAACCAAAAGTTTATCGTCCTACAAAATCAATTGATAATTTGATAGCTGAATGGAATGCAATAGTTGAATCATCTTTAAGATCTGTTGAAACTTTGGTAATAGAAGCTGAGAATGGGTCAAATATAACTGAAAAAGTTAAATTGCTACAAATCAACCTTTCGAAATTTGCATTAAGAATGGAACAAAATTATTATTTGTATTCAGATTTAAATGATATTTTACTTGGTTTTATTTATAGCTTGAAATTTGGACTTGAACTAATAATGATACCAAAAGACAATGGATTTTCTAAAGACTTTGTGGTGGATACTCCAAAATTAATAACTGATGAAGGTGTTTCAACACAATTTTCCAAAGCTCAAGATTTTACAAAAAATTTTGGTGTTGAGAATCAGATTGTGGAAAAAATAATGAATTTTTTTATGGTTATTGGTATTGTTAATAATGATGAGAATATTTTGAATCAGTCACTTAAATCATTGTATTACAGATGGTCACTTCGTAGAATGAGAGAAGAACAAGCTAAATCAGAAGAAGGTAATTTATTTAAATATAAAAATGTTGAAGACAATGTTGATCAAGATTTTCAAAATTTATTCCCAGATTATGAGGCTATTGTAAATGTTGAAGTTGGAAAAGAAAAGTCAAATTTTGAAGACATTTATATGCAAATTGCAAAATCCTATATGGATAATTTTGCTGGTGAAAAGTCAATTGACTTATATGATCTAACTGCAAATGGTTGTAAACTTTTCGATTCATTGAAACTGTATGATTTAAATAATGGAGACATAAATGCTTCTGGATTAGCATCAACTATTAATTCATCTCATGAAGTTTTTAACAAATTAAATAATCCACTGGAAAAATTTCATTTTTACAAAGATAGTAATCCAAAAGAGGTAGAAAATGCTATAAAGATTGTTCAAGATGTTTATAATGCATCTAAAAATTTACTGGATCAATGGCCAGAACATGCTACTTTGAAAAATATTGTATTTGCAACATCTGAATTTTTATCATTTCCAATCAATTTACCATTAGGTAGATTCTTACAAAAAATTGAACAAATATATACTTATATTGCTGAATGGCAAAAATATTCATCTTCACAAACATCACTTGAACCGCAATATAATCAATTAACAAATTTAATTATTAGTTGGAGAAAATTAGAATTATCTACTTGGAATTCATTATTTCATTATGAAGATGTTACTTTTGAAAACAAAGTTGGAGCTTGGTGGTTTAATTTGGTGGAAGTAATATTAATCCCAATTTTGGAAAATGATAATCAAGAAGATCAAGCCGTGAAATTATTATCTGCATTAAATATTTTCATGAGTAAAATGTCATATGGAGAATTTTCAAGTAGATTAAAGATCTTAAAAGCCTTTAGAAATCATGCTTTGAAAATTGATGAAAATAATAAAATTGTTGATGCTTTGACAAATTTTATCAAATTTTATGATTTATTTGAGCCAGTGATTATTGAAAATATTAGAATTACTAAGGATAAATTACAAAAAGATATTAATGAGGTGTTGTTGTTAGCAAGCTGGAAGGATGTAAATATTGATGCTTTAAAACAAAGTGCAAGAAGATCACATAATAATTTGTATAAAATTGTGAGGAAGTATAGAGATTTATTAAATACTCCAGTTCAGCCGATTATTGAAGCAGGATTAACAATTGGAAATGATAATCATAAATTAGTTGATTTACCTGTGATAAATAAAATTGAAATTACACCAGATGGAGCTGTTCAAAATATTCCTTCATGGAGTGAAAGACCACAAAGATTACAAAACTTATCAATGATCAAAAAAAACTTAAAAATATATATTGAAAGAGTTGAAAAAGAAACCATACCCAAATTATCAGATTTTGCTGCTGAAGTTTTTGATGATATGGATCAATTACGAAAAGATACTCCAACTCAATTGAAAGAAAGTAATAAAAAATTAGTTGCAGCATTGAAAACTCAAAAAATGAAATTACTTAGTGATACAATAAAAGAAGTTAAACGTTCTGGTTTAAAAACAAGTATGCGTTCAGATATTATTGCAACACAACGTTCAATTAATTTAATTTTAGCAAATTCAAAATCATTAAATGGTTATGTTGAAGGATGTGATGATAATTTTTTTAAAATATTGGATTTATTACCACGTTTACGTGCTGCAGTAGCGTCTCCATCAGATGATGTTCCTATATCAGATATTGAGAAAAGTATGGCTGCTACAGAAAATTTAGTACACTTGTTGGTAGTAAAAAGATCACCACTAGAGTCGTTTGCTAAAAAATTTGGTCAATTGTATAGGAGTTATTCAAGTGTATCAAAATTGGCAGAAATGAATCAAAAACATGAGAAGTTATGTGAAATAAACTTTGGAAATGCTGGTTATTTGAAAAAATGGTTCCCTAAAGTTTTGGATTATGCTATGAAAACACTATCTATTACTAAACAATATTCAACAATTGCTGTTTCAAATATTTTTGCTGACTTAAAAAATGAATTAGAGTTAATTGATTTTGAAATTGATTCAGTAACTACATCTCATGATTTGACATTGGTTGATAAATTTAAACAATTTTTGGAACACACAATTTCGTCCTTACAAAATTGGAAAACTCAAAATGTAAAACATGGATTTATTGCAGATATTGTTTTAGATTGGTTATACTCAAATCCAAATCAAGCATCTAATGAGTTTATTAATGATCACTTCACAATCGAAGATATTGAATTAGAGTTTAGAAATTTATCATCGATGATTCTTGTTGCTGTTCAAAAAGTAACAGAAAATCAAGGTCAAGGAATTACTAGAGATGATGATGGGTGGTTAATTGATTCACAAACTAGATTATCTCAATATATCAAATATACTCATATTAATTCAATATTATCGAAAATTGAGAAATGTATAGAAATTTCCAAAGTTTCAATTGATTCATCACATTTAATTTCAGCTTTAAGTTCATTCACAATACCCTTGATAGAATATTATTTTGAATTATGTTCAAACATTTTAACTAAAGTTAGATCAAGTTATCAAGATTTATCAAAAGCAACATTACAATTTTCATCAATACTTTATACATTAGCTACAAAAGGATTTTGTTCTCCAGAACCACCTAATGAACAAAAAGATGATAATAATTTACATGATGGAACTGGTTTAGGTGATGGTGAAGGTGCTCAAAATAATAACAATGATGTTGAAGAAGATGATGATTTATTAGAAGATGCTCAAAAACCAAATGAAGATCAAAAGAAAGATGAAGATGATGAAAATAATGAAGATGATGATGCTATTGAAATGGAAGGTGATATGGCAGGTGAATTGGAAGATTTATCAGATCAAGAAAAAGATGAAAATGAGGAGCAAAATGGTGAAGAAGAAGAAGAAGAATTGGATGAAGAAATTGATGATTTAGATGATTTAGATCCTAATAATGTTGATGAAAAAATGTGGGATGAAGAAGCTAAAGAAGAGAAAGAGAAAGAATCGGATAAATTGCCGGAAAATTCAAATAATGATGATGAAATGGAAGCAAAAGAAGATGATGAAGCAAATGATAAAGAAGGAGATGAAAAAGATCAGCAGGAAAATGATAATGATGCTGATGAAGAAAATGATATTGGAGAACAAGAAGATGAAGTTGATAATCAAGAAGGAGAAAAATTAGAAGATGTACCAGAATCTGAAGTTTTAGATTTACCAGATGATATTAATCTTGATGGAGAAGAAAATGATAATGAAGAAGAGGATGATAAAGATTATGAAGATGATGAAATCAGTGAAGAAGAAGAGACGAAAGAGAATGATGCTGAAGATGAAAATAATATGGATGTTGATGAAAATAATGAAGAAAAAGCAAATGAAGAAGTAGATGAAAATGATGAAGAAGATGAGAATGAAGATGAAGCTGATGAAATTGTAGAAACTGGTGCTGAAGTTACAGAAGATCCAAAAGATGAAGAAGAAGATGAGAGTCAACCAGATTTAGATGATGAGACTAAAAACGAAGATGAAGAAGGTGGTGATGAACAAGAAAAAGATAAAGATTCTTCAAAAGGTACGGAAGGTGGTGCAGATATAGAAAATGAACAAAATGATGTAGATATGGATTCAGATGCCGCTATAGATCAAGAAGTTGGAAAATCTGGAGATGGTGGTGAAAATGAAATAAATAATGAAGAACAATCAGATCAAATAGGTTCAAATACAACTAAAGAAGAAAATAATGAAATTGAAAATAATAATAATAATAATGAAGAAGACAAAGATAATGTTGATGAAATTTTCAAACAAATTGGTGATTCATTAAAAGAATTTCATCGTCGTAGACAAGAAATTTTAGAAAATCAAGAACCAAAAGAGGACCAAAAACAAGAAGAATCAGCTAATAGAAATTTAGATGAATTTCAACATACTGAAGAAAATATTGATATGCAAGCTTTAGGTGCTGCTAATAGAGATCAAATTCAGTCATTTAATGAAGATATGGCTATTGATGATGAGGATGATAAGCAAGTGAATGAAGATAATGAAGTTGATAAAGAAGAGGAGAAACAAGAGATCAATGATGAAGAAGCGGTGGAAGCAGATGTTGCTGATGATGAAGCTGGTGGAGTTGCTCAATCTGTTAACCCAAATCAAGAAAATAATAATGAAGATCCTATTACTAATCCTCAGCAAATGGATATTGATGATTTTGAAGAAACTGAGGAAGAAGAAATTGAAGAAATGATGCAAAATTATGAAATTAATGATTCAAATCAACCACCAATACCTATAGAAGAAGCCCGTAAATTATGGAAAGAAAGTGAATTAGCGACACAAGAATTAGCTTCAGGATTATGTGAACAATTAAGATTAATATTAGAACCAACATTAAGTACTAAACTTAAAGGTGATTATAAAACAGGAAAAAGATTAAATATGAAACGTATTATACCATATATTGCATCAGATTTTAAAAAGGATAAAATTTGGTTAAGAAGAACAAAACCTTCAAAAAGATCATATCAAATAATGATTGCTGTAGATGATTCAAAATCAATGTTAGAAAGTAAATCAACAAAATTAGCTTTTGATAGTATTGCATTAGTTTCAAAAGCTTTAACTCAATTAGAAAGTGGAGGATTATCTATAGTTAGATTTGGTGAAGATATTAAAATTGTTCATCCTTTTAATAAACCTTTTAATAATGAAATTGGTTCAAAAATTTTTCAATGGTTTGATTTTAAACAATCAAAGACTAACATTCAAGAGTTATGTAATCAATCTTTGAAAATTTTTGAAAATGAAAAATTTGAAAGTGGTGGTTCTGATTTATGGCAATTACAAATTATTATAAGTGATGGAGTATGTGAAAATCATGAAAATATTATAAGAATGGTTAGAAAAGCAAGAGATGAAAAAATTATGATGGTTTTTGTTATTATTGATGGTATTAATCTGAAAGAATCTATAATGGATATGCAACAAGTTAAATATGAAACAGACGTCAATACAGGAGAATCAATTTTAAAAGTTGATAAATATCTTGATAATTTTCCATTTGAATTTTATGTTATTGTTAAAAATATTAATGAATTACCTGAAATGTTATCAACTATTTTAAGACAATATTTTACAGAAATAGCAAATGTATAGAGTAGAATATTAAGAAATATATGTAATTATTTATTAGCAATTAAAACTTTTAAAATACCCATTTAAAATCTACTTTTAGAAACCAAAAACTATATACCCATGACTAACTTATTTTTTTATTTACTATTTTTTACAACTTTTGCAACTACTATTGTCATATCATCAACTTTACCTCCTTGACTATTTGTATGATTATTTGGATTTGAATTTACTTTTTCATTATAAGGAGTATAAGCATAATCATCAAATGCAACTTCTTTTGCTTTTATTAATAATTTATTTGCTATAGTTTTTGGATTGTTGTTCTTAAATTCATTTAAATAATTTAAAATTTCTTCTTCATATAAATTATCTGTTATACCATCTGAACACATTATAATATAATCATTTTCTTTTAATTTAAAAGAATCAATCCATGCAAAATCTGATGGCATTGTACTTATTGTATTTGTACCAATTTGAGTTGGACAAAGATTTGAAGATTCTTCTTTATTTGTTAATATAATTTTTGAATCTCTTATTATAAATAATTTTGAATCTCCTATACTAATCATTAGCAAAATATCTCCACTAAGCATTCCCAAAACTAATGTAGATGATCCTTTTAATTTTTGTAAGTCCATTAAATGAGATGTATGTAAATAAGAATCATTTAAAATTTCTTCAATATCTCTTCTTTTTAAATGATGTGGAGTATGATTTATTTTATATTCAGTCATTAATCTACTAAAAGTTTCAACTATTGCTCTTGACCATATACCTGAATCTGCTAATTCTCCATCACTTTCCCAACCACTTACACCATCTGCTACTGCTAATACAGAAGGAGAAACTAACATTGTATCATCACCAGCTTTTATACTTAAAGTATCACTTGGTGATCCCTCCGGTCTTCTTCTTGGTAGTAAAGAATTTAATTGAGTAGGATCAGTTAAATCACTTAAACTATTAATTGAAGGTTGAATAGAATCGGAATGAAAACCAAATGAAGCATGACCATAATCAAATTTAAATTTTTCAATTGCAATTTTTTTTAATTGATCTCTTGTAAATAATGGGTACTTCACGAAGGGAATTATTTCATCAACAGGTTCTGATTTTTCAATTTCTGATATATTAAAACCTAAGAAATAATTTCTTGCACCTTTAAAATATGATGATAAATTTCGATTACTAGTTCTGTTGTTTGTTTTATAATTTTTTTTAGGTAGTAGACTTCTTATCCATGAAGATTTTGATTTGAAAATGATGTTAGGTAGTGATGACATAATGATGAGGAGGTAAATTCTATTAGGATATTATGAAAAGAAAGGAAGAATTTATTTTAAATTTAATGTGGCACTTCACTTGTGATGATGCTCTGTATGATGATATGTACTTAGTGTATTTTTTCTTTTGTTTCTTTTTTTCTATAACAAGTATTTAATTAAAGGGTATATCAATAGTAATGGTAAATGAAAGTAGATTTATATGATATGGTATATTTTAGGAAATGAAATAAATCAGTAAATAATAGCAGAATAATTATAAAAATGTGATAATAGATTTGTAAATGATGTATTTTATAAATTTATAATTGAATCTAAACGTATACAATACAAATACAATACAAATTATTCCCCTCCTTATTTAAAGTTAGTACAGACAAATTTTAATTAAATTACCTCTGAAAATCAAAATATTACCTCTCATTGAAAATTAAATCACCTCTCAAAATAAATAATTTGCCTTGAGAAATTTTTAAGTACCTAACAACAAAGATTAATTCACCTTGCGACCAGTTTTAAATTATTTCAGAATGTATGGGATTTACATAGTTAAGAAGGTAAATTAATAAATTTTTATTGGTAATTTAAAATTGGTCGTAAGGTAAATTAAATTTATCATCAGGTAATTTTTTGTTTAGAAAGGGTTATTTTATTTTGAAGAGTAGGTAATTTATTATTTTTCAGAGGTAAATTAATTAAAATTTATCTGTATATCATTCATTAACTATGTAATAGTAATTAGTGAGGACTGTATATAATAAAATATTTTTTTCTTTCGTAAATTGGTAGTAACTTAACTATGGAAAAAATCGGTTATAAATTAAGTACTATTAGCCATAAGAGTAAATAGTACTAGTGGCAAATATCAAAGTAAGGTCTTTTCAGACTAGAGTCACAAGAGTGTAAAAGATTATTTATGTCCAGTTAAAGTGGAACATAACCTATTGCTATATAGCTTTTTGTCAAATTATTTCTTTTTCTTTTGACATATTATATTTTAAGAATATTCTTTTCTTCTTTAAGGGGTAATTTTAATTTAATTTATTTTATTTATTTACCGCTTACTTCGGAGTTTCTTCCCCTCTTTTACTTAATTTATATATCAATAAATATAATTATGTATTTATTCACTATTTACATATACAATTTTATTCTTCTAATACTGCATTTCTTATAACTTCATATGGAGGAATAAATGAAGTATGAATTTTAAATTGTTCATAACCTTGATTTATTAACATTTCTACACCTGGTATAACATTCCAATTATATTTATCTTTTGCAATTGACATTATTGGTGTAATTCTTGGTTTATAAGCAGCTTCTAATAATAATTTTGTATCATTATCTTTGTTTGTTTCTAATATTGATTCTAATTTATGTAATAAATTTTCATCTAATGGTTTATCTGCTGGTATACATGAAACAATTAGTGATATAGAATCAATTTTTTGATCTTTATTCTCATAATCTATTATTTCTAAATTATATTCTTTTGGAAAATTATCAATTAAATCTTGTAATTTTGAAATAGTACGATTTAATAAATATATTTTTTTACATCCTAATTGATGTAACGCATATATTGCTGCTCTTGATGTACCACCTCCACCAACTACTAATCCATTAATATTTGATGTCTTTGTATATCCAGCTTGTTTAAATGATTCTGATATACCTACCCAATCAGTATTATCACCTAAAAATCCGTTTTCTATTGGTATAATTGTATTTATTGCTCCAATTAATTTACCAGATTCTGTTATTTCTGTAATATATTTTATCATATCTAATTTTAATGGAATTGTAATTGCTAATCCTCCAAAATTAGAATCTAACATTAACTCTTTATAAACTTTTTCAGCATTTGAAGTTTCAAATTTATTAAACTTGTATGGTAAATTTAATGATTTATATCCTGAATTATGTAATGCTGGTGATTTTGAATGTTCAATTGGTTCTCCAACTACCCAAAATTTTTTATCAGTAAATCCTCCAATTTGATAATATGCTTCATTAATTTCTTTTAAACTTAATTGACCAACTCCAATAGGTTTATCTTTAATTAATTCATGAGTTATTGGTGTTAAAGTTTTATTTAATATTCTTGATAATTTACCTTTTGGACCCATATTTATTGCAATAATTGGTTTTTCAATATGTGTTTGTCTAAATGTTTCTAATAATAAATTATCATTAAATTCATTTGCTTTTCCAACTAATTTTATAATATCTGCATTTATTGAAAGTGCTTGATTATATTTTTCTTCCCATTCAATATTATTAAATTTATATTTACCAGAAAAATCATGATGTGATGCAATTATTTTTGTAGAACCTTTCTTTTCCAAAATTTCTTCAATTATTTCATATGGTGTAATTAATTCAATATCCATTATATCAACACCAATTTTAATACCAAATAATAATAATTTTTTTAAATTTTTTAAATCATCATTTGGGAATTTTCCACCTTGAGATTCTGTTCTTATTGTATAAACTATTGGTAAATCTATTGTTTTTCTTAATAATCCAATTTGTTCTGCAATAAATGAAGTATTTGTGTTTTCAGCAATTAAATCAACTCTATATTCAATAGCATTTGCTCCTACTGTAATATTTTGTAATGTATCAACAATATCTTTTAAATTTGGAGCTGTTAAAGTTATAAATGAAGAACGTGTTTTAGGAATTTGATATTCTTCAACGCCAGTAATTTTTGAGACAAATTTTAAAAATGTACTCTTAAGAATTCCAAAGTCTCTTTTAGTCTCACAATGTGGTGAATAAAAATAATAATTTGAACATTCATTATACCATTTTTCTCTTCTATTCCAAACTTCTTTAACTTCTGAAGTATATGCTGGTCTTGTTGCATCTGAATTTAAAAATGTAACAGTTTCATCTAAATCACGATGTAAATGTAATACAATACCTGAATAATTTTTTAATAAAATTCTTGCTTTTTCACTTTCAACTAATCCTCCACCACTTGATATAACATAATTTGTTGGATATTTGGAAATTACTTCTTCTGCTATTTTAACTTCTTGTTCTCTAAAATATTCCCAACCTTTTTCTTTAATTAATGATTTTATATCAATTTTTAATTTTGTTTCAAGAAATTCATCTAAATCAATGAATTTAAAATTAAGTAATTCAGAAATCCATTTGGATAATGTAGTTTTACCTGCTGCTCTCATTCCAATTACAATAATACTTTTATCATTTGATTTTTTTGTGGTAGTTTTAGTTTCATGACCTTCAAGTTTGATTCCAAAATTTGAATGTAATACATCCCACCAACCTGGCCAAGTTTTACCAGTTGTAGACCTCTCTAAAATCAATACAGGTTCTTTACATAATCCAGCTAATAATGAAAATGACATAGCAACTCTATGATCATCATAAGAATTAATAAATTCTGGAGTTTTTAAATTTGTTGTACCTTCAATAACTATTCCATCTGATATTTCATGTGAATTTACACCAAATTTTTTTAATTCATCAACCATTGCTTTAATTCTATTACATTCTTTAACTCTTTGATTTGCAATTCCTGTAATTGTTGTAGTACCTTTTGATACTGCTGCAACTACTGATGCAGTTAAAAATGCATCTGTCATTGGTTCCATATCAATACTTTCCAAAGCTTTCAATTCATCTGGACCAGTAACTGTAGTTGATGTTGCTGTTTGTTCAACTTTACATCCCATTGGTTTCAAAACATCAACTGCAAATCTTGCATCTCCTTGTAATGATGAAGATCCAATATTTGGTATAGTACATGATGAACCAGTTAAAGCAGCAAATGCTAATGGATAAGTAGCTGATGATGCATCTGACTCCACCACGTAAACTTCAGGATTTTTATAAGTAGCTTTTGGTATATGATATGTATAATTTTCAGATTTTTTAACTTCAATACCAAATTGTTTCATCATTTCAATAGTCATATCAATATATAATTGAGAAATTGGTTTACCTCCAACTAATGATAAAGTTACTGGGTTTTCAGCATATGGAGCACACATTAAAATTGCAGATACATATTGAGATGAAATTGTTGCAGATAACTCAATTTTACCACCTTTAAATTTATTATCTGTATTTATTTCTAGTGGTAATGATCCTTGATTGTTTAAATATTTTATATCTGATCCATTTGAAACTAAAGCATCTACTAAAGGTCCTATTGGTCTTTCTTGCATTCTTGAATTACCAGTTGAAATAACAGAACCTTTGTTAACTAAACATGAAACAGCTGTTAAAAATCTTGATGCAGTTCCAGCATTTCCTAAATATAACTCCTCATCAGGAGTTTGTAAGTTTCCTCCATTTCCTTTAACAACTACGGTTTCTCCATTATCTTCAAAAGTAATAGTTGCAGCTTTCAAAATTGTTAATGCATCTAACATATGTTTTGTATCATCAGAATGTAATAAATTTTTAATTTTAACTGTACCATTACCTAAAGCAGCTAATATTAATGCTCTATTTGATATAGATTTTGAACCTGGTGGAGATATTGTAACATGTTTCGGGAAATTTTTAAAAGGACTTACCAAAACTTCATCTGTCATTACAAATTGTATATCTTCTTTAAAAATTTGATGAGCTTTTTCTTGATAACATTTACCTATTCTTTCTAATAAAACACATTTTATTTTACTTCCATCATTTTTTTTATCAATTAACATTTTTTTAATTAACAGATCAATTAATAAATTATTTTTTTTACCACCAATGATTTTGGAAAATTGTTTTTCTTCAACTGATACTGGTAATTTATAAGCAGTTAAACATTTCAGTAATCTTGCAACAGCAACTGGAGGTAGAATTCCTAAATATCTTGATAATTCTGCTTCTTTAATCATACCAATTGATACACATTCTCCATGTAATGCTTCTGGAGTTAGTATAGCTTCAATTGCATGTCCTATTGTATGACCAAAATTCAATAAATTTCTTAATCCTCCTTCTTTTTCATCTGCTGATACAACTCCTGCTTTAACTTTAATAGATTCAGTAACTGTTTTAATTAAGTCTTCTTTAATATTTTCTAAATTTGGATTTGATGAACTAATTTCATCTATAAATTGTTTTGAAAATTTTTCTAATCTTGTGAATTCTTCTTCATTCCATATAGCTGCAGTTTTAATAACTTCTGCCATACCATTAATTAATTGTCTTGATGGTAATGTTGTTAAAAATGAAACATCACAAAATACATATTCTGGTTGATGAAAAGCTCCAATGAAATTTTTACCCAATGGTGTATCAATTGCTGTTTTCCCACCTACTGATGAATCAACCATTGCTAATAAACTTGTTGGAACTTGAACTACTCTAACACCTCTCATAAATGTTGCTGCTACAAATCCAATCATATCTCCAATAACTCCTCCACCAACTGCTAAAATTACAGTATCTCTTGTACATCCATTAATTAAAAGAAAATCTTCAACTTGTGCTTTAGTTTCTCTATTTTTATTATTTTCACCTGGTGATACAAAATATGTTAATAATCTAGATTCTGGTCTTATTTTAGTTAGTGATAATTCAAAATCTGATACTAATTTTTGGAAAGTATGGGTCTTTGCCATATTTTTATCAGTGACAATGACATAAGTAGATGATGCTAGGTTGGTTATTGTTTCTGATACTATATGTGGTTGAATTCCATATCCAATATGGATTGACTCTTTGCCCAATATAGGCACTTTTTCAATAGTCATGTGGTTAAAGTGCTATGACTAAGTTGAAAAACTTGAAAAAAAAAAATAATTACATAAGTTTTACTTTTGTACTACATGCTTTATATACTCTAAACATTCGTCTTTTGAACCATTTGGATGATCTAGCTGCCATTTTAAAACTTCTTCTGTAGCTGGTTTTAACCAAGGTCCTGGTTTCATTTGAAAATGTTTGGATAATGATGTACCGTCTATTAATGGTTTCATTAGATAAACATCCAATAAATTCATTTTTGTGATTTTATCAAATATTGACTCATATTTGGTGATAACACCCAAAATTATCGATCTTTGACTATCTGATGTTTGTAACTTATGATTTGGTATTGGTATTTCATGTGGTATATCAACTTTTATAGCATTTACACATTCCAAAAAGCATTGCACTAATAAATTTAAATCATAAAATGAAGAAAATTGACGTAAATAAATTCCCCAATCAGATCGTATATTTGAATCATTCTTTAAAATATCATGAGATGCCAAATTGATGGTTGTAATTTTAACAATGTCACTTTTCTTTGCAGTTAATCCTAACCTCAAAAATTGACTGAAAATATCTTTCAGTGAAACATTTACATAAGGGTTTAAAATTATTGATAGCCAAAAATTATATCTCATATCTGGGTCTTTTAAAAATTTTTGAAAAATGTGTTTTATTGATGACTTTAAAATTAATTGTTCAAAAGTAAGGTATATGGAGCTTGCTATATTTACATGATGTGGTATTTGTTGTAGTGACCTTTCCAACTCATCACTTTCAAATTCATTTTTCAACTGTTTAACAAAAAATATAATACTAGTTAAATCACAATAATTTATCAATTGTAATCCGTATCCAGGATTTGAACTTGTTAATATTTTTCTCAACTCAATTTCTATTCTTTCTTTACTTATTTTTGTAGAAAGAGCTTCTTGATTATGTTTCTCTTTCATTGCATCTAATGTTTCTGAATCTATTAAAAAATTAAACTTACTTGCAAATCTAATCAATCTCAATATTCTTAATGGATCATCTAAAAATGTTTTAATTGGTGGAAGGGGAGTTCTCAATACTCCATTTGTTAAATCTTCCATACCTTTTCCAGTAAAATCTTCTATCTCTTGTTCATTCAAATTATAAAATAATGCATTTAATGTAGCATCTCTTCTTAATGCATCTTGTAATGGAGTTCCAAATTCTATTGACGGTACTCTACTATCATCTGTATACTCTTCTGATCTTAAATTAATAAAATCTAGATCTATCCCATATAATTTTGTAGTACAAGTTTCTAAATGTTTAGATTTTTGTGGATTCATTTTAATTGTATGTACATGATTCATTGATAATTCTGGTTCATTAGTTCGTAGATAATTTTGAAGTCCATGAACAAATTCTTCACCTGTTAAGTTATTCACAGCTATATCTATATCATGACTATCATAACCTAATAATTTATCTCGAACCCATCCACCTGTTATTCTTAATGTTAATGGTTTATTATGATTTGTTTGATTATAATGATTACAATATTTTACAAGGGTATTACGGATATTATGTTCCGTATCAGTGAGTTGAATTGATCGAGTGACATTGGATTTCATCGATTCATATAGTAGTTTGGAATTGGTAGACAAATATCTCTTCATTCGATGAAGAATTAAAAAAAAATGAATCAATTTATCTAATAAGTAAAACTTTGTGATATAACTATTTACAATATGCAGGAATCATAGCTTCTTCACACAACAATAAATCTATAGATGTAGTTAGAAAAGTAGTTGTCCCATAGATTGAATATTGAATGAACAACAAAATTAGCTTGAAAGAACTTCATTACATAGTCTGTAGTTTAGATTAATCAGCAGTCTACACGACATAGTTTATGTTAAAATAAAAAATAAAAATAAAACATCATTTGCAGATTTCAATGAATGAGGCGGGAATCGAACCCACAGCAATTGCTTACAAAGACTTTGTAATGTTTCTACGAGGTCACGTGGAAGGCAATTATGTTACCACTACACCACTCATCCGATTGTTAAAAATTTTTAGTTTTGGCTTGGTTGTGTGCTGATTTTGTTTGCCCTGGTTCTAGGCTTGTTCTGCGTTGTTTTAGGGCCCAATGTTATACTGTTCACATTGCTTCATTAGCCGAATTTAGGAACTAGATTGCTTATAGTGGTTATTATGTTGAAAATTTATCATTTGAAGCTTTTGATTCAATGACATGTTTATTATTAGATCAATATTGATATTTGGATTGAGTCGTTTATTAACATTGATGGATTTACTAGTATGGGCGCTACCATGTTACGCGTCTAATTAAAGGTATAGAATATTCTACATAAAAGCAAACTGTTCAAGAAGACAACAATCAACTGTATCCCATCAACTAGGACAATTATGTTACCACTACACCACTCATCCGATTGTTGAAAATTTTTAGTTTTGGCTTGGTTGTGTGCTGATTTTGTTTGCCCTGGTTCTAGGCTTGTTCTGCGTTGTTTTAGGGCCCAATGTTATACTGTTCACATTGCTTCATTAGCCGAATTTAGGAACTAGATTGCTTATAGTGGTTATTATGTTGAAAATTTATCATTTGAAGCTTTTGATTCAATGACATGTTTATTATTAGATCAATATTGATATTTGGATTGAGTCGTTTATTAACATTGAGTGGTTTCTTAACGCGGAGCTACCATGTTACGCGTCTAATTGAAGGTATAGAATATTCTATATAATAAGCAAATTATTCTATATAATTAGCAAGTTATTCTAATATAATAATTCTGTGTTGGGGAGAATTCATTACTTTGAAACTTTTGATCCATCTACATGTTCATCATTAGATAATTTTGTAGTATATTTATTGATATTTAAACTAAGTGGTTAAAAGGGGTTAAGGCTCATGCTGGTATTTAATTTTATGTAGATCCGTACTTCATTATTATAGTTTGCTCTCCTGAATATAGCTCAGCCTTTCCTAATGCTGAACTTAGACGCATATTGCTGTATTTAAAGATTTAATTTGTTTATTTAAAGCTGGTGGAAATTTAATAAGACTCATTAACTGAAATTTTCATAACTGTTATGATTTTGATGCAATTTACATGTAAAAAGTATAATCTCGAGAATGTATCAACTTCCATAATGTGAAAACAATCATCCAACACTATCTGTTGATAAGCTATTTAAGTGAAGCTTATTCAGTCAAGATCGAGAAATACAAAATATTCTAGGAACTCCTTCTTCTCATGTCTCATTATATTAAAACCGAACCGCTATAATATTAATAAAATTACAAACACAAAAGTCAAAGAAGCGCTTATAATTTACGAGGTGTGTCGTATAGCTGCAACATATGCGACAAATATGCGACTTTTGGAAGACATTTTTCACATTATATAGCCTAAATTATTAAACTCTCTCAGAAAGTTATTACTTGTTCAGTAAATTAACGGCTTTAGTTTTGTTTATTGGTGTCTTAAATTGCCCTATTTTTGACAAATTGGTGGTCCCACGTAATTTTTGAGATGGCTAGTATCCTTTGCATTAAGAACTGATAAACCAAAACTTTACATCATAAGTATTATCAATTATAGAACAGTCGTCAAACAGTATGAGTGGCTACCGGAACTCGTATCATAACTTCAACTTCAAGATTTCAACCTCAACTTCACAAAATTTTCACAAGTTTTAGTTCGGTTTTAACAATTTCATCCCCGCAATTACTATTTATTACAAATAGGTTATATGCAGTATCAACAATTTATTTTTCAAAATCTGAAACAATTTCATCTGAAAATTTATATGCAAACACATGAAATTTTAATATTTCAATTATAATACAGTATTCAATTTAATCAACTCAACAAACTGATTTCATCAAAAAAACTCCTCCATAATTTTGCCCTAAAATATTTTAAACTATCGGACGAGAGGTAAGATCAACTAAAAATTAGAGATCATTAATTAACAACCATAGTAATTTTATTATTTAAGTTACGCAAACAAGATAAAATTTTCATAATAAAGATGTGACAACCAAGAAATATTTTGCAGATCCAACTTTAATTTATCACAAAATTCGGATTTAAGGACCAAGTACAGATATTAATTTTCAATGAAACACAGTAGAAGTACATCATTTATAGACAACTTTAATTAATTACGTCTAACATTTTGAAACATAACATAAGGGAATTTACTATTGACTATTACAAATTTCACATTCATTTCCTAACTCCTGAATATCGACTCCTCTTAAAAAGTAAATACTTATTTAGTATATTAACGTTTTAATTATTGTTATGTTGTCGCTACGGGAGGCTTTAAGCGTAAATTGCACTCAAAATTATCAAACAAAAGACGGTTTATTTATTGTAAGCTGAAATTAAATCAAGAGCATAAATCAAAAAAATTCAAAACGAAAATTCGAAATTTAGTTGTGTTTAGACATTCATTAAAACAACTCGTGAAAGATTTCACGAATTTATTCGAAAATTCAAATATTTATTAAAATTATTATAATAATGAAAAAATGATTAAAGACCATAATGAATTTGAACCAAAAATTGATAAAGCAGCATTTGAATCCAGAGAGCTTTTACTTCCAGTGCTGGAGCTGCTAGATCTTGATGAAGATGTTAGAGTTTCTGTACCTGAAGCAGCGAAAGCATTAGCAGATGTTTCTGGTGTTGTTGATGTAAAAGTAGTTCCATAATAATCTCCAATTGCTTTACAATAATTTTGTTTTAATGATTGTTCTGTAAATTCATTAACATGAGGAGTGTTACAATCTTTTGCACATTGATAAAATTTTTGCCAAAATTCATCATTTAATCCACAAATACAAGTTAGAACTGTATCATCAGTACAACTTTCTGAAAGATCGGCAGCATCTTGACATGATTGAGCATCACAATTTGATATTTGACTTTTAATTGAATATTCTATTGAGGATGCAAAAATTGTTGAAATGAATATAAATAACTGTAAAAACATCATTTTGTATTAAATTGAGGAAGTTTGAAATTGACTAATAATGTGATTTTAGAAATAATATTAGAGTTGAATTATAGAGAAAAATCCTTGAATTTAAATAAAATCTGAAATAGATGAAAAGGTATTATAATATAAATTATGACTAAATGTTATGCCGTGTTGATCTACAGAAAAATACAAACAAATAGTTGGTCATAAGATAACCTTTTTAATTTTGGTATTATGAAAATGTGTACAACCAAAATACTGAATGAAAATTATGAAGACCAATTTTAAAATATTATTTAATGCATGTTTTCTTATTATTATAATCTTAAAAATTAGTAAAAGAAAGTTAAAAATTTTTCAGTTTGACGTTAAATTTACTTTTTATCAACAGAAGAATATTGACTAAAATACAAAACTAGTGGAATGATGGTAAAAGTTACAGAATTGTTTTCAAAAACCTATTTGACGAAACTTAATTGATGAGTCTTACATTGTTTTTGATCGTGAGTAATATTATTTATTTTAAATGTTTATGGGGTAAAATAAATTGACTAATATTTCAGTGAAACGTATAAGATCTAAAATAATAAATAATTTAATTCACATGACAATACAAAACACAAACTAATAAAGATCAAAAAATTTTAGGATTGACAGAAAGGAGTAAGATTATATTTATCTTTGAAAATTTTGACAGAAAATAGGTTTATATCATGGACGTCCCTTTCTTTTTTTTTCTTTTTTCTTTCGTAATTTGAGATTTACGATATCACATCTAAGCCAACAACTCTTAAGTAGAATTTTATAAAAAACTTTACTACTTTATTGTAACTATTAGCATCAACAAGAATGAAGTATCTATTGTCCGTAACTCAAAAATTCATCAGTCATATCAAAAAATTTTCCTTTGTTTGTGCTATTAAGTTGCATAAAAAATGTTGTTTTTTTAGTAAAATAAATAATTTTCTAATTAATAGTAATTAAGTTTCAAAAAAATATGTATTGTTATAATTTTAGTAAAATCCTAAGGTTTGTCATATATTTGAAAAAAAATTTGATAGATCAGTAACAAGTTTTACTGAAAAACAATTTCAAATTATGATGCATTTATATGAGGATTGCCACCTAATCCCCCCAGTCCTTAAAAATTTGATAAATGAGTTATGGAAGCTTTAATATTATTCACTTGAGAATTTAGACTAAATTAATTAAAAGGACTTTAGTTGAATGGCTAAATCTATTTATTTATTTATAGAAGTTATTACACAAAATTTCGAGCTATTCAATTTGTTACATAATTTATTACATAATATTGTAGCGAGTTTAAAATTATTGTATACTTACACTGTCAAAATTGTAGCTCGCAACTCTCCAAAAAAACATTCTATGATAATTATTGGTATGGTTCTTTCCCAGTGACTTTTTTGTTCATTAAGTACTACAAAATGTGTCACTCATTAGCTTAGCTTTCTGATTAGCGACAGAAACGACAAAAAAAAACACCAATTGAAGTAGGTGCTTTCAGATTCAATTTACTTGTATGTACTCAAAATCTTTCAAATCGATAGTCATATAATGTTGAGTACATTCTTTTAGTATCTCAAGACAATGCACTTGCTTTCAACTTCATGACTACAAAACTCAGGATAATTATTGTTGTCACTTCAACATTGTTTCACTAATTTAAACCATCACATATACCATCAATGCTGTATCTCTTAGAACTATTATGCAGGAGTCCATAGTAATTGTACAATCTTGAACCAAGACTTAAAAGCTTTTTAAAACTTGCACAAAAAAATCCATGGAAACCTTTTGTTGTGAGCGGTGAAAAAAATACGGTCACTGTTATTGTTTTCACTCATCTAGATGAATCCATTCTTTCGTTGTAGCAATGTGTGAATGATTCTGGAATTTTTTTTTTTTTCATTACATCAATTCAACTCTAGCAGGTGAGATATGAATCAGGAAAATTTCTATGTAATTGAGGACGTATTGAATTTAAGTTGGGAAAATATCTACTTCGGTGATATAGGTATTGATTTTTAAGGTATAGAAGCATGCCTCAAATCCACCAAAGCACTAACCAGAACAAACAGCATACGCGTATTGTAGTTCAGTATTTTTGTCCCGATACTGATCTTTTACAAGTTTGTTGCTAATAAATTTTAATTAATTTACCTCTGAAAATCAATAAATTACCAACCTTTCAAAATAAAATTACCCTTGTTAAACAAAAAATTGCCTGATAATAAATTTAATTAACCTTACAACCATTTTCAAATTACCGACAATAATTTATTAATTACCTTCATAACAATGTAAATCTTGTACATTTTGAAGTAATTTAAAATAGGTTGCAAGGTGAATTAATCTTTGTTGTTAGGTACTTTAAAAATTTCTCAAGGAAAAATTTTATTTTCAGAGGTGATTTAATTGTAATTTATTGATTTTGGGAGGTAATTTATTTAAATTTTGTCCGTATATATTATCTTATATTATCAATATTATCCATATCAGTTATATTCATGTTTTAGGTGGGATATACATTCTTATATTTTAATTATTAGTAAGGTCTAATTAATCTTGGTTTATCTAATCTTACCATTGATATATTAGCATATGATTTGATTTATCTTATCATAAGCTTTTTATTTTATTTATCTTATGCTTTGATCTATCCTTTACTTCTTGATTAAGTAAGGCATTGAGCCTCAGTAATCCAAATATGGATGTAGTGTATATTGTACTAGAGAAGTTCAACATGCAGGATCAGCTGAATGTTGAGATTTAAATAAGTAATAAAAAAAA